ATCCTGAAGGAATCCACCAGCTCCTGGTTCTTTTCAGTGACCGTGGAACTCCCCAATCTATCCGCTTCCTGAACTCCTACAGTGGTCACACTTACAAATTTACTCAAAAGGTTCGACTTCCAGCATATTATTTCTCACATTAGCTAAGCCTATGGAACTAGGATGGCTCTTTCAAATATATCAAAATTCATATGAAAACCCGACAAGGGGTCAAGAACTTCAGTCGAGAAGAAGCTACGAAAATTGCTGGTGAAGACCCAGATTACATGATTCGAGACATGTTTGAAGCTATTGAGAGAAAGGACTACCCCGTTTGGGATGTTTTTGTACAGGTTATGGATCCCTCAGAGGCGGAAAACTATCGTTGGAATATCTTCGATATGACGAAAGTTTGGCCACATGAAGACTTCCCGTTGAGAAATATCGGCAAGCTCACCCTGAAACGGAACGTATGTTACCAATTCCCCTTTTGATAAATTGATATGTTGATTGTTGACCTTTTTACAGCCTGGTAATTATTTTGCCGACATAGAACAAGCAGCATTCTCTCCATCTAATATGGTGCCTGGGTTTGCTGCTTCTGCCGATCCAGGTGAGTCTCCCACTGAGAGTTTGAAAAGGAAGGATTGAAACTCACTTTTATCCCCTCTAGTCCTTCAAGCACGACTGTTTGCTTATCCGGATGCGGCTCGTTACCGTCTTGGTGTCAACTACCAGCAACTTCCAACCAACGCAGCCAAGGTACCCGTTTATTGCCCATTTGAGAGAGATGGTAAAATGAGATTCGATGGAAACTATGGAGGTGATCCAAATTATGTGAATTCTTCTCTTCAGCCAACAAGGTTCTATCCCGAAGTCAAGGGAGTAAGCCCAAATTCACTGAGCTTACATACTGAGCACGAGAAGTGGGTAGGTGAGGTCACCACCTACACCAGTCACATGAGGGAAGATGATTTTGTTCAGCCTGCTGCTTTGTGGAAAGTAATCGGCCGTGAACCTGGACATCAGGACCGAACCATCGAAAACATTGCTCGGAGTGTTAAAGAGGTCAAATCACCCAAGTTGCGAGATGGAGTATACGGTTGGTCTCACCCTTTAAGTAGCGCGTGATGGAAACTGACCCTTTCATAGATCTTTTTAGTCTAGTCAGCCTGGACCTCGGGACTAGAGTCAAGCGTGCGACCGAGGCATTAATCAAAAAATGAGGAGGTCTTCATGAACTTCAGCAGTTATACATATTTCCCAAAAACATTTCGACTTTTGACACGTAAAATAGAAAATTGTTTTCATCAATTCGATGTATTTTGGTCCCAGTAAATGCTAACACCACAGTATCCTTAGTCCCACATTCATCATCTTGTAATCTAATGTATCCAATAGTCCCACGGCAAACTTCCTAAAGTTGCACCATTTTACCACGCGAAAAATGTCAATAGGCTAAGCAACTAATAAAAGATGGTCTTCTAAGCCGTATGTTGCCCTACACAGATTATCAAGTATGACTATCTGTCAGAGCAATGTAAAGAGAGAAGTGCAGTGCCACCACCGAAATAAACTCAATCCTTTTTATATATAGCCGCTATCATGGGTTGCTGCATAGTATATGTAATTGATACACGGAGATTGATTAGAGGTAGTCTTTAATGATTTCAGCTGTATTTGAGAGCTGAAAAGTAGTCCAATGATTTTCATAATTCGGTATTGGTAGAAGACACTTCATAAGCGTCTCGATATGACTCCTCGTGAGACTCAATAATGGCACGTTTGATCTATATGTGCATATGGTGTATGGGTTGTTGCAAGAAGAAACAATGGATTATATAGTGAACAGAGGTTAATAAAAAATATTAGATTGTGTGAAAACTGTCTATTGACTGGCGCTGTGCTGTCCCTGTATAAGGCAAGCAAGTGATCCGAGCAAGCCAAAGTTTGACGTTTCCCAATGACAGCGGCGTATCATTAACTAAATCCCAACAGCTCGGATATTCTAATAATCTGTGTCTACACTCCACCCAAGCACCACAATCTTTATGTGAGCCCATTGGCGAAAGGCACCTCTCGAGTGATTGCCGGCAAGCAGCCCCCTTCCCCTCGAGCCCTCAGTATTCACAGCAAAGCTGAACAGGCCCCATTCTCACTCATCCTGCCCAGCCAATTGGAGCAACAGATGATAATATATCAGTTTTCATCACGCAAGGCCAAGCTCGGGTCAACCTGTCCCGCTGGCATGGAGGGGGGTCGACCTGGTCAAGCCGCCCGCCAGTGGAAATTTGCGATGAGACACTTTATATGATTGTGGAGTGGATTTGGGGCTACTGATGATAATTATTCATTTGTTAAAAGTAGCTATACTTTTACAGAGAACTGTAACTTCGAAGCTAACAATGCAACTATTAATAAAACCAACGCAGTGAGAAAATAAAAGCTCTGAAGGTAATGCTCATCATATTATTGATAATTTCTTTCCACTGGAGCTTTCTACGCAGCAGTCGTTTTCATCGCGGGAACTGTGGAAGCGTCCGATCCTCGATGAATACCAGCGATCGCACTCTTCGGTACGAATTGTAGGCCGAAGACAACCATGCTCAAGATGAGTAGCCCAACAAGAACACCTAAGGTTACCATTGCCCCGATGACACCTGCCACCCCCAGACTCATTCCTCTGCCCGAGGAAGAACCAGCAGAGGAAGTAGACGACGAATCATCACCGGCACCAGAGCTCGATGCGCAGATCCCAGTGCTATTTCCACACGCTTGACACCAGTCCTCTTGTGATTGAATGGCAATTCTCTTCGTCTCGTTCACAAATTGCGCCCACGGGAGCTCGACCGTCGATTGGCCAAAAAGTGGATAAGCTTGCAGCTGGATCGAACCCTCGATGCTAGTCCCGTTGTGGAACACGAAACGGACTCTGATGTCTGAAGTGGCGGGTATCTCAGTCCCCTCGTCATCTGTCACAAGCTCCCACGCCATGGATGAAGCATAGTTAGGAATGCCTGTGAAATTGACAGTGGTGGCTGGGAGCTCAGCCAGACCGAAATATGACAGAAAAGAGGCGTACGCACCAAACTGGACGTTTAGCTTGGATTTGCCGCCAGATGTGATTGTTTCGTTAAGGGCCGTCAGAACTTCGCCTGCCAGAGTCATACCCGTAATAGCACGGATAGTGTCAGAGCTATTATACGCCAGGTTGAACTCGTGCTCGTTCGCGAGAACAAGCAGCTCTTGCATTACTGTGTCGTTGAGAATGGTCGATGAAGGGAAACTTGCGGTAGAGTTATGTATGAGAGCCACGAAGAGTAAATCCCATATAGTGTATGCATTCTTGTAGCTCAGCTCGCTAGCACTGAACGTCCCATTCACCAACGGCTCAAGAGATTGGTAGAGCCTGCAAGTGCCTGAAAGTAGGCTGTTATAGGAGTTCGAGTCGAAGTAATCATTACTGCTGACTATGGCCTTGCCACAGGAAGAAGTGCTTTGCAGCCACGTGTTGTCCTCACTCCCGCTGCCAGATTTCACATCTGACATCGGAATTAGCTGATATCCATTCAGCGGCACCTCGACGGTTGATCCATTGCGCAGAGTCTCAGTGGCAATCGAACCGACGGGAGGGTAAAGGCCTTGGAGGAATCCCTCTCCGGAGTTTTCGATCACATCATCTTGCGGTGCACTAGCAGTGATCTGGGCCCAGTTTACGATGTCGGTACTGATCCCATCAATCCTATAGGAAGAATTGGCCGAAATATAGCGGTCATGGAAAAGATTCCCAGTCATATACTCTTGGCTATACCCTAGGCTGGTCAACTTGGTCGGTGGCCAGGATTTTGCGGTGCGATCACCATGGCGCTGGAAGACATATGCCCCCAGGACCCGTTCTGAGTTGGTCAGGTCTGAAAGGAGCAGGGATGCCACAACAGTGAGTGTGGTGAGCGGAGACATGTTGAACAGCATAAGCCCTCGTTAGCTACTGGTAAAATGCGTATATTACGCTTCATGCTACTACTGAGGGAGTTCCGACTTTATGAATCACCGTCCTCGTGCGGGGAATGCTAACACCCACCGCTTAGTGCAGCGAAAAGTAAGTTTCGCCACTAGCTAGTCGGAAAGCGGCGGGGGATTCTGCTTTGAATGTCTTTTGCTTTGAATGTCAAAGTTCTGGCCGACGCACTCGGTTTCTACTCGAGGAAGCTACCCTATCACATTTGTCTTAGACATAGTTCTCAAAGACATGGTATCACCGTCCAGTTCAGAGGTAGGTTTTGTGGCTTGGGTGAAAACAAAAAGGCCTTTCTGAAGCGAGCTAGATCCATGTGTTTTCTCAATCTATCCACAATCTAGGTATGAAAGTTCCCTGGATATAGTCCCTTGCTCCACACAAGATGAAGTAACTCAACCCAATAATATGCAGGGATCGGAGAAATATATTCCGCTTTCGCAGGCCTACCGAAACTTCATCACTGGTCTTAGCTGCAGGGAAGGTCGTATTCAGATATGCTTGACCAATGTAAGCCATAATTTTAGAGTGGAAATTGAATTTCTCCCGAGAGTGCTGCCATTACCTGCTCCTCTCAAATTGGATCCCTTGCGGTCGGGACGTAATATTTTTTAAAATAGACATGATTCGTTCAATAGTTGTACCCAAACAGGCACAAAAGTCCAGCGTGAGTGCTTGGTCGATCATGATGCAGGAAGGGTGATAAACTGGCTTGTAGTCCAAGGTTGGAAAGAAAAAAATGTTGCATCATTGGCCTCAATGGGTCATCTCCTTTCTCATTAATATGGCACCGTGTAGGAAAAATAGCTCTGCTAGAATAACCTTACAAGCACGGACATGTGCAATCAACATAGGTATTGCAGAACACTACCACACAGTAAGTTCGAAACGGGGTTTGATCAAGTTAGAACACATTTTCTCGCGAATTGAAATTGGTATTTTCCATCCAGATTCGTGAGAATACAGAGGACGTGACTCATTCATCTCATAACACGAATTTCCGTATCTATCCACCAATAAGAATCATAGGGCGGTTCTTCATATTCTTCAGCTCATCCATGCCGGCGTGTTTTGCCTTTTTGCGCTTCACAGCCATACCGATTATATTTAAAATCTCGCGTTCCCTTTCATAGATCGGTACCCCACTGCCATCAAGACGAGACGTGTTCTCTAGAAAGCTAAATTTTTTCAGGGCATCATTGTCAATTGGTAGCCCGTCATTTTCTTTGCGTATGATATCCCGTAGTGATACCTCTGAGTTGCCGAAAAGACAAACCTTTAAGTTTCCGTCACTGGTGATGCGGAGTCGATTGCAGGTGCCGCAGAAATTGTGCGTCATGCTCGTAATAAAGCCAATACGACCTTCAAATTCCGGAATCTTATATGTCTTGCTAGTATCATTTTCATGATCAGCGATCTTCATCAGTTCCGGATATTCACTTCTGATAACTGCGAGCATCTCTTCGTATGAGAACATCTTTTCTCGGTTCCACTTATTCCCACCAAACGGCATATATTCGATAAAGCGGACCTCAATAGGCAGCTCACGACCCATTTCGACGAATGGGATAATCTCACGGTCGTTTAATCCGCGCATTACGACGCAGTTTATCTTGAGCTTAATTCCGGCACCAAGTCGGTTCATTTCCAGTATGCGATCGATACTCTTCATCACAGCCTCAAACCCACTCCGGCGTGTCATGATCTGGAACTGAAAGGGATCCAGGGTATCCAAGCTCAAATTTACACCAGTCAGACCTGCTTCTACCATTTTGTCTAGCTTCCGGTGTAGTGAGATGCCATTTGTAGTCAAACAAAGCTCACGGAGCCCGTTTTGCCGTAGCTGGCCAATTCCTTGCATCAACGGTACAATATCCTTCCGGACGGTAGGCTCACCACCAGTAAGACGAATCTTTTTGACGCCCTGGGAGACAAAAAGTGATGATAGGTAAAGTATTTCTGGAGTGGTCAACAGCTGAGGTGGTGGTGACAGCTCGATGCCTTCCTCGGGCATACAGTACAAACATCGCAAATTGCACCGTTCTGTGACGCTGATCCGCAGATAATCATGCTGGCGATGAAATCGGTCTGTGAGAAATGCTGAGAACGGCTTGACCGTCGATTCGTTAAACGATCTCGGAGGCCGAGATGCCTATTAAGTGAACTTGGTCAGATTATGTGACTGATAGATTGTCTATTCGGACGAGACGCACAGGAGGTGCCCCACTTGATGTCTGTAAGAACCGTCGCCCTTCCTCCACGACTCGGAAAGTGCGTTGGATACAAAGATCCAAGGAGAATAAACGGACGGAGGTGGTCCACATTTTTTGAATCTTTGCTGGGCCATGATACACACTACGTTCTAGGGAGAGAATTTACTAGGCGAAGCGGCAATCGTTTCATGTGGCTTCGAGCGAGGTCTGAGCACAGCACCAACGCATGATACACTAATTTCTTTCATCGGACCTCTAGGTGACATCACATTTCTATGAAAGAGGAGAAGGCCGAATCAAATTACCTGTGTGGTTTACAGAATATTGGCCACAACACACTGCCTGTCAGAACCGGTACCAAGGTATCAGTGACTGATCGGTCGGCCTTTGCATGCTTCGGCCGTCCGACAGTAGTTCAATATTTTAGCGTGATGCATTACACTGATTTTATTGTTCTTCGATGATGACTCCATTGGATATTTCAACAGAAAACCTTCCTGGAATGGGCAAGAGGTCTCAGAGATAGTTTTCAGATAAAATCGACGTCGATTGATTGGGTACTGTACCATGAAAAATAAAATACGAGCCATTATTGAGGTATATTTTGATGCATCTTGCACAAACAGATGGTTTGTTGGGGGGGGTTCGATAAAGCTCACATAGTACCGCCGATTACCATTTTTCATCAAGCCATGCCTGGCTGGCCATTCCACGGTAACAATCGTATACAATAATAGTTCATCCGAAAATCAAAGAAACCAGCTTCCAGCTTTTTTTCATGAAAGCGGGGACTCAGAGGCTTGGGAATACGAGATCCTTGCAGGGCCACAACCAACCAGAGACTTTGTCGGTTTAAGCTTTTAATGTAGGAAAGATAATTGGTTGTCTAGATTACGCTTAGTCAGATCTCGGTCTCCTTACTATCAGTGGCTGGTGCATGCAAAGTTTAACATCGAACCACGAAACGTATTGCAAAGCACCAAATCGGAACCAGGGAGAAGGGATGGGTGTTTACTGAGGGATTGAGCGGTTATGCCCGATAACAAATATAGATGATTCAGCAAGGGATATGTATGCATGGGTGACCCCACCCTTTACTCATTTATTAAATACTTCTTATAATTTATTCTAGTTTGAGGAGTTCCGACCGGGTAAAAACTATTCACAATCTACCAGTACTTGCTTAAGGAATATATCAATTCACGCTACACTAGTCGATATGTTTACCCACCTACTCATATAATGATTTCACCCAACAGTGTCTATAAGCTATTCCACTTTAGTAACAAAAATATGATTGATTTTGGTATACTCTATAATATAATTATCGGTAATTATTGAATTGAAGAGGTGAATGGAGGCGTCTTAAATGCCACGTGAGCAGATCTACACCCTATGACAGTTCGGGTCATTGTTCGATTAGATACCCCACCATATTGTATACACACACATCAATTGTAAAGATAATATAACGATCGAAAATATTAACAGAACCTGGACCTGCTGTTGTATTCTACATAGATCAAAGTCTCATTGGTAGAGAGACACCGTTGTTTACTCGATTTTCTAACGTAAATTACGAATATTTGTCTCTTCCGGGACAGCCGAACGCCTCACGGCTTGGTATCGGTAGTGTTGGCAATGATTCAGCATCCCCCTTATCTATTACAAAGTAATCCAGTAATATTGAAGCCTATTTATCCTTGTAGGGATAACTTGAAGCTATCTCCAATTCTCCTGATCCATTACTTTGCAATCAGTAAAAGAGATGCCACGTGGTTGTAGACCGCATTCCAGACAATTTCCTGTCACTAAATGACTACTAATATCATCTAAAACAAGTCGCAAGAAGGGGTATTATTATACTGGTTGTTACCAAGATTGGCGGCGTGGTGTGTCTTTCTTAAGGTTACCGTGTACGCTTCAGAGGTCATGATGTCAATCACTCGATTGGGGTCTTCTAGTCTTCTATGATATCTTCTATGCTGCTAGCCCGGATCGAGTCGACGTTGAAAAAGAGAGAGATTTATAAAAAGATTTTCCATCAGTCAATCTCATTCAAAACTGGATCTGTCTCGTATTTCTTGTGTAAAATAGCAACATGGTTTTGTAACATTCCCAAACCCATAGAAAAAGTATCATAACCTATTTTACGCTATCTTCTTGCTTCCGTGGCATGAAAAAAACACACTAACAGCCACATGACGCTTTACACAAACTCTGATTTTGACGCCCAAGGCAAGGATCGAATGGAATCCATGTATGGCAAATACGAGAAATGGGTTAGAATCGACCCAGGTGTACATCACAAGCAAGGGCTGAAATGTCGGTCTGTAGGTCCCATAGTCAGCTAGGTATATAACTTGGCACAAATCACTTGTCTATAAACTATTTACTTTAAAGCATTCCACATTTTCTGATTCCACATGTCCACCCCACATCGTTCCACTATGGAGACTCGAACCAAGTATACAAAACCGATCAATAACCGCCCTGATGAGTGGAAGGTTGAGCAAGGTCTTGCTGCTTACAAACTTCCCATTATCGATCAAAGTGCAAAAACAACTTTCTTCGTTGCTCCAGTCGCGGATAAACCGGTCACAAAAAATGAAAAGACCATCCGCGCCATTGGTGACCGAAATAAACTTTTTGCCCGTGAAAAGCCGGGCTGGACAGGGTAAAGTCTTCCATGAGATGACAATATATACGTAGATCTATCTCGACTAATCAATCACGTATTATTCAGATACGTTGAGTGGGAGACTTACCCCGAAAAGAAAGCCAAAGCACATGAAGTCTTAACATCGCAAACTTTTGCCCCTTGTCCAGACTTTCAATGGGGACCTATACCTCCTACCAACCCTGTGTTACCCGGCGATGATTTCAAGTCATGGCATACCGCACTAGGGGGAGAATTAACTAAAGTCCCCGATGATTCCTGGAAGACTGTTCTGAAGGAGAAACACCCTGAAATGCTGCACCTGCTGCAATTCCCGTACAATGGAGAGCCACCCAAACGATTGGTTACAGACAAGGCTATTACTCCAAACTCACTTCACTTTGTCCGTAACCACGGTGGCATCCCGCTTATTGACGAGAAAAAATTTGAGTTACAACTCGATGGTCTTGTCAAGTCCCCCAAAACATATACTATGAAAGATTTGATGAACGAGTCAGTTTTTCCACAGATGGAGAAGACAATTACTATGCAATGCTCAGGAACTCGTCGGATTGAGCAGATCTCTATGTACGCTGGTCAAGGCGACGAAGTTCCCCAGGCACCGTGGGCTGAAGGTGCCATAGGCACTGCGAGATACAAAGGCATAAGTCTCAAAAAGCTGATCAAAGATTGTGGAGGGCTGGTCAGCAACGCCAAGCACCTTGAATTCTATGGCGTTGACACCTATGTGAAAGACCTTAATGTTGGTAACTACGTTGTCAGTGTCCCATGGTCCAAGGTCAAGAGCAATGAAGTTATTCTGGCCTGGGAGATGAATGGTGAACCACTTCCTAAGATTCACGGATTCCCATTACGAGTGATCGTGATGGGATATATTGGAGCTCGCAGTGTGAAATGGCTGTATCGAATTAAGGCCATTAAGAGTCCATCCATGGCGCCTGTTCAAAGCAGAGAATATCTGTACTTCAACCAACAGATGGGTAAGTATAACCAACGCCCCATGGATGGAATCCAGATCCAGGAGATGCCTGTAAGCTCTGCTATCATGTCTCCATGGCAGAATCAAGTGATTATGCATAGTGGTAAGATCTGTTGCAAGGGCTGGGCTTATTCTGGTGGTGGCCGGTGGCCTGAACGTGTGGAGTTATCAGCCGATGGAGGCTTCAATTGGTACGCTGTTCCAGAAGAGAATCTATCTAAGAAGGGAAAATGGACTTGGAGATCATGGGAAATCGATCTTCCTTGCGATGTAGAAGGTTGGATCGAGGTTGTGTGCAGATGTTGGGACAATTCTTTGAATACCCAACCACTTAATGTGCGAGCAGCCTGGAACTGGGGTCTACATGTCACGTCCTCAGCACACCGCATCAAGATCTACAGCGTGAACAAAACCCACAAGCTCACACAACAAAAGTTGGCGCAATTCAAAGAGCATGACATTCCACTGGCTCCTCTGACCAGATACGACCCTGTTCCGGGCATTACCGACCGGGAAATTGCAAAGTACCAGGACTCCTACCCTCGCGATGTCGACGAATGATATTCACTTTCTCTTTCCGAATCAGAAAAGTCTTGCTAAAAAAGAAAGTCTTAAACTTGAATTACACGCAGAATCTTTGACCACAAGAAAATCTAATTTTGGCCAAACACACGCGTCTTCCAGCTTCCTACAATAATGTAGAAGAGTTAGTGTAATTCGTAATAGAAAGTAATGAGCTGGCGGGGGATGCCACACGCTTAAAGAATTAATTTTAACCCCCTCGGTACAGGAACGACTATAATTTTGGCTTTGTCAGTATACTGTGTAGATATAAGAGAATATCACCTAGGAAAAGTCAATTTACCAGATTCTAAATAATACTGGATATATTATCAAGGGATAGAACATTAGAGCTTTTAATTGATGTGCCTAGGTATATAGGCTACTATAATGATATGAAATCGTTACTGCTAATAGGAGGTTTCATTATCCTGATGGACATTAGCTCCTCTTTCTAGGATACTGAGGGACAACCTTGTTCTTATACAATTAACCCATCTTCATGTAGTGACGGCCCGATGCGACTGTGGTTTATAGATGGGAGTGGGGTCAGGGCAGGACTCAGCCAATCAGAGCCCTCTGGTTTCGACTAGCGGGGAAGTTAGCGTATGCCTTTGAATGTGAAACCAAGCGTCCTTGGGGTGACCATGCCTCCCCCGGCTACGAAGCTCTTCGGCAATGTATTCCATTTCGAGAGTAAATCCCTCACAAGCTCCGCAAAGCATTGGACAATTAACCAAGTATGGCCCCGACTTGTCCAAGAGAGGATCGGGAGCGTAGGATTCCGCGGAGGTCGAGATTGGGCTGCCGGAATTGTAAGCTCATAAAACACAAGGTAGGTGGCTCTCGGTTTTCCTATATTGGTGCTTAACTGAAAAATCCATTTGTCCCTTAGTGCGATGAGGGCAAACCACCACACTGCAAGAGATGTAGTTCACTCGGGGTATTATGCAACTTTATGTCTAATATTCTCGACCTACACCCCATCGCCGCTACCACAAGGAGGCTATTGGTGGTTCGAGGAAAAGCAGAGATTCAACCCCCTATCAAAAGTGCTGTCTCGACGTCTGATAAATCCACGTCCTATCAATTGAACGCAAAGTGTCAAGATTTCATCACCCCAGATGACCCTGATATGTATGTTAATCGCAAGCTCCTGAGACTAGCCTTCGCCATAAGTATTATTATATAATACAGGATCGGAGCGGGATTATATATCATGGGCCTGAGCTCCTCTAACACATGGCTCACAGTGCCCTTTTTTAATGCACGCCTCTCTAGTTGTGGCACTTACGTATGAGGATGGGCTACGGCTATTCTGAAATCGACATGGCCAGTATTGGAACCACAGTGGGGGCACCTGGCTCATTGGGCAGCGACCGAAATTATAGTAGAATTTCTTATTGTGCTATTATGAAGCTTATTAATTTATTTACCTCGTTATTATAGGCCAAAAAATGGTGCTATTATATATAGTGTAAGTGAATATATATTTTGAGAGGGGACCCGAGAAATTGGAGTGGGAAGATAGTTTTGAACGGGCATGTACTAAGACAAAAGTGGCCTACATTGACGCAACACGAAGTCGGCAAAGGCGGCGAATGATACAGGCACGGTGCGGATATCTAGATGCGTCTAGATCGTCCCTTCTTTCATTCTCTTACGTCTTGGTCTCGTTACACATAGGCTTTCGCAACTCTTCAGCCCAGCAACACACTCCTCGACCGAGTTCAACTCCGACGAGAAGGGCGGGGGTTGGATAACTCCGAACAGTCACAAATTCCTGCGGATATGTTTGACTGTCTGTTCACTGCATTCGTGGCTGGTTTTGTACTATAAAACTAATAAGGCGTAGCTTTGATAGGGGTAGTCTAGGTGCCATATTTAGCAGTTGTCAGATAGTGGTGCCGAGAAGGATGGATGTAAGGGTATGGAATGGCAGTGACGTAGAAATGTATAGGAATTTCGTGTGAAATACAATATTATACGCAAAGCGGTCGTTCTGGAATTTAGAAAGCATCTCTTCTTTAAAAAATGATTGTTTATGCCTATTTCTTGACAGGCAAGAAGGTAGTAAGCAATAATGGCAATTATTGGTTGGAAAATCGGACAGGGAACAAGAGAAGCTTCGAACCTCCGAGGACTAACGTTATACTCAGGAACATCCAGTCACATGACCTTGGTGGTCATGTGATCACCACACTAATCTGTATATGTTAAAGTGGCCTTGTGTAGGGACCGAGAAACAAAGTGTGAGTGTCTTGGGGGTAATCTGTATTCGATCTCACCTGGCAGGCTCGGCCCCCGAAAAGCCCGAGCCGCCCCAGATGAATAAGCCAATCCTTGGAAATACGATGCCATATATGTAGGTTAATTAGTCGGATTAGTAATGCTAAGTGGCGCGAACCCAACGGGACCTAAAGCAAGAGCCGAAGTGGAGATGTAATGAGGTATAAAGCAAGTATAAAGCAAGATTAAATTCCCATAGCATGGTTAATATACCACACCAACATTTCAAAACATTTCAAAACATATCAACAAGCCCTAACAATGGCCTCCACTCTTAAGCCTATCAAGCTCTACGGAGGGCCTCCCGCCCCCCACCCCAACCCTTTGAAAGTCGCCCTCATCCTCTCCCTCCTCGAACTCCCCTGGGAAACTGTCCCAGTCGAGATGTCCGAGGTCAAGGGCGCTGAATACGAAGCCGTCAACCCTAACGGACGTGTGCCCTCAATCCACGACCCGAACACCGATCTGACCATCTGGGAGAGTGGCGCCATCATCGAATATCTAATTGACCGTTATGACGCCCAAGAGCCCCGCAAGCTGAGCTTCACGCCCCGCAGCGCCGAAGCCGAACTTGCACGCTCATTCCTCCATCTCCAGATCTCCGGCCAGGGCCCTTACTACGGCCAGGCTATCTGGTTCAAAGTCTACCACGCCGAGAAGGTCCCCACTGCTGTGGAACGATATGTCAATGAGGCCAAGCGTGTCACTGGCGTGCTGGACAAATGGCTTGCGAAGCAGAAGGAAGCTCACCAGAAGAGTCTCGGTGATGGACCGTGGCTAGTTGGAAATAAGCTGTCTTACGCCGATGTGGCGTTCGTTGCTTGGCAGCGTATCCTTACCAGCCACCTTGCTGATGACGGATTCAAGGCGGATGAGTTCCCTCATGCCAAAGAGTGGCTTGAGCGTTTGATTGCTAGGGAGCCTATCAAGGCTATTCTCGATACGGTGTAGATGGGTAAGAGGAAGCATTAGTGATGGATGATAGTTCGTAGGGGACCGAGTATTCAGCATGTGTATTTAATGAGACGCAATGATAAACGAACTAGTATGAACTATTTGTACATTCTTTTTTCTCTCAGTTTGTCTCGCCTCATGTTGATGGTTGGCGCTAGAAACATCACAAACAAAGACGTCGGCGATGTGCGACATACGGCGATCAACTGATACTTTGGAGTGGATTTGGCGACAGGCTGCCCCGTAACTGCCAGCAATTATAAGTACCAACATCATTGCTTGACTAAACTTCAGTCTCGTCGCTATGGAGAACGTATGAGTACTCTACTCTCCACACTCCGTTAACCTGTACGTGCCGCAAGGATTTTACGAGCAGGTGAAATTGAAGAAGATGGAGCTAGGGAGAGCGAGCTACTTTTAAATGAGAGACAGAGTTTATTCAATGTAGTGTTAAAATGACACCCCCGGCGCACACCTTACCTAATTAGTAAAGGCGCAGTAATTGTAGTCTAAGCGGCTACGGCTTCCGTTGCCGCTTCTTGCTCAAGCTTTCTTCTCATTCTTATGCCATGCCAGGTTTCCGACATCGGGCACATGACAAAAGATGTCTATACCCGTACAATTCCAGCTTCATCCAGCTGAATGTGGAATGCCTAGAGCAGAGTTTCACAGCAAAACATCCTGGGCTGCTCTAACAGACCCATTCACCGACCATGGAGAGAATGCTCAACACCAGAACCCGACACTTATCAGCAGCCAAATTACGTGTGCTTTACACCCTACGTTGTCCGGAAAGGGCGGTGTCTTCCGGACTTTAAATCGATTACGAATGAAGTGAGTTTCTCAAGACCTGTAGAAGCTCGATCGAGGTGTTCCCTCTAATCTGACCCTAGGCTCTTCAGGTATTTTAGTGGTGTGGATATTGTATCCGCTGAAAGGCAATTTGGCACAAGTCCTGTGATAATCTACTGCAATCTTCCACATCTTATCCAACTATCAGCTGCCGCAAGACCTCTTCAGGACTCGAAGTATCATAGGGTGTATATGATGCTATTATTACGCTTCTACAAACGCATTTCCGTTATTGTGAGGATGTCATGCTTGTGTTTTGGGCCGATCAAAGTATAAATTTATCTAGGGACAAAGCAAAGAAAGATCGCGACGCTATGATAGCTCGGCTTGAGAAAGTACTTTACCGAGCGGATGAGCTCTATCGCACTCTTGCTCAACAGGCATGTGATTTTTCAATTTTTCCATCCCCGGCAGCATTCAATTTGTGTCTGGACCGAGCAAAGGAAACTGGGGGATCTTTGGTGAGGGTGACTAGGATCACAACAGGGGTGCTGAATCCCGCGTCTGGCGCAGCATTGAAGAAAATACATTCAAGAATGAATTATCGGACGACATAAGAACAGACAGCAAGCTGGAGTATTGGGTTCGAACAAGCTTCTATGATTGGTTTGGAAGGAAGGATATGCAATTTGTTTGAACGAGAATAGGTGTATGCGAGGGTAGGTGCTGAGCATCTACCCTAGGAAGACAAGGAGCAAGCGTTTTGATATCACTTTGGAGAAATATTGGTTTCCTATAGACGACCTTAGGAGTAATAGATATGATCATCGCGTACATACGTCACTTCTAACTCCAGGTTTTTCTTGGGAATTACTATGCGGACAAAAGTTTCACTATGTGGACAAAAGTTTCACTATGCGGACAGAATGCAATCCCAATGAGGAAAGATGTGTATGGTATTAAACTATCTACTTACTCTGTGTGTAGTTGTTCAGACTCGCGCTCTTAAGATAACAATCCAAGTTGGTGACACCATGTCTAAGTCAGGCAAACATGGGTACATCATGGCTGGAGAGCACTGTTACCTCAGCGTTTACGATATTCCTGTTTCAGGAATCAGTGATAGAAAGGTTGTCGTTCAACTCTCCGCGAAAATGGACTACCTGCTACGCTTTGCAGAGTTGGAAAAGCAAAGGCAGGATGAAAATACAATACGTGTGTATATTGACGAGATCAACGACATGCCTGTATTCCCAGAAATTCTCCAAAGTCACTACGCTTGGAGTTTTGGAGTCAATCCAAGCCTGTACAGCAATGGTACGGAGTCTCGAAGACTCATGTCTCTATGGAGGTCTGGTGCCTATCAGAGTAGATGGTATGTGGTTGAAGGGATTCACATTAGGAACTGCGGATTTTTCTATCACGCTGCGAATTGATGGTGCTGTACAGAATGCAGGGGTAATCTCCCTCGCTTGCAGGAACCGTTGAAAAAGATCCATGCACTACAAGAAAGCTGAGGATTCTTTTCAAACACTGAGACATACAATCATTAGGCTAAGTACCTATTGGGTTCTTATGAGGCTGGGGGAACGATGAGCAGAATCATGGTTCACGAAGTCTCCTGTCGGCGTGTGACAGGTGAGTCTATTTTGTTCACTTTATCCAAGTGGTCTTGATACATGAACTAGATAAGTGCAATGACTGACATTGCCCTGGTTCAGTTTTGATATCTTGCAAGCCAAGCTTGTCTTTGCCCCGAGATTCATGTCTCACTACTTCCACATTCAGTTCTATTGGGAAAAGCCTAGACCTTGAGCCCATTGTTGGAGATACGGACCCGGCGAAATTGGAAACAACTGCTCCTCCTTCAACGCCAGCATGCCAATGTGATACAATTCGCCAAAGGCACGTTCGATCCCCGAGTTCCTGAGTTAAGCTGGGTTTTTAAGTCAATGTTCTAGTGATGCACACAGTGTAATTTAACAATGACGTACAAGGGGTGCGATTTATAATCCGCCGGAGTTAGCGGCACTTATATAGGGCGAGTTAAGTAAATACCCAAGAACAACTCAACTCTTTTGTTTGCTTTGCGATTTATAATCTGGTGGAGCTGGCGGGATTCATATGGGGCGAGTTAGATAAATATTCAAGAACAATTCAACTCCTTTGTTTGCTATTACCATTAGCAGAAAATACAACATTCATCCACAGCTATATCCTCTATCTATTCCAAACCATCAATCATGGCTCCCGCCAATCTCATCTGGGGCGGAGGCTCCATCATGGTCGAAGAGTCTTTTCCCACTCTCGAATCCATCAATGCAGCCCTAGATATCCTACAAGCCAATGGTGTCAAGACTATTGACACAGCCAGATTCTACATGAACTCTGAGGAGCGTCTGGGTCAGGCCAATGCCAGCTCCCGCTTCGCCATTGACACGAAACACCCCGGTGGGATCGCCCCAGAGGCAAATTCCCAAGAATCGATCGTTTCAATCGCAAACGAGAGTTTGAATTATCTCCAAACAGACCAGGTATGCATCTAAAAATTGATTACGTGGGGGTTACGTGGAAGATCTATCTCTAATAGCATAATCAGGTGGATGTCTACTACATTCACGCACCCGATCGTCGCGTTCCCCTCGAGGGACTTCTGGCCGGCATAAACACCCTCTACCAAGCTGGAAAGTTCAAGCGTTTCGGTCTCTCAAACTACCTCGCCACAGAGGTCGACGAAGTCGCCCGCGTCTGTCATGAGAAGGGATACGTCCTGCCCAGTGTGTATCAAGGAAACTACTCTGCCGTCGCGCGTCGGGCGGAGACAGAGCTACTACCAACACTGCGCAAGCACAACATCTCCTACAATGCCTACTCGCCTATCGCAGGTGGATTCTTGACTAAGGACGTTGAGATTTTGGTTTCTGGTGGTGAGGGTCGATGGGATCCGAAGACAAAGCTTGGTGAACAGTACCATGCCCTCTATAATACGAAGAACATGCTCGAGGGCTTGAAGCTTTGGGATAAGATCTCTAAGGAGTCCGGCATTCCCAAGGTTGAGATGGCGTATCGGTGGGTGGCACATAACTCGGCGCTCAGCGGGCAGTCTGGGGATGGGGTTATCTTTGGCACGCGCACTATTGACCAGCTGAATCAGACTCTTGCTGCGTTTGCGAAGGGACCTCTTGATTCTGAGATTGCGGCGCAGATTGAGCAGGTTTGGAAGATTGTTGAGGTTGACGCGCCTTTGGATAACTTTAATGATTTCACTGGTAAGCAGTGATATGAAGGGCTGTGACTGTTAGGAGGTTCTACAGATGGGACAATCTGCCTTGCTTTCTATGATTATTCTTACTATCTGTAACTTGTTCAGAAATTAATGATATAGTAAGGGAATTCCTATTAGGACATCATTTCTTGACGAACGGACCCCCCCCTTTTGCACCTATCTGACCCTAATTAGCAAGGCGCCGTTATTGTATTTTACCGAGCATTATTGGGTAAAAATGCACGCAGTTCTTATGCTCTAATATCGACTATGCCCTAGTATAAATCTAAAGTACTTCTATTTACTTGACAAAAGAAAGATGACAGCGGCGGTTGTGCCAACCTTCCAACATATGTCGCCCTAAGAGTGAGTGATGGGCTTATGAGAAGAGGTGACATGTATATGAGAAACTTCCAGGAGCTCGGCCAGAATAGCCGCTTTCTGCTCGACATTTCGAGTCTGAGCATGAGCTTCACCCTAATAAGCCATGATTTACCGTTCATTCGCTCCAGTATGGAAGAAATTGAGTGTTTGGTTGGACTGGAAGATTCACCCCAGTCAATCGTAAAGTTTGTCGGGTCCACAGTGAAATATATCGAGATAAACCTGTTAGAGTGCGAAAGAAGCCGCACTCGTGTTCTATTTCGAAACCAGCGTATTGAATAATAGCCCGAAGAATGTGACTGGAAGGCCAACACAGATATACGCTGCCTCCTCAGGGCTCTCTAGACGCACAGCCTTGAGTACCGATCTAGTCTCTTCGATGGATCTTGAATCAATAATGATCGAGTCAAATACCCAGAATTCGGTTGACCTGCGGTTTGAAGAAAGAGAAACTCTCTCCAACAGGGGAATGCTGGGGGCGAAAGAGGCTTCTCCAGAGACGTTCTATTTGTTTCTCTTTCTTCGAACCGAGAAGGATGATCTTCAAGTTTGCTGAATGCTCTGTCTCCAGAATTCTAATCTGATAATCATGAGGCTCCAGATCCGTGAGCTATACTTAAGGGAAGACATGAATGACGCAATTCTCGACGGATACGAATTCCCCTCGGCTATCAGCTTTGTTTAGTAGGTGACATTGTAGAATCATGGTAGAAGTAAGTGTGATGTTGATACTCTGGCCACAGAGCTTTGACTGTTCCCACTTCCAAACGAGCTCCTCGGTCTTCGAATATATAAAGGGGGCTTTCATGACTGGAACTTTCGAACAGTGATCAGCATAAGGAACATACTTCCTACTTTGTTCAGTATCTTCACTAATGACCATTGGAAGTCAAAATACATACCCATTCGTACGCCCCCAATACGACAGAAACGGAAGTTCCAGTAATTGTAATATTAAGTGCAGTATCAAACATTTTTTTCTAACAAGATCTTCTGGTAGCAATCCGCAGGTCTTGGTCTCTTTCGACGTAGATGTGCAGAATCAGGTACAAAGTTGCTGTCTTTTGAGATGAGGTCAATATATGAAACCGTTTCGTAGGCCAGTACGTGGTATTTTGACCCTCGAGGAATAAATATTCACTCCACGGACTAGGTTTATCAGTTGAGAAGCAGTAAACTGCTAGATCAACTATAACGCAAAGGCTCAAATTACATAAAACCCCCAATCACGATGTCTAGGGGCGTGAGCATTAGAAGATAATTGGGATCATTCAATACGATTTGATTCAATTCAAAGGGAATTCGGCCGCCAGAAAACTTTCTATTTAGTTTGTGACTATGTAGATACGTCTGCTAATAGGTGCTGTCCTCATATTTCAGAATCGGCCTTGAAGGTACTAGGCTTGACAAATATTCTTATCTTTATATAGCCACAGAGTCCAATTCTCCTCGTATCCGAAATACTTACGTATATCCGGTAGGTAGGAAGAGTCATTTGGACAATATTTGAATCGCTCTAGATTCGAGATCTTCTCATCACCAGGGTGTATATATTTGTAGCACAGATCATGATCCTAACCCGACGTCCGCTCGGCGTTCTCACTCTCTCCTTCCCTAACCGTCTGCTCCTTCTCAAGCCCAAAATCTGTCTCCAGGGTCTTTCTTAATGGAATCTCCTTCTCCAACAGTGATAACAGAAACGCCACACCTGAAAAGGCAATCGAAACCTGAAACACGCGCTGAATCGCCTGACTATACAGAGTCCGAATCTCTGACTGCAACGACTCAGGAAACTGGTGTACAAAGCTGGCTGAAGCTGCCTGATATGCGCCTCCTGCAGATATAATCTTTGACACCTGTGGATCAGATATCGCGCCCTTGGCAAGTAATGAGTCGATACGTTGATTAAAGATGGCCGCGGGGATAGCCACGCCCCAGATATTCCCGAAAAGACGGATAAAGTACCACGCTGCAGTACATGCGGCTAGGTCTCGTTCGTGAATAAACGCTTGGAAGGCGGGGAGCAAGCTGGTGAAAATCATACCGCCGCCAAAGGACAAGATGCATTCGAACACGGCCCATTCAGCAACGGTAGTTTTCTCATTGAGAAGTGTGAAAAGGCCTAGTCCCAAGGTTTGTAATGCAAAAGCGAATATATGGAGAGGCTTGTAGCGTCCCCAGCGCGTGAGTGCGACGGCGCCGACGATGGAGCCCGGGATACCTAGGAGGGAGATTGGGAGGAGAGCGACACCGGCGCGTTTGGGTGAGTAGAGTTTAACACTTTGGAATAAAACGGGAAGAAAGAAAATGGACCAGTAAAGAAGGGCAGAGTAGAAAAAAGTGTTGATGGCGAGGATTATTGACGTGGGGGTACGGAAGAAGCGCATTGGCATGAGCGGCTCGGGACATATGGAGGTGTTTTGGACCCAAGCGAAGATGAAGAGGCCGAGAAATCCAATTAGGAGAGGCACCAGCGTATGCCATGAGCGCCAGGGATAGCGGGTACCGGCATAGCTGAGAGCGTATAGAATGGAGACTGTACTGGCGATGAGGATGCCATTACCGATGAGGTCGATTTTCTTTAGCTTTTCCCATAAAGTCATTTCCTTGTTGTATTTGACTCGAAGGAATATGAAGAGGAGACCAAAGGCGACCCCGCCAATTGGGAGGTTGATATAGAAGACCCAACGCCAGCTAGTTGAGGAGACGATGACGCCACCGACGAAGGGGCCCAAGGCACTTCCGACGCCAAATATGGACATGAGTATGGCAGAGAAGTTCCCTCGTTCGCGGAGAGGCACTAGGTCGCTGATGACAATACTCGAGACCATAATTATGCCGCCAGAGCCAACTCCCTGAACAGCACGTCCTCCGATCAGCATGGCGCCAGTGCTGGCTCCCCCGCAGATCCCGCTTCCCAGCACAAAAATGCCCACGGCAGTGAGCATCACATATCGTCGACCAAAGACATTACAGAATTGCCCAAAGAGGGGCTGCATTGCTGTACTGCTCTGTGTGTTAGATTATATATTGTTTTTTTTCTCTCTTTCTTCCATGTTGGACAACGTACCTGGAAAGGAAGAAGGCATTGGTGACCCAAATAAAGTTATCCCCGAGCTGTAAGTCAGTAAATATCACAGGTGCTGCGATGGTAAGCACTGTGTTCTCAAGCGCTGCCAGCAAATTTGCAATTCCCAGACCGAAGACAATTGCATATATTCGAAAGCTAGGCTTAAAGGGTGTGGGATTAACATCATTTCGTGGGGGTGAGTGTTGTGTTTCTGTCGAAGAGTTCGAGGTCTTCATTATTCCAAACATTTTATATTAGAAAGATCGATATGGATTTGGATTTCAGACTCCTAATTGTGTCGCTCGATACTCCGAGTTCCAACGTTGTGTTTATTATTCACAGGCGGCTTTGATGAAGAGCAACATAGCCATTTCGTCGAGAGTCGCCCAGGTGCATGATCAACTGATTATGCGTAAGTAACTGCGGTATTGTAATATGGATGACGGGTACATGTATGTACCGGACCGTATGTAGAATGTTCAGACCGGGCTGAATATGCATCTTTCAGCCCCCAAGGGTCTGTGTAACATTCTAATGCAATTCAGGGGTTAGTAAACTCGGTTTTGGAGTGATCATCATAGCCAATCTATGATTTGGGACTAGCGCAAATTGGATGGACTCAAATTGATAAAACGCCACAATATACAAGCTCCGGGGCTTTTGATTGTCAGAACCTTGGAGTAGTACCTGAGGCTATCTATCGACACTGGCTGGGGTTGAATGAAGACCGCCGCCATTTCGCGCACACATACGCCATCCCATGCACGCGTGCTGAGTTGCATATGGAGTAGTACCTTGGCATGTCTCACAGGAGTAGGCGAGAGGCACATCAATCATTTTTGTTTACAGACTATTCATGATTGGTTGGATTGTATAGAGACCTATGTATGGCTGCATCTAGAATTTTCCGCACGCTCTTTATCGAGTTAGTGCCTTGCCTATTTTAATTCTGAAAACTTCTACGGAGTAATACATGAAGATGTAGAGATCAGCGGGGTTGTGCCGTGCAGTGAAGATCAGTCCATTGTATCAGCACAGATATATAGACCCAATATCAAAATAGCAACACTGGAGACCTAGCCTATGCAGCAACATTCTGAGCCGCTGGCCTGAATCTGACGCTAATTTCTGGTTTTTCGTACATCCCCCACCCTCTCAAGTCTTTTTCCATGTCGACATGTTGGCCGTACACCATTTCGAGGTCAAATGTCCATAAGACCTTGGCTAAGAACAACCTACTCTGCCACCAAGCAATTTCCCTTCCCGCACATATACGAGGTCCCTGGCTAAAAGGATGAAAGCCCTTGCGGTTATCTCTAGCAAACTGTGAATCATACAGTGGATGTCCCTCCTTCAGCCACCGCTCAGGACGGAAACTTATCGGGTCTCGAAAGTTATTTGCGCTTCGTGCCAATGCAAGTGGGCTAGATTGGCATATAATCTATTTTGATAGTTTGAAATATCAGTACACTTCAAATGCTAGCGGATCAAGGTGTAACAGAAATGCGAATGTGTCTTACTCCTTTCGGGATATAGGCCCCATCGACCATAGCACCTGGGCTGACCACCGGCATTCCAGTAAGAACATTTGGCATGATGCGTAGACACTCCTTTAAGCTCGACGTCAAATAAGATAATGGCGCTACAGAGTCTGGGACGATGTCGTCGTAATTTTTGAATGCGCTCCGAATCTCCTTGGTCAGTGTGTTCAAGACATTTGGGTTTTTGAGAAGGTAGTAAATTGTAAAATAGAGCCATAGTGCTGGGGGCTCATATCCAGCTACCAAAAGTTGACCTGCAACCTGCTCAAGGTGGCGCAACTCTTTAGGGTCCTCAGGAGGTTCGCGACTTTCGGGAATGATCTGCTCAAAGAAATCAAGGTGTAGTGGAGCACCCTTCCGGCGGATGCGTTGCTCCAGTTGAAACCGGCTATGATTCCGAATATGAGAATGTGACCGCATGGCTGTAACTGCCATAAAGATAGTCTTAAGAGGGTAGAGAAGGGGAAATCGCCATGACATCTGGATAGCGACAACAGCTCTATTAAAGCCGGAAAGCATTGATAGATACGCCGGCTCTTTCACTGTCAAATAATCAATATTGCTTCCCCGGGTAGAAGACAAGAGAACCTACTATCCTGCAGGGCATTCATCTCCCTGTTATAAGCCATATCGGCAGAAATATCAACACAGAGCCAATTTACCCACGTAGGCAAGCTGACGCCTCCAGCTTCGTCGCCCATTTGTTTCATACGCTCAACGAAGAGGTCAATATATTTGTGAAGAGTCGGTTCTTTAGCTCTCAGGGCACGGCCGCTGAAAGCTGGGGACAGTTGCTTAGCCACCTGACGATGTCGTACCGGATCCCATTCCCAGATTAGCCCACCATGCTTGTCATTTCCATGATTGTTAATCTGAGTTTTGCAGAAAGTCTCGAGATTCTTGTTATGGGAACCGTAAAGATCTGTATGGCTTCCGCGTAAGCGTATATAAAATATTGTCTGCTGTTATGCTTACCTGTTAGAGCCTGTGGGGTGGAAAAGGCTATTTCATTTGGTGCAATGCGAACAACATCACCTAATTTCAGTGAGAACATAGAAGCTGAATTGAGGCTGAAGTTGATGTCTATTCACGTACCGTATTTTTCGAGGGCATTCGCAACAGCCCAAGGCCATCGACCAGCTAATCTAAGCCCCAAGTCAGCCACCGTTGAAACAATCGATTTCACTAATCAATTATTGGGCACTTACGAATGGTAGGCATACCAAATATCGGAAATGGCAGCAATCTTTGGGCCGGGATATTTGGATAATGGGTGGAAATAGAGACGCCAGACAGACCGGGCAGCCAGATAAAAGGTACTCTATTATTAGAAATAACTATGGGTCAACGGCTTTATTTCCATAGAAAGGAGGAGTGGAAAGAAAAAAGGTTCCTGGTCAGACATACACTGATCAAAACAAAGGCAATCAGATCCTGAAATGTGGACGAATAAAGCACCTTGTAATCGAGGAAAATCATAGTTGGAAGGCAGCGACTGTGTGAGAAATCGCTAATGAAAAAGAAGATATTCTATGATGAATAGGAACTAATATTCATGACAAAGAGGAGTCGTGATAAACGAGGAGAAACCTTGAAGGAGGAAGGTTGCGTCTTGGCATGTGACGGGGCGTTATCTCTTTGTTTCTTTGTCCGCCGACCGATGAGATGACCTCACACCAGTGCAAATTTGCAGGGGTATATGTACAGCGTACGTAATATTACTATATACGAGGGCCTAGGTGGCTGGCAGTTTTTTTTTTTTTTTCAAATGAATTACGAGACTAATTCGGTACTGTAACGGTGTTATTTCTCAACTAAGCTTATGGCCCCGTGTTTCTATTGATTCTAGTGAAGACGAGTCAAACATCCCTGTAGTTAACTCCGTTTTCGCTTACAAAAAGTCACCTTGCAATGTTACTCTGAAAGTTACTAGTACGTCATTCATATTTGCCAAATTGCTCTTGCCCTCGAAAAGGGGCCTATAATAAATCGTATAAACATCGTATAAAAATCACAACATAGTATCTTTGAATAGACCGTGCAGCATCTAGGCGTGATGATCTGACTAAACCATGTTAAACGTCTTCTGCACATGAATACTATGCGCTTGTGGGAGGATATTATTTAAAGCATGACTGTCAGCATGAGCTGTAGCACTGGGCCACGAAAGGTCATCGGTGCCGTTACTTTGGACAAGGGTTTGCTGGTCATAACTTGCTTGCCGATATGAATCATATCCACCACGCGTTTTCGAACCGCTTTTCCCTGTTCGTGTCGACCAGACGGAGGAGCTCCATGAAAATAGAGAGTGACCAGAGTATCCCCGCCAGAAACTGGTGGCTGCCCTAAAAAAAGGGTTGTACGTGGGGAGAGAGCAGCAGAGTAGAGAAGCAAACATTTGGGCAGCTGTCCATATAGAAATCAGGCTGAATGCATCTGAGGGAGGGTTAGAAGGCATGCACATGTGGCTATATAAAACGGATAAAAAGGAGCTTCACTTACATAGTTCGCTAACAGAATAAGTGATAGCGACCTTGGCGAACCCAATTATACCAACACTAAGGAGAAGTGAGATTTCAAATTATACCGTGACGACGAGTAGGAGGAGACTTACATAAAACCAAGACCAAAGATAAACATTATTCTCAGTTTATTTCTCTTTGATAACTGCACAGACCGAATCATAACCATTGCCAAAATCACCATGGCAAAGTCGATTATTGAATTGGGAATCTCCCCACCTAGAATTACCGTCCCCTCATCTGTGCAGTGACCGGGAACAAATGGGTCAAAGTATCTCTGAATTGGGACGCATTGGAAGCCCTGGAAGATGCACATGCAGGTAAATAAGATTGTTTGTAGGGCGCCCAAGACATATATGCAGATTTTACCGCCGGTATTGTTGAAGCTGAAGATGCGGTAACAGAGCGCTAGAACACTCAGTTTCACGGCGAGTGTTTGAACAAAGTAGAAATAGAGACCGCATATATCCCACTGTCTTTGGTTAGTGAGGCCCCAGTAAATGGAGCGGGAAAGCTTGGAGTTTAGACGTACTTTTCGCATGCGCACATAATCCGATTTGCTCTCAGCAATTTCTTCGTTGATCTGACGTCCATTCAAAATGCCAATTGCTAAGAAACGTATTGGGTGTTAGTAAGCTTATTTTATTTCTAGAAAGGGTCTTTTTTACCCATCAAAGCTGAAAGGTTGGTCAATATAGTGAAAAGAGTGGCTATGATAGCCAGCCAGTCCTCCGCGCCGACTTTGCGTTCAACACGTCGGACGGCGACGAAGCGCAAGGCCGTTACCACAATACCCAACGGCGTGAGTATTATAAGTGTGACAAACTGGGCGAATTGTGTTGAATCATTTTGCATTTCGAAAGCCATCCTGGAGGTGGTGATTAGGTACCCTTCTTAGATAGCAGGTAATCATCTGAAAAACCCAAGTGGCATATTGTGGAGATCAAATAGCACCAACAGGTGAACGTTAACAGCCTCTTTGGCCCCAGGCAATTACATTAAAGATTACATACGCGTCATTCTCATGTGTGACGATCGGGCTGACGGTGACAGGTTGAGGCAAGAATTGACGAACAATCTATTGTATGTCAGAGAGCATTCTCAAGTGCCCATTCAATTTTCCACCACTGTACTATGAGTTTTGGATGGGGGCTAACCCCGCAGTCATTTGGGGGCAGTATGCAGACCTCCAAATGTGATATAGCGTAAAAGCACTAGAATTTAATTTTTGAAAGCAGGGGAGAGTAGGGGAGGGTAGGGGAGGGTAGGGGAGTGTGCTTTTTATCACGCGTTTCATTTCCACTATGGTATAACATTACCCTGGTAGATACCAGTACTTACTGTGTTAGACAATAACGTGGAGAAAGAGAATGAATTAATCGAACATTTAACGACTAAAACCTCCAAGGAAATGGTGTATGGCTGGGAAGAATGTGATATTGAGGCAGAATCATTAGAACTGAACCCTTCGAAACCTAGGAGTCACTGTAAACACTCGGAACTCGTGGGTCCTTGCTGCCACACCATTACATACAAATAAGGAACATAGCATTCCAGCCCTTCTAATCCGTTGGCAACCAAATTTTCTGAGGTGATTCCTGCAAGGCTTATCACGATATTGTAATATGGGCTGCATAGTTGAGGGGGTCGTCCGCATTAAGGCGGCCCGTACATGTAAACCAGGCCGGTCGATCATTACTTAATGAGTAAGGTATCAAGGTCAAAAGAATGGTTGTAACAACACGTACTGCAAGGGTATATCATCATGTATGTACACTGTTTGTCTAGGTGTCAGTCATCTTCAAATCAGAAAAAAAGGGGACGCCTTGTTGTTAAATTAATCAGTCGTACCGAAAGGTCATAGCACTGTGTAGGCTCGGAGGCTTTACTATATATGGATGCTTACTTGCATTTATGGCGCTCGGCATGCATAGATACATATACGACATGTGCCAGTGCTTTCTGCCCAGGTGGGGCCTGCAAGTTGCGTTGCCTCCGGGAATCTATGTGAAATGGGTCCAAACTCCATAGCGGGCCGCACTGGGCCCGGCTTAGCGCCCGCGGTGATCTGCCGTGTTTATTTCGTAACGGAAATAGAAACAGGGCGGCGATCTTAAATCCTGGAGTATAGTAGGTACATGAGCTAGAGTCGAGTGAACATTTTCGATGATGATACGTCTGTTTGTCTGGACTTGGTGAACTGGGGAATATGTACGGGCGACGATAGCGTCCAGCGGGAAAGAAAACGTTTTTGGGATCAATCAGAATTTAGTATTTTTACCGTCTAGCAGACCGCTAAATGTAATGTAAACTTCTTATTAACTTGATACATGGCCATACTGTGTACAGTAAAATATATAGAGCCCTAGCAACCCTAGTTAACTATAGGTTTCACACACGATTATAACCTAGTCAGTCTTGAAAGAAAGTATCATAGCTACAGGGATAGGCGCAGGAGTAGATGTAGGAGAAGGACAAAGAGAAATCGTGAAGTGGTGGTATACAGCAATCTCAGTATATTAATGACTTGAAGTATGGCCGCCGTCAGTGTATTACTAGTATCTTAGTTTTCTGCTGGTCAAAAAAGAATTCCCTGCTATCGTCGTCCGTAAATATGCCTTGGCGCTGTGCGCAATCGTGCAGGCAAGACTCGGCAACCAATAATATCATCACAACAGCCAACAGCGCCAACAGCGGGAATCTCATTGTTTGCCACCGTGTCACATCACTCCGAGGACTCAAGAGATGTAAGGAGTGTAATATTCAGGCTCTCCTCGAAATGACTGCTATGTGATATTCAAATACTGTAATGCAACTGGGCAGGATAACAGGTAATAGGTTCTCCGCCCCAGAACTTGAATGATATTATCAACATGATTGGCGAGCATACATCCCCACTCCACTATGTATATTTAGCCCAGGTTATTCTCCCACACGTAAATAATGCAAGGAATGCCTTACATTGTTCAATTACAGCCATTCGCGACGTTGTACACACTATATTTTCTTGAACAATAATTCACAATACCCGTGGGATCTTACCTCAGAGAGTTGAATGTGTTTGAAGCTGCTACAGGAACGACAAGGTTCGTAGCCCTCATAGTGGTTAATGACTGTGTATGTTAATTTCTAGGAAGGCAGAACATCAAAGTTATTAAATCTCGTGGCTGCCCTTGGGTAGTAGGTATCGGCAGTTCTGCTCTGAAGATTACTGCAGAAACCTTGGAAGCTTTAATCCTGAAGATTACTAGCACATTCGAGCATAAATTAACTTCACGGTACGGAAAATTTGGCGGATCGCATGTGAACTGTGCTATTCCATCTTTACGAGCATCCTCCTCATCATGGCTAGTGAGCGCCAAGACATTCCTGCGTGCATGATCGGCTCCGCGTGTCGATTTACTGGAAATGCTAGCTCTCCTTCCAAGCTTTGGACGTTGCTACGAGATCCAAAACCTGCGGCAAGCAAAGTTCCAGCTCTTGAAGGGTACTATCATGAGTCGGCATTGTATCACGGCCATGCGAATGTGAAAGAGGCTTATCTCTTAGCTGAAGATGCAGCGCACCGAAAATTTGATGCCGCCTTCTTTGGCATCAAACCCTCTGAGGCAAATGTAATGGACCCGCAGATGCGTTTGCTTCTTGAGACAGTATACGAAGCGCTGGAGGATAGCGGACAAACTATTCACGAACTCCGAGGCTCGGACACCGCCGTATATGTCGGGCAGATGGTAAATGATTACGAGCTAATCATGTACCGAGATCATGAGAACCTGGGCAGATATCACGCTACCGGCACGTCGCGGGCGATGCTCTCAAATCGAGTGTCTTATTTCTTCGATTGGCACGGCCCATCAATGACCATTGATACGGCATGCAGCTCGAGCCTGGTTGCTCTGCATCATGCGGTTCAGCAATTGCAAGCAGGTCATTCCCGCGTGGCTGTCATTGCAGGATCCAATCTTATATATGATGCGGGCACGTTCATTGCCGAGACCAATCTGCAAATGCTGTCACCCAAAGGCCAATCGCGTATGTGGGACGCAAGTGCTGATGGCTACGCGCGCGGGGAAGGAGTTGCTGCTATTGTGCTCAAGATGCGCGACACCGCCGAGGCCGATGGAGACAATATCGAGTGCATTATCCGTGGGACGGCTATTAACCAAGATGGCCGGACACCTGGGCAGACAATGTAAGTGTATAAGCAACCAGGCGGACGGAAAGCTTTCTTACCTTATTTCAGGCCAAGTGCAACTGCGCAGACACAACTCATGCGAGACTGCTATGCCCGTGCTGGGCTGGACCTGAGAAATGCAGCAGAGCGTCCTCAGTATTTTGAATGCCATGGAACAGGGGTAAGCTCAATTCTTGAGTGTCACCGTGTCGTGAATAAATAAATCTAACAAAGATCACTTTATCAGACTCCGGCCGGCGACCCGATTGAGGCGGAAGCTATCAGTACCACCTTCTTCCCAAATAAGGAAAGCGTCCACGAGCCTCTGTGTGTCGGCAGTATTAAGACCGTTGTCGGCCATACGGAAGGAACAGCAGGCATTGCTGGACTGCTCAAGGCATCACTTGCCCTGCAAAATGAACAAATCCCCCCTAATCTCCTCTTCGAAACTCTGAATTCCCGCATCGAGCCCTTTTACGGTAGCTTACACGTGCCAACTGTGCTGACGCAATGGCCGTCCATTGCTAGTGGCTGCCCTCGCCGAGCAAGTGTCAATAGGTAAGATCATATTGATTATCGCTTTTGATGTTCTGTTTCATGGACTAACTTCACATATGTGATAGCTTTGGCTTCGGGGGCACCAATGCTCATGCAATTCTCGAAAGCTACATCCGTCCAGCAAAACTTCAATTGGGCCAGCATAACCCATTTGCATCAACCGTATATATTCCTTTTGTTTTTTCAGCGTTCTCAGAAACTTCTTTAAAATCATATCTCGTTCTGTTTATGGATTATTTACGCCAAAAAAAGACCACACATGAGCTCAGAGACATTGCCTACTCATTGGATGCTCGGCGGACGCGTTTTCAGGTCAGCTCAACTATCAGCGCATCCACTGCTGATGAGCTATGTGCAAATATCGAAAAGAAGCTCGAATTGTCACGCGATGACTCCGACTATCGCGTTGGAGTGAGAGATATGCACCAAGCAGCAGAGCATAGAAAGCCTCGGGTGCTGGGGGTATTTACAGGACAGGGAGCGCAATGGGCCCAAATGGGACGGGAGCTGATAACTACCTCCGCTGTTGCAAGATCCATTCTTGGGGGCCTTCAAAAACGACTTGATCAGCTTCCCGATACTGATCGCCCCACCTGGTCACTCGTTCAAGAACTTGAAAAAGACGCATCCTGCTCGCGTGTAATGGAGGCGACCTTTGCACAGCCTCTATGCACAGCGATTCAGATCCTTCAAGTAGATCTGCTACGCGCTGCAGGTATTCAATTTAACGCTGCTGTTGGTCATTCTTCTGGTGAGATTGCGGCTGCCTATGCGGCGAGTTTGATTTCAGCAGAGGATGCTATCTGCATAGCTTATTACCGTGGTCTACATTCATCGTTGGAAAAGGAGATTGACCAAAAGCCTGGAGCCATGATGGCGGTAGCGACATCTGCTGAGGATGCCGCGGAGCTCTTAAAGTTTTCCGAATTTGAGGGCCGGGCTTGTGTTGCGGCAATTAATTCAGCAACGAGTGTAACAATTTCCGGAGACCAAGATGCCCTCGAAGAAATGAAGGTTATTTTCGAAGACGAGGGTAGACAAGTTAAATTTCTCAAAGTTAACAAAGCCTACCATTCTCATCATATGATTGAATGTTCTGTCAAATATCTTGAATCTCTTGGAGCTTTGAACATACAGGTGGGTCCTGGCAGCCAAACAACTTGGTTCTCCAGTGTTTATGAATCGGGATTGAAAGACTTCAGCTTGTTGGAGGGACCATATTGGGTTGATAACATGGTCAAGCCAGTACTTTTTATGCAGGCTGTTGAGGGCGCTTGTGTCGCCATAGGGGATTTCGACTTAAGCATCGAACTAGGTCCACATCCAGCTCTCAAGGGACCAGCTCTCCAGACCATAGGAGAAAAACTTTCACAAATAATTCCATACACTGGTCTTTTCAAACGCGGAGTCTCTGCAATTACCTCTCTCTCAGAAGGCCTTGGATGCTCCTGGACTCACCTTGGCCAGGGGGCAGTCAATCTACAAAACTATGATAAGTTTATATCCAACAATTTGAGTTCTAAATTGATCAAAGGACTTCCCGGGTATGCATGGAATCATGAAAGTGAATACTGGCATGAGACGAGATATGCCAGAGCAATGCGCATGCGACCCGATCCAGTACACGATCTGTTGGGTCATTTAACTCCAAACAGCACCGATCAAGATATGCAATGGCGTCACTTTTTGCGTCTATCTGAGCTTAAGTGGCTGGATGGGCACAAGCTACAGAACCTTGTGGTCTTTCCAGCTGCCGGTTACATTGTCAGTGTGGTAGAAGCAGCCATGCTACTGTGCAAAAATGCTTCCGTCACTTTGATTGAAATTCTCGATGTCGACATTGGCTCAGCCTTAGTTTTTGAAAACGACGATATCAGCATCGAGGTAATACTGTCCCTTACAGACATCTCCAGACGAGAAAACAAGGCAATAGAAACAAACTTCAAGTATCACGCCACCTCAGGAAAAGACAACGACTCGCTTAAACTCAAAGCCAGTGGCCGGATGCGAATTCACTTGGGCGAAGCCTCTCGTACGGCTCTTCCTCCTCGTCCTAAAAGGCAACCAAACTTAATTCCAGTCAGTGAGGAGAGTTTTTACGAATCCACTTTGGAATTTGGGTACCAATATAGTGGTCCATTTGCCTCGCTAGAAAATATCAAAAGGAAACTCGGCGCCGCAACAGGTTCCATCTCCATGACAGAATTGTCTAGTTGTCTCATTCACCCTGGAGCACTAGATGCTGCCTTTGTACGTTGATCACTTCTCATTTATATTCATAGAACGATGCTTACTGAGATTGCAGCAATCCACTTTTTTGACTTACGCAGCCCCTGAGGATGGTTCTTCCAAGTCGATGTATATTCCGAGAAGGATTCAACGACTTGCCTTCAATCCAGATCTCTGTACGCACGCTAAAAATGACCGAACAGCGCTGGACTTTCATTCAACCCAGCCTATCGGATTTCCACATGTCAACATGCTATGCGATATTGATATTTTCCCTGGCAATCTAGGCAATGCGATGATTTGCGTACAAGGATTGGAATGCGTCCCATTTCCCAGGCTGACGGCTAGGGATGATAGAGAGGCTTTTTCTAATGTTGTTTGGGATGTTCTTGAACCCGACGTTCAAGCTCTAACGTGGAGCCACTCGCAAAGTTCTGAACCATTGGAGCTACCTAGTCTGCTCGAGAGGGTTGCGGGCTCTTATCTGCGAAAATTTGAAAAAGAAGTACCAGAAAATCACCCATCAAGACATGAGGGCCCGTATAGGGGTTTATTACAATACTCCTCTACAGTGTCGCAGACCGCGCAGGTAGATTGCGAATATGATACACCGGAAACCCTGGCTGCAATGTGCGAGCCATATGTCGATAGCGTGGACATGAAGCTGGTCCTAGAATGCGGAAAGAATCTGAAAGATATCGTTCTGGGTGAAATGCCTACCAACCCCGTGTCCGCTTTGATGAAAGAGTGGTATAAGAATGGCTCTGGTTTACAACCCTTCTTCAGTTGTTTGGCTCAAATAATGAAGCAAATCGTGCACAGATACCCTCAGATGCACATACTTGAGGTTGGGCCCGAGGTGGGAACGGCTACAGACATCATTTTAGCAGAAATCGGTCCAAAATTCGCATCTTACACTATCACTGCCTCGACAGACGTTTTACTCGGTCCTCAAAAAGCCTTTCCCGACTCATACAAGGAAAAGGTCTCAACTAAATTGTTGGACCTTTCAAAGAATCCACGGGAACAAGGCTTCGCTGAACGGTCATTTGATGTGATCGTGGCGTCTCTTATTTTACATCAAAGTCCAGATTTCGAGAAAGCCTTGAAGAACGCACGACGTCTACTTAAGCCAGGTGGCTATATAGTTGTACTCGAGTTGCGGCCTTCTCTTCCTGACTTCCTCCGTGTTGTCTTCAGTGCCTCCTCTCACCAGTCGTTGAACGCTGAGGAAGGTAGAGCCTCGTCTCCGGCTATTACACTGCTGGAATGGGATACTTTGCTACACAAAGCAGGTTTTTCGGGGGTTGATACCAATACTGTGGAAAACATTGACACTGACGTGCCGTTTTGTGTCTTTGCATCACAAGCCACGGACGACAAAATTGCTTTCCTTCGCGATCCCCTTTTAACCCAATTACCTGCTTCATCAGCTGAGACAGTAATAAAAAGCCTTTTTATACTGGGTGGGAACAGCTTAAAAACCTCTAGGCTTGTATGTCAACTCTCAGCAGTGCTCAAGGGATATTGTGACAACATTCAAATAGTACGCTCGTTCGATCTTGTCGGTGTTGAGCTTCCACCGCAAGCAGTGATTTTAAGCCTGGTCGATTTAGACACAAGCGTTTTCAAGGAGCTCGACGAGACCAAATGGGGGACCTTGAAGAAAATAGCTTCCCATACTGGGACCCTAGTGTGGGTCACGCGGGGCCGCCTTGCGGATAATCCACATGCCAATATGGTGTTGGGTATAGTTCGCAGCGCTATTCGCGAAAATCCAACTCTGGATTCCTTGTTATTGGAAATTGAAGACTCTCAAAGGGTTCAGCACACCGTTATTGCGGAAGCAATTTTACGCCACAAGGTTTCATCTCAGTGGCGAGAACTTGAAGACGCCAACTTCACCGTTGAAAACGAGTTGGTCCTTGACAGAAAAGGCCGACTTCTGATCCCTCGACTCATGATGAATGATGAGATGAACGACCGTTATAACTCTAATTTGAGAGAGATCCGTCGATCGGCTCATTCCGGTACTGATAATATCGGTATATCGATGTCTAAGTCTGGTTGGGATGTCGCTTTAGAACCTTGCGTGTCCCGACAGCTGCGGATCACGCACTCATTGCTCTCGCCAATCAGACTTGCTAATTCGGGCTGTGTGTATCTGGGACTCGGTATTGACACTGTCTCTGGTGAGAAGAAAATGGCATTATCATCCGAGAACGTTTCTTTTCCTTGTCCGCTACCGGAACTGTCAATCTCTGTCAATATTTCACCAGGCTCAGAGGCTCGCTTTTTGTGGCTGACAGCCCATTACTTGATTGCATCCACCATTCTGAAAGGACTCTCCCAAGGTGATAAAGTGTTGATTCATGAACCCAGTCTGGAATTGTCGAAGGCCGTAACCGACAAGGCGGCATTCCTTGGTGTTAAGGTTATCTGTATAACCACGAACAATGAAGCTCCATCGAATTGGGTCACCCTCCACCCGTTTGCTTCACAGAGGACTGTATCTCGCATTGCAGATGAAGATTGTTCAGTATTCGTCGATATGGTACCCCATGGAGAAAGCAAGTTTGTTAGAGATCTCATCATGGCAACTCTTCCAGCTTACTGTAGGAAGGAAAATCTAGGATCACTGTTTGGACCGCACTCTTGGATCCCGTCGAGTCCACAAGTTGAGGAAATACACAAAAGTCTTTTCAAAGCTGTCTCATGGGCTTCTGACATGCTTGATACGTGTCAGTCCGAGCACATGGCCACCGTCGCAATCGATGTTGTTCATGAGACTGGCAATCAACGAGAGCCATTTACCATCATAAGATGGGACATAGCCTCTGAGGTCCCAGTTAAAATTCAGCCTGTCGACAGATTGGTGTTACTCTCCAACAAGAAGACTTATTGGCTTGTCGGGCTCGCTGGGGGGCTTGGTTTATCTCTGTGTGAGTGGATGGTACAGCGAGGCGCACGACATTTTGTTATCTCCAGTCGCAACCCCAATGTTGAAAGAGCATGGTTAGACGACATGCACACAAAAGGAGTCCAAGTGAAAGTCTCACCCTGGTAAGTGAATCTCCCGATACACAGCATGGATTTTGTGACTAACGACTTACAACTAGTGATCTCACGCAAAAGGACCAAGTAGAGGGAGTCTACGCTGATATAAGCTCCAGTATGCCAGTCATTGGTGGAGTCTGTCAGGGTGCCATGATTTTGGAGGATACAGCTATTCGGAACATGACGCTAGATCAATTCTTACGAGCCACGAAGCCAAAGGTTGACGGCAGCTTATTCTTGAACGATATTTTCCAAGAGAACACACTGGATTTCTTTATACTCTTCTCATCTGTGTCATCTGTTATTGGGAACCCTGGGCAAGCAAACTATTCAGCAGCCAATACATTCATGTCCAGCATTGCCGAACAGCGTAGGCAACGTGGTCTTGCTGGATCAATCATCGACCTCGGCTTTGTTGTGGGAGTGGGCCACGCGACCCAGACCAATCGTGACAACGGCGTGGGGAGATTGACACTTCGAACAGGAGGTTACATCCCTACATCTGAGAGAGACTTACATCAGCTCTTTGGAGAAGCTGTGCTTGCAGGGAAGCCGGGGTCCAGTGGCCCTATCGAGCTTGTCTCAGGGCTGCAAAAGATTAGTCGACGGGCAGAAGAACGGCCAGTTTGGGAAGCATGGCCACGTATGAGCCACTTTATCGAGGATCCTGAAGAAGATAAAAGCATGTCAAGCTCTGGTGTCGACGCTAATATCCCAATCAAGACACGACTTACGGAAGCCCGAAACCGCGGGGAGGTCTTGAAAATTGTTTGGGATGCGTTTGTTCGCAAGCTCCAATCCGTGTTCCAAATAGACACCACCGGCTCTACCAATGCTGAGCTGGGCGCTATGCAGTTGGACCAAATGGGAATTGACTCTCTGACCGCTATAGAAATTAGCAGCTGGCTCATGAAAACCTGCGCAGTCAACATCCCCGTTCTCGAAATCCTCAATGGCAGCTCTGTTGATGGACTAGTCGATACAGCAACGGACATGATTCCATCACATCTTACTCCAAAGATAGAGCGATGTTCTGCCGCGGAACCCAACTCCGAAAGACCTACCCCTAGCGAGGATGTTTCTAGTAGTTCCGACGGGGCCACTAATAGTCCTTTTGAATCTGCTCAAATGGACCCCTCCGACGCGGGGTCCTCATCGGATCAGGAATGCGTGACTACCACACACTCTAAACCAAAGATTCTGAAGTCGGTCCCGGTTTCGTTCACGCAAGCGAGATTTTACCCTGCTGGTCTTTCCTTGAAAGACAAAGTGGGGTTCAACCATATTGCATGGGCTCGTGTTGTCGGGGAAATAAATCCAAATAGGCTGCAACGGGCCTTATATTCTCTCACACAGCAGCACGAGATATTGAGAACTGCATTCTTTGACCAAGGCCAAAAACAGATGCAGCACATAATGGATACTAGCCCTATCTGTTTGGAGTATAAAAAGATTCAGGACGATAATGAGGCGAGCGAAATGGCAGATTTCATTCAAAAGACACACGTATATGACATAGCAAGAGGCGAAACAATGAGAATGATACTACTGTCTCGATCAGCGACAGTGAACTTTCTCATCATGGGGCTACATCCTCTGATCCTTGATGCAACGTCCATTCAAGCATATTTGAGATGGCTTTCGTTTCACTACACCTCTCACGACACAGTGCCTCGGGTGAAGCAGTTTGCGGAGTCTTCAGAGCAAAGACACGCGGACTACATCTTAGGTAAATTTGAGCCTGAGCTGAAGTTCTGGCGCAACGAGTTTAAAACTCCAATAGAGGTGTTGCCCCTATTGTCGTTATCTATAGTAAAGGAGCGGCCAGAATTGACAGCACTCCGGAATACCCGGTCCTCTCTAACAATAGACGTCGAAACCAAACAGCGTATTTTCGAAATATGTCGTCACCTGCGGGCCACGCCATTTCATTTCTACCTAGCAGCTCTTCGAGTTTTGTTACTTCGGTACACCGCCCATAGTGACAAAAACGAGGATGTGACGATTGCTGTTGCAGAAAACGGAAGAAGCTACAATACTGAGGAGATGGATGTTCTTGGACCCCTTTATAACATCGTGCTCGTGCGCCTTCTTGCCCAACAATCCACAAGATTTGAGACCTTATTGGAAGCTACAAGAGATAAAACATATGCGGCACTAGCAAACTCCAAGCTACCCTACCCAGTGCTTGTGAAAGAGTGAGTTCCTATGTGACCCAAAATCTTGCGAAATGCTAACTAATCAATTCTTTCAGGCTCGGTTCTCAGCACGTCACGGAGGACTACCCTTTCGTTCATGTTTTCGCCGACTACCGCACGGGGCAGAGCACTTCGATGAAATTCGGTGAGAATAATGAGCTAATCATGATGGACTATGACTTCAATGTCCCTTACGACGTTTCCCTTGACACGATTGACAATCCGGGGGGTGAATGCATCCACTACTTCCTCTTGCGAAGTGATCTTTTTGGAAGAGATGAAGCAGATAGGCTTGCTAGAAGCTATAAAAGCTTGATTCTTGCTTTTGCACAGCTGCCAGCGATGACTCTTGGTCAAGCGGATATGTCTGATCTCTCCTAACAGGCAATTTCTTGGTAAGACAGTGTACTTTATCCAAGATGTTTCATTTATCTTCTTGAATGTTCTGTTTCTCTGTTTCTCTGTTTCTCCCTTTGTTGTTCGTTGTTTGTGGTTCTTTGGTTTTGGTTTTGATTGTGGGCGGTTTCGGCAGACCTCAGTCTCAAAATATTTCTCTCTGTCCATATTTTCTTGCTCTACTCCGCTTCTCTAGGTTAAATTGTAGAAAGTAGTAGAATGTTATGATGGAGATAGCTGATGTCACATCTACATGTGGAATGTAGTACACGAACGGACCAATCAGAGACCAGAGCAATCAAACCAATCATATCATCCCAGAATCCATTACGGCCCCACCAGTGCCCAGGCCAAGTGCATGTGCCCGTGCCCGTGGGCGGGGTGCGACGATCAGCCCTGGAGGACTGTCACCGTATGTATCGTCACCACCTCGGTAGTAATATTGTAATCAACGTTTCAACATCCCTGCATCTTTGGAATACCAAACAAAGAAATGCACCTGCCCAGGGAAGTACCACGTCACACGGGGAAACTCCGGACCGGGGCAAACCGACCATGATAAATGACCCAAGCTGTTGCCTTCCAAGGTTGTTCAGAATCAAAAACCGACCCCCGTGGATTCATTATATCTCTGCAGCTTTCACAACCTCAGCTCTCCTTTCTCGCCATTCCAAGAAACTTGATCTCACAATCTAGAGCACCCAGTCCAGGAGAACCCCACCATGGCGTCAGACAAAGCTGTTAGAGTTCCCCCTTCTTTCTCTGAAGCCATAAAGGTTGAGCAGCTGAGCTCTCACGCATATCAAGTCAGCCTCAGCAAAGACTTCTCTGTTGGTGCAGGTACTTAGCCACTTCCATTTTGACCCCTAGTTTCGTCCCTCTCTGCATTACTGTCCATGTCGCTGCGACGGACACATAATCACAGCAACTCTTCTGACCTTGACCAATCTAGTCCCCAATGGCGGTTACACATCTGCATGTATGCTCGCAGCAGCAAAGATTCATCTTGGTCCACGTGACCAGCCCGATACCCTGACTGCACATTTCGAGTTTCCAAACCGGGCGTCGACCGGGCCTGCCATTGTCATAATCGAGGATGTCAAGCTTGGCAAGCAAGTCTCCACCCTCCACCTAACACTCTGGCAGGGTGGTCTCCTTTCCCAAGCGCCATGGATCGACCATTCCGTTTCACGACGGGTGATACTTGCCTACACTACTCACACGAATCTGCGCACATTCTCCGGCACCTCAATGCCCACAGGTTACGAAGTAACCCCAGCTGCTGAACTCCCCTCCGTATCTGATTTCGAGGCTCTGAAGACTAACGGCGCCGACGAAGCTTGGGCACTGCAGAAGCTTCCGAAGGCATACGCCGCTATGATGCCGTCATTGGCTAGGTGGCAGTTTTATGTTCCTCGCAAAGAACCGTTGAGCCCCGGGGTGCTGGATATGTGGATTCGGCTCGATAGCGGTGAACCCATCACACAAAGCACACTAGCATACGTAGTTGATACATTCCCGCATAATATGCATACGTTCTTGGCGGCTCCGGCACTGCGTGAGCTTCTGAATGCGCCCCCTGAGCGGTCCGGTGATTCCGATGTGAAAGAGACCCGGGAGAAAGATCAGCAGCGCTCTGAGCTGTGGTTTCCAACTGTGGTTATGAATATGGAGGTTAAGACGGCTCTTCCGGATGAAGGAGTTGAGTGGTTGGCTGTTCGAGCGTCATCGAAGCAAATCAAAGATGGAAAGTTCGATATCGAGGTTCTTGTGCGAGATGCTGATGGAGAGATCATTGCATTGAGTAACCATGTTGCGATGATTGTTAATATTGTGCGGAATACTGGGAAGAAGGGAAAGTCTAAGGCATCCTTGTAGTTCTATTGATTTTATCGTTGATTAAGGTGGATAGACCCCAGCTCATGGCAATTTATATGGAAAGCAAGGACAGCATACCTTGATCATGAAGCACGTCAGCCTAGTACCTTTGTCAGCCACTAAGATCCCCTCCAATTCGACACCGACATGGATGTTGCTAAATTATCGCTTAGACACTAGTGTCAACAGAGGAAGATATCACATTATCCCTTATTACAACTTGATGTTGAGTAGAGACATTGAATACTATTTAGACTACTAATGCTCTTATAACTTTTTTATTATATCAATTGCCTGGCCGGTTTACTCCGCCATAGTATGTGAAGTTTGAAATAAGTATCATTTGCTTTCATAGTTACAATTCCGCCAGCTGAAAAATACAAGTAACGCCCTCATAACAGGTCATCAGAAACATGTCATCTGTTTTACTCAGAGTCACTGTCAAGTACAAATCCACCTCGCATACGACGAGGTGGCACAACAGGAGCGTCCTCTAACTCGTCATCAGAATCGTTCTTGGATTCCGAGGGCCTTGGCAGGGGATTGCGTCTGAACGCAAGATCATCATCAAAATCCATATCATCCTCTGCAGATGTCAGAGGTGTGTCCTCATCCTCACCAGCGCCATGGCTTGTGGAAACTTCCTGTTGAGAGCGAGGCGATTGGTCTTGAACATCCGCCATAAGGATATCATCATCCCCATCACTCTCAAGGCCACTCTCAGCAGAGTCGGATCCACGACGCTGTCGTTTCGATTTACCGGCAGCAGAGATTCCTTCGTCGCTTTTGCGTTTACGCACGCTTGCCTTTTTCTTGCCCTTTGCGGTTGACTTTTCAACAATTCCAGTTAGGAGGGCGTGTTTGACATTCGCCGCTTGGGCTTTTCGTCGCTCTTCTTCGAGGCGGAAGAACTCTTGGTCTCCTTCCGCGTCACTTTCTTCGTCACTTGGGTGGATGAAAAGATCACTCTTAATCTTTTGTTGGCGAGCCAAAGTATTGGTGAGACGTAATTGTCGGCGGGCTTCCAGTGTTTCGTCATCCAAAGACTCATGTTCAGTTTCATCAACCTTCTTACTCTTCTTCTTTCGTTTCTTCTTCAGATCATCCAAGGCGTTGGACTTAGATCGAGGATTTGGAGGGAACAAGATCCCATCCGGAACAACATCTTCTCCCTCTGACTCTGACCCAAATTTGACACCAAGATTCTCGTGGACCCCGCTATTTCGCCCGCTATTGGTTTCTTTGCGTTTAAGTAGGGTACGAGGGTCTTCATCGGTACCCTCCGGTATCGGATTGACAATGGTCTGGTGAATATTCGAAATGGTTTCGCGCATCTCACTAGCAGTCAAGTTCGGTGGGATCACCCATGAGGCTCCAGGAACGTCTTCTACTCCGAGCCTTTCAAATCCAACTATGCCCATGAGGAGTCGGAGTTTGGCGTTTGAGAACATGGCATTCTGGCAGAATTCGTCGGCAGCTTTCACATCTATATGAAATAATATGGTTAGGATGAGACAAAAAGAGCATATAAGTGACTGGAGAACATACAAATCATGGGATTGGGGGCGCTAGTAGCGTCAGGGTTCTCTGCTCGACGTTCTTCATCCTGAACACCCCAAGACTCTCTTTCAGAGGCAGCGGAGCTCAAGACGTCAATGACCCATTTCGCGAGATCTGCCCGTCCATCAAGAGCAAGAGCACCAGCCACAATGTTCTGTTTTGCTTGCGATGATAATTCCTCCTTCATAGTGATATCTAAATCTGCTGGCGCGCGCCTAGGTGTAGATATGGTCTGCTTTTCATGGCCATACTCCAGATAGAATGCACTAGAGTTCATTTTGCTAAACAACAGCTCCGTAATCATAACAGGGCGTTGATCAATCTTCTTAACGACGCGTCGAATGAGCTGACGAACCAACTCTTCCCATTCTTTAAAGACAGACGTACTTGAGGCCATCCCTCCAGGTCCCTTTATCATCCGATTAAAAAGGTTGATGATGTCCAAGCGGAAAAGTAGAACGCTCATTTCTTGCTTGAAGGCAACGCGATAGAAGTAGCGATGAGCACGTTTTAATTGCTCTGAGCTCAATTCTCGGTAGAACTCGGTAAACGCAATGAACGTGTCAACACATTTTTGATTGCAAAACTTGGCTGCGAAGCGCCTGAAGTCAAAACCTCGCTCCTTCACAACCTGGGCGGGGTCCACCAAGTCCTCATCTTCAGAGTTCTGTTCGTCGTCTTCTTCATTAGCGCCACCGGGCGCACTGGCTTGGGCGGCCTTCTTCTCTTTGCGCCTCGCCTTTCGTCGGCTTCTGATTTGCATGTCCGCATTCTCCTTAGAGTATCGCTCAAGCATGCGCAGGAATACATGCGCAAGCTCCGTGGCTGCATCAAGATAACCGAACCCCTGATCCTTATAATCACGTACGATGGAGATAACTCTGTCATGAGTTGTCTCTTCGTAGAAAATGCGGTTCTGAATATTGTCCGCGATCTCTTGGTCTTCTTCGATTGGCGATGCAGCCATTTCTTGAACCATCAACAAGATCTGTGTGAAGCAGCGCATCTGCGCTGTCAAATCTTCCCACTCTTTGTTATCGAGACTCTTTTGCATGCCACGATTCAAAGATACAAACGTCTCTTGGTTCAAAACACCGGCCACCAGGCCATAACTATCTGGCTCCACTTGCTTGCCTGACTTGCCACTTTGTGCGTTCTTCTTCGCCTGCCGAGTTCGTCGTGCACGTTCAGCTTCTAGGAACCAGCTTACTGTGTAGAAGTATTGGCGGGAATTGATTTCCAGAATTCGCTCTGCTTCGCGCTCAATCGCTCTTCGAAGATGGATGAACAAAGGATTGAAACCAGAGTCGAGGAACTCTTCTACAAAGGCTCGAAGATTTTTGGTTGCGGATGATGACAGATAGGCAGGCATGTTGAAGTTGTTGTTCTGAACAGCGTCTTCCTGCTTGCGACGAGGGCGGGGTTTGTTCCATTTTTTGCTCTGGTCCATTTTGTGAAGGGTGGTTTTATCGTCACGCAAGACATCTTGTCCGGAAACTGTGGATACCTTTGCATCGTCGCGTTTGACCCAAATCATAGTCCCAAATCGTCCATGTCGGGTTGGTGCGCGTTTGGTGATTTCTCTGCGTGATTGGCGCTCCTTCTGTAGAAGATCACCTAGCTCGTCCGTTCGCTTCACTGTTCTCTGGTCATCGTCCATGAACAGCTTCTCAACATTGACACCTTTAACAAGGTGAAATAGAATTTCCAATAGTACCACATCCTGCAAGTTGAAGTCGTCACCAACGTTTGAGCACATGGTCAGGATGAGGGCGAATACATCCTGTTCATGGAACACATCGATTGTAGTGGACCTTGACGTTTCCTCTTCGTCACCATCGGCGGCGAGACGTGCATTGGTAGAAATTATGGCAATATTTCGAAGAAAATAGAGCAGCAGCTTCAGGATACCCTCGTCTCGTGCTTCACGCTCGGATCGGGGCATGGCCATGCTAGGAAGAGCAATGCTGATGATACTGTGTAGGATGTTGGGGCCGCTATTTCGAAGAATACCTCGCTTGTATTGAACCTGTGCTTGCTGGATGTAGGGTGCGTGGCGGTGGTGATTCACGGTCATCTGGCTATGGAACTCGACGGGCCATGTTAACGGCACAAGAAGTTCCACTGTGTATAGATTAGCTGCCTGTTCTTCGACATCAAAACTCGTCAAATAAGCACATACAGCATGCTAGAGCAATACGTGTCATATGCTTGCCCTTCTTCTCGCTGGACCCCCAGAGCGAAAGAATCGGAAGTAGGTCGCCATTCACTACATTCGCTTCTCCGAGACACCGTGCCACGTCCATTCGGTTATTCTTTTCGTCATATAATTTCAACCATCGTTTAATATCGCGTAGACACGCTATGGCGTCATCACCCAAGATATAGCGCTCCGCGTCTTCGCCATTGAAACCTCCCAGCTAGAGATCAAATTCGTGTTAGTACGCGTGTAAGCATTTTTAAGATCAGGGATGCAACTTACGGCGGTGACCAAGCTGTAAACATAAATACGAACATCTGGGTCGACGACCTGGACCTCATGGCCCACGGCTATGGGCGCCTGCTCCATAATGAGTGACTTGTGTTCCAATGTTCATCAAGTTCATCAAGTACAAGGGAAACGCGTACTAAACGCGTGCTCCGCCTTGTCACCGTCTCTCTTATCGTTATCTAAATTGCTTATTAATTTTTCTGCTGATTTTATGGCTCGGCGATTCGGGGGTGATTATCACCGCCTTTCTCTATAGAGAAAGAGCCGAAGATAACCGATGACGTTGGATCACACGTGAAGATCTATGAACTGGCTCCTCCCTGTATCTTTCTAACCTCTGTTCCTTCATCTGCCTCTGTATATTGATATATGCTATTGCCATCATGTTTGCTACTTCTCTTCGTTCGTTCTGCCGAAATGGCCCAAGAGCAGCCCGCGGCTTTAGCTCCACATCTGTTGCAAGCGCAGCCGAGGTCAAGTCATTGGGTGTGATCGGTGCCGGGCAGATGGTGAGTTTTCAATTTACACATTAGGTTATTAGGAAATTTGACGCTAATTCGATGTCAGGGCTTGGGAATTGCGCTCGTTGCTGCACTGAAAGCTCAAGTCCCCGTCACACTAGTTGACAGCTCTCAAGCTTCCTTGGACAAGGGTCTTAGGTTTGCTGGTATGATGCCTTCCCCTCTACACGCATGAATCCTCTAAAGCCTCGGCCCTGCCATTCTTCTCTCCGTCATTGGTGCCATCAATTAATAACATCGTCGCGACCATCAGATAAGCTTCTCGAAAAGGATGTCTCTAAGCAACGCATTACCCGAGAAGCTGCCGACGCTGCCCGTGGGCTGCTTTCCCCGAGTGTGAAGCTAGATGACCTATCCTCGGTAGATTTTGTCATTGAAGCAGTTCCCGAAATTGTCGATCTCAAGCAATCTATCTTCTCTCAGCTCGCCCAGATCGCTCCCAAGCACGCTATCTTGGCTACCAATACCTCCTCGATCTCCATCACAAAGATCGCAGCCGCCACTACCACAGACCCGACGGATCTGCAAGCCCCCTCACGAGTAATCTCAACCCATTTCATGAACCCAGTCCCAATCCAAAAGGGAGTTGAGATTATTCGAGGTCTTCAGACCTCTCAAGCGACTATGGAAACTGCCATTGCCTTTGTGCAGCGCATGGGCAAGGTAGCCTCGGTCTCTGCTGACTCTCCCGGTTTCCTAGCAAACCGAATCCTCATGCCATACATCAATGAGGCTGTCATCTGTTTGGAAACAGGTGTCGGTGGTCGCGAAGACATTGACAATATTATGAAGACTGGTACCAATGTCCCCATGGGGCCCCTAACTTTGGCTGATTTTATTGGATTGGATACCTGTCTGGCTATCATGAACGTACTTCACCAAGAGTCTGGTGACAGTAAATACAGACCCTCGGGCCTTCTGCGCCGAATGGTAGATGCTGGCTGGCTAGGCAAGAAGTCTGGAAAGGGTTTCTATGATTACTGATTCCAATGTTATTCATAAATTATAGATTTTATTGACGACTCAGTATTTGTTGTGTATCTTGAGATGTACACTTCATTCTGTATGTTAGCATTCCATATGTTTTGTGAAAAATGGGCGATTTTAGTGATTCATGTTCTTTACACATGGGTTCTTTTTGTCGGGCTTTTTCTAGTTTTCTTTTGGACTCTTATACTTGTCATGAAAAATACCCATTAGCATAAATGATAGTTGGAATTCTTCCAATTTCCTCCAATCTCATTATGTAGGTCTAGTTGCGGGTCTAAACCCATCTGTACCACCAGAAGCCCATAGGCCGAACCTATCACGCTGTTGCCTCGCGGTTTCTATATCTTGCTCTTCCCGATCCGCCTGTTCCATTGCAGCAACTATGGTAGTAAGATCAAGATCACCATCTTCCTGCAGCCGTCTAGCATCCTCTCTAGCTGCCGCCGCCACACTTCTGTTACAGTGGCAAGGATGCGGACCACCACATCCATAACTAATTGCTAGTTAAAAAATGCCCTCGACATATAAGATAGTAATATACAGGAGATATAAGACTTACCAAAATTGCGCCGAGCAATGACATCTCATATGAGTACAACCGTCCGTCTTTTCAACTAGTGTATGACATCTATAGCATCGTTGCCAGCGATATTGTCGTGCTACAGCAAGTATATCAAGAATTGTATCATCCACAGCGCATTCACGATCCTCGTGAGCCATATCACGACATTTAAAGCAAATCACCACCCTGCAATGGGGACATTTAAGTGGTTTGGACCTTGTAGTCAAATTTCGTGGGTGGATCCATAGCCCGCAATTTGGATGTGGACAGTACCAACGGTCTCCAGGAGGCACTTCTTGCTCGTCAATACGAGATAGATAGGCTTTCCTTTCCTGGACATTTAGTACAGAGGAAACGTGCTTGGTGGGAATCTCGTTTCCACAGCATCGAACTGGGAATAGGCTTTTTTCTCTCATGGCGAGACTGGCCATTTTACATACGCAGTTGGGGCAGTATTTATGATCGCAGGGTGTGAAGATTAGCCTGGTGATTAGGGTATCTCTATAACATCCTTCACATTTCCTATTATTACTTAGTACAAGTGCCTTATATAGATTGGCTTACTTACCCTTTATTAGGCAGAGCGCTTTTCCAAGCTTCTTTCAACCGTTCTCCCAAGCCAACATGGGACCTTGACTGTATATGCGCTCCAACATCGCGACAGTGGCTTGAGCTTGCATTTCGACGAGGTTCTGATTTCATAGTGGTGGTTCCTGATGCTATTGGGCGTGATCTATTTCTTCTTTCTGATGATTGGCTGGTATGAGTATCGCAACCATTAGAAGTTTTTGTTTTGTTTTTGATTGAGAGGACGGCCAGAAATACCATGCCGCCTTTAAAAAAGAGTCGAATAAAGTTGTATTGGCAGGTCGATCAGTGAATGAATCGCTATCAGAGGCCAGGTATCGCTCATTGATCGAAGAGCTATTGGACTTGTTTCTTTGGGTCTCTCTGGTTTTCGCCGCTTTTTGGAACCGTTTACGATGGTTCTGCTGGGCCTGAGCTATTAGACCAGCCATTGTTCTTATATGGCACCTAGGCAGTTAACCAGATTTAATGCAGAGATGGATGAGTTTAAAGCTTCAAGGAGTGGCATGATGAGTATACTATCTAAGTAGGGTAGCTTTTCCGGGTTTTTCTGCAATGACCATTCATGCACATGTCGATTATGTCATTCGTCGAGGGGAAAACATTAATATCCACGGTTACAAACGCAAATAGTATGCATGAGCGTGTCAGCCCTGCGTCATGTCAAGCTTTTTGTTTACTTTTAGAAGTTTCTAGTGTTCAACACGAAGTACGGGCGACGATAGCGTCCAGCGGGGAAAAACGTTTTTGGGGCCAATCAGAATTTAGTATTAGCGGCATCTTAATTTTCTGCCAGTAAAAAAAAACGCTTTTTCCCGCTGGACGGTATCGTCGCCCGTAGTCAGGGCCAATGGAAATGCAGAAGTAAACCGTGGTTGACATATACGACTATACCTAAAACGCCATATTAAGAACACAAGGGTATCACTGCCAATCGCCATCTCATAAATCAAGTTCCAAAACTCCGAGTATTGGCCATAAACCCGTGGATGCTGATTTTCCTCCAGGGTTATGTTCTATACAGCGCCAGCAAATCGTCGACCGGCCCATCCGGACCCGTATTCTTGGTATTCCTGGCGAGTGATTGCAACTTTACCTAATTCTGCCCGATTACTAGCAAGGCGAGAACCTCCTAGCCATGTTGAGCAGATGGGGCTGTTTTTAGAAGAAAAGATTAGCATACAAAATCACAAAAAGGTTAGCATGGATATAAGCAACATACTCTTGAGCACGTCTGACCCTCACAACGCAGTCGGCCGACGCAATTGGGCGAAGTTCAGTTTCCCTGTATCACACTATAATTAGCACATTTATTTCTTTACATTGTCCAGAGACAGATAGGCACAGACAGTCTTTCCATAAAGCCCGGAATAAGAGCATTGCCACCAACAACAAGCACATTAGCCAAGAAGGCAGCGTGCAAAGCAGGAGGAAGAACAGACAAGCTCTGTATAATCATGTCAGGTATACCAGCCGAAGTCATCCCAAGATCGCCTGGGTTGAATAGAAGCTCTGGAATAGCAAAACGCTCATTGCCCAGGACTAGCACGTCCTCAGATAAGACCTCGGAACTGAGACCTGAAGATGCGCCCTTTTTCTTTTTCGCGTGTAGAAGCGGATCGTGCGGGCGCACAAAGCCCTTCCTTCCAGCATTTGGATCTGGTAGGACAAAATCCACTACAACGCCTTCTTCCATTTGTCGCTTCTTGTTGGCTTTCCAAGTACGTTCCATGTCTGTTTTGAAGTCGTTGCTCACGAATGAAACGGCTTCTTTCACTTCGTTCATAATGTATGATTCATCCACCATGTTATACTGTCGCATTGATACGACTTCTTTGAGATAATTCGTAAGGAACTTGCCCCCGATATCGAGACGTCGGATCGCACGTTGCAGGGGTCGCCCCTTGTAGACCGGCGTTATGGTTGTGTGTGAGTAGCCGGAGTCCACGACAAGTAGGCAGTCCATTGGCATAATATTGGCCTCGGTGCTGGTAAGAGGGTCACCGAACGTAGATTGAAGTTCATTCCAGGCATTTAATGTTGGGGCTATATGTGTGCCCATGTCAGTACTGTTCGCATACCCAGAATAGCGAGAGGTATGTCAGTGTTCCTTACCAAGGCACCTCGCATATCCTCCGAATCCCCATTCCTCCATCACCATCTCATCAGCGTTACGTTGTAATATCGGCATAGCATTCGGCGCTTCGGTCAAAATAAGAGTGGTGTCTTCTGGCGAGGCAATCCGAAGATTCTTATTCCGCGCAGTAGCTTTTTCTTCAAAGAAAGATTGTTCCCAGATTTCTCTCTCCGCTTCCCAATTGACAATGTATCCCTTCTCCACTGGGCGACGAAACACGGTCTCGTTCCAATCGGTAATTTGCGTAGAAATCTGAGCACCAATCACGGTTCGATTATCGCGAGTTTTGACTATCGTATTAGGGATCGAGGTGCAGGTCGCTAAGGCGTCTTCAGACGAAAGGCTGGAAGCTGCGGCGTAGCCCGCTTTCATGGTGTATGCGCCATTGTCGAGAACGAAGGTTTTCTGGGGAATATGTCGTGTAGGTACATCTGGGGTTGCCTTCTGTGCCTTCGTAGAGGCGCGGGCTTTTGATGTTCCCATTCTTGCAAGTTATAGTTATTGAAGGTTGGAGAGAGCTTAGCACCGTCCTACAAATAATGAAATGATGTTTGTTGTGTTTGCATAAATATTCTGCCAGTCTATGCCGCTGGCCCTGGTGGCTCTTTCCGGTTCGAGACCCCGGTCGGGCGTTTCTTTTTTTTAACTTTTTATTTCTACTTTTACGAGTGTCAACAATTACTCTCTTTTAGCTTTTTCCCACTTCTCTATACTCGTAGCGCTCTAGAGGGAACAGGGAACTCTAGATTTGCACTATTTATATAGAGGGCCAGTGGCAATATTCAAGTGTTGACTGGTCTTTGATTATGTAGTATATACAGGGTATGGTTGTTACATCTCTTATTTGAGGAACAATCGTGTATAGATATTATGCTGATCTCTCAATACTCATCAACACCCTCGTGTTCACGTTCCCATTCAGGCAGGTCATCCACCGCGATACGCTCACGTAAGAACTCCAGCACAGCATCAGTGCCTTTAGCAACCGTCTGCCATCGCGGTACGCGAAACCGATTTCCAGCAACTTCAAAGCGTCGCAAGGCCGATCCAGTGCCCCAATTTTTCGGGGAGCGCTCAGAGCCCAATAACCCTATTTTTGAAGGCAGTGAATCAATATCATTGTTGCTGACATCCAAAATTTGAAGGCCTTGTACTGCTTCGTATTCTAGTTGAGAGATTTGATTATCAGAGGCTAGAAGAGTCTTAAGCTCTGGGTATGTTTCGCGCATGTGCGGAAGGTTTCCGGTGAGTTTGTTATTGGAAACGTCGAGGAATGTAAGTGATGGGGCTTTGAGATTTGTGAGAAGAGGCTCCAGCGTTGTTAATGCCGTGGCGCTGATATTGAGGGTCTGCAATCTAGGCATGTCGAGTGATGAAGATAGTAGTTGAGTACTGTCCATGGAGTTGTGCGAAAGATCGAGATCAACCAAGCTCTGGGCAAGCATTGTAAGGGCTGGAACAGGGAAGAAGCGCAGGTCATTGTGTTGTATATAAAGACTGCGCACATCCTCTGCATTGATCAATTCCAGTTTGTCTGTTTCTAGGTCTGTCAGGTCTGAATAAGATCGGTCAAGAACGCCGCCAGGCTTGACTTTCCAGCCACTTTCTAGTGCTGGGGTTTCTGGAGCGAGCGTAAACTGAGTTGCCACAGATCCCTCGTCATCTGTATCTTGAGGATCAGGCTCGCTTCGATTACGCATGTCCATTTTAATATCCTCTGTATCCATACTGAGAAGCTTGCGCTCGCGAAGTGGGTTGTTGGCAATTCGGAAGGACGATAGCTTGTCCATGAATCCAATTTTCTCATCCAGGCGTGTAAGGTTATTGCCAGTGAAGTCCACGGTCTTGAGGTTCTTCAAGTCTACAAAACCAGCGGGAAGCTCTGTGAGCCTGTTTTCATCTGCAGTAAGAACCAATAAAGATTGCCATGATGATAGGGAGGGTAGGCTTGAGATGCGGTTCACACTGATAAACAAACTGTGCAAGCTGGGTAAAGAAAGCATATTGCTGGCAGCAAAAATCTCGACAGAGTTGTTTGCAATATTTAATGACTGCAACTTTTCAAGTTGATTCACAGATTCGGGTATCAGGGTACCACTCAGTCTGTTCTTGGGGGCGTTTAGAATGTTCAGTGGGACCTTGCTCAATTCCTCAAAGGGTAGAGATGATAATTGATTGTCACCAACGTCCAATGATTTGAGGTACTTCAACTCGCCTATTTCTTTCGGCAGTTTAGTCAAAGCATTCCCGCGTAAATCCAATGATTCCAACTTCTGAAGACGACCCAAAGCCGACGGCAATGATCCCTCCAATTTGTTATTTGCCAATCTCAGGTCAACTAAAGAGACGATCTCTGCGATGGTATCAATTTGGTCAATGCCCAAGGCATTGTTCGAGAGGTTCAAAAAGCGCAGGTTGTGTAACCGTCTAAGTCCCATTGGAACAGAGCGAAGCATGTTTCCGTGAAGGTCTAATGTTTCAATGCCACCAAATTGAGGGCCTTTCTCATCACTGTCTGGATCAAGATCTTCAAGGTCGATGTCGGGAAAGACAGCGTCAGGCAGTTCAGACAATTCATTGTCAGCGGCAATAAACTTGACCAAGTCCACATTCTCAAACCAATTGGATGTACCTTCAGGGTCGAAATCGTACATGGTCATAACTTCTTTTGGTATCTCATTTAGAGAGAGTGCTGCAATGTTCAAAGTCCCAGATGAGCGCGCACCATCTACTCGTTTGCGAAGGACCAAGTTATTAGAGCCCTTAGGCACTTGGTTGAAAGGATCAGTAAGCTCCGGATCACCCCATGATTCAACGGGTGTGGTATCCGTAACTGGCGCCTTTGTCTTTTCAGACACTGCTGCCGCCTTACGGGCAGCTTTCGCTTTTGCAATGGTTTCTCGCAAAGTGTTGGATGATTTGGAGGTCTTTCTAGTTTCGTTATCTGCTTGCTGCCCTGGGGTCAACTCATCTTGTAGGGTAGATGCGGCAGACACATATCGCGAGGTAGTCGAAGGAGATCTTAGCGAAGAGGCAGTTTCCGTCTGGGGTTTTCTGGTTTTTCGGACTTGAAGAGGCCGTTCTGGGGGCCCCATATCTGACTTGGAAGGCTTTGGAGCCGCGCTCGGGGATGGTCGCACGTGGGGGCTCTTGGGCGGTGCGATGGACTTCTTCGGTGTCGTACTACCCCCGGGCGCGGTATTCAAGGCCGCCATACTCCGCCTTTTGGTAGGTAGTTTTAACTTCGAAGGGCTATCAAGGTTATCGGTACTCCCCGTGGATATCTCTGAGGATGAAGCCATCGACATGCGAGATCGGGATGGGAGGCGCAATTTAGAAACCGGTTGAGATAACAAGTCATTGCCGATGGTCTGACTGGATGACGATCGTGATGGAGATCGTGAATAACTTGACACATTTGACGGTGTTCGAGAAGGCGATCGGATTGGGCTAGCTCCATTGAAGAAACTGGATTGCCTTCTTACACCAACCGGCGAAGGGGGTATATGCGCTAGTGTTTCGATTGTCCGATCCGATAGCGAGGGACGTGTACGACCACGGACCTCACCCGGCGCGATCTCATCATCCCCCACTGCCGAACCTCCATCATCCAAAGTATATGCGCTCTCTTCTTCTGGGAGTTCCTCTTGTTGGCTTGGAAGAGCTTCGGAGCAGGGCTTCGCGGGGGAGTAGCGCGTCGTGTGCTTCTTCAGCAACGACTCGTAGGAGGGTCTTCGCAGTCGCCGCTCATCTAAGCCTGGATCCGCTTGTAATCGGTCTCGCGATGGGGAAGGGCGAATGGTTTTCGAACCAGTGGAGGTAGGTAGAGGTAATCTGGAAGCCAATCGAGGAATGCCGCTGGGCGGGCGGCTTACTTTTGGTTGCCCATCCATGGCGACTGCTCGGGATTTCAAGATGAAACCGCCTAAGAAAGTATATAGTTATATCTGGGGAGCCAAGAATGTCGCAAGGAGAGATGTCAGAAGAATCACGAGGGGTCTGAGATGGAATTGCGGCAGGCCCACTTTCCCAGCGTGTTCTTTACCCCGGGCAACCGATTGGAGATTTGTTTTAAAGTTGAAGTTCGATGTTTACTTGTCGCGCCTACTGATAGCGGCCTGAGGCAGCGAACCATTCCGCGCAGGTTCCAAGGTTCATCATCAATTGATCGATGTATGTTTTGTTAGTTTAATGATTTGAAATCATTAGTTGTTTCTCTTCGTATCTATACCTTGCGGGTCTCTAGGATCACTGACGTTTATATTATTAAGTGACTAAAAAATTTTCTTCCAAAGTTCCTGAAAAGATTCCAGTCACGACGATCCATGTCTTATCTGAGCAGATTGTGTCAGAATATACTTTGATGTATCTGAGCGTTTTTGAAAAACAATCTAAGACAAAACAACTTTGAAAGTCTTTTAGATCATTATTTGTCTTACTTGGCTTTGTTTCTTCTTCTTTGTCAATCAATGTTATATTAGTTTCCTTGATTGTTGAAAAAAAATAATTCTGTTTGGCCTCTGTCTTGGTATTGACCCATGCAGTCCATCAGCCCATCAGCCCATCATTCAAAGTTTAGCCCGCGTTTTCTTTGACAATACTTCTTTTACTAACGAGACAGCTGTAACGGCACAGCCAAACGAAGCCTGGTATCCAAAGCCTCCATGGCCATAATTATGAACCACTGACACACCTTCCACTTGGTCTTTCTCAACCCGAGGCCCACCATTGCGCATAGGTCGTAATCCAACGCCGTGCCGAACAATATCCAAACCCTCAATTCCCTGGCCCTTCTTCACAAGCTGTGGACAAATCGCAATAGCACGTTTCATAATACGATTTGCAAGGTTTGGGTCTGGCAAGGGGTTCCAATCGTGCTGATGGTGTGAGCCGCCAATAATGGTACCTCCGCCACAAGCGCGAGGTATAATATATGAGACTTCATTTCTACCACTTTCAGCCTCTGAGACAGAGACAATGAAGCCGGGATCATTACGAACGATCACAATCTGACCCCTATCTGGATAGAGATTGTCATCACGAACTCCATTGAGGAATTTGGAAGATAGCCCTGTGCAGTTAACTATAACATCTGCATTTTGCCCTGAATGATGTGCATTGGCAGCTTCGGAAATATGATGGAAACTGGCTCTGTTGAAAATGACACCATTTTTGACACATTGGCCAACTAGCCACGGTAGATAAATGGCGGTATTGATGCAAATAGAAGTGAAACTTTGAACACTGTCGATTTCAGGTGCCGATTGATCCGAAGAGATCACTTTGAACTGTGCATTCGGAATTAGTGCTAGTTTCTCGGCCAGGCTGCAAAGGATACAATTTATTCTGGACGCATACGTCTGGCATCAAGTCGGCGAACCAGGGAGGCGACTGGACAGACTTCGAAATCTCGCCCCTCGCAGCAGGTCCCTGGTCCTTCTTGCGCTTGTAGATCAAACAATCTAGCAAACATCAATTGTTGGCCAAATGGAATTGAGACACATGGCAACTTACTTCGAAAATATAGACCTGCCTCGGGAAACTTCTCTGCTATTTCTCTCAACGCTGGCCAGGAAGCCCGCTCCCATTCACGTTGATTACTGCCCTCTTTTCCAAAACTAAAGAAATTTGAGCATCACAAGAAGTAAGCTTCCAATGTTCAACTGCGCAGCTGATGGGCTGATCTCACGGCAAATAGTCGGCACCAGCCCACGGAGATGCATATTCAATATCGTAGTCACCAGGCATATACTTTGCCAGTATGGTGAGTTTGTTGGCGGGATCTTTGGACAGAAGATATGCAGTTGTGAGGCCCGAGACACCCGCCCTATGATGTGTGAGTTCAATATCATTGATATTTTCTTTGTTGTTTTTCTTCAATAATGAGAGTGATTACCCTAGAACAACAATCTTATTAGACATCGCGAATGTCTTTTCTTTCCTGGATTGACTGTGGCGTACAAGTTATACGCATGGGATGAGACAAATCATCCGGGGTAAATTGAGCGGGGAAGGAAACTTGATGATAAAGCTGAGTCAGCGATATTGGGAGCCATTACATTGAGATGGAAATATAAGGTGGTTTTGCTATGGAATACGCAATTCCCGGCTGATCTTACACAATACGTCTGGATAGAAGCTATTAGTGGTGCGGGAAGGGGATGGCAAGAAGTGCAAGAAAGCGAAGCTGAGTGGAGTCAAGAAAGATTGATAGAGCTGGGGATAGTATTATAAAGTATTTATATCAGAAGAGATGTTGAGAATGCGGAGCTAATAGGTTTGAGAAGCTTGATATATGATCTATCAAAAAGAGCAAGTTGATGGCTTTCCAAGGTTGACTGGCGATATGGATCCCCTTTATGGATCCCCAAGAGGATAAACGATAATTGTTATGGAAAATTGGAAAGAATCGTGTCTGTGTAGGTAAACTATATCCAATTGACTTCAGTATCGTGAGTTCTGACCTACATATGTATGACGAGATGGACGTGTACCCGAATCAAGATCCGACCTTGGAAGCTTATCGGTTGCCAGTCCAACCTGCCCCCATCGACGTCGTTCACGGCTGTTTACTTGCCCTGAGCGTCCCGTGATCGTCAATCTAGCCGCATCGAGGAATGTGGGTCGGTACCTGGACTGTATATTGTTACCTGATTGGCTAGTTGCTATAAATGGTTGGTTGAGGCTGGGCACATTCACCCCAGCCGCATTTTGCACTGGCCGTTCCCAGCCTCCCAGCCCCCTCCTCCACGATACCATACAAAGTGCCCACTTCCAACCCTTCAACCCTTCCTTCTTCTCATCTTCCACATATCTCCGTGTGTATTGTGATCCTATCTGAATCATTTGTGAACCGCTTCTCCTGTGGTTTCTCTCCCCCCACTTCTCCCGCTATCCTCCGGTATGCGCCCTATCGCTCATCACCCATATCGTATCAGCCTGGTGGAATGTAGCACTAACATATCTTAGTGTGAGGAGTCCGCCCTCACAACTGACCGCTTGTTTGTCTTCTTGATCCTAAATTGACATCATCGGTCATGTCTCAATCCACTCGTCTCTCTCAAAGTCCCCTCGCAGCGCCGGCCGAGATCATGGCCCCCGCAACTCCAAACCGCCGGGCAACTCTATCGCCCTCACCCGATCTGAGTGCTGCAGTCAAGGATCGCTCATCAGAGAGAAAATACTTCTCTCCACCACCTGTGTCGTCATCTGACATGACACCTCCGCCATCTACTCAAATCCCTGGCGCACCTCTGCGCCGGTCGCATTCCCGCTCCACTAGCCCTACTCTTGTCTCTACTGCCGACCTAGACAAATCTCTCTGCGCTGCCTATGGAGCCTCTGAGAATCTCCCAACAACCGAAGACATTGACAATGCAAATGTCACTCAGCTGCGCACCATTGCGAAGGATCTGCTCACAGTCGCCCAGGAGGCACGTATGTCCGCTTTGCACTTTAAGCTGCAAAATAGCCTCGTCTCGTTTGCTAGCAATGAAGCCGTCAAGCGCGCAGAGGTGGAGCATCACCTTGCCAAACGGGAAGTCGAAATTATTCAGAGCGCCGAATACCGTCGTTCGCGACCCACAGAACCTTTAACACCTAAACAATCTTTCTCCAGCGATGAATACATCCTTGCGGTTCAGCGATCTAAAGAGCTTGAGGAACAAAATGTTCTTACAGATCGCCGACTTCGTCGAGCAAAGCGTGCCATTGAGGATAGTCATGCTCGAGAGGTCGAGCTGACCGAGCAAAACAATATGTTGAAGAAACGCATCGAGGACAACCGCCTCCATTTCTCCCAGATCTACAGCTATGGATCCTTGTCCCCTAGTATGCAGAGCGAGCTTCACACAATTTGCCGTGGCGAACATACCGATGGACTCGCAGCCTTACTCTTCGCCGACAAATTCACAAATCGTCTCCATGAGCCGCAGGTGTCTTACGATGACACTCACTCTTCCGTTCCTGTCACCCCGAATCGTGCCACTCGCCAACAAAGGCCTCATATGACTCCCGGCCAGGACTCTCGTAGTCACCAATATGACAGCGACAGCACCGTTTCCTTGTCTGCCCCCGAATCTGAGGGTGAAGTTATCCCAGGTCGATCCTCGCATGTGCGACGCACTGCACCAAAAACCAGTGCTTTACTTCAAACCAAGTTATTCGGCCATGTGAAGAAACCCGGTGTGGAACGCAATCCTCCCACAAAGCGCAAGGCCAACTCGGATGAGAATAGCACGGCCACGAAGAAGTCTAGGACCAGCACCGCAGTTGGCCTGGGTATCGGGGCTTGAACGTGTGTTTCTCCATTTCTGTTTTTATTGAACCTTTTGCATACGATTCATGACCTAGCGCTGCTCTCTTCACTTTACGACTGGGATCCTTCAGGGTAGGATCCATTATGACTGATGAACGAAATTTAACGTCACGCCGTTCTCTTGCTTAGCGATTCGATTTCTTCTTTTTCTTTTTTTAACCGCGTTGTATTTCTTCTTTTTTTTCTGTTTTCGGGACCCTGGTGGTTTACCTCATGGCCACCACCCTCATGGCGTTTAAAATCGGAAACAGGTTGGCAAGTCTGCAAGGCTGTAATTGATGGATAATTATTCTGTCAATTCCAGTACTGCAGCTCCTGTTTCTATTGATTTAGCATTCGGCTTCAGAATGCAAAGCATTGCATAGCTGTACATTAGGAATAGAAACAATGAACAATATGAAAGAAATATATCCCGTGTATCAAATGAAGAGGCTCTGTAAAGTCCAAGGTCTACTCCATACTAAAAGTTGCCTAAGTGGATATTAATTACTACGATTCCATCCAATCAGAAACACCAAAAACGGGAGCGGATATGGATGACTAAGGCACGGCAGATGTCCATATCAGGACTAGTTAGGGCTCGCTAAGCGAGGCGGTCAGTGGTAAAGCGGGCCACACGAAAATTGGGAACTTCAGAGTTTCTGCCGTTGAAGGGAGATTTGACCAGCAACCCTCCGACGACCACCAACCGGCTCGATCCCCATCCGTCACCATGGTGCGTTCCCCTCGATTATCGTATGCGAATATGCGCTGGAATTGAAAGAATTGTTCAAGAACAATCATATACGGCGTGCTTGTGGTGGAACTTAAGGCTGATGGACATCTCTTCCGGAATATAGGCGATCAAGCACAACAACCAGATCCAGAAGAACCGTGAGTGTCCCCAGAAGGCCTTCAACTCTGCTTCGCAATTCGATACTCGTCGCACGGAAGCAAATGCAGAATCAATCAGGGAATCAAGTCAACTAACAAGTTTTCAATAGACTTCCGCAAGGATTGGCAGAAGCGTGTGCGCGTGCACTTCAACCAGGTACGATTTCGAAAAATCTTTCTCCCCGCCAAGAACATCATCCGCCCGATTCAAACTCGACGACCAGAATCGATTGTGGAAAAAACGATGGAAAATTTTTGATTGGATGGACCTCGCCAAACTAACATGGACTTTTTTTCGATGTCATAGCCCGGCCGCAAGCACCGTCGTCGTGAGAACCGTATCGCCAAGGCTGCTGCCGTTGCTCCCCGTCCGGTCGACAAGCTGCGTCCCGTTGTGCGATGCCCCACCGTCAAGTACAACCGCCGTGTCCGTGCCGGCCGTGGTTTCACTCTGGCTGAGCTCAAGGTAAATTCGACTCTTGTCGATTGATATTTTATTTGATACGAATTGAGAGGGCAGTTTGGCTCACATGTTTTTTTTCCTCTTCTTTTAGGAGGCCAAGATCCCCAAGAAGCTCGCTGCTACCGTCGGTATCTCCGTTGACCACCGCCGTACCAACTACTCCAAGGAGTCCCTGGTCGCCAACGTTGCCCGTCTCCAGGACTACAAGGCCCGCCTGATCCTCTTCCCCCGCAAGAGCGGTCAGTTCAAGAAGCTCGACTCCTCCGCTGAGGACGTCAACGCTGTCAAGGCTGCTCTCTCCGAGGGCAAGCGTGAGGGTTACTCCACTCGCTCCAACGCCACTTTCCCCATCACCAACCCCGCTGAGGAGAACGCCGTCACCGACATCAAGCGTGACTCTCTTCCCAAGGGTGAGGAGGCTGCTTACCGCCGTCTTCGTGACGCTCGCTCCGAGGCCCGCCACAAGGGTATCCGTGAGAAGCGCGCCAAGTCCAAGGCTGATGAGGAGGCTGCCGCCAAGAAATAAATGTGATAATTTACTGCTCGCGTTGATGATGATGATCGGGTCGGTTTTCGGATCGGGGATGAGTGTACTGTGGCATGGCGCGGCGCCTCTTCCATTTCTCTCAAACTGAATCCTTCTTCTTCCCCTCCCCCTCTACCCTTGAAACTACCCCTTTTTGTCTCTTAAAAAAGAAAGAACTCGGAAGATCCTTCGAAATGCAAAACCGCCCAATTTTTCTCAACTATTGTCCAATCTCTTGGTTTTGGTGTATATTTACTGGTGACTGTACAGTTCCCAGCCTGTTTTGTCTCTTGGATGGTATCAATTCTCAAGAAATGAGAATTTGTTTTCATTTCCTCTGGCATTGGTATATTTCAATCGGGTTGGAGGTCGTGAAGCTATAGGCTACGATATATTGAGGGGAATAGTGAGGCTCATGCCATGGTAACTTATCTGTAGTCTTGCAAATAAACAGATTGCATGATTTCAAAATTAGCATCTTTAAACTATCAGAATGCTGTACCTAACGTACTCTTGGGGCATTCTCAGTAGATAAACTAAGTGTTGTATTGCATCCACAGCGTGTACAGACAACTATGCTGCCCTCTTACAATTGGCTGTCTAGGTACGTAGTAGTGTGGAAGGAGCATTGTTACAACTTGAATCTGGTCATAGAGTTCAACTGGTCTATGTCAAACAACAAACAATTCTCATTTCATTACAAGAGCATTCCCATGGTATCTTAAAATCAGCCTACAAATCAACAACTCCCTTGCGCCATCGCTATCACGAACACAGATAAAGAACATCAACCACGATTGAACAAGGCACCTATAGCACCCTCAGTGGCGCGTACAATCGCATCAAACTGAACACCTCCAATAATACTTTGGGCAGACATAGCATTATCCTCACGCAAAAGCGCATGAAACAATTTCTTTGTTTCCTGATCGATTTTCTTGCTCATTCCAGAGCCAGAGCCCGATGTGGAAACACTCAGTTCCGGTCGTAATTGTGGCTCTCCAGTCCAATCGTCAATAGTCAATGCATTGGCCAGAAGGACTCGAGGTGTGCCTCCTGTTGATTTGGACTGGAGGATCATTGTACTGCGTTCCAGGTGGGGAACCAATCCTCGAAGCTCCGAAGGCATGATGACGCCTGGTTGGGATTGGGGTAAGGTGCCTTTTTTCCCGCCACTGCCATGCTTGTGGTCAATATATGCCCATAGCTGGGCGCGAGCAACAGACACTTCCCAGTATCGGTTTATACCCCAGCAAAGTGTGGTTATATCAAGTCTTAGAAGGGGGTTGGCTAGTCGGGCTTCAATCCATCCTCGGAGTACTTCAGGTACTCGGCGTTTTTTACTGTTGCTTCCTGTCGGAACGGAAACAGAGACAACAGTTTGAGTCTCTGGGTTTGTTTCGTAAACAACCGAGACATTGTATAAAGATGATGGAAATGGAGGTGGAGGTGTGAATGTTAGAGTATGCGTTTCGAGGATGACATTAGTATTTGAGACCGTCCTACGGCTCGTGCTTGTCTGAAGAGCCAGCGGGGCGAAGACCTTTAGATATGATGATGCATGCGGTGATTGTTTCAATGCGAATGGGTTTGTTGGTAGAGGTGATGTGTGACGTGCAGGGCGAGGTATATTTTTGGAGAACGGGAGTAAAGAGCATAGAAGAGAGGAAATAGGAGTTGGAGCTTGTCGAGGAATGGGGCGGTTGATATGAGATGATTCATCTGAAAGAAGGGTGCTGTTACGGTTGTTAGAATGAGTGGATATCACATCACGCAAGTTTCAACTTACAGGAAACGGTCAAGTTCTTTCGATTTATTGTCCAAGTTCGCATTGGACTCAATTTTCCCAGTCCATTGTGTCAACTCATCGACATCGTCTTTCAATCTTTGCAATTCCGCTTGAAGGCTCTTGTGCACTTTGCGTCTCTCTAGAGCGGCTGCGGACAGGCCGTCCCCAGTTAGATCTGAGCCCGAGACCGATTCCTCTTCTGGACTTGGATGTCGGAATTTCATTGACTTCAAGGGACTTCCATGTGTTATATCGGCTGCTTTTCGTTTCATTCTTTTCTCATGTCTCGCGCTGGGACTGCTGCTCATCAGCCCTGCTCCATGATCCGGCGCCTTTACCAATCCCAGCTGTGTGGGAGTGGGGGGAAGCTCTGGCTCTGAACGATCATCTTCTGCACCATCCAGACCAAAGTGTATAGGCTCATTCAAATTCGCTTCCTGTGTAGCTGTTCCCAACTCCGAAGCTAATTGGTCCTCTGGAGTGTTGGATTGAGGTTGCGCTATCGGCTGACTTGGTTTCCCAGCAGGTGACCCAAACCAGAAATCCCCCGGCAGGATTTTCTTTGATAATCGGCGAGGTGGCTTTGTAAACGATTGGATGCCACTTGGGCGTTTACTCGGTGATATCATGGGCGCATTGTCACCCATTCGCGGGGCTTTTGTCGGACTGGATGTCGCACTCATAGAGGGACGAAAGGCTTTGCGGCCTCGAAGCCCAAAGCTGGTAGGCCTTTCTGCTTGGTCCTGATTGTCTCGACTTGCCGGTCGCCGACTAGGAGATCTACTTAGGGCACGCTCAAGAACGTCAGGATGTGATTTCGCCAGACTCGACTTAGTTGGTGACTGGAAGGAGGGGGTGCCGGAACGCCGCGTCGCATCGTGAAATGCAGTGGAATGCGACGCGCCAGCGGCGTCGCCTGGAACATTACTGCTCCTGCGTCGTTTTGGAGGCGAATCCATTATTGCAATGTTGATATCTACTCGGATTCGCGCCGCGAGTCCCGCGCATAAACAACGGTGTTTGCATTGTTTGCATCTATGACTTAATCGTCTCCCTCCGCCTCGGAAGTGGGAGAATGCAACATTTGAAGGATTCCTCTTTTCTTCTGCGCCATTTTGCGATGGAGTGTCTCGCAGCGAGCAGGCACTCGCTCAAACGGACGATAGCACGTCATTTCTTTCTTTCTCATACCGTCGTATCTTCTTTTCCTCCGAACCGACACTATGCATTGGCCCCGACATCTCGGCGCATGGCTCATAGCCGAACCGACACCCGTACCCAGAGCAAACAAGAAGAAATGCCCGACCAGTCTCAAGCATACCCTCTATCTGGATATTATGCTTTAATATTGAAATCCGATTCTCCATATTACAACCTTCCAGTGACCGCTCGATCCACTGCTCCTCGGCCCGAAGAGAAGCCAAAAGAGGAACAAACGCCCGAAGATAAAATGTCTATTGTGTTTGGTACTCGTCTTGCTGGTCCAGGTCGTCAGTCTCGTTATAATCCAGGCGAGGCACCACCAGAGTCCGAATGGCAAACTATCAATGGTGTTCCTATCCCACCCCAACCCGAGAAGCCTGAAAATTGCTGTATGAGCGGCTGCGTGCACTGTGTGTGGGATGACTTTCGAGACGAGATGGAAGAATGGGCTGGCCGTGCTGCAATTGCCAAGGCTAAGGGCGGCCTTGAGAAGGGCACTCGGGACATGCGCACTGCGCCTCGATCAGAGGTTGATTCAGCCAGTCTCAGTATGGATGATGACGGCGGTGGAAGCGAAGCCAACTGGCCAGCTCCAAGTCAAGATGATGACTTGTTTGCCAACATCCCAGTTGGAATTCGGGAGTTTATGAAGACTGAGAAGAAATTGCGGGTCAAGCACCAGAACAAAGCGACTATATAAACTTGTCCGCTCTTTCCCTCTCCCTCTCCCTCTCCCTCTCCCTCTTTGTCTGTATTTTGCCTTTTGTGGGCATTGACTTGCGATCTATATTGGAATCGATATCCTGTGTTATAAATTCCGGAAGTAAGGGGTGGTGGATTTGAACGTTCTCAATGTTGAAGAGTCGGGCAAAGTGTTAAAGCATAAATATATAGATTCTCTATTTAGATTAGATTTGTACATAGATTACATCCATGATTTGATGATTTTCGAAAATTACGATTTCAAGATTTATAATCTTCCTTTTATTTCTAAATTTTTTTTTACTTATAAGATGTTTAGTGATTAACACGATATCATAGATAATGATTTGATACTAAGTACTTCAAGTTCAAGTTCCAAGGTTCCCGCCGCTACGAGCTAACACATGCCAAGCCCCCGGGGGCTTCAACGTTCTCCGCAATTTTTATTTCGCTCTTTAATCACATGTCTACCCAACCCCCCACCGCTCCTGAACAGTACCAAGACTGCGTTAGACGCCTTGTTGATCACTCAATTTTTTACAGTTCGATCGCGATTGTCCAATTGCCGCCCGCTCAGGCTGGGCTCGATTGTTATTCCATTCGTCGCGATGCGTGCTCGCGGTTCTCCAGCTTATCCCCAATAACAGCCATTCCAACACCATGATGGCAGGAGTTCACGCATACACCCGCGTGCGGAACTTGGCACAGTCTCTGGCCATTTTACGAGCTGACTCCTTCGGCCATGCAGCTTCCCGGAAAGCTCGACAAGCTAAATCACGTCTATCATTGTATCGACAGGTTCACGCAACCACAACCCGACGATCACATTCCCACCCCAACCGTTCAAAGCACGATAAAGTCTCGGCCACCTTCTTCAATTCGTCGATATCGGTCAATTATGGTTCGACACTGGACCCTGGGGAGAAGACTGAAAGTGCTGCGGACGAGGAGACCTCCAAGATATCTCCGCGGCCTTATAACCCGGAGGAGAAATCTGGGGATGAACCAAAGATATTGAAATCGAAACCGAAGCTTCGATCAAAATGGGAATCGCCTTGGAGGGGACACAGCAATGAGAAGTTTTATGCTCTGGGTAGCTGGGCTAGCTTGAAGCATGACGATGGGTGGCGTTTAGCATGGGCGACTACGCCTTGGGATGAAAATGCCAGGACTGGGACAACGTGGTGTGACATGCATTTAGAGCGCCTCAATACGGAAGAAGATCCTCTTGGGAAAGAACGATGGACGGCCTCAGTCCAGGCTCCGTCACCGGTATGTACGCTTTGATACTTCATGCTACTGATAGGGTTCTAATCTTAATTCACATAGCTCGAAGCGAAAGAGAGAGCTTTAGAGGTCCTCTTCTCGGAGACCACCAAAGATATTGACTGGTACGATATGTCGGGGGAATCAGACGAGATCAAGTTTTTGCAGATGGTGTTGACAAATCGCTTGACACTTGAAACCAAATCGAAGGGATTGCACTGGAGTATCTTTGTTAAAGTACCGGGATCGATCATACCATTCAAGACAACACTGCCAGTACGTTTAGATACAATCACTTCTATGGATACTTCACGATATTCTAATAATTTTCCCCATAGCGAGAAAAAAAATTGAACGCAAAAACCCTTATATCTGCGATCGAGCAATTGATCCCGATGATGCAAGCGGAAGGAGTTTGGTCTCGCCTTCTAGGAAATACACCTGAAGACTCGATATCAGACCCGGTTCAAGTATTGGAATCTGAATCTTCTGAACATAAATCCGCCTTTGAACCTCTAAGTCAATCGACGCCAAGTCCGACCAAGGAGCTGGATCCTGATGCTGTCGAATTGCTATCTCCAGGACGCACAGAACAGGAACCTCCGATGGTGATAGAAAGAGCAGTTCAAACATTACTCGATTCGAATGAGAAATCCCGTAACATGTTTCGCAGACTTATGGCTATAGGTCGATTAGACATGAGTGTAAAAGTCTTATACACAGGGGAAAAGATTTGTCGAGCCTCTTACAATGAACGAGATGCACGAGTGGATGCTATCATCAAGGCCGATCCCTTTGAACCAATTCTAAGGGTTAGTTCTTCCCTATACAGTGCTTTATACAGCACGAACAATTTATGTGTTAACATTGCATTTGCTAGTCTGACTTGGAAAGACGAGCCACCAGAGTTCTTGTCGCCAAATTGTGGGCCTACAAGCTGCTAGGGAACGAGATACAAAGCTCCGCTGTCTGGCCCGATTGCAAGCTTTTTCTGAACGATGAAATTATCTGGGGACTACGCTCAACAAGGGATCAACTGCTTGATGCAGACCGTTCTGTGCTACCAGAACCCCAGGATTCTCTGTCAGAATGGCCCGAATCGCATATGTCAAAAGAGTTGATAACTTATGATACACAGGCGCATTCCAAACGGTTGAGTATGCTCCTGAAGAGACGACGCGAATCAAAATATCCAAAAGTTGTCGCTATCCAATCCGTCAGAGCTAAGTTGCCGGTATTTCAGATCGGAAACCAGATTTTGGAACTCATAAATAAGAACACCTACACTATAATTTCTGCAGAAACGGGGACCGGAAAGTCGACACAGGTCCCTCAGATTATTCTGGACGATGCGATTGACAGAGGAGTCGGAGCAGAATGCAGAATCATTTGCGTTCAACCACGGCGAATCGCCTCACAGCTCCTAGCACAGCGTGTCGCTGAAGAACGCAACCAGCTCATTGGATCAACAGTCGGCAGCGTGGTTCGATTTGACCGTCGAGAACCGGATGCTCGTGGTGGCACTATCACATACTGTACTACCGGTATCATGTTGAACTATCTACAGTACCGTCCCAAAAAATTGGACTCACTCACTCATATTATCCTCGATGAGGTTCATGTTCGAGATCTTGGTATTGATTTTACAATGCTTCTGTTGAAGCGCTATGTTGATCGATGCAGGACCGCTGGTATCCGCGAACCTCGAATTGTCATCATGAGCGCAACTGTGGATATCGATCTTTTTACATCCTATTTCCAAAATATTGGACCTGATGGGGCTCTCATTCCCGCCCCGCATATATGCCTCCCCGGTCGTCATCATCATGTAAAGAAACATTACCTCGCGGAAATCCTAGATACCTTGAGAAAGACAACGGATTTCGAGTTGCTTTCCCTGCTGCTGAGTGACTTGGAGACTAAACAATTCTTGGTAAAACACCATGAACTGTTTGGTGACTCAAAATATACTCCAGTGGCAACCAGCGGAAGTTCGCCTTCCCGCCTAGAATCTCAAAAGCAAATGAAGCTGGAAGACAACCCGGACGAATTTGTTCCATGTGGACTGGTCAGCGCATTGGTGTTTCATATTCTATCTACCACTGAGTCCGGCTCCATATTGGTCTTTCTACCTGGCCTGGCTTGGATTGAGACATTGGCAGAACAGTTGAACCATTTTGCAAGCAGCCCAAATGTTGACCTTGATTTTTCAGATGACAACAAATTCCGAATCTTGCAATTGCATGCCGACCGGCCCGAAGAAATGGAGAAGCTCTCACTCCCTGTCCCGGAGGGTTGCCGAAGAATTCTCCTATCCACTGACATAGCCGAGGCATCTGTTACCCTCCCAGACGTCAAATATGTGATTGACTCTGGAAAGGCAAACCTGATTAAATATAACAGCGAAACGCGCGCTCGTCATCTGGAATGCTCTTGGGTCGGCCGTTCCAATGCAATTCAGCGGCAAGGCCGAGCTGGTAGGGTCCAAGATGGGGAATATTTCTTCCTCGGCATGCAGAAATGCTACGACAATCTTCGACCAACTAGATTCTCCGAAATACAGCGTGAGGATTTAAGAGACGTGTGCATGCGCGCGAAGGATATTGCTCCCGACGTTCCACTCCGCGAGCTTCTCCAGCAAACCATAGAGCCACCCGATCATGAGAGAGTTGATAATGCCATCGAGGCATTGAAGTTGATGAAGGCCATTGACGAAAATGAGAATAAGACCAGCCTTGGTGTTCTTATTTCCAGAACTCGCCTTTCCCCAACGGTTGGCAAGTTGGCCATTCTCGGAGTGATATTTCGATGTTTGGATCCACTTCTTATCATCGCAGCGGTAGAGCGAGGCAAAAGCATATTTCCCACTGGAACGACTACAGAAGAGCGGAAGAATATCCAGAAAATTCGTTCTAGCTTTGCAGGGACGACCTCCAGTGACCACATTGCGGAGTTGAATGCATTTAGAGCTCTTCGGGAGAAATGGGGCCAAGGCAGACAGGAAGCTCAAGCATATGCCACTTCGGAAAATCTGAACCTCCGAGGCTACAATGAGAACTTTGAAACTGTTTGCGCGATTTACGATACGCTAGCAAGGGAACACCTTCTTCCACGCGAACGCGGATTTCCTCAGAACCGTCAATTCGGTCGTCCCTATGTCAACATCAACTCGCACAACATTCCTCTCATCAAGGCCCTGGTCGCTCATACTCTTTCGGCGCAAATATCCGCTCCAAAACCTTTCAATAAGTTTGATTACTATTCAGCTACTGAAAGCGCCCTAGCGATCAGACTAGTCAGCACTGTCAGGGACAAGGAAAACCTCCCACAGCGACAGTTGATCGCGCACTCTTCAAAACATGACAGCACAATGAATTCCGTGACTACTTTGGCAAATGTGTCTTCAATTACTCCATTGACTGCATGTCTTATGGGAGGCAGGTTGGTCTGGAAAGATCAACAGCTGCGAATGAATGACTGGCTGGCAATTCCGACTATAATAGAGAAGGGCGCCTTTTCTCGAGACGAGGCTTTGCGGAGTCTTTTCGAGCTTCGAAAAGCCATTGACCGGGTAAGCTGTCTCAACACTGGAAATACCCAATCCACTAATCTAAAATTAATATATAGTCACTGACGACCGCCTACGAATCACTTATCATCACATCCGTTGATAGCCTGGAGGAAGACCATGATTGCTCGCAATTAATTCAATCTCGAAGGGAATTTCTTAGGACTTTGGGAAAGACCGTTTCAGCCATTTTTGAACAGGATAATAGCTCTCCCGATCGACATGCTCAACCTACCAAGTGGGATACACATCGCCTCGAAAGCTTATCAGAGCTATCTGCCGAGGCAGGAGAACAAGAACAGGAGCAAGAGGCGAAGGAAGTTGCACAATAGGCTTTGTGCTCATTGTTTATTGTTCATTTTCAACACCACTGACCATAACACCATGTAAATAAATACTTACTGTATAAGCCACATACACATATTTTAATTTCTCTATTCAAATAAAGTCTAGAATATACTTAATTTTCCCATGAAGTACTAGCTAGCCACCGCATTTGGTGTCCAGACCGTAGGTTAAGGCACGGCTAGTATAAAGCCGACTGGCTGGTGTATAGATCTCCACCCCTCACCGCCTAAGATAAGCTTATCAAAAAATTACATTATCGCGCATAACTTTTTCCATCTAAACCACGACAGAAACAAATATACCCACACAAAATGTCGCTCTCAAAAGCAGAGTCCGACGTGATATTAAACAGGGCAAATGTCGCTCTATCCCGCAGCCAACGTCTCGTCTCATCATGGCTCCCCACCCAAACAGAAGACGAGCTATCAAATCTCAAATCCGAAGAAGAGCTACAACGTGAAGAAGACGAGATCTTCACCGCAGTACCAGAGACGTAAGTGACGTTCACATTTTTCTTCTTTTTATTTATTATACATATGGCTAAAATAAAATATAATATAATCACAGACTCGGAATCGGCGCCCCACTCCCCGAAAAAGCAGCGGATGGAAGTTGGAACCGCACAGAGTTAAGCTCGAATGATAAATTACGGAAACAATTACTTGGGAAGAACTATGATCGGTTTATGAAGATTCAGGCGGAAAATAAGGCGCAGGCTAAGGTGAACATTTCGGCGCCTCAGGGGGCTAAACCGGTTGTTGTGGAGGAGAGTAGTGATGATGAAGAGGAGGGGAGGACTACTTCTGTTGGGATGAGGAGGAAAAATGGACAGTCTAAGATGAAGACAAAGACAAAGATGACGACACAGGCGGAGGCGGAGACAGAGGCTGTCGAGAAGGAGGGAGGTCAGGATCAGGATCAGGATACAGATATGCAGGTGCAGGGTGATGGACAGGATGAAGTGCCTGTTGCTACGAAGAAGGTACCTGTGCGACAGGCGCCGTCGAAGAATAAGAAGAAGGCTACGAGCTATTTGGATGAGATTTTGGCTCAAAGGGCGAACAAGAGGAAGAAGAGGTGAGGATGAGTTTTGGATATGGGGTTGTGCTTCTACTTGTTGTGATGATATACAAGGCTTAAGGCCATGTTCAATCTATCGCTATTGTAGGATAGCAAGCTTCGAGTCTACTCTTCACTTCATCACCGAAAATGTTACGCTTTGTATAGCCCGAATCCCGGTGCAGGATCACCGGATCAGTTCAGTTGCTGATAAATATTATAATGTCATATCAATGAGGCTATAACAGCTTATTTTCCAAGGCTAGTAGTATGGCAAGAGAGAATATCTCCGTTGATTAGATTAAGGGCGCAGGCTTAGAGTACAAAACTTATTTCAATCTCTAGATGTCGCCATGATTTTTGGTTGCTCCGCCCGACCCAAGGGTATAAGATATGCGGTGGGAATGAAGTATAAACCCCCGAGGCTATGATCACTCGGCACCGACAGCACACAACTCCGCCTGAAATATCCAATAAATGAAACAAAAAGAAACAAAAAGAAAAGAAAAAGATATAAGGAGGGATAAACAAATCGAGACATCTACAGACAGAAGAGGAAAAGATGGAAAACATAGAAAGAAAATCCTGGGATGCTGTCGATATTCTCCAGATATGAGGAGGGGGGATATAAGAGAGGTAAGGAGGAAAGTAACCTGGGTAGGATTTTAAGTGTACAAATGTTGCCAAATTTGGAACTGTTGCTCACCAATTGTCAAATAGATGGTGGTTTTTTAGATGTATCAAATAGATGTGATTTCAGTCAATTGTGATCACTAGATTTGATGAAAGTCCTGATTGTGTAATTCGGAGGGGCAGAATTTACTCCAGCCGCTTGCGTTTGCGATCATCGCCAATTTGATCCTCGTCAGGTCTTTCAGCTGTATCTGCAGGGTTCAAAAGTGAATGGACATTGCTTGCCATGCTAGAACGACGGGTTGCAGGTAGTGAAGATTCCTGGCGAGGGAATCTGGAGCCACCAATGTTCCAACCGTTGTCAACACTAAGCAGGGAAGGGGAGGGCTCCGCAGGACCAGGTGGTGTGGCATGGCGAGAGTGGTCCTGAAGGCGTCGAGGTGCGCCCATATCGTATTGTGCAAGAACATCGCGGACCTGTTGGTCACTAGAGGCTGGTGTGCGATGTGGAGACGAGGGCCAAGGCCCACTAGCGGGGCCACTCGGCGGGAATGGTGAAGAGCTCCCTGGTTGCCAATCTGTCTGACGAATGTCCGCGAATGTGTGGCGGCGACCTAAACTAGGACCGGGAGGAGTTGATATGGATAAAGGAGATGGCCCAGGTTGATGTGGTGGTGGAACCGGGGGAGGCTGTGGTCGATTGAAATTAGGTGGAACATTCGCACCTCCGATTGAACCATATCGGCGCGGTGAGCCTGTCATGTGTGGTGGGACAGGTGGCCGAATCATGGATGGGCGCCGGCTGTCGTCCTGTGGTAGTTGACGGGGAGATAAGGGCGGTCCAGATTCCATAGGCATGTTTCCAAAGTATGGCTGGCGCGGTGGCATGAGGGTGTCGTGGGATGCTTCCATGGCACGCATCGTTTCAAGCTGCTTCTCGACTTCTCTTTGGATGTTTGAAACTGCAAATGTTAGCTAATAATTAGGCCTATGAGATAGGCGTGGTCTTACTGTCATGATAAAGAGGATTCTCTCTGTCAGGTACAACGGCCTGAAGGAATCGAGAGATAGAGTGAGTCCACTAAGGAAACAATTAATTTAGCAACGAGTATCTTCTCACAAAAAAAAAAAACTGAAGCCCATTTGACTTACATGGTAGCATTTAGACAGACCCTCGGCCATACTCTGACATTTCGAGTGAAGTGCCATATTTCCTTCTTCAGCGCGAGAGAGGCGGCTGTGCATGTCGAAGAGAGTGTGTTCCAGGTTCATCAACCTAGCTTCAGTCGCATCGGGAACAGGCTCTGCGGGTGTACCCGGTTGTGATACAGCAGCTTTGTGGCTAGGGAACGAGTCGCGGTGAATTAAAGCATGTCGGGATGCACGTCGTTTGATTTCTCGAAGGCCGACCAAGTCGCCTCGTTTGAAGTTTCCATTCCCGTGTTTGAATTCCCACAACGCAGAGTCCGGAGAGCCTGTATGAAACACATCGCTCACTACAAGATTCTGATGTTAGCAATGTAATCGACGCCTTGCGATCAGAGAAATATACCTTTATGAAATCCGTACATGTTCAGTTGACGGACAAAGGACGAGATGTTGGTATGCTTGAAATATTGGCTTCGAGGGTGTCAGCAACCGAAGCGATCGAGTGTTTATAAGGGGGTTCTTTTTGGAACTGACGCTAAGACTTTGGAAAATTCCGAGGTCGGGGACATCACAAAGCTATCATTAGTACCCGACCAAGAGATGAGATGCTGGATGGTATTATCTTCGAGCATACTAGTGGGACGTGCGTTAGTAACCGAGAGGCCAGACAAGCTTTGACATGGAAGAGCAGCTTACTTGTAAAGCTTGTGGATGAACGCAGTTTGTACCACTTTGGGTTGCTGGGCTGCGGCTGCAGCTCCAACAGCAGGGTTAGATGGGTTGCTCGTGCTCCCAATCTCAGAGCCATTGGTAGTAATTGCGACACGGTCGCCATCAGGGCTGCTGTGAACTGTCATAGCTGGCGCAGCTGATGAAGGGGGAGTAATCTCCATTGCTGCGGGGGAGTGGCGAGCAGACGATGAAAGAACCGGGATGTTTCGAGTTCTGCTAGACGCATCTGGAGGCCCGGCAAAAGTGTTCCTGGAGGGGGGTTCGGCGAGCCCACTCATGTCGCGCGAGTGTAATAAGGGGGCGATTTAAGTGGTGGTGAATAGAATTGCAAGTTTCGAGGTCAAGCGAATTCTGTATGTGTATATATATAAGCTATGTAAGCTGGGAAAGGTTGGGGGGGGGGGGGCCGAGTCGGGATTGAGGATCAAGAGGGTAACGCGATGAACCGTTAAAGCGGGCAGCTCGTGGCGCGGCAGAACGTGGGAGAGCAGAGAAGTAATCGCGTAGGGCTAGAGACAAGGTGTAGATCAACACCGAAGCATTGATACCTGGTCTGTCATTGCGCCCATAGAATTGAGGGTCCAGGGAAGGATTTAAGATTGAAGGTTGGAGAATAAGTTTCAGTTGCAGGCTGCGGGGAAGGGGGAAGAGGGAAGAGGGGAAAAAAGGGCGGGAAAGCGAAAGATCTCGGGATCTGCGATAGAAGCTTCCAAGGATGTTTCGGGAAGATTGGTAGAAGGTTGGGAAACCAAAAAAAAGAAGAGTCCAAGTTTGAATAGTATCCCAAAGCTAACGATAAGATGGAGGGGGAGAAAGTTGAAGAGAAGGGGAAAATCCGGTGGAGAAGAAAAAGAAAAGGGGGAGGAATCAGAGGAATGAGTGAGAGAGACTGACTTTGCTCCTGCTCCACCGTCTTTCCATACTTTGTATACTACGAGTACTACTAGTATGGTTAACGTAGTTAGAAATAGATATATGCCATTGTATAGAGAGTGAACGTTTTCATCTATTCTCAACTACTTCAATTTACTCTCTTCAAATTCCAAGGTTATACGTCTTCCTATAAGTTCTCGTACACAATGGTCTATATATAATCCTCTGCTATCTCCAAGGTCTTCGTAATAATATCCTACCAAGTGGGCCCATTTATATTATTAGACTAATATAGACCTCAGAATATAACTATCTAATAACCTTAATAATATAAGCATCGATATTAGACAAAACATATACAAATAAATGTAAATCAGAATATAAAATTGACCGCCTTGAGTAAGTGGACTTCCAGCTCCGTAGCAGATCATAGTATGTTTCGCCAACCTCCTAAATCCTGACATGGACCAGCAAATATTGTCCCACTTCAGTGCCTTACCGCCGCAGAATCGGCATGCCGTGTAAGTTATCCATGAAAATCAAGCTCCCCTGCAGCCCCCAACGGAGATGCAGAGTCAATATACAGTGACTGATCAACATTGCAGATACCATGGCATCCTGGACCAGTTGCGTCGGGCGGAGTGGCGCGAAGTGAAACACCGCGCAGATCGTATCACATTTGAATGCGATATACTAGGAAACGAAAATCTCCCTCTAGAGATTGTCGCTCTAATAGCTGAGCATCTCCACCTATCCGATCTGATTCGCTTGCAGCGAGTGTCTCGGAAATGGCACCAAGTTCTTTCATCCTCTATGGTGCAGAATGCGGCCATCCGAGCCACACTGGCTAGCGGTATCTATGAATCAGATACAAAATCTGTGATTCGAAAACGGTTACGGGCTGAACGGGGTCAACCTGCGGCGACGATGAAGTTGTCTTCTCCATTGTCGTCGGTGCATAATTATCCAAATCGCCCCCTTAACACCAATCGCGCTTTAAACGTCAATAATGCTCGCAATATCGGAGCGATGGGCTATTCAAACGGAATCTATGCGTATATAGACGCGCTTGATGATCGAACCTCTATCTCCTTGACAAATTTAAGGACAGGAAAGATGGATCGATTGACTACAGGAAATCGTGAGCCTCTGATTGAACACTCAATATCCACGCTTTTGATCGCGGCAGTATCATCACGCGGTTATTGTCATGTCTGGGATCTTCGCACGCAAGAACAAAAATCCTTTCGAATATCCTCATTAAATTATACCCATATCTTAATTAACGGTCTCAACTTGGTTGTCAGCTACCGTTCCACCATCATCCACTGGGGCTGGGAATCGGGCATTGCTCGAACTATCCAATGCCCGACTTGCGTGTTTCTGCTAGTTCCTCACCCGACAGAAGACTCGATTACGATGGTTCGTGTCGGCGAAGAGGTGTACTATGGTAAATCGATGGTAATAGCAGACCAGGAGTGCCAGATGCATGTTGAGCAATACGCTGTCGATAGCGACTCTAATGACTTCTACTGTGCACACTCGCAAGAACAGCAGTTTCCGATGATCGAGTCCGGAGAATTATATGATTTATTCGATCCACAGGAACTCTTTAAAGGTCAAAGTAGTACCATTTTGGTACGGAAAAGTCCTTCCGGGGATGATAGCGTGAAGATGTGTTTCTCGCTACAGGGCAATCAGATCATTTGTCACAGTTTCCCGGCTGCGCCTCAAGCAATGTGGATGGCTTGCGTGGGCCCTGATCTGATCTATATCCCTACCAGTGAGCACGGCATAGTGATTTTGGACTCGACGTATAAGAAGTCTCGTGCAGTGTTGTCAACCCAGGACGTGGGCGAGTGTCAACATTCGATTCAACGGGGAATCTCGCTCCAGCGGGCAATTGACGTTGGACCTTGGTATTGGGTGTCTGGTGATAGCGACTTTTTGGTTCTGGTGGATTACGGAGTCATGGAAGTTTGGGGCTTTGATGATACATGGGAGCCCTTCAGTGATCAGCACCCGGATAGACAGGCTGGTGTTATTTGAATCTTGATGTATTTTACAATCACAGATTACAAGGAAACATCGTTTGATACGATTGAAATCTCAGATCCCCTTCCGATTAGGAAATGTTAATAAAGTAAAGGGACATAGAAACACTCAAGAATACAGTGACAAAAGAAAAAGTAAATGACACACGAACGGGCAGTGCAGCAACCACATGGGGTTCTCTAATGCGTCGCTACGACCCGCGGGCTCCCAAATGCATGCCCTCATCTATATGAGTTCGACTTTCAGAAACTCTTTAGATACCCAGGGTGAACTCAACACCGACATCGATCTCACGGGCCATCTTGACGACCTTGGAGAACTGGACTGACTTCTCAGCGGCGTTCTGGAGGTCCTCAATGGAGAAGATCTTAAGACCAGACTCGTTGATCTAGAGAAGGAAATTGTAAGTATATTTGTATCAAAGAATGGTAGCACGTATTTGAAAAGGGCGAAAAGATTGAAACATACCAGCTTGTGAGCCTGCTCCATGTTGGTACCCTGCAGACGGGCGATGATGGGGGTGCGCAGACCCATGTCGTTGACAACGTTGATCAGACCCTGGGCGATAGCGTCACAGCGGACAATACCACCGAAGATGTTGACGAAGACAGCAGAGACCTTAGGGTCGCTGGTGATGAGCTCGAAAGCGCTCTTGATAGCAGCGGGGGTAGCACCACCACCAACGTCAAGGAAGTTAGCGGGGCTACCGCCGTTCAGCTTGATGATATCCATGGTGGCCATGGCAAGACCGGCACCGTTGACCAAGCAGCCAATGTCACCGTCCAGCTTGATGAAGTTCAGGCCGTGCTCAGCAGCCTTGACCTCATCGGCATCCTCCTGGGTCTCGTCGCGCCACTCGAAGACCTCCTTCTGACGGAACTCGGCGTTGTCGTCGAATCCGAGCTTGGCGTCCATAGCCAGAACCTGGTGGTCAGAGGTCTCGGACAGAGGGTTGATCTCAAGCTGGGTAGCATCCTTCTCCATGAAGACCCTGTAGAGGTTCTGGATGGTGGTCTTGGCCTCCTCGATGCATTGCTCAGAGAAACCGAGGTCGGTGGCGATGGTGCGGGCAATTTCGTCAGTGACACCGGTGTGGATGTCGATGCTTGTGGTGAGGATGGCCTCGGGGTTCTCCTTGGCGACAGTCTCGATATCCATACCACCCTGGGAAGAGGCGACGATGACGGGACCCTGGGTAGCACGGTCCATGAGGACAGCAAGGTAGAACTCACGGCGAGCGAACTTGCGCTCACAGATGTAGACAGAGTTACAGGCGCGACCGGCGGCACCAGTCTGCTTGGTGATGAGCTTCTGGCCGATCATCTGGTCGGCGAACATCTTAGCCTCGGTAGGACTAAAAAAATGAGACGTGTGAGATCACTGATCGTTATTTCGCGTTGGACGTTTGAAAATCGAATTCTACTTACGAGTAGATAACTCGGACACCACCCTTGAGGCCATTGGTGAAGTGACCCTTACCACGACCACCAGCAAGAACCTGGGCCTTGATAACCATGTCATCGTTACCTGGAAAATGAATGGTTAGCAGGGCGCAATGAAGGGGGTGGCCTATATGTATTGCGGGAGATGTGGAAAATATCAAAATTGAACAAGAATGAAAAGGATAGATATACCGATAGACCTGGCGACAGCCTCAGCCTCCTCAGGAGTGTGAGCGACTTCACCCTTGGGCACACCAACACCGTACTATCTCTTGTTATCAGCAAGCCGATCGGGGTCCAAAACAGATATTCCTCTCTGAAACCGAAGGAATCGGGGCGACGCGGGTTGACATACCTGCTTCAGGAGGCGCGCGGACAGGTACTCGTGGATGGAAAGGTTTCGCTTCTGCTGCATACCCAGGTTGGACTGGACGGAGGGCTTCTAGAAATGGATGAACACGTTAATATTCATCTTCCGGAACATCTTGACAAAGAAACCGAGCCACGGGCCGATAGCACGGCATTCACGAAGAACTTACCGTCGCAGCCCGAAGGGCGGCAGCGAAGGGGCGACCGCGGGCGAGCTTGAACATGATGAATGTGAAGAGAGGAGAGAGGAAAGAGAGGGAAATGGGTGTGATGGGCCCTGAAGGAGTTTAGGAGGGATAGTTAGATATCGAAAACTCGGGGGAGAAAGCTGTTTCTTTCTTTTTCTCGGAATGACATTGCAGTCGCGGTAAAACCGGGTGCTGCAGCCAACCAGCACCCGTCCCTGACTGACTAAGCTCCAGCCTCGGGCAGACGCGAATATCACGGAACGAACTTGCGTTGAACACATTCATTGTTGCTATTGGAATTTGGCTGGCTAGCTGGCTAAATGATACATCAAATCTATTTGGAAAGACATCACAATCATTTCGCCTTGACTTTCTGTTGTCTTGGCTTGATCCTTCCTAGTTGGAACATATGGCTGAGAACCATTCCAAAGATCCCAATCCATATCCACCCTCCCGCAGCTAACCAGATCACCCAACTGAGGCGACCTTCCCAAATATAAAGCTTTCGTCCTTGAGCCCATGGGTTAATCCAACGCCATGGTGCAGATCCATACAGAATCTGAATGACGACGCTCTGCGCATACTCATCGTGCGACATCGCGTTGTGTTGACTATGTACGACGCGTTGGAGATACTTGTCCTCGATGTCGCGGTATAAGGAATCTGGTTTTAGTTGGCGCTCAGTACGCGCGATTCGAGATGATACACCTCCAGTTACAATGGTCGTAACGTGGACCCTATCCGACAATCAACACCAAAGAAATAGAAATGCAGGATGGGATAAGGGCAGACACATACCCTAATGGGGCTACTTCGAGTCGGAGAGTGTCACTGAAAGACTGCAAAGCAGCCTTAGAAGCGTTGTAGACCGATCCAAAGACATAAGGAACAACCTAAGAGCCGGTCAATCGTGTTGAACTTCTGTCTGTGATCAATGACTGGGAACTACGTACTGCGGTGACCGATCCGACCTGCACAATGGTTCCCTTGGCGTTGATTAGAAGTGGCATAAATGTTTGACACATGTTAATAACAGAGAAGAGGTTAACCTCGAAAGTGAGGCGTGCTTCTTCTAGCTCAACCTCCATAGCAGGGACGGTATAGTCTATAAATCATTAGTGTTTGAAGCATAGGTTCGTAGCGCCCAATAAAAGCTTTTAAAAGATCATACTTCGACCTCTATAACATAAAATCAGTACGTGATAAAGCTTCAGCAAAGCAGATATAGACTCACGCATTGTTCACCAAATAATCTAGGCCTTTCTCACCAAGCCGTGTCTCCACTTCAGCATAGCAGGCTTTGACACTCTCTAGATTATCGACCTCCAAGTTCAGAGTCTCAATACCTAGATCAGACAAATCGGAGATGGTCTCTGTTTTACGAGCAGTAGCCAAGACTCGCAGACCCTGACGTTGAAATTCACGGGCCAAAGAATTCCCAATGCCACCTGGAGAGCATCTTGAATGACGTAGTTAGCGTATGTTATTTCTCCTGGTCGCTTTTGTGTATGGTACCTACCCTGTGATGAGAATGGATTTGCGAACGTCCGTAACTCCTGACATGGTTGCTTCTGAATGAAGGGTTATGCTAAGAGAAATTAGGATTGAATGAGAAAAGAACTTGAACCAAGAGCCTAGGTCGTACATAAGGTATATCTCTGCCCCCACTAAGCTCCCTCAGGTTTAGCCCCATTATTCACGCCCGGCCATTGGGGGCCCTTTGCCTCGGTTCTTCACAAGTTCAAGTTCTTCACAGGCATCATGGACCCTAAACCCTATGTCTTAGGATATCGAGGCATTTTTCTTTACTATACATTTTCGTACATTTCAAGTTTCGAATGATATATACCCCTTGCATGACTTTACAAAATCAAGCTGTGAAATGTTACATTCAATACCCGTATTTATTCCCGTTCACTGCTTTAAAGCCTAACAGGCGGGTCGAACTGTAACCGTAATACCCGACCCACATCCTGTTTCAGATTTGTTGCTCTATAAGATCGCGTTATTGATATGCAAAATGTGATGTTACTATCTAGACATCTTTATCGAAACCATTGAGGCTAATGAGCAGATAAAAATGGATGCATATTGCCTACTGGTTTTCCACAATGAAGGAAAAAGCGTATGACCGAGTTGAATGGGATACCTGACAGCATCGGAGCAACTAGTGTGGACTGTTCAGGACTGCCAACAGCAGTCCCTTTGTGAGCTTTGCCATTGACCGGATCCCAATCGACGCCAAAATCCCCAAGACTCGATCCAGACGTGCTCAGTGGCTAGATTAGATTAGGTAGCAGACGATGTACATAAGAGAGAGATAGTATAAGAGAGATTGGGGACTCGAACTGCTGATTACTTACAAAGTAGAATCAGAAGTAAGACCTTGAAATTAACGAGGGTAAGCATCTGAAGCATCCATGTCAAGTTCCAGATTTCTATGCCCTACACAAGCCCAGTCTTTATGAACCCCGTAGCCATGATTGTATAGGATCTCGGAATAATTCGATACAATACAATGATCTACATATTGGTCTTTTTTGGCTGTATAGAATAGGACGACCCGAAGCTGATTCTACTATGTACTAATATTTATAAATTATATTACGGTTATAAAATGGATTAAAGTGTTATACTCTAATTGAATTAAAATTGAGACTCCGCAATGGGACTAAGCGTTCACCCGGCTAACTCGGACCAATAGCGGGGGCAATCACTGCCCAAGTGATGTTAGCCCAGACACTGTTGCGTGGACCTCGAAACTTGGAACTTGAAACTTTGACTTTCTGAATAAATTTGCCTTCGAAATCTATTACTCTCCCTCATGTTAATGTATCGACGATACTCGTGAGGATCCTAAATACGCCAATGTACGGAATCGAAATACATTATTCTTCTAGACAGACATGGTATCTGAATTTCCGGTTCCCCGACACATGAGAATACCGGGCGAAGACGGGTACCGAACCCCGACTATAGAAGATGCCGAACAAATGAGCTCTATACTTGGGAGTATAGAAATTCAAAGAAGCCAAAGCACTGCTCGTGATGCACATGCTAGTGCACTGGAAGCAACGGTGGCAAAGACCTCATCGCGCACTACGGGGAATTCGTTTAAGCAGGAGGTTGCCCACTGTGCAGAGCCCGATAGTGAACATGCGCGCTTTGATCGAGTCCGCGATGAATATTCTGCACCGAAACTCCTCTGGAAGGAACGTATTCGGCATGTAACTTGGGCTTATTTTACGCTGACTATGGCTACGGGTGGCTTGGCAAATGTTCTTTACGAAGGTGAAATATTCATAGTTCAATACTTCATCGCGGGAAACTTGAACTAAGTTATACTAACAATTCGCAGTTCCGTACCGTTTTCACGGCATAGACACGATTGGGACTGTCGTCTTTCTGATAAATATTGTCCTTTATCTTTTTGTCTGGGGCCTTTTACTCGCACGATTTTTTTATTACCCTTACACTTTCAAAGCGTCTTTTCTCCATCCTACAGAATCCCTATTTGTTCCCGCCTCAGTGGTGTCTTTTGGTACAATCTTGATCAACATCTCTCAGTATGGCCCAGAGAAAGCAGGCCCATGGCTACTGGAAGCCGTTGGTATTTTGTTCTGGATCGACTGCATCCTCGCTGTAGTATTTTCAGCAGGTATCTATCTGACCATGTATGAAATCATCGGATATATCATCCAAATGAAAAGTAAAACTAATTCAATTCATAGCTGGTCGACACAAACATTTACAATCGCCCAAATGACGCCTATCTGGATTTTCCCTGCTTATCCCATGCTCATCATCGGTCCTCATGCGGGAATTCTATGCCAAAAGCTAGAACAGGGTCGCTCATTACGTATCATTGTGGGCGGCGTTACTATCCAGGGAGTTGGATTCCTAGTGTCCTTGATGGTATATTCAGCCTTTATCTACCGACTCATGACTCAAAAGTTACCGAAAGAAAACATGCGACCTGGTATGTTTGTTTCCGTCGGACCGAGTGGATTCACAGTCGCCGGTCTTGTGAATATGGCAGCAGGAGCAAAGCGCTCGTTCCCATCTGATTTTATGGGAAATGGGGCATTAGCTGCGGATATAGTGAGAGTAACGACTGATTTTGCATGTTTATGGCTGTGGGGGTAATTATCTCTACCAACCTTGCTTATGATTCTTCATGGACTAATTTTGAATAGATTGGCGATTTTCTTCTTCATCATTGCGAGTGCAGCTCACTGGTCTGCTATTGGACCGGGGAAGATGGTATTCTCGATGACATGGTATTCCTTTGTCTTTCCGAATACTGCATTGGTCACTGCGACTTTCGCGATTGGCAAAGCATTCTCTTGCGATGCGATTAATATCATTGGCTGTGTTGCGATCTTACCGCTGCTTCTGATGTACTTCTTTGTCTTTTACATGATGGTGAGGGCTGTCCTTCTCCATCAGATCTTGTGGCCGCAGAAGGGTGAGGATCGAGACGAGGGTGGCTTTGAGATTATACGGATCAATCCTGCTGTGTAGGCACATATCCTGCTGATTTGGCGCGAATAGTCTGGCTTAAAATTGTTGTCTGTCGTCTTGATACCCCTGTTTTCTTTTCAAGAAACGACTGAAAAGTGTTGCATTTACATTACTTGCATATTTAAAATTTGGTGCAATATCTTCATCGAAATTCCTTTATTCATCAGTTTAAGATTGGACATTCCGATTATATACAAATTTATTTACTAGCCAAATGTCTCGAGTGCTCGTTGGCTAGATCCTCAATTGTACCGCGGTATCCATCTGGGAGTGTTCCGGACTGCCAACTGATTAGTATACGGAAGTATTAGGGATTATTTTATGGTGCGGTACCTCGTTCTTCAAAAGCTCTTGGACAAGCACGAATGCATTATCTCGGTCCTTGTTGACCTGGTTCTCATCGGGCTTCTCGGTTGTATCGTCATTGGAAGCTTCCGTGCTGAGAGTATGCTTGAGTAGCTCCAATACATCCTCGTTCTGCAGACAGTCTGCAACTGCCACGCAACCGGATTTGGTGTTAGCCATAAGAGCTAACGCAAACCATCCTTCACTTCGGACAACGGGCCATTGGGTTTGTGTGATCATTGCGCCGATTGGGCGAGCAACACCCTCATGCAAATCGTAAAGTGTGTTCAATAGGGAGATTGCTTGCGCATCTTCGGTAGCAATCTTGGGGGTCACAGTTCGACATATAGAAGCGATGGTGCGGCCAATTTCGGTCTTGATTGGAGCGGAGTCTGTCTTCTCGAAAAGCAAGAGAAGAAGAGATAGGTATGTCCGTCGATGGGCGGGTGAGTCAAGATCATCAGATAGTGGCGATAGCAGTTTGGAGATATTGTCCATTGACGAGATAATGACTTGGCGTGCAATCGTGGCGGCAGAAAATTGTACCTGGGGAACTGACTCAAATGCCCATAATCGTGAGACGGCAGGAATAATTCCTGCCTCAGCTAGGGTGATGCGATTGTCACCTGCGATTGCCAGATTCTTCAAAAATCCTAGAGCAGCATGTAAGACGGAGCCTCGGGCCTCGCTCTGAAGAACTGATATCAATTCTTCGTGAATCTTTAGTTCTTTGACCATCGCCTGGCAGACCTCATCTGATCGAGCTAGGTTACCCAGCATCACACAAGCACAGATCTGAAGCTGATCCTCCTCGGCGACGATCCACGATTTGAGCTTTTGGGATAATGGAGAAGAAAGAGGGTAATGTTCTGAGAAGAGTGGTGATGCAGATACTTCGCCCAGCGCCTGGTTAACCTTCAGACGTGATTGTGCCATACTCTGAACATCTTCTTGGGAGGATTGATCAACTTCAATAGAGAAAGATCGATATAAGACAGAGAGTAACGTCTCCACTAGGTTGTGCGCAACGCATGTGTTTTGGAATCGTTCTTTTTCCAGGTACGCGAAGAGACTGTTGATCAAGGTTGAGTAACGTTCCAACTCTATTTCTTTGTTCAATGCAAGTTCCATGAGAAGCAGAATAATCCCGTCCGGAGCGTTCTCGACCCCTTGTGCTGTTCTTTGTTAGTTTTTCATCAATCAATGGATGCGTGTAAAGTATGTTCTACCTTGTTCGGAGGCTAATTCAACCAAATCATATGAGAAACTGAGCAAAGCCTCATTATCCCCAACGGAATTGTCCTTCAGCATGCGCAATACAATATATGCCACTTGGTTTTCAGCTATTTGCGCATGCGCCGGCTCTATAGATGTATCAGCAAATGCAATGTATAAATCAAAATGAAGGTCCTCTCACCGTAATCCATGCAGATGTTATAGATCACCGGGATCGCCACCTGAATTAACTTAGGATTGAGAAAATGCCTAACAATGACACGAGTGTAGTTGCTATCCACAACAATCTTCCTGTTCTCATCAGTATCGGCACAAGAGTTGCCGACTAAACGCAAGGAGTGAAGCAGTATATCCGAATCAATTTCTTGCTTAGACGAAATTAAATCTAAGAAGAATTTGAGAATACCAGACTGGCCAATAGGGCCCCTCCATGATTCTAATAATCATTAGTTTAACAGTGGACGGTAACAATCATAAAGAGAACTTACCTTCTCGGCTTCCGTTGGCAAGGACTTCAGCTGCTTGTGCCATAAACTGAGAGTTGCATGACCATAATTGAATCAGGGTATCATGCACACTTTCTAAAATCTTGGCATCCCGCGATCCGAGACGTGCCTCTCCCTCTGCTTGTCCCAAAGAAGCATGCAGTTCTTTCAGATCGAAGGTGTTGCTCGCCTCCGTCGTTTCGGCGGTGCGTTCAATTACATTTTTCAAAGCACGAAACATTTCTTCTTGCTTTTCAGTCTCAAGTTCTGTAGTGTCCCTCTCTTCAAGTGAGCTCAGTGTATCAGGTAGACCTGATAGAACTTTATCCACAGATGGCAAGTCGAGCGTTGACACTGAGCCTGAGAGTTGGCTCGTTTCGTCGGGGGCTCCATGGCCGGTAAATATAGGTCCTAGGGAGGCCATATTTTTTGTATTCTCAGTTCTAGGCTGGTGAGAGCCTCAATCGTTGCCTTGAATAGTTGATTCTGGAAAACCGAGAAAACAGGCACCACATGGGTGGTGGAGAGTGCTGCCTGAGGTGGATTCAGGCATCAACTAGATTAGTTAGTGATCTGCGCCTAAACAGTTATCACTTTCGAAGGGAACTTGGGAAAACCTGGGTGTGCTTGGCGCCTAAAAGAGTCACTCAGCCATGAAGAGCTGCCCCTCGTACATTCCTATGTATATAAGGTATCAAACTTGGAACTGGGTTCACTGCATGTGTGTACTGTCGTATACACTAGCAGTTGACACCGCCCGTGCGAAGAGTCTCGAGGTCACGTTACTGCAATTCAGCAGGACCAACAGTTCTAATGTTCAAATTAGGCTTCGTGCCGCCTACATTCCTTTTATCTATTTGATATCTGTCATTAGAGAGACAAATAGTTATTAGTTTATCTCAGGCTATTCGCTTGGTGAATATCTATTTAAGAATTTGATGAACAAGGCTTCAATTTGTGTTATGATCCGTACTGTAGAGTGTAGTTCCCCCTTCCGCTAAGCTGAGAGAGTTCGAGTTCCGCCTTCGGGCCAGAAACCGTCAAATCCCCAAGCTGGCCTTAGCCTCTCCCCTTGTACAAATCCAATACACTCCTTTATACTCAATCAATTGAACCGGTGCAAATCGGCTCTGTCATCTCTCCTTTGTCGACCTTTTTAATTAATCACTTTAACGCTTCACCACTCCATCATGACGCGCGCGCAGCAGACCCTCTCTGTCCTTCTCCTCGTCTCCTCCGTACGTTCACTACTAACTACTCGCGCGCCCTCTATTTTCATCTCCACGAGAGCATTCCCATAATACAAAACTAACTCTACTTCTTTCCTTAGCTTTACCTCAGTCTCTACCTTGGCCTTGTTCCCCTGAACGAAACTGTCCAGAACGAAATCATCCCCGTGGTATGTCCATTCAAGCTTCCGCAGCTCATCCAGACCAGACCCGACTAGACCGATCTCAATACTAATCAAACTTTGGTGCACTAGCTTCCCTTCTGGGCGATTATTTGTTTCGGAGCCTACCTACTCGGCCGCCTGGGTCTTGCGATCTTCACCTTCAACGACGTCCCCGAGGCACACGCAGAGCTGCAGAAGGAGATCGAACTGGCTAAAGTTGAGCTGCGCCAGGGCAAGGTGGACATCGACTAAACCTGTTCACAAAATATACGCGTTGCAGTACATCGTTATGCGGGAGTCATTCTACAATCTTCCGGACTTTTGGGATGCGGAAGCGTGACTTTCCCCATTGAGAGTTGAAGCGGGGCATTCTAGGCCATGGTGCCTTTTTCAATTGCTATTTCTGTCGCATTCAATAAATATACGTCTGATACCCTTCATTATACAATATTCTGTCAAGCAGGAGCCCTCGCAATGCCCAAAGGGTAGAGTTACATGGGCTCAGGGAGGCGTAGGTGTGTTTGAAAGAAGTAACTTTTAACTCTAATTCATATGTATCGTAAATTAACATGTTCGGGTCCAGGTGGACACTGAGTTTGAGCTTGGGGTCCAAATAGCCGCCTGGTAGATCAGGGCGCCGTACAAAATGCTGTTAGACTATGCAAGTAAGGTCCGGTGATTTTAGAAGAGAGGGTTCTCCTTAGACAGAGCATCGTGCTCATCAATATCCCTACTGATTATTAGCTTGTGTTCAATGACTGTGCATAATGATTCGGTATCAAAACGTACTTAGCCTCCCAAGGATAGCAGATCCACACATCCTCGGTGGTAACGGAGGCGTGGTAACGACCGCTCTCCATCATATCGGCCGGCAGAACACCCTTCTTCTCCTTGTTCTTGTTCTATTATCCCAGGAAATAATGCGGTTAGTATGAAAGAATGATCCTTCTGGAGTTTAATAAGCCTAGTTTGTAACTCACGTGCAGGACAAAGATGAAGAAGTTGGTCTTCTCGCCCTCACGGCCGAGCTGCTTCTGGGCAATCTCAACATCCTTCTCCAGCTCGCGCACGGCATATTCCAGAGTAGTGCGGGTGTCATCGACCTCATCCACGATCAGAATGTTCTTGCCGATCAGGTTGGCCATCTCCAAGGAGCTCAGGTCCAACCATTGTGTGCGGGTCACCTTGGTACCGGGGACCTCCTCAGCATCGCCCTTGCCGAGATCCTCATAGAGGGACAGACCGATGGCCTGGATAGGGATGTTGGCGTCACCGGGGCGCTTGAGGAAGGATCTGTTCGCAAGAGACGGATTAGAACGTGCGCTTTCTGGTGGTTCGTTCTCAAGCGCAAGAAGAGCGTATCATCAGGTACATACCGGAGAATACGGGCAGGAACGTAACCACCACCGCCAATAGCGATCATCAGGTTAGGGTGGAACTCCTTTAGGATCTCATCTGCGGAGTTCTGGCACAGCTTGTGCACCTATAGATGGGATTAGCCTTTTTTTTTTTTTTTATATCAAATCCACTTTAAAAGAGCCAATCTGAGCCAATCAATATATCAAAATCTCGTTGAGAACAAGAGTGAACGTGCATATTGCATGACTGTAGATCGATGACAAGTGGAGGGAAAGTACAAAAATCGTACCTGGTTGTAGGTAACGTAGACTTTCTGAGGCATTTTGGCGGATTTGAGTTTGAGCTGGACAGGGTTCAGGGATATGTATAGTATATATCAAGGTTTCAGATCAGCAAGACTGAGGGTCTTCAACTGAGAGGGTTTAGGAGCTGGGGAACGAGGGAAAGAAGAAAAATCTCCACACAGAAAAGCCGAAATTTTCGGATCGGCATCCCCTCTGTTATCCGTGGGCGCGGGGCTTATCGCCGGACATTTTGACATATGCCGACACGATCTATATGATAGTCTAAATATAGGTCCACGAATAATTGGAGGTATTTTGAACTCGACCTTACGGTAAATCAGATTACTGATATATCTTGGATTTACTATGAGAGATGTCATTAATATCCAATTAACCCGTCACCCAGCTACTGGGCTGAGAAATAACCTTCCCTCGCGCTTTTTCTCCAGTTTCAACAAAATCCGATCATAGTATCTCCTCAAGTGCCCAACTTTATCTGTTCAAGCTATCTCTTATAATGGTTTGTATGAAGTTTATTGTCATATTCTCCAATCCTAAGTCGTCTATCGCGAGAGCCGATGCTAGCCGGGGGTTCTCTGTACCTGATGATGATTCTAGCCGACCACTTAGTATTCGAATCCTGATGCCAGAGCAAATCCAGGCAGTATGTCTTGTTAAAGCCAATCGTGTTTATTTGAGTTTCTCGCATCTTTGAAACCCTTGACAGCGCCATCCGGAAATGAATGTTAGCAGAATCAGTGGATAGACATCGACTGACTATATTCCCGTCTTATGGCTGTCTATTTTGCCTGTCCGAATCGACAAGTCTTTTAAACTATTTCGCGGACAATATCACCTTGTCGCAAGTTCATGAACACATTATACTTCAAACCCACACTTGAGCTGGACGTTCCACCTGTAGACCAACGCCTATAATACGGAACGCTGATTCGAGCCAACAACCATCTACCTCTCCTGAGCTTTCCTTTTACCGACCTTGACTGGAAACAGAAGAATGATTGAGGCCGACAGAGGAGGTGGATTAAACCTCCACGCTCAAGCTCATGGTGAGAGGTGGCTTCATCATGATGGAGCACGGCCCCTATACATGCCCATCTCTGCCATTGGCTCTATCTACTCTTTGTTGAAAAAACTTCGATTTATCTCTAGAGTGTCATGCGAGTCATATTAATGGCTACCGTACGTATCTCAAATATGCGACAACTCGTCGATGACAAGGAGGGGGAAATACCACCATTTCCTTCGGACCCTTAATACAAGGAGGCAGTGTCTGTGTCAAGCAGACATTGCATAATCACCGACTCGTACTCGGCTGGAACACGCAGATGGGGAAGAATTTATTCCTCGCCCTTCGCTGTACCTTCACTCGGTCTTATTTTTCAATGCATCCGCGCCTTTAACGGGATTCATTGCGATAACAAAATCTTTCCCCTCGGGCGGTGCTTGTTCGTATGGGTCTTGGAATAGTGTGTTACCACTTGGGTCGACGTCACTCTGGTGGAGACAGTCAAGAACCTGATCCCGAATTGTCCTTGCTCCCAGGCTTCCGAATTTCATAGAAATGGATCCGAGAATTTTGAGATTCGCTTGATGATCGCCATCTTCATCTTAGGGGACATCGTTGAAACCTTGGAATCTTCTCGGACCTCCCGGTCTCAGATCCCTGGTAGTCGCTTAGGACTCGGCTATTGTTGTCAAGATCTTCGTCTCAGGGGAAATCATGATTTTCTTCCAATCTAATGCACGGCGAATTATCGAAATCGAAACCTGTTTCAGAAATGAGGCCATGAGGTCCACGGGTCATGCGAGGGTGCGAATTAATCTGTAATTGTGGTCCTCTGAACCAGATTATTGGACAAGACACATACATACAGAGGCTATTTCCAGCCCTCGAAGCGAACTGTAAACAGTGGGTTGGGCAGAAGATCAGCACTGGCTTAGAGAAAAAAAGATTATGGACTCGGCCCCGGGGGTGAAGAATCTCCACTCGGGCGCACACCCCATGAAAATCCCTCAGCTCTCGAAAAAGAAACCAATTGAAAATAATTTGACTGGCGATACAGAATATGGGTCCCGATGACGCGTGGGCTTTTTTTGCTGCTCCTTTTTATGGGGAAATTCTGCTGATGCAGCATGCGAGGATCCGATGCGCGTCACGTTTATGCAGTACGTATACGCCCATGGATATGCATAAGATAGGGTCCGTTTGAGGCTCCATATGTCTTACACTACCCAAGGATTCAGCCGCAGACAGCGGTGTATCGATTAACTCGATTCCACACGCATACATCATAAGCTTCTGGCGATAAGAATAGCCTGTGTGGAGCTTGTTTTTCATTGCAAACTTGAAAGTGGGATGCATGGCGATGCATGGCCATGTGGGCCAACCTGACCCTGCAGTACAGTACAGTATGAAGAATCCAATTACATACTATAATTAGCAAGATCGGCGAAATTGACTAGGCTTGTGGGGCATTGTTGAATAAACGATTCGCCATTGGAAGCATTGCATGTACATACAGTATGAAGCCGCAAAGGCGATCATAGCCATGATCAGGAATGATTGGCAATTCGAAATTAACATCTCGGGTCTCTTTCCCCTGCCTATCCTCTTCCCGCCTTTAAATGAATTCAATTGCCAGCAGGTTTGTGGAATCAGCCGCAGCCTCGTCTCAGAGCTTTTCATGGACATACCGAGTACAGTATAATAGCCTAAATAGTATTATGCAAGACTACTGCATCGGTGTATGCCAAGCTTTTGCTCAACTGGTGTCGTACAAGACTCAGTAATGATTTTCGCATCCTTTGGCCCCCATCGACATTGCCTATCTCCTGGCCCCCTCCTTCATATACTTTGAAAGTGGGTTCAATACTATAGCCTAGTCCCTTTTTGCGCAACGACTGCGATATACTGTAGTTGCGACCAATACGTAACTTGCTGGCCCCCCTCTGGACCCGTAATGCTCTGGATATCCATTCAGTCGACTGTACTATGTGGATAGCACTTCGGAGTACGGAGTATAGGTTACATGAAACTGACGATCGCAACCTTGGAATGCAATATGGCGGTGGCATGAGGCCCCATGGCATTGATACAAGATATGAATAGAACAACTCCATGACTTCAGTCGAAGGTATATAAATCAGAGAATTTCCTTTGGAATTAACTCCTTCATAATCCATCAATCCCATCTGATACTCACAAGACTCCATTTCAAGGTTCGTTCCCATTTCTTTTCTCTCATCTCCTTAGGCATACCAATGCCGATTTCATCCACGGGCACTCAGAGATCACATACTGACAGTTTCAAACAGTTTAACTTACCTCCCTCACATCTCAACCCATCACCATGTTCTCTTACAAGAGTTTGGCCGGTCTCTTCATGACCTTGTCCTTGGCAGCCGCCAACATCGATACTCCCTCTGGTGCCGATATGTGTGAGAGCCAAGGCGAAGGCAGCTGCCAGTTTGCGACTTTCGACATTACCGATGACTCTGGCGGCATCTGCTCAACCGCCTTGACAAGACAGGCGGTTATCTACGACCACGCTTGCAACCAGATCGGTTGGTCTAGCGACTTCTTCCAGGAAGGTGATTCGATTGACTCTCAGTTGCCATACACCGTCAGCATTATCAATGAGAATGGTGGTCAGACTGCGGACTGCCGTATGAAGTATACTATTAGCTACAGTGATGGCACATATGGATACGGTATGCCCGAGAATGGTGCCTGGAACTCATGCGACGCCGAGTCCGGAAAAGCCTGCAGCTGGTACCGTACGGCATTCCCTTGCCCTGGTTTCTAGGCTCATGGCTAGTCTACAATGGCAAGGCAGCTTTCATTGCATAGGAATTTGAATATAATAGATGGTTGGGGTCGTTTTTCTATTAAGCTTGTATCTAGCAACTGACAATATATACACAAAGTTTCCAAATTAATACTGTGCTCACGGACTCTCACCACTTATCTCGGCAAACCTTCTCCTGGGCATATGCTCGGTATCGACTTAGGAGATCAGTAGCGTCTAAACCTGCAGCCCCTAATTTGGCCGGATAATGTGAGACTAGACCTTTGCCATCAATGCTGACATGTGGTCGTGTCCCATCCGCCTGAACCCATGACTCCGACGAGTCTCCGTGAGTTGACTGGCGCACAAAAATGTCACGCAGCATCTGGGCATCTCTTCCCCAGAAACATCCAAAGTTGAAGCTGATCGGCTCAGTTGGATCTTCCCAGATTGGGAACTTATACCTGTTCAATTTGTTCCACTCTAAGTTGTGAAGGAAAGAGTAGTGCTGCTGGGCAGCGACAGTCCAGTCGTTCAAAGTCGGACCAGTATCGGTGTACACCGATGCAGCAATGGGGTCTCTATCCGCACCTGCCCCGGCGGGTAGCAACCAGCGATGACCCTCAAAAGGCGCTTCGAATCCTTTCTGAACTTTGAAATTCTCGGGACCCTCCCAGGCAGGGAGGCTCGAGGTGCGCCAATCCTCTCTTAACTGAGACTTCGATCGAGATGCCTGCTTAACGTGATGCAGTTCCGGTAGGTATGGAAGTGCAACGCCTGGGTGGCTGTGCAGTGATGCAAGCGCAGCTTCATTTGCGACATTGGCAGAAACCATCAGTGAGTCGGGATGGTCCAACTTGGTCTTGACAATTGTAGGAATAGTGTGATCTTCTAGGAAAACGGTATCCCCATCGATACGAATATACATGACATTATCCCGGAGAATCTTCCAGTCTATGTCCTTACCCGGAGGAGCCATTGAATATTCGGGCGTTCGCAGAACGAGAGATTGTAGCCAATCCAGACTTATAGAATCGTGTGTATCCGGAACAAAAACAACCTGATCAAGCAGTCCGCGGTTATGAACTAGGTTTTTCTGCTCTGGAAGTTAGCTGGTGTTTATTTCCATTTGATTTTGGAGAAATAAAAGGTTGTAACTCACCTGCAGGTAGCAATCAAGAATCTCCGTGCGTTCATGATACCTAAATGGAACCACGGCGATGATCTTGAAGTCGGTTGGCTTGGGAAAATAACCCGAGCCATGCGAATATGCAAAGAACGGAGAAATATCCTTATTGAACATCAAGACTGATGGATCAAATGGCAGGAAAGATGGATTAAAATAGCCAATGACGGTCATGATAATACACAAGTAACCAACAATACTCCAGATAAATACTGCTGCCCAATCTCGCCAGGCTGGACGCTCCTGGTCGTCGTTCGACTCAACATCATGAGCGGGTTGTGGGCGGCCCATTGTGAAATGACCTGGCTGGGTATGAACTCGAAGTCCCCCAGAAGAAGCAAAAGAAGTGCAAATTTCTTCGTAAGTGTTTAGGGTTCTAGTGGCCCATTTAATGGCACCCAGTGTTGGCCTCCGTTATGGGACCATGATCTACGGGCCTGTTTTCGGAACATAAAGCCTTTGTAACTGAATCGGCAACGACCTCAAAAAGAACATGGACTCCGGTAAGATCGACGTACAATCTCTTTTTGGTTGAAAAATAGCTGCCAGGTGGACGGAATAGGAAATGTTCTCATTGAATCTTATAGCAAACGGATAAAATGTGAAGAATGTAGATTGGAATGCATACTGGAATGTGGGTCTAGGGGTTGGGTAGACGGGAGGATCCAGATAGTAAGAACCTTGGAACTCCTCTGAGCACCCGGGGCTGTATTGGGAGTTTATTATAGTAGGAAAATTAATGACTTGAAGTTTCTCAGGATACAGTATATAAAAGAAACTGCTGATGTGCATGCCACAGTATATGAATAGCTAGAGTATGAACATGTCGTGATCGCGTTCGTATTCGTATTCACGTGTTTACTGTATGGACAGGTCGTGTATTCTCTCTCTTCACCTCCTCTTTGTCCTTGTTCATCCTGTCATATCATAATATACTAGAGAAGTGAGCTCTTCGCAAGGATCAACATCATGATATGAATCACCTGTTTCCCTGTTTTTTTCCAAAGTTAAGTGTTGATCGATCCAAAGCTGTGATGACGTCGTAACACGTGCCGGTTATCGATCGGCTTTATCGTCGGCTTGTCATCTCTCATCTCTCCCATGCATCTCCATGGACCATACTAGACCATGAGGACGGCCCTCCTCAGTCGTTTATGCTTAAGACGTGGGATCTCGCGCATCCCGCAACGTCGATTAATATCATGGCGCGTTCCTCGAAAGACCCCATCGCGGGGTCCCCTTCTCGGTGGGATGGTGATGGCCGTGCTAGCCCCCGGCGCATTCCTCAAACTGGCGGAGGACTCGGACTGCCCCGAAACAACGGGTGAGCAACAGATGCTTGAAGCTTCTCGAGATGAGATTCGAATAAGTGTCTCACCAGATGCTCGGGGGTTAACTCGTGTCTGCCAAACCCTTACCGTCGGGTTCTATCACTATGTTTACGATCCAATCGCTACTGGGTTCCGGTTCCTTCACCTCTTCGTCATCTTCATGCCTGTTATTGTGACTGTACCTATGATATGGGTTGGTCGAGCGCTTGAGAGTAATAATGGAGCGCAATGGGGAACAATATGGTGGTATCGATTCCTGGTCAAGGCGATGGAGCGCGCTGGACCAGCTTTTATCAAGGTATGATTGAGTTTGAATCTTGATTCATTCACTGAACTGTATGCTGACCGCAGCTATCTCACTACATAGCTTGGTCAATGGGCTGCTTCTCGAACCGATATATTCCCTCCTGAGATGTGCACCGTTATGTCCTCCCTCCATTCGAACGCGCCTGCCCATTCTCTACGCGACACCAAGAGAATCATCCGAAAGGCATTCAATGGCCTGCCATTCGAAGACATATTCGAAGAGTTTGAAGAAGAGCCTTTGGGTGTAGGCGCGATTGCACAGGTCTATAAAGCCAAGCTCAAGCCTAGCTTGGCTACCAGCAACCCGGAACTGGGTGATGAGCCTACGACACTGGGGGAGAAAATGAGAAAGAACGTTGACGTTTTGGTGAAGAGCTCACCCCAAAGAGTCCCTTCATCATATGTGGCGATCAAAGTATTGCATCCCCGAGTGGAGAAGATGATCCATCGTGATCTGAAAATAATGTCGTTCTTCGCCTCATTACTAAATACCATTCCCACAATGAATTGGCTATCCTTTCCGGACGAGGTCCAGCAATTTGGGGAGATGATGAAGCTCCAGTTGGACATGCGCATCGAAGGCACCAATCTTGTTAGGTTCCGGGAGAAATTCAAGACACGGACCACGGCGTGGTTCCCTTACCCGTATCTTGATTACGCAACTCGAGAGGTGTTAGTTGAGGAATTCGCGCAAGGCATCCCACTGGCCACTTTTCTGGAAATTGGAGGCGGTGTTTATCAGCGTGAGATCGCTAATGAGGGCCTGGATGCCTTTTTGCATATGCTTTTGATTGATAACTTCATCCATGCGGATCTGCACCCAGGGAACATTATGGTGCGATTCTACCAGCCGAGTGAACTTGATCTATCTCTACGCAAGCATTCACGGGCTACTGATGCCCCGACTCGCGCGGAGGTAGATGTAACTGAATCCGTACTTGCTCGGTTGCGTCCCCATATCGGCAACCAGCAGGAATGGGATGCAGCTCTAACCCAGTTAAATCACGAGGGATTTCGTCCGCAATTGATATTCATTGACACTGGCCTGGTGACCGAGCTCAATGATGACAACCGACGGAACTTCTTGGACCTTTTCCGAGCCATCGCCGAATTCGACGGATACAAAGCAGGCCATCTTATGGTTGAACGATGCCGTACCCCGGAACAAGTCCTCGAACCTGAAGTTTTCTCATTGAAAATGCAGCATCTTGTGCTGAGTATTAAGACGCGCACGTTTGCACTGGGAAATATCAAGATCGGCGATGTGCTAAGTGAGGTCCTGACAATGGTTCGCGGTCACCATGTCCGGTTTGAAGGCGATTTTGTCAACGTGGTCATATCATGTCTCCTACTTGAAGGCATTGGACGAAGTTTGAACCCTGATTTAGATTTGTTTAAGAGGTATGTTGGTGTTTCGAGATTATCGGAAATCGCAAAACTAACCTGATATCACCAGCTCTCTCCCCATTCTTCGGCAGTTGGGCTCTGGCTCCACCTTTATACAGACAGTGCGTTCGGGGGATACATCGATGCTCCGTGTCTGGGTCGGCTTAGAGGCTCGTGGACTGCTGCAGGCCAGCATCGAGAGTGTGGAGCAGTGTGTCAAGTATGACCAGTTGTCGCCAAATATTTGAGATCGTCACGAATCAATACGCACTACAGTGTCAGTGCCCAAGTGACCGGGAAATGGACTAGCCTCGAGGGCGCAACCCCGCTCACAAGTACATAATATCATTACACATAGAGTGTTAGATAAGATGAAGTAATTTGCAAGTTAATATTTTGAACCAACCTTCAATTCTTGCATAGCTGGCAAGAGCCGACTATCCCCGAGGTCTCTAGACACAGAACATAGTACTCTGCCTTATCGTCTACATATCAACCCTTTCATGATTCTCTTCCCGCGGTCTGCCAGCTGGGCCATACATTACATGCCAGAAATTGAAATGAAAGTCTTATATTCTCATAATAATCACTAATTCATACTAAAGAATCTTGGACCCACTCTCAAGTGTACCAAGAAGCTTCGGGGTACTCGTGCAAGAGAGCAAATCGCCCTAATTCCCGGTTCTTATATGCCACAGGATCATGAAGGGTATGAGTACGAATATCCCTCCAGAATCGATCAAGTCCTACCTTCAACGAAGTCGCCCGAGCACCAGTCACTTCAAATACACCTGAAGTAACCCTCAGTCCAACGTCTGTAGCGACAACCTTGATGCTAGCAACCCATTCGGCAGCCTCGCCTCGCTCTTCCGGAGTCAGACTTGCTCGGTTAGAACCATATTTGCTGTATACCGATGAAATTTGTTCTCCTGCACGGTCGGCCAACGCCTCAGCAGCTCGCAAGTGGGCGAAGAAGTTACCATATCGCTCCAGGATATAGAATTCATCTGTTGCTGATTCTTTGTTGTCTCCGCCAAATGGCCATGCGCGCGTATTGCCGACAGTGTACTTTGATGCGAATTCAAGAGCTCCGATCGCAATTCCAAGGTAGAAATTGCTGAAGACCAGTTGGATACTAAGAAAATGATTAGTTATGGGAGCTTGAATATGTGGGTGGTAGTAATAACATACGTTGGGAGGAGTAGAGAGGCAAATGGGATCTTCAGGATATCCTCTCTTGGTTTCTTGGTGGCTGCGTCCCAGCCCAAGGCATCGGACCATGGGACCCGAATGTTCTCGATCTTTACACCTCCAGACTCTGTTAGGCGCAAACCAATGTTGTGCCAGTTATGAGCGAATTTGATTCCGGGCTGTCTGGTCTCTACCAGGGCAAAGATGTGGTCTTCTGTGCCTTCCAGGACACCTTCCAGAACGGTGAGGTCGGATACAACACCACCAGTGTTGAAGAATTTGGCACCGTTGAAAACAATGTCATCGCCGTCTGATGTGATCTTAAGGTCGCTGTCTCGGGGATTGACAGCGCCACCGACGAAATAGTTGTTCTTAATAATTAACTCATGGGTACGCTCGATCTGTTCCGGTGTGCCAACGACGTTGGCAGTGGTTGACCATAGAAGGTGATAAGCGAGCAACATTCCAATGGAACTAATTAGGACTGTCAGTATATCGTTTTTCTCTTTTTTCTCCTTTTTCTTCTGATATGATAATGCTTGAGTTGGGTAGCTCTTACCCATCTCCCTTGGCGACCTCGCGAATGGCTTGGTATCCGACACTCCAAGGCTGCTCACCACCACCATATTTCTTAGGACCCAGAAGCTTAAGCAAGCCTGAGTGTTTCAGAAGCGCGATTTCCGCGCGAGGCGATTTGTTCTCCTGGTCTCGCTGGGCTGCATCTTGAGACAAGACTTCAGATACCTCGCGAGCCCTCGCGAGCCAGGCATCAGAGCTATCAGGCTGGGTAGCCCATTTAGCTTGATAAGAAGCATAGACAGCTTCGTCAGAGGCTGGAACGTTGGCAGCCATGATTGGACAAGTTATGCAAATATACAATTAAGTTGTTCTCAAAAAAAGGTCTTTCCGATCGATAAATGTAGGGGAAATAGCAGTATATCTATCATTTGTCAATATTAAATGACATGCTGTTCGTAGATAATGATGCCATACACATCATCTTGCATGTTTGTAGCTCAAAATTGTGATTGTGACTGTGACTCGGCCGACAAGATTTGCTTGTTCGAATATCTATAGCTGTTGGTTTCGTCAAATGAACGGGTGATGTCGTTATCATCATATGCAGTACATGTAGATCCCCCCACGCGCCCCAATTATGAACGCGATCGCGATATCCACTCGGTTTTAGGTACATTGATACAGTATGTATTTTGTATCTCCAGTGCGAGTTCAAAGATTAATCCGCACAGGCTACAGAAATAGGTTTGAGGCTTCAAAATCGAAAAATAACACACCATTTGATAGAATTAAAGTTATCACGCAACTAAGATTCGCCCCACTCCTCCCCATCAACTAATTATCGATCTGATATTTGGCTTTGCGTTCCAAGGTTCCAACCTATTAAATAATTCCTGTTCCAATCACGCGATTTATGCCCCCTTAGACTTGTTCTTCTTTCCAAAGTACCGAGATGTATCACCGAGTGGCAGATCAAGAATAGAATCCTGCAACAATAGGTGGAAAACAATATACCAACCCACCAATCCAGCTAGGAAACAGAACACTCCGCCTGATTTCTGTAAGGCCAGAGCAGACGCAGCATGGCCATCGGCTTTGGCGAAATAGCTTGCGGCAACAGTCAAGAAGCCAAGATCAACAAAGAGGAAAACCAAGATGTATGCGATATTGCTCGCAAGAGAAGCTATAAGGAACGTAAAGACGAAGACTGTCCAGAGAATCATGAAAAATCCCACGGCATTGTTATACTGTGCTGAATCGGTCCCACCGTATGCTTCTGCTACTCCAAAGCCAGGAGTCAAGAGAGCACCATATCCTGCGTAGAAAAGACCTGAATGATGTTAGTATTGGGTTAAATTCTTGAGTTTAGGGATTTGTTACGTACCGAAAGCGCTGAATACAGTGTATGCGAAGCCGTTTCCAATGGATAGCTCCCATTGCGCGGTGATAAGAAGACCAAATGCAGCAATGAAGAAAAAATTTCCGATGAAGACATTGTATACGGTGACTCCTCGCCATTCCATGAGACCCAGAGCGAGCGTGGTCAAAGTTGTGCCGAATGCACCTAGCGCGAGCGCGGACTAGAAATCATGATTAGTTTTATACTTCTTTTCTTGCATTTGCCCGGGCTCAACTTACGCCTGCACCGAGAGACTTGGGAAGACCTGGATCTAAAGCGATCGGTCTGCCTTGTTGCTCAAGGTCAAGCGACTCAGTGGCTTTTTGCGTGCCATTGTCGCTGTCCGGTGATGGTTTGGACATCTTGGCTATAGTTCACAGTAGAAAAGGCGTGGCAGTCTAGTGAAAGTCCCTGATAGGAAAGGATATGAAGTTCTAAAAGATTTTAGAGGACGAAAAGCTGGATTGAAGAATACATATACTAAAATCTATGCTATGGTATCTAGACTATCGCACCATCAAGGGCACAAGTGACATGGAACTTACGAACCATTGATCTGCATAACCAGCTTTGCGTTCAGGTTCAGCTATGTCTCGATCCACTAGCCTGGAAAAGGGGAAAGGATTCGATAATAACTTTACTTTGGCTTATTTCAAATCCCTTAATTGTTAGCTTTCGGGAGCCACAGCCTATGGAAACCGTGTGGGTTGGGGTACGATCATGACACAATCAACCTTTAAATGATGTGCTCTCACCCTACTTTATTCAAACCCCATACGACTCGGCCGAGATATGCTCTTTACTCCATCTTGAAAGATCCAGATATGCAGAGGAGAGATGTTCGAAATAGATCGGTTTCTTCTTCATTGACGTTCTTCGATATATTACCTAAATAAATGACTGATGTACATCGGCATGCATTTCATGGATACCGTTTTGAATGAAGCCACAAAAACGCCTATCTAATGCAGGAATAAAAGTTATACAGAATATAGAGTGGAGAAAAAAACACCAACTGAGTCTGAGAAGCCTGCTCAATGACCTTTCTCTCGGACAGCAGCACCGCTGGCTCTCCACCAAACATCACCTCCCCATCGCATCAGTCGCTCAACAGCAGCTGTGGGCGAATCTAAAGCAGGGCGAATATCGAGGAAGAACACAGGCTCACCAGTGGGCTCGGGGGGGCCTGAATAATAATCAATGACGTATCGAACTTCCTTAGTTCCCCAAGGTGTTTGACGCTGGACAAACCAATCGTGTCGATCGAATGGTGGTTTTGTTCTAAAGAATGCCTATATTAGTTTATGCGCCAAATCCAAAAGTGGCATGGTCGGAACATACTCAAATGCAGAGGGGTACACATATCCAAGAGCCTGCATCACCCGAGCCTTGGGAGTAAGCTCCTTCGGTCGGCCTTGGAATCGGATTAAACGAGGCTCTGTCTCCTGGTCAATTTTGCCATGCATCTCGGCCATGGCCAGCTCCCAGCCGAGATTCTCTTCACCGCGGCGGCACTTCTCCCACCCTGACTTAAGGCCCCTGGCGAATGTGCGCTCCCATCCAACAATTTCGTTCCAGGCACCCTCGTTCAAAAAGTTGTGAACGGCAACCATGGCCTCGACTGCATCCTGGGGAGTATCCGTGTGACCCTTGCGAAGCATAGCGTTGTACATTTGTTGCGGAGAAGGATATTCCCAGTTACCCTCAGAGTCGCCGCGGGGAATAGTTGATGGTTCACGCTCAATAGACAGATCAACGGTCTGGTTCGCAGCGCGCTCTTGAGAGATAGAAGCGAACATGTAGTTCAACGGGTTCAGTTTGGACAATGTAGAGGGCTTGTTGGAAGGAGCGGGCTCTTGCGGAGTTTCCACGTTGGATGTTTTCGGGGGAGTGTAGAAAGGAGAATCTGTTGATTTTTTCATAGGACAGGCGCTGGGAGGGTCTGCGCTCGCGGGGGCTGTAACGGCTGCCGGACGCGATTCATGCATCGGGCATGCAGCCTACGTCGATAAGGGTCAGTCGGGGGAAGTCAAAAAGTTGAGATAGGGTGAAAAGTAGATACCGGAGGGGATGCATTGGATGGATAAGGAGGATGAGGTGCCTGTGGCACGCTTGGCTGAGAGTCTGCCCAGAACCAACCCATTTTGATAGTGAATAATGAAAGCTGCGAAAAAAGGGCGCGAAAGAAAAACGTGAAGTGATCGCGAAATCAAAAAAAGCTGTCTTTCGCCGATAAAAGATCGGGATGATGAATGGAATGCTGACTAAGTCGGGTTCCCGGCAATTGTCCGAACTATAAAACCGGGGCCAATGAGAAATCGCTGTGATATGGTTGGGTCTCCTGCTCCGGTGGTCTGCCAAGTATATTTAGAAGGCAAAAAGAGGAAAATGTGAAGATAAAAGAGAAGAATATTTCACTGGAATTCATTAATATTACGCTTATTACAGTAGACCTCCCCGATCATACAGCAACAATGCCATCTGGGCAGTATTTATGATGTAACAACGGGACCATGTGTTTATGCTTCTTCCGCGCATATCACAAACCCTGCCACTGCTTCGTCCCAAATGGCTGGCCAGCTCGACCCTTGTACAGCTGCGACGAAGAAATAATCGGTCAGAATCCGAGAGACCTGTTCCCATGACTGCCATTCATAGAGCATTGCGACGCGGCCCAGCCGCTCTACAAACCAGGATCGTTCAGGGTGACCGAGTGAGCCTTGTGCTCCAATAAATAAAGACCATGCGAACAAGCCAGCATTTTCTTTGGGAAGCTCAAGAAGAGATGTAAGACTATACCGATCCACTGCTTTCTTGAGATGCTTGGTTAGGGCTCGACCGAGCCCGGAGGAAGGAGGGGAGACTATGAGAAAGTGATTCAGGAAGCAGATTGAAGCCACACGGGTGACTGACTCGATCGGATGGATATCGAGGTCTGCCTTGGAGGGGTCTTGAGAGTCGGAATAATTGTCGTAAATATAACTGAGTAGTTGATGCTCAGTCTCACAAGTGAGTACTCGAAAGAAACCATGGTCATTCTCATGAACCAGCATTGGCGTAACTCGAACAGTAATGCTGTAGAAGATTATATCCCGTACGACATTCAAAATGATTAGGAGCTGGTGACTGAGGAGTGCATTGGCCCAGAATCCAGAGCCAAGTCGTCGGACGGGCGATTGGGTAGGAGGTCGGATTCGCCGATGTATCTCCATAGGCACAGGTTGTGCATCCCAAGTGAGCGGGAATACCGGTTTGGCCAACAGGCCCGAGCCGGCTTTCACATCACTCCTATTATAGACAATTTTTGTAAGCCACTATACTGGAATAAGAAAAGAAAAGAAAAGAAAAGAAAAGAAAAGAAAAGAAAAGAAAAGAAAGAAAAGAAAGTCCAGGGATGGCATACGCAACGATCGCAACTAAAACTGAAGACGAGCTGATGCTCTTATCCGTAATTCCACCTCGAAGCTCCACCATACGTTTGAGCCCAGTGAGGTGGACTCTAGCCTCATCAAATAATCCCGCAATTAACTGTAATATAATTAGTCAGAAGTGCTTTTTGGCTCATGTTGATGAAAGGGAAGAGTCTTACCGAGCCTGTGAGGAGGTTGACAATAGTGTCGAAGGCTTCGTTCCTGAGTGCTAGACTAGGGTCCCTAACTTTGATATTCATTTCATGTATGGCTTTCTCTTTCATGACGTAGTAATCTATGTCGTTGATGACCCGGTCGCGGTCATTTGGAGTAGTTGATGCGCCAGGACGCTGAACACCCAGTACAGCTCTATGCGCAGCGCACATGCTCATAAGACCGAAAAAGCTCCCAGGGTCAGAGAAAGAAGATCGGACCATCAACTCAACTTCGGGGATTTTTGAATCTTTGAGATCACTTGGAAACGTTATTGGGACAAATACCATCTTCCCTGCAGCGATTTGTTAGTTTGTAAAGAGAAGAACTACCGGACAAGAACCCCATACAATAATAAAGCAAACCCGCAACTATTGCAGGAATCTCATTTGACCCTGGCAATGTACAAAACGGATCACAGAACCACGCCATGGGCAACGACCGTGAAGGTTGATAAGGCAGCGGAGAGCCGGCCATCCATCTTGGTGGGCGCCCTCGTTCACTTTCTGGGGTAATCAAGCTGGTCCCAGAAGCTTTAATCGAGGCAGATGAGCCAGGCGATGGCGATGGAGCTCTTAATACCATTGTGCGCTCCGTCTGGTCTCCAGTCTCGTCATTCTCCGTCCTGGCCGTGACACGGGTCTCACGATTCTCCCGCTTGGATGTCCGTTTTGTTCCAGCTAACCTCTCCCGACGGCGGACATCGCGCATTACATGTGAACGAATAGCTTTGCGAGCATTGACATCTTTGATTCTCTTGGAGATCAAGTCATCGTCATGGTCGATAAACGTAAATGAGGGTCGATCGAGCGGTGCAGAAGTTTTTGGTTCTGATCACTTTGATTAGCACATACACCTGTCTGTTTGTTTCCTTTGGGCTAACACGACTAGTAATGATATACTAGCCTGATTTGAGTCAAATGGGAGTCCCTCTCTGCATGCCCCTTTGCAGGTCCCTCCACTCTGTCATGCGGGGGCATGGCAATGATCCACTAACGGGGCGAGACTGGTGGGTCTGCCAGGGGAAATGCGGGCAGAAAACGGGGGACATCGAGCACGAACCTGAATTAGAAGGTCGAGCACCGGAGAATGTGAACGATTCCAGCTGATCCATCGTGGGCCCGAAGGCCAGCGCCCAGTATGATGGCGAATCAAAGCAAACCAAGCCAATGAAGCTGGCGATTTGAAGTGGGGGGGGGGGGGTGCGAAGGCGGATTTAGAAGAGGAAAAAGGGGAGTTAGTTATTTTGTCAATGCGAGGAGGTGGGAAAGAAGGAAGGATGGGCGTTTCCAAGGTTAGAGAGCACCAGCCCAATTCAGTGCCAATAGTTTGAGCGGAGAAAACCATGCATGGGATGACCCGGTGTGGTCACGATGAGTGTAACCGACGTTGTACACTTCTTTCTAGAGCAGTGTTTCGGAAATAAGATGAAAGTCTCAGGACGAATAGATTCTAGATTCTAGAAAATAAGGAATAATGAATAAAAGAGTAGAAAATTGTATAAACTAAACGAAACCAAAAATGTCCTCTGTAATGCGCCTGAAGATGCTATCTACCAAGAAGAAACTCGCTAACAAGACAAAATTGGTATCAATCCCATACCTCTCCAGCAGTACTACTGTAGTATGTAGTAGTGTACCTTGAGGTCTCTCTATCCCTGCACGTCACTCACTAGTCTAGAGATTAGTGCATAGCCAAAGAGGACGGCCAATCCGATCCACACCCGGTGTCGTCGTGCCCATCCTTCGCCGGCTTCCCGAGCCACATGGCCACCTTCCATCACTGCGCCGATCCCCGGAGCGCTCCCATTCGGACGTCGACGCAAAGCACTAGTCTCTGGGGAACAGCGGGTGGGGGCATTTGGGTCTGGGAGAATCTGGCCGGTACTCGTGTCGATGCGGTGTTCTTTCATCCACGCCCAGTTCTCCTCATCCAGCTCAAGCCATTCAGTACGGAACTTTAATCCACCGTCTCCCGCTTTGACGTTGTTGATTCCTTTGGCTGTTCGAGTGACTCCTGGGGTGGCGCTAGAATGCGAACCACCTCCAGTGGAGTTCCACCATCGCGACCGAGCTGCAAACACTCGGCGCTCTGCTTCCGATGCGCTGACACTCCCAGTAGTCATTTCCTCACTGGTCATGAATGATAACAATCCGATCAGAATGGTCGAAACTTCCCAGGCCGGGTTGAATGACTTAGGATGGAAGTCACTGATGCTGAGACATAGGCGAGTAGACGGCTGGAAACGACCGCTCGGTGTATGCATGCGAATAGCAGGGGGTGCGAAAGGATACTCAGGAGGGAACATCAGGGTTCCCCAGTATTGCCCGTTCTCATAGGGGGTCCCCGGAGGACCCGTGAGGATGTAATGCCATCTGGTCTAAAGTTAGTGCCTGCGCCTTTCGCCATAGTACCACCTCAAACAAGTGCCTTACTCAAGAATATTGGTTTCTGATGGATGAGCGACGATGAATGGAGGGGGGTTCTTTTGAATATTTTGGTATTCTCGAGTGAGCTATATGGACTGTTAGAAACCCCGATACTTGTTGCATCACTAGTTTTGACTACCCACACGTTTGAATGCTGCCTTGGTGGCCATTTTACGCTGCAGACCCGACTAGCGGTTATTTGTCTGAGTAAAAAGGAAGGTAAATGGCTGAGAGATGCAGCAAATGAAACCAGAATATCAAGTCAAAGAGAGTGACTTTGGAAAGTGAAAGAAAGAGCGAGGACGAGACTTGCGGTGCGGCGAACTCCCCGGAGTCACGTGGGGCACCGTTTTCCCACGCGATCATCGAGCTGTTGCTCTTCTCCGATAATGGTCCATTGCAGTCGTCACAATGTCCTCTCCTCTGTCGGTTGGAGATGAAGACGTATGTCATCCTTCTATATGCCTTACTTTTGTTACTTTTTTCCTTTGAAAGGACCCTACTAACTACCCCTTCGGTAGATCTTCGAGCGCTTGCAACAGCGCAAGGACCCGAAGGTCCTTGAAGAACAGCAACAAGCTGTGAATGAGCGGATGCAGGCAATTCTTGGCAAGGCCCAGGATCGTCTCTCTGAATTGGTATGCAGTTCCATTTCTTCAGTCTCCGAGACCACTGGTACTTTGGTATCATGCAACAATGAGCTTCGAGGATCTTCCGGCTAATCGCGATTGATATCAGCTCGACCAAAACTCCACCCTGCCAACCAACATCGGTTCAGTTCAGTTCCTCAGTGCCCCGAACACTCGCCGAAGCTTCCTCGAAAAGATCGTCAGCCCGCTTCTTGAGAACCGCGATCAACCTTTAACCCTATCCGAGGCTTTGCGGGAAATTTCGGCTACGGCAGACAAGCTTGGACGGTTTGGTGTGTGACTTTCTACGGCATGCAAAGAATTCTGACAGTTTTTCTAACATCTTGAATTCCAGACCTGTTCCAACAACCTATCTCTGTTAATTTGGATGAGTCGAAAAACCCTGTCACCGGCCTGCGCACTATTGATGTTTACCTCGCTACCCGAGAGAAGTCCCGCATACTTCTGAAGACCGGCACCGACCTTGGAAATGCGGAAGGTTCAGCTTACGGTAACCTCCTGTGGCGCAATGTATTCGGAGGCGCCGAGACCCTCAACTTGAATGCCTCTTTGGGTACACGTACACGATCTGCCTACCAAGCTGCTTTTGAGACTCCGTTATTCTGTGACCCGGATTTCCGTTTGGAAGTTGGCGGTATTTCAAGCGCTACCCAGAAGCAATGGGCTAGCCACGATGAGGTGGTTAAGGGTGGATGGAGCAAGCTTCGATGGCTGTCTCAATCTGGCAATCGCCACGAATTGGGCTACAATGGATTCTGGAGACAGGTTACTGGCCTTTCGGAAGCTGCCTCTCCTACCATCCGAGCTGATGCCGGAGATAGTGTGAAGAGTAGTGTCTTCCACAGCTGGGTGAGTGATAAGCGGGATCACCCTATGCTCCCTTCGCGCGGATACTACGCGAAGGTTTTCAACGAGGTTGCCGGATGGGGCCCGTTGAAGGGAGACGTATCTTTCTGGAAGTCCGAGGTCGAGACTCAAGGCGCCATCCCTATCCCCATTCCTTTCATCAAGGGTGACAGCGGTATTAGCCTGACCACCAGCTTCCGTGCAGGTCTTCTTTGTCCCTTGGGCCTGGACTCAAATTCTCGTCCGCAGCTTTCTCGTGTAAACGATCGCTTCTTCCTTGGTGGACCCACTGACGTTCGTGGATTCCGTCTTTGCGGCCTTGGTCCCCGTGAAGGTGGTGATTCTCTAGGTGGAGATGTCTACGCTGCGGGAAGTGCAAATCTTCTCTTTCCTCTCCCAAGAGTTGGAGCTGATAGGCCCATTCGCCTCCAGGCGTTCTTGAATGGCGGCCGGTTGATGCCGCTACGCACATCACAGAATAACACTCCTACTACCGGTGGCGAGGTGCAAGACGCAGTGGTTTCAACTATCTCTGATCTTCAAAATGGTCTCCCCAGTATCTCAGCTGGTGTCGGTCTCGTCTACGCTCACCCGGCGGCGCGATTTGAGCTGAACTTCGCTCTCCCCTTGGTCCTTCGTAAAGGCGAAGAGGGCCGTAAGGGCCTACAGCTGGGCATTGGTATCAGCTTCCTGTAGAAATATGTTCTGTTTTAGATTTTAGCGGATTTGAACTATACTCAACAACTCCTATTTTCTTTGTTATCTTGATCGTTTGCTATCCTCCGATTCCAATTTTTTGATGTCAGGTACCCCACTAGATGATTGATTATCACATTGTTATACTATGGAATAACCTAGTCTTAGAAAAATACATCCATAATAAGTGATATTCAATATCACCAGGATACCTTCTTCTCACTCCGTTACCCACCCTCCTAATAAATTATTTAAATTAATCGAAACCTTTTCCTTTATATGTTATTCCTTTATAGTTCGCCCCGTGCACATGTGCAGACTCCACCCGCTTATTCAGCATCATCACCGCACCCAAACCGCCAAGTTGTACACTTCGAGCTTCAGCTCTCAGCTCTCACCACGATTCTAATTCCGATCCCCCACATTGTCAGCGCTACTCATCTCGTAGCCGTTTACGGCAATGGCTCAATACTACCCCCAACAACAGCAACAGGGCTATGCCCCTCAAGGCTCTGCACCTGCACAGAACCTCCAGTTCTTCCCCACGTCCTATTCCTCTGTCTCCGGACACACTACTCCTTCGCAAGCTGGGTATGGTGCTGGGTTCGGTGGCGCGCCTAATCCTGCACAGGCATATCCTGCTGCTGGATATGGGGGATTTGGGGCCCCGGCTGCGGGTGTGAGTGGACGGATGGGTGAACAGGGTGGCTTGAGGACTGGGTGGTTGGCTGCGTTTGGAGCGGAGGGGTATGATGGGGAGCCTTCTTTGCAAGAGGAACTTGGGATCAATATTGGTCATATTAAGACTAAGGTGAGTTTTTGATTCAATCAATCAAATCAAATGAGAGAGGCGAGACGAGACGAGGTGTGAAAAGCAACAAAACAGTGGGGGGATTCAGTCACGTTAATTAGGATATTTCTCCTTTATTGCTCTCGCATTGATGCTTTGACTTGATTTGATATACAGTGCATCATCATACCTAACATCCCATTATAGACCCTCACCGTCCTCAACCCCTTCGCCTCAATCGACAACCACCTAATGGACGACAGCGACCTCTACGGCGCCCTCCTCTACGTCTTCCTCTACGGCCTCTTCCTCCTCTTCTCTGGAAAGGTCTTCTACGGCTACATCTACGGCGTAGCCGTCTTCGGCACCGTCTCTCTACACCTAATCCTCAGTCTCATGTCCCCCGTCCTCGACGCAGCATCAGCCCCCAACGCCGCAGACCCATCAAACTACAACCCGCACCACAAGCCATCTATCTCCACCGCTTCAGCTGCCGGCCATTTCTCCGCTACCCTGACATTTCCCCGCTCAGCAAGCGTTCTGGGCTACTGCTTTCTTCCTCTCGTGCTCACGGCTCTTATCGGTGTCCTCCTTCCTATGGATACATTGTTCGGATACCTTCTTACCACTGCTGCAGTGGGTTGGTGTACGTATAGCTCTTCGGGGATGTTTTGCTCTGTGGCTAGGATGACGGGGATGAGAGGATTGGTGGCTTATCCGCTTGCGTTGTTTTATGTTGTTTTTGGGATTATGGGGATTTTTTCGAGCAGGGGAACGGGCACTTTGGCTGCGAAGACGGGGGCGCTTTAGGATGCTTTGCTGTTAGCACATGCAGTTATGTTAGTTGGCTATGAAGATACTGGCCATGGCTGTGTTTGGCTGTGATCCTGATTGTCATCACTAGGATGCTACATATCCTTTACCTACAGATACAGATACAAATCGGTAAAGAGTGCACTAAGGTTGCCCTGGGCGCTTTGCATTAATTTTTATGAATATTACGATAATAAGCCTGTTATATACTATCATGTATCATTAGATTCGTTCATGCTTGCTCTATCGAATACACACCATTTATCCATACCCTTGACCTTTATCCTGTAAATCCATCCTGTTAAATGAATTGAAATCCGTTAAATCACCATATACATCAATATCAATCATCCATGTCCAGTAGATAAACCACGCTCTAATCTATCCCATCTTCTCGCCTTCAGCCGGTGCCCATTTAGCTAGCCATTCTCTCGTCTTCTCTAAATCGCCACCAGCAGCTTCAACGCCAGCAACACACCATGAGAAATTGTACCGCTTGTCTCCACTCGCGGATCCTTCAGCATAAATCATCTCTGCTAGATTACGACGGACTTGACCCGTCTCATCGGTACAGAGGTAGAAAGATGATAAATTCGCAACATCAGGTTTGACAGAAATAGACTCTACCAATGGACGCGTAGCTTCTTTGATTTCTGGCATGCTCATAGTTTCAGGACCAGCAGGTGACTTGCTTTTGGATTTTCCAGTCTTGCAGAATGAATTCTGACACCATGCTTTGCCACATCCTGTAAGTAATTGGGATAGATAGCGTCGTTCAATTCTTCGCTGGAGAGCTTTTCCTTCAGGATCATATGTATTCGCATAAAGAGGTCCGAAACAGGTACGGCATAGTCCGAGAGATTCATTGCTTACGCTGCCAAGTGTGCGGGCGCAGTTTTTGTTCAGGCAGATACGAGGTGGAGGGCGTGAGAGACGTTCCAAGTCATGATGTCGGAGGTGAGTGTTCATGTCGCGGAGACGAATAATTTTAGCGCAGAGGTGACATTCTGTTGTTCGGCCTCCGTCTACTAGTTCGTGTGGTGTTAGGCCTGATAGCATTACTTCTGGATCGTGAAGGTCGGGATCTGAGTCGCCTTTTTGGGGGACGAGGAGATGGCAGAATTGGCATAGGATTAGTTTTCCGGGGCACTCGGTTGTTCGGTGTTGGGCTAGAGAGGGGAGTCCTTCGAATTGAACTTCGCAATCTGTGCATGCGTATGAGTTGTGGAATATCGAGTCGTGGCTTTGTTTGCTGGGCTCGTCGTTGCCGTGTGATGAGTCGTGTGGACAGTGCCAGTGGTTTTCCCACTCGGGTGAGCGTTTTTGGAAAACATTTTGACACTGAGTACAGAGAATGTTGTTTCGGAGACAGAAGTTCTCGTGGAGCATTAATGTTCGTTCTGGTACCCATTGTTGACAGTTTTTGCATTGTACATCTCCTGGCTCGTGGTCCTCGCTCTCATCTTCTTCACTTTTCTCTTGGCTTTCACCCGTGGCTATGCGTAGGGAATATTGTACCGGGGACTGCTGCGTTTGAGTCGGGTTTTCAGACTCAGAAATAAGAGAAAGCACGTGGGCTGATATGTAAAGAGCCTCTGCCCCTTCAAGAGCCACATTCGTAGACCGAATCTCTAATGTCTTGGGACTTTGAGTTGAAAAGTCTCCCCAAACATGCATATCGGATCGAGGCCGGCCTTGTTGGCGAGCACCAAGCGGGCTGACAAAAAGGCAAACATTCGGAGATTCGTTGATAAGTTCGATTCGAATCGTGTCTTCACGGTTCCAGTCGCGTAGTTCGTAGTCCACGTACTCTCCCGGCAGTACTTGCGCTGCAACCTCTTCTCCGAGAGAAAGAACACCACCGACTGAGCTACCGCTCGTTGTGCCTGGTGCACGTGTAGCACGCTCTAGTCGCTTTTGTAAAGTCTCTCGGGCTTGTTCTTCAGATAGCGCAACGATATCAACCTCTAGATCGGTATCCACCACGCATATCCCATCGCCCTCTGGGTAGACTTTATCGACTAGGAATCGAAAGGCTTCGCTGCGCGTTCCAGGGACAGTCAACAGCTCATTCACTGTCAGTGTTGTAAAGTTATCTCGTAGATGTCGCTCCAGTAATGCTTTCCAGTCCTCAGGATCATATCCAGCTTCCAGCGGTCGCAGGCGCACATATGTGCCCTTTGGGAGTTGCTTTGCATGTACGGTCACGCTTGGGCTAGTAGAAGGTAATGCGTCTTCTATTTCCCTTGCATCGGTAATCTCAGTGTCCCCGTTCACTTCGGCGGCCGGCTCTATTTCATCTTCTATCCCGAGCGACTCGCGAAGCAAAGCACTCAGCGCGACCTCATTCTCCGCAGCAGAGAACTCTCTAATCCCCGCATATACGAAGCGACCATTCTGAGGATTAACAATTCGGAACGTCAAAGGATGAGGAAGCTGCTGCTGACGATGTTCAACCTGTTGGCGGGCTCGAGACTCCGCTGCGAAAGTGTGGGGGTTGAAAGGATCGAAGGCCGTGGTATGTACGCGAGAATTCGGGTTCGGGGAAATGGCTTGGAGAGGTGCGGCGGCGAGAAGTTGTTCGAGCGCGGATTGAGGTAAAGTGATCTTGTCGCCTGGTAAACGTGGCGTTTTCTCGGGAGCAGCTACAGCCAGCTGGGCTGACCAGGTCAAGGAATTGCCCTCCATGATGTAAAGAGGGTAAAGTGGACATTGAGAAATTGGAGTAATTTAAGGTGGAGCGCGGGGCGAGAAAGCTGACAAGCTCTCCGAGCAAGTTCTGGAAGCCTCTTTTCTTCTCTCCCCACTTATTGGATCTATATGCAATCAAGCTTACGGAGCAGATGGTTGAATTAAATTTCACAATGAATTCCCAGAATGAGAAGAGAGTCCAAATATCCTGCTAATCTTGCTCCTTGTATACTCCTTCGCTTATAAATCACTTGTTATCTCCGCTTCGAGTCCGAACTCACTGGAACGTCCGCATACGGTGGCGAGCACTGGTATTGCACCAATCACACTATTTGGGAACTTTGTTAACTGTGAACCTTGAAATGGACATGTAATTAGGCTTACCATCGTTGCAGAGCATCCTTCGTTGTGATCGATGCAATATTCGCCCTGGCAGCTTTGACATCTGCGCTGGCAATCTAGTTTACACGATGCACACTAAGTCAAGAGTCAGCATTTCTGAATAGAAATGAAGCTTCTCAGATTTGCATAATAGCCACTTACTGTCGGTCCACACTCCCAGCAGTCCTTAGAAACGCCCTGTCCGAGTGACTAGATAGTTCAAGTTAATAGCTAGATCTAACATGGGATTTATCCCAAGTAATGGAGTCAACATACCTCTCGTTCTAATGGCCGAACAGCATCTCTAAAGTTCTCCTGGTCTGGACGAACTGCCGTTTGGTGTGGAGACAAATTCAATTGAGCATTTTGTGGTTGAGGCAGGCAGTTACCGCAGAACCATTTGTTGCATCGGTGGCACCAGCGATGATTCAAGCAGTCGGTGCATCGAGCAATCAGGAGTGGATGTTTTCCTGGAATCTGCTCAGGGCGCTTTGCAGCTGCTATATTCGATACATGCAATGGCATGGGACTCAACAAGGGGAACTGGTGATCTGGAGATTGGCCCCAGATCACCGGTCCCTCGGGAGAACTATGGCATCCATCGCACCCGCGTGGCCCCAGAGCGACTGTGGCCATGGCCGGTGCAAGAAGAGGATCTTCTGGGGCCGGCGTATCTTCATTGGCGGAAGAATATAGGTTGACATCATGGCGCGGGCCGCGACAAAGCACTGCATCAAATGCGATGATACCCTCGCATTTCTGTAGGGTTTGTGCCCACCCGTCTTCGATGGTGTGTTTGAATAATTTGCCTGAGGGGCTATACCATTCGTTTTGTTGGGTCTTCTGGATTCTAGGACGTTCTTCCTCTTCGTTATCTGATGAAGAGGTTGAAGAGGAAGAGGAAGTTGAAGAGGTCTCGCTTGGGCGTCGAGAGGCACCAATGCGAGAACCCCACCAGTCGCGGTATCGGCGCCGTACTGGAGCTCGAGGCGCCTTTGTTATAGGTGAGAAGTGATAGATACCCTTTACGCGGGGAGTACCTTCTGGGCGCGTGGGTCGAACGGCATGTTGAATTATTTGCATGAGTTTCCGTTCGTTGAGATGCAGACACTCGCGAATGGAAAGAATATTGACATTGAATCGATCTGTCAGGATGATTTCCGCAACTAGATCGGCGGGCACGGTCAATCCGTCTAGAACCAGGCTGCGCACATCCTGCAAGACGGATTTCTTTTCCAGACTTCCGAAAATACGCCGTAATGGTGCAGAGTAGAACTCGTCCTCTGTTTGAGAGTCGTTACGGGGTTGCTCTTTGGTAGGTAGATTTGCGCCTCGGCAATGAGTCAGGTCGAGATGGCGGAAAATGTATGGAGTCTGGGTCACCATGCTGTGCATGTGTCGCGAAGTTGATGCCAGAGATATCAAGGATGGGGCAGATAGGTAGGGCGCGATATGATCCAAGATCAAGCTATTGGTTAAGGTCCTCTCGATAGGCGCTCGTTGTGGAACAGGAGCAGGTTTTGGTGCTTGGATTGGAGCTGGAAGTAGTTTCTCGTGAGTTATTTCACGTACTGTTGGCTCGAGACCGAGTTCCTTTGCAGTCAAACGACGAGACCCATAGAAGTCCGGAGCGCGGCCGATAAGGTTTTGGCGATATGCGGCCATGGCACCGACGGCGACTTCATCGCCAATGCGTAAGATTGGTGGATGTGGTTGAATTTCTTGTAAAGCGGCCCGCGCTTTAATGAGCTCCGTCTCTAGGAGATTAATGGTGGATTGTAGAACGGCAGGCATGGTATCGATGTGATCGATATTAACAGTAGAAACAAGATCGAGCCACAAGTCGGACATAGTCCGTGGATGACGGGGCCTTTATAGTTGAGAGGGTCCAAAATATATAGTAAAGGTGGGTGGTTCCACCGAATGGATATAGTCAGAGGTGATGTGGGGAACCAGGGACTCGGACGGGGTTAAATGCGATTGAAAGAAGGGATCTGATCTGATCGACTGACGAACAGATCTTCACCGGCGAGAAAAAGAGTTATAGTGCGACTGTCATGCGGGACGGAAACAAAGACCCGGAGTGTGGAGAATCCGATGAGGAATTGGGATTATTGAATTATTGGATTATTGGATTGAGTAATGATAAGAGTCGGTCTGTCGGTCAGTGTTGCGGATGCTCCCAATTGAGTAGGTCCGGCGAGCACAGGCGCCGAACACGGGGAGTAAATGATTGGGGGTGAGAGGGAGGAAGGGGACAAGGGTGAATCAGATGATCGGGTTGTTCAGGTTGTAAGAGAATAGTGATTATGTAGTAGGTGGTAGGAGAATAAAGAGACGAAGGAACGAGGGAGATGTATAGATATATGAAAGAATGGCCTTCAAGTGCAGATGTCTACTACTAGTATGATGTATACTATGCACTATGGCAGAATCACCACTGCCACTCTTCGCCCCAATCTATACAGTCATCCATAACAAAATAAGATAACGCAACGATGAACAAACACAAAAAAGAAAACATAGATCATCCAATGATAAATCCATGCCTGTTTTTGAGGAGTAAGGGGGACATCTCCTGTGTACCTGGTACATTTCTCTCTGGTTACTCCGGACTTGAATTGGTTGGGGAACAGTGGACCCAGCCAAGTATTGAGTACAACCAGGTTCCACCTCGAATAGAGATACCCCCACTGATCCGCAGGTCACGCGGTTCTTTTTTAGGCCGCGTCAGTGCGAAAAGAGAAGCAGTGAAGATCCACTTTCTTCTCGAATGTGATCCGTAGTGACGGAGTTGTACTTGCACTGTACACTATATTGGGGCCCCGGGTGGCAACTATGTATCGTGGTCCAATCAACTAGGCCCGGGTAAATTTCATCTACAGAAAATAACCCAATCTGCCCATTCTAGTATACTTTGCATGTGGAGCGGAAAAAGGGAAGAGTGGAATAATTCTTCCGTACGGGGGACTGTAGGCTATAGACGGGTAACCCCGTTTTATCCACGGTGGCTGAATTGAACAATTCAAACTGTGCTTGGCCCTTGGCATTGGTGATAGTCTCACAATACACAACGAACTACATTAATCAGGGGCCATTAAAGAAACATGCAGAATCCTTTTAGCTGTACTATTTAATGTCAGACTGCCAAGAGAATATTTTCACTAGGGCGCTCAATGATCCGCGCCAAGCGGTCGATCGGGCATTCGCCTACATGAAAGATTATGAGGTAACCATGATGCTCTTGGCCCTTCAAGTTGGGGGCGATGCAGAATACTACTTACACATATTGTGTCGATGAATGTGTCTTCTGCATGAACTTGAAAACAGACATACCGTCCATTGCTAGATACAGTCAGACCAGGGATGATGCTAAGTATGTTCGACCCTTCTTTTTCCCCCACTGCTGCGAAGCCAAGACGGACTACTGTCGTTGAAGCAGATGGGGGTAGGAATGATTGCAACGGGCCAAGACCCCAAGGGATGACGGATGAACAATTCAGTCTCAGTCTGCATTGCTTTTTCGGTCAAAACTCGGTTGGGCGTACGGGGGTTATGTTACAACGGTTCAATGTTGGAGTTTATTCTGTTCATTTTGGATTGGATGGGGTATCGCGATAATGGCGGCATCTTAATTGCTTAGGTAGTATGCTACAAAAGTACGAACATATAAGACGGATCTACGGATATGAGTATGGATATTGGCTAGGCTTATTGAAAGGGGTTAGATTCGGTCTTAAGTCCGATTCTGTCTAAGGGTGATCAACTGGGCCCCTATGTGCGTCAAGCCAAGAGATAAAGTTGGGCAGTGCTAGATGATCATTATTTGGCACTACACACATGCGCGGTGCCAAGCACGCATCTGTTGAGGGTTCAGGACGGAAATAAGTGCAAGGGTAGAATTAGAAACTAATGGTACAGGCCGACCACCCCCCTGCCTCTATCTACTTCCACAACTTCGACACGGCAACTTCCTTGTCGTCGTGTTTGTTGAGAATCTTGGCAGTGGCCAGATCGAAGTCTTCCTGTGTGACATGCACACGTCGCTCACGAAGAGCATACATACCAGCTTCGGTACACACACCCTTAAGCTCAGCACCTGAGCATCCATTCATTTTCTCGGCAATCTTGGTCAGGTTGATGCCTCGGGTCAGGTTCATAGACCGAGAATGGATCCGTAGAATATCCGCACGAGCCTCGACACTACACCGAACAAAAACTAGTTAGCATCGTACTACGAAATCATATCTTAGCGGGAAATCTGAGGGGAACTGACGATGGAGGGGGGAACTCGATCTTTCGGTCAATACGCCCTGGCCGTAACAAGGCAGGGTCGAGAATGTCCAATCGATTGGTCGCCATAATGATCTTGATGTTCTTGGTGGGCTCGAAACCGTCAAGTTGGTTCAGCAACTCCAACATAGTACGTTGTACCTCGGAGTCGCCGCCACCTCCCGATTCTATACGACTAGATCCAATACTATCGATCTCATCCATGAAGATGATACTTGGTGCGTGTTCACGGGCCATGACGAACAACTCACGCACCATCCGACTACCCTCACCAATGTATTTCTGAACCAATTCCGAACCGCTCACACGGATGAATCGACAGTCCGTGTGGTGAGCGACAGCTCGAGCCAGCAGTGTCTTTCCGGTACCGGGAGGTCCATATAGCAAAACACCCTTGGGCTGTGCGATACCCAGCGATTCGAAAAGCTCGGGGTGCTTCAGACCAAGCTCAATAACCTCCTTGATTTCCTTGATTTGCTGGTCTAGACCACCAATCATGTCATATGTACTGTCTGGGACCTTCTCCACCATCATGAGCGAAACGAGGGGATCGACGGAGGATGGCAGCATCTTCTCCAGCTTGTAGGAGTCAGACAAAAGCGCAACACGCTTGCCCACGTTCAACTTGGCGATATCTACACCGTCGGCAATATCGACCACTATAAAATGAGTAGTGTGTTAGACAGAGAACAAGGCTGGCTGGGTAGATGCGGCACCCTAGATCATGTATGGACATACCGTATTTTCCCTCCGGATGTACTTTCACCAAGACCTTCTTGGTACTCATAACCTTCACGACCTCACCAACGTACGAGCCAGGTTGCTGCAACAGACCGAGCTCCTCCCGCAACAGGCGTACCCGGGAGTTGTAATCATTGCGCTGTGCTTCTAATCGTCGTAGAACTGCCTGGCCTTGTATAATCTCGAGCTTCATGCCCTCGATCTTATTGCGGTAGTAGTTATCCAGCGCCATGTTGAAGTGATGACGCTATCGGAGAAGGAAGAGAGGAGCGGTCGACCCTGCTGACGTCCACAGAGGGATGAGACTTGCTGGAAGGATAAGTTTCCTATAAACCAGAAGTATATGATAGTAGGCTCAATCGGAGGGAAATGAGCGATTCGTGGGATGGACGGTGCAGGATGCAAAGAAAACGATGGAGGCTAAGATGAAGATGTCACCGATGAAGCTGTGGACCAGCTCTCTCGAAGCTGCGGGAACCAAACACATGATCTTGGAGCCTGGTTCTCCAGGTGTCTATGATTAGGCTATCACTTCTGAGCAAACATGACAAACACACAGCTCCCCATAAGATTAGTCATTAGACCCAGTGATTGGCCGCGAGCCATGGATCATCCGATTATTAACAGCGGGAGCTCTCCACGCGGATTTAATGATTGGGCTGATATGACAGTCAATATCGACCATTATCATCCATCCGCATCTCAGCTGATGCGATCATTGAGATCGGACCCGTTTCATCTGCCTCCCCGCCATGACATGACGTGAATTCTTTACTTTTGTTAATTTCTAAAGTCCTTGCAGGGTGCTTGGGTATTCAGTCCCACTTCTTGCTTTTTCTTTGACATTTTCTTTGCCCTTTCACCGTCCGAGCTTTTTGGTTGGGTAGGTTTCTTGTCATTCTATTATCTCGTTCCATTCGCTGGACAAGACTATCCAGATATGGCGGGCGACACAAAAGACCCCGAGGCTCCCGAGTCAAAACGGCCCTCAGGGATGTCAGGTAGTGATTACGCCTCGGTGTCATCCAATCCGGCTTTAAGATCAACTTCTTCTGCACGAAGAACTTACGGTGAGACCAGGCCCTCCGTGTAACGGGATAAGGGGAGAAAAGGGAAAGACTCGAGAAAATGGTATTAATTTCTATCCGCGAACAGGAACCCTGGATACCTCCTCCACTGAAGCAACATCTGACGTACGCCACGAAGAGAACCAGGAGGACTCCATGGGTCGCGCTTTCACCTCATCCTCCACAGCTCCCGATAGGCCTAGAAAGCCCTCGGTTACGCGCCGCATGTCCTCGAAGCGCCAAATACCCCACAAGGGACAAGAATTTTCCACCGACGATGATCTTAAGGAAATCGAAGAAGATGCCCTCCATCAATCCACCCAGCCGTCACCGAGAATTCGCCCCTTGCGTGCAACTTCCACCTTGAGGCGCCGTCCGAGTGCTCGACCCAGCCCGCTGATCTGGGGTGAATCGGATAATATCAGTGTGGATGAGACCGGCCTTCCGGAGCCGGGCTTAGAAGCCTCACTCGAGCTTCCATCACTGCGGCAGTTGGATGGCGGAAGCGATCTCGACAGCGTAGACGAGGATTCCCATAATGATAATCATGATGACAGCGACGAAGACGACGACGAGGAGGATGTGTCTAGTGATACCGAAAGCTTTACGCTCAAGGATCGGCAGCAAGCTATCAATGAAACCCATCCATTCGGTATTCGAATCTGGAAGCCGGCTTTGTATAAGAAAAGCCGATCGGTGGAAAAAACGGCCGAGGGCGATATTCATTCGTCTCCTGGGGGTCGTGTGAGTCCTATGCTATTCCTGACTAACATCCTGTGGTCTTTATGTTTTGGATGGTGGCTTGCCTTGGTTTCTCTAATGGCAGCGATCGCATGCTTTTTCTTTGCCTACTCCTCCAGTGCCCGAGCCTACGGAAGGGTTTTCTCGGGCTTATCGCGCTACCTACTCTACCCATTCGGCTCTTTCGTTCTTCTCCAAACAGATGAGATTTATGCAGAAGAGGATGAAGGTGAAGGCCGAAGCATCAGCGAGTACGAGCAATGGCAGAATGGGGATCTGGAACATGGTCGACTATTCTTCGGACCTCGTAGGGACCGATCGCTTGTTGGGCGTCGACGGAATAGCGTGGATTCTGCTGGTGAGCAAGATAGTCTGCTAGGACGGCCTCTGCGAGGAGAGCGAGAAGATTCACAGTTTCACCACTCCAAGCGTCGTCTCTTCGGCCGCGGTGAATGGACCACGGGCCGAGTTGTGTTCTTCATATTCTTCTACTTCTTAGTGGGACCCTTGACACTTATGGTGTCGCTAATTTGCTGGTTACTGGTCTTCTTTATTCCAATGGGCCGCGTGACACTGGTTCTGGTGAGCCACCTGCGGCGCCATCCTCTTGCCTTGTCTTTTCACTCGGACACCTCATATTCACGACTTAGCTCTGGATCTTCCTCGCCCTCCATCCTCTTATGTACCTACCGTGCTGCAGGAAGCAGGTACTGGAAATACACTATCGATGGCACTAATATCTTCTTTATTAATCTGCTGAGTGTTGTCCTTTTTGTCATACTTGACTACCATTTCCTGGGCAACTTCCTAGGCATAAAGACATGGCTCACCCATCCAGGGCTCATCTTTACTCTGGCCTTATTTTCGATTATTCCACTGGCCTATTTCATCGGTCAAGCTGTGGCTTCCATCTCCGCCCAATCATCCATGGGATTAGGTGCCGCGATTAATGCATTTTTCTCGACTGTGGTAGAAGTATACCTCTACTGTGTTGCTTTAACAGAAGGCAAAGCCCAACTTGTGGAGGGAAGTATCATCGGAAGTATATTTGCCGGTATCCTTTTCCTCCCCGGACTATCAATGTGTTTTGGCGCCATCAAGCGTAAAACCCAGCGGTTCAATGTCAAATCCGCCGGTGTAACATCAACAATGCTACTATTTGCTATGATTGCAGCCTTCGGACCCACTCTGTTCTATCAGGTCTATGGCAGTGTGAGTGACTAGGGTTTTCATTTATAACCGAGGTTTACGTGCTAACATCGTACTACAGCACGAACTTAATTGCCATGCTTGTGTAAGACTAGCCGGCGAGGACAACCGAGATTGTCGACAATGCTATTTCTCTCAGACAGCGACATTCCAGGATGCATTCTACGAGAAAGCTGTTCAACCGTACGCATGGGCTGCGGCTGGTTTCCTTTTCCTGTCGTACATCATTGGTCTTTGGTTCACCCTAAGAACCCACGCTGCTTTAATCTGGGCCACCGAAATTGAAGAAAAAGAGAAGAAGGCAGCTGCGGCTCAAGCTGCTCACGATTCAGCATCGTTTGAACCCAGACATATGCTCTTTTCAGGATCGGCCGAGGCTTCCGGGGCACTAGCCAGCCGCAAAGACTCGATCAGGGAAACTCAACTGTACAAGCGGATTCTAGGACAATCATTAAGACAAGTCGGCCTAGAAGATGAAAGTGGCAACAATTGGGAGCAGTGTGATAATGTTTCGGAGAATCGGAGCAGTATACCTCATCTAGTACCCCCATCGAGCAGCGGCGACAAAGACCGCAAGATTCCCAAGGCTATCCACGGGCTTACTGGGGAAGACAACGAGCGTCTTGTACGACAAGTCACAGAGGTTGCAGCAACTGCAGCCGCAGTGGCGGCTCGCGATGCCGCTCGAAGCCGCAAACCTGCTGGTCAACAAACTGCTGGGCGTCATGCTGGTCGTGCCTTGGCAGAGCAAGCAAAACAAGCTCAAACCCAAGCCTTAGACGAAGTCGAGGACATCGGTGTTGCTGTCGAAGCTAACCACACTGCTGGAGGTCATGATGCTCCAAATTGGAGTAAAGCTAAGAGTTCCATTATTCTGCTTGGAGCAACCTTGCTGTACGCTATTATTGCAGAAATTCTTGTCAACACGGTAGACGTGGTATTGGAAAGCGTTGATATTGACGAAAAGTTCCTTGGTATCACACTTTTTGCTCTGGTCCCCAACACCACTGAGTTCCTTGTACGTTTTTACTTACTCTCTTATTGCTAGACTACCTTTTGATCACGGTTGCTAACTACTTTCACTAGAATGCTATTTCGTTCGCAATGAACGGTAATATTGCCCTGTCCATGGAGATTGGTTCAGCGTACGCATTGCAGGTCTGCCTACTGCAGGTGCCTGCTCTTGTTTTATTCAGTGCCATATACACCAGTTCCATGATCCCATCAGAGCTCGCAAAGCACTCTTTCAAGTATGTATTCTCTCTTACTGGCCGTGAATGTGCACCTAGAATACCACTGCTGACATTGTCTCTCCCCAGCCTCATTTTCCCTCAATGGGATATGATTACCGTGATCCTGTGTGTCTTCTTGCTTTCGTACGTATACGGCGAAGGAAAGAGCAACTACTTCAAGGGTTCCGTCCTGGTCTTGACGTACCTGGTTGTTGTGCTCGGCTTTTATCTGTCAGGTTATAGCAATATGGACAATATGGGCGTGGACCGATTTGACACGCTTGCTCTGGGCGCTAATGGCCCCGAGAAGTTCTATACAATCGGTCACACTCGTGCAGGTAGGGCATATTAAATTCAGCACAAATGTCTATTACCCTGAAATTACCTAGACCACATGGATGCACAGTATGTATCGTGGCGAGGGGTTTGTCTTATATCTGTCATCTTGTGCATAGCGTGAATGTGTTTATACTTGCCTACCCTTTATGTCCTTGTTCATCTCCATCGGTCGCTGCTGGATGGGGTTATCGGCTCTGTGTAGGTTATAGCTCTACTACCTACCCTATCTAATGTCAGCAAGACTTTTGAGCTATTATTCAATAGATGACATAACCTAGTACAATAGATAGAACTTAGAATGATGTACCCGTACATATATTTAGAGATTTTATGCAATATAATTATTGGCTTTTTGGAAATCCAAGTTTGCTAACTCCTCAATAACCAACCCAGCGTAATTTTGCGTCTCGTTTTTTCTTATCTTAGAATAATACGCTACTAACAAAGCTCATTAATCTTAATTTTAATTCAAAATGGAAATGGAAATGAAAATGAAAATTAAAACCAATCAATTCAAATTTCAGTATATGGTGTTTAGTGCGAGCCCCAATCACCAACTGCTTCATCCACCAGCTTCCGATACTGCTGCTGCTTAAAGCACTGCTCCAGGAAAACCTGGTATTTGGCTTGTAGAAGAGCTTTCTCTTTCGCATCTACTGTGGGCGCCACTTTTCTCCCAGGCTTGCTCATACGGTCCATAATACCCCACAGAGACTCTGTTCTTCCCTCATCATCGGCACTAGCAGCCTTCGCACCAAGCATAGCAGCACCGTGACATACAGCAGCATGAATATACCTAGGAATCACAACCGGCATATCACAAGCTGATGCGATGAGGTCAACCAAAATATCGTTTTGGCATTGTGAGCCTGACATGAAAATCGAAGTAATCTTGTGGCCGGCCTTGTTCATTGTCTCGACAATTTGTTTGGTCTGCAATGCGATGAATTCCAAGGTAGCATAGTAATAAATGGCAAGACCTTCGACGGTTTTATCGCTCGTTAATCCGAAAATAGATCCGGACATGTTCGGATCCGCAATAGGAGACCGATTTCCCCACAGATCACCGTAGAAGAAGAAGTGTTTACCCAAATAGGATATGGATGGGGCGTTTTGGTCTTGCTTCATTTCCTTGAGGTGCTCGTTCAGGTATTCGTAAATATTGCTGTGATAGCTTTCGGCAGTTGATAAGGCTTGGTTGAATGCCGGGTGTGTTTCAATGACATGCTTCAGCAATTCGCCTGTAGCAGATTGTCCACCCTCCGCCATCCAATACCCCGGAATAATAGTATCTCTGTAAGGACCCCAGACACCATCAACGAAGACAGGATCCGGAGACATTGCCAGATGGCACGTCGATGTTCCTGCCACAGCAGCTAGACGAGAAAAGGCCTGTGCCGGATCGTTTTTGGCAACCTCACTTTTTAGCTGGGCAGCATCTAGATCAACCTTGGCTCCAACTGTACCGATCCACCCAGCATAGGCATCGATGACACCGCTACCAATAGCAATACCAGCGGGTAATCCTAGTTCTGCAGCAGCCTTTTCGCATAAATGGCCGACAAGCTCACCAGCACTCAAGTAGTCACCATTCTGCGTAATTATATTAGCGAAAGTGTCACTATCTTTTATCAGGGAGGGCTCACCACCCCGTCAACGCCGCCCATGCGCTTGAAGTTGTCTTCTGTCAAATCTCCCAATCCAATCTCATGTAGGAAGTCCTCCTGCCACCCCTTTACACTCCCATCAACTCCAACAGGAACATATCCCTGTTTGCAGACCACGCTACAGAAGCTTCGCTTCTCATTACCCGTTGCGATATGCGTGAGGGCATCTGCTAGATCGAAGAATTGGCACTTATCAAAAAGTTCCTTCGGCATGTGGTTCTTTAGCCAAAGAACCTTTGGAACTTCCATCTCAACAGACATTTTCCCTCCAACGTATCGGAGGAGATTGTGATTTGTAGCGTTTATTTTGGCCGCTTCGCTCACGGGACGATGGTCTAGCCATAGAATGACATTGCGGTCTGTGTCGAAGTTCGGACCAGTCACCGAGATTGGTTCGGCGGTTTCGTTGTTAAATACAGATAGTGAGCATGTTGCGTCGAATCCGATTCCTCGCACTGTCTCTGGCTTGATGTTATGTTGGCTAATGGCACGTTGCACTACTATGCAGATACAACGCCAGATATCGGAGGTGGATTGCTCCTGTTAGATGCAATTAGCATGGAGATGTAGGAATGCGGAAATGCTTATTGGATGAGCTGTACATAGAAGCCGTGCTCTGGTTGCCAGAGTCCAATGTTCTCCGTGGCTAGGCCGACAATGTCTCCTCTGCCGTCGATGATACATGCTCGCGCACTGCCTGTGCCCACATCTATACCGATGAAATGCTCTGCTTTCACGGATATATCCTCTCGGGAACCCAGAGAGGCTAGTCGGGAGCTCTCGAGTGAGGGTTTGCGGTAAGGTTGCGAGTCCGAAGCCATTGTTTTGCTAAGGTTGTCGGAGCTTTATGAGTAAAAAGTGGTGCGGGGGAGAAGAGGAGCTCTGCGACGGAGTGGCGCAGATTAGCTTGCAGGGTCGGATGTATCTTGAAGTGGAATCAAATCTCTCACAATGTCAGCTCAATTGAGGTATTGTAGAACGTCTAGTAGTGAGGAAGCTCTTCAGAGAAAGCAATGGAAGGTAATGATCGCATCTGAACTTCCGAGATGGAGCACAAACTTAAGCCTGTGGGGTAAAATACTACGATAGGGAACTTTGGGTCCACGGCTGGCATTTGCTTGAAATTGTGTATATAAAAGGGTTAGATATGGCTATTAATTTATCTTGTTATACTCAATAAAGACTTTATGGCAGATATCTGATGTCACAACGTCGTCAGCAGAATTTAAATGGACTCTATACTTCAAGTTGTACCTTGCACGCACTATGTAGTGGATACCAGTTGACAAGCCGATAGGGAATAGCAACAACATGGGTCCGACCGCCCCAAACTCCCCGAACTTCCAGCTCCAGCTCCATCACTCCTCTTCAATCATCCACCCGGCAACCATGTACCTCCTCACTCTCCTAGGAGCAATCTCGCTCCTAATCGCATCCGTCATCGCCGACACCTCAGATATCCTATACTGGCCCGTTGGATCCGCGCAACCTTCTCTCCTGGCGCGCGTCACATACGACCCGACCACACTCACCTCTGAACTGGTATCATACCACCAGCCCTCAACCTCTGGCGACGATCTCGTTCGCATCGGCCTCTACAAATCAAACCCCTCAAACCCGAAACAATGGACCGGTAGTCTTGTCTCAATGTCCGTGCTGATTGGCGATGACGCCCAGCCCACTTTCCGTCTTCACCTCGGTCCTGCGAATGATATTTACCACGTTTCTTTGGCTGCTTCTGCGTCTACGATTACGAAGGATGTTTCTGGGCCTCAGGTGCAATTGGTTGTTGCTGAACAGGGTACTCAGCCTCATCTTAATCGGCCGGTGGTGGTTGGACCTGATGGAGCTAACCCGGAGGAGGTACCGGAGAAGAGCTTTTTGCAGAAGTAAGTCATTTTTCGTTCTTTCTACGTTATGTGTTGGAAGTGTGCTAATGTGGTTTTTGAATAGGTATTGGTGGGTGCTTTTGATTCTTACTTTCTTGACTATGTCTGGCGGTGGTGGCGGTGGAGAATAGACTTGGACATAGAAACAGAAGAGTATAATACCATTCTTTATGAACAGAATAATAAAAATAGCTTGCGGTACTTTTCATAAACTCTTCTTTTGTAAGGCGCTGTCAGATTGTCCCACGAATTCCATTAATTGAGAAAAAGCAACAGGCACGCTATGCATTTGGTATCAAAAATTGAACTGGCGAGAAATAAAAGGAAAAATGGAAAGGGAAAGGGAAAGGGAAAAGAAGCAAGGCTTCATCCCTCAGACTTCGGAATGTCGATTTCATGCTTTTCGAAAGCTTGAATACTTCGCCCATCAGGTTTCAAATGAAGAAGCATAAGGCCTCGATCCGTAATCGCAACTAGCTCATTCTCCTTCTCAGTGAACTGCAATTGAGAACAAACCGCATTCAAGTGGATTATTGCCGGTCGAAGTTCCGGATACCCCCCTGGTGTCTGCCATGATTCAGGATAAAAGCCATCATCATCACCTTCGATTAACAGATTTGGCTCCAGAGCCCAGACAGATATAGTCTTCCAGCTAGCCATCGCAACCCGAGTCTTTTGATTGGAATATGCAATCAGAGATCCGAGTGAGGTGCTATTCTCTTGGAACCCTCCTAACTGTGCCATTATCTGCCATTCATTGAACCGTCTTCCTCGCTCGAGATTCAACTCGTGACCACAGCGGTTGAATCCGGGGAAAGCCTCGGATCTGAGCAGACAGGCTACAGACCAGTGCTCTATTCTATGAGTCGCTATCCCGACCGCAAAGTACCGCCAGCGACAGCGAGATCCGAGCGTTCCATCGCCTGCTTGATGGGTACCGAAGAAGGGGATCCCGATTGAGAAACGAAGCGAAAGGTCGCTTCTGAATGTTACGCGACAGCCGTTCTCGCTCGCAGGTGGATATAACTGGCCGACAGGGGGAGTCCACTGAAGTCTATGGAAGGAATCATAGAGCGTCTTTGCCCTGTAATGGTATAGTAGTTGTTGGCCTTCATCGTTGAATGCGATTTTAACCGGGGCACCTCTCCCGTCAGATTCGCGGTCACCATCACTATTATCGGTGGTGTCTGTCAAAACACATGAGGAGTATTTGGAGACAACTAGGTATCTTTCGTATCAGTATTCAGAGAAGAAGATGATCGTTTAGTGTATACAGTGAATGGAGTAAGACGAACCGATATGCGCCGATTGATCCTTCCAGTTTGCATCTGTCCGTAGGTAATCATATTTCTCTTCATCGTCCTCAGAATTTTGCGCGGTATAAAGAACCACTTGATGATCATGAGAATGCTGCATATGCTGCCATGATATCGCGAAATGGTCTCCATGTACAGCGAGACTTAAAGGCTCGTGACTATTTTGTTCTGGAAATCCGTAGACTTCCACGATCGTGCTTTCAGGCGCAATTTCATGAACACCACTGCTTCCATGATCTAGCCTATGACAGCTCAGATAAATCTTCCCATGAGGACTAGACTGTATCGCCCTCTTTACAAATGGATGGCTCATATCTAAGTCCTGATCAAAGTTAGGCCGGAAACGATGCAGAACATAGACTTCCGGGTCATCAAAAACCGTGTGAAGAATTTGAACATCCCCAAATTTGCTCGCAGGGGTATTAAATCGGTGTTGAAGAGATAATACTCCGTTGTGAATACCCACAAGATAAACCGTAGGGTCATCTTTGAAAACTAGCAGGGAGTGCTTGGCGTCTTCTGCATGTATAAATGAAGATGCTCTGGTATCAAGTACTTTGCCCTTGAATTCGATCATTTTGCCTTCATATTGGTATTCGACACCAAACAGCTGCCGTTGACAGCGCTGTAGAAGAATCTGGAACAGCTGTTTTGTTGTGAGAGGTCCCCAGTCCCCAGCGTCTCCAGGTGTCTGGCTGAGCTGGAACAGAACGAGATCCCGACTTGACGAAGCAAGGTTAAATAAAGCATGGCAGCTGTACGCAGCTTGCAAGAAAGCTGAGGCCTCGCAACTCCGCAAGATGAGCTGAATCAACTCAGGGGGAAGCGAGAGCAACATTGCGTTAATGATAGGCGGCAGGCTCAAGTTGATAGATAACCTGAGATATTGTGAGAGGAAGATAGAAATGAAGAAGAAGAAGAAGTGTTGTCGAGGTTGTAGTGTGGTTCCAGGTGGCTTGTTTTATGTATAGAGACAAACGGCGGACCCTTAGGCAGGCGTTGCTTGTTGCCTGGGGCTCAAATAGTTAGAGCGTGAGACTAGATTTGGTGGACTTTTCAGGCAGAGATGGCCTTAATCAAAGTGGAGATTCAGATTATGGGACTTGGCAAAATTTGATTCTAGACCTTAGTACTAAAACTTGTGGACACGATATACCCACAAATGTGCACGGCTTGGTGAATATAATGAAGTTCTTTCTTCATTGGATACGATCGGACTTCGCCAGCTCTAGAGTTTGACCGTGTCGGGATAGGCCGTACACGGCCCCAACCTCGCATACTACCCCTCACAACCTAAATAAGTATATGCATGGAAGGAAAGTTTATTTACTAGATCTTCTTTTTTAAATACATGATAGATACACTAGTAGTAGATCTGCACGGGGCCATGCAGGAGTTTAAAGAGCTTTAAGGATTTGAAGATGATTGGGGGCGGTCATTTATAACATATTGGTTGTTAGACAGAGGAGAAGAATCCATGAATTGAAGATTGAATTGAAGATTTGAAATGAGAAGCAATTCGTATATCTATCGCTAAATTCAATGCTTTTAATGTCTGATCAAGTCATGAAACTCCTGTTATCATCCCCCGCCGCATCCCAAAAAGTCCAAAAAAGCAAGACAACACCGAAAAATGCATCTTTTCCTTAGATCATGAGTTCAGGAAAGACGAAGAAACAACAAAATGGGTATAATCATTCAAGGGTTTGACATCAAGAAGACTCGTTATCCATTCGAGTAACAAGCCATTCGAGCACGCTTTCGTAGCATAGCACATATTGACTCAGATTCTGCACCATACTTGGTCGCTGAGTCCGGAAATCTTCGACAGCCTTGCGAATTAAGTCGCGATGGTAATCCTTCGTCCATTCGGGTGATTCTGAAGAATGTGCATTCGAGTTTTGTTGCCGCTTGAGCATGTCCAGCACGCTATCAACCGTACAAAAAGTACCGGTACGGCCACAGCCTGCACTGCAGTGCACCAAGACTGGTCGCTGACCCTTGGGTTCGGCGTCTTGGCTACTAAATCCAGAGTTGCTGCTAGCACGAACGGCTTTGTTGCATTGCTCAATTAGAGTGAGTAGATGCGCTGGCTGTGACGTTGTTCCGAAATCGGGCCAGTAAGGATAATGGAGCTGTGTGATATCCCGAAGGGGTTGGAACGGCATTTCTGAGTGGTAAAGACTGAAATGTCGCACGGTAATGACAGGATTCTCATTATTTCCGTCAGGAGATTGACTTGGTTTGCCTGCTGCACTCTGAGATTCGACATGAATAGATTGTTCGGAGTAAGCTTTCACTTGAAATGGTCCATAACTCCCAGTCTTCCAGTATGGATGACTTTTCACCTGTCCTCGTTCTACCTCGGCAGTCAATGAAACGAGGACCCGTACGTCTTGTTCCCAAACCACTCGCCAGAAGTCCTATCACCAATCTGTCAGTATGCAGTCCCTAGATAAAAGAAGAAAGCACGGAGAGAGCTGTAGAATCTTACATTAAATGTATCAGGCACCGGGGCTTGCGTGGCAATATATTGGCGGTTGGTAAATTCAGCTCGGACATGATTGGCGTTGACATAGTCACAATCGCCTAGGCGGACGCCTTCGAGCCGAACGCGGGAATGTTCAAACGGATAAATATCGTTGTACCGGTTTTTGGTGCCCTTTTCAATACCCGCTACTCTGTATTTCTTAGACGCGCCCCCGGTATCCGCGGAAGGTCCATCGTACGACAGCGCCTGTTTCATGCGCTGCAACTCTTCCTTCTCCAAATCGAGAAACGTCTCCGAAACCAAGCGACCTTGATCTTTGGTCTCAGAAGCATTTTGAATCCAAGATGGAAGCCGCTTTCGCTTGCGTTCTGTGAGGCCCTGTGGTAATCTCAAAGGAATTTGACCGACTCCACCCAACAGATCCATGTTTTGTCGAATGTTGCTGAAAAAGGGATTGACTGCCGATGATGACTCGGGCAGAGCACAGCCTCCAACGACAGGGGCTATTGATGGGAGATCGATGCTCATGGGGGATCTTTTCTTAGTAGGTACATTGGCCGGCTGCAACTTTGGTCGGTGAAGCAAGTCTGGGAAGTGACTCGAGAAGTCTTTGAAGCCACCCTGCAAGATCATCCCCTCGCCCGTCCAGCCTTCGAGTTGAAATTTGTTGATGACATTAGAGAGGGGAACGGCATCTTTCGGGTCAGTTGTCGCAGAATCATAGACGATGATGGCCTTGCATTCTTTCCACTGCGCAAAATGTCGCTTGTCATGATCACTGGTGAATGTGTTTTCCAATTTCTGAGTGTCAAACGACCTGCGCTTCAGCAGAGTGGTTGGAATACAAAGATTCAGCGAGCCACTGATATTGCCTTTTGAGAAATGAGCAAAAGGTCGAACATCTAATAGAAGAATGCCACGTGGGGAAGATCGAAGCAGTTCAGCACTACGATCAGCTGAGATCCACCGAGAAGGTGGAGAGGCTTCCGGTACAGAGGCTGGTCAAATGTTAGATTTATGACCATTATCAGCCTGCGATGGGGAGCGCTGGGGTTTACTTACCGAGTGAACTTTTCCTATTTGGAGAACTTAATGGACCAGAAAAGCCGTGAGACCAACTCGCCACGTTTAATTTCTCGGGAGATTGATTACCATTAGATGAATAACCCAACGATTCTCGTCGGTCTTTATCAAGGTCCGATTCTGTTCTCAACAAATTGACCAAACCCTCTGACATCGACTCTTGTGAATAGAGTTGTAATTTGGTGGGACTGGGCAATGATTGTGCAGGTTGAAACGAGCTCCAGTTCTTCTGTGTATGGAATCCGGGATTGGAGTTGGGTGAGTTATGCGAATGCCCAACCGCGATACCAAAGTAATTCGGGCTGGGCTTGTCCGAGGCGTTGCTGACAGAGTGCATGCCATTCGTAGGTGAGGGTCGAGCGTTATGAAAAGGTTGGGGGCTTGGGTTCTCCAGGGTAAGTGTTTGTGTCGCCTGTCCCCATGGCGAAGATGGTGATCGCCCTGGGCCCGTCATGGCAACTGGTCTTGCTCCCAGCGCTTATGAATCGAGGGGAAGTAGGATAGAGTTAACGAAGACAGGTCACACCATTTGTCTCTGATTTGTGATATGGAATATTGGCGGGATAGAAATTGAGAATCACCAAGAACTCAATATTGGGTTGGTTGGTTGATCGGTTGGTTACTAATTTAGGTGACGGGAATAGTGAAAGGAGGTTTAGGTGTTCATGATTGCATTTTGCTAAGTCGGATTTGGGAGAGGGGGGGAAACCAAGTTAAAAAATAATAACTGACGTAATATGGGTCGGATGGCGTTCGAGGGGGCTTGCGGCTTGCGGCGAAAAGAGTCCAGCCAAAAGATGACCTAATTAGACCAATGGAAGCAAGATTGAAGGGATACCACGATGGCAGGGGGGGGAAGAAGCATAAACCGTCTAGTGGAAATGGGGTATGGACCGAGCGAGACCAATAGAAGTGATCAGCGAAGCGGACATCTGGAAAAGAAGCGAAAAACGCCCATCAAGTCTCCCTTATGACGTGATGGTGGGGATCACGGGTTCGGTCACTCCTCGGTTCGAGTACAGCTGGACAAACTGGGGACAAACCAGCATGGGGATGACTGGTTCAAATTGTTTTAAATAAATAAAAAATGGAGATTAGCAATCTCAGTTTGAGGTTCTTGGGATATCATAGCTGTTGAACAGTGAGTATATCCTGTACTATGAACTGTGTAAATCTATAGCTACGGAGGACTCCCGCGCCTTTGGGCTAGACTTTTATTCTTCCGTTATACATAATTTTCCAATTTCAAAAGGAACTCCGCTCTAGCTACCAATAGGTAAGTTGCACGGACTCAGGATGACCTTTGCAGGTCCACACACACGCATATGCATACAGAATGGGGGTTCTCGGGGGGCGTCAAAATCACCGAAGAGGATCCGACTTCCATCATACCGGTGCCGATCTTGGTCTAGCCATCTGAGTTGAGATTAGGGTCACCGTAAAGCTATGTGAACGAGACAGCAAGAGTTTGTGCCACTCAGCTGTCCCCACTGTTTCCACACTGGCACGTCAATATGATCCATGAAGGGGGACAACCAGGATACCTGGGAATGCCGCTAAAATATGTATGCGCTGGAGGGGGCAGACGAAAAAGGAAAACGGGAGAGATGAATAAGAGGAAAAAAGAAGAGAGAAAAAAGCCGACGAAATCAGGTTGAACCTGAGAGATCCATTGGACAGAGTGAAGTGGCGATTTGGAACGGATTTGGACTGGGGTGTCATTGCCGCCGCACCTGGCACCTAACGGAGATACATAGACGTATGGCTACCATATGTTCGACGGGAGCTTGGTATGAATATTGACACTTCGCTGGGGTATTTAGATGTGAGAGAAGCCGGATAAGTGATGATAACATAGATATTGTACAAGCATGAAAGAGAAAGAAAGTCTCTGGGGATTATCATATTCTGCCGTCTGGCTCTCCTTCGAATCTCTTCACTCGTTTCTGTTCCCAATCATCAAGATCCTTGGCCATGAGTCGCTGTAAAAGCTTGATTAGTTTTTTACGCATACAATATGGGAAATATTCGAATGTAATATAAATTCGGGCATCTTACATAGTATTCTTCACGTTCATCGCCAACAACCCGCCTACGTGGGTTGCGCTTAATTCCTTCTTCACCGTCGTGGCCCTTGAGACCGAGATTGAAAGCTTCTTCTTTGCTAACTTGCTGAACCTTGCGATCGTATCGTTCATAACGTAGAGCTGCCGCAGGGGTCAGGGCAAATGATGCTGCCACAATGACTGACATAAACGGGAGTCCGAAAAGTAGGAAAGGATGCCGACTTAGACGTGCCCGATACAGGGCTCCAAGTTTTTCACCGAGGGTCGATGAGGCGTTTGTCGCCCGGCGAAAGGTCTTAGACTGAAATGCAGGCATAATTGCAGCTGTAATTGTGAATGTCGATTGGGTTCTGGAGCGTTGGATTTCTATCTCCAAAAAAGATATCGGGGAAATGGATTGTCCGGGATGCCGGAGCGATAACTTTTGTTTGGGGAGCAACAAGAGCATACAAAGTCACTTCCACCTGTGATTGTGATCGCCTTTTAGCTCGCGGGGTCAGGTAGTGAACTACCATTGGTGCTAGATTATTTACTACTACCTCAAACCTGACTTGTATGTACCATTAGATGTTGTCCTGGATCTGCAACCCGTTTCTTGTGACTTTCACTTGAAGCTCCTCGGGCCGCGCGACTCGACCCTCACAGCTGCTCTTTTCCATTCCGTTCCCCTTCTCCCCCCTCGCAGCGCAACGGCTTTGGCTTTCAATTCAGCAATATCTAATATCTATTCCTGCACCAGAAGGTTACTGAGCCGAAAGCTCTTTTCGGTGTTTCTCAGCGAACCCAGACTACCATTCCAACATGAGTTCTTTATTCGGCGGCGCCGGTTTTGGGGTCACAGGCGGTCTTGGGGCTTCGACAAGCGCCCAAGCCCAAACAGGCGCCCCGCAGACTCCAAGTCTCTTCGGATCAACCCCTACAAGCTCTTTTGGCGCTAGGCCCTCGGCCACAGCACAATCACAACCTGCCCAGACTCCGCTGTTTGGCCAATCGCAAGCTCAACCTCAACAGCAGCAGCAGCAGCAGCAGCAGCAGCCTTCTCTTCTAGGTCAATCCCAGGCACAAGCAGGCGGCGCACAACAGCAAGCACCAATGTCATCCCAGGCAACTAAACCGGCGTTCTTCAACAGTCTTCTGGAGCGCGGTAAGAAGCGACCTCTATCTGCCGCTCAAAACGGCAATTTCGAGGACGTTCCCAATCTTCACCTGGGTCTAGATGATATCCGGAGAAAGGCACGGGAGCTTGGAAAAGCGGGATCCAATGAGTCCCAACAGAATGGCACGAACACCAAAGCGTGAGTCGACTATGGGCAATTCTCTCGCCGACTAAGGCTTCATTAGGCTCTTATGCTAATCTGAAATCTATCAATCATAGTCATTACCTCCTTGCATCCTGTGGCATCACACCCGAGCGAACACTGCGAGATCTTCGCTCGCTAGACCCGCAGACCTCTTTGACTCCGACGAGAGAATCGGATTTTGATCCGGATAACCAGAAATTCTTGAGAAACATCCAACAGCGTGGCCGCCAGGTGATGATCGCGGAGAGTCTTTCTCGGGCTCAAAAGGATTTCGATGCATTTTTGGAAGAGAAGGTGGACATGGATTGGGAAGAACAACGCCAGAATATTTTCAACCATTTTGGCCTCTCTCAAAAAGACAGCCCCAACGGCGCAAGTCTGAATGCTACAGCAAGGGGCGGGGCCTTTGGCCGATCGGCGCGCCAATCGAAGCAAGCAGGTCCTCCTGCATCTCGGAGAAGCGTTTTCGGGCGTTCAGGCTTTGATAAATCTGTTATTGGAACTCCGGGTGCCGGCCTCACAAGTCGCCAGTTATTCGAGGATCCAGCAGAGAGAAACGAGGCGCCTTCGAACGGTTTGCCCGATCAGCGCTTCTTACGAGAGAAAATGGGGCACTACGCTGAAAAGGTCCAGCAGCTGAATTTGACTCGACTTGCTGGGCAAATATACCCAGTACTTCACGAATTCTCTGAAGTTGAACTGCACACTGGGGGCGACGTGAGTATAAAGAGCTTAACTCACATCCACTTTTCGATGAAACTAACATCCCTGATAGGTTCCCCGCCAGCTGTATGGAGCTTATCAAGCACTGATAAATATTGTCCACGAGAAACCAACTGTCACCGGCTCATATGACCCCGATGCAGTCAAAGAGCGACACTACTCAGCAGACTACCAGGAGGAATCAAACAAATCTCGCCAGGCCATTAACCTCAAGAAACAGATCCTTGAAGGGTCAAGGGGATTCCTCGAACAAATGTTCTACACTGAGGTAGAGAACCTCATCTCCAAGAATCCCCGTGAAGCCCAACTAGGTGGTATTCCATCTGTGATCAACAAGATCCGAGCTTACATCCGCGTTCTTGCCGCCAGGAAGGATTTGGGCGCAGACAACTGTCATTTACAGATGAATGGACAAGATTACTGTTGGATCCTCATCTTCTACCTGCTACGATGCGGTTTCGTCACAGAGGCAGCTGAATATGTCAGCCGTGATCCCGGATTCAGGTCCTTAGATCACAAATTTGTGACTTATATGACCACCTACGCCCAGAATCGGCGCCTTCCCCGAGACTTGCAGCAGAAGATTACTGGAGAATACCAGCAGCGTTCTCTCAATGCCCCTCAAAATACCATTGATCCGTACCGCATGGCTTGCTACAAGATCGTTGGCCGCTGTGACCTTTCTCAGCGTCGTCTAGTTGACGTGAACCAAACTGTTGAGGATTGGATGTGGCTGCAGTTCAGTCTGGCTAGGGAGGACGACCGCGCCGAGGAAGCGGCAGGTGATACATTTGGTCTCGAAGACATCCAGACTGATATAACTGAGATTGGCCAAAGGGTGTTCGCCAAGGGCCAGGATGCGCCGGGCGGCTTTGGAACATTCTTCCTGCTGCAAATTCTGGGTGGAATGTTTGAGCAGGCAGTGGCTTATCTGGGCACTTATGCGCCAGTTACAGCCGTTCATTTTGCCATCGCGCTGTCGTTCTATGGCCTCCTACGCGTCTCAGATTTCTATACTTCTGGAGAAGAAATCCGTAAGTACCTGTCTTTCCATTTACAATGTTCATTTTACTAACGTCGATGTCTGTTTTTAGTTTCTTTCACTGTGAAACAGAATGCTCAGATCAACTTCGGCTATCTAATCACTCAATATACGCGGGAATTCCGTACTGGGTATGTCGAAGCAGCTATCGACTACTTCACTTTAATATGTCTCAATACAGACCTTCCAGGCTCGCTTGGTAAATCTCAATCATCAGTTTGCCACGAGGCCCTGCGAGAGTTCATTCTCGAGACTCGAGACTTTGCCAAGTTGCTGGGAGATATTCGTGCCGACGGAACAAGAATCAAGGGTATCATTGAGCAGCGTCTCGACTTGATCAGGCTGGCAGATGAGAAGGATTTCTTGAAGAACATCACCTTGCAAGCTGCAGGTGTGGCAGATGACAAGGGTCTGATCACCGATGCGGTCCTCCTCTACCACCTGGCAGAGAACTATGACCGCGTAGTCGACATCATCAACCGTGCCTTGTCTGAATCAATTGCCGTCGAGCTGGGCGGCATCATGCTGAAGCTCCAGCCTCTCCGCCCCCGTGTCGAGGAAGGCCAATCAAACGACCAGTCCGTACCTGGAAGTAGCCTGAGCTTGACTGCTGTCGATGACCCGGTCGTCCTCGGTAAGAACATGATCTTCCTGTACAACTCCAACCCAATGTACTATGACAGCATTCGCCCAGTCAACCGTGATTCCTGCGGCCTGCTCCTCTGTATGATGGAAGCCAAGGTTGAAGTGGAAGCCGGCAGATGGGCACCTGCACTCGATGTAAGTTGCTATTTTATTCCCTCACTATTCTCCTCCGCAAAACTAATCATTCAACACAGGCTATTGACAAACTCAACGTCCTTCCTCTGCAAGCACAGGGCTCTATGCAGCACATCCGAAGCTCGGCTCAGGCATTCTCCTCCCTTCCGGAGATTATCTCCCGCAATGTCGGCCACGTCATTATGTGGTGCATTGCCTGTATTGATCATGAGCGTCGCCGACAGACTTCGGGTCCCTATGAGACAGATATGCACCAGGGATTCGCGGAACGACTTTTGGCTATGGCGAAGGATCTCATGATTTTCTCTGGCATGGTGAAATACAAGCTGCCACCTAAGGTTTATGAGGCTTTGGCTCGCGCGGGTGCTAACATTGGTGCCTTTTGAGCGTTTGTTTGTATTTAATTGTTCCTCTTCAATATTAATGCCTCAGATGATTCAAAGCAATTTTCATATAATTCTACTGGCATGAACACGTATTCTATAATGGCCTCAGCCAGGGCATGTTCTAACTAGTATGTAGGCCAGACAGGACACCCAAACGCTCGATAATGGTGAATTCAAGTTCAAGTTCATGAATCAATGAAGTCTGTTGGTCCATCAAATGTGAGAATGTGTATATGCCCATCTTTATCTCCTAGTATCAGTTTATTTCTTCAAGTTGTGGCAGCCACAACTTTTATGAAGACTTCTTGCGGTATGAGAAAGACTCTTTCACCTTTGTAAAGAACCCATCGAGGCGAGGAATCGAGAAAGTAGGGTGCAGCTTCCTGGAAGGAGTCATCCAATCCAAATGATAGTGTATAAACTAAGTCCCGGTGGCCTCGTAGCCTATGTTTCAACTGCCCCGAAGCTTGTATTCCATATATAGACAAAGCCATCATCCCCAAAAGAGGCAATCCTGGTATTACCAGGGGAGAACACCAGTCCGAGGGACTTGTCATAAGTTGAAGGGAATTCCATCGGACCGGAATGGACCCACGAAAATACCAGATGAGGTTTACCATTATCGGAAATGGGTAACTCCTGTTCCATATGGCCTATTGAAGCATTGAATATCTGAACGTTCGAGCACGATTCCCAAAGAGCAATACGAGTGCCATCAGCAGAGAAGGCCTGTGAATCATCCATGTTTAATATTTGGTCACAATTGGTCTCGAATCTGAGGTGGCTGGTGGTAAGAGACCAGATGCGCACAGCTCCATCTTCCGTCAAAACTGATGCGCGAGTGCCATCCTGTGGAAGTGAAGGTTGACTGCCAGATACCAAGAAATCGTCTCTTACACTCAACTTAAGCAACGGACTTCCATTTGAAGAAATCCAAAACCATCAGATCTTGGTCAATATGTGCAAGAATCTTGGAGCCATCTGGAGATGGCACTAGCATTCGAACTTCTATTGATCATAGTAGGGGCTCGTGAGAGTCCCAGCGAATAGTTTTGGGAAATAAAGATCTGCCAACCTATTGTAGATCTCGATCTGTTAGCTTCACTGGTGCCTGCACATGGATATTTAGTGTATTTTGACCTTTCAAACGGCAGTGAACGGACCAGAACCCCAAGGTTCAACACACAAGGATGAAAATTGTTCCTGTACTTTCACGTAATCGATTGCTCATGGATTTTTCGCAGTCTTCTTATCTTCCTGCCACGAAAACAGTAGTAGAACTTTTCATTTACGCTGCCCCCTCGCGAATTAGTATATGCGGGATACGACAACTATATATAATATTTTCAATTATGTACATGAATGTAGAGTGCCTCACCATAACATTTGAAATCCAATATAAGTTGGACAACGAATTACCCCCCGAAACTTGAATGCCCTCGAGCAGATATCGCCTCAATACTTAGGAGCCCCGGGCGCTAATAACATGCCCAAGCTCTCAAAACAATGGAAATTTGACCTCATAAGGCGCTGTGATGCTGGTAGATCAAGCCCAAGTGTCTATTTGCAGCCCTGCTGATCCTGATCGCTGACCAATTGAACCGTGCGGCATACAGCAGTGCCATAGTGCTTGAGAAAGTCATCTTTCATAATTTCTTCAAGTAGAACGCTAGGGTGGCCGAAAAGGTCGAGAGCTTGACCCTCCTTGTCAATCATAGAAGTAGTCATGATGATTCTCAGTCCAGTAGGCGTGACACAGGCAGTGGGGTAAAACACGAAGTCTCCATCATTTTTATTTGGATGCGCGCCGACGTATGCGATGCCATATCTCCTTGAGCACCCAGCTTTGCTGTTTGGCAATGGCTTGAAAACGCTAGTATGAGACTATTAGCCACTTTGTGTTTCAAGTTCAAAAGTTATTTTGAGAAACTCACGTAGCTTGGTACCCATCTGGGACTTTTGTAGGGTCTACCACGACTAGATCGGCGATACCCTGACCATAACCTGCGAACTGGTATTTGAAGTCTTGATAGTCCACCGCACGTGGAAGAGATTTGAAAGCTAAAACACGTCCGAAGACATCCAATGAGATTGGATTTTCTTTCTTGTCGAGTGTCCCCCATGGTGCACTGGTGTCGTACCCCTGGTTTTTCCCGACCAGATAGAGTCCGCCGTCTTCACCAGAAACCATAATGGTCTCGCCTTTCGAGTCCATCAAGATTCTGAATGCTTGGTCCTTATAGGTCTTTTTGGGTACGACAGAGACTTGAGGAATGAAGGGTTTCTGGTTGTAAGAATCCCCCTTGGCTTTGTCAACGATGTCTTTGATGACTCCATTATCGTTTTTTACGTTTCCTGGTGTGAATCCATTCGCCCTATATACCAAGGTTAGCTGAAGTGAGATATTTGGGAAGCTGAGGGGGTAAGTACGTAACACAGCCAAGGTCCTTTTCATAAAGTTTAAAGTTGGCAATATCAAATTCCCACAAATCAACTGCGTTAACATATAGACGATGCCTGACGCCTGCTTTCAGTTGCACACCATTATTGCACGAGCCCTTTTTTGTTTCATCATTTGATAGGGCATAAGTTGCTTCTGCATAAATGGATGGAGCATTCGTGAATGAGACGGTTTTCTTGAATTTGCCCTGTAGGACATCAATGCCAAAGTCCATCCCAATTGGAAGTCCGATATCAAGACCAGCAGTAAATTGACCTGACGCTTTAAACACAGGTTCAAATCTTGGATTGAATCCGTGGATCCCATTTTCGGCCTTTACAATGCTGGCTGTAGCAGTACCTGGTTCGAGTATCACGCTGCCACCCACCAGCAGTTCGATCTTTCCCTCGACCTGAAGAGCGACAGAAACACTGAAAGAGACCTGTGGACCGAGCGTGAGGATCCCCGGGATCCCAAATCCAGGAAGCGGAATGTTCTTTAGTTCCTTGTCATGATGTTTGATGGGGTCTGACCACCCTCTGGACAGTTTTCCAGTGGCGCTGATGCCGATTTGGGCATCCAGTCTAAGCTCATCCTTGTTACGAAATTGGAGGAACCCCTCCGTCAAGCCATCTTTGATGCTGAATTCCAGTTGTCCTTCGATATCCATGTTCACGTGGACGCCACATTTGGTACATTGTACTGTCCACTCTGCGCCGTGGGGTTTGGCAAGCACAAATCCGTCCCCAACACCGAAAATGTTCGGTGGTTTATTGCTAACACTGGCTCCATTGAGATATTCATGGAATGAGATGTCATGGTGATATATGTGTTTAAACGGGACACCAAATGGAACGAGTAGGAGTTTGATAGTAATAGTCGCTAATTCAACTACCCGCTCACCAATTGAGAGAACCGCCCCGGCCGCAAATCTAAAGGCGGACACGACTGCCTAGAAATTATAACCATATTAGATTCCATCATTTGAGATAAGTTTCAAGGATCTCTCGAGCAAACTTACTCGACCTAGTGCTATAATTCCATCCCAAATATCTCCGAAAAAGTCACGCCGAGCAAGAGCTGATGTACTGCGTGTTGACAACTCAGTTCGAACTCTGTTGGTTCTTTCGTGTCGGCTTCGCATCAAGGAACGACGGGAAACATTTTTGGAATTTTCATTCTCATAGTCGTCGATGTCCAAGAAAGGCATTGTGGGAATTTTTGCTCCCATATCAGTCGTATTCAGGTGAGAATTATTAAAGAAATAATGAAATGCGTTGGGATCAGTCGTAATATCTGTAGTACCATTGATGATCGGAGGCTCTGTCGGATTCCCTATTATCACTGTCCCATTCATGGTTCGCATTGGTCGGCCAGGCAGCGTGTGGTTAGAGCCACGTAAAGTGTGGTTAGAGTTGCCCGGTCGTTGAACGCGTACATGACCTTTGGTTGGTGACCTTTTTCTGTTAGTTGGATCTGTGTAGGTGCCCCAGGATAAGACTGCCGACTCCAACGCTTCTTCCTCTGAGATCTCGGTGACAGTCATCACCGCACACATTGTCTGATTGTTAAATGAAGTGTGTGATACGTGAAAGAAAGTACGCTTTCCAGAGCCTTCGTCTCCGCAGCCCACATGGTAAGTCGCAAGATTAAAGCCACCGTCGCGTGCCCAAGAACTCTCAGCAGCCTGCAGTGCACTTGAATTCTTGAAGCAGACTTGAATGTCATCAGTGTCACAAATGACGCTCTTGATATGATTAGATTGATCCAAGACGACAGTACCACGGACGAATTTGCCCTCCAGGGAGGCATGTTTGGCTCCGTGTAGGGCAGCTAGAGGTGGTGAGCGAGACTGTAAGAACTGAATTGTTTCAAGGAACAAGGCTTACGGCGATGTCCTTCCTGGCTATAATGAAGAACTTTGTCATGGCGGGGCATGAGGTGTTCTAGGTCAAGTGTGTCGTGGTCGGGTCTCAGCCCGGGATGCAACACCACATCATCACCACTAAATGAAGGTGTGACTTGCAAGAGGCCTTCAACTGCTTTGTGCAAGCCTATTGCAAGAGTTGGTGTGGCAGCCACTCCTATCCAAGCAGCGAAGATTCGATTCAATCGCATCTTGCCAAAAGAAAGATATAATGAGCGTGATTTTCAGCAAGATATGAATAAAAGATTGATTGTGCTGGCCAGTAAATGAATCTCCCAGCGAGGATGTCCTCTTTTATATGCTCTTTGATCTTAGTATATTTTATTATCGCCAACCTTCAGCATGTTGATCGCCAACTTTAAGCGGGGTTGATCCCAGGTGTCCCTCAATAGTGTCCGCATACTAGTTCATAATCGTGATGAACAACTTCCTTTTTAGAACATTAATACAGGGAAAATCAATAGATCATCAAAGGATTGCAATAGTGTAATAAGTAGGGTGTGGCCCACTTAAGAGACCATTGGACAGGGTGGGTCAGTTCATTTTTGATCGATTTAACTAGCCTAGATAGTACTTGCCGATCTTCGGCAGCTAAGCACATCAAGATCACAAATGTGCTTATCCCGTTTGAACTGCACCTATCATGGGGCGTTATTTTTTTGCATGTTTTGACTTTTAATTACGATCTCCATGAGCCCCTGGCCCTTGCATGAGCGGGGTCCTTGCGCCCACTAAAAGGTATTACATTCAGATCATGAGGATCTGTGAAATTGACGCCTAAATTGATAGCTTTTGACGTCAGAAACAGCCACCTTTCTCCCCGTAACTTTGGAGGGCGAGCGGGTGCTTCACTACCAGCCGTCCAGCACAATCATACAAGCTCGGTTTCATTTAGAATATAGCCCTAGGGGAATTTAGAGAGTACCGACGGGTACAGAAGCCTTCAAATGTTCTTAGGCTTTACTTAGTCTATTTGAACTATAGAGCTTTGAGCTAATTGACTGAGAAGTAGTCGACAATGTTGAGATGTGGCTATCGCTTTGACTAGAAAGGGTGATATTAGAAAGATTGGTTATCCTGTTCGGTCACTAGTTTGTTGATCTCAGCTAGATCGCGTAGCAGGGAAAGAAGTCGAAGCAATCATGTGTCGGAATTGATATTTAGATAGTGATAGACCACGAGATATCCGAACAGCAGAAGTAAGAGATAATAGAGTAGTAGTTACAGATCCTCAGGGATCTTTCTACCCTGGTGGTGAGACCCTAAGAACTTCCGGTGGGAATGTCTCGATACTTATTTGGTTCGGGATCAATTAGCGTGACGCTTATCTTGGCAATCTATTTTGGCCGAAGTTTATGCTCCAAAATTTGAAGCTCTGTGGGTTGATGAAACCACGGAAACCTTGGAAGGGTCGAGCTGAAATCTCTGTGATGTCCATGGGGAACTTGTGACCTGTTCTAGCCCGACTCCATGGCTGTTATTGAGAGATCCTCAGCGTAATCTATACCATTGTAGTCCCGGCAGCATGTTCAACGCATGTGCCATTGCTGCCAACTACACTAAGTATATATTGCGCTCTGACGATGTCCCAATTGTGACAGAAAAGGCCTGGCTCTTTAGACCAGAGGGAGCGTGCACGGTTAAATATTAAGCAGAACTAAGGTGTGGATTCCTCATAGTATAAGTTTAGGTTTCCCCGCAATGATGATAGAATGCCAAGCCTTTTGAAACTTCCTCACTCGCGTCCAACATGCGTCGGCACGTTCCACTATTTACAGATGGAGTTACTTCATCATACGAGTGCCCTATCTTTATCGCCTGGGGCCTCCTAAATCCCCGTCGCAGCTGCGGTTCCTCATTGGCTTCTGGCACAGAATGGCCCCTGCCAGCCACGAATCATCCGCGGTCCCACAGGTCGTTATAACCACGAAAGCTCTAGCACCTCCACGAACGGATCAACCCCAACCCAGAAATGAGCCAAACGCGAAGGGGAAAGACCCAGAGTCTGGTCCCATACCTGCGCCTGACAAAGTTACAGTAGACGAAGACCCGCGGCACCCTACAGATACCCCAGCCCCCGTGGACTTGACGGGCGCCTTAGAGAAGCAAGCCCAGCGGAGCGACGCGAATGAACCCCCACGGCAAAGCAGTCCACCCAACAATAATAATGAGGCCAACGAGGCTGGTACGAGGTCCCCAGTGGGAGAGTCTACGGACAGTTTAATCGATAACCCACCAAACTTGGCGCGAATTCGTCGACTGTTGTTCGAATGCAAAGATCCGATTGAGATCACCCAGGAGGAGTTTGAGACCTACTGGCCATTCGTCGATAATTTCTGGGTTAAACAGAGAACAAACGCAAGCCATGATGGCCATTGCACAACAGAGTACTATATGTGTCGGCTACGAAGAGCTACAAATAAGCCGTCGGAGACAAAACCGCCATTACCGGAGGGTAAGCGCCCACGCAAAAGACGCGCAAGAGAAGGTGGCATTTGCAATGTTTCGATCAAGGTTGTGCGGTTTGAAGGCGCATATTCGGCGGTCACAATATACAGAACGCCAGGAAGTGATGCCGCCCACTCTCATGATCTCGAGTATATTGACCGTGTCAAACGTAACTCTGGAGTTATGGAGTATGTTCGAAGAGAGTCATTCAAAGGATATCTGCCTTCATCGACTTACAAGGTACTTCTAGAGCAAAAGGAGAAACTCGATGATGCAGGAGGCAGCGGTCTTAGTGTGACGGATGTGCGCAACGTTTCCGCCAAATGGCGTATACAAAACCCTGAGGTTGAGCTTAGAACCCACGATGGCTGGGAGTACGTAGAAGGACGTGGTGTTGTTAAAACTCAAACGACCAGTCAGACACCACAACAGAATCCTCCACCTACATCAATATCAACATCAACATCCACTCCGCTACCGCTCGACACTCTATCATTTCCCACGTTCTCACTGGACTTTTTAGAGCCATACCTACCTGCTATACCTAAGCATCACAATGAAAAGCACGAGTTCCCCCATGTTACTCTATCGTATGCCTCATCTATGGACTCGAAAATTTCGCTGCGGGCTGGTATGCAGACAGTGCTTTCTGGACCCGAGGCCAAACTTATGACACATTACCTTCGATCCCGCCATGACGCAATCCTTGTTGGAGTTGGGACCGTACTCTCTGACAACCCCGGGTTGAACTGTCGCCTGGAAGGTGCTGGGGGTTTTGGAGGGCTGGGAAGAATGTGGCAGCCCCGCCCAGTCGTTATCGATCCCACAGGACGCTGGCCAATTCACCCCGAGGATAGAATGCTCCGAACTGCCGTCGAGGGTAAAGGCAGGGCTCCATGGGTCGTGGTATCACCGGGGGCATCAATTAATGCCGACCACTTAATGATGCTCAAAGGATATGGCGGTGACTTTCTCCGGATTATGGAATATAATCTAGCTTGGCGGATAAGATGGGAGGCCATCCTTCGATCTCTCGCCTTAGAGGGGATCAAGAGTGTCATGATTGAAGGAGGTGGGACTGTTCTCAATGAGTTATTGAACCCGGAGTACAGCAACATCGTCGACTCAATTATCGTGACTGTGGCACCTACTTACCTAGGCCAAGGAGGAGTCAGTGTCAGCCCAGAGTCAAAGCAGGACGTCGGGGGCAACCCCAATGCTGCTTTGAACCCACACAGTGTAAAATGGACTCCCCTGGGACAGAATGTCATCATGTGTGGGAAGATCCGATCGCCTGAGCCACCGAAATGAAGAACGTACCACCTCTTTATCTACAAGGGATTTATGTTGAAAGAAGTGAAACATGTAATAATAAATAGAAAATAATCACAAAAGCGAATCAAATCTAGTATAAAAGAATATCCCAGTGAATAACTGCTGAAAGTGCCTAATCTAGGTAACCTTGAGGCACAATTAACTTCCAATGTTTTACATAGCATGCGTGACTAGGTAGACTCGGGTGGCCGGGAATGCCGTATTATTTACGTCCGTGCCTTGGCGCCTCGTTCTTGTTCCTACTTTTTTTCCCGTCCGAATCATCATAACGCGTTCTTGCTTCGCCCATTTTTTACTTCTCTCCACACCCCTTTTAAGTCGTGTTTCCCCCTTTTTCTTTATCAATTCCACATTCCACAGCAAACATGCCTCTAAAAAAGGCTGCGGCAGCTGCGGCTTCTGCTCCCAAGAAGGATGCCCCGAAAACCAAATCTGCCACCAAGAGCACCACCACTAAGGCCACCACCACCAAGGCCACTTCTACCAAGACAGCTGAGGCTAAACCCGGTCGTGGCCGCCCAAAGAAGATGAGCACTGAGGATGCTCCGAAGACTTCCGTGAAGGAGAAGAAGAAGAAAGAGGTGACCGAGGAACCCAAGAAAACAAAGACCGCAAAGACTACAAAAACCACAAAGACCACAACCACAACCTCCGCCGCGTCAAAGAAGCGTAAGGCAGAGGAGGAAGAGGAGGAAAAGCCTCGTGAACCCAAGAAGCCTCGTGTTATCGCTCAGCCACGCGAGCGCAAAGCTAAGGCCCCTGTGAAGCCCAAGGCTACCAAGCCAAAGGTCGCCATCAACGAAGCTCCCAAGACTCGGCTGAATGTGTACGTCTGCGGCGAGGGAAGCTCTGGCGAGCTTGGCTTGGGCACAGCCAAGAATGTCATTGACGTTAAGCGGCCGCGTCTGAACCAGCTTTTGTCTGCTGACAAGGTTGGCGTGGTGCAACTGGCCATTGGTGGTATGCACTGCGTCGCCTTGACCCACGATAACAAGCTCCTCTCTTGGGGTGTGAACGACCAGGGCGCCCTTGGCCGCGACACAGATTGGGACGGTGGTTACAAGGATATGGATGACGGCAGTGACTCGGACTCAGACGATGAGGACAGCGGCTTGAACCCCCGGGAGTCCACACCTACCGATATTCCTGCTAGTTCTTTCCCAGAAGGAACCATCTTTGTTCAAGTTGCCGCTGCGGATAGCGCGAGCTTTGCCCTTACCGACGAGGGCAAAGTTTATGGCTGGGGAACTTTCCGAGTAGGACTCACCCATCCCATTAATACAAATACAATTTCCTATCGATGCTAACCAATTCTTGATATAGAGCAACGATGGAATCCTCGGCTTCGATTCAGTTCACGAGGTCCAGAAGACCCCCATCCTTCTTCCCGACCTGAAGAATATCAAATACCTGACTTGCGGATCGAACCATGCGCTTGCGCTTAACGATAAGGGAGCCGTCTTCTCTTGGGGATCTGGTCAGCAGAACCAGCTTGGTCGCCGAATTGTGGAGCGCAACAAGCTCAATGGCCTGCAGCCCAGAGAGTTCGGTCTTCCCAAAAACATTGTGCACATCGGAAGTGGCGCGTATCATTCCTTTGCAGTTCACTCATCTGGCAAGGTCTACGCCTGGGGTTTGAACAGCTTTGGTGCCACAGCTCTCCAAGAGGGCGCCGGAGATGATGAAGCCGCCGTTGTGCACCCTGTCCTTGTGAAGGCGCTCTCGTCCCGAAACATTGCCCAGGTCGTCGGTGGCTCTCACCACTCCATTGCCCGCACCACTGACGGTGAATGTCTGGTCTGGGGTCGACTGGACGGATTCCAGAGCGGCCTCAAGTTGGACGCCCTTAGCAATGACGCTGTCATCAAGGATGAGCGCGGCCGTCCCCGTATTCTGATTGAACCCACCATTGTCCCTGGTATCAAGGCCGAGTGGGTTTCCGCCTCTTCAGACCACTCACTTGCTATTGATGCCGATGGCCGCGCTTGGTCATGGGGATTCTCAGCCAACTACCAGACCGGCCAGGGTACTGCCGACGATATTGAAGTTGCCACCATTATTGACAACACTGCTGTTCGTGGCAAGAAGCTGAACTGGGCTGGTGCTGGTGGCCAGTTCTCTGTGTTCGCTGATGCTGCTAGCTGCTAACGTTTAAATCCCCGTCAAACCCTCTCGGGCCCCTCCCTTCCTCCCATGACCCTTATGGATTACTATCTAATATCTTCGGTCTCATCCATCATGTATTCTTTTCTCTTGAATTCCCTCGATAACCGATGCCGCAATATGATACTACCTTCGTTTCAATCTTATTTGATATCTTTTTCTCCAATCTCAACCTCGACATTCCGTTTACCAAGGGCATTTAATAATGATCAAAGTTATGCATATCATTTTATCTTCAAATTATCTATTACATCAAAGAATAAAGAGCAGAGCATTTGGTCAATTTATTCCGTAGCTATCATTCATGACAAAAATTATATTATACAAGAGTCTACAGCCCCATGTCATTCATGGCTTCGTATTCGTCATCAAAATCATCCATAATGGTCTTCGGCGCGTCCACTGCTGAGTGCGATGTGTCCTGCATGGCATCGTCTTGCTCTCTAAGCAGATCCTCTAGATCATCGTCATCGGGCTCGGGGTGACTAGCAGCTGGCTGGGCTGGACCCTCAGGGTTCGGCATGAATAAATCATGTTCTGTGGATTCTGATGGTCCCGGCACTGGCGGTGAAATATTTGAATTGCCTGCGTTCTCTGCGTCGGCATTGTTTTGGTCTGAGGACAGCCTAGCTGGCAGATCTTCCGTTGTAGACGTTCTGTGCGAGTTGTCGAGTTTTCCGAAGGCTTCGCGCTTCTCTTCATCAATCCATTCTTTGCGCATAGTCTGGATGCGCTTTGTGTGGCCCAGTTTCTCAATAATTTCCAGACCGTCTGCGAACTTTGCTCGGGGGAATAGATCGTCGAGCCATAGTTGATAGAAATTCAATAGACGAGCGGCGTCGGAAAACTACCCAATTATTACTTATTAGTCGATTTTGTCCATTTCCAAGAGCTGGATGTACTGACCTCGTGTCCTTTGCCTTTGAGTCGAAGTTTTGTCTTAGCTGAGCTTCGTAATTTGGGAATTCCTGCTTGGGAGAGTAGTCTGCGATGGAATATAGTTAGACAATATGCTAGCAGCTATCGGCACGAAAAATATCACATACCGCGATTCGTCCAATTTGGCCACTGGTTGTCGCTTCTTCGTGATCTTGACCTCCTCGTCTAATCCAAGACCGAGTGAGGAGGGATCGCCTGCTGGTCTCGAGGCATCGTTGGCGTTGGTTGTTGTATTATCGGTTCCTTGCAATATCTCGTCTAATCCCACATCGTAGTCAAAAAGATCATCGAGATCATTGGTAGAATCTGCTGTTGTAGTATCCATGTTGTGCGGTGGGAGCTGGGTGAAAGGTGTCAATCTCCTTCTCCGATAATGATATTGACCATCTTTAATCGTCGCGGATCTCGAGGCAATTTGGTCCAGTCAACGCGTTCCAGACGCGCCCAGTCAGCAGTTCTGTGATTGGTGAATGGGAAAGCTGCCCACCCGCATACACTAGTCCTAAACAAGTTAGCACATCCACCTCCTCCAACTTCCGAACTTCGACTCTGCACAACGCTCTATCCCACCATATCAAGCGCTCACCATGGCTTCCACCAACACGGCCATTGTGCCCCCTAAGCGGGCCCCTACTGATCACCCTGTACGATTGCCTCAACTCCTCATATGGACCCCGCTAACCCGTTTCTATAGCTGATCGATTCCGACCCGTACGATCCTCTCCCGAACCAAACCTCTCATCCTCCATGTTTACGAACTCGACACTTACAATCACAATCATTATAGGCACCTGCGCCGTGTATTCGGATACGCCCGTCCTTCCGATTATGCCGTGGCTGGTGGTATGGCCACAGCTTCTCCCATTGCTTTCTGGGTTATGGAGCGGGTGAGCCCTTCGCATGTGGGCCGTGGTGGCTTTGCCCCCGTTATGCGCCTCGCAACCGCCGTTGGTCTCATTGGCGGTCTTCACATTCTCTACCAGCGTTCCTGCCGTACGTATACCAGCTTCATTTCAATCGGTTCTCCAGTCCAGTGCTTATACAGTTATAGGACGTTTCTACGGCTTCACTGAGAACGCTCGTGAAGTAGACATGGATATGCGTGAGATGGTCAACAAGGTCAAGCAGGGACAACCCCTCTACGGTGTTTCTGGTGTCTCTTCTCATATTCAGGGTGTTGCTGCCCGTAACTCTCGTTACTCCGAGCTGTTCATTCACGTCCTCCCATGGATCAACATTGTCAACCACGATCAGGTCCGTAATTGATACCGAGGCTCCTGCCTCTCTATTATGTTTTGAAATATCCATTCACTAACTATTATTTAGCACGGTGTTGACACTGCCAAGTACTACCAACAAGCGGAGCGGGAATTGGAGGCTGAGAAAACCGCATAGGTTCCTTCTAAATGATCTTTTGAACTATTCGTCCTCCGAGTTGGACCTTCGGGTTGCAAAATTTTTGTACACATATCCATTTTTCGTGTGTTTTTTAAAGGCGCAATTTGCAATTAACAATACAAACTTATGTTATGCTAGCGGTCTTTGCGAGAACTCTTGAATTCGCTTTCTTGGGTATTAAAATTTCATTTTCATTGCGCATAAGGTCATTGTACCGCCTCGTTATGAATAATTGAGAAGCAGATTAGATTTCCATGGATGGTGCAGTTGGTGTCAGAAGTCCCTCGTCGAGATTGGTGTTCAGTTCTCGATTCTTCTTTGGTCGAGGGTTGGGTGCTGGCAGGTTATCAGTATGGGATGTACCATATTTTGCTCTTTTGCTTCTGGTACTGACCTTTCTCGTTCTCTTGAATGTAGAACCGGCGGAGGAGCATCACTGCCTCGTCTCTGAAGAACCCACCATAGACTGGATATGGGGGATCGATTGAGGGGCTGTTCTGGTTAGCTTTATGCTCTGGAATTGGGAAAGGTTCGTTCACGAACTCTGAGTGAATAGACAAGACGCCACCGGTTCCTCCGAATCGGTCATTGGCGCAGCCATAGTACACGCGACGAATCCGATACTGCTTCAAGGCAGAGGCGCACATAATACAAGGCTCAACTGTGACGTAGAGATCCGTAGACTGAAGGATTGATCTGGGGTAGGTCTGGATCACCTCTGCGATCGCGAGGAACTCCGCATGTCGTGTTCCCTTTGTAGGTCATCAGTGATCAGTAATTTGAGGCAACTTGAAGAGACTGACATTCATCGATCGATTGGTGTCATTCATTCCATATCCTATGATCTCATCGTTGTGGACCAACACACACCCGACTGGTGTCTCTCCAGCTTCCAACGCTTTCTCTCCCTGGACATTGTAGTCACTGGTCAGTAAAGAGAAACAAGTGATAAAGCTGTCGCACTTACCATCAACAAAGCTTGTTGCATGAAATACTCATGCCTGGAGTCTTTCTGCTCCGTGCCTGAACTATGGGGCTCCGCAGTGGGCTGATCCATTCTGGTTGCGCTCTATGGGATATGGATGAAAGGAATTGGGATGAGTAAAGGATGGGTGAAGAGAGCTTTAGAGATGGATAAGTTCAATGTTATATCCCAAGGTTTAATGGTGGGGTGGGGTTCTAAGAGGTGAAAGATATGGGATAATTTGCTCACTAAATTTTCTACGGGAGCCTCAACCTCACCCTAACACAATGTATGTCATTGAGAGCATAAACCACCAACATGCGTGCTACACAATGTACTCTCATGGCTGTCTCTTTGATCTATAGTAGTATAGCTGCTCTTCCCCCAAATTTCCCAAATTCTTTAAAAAAAGCTGTTCAATTATTGGAAAATGAATAAAATGTCACTGTGTCTCATCATTATCTAACACAACCTTGGTCCCGATGTGGGGAGTTCGTGCCTCAGGTGTCCATGTCAATATCAACTCCGCGTGCCTTTCTTCATTTTACGACACGTGCCATTCGACCTCAATATCATATATTCAAGACCGGATATTTCTGAGTACCGACCATGATAAGATCCAATGGCACCTGAGCATCGAAAAGGCGGCTTCAGGGCTGGGAATGCCCAGCGACAGGTGGAGCCCGCTTCATCTATCCTGGCGGCACACTTCGCCCCGCTAGCATCTCAAGGACATGAAACGCATCGCCTGTCCCGAGAAACTTTCTCGCAGCTTCGCCAGGAGCTTCTGGGAGAAAGGCAAAGTCAAGTCCGGGTCGATGAGGGCATCACAGACATCAACAAGCTCATATGTATCGTTCTCAAAGCCGGCCTGGAAGTAAACCCGAGCAACATCACTTTAGCAAATGATTTGCAGGGTCAAATTCTGGACTGTCTCGATATCATACATGCAGGCATTGAGAAAGCGCCCCAGGTGTTGCTGGAAGATTCGGATCCTCTTATCTTAGGCGAGGATGCCCCGGCACCATTGTATGCCTGGTTAATCATAAGATTAATTAAGTTGATGAGTGTTTGGACGTCTCAAGATATTCAGGAGAGGGCTCACTTGATCTTAAGCATCATTATCAATATCCAACCCAAACAAGCGCGCTTACCAACATCAAGTTATGGGATTTCAGCCTTCCTGCGTGCTTGTACATCAGGTTTGTCATGTCCCGGCAAAATCTACCATCGTCGAGAGAGAGACTAGGACTAACAATAAAACGACAGATATTTTGTGCACGTTGGAATTTTCACAAGATGATTTCTCGGCGGGCCCCCGTCCCAAAAAGCTGTTTATCCCCGCACCGAAGGGGTCAATGGCAGTGGATCTAGATAACTTGGGTCTTCCTCGTGTTATCCTAAGAGAAAACATTACACTTGGGTCTTTTTCTCAAGCAATTATTCTTGTCACCCTCTTATTAGATTCATTCAGCTCACATTCACCAATTGAGGGGGGCTTTAAAAAGCGTCCCTTCATTCTCCGCCAGAACCATCCATGGGCATCGAATGGATACAACCGCCTAAGAAAGGTAGTAGTTGGATGGCTCCATAAACTTGGGTCAAAAATTACTGCAGAGGACGAGCAGACTGTTTTGCAGTATTTTTTATACACAAAGCAGTTTTGTTTTTCTGATACATCTGGATCTACTCTGCGTTCAGACATGTGTGTGGCATCTATTTGGATTCAATGTTTGAGCGAAATACTCCTGCCTAGCATTTACAGTCAATCATCTACCATCCAAACAAGTCTAAGCGTATATCTGGTTCAAGCGCTGGGAATAGCAGATGAGTCCAAATCTTTCAGACAGCAGCTGAGAGAGTCCATTTTACCTGCATTTGAAGAAATCAAGAACAAGAACGGTACCTTGCGGCCGATGGAGCCAGATCTTTGGGTGATTACCAGCCTCCATATTGTTTGAATTGGGTTCGGGAAATGTCAGACTAACTCTGTTACAGGCCGCAATAGAGTTTCTACAGCGTAACCTGCCTAGCGACTCAAAGCATGCCGAAGAAGCTACTGGTGATCCACATGATGCTATGGAGACAGAAAAGACAGCTCCGGTCCAGATGATTGGGGGATCCCATGATGAGCAACAGCAAAATGGAGACTCGCGAGCCTCGAAGCGCATTTGCATTGCTGTTGAATCCACTGATTTGGACTTGTTGTCCTCTTTCATGGGAAAAATGTCGACCGTGTTAAATTGCGACAGTACCGGGGGGTTAGCAGGCGTGCACACTGCCCTACAGTAGGTATTCCCACAAACTATCATGTCACACATAGTGCTTATATTGAAATTCTCAGGGCATCATACGATGGGCTTGCTGAGACTCAAAGGTCCGAGGTACTGCATATCATGGGAAAGATGTCTTGTGCCATCATAGGGGGTCTTAAGCAAAAATCATCGGATATTCTAGGCCGAGACACAGTTCTCTGTCAAACCTGTGACCTGGGAGAAGATGGTCATCGAATCGCTGCCGAGGAAGATAAAGCCAACTTTGAGGAATTATGGAAGATGTTCAACCTCACCCTTCCAAAGCTCACGCGAACACCTGGTCCCCGAATAGCTGCCATGGTTGCGCTGAAAAGACTTTTGATACACTCCCCTTGTATGGATCAAATGCATCTGTCCCACTCTGCACCCGGGGAATTTTGTCTTCACTCTCTTCGAAGTTCTCTTAGAGAGCTTCGCGTCGCAACAAGGTTCGATCTATAAGTATACAATACTTTGTTGAGTATATACTGACTCATATATAGTCATTCAATCGTGGCATTTGTACGCTCTAGTTTGCAACCAGATATCCGAAGAGCCAACTTTGTCACGATACTCGAGTGGTTGAGAAGCCTCTCTCAAAAAAATGAAATGCCGTTACACGAGGCATGCGTGCTAACACTATGTTGTCTTGCGAAGTAATGCTCCCTCCATTATCATGGCTAAACCTTCTTGATAGCTAATTTATGGCTTTTACTTGTAGAGTCTCGGACGAAGAAGAAAAGAACATCATTCTTTTGCGTCTCTTGGAGTACCTTGGCCACTCGAATCCCTACATATGTGCGGTATCGTACAATGAGGTAAGGATTTACGCCTTCCAACTATCTGGACCAGATTGAACTTGCCAACTAGTCCCGCCATTTTACCTTCGAAATACGGACTGACGCATTCGAATAGTTGTCTAAACTTGCACAATCCTTCAGCTTAACACCTGCTGGCTTATTCAGACCATACTGGAGAACATTGTCTGTGGAAGTGGTCAAAAACCTTCAGTCTCGACCATATATGGCCGAGCAGCTCTGCGAACTACTTGGTATGAAGGTCGATAGCTTTTTACGACTAACAGAGGTTTACGTACTTCCGTATCTGGTCTTGACGAGAAAGAGAGACATCATTGCTCGCATTGGGGCGAGTCGAGATGAAGCCGAGTCGCCTTTCGACGTATGTTCCGAGAAGAATAATCTTGCCGCAATTTTAGCGTTTCTATTATCTCAGGAATGCAAGAATCCAGAAGTTATGATTATGTCTCTCTTGGCAGAAATAGATCCGGCTTTCAAGGGGCGCACTCTGGCGGAGTTGGTGCGAATCGAGCCAATCCTCATTGCTTGCGATCTGTTGAAAAGCTTAGGGGATGCTAGCGAACAGACCAAGGAAAGGGTAGGCATCTAGAATTCTTTGCAGGTCAACATCACCACATCTGAATTCCAACTAACAATATACCCATAGTTTCATCAAGCACTCCGCCGCCTAGCCAAGTTTGTTCCTAGAAAGCTTTCACACGGGAGCTCCAAGAAGGCGGATTTGCTCAGCCACTTTATCGAAGAACATGTTCTCGGAATCATCACTCAATTTGCAAACGCAATTAACGATTTCCAAGTCAGACAGACCTTAGCAGAGAAAAGGCGTAACTTGAAAGCGATTGAAGAAATGATCAATATCGCAAGAGGTCATGTCAGCAATGCATTACCTCAGGTTTGTGCTTGTCTTCGCTCTGCACTCGAGATCGAGGAGTTGTGTGATCAGGCCTTCTCCGCATGGAAAACCTTGATTAGCACTCTCAGTGCGGAAGATGTCGAACCCCTTGTCGATCAGACATTGGCAATTGTGATTCGATACTGGACAAAAATGACCGAGGAGAGCAGGAAACAGGCCTATAATCTCATAGACCATATGTTGACAACCCACTCAAACCTTTTGCGGGACACTTTCAACACGATGCCCTCTCTAGCTTCCATACCGGAAATGGCTCCGTTCGAGGCCAAGATTAACGAACTGCGTGCGGAGATGGACGTCCGGAGCCAACTTCTTGCCTTGATCCGTCGCTGCCAAGGCGAGAATGGGACTGTCGTGGAGCAGGCATTGAACGAATTACTTCCCTTCCTTTCCGATAATGAAGAATTCCTGCATATGTCTGCTCTAAGTGAGCAACCTGATCCTGTGCTAGCACAACTTACTAGAGCATTGCTAGATTGTTGTGTTAAATTCAACGCCAATTCTGATCGAATCACGTCGCTGTCAGCACGGTGCTTGGGTCTTGTTGGATGTCTGGACCCCAATCGAGTGGAGACAATCAAGGAAAAGAAAGATATTCTTGTGCTGTCGAACTTCGATCGAATGGAAGAGACTGTTGAATTTGTCCTCTTCTTTCTCCAGCATGTGCTAGTTGAAGCATTCTTGTCGGCTTCCAACACAAGAGCTCAAGGGTTCTTAGCATACGCCATGCAAAATCTCCTTAAGATCTGCCACTTGCATACTTCTGTTGCTCAAAACTCCCGTGCCCTCCAGGGCGATGAACAATATCAGCGCTGGCTTGAACTTCCGGAAGGAATCAGAAGTACTTTAACGCCGTTTCTCACATCTACTTACACAGTGACCATCGGCGCGACAAACCCCACAGTCGAATATCCTCTCTTCTCTCCTGAAATGACACACAGTGAATGGCTCCGAACTCTCGTACAAGACTTGCTCCAAACTGGTAATGCCGATAATGTGAAACTCATATTTGCCGTATGCAGTCGCATTGTGAAGGGCCAAGATATCTCGATCTCATCCTTTCTCTTGCCATTTGCAGTCCTCAACCGCGTTGTTGGAGGTACAGTACAAGAACAGCTAGATGTTCAGAATGAACTGATGAAAGTGCTGTCGCATCCTCTTCCCGACACGAACAATGCTGATCGGGACACAATAATTTGCAGTAGCCAGGTAAGCTATCCCCGAACCCCAAGTTTATAGCCAGTACTGAACAGAAAATCCCGTTTCAGAGTGTTTTTGAAGTCCTTGATTATCTGTCAAGGTGGTTACAGGGAAAGAAGAAACAACTCAATACTGTAGGCAACCATTCGCATCAATCTAGTCGTTCCAACCGAGAAGGAGGTCGAGATTTCCTTGTCGACAAATATACGCCTCAGATCAAGTCGGTTGAGGCTCTTCTGGCTGCGATACCGCCTGAGATCATTTCCAAACGTGCTGTGGAATGTAAATCTTTCTCTAGAGCTTTGTTCCATTGGGAGCAATACATCCGGAGATGGAATTCATCATCCCCAGAGCCCAAAGATGGAGCAAGTGCTGAGCCTCTTTATCAAAGACTACAAGACATATACAGTCAAATTGACGAACCAGATGGGATAGAAGGAATTTCTATTCATCTTTCCGCGCTCGACGTTGATCAGCAAGTATTAGAGCATCGAAAAGCAGGTAGATGGGCCACGGCGCAAAGTTGGTATGAGCTTCAGCTCGAAAAGGAGCCCGAGAATCTGGACGCGCAGTGGAATCTGATTACCTGCCTCAAAGAATCAGGCCAGCAAGGTAGGTACCATTTTATTAACAACAGTTTTTTACCGAAGTTCTTAACTCATTTTTTCCTAGATGCTATTCTCACTCGCTTTGAAGCCTTTAAAGAAGACGACGCTGCGACTTCACGATTTTTGCCATTCGCAGTTGAGGCATCATGGATCACAAGTAGATGGTCTAAGCTCCATGGCTATCTCAAGTCGTGTGCTGAGCAAGGTACTGGCGACTTCAATGTGGGAATCGGCTCGGTTCTCCGCACTCTTCAGGAACGCCAGCAAAAGGACAATGCCGAAGAGCAGAAGAAAGATGACTTCACCAGAATTATCAATGAGCTTAGACTCAACGTCGCAAAGTCGTTGACAGCGAATTCTGTCACTTCGTTGCAGTCGTGCCATGACGACATGCTCCGATTGCATGCTCTGGCAGATGTCGAGGCTATAGCTAACGCAGGTGCCGCAAATCCTGCCTATCCAGATTTGAAAGCTGCTCTCAAGCGACGATTGGATGTTCTGGGGGGTTACATCGCTGACAAACAGTATCTCTTGGGTATAAGACGAGCAGCTATGGAGCTAGCGTAAGTTGAATGTTAAGGTGGTACTAGCCTAGTGCATGCTTGCTAATTATTTTCTATATATAGGGGCGGCTTTGTCGATTTCGATATATCTACTGCTTGGCTTACAAGCTCCCATCTTTCCCGGAAGGGAAAGTTCACCACCCAGGCTTATCATTCCATGCTTAATGCAGCGCGACTCAAGGATGGTTCGGCCACCATTGAACACGCAAAACTTCTCTGGCAAGATGGACATCACCGTAAAGCAATTCAGACTCTTGAAGGAGCCATAGCTGCTAATGAAACGACCTCTACGACCTCTACTTCGAATGAATCTGATACACTGTCATTTGTTTCCACTCGTGGTCAAAAGCAAAACGATATTCCTGCCAGGGTAAATATCTTCCTCTGGATATATGTTAATAGCAATACGTTAAATATTTCTAGGCGCACCTCCTGTTGGCGAAGTGGACTGATAGAGCTGGTCAAACCCATTCTCAGGCCATTGTCCAGCGATACCGAGAAGCTATCAAGCTAAATCCAAGGTCAGTACTCAACAAGTCCTGTCGCACTTTCCAGGAGCGCCTCTCTAATAAGGTACATAGGTGGGAGAAAGCTCATTACTATTTGGGGAAACACTACAACAAAATCTTGGACTCAGAAAAGGCCAAACCCATGGGTAAAGAGGCTCAAATATAGTAAGCTATCGCATCTGGGAATGAAAGTCCTGGTCCAGCTAACAAATCTATTAGTCTGAGTGGAGAAGCTACTAAGTTGGTGATTGACAATTACCTCCGTTCATTAACCTATGGCAGCAAATATGTGTTCCAGACTCTACCAAAGCTTTTGACTCTCTGGTTAGAGCATGCCTCCATTGTGGATCAACCCATTGACCCAAAAAGAGGAGATAACGAGTGAGTGTTCTGAATCAACGAATGTCAGCCCACAATCTAACATGATTCTCAGGGAGTTTCAGAGGCACACAAAGACACAACGGCAGAAAAGTCTGGATGAGATGCATACGCAGTTGAAAAAATACATCTCGTCTCGCCTCCAGCCTGCCTTGGTACGTGAAAACCCATTGAAGCCACATATACAATATGCTAATAGTCCCAGTTGTTTACCATTCTTCCTCAAGTTGTGGCTCGTATCTGTCACCCAAATAACACAGTCTACGACCTGTTGACCAGAATTGTGACCAAATCTGTCCATAACTTCCCCCAACAAGGTCTTTGGACAGTTCTGGCTGTAGTGAAATCTTCAAATAAAGATCGAGCTACAAAAGGCTATAACTGCCTCCAGAAAATCACGGTAAGCAATATTCGAGAATAAGACAAGAATAATTTGCTAATACCATATTTACAGGAGTTTACCACAAAACACAAGGCTGACATCTCGTCTCCTGATATTCGGCGAATGATAAACTCAGGCCAAAAGTTCTCGGAGGAGCTACTCCAGTTGTGTCTTGCTCGTGTTGAGGATAGAGTCTCTAAGGTCCATCTTGCTCGCACTCTTGGGTTTAATCATAAAGTTGCACCATGCCGACTTGTCGTACCGTTTCAAGCCATGTTGATTCCGAGTCTCCCCACAAGTCATGATTCAGAGTATTTGAAAGGATTCAGAGCTTTCCCGAGGGATCCCACGACCATTGAAGGTATGTCAATTCTACTATTGATTTTTTTCTGTGGACTGAAGCTAATCTGCACTAGCTGTTCTCGATGAGGCTCAAATCTTGAACTCGCTTCAAAAGCCACGCAAGATCAGTATCCGTGGTTCTGACGGGAAAATTTACAATGCACTTTGCAAACCAAAAGATGATTTGCGAAAGGATCAGCGACTCATGGAGTTCAACAACATGATTAATCGATTCCTGAAGCGCGACGTTGAGGCCAGCAAGAGAAGAATGTGTAAGTCATAAGCAAAGTCTTGGGCACATGTTAAATCTGAATACTAATTTGGGGAACAGACATCAAAACCTATGCAGTCACGCCACTAAATGAAGAGTGTGGTTTGATTGAATGGGTAGACAACCTTCGTACACTGAGGGATATTATCATCAAGCTTCTCCGCGAGAGAGGAGTTGCGCCAAACGTGAGCCACTTGCAAAGTTATTTATCGATCCATGCAACTGACACTCAAACATTAGTATACCGAAATCAAGCATTATCTCAATGAGATCTGCGCGGACAGGTCGCTTTCCAAGCTACCACTCTTCACCACCAAGATTTTGGACAAGTTCGAGCCCCATTTATCATGACTTCGCACGCTCCCATGCTAATATCAATTCAGGCTCCCTCCTGTCCTCCATGAGTGGTTTGTTGAAATGTTCCCTGAAACTGAGGCTTGGTTCACAGCAAGAATGCGGTATACAAGGTCTTCAGCTGTGATGTCTATGGTTGGATACGTTTTAGGGTAAGTGGATTCTCGTAATTTTCTAACGCAAGCATTTTCTTTTCTTGAACTACATACTAATGGGGTTCTTTCATATAGACTCGGCGATCGACACGGAGAGAACTTGTCATTTGAAGAAGGAACTGGAGGCATCTTGCATGTCGATTTCAACTGTCTATTCGACAAGGTGAGTCTTCAAATGGATCTCAATGGCCCAGCAGAAAATACTCATACAATCCCATAGGGCCAAACATTCGAGAAACCCGAAGTGGTTCCATTCCGACTGACACAAAATATGATTGACGCATTTGGCGCTTACGGATATAATGGTAAATGGATTCGTAAAGAAAATATTGAGAGTGTGAATAATTACTAATTTTTTATGATACACAGGACCCTTCCGACGCACCTGCGAAATCACCATGAGCCTCCTTCGTCAAAACGAGGATGCGTTGATGACCATCCTAGAGACCTTCCTACATGACCCAACCACCGACTTCATCGGGAAAAGAGTGAGACTAGTCCTTCCGAAAATGTGAAATGTGAGACCTTTTTGCTAACGCACCTCCTTCAAAGCGTCGTAATCATACAAATGTTCCAGACACGCCGGCCGGTGTCCTTGAGGATGTTCGAAACAAACTTCGGGGGTTCATGTCTAAGCAGCCCATCCCTCTCTCAGTAGACGGGCAAGTTGATGAGCTGATTGTGCAGGCAACTGACAAGAAGAATCTAGCGGCCATGTACATTGGATGGTGCTCGTTTTTCTAACATTTTGATGTTTTTTACTTCCGTGATCAATGGGTCACCAATGCCGTGATGCCATGAAAATACGCATAAAATGACATAGCGAATTTTTCCAATTTTCTTCGATTTTCCTCGTTCAGAATTTGAAAGGCTTCAGTAGCGAAGGATGATGATAGAGAAGGCGTCGATATGTGATATGTGAAATGAGATATTTTGATTATTTCTTGGGTGTAACGGCATGAAGCTCTAAAGGTTCAACTCTGGCTTGATCATTAGGTCTTCGCAATGCCCAAAACCTAACTCAACCATTTTGTGGCTATTGCGGTGATCAAGTTGCACAAAGGCTCAAGGTGAGGAAGGTAGAACCTCATTTAACGCCGATTCCGGCTCCGGCTTCTAACTGGGCTTCGGCTTCGGCTTCGGTCACTGCGACTGCTGAAACTACTGTAACTGGGGCTTCGTCGTCGACGTTGTCGTGAATTATCGGGACGAGCACTCTCTTTCCTTGGTGGGGATCGAGAGCGGACCGGTGATCGCGATCGCGATGGAGGTCGATAGGTATCGTGTCGTTCGCCAGGCCGCGCACGCCCGCCCCGCCTTGGAGGGGACCCTCTACCCATTTGAGGTCTGCCAAAGTTTCCTCGTTTGGATGATGGGGGTGGAGTTCGTGAGAAAGCGCGTCTTGGAAGGATAATAGAAACATTCAGCACCGCCCCGTCCAATTGGGCCTCGTGCATGTGGGCAATTGCTGCTTCGGCATCGGCAGGATCGAAGTAGATGATGTATGCGGTGCCGCGGTTTGTCATAACTAACGTCTCCAGTCAGCTATCCTGATGCTTATTCATAAATTGATGGCTCGACAACAGCTTACATGTTCGGTTCATGGGGAGATCAAGGTGTTCAATGTCACCGAAGCTACCGAAGATCTCTCGGAGATGAGCTTCTGTCACATTCTTGGTCAATTTTTCCACGACAATCTGCTCTTCTTGGTTAGCGAAATCTGATATTTCAAAGCACTGATGTCATTCTTTGGGCGCGCTGACCTTTGCACTTCTGGGAGGGCTAACATCCCGACTTGGAGAGCGACTGTAGCTTGGGCTGCGGTTTCGGCGACCACTACGGCCACGAGATGATGATCGAGAGCGAGAGCGTCGGTCACGGCGATCTTGTGAGGGGCTGCGAGAAGAGATGCTTCGGGGTCGCGGTGATTGGGGAGATCGAGAGCGCATTGAACGCGACGGAGCTCGATCTTGGTGTGAGGGGATGGGCGAACGGCCCCGAGGGGATCGCGTAGACATGACAGGTCGGATCCGAGATCGGTTAGTTCGGTTTGCACGAAATAGTGAAGGATACGCAAAGAGATAAATGGCAGAGAGATGGAGAGAAGGGAGAGTTAGTATGCATCAATCCAATCAAATCAGTCTGTTGCATCCGATGAATGCAAACTGATCAAACAAGTTGCAGCTCTGGCATATTGGCACTAGCCTCATTTGGCTAGTCACATTTCTCTATTGGGCCATATTGATTACAGTGTGTTACATTCTGATACGGATAAATACAGCCCTCTGGAGCCCCGTCAAGGGAGGATCTGTATCATGTCTAGTCGAGTGCATGCATCAGACATCTCCGAGTAGACTTCAGAATTCGCCCTACTCTCTGTACTATACAAAGAATACCAAGCTATTCTTTTGGAATTTTTTTTGATAAAGTTCCCTTGAAGCACCTTTCTTCTTTCTTCGGTTCTTTCAAATGACTTTCTGAAACAACCAAGACCCAGCTTGCCACTGAAGAACTATATCAACGAGATCCATTGTTGACGCATAATGCTCCTCTCAAAGATTTCTTTATTGTCTAGAACCAATCATTTTCAAATACCAGTCAACACTCACAAATCAGGCGACAGATGATGATTTACTCGAGGACTAAACAATGGCAGCGGCAACGTTCAATGCATCTATATAGAGCGTTCGGACCCCAAACCTCGTGATGACATCTGCTCTTTAAATGTTGAAAGCTCACGTAGGTTCTCTTCACTTGCTAGGTTATGATCAAATATGAAGACTGCAATCTTATCACCTGTGGGCATCTTCGGATGGCTCACAATAGCAACATTAGTACTCGGCACTAGTAATGCTTTTTGGCCATCGTGGGCTATGATCAAGAGAACCACATCTACTCTTCCACCCCAGGCCAGCAGTAATGGTATCTGCTATACTTATACTGTTCAAGCGTCCGAAACATGCCAAACTATTGCGTCGCAATATGAGATCACTGCGGCTGAAATCGAGACTTATAACAGCGAAACCTGGAACTGGACAGGATGTGCTAGCATTGAACAAGGTGAATTTATTTGTCTTAGCTCCGGACAACCACCGATGCCTGTTGCTCTCCCACAAGCTACTTGTGGTCCTCAGGTCCCAGGCACCGTTCGACCAAATGATTATTCAATCCTTTCTTCATTGAATCCGTGTCCTGGTGGTCAATGTGTAAGCCTCTCTTAATTTCATACCCATCTGGCCTGTATTAACGGTCAGTAAATTTGAACAGTGTGTGATGGGAGGGTATTGTCTCTCAGATTCAACTTCATGCGCATCAAAGAACTGCATCTCGAATTGTGGGAAAGGATCGACCGATGCCACCACCAAATCAGTTGAGACGGATACCCAGTCAGCTCAATCCACCAGTGAACCTCAGGCTGAGTTTACTTCAACCAAAGTCGATACCACCACTCAGTCTATATCTACATCAGATATCACAACAGAACAACCAAGTTCAAGTTCTACATTCCATACTACAACATCTGATACTACAACCTCCCACACTTCTACTACCTCCCATACTACCACCACCTCTCATACTTCTACCACCTCCCACACATCCACCTCCACCTCAACCAAAACAACCACAACCACAACAAGCTCAAGCACAACCAGCACCGAGTCCATCCCAACCCCCACCTGGGCTCTTACAGGATACTCCGGCATGAATTGCGACGGAGATTACTACGTCATAGCCGGCACCGGCGCAGCAGACTCTACATGCATAGTCCTTCAAGAGGAACACCCAACAATGATTATAGAAGGAACAGACTTTTCCTGTGGCTTCTACACCGACAACGGGATTAACTGGGCTAATTGTGCGGAAGGCCTAGAGGTAACCGTTTGGTCTTGGATGATGGACGGGGGTAATTGTGTTGCGTATACAAATACGGATTGTACAAAAAACGATTGGTCGGTTACTGTTTCTCAGCTTGAGGAATGTAAGGGTAATAGTATGTATAAGTTTAACAGTGAGGAGATTTGGAAATCGGTGAAGTGTACGATAGACTTCACGTAGGGAAGTGAGTTTATGGATTCAGTCCTTCAAGTTCTGAAGTATATGTCGAGGGAGAATGAATATTCTGTGTATGTGTATGTGTATTTAAGATCCATTTTTGCGAGGATGGCAAAGCAATATGAAAATTGAAGACTGTCTTTATATGTTCAAGTTGGAGGATGTTTGAGAATCAAAACTTTCACGAATTTGTTCAAATATCTGGAACTTTAGAAGTATCCAGGTGTCATTGTGGGAATTTTAATGGATTCCATTATATACAAAGATGGAAAAGTATTTATTTTTGACCATCCCGCCAATTCTCATACTCACGAATCACATCATCAGTAATCTGTCTTCGCACTTGATCCAAAGCATACTCGAAATGCCTCAACGCAATAGCCTGTTCCAGATTGGTTTCATCCTCCTCATCCAACGCTGCATCACCCGCAGTCTCGCAAATGCTAACAAGTTCAGCACCCGAATATCCCTCAGTCTGAGTAGCCAACTCATCCAAATCAACCTCATCATGAATAACAGATTTATCAGTCCAAATACGCAAGATTTCCTTCCTAGCCTCAAAGTCCGGAGGTCCAATATAAAGAATATTGTCAAGACGACCTGGACGCATAAGTGCAGGATCAAGCACGTCCGGCTTATTAGTGGCTGCGATGACGAGCACGTTCCTTAGTTCTTCGATACCATCCATTTCGTTGAGGAGGGTTGTTAGGACGTTCACACCGCCTGATGAGGAACTGCTTCGTCGCGCGGCGATTGCATCGATCTCATCGAAGAAGATGATGCTTGGTCGGGCGGCGCGGGCTTTTCGGAAGATCTCTCGGAGTGATCGTTCAGATTCACCGACGTACATGCTTAGGATCTCTGCGCCTTTGACGGCTAAGAAGTTCAAACCTGCTTCTGTGGCTAGGGCTTTGACGGTGAGTGTTTTGGAACATCCTGGTGGGCCGTAGAGGAGAACACCCTTTTTGCTCTTTACGTTGAGACGCTGCATGCGTTGGGGGTGCTTTGATGAAGTTAGTTGATGTAATCATGTTGGGCTTAAGGAGGATTCTTACCTTGAGAGGTCTCTCGACTGCTTGCTGGAGACGCTTTTTAATATCATGCTGTCCACCAATATCGGTCCATCTCACTTTGGGTGTTTCTAGGAATACCTCTCGCATAGCTGTGGGGCGAATCTCTTGCAATGCAGACCAGATATCGGGTTCCTGGATATTGAGAGGAGGACCAGCTGGACCTTCCTCATTTTCATTACCAACCAGATCCAACTTCTCTAACGATTGGCTTATAGAGACATTTCCCGAGCTGTGTTCACGCATCTGCCGTTGACGAGCTTTCCGACAAATGGTCTGAAGAAGAGCGAATAAATCCGCCCCGACATAACCATGGGTCTTTTCGGCAAGCAGTTCAATCAATTCATCATTCAGTCCACTAGATGCTGGTCCACGAATGGCGCGTAGGATCTCACCTCGATCCTGTGCTGTGGGTACCTGAATCTCGATCTCTGTTCCGAGGCGATGAGGCGTTCGTAGCGCATCATCCACATTGTTGGGATGTCTTGTTGCAGCTACAACTAGGACAGAAGCACTTCTCAGTGCATCTAGACCTTCACAGAGAACCGAGGATAGGGATGATGATTCAGCGGATGACTTTTTAGGAGCGATGAAATCCAATTGATCAATGATGATCACACTGGGTTTTGAGCGCGCAGCCTCTTGGAAAATAGTGCGCAGCTTTGACTCGCTTTCATGATTATTCCGACCAAGTGATGCGGTGCTGATTTTGAAGACTCGTTGCCAGCCGGCTTTTTCAAGCTGTTGAAGTAGAGAGGTTTTACCCGTTCCCTTAGGACCGTAGATAAGGATTCCACGGCTGTGTTCATAGAAATCAGGCATGACTGGACTATAAGGTTCCACATTGAGATCGGAGAGACTTTCATTTAGGTCGTTAATTTGTCGCGAAAGGCCGCCGAGTCCTGTGGGCTCAACGCAGATTCGAGAGGTAGTCTTTGGAGCATCTTCGATCATAGCCCCGATAGAAACCTTAGTCTTATCTGTGAAGCGAAAGATAGTACGGCTAGAGCTTGGGTTTTCAGAATGAATATTCACAATCTGGAAGCTTCGGCGCTGACCCTTGAGTTCAAGATCAAATGTCAGTCCCTTAGAAAGAACCTCGCATCTCAAAAGTTGAAACTCCAATGCCCATTCCCAATGGCATCGTTCTTCAGCTGAGATAGCTCCAAATCTCTCGATCTTCTCCGCATCGGAACAATCCGTCACGTTAACGGAGAGAATTTTCTCAAGAGCGCCGTCGATTTTGGTAATGGCGACTTTTTCTCCAACTTTCATTCCATAGCTTTCTTGGAGAGCCTTAGATGTCTGTACAACTGTAGCTTGTATATTCTCTGTAGCGGTCCAAGCGATCGCGGTTTTGGGAGGTCTTTCCGCGGAGCTAAGTACGCATAGATCGTCGGCGCGAAGTCGGAGAGCAGCGAGTGAGGAGGAAGATAGGTATACGCGGAATGCATCTTTGAGGTCGCTTCGAGCATTTTTCGTGACCGGTCGTATGGTGAAGCTGCGAACGTCCGCCATTGCGAAATATTGTTCAAGTTAAGCGGAAAGGAATATGTAAGATGCGCCCGACGGTCTTAATCGAATGGGGATCTATTTTTGATCATATGATATCTGGCAGAAGTTGCAAAATGCTGACTCGAGAAATTATGGGTTGCGCTTGTTCAAATGAAGAACTTGTATAGGTGGGTGGTGCAGCTTCGTAGCTCCGGCGTCTCTGTAATGGTACTGCATGGTTGGGAAAGGATAGTTAGCAAATTGAAGAGCTGTAGGGACTTTGACATTATGAAAATACTAACGAATCAAAAACTTTGTTCCCCCCATATGTTGTACAGACAATCTTAAATGAGCGGAATGAAGAACTTGAATTTCGGAGCGTGAAATTCTGATGGTGGGGGGAAAATAATCTTATCGGCGAACTGATACCAGAAGGAAGAAAAGTGGGTCAAGGACGAACATTAAAGGGGGGGCAAAAGTATATATTGGAATGAACATTGAATTTATACTGTAAGTAAATCTCGCATGGATCAAGAATAAAAAACAACTATAGACATCAATCTTCAAGAACGCAATTCAAACTACTAGACATAAAACATGGAGATGGCCACAAGCTATGGACAGGTGTTTATGATCCTCAGGGAAACAGACGCCAACTTCCCATAGAACTTGGACATACAGGTCTTAGCACATGAAATTGCAGGCAGAGGCAGAAAGGATATGTAGCGGGTTGCGTGGAAAAGAACCAATTGCAAATACGTTAGGTAAAGAAACGACAAACACACATACATGGGCGACTTCGGAAAAGGAAAAACAGATAGCGACCAAAAGGGAAATGATAAGATTGAAAGATAGGAAAAAGGGGGTAAGGAGGAGTTCGAAGAGGTGGAGATGGGGGTTCGTGGAGGTCGACTGTGGAGGTGGAGGGAAAGGAGATTATGGCGCGCAGTGCAAGATGTGAGATAATGAGAAAGGAATTATAGTGATACAGCCGCTAGCAGCACTTTCCTCCAGAGCCACCGTTGAGACCAGAGCCCTGCTGATCTATGTTGACGCCCTGAGAGCCAGATGATTCAGTCTTTGAGGTATCCATACCCTTCTTGATGTCTGATGCGAGGTTGTAGAATGCCTTCTCGATGTTGACGTTGTTCTTCGCAGAGACTTCCAGGAAGGGGATGCCAAGTTCATCGGCTAGTTGTTGTCCTTGTTCGGTGGAGACGGCTCTCTTCTCTTCCCAGTCACACTTGTTACCAATCAAAATCTTGTGTACCCCTTCACTGGCATGTTGTTCAACGTTGGAAAACCAGGTACGGATATCTTTTAGGGGAAGAAAGAGAAAATCAACGTGTCAGCCTAGAAACCTTGGAGGCGGAAATAAATTGAAAAACAAAGGCGAACGAATAGTTGGTACTCACTTTGGAAAGACTTCTCATCGGTCACATCGTAGACAAGGAGAATACCCATGGCACCACGGTAGTATGCTGTGGTGATGGTACGGAAGCGTTCCTGGCCGGCCGTATCCCAGATCTGTAGCTTCACCCTCTTGCCATCCAATTCGATCGTACGGATTTTGAAATCGATACCGATTGTGGTAATGAAGGAGGGGGTGAAAGAGTCCTCACTGAAACGCAGGAGACAGCATGACTTGCCTACACCCGAGTCTCCGATCAACAGCAACTTGATCTGTAATTCAGGGCCGAGTTAGCCAAGTATTTCTTCACCATCTCACATTCATGTTTACCTACCAAAAAGTCGTAATTTCTTGTGCCCGCCATCTTGGATTGTTGAAGTGCTTTTTAGACTCAACAAGATTCAATATTTCGAGATAGGAGACGGTCGGAGTTGTGGTTGATTCCCACAAGATCGGAAATAAGCAGAGAGGAGAGGTATAGTGCCCGATGGAAAGAGAAGTTCGATTAGTTGGACCTGCTGATTTGCAGAGATCCGTAAGAAATCGGTGAGGCGCCTGGGTGCCTGTGATTGTTGGAGGGCAAGAGATCGTAGGCCTCCAGGGACGGTATTAGTATCAGGAGTGACCGAATGTAGAATACAGATCCACCGCCAACGGGACCAAGACAAGCAAGATCAGGACGTGTGACTTAAATAGACCCAAGGGTTAAACTCACAGATCAGCGCATAAAACCTCCAGTCAACCAGTAGAGCAGGGGGAGCAGATGGGAAATGTGGTCAACACCTAAGTGGAGTGATGACGGTACGGTTGATACCTGCCCCGGGGTTACATAATCCTGGGCGGTGTCGCCATGTTTCAAGTCGTCACAATCAACTGGTGGATCCAGCCTATCACAGTAGTAAATTCCACGATATGCCTTGATTTGAGTTCTCTACTATACTACCTACTGAACACTCGCTTATTATTTGAGGTGAGATAAGTGAAGATTTCTTTTTATCATTATTTCTTTGGTTTAATATGACATATGTATGGATGCAAGATATGTTCATTGGAAATATGTCCAGCGAATCCTCTCGACCACGCGAAGCTGCTTGGTGACTCCTCCCTGAATGTCCAAGAGATCTCCGATATCCTCCCGGAACTCTCGGTACTGTAGACCTCCCAAAACAGTTTTGGCTTGCTGGAGTAGAGCCTCGGCTTCGCATATCAAGCGGCCTGAGTCCTTGTAGGAAATCACCCCATTGGAGGACAGAGACGCTGATGTTAGGATTCGTGTCACATGTCTATGATCATAATTAGTTCTATATGCGGGAAGAAGGGTTTGTTCTTGGGATTGAAAACATACCGCAGTCTGCGCTTAAACTCAAATCGTTTCTTGCCTTGTCGTAGACCTCGGCGGTTACTGAAGAGTCCTGCAAACCACTGTAGAGAGGTATATGAAACCAAGATTCCGGGCGTGAGACCAATAAATCTTCGGAATGTCAGCTTAGCTGCTTGAACAATGGAGGGAATGGATCTAAATGGATGTAGCATGGGAATAACTCACCCAAAAACAAGTTCCTGGCTCTTCAACAGAGCATCGATTCCACTCATTGCAACCTCCACGTCCACCTTCGTTTTCTGGATCTGGATAAGCAGAGCGCGAATCAGATCGCCTCGAACTGTTCCCACAAATGGTGATCGTAGATCACGTTCGTATGCCTTCAAGACAGGAGTAACATCGCCTTCTTTAACTGCACTTATAATAGCGGCGGTATCATCAGCAACGTTACCCTTACTAGAATCCGGTCGATCGCGAACAAAGTCAACTACCATCCGTTCCAAGCTAGCCCGCTCAGCCTCCAAACTGTTCTTACTCATGATGGCAATTTCGCTCTTCTCGTCGTGTCTGATTGTCCCAACGAGCTTGTGAATGGGTTCCACCACCCAGTTGCTTCCGAAATCCATGATAGTGGAGCCGATATTCATGACCCATTGGATGATATCATCCCGACGTCGAGAGATAATGTTCAAAGAGAAGCTACCTGAGAGTAAAGCCACTGAGAGAGGGATCCAGTATCGTACGAGCCTCGAAGGACGCCCATGGTTATCCATGGAGGTATATACAGCGGCAGTGTGAGTAGGTATCTGGTCTCGAAGGACACGAAGGAGAGATTGAATCAAATCCTTTGGCTGTTGAGTAGGCAGTGGAGAATCAGATTGCGACTGCACGCGGGCCGTGTCCACTTCAACGGCCTGGAAGACGGATTGTTCGAAAATTGCGGTACTAGATTGATTGACCACATGTTGAAGGATAGCTTCGGTCAGGTGCACTGTTTTAGCTACACTGGTCTGCCATTGCTGTGATGAAGCACTGGTCTGGACTGCAAAATCCTCGGTCTGAAATGCATACCAAGCTTCCATCAGGAGCCCAAGGCTACTGGTATGGAGATCTCTAATGGCCGCCAGATGGTCTCTCTTCTGGCGGATCTCTAGACGACAAGATCTGATGGGTAGCGACCAGCTGCGCACATTGGGACATTCTCGTAAACTTTGTCGGGCGATTTGATAAAATTGGGCCCAGCCTGCAGCTACTGATCTTGTAATAGTAGCTGAAGAGGCTTCCCGAGCACGATGTGTAGTATACACATCTACTGACCAGTGCCACAGTCGGGTGGGAGAAGTCTGTGCCGTGTACACACCACTGAGCCATTTGGAGGCTAGCACCTCGTCCCAATAATAGATCTCCTCTTGAAGCTGAAGCGTGTGGTCCAGTAGGGAATTCATTGCTAGACCCGACGTCTGGACCGCGGCTTTGGCCGCCGCTAGCCAGAGGTAGTTGGAGGCATCCTTGTCGGAGGTAATTAAGGAATCGCCGGTGGGGTGATTTGCAAGGGCCGGGTCTGATAGCACTTCCACCAACCGAGCTGCTGGTAGAAGGGACTGTGTTTTTGAGGTAATAGAAATTGAATTGATCACATCCTGGAGCTTATTGACATGGGAACCCGGCGCTTCGGTGGCTTCGAGGCGCTGTTCCGATGGGCTGATTTGCTGCTGGAGACGATCTAGCTGGACATTTAGACCACAGGCATTCCTATTAGATGCGAAGAAAGTAGAAAATATTAGAAATCAATGTATTCCCTAGTAAGACATGGCTGAAGGTGCATCGTAAGATCTTACTCCTGAACAATCGACATGGTGCAAGGACCATGAACATGATACGATACCGGATCTACAGGTTTACCAAGCTATGCGCATGTTAATGCGGTCTTTGGACTGTCGTCATAAAAGCTGCCATGCAAACCAGGCAAACTAGATGGATAAGACAAACACAGCAAACAGGGATGAACGTGATCAACTCGGTGCTTGGCGATACTCAAGTGTGCTGTGTACTCTGCATCCTGGCTTATGTAAACGTGCACAATTTAGAATTTTCATTTCCCAAAAGGGTAAATTATGCAAGCTTAATGCATTACAGTGAACAGTAACGAGTCTCTAACTATGTACAAAAGAGTCCAGTACAAAGCACTGAATCCTGCACACTTAATCTACCCCGTATTTTTAGTAAAGTATCAGACAATCCAGGCATTGCAGGCAACTCCTCAAGTGCTCCTCCTTTTATATGGCCTGACCAGGATCAACCAAACAGAAAGGAGTCAAAGCCCATTACGGCTCCCGTGGTGGGGCAACTGGGGCTTCGGATAGCGATCGGCTTCCAGTGGCCTTACCTTGCCGCCCCTTTCCTCGGCGATTACTGGCTGCTAACTGGTTTTCCCCTGACGATAAGCTGGTCTCGCCACTTCGGGAATGGCTTGTCCTGCCTTCCCCGTCAACACATTAATCACGAGCTTTTCAGTCCTTTCTGGACCTTTTCTATTTTTCTTCCTACTCTTATCACACTCTTCTCCAACCTATCTCAATTTACTCTCTGAAGTATTGATAGCGGCCGGCTTGAATTTATTCTTCATTTGCTGCATTCGCGCCTCTTCTCTGCTGGAACAACCCCAGCGATCTCCCCTTTTTTTTTTCTCGCTCTTTCTTTCTTTCACAAAATCTTTCCTAAACCACAATGTTCGTTGCAACCCCCAACCTTGAGTCTTGCCTCGTTTTCTTTTTTGCTCGGAACTAATCAAACATTTATCTAGGAATTCCACTATCACCCCCACTTACTGGGGTCAATTTGAAGAGATTGGGAAGTACAACCCAAGTCTCAATGTGGCGGAGCGATTGTGGGCGGCATGGTATGCCTGGATGCAAAACGATGTGCTGGCCACTGGTATTATGTCCTTCGTGATGCACGAGGCCGTCTATTTCGGTCGCTCTTTGCCTTGGATCTTCATCGACAGCCTCGGACTTTTCAAGGGGTACAAAATTCAGAATGTGAGTCGAGAAAATCCAGAACCACAACCATGACGAAAACTCGCGGAATTTTCACTAATACCTTGTTTATAGAGCAAAATCCCATCCCTGAAAGAGCAATGGGACTGCGCCAAGTTCGTCCTTCTCAGTCACTTCACCGTTGAGCTTCCTCAAATTTGGCTCTTCCACCCCATGGCCCAGTTCTGCGGCCTGTCAACCTCGATTCCCTTCCCCACTGTCTGGACCATGGCCTACCAAATTGCGATTTTCTTTGTGATGGAAGATGCCTGGCATTATTTCTCTCACCGCGCGCTTCACTGGGGTCCTCTCTACAAGGCTATTCACAAGATCCACCACCAATACTCCGCTCCATTCGGTCTCGCCGCAGAATACGCTTCCCCTATTGAAGTCATGATTCTTGGTTTCGGAACAGTCGGCTGCCCCATCTTGTGGTGTGCTTTCACTGGTGACCTGCACATTCTCACAATGTATATCTGGATCGTTCTGCGTCTTTTCCAAGCTATCGATGCTCACAGCGGTTACGAGTTCCCTTGGAGTCTGCACCATTTCCTTCCTTTCTGGGCTGGTGCTGATCACCACGATCTTCACCATGAGAAGTTCGTTGGTAACTACTCTAGCAGTTTCCGCTGGTGGGATTACTGCCTTGACACTGAGTACAACCCTGAGGCTATTAAGAAGCGTCGTGAGGCGTCTAAGGTGCCTGCTAAGAAGGCTCAGTGAGCTCTTTCAGTCCTGGGTTGACAATTCTTTTTCACAAAATTTTAGAGGACCCGTTCTTCTTTCTTCTTTTTTCGTTATCCTCCTGCTAAGAGATGCCTTGACTCCATTGTGGTGTTCGCCACTCCTATCATTGCCGAGCATAGAGGTCAATTATGGATGTTTTAATGTACTTACTTAATATTATGATGAGCTGATTCCATCAATTTTCAAAATGAAACTTTTCAATACTGAATCGACTGGTCTAGCCATGGGCTATAGATAACCTTGAATACCTCCTATCTTCCCCTCATCCATGCCCCGCAAATCTGTTGTTGTCTAGAACCTGCCTAGTTTATCCCACTCTTAGTATCTTATCTGGTCAAAGGATTGTTATCTATGGGGGCTGTCTCGGATGGCCATGTGTGGCTGGATAAGGAAAGGACTGATCACAACGTAACGGACGCTTCCAATAAGATCTGTATTTGGGACGTGCTATTATATTGTAACTTTTACATCTCTGCCTCTCTGCTGACCATAGTCTGCTGTCAACTTTGCTCATAAAATTCAGTTTCTGCTTGGTATAACTACCTCGATGTAGCGAATGACCCCAACTCATTATCTATCACAACTGGCTCTGTATTAGTAATCCCACTAGTTGAGAGAAGTCTGTGCAGCCCTGCCCTTAATCGTCAGTACTCATTCACTACGAAATTTTGTAAAGCAAGACAGGGACAAGGAGAAGACGTAGATGATATTAAGTGTTGAAAAATGGATGAGAGGGAAAGCAAACTTTCTCATTCATGCTTGAATAATAATCCCCTTCTGACCCATCGCTTCCTCCATATGAAAACCAAATACGAGACGATAAAGATCTCTCAGCCAGGAATACTGTCCACTCTGAAGCATTGCTTGACAAGCTCGCGCGACATCCATCGCGCTAACCCGTGTTTGAGGTCCGACGGTGCGAAAAGCAGGATCAAATGCAACCAGTTTCCGATAGTACTTTAGTAGAGATGTTTGCCATGGCGCGGAACCGAATGCGTCTGATGGTAGAGATTTCACGAATGATGATAGGTTTTGAGAACTATTTCGTTGATAGCCGCTGTTTATGGCGGCTTTGGTAATCAGTACCTTTAGTCGAGTGAAGTTGGGGTCTTCAGAGACGGTTGTTACGGTGTTGGCTGATGATGCTGTGCGTTCTGATGTTCGGGACTTTTCTGAGATGCTTGATGCACTTGATGGCCATCTTTGGGAACTGTGTCCGTGGCTGTGACCGTGTCCGCCACCATTTCCATGTCCAAGGACAAGGATGTTGGGAACGGGAGCTTCATCTGGTGATACCATTGCTGTGTCTTCGAAGATTGTGGTCGGTGTCTCTGGATTACCAAGTAGACCGGGATCATCTGCAAAATCATCGTCGTCTTCATGTTGGCTATTAGCCTGTTGGAAGGCTTGAGCAAAAGTTGTTTGACTCGGTCGTGGTGTGCCACGGTCAGAATTACGCATGCTGTGTAGAGTCCAGCCTTCTCGGAAGATATCACAAAGTTCCCAACAAGCTTGCACTGCCGATCCCAAGAGTTCCTCATCCAATCTCTTTCCTTCCCGTTTACTTTGCCGAATGCTAAAAAGCATCTCGGCTAGTGTCCAGCATGCACTGAGTAATGAGTCGGTTTCGGCTAGTCGTGTGCGTTGTTTCATGAGACGGTGACAGAGTGTGATGTAGAAGTCCAGTGTTCGTTCACGGAACGCATCTGGTAAGTTGCGATCATGGGTATTGTATAGATGGTTGTTTAGTTCAAAGCTCACTCGTAAAACCGAGTCCGTTAGTTCGCTGTCGCAAACACGGACCTCGAAGAGGGACTGGCAAAAGTCGCGACAAAGGTCAAGCGTGGGGTGGATCTGTAGCGCGAAATCATCGTCTCGCGTTTCATATAACTTCTGGCATAGTCGCCAGCATGATCTCCATGCATCTTCTTGCATTCCATCCTCTTGGGTTCTGAAAAGCCGCTCTCGATTTATATAGCTTAAACTAGCCAGCGTATTACATAGATTCCAGCATTCTGCTAGCGCTGCACGCAGAGCATTGATCTCGGCATCTTTGCTGGAAAGATTTCCTAATATGATGTTAGTTTCTTGCCCATCACTAGTAACAGACGCATGTCGTTTGCGGGTTTCTTGAGATCCATGTACCTTCGGGTATATCTGATAAACTGTGAGCCAATATTTTATATACTGAGAGTTGGTATAGATTTTCACCTTCTAAGCTGCTGCTGGACCGTGTGCGTCGCCCTGATTCATCAAATTCGTATCTTGTTTGTGCTCGTGGAGTCGCTCTTTCGGACCAGTCTTTCGGAGGTGCTATGGTTGTGGTTATTGGCGGCGGGGATATAGGGCTATTACCAATCTTTTCAGATGGATGTCTCATTATTACTAGGCCCAATAGATGATCAGAAGGTTCGGATGAGTACCTTTTTAGCAGGTGCAATTGCTAATTGGCCATTCTCGGTGTCAGGGGAAGACGATTCGTTATCATCGCAGTCGTCCTCTTCACGTGCTTCATCGGTTTCGGATTCGATTTGATTCTTGGGTGAACGTTAGCAGCGAATCACGGTAAACCCCAGAGGTTTGATCTACAGGATTAGATTGATCGTCTCTCACAAAGTCTCTGAACCCTGATGGGGCATGTATAACTGATTGCGGTGGTTCGTCATCGTCTGATCTTGTACTAGGTCCCAAGTGATGCGCATTTGTAGTTGTTATCTGTTCGCGTCAGCGCTGGGCATCAGCCGAGTCCTTGGCATCAATACATACCGTCAACCCTGGTTGTATAGCTGGTCTTGGACTTTGAATTGGTGTCGCTGACGGGGATTTCTTCTCTTCATGCTTCTCTTGATCTGGCTCCGTCCGGGTGTTATCCGGTGATGTGGGGGCCGGGGAACCTGATGGAGACTCTGTAGCACTGATGTTTGAATTTGAATCTGGAATCGAAGAGGTTGAACTCCTGACACTAACAGGGACTGAGGGACCTTCAAAAGACCTATATGTATATACAAGGATTGATCAGCGACCGGGAACACATCCATGTCATACCCGTTGTCCTTGGGGCTGCACATGGGCTTACATTGGGTCCGACCCAGCATACGGGCTGGAGGCGTCACGATATGGAAGTACAGGCAACGGTGACCTAACGGCCATCATAGCCGAGTCTGTTAAACAGAGAAAAAGTGAAAATAACACGAGCTTCCTAATGGGAGGGTGGGCAAGGGGAGTTGAAGAGGGAAGAGGAGTTCAGCGCAATCCCCGCGCATCTGATCCTGGGCAGAGTTCAGGCCGCGTCTCTAAGGAAACCCATCAATTTGGTCCTCGGGTATTCTAGTACAGTCTTGGTCCCAATCAAATTGACACAAATGAACGGAAGGATCCAACTTGCAGAAAAAGTTGAGAAACAATAGGGAAAACAAGTCAAGACAGCACACGGTGCTAGGCGCCTGGGGCGTGATGAGCATGCATGGGCTCTTCCTCCGTCTCCACTCAGACGCCAACTAGACTCTTTCTGGCTGCAGGGCGCTTACACTTTGAGTTCGCTTTTTGGAATTCTTCTAAATTTATCAGAGAAGGGGGTGGGGAAAAGGGAAAAAAGGAAATATCAAAATTAAAAGGATCTTTCCGAATCCCCTTCTCATAGCTCCTGGTCCTCCTTTTCTCCACAATCAGAAAGTCAAAATCGAACTATGTATACACTATATCCATGGATAAGACGTGTATCATGGGTTCCGGGGAAGAGGGACAATTAGAAAAAAAGATGGCTGTAAATTGATATGAATTTTTTTTCTCTCTTGGTCTTCTTCTAGTAAGTACCTCCATAGACGCCGAATCCCAGATAGTGTGAACAACGCCTAGTCAAATGCATCACTGGTGAGAATGGAGACAAAACATCCCCATTTCTCATACCAGAAAAAAAAAGGAGAATAATACATATCCATACCGTTCCAAGCAGCTTTCCCGAGGTAGACAGCTTATCAAATCGAGGTATGGACGAATTCCTTGGAAAAGAGGGAGAAGGGCGAGAGCAAGAGTGGGTGATCCGAACAATCTTTCCTTGATATGATTTTTGCCGCTGGCGGGGGTATCACTGTTGGTCGGGGGAATGTCGAGATCGCCGGCAAGCCGTGAAGATATAATGCTTGTGCAAGGGAATGGGGTAGAGTTCGCCGGCGAGTGGATCGTACGTAAAGAAGAAAAAACACATCCCGGATAAAGAAACCAATAGACACGTAACTTAAGCCTGGGCCTTGGATCGGTCCTTCTCGGCGGAGTTGTATCTGCATGCGAGAAAAGAAACAAAATCAGTAAAAGGACTCTTCATTTGGAATCTTTTCAGGGTTGTCTCGGGACATACCGAAGGAGCTTCTCAATGAGATCGACGTGGGTCATGATCATACGGCGGCAGCAGTATCGGCGGCAACCCAATTGATCCATGGCATCACTAGCACATAGTTAGAATCAAAGCGATGAAAGAGGAGTCATTCAAGAGTCATCCATACCCATCAGGCACACCGTCATCGAGCAGCTGCAAGTACCGCTCCCAGAGGTCACCAACGACCTAGAGTTATGTTCAGTGACAAAGATTTTCATATCTTCAATAAGCGAGACTCACCTTTCCGCAAGAGAAACAGCGCACCGGGATAATCATTGCGACTTCGATGAGATATGAGGTGGGACACAAGTGTTGAAGCTCATTCAAACTTTTCCCGGTGATGGCGGTCAGCGCGGAAGTATGGTTTTCTGCCACTCCTCTCCGCCTGGTTTTTGCTTCGGACGAAAAAAAAAAGTTGCGATTCAGCACGACGACGATCTACGCGGGCCTTATCTTCCGTGGCAGTTGACGCAAATATCATTCGGGACATGATTTAAGTGACTGCTTATCTTGCTCAACTATTTATCAGGACATATTCTGGCCTAACGCCACCTTCGATCATTCACAATGGCGAACTTATCGGAACGACAGCAAAAACGCTCCCGAGCTAGCGATGCCGCCGAAAAGCCTCCAAAGCCCACCCAGGAGCGATCAAAGCGACGACGGACTTCGGATGTCAATGAGGCAAAGGCCTTGAAGAAAACGAAAAATACAACTCCTGCGCAGGAGACCCCGACAAAGGACACCCCATCATTGGAACTTGAAAAACAGAAGAGCACTTCGCCATGGTCATTCTCACGACCGGTTGGTGGTCGGTACAGCCATGTGAACCCTGTGATGACCCAGGATGAGGCGTAAGTTATTGATTTTTAGAATTACATTTCTTGCGCATGTATTGCAGAACTTATTCTGACGTTGCCATAGATATCTCTTCATTGGACTTGATACAGCCGTCCAAGTCTTTGCGACCTCGACATCCCGACTAGTACGAACTTTGCAGATGGAGGCTGGCCAGCGAGTCATTGGTTATAAAATCTGCCCTGTCGACAAGGATATTTTGTACATCTTCACATCCGGATTCGTGACCAAGTGGAACTGGGATTCTGGAAAGCGACTCGCTCGCTGGGGAACTGATTCCCAGGGCGTCGCTGTCGATGTGGCCTCGGTCTCTGTCGAGGGTAAGGATCAACCGGCCGCATTCTTCATTGGAGGCAACAAGGATGGAAAGAGGGAGATCTTCATCAATGCCTTGGGCGACAAGAAGTCAACCAGCATCGTCACTCTTCGAACCAGCGAGCAAATCAACACAATTCAGGTCGCTTATGGTGGACGGGTCGTGGTTGCTTGTGATGGTCCCCGCGTCTTCCTGGGCACCACCGCCAAAATCAATCTCGAGAAACCCGAGTCTACACAATATACTTGGAGAGAAGCTACGCTCCCAGTTTCTGCCACATGTTTCCACCTGCAAGAGGCCTCAACTCAGCGAGGCCAGTCCTCTGAAGTTAAAGGCTTGAAGGGCTCGGAGACTGTCGACATTGCTCTGGGCGAGTCTAACGGTTCTATCTTAATCTATCAAGATGTTTTGAACACTTTATTCGGAAAGAACTCAGAGAAGAAGTCATCTCCTCGGAGATTGCACTGGCACCGTGGATCTGTCAACACAGTGAAATGGTCGAAGGATGGTAAGCTTGTGATTATTCAATTCGTGATTACCAATGAGATTTCTAACTTTACGTTTTGTACACAGGCAACTATGTTATCTCCGGTGGAAACGAGTCGGTCTTAGTTCTATGGCAGTTGGATACTGGCAGAAAGCAATTCTTGCCTCATCTGTCCTCCCCTATCTTCAACGTGGTTATCTCACCGGAAGGCAACTCTTATGTGGTACAACTTGCCGATAACTCAGTCATGGTCATGTCTGCACGAGAGCTCCAACCCTCTGCCACCATGACTGGCCTTCAGCTTAACTATGAGACCGGCCATGGCAAGGATTCCAAGAAGTCCGTCGATGCCGTTGCCGCTCTCCACCCCCAACGTCCGGAACACCTACTTGTTGCTGTTCCGTCTTCACACCAGACTGGCCAGCGAGGAGCCCAGCGCTCTAATACTTCCGTGCTACAGACCTTCGACATCAGGTCAAATGGCCATATATCTCGTCAGGCTCTTGCCCGAACTAACGCAACCACCGTGAATGTTGGCCCTGAAGGAACACCAATAACCTCACCTGACATTCTGAATATGGATATCCTTGATAATGGCAAGTGGATGGCTACCGTTGATAGCTGGACCCCACCTACTCAAGACATGCAGGCACTTGCTGGAGTTGGCTCCAACAAAGAAAGTGGCTCAGTGCGACCAGAGATTTTCCTTAAGTTCTGGAAGTGGAGTGCCTCTACTAATGTATGGGAATTGGTGACTCGTGTTGATGGACCTCACTTCAATGACAACCGCCATGCCAAGGTTCTCGGCTTAACGGCCCGCCCACAGTCAAATGAATTCGCAACCATTGGCGCCGATGGATTCCTTCGTTTCTGGTGCCCAACCACTCGCCACCGAAGCGGTCTCAAAAAGGATCCTTCAGAGCAACACCAAGATACCTGGAAGTCTCGCAACGCCGTAGATCTAACTGGATTCCTTGGTAAATCGGCTCTGCCCTTAAACCAGTCATGCATAAGTTTCTCGGAGGATGGTTCAACACTCGCAGTCTGCTTACCGTCATCCACGGCGAATAATGGCCTTGTGCTTCTGATCGATGTTCACAACTGCACTGTGCACTACCGACGAAACGACGTCTTCCACGGAAACCCACACTCAGCCAAGTTCCTCGGCAGATGTCTGATCATTGCTTCAACAAAATCAGTGACAGTTTGGGATATCGTTGATGACGTGGTGAAGCCAGTTCAACTGCTAGAATCTAGCTCAACCAACTCTTCATCCCCTCCTCTCGTCGCGGTTAACCCTCGCACCCAAACATTTGCCGTTGCCAGCTCAAACTTCGAGCTATCCGCACGCAAGAGACGACGCAACGCTCAGTTTCACATCCGGATCTATGGAATTTCATCGTTGGGCCTGGTATTCCAAGAGACCCTGGGAAGCTCCCCTCTTGTCCTTCTCTCGGACATCTACTCTGGTGATTACATTGTCCTCGATGCAACCTCCAGTGTGCAACGCCTTGGATGCTTGGACAAGGCATCGCAAAAGAATGTGCAGCCTACAGAGGTCACAACGCACCTTAACTCAGGACTGGCTAGTATTTTCAGCCGAGGTCCTGAGAAAGCTCCTGTACAGGCTATTGAGGATGGCAATCACTCGCAAGATAGGGGGTTGGCTAGCGTCTTTGGTGATACTCCTTCATTCTCTTTGCCTTCCTTGGGTGTCTTATTCAAGAATGTGGTCCAGTCTTTGGGGAGTAGTTAGGTGAGGGTTCTGAGTTATTATCTAGTAAAAATTGCCTTTCAATCAAGGGCTTTGCAATATCATGTATTTTTCAAGATCAGCGTCAACATGCCAACAATGTATGTACAAAAGAAGTCTTTTCTCTTCCTTCTCTTTATACAACAATCTTGTCTTGTAAAAGTATACCAGGCTAGATTATAGAATCTATACATGCGTTGGTCCAGTTCAGGGAGTTTGCAGATTCTTTTATTTATTTTTTAATAGGATGTACCTCACGAATAGCACTAGCTAGGTCCATACATACATGATCGTATGTAGCTTTATTTTGCAAAATTATGTAGACTAGATTCATATCCAGTTCTCAAACTATTTCCTTCATTACACACCTGTTCATTATGACCATACTGGATTTATTAAAATGTCAAGAACTCCGTTTTCTGATAGACCCGTACGCCATGGCTTGAATGGACAATAATTAAACCGAGCCCAATGTCAGGACTATTGAAGATTTCCTGCCCTGCGTATGTGTCAAATATGCATCTAATTCATCATCCTCCTCAATAGCAAAATAAATTTCTTCTCCATGTTCGTCTTGACCCAGCCCCTCGATCTTGGTAATGATCGAGTACGGATATCGATTCGCAGTCAATTGCCGGATCTCCTCTATAGTCCGCGTCGGGAGTTTCTCGACCCATGGACTAATGTCCACTTGGTGACGAACCTGGAATGTAACAGGCGTGTTGAGTAAGGCAGAGTGAAGCATGGGGTCCATGTATTCAAATGCATTCGCTGCGTCGTGTTGAGTATTTGAGAAAGAGGCAGGATCATTCGCGGCCTGAAGCAGTGTAGGGTCAATTTGCATATCGCCGATCTCACTTGCTGTGATCGGTGCGCTGGCAAGAGCTTGAGATGCAAGCGTACTGATGCCGTTGCTGATTTCGTTGCTGAGGATATTAGGGGTTGCGGTAGAAGGAGGGGAAGTTTGTGATTCAGCGCGCGCAGATGATCTCTTGCGAGCTGGGTCTCGTTTTGTTTGGTCATCGCGAAGTCTTTTCATTACGTCGCGACATAAAACTTCTAAGGCTTTCAATTTATCCGTGTGTTGAGGGTCGGCCGGGCCCGGTTCAAGAATTCGTTGTAGTAATGGTGTATCTTGAATCCAATGCGCTTTTAGTTCTCGCCAGTGCTCGTCGCCTGCTTCCAGCTTGCTTGTGAAATGGTCCCCTTTCAGGGTGTCGTAAAAGGCATTTCGAATTTGTCGGCTCTCTTCGGGATTGATGCCAAGAGCATTCTTTGCTTCGGCGATCGTCATTCGTCTCTCTAATGTCCTCATTCGTTTTGTGACATCAGTGCAGACTACATCTAATGCGAGGATCTTCGCATCACGCTCGTTCGGTTCAGCGTTGAAGACCTGCTGGAGATGCGGAGATTCCTGTATCAATTTATCTTTCGCTGCTTGCCACTTTTCTGGGCCTGCGACTGTTTTCTTGATGAAACCGGATCCTTCGCATATTCGTTGAAACCGGTCCCGAAGCTGGCGGTACATTGTACTGTCAAGATTGAGATATTGCTTACTCTCGTCGATTGTCGTCTCGGAGGGAAATCGTGGGGGGCCGGGTGGATCAGCTGGTAATCCGGCCCAGCCTCGAGTGCGACGGCGGCGCTTCCTAGATGCCCATCGTTCTGCGCTCTCTGACTTTAGACGGTCCAGCCTTTCCTTGCGCTTGGCCATAACTTCGGGTGTTATAACGGACGATTCAGGAGTGCCCTCTTCAGGTACAGGCGGTTCTGTGGGTAAAGGCTCAGTTGCCTCAAATATCGCGTCTTGTTTGTACATTTCCCGCTGTAGAGCTAGTAACCCTTCATCTTCTGGTTGCGTTTCTTGCGTCGGCACATTCTGTTGAGTCTTCATCCCATTGGGGACGCGGAGTAACCATCGATTCTTGGCGCGCACACGCATTAATTCTCGTTCCTTGATCTCGAATCCCTCGTCGTTTAGAATGCGGAGCATATCTCGCTGGTTCGTATTGTGTTCCCATAGTTGTTTGACGCGGGCGACTAATTCCATGTTCTTATGAGCGGGGTTTTGCTTCGAAGGGAACCCCCATCGCTTAAATTGAGTCTGGTAGGCACGTTTACTATCGAAAATATGGATATTAGCTTTCTAAAATCATGAAGCGCATCTTATAGGTTATCATGGGGATGTACCTCGGCGAAAACTGGTAGTAATTCCGCATGTATTCCATAATTTCCTCTAGTGCCTTCTTCTCTTGGATGTACATCTGGAAGCAGATGTCCCGCTTTCCTGCCCAGTCGTACACCATTATGATGGAGGTGCTACCCCTCGTGGAGGTGCACCTGACAGGGTGTGGGTTGAGCTAGCTGATACAACCAACAACTGGAAGCTCTTATCAGGCGCTTGTTGTCGCTGCTGTTCGCCGTAGAGGAGTAAGGAAGGGTAGATTGTTGGCGACGCAGAGGCGACACTTGCGCAGTTTGGTCACGTGAGCCAGATGTAATCAATACCAAGTATGTTCAATAAGAGGCTGAGACTTTTTAAATACGTATGGAAAATCGTATTTGTTAGTTTCTATGAGTCCAATATGAATTGACTACCTGATAATATCAAAAATGATGAAAACCACCCATAAACTGTATGTGAAACACCAGGCTCCAACGGGCAGGCACGTGCCACTGTGTGATCTGAATGAAGTATCCATGAACGAAGAGTTGATTCTGTTGAGACGGCAGCAAGGGGCTCATGACTTCAGAGTAGCTCTATTTCTACTAGTTATATTATAGATCCTTATAGCCCAATAAAGGAGGAAAGGAAAAGATGGCCCGAGCCGGGATGCGGCCGGGGCCTCGTGCAAGCTCACCACGTGCGCAGTGTGACATAGAGTCCCTGGATGTATGTTAGTAAGGATATTTTTGTATGGAAATTCGGTATTACGTACGAAGCAGGAATCATACTATAAGGCGTTAGTATACTCTGTATTTTGAATACCAGGCAATTCCGGGCTGCTTACCCACTAGACCAGGCGAATGGATAGCATAGTCCTCCAAAAATCAAACTTCAATACAAAATCACGCAACTATAGGTTTCAAACATGCAGTTACTATTCATTAATAGTGGAGGACCCGCGATAGACCGCCCGCATCTCAGCCCGCATGGCTTTTAACAGTATATAATATAGACTGCGGTATAGTCTTGGTCCTAGTCTTAGGTCAAACTTGAAGACTAAGATTAACTCCCACTACTGCTATGTAGTAAGTCATTTAAATTCAGAAGCGGATCTAAGTTCCACGTATTGAGTAGACAATATACAGAGCTTGCTTATGGCTAAGAAATCATTTCCTTTCTTTCCTAGGCTTCTAACTCCTAAATTGCACGAGATAGATAAACCCTTTAAGGCTACATCGATGTCCAACGTGAAAATAACAAAAATGGTGAAAAAATAAGTTCGCTCAGCAAATGGCTAATACGCAGGGATGGATTCGGTCAAAGGATAAAAGGACTTCAAAATTTTCAAATATCGATTCATCTTCGCAGCTTTCGTCGAAATTTGAAGACTCGGGTCCGAAGCCAAGTCATGAAAAGTACCCATGTACTCTTCGATTGGGATTTGAATGAAGCTGATTGACGCTGTTGGTCTGTATTACCTCGCTTGGGACCCCGAGGCTTGGTCGGCTTTTCGGAAATCACTTCTTCACTGGACTGCTGCGAAGATACTGGCAAGGACTCCTGGTCTCTCGTCACAGTACGCTTCACTCGACGGCGAGTCTGACGCTCATCAGCCTTCAGCTGCTGTTTTTCGAGTCGGCGAGCCTTGGCTGCTTCTTTCTCTTCAAACGCCTGCCGGGCAGCCTGAACTGTGGCTGCTCGAGAAATCGGATCCCGCGAAATCAGATCCGTACTGGTGCGAGTTCGGGATCGAAATACGTGATCTAGGGACGGCCTGGAGATTGGGGACGTAGTGTCCAACGTACTCCCGTTGTCTCTTGAGTAAGTGAACGAAGGTCGACTGGAGATGTTTGTTTGTGATAACCCAGAAAGGCGGGTGAATGAATCGTCTTCGATTTGCAGTGACAAGCGTGGGACCGGCCCTGAGGAAGCACGAACATACCGGGGAGTTTCCGAAGTAGACATGCCTCTGGAATCAGAGTCGGGGCTGTCATCTTCTGGATCGTCGCTTTCATTTGCTGATGTTTGGTAGGATTGACTCAATGGTGGTGTGAAGGTCTTAGGTGTTGGGCGCATAGGGTACACATATTGCGATCCAGTTCTACCTCCACTAGATCCTGTGCCCGTTGAGAATTGAGACGTCCCACTCGTGGATCGATGATGGAGTCCTGACGAGCGCCGATATGTTGCTCCAGTCAACGATTCACTTCGGCGCCGATCCCGTTCCGTACTCATGTAGATGCCCAGACCATCCTGCTCGGTCGACGAACGGGAGAGATCAAAGGATGCGGAGGGCGCATCCTCACGGGACATTTTGCGAAGCATCGGTTTGATTTGGACCTTTGGTTTAATATGCTTGATCTTGGAACGATAATCCACCGTATCGGAGGATTCATTGAGAGGTAAATTCCATGGGTCGCTCGGGGCTATGGTTATTGATCCTCTACTCGAAGAGATTGTGTCGCGGCCTTTGTATGTCGGTGATTGCGAGTCGGAGTACTCAGGAAAAGCAGCTGGCTCGTGCATATCCTCTACATCTAGATGAGACGGGGCCAGCCCGGTAATCTTAGGATCCCCTGAATCCTCGGTTGCTGACTTCGTGCGCCATCGTCTCTTTGAATCGGTCGAGACCCGTCCTTTAGAGGCCGCAATGACCGACTCGCGGCCGTATGGGATATCAGTGCGAGCCATGTCAATAGCCCACGCTTCCAACTCTAAGCTAATGGGGCCGTTAAGAATAAATCGCGCGGCGCATGATTGTCACTGATAGGGAGCCGCACGGAGTTTCGAGTGGAGACGGGGTGGAGGATCGAGGGTGCCGATCTTTATTTGAGGGTGGCGAACGACGGATTCAAAATATGGACGACCACGAGGCGGAATCCGGGGCTGTGAGGAGATTTTAAGAGGCAGCGCACGAGTGCTAAGTCGCGACTATCAGGCAATTGGGGTGGGGAACGTAAGCGCGGGGGCGCAATGTCAAAATCACAAAGCTGAGGACCGTGTCTCTGGTTGGTGCATGTCCGATGGGCACATCAGACCCCTTTGGAATACCCAAAATATTTCAGAGATCCAATACCAAAGGGAAAAACAGAAAAAGAGAGAATAGAACGAGGAAGGCCTGGCGAGATCAAGAAGAAAAGAAAGCAGAAAAGAGGAGAAATAGGGAGCGGTGAAGGGCAAAAGCCGGGAGACTCCGCATGCGGCGCCGGAGCAACAGTAGGATTGGACTCCCCGATCTTTTGGATCCTCCGAAGTGCAACGCCCCCGATACACTTCAAAGGAAATTTTTACTCTTCTTTGATGTAACTATCCTCCTATGATATGACCAGGAAACCTGATCCAAGTCTCCAATTTTCTGGTTTGCTCGGGTAACAAGTCTTTTTTTAATATATGTTTTCAGCCTTATACTAATCTATACTACTGACACCCCGACCGAGATAACAAGGACCACGATCGATCTATATCTCCATGAATGGTGAGATATGTAAGTCAGATTGCGCTCCAAGGTCATGCTGATTGGCCAGGTTTCCACCTTTTCACGGCACATGAGAATTCACACTGCATGCCAAGCCACGGGGCTGTGATGGACACGGATGCTGCATCCAAGAAGTCTGTCAACTGAGAATAGGCCTTCGGGGAGGCGGAGAGGAGGGGCGAAAGTAGAGATACATATACGAGGACAGAATTAGATCAAAATTCTACACTTCAAGCATATCCGGTGCAAGAAAGAACGCCTAACCTTGGAAAATCGCGACTCCATAATGTCATATTTATCGGGGCAACGCTGTGTAAGTGGGCCCTACCACCCAGCAACTGCCCAGATGTGGGGGATTTCCGAGTAATAATTTTTATGCCTTGCGGAACTTGAAGGCAACATGAATAGTTCAAGTTTCACTACTATTATTAGTACCATCTTTCCTATCTACCAAAAACTTCCGGCTAAACTATATGTTCCTGATAGAAAAAAAGTCTATGTTATAAAGTATAAAAAAGCCGACGCTGAACTCAATCAGAAGTGCCAGCGCCTAAAAGCAAAAGGAACTAGACCAAGTAGCCCAAACCTCCGAATCACCTGCCCACCTACAAAATTGCCACCCATATCTGTTTTCTCATCATGCAAAAAAATATCCTACATTGGGTAGTCCCCAAATTCTCTTTTGTCGGCTATTTTGATCTTCTATATTGCAGAAGGATTTAGTTCACATAGATCGAGTGGGCCGGGCGGATATAGTTCTTCACGAGCATGATTCAGGTGGAAAAATAACCCCAACTCAAGAGCGGGGTTGCCAGATTATTTGAAGTTCAATTTCTAGATCTATTCGTACTCTCTTACTGCACTCTTAGAAAGCCACCATTTTTTGAGTATCTTTTGTCTCGATTCGCTCCGTGCATGCCGGGGAAAATCCACCTACTGTATCGGGAAGTGCACTGTCCGGGGCGGAGATGTCGTTTTAAAGTTAACATACTCCGTAGAACTATTCCAGTACACAATACCGTCAATTTTTAAGCCAGACGATATGACAGACAAGATTATATCTTCAAAATTCAATATATGACGATAAAATTATGCAAGTTGTCAACGTTGATAATACCACTGGCATGGCGCGCTGAAAACAACATTCAAATGTCCTTGGATATACGATTGATTAAACATTGAATAGTAGGTAGTAATGTTTACATACTAAAACTACCTAGGACATACTATATCCGGAATATCTTGTCTTCCATCAAACTTCAACTAAATGACCAATGAAGCTTCCCAGGTGATTTCGAGCGACCACGCAAGATTTCCCAGATAGTACAATAAGGCGAGTTCTCGAGTGTCCTTCTGGATAGACTGGACCTGTAGCCTCACACCTCACACTTTCAAGTACGCCTTGAACTTATCTTCATCCACAATTTGCTCCTTGTCCTCTATCAATTTTTCAACATCCCAATTTGCGCTAAGGTAGCGACCAGATAACCAATCACGTCTTTCCTGAGTGAGCCATACACAAAAAGCACCAGGTAAGCTTATATCATCGACCATTACTATCAAATATTAGTAAGATACTTCTAGATGGTGACGTGATTTACTCACTATCGTGCCAGCGCGATGAGCTGTGACCGTCAGTATCTCGAATACAACCCGGATGAATTGCGTGCGTAAGAATGCCATCCTTTGCGTACGAGTCGTGGATATGCTCTGCCAGACGATTGACTGCCAGCTTGCTAATATTGTATGACACAGAAGTGAGGTCTGTGTAATTGTGAAGAGAAGCCATGGAAGAGATAAAGACCATCGCCTGCGCTCCGTCGACAGTCTCACGAAGCAAAGGAAGAAATGCCCTTGCTGTTAGGTAGGCTCCACCGAAGTTCGTCCTCCAGACATGAAAGAAATCCGCCGTAGTATCTTCTAGTATACCCTGAGGGTAGCGTTGATCTCCATCGGGGCCCTTTATTCTCTTCGATCCGACTCCAGCATTGATTATAGCGACATCGAGACGGCCAAATCTATTTTTGCACTCCAAGGCCAAGTTTGAAAGTTCATCTTCATTTGTCACGTCGCAAACCACGAAATGCACATCACACTTTTCATTGATAGTATTGATTTGTGCTCTCATGCTCTGTAGATCGTCCAAAGTCCGCGAGCTCAGCAAAATTCCTGAAGCGCCTGCGTGCGCATACGCCTCAGCAATCGCGGCCCCCACTCCTTTTCCGGATCCTGTAATGGCTACGACAAAAGGTGCACGTAGCTCCACCAATTTTGGATCCATTGCAGTGTCTTTTGCTGAACTTCGGTAGAGTTGCGTGACTTGAGGTCCATGTAATCCCGGGCGAGGGGGGTATACAGGCCATTCGCGAAATTCCTCGGCCATTCTGAACCAAGACGTCTTCACAAGAGGAATGCTGGAGGAAAAGAAAAAGACAGGGTTTCTAGAATGAGTCCTTGCTGAAAGGGTTATATATGTCTGCACACAGCCCCCACCGTATCCAATATTTGTTCAACTCCTCTACTAGTAGCAGCCTGCCAGTGGAGGGATGTGGATTCATTATGCACTAGGCATATGTATGTACAGTAGTCGGGCATCTGAACAGGCACACCGCCACCCAAGATTAACTAGTCCCAAGCAGCTGCTAGACATTTGCGAATGTACGTCAATTTTCAAGAATTGACCAATAATATAGCCGTAGATTGAGCGTAATCTGATAGATCATGCTAAACCATGTCAGATTAATTGTGTGATGCAGTCCAATCACGCAAAGTTTGCTGTTTTGTTATCAATAGTCTGCATGACCTGCATGGTTTAAATGTTTAGTATGTATACAGCTGTATATGAATATGACCTGTCACAATTGAGTCCAAATTAACCCTCATGCTTGCGTTTGCGAATGTAGAAGTGGGACCCTTATATATGGCACTTGGCCGCAGTAATCTGGGTAAGTATACAATTAAAGTAAACATTTGATTGCACGGCATGATTTGATCCATTTATCCACATGAATGATCAAGGCCCGGAAGAGTCGGAGCTCTGGAAAGAAAATCGACAAGGACTACTCCGTAGACTGCATGTATATTGGATGTCGCCTGCATTTTCCGTAGTATCCACACTTGAGCCTAACTGTGTTTGTTTTAGTTTATTGAATTCTAGTGACATGTAATGTAAACTCTCCGATGTTGGTTAGCAATCGGAAAATGTTTTACGATATATTACTGTTTATTCTTGTATTAACAAAATGTGCAGAAGCGGGCGGATATCTAAAATATTGAAAGACAAGCAATCTCAAGGGATTATCACTGGATTCTTTACTGATCTTAGATATAAGAAACCGAGTTGACCTAGATGAACTTGAAACATACTCTTCTCAAGTATCAGGTCACAAATCGACTCTCAGTTTTGACTCTTGCTTACCAGGGCCAATTTTTGTGCATTGTATAGAACGTCCATTACTTCTATCCGATACTTATAGCCTCTTTTTCATTTTAACCAGCTAAACGTTTTAGGGGACTTGAACTTCGGATTATAGTATTTATCTCATGTTTCGTCTAGGAACCGAAATTTAGAGCAAACACCAGAGGAGAAAAAGAAAGAAAGACTGAACTTGAAGTGGCTAGAAATAAATTCCTCCCGGGGTCTGGCCCCACCTCGCCAGTGATACCCGGTGGGGATGTTGTTTCAAATCTGCACTGTAGATGTGAAGTATATCTACTATCGTCAAGATTCGGCACTCCATCAGCACATGTACTCATACCTATATCAATTTAATATTATTGCAAAGACCTACCAATCAACAGTCTCATTCAAAATCTCCATCTTTCACCTTTCACCATACTAAATACCAACTCAGCTGGCGCGCCAAGCCCATCAATCGGAGCCAAGCACGACACAAGCTGCAGCCAAGAAGAGTAAATAAAGCCCGACCACAAAGGCTTCGGCACGTTGGGCAGAATTTTCTTCCTATTCTGACGGTATTAAAATACCTACACGTGAGTAGTTCGTTTCAAATCTCTCTTTCCTTCCATCTACCCCCCATCCCCGCGAAACCCCCGCATCGTCGACGTTCCTCGCCCTATCTCCTCTTATCATGGGTATATCCGCGCAAAGCCTGTGTCTTTCCGTCCTGATAATCCTTGCCCTTTCCAGCCCGGTATATGGATTCGGAGCGGGGAACATCGCGTCCCTTTCTAAGATCGAGGGGCAGAACTGGCGCCATGGTGATATTGAAGATGCCCTTTTAACTCTGTACCTGGCGCGAGTGGCTGGAGGCAAAAAGTTCGGCAAATTGGACGTGAAAAGAGTTTACTTTGGAAATTGGTTAAGGGATTATAGTCAGGCTGTTGATGTCGGTACTGTGAAGTATGTTAGTGCAGAGGCTATTCGGATCTTGATCTGGGTTCTGGGATTTATGAGTTTCGGGTAAGGGTATTCTCGTCTAGAACTTGGAAGACTTAGTTAACTGGAATTGTAGGTATGGCACTGGCGAGTTCGAGGTTACGACGGAGCGACTTGGTTGCTATCAGCCAACTGAGCATATTGATAATCCCTTGGGATATGCGGAAGGCGAGGATGCTCGTAACTATGACCATCGCCTACGTGGTCCGGTGGATGAGGAGCGAGAATTATCTATCGATCCGCGGACGGGTCTGAAATGCTACATTGCATCCGAGGATATGGGTATTGATACGTCGGCACAGTTGATCCGTCGTGTTCTTGGTCGTTCTATTCAGCTCGGTCGTCGCTATGCTCGTTCCGGCCATGAAGAAGATCTATTCGAGGCACTCCGATTACTGGGAACGGGACTGCATTGTCTCGAAGACTATGCAGCTCACTCAAACTACACTGAGTTAAGTTTAATTGAGCTTGGGGAAAGAGACATCTTCCCCCACGTTGGTCGAGATACAATGCTGGAGATCGAGGGTATCTCTGACAACGTCTATCCGATTGTGACTGGAACTTTTGGTGGTGTTGATTTTTTCCACTCCGTCCTCGGGGAGTTCTCTGATAAGACAAAGCAATCCGAGCTACAATCACTGGAGGGTGTTATTAGCGAGTCGGAAAACGATAATTCATCAGAGAGCATCTTGCAAGGGTTGCTGAGCAATATTCCTAGTGGATTGCTTGGTGACAGTGAGAACCAGACAGGTCAGATGGACGATTTCAAGGCAAAGGCCGACGAGGCTAGAGTCAATGGCTCAAACGTTTCTCCACGCGAACCAGAGGAGTGGGCAATCTATCTCAATGATGTACAAAAGCAAATCTACCCAATTCTGGAGTGGCACGACCATCTGCTGAAATCAATCAATGAGATCATCGAGAAGATCCCCGTTTTACCAGATCTGATAGAAAACATCCAGAACGAAATAACGGTTTTTGTCTTCTCAGTTATCGCGCCGTATGTTTTACCGATTATCCAACAAGTCAAATCTGAGCTCGAGACTGGCTCCTCAGAAGTGATTCAGAGTAGTCAGCAACAACAGCATATTGTGTTCAATGATGATTATTCTTCCAACCCAACCCATTCGATGCTTTCGAAAGATCACTTCTCGAATGTACTTAATGAACCTGCTGGGCGGATTGCTTCTACGATTGTCAAATGGACCGTTCCTCAGCTGATGCAGTGCTGGGATAACGAAGATGAGGACGTCGACCGAGTGTTAACTCGTATCATCTCGGGTGTTTTTCATCATCCTGCCGCACGGGAGTATGGAGACGATGGAGCAAACGAGATGCGTCAGATCATGTTCTCCACAGTTGAGCAGTGGTGGGGCGAGAAGGAGGAAGAAGGGGCACAGGAGTACCTCCGCGAACAGCTGAGTCGGGACGGTGTTCAAGAAGGCAAAAACCACAAGGAAGGCGTTGAAGACTGTGGTCATGGTTGTGGGAAGCCTCTTGCTCTGCCAAAGATCAAGAATAACTCTGATGAACAGAGTGGATTCGGCGATGATGCTATTGGGGACATGGCCTCCCAGATGCTGGGAGGAGGCGCGCTGGGCGGATTACTTGGTGGTATCGTGGGTGGTGGCATGGGAGCTATGAATCAACGTAGGTCTGACCGAGAAGATGAAGACGATCGGTCCTCCAACGAGAATGGTTATGCTCGCCACGAGCATCACGAAAAGCACCAACAGCAGAGCTCCGGTGGATACTATCGAGAGGAGCGGCAGGAGATTGTTGAAAGCACCGAGTCATCCGAATATGTGCATAGCGAAAGTCGTTACGAATACGAAAGCTCGCAATCTGGATACCCACCTATGCAAGGTTACCCACCTCCACAGGGTTACCCACCTCAGCAGGGCTATCCACCTCAGCAGCAGGGATACCCACCCATGCAAAGCAACTACGGTCGTGAAGGTTTTGAACAGTAAGTTTTATACTTTTGATATTAACAGGTTTCAATAGCTGACCAGTTGTAATACAGAAGATATCCACCACCAGGTAACGAATTCCAGCAGCCGGGACAGCAGCCGGGATATTCATACAGAGAAGAGAGTTACGGCCAAGGCTTTGGTGAGAGACCTGTGGTTTATGGAGAGGGACCGCCTGAACATGAGCGACGATCTAGAGATAGCTCGAGATCGCGCGGTAGCGATGACGAAGAGCGTCACCACCACAGGCACCACCGCCATCATCACCACCATCATCATCATCATGACGATGATGAACATGAACACTCTGGCTCGGATTCAAGTTGAATGTGTTGATTATAGAACCTCATATATCAATTAAATTACCACTCCTTGACCTCGCCAGGCGCTGGGAGCTCAGTTCGGACAACTTTGTCACAGTTAAGCAAACGCAGGGGATCATAGGCCAATTTCAACTATAAATGCGTAAAGTAAATTAGTCATAACTGGTAACTAGGTCGTCGTAGAGGGGATCTTCAGACTTACCCGGCGCATAGCATCTACAGTAGTTTCACCCAATTCATGGTTGAGATAGTCCCGCTTGACAAGGCCAACGCCGTGTTCACCTGTGACAGTGCCTTCCATCTCCACAGCTCGCTTGACCATGCGATGGATCACACCCTCTGCGGCCTTCTTCTCGCTTTCGTTAAACAGAATGATAGCTAAATTCCAAGTTAGTCCGTTGTCTAGTTGCTGCCTTGTCTGGAGTATGCTTACCGTGGAAGTTGCCATCTCCAACATGGCCACAGATACCAGCCAAAAGGCCACTCTTGGTCATATCGTCCTTGGTTATGTCGATGATCTCAGGCAGTCTGCTCATGGGAACAGCCACATCAGTCGTCCAGACGCGATCTTCGGGCCCCCGACGCATGGCCATAACACTCCAAAGTGCCTGTTTCCGGGCACTCCACAATTCCTTCATTTCCTCTGCACCACGCGCGAACTCGAATGATTTCCCGGATGCGTTAGAAGCAATCTTCTGCACCATGCTAATCTGCTCCTTGACGGCTGCCGGTGTACCAGTGAATTTGAAGAAGATGGTCGGGGACTCCTTCCATTGCCGGCTAGTGGTCTGGCTGGCATTGATGCACTTCATCTGTACGTCGTCCAGGATCTCCACACCCGCAACAGGGATACCCGCCTCCACCACGTTGGTGACGCACTCCGCTGCATTCTGGATGCTGGGGAAGCTGGCTACGGCCACATTCTCACTCTTGGGGCGCACGGTCAATTTCAAGGTTGCCTCTGTCACAAGACCCAGGGTTCCCTCGCTTCCAATAAAGAGTCTGGTCAGGTCGTATCCGGCACTCGATTTACGAGGGCGCTGGCGTGTCTTGATCACTGTGCCATCTGCCAGGACGACTGTTAGTGAAAGAACCCATTCGCGCATAGTTCCGTAGCGATAGGCATTTGTTCCTGAGCAGCCTGTGCCGACCATACCGCCGATCATGGCGCCAGGACCAGGGTCCGGTGGGAAGAACAATCCATCCTTGATCAGCTCCTCGTTTAGCTCCTCCCATCCTAGTGCGGGCTGTACGACGACATCATGGTCATGCTTGTTCAGCTGCAGGATGCGATCCATGCGACGGAAGTCAATGCACACCCCTCCGCGGGTCGGGGCGAAATGTCCTTCGAGACTTGTGCCGCCTGAGTACGGAGTGACCGGGATTACTCGCCGGTGGCAGACCTTCATAATCTGTGACACCTCCTCCGTTGTCGAGGGGTATATAACTAAGAATGGTTTCTCATCCGCCTTCAGCGAGTAGGAAGACCAGTCTGATCCCGAGTGAGACTCGAGGTCACCTTGATTCGTGGAGACATTCTCCTTGCCGAGGATCTCAACAAAATCAGACCACGCAGCCTGGAGGTTGGACGGGGTGACATTATGTTTCGGGGGTTCGAGCTCGGAGAGCGGACTTGTAGACGTGCTTGGAAGGGCAGGTGGCTTGAGGGATCCGAGGTAATAGGCACCGGTGGAGAAGAAGACCAATGCTGGAATAAGTTAGCGACACTATCGCATGAAAAGCCAGTTAATCCGTCTGGATACTTACCGAAAACTAAAGCGGCATACCGACTACCGGGAGATTGAGTCTGGTACTGGGCGAATCGCGCCTGTTCGGCCCGCTCACGTTGCAAGCGCTGTTGGGTGCTTTCGTATAGCTGACTTTTGAAGGACGGCTGCTGGGGTTTCTCGTTTGCGAGGTAGCGGGCGGAGGCACCGAACAGCCTTCGTTGCGGAAGGGCAGATCGGGCGTTTATTGTGCGCAGGGCCCCTCGTAGGGCAATTGGATTTGGGCGCACCATGGCTAATGTGGTGTTGGAAGAGCAGAAAGATAGCTCTCGTGCGAGATGCGGGATTATGCGGTTCTCCGCATGGGTGTGCACGGACCAAGCACGTCTTATAAGTGCAGGATTACGGCGTACAACAGCATCCACAGATAATATGGTTATAAATTATTATCATGATTAATTTAAAACAAATTACGTATACTCTCGAATGTTTTCTATTTGTATTTTGTATAAAATCGCAAAACTATGGTGGTTTAGTTAGTATAGATCTTGGAACTTGGTCGAGCTTTAATGGCTCCTAAGTATATTCGCGATATCAGATTCAAGAATTTGGACAATTTTTATGCGCTTCCGACTTTTCGGCTTCCAATGACACTATTGTCGCTCTATTAGTAACAGCCAGTTCAAAAAATAAAATGAAAAAGGCATCAACACGCGAATACTCGCTTGTATTCGATATATGATTTCTATCTCTACAGGCGGTCTTATAGTTGACCTTCCTCAAATTAAAGTCATAACCCGTATGAAACCGAGCAACACTCTCTATTTAATATCTCTGGAAAATGGAAATTGAAAATTGAAAATAATGACAATCAAAAGATGAGTTGATTAGATAGAGTGACATTGTGCACCTGTGTACGCCGAGATACGCCGACTCGCCGAGAATGTTCTTCTCTTTCCAACCGAGGACACATTCAATAACATCAATCATTTAATTTACCAAATTATCTGTCTTTCCCATTACACTTTCCTACCCGTCTAATTATTTCAGACCTTCTTTAGTACACCATTCTTCTATCTCGAAAATGATACAAATAATCTGGAGACTTCACCATCTTTCTGGATCCTATGGGCAGTCTCGATGCCTCTGACCCTCTTAACTATCGTACTATTTGCTCTATGGTCATGCCGCGAGGAGTTGCTCAAACCTCTGGACCTTTCTAGATTTGCGCGAAGCGGATCAAGGGTTAATGGTGATGATAGTATCATGATTGAGCGGAATCAACGAATTTTACCATAAAATTTATACTGCTATTGAAAGAACGTATCCATATAATGCCACTTTCCCTTTACCCCACTACTACTTTAAAAGATCTCACTTTTCGTCTGGAGTAAAAGTATACCTTCCTGTAAGAACAGTAGATGGTCAATTAGCCTGTCCAAGTACTTCTTCTGCGAGCTTCAAAAGCATAAGCTCACTCCCTTGTGAATTATATAAGAGTCAGAGAAGTTTCTTCATCGAAGCGTACCCTGGTGTTGGGTAATTTCGAACTTACCCCTTGCGCCTACCAACGTACACACAATCGGCAAGTATTCAACACGTTCGCTGATACACGAGTAATAAGGCTTTGGACCAACTGAAGACATTACTATTTAGCCATGTTAAATCGAGATCTTGAATACTTTCTTGGAGTGACTAGCTGGGGCAATCGCAGGATAGGTGACAATAGCTTGCTTGTGAACGAATGAAACTTACCAGGGGGACTAAAACAATGTTACTCCAAGCCCTTTTACACGTTTATATTCCACTGACTCAGTTGGTAGATCTCTGTATTGGGGATCCGCTAGGCCATACGGCAAAAGCATAACAGCATTACAGAGCGAGTCGGGATGCTCCGATAGTTATTCTCATTGAACCAATCACGGAAGACCATCTGTTCCTCTTTCAACCTTTTGAAGTCGCTTTCCGTGACAGAGAGGCCAAGATTCCTACATGGTAAAGTGAGCTGTGTTGTTACGCCGCTCAAAGAAAGGTTTATGAGCACTCATACTTACCATCGAAATTCAGTAGTCGGTCCAACAAAAGGACGTCTGCCAAACTTCTTTCTAACGGTCTCCCTAAACCTTTCAAAAGACGTCATAAAACTCACGATTAAGGCCAGAACCCTGCTTTTTCCATCTACTCCATTATCCCCTTTCCATTAGCTGCTTCGGACGGCGATCAGCCCCACATCTTAGAGATGCTGATAACTTCCCGCTTGGAGCCTAGGTAGCCCCCATCCCGGTGACATGAAATGCCCTACGTGATGAAACGCCCACCAGGTACCTGCAAACTCGAGCACCGTCACTCCCGATCTACATATTGACTAATTGTTAAGAGTAGCAGAAGCACTAGTCACTCAATTTCTTATTTGGTGCCTCTTTTTACACAAAATTACAAAGCTCTGGAGTGGTGGATTACAGGACGACACGGACGACTATAAAATGCGCTGTTTACTGCTATGACGCCAGGATCATCCATAAAATGTCTGGGAGGGATCAAAAAGACAAGGTTGCACAGTCTTACCTTCCTGACTATGAGAATTGATTTTTCAATCTTCATAATCATGTTACCTGAGAATGTAACAATTCTGGTGGAATTCTTGGCAGCGGAAGGTACTTGAAACAAGAAAACTGATGAGGCGAATACACGCGTACGGAATAGTCATGTAACTTGGTGTATAAAAAATACTAGAGCCGCTAAACGAAACAGGCGCCCCATAACTATATGGGAATAAATCTATGAGAAACAAATAAACCTCGGTTTATTCATAATTCCTCGTTCACATGAACATTGAATTTTGAATCAGAAGAAATATAGGATCTGGGATTTGGATAAACTCCTGATACTGTCTTACTATTGATTCAGGAGGTGGGGAAAGAATCTATTTCTGGACGGGAACTTGCGCGAGATTGAAGTCTTTCAAATCGTATTCCTTGATGATCAAATTCGCCAGTCAATTTCCGAGAGAGTTTTCAATGTTAGAATTCACTAGGCTAACTGATGGGGACGCACACTATGTATTTGTGTGGGCCACTGCCCAATGATCTGCTACACAACATGAAACCGCGTCCAGATTATTAGCTGGAATTCGGCCTATAGTCTCTGGAGGATTCTAAATGACCGCATGAGAATCAGTTTTATAGCAACTGGAGAACTAAGTTCAGTGCGGCGTACCAGGAACAAAAAAGAATCAAGGCCAAACGAAACTAATATACTGAACCGTAAGAACAAGAAAAGCTCTCAGTTGGTTTGGCATGAACCTGATACTAATGAAATTGTTATAAAACTACTGACTAGGAGGCTCGGGTAGCTAGTTCTCCTAAACAAGGTGCACAGCCTAACTATCCTCATCAATGACATCGACATCGACGTTGCCTTTGTCAAGGAGCATCTTAACAATGGTATCGTGGCCGTTCTCGGCAGCCCATAACAGCAGTGTCCAGCCAAATATATCTTTTTTATCGATATCGACCTTACCCGTGTCAATAAGTATCCTAATAATAGTATCCTGGCCGTTCTCAGTAGCCTATAACAACAGTGTCTAGCTAAATATATCTTTTTTATCAACATCGACCTTACCTGTATCAAGAAGCATCCTAACAGTAGTATCGTGGCCGTTTCTGGCAGCCCATGACAGCGATGTCCAGCCAGTTGTATCTTTTGCATCGACATCGACCTTGCCCGTGTCAAGGAGCATCCTGACAATGGTATCGTGGCCGTTCTCGGCAGCCCACGATAGCGCTGTCCGCCCATATTCTGTATCTATCGCATCGACATCGACATTCTTTATGTCAAGCAGAATGGAGGAGAGTAATTTTGTCAAGCCGTATCTGCACAAAATATGCACGACTTTACTTCCATAAGCAGGTCGTTTGGGAGAGTAGGGCTCCATTGCGCTATATATTTCTACCCAGACTTTGGTCAATAACTCTTTCGGCCATCCTAGACATCTGATGAGCTCATCCGGAGTTTTTTCTGCTGTCTCACCCCAGCTTCACGTGAGATACCCATGACGTTGTAGCATAGTGTAGAAACGGGAATTTAGACTCATTCCTCCAGTCAAGTGATCCAGACTGAGATTCTACAGCCATTCTGAGATAAAAGATGCACGAACGAGATAGTCGATAGTGAGCAGCAGAGTCTTTCAAGTCGATTCCTTTAGTCTCACTCAAAATCAGGAGTCCGCGCGGGTCGCGAAAGTTGCTGCGAACAGGCAAAATGAACTTGCAGGATACTTGCCTCGTCGCCATGAGGAGTAAAAATTCGGAAGACCTGCGGCTGAAGACCACATGATTTAAGGTCACATGGGGCGTAGCAGGAAGTGACGTGGCATAGCGTGACGTATCGCGCGCCTAGTCCACGTGTTGTAGAACAGTGAAGCTGTCGACATCCTCGCCGATTCACGGGAATAAGTCTGATATTTTGAATAGCTAGGCGTCCGTTTTCATATGATGCCGGCGACCTTGGTGACATCAGGTGTAACATGGCCCTACCCGTTGGCCTATCAATTAACACGGGGACTGGACGGGCCGTCCCGACATGTGCCTAGTCCCCCTGGCATTCCACTGGACTAAATAAGCAGTGTGTGATTTGCTTGCTAAAGATCCTGTTCTAATGACTTAGACTGCGTTCCTGACAGACTTTGGTGTATGTCGAAATAAGATTGTATGTAGTAATATATCCCTACTCACCAGTAGCTGGTGAACCGGCCTGCCATTGTTCTAACAGAAGACCCGAAACTCCACTGTTATGGGACACCGGATTTAGCTTCAACCAGTCTTTAATTTGTCTTCGCGGTAGCATATCCTGAAATCTACTTAAGTTCCCGGCTACACATAGCCTTTTGATCTTTGCTGTGGATTCTTTTCTCCATTGGAGCCGATGGGCTATCGCAAACCTCCACTCTTTGATCACTTTGAAAAGGAAAAGAAATACCAACAGCAGCATAAGGACGCCGGTCACAAATCCAATCAAAGTGCTGAGCCAGTAGCAACCCGCAAATAACAAAGTACTCGAATATCTCTCATCGGAATCGGAGGCTGCGAGGCTGACCTGCATACAGTTCAGGGCAATCGAGAAAAATGCAAATGCAGATATCACAGGGCCTTGAATTTGAGCAAAGTATGCTCGATACTGATAGTTCTCCCGTTGATAATGGCCCTTTCCCAGGAGAATGGGCGCATAATAGTTCAGTCGGGTCAACCGGATCTCTCCGTAATGATATCGGCCTTTCCTTCGTTTTCCGTGATGTTATTAAAACGGGCAGTGAACTGTCAGAATCGATGCCAGGTCACTTCCTTAGGAACCAGGTAAAGAGCCGGATCTTGTGCAATTCGTAGATCTGATTCATGCTGGATGAGTTAGAAATATGTTCGCAGATACCCGAGTGCGGCCTTTCTTAGCTCCACCCTTGCACCATATTTAGACGGATCACTCATGAACGGATCCCAGAATACGTAGGACGTTATGTACCGGGGGAGAGGTTTCAGGAAGGTTCGATTGTCGATCCAGATGAGATGTAGCCGGGGATCCTCGGTAACGATAATCTGTCGGCCCTTCACTCGCTGTCGATGTAACGGAGAGATATTGCTGCTATCCTGCTTCGACATCCACCAGAGTCTGCCCGACATCGACTCGAGATCCTCTGACCAGACTTCCTGGCGAATAAAATCAAACAACTCCTTTTCATTGCTCATCTTGATACGGGGATAACCTGGCAAATAATCAAGCGATGCATCGAGATCATTGTTGAGCTGATCACCTTCGTGGAAGGGACATGGCAATGAAGGGGTTTCTACGTGCGTTGACATTTTCCGAAAGCGCTAAGTCTGAAATATACTAAAGCTAAACTGGATGCTGAAGCCCGAGAAATAAATTAGAAAGATTGTTTCCTCGATAAAATCTGACGCTAAATAGTGGGGTTTACGTGCAGCGTTGTGATAGCCTTCGGGAGCTCAGCCTCACGAAAACGCAACACTGCCTAACCCCACCGTATAGGGCATATCCGCCCAATATAGAATAATATCTATATTTATATAGCCCGGTTCAGAGTAGACAAAACACCATCCGGGGGTGGGGTAAATAGTCCATTAACTACAATATATAGCCGCTAGCCAGATAATAAGAGGGTACAGGAACTGACTATCAGCGGAAATACATTCAATCGCCATAACTAGCGTCCGCTTTACGATGGTCCCTCGATGTTTTCTTATATCATTTTTATTAACAAGTACCTTAAGGGAGTTAAGAACGCTAAGCACAACTCCTGTTTCGTCCATATTATACACATTCTTAAGGATAATAGCTAGATTAGCCAGCTCTCAGCCAATTATAGCAAATCAGTACCGGACTTTATCTTCGATCTACCTAAAACCTCGCTTCTAATTAATCACTCGCAGCCGTCACGCTTTCAATTGCGGGTACATCGATAAAACCCCTAAAGCCAATTTTTTCCCGGAGGTCGGACGTCGAGGCCAGGTTCTAGGATCTGGAAAATTGAGACTCGTTGTTTGTCGGACAATCGTCAGGATAAGCGAGCGTAGGAACTTGACGGGAAGCGGATAGCCGTTGTCTGCCAACCGCAATATATATTCTACCAGTGATCATCACGTAACTACTCTGATCTGCTCCCTGAGCATTGCTTACCTGAGAGCCAGTGGTCCGACCCAAGCGACCCCAATAAAACGCAACACGCTATCTCTCACAAAAGTCTCCCCAATTTTAGAAGGCTCAGATGCTCCATCAAAAAATAGTACGCATCACAAACAGCTGCAGAATTACGTGGTAATACTATCCCCCAGGAGCAAACACATAGAGCAGCTCACCTTATTATCCTATGAAATTCTGGCTGAAGTATGCAAGCTCCTGGGAACAATTTATCTAGTTTGCCCTTGTATGCTTCCTCTCGCAGAGGTCAAAGGTCAGAGAGTATGGAGAGCTAATCTTCTACAGCTTCTAATCTCAGAGGTACCAGCGAAATCATTTTTATTAATTTCCTACAGCCAGTAAGCTAATAACAATTCATTAGCAACTGCTGACGAGGTTGTTTTGCCCACAAACACAGCTCCAAGCTGTATAAGGCGCTGGACATAGTCCGCTGCTGTCTCAGCTGGCCCGTACACTGACATCCAGTCCCGATTTGATAAAGTTGTTTGAGTGCCCTGTACGTCAAATATGTCTTTGATACTGACTCTCAGTCCGGCCAGTTGATGCTTTTCAGTAGGTTGGTGGTAATAGCGGCTTGATACTGCTACTTCTTTCCATCTTCCTCCGGAGCTTGTGGTGCCTAGTGGTTTAAATCTAGAAATACGATTAGGATCTTCTATATGTTTTTATATGGCGCGGCATTATTGATTACCTTTCCGGTGGGAGTGAAGAGGTTGGAATGATCGGGATCACGAACGCGTCTAGCGAATCTTCGTAAAGTCTCCAGGCTTGATGGATAGATTGGGCGCAAGGAAATTATGGACCGGATGGTAAATGTTTTGACGTTCCTTGACCTTGCTAGTAACGAGATCTATTTTCTGCTCTCTGTTTTCTGTCTCAACAATCACAGTAGTCACGAAAGCTTCCGTAAGAACGTCATCTCGGAATAAGGACTTTTGTATATAGGCTTCAATCTAGTTTTGAGTACATTTTGCATCATGCATGGAGATTAAGAAGATTGGTGTGACTTTTCCAATGTTGACTCTTTCCATATGTCCCTTGGGAGTTTAGTGACATATCTTCTTGGTGGCTTGCAATTAACTTACAATAACCTCTGGGTGAATATGATAGCGTTTTCCGTCTAGGGTATGTGTTGATCCGTCACTGAATGTTGTATCGGGAGAATCATGATGTGGGGCTTCAAGAGTCCTCACACTTGTTCCAGGATACAGAACATTCAAGGCTCCTCTTAGTGGGGTGAGAATAGACTTAAAAATGGCAATTATCTGGAATGAAATATCATGTGGCGAGCCAGAAGCACTCGTAAACGCTAAAGAGGTCTGAATGTCGGTTTATCCTCAAACCAACTTGAAGTTTTCGCTGTATGTTGGGACTCGGACCAGCAAGCAGCCCAACACCTGGGTAACATCCTTGTTACTGCCCAGTAGTGAGGGGCAAAGCGGCTTTGAGCTATATGTGTAGTTTTATAGTTTATAGTTTAAATTGACCTAAAAAATGCTTGCTGCCGGCTACGATGATGTTCAATTGTATTTTGTAGTTCAAACCTGGTTTCCAACTGGTCAACAACACTATAGATAGGCTAATTCAGAATAAAACTACTAATCAATTAACAGAAACCCGCGTGACTAGGTAGACTCCCCTATTGAAAATAAAATAACGAGGAGCACAGAACCACACTAGCCAGGATCTGGTACATCCACAGATCGCCGTGTTACGTTATGCAGGCCAGGTCAGGTGCAGAAAGTCATCTGACATGGATATGATTGATCTAGTGAGAAATCGGTTTAATTGATACGCCGGTGAACCCCTCTAGAATGTAGTAGACCGTTCCAGAGCAACAGAGCAAGTATTATTCGACCGATAGAAACGTGGGCGTGACATAGGCAAAATCGGGTAAAAGACCCCGCGGTTAAAGTCCCAATTGGATCCACACGGGGCAAGTCATCCGACTATCACTGGCACTTGCGGGGAGGTGGGAGCTTCGGTTCATTCTTCCTGCAATTTTACCGTGAAAAAGATTTTGATTTTGATTTTGATTTATTAGACTGTTCTTTAACACTTGTCTATTTCTTCTCTTTCTCTTCCTTCCTCTTCTCTCTTCTCTTCCAGAATACAATACATCCCACATTATGGCTTCCGCAACTGCTCAGGTAACTAACTCCCGCTCCACTCTTCCCAAAGGATACACCGCTCCTGTTTTCCCGGATGAGATGACATAGCTAACAACCCGCTGTTGTAGAATCTCTCGTTCGTCCTGGAGGGAATCCATCAGGTTAAATTCGAAGATCGTCCAGTTCCGGAATTGAAGAATCCCCATGATGTCTTGATTAATGTGAAATACACTGGTATTTGTGGAAGTGATGTAGGTTGTTTCATCCATGCCCAGCATGAGGTGTCAAGAGACTTGAGAGGCAAGAGACAATGGCTGACCGGGTGAAATGAATTAGGTACACTACTGGGAACACGGTGCGATCGGTCAATTCGTCGTTAAGGATCCTATGGTGCTAGGCCATGAATCCGCAGGTATCATCACCAAGGTCGGTTCCGCTGTGACCTCATTGAAGGTCGGCGATCGCGTCGCTATGGAACCTGGTATTGCCTGTCGTCGCTGCGAGCCCTGCAAGAGTGGAAAATACAACTTGTGCATCAATATGGCTTTCGCCGCTACCCCGCCGTACGATGGTACTCTTGCCAAGTACTATACCCTTCCCGAGGACTTCTGCTACAAGCTCCCTGAGAGTGTGTCTCTGCAAGAGGGTGCCCTGATGGAACCTCTGAGTGTTGCTGTTCACATTGTGCGCCAGGCTTCTGTGAGCCCCGGTCAATCGGTCGTGGTATTCGGTGCTGGCCCTGTGGGTCTACTGTGTTGTGCGGTGGCGACTGCTTTTGGAGCTTCGAAGGTTATCGCTGTGGATATTCAGCAGCCCCGTCTTGACTTCGCGAAGCAATATGCTACTACCTCCACTTTCATGCCGTCTAAGGTTTCTGCGCAGGAGAATGCGCAGCGCTTGATTGAGGAGAACGATCTCGGATTTGGTGCTGATGTTGCTATTGATGCTTCTGGTGCTGAGCCCTCGGTGCACACTGGTATTCATGTTCTGCGTAATGGTGGTACCTACGTGCAGGGTGGTATGGGCCGAAGCGAGATTCAGTTCCCCATTATGGCTGCTTGTTCCAAGGAGTTGACTCTCAAGGGTAGCTTCCGATACGGTAGCGGTGACTATAAGCTCGCTGTCGGCCTTGTTTCATCTGGCAGAGTGGATGTGAAGAAGTTGATCACGGGCACAGTCAAGTTTGAGGAGGCAGAGCAAGCTTTCAAGGAAGTCAAGGCTGGAAAGGGAATCAAGACCCTGATTGCGGGAATTGATGTTTGAATTCATGAGCCAAGGTCCCAGAAAATATGATGTAACGGCCGTGGTTTATGAGACGAAATGAGAGATGACGTTCAAGAAAGAGAAAAGTGTTGCGATTAGCTGCTATTTTTTAGTCCAGCAGTCAAGTGGGAAAAAATGTAATCAAATTGAATCGTATCGTATCGCAGAAAAGTAGAATATGTCGCCTCTTATCTTCAAAGGACGCCTGGGTGGTGTGAATAAGTAAAAACCGTATGTAGAACTATGTATAAACGAACGTGGAAAGATGGGGTATCGTGCAAGGATTCAACGAAAGGCAAGCCGAAGAAGAAAAGAAAAGGCGAAAAAAAAAAACCAATGCAGCTCAAGCTCGAGAAGATTAGGCGTAGAGGTGTTTTCGATCAACAACACCCTCGCTTTGTCCGTGACTGAGAACCACCCAGTCGAAACACATCTTCCCATTCTCTCATCCCACTCTTCCAGCCCACAGAGCTAGCCCCTCTAGTCCGGCGACGCGGCCGATGAAGATGTACACCATTCTCATCTAAAGTCGCTTTGCTTCGAATACTAGAGGCATCGCTAGTCCCGTGGCCGTACATTCCCCCATCCCCGTATTGAATCCCACTTTGTGGATCGTCGGGATCAATTTCCCCCAGTTCAATCTTAGTCAGAATAATCCGTGCAAGTCGATGGAAAACCTCTTCCACACCTTCACCCGTCAAAGCAGACACCTCAACCGCCACGGGAATATTCGATTGTGCTGCCCAACGAGACGTGTCCTCCCGATTCACCTCCCGACCCTCGCCAAACGTCGCTGTCAGACGAGTCCCTGTACCAAGATAATTTGTCGAGCGCATCGAGCTAGTCCCGTCCAATGGAAATGAGGATTGTTTACTCGAGGTGCTTGACGGGGTTGGTGGAGGTCGCGAGGCTTCGTCGGACGGCTCGGAGTTGCCATCGGCCAGATCGGCTTTGTTTCCAGCTAACAGCACAGTCAGGTTCGGAGAGGCTAAGGCTCGCGCATCCATTAGGAAGGTTGGGAGGGAGGCGAAGGAGGCGTCTGAGGCGACATCGTAAATTAGGATTGCGCCCGCTGCGCCGCGGTAGTAAGATCGTGATACCGATCGGAATCGCTCCGTGCCTGCTGTGTCCCAGAGTTGCAGCTTGATGCGTTTTCTGCTTGAGCCGGTGCCCAACTTAACTATTCGGGATGAAAATTCAACCCCGATAGTTTGTGAGGATAGGATGCGCCCTGTAAAATTCAAGTTTTAGATTAGCCATGTGTGTGGGAGGAGAGGAGGGAGGTGATCGGGGTCGGCGTCGTACATTCATTCTTGACGAATCGGTGTAGCACGCACGATCTGGAATTCGATACGGGAAGTCAGCCGTGTTCAGATCTCAGGTATTTTTAGTTTCTTCTTCTTGATGTACTTCTTTACATTCTTGGAAATCACTTACTTCCCCGCGCCACTAGGTCCTAGCAGAATGACTTTGGCTAGGTAATCATACATGCTCCCCAGTTCCTAGAGCATCATGGTAAGTAAAAGGGGCACTGGGAGTCGGGCGGAAACCGGGAATAGGTACCTGATCTTGGTCAGGAACCGAGGAGACCGAAGAGGCGCTCGATAAACCCCTAGGACGCACCATGGAGAAGTGCAGGGGAGTTGGAGGGAGAAGGGGACAAGCACGGGTAGATGTTAGATCGCAAGGTCCTTTGAATGAATGGGTACCTAATCAGGTTGATAAGGAGATCATGCAATACTGCTATTACTGCTACTAATATTACTACTACTTACTGTACATAAATGTAGCGACACTATTATTTCCCAAATTTGTTCTTCTTCTCGTTTTAATGTTCTACATGTTTTTATTCATTCAAATAGTGAACACCGGCGACCTATGCTTATCTGACCCCGGAGCGTATAAACTCTTGAGCCACACTACATTGATTATGACTAAGGTTATTCCCAAGGTTGAATTACTCATCTCTACATAAATATCATGTAGGAACAGCCATAATCCCTGCAGACGTCAATGTCATCAAGGTTAATCTTCTGCTGCGCCTTGCATGTGGGGGCGAATCCTGGGAGGATGATATAATGGTTGAATGTTTAAAACCACTAAATGAACCAAACAAACAAATAAACTACTGTGACCTCCGTACTCGTTTCTGACCTTCGAGGCTAATTGTGGCAGTGTTAGTTAGAGTGAGTCTTGGCTCCTTCCCGGATTCAACTCCGCTCCACAATGAGAGCCTCAGCCCGAGCGGACCCTGAATCTGCCCAGGGTTACTTTATCCTTGGCTAATGCTTTTTGCTCTTTTAACTTTCGGCTTGGGAACTTTTTCTTGCTTCGAATTCTTTCTTTCTTTTCTTTCTCTTGCATCTTTCCCCTACGTCCAAGAACTGTAGTCCTTCATCATCGATATCCACATCTCATCATGAAGCTGACTTGGGCTACGGCCGCGCTCCTCCTCTGTGCCTCTGGCGTTACTTCTCTACCAACCGACGCGCAAACGGATCTCGTTGAACGCTTCGGGATATCTGGTGACTATGAGCTTGAGGATGTTAGCGAGCTAGAAAAGCGTCGCGGTGGAGGCGGCAGCGGTCGCTCTGGAGGTAGTAGTAGCAGTGGAGGAAGCAGCGGGGGAAAGTCTGGGAGCAGCAGCAGCAGCAGTGGAAGCAGCAGTTCCGGCGGATCGTCGAGTGGCAAAACCAGTTCATCAAGTAACACCGGCGGTACAAGCAGCAAGGGTTCCGGCGTGACACCATCTTATGGCAACGGCAGGTATGATACAACAACTAATAACTACTATGGCGACTACTACGATGGATCCAACGGGTATAACGGATATAGGGGAAACGGATGGGGCTCTGGCTCCTCATCTGATTCTTACTATCCAGATTCTCGTCCAAAGAAGCACAAGCGCCCGGGAGATGACAGTAGAGCTTACGGCATGAATAGATATTACGCGGGTGGTGCAATTACACCCTATCGAGCTGGAAGAACTTCAGCGTTGGGAATTACGCCATTTTTGTTGCCGGTTGCGGCTTTTGCGTTCTTCCCTCTTCTTTGGTATCATCCTGTTTACGTTTATAATTATAACGACAACTACAACTATCACAATGATGAGACCAACAAGAACTCCTCGCTTCCGGTGGCTTGTCTGTGCGAACAGTATCAGGAATGTGGTTGCGATAATAACAGCAATGCTACTTACTATGAGTCGCTATTCAATGGTACTCAGCCTGGCAATTCGACAATGGTACAGGTTGCTAAGGTAAATGGTACGGAGAAGATCTGGATTAATGGCACCCTCGCGAACGGAACTACATCTGCTGATAGCTCTGCCGCTACTGGGTCGATATCAACTCTGCTCTATTCCAGTGGGTTCTGGGTGACCGGGGTTTTGGTGGCTGCAATGGTGTGGACAGTCTAATGGAATGGAGAGGAGCGGAGTAAGAGGAGATTTGAAGGGGATGGTGGACTGAGACTCGCTTAATGTTTGTTGAGGCTGAATATGTGGAAGAGTGCCCGATATGTCTGCTTTTGTTTGTCTTTTATTCACGACCATGACAAAAGGCTATTGCCATGTACATACACCACGATTGTTATATGGGCGGCTGAGATGTTTTTTTTTCACCATTGGCTTGGTTATTTATACCCCCGAGATGAAATGGATTTTGCTTTTGTATTCTTTAATGAGACGATTTTTGATGGTCTTGCCAAATTCACCGCATCAAAGTGACTTGATGATGCCATACAGTAAGAATTTGCTGTTGTTCTATAAGGAGAGATGGCGTTACCCATACTTATCTATCGAAAGCTCCCATAAGATCGATTCAGCTAGCTAACAAAGATATTAAAAAAAACAAAAGCAACAAAGAAAGCAAAACTAAAAGAAGCCAGCCAGTGTTGTTTACACCGTAAATGTAGCTCCTGGTAGCTTGACTATGTTGATGTTGATGTGCACATTCCACTGGCTGCTGGGCGATTACGTCTGCCGCTAAACCCAACCAAGACAAACGCGGGTCTACTAAGATTAAGGCTTCATTTCCCACTTTCCGCCCCTTCTCCTTCTCGTCTTTCCCTTCTTCTTCTTCACTGTTTCAGTGCCATTCGTTTTTGATCCCAGACACGGGCTGTCATTCTTTTCTCCAGCTCCATTCACTCTTTACAATCACTCTCTTTCGGATCAATCAAATTCACTCCACATACTTCATTTAAACAACAAACAAACAAGCACATCAACAATCCCACAACCTAAACTCAAGATGTACTTCTCCAAGACTCTCCTTCTTCTCCTGGCCCCTATCGCCATGGCCGCTGAAGCTGTTACCTCTTCATCCGCAGCAAGCGTAACCAGCACCATCACCCTGTATCCTGCCGGATACACCCCTACCAGCTCAACTCCTACCCCCAGCTCAACCCACACCCACACCCCGACTCCCTCGTCGACCAAGACTCCTCTGCGCAGCAGCACCCGTACCCCCAGCCCTAGCTCAAGCATTATTGTCAAGCACAGCACCTCTATTCCCCTGGTTAAGACTACCGCTACTGCTGCTGGTACTGAGCCTACTGGTTCTTCTCAGACAACTGGTGCTGCTCCCGCTGGGTCTTCCACCCCTGCTTCTGGCGCTTCTTCGCTCCAGATGCCTGGTGCTGTTGCCGCTGGTGCGCTGGCTGTTGCCGGTCTCTTGATGATTTAGATTTCCATCTAGACTGGGTGTTTAATTGCATCTACGTTGCGACGTGCGATGCGCTTGTTGAGCGCGGATCTTGAGGATCTTGAGTGAACTTTATCGGCTTCGGCTGGTACTGTTAGATGGATCGACCATCTAATATGGTCGCTATGTTCGATTTTTTTCTATTCTTTTTGGGCTTTTTCTTCTTTCTTTTCTTTCTTGGTTGCCCGCCTTGATTCATACATACTTTTTCGATATACTTTTCTTCTACGTGTGACCACGGCTGCTGTGATGTGTTCTCCGAATTCTTCATGTCTATTATACCCTTTCTCGATCTACATCTATTATATCCAAGCCTTTTTCTACTTCCTTGGTTTTGGTTGCATTTTTAGCTTTCAATATTAGAGTAGAGTCTATCTAATCCCTTCTCGATTTTAATAAGACATCATTGTTAAGCTTAGGTGTCATTTAATTAAGGTTGCTGTAGATACTATATAGAATTGAATATCAGCGCAAAACGCTGAAATCATCTGTTATTGTTGTATAAGCTTGTGGGTCTGTTGTTGATCATTCTGTTCTCGGTATAGAATTCGAGATACGAGGTGAGGATGTGCATGATCGTCTATGCATGACGTTCCATGACAGCAAATGTGGAATACTTGATAGTGAACTAACTGGCAGGGTAAATAATACAGATTTCAGGAGAGGACTCAAAATGGTGTCTATCTACTACATAGGACCTCCGCTGGAGACCCCAGAAAAGGAAATTGATATCATACAGAAAGCGCGCGCACCGCTTTATTCGCTCTTGAAAGTGGCTTCGTATCTATATCGCATGTTAGCATGACTGTAAAAATATAAAGCGGATAGGATAAAATTGGAACATACCTCTTGCCTCGGAATGCCCAAACACCCCAGTTACCACATGATACATCATGCGGGTCAAGATCATTCAAATCCCAACGCAAACTGCGGAAAATATTCTCACCAGGCTCGAGCAGCATATCAAATTCACCAGCACACTTCTCCTTCACCCAGTTGATATCGCGGTCCATATCCCACTGTGTGTAACCGGTGCAGATAATGGGGACCTTGGTCTCAAGCAATTGAGGAAGGGTTTCCTGCCACTCGTGTGAGCTGGCGGGGTGTCCTAGACCAGGGTGGAAGAGCATAAAGCAGTCCAGGTAGGGATCAAAAGGCTGGAAGTAGTTTGCCTTGTACATGGTGTGGAAGTAGTCGACGTAGGTGGTAATCTTCATTTGGCCACCGAGGCGATCTTCGACAATGCCTCCGAATGGATTACCAGGTGTGCGTTCTGGGAGCGGATACTCTGCATCACGGTTTGTCATGCTCTCTGGTCCGATGAAGACGAGATGGATCAAGGAGCGGGGGAACATGTATTGGAGCTGGAGCCACACGTCACGGGGGAGAGAGGATTCAGCACGGGCACCGAGAATGAAGATTCGGACTGGGGGCGCCTTGACGCGGAGACCTTTGATGTCAACGTCTTCACCTGTTCGAGGGGGGTGCAATGAGTATCGCAGAGCTAGATTAGAAAATAAGAAGTTAGTAAGAATACAAGTGAAAAGAAACAGGCACCATTGTATGGACATACCGCTAACGCTCTTCAACCCCTCGGCCGTTAACCGGTTATTTCCTCGCACGCTGTATGGACTGAGTTCATGCAGAACACTAGCAATTGTCTGCGGGAAGGTGAGCATGCGGGTAACCTGACGCATGGAACGGTCGGAGTTGATCGCCTCAAACTCGCGAGTGTAAAGGTATGTATCCCAATTTGTCATGTTGATAACGAAGTTATCATCCTGGACACCAGGGTAGTTGAATTCGGGGAAGTAACGGCCGGAGTGCAGGTCGTGGTCATCCTCGTTGATTTGTTGAATTGTCTCGCAAACCTCAAGATGGGACTCAAAGTCATCCATCCAGTGGCCTTCGGAGCAGTAAATTGGGACACCGCAGTCGGGGCATTCGAAATGGGAGTGTGCCGGAGGTAGGTTGCTTTCTTCGGTCTTTCGCGCTTCGGAGTCATGCGGCGAGTCAGGGAGACGGGTCTGCTGGTGGCTTGGATGAGGACAGAAGGCATTCTGCTTGATAGAGTCTGCGCGTTGTCGAATAGCGGGGGAGGGAGAGTTGGAAAAAGAGTGGAAGAGGTTATCCTGGTTCAACACCAGCTGACGCGGGTCAACGGTGGCTCCGGATGAAGAGGAAGCAGCTCGGTTCGCAAGTGATGGTTTTGTAGGTGACGATTTTGTGCTCTGTGTCAATTTAGTAGCAGCTTGAATGCCTTCGGGGGCTTTGCCAGGTGGGCCGTTGTTACGCCCGGAGCCAAAGCTGCGAGTCCATGCCGGGGAAACGGCCCATCTTTGACGAGAGTGAACTAGGCTTTGGAGACGAGCTGGCGCATTGGGTACTCGAACTCCCTGGCGAAGCCCGTGGAGGCATTTAGCACATGTGTAGCCACCAGCCATTATGAATTGACAGGAGGGGGAATTTGGTGACCGGGACGTGGGTGGACTGATGATGGATCTCGTCGTTTTTCTCAAAGCGCTCCCGGTGCACGTGATAAGTGGGTCCTTTGAAGTATACACACAACAACAGAACCTTGGAAGCATACCACGAAATGCCTTCGCAATATTTGCCTAGCTACTTGGGATTTCGAAACTCACTGCTCAGTTGATATGTGACATTGCCCAGGTAAGATAGGTATTATTGTGATGAAGCCGAATTGAGAGGTTGAAAGGAGGGGCAATCTGATCCCTGTCCTCAAAAACCCAATCATAAATGTCGGCCAGCAAGACAAAAGCGAGGAGGTTTCTTTGTTCCTTCTTCGCTTATAGCTGAAAGACGGCTGGTCTAAAGCTGTGGATTTCACGAGTGTATCAAACTCTATTATCGCGTTTATCGTTAGTCTGAATGTTTTGTCATAAAAGCTCTGACGAAACAATCTTAACAGACCTCAGAATGACTACGCAAGGAGTCACTGTCCAATTAGGACGGAGTGAATACTTTCTGAAAGACAAGCCTGGAGTACATTTACTCCCTATCTATGAGCAGGAAGAGGCCAGCGACAAAAATCTCATCAACATCCTCTACCTCCAGAGCTAGCGATGGGAGCTTTCGGAAACGGACAAAACCATGCCAGTGGTTGTTCTGAACACAGAAAGATATATGACACATTCGGGCTACATCCTCGCAGCTCCGATTTCATTCGGTAAACGCATGTTTGAGTTGGGAGGTAAACCTTGCCATTCTAGCAGGGTGTCTTCACCTCCAGAGCTGGGGTAGGTACTAGGACTCTCAACACATTCAAGTCAAATTACTGTAAAGAGTTTTTACCAGGAACATGTGAACTTGGAAATATACAATGAGATAATGCACAATTGACATTGAATGGAGTCCGTTTAATCGTGTTTTCATGGACAATGCACGGAAGGGCATACACACGAAAGTTACAATTCGGAAATAAAACAAGAACAGAAATACAAGACAAGACAAGACAAAGCCCCCTCCACCTATGTAACATGCATCAATTGATGGTATCTAAAGCCGAATTCCAAGTCTCTTTTCCACTTAGAAAATATCTTCAGAGAGGCTCCAGTCTTGTGCATCTCGGCTAGCCCAGTATTTACCATTATGCTCCCAGTACTCTTCCCCAGTAATGGGGCATTTAGCTCGACCAAACCATTGGGGAGAGTAAACGTCACCGTTAGTTTCTCTTTCGCGGCGCTTAGCACGCTGCTTCTCTTCCACGCGGTGCTTCTCGTCTGCGGCGAAGTCATATTCGCCGTCTTCCATGGCACGTTGGTCGGGACGGAGTCGGGTATCGGTTGGAGGAAGCCAAGCGCGCAGGTTATCTGGGATAGCGTTGAGAGTGATGACGAATGGAGTGAGGTTGAATGGGAGGCCCTTTGGACGCTCGTGAGCTTGCCAGACCAGTAGTGTCTTAGCTGATTCGGGGTCTTGGCCGGAGACAGGGGCTTCGAAGCCTGGTGTGTGTCGAGCGTAGATCTTATCGTTCCATCGTCCGCCGATGCTCCATTTCGGGGATCCTTCGCTGTCAACCACTTTACCGGTGACTTGGTAGGCGGAGGATGCTTTCCATCCGCGAGGCTTGAAGTCTAGATAGCAGACTTCGCCGGTTGTGTGGTTCTTGATCTCCATTAAACCGTAGTTGTCTACTGTTGGGTTACCTGTGATGATGCCAATCACTGATGATGTAACCTTCTTCCAGGTATACAGCTCTTCGCCACCTGTGCACGGGCGTAGCTTGAGGAACCAAGTACCCAGAAGGTTGATATCGAACGACTTTCCGTAGAATTTAGACTTGAGTGAGGACTCGCCCTATTGAAAATATTTGGTTAGTTCGGACCGCAATTTGATTCGAAGTATTTAAATGGCCTCGAAAACATACCCAGTAGTCCCACTTGGGAGATTCGGCCCACGCCGCACCAATTGGAGGGTGGTGGCTGACTTGCTCGACAAAGAACCGATAACCCTTGTCGGGTCGAACATACTCAAAGGTTTCACCCAGAAGAGGGTTGAATGGCTTGGCCACACGTCCAATGGTGGAGGCATATTCACTGGCAGCATAGGATGCGACATACAACAAACGTTCCATTGAGTCAGAGCGATCCGCAGCGACATCAAGAAGGTCAGTGTACTCCAGATCCTCTGCAACTCGTTGAAGTAATGAAGTGGGCTCGTTGAAAGACACAGGTAAAGTCATCTTCGTCATGTCCTTGCCAATCATAGATTTCAAAATACCCCAAAGACCAATTTTTGGCCTGTTATCATTATCCATCTTGAGTCTCTGCCTCACGGGATCTTCGTAGCCCTTGAAAGAGGGCTTGATCACGACAGATTTCTCATTTCTAGCTTTAGCTTGAGCACTTTCATCCTCAGGTTCCTCGGGCTCCTTATTCTCATTGGCTTGACTGAATTCCTCTACTTCGATCTCGCCAGCATCAATGGCATCGAAGAATTCATCACCGTCCGATTCAGAGTCGTACAAACTGCTAATACGAGAAAGTGCAGAGGGTCGGCGGGTAACGGCATCTTCTCCTGTAAGCTGAGTCGGTTGGCTCTCCTCGGATACCGGTTCAGCTTCGCGGATGTCTGACTGGCTTTTTTCCACATCACTAGTATTTTCGGTGGGAATCCTTGAGGACGGGCCGCTGGTAGATCGGCTGGCGGCTGTTGCAGTCTCCAACGCCTCCTTCAGGGCCTTCTTAGTTCGCTTGCGCTTCTCCTCGGATTCGCCCATCTTAGATTGAAGTTCTTCATGCTCTTGGGCGACGCGAGCCATACTTTCCTCCCACATATGGCGGAGGTATTCCTCGCGATTTAGACGATATTGCCAATAAGAGTCCCGGTCCCGTGAAATCTTGAGAAGATTCTGGATGAGCCCCTTGAGACTGCTAACAGCCCCTTCATAGGCGGAGAGAGCCTTGTCAACAGTAGGGTCGGCAATAGACATTTCTGGGTTCTTGGATCGTTCCGCTTGAAGCGAAGCGGCGACATGAGAAAGGAGATCTAACTGCAATTTCGCAGACTGTGCAGTAATGTTAAGTGCATCTTTATCATTAGAGGGCATCTCGTGGCTTGAATCATAGTCATTGTAGTCTTCGTCATAACCCTCTCCATCAGGGACAGTGGACATGTGACTGATCACGCGATTCACTTCGTTAGGCGCGTTATCTTGGTCAACTGAGCCATAGACCGAGCCCTCTTCCTCGGCGAGGGAGGTTTCAAGGGTTGTTCGCGATGTGGCTGTGCTCATTCTGTTGAGGCCACTGTTGGGCACTCCGAGAGACGACGCTGGAGGTCCCCTGCCACTCGTTCTTCGGCTTAGACCAGACTCGGAGGGTGTTTCTCCGGTGTTCTGATCTATCTTAGCCTGACGGAGGGCTTCCGCGTCCTTGGATCGCTGTCGTTCTTCTTCCTTGGCTTCGTCCTTGGCCCATTGGATGGCGTTGTTCAGAGACCAGAACCAGCGCTTCGCCTCCACAACATGGTTTGCCTTCAAATGATACTTGACAGACGATTTGCCGTGAATTTCGAACCGAGTTTTATCCTGCGCATCCATGTTGAGTCTAGCAATTCTCATGTTTATGGCACCACGGCAAGCGGCACCGGCATCGTCTGCGATAAATTGTTAAAAATGAATCAAGGCGATGAGACGAGAACCTCAAATTCAACATAGAGTATGTAACCTACCTTGATGCTTGTAGTAGCTCAAGACACCATCTTCAAGTACGAACCACCGCAGCTTGTAGCCACTCGTGTAGTTAGTCCACTTCTTAAGATAACCCCTCATTTCACGCGCATCTTTACCGGCCAAAGGTGCTTCCCCGATAGAGGCGCGACCAGACAAGCCTTGGGCACTATTGTTTCCAAGAATAGCTTTCTCTTGGATACCACGCTGCGCAATAACAGCAGCGGGCGACTTCTTCAGAAGTGCCCGCGTCTTGTCGTCCTTGGTGACATCCTGAGGAAGCTTTCCCTTCTTATCGCGACGGAACGGATCAGCTCCATGAGTTAGAAGGATCTGAATGAGCTGTGCGTCCTTATTCCGAGCCCCCTCGTGTAACAAAGTACCGCCCGATTGAACGGTAGCTCTCTCAGTGACCAACTCCAAGCTGTTGACATCTAAAATGCCCTCCGCGCGGGGCTCTTCTAGCAATTTCTCTAAATCCTCATAGTCCTTGTTGCTGATCATGCTCTGGATTTCCTGGGTCTTGGTATCGATGAACAGGGAACGAGCCAGTTGCAGTTGCTGGAAGATCTCCGGGCTGCGCGCAACGTCAAGGGGTGTCTGGCCTCGGTAGTTGAAAATCGCATCATTGATCTCGGGTTTATTCAAGAGGTCGCGCACAAGTGAGACACGACCCAGTTGAGCCGCCAAGTGCAGCGGAGTATTTCCTTCACGATCGCGAGCGTTGATATCCAACCCATTACCCTCGGATAAAACATACTCCACGATCTGGGGTTCAGCGCACTGCAGAGCCAGATGCAATATGGTCGTTCCGTACAAGTTGTTTGCCACTTGGGGATCCTTGGATTCCTGAATCACCTTGCCGATGGCAGTGGTGTCTCCGCTGCGCAGGATCTCAAACAGTCGGAATGTTCGCACCGACTGGTCCAGGGACATGCTGCCTGTTTCTACCACCTGCGGCGCGGAATCCATATCGTCCACGATCGGTGTGTTTGGGTCTGGGTCCACGGGGCCTATCTCGGGGATTGAGGGGTTCGCGGGGGATGGACTCGTGTCGTTGGGCGGTTTGCGGGAATTGTGACGACTTAGACTGCGGGCATGCGTCAATCGAGAGGAGCCATTCGTCGAGGCTGATGCGACCGAGTTGGTGTCGGTGTTGTCGTCTCCGCTCTTCTCTTCGCCGCGGGATTTGTCGCGATGCAGAAGAGAGAGTGCTAAGGAGCTACGCGAGCGCTTGTGTCTGTGAGACAAGGGCATGGCGAGTCAGTCACATGAAAGTCAGGTGGTGTGCATATAGATCGCTCTTTCCCCGAATGTTTGTGATCGCAGTTGCCTGTTTTACACTCTCTGTGTTTATTGCTTCTTCACTTTTTCTCTTCCTCTTTCTTTACCTTAAGAACGATGAACGTCATGGAAGACTCGCGAACTTGGTCGTGGGTAAACCGCCGTGACAACCTTGGAACCATGGGTCCAAGCGGTGTTTGGGGGGGCAATTTGGGGGGACTAGATAGGACTTGGGGGGGGACCTAATGAGCACTTACCCTGCAGGGTTCTCGGACATGGTTGGCGAAACTCCAACACTCGGTTATCTGTGTTCCCTTGATCGTTTGGAGCAAAGACTCCAAGACTCGGGAAACTTGGGAGAGGAGAGGGAGGTTATTGGAAAGAGGCGAATTTGCTTTGGGGGAAAGGGGACGATCCCTGAGTCTTGGCGCCCCCGTAGATATCACCCGGGAACAAAGCATGGAAAGGACAGTATCGCGACTAATTGGATGATCAATTGGGGCTGGATTTTAAATGCTGTTTCTATTTTCACTTATTCAATCTGTTCGAAATTTAAGTTCTATTCAAATAGATTGACATATAATGGAACATAGAGCATATATAAACACATATTGTACAAAACTGTCTCCACACCGACGTATGTAGCTCGATCGCGATCCTGATCTATCGAGTCTCGCCGCTAACAAGAATAACAACACTACCAAGTTGTCGCTTCAAATCCTCAATCTGAACATCATGGGTATCCTCAACCTCACCCCACATATCTGTCTGCCACTTAACCTCCAAATTAGCAGCCTCGGCCGCCTCATCCAATCCCCACTTCTGTCCTTCAGATCGTTGAAGATGACGGAAGTTCTCACTCCACTCAACCAGCAGTCGTGTAGCAACCAGTAAACTCTTAGAGGCCAAAATACCTCTCTCCAACCCAGTTAGATCATAAGCCGAGAGCTCCGACACCCAAGTTTGAATACTATCCTTGGTAGCGGGTGGCTGTGACACGGGGAGAATGCTATCGGAGTCAAGGATGGGCTTAATCTCCAATCCAGGCCAGACCTTAGTAGACAAGAACCCCATGATACCTTGCGCAACACGAATCTGAATCTCACGCAGACTCTCGACGTTCTCCTCCGCCTCTACTGGTGTCCGGTCTAGAATCGAAGTGGTTCTCCGCTCTGGTTCCCAGCATAACAATGTATCGGTATCGAGGTATCGCATTGCGGTCTTGATGATTGCCTCTCGGGTTGTCTTGTCGCCTGCTTCATCTTCACGGGCGATATCTGCGGCGCGCGCAGAAAGCGATGTAAGGGGGATAAGATGACTTTTCAGAGCTTGTTGGGCGGATGTCATCACGTCCCATTCTAGCGCAACGGCATGTGCAAGGTGAGGCTTTGTAGCGGGGATTGTGAGGATATCTTTATTGGGTGTTCTGACGGGACGCTTGTCGAGTAGAACTTGATATTCTCCTGTGACAATTAGTATTCGTATTAGCTCATTATTCTCGTAAACAGTGACAATCCCAACCTCACATACCTGATTTCCCGTGTACATGGACATCATTCCAGAACCGCGATTTCAACTCAATCGTTTTATACTTTGTTGAAGCATTTGTTGCCGATGCCTCTGATTTCTGTTCGCTTTTTGAACCGGCTGCTGGCTCTGGAGCTTTGGGTGGGGGACCATGGGCGGTAATGGGGTGTGCGACTGCGGCGTTCAAAGGGGAGGAGTGGAATCGGCGAGCGGCATTGTGTCGTACGAGAGATGAGAGCTGCGGGAATGCAGCACGAGTGAAACTTGCCATTGTCTCTTCTCTTGTGATATGTGAAGAGATGGTTATGGTTGAGCTCAAGTTCGGAGAAGTTGAGATCTGGAACTTTTTCGAATCTCGGCCCGAATGTAATCTCCCGTGTTCCTTGCTTACACATATCTATCTCCTGTCTACGTCAACTGGTCAACCCAAATTTGAACTCTATATAATGTAGTTCCGGTATATATATTCACTATAGTGCTTGTCCACGTACACTTCCAAAAGTACTTGTCAGGTGTCTTACAGAAAAATAAATTATTGATTAATAAACTTTCAATCTTTAACGTTCGATTCGGCCCCATCATATGTCTTACGATCATCTTTCGATATTCGGATTCCGCGGCTTTCTAGCCCCGACGACAAGCGGGGCAAACCTACTGCAATATTGCATCAGAGTGGACGCTATGATGAATGTACATGTACGATGACACCAGTGTTAAGAGGCACATGCGGCCACATGGTACTATGGAAGTAGGAAGTAATATTGCGCGTAATTCAGTTGATTAGGATTATCAACAGCATGAGCAGTTGGACTAAAAAAAGACCAAACGAACAAGAAAATGAAGACGATAAACAGATATCCGCCCGTGAATCTAGATCCCAGAGAGAAAGCAATGGATGAAAGAAAAGAAAAGAAAAAAAGAAAACGAGATGTTGAAACTATCACCAAAAAAGGAATCCAGAAGAATCAGAAACCAGCTGAACAGCACATCGAGATGCAAAGCGCAAAGGAACAAGTGCAAAACGACAAGATCCGCCCATGCTTTTGTAATTTACAAGAAGAAAATTAAATATCAAAGACTTCAAAGCTCGACGTGAACCGCCCTTTTTGCTTTTGAAAAGAAAAACCAATCATGTGCAGAGAAGAATGAGATGGGCGGAAAGAGAAAAGCCGAAAAAGAAGAGATGTTTGCTGTGATGGCATCGCATATCAGGTTCTGTCGAGTCGCACGAATTTCAAGAAAGGGATCCTAGGATGGGGGTTCCTGGATTTTCCCTCTCTTTCGAGCATGAATGCATGGTGGTAGAAAAACTTGAATGGAATATCAAGTCATAGAAATCATCGGTCAAAAATAAAAGGGCAACCAAAGCGCTGGAAAGTTGAAAGCATCTAAAATCGGTACTGAAAATGAACTCGAGCCCAGAGTAAATAATCATCAAAAAGGAAACGAAAATTCCAGCAGATAAACGAAAAAATGGCTTCGAACATGGTCGAAAATAGACGTCACGGCATTTCATCATAAAGGGTGAGCTATGATCACACATCACGCATTCTAATATCTCGTAGACATTGAAATTTGGACCTGTGATCTGTAGTCGTATATCTCATACTGAGTGTTTACACAACAACTTCAGCTGGGTTGGGATAGAATCAATTTTCCGGTTGATGGAGTGAGCTCCTTATTTAGTAAGGTAGCTTGGGTAGTAGGGCTGCTTTCTGCGATCGGCATCGGTACGTTTCTTCATACGCTCAGCATCGTAATCATCAGCACCGTCACGACTACCCCATGTTGTCTAGAGAAAGGCAAAGTTAGCAAAGAGATCCCCGAACCCCGAACCCGGGAAATGTATGTGCATCGGAAAAGGCAACCCCGACAGGAAGACAAAAAATCAAAAATCGGGGGAAAAGACCGCCGGGCCCAGTAAACAGGTCTCGTAAGAAATGAAACGAGAACGACAAGACAGAAATCAAAAAAGTGGCTCGCACGGGAAAATAGTGGGAAACTCCAGCTGCAAGAGAGAGGAGTCGTGATCAAAGCGTTTGTGATGCTGGCGTGTCATAGGAAGGACCAAGACCGGGAAGAGGGGCTCGGGGGTAAGAGCGACTGTTAAACCGGCTAGAACCATCTTTGCCAATTGTGCCATACTCCGCCACCAACAAGAAAATTTGACAGAAAAAAAATACAGAGGGAAATAGTAAGGGTAAAGATGTAAAAATCGAAATAACAATACATACCACATTGAGGGTCATCACCGCGTACATCTTGATCGCACCGTGGAAATACCCGAATAGCACCGACACAGGCAATAACATCACATCAACTGGGTACCGAATATAATGGCCAACCAATTTGATGAATTTGCTAGTGAAGACCCATAGGATAAGCGCCTTCATTGCACGATCGTGAAGAAGGTCTCCCTGTGGGAGGGTCGCTCGGTGACACAACCAAAGCAGTAGTAGGTCACCTAAAAGGGCCGGAGGCGATAATGTGGTCAAGTGGACAGCATAGGCGCTCCATGGCTGACGGCTGCACGTTGATAACAAGAGTTAGCTGCGGCTGAACATCAAAAGCGAGTTTTTTTCTCCAATCCTTAAGCCAGAAAGGCAAAAGCAAAACATAAAAAAGGCTATAAAGTATACAAGGGTATAAGTGAGCCGGCTATACCGATAAGGCCAGTGCTTGACCTTTTCTCTCTTTTTTCCCTCTTTTTTTTTAAAAAAAAATTGGATCCCGGACATGCGCCGTGGTTACCCACAGTCCATTCGGGGCCCTTGAATGGGTCCAAACAACAGGCACCTGTGCGATGCAGCTGCAGGCGAGGCGTCATGCACGACGGACGCGTCGTGGGACCCCAAAGCCGAAAAAAAGACCCCCCCAAAAATGAACCCAACAAGAGACCCCCCAGAAAATAAAAACTCCATCATTGGATAACAAAAGGTAATGAGGCAAACAGGGCGATAAAACAAGATAATTAAGAAAAAAAGAGGGGGAAAGGGAAGAGGGAGGGTATCACTTACTACCAGACGTGCTTCTCGTGGAACATACTGGTGAGATTGCTCCGCCAATTGCTTCGAGACCAACGTGCGCATTGCTTCAGGAATCGGGGGTTATCTTCGAGTGTTGTGAGCACCTCTGCTTCGGGGTGATACTGCATATAAGTCTCCCAGCCGTGCGAGACCATCCAGCGGGTGATGAAGTTATCGTCGTCAGCATTGAGCTGGTATTTCCCGCACCACCATTCCTCATTAGTAAAGGCATAAGTAAAACCCTCGTCCTGGAGAATCTTTGTTCGATATGCTACTGTCCGCCCGGACATGCATGGTAATCCTCCATCCAGATTGGTCGTAGCCCCGCAATCGAAATTGCGTCGCTCTAGATACAAAGCTCCCAGGAACCCCCAGACGCGCTGTGAGAGGGTTGGAGCAATAGCTCGACGCAATCGTTGACAGGTCACCACTCCTCCGTATCGATCATCCTTTTCAAATGGAGCTAGAATCCAGGGAAGCACGGTAGAAGGCCAGCTAACGTCGTCGTCGGCAAGCAGAGTAATTGCCGTACGTACCTCCGGGATCGCCCTGGTCATCTGACGGCGCTTATTGGGATGGGTGACGGTAAAGAGGCGAATTCGGGACTTGGAGGCTGGCATCACGCTCAGCATTCTCTCGGCCTTCTTCCTATTGGCTTCGATTGTCACCAGGAGAATCTCAAAGGGCTGATTTTCCAAAATCGAACGGATTGTTTCGACCAACTCATCGCCACAGCCTTCTAAAGTGGGGATGATCACCGAGACATCTTGGGAAGTCAATTTCGGGTTTTCTGGAGGTGGGATCGGCTTAAATGACCAGAAGGAAATCAGGTTGACCACGAGGCGAAAGTAGCGATACACACTAATTCTCTAAAGTCAGCCACCACTAATTTAGGGGAGGGGATATCTCTTCCAAGATTTCCTTAGGTGGGGAAGGGCGAATTGCTCTTCTGTCTCTCTCCACACTCACAATAGCGCAACAAATGCCCGTAGGAAGGGAAATGCCATAATGTTCCAAAGAGGAGTATGATTTCCTCTCTTTCGTTCTTTTTTTTGGGACTCCCCCTTTTGTTCCAATTTTTTTCCTTATTATAATTCTTCTCCTCCTGGTTTATAGAAGCCGTTCGTCTTGCTCTTCTCTGATTCCCCTTTTCGAAGTTTATGCCTTTTGGTTTATCTGGGCGACCGATTTGCGCTGGTAGTCCCCGAGTTTCCAATTCAACTGGACCCTCAATTTCCCCTGTTAGCTCTAAAGCATTGGGAGGTTGTACAAAGGGTCTTACCTGCATAAACCCAATTATCTGGCGGGGATGAATATAGAGGACCAGATGGGCTGGTAGGTGAAGAAGCACAGAACGAATGTCGGGGAAGAGACAGCTTCCTTGACCAGCCCGAGGGCAATGTCGAAATAAGAAAAAGAGAAAAGAGAAAAAGGAAAGAGGAGAGCAAAAGGAATAAGGGAAAGAGGAAAAGAAAAAGAGAAAGGAAAAGAAACCCAGCCACTGGAGTTCGAAGGAGGTTTAAATTATAGGCACATGCCTTCCACAATCCTGATACTAGAACTATTGGAAACCCAGAAATCATAAATTCATAATCATAATAAAAGATAAAAAATAAAAAATAAAAATATAATTATGGAAAATTAAAAAATATAAAAAATATAAAAAATGGAATATAAAAAATGATTAAAAAATGGGAAAAGAAAAGAGAAAAAACGAAAATAAAAAAACGCCCCAGTCCCCGTTGTCGTTTTGAGTGTGCTGCAGGTGTAGTTTTGCCTCGTGCGTCAGAGACCCTGGATCTAGATGGAGGCATTCGAGGGTGGAGAGGGATTGGCGGCGGCCCATGCAGCACGGTGACATGGAGTGGAGTTCCCGGGTAAGTGTACATGGGTATTACGCCGTACCTGTGAAATCTAATTCAAGCTGATGGGGGATTAGACCAGGGCTAATTTACTAGTAATTTAGCTTCGAAAGTTATGGTAGAAATTCGGGAATTCAGGTTTTCTGCTTCTCAACCAACTGCTATAGTTATAAGGCGCGAGCTAGTACAGTTCAAGCTTGCATTATACATTAGATCAGGTACATATATATAGGTGGATCTGGTTATTGGAAGGTAGAGAGTACATAGTTTATACTTGGAGATGTTTCAGATAAGCGTCTTGGGTCCCATGGTCACCAGCTACTCCCCATAGATACCATACATACTACCTAATAGGTATAGGTAGATCCAGATAGCTTCTTGGAGCCTCCAGTCAACATAAGACACAAGGCTCGGCTAGTCAAGGGATCAACTTAGGGCGACGCGATCCATGGAACGTAATGGGGCGAAAGCATCAGATCGTAATCAGCTGCTTGGGAGCACGAACAATAGACATTCTCATCCTGTCAATGGTATTTTCAATTTTTTAGTTTTATTTTTGGGCTACTGTAGTGCTTGATCTACGAGGTGACGAAAACTGGATAAGGCAACCATGAGCACTTGACTTTGAGGAATTCCTCATCCTTCGTTTCTGGTTGGTTCTCACTTGTCGCAGGTACCAACTGCGCGATCGAACTACTGTAAACTAGTCTCGCCTGTGACATGCATCCACCAGAGACAAAGCAACCTTTGAATAACTGTTCTGTATTTCCAATTATTTATAGAAAGATAGGACTTGCACATGGTAAAATAAAATAGTTACCAGAGTTTAAACTAGGAATGTTAGTTAGTTCTACAGACTCATGAATCTCTCCAAATAGAATCAAAAGCGAGTCATATAAACCTTTCCCCCCCTGCCCCCCCCCCAAATAGCTAAGAATCAGATCTCCAACAAGGGGGGTTTAGAAAAGCTAACCAGACAAGCCGGTATCATGTTTCGCGACTAGCCAACCAACAATGGGGGCCGAACAAGGAGAATGTATCCGTTATGCACGCGAGATTCTCTCCCCCTCTTTTCGTTCCCCTCTTGTTTAGGGTGTGGATCTTCATTGGTGCCCAGCCCATCACCGGAAACCTTTTTTACTCTTTCTCGTTCCTCTGTGTGCTGCATGGATCAGCACGATTGAATCTTGAGCTCTGGCACCGATGACGCCTACAAAACGATGTTGACATATTTCTAATTATTGTTATTATCAGTCTTTAATGCCGAGCCTCGTCTATTCTACCTTCAAGTTGCAATTCCAATCGACCTCCGATTAGTGGAAGAATCGCAACCTAGATCGTCAAATAATAATTTAATTCAAATCAATTACATCCTAATCCGAGAAAACAATTACAGAAAATGAAATCAAGTGAAATCAAGTAGGAAATAAAAAGGCCAAGAAACAGAAACAGAAACAGAAAATTCCCTAGCGCCGACGTGGATCCCCGACTGTATCGTACCTTTGCGGTTGATTTCCCGCTTCAGAACTGCGACAATGATCAGCCATGATTCGCACGCCTTGTGGCACAAGATAGACTTCTTAATTTTAACGTGCATCGAATCGGCCAAGACGTGTACCCGGGCAAATCCACTTTCATACAGCAACTGGGGCAAAAGGAAAAGAAAAAAACTATCACTGAGCCAACCGGAGCTCGCTTCGGAGCATCTACGAGGGAAAACATTGGTGGCGATCTGTTGTACACGCTGTTCTGTATACTAGCTTGTTCTCCGAGCGGCTACATGGAAAATTCTCCAACTATCGTACATAAAATTCTCCCAAAAAAGAAAATCGAGAACAGAATATGTAGACACAAGAAAAGAAAAGAAAAGAAAATTCCCTCGCGTCCCGTTTTTGTGATCAGAGTCACAGAGATGGAACCACTCTGTGGGGCGGAGCAGAGACAAGCGGCAAGTGGATTACGAATAAAGCCGCTGAGAGGGAAAGAGAGACAGAGACAGACTCAGAAGATACGAGTAAATACACCTCTATAAGGCAGTGCAGATTCGAACCATCTCGGAGCAGAGAATGAATGGGTATCGTGAGAAGAAGAAGGCAACTTGAATGGCTGTGCGGTTGCGACCGAAGCAGGTCCGTCCATAAAGAGTTTAGGCGCCCCGGCTAGGTGGCGCCCTCGTTCGCTTTTTCTCCCTCTCTCTCTTGACTTTTTGACTCTTATTGACGATGCAGTACAAATGTACATTCTCGGCCCGTGTCACTATCATGTCAGACTCAAACTCTCCTTCAGCTACTAGTAGGACTAGTATTTCGTCAGTCGGTCACTGCATACTGTACATAATGTAGGTACCTAAGATGGGTCCCCGATGGATATAGTTTCAAGTTACTCCAGAGTTGTACATATTTACTGGAGCCCCTGGTAACTTACCCATCCCGAATATACCAATCGGTTATACCTTTTACTTCGCCGATGATTGTAAGGAAGAAACATTAGTACTTTATCATCATGCGGGATTATCAATGTGGATGTATACTCCCGAGGTCCGTACACACCACACGCTAATTATGTACAAACTACCACTCTGGGCAAGACCTACTACTATTACCAAGGTATAGTATTTAAAACCGTCTATTATGAACCAGGGACTACTTACAAACTTGAAGTTCCCCCCACCCATCTCCTTTGGTACCCCCTCCGACCGGGGTCATGATTGGAGCGAACAACGCCTTTCCTTCCCAGTTCCCCCCATGACCTTACTCACAGGCGCGAATTGGCGTCTAATGGAGCAACCCAGCTCGTGCTGACACCCGGAGTCCGCCTTAACGGACTTGGCCTATGCATCATGCAGCCGGCTCAATTTGGAACTCAACTTGGATCTCCGCCCCATGCGCTCGAGGTCCATGGTCCATGATCGGCCGTATACTGTGCATAGCTCCTCCCCCTCCTCTACCTATGATAACGGTAACTTTATACTACAATTCATAATATTACAATTTAAAATCTTTTACCTTGGAATAATTTAGTAATAATCATCACGCCAAGGTCGTCTGGAACTCGACTCCGACCTCTCTCTTTCTCTTTCCCTATGTTTAGTCCACGCAATTTGGTACTTTTGGTACTTCAGATGGGGTTCGCTAAGACCATCACATCAGCACAGGCCGTTGCATTCTCAGTGGCAATCATCCCCTCTTTCGTTTGGCATTTCAAGTTTCTACCGGAGAAATAAAATAATAAAATTATAGAATTGAACGGAAAGCCACAGCACAGTATATTTCTTTTCCAATTAATTCCTTCTTTTCTATTAATTTCTTTTTTTTTCTTTGTCTACGCTAGTAGGGCTGTCATGTCACCCAGCCTTGAGGACTATTTGACTCTTCGGCCGAACCTAGCTCTTCTATCGGAGTATGGAGGGCTGTTTTGAAAAGGACCGATTCGCCCGTGGAGATCTCCCATGTCTGTCTGGAATGAAACAGACGCGTATCTTGGCTGCACGGACTTTTTCTCCCTCTTGCTCTCCACGAGTCCTTGCCCCGACTCCACAATGTATCCGTAGCGCCCCTCGAACCCACATCAAATCCCGGGAGCGACCGGATTCGTTTGAGTGTGTTATGGGTATTCCGTATGTCAGTCATTCTCGTTTCCATTTCATTTTCTCCCGTTGGAGGGGCAGAGGGGCATGGAATGGAGTATGTGCAAATTTATCTTTTCAAGTTTGTGTTTTAATGCAATTATCATAAAACTATAACTATATGTGGGAAGACAATGATTCAGTTTTAGGGTTTATCTGCAGGCAGGATTCAATAGCATCGCACGGAATAAAATAAAGCAAAGAAAGGCAAAGTAAGCATTGATGTAATATTTAACATTATTAATTTAAACATGAACATGAATGAGATCAAACCCCTCGAGAGTAGGAACTCACCACAATAGGATAGTAAATGTAATTGACAGCCCGAGTTTGAACCGGGGGCCAGAAAATGACATGCAGCTCCTGGTCGATCGACAACGTAAGTTCAACCTGAAGTTCCCACCCATCACAACCAGCCTTTCTGCTTTTTGCCTTTTCCACTTTTGTGCTTTTTATCTTTGGCCGCCCGTATTTTTGGCCCATTTTGGCCTATTTTGGCGCTGACAAGCCGATTAGCCACCGTCTGAAAGTTTCGACGAATCAGGTCCTTAGATTTATGTCCGTGTGTCTGTGTTCTTTCGAGGTCCCGTCTCTCTTTCGCACTTCCTGTTCGGAGGGGGGAAATAAGAACAGACAGCTGTGCACCCGTCTGAACTGGTGCGCCTAGATCACGAAGTGGGGCTGAGTATTGTTACAAGCGCTGAAAGGATGAAAACAACAGCACGCTACCTGAATGAAGACGACAATGAGTTGATCCATGGTGGATCGAAGGCTCAAGTTGAATCCAGGCGCCAAAAGTACGGCTTTTGAGTGGTTTCTTCTTCCGTTGTATGTACCTAGGAGGTTGTGGGTTTGTTTTATGTTGGTCTCTAGTTCTTACATAGCTCCGTACTGGTAGTTGGTTGACGCTCACACTTCACCATAGATTGCCAGTGTATGTAGTATACTCTGTAACAGAGCCTGAGTCCGTCAAAGCTAGATTCCTTTGCCAAGTTTTCTCTGTTCAAGTTTCCACCCCATACACACACCCCTCCCTTATTGCTCCACAAATGTAGGCGTTTAGCCCCTCTCCCCAGACTATGGCCGACATGGTCAGCAATCATAATTAATTTACTTCTTTGTTAAAATAAAATTTCTTTTTTTCTATTATTAATATTAATTAAGTACGGATAGTTACTCTTTTCGCTATTTCTAATCCGATACGGATTACTCCGTATGCGGGATCGAAATAGGTGAGATGCAGAGTAGCGCGATCTGGTGGCAACGGCCGACTCACGCACCACGCATCCACCAAGAGCTGCAGGGGGCCCCATCGCAATGTCCCGTGTCAGATCCCCATTCTCTGGAGGCTCGAAAGTCTCGAAAGTCTCTAAAGTCACGAAAGTTAGGAAACTCGGCCTGCTGATACGACGTCGATAGAACCACCCCCGCTGCCGGTGACTTTGGGTCGCTCTGATCCTCTAGCTGCAGCGAGGCTGGCTAGTTTGGCTGCAGCTGCAGCAACCGTCGTGGATAGTCTCGGTCTAATCACCGACTTCGGTCCCCCGCTGCCGTTCTTCCCTTTTCTGTCGATTTAGGAGGTTTAACATTGGGAAAACTATTTTATTTTATTTTATTTTGTATTTTTTTCCATTCTCGGGCCTCTGATTTTGTTCTTTCCGGTATTATCATTACATTTTCACTTTTCTTTTTTCGGATTGCATTTTGGATATCATCTTGCGATCTTCAAAGAAGCTGTTTTGCTTTTTGACTTTGGCCTTTTGTTTCTTTCTACATATTTAATGTATGTAGGTACATTGTTAACGGGAGATATCTCCGTACCTTTTCATAGTACTACGTACATTCTGCATGTATACGATGCATCTATCTATATTAACTCGATCTTTTCAAGGTTTCTGTCCGTCCTTTCCCGTGTTCCTGGGTACACGACGACAACTAGTGAGATAGAAAGACCGAGACTATATTGCGCAATCATTTCTTTTTATAAATATACATGTGGTTGATTGAAAATGCTTTATAAGAAACCTGAAAAAATGGAAAAAAGAAAACAACTTGAATAACCGAGGTAAGAGAACTCTATTGCAGATTAAACCGTGCAATTATTCATGATCGACGCAGTTATCCATAAGCTATGTACATGTACCAAATCGACTACTGTATCTGTATCTAGACCCTAATCTCAGGTGCCAAGGGGACAAAGCCGGCTGCAGCTGAGCTTGAACGGCGATTTATTTTACTCTATTATACCTACAAGATTCTATTATTATAACATTATTTTTCTTTCCCTTCTATTGACAAGGGTGTTTCTTATCAACGAACTAACCCCTGTCAAGACCAGCCGTGCACTTTCAGCTTCCACCCCCATGTCGTCAGTGCGCATTACATGCAGCTGCGGTGCGGTCATGGCGTTCCCAGCAAAAGCAAAAGAGAGTGTGTTCAGGCCGCTTCTCGAAGCCAGTAAAAGCATGAGACTCTTTTAAGACAGATTTCAAGCCCTTGAGCAGCTAAGCCAGTCCGAAAGAGCAAGAAAAAAGCTAGGCATTGTAGAGCTCAAACTTTGGATAAGCCGTGGCTTCGCTACCGAACGCATGGATAACGTTGTACTAAACTATTCCAGGGCTACTACCTAGTACTCACTTAATAACTTTGAACCACAAACAAAGCTAGCAAAAATTGAATATCCATATCTAATATCCACCACTAGTAGTAACTTGACTAACTTAATTACTTACATTCCAGGCTAAACCCTCGGTTGAACTGAAGAGTATAACCGACCACCCGGATCTTCACGAAGAAGGTTGCGAGTTGCACGAGGCAATGCAAGCCCGCAGTCAATCGTTTCTTTTCCTTTTCTTTTTCTTTTCATTAACTGCAGGAATGCAGTGGATCCAGTGGATGCAGTTTGTGACGTCAAGCCTTGTTCTGCTGTTCATGCACCTCGATTAACTTGGAGGGGTGGTGTCCAGGCCTGGGGGCGGAAGGATTGCATGCCCCTGCTCATCTCCCACACCTTGATACAACGTGCTGCAGCCCGGAAATGCAGCTCTTGCTTCCCCCCGAGCACACTAATGCGCGCCTCTGCCAGGAAGAAATCCTGGAAGGATGGTGGTCGATGCCTTTCTAGAACCATGCATGGTATAGTGCCCAACTTCTAGATGCGTCTTTGGTGCGGTAAGCATGTATAAGAAGGAGAGGCGAGGCGAGGCGTGGCCCGTTGGAGTAATAGCCGCTGCTACCACTGATTGTTTTGGGGTTTTAGATTAATATTTCGGTCTATTATGCATGATACTTTTCAAGGTTCAAGAAGGAATATTACATATTATAACAAGGTATGTATTGCTTTTTGGTATGTAATATAGAGATGATAATGGATCTAGAACTTGATGAGCTCTGTACCTTAGAAAGTGTAGACCTCGGGAGTACCTAGATACTAAGGTTAGATCTACAGGGGTAAAATGTATGTATCAAAATGAAGCAAAAGTGAATTTCATGCTTTTCTTCTTTCTTTCCATTCTCCTTCTTATTATCCATACAAAGCCTAGTAGAAGGGAAACTCAGCAAAGCAAAAAAAGCAAAAAAAAAGACAGCCATTTCAGCCCTATAAGCTTTTCAGAGTTATGTCATGAATCCTCACTAGACCCAGACCCAGGCTTGGCTTAAGCATAACATCCACACCAGTTGACCTGCATAACTACACAGCGGGCTTCCAAAGCCATCCTGCAGGGTCAAAACAAGTCTCAAAATCGACGCCACCGAACAGTCCAATGGCCCCATAAAGGTCATAGTCCCCTTGCAAGCCCTGAACACCCCCGGAATCCTCATCCACCTCCTCGTGCAAGTCCCACCCCCCGACCCGATGTCCATTCCGAGTGCAAAAGATCTCCACCTTGCATATAACTTTCCCTTTCTCGGACTTCATATCGCCGCTAGACTTAGACTCAAGATCAGGAAGAGCAAAGACCATGCCGAGCCCAACGGTCTCACCAACTCTAAATGGGGCTGTTAGATCCCGACCCCCGAACGAATCATTCACAAATCGACACCCGTCATCTGAAAAGACTCCTAGACTTCCCCGCTCCCATCCGGGAGATCGCCAGGAGGGATAGGGCTGAGCTGCGAACCCGATCGAGAAGCCACTCGCGTCAGCTCCCGGGCCAGATCGGAGTGCTAGCAGTTTCACTTCAAAGTAGATTGTCTTAGGCGTTTCTCGGATGAAAGGCGAATCCTCCGCGGCAAAGTACAGCGGCAGATGTGTGAGGACTAGGCAGTCTCCGTTTCCGTCGAAGGTACGTCCCCGCCATTTCCCGGGATTGGTTAGTTGTAGATCTCCGGCGTACTCTCTTTGGCGAACTGGGCGTAGGTCATGATGTTGGACGGAACTGTAGACTGCCTCGGATGGTCTGCTGGGGATCCAGAGCGGGGTATTGTCGCAGAACTGGTGGGCTCGTTCGGCCTCGTCACTGGATGCGTTTCCTGCTCCTGAGCTGTAGTACCCTGAGACAGGGGGAGGGGGGAAGACTGAGGTATCTGGTACGGCTTCTTGCCAGTTGTGATATGGTGGAGGGTCACCTTGGTGATTTGTATTTGCGGCTGCTTCGTAGCTCGGTGGTGGTCCCCAGACCTGGGGGTCTTTTTTCTGTGACATGTTTTCGTGCCTTTTTTTTATTTTACTTTCACGCACTTTCTTTGTCTGGAGCTCTGATTTGATTGAGGAATAAAAGCATCAAGACTCAAACTGGCTGGTCATGATGTGAATTGTAGCTTCCGGCTCCGGGTTGGCTTAAGGTTGAATTGGTATCCACGGTGCCAAGCGGGGCAGTGCGGGTCATCCACGGTTCTTTGTTAGGAACAAATGAACCCAGACTATATTGGAGGTTGGTATTCAAGAGTCAAAGAGTAAAGGAGTCAAAGAATGGCCAGAATATTATGCGGGGATTAGAAAGGAGATTGAGACTTGTCGGTTTTGAGATCAGTCCATCGTTAGGTGTAACAGATGTATTCTCAACTCGAGTGATGTTCTAGACAATTGGAACAATGCATAGTGTGGAGGTAATACTAGTATGAGAGACTAAGTGTATGTCTTATTCATTATATCTATATATATATTCAAAATAATAGAACAAAGCAGACTCGGATTATACAGGTCTAATCTCTATACTAGTTAATAGTTCCCAACCTAAAATTCCAGGATGCCAGGGTCTAACACTAGTTAACTAACTAACCAACACTAACAACGCTAAGAATAGAATTTCGGAGCTGCAGGTCTCACATTTTCAACTGGAAAAACTTCAGTGTCACCAAATGCGAAGTGGCGAGATTTGGAATTTGCAGCTTGGATTTCAATCTGTTTCCCTCGAATAATTTTTCATCTGAAGAAGAAAGAAAGAGAGAGAAGAACAAAACACGATCAAAACCCCTATATTTCTGTCTTCTCCATACACTTGGGGCGCGACTGTCTTTGAGTGGACACAATGTCGGCTGATCCACCCCGCAAACGTCGATCATCTCTCTCCGGTCACTTTCAACGTGTTTTCCATGTCGACTCCGCAGAGAAGGTAGGGACCCTGGAATTGACACCGAACGTGTCGCGCTAACCAGTTCATCATAGAAACGACGCAATTTATTACAGGAAACCTCGAAGACCGAGTCTCATCTATCGTGGGCGCCAGGCGATGACCAGGGTCCTAAGTCGGAAACAACTGCTCCCCAGTCGGTGCCTGATGAGACGGGCATCAGCTCGTTAACCTTTTCCTCCAACTCGCGCATTACCACTCTCAGTACGCCGGGGTCTACACCCTCTGTTCAACATTTCTTTCCCAAAGATGAGGACTCCACACCACAGCCAATGCCGGAGATCAATAACCCGAACGCGGATCGCGACAATATTTGTTCTTCTCCGACCTGGGGAAAGGAGAATGCGAGGAAGGAACGACGTGCCACGAAGCGTTTAGAGGCAGAGCGAAAGGAACTGGAGAAGCGCTTGCTTCAGTTGGAGGAATCCCAAGCTAGGCTGGACAATGGTATCTATGATCGAAACTCTCGGCGTCTGACCAAGAAAAATCCCCCGCCAAGCTCGGAACGCTCCTCGAGTGCTGGGAGCGCGCGAGGAAGACTGAGATCCTCAAGCATCACGGCATTTTTCACTGGCTCTCGTCGAGCCTCGCGATCTCGAGCCAGCTCCGCGAATGCAGATGATCGACACAGCGCAAGTGGTACCTCAGGCGAAGGAGGAAGAGGAGGTCCACCGGGTCCACCAGCTATAGGTTTGGCCTTGCCCGAGCGCTTTGGAGCTGATGTCTCTCGGGAACTGGCCAATCGACATGGAACTACTCTAGTTCCAGTGAGTCAACTTTCATTGACTAAGAATTTCACCAGTCAGCAACAGTCCTCACGCGATTCTTTGCAACTGCAGCGCTCGCTCCATTCAACTATGAAGTCGGATGATCTTCGAGAGAACTGGAGAATGGCAGAGGCATGGCAAAAGGGAAATGGAGGCCGCAACTCTAGTTCTGAATCCCTTGCTCGGAAATTAGATGTATTGGCGGGAGGTCAGTCTCGGCACCAAAGTAACAGCACAATTAAATTGGCAGCCGTTGACCGAGATCTAGTCCCTACCAATACAAAGGAGGAGATAAAGAAGCCATCAAAGACGAGCAAACCCTCCACTGGCTCTCCGAAGATAGAAAAGCCATCTCATCAGCCAAGAGGTCTCTTACCGAAGAAGAGCCCTCGGTCCGATAACACTCAAGCCCTGAATGATCCCTCAACTCCTCGAATCACAACAGCGTGCCAGCTACGTGACCTCTCCAACGCGGTGCCTGAGTCTGGTCAAACCCCACGCAGTGCGAGTACGAACGACATCCAATCCCTCACATCTTTGCTTGACAGTATTTCGAGCAATGTGCCCAGAAAGTCTCGCGTGGAGGCTTCTTCGCCAACATATCCAAGAGCATATAAATCGTCGCCTCTGGCAATGAACCCCAATAACCCAGAAAATTATGATAACTCTCCGAAAGAGAACTCTCAAATGCAATCACATCCAGTACAAGTACCCCAGCCACTGCGAATCGGCAAACATTCCAAACCAGAAGAATCTCGCGAACGAAATCGTCAATCGGCTCCTGCTCGTTCATGGGGTATCTCTCAAAATCGATCAAGTCCTACTAGCAATAGCCCTGATACGCGGAACCAAATAAATAGCGAGAACAGGCGCTCTCGTATAATCCCCCCGGCTAAACATCCAGGTCGCCGAAGCCTCGACGATCATCATGATATTCCAAAAACAGGAAACAACAATAATGCGCATAGCACCATACCTGCTACCTTGTTAATTTCTCCACCACATGGCTCTGAAGAGTCTAAGGATAAATATACCCTCACGCCCAAAGAAGTATTTGAAGACAAACAGACGACCGAACCTTGGAATGAAGCAGATCATCCCAGACCACCTTCACGCAACTCATCACACGCAGCATCAAGCTATGACACCGCAGACGAAGAAGTACTCGATGTTCCTTCAAAGTCTCCGAACCACCCCCAAGCCAATCCAACAAAACAACCCATCAAGAAACCGTCCGCTCCCCCGACCGAGATGTCTACAACGAAACCCCAATCTCTACCACCACCCAATCTCCGAAACAATCCACCACTTGCCCCAGGCGGCGGTCCCCTAAGCATGCTCCGCAGAAAACCCATGCAAAAAGTCAAACCACCCCGATCGGACGACGTAGTCGCGAAACTCTTCGTCATCTGCTGCCAGTGCAAATACTGGCACGACATGCCATCAGAGGTATATGCCAAACTTGCCTGTCCTGAGCGTCTACCCTCGGAATCACGTCTTGTGAGAACTTTTTCGCGAAAGAACTCGGGTAGGAACTCGATTTTCTCGGCGGATCCTAATGATACTCGACGGATACCGGTGCCTCGGCGAATGTATCCTGAATCTGGACCGAGAGGTGCTACGGATGGTCAGGGTAATGGTCAGTCGGCGCCGCCTACGCAGCCGACGCCTCTTTATCGGCCTCAATGCTGTTGGTGTGCGCATAATATGAGCAAGACTTGTTGTCAGGGGTGGTCTGCTCTTGTGCATATGCGGGAGCGGAATCATTAGTTGTTGCTGTTGCTTAGTACTTCGATCATGGATTGGATGTATCCAACATGAATTTTACTAAAGGATTTTCTGCTCACTTGACCACGACATGGATGATGATCATGAATACGATCTCTTTTCTGTGATTTCCGTACCTCAATATTTTATTTTATCCTACTTGCACTTCCTACTTGCACTGAATGCTACAAGTTAATGTTTGCCCTTATTTTGAGATTGTCTTTGATGTGAATAATTGACATGAATGAATTCAAAGTCTATACAGAAAGACAGACAGACATACGGGGATCTGATCTTTGTTCTTCGCTCCTGAGCTTGTTATCAAGCTCCTACCTATCCTCCATATTCTCAAGCCCCTACCCATCCTCCATGTTCTCAAGTCCCCTATTCCACCCTTCCTTTTCCTTTCTTTCTTTCTTTCTTTCTTTCTTTCTTTATTCAACAATCCTTATGATGAGGAGCAAGAGGTCTTCAACTGTTTCCGCCTTCGAGCCAGTAAAATGCAGCAAGAGTGGTAGTTCGAAGTTGAAATGGGGAAACCTAGAACCTAGAATAAGAAAAGCAGAAGAAGATCTCCTGTTAGCCCAATCGCTAAGTGGAACCACACACCAGAACGATGTCGAAAAAGGCCAAGGAATCGTCCATGTGACTTACTCACCTTGAAGGAAAGTGTGGAGAATGATAAATTCAGCAAGGCAGGCGCTCAAGATCAGATCCAGATGGCAGAATGGGAAGCAAGTCCTCGGTTGACATCCATGTAGATGTTGGATGTTGTCAATTGAAAAAATAGAAGAAGACGACGAGGACTTTGGGGAAAGAAAAGCAGAATAAGGTCTTCTGTTAGCCCAATCGCTAAGTGAGAACCACACACCAAAACGATGTCGATCTAAGCCAAAGGAAAATTCTTCCATGTGAATTACTCACCTTGATTGAAGCCACGGGAGGGGACGCTGCAGTTGAGAGCGGAGAGAAGAAAAGTCTGGAAGAAGAAGACCTAGAAGAAGAAAAGCAGAAGAAGGTCTTCTGTTAGCCCAATAGCTAAGTGAGAACCACACACCAAAACGATGTCGATCTAAGCCCAAGGAAAAATCTTCCACGTGAATTACTCACCTTGATTGAAGCCACTGGGATGAATGCTGCAGTTGATAACTTGAAGACCTAGAATGAGAACGTAGGAAACCTACGTTAGCCCAGTCGCTAAGTGGGAACCACACACCAGAACGATGCCGAAAAACCAAACCAATGGGGGATCGTCCATGTGAATTCTCACCTTGGTTGAAGTCATGGCTATGTTCTTGTCAGCATGTTGGATGAACGGGTGATGGGGGGGAGCTTACCTGAGTTGAGGCATCCATAAGGGCATGAAGGTTACACGGGCAGAACGTGTCTGGACGTGTCATTGACGCGACAGCAGCAGATCAAGAGAGTTGAGAAAGAGAAGGAAAAGGGCGTGATGTGATAAGGTCAAGAAACATGTTGTGCCATCCATCGAGTAAGATGTTGGTGAGGCACAACGTTGCTGTGGCGGTTGATGTATGAACAAGACATCGTGAAGATGAGCTAAGGCTCAGAGGGGAAGCAACAGACTCAGCAGAATGAGGTTCAGAGGAAAGGAGAGAAAAGACGAGAGGTGGAAGAAGAAGGAAGAAGAGAGGGACAAAGGCACTTATTTATACTCGTGGTTAGCAATTTGGTCTTCTGGTTGAGCCAATGAAAGACGCGGAGTTCTCGCTAAGCATGCTAGACGTAACTTGAGTAAAAAATGCCTTATACTAAATTGCAGTAACTGCGCTCTCAAGTCACGATATCACTTTCCTCCCCAGATCGGATCTCCAAAAGCCGGACCCACACCCCTTCCAGCAACCCTTTCCGGTCTAATAAGAATATATCCGGCTTTTGATTGGTGTTTTCTGCCTTTATAAGCCGGCGCCATATTGTCCCATTGTTTGTGACAAAAGTTGGTGTGATCAATTGAAGTCCGAGTTGCATCCCCAATGCATGCATGCAGATATGAGGATGAGTCTGTACATGTGCTCCACTCTACTTAGTGTATAAGCTATCCAAGATCACATAAAATCAAAGAGGGCATTCCATTGTGCAGCTCAGTTGTAATCAATTATTCGATGTCACCTGATGTTCAACGTCCCAGCCCCTCGATGTGTTCTGGATAGCAAGTCCATCTTGATATCTTCATTTCCTAACCATCACCCACTTTTACGCATATACAGATGTCAATATGACTGAACATATTAATATGAGATTACATATTGTATTTCTGCTCCTAAAACCGGTGCATGAAGAGCAGCTTCAGCAATCGTTTACAGAGCTATGGGGGAGCTGTAGCTGCAAGTGGGTCCATAGTTCAATTATGACTAAGATAGACACCGCCCGGCAATATCTTATTTTCCTTTTTTTTTCTGCTTCTGTTGATTTCCTTCTTTCCATCCCACCCCCAATCACGATATGGATGTCAGATTCTGATGATGCTTCTGTACATTCCATTCAACTTGAAAAAATTACATACTCCAATCATTATCTAGTCACTGACTTCAACCCCAGCGCCAATTCCTTCTAATCTGATCTGCAACCCCCCCCCCCAACTCCTGAAAAGACATTTTCGCATCGCAATTTTCCAATCCAGCTGTTCCTTCCATCCTGGAATCTCCACGGACCCTTCTTTGAAGGACGGTTTTCACAGTGCTGCGTCTTGTGGCCGTGACTGACTGGAGCTGGATTGCGCGTCTGAAGATTCTCGTCAGAGATTCCTCGGTCGTTGATTTGAATATGTTGCTAGAACAAATCAAGGGCCTTCATAGTTCATGTTAACTTGCTCGAGTCTTCTTCCTCGGAAGAGATTTAAGATCTATCTTTGTCTACGAGAGCATGACTCCTTGCGCACCTACATATCTCAATCTACATATCTCATTCATCCTGATACAAGCAAATTTGGGCAGAAGAATCGAAAAGAAAATATTATTTCATATTCCTCGCATTTACATTTATGATCCTTTCATGGAGTCTCCTTAGTTCCTGGTTATCTGTCTAAAAGATGCACTCTTACAGCCGGCTCTTAGCTTTCTCCTCCCCAACGACATTAACAACGACCTTTCCCCATGTCTCCCGTCCGCCCAATGCTTGAAGAGCCTTCGGCACACTCTCCAGCCCTGTAAAGCTCTCATCCTTGAAAGCAGTACCGCGAAATTGACCCTTAGCGACAAGATCAAAGATACCCTGCCACACCTCGCCAACGGTCTCGGTCTCGAAGCGTGCATATTGTCCCCAATGCAATCCAACCAGGCTCACGTTCTTCAACAGGACCCGATTCAACGCAACCTTCTCAATCTGACCAGCCGCAAACCCGATGACCAACAAGCGCGCATTCCACGCAACACACTTCAGGCTCGTCTCAATCATGCCAACAGGATCGTAAACGATATCCACACCTGCCTTCCCGTTCCCTGTCCTCTTAGAAGCACACAGCTTCTTCACCTCCTCCGGCCACGCCTTATCCGTATAATCGATCACGTAGTCCGCTCCGAACTCGCTCGCGATCTCACGCTTCCGCTTTGTACCCGCAGTCGCAATAACGGTCGCTCCCTTTGCCTTCGCGATCTGCACCGCTGCTAGCCCGACACCACCAGCTGCCGCATGCACAAGTACCCAGTCGCCACTCTTCACACCAGCCCGATGCACAAGACCCCCATATGATGTTGGAGCGGTGACGAATAATCCTGCTGCGTCTTCGAAGCTCCAGCCCTGCGGCACGGGGAGCAGTGTGCTCTCGGGAGCAAGGACATGGGTCGCGTAGGCACCTTGTGTGGCACCGAATACCCGATCTCCGACCTTGAAGCGGGGTGAAGAAGACGAGCTTGGGACAGCGGCGATAATACCGGCGAACTCTGCACCTCCGACCCAGGGCAGAGGTGGCTGGTGTTGGTATTTGCCTTGAATTTGGAGGATATCGAAGAAATTGGTACCGGCAGAATGAATTTCAATGAGGTATTTGTCTGCTGCAGGTGTGGGAGTTGGGACTTCGGTCACTTTCAACTCGAGAGGACCCTGGTTTTAGATCTCGTGTCAGTGGATTGATGGGCGGAGTGGATTCATGAGATAGGAGAACGCACTTTGACATATTCGCTGACTTGGACGGCACGCATTTTGGCTAATTGGGCGTTTCTAGGAGTTGAATCGGTTCTGACCTCAGGATAAATGTGCTTTTCTCGTTGATAGTAGGGGTATACACGTGTGATATGTAGTTGAGAAAACCGAAGCGGAGGGCTGATTAAGTTGGGGTTTCCCCGCGTGAGATGCCGAGGTTTATTTTCGGATAATCGACTCGGCGTGAAGTATACCCCGACTACAACTCTACTCGAAGGAATTTTACGATAGCTTCAACTTTTCAAACAAAATAATGGTTGACCGGTTGGTGTTTTAATGTAAGCAATGTTGCTGCTTTTTAACTGGCGATGGCCTCAGTTTGATGACGTACCAGCAACGTGGGCCTCCGCCTCATGTGCCGAGGGCTTGACGTTCAGTACAAGTTCAAGTTCCTTTCCGGGGAATATTGAAGTGCTAGGATATGTTAAACAGCTGTTGGAAGACCACTAACCATGACTTGAATTCTCTCGATGACTTTGTCGAAGAGGCCTTCCTTAACTGTTTTATGACATGGGTAGTATACTAAGTGCGCCCGACTTGAAGTCCTACCCAACGATATAGTAGTAGTCTCAGGCGACATATAAAATACCGTGACACAGTTATGTGCCATGATGCACTTCATGAAGTCCATGAACTCTTAAGAACTCCCATGGTGCCATGCCCATTGAAGCTACCTTTCAGTGTATTTCTTCCAGTTATGTGTGCACATTAGCCTGCAGAATAGGCACAAAGACAGCGACACCCTTGTATAAATGAGGAATAAAATAAATCGAGCGCGGGGAAGGTGATACGGTAGAAGATATATCTGCTTGGAAAGATTCAAATATATTAGCATTCAAGGCTTCTAGTGCTGGGTATTGTTTTTCTTGGATATGTAGTCATAGCCTTTGAAACTTGCCTTTTCCATTGTTTGCCCCGCCATCAGCACCTATACCGGGGTGAGAACCCATCAATGGCATTGAGAAGGCTCTGCAACTAAGCAGTCAAGATTCTCCCCCAGACTCAAAAAACGGTCTTGCAGCCAAAGCGTCATGGCCAAGGGAAAATAGTTGAAGCCGAAGCCATCCACGCGGAGATGAAGAGCGGAGATCAATAAAGCGGAGTTCCCTCATGGGATTAATTGAGCACAATATCAATTGAGAATGATTCCCGAGGATGTGCCCCGAGGATGAGGAGATGTCTGAGAACGAAAAAAAGTACCAGAAAATGAAACCAAAAACAAATAAAAGAATAGAAAAGGAAAAAGGTCCGGGAGTCAAAGCTGAAAAGTCAAGGTTATCCAACGTGAAAGCCTCATCCAGCAACCAATAATCAGAGCAAAAAAATAACAAATCACCAAAACACGAAATTAATTAATAAAATAAGGTGGATGGTTTCCAGTCGATCATTCATTATCCATGTGGTCAGATACCCAGGTGAACCCAAAATTTGTCTATTGTTAACACGGCGATCCTCATATAAGGGTCCCACGTGGTGATCTCCGCGAGGATCGCCAGGGATTCCACCTGAGCAATTAGATTTAAGCTTCTCATTGTCTCAAAAAGAGGACCTCAGCTATTGATCTCCCTCTGGTCCCACTTTCTTAAAGCGTAACACTGGCCTTTTTGGTTCTAGAGTGATTGCCTATGGCAGATTGCTGAATATTCCCCTTTTACGGAAATACTGGTGGATCATCAGTCTCATAGTTGGCTGTTCCTAAGCAACGGGATTAGGAACTGATAACAGGTCTTATAACGTAAACTAGGATTATTGGGCGATGTTACTGTTTAATTGGGTTTCAGAATCAAGGCAGAGACCCCAATGCGTTTCTTGTAATTGCCGAATGCTTCATCCGAAACATGACCGGACATTTCCTTCATCGGTATAATCTGCCGATGCTAACGGTAGATGAATTTTGATAACGGCCATGGGTGGGTTATCCCCAGATACTTTGGAGCAGACAAGGACTCCGCATTCCTCGGGACTCATTTTCGAATCTTCAAACGGTAGATCAGCCTCTTGTTATGCATAATCTCCCATTTTTCCCATTTGGGGTTTCAGCTTTCATGCAGACACTAGTCGTATAGTGAGAATGCTAAAACAAGGGTAGAAGGTTTAGCTGAACCCTATACAAGGCCTGCATACTGGGGTCATTATTAAGTTGAGATGAGAAGGATTTGTGATTCGAGATCGTAACCTGCTTGAAATCGAGAACCTCGGTGGACAATCAAAATACCGAGGATTGCAAGTACGAGGGCCCAATTTTGAGTCTTGGTGACGATTTTTGATACTATAGGATGGAAATCAGAGAGGAGAAATTCAGATCAAGATACAAGTAGATTCAGAGATAAATGTAGATAGTAAAAAAGGTATCTGTAGATAGTAGATATAGAGGTATCAATGGATAAAGGGCCTCCCAACGCCAAAAGTCAAATCAATAAAAAGCTGACCACCCAGACAAATCAACTCCAAGTATGTCGTACACGAAACATCTATTGAATACAAGCCGCCACCCTTTTTTTTCCGAGATACGGACCAAGGAAAAAGTGAAAAAAGGAAATAATAAACAGTAAATAAAATAGACATAGAAAGAAAGAAAACCACAGTTTAGGTATCAATCAGCTTTAGTATCCAACCCCGCGGTGTTGCTTATGTACCATTGGGTTTTGACCTAAGTAAGGAACAATGGGTGCGCACATTCCATTGTGTGGTCCCGGTTGACTTGTTGGCATTGAGATCATGCCTGAAGGAGGGTGGCCATGAACAGGCATATGTTTGCGATCCGCCTGGTCCAGCCGTGCGGATGGGTGACCAGTAAAGTCGTATTGAAGAGACATGGTACGCTTCCAATGCTTTGGATCGTAACCATGATGATATTCTATGCCGTCGCCAGGGAACGAACCATATTCATGAGGATAAACATTCGGGTTTGATGGGACCACCATAGGCATGTGGTCGCGATATCCAGGGGGAGGAACCATAGAAGCAGAATGAGGCACACCTGATGGCGGGGTGATGGGCTCAAAAGGCATGGGATACCATTGTGTCGGGTATAAGCTGGAGTTCAGACCGAGATCAACAGAAACAGAGCGGGCGGGCCATGGCATTGCGGCGGTTGATCCAGGGCTAGGAATACATGAAGTAGGCGAAAGTGGATATCCAGCGTATGTGGGCGTGAGTTCTGATGAGGTGTTGACCACCAGACCGTCATTAATAGGAGATGCTTGAGCAGATTGCTCGAAGGAAGAAGTAGTTGGGCTCGGGTTGTAGTTGTGGAGGGAGGGCCTCTCTGCATCGAGACCATGTTCGCCCGATGGGGTGGGAGATACCTGTTGATCTAAAGAAGTGTTCCATTTCATTTGCTGGTGGTCTGCTGTGTGAATGTCGGAGGGGACATAGGCGGAGTGATATGCGCCCGTCCAATGAGGCGAAGTTGTAGATGTATTCCTTTTCATGGGAGGTGGTCGGTTGTTGCGAGGGGAAGTTGACGATCCCTTAACATCCTTGTCTGAATCCCCATCATCTGTACCCTGGGGTTTCTTGCGAGTTTGACGTGAAGGCTTTGTAACCCTCCATTTCTTCAATCGACTGCGCAATTGTGTCTCGCTATGAAGATGGTGAGCATGAGGAAAACCCACCACGAAAATTCGAAAATCCCAGTACTAACCTTGGATTAAAATCGTCTGATCGGATTTGCTTGATGACCTGCTTTAATGGCCATTCTTCTTCCATATATAACTTGGCAATCAACCCTTTCTTCTTCTCCCAGACATCTGAGGAGATAGATGTCTTCATTCTTCTTCTTCTTTTTTCCAAGCCAGATACCAAGAGTTTCGAAGGATAAGAGGCTGACAGGGGACCAGGGTCAAGATAGAGTAAGATGGCCAGGGATATAAGATATAAAGAGGAGTATCAAGGAATAAGGAGAGGGGAAAGAGGATGGGGAAGGGTCTATGTACTCTCGGTAGTCCAGTCGCGATCGCGGGAAATAATTACAAGGATGAAAATCCAATGGAAACGAGTAACTTAATTTATTATGTAGAAGAATAAAATAAAATAAAAACCCAAATTTAATTATGTTTTTTGATTTAATTTGGATTTAACACGAATTAACGCTGATTTGACTGAGAAAAGAAAAGTGGAGAGAAACCCAGAGAGAGGGAAAGGGCGAGGTGCCTCCGGGGAGGAGCGATATAGACTGGACCGACCAACTTGCATCCGACAATCAAATGATTTTCCAGGGTCTGCTCTGTTTTTTTCCTCTCTTTCTCCCCTTCTCCTAAACCCCACTTTCATTTTCCATGGTGTCGGGTCTGTCAACGTTGTGCGCCCCCTCTCCGTCGATCCTGTGACGATATGTTTGACGTGGTGGGAATTGGTCCTTTCGGATCGACGGCGATCCTCAGGGATCCAGATGTGGATCATTGACATCTCGCGCCATAGTAGCCAAACAACCCAACTCCTTCCCCTCCAAGTATTCCTTATGGGGCACTTGGCGCATATCCGGATGAACGAAGACCTGAGATTCGATTGATCACCTTGAGATTTGAACGGCTTATATCTGGATTTATGACAGGTGACGGCTCCTACAGATCCTTCTTTGTTCACTTTCCACACAAGTTTCCTCTAGTTTTTCCATAGCAACTCCCACCCTGCCTGTAAATTATGAAAAAGATGACCTATCGACCCATGGAATGGCGTGTTTGAGGGGTGCTTCCTCTGCTCCGACCATTTCCATCATTTATCGGACTAACCATACGAACATGGGAGTGTGCCCCGAGCTCTTTTCCCCCTCATGCGTTTGATTTCCGTCCACTTAGCTAGCTTCTCGGTGAATAGGCTATTAAGTTTGCCGGCGTCATGGGCGTAAATGTGCTCGACTCTTTCTCTCTAAAAACCCAGATAAGCTGAACTCCACTTTAGGAGAACAGGAACTAGCTTCGCCTGGATCTCAAAAGCCAAGTCCCGCTGATCATCGCCGTACCGGGGGCTCTCACGCGGTGCTTTTGAGTGGGCTCTTCACCGGATGTCTTCCCCAAACTAGACGATCAGAACCATTGGGCGTTTCAAACCTTCACTTGATTTGAATTTTGAAGTTGACACATGTTGGCACAAAACTGCCGAAATAACTAGATCTAGAGGGAAAGAAAACCAGAACAACAAAATGTCCATTCGAGTTGAAACCTCCGAGAAAAAAGCCTGAAAGGAATGGACATTGTTCCTGAAAGAGAAAACGGCTCCACTTCCGCCATCTTCCGCCCATGATCCATGCGGGATTGCGAGCGATTGAGAGGGAAGTTACTCCGGTAAACGGAGCCTGATGTACGGTGTCCTTCGTCATGTCTTTTTGCCCCTGCATTCTTGATAACTTTGGTGCCGAAGATGCTGCCGAGGTAGGTAGGTATACACCATTGGTAGATTAATATTTGGCGTCTGGGCAAAAGTAGAAGTTGTAGTCATTGCGTTACATACTAATATTTTGGGTTTTACTCGAAAAGGGGATGTCTGGTTAGCAACTCTCTGCTTTCGCCTGGTGATGATGCTGTTCACTCCCTTTCGGTCAAGTACCCAACACTCTGGACCGACACGCTAAATTTACAAGGGGAATAGTGTCAGCCTAGTGAGCAAAGCCCCCTCTCGGGCGAAACCAATCATGGAGACACTCATGGAGAAACGGTTCGTGAGCGCGCCAATCGACGTGGATGTGGATCCTCCCGATCTGCCCGGGTACTCAATAGTGGACAATGTGGAGACTCCTAGTATCCAGAGCCTCCAGTCAGACTATCGACTGTTAACGCCACTGGACTCTGTGTTGGAGATCTGAGAGGATCCTTGTTGACACTCACGAGTAGCAATCTGGACAGCAAAGCTTACACTTGTAACAGGTTAACTAGGGGAGAAAAGATGTGAAACTGAGCATCTACACATTTATCCCAGTCACCAAACACTTCAGCTTTCAGAGTCAACGCCACCTATTCCTGCATTGGTGTCCATGTTGACCCACGAGCATCCTGCCAATCACCCATGCAGCGTTCTTGCGACTGCATGTGTCACACCTCTGCACGATGCAGAACTGTCAAATTGTATTGTCGTTATGAAATATTATTCATTATTTTAAAAGAGAGTTTGAACCTCATCTAGGAAGGGATCGCCATGTCCATCATATGTAAATCGTTTTCGGATCATTCCATTCTCGGGTCTACGGTTCCAACTTTCCCCATTTCCACGTTTTTCACTCTCCAGTCGCCCACCGGATATGAAATGCGTCTCAACTACCGCGACCATGAAAGTTTGGATCAATCTCCAAATCCCCGGTATAGAGGAACCGAACCCTAAAGGCATCTACAATTGGGGTCTTTGTTTGTTTCCCGGAATTCATGTCGAACGAACTTTAGTTAGAAAGCCCGGGTCGTGCTTCAGCACTATGGAGTATACACCCTGTACTTGGAAGGTCTCTCTACCCAGTGCGTTGGGATCGGCAAGCAGGATCACATCCCTAAAAGGCAGCGCGGGCAATTACCGTCAGAATTACCTCCACTAGCTCAATGCATCTTCAAAGGGGCCCAGAAGCAGGGTGATCGCTTATCCCCAGATTACACGTCCCCCTCAAGCATGCCCAGACGGGGAGCTACACCACGATTAGGGTAGGGTCGCGATAACCGTAAGGCGTCTTTGTTGAGAGTTCCGGGATTTTCTAACTTCAAGATTAAACTAAGCTTGTCTTCCAATCATAATATTTCCCCGACCCAATAAGACCGGCCACTTCTTTCCTATTCGGATGAAACCTGGTCAATCGGCGCGCCTGAACAAAGAAAAAGAAAAAGAAGAAGGAGAAGAGAAAAGCAGTGGGATCTCCGGATCCCCGTGGATCCCTGCAGCTCATGATCCTCGAGCCCACTAGCAAGCACCAACCACTTCCTCCTCCCCAACATCAACGGAACTAGCTCCGGAAGCGGTATGGTCGCCGACACATGGAACGAACCCATATCCACATTTTCCACGGGGCATCAGCACCATTGGGGACCAAGGAGAGAGAGAAAGAGCGCACCCGACCCGGGAATTTCTCGGTATGTTCTCTCAAGTGTTTAATTGAAACAATAGCCAATAGTCCCCCTATAACTCTCCCAGACAGAAAACGTGCAGAACTGGAACCTTGGAACCATGAGAGAACCTTCTCTTGATACTGGGTGAAGAAACAAGGTTTTGGGGTAAGGCTGCTACTCCAAGTCTTACTCCGTACTTGCGTCGTATTCTTCCAAGTTTAATTTCCTTTGCAAACTGTGTCAGCAAGTCTCCATATACCCGGGTCGGCGGAAATACTCCACTATTCAGACCTACAGCATCTTGTCCAACCCCCGAACCTTTTAGCTTGCTTGCCTTGTTTCTTGAAGAATTATACGCTATCCTGTACTAGGTAAGCGTCTAGCCCCTATCACCGGTGCATTGATGCTCTTCGGAGCAGTGTGGCCGAAGCTCGAGAACCCGCCGTGATCGACGGCCTCCCGAATGTGATCGACCGGGATATTCCCTATGGCTTAGCATGCCATGTGCAGTTCAAAGTGGACTTTCCTCTCGCGGTCCTTTTGCATTGGATGCATGTAGATCTATCTATCTTCCTCATAGGGCATTGCGAATCGGTGGCTATTCTCAGCTAGTGGCTTGATGGACGGAGTAATCTCGGGGAGATTATACTGGATGATGATTATCCGGGGTGAATCTTCACAAGAACCCACATCTGGATCACGCTATTCAATTTTTCCGCTCCATCTGCACTGTACTCGGTAGCCTCCCCTTGTCTTAGGTATTTTCGAAGTGCCTCAACCTCTACTATCTCATCCCCGGCTCCCTTCCTCCCTACATAGTTTTTCATACTGCCCTCATATTTTTAATCGAGCTAGCTATTCTAGTCTCCAACATGATAAGAATTGAGATCCAAGGATTTTCAAGCCTCGCGACGAGGCAAAACCTAAATTCTAATTAGAGCTCTCATGACGCAAAGAACGCAAAGCCGGAGTGAAAGTAGAGTCCGTGATGGCACCGCGAATCCAGCCGCCACCATAATCAGATTGCCGCGGTGATCACATCCAACGTAATGAGGAACAGTTAAATCCCCATACCACAAGAAAGCTAAATAGATTAAATGAAAAAGCAATTGTCTGAATCTTGCTGCAAAGGGTAATCTTCAAGTGAGCTGCATAATTCACATAAACTGGGTCTAGCTAGGAAGTACTCTCAGATCCCGACCCAAGACAGTGAAATGGTGGCGGAATCTGAAAAAGCACTGGTGTTTTTCTAAAGGGCTAGATCTCCACTTGACTATTCGAGGATAATCTCCGGGCAGTTATTACCCTTTGGGCATGCGTAAGGCCGAATCACAATTATTATTTTTTCTTATTTTAATTCATATGGAATTTGTCAATGGTGTGGAGCAGGTATATCCGATCGGAACAAGTCTCGGAAGCTCGACCTCTGCTTGGTCTTACTACTCTTACTCTACTTTGATGTGAAGAGTTTAGCTTGGGCTTTTTTAGTGATGTGGATCAAAAGTCAAATTGATATCGTAGATATTCTAAATTAATATAGTTGTTTAAATTAGTTGTGGGATACAGTATTTAAGAAAAAGTGGGAACAATAGGGTCAATGCGGCAGATTTTACATAGAGTATAGAGACAAGAGACATTCATGAAATAGTCAGAATAGTATTAGCATACACGGCGGAGTATACAAAGATTTGGGTCTGAACACACAGACATCAAACTAGAATCAATAGAACTAGATTCTGGATTTTGGTCTTCTTGCGCACGTCTTGGTTCGAGGGGGGTTTTGATTCTGTCTTTGGATCTCTCCACTCTTTTTTTTTGCACACTATTACATGTAGAAACAAGTACATACCCACATGGCTCCGACGCAGTGCAAGGTAATCAAAAAAAGAAAATTAAAAACACAAGGTTGAAGAAGAAAAGGGGAGAAGGTGTGGAGAGGCTGAAATTGTAAACAGGACAGTTAGAGGGGAATATGGGTCGCCGGGCACAGAGTAAATGGCAATTGACAAATAGATAAAAAAGAGAAGAGGGGTGAGAAAAGGTAAGGAACAGAAAATTGCTCATAGAAAACAACTCATGAAGTCAAAGACGTTCGTTGAGACGGGCAAACCCCGGGCAAAGGAAGAGGATATCATGCACGGTGATGGGTATGGTGAAACGGTCGGGGGAGAAGAGTGGACCCAGGAAGACGAACTATATTCGGACTGGAATCCAAAAAGAGAGGATAGTAGCAGAAAAAGGCACCGAGGAGGCTTGAAAATTGGAATGAGGATCAGCGGCGGCGTTTGAGGTGGTGCTCTTTGCCCTTCTTAGACTTTTTCTTGCTCTTGTCTAGAGGCAGCACTAGAGGCTCATCACGCATGTTCCATTCCATGAAACGAAGCAAATATTCATCAATGTGCCCTGGTTCGAAAACGTCTGCCCCTGCATCATCGGGCGCAACGGAAGTTTGACCTTCGCCAGAACCTGGCAATGGGGTACCCGGTTGTGCCGGAGTCCCATGTGAAGGGCTGCGGTCTTCGAAGTCGCCGTCGTCTGCATGTTCCAGTTCCTTTTGTGCGTTTTTGGCCGCATCGATATCCTCTTTATCCTCGACTTGCTCAAAGGCGCGAGAACCAGTTGTTGCAACTCGATTCCCAAGGACACGGTCCATGGCCGCAGTAGCTTCGTCGTTACCCTCTCGTGCATCGGGCTCTTCTACAGCCTGAGAATTCAGCTTGGTGAAGTAATCCGTTGTGAACTCTCCTTCTTGGATGATCACGTCATCGAGCATTCGCTTTTGATTGGCTTTGCGAAGGATGTTGGACTCGATGGTGTACTCGGACACAAAGCGGTAAATATGAACATCCCGGGTCTGTCCAATACGATGACAACGGTCTTGACATTGTTTGTCCATAGCAGGGTTCCAGTCCAGATCGTAGAAGATTACGGTGTCGGCACCAGTCAAGTTGATACCCAAACCACCCGATCGACTAGATAGAATGAAAGCCAGGATTCGAGGGTCACTGTTGAACCGCTCGGTCAACATCTGTCTCGATTCGACCTTTGTGGTTCCGTCCAAACGAAGGTACCGGTGGCCATGGATATTGAGAAACTGTTCCAGGATATCCAGCATCTTGGTCATCTGCGTGAAGATCAAGGCACGGTGCCCGCCAGCCTTCAGGTCGCGTAGTAGTTTGTCCAGCCGTTGTAGCTTACCACAATCATATTGCAGCAATCGCTTATCGGGGAAGGCAATTGAGAGACGCATGCGAGCTTCGTGGAATGGGTCATAGGCCTGCTCTTTGGCAGTGTTTGTGAGAAGTCGTGTCTCAACCGGAGTCAAGGCGGCTTCCGTCATACCCGATGCGACCGCAGCAGGGGTAACGCACGCAAATCTCTGAACGTACCCATCCATGTCATATGATCGCTCGTCGAGAGTGAGGATCATTGATGCAAGAACAGAAGATCGACTTGAAAGCCATTCGGCCATGTTGCTCTTGCGCAGGGGAGCGTTCGAAAGAGCATGTTCTTTAGTTCCAGCTCTCAGAAACTCGACTAGGCTGCTACCATACACAGGACGACGACCATGACGTTTTGACTCGAAATACAAACACCGTTCTAACTCGGCCATTCTTCGCTTCCGGCTGGAATTCTCCAACGACTCTAGTATTGTTTGCATAGTAGACCCGTTGAACTTCATCTCCCAATTGGTGCGGTTGTATTGTAGCTCACGAAGCTTCTTGAACGGCCCAAACGCCATAAGTCGAATACTGTCATCGGCTAATCGCCGTGAGATATCCTCGCGAGATACGGGGGCCAGATTGAGGAAATCTAGATCGACTTTGGTGAGAGGATGGTCAAAAAGAAGTCTTCGGCGAACGAGGCTTTCCTTCACTGTGTAATCTGTAGCGACAGAGCGAGGCATGGCGAAAGATGTCGAGATGGGTCTTGTCTCAAAGAGATCAGGGTGGTTGCAAACCTTGCGAAGCTGCATGAGACAGTGGATAATTGAGAGGAAGTTACCCGACGCAAGCGTTTCCTTCGTTTGAGCCATCGACATGAACCCGTCGTAAAGAAAACGCTGGCGCTTCGATAGTCGACAATACATAACATGTTCATATTTTCCGGGCATTTGCTTTTCGACATCGGCCTTCATTCGACGTAGGATGTAAGGACGAAGAACAGTGTGGAGCTTTGTGACTACTTGTTTGGCATCGTCATCCAAGGTCTCTCTTCCATGTTCTAGGATATGTTCCACGGGGCGTCGGAACCACTCAGAGAAGTCCCGGAGGTCGGCGAATCCTTCAACACCGCCAGTGCCATCACCATCGGAGGGCATGAGGAAGAACAGAAGAGACCACAGCTCAGTCAAATTGTTCTGTAGTGGTGTACCGGTCAAAAGAAGCCTGGCTCGGGTCCGGAAAGTGAGCAGAGCTTGCCATCTTTGCGAGCGGAAGTTCTTAATATTGTGCGCTTCATCAAGGACCATGTAGTGCCATGCCCTTCGCTTCAGTGAAATTTGATCTTGTAGGACTAGTTGATATGAAGTGATCAACACATTCCAAGAGTTGTCATCGGTCCAACCTCGGCGTTTTTGTTTGCGCTCCTCTTGATTTCCATAGTAGGTCATGATCTTGAACCCGGGACACCATTTCTTGAACTCCATTTCCCAATTGAGTATAACACTGGTGGGTACAACGACAAGGTGAGGACCCCAAATTCCGTGATCGACAGCAAGATGAGCAAGAAGGGCAATGGTTTGAATGGTTTTACCAAGACCCATCTCATCTGCCAGAATTCCGTTTATGTGGTTGTTGTAGAGGCCTGCGAGCCAATCTAATCCATAATGTTGATACTCACGCAAAGTACCACGGAGAAGGTGTGGAATTTGCGTTTGTAGACCAGGCGCAGGTGAATGGCTCTCTTGTAACGCTTTCTCGACAGCGGGCTCGTATGAAGAGACAGACTCGGGCTCAGAGGGTTTGGTCGCAAAGGTCCCAGGAGATGCCTCGCTAGATGCCTCGCCGGCCGGTCGGTTTTCTTGTAGTACCTCAGAACCAATTGGTTGAACGGCATCAGAGACTACTACACTTTTGGAATCTTCTGTAGGGGCGCTGGGCGCTGGGAGGGGTATTTCATTGATCTCAGTCTCTGTGGGAGTATCAACCATTGAAATATCCTCGGTGTCTGCAGGGGTGGCTATGGAAGCCTCAACGACTTCTGATGGTGTCCCCTCATCAAATACCGACTCATCCTCATTATGTTCAATTCTGTTGGGAGCAAGAGAGACCTCGTCTGAATCCTCGACCTCATTTTCTGATCCCGTTGCTTTGGGTGTGAAATCGCCATCGTCCTCATCATCCTCGTCGACTTCTTCCACCTCTCTTTCAACGGTGTCGTCTTCTTTTTTAGCCAGTTGCTTGCGCGAAAAGAAACCGAGAATATCAGATGCAGCAACGCTGCCATTGGACTCGTTGTCAGACTCATCATCCTCAAATCCGCTCTCGTCATCACTATCACTCATGTCGTCCATGTCGGTAGATTCGTCACTCCCGTCAATCAAGACTGGGTCAACATCATCAAGCTGAGTATCACCAGGGATAGCTTGAGAGTCAACATCATCAGGTGTATCTTCGCCGTCGTTTATTGATGCAGAGACCACTGACATCTGGTCAGGAGTGTCTTCGGCTGGCATATTGGCATACTTTGAGCGGAGCTCTTCGGCAGTCAACTTGGCGTCATCATCCACGTTAGCTTCATCGTCGGCTTCAGACTCGGATCCCGACATATTACTGTTATTATCTGCGGCTGAAGAGTCTGATGAGTAATACGTCTCCCCATCTTCATCATCGCTTGACATAGGAGCATCGCTAGGAACCTCTCCGAGAATTTCGGAGCGACGTTTTTCGAAAAGCATAGTTGATTTCTTGATAGCACGATCAAGGGCTTGTTGGTCTTGAACCTTCTTCTCTTCCTCCCATCGTGCAAGACGGACCCGATCAATGTCTGCGCGTGCCAGGTCAAACATCCTCTGGAGATCTTTGCCCAGCTGTTTACGCTTACCGCGCATCTCTTCTTGTTGCTCTCGAAGAATGTCCTCCGGGTTCTTGTGGCGTTTTCTGTAGGCGTCGGCGCACCACTGGGCAAAAAGCTTGGCCATCTGACGATGACGTTTATGCTCCTTATCCAAGAGTTTCTGAAAATATAACGCATGCGCCACTAAGTGATCTTGATGTGAATATTGTGATGATGGTTCCTCCTGTTGTTCCATAATGTATGCAGAGCAGACCTCCGAACTCAACGGCCCACCAGGCTCCGCCGCCTTCAACACCTCGTCTCGCCTCTGGGCTTCTTCAAGCGCCTCTTCAGATGATAGTAAATTTGGAGTATCCTCGTGATCTATCCATTCTCTGAAATTCGCATATTTCTTGCCAGACACGTGGCCAGGATGTCGGATTGGAAGGATGGGTTTTTTAAATTTGATTCGCAATCGAGGTACGACCTGGGATCTTGAGTCAAGTTCTTCTCCATTCTCATTTGTATCGAAGATGTTCTCGGCGGGGGTAAGGGAGGAAGTTGATAGGGAGGATCGGTCACGGGTTTGGCGAGGGCTGGCACCGTTCACGCCGCTTCGAGGACGCTGTGTGGTAGCGGAACTTCGTGATCGATTACGTGAGTGGGATTGCTTCGATGGAGGGGACGCAGGTTGCTGCTTGCCCGCCGCGCCTTTGGTAGGTACAGTTCTCGGGGAGCCATTTGTAACCAGCTTGCCACCTGGCTTTCCATTCGCTTCGGCGCGCGACTGGGTGGAAGCTAACGGTGATGACGTTACTGGCTTTCCATTACTGCGGTTATTCTTAGTCGTAAAGCTTTGCTGCGCCGCACGTGTATGTCGCTTATCGGATGGAGGTTGCATTTCCATAGGAACGGTGTTTGTCCGCGACGATCTGCGCCGGCCCTCCAATGTGAAAGATGTCGGGCCTTCGACGCCGACTTTCTTCCATGGTGGCGAGATAGGCCGGGGGGTCGAGCGACGCGATGGGGTTGTATCTGTCAGGCGTCGCTTCTTCGAAGGAGGCTCATCGAGTTGACGGCCAGTTTCATTGTCGCTCGGCACGGGAGGGATTGACTCGCCGGGGGTGGAAGTTTGTGGATTTTCCAAAGCTGAATCTTGGAGGCGCGGAGAGTCGGGCACGGGCGTTACGCGTTCATCTTGGGGTGATGGGCCGTTTGGGCTGCCGTTTTGCATGACTTGTAGCCGCAGACGACAGGGGCCTTTTTCGCAGGTGACCCCAGTTATCCCAACGATGACGCGGTCGAAATTGACAATTTGGACATCAACGAGTAGATATGATAGATTCAATATGCCACCCAAAGTTTGGCATGCTTATCGACACAGGAGCGTGGATGGGAAGCGAAAACGTAGTTCGATGGGGGGAATGCGTGAGGGAGTGGTTTTTTCGTCGGGGCGAGCACTTTCGACTTGTAAGCGCGCCGCGCCTTGGTGGCCTAATAATTCAGGCTTTATTAATGCCTCAGGTGTCGATTTCCGCAAACCTCCGTTTCCATCATCGAATCATCCTGCACCTCATCTCCGCCGATTTACCTGACCTTTATCCACGCCCCCATTGGTCTTTGGTCTTTGGCAGAACAGTGAGTGGCTCTTTCATGTCTATCTATTTACTTGCAAGTCATTAGCCCTCGCTAACCTTCAATTCCTCGCCCTGCCTCAGATGTTCTCTCAACGGATCCTAGCCCGGCGCCTGCCCCAGCTGGCTTCCCGCCACGCCATTGTCCCCCGCGCATCCTTCTCTCAGGTGTCAGCACTCCGTGCTGCTGAGGTTGAGGACCCTCTCCAGGTACGCCGACTATGAGCCGATGATATCCAGCAAGTGATCTAACGACAATGGCAGAATGGAAACTACCCCAACCCTCCCCGCGTGAAGCGCGCTCACAGAGACCCCTACGGTGGTTGGTGGGACGCACAAGAGAAGCGAAACTTCGGCGAGCCCGTTCATGAGGACAACGAAATCCTCGGTGTTTTCAGTCCCGAGCAATATACCCACGTTAGCTCCGGCAAGGGCTTCCTCCACCTCGGCATGTTCGTCGTCGCCTTCCTCGGTGTGTGCGGTATTGTCAGCCTCAACTACCCCGACAAGCCCAGCGTTCCCAAGACTTATGCCGATGGTCTCGAGAAGGAGTTGGGCGGACCCAATGCTGCACCGGTAGGGCTCAGTTCTGTACTATATCACCATTTTGAACCTATCCACTAATCTTGGAGTTATATATAGGCCCGCAAGGCTGGCGAGGACAAGTGGTAAACCCTGCCTCCCGCTGTACTTCTCTCGTTACTCATTTCCTTTTTGATATGCTGTGTGTGTAAATACCAAGATGATTTTGTTTCCTATTTGGCGTCACTTGAGTGTCATGTTAAGCTCCTGACGCAAGCTGGATCTGGACCGAACTAGAAGTTCAACTACCATTCCAAAACAAGTTCTTATTCAAGTTTCTTCCTTTGTAACGCATCCCTACTCTGTTGCAGGTGCATAGGTATCATTAATTTGAGCCAATGATGTTGCCGAGCGCTAAAACGACCCCATACCTACAACATTGGGCACCTGTATATATCGTTTGCCAGCACCTTTTGAAGCAGCAGGTATTGGTAAGTTTGGGTTTAGTTGCTAAAAACAGTTAATATCCGAATTCTCCTGCTTGCATTTACAATTTTGTTGAAAGACATCGGAGCTGTCCTGGCCAAATAGTATAAATTGTAGTATAGACCACCCTTGCATTACAATGCCTGTTATTAGCGCCTACGTAGATCAGGCCCCTCCCTTAGAGCCAGGGCGCGTCACCTCCTAGAAAAAGTTGGGGGACAAAAACACATCATATATTTATTTCCACCCAATCTCCTACGTAACTTCTATTTCCCAAGCCCAGGGTTCAGTGGAGGCGTTCGTTGTCAATTATATATGGTCCGGGCGCCTACGTCAGGTTAGAAGCTTGAGTCTCACCCGTTCCCCCTCCTCCTTTCTCTCTCCAGTGTAAACAGTGGAAATCACATTCAAGTTTCCGCCCCCCTTCTGCCCGGCCAAGGTGTTTTCCCCTCCGAGACAATACCCACTTGGAAACCAATAAAACTTCCACCTGAACTAAAATCAGGCCGCGCAAAAAAGGGCTTCGTCCGGCTCCCGATGCTGGCTAGTGGTCTGCGTTCTATCTTAATCCATGGTCCCGCATTCCACTGCCTCCCCACGAACCGTTTACGAATCCAGAAGACAGCCTGATGTCGACAGCATCTACTCAATCCCGAGGAGTCAACCGACGGATCAACAGTATACAAAATGAGGGTCGTCATTCGCGCAACTCCTCTCTTTCGCGTCGCCGACCCGTCGCCGCCAATGTCGCAAGCAACCATGCGCTCCGTGTAGCCTACCTAGCCTACCTTTTACATCCTCGCTCTCGTCGTACCCAAACTGTACCTGCCGCGCCGGCGCAGCAGAAACGGGCGTCTACCTCCATCCATGATTTGATGAGCGACTTCTCTTTGGTCAGGGACTCAAAGAGCACCAGAATACCTCATAATTTCGTTGCTGAGCTGGAGAAGCGGTTGACGAACGTGTTGATAGGGAAAGAAAAGCGCAAGGAATACCAGGATCATTTGGTGGTGCGATCATTCGCTGCTTTCCTCAATGTGCTGAAAGAAGATTCTTTCCGCAAGCGCATGGAAAAGGATCGGCGCGCTGAGGATTTGGTTCTTATCTTCTACTCGAATGCCATCAAAGAGCTTAGCAAGGGCAAAGACCATGACGATGATAGCTGGAAAATGATGGTGGACCGACACGTTGCTCTTTTTGTCCGACTACTTGCGTTGATTTTGAGTGAAAAGGACTGGGCCAAAGATCGCCCTGAATTGTCAAATCGATTATCGGTCCTAGAGAACAAGCTTCTAGTGCAAGATCAGGACTTGATGGCCGCAAATGGGCCTACGACAACTACGGAGGTTGTTGCTCCATTGAGTTATGATGTTAAAGACATGCCTCTCGTGCAACATGTGGCTAGGGTATTTGGAATGGCGACGCTTCAAGCCCAAGCAGAAATTGATAAACACAAGAAGAAATGGACAGAAAAAGCAGCTTTGCAGGATCTGAAAACCTATCAAACTCATTTGAGTCTTCAAACCCATAAGACTTTGTCTAGGGATGACTTTGAATCAGACGAAGGCTATGAACATTGGAAGAAGAGCGAAGGGCCTGATCTTTCTCAGATGATGCTTGCTATCGTGCAGTCAAATCCAGAACTCGCTAAAAGCACACCTGGCTCCCTACCTCAGTTCAACTCAGCATCAGGAGATGACGATCTTGCAAGAACAGCCTCCGGTCGTACAGATAGAACATCCTATGCCATTGACCAGCCCGTTGACATCAGCGGTCTCTCATTGAGTGGTACCAATGGTGACTCGGAAGAGTCAGACACATATACATTCATCCCCTCTGACCCCCGGGCAGTTTATAGAATCATTTTGGCACAAACCTTAACTCACGATCTGCGTGATCGGGAAATCGAGGCAACCCAAGCGACATCAGATGCCCCGTCCATGAAACTGCTATCAAAGCAGTCATCTGAAATGTTAAATGAGATTTGTCTCCGCTGGCGGATACCTCACTTCTCACGCATTGTGTTGTTTTTGGATGTGATGCAATCAAAATTCGTGGACAACGAGATTGATCTCAACACTTTGGACTCGGCATTTACTTTTGTGAAAGAATCGTCGGCTGGCGATAAGAGTAGCAAACGCAGCAGTTTTGTTGCGTCAGCGATGTTTGACCGACAAAAGTGGACCGTGCATGATATCCAGATGATGCAGCAGCTATTGTCCAAAATTCATGAGGCCTTACTACGCGAACTTTACGATGTGATGATGGACTGTTATGAAACAAAGCCACGGCCTCTCGGGCCAGTAATGTATGTTCTTGAAAATCACGTTCAGATGGATCCATGTTATACAGAGGACCCGGCGGACCTTGAACGATTTGGCTCGTACGTCCAGGAGGGTCTCGCTCAAAAGGCCACGGAAAGGTACCAGAGCCTTCTTAGCCAGTTAATTTCTGTCAATCAAGAGTCCTGGCAGGTCGATGATATCATTCAACTGGGCGATGCTATTTCAAAACTCGCAACGAAAATTCAAAAACGATACAGGAATAACCCTGAGATCATGGGGTACGCTTTTACGGTTTTTCACCCGATATCCAAAGATACATGTTCTAACACCATAGTAGTGTCAACCCATACATAACACTCTGCTCCAGAGTGCTCCCCATGTTTGCAGAAGATTCACAGGAAATGGTTATTCGTATTCTTGAGCAAACAAAGGCAAAAGGCGAAGAGATCGAGATCGAAGAAGGATTTGATCTCTATAGGCTGCTTGCTACCATCAGGCGTCTATTTATGAATACAATTCCTGAGTATGAACATCGTGTTTCTTAACATTGGTCTCTTAGCTAACTCATTATAGTGACCCTTTCCCATACCATATAGAGAGCTTACTAGAGGAATTCGTCTGGCGATGGCTGCGTCTAACGGACCAAAGTGTCATGGAGTGGGTCAACCAGGCCACCAGACAGGATGCATTTTCCGTTCGGGCAGACGAAGTTGGGGGTGATGTCCCAGAAGATTGCCGGCACAGTGTCTCCGTCATTGATGTGTTCCGATCTTTTAACCAGGTCGTGGAGAACCTAGTCAACCTCGAGTGGGATGATGACCTCCAGTATGCGAAATTCATGACTGCGTTATCCAACTCGATAGGTAAAGGTGTCGCAAAATATTGTGAATCCTTAGAACAAATGTTTGTTCGGGAATTGGACCGCCTCACGCCGGAGCAAGAGGCGGCTTTGAATCAAACCGCACAGGAGAAGCTTATGCAGTTTGCCAAGGATACTTGGACGAACAAGGACAAAATTGAGCCATTTCAATTCTCGTCTGAGGTATGTTGATCTTGTTACTCGTGGCTCGTTTGAACAACCTTCCTAACTTGGCTAACCATGGTAATAGTCTTTGGTGAAACTAAATAACATTGAATATGCGCTCTCTCAATTGGATAGGCTTGAACAGGAGATCAATGTTGATGGATGCGCCGATGTTATTGCAAAGAATACACCTCCGCAACTTAAAAAGGTGCGCAAGGCAACCACTTACGTATTCACCATCAAGGTGGTGGAAGCAGAAGATCTGAAGGCATGCGACATGAATGGCGGCAGTGACCCATATGTGGTTCTGACAGATGAGTACCAAAAGCGAATTGCGAAGACTCGTATCATCTATAACAACCTCAACCCGCGCTGGGAGGACTCTGTAGATATCACGACCCAGGGTGCTTTGAATATCATCGCTACAATCTGGGATTGGGATGCCGTCGGTGATCATGACTATGTTGGCCGAACATCCATCAAACTTGACCCCGTTCATTTCAGCGACTTTTTGCCGAGAGAATATTGGCTCGATCTGGATACTCAAGGACGTCTTTTGCTTCGTGTCAGCATGGAGGGTGAGCGTGATGATATTCAGTTCTATTTTGGTAAAGCTTTCCGTACTCTCAAGCGAACAGAAAGAGACATGACTCGAAAGATTACCGAGAAGGTTCGTTGTAACTCTACATCTTGCATAAAATCCTGCGTGTGACTAACTTTTATTTTAGCTCTCTGCATATATCAGTCATTGTTTATCGCGTCGGACATTAAAGTCTCTACTTTCCCGTGGAATCAGCATCTCGAGTGTGTCCAACTTTCTGAACCGCAACCGAGGACAGCCTACTGCGACTGGACCCACCCCTGCCGATGTCGAGAATGCCCTCGATCCTCTATTCAACTACTTTAACGATAACTTCGCCATCATGAACAAGACACTAACCACTGAAGCCATGCGAATGGTTATGGCCCGTCTATGGAAAGAGGTTCTTGCAACCATTGACGGCCTACTGGTCCCACCATTGTCCGATAAACCATCCCATCAGAAGCCATTGACTATCCAAGAAGTCGACATCGTATCACGATGGCTCTTGCTATTGCTCAACTTCTTCCATGCAATCGATGAAGAAACTGGAGAAGCCAATGGTGTCCCCATTGATATCTTGAAATCACCAAAGTACCATGAGATTCAAAGCTTGAACTTCTTCTATTTTGAGCCTACGGAGAATCTAATCCGTACTTCTGAGAAGATGGCCTCGGCCACCGTGAACCGCCAGCAAGCCAATCGCAACCGCACATCTGCCCCCGCGCACCTAGGCGCCACCGGTACCAGCTATGGAGGCCTAGGTGTCCCCGCCGCTCGTCGCGCAAAGAGTATCATGCTCTCCCGCAACCTGGGCACCATGAAGAAGGTTAAAGAGGAGAAGCGCCGTGAAGCACAGGCTGATCCTAACGACGATATGATCTTGCGTATCCTTCGTATGCGCCCTGAAGCTGCTGGATATCTTCGTGATCGTAGTCGTCAAAAGGAACGACTGGCTGCAGCCGCAGCCGCAGATGCCATCGTGAAACAAAGTCTGATGGCCGGGGCTGGAAGTCGAATGGGTGGAACGATTCCCCGGCGCTAGGTGTTTTATGTAATTCCTTTTCTTTTGTTCCTTTTTTTTCCTTTTTTTCTTTTGTTTCATGGCCAGCGATTGAATTGATTCCAGGATACCGTTTCTATGATGTGAACTCGTAATACTTTCTTACATGGATCTTTATATGACAATCTAGCAATCAAATGAATGTCTCGGTCTCTGTTCTGTAATTGACGGCATCCATTAATGACAGCTCCATCATCTCGGTGCAATCTATACAAGAAGGCCCGCCCGGCACTTCTCGGGCCTTCTCGGAATATCCAAGAATAGACGCTACTTACTACCCAGGTACCTTCAAAGCTGTGCGTGGTCTTCTGTACTTGTTCTCCAATTTGGCGGACTTTACACCCTTAACTCCGAGCAATGAGCATTTGAAGCCAGTAAAGAAGCATAACATGTTTATTCCTCCTACTTCCAATACCGTAAACTCCACATTTTTTTGCTAGGTGCATCTCACACGATATGATCGCCGTATTCACGAAGGACATAAAAGCACCATATTCCTTAAGTCCGAATAATCAACATTGAAAACAACTAACATAAAAAGGCATTTATCTATACAATTAGAATCCAGTACCCCATCATCCTTGAATTCAAATTCAAATTCACACACAAATCTAAAATGGCCATTCCTCTATCTCTAAAAGGCCTCACACCCCGCGAAGCAATAACAGACACCGCATACCGTCTAGCCCGAAGCTTCGACCACAACGACATAAACGCCTTCAACTCAGCAATATCCGAAGACGCAGTCCTCGAACTAAACATCACCGAGCCTCTTATGTTTACCGGCATCTCAAATATTCGCGCTGCTACTTTCGACCGTGTCGTGAAGATGGATACCTCCCATATGCTTAGCAATATTCGTGTTGATGTTCAGCAGGGCGCGAAGGAAGCTACGTTGCAATGTTATACACTTTCTCAGCATTGTCCTCTTGGGATGGGGAAAGATGTAAAGGCACCTAAGTATCTTGCTGGGGCGGAGTTTATGTTTGAGATGGATTTTCATGAAGGGGATGGGAATGGAGATGGGCTTTGGAAGATTAGGAGGTGGATTGCCGGTCTTGTTTGGGCGGAGGGTGATGAGTCTCTTATTTTGAGTAATTAGTTTAATCTGGGTGTGTTTTTGGATTGAGCCTGGTATATGTATTAGGTAGTATATATACTAGTAGCACTGTTTCTACGGTGTTGGGACTATATGTTTGTGCCGGCGGTAGATCTTGAGAGGGCCTGGAGAGGGTTTGGAGAGGTCTCGAGGGGGCGATCCGTTTTTGAACGGCTTTGAGAGGGTAGAAATTTCCTAACGGTTTCTGAACGGCTTTAGAGCGGATTTGAGACCATCGACATGGTTTCGGGAGCAATTATATAGCTTTTGGAGTAATGACAAAGATCACACACTAACTAAATTTCAGCATTGAATGAAAATAGAATGATGCACTACTCGTGTATAATAAGCTGAGAAAAGATAATTAGAATAGAATCAAGATACAATTAGTATATTTTGAAATTTTTAAAGTATTATATTAATTTAGATTAATTAATGTTTATTTCTCGTGATCTTCATATAGCCTATGTAGTATGTCATCTATAGTTTAACCGCGCCCGATCTCAAGGTGCGGAGTCCCTCAAACCTCATTTAAGCTTAACTTCTTCACATACACCTTCAATCATCCATCCACCTACATCACCACACTCGTATCCCAACCTAAACTTAACAAACGCCAAACAACAATGAATCCATCATCCAAAATGCACATAAACATCCATCTCAACAATGAAACCCCCTCCGAAACAACCCTCCCCGTCTCATCAACAATATGCCCCGAATCCACACCCCGAACCACCGAAACACCCAAAGAATACCTCTACTTCGCCTACGGCTCCAACCTTTCCCCATCACAAATGAAACAACGCTGCATAATCAATCCAAACCTCTCCGGAAAACCCGTCGCAATCGCCATCCTCCCTAAATGGCGCTGGCTAATCTGCGAAGCGGGGTATGCGAACGTCCTCCCACCAGCTGGTCTACGAGTTGGAGCTCAAAAAAGCGATGTTGCATCTAAAATACCTATTTCTGGATCTGAAGATGCGGTCTACGGCGTACTTTATAAGATGGATTTACAGGATGAGGCTATACTTGATGGGTATGAGGGTGTTGATTGTGATGCGGAGGATGCGAATGGAAGTGCGGGGGTGGGGGTTGATATAAGGCCGAAGGAGCAGGGAGAGGGAGATTATAATAAGTGGTATCTTCCTGCGAAGATTGTTAAGTGGATTCATTCTGAGAGTGAGGGTGAGAATGAGGGTGAGGGTCAGAGTGGGGGAAGTGGAGAGGAGGTGGATGTGCTTGTTTATGTTGATGAGGAGCGGGTGAGACTTGCGCCGCCGAAGACGGAGTATATCGGGAGGATGAATCGGGCTATTCGTGAATCGGTGGCGTTGGGGGTTAATGAGAGGTGGGTTGAGGAGGTTATGAGGCGGTTTATTCCGGCGCCTAAGGTCACAGTGTAGTCGTGTGTGAATGTCATTTTAGATAGAGAGTATTTGCTGCTACAATAGATAGCATCTTCAGGTTTCTGTTATAGAAAAGGCGTTTTACACCTATTCAAATGTTCACCTGGGCGGAGTATGACTGTAATCTCCGATATATGCATCTATATCTCTATTTAATACTAGTAGTTTAGGCATACTTAGAAAGTCGGCGAGAAGTTCAATTGATTCCGAGGTCGTATCTTAATCGCATTTGCTCTATACATTCTGATAGCTGGATAAGACAATTGCAAGGTAATGAAGCTGGGTATGTAGTTTGTAGATTTGTGTTAGGACACCAGAGAAATGCATTTTGAGAGGCTTCTATCTATATCGACATGGTCGAGGAAGAGTTTTTTGTATTCATTAAATTTTGAGTCAGAGGGTTGTATGAGCCCGGCTCTATTCCAACCCATGGAAAGAAGCCTCGGCCCGTAGAATCAAAACGGAAAGAAAAAGAAAAAACCAGGTAATAAAAAAAATTGGAAGCTAAAAATAAAATAATAAACCAACAGGATCCCATAGGCGTATAAAGTTTCACCAAATGCTCGGGAACTCAGGTCGCTTGGTTGCATGAGCGTCATTTCGGGAGTGGCGGCTGGTCGGGTGGGATGGTGGGGACACCGCCAGTTTCCGGTGCGGGCATTTTGGTTATTACCATTTGTATCGGTGAATCGTGGTAGACAAATGTGCTTTTTTGTTTTTCTTTTTAGAAAAGAAATATTATAAAGAACACGGTTGGAGGGGTACAGCAATGGCCAGTCAGAAAAGAAGATGAAAAATCTAAGCCTGGCCGGAGAGGAGAGTGTTGACAGGAGCAGGAAGCTTGTCACGTCCGTGGAGGAATTCGAGTTCGAGAATGAAAAGGAAGCTCAGCAGTTCGCCGCCCATCTTCTTAATCATCTCACCGGCTGCGAAGGCAGAGCCACCTTAAAAAGGAAATACATGTTAATATGAAGATCTGCGATAAGGATGTACTGTATACTATCCAAGACTATATGAAGGTTGAGGCAGAAAAGGGAAGAAAAAAAAACTTACCGGTGGCGATAATGTCGTCGACAACAATAACCTTCTGACCAGGCTTGATAGCATCATTCTGCATCTGGAAGAAATCCGTACCATACTCTTTCTCATAGCCCTGGGTCACGCAAGGACCAGGAAGCTTGCCCTGCTTGCGAACAGGAACAAAGCTAGCGCCCAAACGCAAAGCCAAACTGGGGCCCATCAGAAAGCCACGAGCCTCCAAGCCGACGATAACATCGGGCTTTTGGCCGTTGCTGCTGGCCAGAACCTGGAGCTCTAGAGAGCGAATCAGGGCTTCATGGAGAGAAGGGTTGGCGAAGATAGGCAGAATATCCTCGAACAGAATTCCCGGAGAGGGGAAGTCCGGGAACTGGCGCAGAGCAGAGCGCAGGTTTACTTTAAGACTGGCGAGTTCGGAGGTGCTGGAGGGATTGGAGGCGGAGTGTCCGGGGACTTGGGCGGAGGCATCAGGAAGAGTGGATGAGGACATGGTGAGAAAGAAGGGGGGAAGGAAGGAGGAGGACAGGGAGGGGTAGAAAAGCAATTGAGAAGGTTATAGAGTCGAGAAATAAAAAAAATAAGAGAAAAAAATCTAATCTGGTAAAGAAGGAAGAGAGAAAAAAAATTAAATCCAAAAAAATAAAAATAAAAATAAAATTTAAAAATTCAATGGTAAAATTACGGGTCCAAGTACTCTAAGGTAGGGTTGATAAGCAGATAAGTTGCCAGAATTGCCCCTCCAAAAGCCTAGAATTGGATGGGAAGAAGGTATCATGGGTAGATACTAGTAGATTATTATAGATATTATTATAGATATTATTATAGACGGGGATTCTATATTATGTATTATATTTTAAGCTACACAGTATAAACTCCAGACTTTATTCTATACTAAGCCTTTCTTATTTAATTGAATTGGGATATCTATTCTACCACTATAGGTCTATAGATACCGCCCACTACAGATAACAGTGGACATGTACCCGGTTCGCCTTATTTTAGTGCAGAACAACCTTGACACAAACAGAGTAGATCTTCAGCGGTCAAACCCATGAAAAAGGGCCAAAATTAAATCTGACTAAATAATCACCCGTACCTGATGTACTTATCTCCATCGGTCTGTGTCAGTCTGTAATATTACCTACATTCGTCACCCGTTTCAAGCTCGCGCATGCCCGCCAGTTTCTAGAATCCGCCCATGCAGCTCCAAGGAGAAATGTGCTGATGTGTCTGGCTGAGGGTCCCGCTGCGGGCCTCGGGCATACATCTGTCCACTCCGTCCTCTCTCCGTTCTGATCTGCGAAACTTGCCCACTTGCCTAAACATGCATCTTGCCTAGCTTTGGGGCTAACGGACGCCTCTGGTTTTCATCCCGGACGAATCATCGCTCTGTCTCCGCCCATCACACCATCCTGGTTCAAGTTGGGGTCTCTGACAATGCTCCATTCCAATTATGTATATTACTGACTCGGTAATAAAAGAAAAAAATAAAATGGTTCATTGTGGAAAAATGCACCAACCACCGTGACTCATGGCGTGTAGCTGAAAGGATATAGCCTTGTCCAGAACATAAGTGGCGGAATGATGGTGTGTAGGAAAGACTCAAAGCGGCTTTTCACTTTTTATAAATAATAATATTTACCTAGGCAACTACTACTATAATAGGTACATAGGTACATGTATGTTAGTATGTATCTCTATCTCCGAACCTTGGAAGGAATCCATAGATCGGAGACAAAGCTAATGTGGTCTTAGACCATCAGACCATCATCGTCTTTCAACAGACCACGTCAGGGCGCAGATTACATCGTACAAGCCATCAACCCAGCCAATAACACTCATCGAACCATACTAGTACATTTCTGTACCTATTACAGTCGGGTTTCTAGTAATTTTGGACGCATGCAGCGCTAGGGGATCTAGTGGAGGGCGACGTTTCGTGCAGGTCCAAGGGGTCTGTTCTGCAGGGAGGTGGGGTGAGGAAGTCTGGAAACTCCTTCATACACTTTTGGGTACCCCATGTGTGACTCAGTGGAGGGGTAATTGCGCGTTTGGTTAGGATAAAAATGGGTCATTGTCAATAAACAAAAAGAAAAATGCAAAGAGAAGAAGAGAAAAAAAAAATTGAGGATGCAAAAAAAGATATCTCAGGTTATTTGTAGGAATAGCCGAACGCGGGGGTCGAACCCGCAACCTTGAGATTAAGAGTCTCACGCTCTACCGATTGAGCTAGCCCGGCAGGGCTTGTTGAGGGCCGAGAAAATTGTGGAATTATAAACCATCCTTGCAGAATCAGTTTACTAGGTCTCATCTGATCACCATAATTGCCCAGAGTTGTTTGTTGAATTGCTACTTTCCTCTTTCCCACTTTTGGTGTGTACTACATAGTAATGTTTAAAGATTATATCTGCTTCAAGTTTCTTCTTTCCCCAAGAAACAGGATAAAAGACTCCAGAAGGGCATCATCTGCCTCCCACCTAATCCCGCAGTCATAAATATATCTCAAGATGAATCTAGAGCGGATCTGCACCATGCACGATGAGCACTAGTATGCACGTCAACTCCGGGTCACCGGGCGCCACCAGCGTGACCTGGGCACCAGTGATATGGAAACTGTGAAATATGAACCTTGGAAGGTAAAGGTGCCCAGGTGTTAACACCTAGCCAATCAAGACCCCCAGAAATAAAAGTGTCCTGCCACACAAGTTGACTAATCCACGGACCCGGTTGTGCAACACATGTACTATATTTGCTACCTAGGGAATGGTTGGTGGTTTGATACCGTTTTCAAAACTAGTGCAATTCACCTGGGCATGTTCCGTGTGACTGCAACATTGTCTACTTGTAATTCCAAGGTCCCGAGTCTCTATCCACTTTTTGCGTCAGCTATCACGCCCTGGCGTACCATCTAAGGTTGAATAGGGAATGGCACGCATATGTTGAGATTTCGACAATAGGGCTGTACTGCTAGTATATGGTACATCAAATTTGCTGGAAGTTTTCCTCAAGCTGCTATTGTGACAACTCGAACGTATACACAGATTCAAATTCACGCTTTCTGCCCAATAATTTTCTCGAACAATACGTCTCTCTCTATATCCTTTTCCACCATCCCCCGAAATGAACCTCCTTCTATCTGTATCAACTCACAAGGCCTCCCATATTCCTGTACCCGACCATCTGAAAGCACAATAATTCGATCGAAATCCACAATCGTACTTAGTCGATGAGCAATTACCAACAAGCTGGAAGAGCAGGTTTGACACGCGGACCGCAGAGACTGCAAGACTTTGGCTTCAGACACTTTGTCCATTGCCGAAGTCGCCTCGTCGAGAATCAAAACCTTTGAATTTCTGACAATTGCACGCGCAATACATAGTACTTGGCGCTGACCTTGGGATAGATTTTCTGTGTTCTCAACCAGAGCACTACGTTCTTTATCTTCATTCATTGCCAATTTACCCGCTACACCATGCCAACCGACCAAAGAAAGCGCGTGAACTAACTGTTGATCTCCAAACTCGTCGAACGGGTCAAGATTCGATCGGATCGTACCCTTGGTCAACATTGGGTCTTGTGGAATCATAGCCAAGCGGCTCCGGACACGTTGAGGATGAAGCGTTGCAATATCTACCCCGTCCACCATGATGTGACCTTGCGTTATGCTGAGCATCCGTAATAATGCTAGCGCAATTGAGGACTTTCCTGCGCCTGTCCGTCCGACAATTCCCACTCGCTGATTTGCCTCAACCCGAAATGTTATCCCGTTCAGGACTGGAGGGAGATCAGGACCGTGCTGAGCCACGAGGCCAGAGACCTCTATCGCTCCTGTGCTGGGCCACTCGGTAGAGGTGGTAGAGCTTCTGTCTTCGCCCCCTTCTGTCTCAAGCTGAGTGTAATCTAACACCCGTCCAAGAGGATCAAGATCTAGCTCGAAATTCTGGTAGCGATATATAGCCACTTTAAATGATTGTGCGAGTTGGTTGGCAAATGTAATGACGAAGCCTACAGATGCCGCATCCACATTTGGAAGCCCAATCATCACAGATGCAGTTATAGACACGAAAAATGCTCCAAGAATATCAGTTCGAACTGCAAGCCAGTGCTTGAGGAGCGCGATATGCCGTGATGCTCGACATCGTTCTTCAAGCTGTTCCCCCATGCGTGCTAAGGATTGCTCTGTCTTTCCGTAGGCACGGATTGTCGAGATACCCTGTAGACAGGATGTCGCATAATTGATGATTGGTCCTCTTATGGAATCTTCAAGCCTCTTAACCTTACGCGCGGCTGCGAGGTATTTTTTGGTGTCATGGATAGCAAACGTTGCGAGGATGAAGACCGCGGGTAGTAATCGAGGCTGGGTCACGGTAGCTGAGGTTAGGGCGATGATTACATCGACTCCGGAAGTTAATACATCTTGCATGTGTGTGCTAAGTAGTGTATCAACTGTGTCGAAGTCTGCTGAGAACATATCAAGAATGGTACCAAGGGACATTGTGTTGACCCACTGAGTAGGGGCTGCCAGCGTTCGGGCGAGAACAATTCGAAATAGTCTGCGGGAGGCACGCCATGCTCCCACTGAGACGGCGTAGATACGGGCGACGCTGAGCGTGATTAGGAGTCCAGAGAGTCCGAGGTATATGGCGAGGCCTCTTCTCAGCGCTGGATGTGTTCTTTCTTGGCCGTTAAACTGCGAGTCATGTAGGTCATCTAGTTGTGTACTCCATTCCCCAAGCCACCATGCCTGAAACAGTCAATTATTAGCGTCATTGTTCATTTTTTGTTCTTTGAGATAGTCTATATTTCTTACCTGCGACAGTAACGCAATACCGTATGCAACAAAAATGATCAATGTCAATATCCAATGTGCAGTTGTTCCGCTGCTTCGGGTATACATCCAGAATTTAGACCATTGATGCATACTCGACACCGTGGGCTCTTTCTCCACAGCTTGAGGAGGATGTATTGAATCAGGAAGACGAGATTCTTGGAAATCTGTCGGGTTATCGCTCGATGGCTCTATCCTAGCCACAGGCAACTGGTTGACACCTTGAAAGCCTTCCACAGTCCCTGCAAATGATACCCTGCCCTGGTCAAGGCAAACCAAATATGCTGTGCGCGGCGAGCAGAGACCTAAGCTGTGGGTGGCCAGAAGGCGTGTTCTCCCGGATGACAAGGGACCAGTCAATGTGTGCTCATATAGATGCCGAGCAGTATGTACGTCAACTGCACTGAAGATATCGTCAATGACTAGCACTCGAGCTCGTGAGTAAAGCGCACGCGCCATGGTGAGACGCCATTGTTGACCTCCACTGAGGTTGGCTCCATTAGCCCATACTTCAGCTAGATCGCCCATTTGGAAAGAGTTTAAATCGGGTTGTAGAGCACAAGCATGGATAACCTGATTATACCTCCCAGAATCATATGGAAGACCAAAGAGGATGTTGTCTTTGACAGTCGCGGCCTCTATCCAAGGACTCTGGGCCACATAGGCTATTGAGTCATTTAACCAACCACTGTCCACCGTGCTGTCCCATGGCTGAGCGATGGGAGCGTGGATAGTACCCCCGTGTAGGTGGCATTCACCGAGGATTGATGCGAGCAGTAAGCTTTTACCAGAACCTGTGGGGCCTGTTATGAGGCTTAAGCTTCCCTGTGGGAATTGTAAACTCAAATCTTCGAGTCTTGCTTTCCCAGATTTTATAGGGCCACCAGGGCCGGAGATTGAGGCATTGCGAAACTCGATTGTGTCGGATTGGATCACTTGTTGAATCCTCGCCGGCGCATTCAAGAATTCTGCCAGATGCTCTGCACCAGTCAGGCTTTCCATGAAAGATGGAATGATACCCGGAATAGCAGACATGGAGGTCTGAACGGTGTTCAACATTGAAATGACCGCGAATGCCTTTGCCGGCTTGATTTCACCATAAATCCATGCATGCGTTCCCAAAAGCAATACCGACAGAAGAGTGGGCGTAATCAGATACAATGATCTCGTAAAAAGATCCCAGACTAGTATAGTGTGAGATTTCTGGAGCTCAGCATCACGGACCCCTTTCACCTTTTCCTCCCATTGCTTTTCAAGGGCCATTATTTTGGCCATCTTGATACAACGAAATACTTCAGTTAGACTGGATAGTCTCTTATCTCGAAGCATTCGCGTTTCTCGCCTGGCTGTACTCTGTATTTTGGTTGCTTGGCTGCTAACCAAAAAGGTCAAAGCAACAACCACAATAGCAGTCAACGCGCTGTGCCAACCGAGGAGACCGATAAGAGAATAGACCGAGACTAGAAGGTTCATAGACGTCCAGATACTTTGCATAACAGTATTGAAGGCCAGCCCACACTTTGTGGTATCCACCGTCATCAGGTTCACAATGCGATGCGCACTGTCGCTATCCCCCCATTCGGTGCTTTTTTTTGTCTGCAATTTGCCGTTAAGAGTCAAGGCTTTTGAAAAGATGGCAGGCGTGAGATATTGGCGTGTCCCTAGGATGAAGGTACTATGGGCGACCCAGTATTTATATGCATCGAACGGAGCCGATATGATTGGCGGTATCGCTAGTCCGGCGACATAAAGCCAAAGGACAGGCCCTTGGCGACTTCCCTCCTCCAACGTTCTCAGAGTAGCAAATAGCGAGGCCTGCGGAATGAAATTGAAAGATGTAACCAGGAGGGTACATATCAGGTGCGTTGTGAACGCGACACTATGTAGACGCAGCAAAGTCCACAGGAGATTTGTTCGGGTCCATTGAAATCTGTCCACGCGTGTCTGCATGAATACGTTATTCGACTCTAGAGAACGGGCTTTTTGGGGAATTTCGTGAGTATCAGAAACTTCAAGAGCTCGTGGCAGTTTTCCTACTGCCAGCCAAGGGCTCATCCACATGAATGTCATCCGCGATATCAAGCTGACAGTGGACTCTGGACTAACCAGCACGCCATTTCGGAAGACGTGGGGTCGCCTGGGCGTAAGAAGGTGGCATCCACATGCGGCGATGGAAACCCCAAGCTGGAAAAGTGAACGCATTCGAATAGATTGGTCGAACTTTACGCTAGAATATAGACCAGCTGATAATGAGAGCGCTGAGAGCAACTGACAGACACTGGCCTGCAAGCCAAGAGCAAAACGATTTGTACATTGTGGCTCTCGCCAAATTGCAACACATTGAATCAATAAAAGTACCTTTTAACTGACTTAGTATCATCAATTCAAATATTAGAGCCTGCACTCACCCATATAGCCATTTGTAACTGGTGATCAAGCAAGGATTCACCACCAGATCGGTCTATTAAAGCGTTCTTGCTGTCATTGAAGCATACCACACAGCCCATAATATTCATAATTAGAGATAGAGTGGCCTGCGTTGATTGCGAAAACTCTTGCATGGAAGTAAATGTAGCTTGGCCATCTTCATCTTCGTAGAGTTGACACTCATTTCGATGTTTTGGTTTCTCTCCATATTCTGCCTCTGAGAAAAGACTTTGCCCTGCTGGAATACTCAGTAGTGTAATAGCACCCAGTGCAATTGCCTTTGTGAATTTTAGGCCTGAGTCCCAGCCTTGTGAGACTGCAAGCAGATGGGTGCTATTCATTTCTCAGGACAATAGGCAATAAGGCCGCGACATTGGAGACGAGATTGAATAATCTGAAAATTCCAGCGTATGGAGCATGTGCTCTTGAATAGCCTCAGATTTAACCGAGTCTTGGAGTTGACAGACAAGATCTATATCATATGAATAAAGTATTGTTGACATTGGTTGAAAAGGCAATGTTTGAGCTTAATTCATCCTTCGGCGGGTTCACACTCGTTCGTTATTCAACCCCCTCGTGGATCAACAACCCTTGCATGACGATATGTATTTTTGCTTTTCAGAAGTTTTACGCAAGAGATGTGATCGACAGCCATACATGCCCGGGGACCCTCTGAGTCAAGGGGTAGAATTACGCGTTCTTTCAGCTTCTCACTGACTGGATCCTTGCCGTTTGTGACGTAGGGCAGAATGTTCTAATTTTCTGCCATATGAGGGGTTGTATTCGTCGAATACGGTTGGCAATTTTGAATCATCTTCAAGCAACTTGCTGGAGAGAGCTTCGATACTAAGAACCTTGGAATTTCACGCCCCTACGACAATTGATATGCCGCCTCAGTATTCACTCTAGAACCTACGAAACCGACTCTGCATTTCTGGTGGGCCTGGTGACTGCTTATAGGGCCCAACATTGAAAAGCCCCTTACCCATGAATATTTTGTACAATCACCTGGTCTTCGTTGTACAGTCGTCGACGTCTGGGGCTAACTTCAAATGTTGTTGGTAAACTAACTTAGTTAACGTAATTCCCGGTCGGGCTGTACACCCGGCCGAGCTGTACACCCCAACCCATTAGAAAAATTTAAATCGATATATATTGGCCAACATATATTAATTTAGCTAAATAACGCGATTTATACATCGATTGATCTTATGGCCAATATTCCCACATCCACTACACCGAGGCGGAGCCCTTTTGGCTGGCTGACCTGGCTGAATAGGCGTTTTGCCCTGTGTATTCGAATCCACCGGAGTAGCTTCATCTAGTAAATTTAGCTGCGTAGCTAGTTGTAGGCCCTCTTCGACCGTTAGGCCAGTATCACAGGGTATCTGCCTATTTGATCGATTGCGTTTTTGGCGTTTTTTCTCATTGGCTGTACGTAAATTTGCGTTTTCCTGTGCGAGTAACGCTGTGTTGTGTAGCGATATATAGTGACCTTTGATAATTTGATCTAACATAGTCTTCGATGGGCTTGGTGGGCTATTTGACCGTTGTTTTAATAGATCTTTCATCATAGAAGCTTGTTTTTGTAGTTGAATGACAGTTCTCGGCGTTTTTGGTGTAAATTGGCTAGATCTGCTGCTTGGTCGGCTTCCTGGGGGTGTTGGTGTTCGTAGAGAGATATTAAGCTTCGAAAGCACTCTTTCTGGATCAATAGGCACTAGGCCAGCAGCTATAAAGCTATTTTGAATAATAATTGGCTTTTTGAACACTTCCAGTCTTGCGCGTTGGTAGTCATCCAGAAAATCAAACTTATCAATGTGGTTATAGCCTACACGCGCAAGATCACTTATAAAGCGACCGTATGCGCGTTTAAGCACTGCGAAACATCCAACATCAAGCGGTTGTAATAAATGCGAAGAATGCGCAGGCATACAAAGTGGTATAATATTGTTTTCTGCGCAGATTTGGTCAAATTTAGCCGTAAGATGGCTACCATGGCCATCAAGAATCAATAGCCGAAACCGGCCATGTACGCGCGAATTTGTACATGGGATGAATAGTTTCTGTAGCCAACGTAGGCCAATTTCATCGGTAGTCCAGCCATTATTTGAGACCTCAAATCGCCAGTCTTTTGGTAGATTATCAAACCAACCAGCCATAGCAACTTGGCCTTTAAAAACTATACATGGCGGTAGCGAATAGCCATCTGCACAAATAGTTTCAATAGCAGTAACCCATTCGCGGTTTCCTGGTTGTAATATAGCTCTCCGACCGTAGTATCCAGCCCGCGTAACCACTTTCTGTGTTGAAATAAGACCCATTGCAAACCCTGTCTCATCGAAGTTGTAGATATCCTCCATTTGGATACCGTTATCGTCAATAGCACGTTGTACGGTCGCAAACCACTCTCGTAGCGATTTAGGATCTTCGTTTAATGCGCGTTGATAGTCGTAACGCCTAGAGAAGCGTGATCGAATCTCTTCGCGTCGATTTATGAAGCTTGATGGCCAATTTTTACCAACTGTTGGTGGAGGGTAGCTACCACGCGCAGCTAGTAGTATATTAGCCATCTCTCGTACAGTAGCTGGCCTAGGCGCTGCTCCACGCGTATCCATAGAGATTATCCATTCAACAAGTGAATCCTCTTCTAATTGTGTCAGTTTATGGCCATTTGGACGTATATCGACGCGTGATTGTACACCATTGACGCGCGTAGCCAGCGTTGTATGGGGGATATCGTATAGCTTTGCTGCTGCGCGGAGAGAGTTGATACGGCCATCTTTGATATCTTTAACGGCTAATAAGATCCTACCCTCTTTTCCGGCAGAATTTCGAGACGATTGGGCGCGAATTGGTGGCATAGTGGCTGGTTAAAGTTGGTATATTGGTAGGAAGATGTGATTTTTGATGGGGTGTACAGCTCGGCCGGGTGTACAGCCCGACCGGGAATTACGTTAACTAAACAATGGATTACATAAACCGCCAAGAATCTTCAGAACTTGCCTAAAAGGGTTTGCGATGGATGTTCCACGTGATACAGCACGGACCAGCTCGCTTAACGTTTTTCCGGCGCCGCGAGATCGCTATAAAATGTCTGTCTTACGATTTCTTCCTTCATCGTCACCTTACATGCCTTCGGTGTCATCACCACATAGGGCATAGCTCTTGGAATGTCAAATGAGCTTTTTATTCCTTTTGTAATCTATTGATCTGCTTTGTTTCGAAGAGACTATGCCGGCCCCAATTGCTGAGGAGATGCAGCCGGATCTGCATCATCCAGACCAGCTTCAAGCCGTGGGCAAAGCATTTGATGCCCTTCTACTAACCCTCTACCGGCTTACAAACAGACACAATGATCTCAAACAACACACCGATGATCTTTTTAAACAGGTAATTACTCCCCTTCTCTTTGATCGTTCCTCACTTGCACGTTGCCCCATCCCCCCCCCCCCCCCCCCCAAATGTCTCAAATGACGAGAAAATTTGATTAGCTCTAGATCACGAGTCACTCTTTTGTGGCGATGACGGATTAACATGTATTATCCGATGAGACTTTTTACACTGTCACTAGTTTCACTCAACTCATGACAAAGACATGGCGGCTAACATTCTGCCATATAGTATACTAGTGTCACTAGACAACTGCCTCCTCAAGATAGACCTCAGGCGATGGAAACTCAGCAAAGGTTACTGGATCAACAGAAAGAATTGTGTCTAGGCCTTGTGCACAGCAAATCTCGAATCGAAGAACAATCGCTGAATTCTATGGATGTAATCAAGACTCTCGTTTCACACCAAAATGTAGACGAAAATACAACCCGTGCTATCGCAGCCGGTGTCAAGGGCTATAAAGCCCTTCTTCGTTCCCAAGACGAGCTTTCCCAAATATCCTCTGCCAATTCATGCATGTTGGTTCGTGGACCAGACCTCTCAGCCTCGTTGGAGAAAGACTTCACCACCAATGGGGCTCAGGGAACTCTGCGTTGCCCATTTTCAAAGCCTCAAACACCCATAGGAAGCGAGGCGGCGAATGGATTAAAGGACGTGCCCAAGATCAGCGTCGATACATGTGGTCATGAGGACTTGGATCCTATTAAAGCCGAACAAGAAGAGCGACGGTCTAGTACGACGCCCTCGGCCCGAACCTCAGGCAGCCGATGCCCTGTATCCCGATGCCCGATCCGATACCTTGATAAACATTCCCCGGAGGAGATTGCTGAGTATGTCGAGAGACACAAGCATGAGATTCCCCGGAGTCATGCTATCTGCGTTAAACGATATCAAAGAGACCCCCAAAATATGCGGCAGCTTGATGCCAAGTATGGCGGTCTAATTAATATGATTAGTGGCCTGTCGGCTAAACACCAAGCTTTTCTACCAGGCCCAGACCGAGAGGCGAATGGAGATGGCGAGGACCAGAGTGTTCACACTGCGTCTACAGAAAGAGTCGAGAAATGGGCAGAAAACGTGAACCAGGCGACCCCTGGTCCTGATCCAGGAGTTTCAGTTGAGCATGAGAACGGGAACGATGATGACAATCGCCAGAGTCATTTCGACCGTCCTCTCCGTGAGGTCCGCTTGGGTGAATCTCCTAGCCGGCCGTGGGGTATTCATGTTCCTATCACCCAACCGACCAGCGCTTCATTGCCTTTGTCTGGATCTGTACCTGGTCCAATGTCCCCCGACTCTCGACCCATCGACCCCCTTGAGCAATTACCTACCGACACCCCGGCTAAGCCAGCTGGTCGCTGTCCATTTGGGCATGATGCACCTAAACCGGCAACGCCACCTATCGAACCCCCAGAGAAACCACCTATCGAGACACCGGCTAAACCAGCTGGTGGCTGTCCATTTGGGCATGACGCACCTAAAGCAGAAGTTGCCGAACCTGCGCCTCCTCCTGCTCCTACTCCTGCGCTTGAATTCAAGCCCGAGCCACCTGTTTCACCCTGGGCTAACTGGGGCAACGGTGCAAATGGAAATAAGGTCAATGCCGATATTCCCAAGACCGACGATGCCACCGAGAAACCAGACACAACCTCAATGCGGCCTCATATAACGTTCAACGGGCCGGTGTTCTTTGGGTATTCGCCAGAGCAAACAGCCAGTTTGCTGCAACAACTACGCGACCTTGGCCAAGTCAATATGTAGTATTAGGCCTCTCGCTTCTCATTCCTTTCCTCTATCTTGTTCTATATTTGCTTCTTTTGGTTCTTTTGAGGGAATCTGTTCTTGGCGTCCAGCGATTTACCCCATTACCTAACGACGAGATGACTTGCTTCAACTTTGTACTTGTATTCATGAGCGAATCGAATTCCAAACCGCTCTATTGACACATCCACCTGGATCTCTTTTCTAAATTTATATCATATTATATCATATCTTTCTTAATTGGTGGCACGGTTCATCCCGAATAACCTTGGTAGTTATCTAGATACTGAACAATGTTCAAGTTTCCCGACCCTCCATAGTTAACCGCGGGAAACGCCTTCCGCAAACACCCCACTAAATTCACAGCGGGGCACGGGCACGGCGGACAGTTTCTCCCATTTAATCCGCCCAACTATGCTACGAACTACTTCTCGTCTTACAGCTCTCTCTCGCTCCTTCAATACCACTCCTACTTTACGTCTCCCACTCTCAACCAAAATGTCTGCCCACATGACCCCTGTCACTGCTAAGGACGCTTGCCCCCGTGAGTTTACTGCCTCTTTCAAGTTATCAGTCCAGTCCCTTCCCCACCTGGGCAGTCCGGTGAGCTTGACTTGACTCAATTGCTAACGATTACTCCGGTATAGCTGCTGGTCCTTACGTACGTTCCCCTTCAACCTCAATCCAATCTCTGAACCTACCTTCATCCTTCCATACATACCTACCCTCCAATCTCTGAACGAATACTCCGCCACCCTCAATCCCCAGACAGCTCCAGAACCTAGACCAGAAGAACAAGAACAAGACCAAATTAACAATCCTATAGTCCCAGGCCATCCGCGCCAACGGCCAGCTCTTCGTCTCCGGACAGATCCCCGCTGATTCCACCGGCTCCCTGGTCGAGGGTAACATTGGTGTCCTGACCCAGGCCTGCTGCGACAACATCAAGGCTATCGTCACCGCTGCCGGATCTAGCGTTGACAAGATTGTCAAGGTCAACGTATGTTCTCCCTTTCTTTGCTTTCTTAGCACTGTTTCATGGAATGAACGGATGGACATAACTAATGATGAATTTTTAGGTCTTCTTGACTGATATGGCTAACTTCGCCGAGATGAACGCTACCTACGAGAAGTTCTTTGTTCACAAGCCTGCTCGTAGCTGTGTTGCTGTTCATCAGCTGCCCAAGGGTGTTCCCGTTGAGATTGAGTGCATTGCTCTTGAGTAAATCGGACATGTACTGAATTAAGGAAATAAAATGGAACTGAAATTGATTATGCAGTATGCTGTATGAATTATTCAAGTATTAAATGTGACAATGGTATGACTCAAGAGGTATTGGGTACGTACTAGAGGCATCTGATGTATGCAGTATAATAGTAGCTAGGCATGATATCTCTAGAAACTATGTTGAATGAACGTCTTAGTGCCAGGCAGGAAGGTATTAATGCAAATTATAAAACATACTGGATTTTATACAACAATGATCTACAAAACCGAAACCAATGCTAAAAGAAAAACACATCCTGGTGATTCCCGGGTATATAAAAACATTTCAAATGATATGCAAATTTGTGATAGGGACACCTTGCGAGCGCATTGTATACCTTCTTCGAATGCCGATCCCGGTAGCTCCGTGCAAAAGGGAATATGTTTCGTCGCCACCACCAACCATGACCATGCTAATGGGGTGATTGCGAGAAATTCCACCAGCTGTCACTTGACCTTCTTCGAGGTGAGGACGAATAAGGTATGGTTCTGCGCGTAGGGCAGCTAGTGGAACTCTTCGCTGAGGCCTTGGCTGGGGCTGTTCGCTGGTGTACTCTTCGGATTCGGATTCGGATTCGGGATCGTGATCATATGCAGGAGGTGCAGTGGGAGGAATCTCATCATCGTAGGAGACTACGACGACGAGTTTCAGTGATGATCGCGATTGCCTGTATGCGACGATGTTGCGTAGTTTTTGTGAAAATGTACACTGTCCTCGTTTGATTACCAAGACTTCGTGATTTTGGGCGACGTCACGCAGGATTCGCTCGTTACAGAGGTCCCCTGCGAAATAGATAGAGGACCATGACAGTCGAGAGGTTGATGGGTTTCCAAATAGCGAGACGCTGGCTGCATCGTCCACTTCGGGAAGAGGTGCAGCGCCAACGCCTATAGGTATAGTTGCTGGGAGGCTGAGGCGGAGGGGAGCATCTTCATGAGGGTCATCTCGGAGGAGAGAAGAGACCGAGTTGACTAGTGACGATAAGATAGTTTTCATGGGAGAGTCTAATGTTGGGCTATCGTGGACTGATGAGGCGGGTCCGGGTCGTGGTCGACCGAGTCGCTGTGGATCTTTCGAATCATTTCCATGTTCTGTTTCAGTTTGCTCAGATCGTGGATAAGCTGATCCATTGTTTCGGCGAGGGGGCTCTGGGAGAACGTCAATGACGAGATCTAGAATTGTACTGTCGCGGACTCGGGTAAAGTTGGGATCATAGGGATCGACAACGTCAAATGTGACCTGGCGTGAGAGATATACCTTCTCATCTTTGCCTAAGGGCACATTGTTGATCACTTGCACCCGGAATCCGTCTCCTTCTTTGCCTTTCTCGGTAGAGATTAGTGGCACATCTTGGATCATGCTTAGTCGAAGTCCTCCGATGGTTTTGACGAGAATTCCGTCTTGAATTCGCTCCAAGGCTCCAGGTCCTAGGTTGACGCCGCCAGGTAGAGATGGGAATGAGATGTCGAGCGTTGGGCGGACAGCCATGGGCGCGCTGGTTGCGTCGAAGGGAACGAGTTGTGGAGGGAGCGTCCAGGGGTAAAATGTATAGTTCGTCGGCGATGTTAAGTCAGATACTAATACACTTTGGTGGTTGCGTGACTCCGGTAGGATAGGTCCTTCATTTGTGCCGCGGCGAGGACGAAGGTGTAAACGCGCCAAGCTGGCAGCGTGGAAGATATCAGACCGGGATGCTGTATATGACACGCCGAAGCTGAGTGAGCCAGGAACTACGGGGCAGATATTCTCAGCAGTGTGCTGAAATGTGGAAACGTCTTGCCGGCGATTGGGCTGAGGCTGAGCTGGCCTGGTCTTTTTCGGAATTATCAAAGGATGGCCCTCCGTGGAGAATACCCACGGCGCATCCAACTTGTTCAGGGGATGTTCGGGAGTGAAGAGAAGGAACATATACTTGGCAGTTTCTCCGAGGAAGAAACTTTCCATGCGATCGATCATCTCTCCAGTTTGAACATTGCGTAGTCCAGCCCATCCACATTTTGTCCAGCATCGGCGCTTGATGTCACGAAGAACCATTTCTCCGACATGTAAGTACCAGGGATCTTGGGTTGCCAGGTAAATATAGTATGTAGATTCGATGAATTCAGGTCGACCACCATACCAGGAAAGACCGCCGTCAATATCACCTGTAGCCACATTCCACCGCTCGGGAAGGCCAGAAAAGCGGGTCCAAATCGCGGTTGTGAGAAGATGGATTTGAATCGCCTCGTCTAGCTTTCCATCAAGTGCCAAAAGTCCCGGATAGTATGCACTCAGGCTATCAATCCAGAAGGCCCGGGTAGCTCCCGTGATTACATCTCCAACAACTAAATGGGGGTGTTGATACCCTTCACCTCGGTATAGATGGCGGTTGATTGATTGATGTGAATCCTCCCAGACCTGGAGAAAGGAATCGGGAGAATGTTGATCTTCCGTTAAGGGGAGATAATAATCATCCAATGCCTTCCAATGGCTCTTGGTATCAAAGGGGGGACGTTCTCCTTCGGAAAGCAGAACATGGGATTTGAGGGCATATTCATAGAAACTGTCAATGCCGGCACCAATCTAATAATATTTGTTAGCATTACTTCCTGACGGTATCCTTCATGTCCTTTCTACTTACCCCAGCATATGAGCCGACCCATTTACCAGACTCGACATCAATCCCAAATCCAAGCAAGTCAATGTCACTGCGGCGAGCCCAGACAGCCCAAAACGCTCTCTTGGCTAGTTCCTCATATCGGCCATCACCGGTGAGTCTGCTCAGGACAGTAAATTCAAGAACCAAGCTGCCTGCGCCTGCACTGCAGGTCTCAGTCACTTCCGCGGTAGCCAGGTAGGAGTATTTCTTCTTCTTGGTTTCTGGGCGAGACTTGAGATTCAAAGGCGAGTTTTCATAGAATGGTATCCCATGACGTAGATTGACGCGCGGATAAGGCAGGCCGGTCTCCGTATAAAATGCGGGAAGGAGCCGATGTGCTAAATCAACTGCCAATCGGAGTAGTTGGCCATCGTATACGAATCCATTCCTCCATTCAATTCCATGATCATTTTCAGAGAATAGTGTCTTGTCCCACGCAGCTGCAAAGGATGCATCTTGTTCTGAAGGTGTATATCCAGTGATAGGTAGCTCGCCTATGGCAAAAAGATGTGAACTAAGTAATCCACCTAGACGTTCATGTTAGCTTACCAGCTATAGCGTTTATAAGTCGCCTAAAAAATCTAGGAATATCCATACCAAGTCCTCGAATAACAGTCTCAAACACTTGCACCTTGCTATCAATATCAAATCCCCTTGCACGCTCTCCCCGACCAGCAGGGCCGCGCGAACCATCCCCATACATTCTAACAAAGTCTTTTACACCATCTTGAAAGTATCCAAGAGACTGGTCTCCACTCTCTGGACTCGAAGACAGAATAGCCAGCGTTGACAAACTATCAATCAACGTCAAGGAATAATTGCCCAAGACATCGTTATGTTCGTCGCGTTTCTCGTCGCGAGTCAAGGGTCCACAGGTTAAGGGCCGTAGTTCGTCTTCGGGAAATGCGTGCTCGAGGTAATTTTCAAAGCCATGATAGAACATGCGCTCAGTTTCTTGTCTACAGGAAAGGAAAGGAGATCAGCATTGTTTGGCCAGGTACGCAGGTAGGGATGACATCGCCAATCGCCACGGAGAAGGGAAGTAGCTAAGTGCCATATTCATAGTCGTACCGGAGTTCTTTAATTTGGTAATCTCTCATTCCATGCGCTGTGGTGAGCCATAGCGATAGCAGAATGGCCCAGAGTACCATTATCCAGGCGCGACGAGGGTTGAACATTTGCAAACTCCAACATCGCGTGCGCATCAGCTGAGCGGTCGGTCCGCTGGGGTTCGTATAGGGTGGCAGACGGAAGCCTGTCGGGTGAACGTTTGGGTTCGGGAGTCTGGTCCTGGGCTTATAGTGGTAATCTTGAACGGAATGGAGTGCCCAGGGCTGGTGGAGGGGAGAAAAGTAAACGGGGGTGGATACGGCCAGATAAGCCGATTCGGGAATCTTTTTTTCGCGCTTTGGGTCATTGCATCATATGGACCTTGACTGGTTGTGGGAAGCCCTGAGCGGCGGGTTTAGTGTAATTTTAGGTTTTAGGAGCTGGAAAGTTTTCGAATTGTATTGAAATATAGTTTGAATGGTAGAGGTTTGATATTTTATTGTAATTAGAGCTGTTTTAGGGGGTTGGAGTAAGTATAGCTATGATATACTCGTAGAAGTTGGTTATAGTATAGAAAGGGCCTACAGTTGATGTGATACATGGCATTTAGGTATTTAGTTTTTTGAAGGCAAATTTAATCCGAATGCTTCTCACCCAGTCAATCATTTGACTAACTTGTAGTAAGTCATTACTTCATAACGGCCCGGGCTTATTGTGTACAACCTTTGAAGCTACTATATGGAGTATGGAGCCGCGAAACAGATGTCGGATTTAGATGTTGACCGGAACAACAGATGGAGAATACCAAAAAACGCCTTATATAAAGATATAGTGTACATCATTGGGACCATATGTCTGCACATAGAGAGAAAATATCATAGTACAACAGTAGATAGTCCTTTGCTTGGGCAGCTTTCTCATTTAGCTGGTTCCGCAAGTCGATATGGGTTCGAGATGGAAGGATAATTAAGGATCAGATCATTTCAACGCCCGCTTGTCCCTAATTACAAATGTTTTATGTGTTTTTCACTGACTTTCCATGCTTATTTGCCCAATTCACCGAGCATGAGATTGCGGTCAGAAGAGCAAGAAACAACTGTGCAGAAGAAAAGGTTAGCATGTCCTTAGTTTCGTCGACGAGAAGGTTCAAAACTTACTAATAGGTTCATCGTTGGGGGAGAACTGCACATCGTTGACAGTACCCTTGTGGCCAGGAAGCTTGTAAAGTAGTTTTGTTGTCTTAGCGTCCCAAACAACCACGCTACGATCACCACTTCCTGCGCCGATCTTCTCTCCCTTAGGATCCCAGCTGGCACGAATGAGGTTCTTCTCAAGACCAACGGGAGCGCCGTCAAATGTGTTAACCAGACGGTTAGCTGGCGCGAATGGTCGGATATCCCATGTTCGGACAGTGGAGTCATGGGAGTTGGATAGCAGAGTCTGTGAATCGGGAGAAATCTGAAGAGAGGTGATAGTGTCGTTGTGTCCAGCCATAGAGTAAACCACAGCTTTCTTCCTAAGATCCCAAACATGGATTGTGTTATCAATACCGCCGCTGTAAATCTCATTACCTGCTTCCGACAGTGCGACTGCAGTGATGGGAAGTTCGGTCTCAAGATACTCCAACGCATCTTTTTGTCGTGGGTCCCAGATTCCTATGCACCCATCGTCACTTCCGCTGACTAGCAGTTCTTGCCCGCGCTTGCTAATATCGAGACAGTTGATGATCTCCTCGTGGCCGATATGACGACGCACACGCTGCCCGGTCTCTGCATCCCAACTTCCAAGTGTCATATCTGCTGATGCGGAGAAAATTGCTCGTGAATCGCGCGCCCATTGAAGGTCAAGAATGGCGCCCTTGTGGCCTGTCAGTTGACCGTAGTTATTACATTGCCCGTATGTGTTCCAAAGTACTATATCGCAGATAGGTATTAGTTTCAATGCTTGCGCGCAAGTCAATTTCGTGCAAGGACATACAAATGGATCGGTCCATCGAGCCGGAGGCAATGTGTTGTGCAGTTGGATCAAACCGGACTGTGAAGACCTCGCCAGAGTGACCTATTTTCCTTTTGTTAGAGGCGATCAAATCAATTCAATTGGGCAAGCGTGTCTCACCAGTAAGTTCCATGATAGGCGCATCAAGGCCGCTGGTACGAGGGATCTATTTACAACGTTAGCTAAAGCTTAATCGGCCGATCCCACTAGGACCCTCGGCCTTGAAAAAAAGCTTACAGCCTGGATAAGAGCTCCATTCTGCGAGGAACCCTTCACGACTGCTGTACCGGGGTTGAGGTCGGCATCGGCTTTATTTCTTTTCACCACGAGTGAGTTGGAGGACCCGAAAGCCTCCTGCGCGGGGCGCTTCTCTCCAGACATATTGATGATAAAGCCTGAATAGATCCGGACCCAAAAGAAGAAGAAAAAATGGGCCTAAAAGTCGACGAGCGAGAGGAAGCGTGGCGTGCGCAGATATTCCTTGACGATCTGAAGAAAGCGGGAAGAATGATAATCCCACTCTTTTTCGGGCGGTGAGAATATGGGTACAGCGACAGCTCTAGCAGCATCAACAATTCCCCGCAATCAACCTCCACATAACTCCGTTCAAGAGTATATCTTTTCTGTGCGGAACCATCGTGGGAGTCTTGAAGTCATCGGATCATTCGAGAAATATCGATAAAGGCAGCTTAGCCTTACACATCCGCCATGTCAGCCAATAAAGCCTCCAGAATAGGAGAAGAGTGAGTGAGCTTCTACCTTAGTCTATAAAGTGTTCCCTACTAATTAATGACTATTTTGGGCAGAATATGGAAGTCAGTAAGCTGCTAAACCTTGGGAGCTACGCATCGACCTGTTGCATCGAACCCAAAATCTGCTTTATCTCCCCCCTACGAACCTACCTATCTAACCTATCCGCTCGGAGTTACAGAACAAGAGTCGATAAAGTCAATGCGGAGCTAGTCACATTAACCTACGGTACCATTGTGGCCCAATTATGCCAAGACTACAACAGCGACTACCAGGAAGTGAACAAGCAATTGGATAAAATGGGGTATAATATTGGTATGCGGTTGATCGAAGATTTCCTGGCCAAATCGGGGGTCGGCCGGTGTGCCAATTTCCGCGAGACAGCGGATATGATTGCCAAAGTGCGTGGTAACAATGGAGATGGAGATTTATTTATCTTGTCCTTTTCGGAGTGGAGTGGAGTCGGGAATATGCAATGCTGACACGCTTTGGTTTGATTAGGTGGGCTTTAAGATCTTTCTGAATGTTGCTCCGACAGTCACCAATTGGACTAGCGATAACAACCAGTTCTCATTGATCTTCGATGATAATCCGCTCGCGGACTTTGTGGAGTTGCCGGATGATGGACGGGCACAAGATGAACTTTGGTTCTCTAATATCCTGTGTGGAGTTCTTCGGGGGTCGCTAGAAATGGTATTTTATTCTCCCTCTCTGTTGCTTTTTGTTTCATGTTTATCTTGGATCTTAAAAATCTCCGGGGATCCTTGGTGTTGGGTCCGATCGCTGACCCGAGATCCAGGTTCAAGTGCAGATCGAGGCACACTTTGTGAGCGATGTACTTCGTGGAGACGACACTACGGAGATGCGGGTCTCGCTGGTCCGATACATCGAAGACGAGATGCCTCCAGAGGAAGAGTAAGATGGCGCAAGAGCATTTCCCGGGCGTTTTTGGCAGACTACGATGGGTAATGATTTTTTGAGGGTTGCAATTCTATTTCTATTTGATGATACTCTTTATTTTTTCTTTCTTTCTTTCTGAGTCTGCCCTCTTATTATTCTTATTATTTTGCTTGCTTTCCCAGGTGTAAATATGTGGGTTTGTGGTCTTGGGTGATCTTGATATGTAGTATTAGGGTTTATGATCTATCAGTATGTAGGAAGCATCATCTCCCCGCCACGCGATTTATCACTGGCATCGGACCGGGTTGTGGTGTATTTTTTCATGAATAGACTTTGATTGTGACTTTTTGTTCCTGAAGATGGTAAGGTGAAGAGCCTATAAATGACGAGGATCGAGAATATATTGCAAGTTAATTTTTATCATATACAGTAGAAGTTGATGTATATCGTAATAATGTTCCGTGGTGTGTACTCTAATCCTCATGATCTCCGGAGTGTGCCATGATGTAGACAACTGGTTAGAGTGTAACAATACCGTACGAAGATCCCTCCGCCACCCTTCAACTCCCCCCCCCGAAAAAACTTACAGATCAACTTTTTCTTTCTTTTGTCCCCCTTGACTTCTTGACATCTCGATATTTTCCCCTCCCATCGTCACTTTTTACACTTGGTTTGAAAAAGCTTCATTGTCTTGATTGGTTCGATCGCCGATCTTCCACTTCTACTTTGCGTGGAGCCGAAGTTTAGACTTGCGGGATCCATTCTTTCTATGGAGGTATCAATCGACCCATTTCCGTCTTGTCTGATGGTCTTTTTCTTCTTTCTTCCCTCATTCTGATTCTTGTCTATTACTTATTTTCTCTGATATTTGTCAAGTTTGTTCGTGTGCTCACTTCTTCTTTTTATTTTTTCCCTAGTGAATTTCACCGACACCCAAAAACCCTCAGCTTATTCTATTCTTATTTGATCATTTTCCTCCCATATTCGGTGCATGCCCAGAAATACGCTTGACAGCGCCATCCCCAGCCCCGGAACATTCGTTCATCCGATCCCGAGCAAGCGATTCTCCAGAGACCGACAGAGAACAAGAGCAAAAGCAGTGACAGTCGCCGTTAATCCCTCCCCCCGGCTCCTCTTTTCTCTCTGCTACCACTGAAGGAGACTCCACCTCCCCTAACTCAACATCGGAATAGTTGGTGAGTTGACTTCTTCGTTTTACGTCTTGGTGGTGGACATATCTCTTGCTGGTTTTTGTCAACCCGGCCCGATCGGGCTCCCTCCCCTCCCCCCAGCGCCCGCCCCCATCTTCTCTGGTTTCACTGGTTGCACTACCTTTTCCCGCCTCCCTGTTACCTCCGTCATCGCAACCCTATCAATCCGCGCTTTCCCTCTTTCCTTCGTGGGATCGCTCGGTTCTTTTTCTTTGTACTTCTCATTTTTTTTGCATTGAGCCGTGTTATTAACATTTTCGTCTGATTTATTCAGTACTTTGGGGCTTATCTGAGAGTGATCCTCGACGCCACCCGAATTTAGAGATCCTTTTACCCTCTCGTCGCGTGGCTTCCATCCGGAGAAGACGTCCTCCCGACCGCTGCAGATCTCTATCGCAACTTCTATCTCGTTACGATTACCGATTCATTTCGTGCACGCGCCATTTACTTCACGCGTCTGGAAGTTCGTCAGGAGACTGTTCTCTTGCCGTCGGTATCAAACCCGCCGCATCGAAGCGCCCTGACCGCTTCTCCTGATTCCCTCCCGCTCCAACGCGTTACGTTTACTCCTTGCACCCCGCGCTAGGCCTCATCGCCTGAGACGGTGGATGCGCGTCTGGATATCCCCAGTCGCACTGAATATTTGTTTCGTTTTTTTCACATATTAATAGGCAAGGGTGGTTGCAGTCCCACCGTTCGCCACCATGAACCAAATGAACCAAATGAACCAGATGAACGTCAATATGAATCCCGGAGTCGCTGGCCCAGTCGGCGGCGTTCCTATGATGAATAACGGTTCTGCGGCTCCACGTTATGACAGCCCCATGAATAACCCTGACTACCTGATCAATCAGCTGAACACCTACATCTACGATTATTTCTTGAAACGTGGCCACCATGATTGCGCCCGCGCTCTCGTCCAGGATGAGTCCTTTAAACTCAACACTGAGCCGAACACGAAGACAAGCCCGGGAAATGTGAATGGGATCGATGGTGATTCGATGATGGTAGATAAGGACGGTGAGAAGATCAAGATCCCTGATGACCTCCCACGCCCCAGTCTCGCAAGCGAAAATCTCCAGTCCTCGTTTTTACTGGACTGGTTTAGTCTCTTCTGGGATTTCTTTTTCACTCCTCGCAAGAAGGGTAGTAGTCAAGACGTGAGACAATACCTTCAGCAACATCAGGTTCGTCACTATCTTGGACAGGTTCTAATGAGTCACTAAAATCTGACTTGAGCTTACAGACTATGATGCGCATGCGAGAGCAGCAAAATCCCCTTATGCGCGCACAGCCAATGATGCCAGGTCATATGAACCAAATGATGCGCCCCCGAAATGGTGGCATGGTGCCACCAGGGGCTAACAATCTAACCAAGGCAGTGTTGCAGAACAACACTTCTGGAATGTATGCTTCGCTCATTTATTTCCTCCGATTTTTGCGCCTCCTTTAGAGAGTACCCTCGGTGCAAGTGGTTGTGGGTCGCTGACAATTACCTTTACTTCACGTCTATAGATCCCCACAGCAGATGGCGGCATTCCAGCAGAAACAACAAATGCAATTGATGCAGCAGATGCGTGAACAATCCGACATGGACATGAACGGAAACCGACCTCAGTCCCCCGCCTCTGCCGATAACGCCCCCTCGCCGTCGAAACGCCCTCGCCTCGCAGATGGTACAGTAAATGGCCAACCGCTGGCTCCTGGTGGACGTGGACAAGGACAGGGTATGCCGGGTCAGAACCCGCAGATGGCGATGCAGAATGGGATGGCACAGCGGGCAATGAACCCGGTTCAGTTCCAGCAGTTCCAACAACAGGGACAGGTTGCAGCGCAACAAAAATCTATGCAGGTATATGCTCAAAACTTGGCCCTTCATCACTCTCGCTCAGCATCGAATTCCCAGGGTATCCCGAACGGTGGTATGATGAACCCCGGTGTGATGCCTAACCAGGCGGATCTGGTGGCTATGCCTGATGGACAAGGAATGTACCCTATGGGTGCGGAGTACTATGGTGCCAATGGTCAGATGCCCCAGGTTCGCCCCGGTATGGCGGGCACACCGAACGGTCAGCACGGCAACCACGCTCTCCAAGATTATCAGATGCAACTTATGCTGCTCGAACAGCAGAATAAGCGTCGTCTGATGATGGCTCGACAGGAGCAAGACACCATGGCCCGCGACGGTCAACCGTTGCAAGGAGGTGCTTTGCCGCCTGGCACCTCTCCTCAGGGCAGTCGCACCGGTGCATCGCCAAATCCGAACGAACAAATGAAGCGAGGCACACCTAAGATGCCTCAGTCTGGCCTTCCCGGATCGCCTAGTGCCGCCGACCTCGGTCAGAACCGTGGATCACCGGGCTCCATGAACTTGAACGGTGGTCAAATGCCGCCTGAGATGGCCGCGCAATTCTCCTTTGGACAAGGTGGACCCAATATGCGCCCCCCAAGCTCTAACCCCTCCTTCAGTGGACCTCAAATGGGCCAGCCCCTCACTGCTAATGCTGCTAACCGCGTACCTAGTGGTCAGTGGCAGCCAGGGCAAATGCCTCCTCAGCATTCTCCTGCTACTCAGCCTCAGGCTGGCACACCGCAGGATCAGAGAGGTAATATGCCTCCACCTCAGGCACCACCTGGTGCTGGTGGCAACGCCGGCCGTGCGCAGGAGTCTCCAGCTGGTGGGAATGCACCCCCAACTCCCCAGCCGCCTTCTAAAGCAGCCCCCAAGAGGGAAAAGAAGAAGGCCGCAGCCAAGGGAGGCAAAAAGAACGCGAACGCTGCCAACCAAGCTACTGGTGCTACCCCATCTACTGAGGCCGCCGATCCCCCGCAAACTCCCAACCCCTCTACTCCTGTTACGCCTCATCCTCCTAATAATACTCTGCGGGGTCCAGCCAATGCGGCTGCAGGCGCTCCACCTCAGCAGACATCGGCTCCCGCTCCTCCACCAATGGTCCCAGCTGTTCCAGACCAGTCTCAACAATTCAATGATCTCGGCATCTCTGAGGTAAGCTTTTTTTACAAATCTCTTTGTTAACTAATATTCCGTAACTGGTTATTGACTTTTTTTGTGATAATAGAACGCGCCCTTCAGTCTTGATTTCAGCGCCCTGGATAATCCCGATATCTTGGAGAGCTTTGACTTTGATACATTCTTGAACACTGATGCTGACGGTACTGGGTTCGGATTTGATCCTAACATGTCCTACCCCCCTGACGGTGTTGAGACCGGGGCCGACGGTCTTTCATGATGAAAAAGTCTTGATGGTTTCTCTTCAGGTGCTTTGAACCTCTCCGATATACCCTTGTTTTGTACATTTGATTTCTTTTGACCTGTGCTGGATTTGAAATTCTTCGTATTGCGGATACTCGTTCCCTTCTGCTTCCTTCCTCTTTTCGACCTATTCATCCTTATACCTGCTCTTTTTTTTGGTTGGTTCCATGCCGGATATGTGTTCGTGCGCATATGCTATGAGATTGGCGTTGGTGTGTTTCAAATGATCGCATTCCTTTCCTCTTTATCCTCTCCCTCCTTATACCTCTCTACGCTACGCCTCTCTCCCTCTCCTCATCTACCTCTCGTCAATCAAGTCCTCGCGTAAAACTTGATGTTTGGATTTGGCGTCTCTTTTTGTATTCAAGATTAGTGCACTGTGACCTACGAGTTTTGGCTTCGTTTCTTTCTTTCTATTACTATTACTTATTCTCGTGCGGTTACTTAATTCCTTGCTCCGTTCAACATGGTATGCTATAAATGAGAACCATTCTCAGTATCCTAAGCGCCACCTTATCTGCTTCTCATTTCCTTGACTGGAGCTTTATTTCTTTTTCTTGCCCTTTCCATTCATCCCAGGTTATTGAACGTTCTTCATATGAGTGGCTACGATAATCTACACACCCTCGCACTATCTCGCTTTCAAACTAGTAGGCTCTATAGCCAAATAGACTTTGACCATCTACTTTGTAGATAGTATGAAAAGAGAGAAAACACTACCTACTAGTACAGATTAAAATACAAGGCTAATAATGTCGGATCCAAAAATGGAAGCAGGCTTTGCTTGCCAAAGTGCTGTAAGGCTCCGAGTCTAAAGTAGGTTGAGACCATAAACTTGTGACGTTATGATGCGCATTGCACCTGGGCAACTTTAATCCCCCACAAAAGCTTGAGAGTCAACTTATTGAACTTTCATTCCCATTCCCAAACCAGATACAATACCAACATGGACTCCAAATACACAAAACAGCAAGATGAAATCAACAAACGCACTCCGGGTCCTGCTGTGTTATCCAAAACCCCCCTTCTATCATCATTCCTAAAACGCCTCACAAGCACCAAGCGACATGTTACCACAACTTCCCTAGATAATTATTTATTACTCGACATCCACGGGTTGCTACCCCTAATCGACAAAACATGCCTATCACTCACCTGCAAGCGATTCTACACTCTATTCGAAAAGAAACTTAACAAAGAGCTCTCTTTCCCTAGACTTCTATACCTGGGCATTCCTATTCTCTGCGTGAATAGCATTCATGTCATTCGAACTCTGTTTTTACTGAGGCTTCAAGATCGTCGATGGTCATTCTGTGGAGATTGTTTGAAGCTTCATCCGAAGAAAGAGTTTCCGAGAGATTCTCGTAAACTCTTATTTAGGGTGTTTTTTGAGAGGCCCTCTAATCTGGGTATATCCTTTAAGTTGCCCTGGTGATACTAGGAGTGTTGAGTCCCATGAGCTGCTAGCGATTATCCGTATGCTGCAGGAGTGAATTCAGTAGTCCAGGAGTTCGGTCCGTCCAGTTATCGCAATAACGTTCCACATCCTTACTCCATCCAGACCGGTAGTATTGGCTGGATAAAAAAAGCTTCGTCTTTTCTATACCGGGGTGAGCAAGGCCTGGTTAGCAGTGGATGTTATTCAACAGCCGCGCGCGTAAGTCGCCTTCATCCAACATCACCAGTTTCTCACTAAAAAACAGTAGGCCTTTGTTAAGCGTCTACTCTCCCGGGTCCGCAGATACTGCGCGATCGCATAACCCGTGTAGACTCTCGTTATCCCGATTCGATGCTAGCACATAATTGACCAGACTAAGAAAAACTGGAGAGATGGTCGACTCCAGGCGATTCTAGAAACAGGAAGGAAGCAAGACCTGCTCTTTTCTATCGCGGTAAGTACTGTCTCTTTGTGAGAGAGGGTATCCGTAAGGATATTAGCTCTCCCCAGTCTATGTCTGAGTATAAACTGGTAACTAGCCAACTCCTTTATCCACCAGACTTACCGCGCGTTAAGGTGTTTCTTTGTCGCAAACTAATGCAAAGCTTCGTGGCCAGAGAATACGTCGAAACTTATCCCCTGTAGTCCAGTAGCTGAAACCCCAGGACGGTGCAAGTCAAACGAAAACCGCACGATAAATGGAATAATGAGAAAGGAAACCCCGAAGAGTATGGAGAAGGAAAGAAAGAAGGAAAGAAACAAAAAAGGAAGAAAGTGATATACACACTTATACGTATCTTTATGAGATTATTTGCATAGTCTTTCTATTTAGATATAAATTTAAGCAGTAACTGTAAGTATCGGTGGTAGCCTAAAGGAGTCAAGCGAATATCCCTATAATCTATAGTCAATCACCTAGAGAGCTTATAGGAGTGAAGTTTTATATGATATTGAAATTACTAAAGTGTTACTGGCCTAATAAAAACGGATGAGATCGAAACTTAGTAACATTTAATAAGAGTAACAAAGCTAGAAGTAAAAGAGAGAGAGGTAAACTTCAAGGTATCTGTTTAATGATCTCTTGCGACCGTATAAATCAATCTTAGTGCAGCTCCGCTCGATGCGGATAGGTCTTCCTCACTTCTTGTACCAGATCAATGAGGCTGAAATCGATCAGTACCACTGTGCGGAAGGATCCCAAGCCCCAAAGCACGTGTTGCTGCATTGTTCGCCATACAGTGGTCTGAGGAAAGTTCTCATGGATGATATCGCGCCGAGGACCGATCTCAAGGGAAGTTTTGACAAACTACAAGGCCATTGCCTCATCCGCGGCGGCTTGCTACTCGCTGAATTCATGATGGAAATCGGCCTTCTGGGGACAATTCCAGCACCGTGGGATCAAGCGAGAACTCGCTTAGCCACCTCGGAACGTGATATTTTCGAGCTTGTGTTTTGACTCCTAAAGGAAAAACGTGTTCAAAGCAATAAAGTTAAGCCTCGTGTCTGGTTAGGTTACCTCGACGGCTATATTATCACGGTTATTAATATTATGTCTACGATCCGATCGGAAATGATAATCGTTAGCTGTGATATAAGCTTTTATGAAGGTAATTTCAATGATTGACTATGCTATTAGAAGAATCGATCCTGTAGTCATAGCCACAAGAAGGTATTTTGTCGGAGGAAATATTTTTATTGTCAATAACTTTTATAAATCAATCTTATAGCAATGAGACAATCGCAACAAGACGATGGTCGTAACGACAAAAATATAAAAGCAATAATGATTAGAAGAAGAAGAAGAGATCCGATAAAGCCTTAATACTATAACTACCAATACTACATAGTGATAATAATAGTATATTACTATTATAATATAATCAAAATAGAACAAGTCAAGAACCAGTTGTTTATTACTTTATTTAAAAAATTGTATCAACTCGAAGATTGAATGTATATAACTTATGAAGACTAGAATCTACGAACCGAATAATATTAATTATATACTTTAACAAATCCTAGTAGAATTATATTTGCTATTATATTCTCCAACATGTATGTCTAGCGATGATGCCGGAGAAGCACAGACCAAGGCTTGGCGTCATATCATCCCGCTCAGGCTTGTACAAAGAGCCCAGTAGAGCTTCTAGCTCCGCCACTCCACAAAATACCTAATCCATACTCTAGCCGAAATCCGACATACTCTTGTTCTAGCTCTCCACGACAAGAACCCTAGAGTCAAGATACCCCAGGAGTTACATACTAAATTCAATCTCGCCGAAATGTCTAATATACCAACCGACTCAGACAGTGACTCGGATGTGGAATTCGAGGATGTGCCTCTATCATCTCGTCAGCGCGCAACAGATGACACAGGTGCTTCAATCCATTCAGTCTCCTTCCAAACACCCCGACAGCCATGGGTCCCAACACTCTTCTTATCAGCTCAACGGGCCGAACCTATCCGTCCCGGCTCGGAAGAAGAGACCCAGCTGCGTGGTCGGCTGAGTACGGGCATAGAAAGGATTAATTATCGCCATATGAAGTCTCAAATGGGTATGGATGAGTCTAGTCCTGACTCTGGCGCTCAGGCTTCTGAGAGACGATTCGAGGGTTTCGGGGAGTTGGCTGCTGAGGTTGGTGGGCTGGTTGATATACTTTGGGCTTCTGCGAGTCGTAAGTTACTTTATCCTCCCCTGTATGTTCTATTTGTCTATTCATGGATTATCTTTGATTTACTATTTGTTTGTTTATTCATTTGTTTGGAATATACAATCACTATAGTAATAACCTCTAACTGGTAATTCACTATTTAGCTTCTATCCAGGTTGAAGGCCTTATCTCTCTAGCCGGATTGACTGAAATGGCTCTTTCAACTTACAATTTCGACCCGGAAGCTACGCTAAACATTCTACATAAGTTTGATGTTGTCTTCGCTGCTCTATGTACGGGTCTACATCCAAGTACTCATACTCCCCTCCCTGGTATAGTAGATGGTCGTCCGCTCGTTACGCAGACGCAGAAGGTGCGCATTCGAAGTTTAGCGGAGGGGACACGGACAAGGATCTTTTCTTGTCTAAATGAGGCGGAGTCGAATGATAAGAATGGATATGTAAATGGGAATGGGAATGGGAAGGTGGATGAAAGTGAGGAAAATAGCGATATTGATGATGATGCTGCGCATGTTTCTGCGCAGCCTTGGTTGATGGAAGCGGCTGGTGTCTATGATAAGACATTGATGTTATTGGCAGATCAAGGGGATGGGGCTGGGGGAGAGATGCCGTTGGAGGGGGGTTGTTTTGCTGGTTGAGTGCCAGTGTCTTCAATTTGAAAGCTGAATATTGGCTGTGCTGGGTATTACATATGGTGTATATCAGAGACGATTCAGAGTTTACAGTTTTTATTCGTCGAATGAAGTTCTAGGGCAAATTTAAAGGTTGTCTGGATAATAGGCGGAGCTGAGCTCAGCTGTAGATGATGCATATGTGGAGACCTACAAAGTTTGTACGCACAGTAAGTAGGCCTTCAATGTTTAGAGTTATTTTGGAATATAGTCTAATCCTATATATAGCCAGAAACAGGCAGACCTTTTCATTGAGGCTCTATATTTAGATATGAACGAGGTCAACTGATATACCCAGGCACAAACCTGCCAATCACCAACTGGGACATAATCAATATGCGATAGCGACGATAATCGATAATCCTCGCCTAAACACCAAGTGTATATAGACGACATCAGTCTACAACAGTACCAAGTAAGTACAACGGCCCACCCACACGCGATAAACGACCGAATCTTCTCGAAGACACCAGCAACAAAAACAAAATTCAAAGTGGAGCATCAGGTACAAAGAATCGCGTCCCAAACCTCCGGGCCATGGTGTCCACAAGTCTGTACAGTAAGTTAAGTTTCCAATTCAAATCAAGGTGTAATTGTAAGCGGGCCCTGCCTGTGGGAGTGGAGTGGAGTGAGTGGGTGAGTGAGTGTAATGGCTCAAACCGGTGCAGCGCCCTGTATGCGGAATACATTACCAGCGGCAAATACAATCAGCTACGCTTGTAATGAACGAAGCGAGTCCTAGGCTTCTCTTTGGATAAAGCGTCGCGAACTAGTGTGGATGCGAGCCCTGAAAGTGGAGCTTTTGGGTTTTGGGGCTGCTCAGCCTCGGGCCTGAGCCACTGTAAGATTCAGATTATGGTAGGCAAGACTATACCGTAAATTTAAATCTAATCTAGAATGGATCTGGAATACGTTGTGTGTGTTTTGTTCTTTTCTTAATTCTATCAAAGGTTCTAACATTAGCTAAGGTTGTTTGAAAGGATAGGTGTTCATTCCTTTCTTTCTTAATTAATAATAGGGCATGCCCTTATTTCCTATTTCCGGTGGGAGCTGGGTTCCATGGTTCACACGCTCAATTATTAATGTCTCTGATGAATGCCCGCTTTTCCGTTCGTTCGCGTATGCGTAATGGGGGTATTGTCCAATATTCATATGGTTAGTTTTGAAGGAGAAGTATGCAATGTCGATGTTGATTCAAGGGTGTCAAGATCGAGATGATCAGTATTCTTCCAGGTAATACTGCAGGGGGTTTGGGTGACAGGCTGAATCCACATAGGTTAAATCTAGTCTACTCAAGGTTGTGCTTGTGCGACACTGCAACAACTGGAGTAAAAACACGCGATGTAAGGGTTTAAGTGGTTGGCCCCTTCTCTACTTCGTAGGATGAATGGGGCAAATAATGGTATCGTTTCGATTTTACCGCTCTGATATCATGATCACCAGTCCCTTGCTCATGGTGAACTTCCCTTGTTAGTAATGAAGGACGGAAAGGCGTACTAGGAGAGCGACTGAGCTAGGGGCGCGATCGGAAAAATGGAAATCTAGATATTTCTCTTCTTAACTTAGAGATGAAGATGCATAGTTGTATATAGACCTTTTTATTTTTCAGAGATATCTTCAAGATCAAGGAAACGTATAATATAACCCCATCTGGACAAGGTCAAGAGCTCTTTCCCCCCGCCAAGCTGGTTGCTTTCATGTAATTCGAATACAAGCGACCACTAAAGCCCCATCCAAGCCATTGCAACCAATCACACCGACCAACAGACCTACAGGTCCAAATATTGAATGTAATGACCCACATGAGTTCTGCCGTATTTTATTTGTAAATATAGTGTCAGGCTATAGAATATCACTATTAATAGGCGTAGAGTAGATGTATTTATATGGTAAATTTCAATAGCGGTGAGAGGCTTAGTCAAGATGGGGAGTTACATTTAAATATTTGGTCTGTTAGTCGGTCCCATGGTTCTGGTTCAGGTCGATGTCGTTCAGCTTGTATTGTGCACAGGTGACGTATCGTCCATATCCTTGCGTTGTAAGCGCGGGAGCAAGCCCGACATGGATCTGAGAACCTTGCTTCGAGAAGCTTTTGCTGCAGAAGCATCGGAGTACCTGCCTGGTACGGGCATGCAATATGGGCTTGACTAGGTAAGGAAATGTGTCCATTTTGTACTATGGGGAAAACGCCTTGTTACCGGCAGAAAGGATCTTGAAGCAGTGAATGTAGTTCAGGTCATGCCCCTCCCCCAGCTGTGTAGCTGCAGGTTAATTCGGGATTTTCCAGGTTTTGGATTTTTTTTTCCTTTTTTTTTTTTCCACTTTTCCACCTTTTTTTTCTTTCTTCCTGGTTGTATTGGGCTGACATCCTCGGTATGGCGGCTCGGATTTGAAAGGGAATTACCCGCGGTGGCCATTTCCACGGTTCTGTGGCTTATGTGGAGCTTCGCTTTTCCCGTCTGTTCTGCAGGTTTCTTTTTTCTTAGCGTGCAGGATTCTATACTACTCCCTAGGGGTACCTCGCTAGGACTGGTATATATATAGAGCCTTGAAGTGCTTATATAGGGGGGGGGGGAGGGGTATAAGCTATGCCGGGCGGGATAGGAATTACTGCCCAGTTTTTAGATATCTAGGCTGTACTATTGGTATTTCATCACCATATGTAGGTAATTTCGATGAAAAGCTGTAGGGATGACTTTCTTTATTTTAAATAATGGGATCAAGGGATATATGAACCTGTCACGATGGTTTGGGGTAAGCACTGGGGAAGTTTTGCGACCAGTCACATTGCAAGGACAACGACAGATGGTCCTTGCAGATGTATGCGCCTAAGCCCTAGGTTCAGGCCAAAATTGGGTCAATATACTGATTTAGGTCATAGAAAGAGGAGATATGGAGAGCAGAGAAAGTTAGTCGACTCTTTTTTTGCATATGTAGATTGTCTCTCGAGGATACATCGGCTGTAGCTGGGGATAACCGACCGGGATGATTTAGTATGAGAGAATTGTGCAGATCGATGATTGAACCTCGGGCCCGGGAAGCTGGAACGGATAACGGGCAGAGGAGAGAGGATGGGAATGTGAGATGATAACAATAGAATAGACTGAACTAGTTTCTAATTGACTGGTGAAAAAGAAGATAATAATAGTCATACTGTGTAGTTCTTATGTAGTTAATGACTGATAATCGAAATCTAAATTACATCTTGACTCCAGATGACTTTACCTGACTGTATATGTAATACCCTGTATGAAGCTGTATCCCATATTCTCACATACTGGCGTGTATGTAATACTTCCCCTCCCCAAAGTTAACCAGCAGAAATCTGTGATTTCAATTCTTCATCGCCTTCTTTTCCCCTCCAACCTTTCTTCATCCCCCTCCTTTCTCATTATTCCATTTATCGTGCGGATTTCGTTCGTCTTGCGCCGTTCTCGGGAGTTCTGCTTCATCTCGTTCTTCTTCGTCAGCTTTTGAATTTCGATTTTTCCATATTCCCCTTGGTAAGTCTTTCCTAGGCCTCTTTTCATCTTGCCTGACGAGCCGCTATCGTCACCACCAACCCTTTGATTATCTGCATTTTTCGTTGTTTCTATGATGTTTGCTTTTTCGATTTTATCTTGAAATCTATGCCTGGACCACAAACGACTATCAAAATAGCGAGCTAGATCGCTATTGCGATGGGTTTGGCTCAATTTCATCGTCGGTCGGTGCGCTCCGCCCGCGATAGTCGACACCCAACTTGTTCGCAAATTACACACGACTAGGCCACGCCGCGCAATCCTCGCAACAGTCCTCTCCAGACCCATTACGATCCGACCTATCTCTCGCCAGTATCGCATATCGAGTTACAGCAGAGCATATGGGTCGTATGGGTTGGGTGGATAGTGTATACGATGGGAAGGTGGAGCCCTAGGGACGGTCGCATCGACACTGGACCTGAACGGAAGCGGCCGGCGCACGCATACTACGGAACCTCAATGATTCAGCATCTGGGTACCTATCTATTTTAGCTATGTGATATTCGATTTCTTGGAAAACGAAGACTGGCGCAAAGAAAGAGAGAAGACTATGCCTAGTCCGGCGGTTTCCGTTCTGTTCTAACCGATGCCATCCACACTCCACCTATTGCCGCCCTTTGCAAAGAGATGAAAGAGTTGAAAGAGATCAAGGCTCGACGATATACCTGGTATATGCGTATAGTCGTTACAGTGGAGGCTCTTACTTTTCTCTCTGCGCCTACATACTCGCTTTGAATCGGCTATTCTATAGCCCCCAACATCAGCTGTCTCTCTTCAGCTTCACCTGGTCCGGGCGTGGATTTGAACTTTGCATCAAACATATTTCCACTTTCTACATATCTACCTACCTTGATACTTTCTTTCGCGTGGCTTTGATTCTTTGCTTTATCTTTCAATTGCGCATTTGATCTCTCTGCCTCTTTCTTTCCTCCCGAGTGACGGCCAATTTTAACATCTATTTCTTTCAGGAAACCTACTCCGTCTCTCCATATCCGAGTTTATTCACGAAGTGCTTTTTGATCTTACGGTCTTTCGCTTTACGAATACACGAAATTCCAGTCGCAACAGACCGTTTTCTATTCTTACGTCGAATTTCGGGCCTCCGCTGATAGTACAATGTCTTTCAACAACTTCGATTCTTTCCCCAACCAGGCCGACGCTGCCGCTGCCGCCTCCGGTGCCCCGGCTCCTACCGACACCACTATGACTGGCCAGGCTGATCCCGCTGCTGGTGGTTTCCAGGGCCCCGCTCCCGATGGCGCTTCGCAGGTTGGCCAGGGTAGTGCTGATGGCAAGACCACCCTCTGGTACGTTTGAAGTTATACCACTTCTAGCAGGAAGATTTTCTTGCAAATTGATGAATACATCTGACGGTTTGGGAAATAGGATGGGTGAGCTCGAGCCTTGGATTGATGAGAACTTCATCCGCAATCTGTGGTTCCAGATGGGTGAGCAGGTCAACGTAAAGATGATCCGTGACAAGTTCTCTGGGTAAGACCATGATTTCCTCCCCCCCTATATATGACGATTCCCGAGGTCCTAATGTTGGTAGTAGGAGCAATGCTGGTTACTGCTTTGTGGATTTCTCTTCCCCCGCCGCTGCTGCTAAGGCCCTCTCTCTGAACGGTACCCCCATGCCCAACACCAACCGCGTCTTCAAGTTGAACTGGGCTACCGGTGGCGGTCTCGCTGACCGCAGGTAAGTGCAATCTATTTTCATTGAGCTCCGTTATTAGTCTCGTTCGGTTATAGCTAACTATAGGTCCTTTTCCTCTGCAGCCGTGATGACCGTGGTCCCGAGTACTCCATCTTTGTTGGTGACCTCGGCCCTGAGGTTAACGAATACGTCCTTGTTTCCCTCTTCCAGAGCCGCTTCCCCTCGTGCAAGTCCGCCAAGATCATGACCGACCCCATCAGCGGCATGTCCCGTGGCTACGGTTTCGTTCGCTTCTCTGACGAGAACGACCAGCAGCGCGCTCTCACTGAGATGCAGGGTGTCTACTGTGGCAACCGCCCTATGCGTATCTCCACCGCTACCCCTAAGAACAAGGGCCCTGGTGTCGGTGCCGGTAACATGGGCATGCCCGGACCCGCCGGCATGTACCCTCCTATGGGTGGCCCTCCCATGGGCTTCTATGGTGCTCCTCAGCCCATGAACCAGTTCACTGACCCTAACAACACTACCGTCTTCGTTGGTGGTTTGTCTGGCTACGTCACTGAGGATGAGCTGCGTTCTTTCTTCCAGGGATTCGGCGAGATTACCTACGTCAAGATCCCCCCTGGAAAGGGCTGTGGTTTCGTTCAGTTCGTTCAGCGCCACGCTGCTGAGATGGCTATCAACCAGATGCAGGGCTACCCCATCGGTAACTCCCGCGTCCGCCTGAGCTGGGGTCGCTCCCAGAACAACTCCGGCCCTGCTGGCAGCCCCTACCGCCCCGCCCCCCCCCCCCTCCCATGTACCCCTCCATGGGTATGCCTCCAGCTGCTCAGCACTACGGCGGGTTTGCCCCCATGAAGGTTAGCAGTCACCCCGGCAGCCCAGCCCCAGAACACTCTTGAGTTACAGGCTCGGTCGGCTGACTCTTTCTCTCTTCACAGTAAGCGTTCCTTTGATTCAAGAAAGCACGAGCAGGAGTTGTTTGCGTCATTCCAATGATGGGTCCCCCCTTTTAGTATCATAACAAGTTTGCTATTTTCCCCTCTGATCGCGATGCGCTTATAGCTCTTGATGAGCATTCTTTCCCTCCTTGCGACGCATTTTCGTGAGCGCTTCTAGTCTTCGCAAGATATGAGCCCCGTTATCGTTTTTCCCTTCTTTTTTTTCCTTATGAGGGGTCTTTCTATTTATTTGCCCCCTTCCCTATGGTTTTTTCATTCTTCGTTTTTTATTCGTCCAGGACTGCGGAAGTTTTCTTTTCCTCTTGGGGCCCCCAACTCCTGTATCTCTACAGAGTCAAGTCGTATTCGTTTCCCTTTTATTTACATTTGCTTCTTGGTTCCTCTCGAAATGCCCCCTTTTCTTTATTTACGTCAATGCGTCTGCTACTTACTCTATCCTCTTTTTCCTTTACTACCCCGCCCTGGGGGCTTTTTCGCGTGTAACGAAAGTGCGTATTCTCCATGCGTTTCTCTTTACTCTATACTCCTTGGGCAGGCATTCTGCGAAAAGTTCAAGTATTTCCGTCCTTCGCAATCTCTATTTTCCTTTGTTCCTCCTTTTCTCTCTCTCCATCGAGCAGCCAAATTGAACTATGTTCGCTTCAACTAGTGTTGCGTTTCGCCGTGTCTTTTCGTTTATCAATTTTTTTTCTTGTTAGACCGACGACGGCTTGTACAACACGCTCTGTTTCGTGCCTCTCCGTGTTTATTGGTTCATCTCCCTCACGGCCCCTTTTGATCTGTTGACGTCTTATGCATATCTGATGCTGCCATGTTTTGGTATTGATCTCCACTGTCGTAATTCCCCAACCCCATGTTTTTGCCCGGGGATCCTTCTGAATTTGAAGCGTGGAGGGATTGATTTACCTTTGAACAAAAATTCGCTATTTTTCCAAACGTTGCTTTTTTTTCTCTTGGAGTGTCTTGTGGCTGTGGAATCATCGTTCCGGCGCACCTTGGGGAGGCGTTGACTGATCTGTTCGTTGCGGGATTCTTTACTGCATTAGATAAATCTTGTTAAGGTTTGATTCCTTTTGTATCCTGTAACATTTGGAGACTCGCATTATCTCGGTTTTCTTGCCGGCGTTCCTATCTTTGGGGTTTAGATGATTCCCATCCTCCTTCGCTATGTTGATTCGTGAAGCCATGTCTTTTGGCTTGCGATTCAAGAGGCCAAAATCGTAACAGAAAAATGACCTTAATATTTGGCAATTTGTATTTGTATTAAATGTAAGCATGGAATATTATTATTCTCTTACTTCAAGTCAGGTGTAAGCCTCGGTGACGTAGCTGTATCGAGCTCGGGGGTGTTGAGGCTTACATATTCAAGTTAGGGCTGACTTCGGTGTTAAGGGTATCTTGCACTAGTAAATCACTACCTAGTTAACCACCTTTTATGCCACATGTATACACGACTCCTATTAGGATTATTCTTCGTCCGAATCTTGATTCTTATTTCATGTATATTGAATAGATACTCTCCCATTGACCGTGTAAAGTGTGTTTACGTATACCTCCATGCTAGCAATGAATCGGGCAGTGACCGTCTACTGGCTCTTGCCTCTTCGCGTCTTTCCGCTTTACTCTGTGCCTGCCTTATCTCAACAATTGTTCATATCCACATGAAGAAGGTGCTTATATACCCCAGACTCGCGTCAACAAACATCTCACTTGTTCTCTTCTCTTCTCTTCTCAAGCTCATCGCCACCATGCGTTACGAAAACTGGGATGTGTTGCTCTTCCCCGAGGGCTCGAAGGTGCCCATTCAGGAATTCAAAACGCAATGTTTCGTGACCAAAGACCTCGATTCCCCCTATCTACAGCTTCCTGCTGTAGTGAGCCCCGCCCAATACTATCCTATCCAGGGCAATGTCGGCCAGGTCCCCGTCTTGACAACGTTTGTTCCCAGCATGACCAAAGACAGTCCCTTTCGCGTGTCCATTCACAGTTGGGACAAGCCACAACCTAGCCGATTCATCGAGAGATTGATGCTGCCGGAGGATATGCTGATGTTTGAGGCTCGGGTCTTTATTGATGGCGTTCTTGTTGCGTGCGTATTTCTCGGGTGGATTGGTCTTTACAATCGGACCATCTTGGCGTTTTGGATGCATCATGCTGACTGTGACTCTTTGAGATTAGGGGTGGTATATTTGGCCAAAGAGCTTTGTGGCCGTATATCATCGGTCAGTTTGAAAGATTACAAGATACTGCCCGTCGGTTGATTGCTTGGCTTTGATGCTGACGTTTTCTGGGTTACAGATTTCAGTTCTCGTACCGAATCCCTCACCGTCTCGTATCAAGAATCTTGCTTTACTGACTGTATTGCAGACATTGATAGAGACGGTAATCAAGAATTCCTTCGCTTTCCGACCTTTCATCCGGATATTCTGGACCAGCGACACTGGGATGCTGGTGACCCATACGGCCGCATAAAGGTGGTTATTGCCGAGGGATTCGCTCGTCCGAATCGATCTCCTCCTTTTGAGAGAGTCAAAGATGTGATCTCTATGTCTTTTCAGCATGCTCCACTTAGTAAGTTCCCAATCGGTTGCTCACAAAGGGACGTTTATCTAACGCAACTTGAACAACTTAGATATTTTAGAGTATTCCAACATCGCTTGGCCCAACCCTAGTATGTGGACCGACAATCTGCCAATCGGTTCTAAATACCAATCTACAGGGAATATTGGTGGATCGACCCTCGATGGGACGCCTCATGGCCATTCTCCAACTAGAGTCGAACATCGATCACAGCCAGTGGCAGCCAGTCACTCCAGCAGCAAGCAGGGGATGGTATACAATGCGTGGGTCTCCAATCGTGCTTTTCCCGTTCCTGCATCTCAGTGGCAACGCCAATCTAATGAGACTCGTCGATGGGGAGGCTACCCGGACCGTTTCTTCGAACCATTCATGGGAGAACAAGCAATCGACTCGTTAGTCAATGAAGAGGTTTGGAATCATCGAGGTTGTCGGTTGTCTCGCGAAGATGTTCCAATGCCAGACTATTCTACCTCTTCTGGTAGTCGTGCCATCTCGAGCCTCACTGGATTCAGCTATGAGCACAGCAAACAGCCCAGCATCATAGCACCCATGGATGATGAGCAGTACAATGAATTGATTCAAGCTCTTACTCCTACAAAAGCACCCACCATTGGTACTCGTGCACCTTCCAATACCCCCTCGGCCATCCTTGCACCAACCAAGACCGCCGCCGAAGTACGCCCTGCAGCAACCTCCCGAGGTAGTGCTCGCACTTCTGCATTACGAGAGATTTCACAACCCAGTACCCGAGACGTGTCAGGATCGAGCAACAAGTCCAATCCTACGGGCACGACCGTTACAACTCCGTCCAAGCTTGGTGTTAGTCCCAGTGGCAACGTCAAAGGTAAGAAAGAAGGGACCAAGGACAATACCAAAGAAACGCCAAAGAAAAGCCCTAAGGAGGTTATCGTTGAAGTGTCCGAGAAGCTTACCACACCACGGGGAATTGAAAACGAGAAAAAAAATGACGAAAATTTGCGCGAGGATGAAGAGAACGAAGCTGCTTCTGAAACTCTGCCCTGAAAGCGGAGATATGGATGGGGTGTTCCATGCTCTTTTTTGTTTCCTGGTCTTATTCTTATAGCTCTCTCTCTGCTTCTCTTCATATTGTATCCAGACATGAGGCAGGGATTGAGAGTTCAGAACAGTTACAATATCAAGAAAAAAGGTCTCATATGTATGCTTGACTGGTTTCCATTGTCATAACCTAGTGTAGTGGGGAGGTCATGATAGCGGTGTGAGTCAGGATTCACAGCATTTCTGTATATAAGACTTGTTCTACATATGTCGATACCAGTATAGCAACTTGAACTCGGACGGACCATTCCACTTCCGCATCTACCCCTAGGTTATCCTCTCCCTATTCTCTTACTCCCCCCAGTGGACGAAGCCTTTCGCAGCAAGCTCATTTTCTATATGACGGCGTCCCCATTACTACCAGGTACTATACTAGTAATATGCTTTCAAATCGATTCCCGCTCCGAGCTCTGTGCCTCTGCGCTACAGCACAAAAACAGCCCGTATTAGTATCTCTGGTCGTGCACAGAAACATCTCCTATGGGCTGGTCTCTTATAGTGAAGCTTCCTAGTGTGCCCACCAAGAGACAATTGAGTACATAGTTAGTTTAAATGACCATCCCGAAACCGCATGCGCACTGGAACTTGAGGAAAAGCGGGCTACACATAGGAGAGGGCGGGTCACTATGGTACGTCCTAAGGGTGCCTTTATTACGTCCAACACCACGTGTACTAAGAATTGTCCAATGATAAAACTTCCTCCCGGTGTTGATACCGGCGGGGGCATTCTGCCCGTGCGTCATTCACCTAGATAGATGATGAAAGATAGGAGTAATAACCTTTCCTCATAGCGTAAAATCAAGCTGTTTTTCCACGTTTGTCTTGCCTCTGAGTACGCATTCGTGTGTCATTATGTGTTGATATCATCTCCCTAGTTAGAAATATCAAACAAATACTCGCATGCGTAGTGTAATATACCTTCAAATGTTTAATGCCTGATAACCTGCAGGGATTTACATAGGCCCGAGTGGAGTGCCTGCCTGTTTTGGAACACCGGCGGATTTAGGAGTTACTATCATTGACCAATTGGTTTGTAACGCGTCTTTAGTTGTTTATCATCTCATCTCTCAGAGCAAAGCTTCTCTCTCTTCCTCTTATCATATTGTTCTCCTCTTTTCTGTGTCAACTTCGTGAATTTCGAGCCCGCTTCTCAGCAATCATGAATACTCAACTGCCACCTTTGCATGAAGTGATTTCTGCATTGGATCTCCAGTCACTGGCAAGCCTCAGTATCATGAATGGCACATCCCCCCTCCGAGCTTCTAATTCACACCCTTCGACTACAATACCTGCCGATCATCAAGCTCCCCTGTCATCTCTTTCCTTCTTTACCAACCCAGACCTTCTTCCTGTCACCTCGGGTAACCTCGAGTCTCGACCTCTCTTTCGGTCCTCTCCATTTCAGCAGGTTGCTCAAGGTGATCCTTTGATTCGTTGGGAACGAGACCAAATCTGGTCTACTTGGTCACCTTCTATGGTCAACAACTCAAACCAGCTTTCTGGACCAGTGAGTGTTTCCAAATTAATATAACTAACAGCTGGATAGCTCGGACTGACATCTTTACAGACGCCCTTGGGCGCATTGGACCCGGAGAGCCTCACCCCAAACCAGGCTGTGTTCATTTTTGGCATCCTTTGTATCATGGCGCGCTTGAAACCGCGATTTGAGTTCAAATACGGTGGTTTGCAGGGGAAGCAGATCGGTCTGAGACTCACTTTCTTCGGCCACACCATTGTGCTTGACCCTGTGTACAATTCTGTACAGGACTCCAGGGTTACAGCTTGCAGAAGAGCATTGTGGAAGCTCCGCAAGTTTAACCCTCACTGGCTATGCCCTCCTTCTGATGGTCCAACTGGTCCTGAATGGGACTGGATCAAACTTGTGGAAGGTAAGTACAGCTTTCTACGCCCATTTATCTAATCTTTTCCTGGCAAACACTTATGAACTTGAACTCTTCTAGCATTTTGCAACATCAAAGGAATTGAACTGCCTCTATACGGCTCTCTCTACTTGGGAAAGCTGTGGCATTACGATCTAACGCTGAATGGCAGTTCCTTCCGCACTGGTTCGCCCTGTGAAACATCAACACAAGCGCAGAATACCGCTGCACATCTTGCTCTTCACAGCGCTTTGATTAGTGATAACATTGCTGACCATATTCTTCCAGCTACCGACCCATCAGTGGTGATAAAGAAAGAGGAAGAAGGATCAAAGCCAAAGCCAAGGCCAAAGCCCAGAGCCATGGTTGAGCGTCTCAATGGGCGTATCGCGGACCACTCTACAGTGCCGGCTCGATCTTTCGATGATGTGTTAGTGTCTATCAGAGCGGAACGTGGCAGAAAGATCAAGCGAGGGAGACACAGTTCGAGATACGGGGGTTCCCCATCGCCCAAACCTCTCAAGTTCGCAAAGCTCCCGAAGGTCAAGAAGCCAAATCTCGGTAACGCCAATCGTGTTCCTTTGACCCATAACCGCGTGGCTCCCTTGGAAGAAAAGCCAGAGCCCAGAGTGGATCGTTTTGCTACCCTCAAAGCCATCCAGAAAGCGATTGAAACAAAGGATTTGTCGTATCACTCTATTTTGATCCGTAAGCTGAACTAATCCCTCCTCTGGCTTGAATTCTTACTAATCGCGTTTTCATCGCATTCCCTCTACCCGGTTGGAGATTTAACAATACACTGATACATATATCTATCTTTATACTAGGTATCTGTGATATCTTGGGTGTGAACGCGCCTGCAATTCGCCATGAAGATGACCCTGATGACCCTAGACCAATGGGATGGTGCGTGCGCGCCACGTTCGATGAGAGCCACCCTTACTTGAACCGAGCAAGTCCCATTATGTTGGCAAGACTACCCAAGTCAGAGGACAAAGGGGCAATCTCGCTCGGAATGAAAAAGTTGATACTCTACCTTCTCAACATGGCGAAGGAAGATGCAGGGCTCAGTTCGGAGGATTCGGATTATGCCTTCCAACTACGTTTGGTGAAGGATTTGGAAAAGGAAATTCAAAGTGGGATCGACGGAAATGTGTGCGAGATTGAAACCGCCCAGGGATGGACTGTGGTTCTACCATTGCAATCACGGCACTAAGCTGCCTCTACGTTGCTGACTTCCTGATCAGTGAAGCTTCTGGAATCTGGAAGATTATTTGGGGATCTGTGCTTTGTTGGCCTTGATGATAGCACAGATCTCGAGTGGACCAAAGCTATTCGCGTTACGACAGCGGCACTGGACTCCTTGACCCATCCTCACACTGTACCGATCTGATGACGACGTTTTCGATTACGACAAGGGGTTATTGTGAGCTGGACTGAGCTGAAACATGTATATTTTTGGTTGTGATTTTTAACAGTCATGAAGAACTGAATACTGAAGTGATGTGGGATCAAGATTGAGGCATGGATACGGAGGAGGGTAAATCTGTTCTGCTGTTCTTCTTGTTCTTCTTTTTGCTATGTTCGGTCCTGGGGATGTACTTGTATCTATTTAGTCCAGCACTCAATGTAAAATGCCTCCAAAATGATCATCTTCCAAATTGAGTAAGAAGACCCAGCTGGCCTCATTCGTTTGTGTGGGGCCTCGGGGAGAAACATGTAGTCAAACTTCACACCAAGTATACTCCTAGTAGCGGCCCCACGTTGCTGGCCAAACTACACAGTCTGTTATGGGCGCTGCGTATTCTGGCGGTCTGCCGCACCATTACTCTGAATAACTACATGCGCGTAATCTTTCTTCTCCCATAGTCAATACCATCGTTCAAATGCACTCTACATCCCGTAGATTGGCGTACTAACACAGTCCACCTTGAATGTACTCTGGGTATTAATGATACACTGTGTGGATAGATCGGGCCATATGCTATATGTATCTCGTTAGGTACTACACAGTATTTAGTTGCTACCTGGGTAACCTTTCTCTCTTCATAGCAAATACCATCGTATTCGTGCACACTACTTCCGGTAGTTAAGCCATCTAACAAAGCGCGTCTTGCTACACTAGCCCCAGCGGACTCATCATGGAGATACAAGACATGAATATGCATAGAATAGAATAGATATAAATGTGCAGGGAAATAAATGAAATCCAAGACAACTCACATTTCTATACAGACAAAAGACTTTCAATTTTAACCCCGCTGATATAAAATGATAAAAACTCCCAAATCCAAGCCCAAACACCTTGCCAACATGCAGTAGAGTCCTTACTCAGGCTAAAAAAGAAGAAGAAAAGTTAGCAACAACGCACCAGAATCATAGACCAAAGATCAAGATCTAGGAGAAAAACTCACCCGAATCTTCCCCTTCCGCATCTTAATATCCGCCAACTTCTTCTTATCCTCATCAAACTTCCTAAGCAACTCATTCTGTCTCTCCTTCCTCTTCTCCCTAGACTGGAACCGATAAAAGTCCTCCAACCCTTCACCCTTCTTCTTCTGCCTCTCAAGAAGCTCCTTAGCCTCATCCTCCCTAGCAACAGAATTTAACTTCGGTCCATGCGTAACAGTAACGAATCCATCCTCATCCGGCTCCCCAATCTTGCGATGCTCCTCTCTCTTCTTCGCCTCAGCAACCTGTTCGAAAACAGTCATAAAGTCGTTCACGGAACGAAGAATATCTGCCCGATTGGGATACCGCATCTTCTCATGAGTACGATAGCGCTTAATTCCTAGTTCTGGAATACGGGATTCAATCCCCTCGCCCCAGATTAGGGTTGTTTGCTTCCTAGACGCCTTGGTAGCGGCTTTTAGGCTGTTTTCCATGCTGGAGCGATCGGCGAAGATTACAATAGCGTGTGTGCCGCTTTTGTGGAGGGGTCGGTTCCATGTTTCTGGCAATGAGATGTTGTCGAGCGTAACTTGGAGGTCGGAGGATGTTATGCGTTTGCGTTTTTTGTTGTTGGAAGATTGGAGGTTGCTTTCTGTTGATACTGCGGAGGAGGATTTGGATTTTTTGTTTTGATGTTCTTCGAACTGGACAGATGCTACGCGGCCGGCGGATAGTTGGGCACCGAATAAGTGGCGGATATGCGTTTCTGTTGTGTCGATTGGAAAGTTGACGATGAAGAGCGAGCGCGTAGAGTCGGGGTCTGGGATGCGAGGCTCGTGAGGACGGATGTAGAGGTTGTGTGTTGCGGGTTTTGGGAATAGGGGGGTTGATGGGAGTTGAATTGGGAGGGTGGTGTACCCTGGTATATCGGGGGAATTCTTCATCTTTTGGCCGTTGAGGATGATTTAGATTTAGATTTAGAGAGCTTAGAGGTGATGAGACTTTTTTTTTTCGGACGTTGATAGGGTTTTTTTTACTGCCTATTTTATAGGGCGGTGGGGTGGCGGTGAGAATGAACTATAGGTACAAGAGTTATTAGGGCTTTGTATACTAGTTGTAGTATAGTTTTTTTTGACATAGATTGAAGGGAAAATACTTGCATAATTTGTATATTTGTATTAAGTAGTATACATTAATTAGGTATTTTCGTAATAAATGGTTTCGTGTTCTGTGGAAAATAATCACCCCAGATTCCATCTTTGCGTTGTGAAATCATTACATCCTGCCACTCAAATCTTATCAGGGTCGTTGATACCTCCATTCGTGATCACATATGTGGCTTCCCTTTCGGGGCAGTCTGTAAGATATTAGAGCTTGTATCAAGTATATAAATATAATTAGAAGATACTCACCTGGCGAGTCCTGAATCTTAGCTACCCGCTCTTCCCCTCGACCCTTTCGCAGCAGCACACGAGTTGTAGACGCATGAGCAAGGACATGACCACCGACAGGCTTGCGGCCATCCGCACCAGCGAACAGAGCACTAGCACCAGGATCACTCTGCACTTGATTCGTCTGCGGACATAAACCAGATCAGCAAAAAACAAATACAACCTGGAAGAACAAGATACTAACCATGAGAACACAGACATTGAACTCTAGTATCATATTAGCATGAGTCGAAACCCCAAAGCCCGTCCAACCAAAAGCTAAAAAAAAAAAAAAAAAAAAGAAACATACCCTCAGCCATATGCGCAACCTTCATCAAAAATTGATTCAACTTCTGCTGCCGCTCAGCCAACTCCCCCCTCCCACAATAATCAACCCGAAAACAATTCATGATACTATCAATAACAAGCAACCGATACGCCCCATCTACAAACTCCCGACTAAGCGTATTAAGCAACTCAAGCTGGTGCTCACTATTCAACGCACGTGCGTACGCAATATTCTCCTGCACAGTATCGGGATCCATAGAAAAGCGCTCTGCTATCTGTGCGATGCGTTCAGGCCGAAATGTTCCTTCAGTATCTATGTAGGCGACCTTTCCGTCTGCGCCGCCCAAAGAACGAGGGAGTTGAGCTATTACCGACATTGTGTGGGAGAGTTGGGTTTTTCCGCAACGGAATTCGCCGAAGACTTCGCTTATGCTCATGCTTTGGAAGCCGCTGTAGAATGGCTTTTGTTAGTGATTTGATTGATTTTCCGGGAGGGGAGAGGTAGGATTGTGGTTAGACTAGTGCTTACCCGCCGAGGATTGAGTCGAATTGTTTACTTCCTGTTGAGATTCGGACGACTTTTTTGCGTTGGTGGAATAGTTCCATTGCGGTTATGAAGCCTGATGCGGAGGGCTGAAGGATCATATGGGATCAGATTAGTAGGAGGTGGGAAAAGTTGGGAGGAGATGGGATGGGTATGTAGCTTGAAGAAGAAGGACTGACTAGGCATTTTTGAACAGCTTCTTTGATCTTTTCAACTTTGACTTCGCTGAATCCTTTGACTTTGAGAAGCGTTCTGCGTGTAGCGCCGTGGACGGACTGGGGGTGTTAGTGAATGAATTACAAGAGACTCTCAGTGTATGAGTGGGGTTGTCTGATGCATACGGCAACGGTGTAGAAGCCATTGGCTTTCAACTTTGTTATGTCTGCTGCTCCAATGCCATGAGACTGGATGCCGTCGATGTCGACGATGAAATCCTTTGGAGGTTAGTGGTTGGAATTGTGGATGATGAGTATGGAAAAACCTCGTCGTTAATTCCGTCTTCCACGTCTGAGCCTGGCATTTTATGATAATTTGATTGGAATCGTGTAGATCTTGTAGGGGTGATGGATGAAAGTGAGAGTTGGGGTGAGGATGAAGGTCACGGGTTTGGTGTGGTTGATATCCAGTTGCGCGCACTTATACATACTCAAAGAACAGCGGCGAATCTACAAATCTACAAGAATAATTATAATGGAGAAGAATTGCATTTTCGTATTCTCAACACCGAGTGATCTTCCCACCAGATAAAAGGCCCCATTCCAAAACACACTGCGACACTACGATCTGCTGTTCTCTTTCTCTCTGCATCCACCACAACTCGTCCTCTCTTCATCCTCTCTCGCTCTCTCTCACCGGGCCCATCCGGGAAAACCGCAATTAAGAGTAGATTTCATCGAATCAAGAAAAAGATTCATCCATAGGAGAAACAAATAGACAAGACGCCAACCATGAGACTTGACCGGAGTCAAGTCAGCTTGTGGGAAAAGGGGAAGTTCGTGATTTCAAAGACAGAAAAGAGGAAACCTTTTCTGTTTGATTGTCGTGTACATGATAGGGGAAACAAATGGAAGGTAAAAAAGGAAAAACAAAAGCCTTAGAGAAACAGATCCCAGCCATCTCCGCGTCCAATGGAAGGGTGGTTAATATATGCAAGTGAAGAAATGGTTCAGAGACTCCGGATTGAAAAGATCGTTGAGGGGGAAGTTTTTCAGGAAAAGAAAAGTGACCGTAATACAGGGCTGAGAGAAGAAATGGGATAGTGTAGTTTGAGGTAAGTAGCGCCCCAAACGAAACGAAATAACAATGCACGGTAATGAGACATTTGGGGGGGGGTGATATTTTAGGGTTTGTCGCTTTATACGACGGCGGGAGTAGGAGCCGCAGCGGCAACGGGGGCAGCCTCAGTACTGGCCTCAGCAGCAGCAACAGCAGCGACGACAGGAGCAGCGGCATCCACAGCGGGGGTAACAGCGACAGCCTCAGTAGTGGGGGCAGTGGTGACAGCCGCAGCAGGAGCATCAGCGTTGTTGGTAGGGCAGTCACGGGAGATGTGACCAGCCTGAGCGCACTTGTAGCAGACCTTACCGGCCTGGCTGAGAGGGCCACCGTTGGGGGCGGTGCAGTCACGAGAGATGTGACCGAGCTTACCGCAGGCGTAGCACTTCATAGCCTGAGCCTGGCAGTCACGGGCGAAGTGGTTAGGACCACCACACTTGTAGCAGGTAGCAGCGCGAGGGTAGCCACCCTGGAAACCACCACGGAAACCGCCTTGGAAACCACCACCACGAGGGCCGGTAGGGCGACCAGCGTTAGGAGCAGCGGCGTTGGTACAGTTGCGCTAGAGGAATTCGTAAGTACTTGTCGACTTGTTGAAAACTAGATATAAACTGGTTGTCACATACAGCAAGGTGACCGGGTTGGCCACAGTTGTAGCAACGGCCATTGGCACCGTTCAGGCGCAGGGTAGGGCAGTCAGCCTGGACATGGCCGAGACCCTGGCAGTTATAGCACTGCTTAGCTGGAGGAAGGTCAGACATGGCGCTATTATATGGTCATATGTTGGAATTGATTCCTTACTCTCGGTGGTACGGGGGAGAGGGCAGGCGCTGGACTCGTGGCCTATTTGAAATTGAATGAGACGGGTTTCTTAAGGAATTGGGTTACACGAAAGGCCTACCAGGCTGCTTGCCTATGATGTCACAGTTAGTATCTCAATAGCAGACGATAATGGGGGAGTTTAAGGGGGAAAGAAGGGTATAGCAGAGTCCCACATACAGTTGTAGCAAAGACGCTCAGAGGACGAGCAAACCTCTACGTCAGTCAGTGAGGTGTTTCCAATTTCTCTAGATTGTTCGTCGCAACTAACCAGCGTAGTGGCCAATGTTGCCACACTTGTAGCATGCACGACGAGAAAGCATCATTTTGAAAATCTAGGGCCCGTTGTCAGTTCCCATCGTATGGCGTAGTGTTCCGCTGAGTCCGCAAGCTCCCCGCGCCCGACCGAATGCTACTCCATGACGATAATATCGGGCAAATTGAATTGTTTCCACACCAAAACTGATGCTATAGAGCCATTGTAGGTGTGTTGGTTCTCCGAATAGTACCTAATAGGTGGCTATATGGTATAGCAGGGTCCGGTAACCTCAAAATTTGCATCGGGCGGGATGGAGGGGAAGCCGACGATCTGCGCGGGGAGACACGAAAGAGCGAATCAAGGATGCTCGTGCACACTCACAAGAACAACAGAACCTTGACTAGTTCAGGTCTATGAACAGGGACCTTGGTCAGCTTTGAGAACCTTGGAGAAAGGAGGAAAACGGAGGGAAATGAACAATGTAGGGATGATTAGATATGAAACCCGCAAAGAACCACCAACATTCTTTACAGCCCACCAGGTTCAAGAAAAAAAAAACACGAAGAAAAAAAAAAGTGGGGAGAGGAACGTTAGCCCCAAGCGCACAATGACTTCACTCACATTACAACAACCAACAAAAGGAAAGACCCCTGAATTCTTCAACCACGAGTTCACCGGTTTATATTTCTTTCTGGTGTTTTGACTGTATTAATTCGATCGGGAAAGGAGAAAAAGAGCTTGAGAGAGAGAGAGAGAAGATCCCTGGAGACAAATCGTGGGGTTTCAATGCAAACTCGTCAAAAGTTTAGCTCCCGAGCCTTTCCGTATTCCGCTGATTCACCTGTAATGCCATTGGAGCTCTATACAGGAGGTAATAGTCAATTGATATTTAATTCTAGACTTGTCTAAATATACTATAATGATTCTGATCTATCCTTTCACGGGAATGTGAATCATTTGAGCCCGGATAGCTGTAAAGCCACAGCGTGCGTCGTTTTTCATGTCATAGTGTTTGTCAAAGAGCATAGATCGCGATCCTAGATGCATGTTGATATCGTTGAAGAGAAGCCCTTCCTCATGCGCTATGTGGAGCATGCTGCCATGTGTTACTTCAGAATACTTCGTTAATCCACCACCTAGCTGTTTGGGGTCTCATGTATCGAGATGGGAGTCGAAGTGAAGAACGGCAACTTTGCCCCAGGTATGTTGTAATGCTCGGATGGCCGGAAGTGCTGTTCACTTCCAATTAGTTATTAATTAGTTCGATCACAGTTTAGCAGTATTATTTTGAGAATTTCTTACTAACTGTATGATCTTCTCCAATCGAGATAAGTCGAACATGGTCGCCATTTCCCCTAATCTTAGGCTTCCTCGAGGCGATTTTTGTCCACCCAGCCTCCAGCTCGTGAATGGCTTAACGTTTATCAAATGGTGTATTGGAGATATCACCGCAGTCTATAATAGATGCCCAGTCTGTAAAAGGATTGACCATATGGTCCATATTGGATAATCCGTCAGTTGTGTATTCGCCTCATCGATGTAGTAAAGACTTGCCTATATGCCATTCCGGGGTCTAATCGACGCGATCCAGATCTCGTCCCGAGTGGACCAAATCGCTCCCCTGGTCGATAAGTAACACCCGAGTCAAATGGTGCACCGACAATACCAATATCAAACGTCTCATCACTAGCTGGGACAAAGCAATTGGTCCAATTCAGATGAGCGAATGTTGCGATTCCGCTGAAGGGCGGGGTGAAATCATTTTCCATGTGGTAGTCGTTCTCGATGTAGAACTCTTCTTGGCTGGTGGCTAAGGTGTTAACGCTTGACTGTTGTCTGAAAATACTGCCTTCCACAAATGTTGGGTTGGTTGATACGCTTAGTTGATGTTGGGTAGGGAGGTTGGGAACAGCGAATGCTGCTGTTAAGGGAACGAAAAGCGCCCCTAACTCAGCGAGAGCGACCGTAGAAAAAAGCATGTATGTTCTAGACGAAAGAATTGAAACACGCAGTCTGTATTCTTTAAAAAGTAGGATTAAGGCATTACATAGCGAATTACATGACGTCGCCAGCACCAGGACCTACCGTGCGACTATTATACCCAATCGGGTAAAGGACACCAGCTGCGATATCTAGCCGCAAGCAATTCATGTATGGTCATGCCCAGACCTCGGGATATTTGGGAGTTTTTTATGATTATCTATGTTTAAATAACTTGGGGGAGGATCGGAGACATGTTCCATATGGTAGAGGTGTTTATCTAGACATGTTATCCCTCTTTTGACCTGATCATTCGCTACCAGTGCCCGTTAAATAGTTAAATAACATATGGTGAAGCTCATTAACATCCATGCATGAAATTCCGTCTCTAAAGTTTCTAATATTCAGTACGAACGGTATATAATATGAGATTTAGAGAACAAAGAGAGCATTTCGAAATTTCGGACACAGCTTTCGTCCAAGCTGTATGCGAGTATATCTACAGATGCAATGGCCACAGGAAGAAAGATGCGTAAGGAATATCCCTAGTATGATATGATTTGGTCTTGATAATTGAGTTACCCTGTATTTGAATAAAAATAAAAATAAAAGAACTAGTAAGAGCCATGTGCACATGGGCATATGGGCCATGGCCGGTGGCACGCCTGATGACTTTACAATAATAACGTTACCAGTCAAAAGAGCCGGTGCAATCTTTCCGGTTGCGAGCATCAAGAGAAAGTTCCACGGCACAATGGCTCCAACGACACCAAGAGGGATATGTCTTGTTACCACTGTTCTTGTCTCGTCATCTTTAATAATGTCTTCGATTAGTGGAAGGCTTGCCATTCCTCGAATCCAATTAATGGCATTATCTATCCATTTAGTATTATGTGTTAGAGGTACAAGATATACAAATGACCAGATAGTGATGACATACAGGCTTTCCTTGTTCAGTGGTCAAAAGATCCCGGAACTGATCTTTATATTGATCAATAGCATCTGCATAAGCCAATACTGCCTTCTACCGCTCTTCATATGGTGTGGCAGACCAGAGCTTGAAAGCAGCTTCTCCAGCTTCAGTAGCTTTATCAAGATCCTCTGGTGTTGCAATTGGAACCTCCGGTAAAGCTTCCAAGGTAGCAGGATTCAGGCCATGGCGAGTGAACTCTGTAGGCGAGCTCTTTTCATTGATGATTTGAACATAGTTCGATCTGAGATCAAAGTCGACGGTCGTATTGAAATGTTTCAATCTATTGTATTCTAATGCTGTAAAGGCACGGGTATCTTTTCAGGCCGAACTTGATCTCCCCTCTTATGTATTCATGTGAATCAAGTATGTCAGAAACGTGATCCGAATCGACTATACCATTTCTCGGCCTTTTGCCGCAAATATCTGACGCCCCTCGTTTTCGCATCTGGGGAAAGCCGCCCGCAGGTGGGGCTTTCTGGGGGTACCCCAACCCCACAGCGGCTATTACGACAACTCGAACCTACAAGTGTAAACATGGTATAAGGCTCCTACCGAGTGCGAAGGGTGGCGATGTTCAGCTGTGAGTGCGGCTGCGCGAGAAACCTGGAAAGCGGAGCGTCCATTGCTCGGATCCCCTTTCATCTCGTCATCTCGGTACCAGCCATTCAGTTCTCTTTGTATTTGTAAGTCTGATAATGTGATTCAAGAATCTATGAATATCTGAGCCTGAGTCTCACGAGGTGTTTCTCAATTAAGAAAAGTAGATCCATAATTTGACATGTCTACCTCCAGGGCTAGTATATTCCGAGACATGCGTACGATAAAAAGTTGGATACTATTGATTTATGCCCCTTCACAATTCCTAGAAAAATCTCAATATAGATAGCTACATAAAAGCAAAGTTAGAACTTGAAGACCATGAAATCTTTCATAACAAATATTCAATACTCCCCCATCAACTCTTTAATCCCCTCCTCAATTATCTGTCTAGGTGCCCAAACAATCCACTCAAAATCCTTAGAAGATCCAGCCTCCAATCCATCATCATACACCATAAAATCCTCGAAAGGAAGCACCCCACTATCCAGCGGAGTCATCGGAACTTCACCCCGAAGTATACGAGCCATGAATTCTCGAATCGAGATCAAAAATCCCACAGCATCGGGAAAAGTAGTCGTAACATGGGATGCAGCTATTGCTACACATGGTGCTGTTGTAGGCCCAGTATGTTGACTCGCTAACCGGTCGTTTTCTGTTTTTACAAACTTCAGCACTTTATTCAGATTCTCCCACCAAGTTTTTAAATGACTTCTTTCTTCAAAGATTATAGGGGCCCGAATAGATTTTTCAAGTTCACATTCTTTTGTGTCCTTGGATGAAGATTCGTAGAAGCTGTCTCCGACACAGATGAGATGGGAATCTCGATCGTACCATGTAAGTGAGTCTGGGGTGTGGCCCGGTGTATGGATTATGGTGATACCGGTTGGTATTTTGATAGATGAACCAGGGGTAGTAGTAGGAGCTAAATATATCACATCTTGGTAATCGGTCGCCCACATACCAATGGAGTAGTATGGACATTTTGCATTAAACTTCTTTGCGAGCGAGTGGCAGCAAATTCGATTCCAGGGATTTATATGATTCGCGTTATGCGCGGATGACAGGACTGTTGTTTGAGGCCCCTTTCTCTGGTCAATGTGCAGATTTTGTGGATCTGAGTCAGTTGGTGGGAGCAGGCCTAAGCCTAGGATATGGTCGAAATGACAGTGTGTGGTTATGACGAGATAGGGTAGTTGGCCATGCGGGTTAATTGTGTGCTTTAGAACTGTGTAGATGTTCCAGTATTTGGGTGTTGAGGGATCTTTCGAGATATCGTATTCGGGGTTCTTGATGGATGTTGCACAGCCTGCATCGCTCAGGACAATCACTGAGGTTGGGGAGCTAGAGGTGCTAGTGGTTAGTTGGGAATGTATCTCTTTGAGGGGAGAGAGAGAGAGATTTACCCATTTGCGTCTGAAGTTGAACAGATCTTTGCGTAGATGTTTGGGAATTGGCCGTAGTTGTCGTGTTCTCGGAAAAGGTAGATTGATTTATTCAAGCGACGAACGTGGAATGGACATGCTGCTGGAACATGGAGGTTGTATTCTACCATGATGGTGAGATCTGTTGAACCCTTTTACTACAGGTGGAAGAATGCAGCATATAACGTGCTAGTTTGAGATCTAGTTGAGCTTCAGAGGCCTTCGAGGTAGGAGGCAATCTCTTTTGGCTTGAAGTTGTCAAATGTCACAATGTGAATGGATTCAGAGTTGACATTCCCTCATGCTCAGATAGATAGATTTTAAGGTTTGTTCTAATATTATGATCTACCGCAATGTGGTAAAATATCCGCAGTATCCTACCCCGCAAAGTTGCGGGGTAGGAGTACAGATTGCATGCAGCCATGACAGAGACTGCAGCACCGACCGCAAAGACCATGGTTAACAAGATAATATCAAGGCAATTCCGCAGTCTATATACTTGTGAAAAGCAACAGCAGACCTCCAACAAATTGTAAGTGCAAGAAATGTATACCCCTACATTCCACATGCAGTTCACCATGCATGACTGATGCAACCGAATCCATTCTCTGATCAACAATAATGGTTTTTTTTTCGCGTTTTCAAAAAATTATACAGAAACAATGAGAGATAAGAAAACCATGTGATTCATTTCTTCGTTCCAATCGCTTCGAAAAGCTTGGTGATAAGGAGATTATAACAAAAAGAGGGAATTGGTGTAGACAAGAAAGAACCAAAATGCAACCCGAGATATTTTGTTGTTTGAACCCCTGTCGGCCCTAACTGATCCCTAGACATGGGTCAAAGGTACTTGGGATATCTTACTCTTCCCGCTCAAGGATGGCAGGAGCCTTGATCTCCCGACCTGCAAGGAAGTCGAGGTTCTCACCAGCCTGATATAGATAATTAGCATTGTCACGAGTAGAGTAGAGGGAGACGGAGAAAGAATTAAACGTACGTAACTGATCAGTGGAGAAACTTCAACACCAAAAGCCTCACCATCAGTGATGACAACACCACCTGCAGCCTCAATCCAGCGCTGACCCTGCTTGAGAATATCGGCCCGGCTGGTATCGGGGTCATCCTCACCAGTGCCGCGGGCATTCTTCAAGGGAGAGAACTCATCCTCACGGCGCACCTCAATGCTAGCAAACTTGTCCAAAGGAGTAAGAGGGAAGACATCAAAGATGAACTGCTCCAGCTTGATACCATTAGGCTTGGCAGGCTTAACGCTCTCACCGTTCTCGGGGTTAACGCAAGGAATCTTCTTGCGGGCCACGTGGTGGGGAAGCTTGTGAGCCCAGGTCTCGATAGACTCGAGGAAGCGGAAGGAGTAGTAGTGATTGACAATGTTGGCGGCACGGAACTTAAGCACATCGGGCTGCTTGGGGTCCTTGGCTTCACTGGTTTCCTTGTCGATCTCGGAGTACTCGACAACGTCGGGCTTGCCGTTCTTCTGAACGATCAGGCCGACGGACTCGGCGGCGTCACGCTTGCGCACGACCTTGGTGGCAATGTCGACGTCCTTGGCGGCGGAGAAACCGATGAAGATTGGGTCAGCTACCTTGACCAGGCAGTTGTCTACACCGAAGATGTGGATGTGCTTGATGCCGCGCTTGCGCATGTCCTCGCGGGCACCGGAGGTCACTAGACCCTGGTAGATTCCACCGTTTCCATCGGGGGCAACAGCAGCCTATAGATTGTATGATAAGTATACTGTTCGCTTATTTTGAAGATACATATATGTATATGTATAGAGGGGAATACTAGAGAGAAACATACCTTGCCCTTGCTCTCGAGCAGAATCTTGCCATCATTAGAAATACAAGGCAGAACACCCTGTTCAAAAATGAAGACGTTGTTCTTGTCCAAACCGAAGTACTTGCTTTTCTCGAAGAACTCCTCTGTGGGCTTACGGGTAGGTCCACTGGTCATAACGTACCAGGGAATAACAGCCGATTGCACACCGTGAGTCTGTTGAGCAAGCTCTTGCAGCTTCTGAATACGCTCAGCCTGCAGCTGGAAAAGAGACTTCTGGCTCAAAAGACCAATGTCAAAGCAACCCTTAGGCGCAGAGCTACCAAGACGAGTACCCTGACCACCAGCCATCAAAACCACAGCAACGTTGTTCTCGGCAACCTCCTTCAAACCCGAATCGAACCATTTCTTAAGATCGGCAGCATCAGAGTCAATGATGGAGGCTGTAGCGGACTCTGGAAGAGGCTCAACGGTGGAGGTAGTCTCTTCGGTTTTGGGAGGATTGAGGGCGATGTTGGCCAGCTCATTGATGCGGTTGACATCAAAGTTGGACAGCTGGTGGAATAGCCGAGATTTATCGGCGGTAGGGAGTTCCTCGGCGAAGGCGAAGACGTGGCCTTGTCCGGCATCGGTGTATTTCTTCTGTAGGGATTGAAATTCCTCTGTGGAAGGCTCGCGGGGAGCTTCCTCGATGGAGGAGCCTGAAAGCTTGCCGATCAGATTGGAGACAGTTTCCTTGATTGCTTCGGCCATATTGTGATTTCTGACTTTAATTTGATTAGGAAGAGGGGAATGAAATGGTATTGAGAAGGGGAGTATAGAGAGAAATTCAGGGAGGGGAGGTGGGTGGGGTTGAGATGTGTGAAATTAATTGAAGGGGAGGAAAGTGGCGGGAAAGAGAGAAAGTAAATAAATTGCAATTGACCGGGTGAAGCTATGAACAGCTCTACACCGTAACTAGGGATACAGTAAAACATGTAAAAACCTTGGGAGTCCACAGCAATCCCACCTAATGGGCTTAGACAATTATTTTTAGTATCATGAACGAATCGGAGCCACGGATATGGCAACCTGAGTGTCTCCATGTGAGACCTGGCCACTGGATTGCTACAAATGGCCCATTGTGCCCCGCTAAGCCTACCTAAGCCCCGGTGCGGACCCGGTTTTCTTCTTTGAAGATTGAAGCCTTGCGCGATGCACGAGAATTGTGTTGATTAGGTGCTAGATTTTGGTTATATACTGGATATTGTACAATTGTATTGCTCTCCTTTTGTTCACTAAATAGTATTTATCGTCGTCGGTCATACCGGTCATCTCGCCGTCCGTCATAGTCCCGACGATCGCGCCGAGAATCTTTGCGACCAGGACTGCGACTATAAGATCGACGTCGTGATCTGTCATTGTCTCTTCGGTCGCGATATGAATCACGAGGGGGAGGGGGAGGATCAGAGGGTCCATAGGGTCCAGAGGGCCCAGAGGGTCCAGAAGGTTGATCGCGGCGAGGCTTGTTTTTATCAAAGACCATCCGGTAACTATTGTCGGCTTCATCGGCTCGATATTCGTCGGCAACTCGGTAATGGCGTTTCTTTTCAAGGTCTGCCACACCACCGAAACCGCCTCGTTGCTTTCGCTTAGTGACAGTGGCATTTCTCCAGCTTTCCGACAGTTTGGATACCTACACTGCATGTTAGCATATCGTCCTTTTTTGAAGAAGTGAAAAAAAATTTAACGGTAAGCATGTTAAAACTCACACTTTGAGAGAAGTCAACATGGATTCGGTGATCATCGATAAGCACTCCTTGCATCTTGAAGTACGCTTGCTCACAGTCCTTCTGGTTGTCGAATTCGATGAACGCATACTGCAGACTATCCCCAGTCCGCTTATCCCGGATGACCTCACAGGACAAGATTGTTCCGAACCGACTAAAGATCAATTGTAAATCCTCATCTGCGTCATGGTGAGTATAAAGTTCGATTATAAACCAGACACATGTAGTAGGGTTGGACATACCTTGCGTAACGGGGTTCAACTTGCATACGAAGAGGATATTCTCTGGGGGTTTGACATCAGCAAATGGTAGATCTCCGACCATCTCCAATGTCAATGCCTGAGCCCGAGCTTCGCGCTCTCGGCGCAACTTCTCCATGGCATCCTCATCCATTTCCTCGCCCAATTCTTCATCATCCGCAATGCGCACCGTCGCCAATTGAGCTTTCGATGGTAAGGGACTCTCGGGTGGCTCTACCAGACCTGCTGGATCATCGAAGGGATCATCCAGGACAACCGTATGACGGATACGAATATCTTTCAAGGGTCGGCCTCGGTCATCAATGAAAGAATCATTAATCTTTTCCAGTACATCAAATCCCTCAACAACTTTTCCAAAAATAGCCGCTTTCCCATCTAGATAATCCAAATTGTCACCGAGGGTAATTAAGAATTGACTTCCAGCAAGCCGTTGGTCGGGATCGTTGGTGGCTGGAACGGTTGCCATGCTCACCATTCCGCGTTCGGAGTGCTTGAGCTTCGGCAGATCGATTGGAAAGGTGCGCTTCGAGGGGCCATCGAGAATGCCCCAGATTGAGGAACCGGCATCGCTTTCGGGCGCATCAGGACCTAATGGGTCACCGGTTTGAAAAGAGAAGTTCTTCTGGACGCTGTGGACGGGGGCGAAATTGTAATATTTGATTTTGCAGAGCTTCAGGAAGCTATGACGGATAGGACGAGGCTTAGTTTTCTTGTTCAGCACAGTTTGATGGGGCAGGATAAGAGGCTGGACCCGGGGGGGGATGGTTGGTTGTGCTTTCCAGAGGGGGCAAAGGGAAGAGAGGGCGCTTACTTCTCACAAGCCTTGGGCGACTCATCAACTAGTAGATCTATGACGATATCGCCCAGAGATGTCTCTAACAAGGTACTCATGGTTGTAAAGGTGCCAAAGGGGTATTTTTGTTTCCTTTTCCTATCGCATGAATGACAGCAAAGTCAGCAGAATGAAAGTCGGAGAGAGAAGATCGACGGGCAGCTTGGACCAATCAGAGACATGACAAGGAACGGGGAACTGGACTTGGTGCATATCATCTTTCCTTTAGACTTAATAGTCTACTGTATGTTTTCTTTTTCTCGTCATACAATCAAACTTGGCTTTAGGAGATTTTTACCTATCATTGATTTCCCCCCCTCCCCAATTTCCCCAATTAACCCCCAATCTCCTAAATCGCCCACATGCAGGTCAACTAGCTTCCCGGATGATCGCCCCCGGTGCATTTGTGCAACTTCGCGGATGTCTCCTCTTCACAATCGAGCGGCATATCTTCCGAATGTCCCAGTTGGACATGGATAATCCCTTTTCAGATCAAGATGCAGTGGATCTGGATGTTGGAGATGAATTGTTTGCTTGCAGATCCCCTCACCGATTTCTCGGAATAGCGCAACATGCACCAGGCAGTCCAGGCCAAAAGCACTAGATCCTCTCTCTCAAGTCCTTGAAGTGCCCGTTCAAGAATGTTGGGAAAGGGGCTTATCTTCATATTCTCCAGCCACAAGTCTTGGCTTTTTTTTCCCTTTTCTTTTCTTTTCTGCCTCTGTCTTGAGCGTTAACCTCAGGATGACTGTGCTATTTCATCCTTGCCAGGTACGCGGTACAACTACCCGACAGCGCTATGACGGTGATCGACTTTGATTTCCTCGTTTTGTTTTGTTTTGTTTTTTTACTTAATCATTTCCTGTTGGATACATTCTCTTCTTTTCTTCTCGGGTGAGTTGTTCCACTGCAGATAACGGTGGGAGAAAACGGGCGGATTCCTGCAGCAAGGAGACCAGCGACATCATGGCGACATCAGGCTATTCTTGCTACTTTAGAAATCTCTCTATGTGGGTAGCTGAGGGATAGTATCATGGGGAACCTTGTCTATCCATCTTTGGTCAGGTACAGCGGCAGCAATGAGAAGTTGATAGAGAATCAAGAAAAGGATCATGCCAAGAAAAAGAAAAGAAAAAAACGAATCAGATCAATCCAGCTCAATCATAAGAGCCTTGCAAGGAACGTGAAGCAAAAGTACAGGAAAGAGGCTCCCAGAAGCTAGTACCTAGATTCCCTCGTCTACCTAGTGTCTGCACAGAATAGAGCCGGTTTCAATTCCAACGTCCCTGGCAACTAAGCTAGAGCCCACTCAGAGTCAGCTGGTTCAGTCCGAATTGTCTCTCCTGACTCTCTCTTTTTCATGCTTCCATGTCGTGCAATATCAGACCGGGCATTTTGATTGGAGCTCACCTGATGTCTCTTCATCTCTGTGAGTCCAATGTCTGGGTAATTGTGTATACGAAACCCCCAAAGAATGAAGAGCATGTGGGACTTCCCTTCATATGTCCTAGATGCATCTCCACCAACGGCCTCTGTTTTGCCTTTTTGACTCATTTCATACCTACTGGAAATCCCAAGGAAATGGATCAAAAGCTAATATCTGCAAAAAAGAGTTTTTCTAGATTCTTTTGGGGGTAAAGATTTCGCACAACTGGCTAGTATCCCGGAATCTCCTGCATCATACCTAGTATAGACGCGAACCATGATCCTCTTCCCTTTTGAGCTTGGGACATTCCGATTACTTTTCTTTTCCCCTCAATGATGGTCCGGGATCTAGTTCTAGGTCTGTTCTGTCTACCTTCAGGATTCATCAGTCGTGAACCTAGCAAATTCTCAAACTTGCAAATTTCTGGTTCGCTGGATATTGCTTTTTCTACCGTTGCCATTTCCATCTAGATGCGGCGGAAGCGCTAACAACTTCACCCAATTGATCCACCACCAATCCATGCTGTCGATCAAGACGCAACCTAAATATCGTGATCCTTGCTAGAGCTACTTGCCTATTAAAGGCGCGCGCTTTAATCGGGCCCACTCCACCATCGCTAGAACGTGCTAGCGCCGGCTGATCAAGTTGACAGGTGTCAGTCTGGTATTTTCTTTTCTTTTTTGAAATCATTTCACCGGTGTACTACTTACTCTCTGCCTTTCTCCACCCCTGTATTTTTGACTCCTTCTCATTTTCTTGGAGAGAGAGAAGAGGGGAAAAGTCGGGGATGTTGAGACATGTACTGCGTGTTCCATGGTCTGAGACATTAGGGAACCTCAGAGAATGAAATTTCTGACTGTGTGCGCGTTTGTCGCAAGATGATGTGATGTGGGTTTAGGGCAAAAGATCCCCAATCATCTTGAAGATCATTCTTGCTATGGCCTCCCGGCTTAACGTCCCGGGCCCCCCAGTTCGGACTGTTTGACGCGTTGTTTGATGCGTCAGGAAACACTCTCCACTCTTCTAGCAAGCTGGGCGCAGCAAACACACCAATCAACTGTGACTAAGACCCCCATCGACGCAGCAAACATTTACCCTGTTGAATCTTAATCTTGATCGATCCATCGGATCCTCTCCCCCGGATCGACAGCAGGATTTTCGGCAAACGTTAGCGGTGGTTTTCCGTTGCCTTAAGTCCTAAATGCTATCTTTCTTACCTATTGATACCACAGGTCATGATGATGATTACTCTTACCAATACTATACTATACGCCTCTATGTAATTCTCTTTTTATTGATAATTGTTGAGGATTCTCTTGTCACCTCTTCCTATCTAGGGCTCTTTACACCGGCGAATCGGGGGCCACCCGAAAAGAAAACACCCCAGCCCTCTTTGGTGGCGGATCAGAAAGCTATCTTTCTCTCTCCACCTGGCCGTGTTCTTGTCATGGCTATCAGGTCATGTTCCGTGTGACGTTACGTTGTGAAACCAAGCCTCTTAAAACGCCGGTTGCTTCTGGCTGGTCTTGCCATAGGAGAATCTGGATTGGATCCGCGGATATGTGCATATCATTTCCCCTGGGTACAACAAGGTAGAGAAAAGACCTAAAATGGATTTATTAGATCTGAAAATAAATGAAGAATAAAAACAAAATAATTAAACTGTACTTGTTTTTCTTTTTTTTCTTTTTTTGACTATTCTTCTCCACTTGACGCATTCTTTCCCCAACTTTGAACCTAGAACTTCATAGATCGTAGAGATCGGTTTTACGCCATAATCTAATCCCAAATGAGCCAGGGGCTGCTAGTAGAAAATTAATTCTATATTTTACATTTATATTCTTGTAAAAAAAATGAAATGAAAAAAAAATTCAACAAATAACAGGAATCAACAAGATCGAGCGAGGAAGAGAGAGACTTAGCCACCACACACTGATTGTTAGTAAAACACACTTAAATCTAGCCCTACTCACCAGAGACATATTCTTTTTCTCTCCTATTTCTTTCTTCCTTGACTTCATGCCTTGATCGCTTCAGCAGGACTTGATCATTGAACCTTCAGAAAACATTTGTGTCTTGTCTATACTCTGATCTTTTCTTTCTCTTCTTCTGCTTCCGCTTTCCTTGTGTCTATAACATTATCTTGTTTCCGGTTTTCGTTTTGAAGGCTGCAAGTCTATCTTGACTGTTCCAGTGGTCGAACAGCAATGGACCCTTACTACGCAGAAAACACTGGTTTTGCCCAGTCTCGACACGCCTGTGGACTTTCTTTGCCTCGTGCCATGAGAAGCATGAGTCGTCACGAAATGGGAGATCGGTCTAGTAGCTGTACAGGGCCGACAAGTGAGTCAGATGGCAAGTTACGCAATCCCCAACGACGTCGTGTTCCAGTGGCGGTACGTACTATTTTTCAGAGTCCCTTGATATATTCTTATGTGCTAACCATATTTCTTTCTTTAGTGTCAAAGATGTCGGAGAAGAAAGATTAAATGTAGTGGGGATTCCGAGGATGGTCAAGGTTGCTCGAATTGTCATAGCGCCGGTGAAAACCTATGCCAATTTACCAGAGTAAGTACAACTATATCATTACTCACGGATTGCTTTAGACTATATGTTCTAATTTTCTTCGTATCAGGTCAATTCTCAACCTGTTGATGAATTTAATACCCAAATGCTCAGTGACTGGGTTCAATCTCACCGTGCTGACAGACCCGGTGCCAGTGGCTGGCAACCTTATCCCAATATGAGACCAGCAGCTGCACCATCCCAACTTGGGGTGATCCCGACACATGCCCAATCCAAACCGACCCTCCTTTCTATGGGCTCAACACAACCTCAGACCCGTGTCAATGCCTATCAACAACGCTCTGCCGATTTTGATCTGGGTGCTGCTGATGCACATGCTTACCAGAGATCAGGAGGTGTGAGCTCTATGCACTACGAAGACGAGACATCGTCAAGCCACCCTCATCCCTCTCAATACATATTACCCAATACTTCACCGGGGGTTATGATGGACTATGGAATTCCAGCATGGAGTCCTAAAGCTTGGGACTCAATGTTCGGGACTGGCAGACATACCAATGGAAACGTCTATCCTGAGTCTGATGCCAATACTTCTTTCAATCAGTCACACTTTACCTACATGCTCCCTAGTCAAGACCACTCTGTCGGAGATCTATCTCAACCCAACAGCGCCACTATGAGTGAAGGATCCTCTGATGCCCCAGGACCAGACCGTACACTACCTAGCCCTACATCTCGAGGCCAACAGGGCCCTAACTCTGCGACGGAATTCATTCCAACAGAGGGAAATCCAAACCTACCTTGGTCTTCACCTGACTTTAAAGCCGGCTTTTGGAGTCCCCGTATAGCCGCTTCACCTGACCATCGACCAAGTTCCACTCACACTGTCCCAACCAACACACCATTCACTACTGGTCCCGAACTTTCAAACAAGGGTATCAGCGTCAATGGAACTGGCTCAGAGTTACTTTTCCCATATCTTCCCATGCCCACCACCTCCGAAGACACAATGCAATCTCTAGTATCCTCATCCACAGCTCCACCACCCCCAATCTCCACGGCGGGTATGAGCCCGGCTTATCCCATTCTCGAGACCCTTGACAATACCGGATCTGACTACCCAAGTATACACAATGACACAAGAATCACTCGCAACCATTCCCGGGACCACGGCAATGCAGGTCAACGGCTTCTTGCGTTGAACGAATGCACACCGGCCATCTATGGCTATAGCACCAGCGAAAAGAGTAAAGCGCGTGGCAGCGGCCCCGATGCTGAATCCCACACCTTACTCAGTGGCCTACCATATACACGTGTACAGCACCGGGACACATCCAGCACTGCATTCTCTTTCAATTCGTCGCCGGATGCACTGCCCGAGTATCACCGTGCTGTGGTCGAGAACGTGCACCGGCCACCTGCCGTTGAGCCTTTGGGTAACCAGGGTTCTTATTAGGAACATTTCTCGTCCCTCGTTTATTAATCCCCTTTTGTTGTTAATGTTGTCATTATTGGTTTGGTTTGGGTTTGTACTTGATTTTGACTTTCGTCTCTTGTTCTGTTTCAAAGTTTGTCTTGTCTTGTCTTGTCTTTGTATCTGTGATTCCCATTCCACTGTGCATGTGGATGGATGCTAGGATGCCACCTCTCAAGGTAACAAATTGTATGATACTTGTGTATGGGAATCGAGCCATATCGATCAAATCGGAATATATTATATTTCTTGAAGATCTTGCTCCCCATCTCTTGCCCCTTCTGACCATGGGTAGTGTCAGGGTCAGTTATTTTTTGTTCCCGGGGCCGATCCGGACTCGATACTAGATCGGTTTCTACTAAGAGGTCTTGCAAAAGCCGCATGGCTTGTGTATCTGACTATTTAGTGGACCTGGCCTATTTGGCTGGTGGTGTTGCATCTGTCTTACGTATTTATCTTCTCTGCCCTTTTGGACTTTTGTGGTGTGTTTTATTGTTTATCGTTGTGTATCTGCATGTGCTTTCTTCTGCTTGTAGCAACTTGGCTTGGTTACCTTGATTTATTCTTGTTGCGCCACTGTCTCGACATTCCTGGTAGGGATCTTGTTTGTGATGCTTTTTGCCCTTTATGTTTCATTTGACTTTACAAAGTGTTGTTCGTCTTTTATCTGGGCACGGCAAGTCTTTACGGCTTCGAAGCCGAGGAGGTATTAGTGTGGAGGGCGCTCGATTTGTTATATTCTTTTTAGTTTGATTCGTATGTTCACATCATTGTTTTGATTTTTTATATTACCCTTTTCATTGTTTCAAGTGTCACTCTTTTCTTCCAATAACTGTTGGTCTCGTGCTGCTTATCTATCTTCATCTATTTTGTGTCACTATTGCCTACTCCCAGGCCCAAACAAAGCAGAGATCCACGATGATGCCCATGGACTCGCGCAAGCTGAGTGTGGTTTCTGATTATTTTAATCTATTGTTTTCATCTTATTTTACTTGCTTTTTCCACTGGAGGCTTTTTGCTACTTCATATTTCCTCCTGGGATAATCATCTGGAGGTCTCTTGATTGCGTTTAGTTTTAGCATTTTTTATACGATGAATATCTAATAAAATAGTCTCAATAATTATTCAATATTAATCCTTTTAATGTGACATCATGCTCTAGGGTATCCAAATCAAGGAAGCATTTCTTATTTTCTTCGTAATCTGAATCATATCCAACGTAGCATATCTTTATCTTCACTATCACCATGTGGTACGTCCTCATGTATTGTATTTGTCATTGCGAGACATTCAAGTATACCTCCAATATAGGAAGATCAGGCACTTGGAAATATCATCGCACCTTCAACTTGTAACCCTGGTTCCAAAGAGACATAAAATGCGAATATCATTGATGCAGGTAGTACTCGAACAAAGTCCTACATTAGTACATACGATGATCGAACTTTCATACTACAATATACTCAAGGACATTGCATCATATCACGAAAATAGCTTGAAGTACACAAGTCCCAACAAGATATCCCATTTCAACCACGTTGAATCAAAAAGGAAATAGCAAATCCTAGCTCTGTGTAATCTCTGCACAACATCAGCCCCATACTATGATTTGCAATTTCAGACCCTGCATGCATCACCCTCTACAAGAGATATCTTCCGATAATGATTTGAGATGGCTTTATTCAGCTTCATTCCTGTCTCTTGGGATTCCTGATATTGTATCATGGATGGTTAGTAGAATTATTCAAAGTCTATCGATGGACAAAAAAAGAAAGCTTGGGTTCCATCTAGCGTAACTTGTTACCTCGAGATGTCCAGGATGAAGAAAGAGTTTAGATATGGACCTGAAGTAGTTTAAGTTGGGAAGACAGCTTGAGTCTGTGTTTCTTTTTGCTTAAGTTTCTTTCATCAGAGCTTGAACTGATACTGGTATTGCCTAGGTAGGTTGAGTGAATGGATTGAGAGTCAAGTTGGGATTGCTGGAATGGATTGTGTGACTTGTGACTAAATAGAGATATATATAAATTTATTTGAGATTTCATTTTCAGGGACAGGGGTGGTATGTATGTATTGGGTTGGTTGTGAACATCATGCACTACACGGCTGAATTTTGGGATAGATGCACATGGGGATGGTCTTGATGTAGGTATTCGAGGCTGCTTTCTTTCAATTATATCTAGGGTTCGGCGTTGTCCTCAGTATCAACTACTAGTATGCACGAGGTCGATATACAAAGTAAACTCCGGGGTCGACTGTGGGGAACCCTGGATAGTCACATGGAACAAGGAGATGGAGTTTCCAGGCGCAGTTCATGTATATACACCTCCAGACTGGACCCAATTTACATCTACATCTACACTGAGCAGACTGTGGCTGAACAGGAAGAAAAATATGTAACTCGTGCCGGGGACAACAGCCGTAGCCCGGATTCTCATATCCCTCGCTGTAATTTTAATTGAAACTGATCAAACTTCGACGCCTCTTGAAAGGGGGATTGATCATCACGTCTCATTAGAAACCAGAATCTACTATACAATACATGAGTAGAACTGGCTCCCACAGGGGGGCATAACCACCTTCATTGGAGTTAAGAGATGGTCCACATCGACAAAACAAATCGCTTTTTAACCCTTTCTTTTCTTTCAGTCGTTGAGACCATCTCCATCTTATCCACCAAGACCACGTCTGTCGCCTCAATCCCTTAATTGGTATAAGAATTTAAAAGGAGAACAGCCGGGCACTCCAAAAAACCACCAGTCCACCAAACGTTTCACCAAGCCATAATTTAAGCAGAGCGAGACGCTTAGTCCTTGGACTTCTTGGGACCCTTGACCTTGGCGACACCACGGAACTTCTTGGAGCGGTTCTTGCGTTGCTTGCCTGTATCAGTATGTGTCAGTGGGGGTGACCAATATAAAGGGTCGGGCCTTTCGGCCACCTCACGAAGAGGTAATTCTTCAGAGAAGAATTTTTGGAGATAAAAAAGAGAGTAAAAAGTTCCAGGGGTTTGACATACGCTGTTGGCGGGAAGCCTTCTCGATCTTGTCGGCGAAGCCGATACGGACGAGACGGTAGTGGGGCTCGAACTTCTTCAGGGCCTCGGAGGAGTCGTAGACCAGAGCGAAGCCAGTGGACTTGCCACCACCGTACTGTGTGCGGAACCCGAAGACGGAGACCTGGTCCTTGTTGCTCTTGTAGAGGTCGGCCAGCTTCTCACGGAGCTCGTCCTTGGAGACGTTGGGGCGGTTGGGGTGGAGGACATCCCTGGAAGTTAATGTTAGTCGCGGTTTGATGGTAAATGTGACGTGTCTGTGTGGCTGCAAGATTCGCGAAATTGGTAACAATCCATAAATCCCTGGTTTTCAAAATTTCAAGACGAAATTAGGTAGACCGGTTTTTTTTTCTTCTTCTGGTCGTTTTTGATGCCGAGGGTGTGCCCAGTTCATTCGGAATGAAGATATTTCGATGTCCTTGCCGAGGATTCGTGGATTTGTCCCAATTTGCATTTTGCATTTGCGCCAGAACGATAGAGAAACGGGGAAAGGGAGTCTTACACGACCATCTGCTTGCGAGCGAGCAGAGGGTTGCGAATGAACTTGCGAGTCCGCAGAGTAACGGGAGTGTCGGCCATTTTGGTGGTGAGTGGTGATGCGGAAGTCGAATGGAAATGGACGATGGACTTTCAATTTTCGTGTGCGTCGCTCGGTTACGGGGCTGCGCTAGACTTCTTTTGGTAATGTTTAGTAAGGTGAAAAGTGGGTCACGGGGCTGCTGACTGTACTACAGTAGTCTTACCCCTTATCGATAAGAGATAAACGATATCAGCATCTAAAACTCTATTTGTGGTCATGTACCCCTTCGAGTAGGGAACAAGGATTCCTGTTTGTTTCAGTTTATAGATACAAGGGGCTGGTAGACCCTTTGTGTTTTCATATGTGATATGAATATGTGCGAATTTTTTGGGGGGTCTCAGGGACAGGCCCGGAAAGGATTCAGAGAGGCACGCGATCTCAACGGAGGTTCTGTTACCTTTTGAGAGGGCGTAGAGTGCAAATAACAGCTTAATCAATCATATAGAATACTTGTATTGTCTAATTTCATCTCACGTCAATACCAGTAGAACTCTTTAGGTAGTAAGCCCTACCCTGCTATGTATATTGTATAGTTCGGAATTAATCCGGCATTAACCATGTCTCTAACCCTGATCCACGCTAAACCCAATACAGCAACGACGTCACATCCAATTTAAACATTCAAATGTTTCATGCACCGATCCTACCTAGCTTCTAAGTACATTTCTGTCTTCTCCCCAAACAGTCATGGCAGATACAATCCACAAATTATCAGCCCAGTACTTTCAACTTGTCGACCCACCAGAACTAACCATTCCACCCGATGATGTCCTCGTGCGCCCCGAGGTCCAACACGCACTATACAAGCATATGTTCGATGAATCTTTAACCCCGCTACCACCAACAACTTATCGCAGCCGAATTCTCAAATTGCTCCTCGCGCGCATCGAAAATGGAATTCAAAACCCAGATGAACATGTACGTTTATTGCAATTAGCATAAGCATAATCATTACTACATCTGGATGGGACATAGCTAGATCTGCTTGCGACCAAATTTCAGAATCAATGCTAATATAATACCCTCTAGGAAATCTCAGATGACCTCATGGAATGTTGGGGTAATCTCCTCTCCGAACCAAAACCCAGCGCTATCGAGGCAGCGCAACAACTTTCCCACGTGAAATATACCGCTCCGCAATCCGAATCGCATACTTCAGATCGCACGGTCACAACTATAGAATCGCGCGGCGTGATTCTGTCCGGTGGTACAACTGGTAATCGTACCTGGGAAGCGGCGCTACATTTGGAATCTTTTCTTGCCTCCCCAGCTGGCGAGGCTCTTGTCACCGGGAAAAGGATCATAGAACTCGGTGCTGGAACAGGGTTTCTCTCTCTATTCTGCGCGAAACATCTTGGTGTGCGTGGTGTTGTTGCGACGGATCGAGAGCATGCGCTGATTGAGACTATGAAGGAATGTGTACGTTTGAATTCGGGGCCTGAGTCAACTCAGGCGAGACTGGATCAAAGGAGTATGATTCCTATGTATCCTGCTATTTGGGACTGGGGGACACCGTTACAGAGAACGGAGGAGATGGAGTTGCTTGTTGGAAATGAGGATTTGAAATTTGATGTTGCGCTTGGGGCTGACTTGGTATGTATTTCTGTCTTATTGTAATTTTTCTTGTCTTGTTGTCTTGACAATTGCTCTGGCTTTGATTTGATGCATGCTGATATTTTCTAGGTTTATGATGCGGATCTTGTCCCACTTCTCCTGTCGACTGTTCGAGACCTTTTTGACAATTATGGGGTCGAACAGTTTATTATGGCAGCGACTTTACGCAACGAGGATACTTTTCAAACATTTTTGACTGAGTGTGGTGAGTTGAAGATTCTATGATGGATCAAAGCTGAACACAATGGAAACTAATGTGGTGAATAGAAGCGTATTCGTTCAAGGCTGAGTATCTTCCGGTTCAGTCGACGAATTTGGACGAACAGACTGGATTCTTTCATTCTACGACTATTCCGATTCGAATGTACTGCATATCAAGGGGTTGATATGCTGTTTCATGAGGTGGTAAAGCCGTGCATGGGTGAGCGACTTGAGTGACGGCCTCAATAAAATGCAACACGCTAGTCCAATTCACGAGCTATCCTCACTTTCTAGATTACCCCACAGTTCCTCTCAAAAAAGCACGGGCATCATTAATTTGATCATTTGTCCTAATAAACTTGATAAACTTGCCGCAGTTAATTACGCCACGGTAGTGCCTGGTACCTAACTAGCTAATTTGTATTACATTGAGTGTGACTTCGCTGTTCACCAAGTCCATCCTGTGGTATCCTTAGCCCAGTCCATCGTCTTTGGAGATATCTTAGCCAAACGAAACAGAACGTAGTACTTGTCATGCCACTCTTCGCTTTTATCAGTACGGCCTGCGCGTGAAAAACCTGAGAAATGCCTAGTTTCCGTCAGCTTATAGTGTTCGCCACTCAACAACGGATAGAGCGTACATATTCCCGGTGGCATTGTCATAGATGATCTTTGACATAGTTGACATACGCGGTAGGTAACCAAACTTCTTCAGCTTTCTAATGTTCATGTCAATCGAGAGCACGCCAGGCAAAGAGTTCTCTAGGCTTACGGAAAGGCCTCACGAAATTTATCACGGATCACTTGGCGCGACTCAATATCTAGCCCCCAGAATTCTTCTGCGCTTAGAGGCTCCCCGGGGACTTTATCCCAAACCAAATAAGTAATATAACCTCCCGGAACGATACTATCTTCGTCTTGCTTTCCCTCTTGGTAAGCAAGGAGGTCAGGGACAACGTCGCATTCATTTTTCTTAAACAATTTCAAGGTCGTCAACTCAACGTGTGGTTGTGGCTTAGCAGCCTGCTTTCGTCGAATCTGAGGGCTCTGATATTGAGTGCCAATAACTGGAATTTGAAGATAAATCCGCATAAAAGCCTTCTTGCTAGGATTTCCCTTGGGGTGGCAGAGAAACTTAGCAGCTGCGAATGGAAGTCCAAGACCATCCGCAACGTCTTGCTGCGTCATCGACTGAGATCGTTCAGAGAGTTTCTTATCGATCACCCAGGTCTGGCAGGGCAGGTGAAGGGGCGGCTCAGGTGGTGGATCGAGAGTGACGTCCGTGCCGTCGAGGCCGCACAGGAACTCGGCAGTTTCGGGATTGTTCATGCTGACTTGATAAGCTTTGCAACGATAGATGAAGACCTATTGGTAAATGAAAGCCTAGTAAATCTGGTGTGGAGACCTCCTAGCGGGTTCTGGTAAACCGTTTTGGCACCCACAACAGCTAAATAAGCAGGCGGTCCGCCTTTTTGATTGGTCAATAAGACCCACATTAAATGCTTGTTCCAATCCTTCTTGTACTCTTATGATCTCCCACTCGAATCGCACATAGCCGAGGCGATGCAGATCCTACGTTGCAACAGTTGTTGTAGGAGACTAGAATACATCTTAATGGGGGTACTGCGGCGATTGTAGCAACGGTTGACTGAAAGTTGATAAGAAAAATAACACAAAACTCGTAAAAGACACAACACCGTACCTGCCCAATACGCCTTTATTTGTTCCAGCACTATCGCTATCAACTTTATCAACCAGGATTTTAAACCGATTTCTACGCTTCTCAAATCTATAACTTACACTCTAGAAGCCTCAAGCTCAATTCTTGATGTTTTGAACGGACTCTCTATTCTGTCTACAACCTTAGACAATATGCCGGCAAAACAAGCCCGCGTAAGGGAGATAGCTTCTCAAGCCCTTCCTCCATTCCTCCTCGGCCCAAATCACACCAAATCCAACGCCCTCCACGATATCGAGTTTGTGGGCGAGCTCCATCGTTGGTCCAATTTCCTCCGTTTTGTCGAAAATGAGATCCAAGGTCAGAGATGGAGCACCAAGGTCATCAAGTACACCCATCGATTAGGCAACCCTGAGGCTGAATCGCAAGTTATTGGCGATGAAACAGGCCTTCAGGGTGTTTTCAGTCATTCGGTGGGATTTATGGTCGGAAAAATCCTAAAGGCCCAGTCAATCGATCTAGAATTTGCGGACTTCAAGTGCCTTGGAAACCACTATGCTAACACGCCTGATAGCATTCTCATGACCAAGAATGTTGAGCTAAAGGTTGTTGGGGAGCTTAAAGTCCCTTGGGTGTACGAACACGAGATGTGCGAGGCGTATGAGGAAGAAAGTATGCTTCGCTATTTGCTTGCCCAACCGATCAAATATATGAAGGATCTGAATTGTATGTATGGCTTCATGAGTAACTACTGTGAGACGATATTCCTTCGGCAGGAGTTCATTGCAGGCAGATGGATCATCGATTACTCCCCAGTCGTTCGGGCATCTACCTCCTATGTCAAGACGGACATGGCCGATCTCCAGGCTACACCAGTTGTGTCATTGAGGCAATGTTTCCTTGCTGTTGCGGCTCTAGCACAGACACAGGGGCCTGTCTACAACACAACACCAAATTCAGAATGGGTTGTGAAATTGAGATGACATAGCGACTACAAGTCCCCAAGTCCCACTCTGCGCCTCCGGATCAGCGCCATGTTCAGCCTCCGAGAAATAGGAAAAGATCTGGCTTTCCCATTTTGCCAAGAGTCGAAGCCCCCGGAAGCTCCTTTCTTTTGCTCCCTTACAAAACCACAACTGATAAAAAATCTCGAAAATTTCATACCAACTTCCATGTTAGCCTTATCCGCTCATGCTCCGATTCGGTCCTTGGCGACGCAGATCCGTTCCAGCAACCCGGTCACCTCACGCCCTTTCTAGCTAGGATAATACCCAATTATATTGATTATACTACTATACGGTGTATACGGCACTGGAGAAGATCCTGAGTATTCTTTAAAAGGGTATTATATTTGTTATTTATCTTTGAATATCATACTGTGGACTTCGTAGATTTTAATAATCTCGAAGATGAAGAAAGAAACCCGGAATAAAATAAAAGGAACGTCTTGAGGGTATCATTCATAGAAATAACGCCAGCACGATTCTGTTCACGAGCTCAAACGGTAAACGCGAACATGGTGCAAATGCGACAACCCAAAATAAGATCCAAAACTGGATAAACCACGCAATGCAGAAAGAGCACTAAGCCAACCCAAATGCAATGCTAAAAAATACCATGGAGTACGAATAAGGAGGGAGACAAGTGGCTGAGGTCATAGAGAAGGAGTTTAGGTTAATGGGAGAGATGGGGAAGGAGTGGATCAACCGTGTGACATATATCAAGTGTTGTCAGCAAGGCTTTCTCGTAGCAGATTCTCATCTATACCTTGGACTTGAACGGTAATCGGTGCTGGGGGTGGAGCACGGAGGCCCATGATTGGACCTTTTTGATTCACGCCTGGGAATCTGAACTGGAGAGCTGATGGGGGATCAGCTGTCGGTGGCTCGTGCGAATGAACCTTGCTTGGCGTTGATTCAGAGGAATTTGAAGAAAGTGCTGATTGAATGGCGGCAATACGGCCTTCGCTCTCGGAATCCAAGTTCTCTGAGACTGGAGCCATGCCCCACCGACCCAAGACCCAGCCGCCCACGCGGCGACCCAACGTGGAGGGTTTGCGACTGTTTGTAGGTGTTGTGGAGGAGGTGCTGGTGCTGTCTGCGGAGGCAATAGAAGCAGAGTCAGACGGGAGAATCGTAGCTGATGTGCTTGCTGCTGCCATTGAAGCGAGGAGGGAGCGGGAAGATTTTTCAGGGCCCTTGGCTCGATCGGCAGTGACTGTAGGCGCTGAGATGACTGGAGGCGTGGAAGCCAGGGATATACTAGAGGACATGAGGCGTTGGGGGAGTCGCATGCCCGAATGCCAGTCGCCCATGCGTGGTTGCCGGCTGATCGGGGTGTGGATGTCCATCCCGGCGACGGAGAGGAGGCTGTCGTGGGATGTGGACTTCCGTAGGGAAGGTGTATAGGGGGCTTGTAGTCCCAGAACATCCTCGGCGGTTGCTGAAGAGCGTCGCTCTGCGGATGATTGAGCGTATATTCCGTAGGGTGGTGAAGATTCTGATTCCTCCGGAATAGCTGGGTGCGTCGCAATGCCATCGCAGAGATCGAGATATGCAGGCCGATCATACTGGTCCCCGTTGAAAGGTGAATCTTCGTGGGGCGTGTAGTCAAAATTGTCGAAGCCACCCAAAGGTCTGGATGGGGGGTCAAAGCCTTTGGAATTATACGCTTCCATAATTGGAGACGAGAAGACTGTGCTATCGGGACTAGTGGGTTGAGAGAAATCATACCCTCGCTCGACGCGGTCAAAGATGGAAGAGGTACGAAATGCAGACTGTGGGGAACTGGCCACTGAATCGGCCGGAAGTGGTGGTGATTGTAGTGACCATCGACGCGATGAGGATTGTGGCGGAATAGAGACGGAGGTTTGGGATAAGATGGTGTTCATGGATGAGCCTGATGATTGGGAGCGATGAATAGAACGGCGAGGGGAATGAGTGCCAACGGCTGAATGCATAGGGACGGGGCTTCCCAGCGAAGGCCTCTTCTTCTTGACACGACGATTGGCAGTGCCTTTGTCCTTTTTTGAGGATGTCGGTGTGTGATAGTGATGGTGGATGTGAAATTCTTGTGACACACGGCGTTCTTTTGACTCTTTCGTCTCTAGTTCTTCGGATAACGTCGTCATAGGCGCAACTTGAGAGTTGCTTTCTTCATCCACACCTTCCAGCGGCTGATGAGAGAAAACCTGGTCTCGAAGATGTTGTACTTCCTGATTGGAGTTGTCAAGCATCTCACGTAACTCCATAATACCGACTTGCAGATTTGCATTATCTTGCAAGATATCCTTGACAAAACGCGAGACCACCTGGGTACCAGGATTGCGGCCAAGTTCGGACGTCGCGGCAGCACCTTTCAATCGAACGGCTGCATTGTCAAGCTCACGTTCCACATTGCGCTTTCGCTCCATTCGCTCCACCAGTTCCTCGTGTCTTTCGCGTTCCTCGCGAGCTTCGGATTCAATGCGCTCAACCTGATCATGAAGGCCTCGTAATGTGTTCTCGGCATTGCGCCAGCGCTGAAGAGCAGACTTCTCGTCCTCCTGGGCAGATGTCAAACTGTCCTGCAGTTTCGACTGCTCACTTTCCATGATTGCTAATTGCATCTCTAATTCGGCAGCACGGGATGCAGCAACGGTTAATCTGCGTAATTCCGACTGTGTGCTTTCCAAAGTAAGAGTAAGCGACCGTACATGGTCATCTGAGTCAACGACGGCCTTGTTTAAACCATCAAGCTGCTCTAGAAGACTTCGGTTCTCCTCAACAATGCGCGCATTCTCTTCTTGGACCTGGCGCTTTTCGCGCTCGAGTGCATCGACATTCTCAAGTAATCGCCGGCGATCGTCTTCCGCCTCGGCCATATAACTTTCATGACGATGGAGCAAAGCCTGTAGAGCAAAGGTCAGCGACGACGACCCATGACAGTCTGCTGAAACAGAGCGATTGTGGAGATGAAAGGTAGTCATGACGGACGCCAACGCAATGAGTGAGTATGGGAGACCTCAATGTGAGAGGTTCCATGTGTGAAGCAAATAAAGCAAAAGTAAAGTATTCCAGCAACACCTTCTCTCTACCTGGCGTAGATAGAAATTATGGGAGGGAATATGCAAATAGAAGGGGGAAATAATTGAAAAGCAGAAACTGGAAAAGTTCCCTTCGCTAGAAAAAGAAAAGGGACCAACGAGTGTTTGTGCGGAATGATGAGATGAAAATGATGGATCGTCAATCATGCATGGCTCAGCTCGCCATGAACACCAACTTCTCCACACTGTGTTACAGAAGAACGGAGAAAGCGCGGAATCGAACACTTCTAAAGAAATAAATCACGTACCTGACCTAGTTTTGCCGCTGTTTCAAGGTCCCTTTCCAGTCCCTCGAGAGCAACATTATTGTGTTCTAGCAGAGCGCAATCATCACGACCACAGCAGCAGCGCAGCGAAGATGGCGCACGGTAATGCGTCGGAATGCTGGGATATTGGTTCCCGTCCGAGCTATGCGGAAGGGAATCCATGGGCGGTATGAGAATGAGAATGTAGCCCCTTGGGCGAACAACGAGTTGGCGAGCTGATCATCCGTTCCCTGCGTTGGTCTCTGGATGCGAGCTATCACAGAGCCACACTGTTCTCTCTCTCTCTGCAAGGTGATGCAGCGTCGAGTATCACAAGCTGTTGGCGCGAGAAAGCGGAGAAATCAGCTGAACCGCTGACGTAACTGGATTATGTAATGGGTACACAGTCTGCCGAATCGGGAAGTATTGGGTATTGGGCTGCAAAAGGGACTTTGAGGAGGTGAAATGAGCATTTATTGTAATATATATCAGCTAATGTATCTTTAAATTTCCAGGGGATAAAGGATTTGCATGATCTACTAGCCACTGGGTATAGGGGGTTGTTGCCCTAGTTAGCCATAGTTGTATGGGGAGGGGTCTACATTCCGCATCGCCGTTGACAACCCTTGCATTGCAAATTACTATGTACTTACTCGTCTAGATAAGATCTTCGGTAGATCAATTTTACACAAGAGACTAGTAAGCTTGATGAAGCCTAATCCACTGACACCCGAAAATATATAGGAATTCAGTAGTGTAGAATAGATCAGTAGCATCAATATAGCATGTAGCTTGTGTCTACCTCAGTACTGAACTTCTAGATATTCAAATTTTCTCAGTGCTCGATCGCCATTCTTTATATGCGCTATCTAATGGCATCTGCAACCAAATGGATAAGAAATCGATCAGTACCCTTTGAAGACATGAGTCTGCACACAAGTACTATATCATTCCATTCTACACAAATCCTATCTAGGGTATGCAATGACCAACATTACAAGCCTGGCAGCACCCAGAGCCGCAATACAGTGATAGACAGATGAGTGCACAATGAGGGGGGATGAGTAAATGAAAGAAGAGGGTTCCCCGGAGAATCAAGGGAATGACGTTCTCTCTATCAACTCTGGCTGTGTATTACCAACCAAAGTCTTAGGTAGCACACTCGACAAAGGGGAAAGGCAGTGATGGAGAGATTGAAACAGATGAGGAATGAAGAAGGGAGAGGGAAGAGCGATGGAAGGGTGGTGCACAAGTGAACTACCCCAGACAGACTCAGCGCAGAACAGAATATGATGGTCCAGATTGTCATGCTGGACAGTTGATATATTCTTCGGAGGGACACAGAATAGATGGACATCATAAGAAAAAAAGGAAACGAAAGAGCGGAAAGTTGAATCATATTGCCAACGCCATATCAAGGAAATGCTAGTTTCCGAACATTAATGAACGCCCCAGCGCCGCCGTCTTCGCTGATCTCGTTAACGAGAACCTCTGTTTGTTGATAGAGTCTCTCTAAAGCAGCAGACGAAGATTTCCCAAGTGAGACTAAACATTAATTAGTATACAAGCACTTAGAGATCAGGCATCTATGTAGAAAGCTTACCAAGAATGGCCGAGTTCAGTTCCTCTGCCACTGCTACTCGTCCCTCGGGGTCTAAGTAATGCCCGTGCCTGGAATGGTTAGGGTCTGGATATGCAACTAGAGAGAAGATGTCCTCCAGCGTCTTCTTATCTCCGCCATTCTCGTCGGACGGATAGTCCATGCGTAGTTGTTGACCATATTGAACGGCCTCAGTCAGAAGTTCGTTGAACTGAGCTACTGCCGCAGCCGCTTCTTCGGTCTCTCCGATGACCATGCCATCTGCATCCCAGTCTTCGCCGCCGTCGAGTTCCATCTCTTGATCGAAGACCGCATTTGTGCCTGGGATGCCTTGTGATCCTGATTGTCGGCGTTTTTGGGTTGCGTTTGTTGCTGCTGCAGAGAGTTCATTTGACTGTCGCATCATTTCGAGGAACTTGCGGCACCGGAGCTTGAAGTGAATGTGGGGGAAATCTTCTAAGACATTGGCATAGTAGGCATTCGTATGTTTCAGAGCTTTGTCAATGTCGCCGTCGAGGATAGCCGCCCTGATTCCTGATTTGATGTTAATTTAGTTTCACACCAGAGAACGTTATCTATGTAGGTGGGAGCTGCTTACTGTTCCTATTAATAGCTTCGCGGTCCTCTTCCACTTCGTACTTCTTCAACGGTTCGTCATGTCCATTCTGGAGAGCTGCAGTTTCAGTGGCAACCTCTTCTGCGAAAGCCCGCGCAGTCTCCACATAGCCATCATGAGCCAAAAATTGAGCGACCAATTCCTGAAGTAGAGCTGTTTCATCCAGTGGAGGTTGCAAGCTATCTGTATTTGTAGTTCTGATTTGGTTATCGATGTCATGTCTCTCTTGCTGTTGGGAGTTAGTCAATTATGCCAAATAAATTAAGATGGTTTTTGCGTAGGACATACATCAACCATGCCATCAATGTCAAAGACGAATGGCTGTTGACCGAAGTTCGCTTTCAAGTGTACTGGGGGCTGTTTCTTCATCCCCACCGATGGATATAGCTTAACATTGCGCAATTCATGAAATGCATATCCTAGCAAACTGTTAGCTTTCATTTGCCACGGAAATATATATGCGTACATATATATTCGCAATTCGGATAGTCTCATACCTAGAAAGCTTCCATTCTTTGTGAAGAAGGCCTGCCCTGTGGAGAAATTGACCCCACATCCGACAGTATCACCAACGCCAAAAGTCGGCCCATACGGCCGACCTTGTCCTTGGCTTTCACCAAAAAACGACTTTCCATCGTCTCCATGGTATGCCCAAGATTCCTGCTCCCAACCGGGAAGTCTCTCAACCGATGCTTTGGGACTCGAGAATCCTATCCCGATCATGCTGTATGACGACAATACTTATTAGTATATATTTTCATCTCCTCACCTCCCGTTTCTTTCGCATTCATGATTTGGATATATAAGGAGGTACTTACCCTTCTTTGGGTTTGGCTTCAATCTTTATTTCAAAATAGTAAATTCCGCACTGCGGTGGCATGGGGTTGTCGGCGCGCAGCGCAGCAGCCTCGTGATCATGCTTGTGTACTGGACCAGTGTATTTCACATCCAAACCATCGTTTGATAGTTCTAGATTGGCATATTTGTCAAATGCATTCCACTGGGTGGGTAATGGGCTAATGTGGTCGGCGGGAGACGGGGGATCCTTTTCGATGAGATCATACGTCATCCCACGATGGGAAGGGGCCATGCGATGGAGGTGCACATGGCTTGAGGAGGTAGATAGTGGAGGGTTCGATGTAGATGTGGAGGAGGCATCACGATGTTGGGTAGCTGTCTTCGCTCGCTGGGCGGCGTCGAGACGTGATATGTATCGGGAGTGACGGAGGTAGGATGGGGTGAAGAAGGATGGCCCGTCGGCCAGGGCTAGATTATGCGGAAAGTCTGTTGGTCGTGAAGCGATTCCGGCGTACTTGCGAGAGTATGCTGGGAGCGAATCTGGGGAGGTAGAGGCCCTCCAGGCTGAGTTGAGATGCATATCTGCGGCATCCAAACCGGACGAGGCCCGATGGAGAGGGGCGTCAGGCTGAGAATATGATGGGTAGGAGGATACAGGGTTTGAGTTGAGTAGATGGGAAAATGAGCCTGATATTGGGGGGAAAGGGCGTTGCCGGACACGACGGAGGCGTAGGAGGAACGACGTTGGCCTGAGGCGATACCGTATGCTGGAGCTCCTCGAGCTCCACCGGGGAAAGGAATATCAGCCATAGCGGGTGCGGGTAACCCACCCCCGAATAGATGAGGGGGATCAACTCCCAAGCCGCGAACGGAAAAACGATATGCGACTGCGATTTCACTCGTTGTATACCAGTTCTGTATTGGAAAAAAAAATTGTCGGAGGGTTTCTGGCCTTTACTTTTTCGCTGCTATTCTCGTGACTCTTTGTCCTTCGGTCTATTCTTCTTCTCTTCCTTCTTGCTTATTCGTTTTCTCCTGTCTTTGCTGACTCTTGCGTGACCGAGCGGGTCCTTTGTTGACCGAAAGCAGCGAGGATGCCACCACGCCAGAGAGCCGTAATAGTGGGAGGTGAACCCAACGTGGGAAAAGAAAAGATAAGGTATTAGATCAAAGCTGTCTCGGAAGAAGCAGGGGAATTGCGGGGCAATCAGGATTGACACATTGTGACGAGAAAAAGAAGGAAAAGAGGGGAGATGGACTGATAACCGGGTCACGAGGGCACTATACATCATGGAGGTACCTAGGTAACCCATAGAACCCTATAGACGGGTTATAGCGAGAAGAGAAGAGATTTAATATGGGATAACCTTTTTTGAATGCAGCATAGAGAGCCATGCAAGGTTACCTGATGATTTCTTTTTCATCCGTGCCACCTTTGTATGAGAAGCTGCCAGGGAACCAGGCTCTTGATGCCTATACTTGCCGGTGATTGGCCTCGTGCCTTGAAAGTTGATTTAATACTGGCCTGAGCTATAATAAATAATTTGAATATACGAGACAGATATAGAGAATAGTTTGTGAAGGTAAAAGATCAGCCAGCAATTTCAAGTCGGGCTTCAAACTTTTTTTCGATCGAGAAATATCAGCGCTATGGACCATCACATCCCCAGCAAATATGCACTTCGCCCAAGACATGAGCAAGTACAAAGAAAGATCCGCCAACTTGATCAGAAGATGATGGACATGATCAGAGGGAGAAAGAAACATGAAAATCACCCGGATCGCCCATGACAGATAGAGAGAACAGAACAGAAAACAAAAAACAAAACACCTCAATATAATACACAATATAGCCCTGTGGCAGCCAAATATTATCCCAATTGCAAGGTGACATGAACATGTATAGTCCGTTGTCTGTCATGAGGGGAGAAACAAATGAAGATGTGGGGGGAAGAACAGAGGAAAAGAATAGCAAACCCGAAGCCATTCCCCAAATGCGCCGTACCGAAAATCCATCCCAATAGTGAATCGTAAGAAAAGAACAAAGAAAGGAAAGAAACAAACATCAAATACTATACAGCACATAGCTCATGCCGCCATAGCAATGGCTGGCGAAGAGGGCTCAACTAGATTAGATGGGGCTGGAGTAACTTCGCCGGCACTCTTCTCGCTGGGGACGGCACTGCTGCCATTGGCAGTCTCAAGGCCGGTGGCAGCTAAAGTAGCTTTGGCGTCACTGTCGCCACTCTCGAGGACAGCTTCTTTGTTCTCGTCGGATTCGAGCTGAGCGGTCTTGAATGTGTGCCAGGCGGGTAGCTGCCACGCGACTCCGGTGAAGCTGCGGAGCTTCAAAGGTTGACGATCCCATTTGCGACATGGTGCACCAGTGCGATCAAGGGCTCGAAGTCCCGCGTTGATGGCGCCGGTATTCGCCTTGGGTCCTAAACGGTGGCCGGGGCCCAATTTACTTGGATCACCTCCTTCTTCCCTATGAAGACAAGTCTAAGTTAGTAATTTGTTTTCAATACCTGTCCGTGACCCTGGTTTGGGTATTTTCCAGGTGTTGGGCAGGATAGTGTTCCTACGTACAGTTTAAGCTTCTTCTTGGGTCCAGGTCTGCCTCGTGAACGCGCCGCGGGTTCTGTTTGACCATTTGTCCGTTTGTTGCCCGGCTTCGGTCCCGGAACTCCCTTCCGGCGTGGGGTGTCGCCGGGGGTTGCCCCAGCTGCTGGCGTTGAGGTAGCTTCGGCATCGGATCCATTGTCGGCAGACGAAGGGCGAACCACGGGGGCTTCAGAGGAGGCCGGCGAGGAGCGTTCGGTACTCTTCTCGGGTTTGGGTTGTGCCGGGGACGGTCGGTCTGTACCGTGTATAATGCGATATAGGCTGTCTGGAGACACTTTCAAAGTAATCATTAAGGTACTTGGGGCGACGGCCTTGCTTGTACTAGCGCGATTGGAGCGACCGTTGGTAGAGCCGGCGGCAGGCATGATGATGGAGGCGGAGGTTGGGAAGGTTGACCTCGTCCTTGTTGATGTGGAAGATGATGAAAGATCAGGGGGGTGAGAAGGATAATGTTGTCAAGTTGATGATGATGTTAGGGGCGATCGTGACGTGGTGCCTTATTTCTCCACCGCCCGAAAGAAATGAAGAGTGGTTTATTCGTCAGGTTATGAGGCAAAAGTGTCGACAGTGAATAGAGATGGGATCATAGTATGGAGGAGAGGGGGAGTAGATGGGAAGGATGAGGGAAATGGGCGGGGAAGGGAAGAAAGGGATGGTCGGAGTGGATTTCATCTCGTTTAATTTCTCTGGATAGAAAAATCCGCAGAAAAAGGGTTTTTGTCGCAGCCGTGAGAACGAGGAACCACCAGGGGGTTAGTAGAGGGTGAAAGGGCCTCGCAGCCGGATGGTACACCGTGTGACCAAGATTACACCGCGATCGGTTTGAATGGAGGCCCGGGAAGTGCATTGTGACTGTACCATAACCAATATTACGCGCCCTGGAGGTTTTTGGACCCGATCTGCGTCAAAGAATCCATACGGAATTTAGTACGGCGGTACTCTATATATGGGGTTGTCTATAATTATCACAAGTGACTAGTTACTATTGCTTCAAATACTGGATACCCATTAATTAATATCAAAATATCATTTACACTCTCTATCTTTTCCCTCCTCAATCATTGGAAACTTACCTCATTCCGTTTCCACCTCGACAACCCTAAACTCCGTGGATGGATCTCATTCCACTCCAACAGCCCGTACCCGCTGCGTCCCGAAAAAAATAGCTCACGGGGACGGTTATTAAGTAGCCTGATGACTATTAATATGCCCAGGAACTTTATCCAAGTGGCAAAAGTCAAGCCGCAAGGAAAAACGTATATAATATACCACCCCATTAAATCGATAAATCTAGTGATCGTCTATATCAATCGCTGTTGTATAGAGTAGCATACTTAGGAGTACGAATGGGTGCTACTATAACATAGTATGATAAGCCCCGAGGATCCTAGACTCACGATACAGTGCCACAATAATCTCTAAATCTAATATACACATGCGCAATTTATCTCATTCAAAACTTTCTTATCGTATTCAATCTCGAAATCATCAATAGTCGCAAATCCCTATAGATTAATTCATGATGTCGATCTCTCCATACAAAAACTGACTTATCAATGATATACAGCAAGAGTGGATCTATATAACACGTGACTCTCATGACTCGCCGAACTAGGCTTAGCGTGTGACTTTTTCACCGCGCCGCAAATCTCCATCCTCATTCTGATTTTCTGCCGAGTCGTTCATATCGTTGAGCAACTGGTCCTTTGGTTTTTGCTCTGATCGCCGGCAAGATGAAGTACGTTTTGGTATCTGGAGGTAAGACTATTTCGTCCGATTTCATCTTGTGAAAGAAATTCTCAAGAAAATCAAACAGCAAATCTACAATTACCAGAATTGATAGCTAATCTCATTTTTTCTTCCCCGCGGCAGGTGTCATCTCCGGCGTGGGCAAGGGCATCATTGCCTCCAGCACTGGCCTACTGCTGAAGTCTCAAGGTCTTACTGTGACCAGCATCAAGATCGATCCCTACATCAACATCGATGCGGGTACCATGGCCCCCACCGAGTCAGTATTTTGCGCATCCCAACGTCTCGATTGAAAAAAAAAAATTATAAAAAATCACATGTGACTCACACCCGTGTAATATTGCTATAGACACGGCGAGGTCTACGTCACAGATGATGGCGGTGAAATGGACCTTGACCTGGGCAACTACGAGCGCTACCTCCTCACCACCCTGTCCCGCGATCACAACATCACCACCGGCAAGATCTACCAACACGTTATCGAACGCGAGCGAATCGGAAAATACCTGGGTAAGACCGTCCAGGTCGTCCCTCACATCACAGATGCCATCCAGGACTGGATTGAGCGAGTCGCTCTTATCCCCGTTGACGAGTCCAGGGCCGTGCCTGACGTTTGTATCATCGAGCTCGGTGGTACCGTCGGAGATATCGAGAGTGCTCCCTTTATCCACGCTCTGAGTCAGCTCCAGCGTCGCGCTGGAAAGAACAACTTTGCTCAGATTCACGTGTCCTACGTGCCCATGATTCCTCCCGGCCCTGGCGGCGAGCAAAAGACCAAGCCTACTCAGCGTGCCATGAGCGATACTCGCAGCGCTGGTCTAAACCCTGATTTGATTGCCTGTCGTTGTGAGCTGCCCCTTGAGGCTTCCACAATCCAGAAGATCGCCAACATGTGCTCAATGGAGCCCAAACAGGTTCTGGGTGTGCACAACGTGACGACTACATACCACGTACCCATGCTTCTCGAGAAGCAGCACCTGATCAAAACTCTCAGCGAACTTCTCGACCTTAACTCCCCCACCTCCACCGTCATTCCTCCTAGCCCCGAGCGTCTCGAGAACGGCAAGCTCATGTGGCACGACTGGTGCGAGCTTGCTCGTGGCCAGGAATTCGTCCACGACACCGTCTCTATTGCGCTGGTGGGTAAATACACTACCCTCCATGACGCCTACATCAGTGTCTCCAAGGCGCTTGAGCACGCCTCTATGTACTGCAACAAGAAGGTCCAGGTTGTCTGGGTCGATGCCTCGCACCTTGAGGAAGAAACCAACTCGCCGGCCGAGTACCATAAGGCGTGGCACGCTGTTTGCACCGCGGACGGTATCTTGGTCACTGGTGGATTTGGTAACCGCGGTACAGAGGGTAAGATCAAGGCGATTTCATGGGCGCGCACACAGAAGAAGCCCTTCCTCGGTGTGTGTCTCGGTATGCAGCTGGCTGTGCTCGAGTACTGCCGCAACGTTGCGGGCATCGAGGATGTCAACAGTGAGGAGCTTGACCCCAAGGCCAAGAACCATGCTATCGTCTACATGCCCGAGGTTGACAAGGACAAGCTTGGAGGTACCATGCGTCTGGGTAAGCACCCCTGTATCTTCCAGGAAGGTACTGAGTGGTCCCGCCTGCGCGCTATGTACGGTCCCACCACCACCCAGGTGGAGGAGCGTCACCGTCACCGTTATGAGGTGAACCCTGAGATGATTGGTCAGATCGAGAAGGCCGGTCTCTCCTTCATTGGCAAGGATGTCAAGGGAGAGCGAATGGAGATTATTGAGATTAAGGACCACCCTTGGTTCGTTGGTGTTCAATTCCACCCGGAGTATCTCAGCCGTGTGTTGAGCCCCAGCAAGGCTTTCCTTGGTTTCTTTGCTGCTGCTGCAGGATGTTTGGATGAGGTCACGAAAGCTGTCAATGCTGGTCAACGAAGCATTGGAAAACAGCAATAGATAAATTACTTAAAGGAGGCTGTTGCCTGTTTCTAATCTTTTTGGAGTTCAATGGGCAAACCTGGAAAAAGAAAATGACATGTTATAGAGTACAAATGAATCCAATGAATGCTTAAATATTTTAATTATTATCTATTCGTCACCGCTGGGCCTTCATCCTGGTCTATGTAGCAGTCAAGTCCATTCATACCCACCTAATATGATATCCATCCCTTTGGGTTTTGTCATATATGGTTCATATGTACTTTCGTAAATCAGCAATAGTCCTTTCTCTAAGAATCTCTCGCCTACCCAGATTACGACCATACGGTTCAACTTGATCCTCACCATCCAACAGTCTGTTCTCCAATCGTCTTTCCTTCCATACCGCACGGGCGACTTCGCTGATATTCTCAAACATAATATTCAGTTACAAAACTACTTTCTCGCCTTTACTGATATAATGGTGGGGTTATTTGTACCTATTGCGTTAGTGTATCAAGCTGAAGAAGTTATCTAGCAGCAATAGCCCTGGGGTCGTGACCAATAAAAATGTAAATCAAACAGTCCACCTTCAAACTAGTAAAAACAGCCGAACAGGAGTACTTTTTTAAGGTATAAGCTTCTACTATTTACTCCTAACACGAGTGCGTTTGGATATTCACACCTCATTCTTAATGCTATACTGGCACTTAGATTAGAATCCAGAAGTCAGCTACGCTTCTTCATATCCGAATGTAACCTGAGAATAGCATTACTATCTCCCCAACCAACACGCCCGCAAAAATAAACATAATACTGGCATTCGCTCATGATCAGCACTATGTTATATCTACTATTTGTTGACTATCCACACCAAAGTATACATACCCCTGACTAAATTTCACGTTGACGTGTAATCTATGGAGGACCAGGTAGAAGTTCCTTTCGCTGCTGAGCTCTATTTCGAGTAGTAGCCCCTTCAGCAGCAGGGAGTATGCCCAAAAGCTAGTCCAGGCAACATACTTCACTGATGCCACAAAACATTCTCAATCTTGGCTGGCTGTTCCAAATGTTGGGCAGACAGATACCAGTTTTGATGGCGAAAATATGCATGATACGTTAAACAGTCATGCCATTGCGTCTGCTGCACTGAGAATTGCTGAGTTAAAAAGTCCGGCTGCTTTTGATGATACAGTTGATAATGTAAGAGCAATTTCTTAATATTAGCTGAAAATTCTTAACCAATATTCTCCAGGAAGCAGCGAAGAAATAGCAGATGGAGCATTTAGTCAAGATGCTTCCATTCGCATATGGAGATCACATATGGATCATATGGATAACATGGAGAAGGTGATTGTCAAGCTTTTAAACCATGATGCAGAATTAGAATATCTGAAGGAACCTTTTGAAAATATGTTGGCGGAGGTAGAGTTAGATCGTCAGAAGTTTCTGATAAGTGAGGTCGCAGACCAAGCGTAAATATTCATTCATTCCATCTATATATATGAATGTAGACAGCTAATCCACTTTCTTAGTGTCATGATCAAACAAGCCTTGGTTGTAAGTCTAGGTGACACGATAATTGGGTTCAAGAATCTTTATGACAGATGGCAAGCAGCGCTCATACCTGGCTTGGTGGTATTGAACGTATGGCAGAGAGCTCAGATGGTAGGCAATGTACCTCTAGCCGATATCCCCGTTGTTGAGTCCGTGGGAGGATGGAAGAGTGGTTTGACGATTCTCGGTGGTCTTATCACTCTTGGAGGTGCCGTGTTCGATCTCTGCACCACCATTACGACGTTTTCCAGTCTTAGCCCCGATGATCAAGCCCATTGCATTTTGACCACAATTCACAGCAGCGCGCAAACAATTGCCATGATTCCAAGCGTCTTTCGAGCGGGCAGGGCCATGTTGAAACCTACACCGAAAGTGTTGGAAGTGAGCGCAGGCGCCGATTCCGCACTGGGGAAAAACAGGGATTGAGATGGTGGAAATCCTGCCTCAAGGGAATCCAGATCATGGGGCCTTATTGCAAGTTCCCAAGGAGGACAGGCCCTGGTGGAAGAAGATTTGGGGTCCTAAAGGCCTACATTTTTTTATGTTTTTAACATCAGTTGCCCTTGTTATCATCACACTCGTTCAGCTCATAAACAACTGGGAAAGTTACCAGTCTGGCCATTGGGTTCTGGTTGCGCAAATTGTTGTTCAGGCTCTGCAAGCTGCTGCAGATGGCCTCATTTTCTCTGGTGCTCAGGGAACACTTGGTTCCATCTCTGCTTTTGCTGTGCCAGTTCTTGCCTTCGTTGGTCTAGTTCTCTTCCTGGTGAGCGCATTCGTCCTCAAGGCCGAGCGTGAACCTACAGTGTACGAAAATGAATCAAGGAAACTGGAAAATCGTGGCTTGGCAAGAGCGATGAAACACCTAAAGTCCAGCTACTTTGGTCCCTGAACTCCACTATCGAGTCCACTGGAACAGTTGTTTCGCTTTTGGGGGAAAACATCAGCAATGAAGATATCAAATTATCCAGGGTTACAACCAATTTTCTTGCTGGGCAGACCACTTCCTCTTTGTTTATCTCATTATCGAAAGGCAGTTAGACTGGCTGCTTATCTACAGAGACGTTGGAAACAAATCAGTTCCGCGCCGTTGTTACTCCCACGGGATCTGGAGTGGTGCGTTGCATAGTCAGTCCAGATGGGTCGCCTCAGGGCTTTGACGGCGATAAGAGCTTCCAGTAGAGGTGGAAAGTTACGATCAAAGGGCCGACTGCTAAAGATAACACTGAGCAAGAAAGGCTCATCATCCCCAAGGGAAGGAGATCTAAGTATATCGCTCATGGGCACGATAGGTTTGGTTGGGGAAAGCAAGAGGGAGAGGAATACCAGTTTATCATTGAGGAGACTAGAATGGGCGAAGATGGTACTGTTTCTGATATTGTGCAAGACCAATTGACTCCGAAGAAGGCATCATGATTGTTATGGCTGGGAATCCGTTGGGATGACTTGAAGATTTCAGTATATAGCCTTTAGTTGATACCCCATTCGCTCGATATGGGGAAATTTTGGTTGCGGATTACGTGGATACACTGCTTATTTCATGTAGTGTAGAATGTAGTGGACATGGGTTTCTAGTTCAAGCAAACTTGCTACGGAAATTCTCCATTGCCTTGCGTTGTAGCTCCTGATGCTGCGCATTGATGTCCGCCGCCACTAAGAACCGGTGTCGATCCAACACCTTCCCAATCAGGTCTTTCCGTTCCTTGTCACTGTAGCTCTCGAGCTCCCAGTTTCCAGCCAGAACGTGATTCATCATAACATCGAGTTCGGGGGTACTCAACCCCGGGTGCAGGCGACAACACGGTGCCTCACAGATCCCGCATGGCAGCGATGGGATGCTTTCCCCATCAGACGAGGGGCACTTAAGGATAAGCGATCGCACGCTTCCTCCAGGGGTCTTCATAATAACTTCAAGACAATTCACGCATGGATGCCCGCCGTCCTCGCCTTCGTCGGGGTTTTCTAGAAGCTCCCGACGCTCCCGCATCATCTTCATAGTGCGTCCCCAGCTGCGGTCGCAGCCTGGAACCTCACTTGCTTCAGCACGGGGCGTGCTGAATGTATTGTCAGTCTCCTGGCTTTCTCATTCGGTGTCTTCTGAGTCCTACATACTTTTGGTTCATGATTAATTTTGCGCGGTGTAAGTGAGTATGGCGGGGAAGCACTAAACTGACTTGGGTGGCGTCATGCAGGAGTGTGATTGACCCACCTAGATTCTGCTGTATTATTAAGTCTTTGTAATAGTACAGAGAGTAGCATATCAGAGCAAATCCTTTTTGGATTTTACTGTGGATGTTTCAAGGGCAACCTCGTGGGTTAAGGAGCTATGTCAGCGCATGAAAGAAGACATATCTGATCCTGGTAATTCGACGGTGGCAGCTTAATCCGGAAATTGATTGTCAAACTCGAATGTACTTGATTAGCAAAATATCACATGGATAGATCACAGAGAGGTATATATGAAAGTCATTCAACCACCTGGGCATTGACTTTTCAACATGTATATTGAACCTTGAAAGCTATGTATTCCAACAAAAAATGTATCTCTATTAACAATCCCACAAACCATGAAATAATCCTATTCAGTTTTCCCCTCCCTCTCAGCATTCTTCCGCTCCAGAACCTCCGCACAGGCCCTCTGAACTTCAGGACTAGCTCTAATCCCTCCCAAAATCAACCCCTCCTTCATCCCCCTCCTCAAATTAGAGACCATCTCGCGATCACCCCGGAACGGCGCTAATCCCAGCCCCAGCATACGCGAAGCTTCCATATCTGTCGCCCTCGAGGCCACAACAAGCTGTCCCATCCGCTGCATGGTTTGTTGCGGTATCCTGTCACCGCCCGTGCTTGCTTTTCCGGCATCTCGTGGTGCGGCTTGCGAGATGAAGATGTGTAGTGTTATGGATGCTCGGCGGGCAAGCGTGAGTGTTTGAAAGGGGAGGAGGTAGAATGTGTTTTTTGGGAGGAGATTTTGGATTACTTCAGGGAGGTAGGAGGTTGGCATGAAGATTGATCGGGGGTGTGTTATTAACATTAGTTCGAGGGCGAGTAAAACGCCGAAGGTGTAGAAGCGCCACTGGGACTTGTTAGTTATCATCGTAGATGGTTTGTGAGATGTATATAAAGGGAGGGTAGGAAGAAAGGATATTGTATGCATATACTTACGTAGCGACCCCAGTTAGCCCACCAGAGCCAGTTTAGGAGTATCATTGTAACGAAGCCACCCACATACTGGGGGAGGACGGACTTGATAAGTGAGCGCATTACATATTCACGCATGGTCTTCTGCTCACCCCAATTTGCTATCTCGGGCCCGAATCTATCGTATGCGAAGCGCTTTACTGGGTCTGTGAGGGTTTCTTGTGCACGGCGCAAGAACATGAAGTATGCTTCGGAGCCGCTGTCGAGGGTCACCTTATCCGGGTGATGCTGCGCTGCTAGTCGGCGGAATCGAGACTTGATTGTCCGTTCATCTGTAAAGGGGGATACACCCAATACTTGGTAGAAGTCGCCTGCTATTTGAACTTGGTGGAAAGTTTCATAGAGCGTATAGAGGAGATAGGCGACTATGACGAAGAGGAAGATTCGGCGGCGATGACGCTCATGGCGGGGTGTTTGAGGCAGGGGTCTAGGCTCGCCGGCTCGAATCGTAAGACCGTAGTAGACGCTTTGGAGGAAGTTTGTGGCATACTGTTCGTTTTAAAGCTTTGTTAGCGGATGGCTCTTTGTATACTCCGCATTGTTGCGGTTAATGGGAGGGGAAGTTCCTTACGTTTGGGAGAATACCCCACCCAATCAAAGGGAGTAAGGATGCCATGGTATATGGGCTGAAAAGCTGAAGATTATTCTTCAGTGGCAATTCAGCGCTTTCAATACCATTAATGCTTGAAAGTGAACATTGGCATGAACATTGGATAGTGGAACTCCAGCGTGTAATGTTGTCTCTTCCCCGCTCACCGCCATCCACACCGCCTTCCGATCTGGACTCGAAAATGCACGATGAAAAAAAAGTTTCTCGAATAGAAAAAAGAAGAAGAAAAGACCGAACGCCGATCTCACTTTCGCTGCGACAGAGAGCAGCTCAATTGTGTGATAACATCATGGCTGTCGACGCAATGGATATCGATAATTCCCCTGTGACAACTCCAGAGGTTGAGCGCAAACGCAAACACAAAAAGCAAGATCCTTCATCTCCAACGAAGAAGCGCAAAGCCGATAAATCTTCTAAATCTAAAAGCAAGAAGGATCAATCTTCTGAAATCACCGACGAAAACCCCGAGTCCCCCTTCTCGCTCACAAAGGCTACTCTATACCTGCCTCTTGCGCCAATCTCCATCTCTCCAACTCATGCATTGGCCTCTCTTCAGGCGGAGCATCTCGCCCCGCTTCTCTTAACCTACTTCCCACCTTTAAAAGGTGTGGTAATGGCATACTCCAACGCTTCAATCTCTAGTAAACCGCCTTCTCCAAACCCTCGTCAATCCAACACAGAAAATCCCGCCCCGCTCACCATGGCCAAGACGGCTGACGAGTACGGTGTCCTCTACGTTTACCTCACTGCGACGTTCCTTATCTTCCGTCCTAAGCGTGGCCAAACTCTAGAGGGATGGGTGAATGTTCAATCAGAGGGGTTCCTCGGCGCTGTGGTCTCCAACCTTTTCTCCGTGGGTATTGAGCGCAAGCGTCTCCCTACAAACTGGAAATGGGTTCCGCCTGGCGAGGAGGGAGAGGATTCACCTGATGGAAGTGATGCTATTAAAGATGCAACGACAGATGATGAGTCCGGACGAAGTGAGAAGGCTGTTTTCGATGCTGAGAAGGAACATTTCCAGCCTTCTGCGCTGGCTATCGATGAGCTGGATCTGGGTGAAGATGAAGAGGCTGAGGCTGCTTCTGGTTACTTCCAGTCTGTTTCTGGCCATCGGGTGCGTGGGGTTGTGAAGTTCCGGGTTGTTGATATTGATGTTATTCCTGGGTCGGAGAGGGATCGAGGCTTCTTGAGTATTGAGGGAACGATGCTGGAACCGGTTGAGGAAGAGAAGTTGGCTTTTGCGGAACACCATGGACAGTCTGTTCCTGCTGCTATCTTTTCGGGGGATTCTGAGTCTGCCTCTTCTTCGCAGAGGAAGTTTGAGCGTGTCATTCCTATTTCTGCTACGCCGGCTGCTGAGGTCGTTGATGTTGCTGATGTTGAGCTGGAGCCGAGTGAGAAGGTTCAGAAGAAGGAGAAGAAGGAAAAGAAAGAAAAGAAGGAAAAGAAAGAGAAGAAGGAGAAGAAAGAGAAGAAAGAAAAGAAGGAGAAGAATTAGATCTTTTTCTTGTATATTCGAGTCAATTGGTGTGTCATGTTCGAGGCTGGTGTGCTGGTGTGCCAGTGTTTCTGATATTCGACTTTCTACGTGTTTCCTTTACCTTCTGACGTTTACATTCGCGGTTGGCGTTCCGGTCAAAAGACTTCATATGTGTGCAAATGTGTATAACTCAAATTCAAGAGCCATTCAAGATATTATTTTGCTTTTTTTTCTGGGTACTGACTACAAGAAAGAGAATGTGGTAAAAAGTCCTAACAGGAGGCGGTATTAAACTATCAACGACATTTCCAGAGATGAACACTACTACTACGACTTTTACTTCACCTGCAACACATCCAATCCATCCACAATTGCCTTCTTCCCAGGCATCTTCCCTCTGCGCATCAACTCCGCCGAATGAGACATCACAGGATCCACCCCCATAGTAGCAACCGCCACAATCACATCACCCTTCGAATAATACGCAACAAACTTCCCATTGTCAGGCTCGCCCTGTAAGACTATATCATCATATCCATTCACCGTGTTTCCACAGTATCGAAGTTGAGCCCCGAGAGCCGACCAAAAGATCGGAATGAACTTCTTAGGCGCTAGAGAACCCAAAGACCCGCGAGATTGATGAACAATAGCCCGTGCAACTGCTCGTCCAGAATTCTGCGCGACATTCCAATGCTCAATGCGGACGGGAGTTCCCTCCCCTCCAGGTCCATGGTATGGAAACGTCGCAATATCACCAATGGCAAAAACGTTGCTTTGCAGCTCGTCAATTGCGAAATGAGCATCTGTAGACACGGACCCATCCTTTAATAGATCCAAGGCGGGGTTTCCGACTAGGTAATCTGTTGCAGGACGTACGCCTACACCTAGAATAACTAGGTCGGCTGGAAGAATCGATCCATCTTTTAGATGGACTGCGCCGACGGCGTTAGGGCTTGACTCTGATCCAGTAGCTTTCTCCACACTAGCATCGAGCTTGAATGTGATACCGGTCTTTTCCAAATTCCGCTGGAAAATACGGCCTACTTCTGCGCCCATAACACGTTCCATGGGGCTACTTTCCATTCCGACGATCGTGACAGCATGCTCTTTTCCTGCTAGGGCATTTCCGACTTCCATCCCGATGAAGGAGCTACCGATGACAACGATGTTCTTTTTAGAGTCTCCCGCCGCGGCTAAGATATCCTGAACATCTGCGACTGTGCGGAGAGTGAATATTTTTTGGAGCTCGCCTTTGAATCCAGGTAAAGGTAGTCTGCGTGGTTCTCCGCCGCTTGCTAGGACGAGTTTCGTATATGGGATTCTCTTTCCGGAGCCCGTGGAGAGAGATTTAGATGTGAAATCTATGGCTTTTACCTCGTCGACTAGCTTCTCGATTCCGGCTTCGTTGTACCATTCTTCTGGACGCCAGAGAATCTTCGATGCGTCGGGGATGAGGGCTTTGGAGAGCTTGGTCCGGTCGATCACGTAGTCTGGTTCTTTGGAGATGATGGTGATTTGGCCGGTGTATTTGAGTTCGCGGAGGGATTGAATGACGCCGAATGTTCCGCTTCCACTATTTGTTGATTATTGTCAGTACCGGTGTTGTTTCTATTTCGGTTGATTTGGTTTGTGGCATCGAGAAGACAGGCATAGCGAAGAGTATCTGTAGAGTGGGTCGGTGGGGACATAATACATACCCGCCAACAATGACGACTTTCTCGTCGGATTGAACGTTACATTTTCCGACTGGATCTCTTTGTCCTGATTTGATAGCTGCTTCTGTAGCATTGATGTAGACTGCGCCTTCTTTTTCGAAGACATCGTATTTCTGTAGGGCGTTCGGGGCGGGGGCATCCTCCACATCTCCGGAGCTAACTTTGAAGCATGCTATCACCCATTAGCTATATTTCCACTAATCCTTTTCCATATTTCGTATTCAAAAATTTAATTGAAAAGGGATCTGGATTATTTCGACATACCTCCGTGCCATGGACAGGTAAGTCTTCCATCTGGCGTCACAACGCCGTTCTTCAGCGGGGCACCATAATGCGTGCACTTGGGACTGAGCGCATGGATCTTGCCATCTAGATTGACTAGCAGTACTTTTCCATCAGGAACTCCTTCAATCTCGACTTCAAGCTTATCGGTGGAGGATTTGAGTTCCCCCAGGGACGTGATGTCTTTGAGTTTGTATTCTTGCGTCATTTTGGAGGTTGATGAGAGAGAACGGGTTTGGATTAGGGTATGTGAATGAGAGTTGGAGTAATGCGTAAATTGTGGCGGGGAAGTAAAGGGAGCTCGATATGAAGTTATTCGAGTATTGTGAAGAGGAGAATTAATTGTGGTTGGAGTTAGGGGAAGACGAAAGGAAGTTGAGCATGAGCGAGCAGGAATTGGAGTCAATGCAGTTGGGCTGACGATTACATGCGTACGACAGGGACACAAGTAGCTACACCGACAACCGGTTGGTCTAGACTGAACCCGCAAAATTGGGAATGAGGGGAGAGTAAAGGAGCGGGGATGTAGAAGGGGTGGCATGATAGTGTGATGGTCATGGAGATACATTGCGGATATTTAAGTTATTTATTATCTCTCCTCGATTAGTGGTTAGCCGTATTTTCCTGAATTCCTGACTAAATCTACCATGAATTGTGAATGAGAGTATCATGGATGTTGAAGTTGGGATTGTCATCATGTAGGATGCGGAGTGACATCACCCTGAGCCAATCATCAGTGGGATTTGGTCAACAATTCCTGTATTGTCCTTGGTTGCGTCTACGACATGTCTAATACGTGTGAATCTAGTTATTTCTGGGAACTACAACTTGGAAACAAGAAACAAAAGGGTGCGGGGGCTGGATACGCTGTCGTAGCTGAACGCCTTATATAGCGTAGATGTGGTACAAAGCTTCTGTAGAGTATTCGAACAAAACCCTTCAAAATGTTGGAATAAACACTATAGACTTCAAATTTTGTGGATAAAGGACATATTCCAAAGTCTAACTCTACACAAACATTCGACATTTGAAGTTGATAATACATACTCAGTTCTCTGTTAGTAGTATTAGTATATGTACTATGTTTTGACCCCGGGGAGCGACATATTTGGGCCGTGACTAGATATAATAGGTAGCGCGCGACCCCGACAACCGCAACACTGTATTTGTTGAATTCTACTATTAAAATTACAAGAACTGTAACCCGCAGAATCAATCATAACTTTATGTCCAAAAAATAAAAATAAACCAATACCACTAAGAGTGCTTTCATCGCAAGGGCTAATAAAAGCAAACAAAAAAGAAATGGCGCTGCCCGGAATCGAACCGGGGTTATGACAGATAAGTAAGATTACCACAATGTCAGGTCTTGACCACTGGACCACAGCACCGGATTAGTAAGGGGATGGCTGAAATCAACCGTCATGAATGGAGGAAGGAGCCACCCAGAATACTTGAATAAGGCTTGAGGGGATGAGATGAGTCGGAACAATCACGAATGAGTGCGATTTGGTCAACGGTTCCTCTAGGGCTGTATTGTACTTAGCTGTGCCTACATATAGTTTCATACATAGATATAGTAGTTACTGCTACAATTCGCACGGGAAACTAGATAATAAAAGGAAAGTTGGATTTGTTGTCATGACGTCTCGTAGAGTGTAGATATGATACAAAGAATGAAGCTCGAGATCTGGGATATCTAGTACATACAATGATGAGGATCGCGATAGATTGTGGAGCGAACAAAGGCACCAAACCAAATCCTTCATCCAATAAGATAGCAACAAGAAAAGAAGGGATGGAAGCAAAGAACCTCAAAACTTCCTGGATAGTCGCTTTTTCTTCTTCTGGCTCGTTCGTGGGCTAATGCTCACTTCTACCATGCGTTGTACTTTCCCCGTTGATGAAGCGGTAGGTACATCGGATGGTCCGGGAGAGGTATTGGCATTTTGTGCGCCAGACTTTGACTTCTGTCCTGGGGTGATTGGTGCCGAGGCTGCTGTGTGTGGTCTTGGGGATACTGAGTCGGAGGTTAGATCCACGACTTCGGACATCTGTGATGCGTTCATTATGACTTTGGGCTTTTGGGAATCCTGATTTGAGTTGGTGGATGCGCTGCGCGATTCGGTTTTGATTTTTGAAGAGGATTTGCTCTTTTGGGATCCTTGGGATTTCTGGGATGATGGCTCACGCTGCGCACTTGGGGGTGGCTTGCGTGAGGAACGTGAGCTTGTGGGAAGAGGAGATGGGTGCGGAGACAGATCGGGGCTTTGGTTGCTGTGTAGAAGACTGTCTTGGTCTTCTTGATCATCGTTCATATCCTCTTCAAGCTCATCTTTGTCCTGATCGGCGTCTTCACGAGATGGTAGACCGCTTTTCAGAAGACTCCACACATTATCCCAAGATGGAGGTTCTCTGGTTTCGTCTTCTCTTCTGACATCTGGACTTTCTTGAACATATCTTTGCGGCGATGAAGTGGTGGAATTAATGGAATTAGCACCGTTTTCGTTTTGCACCTGCGAGAGAAGTGAATCGTTGCCAGAGCCATTGGCACCTGAAGTGACTCGAGGCTCTTCGACTACCTGGCGCTCAAACTGCTCCTGGCTTTGAGATCGGCTATTTGAGATAGATGGGTTGGCGGAGAGGAAAGAGACAGCTGATAGATCTTGATTAGACCCGTCAGCAAGGAAGGATTGTCCGTCGCCTATCAGTGTGTGGCCGTCAAGGTTGTTGCTTTCTCCGACCTCTGTATTGAACCGCGATGTCGTCCCAGGGGAAGAGCGAGCCGAGTGGAAGCCAGAGAAAGATGGTGAAGGTACTGCAGGACTGTCGCTAATTTCATCGTCGATATCGTGGTCTCGGGATCTGGGGATCAAGACGCCACCGTTGGGAGTTTGTATGGTTGGAATATCGGAGATTCTTGCTGGAGATTCATTGGCAGTAACTAGTGTCACAAAGGTTGTCTCGTCGAGATCCATGTCAACAGATGGTGGAGCCAACTGGGCGTTCGGCATTGAATCCTTGACTACGGAGATACTTAAAGCGGGTGAGCATTTGTAACAAATCGCAAGGTCAATTCACTGACATGCTACCTTCTTGAGCATTGCTCTTGCCCGTCTCCTTCACATTGCTATCCGAATCGTCGACAACCCATGGCGCAGGCTTTAGAAGTTTGGTGTCGCTAAGCTCCGCAAAGGTAAGATCTCGGTATCCATCGTCATCCTCGTCATCGTCATCGAAACCTGGCATTTCAAAGCCACTGTACATGCGAGGTCCGTCGTTTTCCGGGTCGGATGGGGGTTGTTTAACTCTGCGATCCCGAATAGCTAGTAGAACGTGGATGGTACTGTCCTCAACTTTGTGTACCTCGGCTACTCTGTACTCAGACATGCGAGGTTGCCAGTTGGTTTCCTTGGACATGTCAAGTTGACGGAAAGCGATAATGGCTCCCGGCTTCGCTTCGCATTCAAGCAAGTCAGGAAGAGAGCTTGGGTCTGCTGGGAGCATAGGAAGGTCATTTTCGTGGACAGCAACACGTCGTTCAGGGTGGACATGGTCTGTTTCAGCTTGTTCTTGGTCATGATTGCCAGCTTCTTCGTCATAGTTGAACTGCTCCTCCTCGTAGTAAGTAGTGTCCTCATTGCCATCATAGCCGTCCTCCTGGTATCCATCGTAACCGTCCTCCTCGTAGCCATCATACTCATCGTAGCCCTCGTAGACTTGGATTCTCTGCTTTCGCTTTCGCTTTTTGCCCCAGCCCAATTGCTCACGAATTATAGCATCCGCGTCTTTATCCCAACGATTCACAAATGGAAATGGAGGTGAAGTCAACTGGATGTCCGGAAGAATACACTCGGTAGCCCTGATGATGAGCTTCTGTTGCCAGTTGGGATCGCTATGGCTCTCTTCTGTTTCTTCTTGAACAACCAGTTTCTCGGCAGGTGTTTTGCTTTTATGGTTCACTTTGCTGGCTTGGGCGGCAAGCTTTCTGCGAGTTTCCTCTTCATCTTCCTTAGTCCTTGGTGTGCGAATTCCAAGTGATCCGAAAAGGAGTCGGCGTGAGCTTGCAACATCCAATGTACGGCGGTGAGCTTTTTCTGTTTCTGGAGTCTCAACCTTAGTCTCCTCTGAGACAGCAGGTTCGGAGACGGTAGATAGACGTGGTGGGGCGTTTTCTTTTTCAGATCCACCTTCTACATCAACGCCCCCAGAAGCGAGATCATCGAGAAGCTTTTGTCGTCTTTTCTCAAATTCACGTTGTTCCTGGGCTTTCTTATCTGCTTTGATTTCTGGGGCTTTGCTCACTGAGGTTGAAATGATGCTTGATTCTTCAGGGTAATGCCAGCCACCATTTTTGTCTTCCCATGAGCGAAGCGCGGCAAAGTCTGCCTCAGCGGGGAGCACACCGATCTCTTTCAGTTTCGAGAGACGACGACGAAGTTTGAAACGATTGTTACTCTTCTTCGTTCGTACGGAACCTTGCCCGGGAGGAGCCATGAGTGAACTTCGGGTTTTTTGAGGTGGGGAACTTTCATCAGAAGAGCTGTCACTTTCAGAGCTTGAATCGTCAGATGAGCCGGAGTCAGGTGAATCTACTTGTTGCCCCGCAAATGATTCCTCTTCTTCAGACGAGGAGTTATCTGATGATTCAGAACTAGAGTCGGACTCAGAGTCGGAATCTGAATCAGAGTCCGAAAAGGATGCATCAGAAGAGCGATCATCGACTTCAGCTTGAGCTCTTTGAGCTTCAAATCTTTCAGGAAGCAATTTATCAAGCGATTCACGAATCGTTGGAGGATGCTGTGGTGGTAGTGGTGACTCATTTTCCTTGTTAAATCTTACAGCCTTAGAAGTTCGAGGGGAAGAATCGTCCACACGAGAACGTTTACTAGACAAAGATGAGGCACCAACTACTGATCCTCTGCTCAGCGTACCAGCCGAACCTGGTCTGTTACCAGCAGATGTAGGACGTCGGACAGAAGAATCACTGAGCCGTTGGACCTGGTTTGGGATATCAAGCAGCTGAGAAGCGGGCTCCTCAAAGTCTTCTTTCAAAGCCTTGAGTTCACTCTCCAACTCCTCCTCTTCTGGCTCATACACATCCATGTCGTCGTCACTATCTTCGTCCGCAGAATGATCCACCGGGTGTCTAATAACCGTACCCATGGACATATCATGCTCGGTAGGCAGGATAGAAAGCTCCTTACCAAACCCATTATCAGTAGGTGGGAGCCAATCTCCATCGCCTTCTTCTTCTTCAATAGCATTGCGATCCTCGAATGCATATCCTGCATCTTGGTCCCAGCCCGAGAACACTGTCCGTCTTTTCTTTCTTGGCGGAATTGTAATAGCAGGTCGATTCGAGGTATTTCGTTGCTTAAATGGTAACCCGAACGGAACGCCATCAATAAGATGTTTACCATCAGAAGCAATCTGGTGACGACCACAAAGTCGTCTTGCGCGCAAATCCGCAAGTTGTAAAGCTCGGATACTATGCCAGAGAAGTTAGTCAAAAGGTCTCCCTAAAAAGTAAACGCGCAGAAGGGAATATCAAACATACACAACTTCATCCCCATCTCGAAGCAGACCCTCAACTTCCATAAAATGCAAACATTCTGATCCGCAAACCTCCACCACATAATCTTCCAAGCCCCACTGGCCACTGAATTCCGGGTCAAAAACACTCGGTTCTGTCTCAAGTGGTACAACCTCATTCACATCCTCGAGTAATTGAGCAATTGTGTATCCACCATTTGCGAATGCGATATTCGGGGTACGAGATGAAGCGATCGCGGAAGTTGGAGCAGCACGGTGAGAACCATATTCTCCTGTCGCGGCGGCGGTGGTCGTCCACAGGACACGCGTAGCGGGCAAGCCGTGCCGCGAGATAATCAGGTGAAGACGCATAGTGATGCGAATGAGCGAACTAAATCATCTGGGAGAGGGTGGGATGTCGAAAAGTGAAGGTCCGGCCAAATCTCGGGTGCGCGTCAATTTTCGCGCGGGTGGAAGTAACACGCGAATATGGAGTGAGTTCCGGGAGAGAAAGGGGGAGGGTGGTGATTATTTTGTCTTAGACTTAAGCAAGCGAGAACGAGTATGTCTTGATGCTTTTAGGCATCTACTTGTCAACGTGAGAGGAAGTCTGTCGAGGTTAAGCAAACGCGAATGCCTCGTGCAGCTCCAAAAGCTGGAGACGGGACTAGCCTGATTGGGTATGACGCCTAAGGCAGCATTGATCGGCGGAAACTCTAAGCGTCGGATCTACAAATAATCTCGGTGCTCGTTAATGCCCAACGGTTGGGATTGAAATGTACAGAATCAAGTATAGCAAGGGAGATAGATATTCTCAAATACGAATCATGGGAATAATCGATTGTTATCACTAGCTTGTTGATTAACATCGTATACTCGGCTCATACAATACCCGGGGACACAGTGGAGGTAAGAGGCTTAGGATAATCATATCCGTATGGATACTACATGACAATGATATTAGGCACCTATGACTAAATGCTGTAGCCCAACTCCACATGAATGCAACAAATAAAGTAAAGTAAAGCCCTTTCAGATGTCCAGGACAACATTAAGGATATCATTAAAGGGGGTATCAGAGATGCAAGCAGGGGAAAAGCATTCAGTTGCAGCATATGTACGAAGCTTCATATTGGTTTGAAGGGGGGGGAAATGAATCGAATGATAAAGTCAAACTTCCCAAATTTCCTGATCAGGTGGTAGGTCGCCTAACCGGGCTTCGAGGGACCGGCTTCCGGGAGGGTACACCTAGATTCATAGGGCGCAGGCTATTCTGCGACGGTCGGTGTTGGATTGTATTGTCTGGAGCTTGGAGCGGGCCATCTGCCACGGGTTGGTACTGGGGCGGACTATCGTCTTCCACTGGATTACCACGGACTTTCATAATACTCTGAGAGCGTCTCACAGGGGAGCCAGGTGGTGAGCCGGAAGGAGATTCGGGAGGGGTATTAGGTAGCATATCGAAGGATTCGGAGGAGGAACGGGGCTCGATGACCCTAGAAGTGAGGCTACCCTCCGGAGCAGGGATGGAGCCTCCCTCATGTGTCCGGCCAGCTTCGACTGGGTATTTGGCATCAGTTCCAGATTCCACTGTATTCCGGGAGGAAGAGGCGTCTGGTGGGTGATACTCGCGGCGTGGTCCATCTACTGGGCTAAGATTATCTGCCATTGCGTCCTCATAACTTGGGGGCGCGTCATCATATGCTGCCGTTGAATCTGCTGGTACAGGTACAGGTCCAGCTGGACGAGGCGGCATCGGAGGTGGATTTTCAGTATGGTTATCTGTAGGCCAGGTTGGTTGGGATGTCAATTTGGAAGCTGATGAGGGTTGAGTCGTCGCTGCCATAGCGTCCAAGAGAGCCTGGGGAGGAGCAATGCCCGAGTACACCTTGACTGGCATTCGAAGGGGCAGAACGATAAGTTGTGGCTAAATGGTGTTGATAGTGTAAGTAAAGAGAGATTGTTCACGAGTAAAGGAAGGAGAAATAAAAGCCTACCTTCATATTTCCTGGTGTGCCATGAGTCAGTCCTACGGTAATCTCTACCTCATATCGTCGCTCGATGTTGCACGTTTCAAACGAAGGGGCCACTGAATTTGGCAAAGGCACCTTGTTCCACAAGTTGGGGTCGATGGCCCAGTCTGTACCAGCCGGATCATCTGGTTTTCCAATCTGAACACCCATGTTGCTGCGACTCACTACTACCCAGGTATTGGTTTCTTCGCGGGTGAGGTCATGCGCAATGACCTTGGTGAAAGAGATCAGATTTACCTGGAGCATTTGAAGATAAATCATGTCCGGTCCTTCTGATAGCTTCCTAGCCAGTAGCCGGAGTGGAACAGGTTCATTGCAGGTGAGAATAGAGGGATTTGGAAGTCGTGCATCCACAGATACGCGCGGAGGCTCGAAATTGTCATCTTTCGATGTTCTAGAGAAGAGATTCTTCTTCGATTTCCCTGGCTGAAATTTGGAGAAATGATGCGGCCGCCTCGCGTAGGTTTCTTCGTTAGGATTCCCGGTTCGCGGGGGCTCAATGGGAAGAAACATTAGAGGTACAACCTGAGATGCTCATTAGCTGACCGGGGTCAAACACTTCTAACGGGGATGACATACCGCTCGGAAGTTTTCTTTGTAGAACTGAGGCCTAATAACAGTAGCCTTGACGAAGTATCGAATCTCTGCCATGCCTGAGAACCCACTCAATGAAGGGGGGAGAGTCTTTTTCACATGTCGATTGGTGTCACGAGCCATCTCAACTTTGAAGTTGTTGAAGTTAAGATTTGTACGCATACTGTTTTGGTTGCTGCAGGCATTGTTGAAAGGGAGCTGTTCGAGAGTTAGGTTATCTTTTCAACTCTTACTTAAAGGTAGACTGACCTTGAACTGGAAGGGATATTCATAAGAGCCCGGTGCAAATGTATAGGAGGCTGCGGCAGGCCCCGTTTGTACGACAGCTGGTGTAGGGAAGACAGTCGCAACCTTATACAGGATCTAGATAGATGAGAAAAAGCCCAAATTGTTTATTTCGCATTCCTAGTTGCCCTCATACCTTGTGAATCTCTAGCTCTGTTCGTTTCTTTTCGGAATTCACATTTTGTGGATGCCGAGGTCCGGATAGTCTTGTTTGGCTAACCCCTTCCAATTTAACTTGGATACCTGCAATGGCGGCTTCCGTTGGAAGACTCAATACAACGCGACCCGAAAGAGTGTCGAGGTTTGTATAATGCGAGTGCTGGCTGTCTAGCAAGACCGTGGCAGACATGGCGGCGAGCGCCCGGGCCGGGGCGGATCGGCGCTCTGGTTGCTGTTGTTGTCGGTCGCTTCGAAGCTATGGGCAATTGGTCTGGGACTCGGTATGGTTTGCGACAATAGTAGGTGGACTGTGCGAAAGGGGGTAAGTCGTAGTGGGCAAGGGAGAGGTTGAAAAGTGGGATGTGTTGACAAAGGGAAGATTGCAGATGGAAATGCGAGGGGAGCGGGAATGACGTTTTGCTCCCCGATCAAACTACGGCTCCAGGGCTGCACTATAAAATCCTCACCCCCCACTATGCGATCGCCCCGGGCTTTTGCATGATGAATGGCATAAATGATGTTGTCATAGACAGCGAAACGACAATAGCAATTAAAGCTTGATAACTGCGCCTCACAAACTACTCAGCCACTTTGAGGCCACTGTATCCCTGGCATGACAAACTATGGAGCGATCGGGACTGTATCATCCACACGATCCGGAGATCTTGGACGACTAGAAACCGTGGGAAATTCAAACTCTTTAATTTCGAAATAATTCCGCAACCTACTGAATGCTATTCAGTATTTCAAACTCATCAGTTCAACTGTTATCTCTGACACAAAAACTCAGACCTTGGAACATTCGAAATGAGCCAAACAAGTACCGTAAGCGCCAATGCTAGACGATCCCAGGCACCAGAATTTCCACTCGTTTTGCCCCAAAACCGGGCAATTGCATGATGCAGAATGTACCTGGCAGAACCACCTGAGGTACGCTTTTACCATAATTAATTCAATTTAATTTAAGACTTGACGTGGCATATTCAAACATGAAGCATCTTATCTTTTAAGGGTGCTGGTGAAAATGCGCCGCCATGTGAAGCTTGATATCTGCCTATACATAGTCACTATGGACTATAATTAGAAATAACCCCATTTATAATCAAACTACATAGATTAATCTGCGAGTAGATGTATACAGTCAAGGGAATGATTACTGTGGTGATATTCTCAGCTTCCAAGGTAGTAACGAAAAATATCTATTTCAAGTTAAGGTGTTTAGATATGGCGCCTTTTTCATCCAAGTTCTTCCCTTTATGCCTTTAGACGTGGCGAACCTAGAGATAAGCCTACCATTCTGCAGTGCTATACCGATAGTTAGCCTCCAAGTCCTATCATAGCTAGATCTGATCTCGTAACTTACATCAAATTTCCCAACAAAGGTATGTATGTTCCTAGGGTGGCAGTAGGCCACTGGTTGACATAGGGACTCCAAATTTTTGACTTGATAAACTTTCGCACCAAAACTAAAAAATGAGCAACATTATTATAGGTATAGATAATTCCTCATGTCATGAAAGAACCCTATCTAAGTTGTCATTGGGGATTCTTATCTATAAAGCTTCATCACTCTATGTAGGGTATTAATGCTCAATACAGGAGCAGCAGAATATCAAAGGCCTTCTTTCGCCAACATGTCTAAGAAGGAACATTAGTATAGTACGAGACGAGTTTCCTTTGAAATTTTTCATACCTGCGATGTCCAAGTAAAAAGCAATGGCATTGAAATTTCGCCGTTGACCCATGACTTCTCCAAGAAGCCATTTTACTCTGTTGCTCCAGTTTATCAAATCCAAATGGCTGACTCCCACCAGTGTCCCCTTATATCCGTCTTCCCCACCCCATCGGCTACTCGCAACACTCACGAGCCCATCATTGGGACCTTCCGCCGCAGCGAGAATCTTGTGAGATAAACGGAAGACAGACCAGATACTAGGATCAACTGCTGCCCCATAGGAAAAATATCTATGATTGCAGATTGATTAGCAAGAAACATCAGTGGTGATCTGTTTTATGCACTTACCGAACATCATTAACGTCTGGTGTACTCGGATTGAATGTTTCAGACATGTACTTCCTGGTTAATTGGGCAAATGCACCGGTCTCAACACTAAGCCGGTTCAAAGTATAGTAAATCTGCGGGAGTCGATCGGCTAGATTAAAGTCAATGTGAGCCTACTGTTGTATCGCGTAGAAATCTTGTAATTACTGACCTCCAATTTGGTCAAAGACGTAATCTGCAACAGCAGAACCTATATAGGCATTTTGTTAGCAGCAGCGCGCCCAGAGCTTGTACCGTCTGTTACAAACCTCGATGCGGAGTAGCGATAGTTGTTAACGAGAGCACTTTGAACTTCTCTTGTTTGAGCCGACTAATCATATATCGAGAGTCAAGGCCACTGTGAGTTCTGTTAGATACTACTACCAACGGAGAGTTCCGTGTATTCGGTAACTAACTCACCCCTGTGACTGAGATCAGTATAGGATTCACAGTAGGATTCGCCCAAAGAGTCATGATATTCACTTACCATACTATGACTGTTCCACATAACAATAATGAGATTAGTGTACATGGAAGCTTGGAGAAATTTGTACATACGCAATTATATTTACATCCTTTCCTCGTGCTCCGGCCTCGATATCACGGGCTAGTTCCTCGGCACGTTGTTCGATCGACGAAGAAGGAGGAACAGTAGCAGTTATCACTTCAATACCTTGAGTGGCCAATGCTTCTTTGATTCCGCGCCAATATTGGACACTGGGAAGATAGGGACCGGCCAGCCGCAACTCATCAAAGCCCAACAGCCCATGAGCGAGGACTACTGGGTGCTTTGGGGCATCTGCTCACAAAGTCAACAAAACGAACACATTTCATAGCTTAAATGGACCGGTAACAAACCGTAGCTATCTCGAATGACTGAATATTTGTCATGAATAACGTGCCCATGATCCTCTAAGCGCGGATCAAGAATCGGCTTGTCCCTCCTGGAGAACGAGTGAAATGCACGCTTTGATGGATTTCTTATAATGCCATGACCGCAAGTGCGAGTTATCGACGTGCTCAAGACCATTGAAGGAACTGCATGTCCCATTATTTCCTTCGGTATATGACATTGATACCAGTCGAAACGGATGTATCTGTCGCGGAATGACGCAGGTGGAAGATGAATATGATGCCTGAGGTGTCCACAGGATCACCACTATGACATCTGGAAGTATACGCCTTTAAATAGCCCATCCATTGATGGCCTGCAGAGAGATAATATCTAGATCATCCCATGAGTTTTGGACATAAAATGAACTCAATGCATTTGGACTTGTCTACTACATAGAGAAAAGCGATGGTTGTCACCTTATTTCATCTACATAATCCGGGGAATTACACACCCGGATCACTTGAGAATCTGCCCAGGTGTAGATATAATGGAAGCAGGTGTGCCTATATGACTTCCCCTCAATATAGAGACCCATATTCTCAGGCTTTTATTGTAATGCCTATAATGATGGGCTAGGAAATAAACTCATATCTCGAACATTGGATATCGATGAACAGCCGAAATTGCATCTTCTAGCGAAAACCACATCAAATGAAAAAATAACCCAAAATACCAACTCTAAGCCTTCGCCATCTTCTCTGGAACCTCGGGCTTCACGATGGTAGTCGACTTGATGAGTCCATCCACAACCTTGTCGCCCTGCTTTTGGCCAGAGGCCTTGATTTCCTTGAGCTTCTCCTGGGCTTCCTTGTCGGCATCTTCTTCGGCCTTTTTGAATCCACTAGAATGCTGTGAAGTTCAATCAATATGTCAGTAAGAAGCACTGGTAAGTATTGTTCCAACTGGGTGATTGAACGTACCTCCGCTTCGAACTTCTTATATTCCTCTTCCTTGGAGTTGCGGTACTCCTCAATCTCTTTTTGGGCCTCGGCCTTAGCCTCCCTTATGCGCTTGGTACGGTCTGTTGTAAAACGTCAAGTTAGATGGTCATCACATGCCGATCGATCGGATATTCGATGTTCATACATTCCCGAGCTAGACACAATCAGACAAATTAGCATCACGATCCTTTGATAAGAGCGACAGAACTCCATACCTTGTTGCACAATCTTCTGAGCCTCTCTCTCGGCCTACAATTATGGTCAATGTAATCGTTCCGTGATCGGGGTCTGGTCCAAACCTACATCGAGGAGGGTCTGAATGCCCGCGGAGTTCTGAGCCGACTACATTCCAACAACATTAGCGCATGTCACGACATGAATTTATCCAGAAGAAAAGGGCTCACCATATTTGCTCTTGGAACTCTCTTATGAATTTGATGGGACGTGAATAGAGCAGCGTTAACTGTAGGGAGCTGGAGCTTCGAAGCTCGATCAGCCACGCATGACCCCCCAGGGCGGTGGGGGAGTTACTGCCAAACACACCGCCTTCGTTGCGATAACCCGATAATTCCGCATCTTGGGGTGTTTGTATTTCTATCTCCGATTGTGTCCATTGAATTGTTGTGCAGCTTCATCCGAGGTTAAATTGAGAATGTCTCGTGCGGCAAAGCTGACATTGGCGGCCACTGGCTTGGGGACTGCAGGCATTGTTTATTTTGTGCACTGGGCGCAAGAGGCAGACCGGGCGGTAGGTCTTCCATGTTTCCTGGATAAGCGATATAAGTTCTAATTTGTTTGATATCATAGGCTATGCACCGCGGAGTCGAACGGGATATGGAAAAGCAGCGCATCCGACAAGAACGACAGGCCGAATTCGAATTGCAGAAGAGATTGCAAGAGGAATACCTACAGCTGCAGACTGTTTCTAGCAGTACTGGTGATAGAAGTCCAGCGGGTCAAGCGTCAAATACAGGGACATGAGATGCGAATACACTATTTTTATCATTGGTCTGTGAACTGGACCATGGAACGCATATTAGGTATGATCTTCTCCATTATTCAATGCATTTTCTTCCATATGTGGAAAGTGGCTTGATTCTCATTGGTGACATAGGGAGTTCTCGATCTTTGGCGATGCATAATCCTCTTGTATAAAATCGGGGACGTGTACGATACTATGTGATGCTATTATACCTCCAGAACGAAGCTTTCGCTTCGTCGGCCGTCCTTGTCAAGCCAAGATGATGCGATACCCAGGCATCATCGTGTATTTATTCGGCATATTCTATATTACAGAGGGTACTTTCCACTCAATACGTTTTGAGATTGCGCAGTCAGGATTTGTAGATCAGCTCAACGCGCTTACTAAAGCTTCACAGAGTAGTCATTTTGCAAGACTCGGCGTTCCGAGAATGCTGAAATCAGTAAAATGAAAGCAAAGACATTTAGTCTTCAGTTCAAATGACTTACCTATCTGAACTTGCCCGGGCGGATTCGACTTGCTTCGAACTTTCATACGCTTGACATACCTTCCCCTACTTGGGAATCCTGTTCCCCAGAAGTCTTCAAGTAATAATTTTACTTATTCCACCACCAGCTTTGATACCGAAATTTCTCAACATAACGAAAAGACCAATCCACCATTACAACGATTGTCCCGCTCACGTTTCTCCCCAGATATCTTTCTATACCCCCCCATTTCAATCAACATCAACACAATCATGCGAACAGCCAGACCTTTCCTATCTGTCCCCTTTGAAGATATTATACTGACAAAGACTAGTATTACGACAACAGCTTTGTTAGAGGGTATATTGAGCAGGCGATTGAAGTGCCGCAAGGTGGTCATTGACCACGTGTGGTTAAACCTCATGTCCCACAACTTTACAATGGCCAATCAATATGGCCTGGAAAGAGAGGAGTATTTTGCGCCGAATACGCGTAGAAGAGCTAACGTCAATATCATCGCGCCAATGGCCGGAATCCCAATCAAAGTGATTGGATAGAGTGCAAAAGGCCTCCTCTAGAAAGTGATGGAGACTTGAACTCAACAAATGCAAGTTGGGAAAACGCAAAGACCCAGCTGGAACAATACAGAGACGAACCCAAGGAGGGCCGACCTTTCCTACAAGGGCAACCGTTGGTATCGGTACTATCGGTACGGGGGAAAATAAAACCAAGTGGAAAGACAATTGAGAAGGCAGTTAGAAGGACAGTTAGAACGGCAAATAGAGAAACCGTCATATTTTCAAATACTTTAGACTATGTTAGTAAGTTCACTTTTTGTATACTCGCGGACTATCTTCCGTCTATATAATTCAGATATCGGCCGTGACCGGAGTAAATCAAAATGGCCGGCTATTATCGGTGGCCGGCTGAATTCCGGCCTCTTGGCGCTAAGAAAGTCTAATCAAGCATTATCGACCAATCACCATGAGGGATCTCAGGGACCAGCCAATGTTGGCACCGGCTGAAGTATAGAGCCTACATCATGACTTTCATGGTGAGAATCAGTGAAATTGGCTTGCGGCAAATGAGCTTACAGGATCATACAGAACGTGAATACTACCAATAGTATCGTTTGAATTAATAAAAGAGGCCCCATATACCCCAACTATGAATCTGGGGCATATAAGGTATTACCGTATTAGGATTAGCGCCGTCTCTTTGCTGATTGGCTGCGCTCAAATGCTTGACACATGTGCATCTATAGAGAATATCTGGATGGCTTCATGAATCGTGGAATTGAGCAATTTGATGCTGGGGACTGTAAAAATGCCCCTATAAAGTATTCCATGCAGTATGGGAGCTTGAAGGACCCGCTCCATGCCCGATGTCACCGAATTCACGCTATCTTGCTTTATTTCGTAATGGTGGACTTGAGGCCGGAATTGATACCGGCCTCTGAGTATTATAAGAATCTGTTCTTCACCCGCCCAAATCCTGAACTTCCATCTCTCCTCTTCATCACTCAACAATTCATATCTTTTCTTTCTACTTTTTTACCCCTTTTCCCCTGCTTTCCTAAGTCTTGACTTGGTCTTTTACCTTGGTCTTGCTCGCTTAAACCCCTTTCACCCTAAACCTACCTGCTTGTGTAACCCCTCCTCCTCTATTATCCATCCAAAACTTTTATCTACCTGCTTGAACATATTAGACGTGGACATATCACAAGTCTTCATACGTCTTCATTATGACTATCGCCCAAGTCCCCTACCCTTCCCCCTCCACTCTGAAGAAGTTCCCTCATGTGCATGATGACCCTGCTACTATGTCCCATGCCTTGGACCCCTTCACCATCACTACATCTACTGGCTTTCTTCCCTATGCCACTGCCCCTGTTGACCTCCCTGAGGTCTTCCAACCTCTGAAGTCCCTGGTTGAGCGCATGCCCGTCGTCAAGGCTGATGGCACTCCCGGTCTGCTGGCTACTTATGAGTTCGGCCCTGCTGTCGAGTCCGAGATGCCCGACCTTACCCATGAAGTTGAGAAGCTTGTCTTACCTGATGGCTCTTTGGACCGCTTCACTATTGCTGCTATCTTCCGTGACTACACTTTCGTGGCTTCGTCGTACCTTCTTGAGCCCTGCTGGGAGAACTGGACTAAGAACCCTGATGGAGGTTACGGCCTGGGTCGTCAGATGCTGCCAAAGTCTGTTGCTCGTCCTATGTACCTATGTGCACAGATGTAAGTGCATACCGTCTCATGTTTATTTGACCCCGATATCTGAAGATGCTATCTATTCTATTGTATCATTCTTTGACATACAATGCTAACTTGTTGTATAGTTTGGACCTTCCTCCTTTCATGTCTTATGCTGCCTCTTATGCGCTCTTCAACTACACTTTGGCAGACCACTCCAAGGGCCTTTCAGAGTACTCTAACCTTCGTCTGATTCGTGGCTTTGAGCGCGGCCTTGATCCCAAGAGTTCCGAGGCCGGCTTCATTCTGACCCACGTGGACATGGTTAAGGAGACTGGCGCACTGATCAGTGGTGCCCTTCGTGTTGTTGACACCATTGAGCAACATGGACCTCGCAATGATATCAATGATGGCTTCCGTGAAATCCTGGCTGCCATGGAGAAGATCGAGGAGTCAATGGAAAGTATGATACCGCCCCATCCACTCCTTATATCGTGGATCAGTTCCAAACTAACCGTGATTCATAGCTATGTGGGGCAACTCAAAGCCAGCTGAATACTTGTCTTTCCGTGTCTTCATCTTCGGCATTACAAACCAATCCATGTTCCCCGATGGAGTGGTTTACGACGGTGTTGAGGAGAATCATCCCCTCGCTTTCCGTGGAGAGAGCGGTGCCAATGACAGCATTGTATGTTTATCCCTCATCCAGGCTCTAAACCAGTCTATCCACTTCGATCAAGAAAGCAAAAACTAACAATAGTAACCCCATTTTGCAGATTCCCCTCCTCGATCACCTTTGCGAGATCCCTATGCCCGAGACTCCCTTGACTAAGATTCTCCACGAGTTCCGTGCCTACCGTCCTCGCCCACATCGAGAGTTCCTTACCTACATCCGGGAGAAGTCAGAGGAAATCGGCGTCCAGAAATACGCTATTGAAGACTCCGAGACTGCCGTTCTCTTCTTGAGAGTGCTGAACCATGTGCGTAGCTTCCGCTGGCGCCACTGGCTTTTTGCCCGCGAGTACATTATCCGTCGCACACCCCACCCCACTGCTACTGGCGGTAGTCCCATCGTGACTGTAAGTTTGACTGTACCTCCTTTGAATATCCTTTGTTTCTCTTGTACTGACATCATCTAGTGGCTGCCCAATCAGCTGTCGGCTGTTATGGATCTGATGGTTAAGGTCTACGATAACCACCTTGCTCCTAAGGAGGGTGTAACTATTGTAGAAGGACAGAAGGATCTGATTGCTGCGCATCGCAAGCAAGTGGAGCCTATGATGGAGCTTGTTCGTGACCAGAGGGATAAGCTGGCCAAGGAAGTGGAGAAGTGGTGCAAGGAGCGTGGCGTCTAAGATGATGCATTGATCCTTGCCGTTTCTTTTGACTTTTAAAAGTGCATTGCGTATGGTTTAGATCGGATTGATCTCACCTGATTAACGATTTTCTTTCTTTATTCCCAATTATCAACCGATCGATTTGATTTGAACACTGAAATGCCGTTGGTCTTTGTACTGTAGATATCTAAAGCCGGGATAAAATCTAGAAATCCCCTGAAAATAATGAAGTTGAATGGAATCATATTGTTGTTGGCAAAAACCATAATTCAAGTCGATCCCGATCATGTGGCATGCGAACAAAGCTAATATGATAGCATTTGAGGAAACCTCTAGCCGGCCCGGTTGTATCCACCGCTTATTCGGTGGGTTTGAGCCATCCCTTCCCCTCGAATAGCCGATTGTGCACTAGCGACGACATATGGGTAGTTTAACCCTTTTTAGATACCCATTCCGCCGTTCCGCCGCCTGGAATACAAACAGCTGTGCGTTAATCAACAATTTCCGAACGTCAACAAGACCATTCAATAATATGGCAAGGGTGAAAGGGGTAAGATCCGAGCTATGATAACCAAGCGAAGTTGCTATGAGTTTGTAAAAGACTTGGCTCTGGTGAAAGGTCGGGCTGTGGATCTGGATTTGGACGTGGAAATTCTTATGTAGAGCACTAGATGAGAACTCAGGTAATGACCTCAAGCCCGTTCTGCCGCCCGTATGCAACAGCATCCAAGGAGATACTCTCACATCCTCGTACGATGATCCGATCAAGCTTGGCCCCCTTATCTGATTCTGAGGTGCGGGAATCGGTAAATTCTCGGATTGTGCATCCTGTAATACTTGTATATGATAGATCAAGAACCCTCAAGCTAGTGAAGCTTTTGCGAAGGGCACTCGCGTACATGTCATCCACGTCTCGCCAGTGAGAGACACCTAGTTCCTCCAACTTTTCCAATTCAGGATTGCGGCCTTTGTGTTCCATTATGAGGAGGAATTCGTGCCAAGAGACGTTGAAACACTGGTCCAAGTAAAGTTTGCGAATGGGAGGCTGGGCATCGAAAAGGAATTGCTGGAGAATATCAAATGTAACCCACCCCGCATCTACAAAGATAATTGTATGTAAACGTGGCAATGTCTCTGTTGGGGGCGTTAATTGAAGTGGTCGAGCCATTCCACCCGAAAAACGTAGAAATTCCAGACCCTTTGGCAGGCCAGTAAAAAGATTCGGCGAAGGTAATATTCCACGGAAATCAATTTGCCGAAGCAATGGCGGAGGTTTCATCGCCGGATCATCATCTATCGAAGCATCTTGACGGTCGGGCCGGTCGAAGCATATAGGATATGACACTGGTAAAAGTGTTGGAGGGTCCCAATCAAGTCTCAATTCTTGGAGGCGAGGAAGAGGATGGGGTTGTTTGTCCTAGAGAAAATGAGTCTGGATATTCAAAGTAACGCTCCAAGATCACGCACAGATATTAAATTCGGCACCCACAGCCCGTGCTGTATAATGGATGAGGTATTTGAAGATTGCGAAGCTAAGGTGACGCTTCTTAAAATTGGAAGAGAATCGGGCCATAAGTTTGCTGAAGATTGTTGGCCCTCTCGAATATTCCATAATGCGATGCGGTCTAGCTTTGGATAGTCATGTAAAAAGCGTAGAAAATCAGCCTTTGTCACAGGTATTTCCGATGAAAAGGTCAGGTTCTGAAGCTTCTTGTGGCGTTTGAATTTCTCAAAAAACTCTTTGCATCCGTAATTTGCTGATATATCAAGATGCTCAATATGGGGGCACCTGCTCAGGAATTCCAAGCTCCTTGATGTCTGCGGAAGAGGAAGACTTTTAATGGTAGCATGGGTGAGTAGACCTCTTGATCGTCGGATACATGAACTGATGGCATTGAATGGAACTGTCCCTCGAGCGCCAGTAAAGTCGATCTTCATCCACAGTTGCGATATGGAGCCCAAGAATCGTTGCCATCCTTTGCATACACGCAGGATGCCCACAATCTGTTTGAAAGAGAATTGGCCAATCACTAACATTGCCATCTCAAGAGGCAATACAGTAAAGGGGTCTCTTCTGTTGGGAAGCATGCGACTTTCAAGCTTTTTATACAATTGCTCCAGCACCTGGGGTTCAAATGTAAGTTCAAAGGGGACTATATTGCAAGGAGAAGAATAAAAATGAATAAATCATACCTCGCGACGCGGATGTTTACTGCCAAGGGTCTTCAGGCCATATGCGTATATTTCTAATGCCTTTTCTGGTTTTCCTTCAAGGAGCAAGACCTTGGCACATCGAAGATATCCCTAACTAATTGTTAAAAAATGGCAATCTTTCAAACAGACCATCACTTACGCGCTCATCTTGACTGGCCTTTTTAATCATATGCCTCGCATCGCGACGTGCCTGCTCATATTGCTCAAGTTTGCAGTATGTTGCTGCACGATTATCAAGAACACCAATGGCATCTGAAGATTTATGGGTCAACGCCTAGGAGATAGTCAATAAAGCACTTTTTTAGTTTAGCGTGAATAGACCTACCTCGCCGAAGGCTTCAATGGCGGCTTTGAAATCCTTTTTTTGATAAAGCTTTTGGCCGCGCTCGTGATGACCTGAGACAGTCGATGGCATAGTGGCCTCTTAACTTGAAAATCAGTATTCTCGTGTTCATAAGAAAATAGTTCAAGAGCAAATATTTGGCGACGTGATCGCGCGCGTCGTTAGACATGATTCGTGTCCTGCGCGGTTGGCCCCACCAGATTGCCGGAGGGTCGCTTAGTCATGATTTGTTTACGATGTTTACTTTCTTCCTCTTTGAGGATCTTCCGCCAGCTCCACATCACTGCATCGTCGCATTGTCGCAACGTCATGGAGGCGCAAAATCTGCAAGCAGCGTCGACATATGTCAACAACATTTTATTGGCGCGAGGGTTATTAAATGACGGAAATGCGATCGACTTCGCTCAACCTGAAAATGAGGAGGGAGGAACAGAAGCTACAATGGCTCGGGTCATCAATTTGGTGAATGACCTAGTTTTGAGGAGAGACGTCAGTCAATACTATTCATCAGCGTCGCATTATATCTAACAATTCTTTAGAGAGAAGCTGAGCACCGGGAGAATTTGGCAACAACAATTCGGGCCTTGCGCGCCACCGAGTCGGAGCAAACGCAAGAGATTGTATGTGGAAAGTTCGCTCAAAACTGAGTTTACAACGCTGACTGACCTTTTTTGCGTATTTCTAGGGGAAATTGAAAACTCGAACATCCGAATTATCGCGATCGCTAGCGTTGAGCGAGGCCCAAGAGCGTTCGCTACGCTCTAACATGTCCGGCGCCGATACGACAATTCGTGGTCTCAAGGAGCAAGTACAGCGCATGAAAACCACTGTTCAGCAAGTTCGCTCTCAATGCGCCAATGATGTTCGCAAGCGCGATCTTGAATTACAGAAGTTGAAGTCACATCTATGCGAGAGACAACGAGGGAAGCGTGAGGGGTTGAGTGTTACTACTATCAATATCAACCCCGGGTCAAGCCGATCACGTTTGCGTTCCAGTGGTGGAGGTGACCGAGTTAACGATCCAGGCTACAGCCTTCAACAAGAGACAACCGATTTCTTAACCGAGCTTTGCCAGAATCTCAGTGACGAGAATGATACGTTAATCGAACTGGCGCGGAACACGGTTGAGACTTTGAAAGAGCTCCAAGGTCTTCCCGAGGCGGATAACGGCGATCAAGGCGATGAAATGGCTGGTTTGGCTACAAGCACTGGGCCACAGAAAACAGCCTCCAACGCGGTGACCACGCTTCCCACTTCATGTGAGGAGCTCTCAACGCGAATGGACACAGTACTGGATCATTTACGAACACTGCTCACGAACCCCTCATTTGTTCCGCTAGAAGAGGTTGAAATACGGGACGAGGAGATTATGCGCCTGCGTCAAAGTTGGGAGAAGATGGAAAGCCGCTGGAAGCAAGCTGTGGCTATGATGGATGGATGGCAGCGTCGTCTCACGGATGGCGGGGACTCGGTGCGGGTGGAGGAACTGAAACTGGGAATGAACCTCGACCTAAGCATCAACTCGATCGATGATGTGAACATGCAGGACCAAACAGGCAGTAAACCTATCTCGCCAATTCTTGAGGATGAGCAAGAAGAAGAAATGAGCTCTGTCGGAGACCAAGCACCGGAGCCTGAAGCCGAGAAGCCTTCAATGCCTCGGTCTAAGGTGCGCAAAGTTTCCGAACGTGCAGAGCGGGCCCTGCAAGAACGAAGTGACAATGCGGCGGCCAGGCCAAAACGCCTTCGGAAAGTCTCATTCACACCCGGTCTGCAAGGGTCACCATGCTTGCCTAGCGCCGATGAGGAAACACTCCAGATCAAGGCCCACAAGTCCGATGCTGTGACCCGCCGCCCATCACGCCGCAAGACTGACTCCAAGACATCTGAGGTAAGTAACCTTGAAATGAACAGCCTAACGTCAAGTTTCGAAAAAGAAATTAATAACCGGTTTTATTTTGCTTTTAGGACAACGGAACTGAATCGATGAGCGTCCATCAGAAACTCGCCGCAGCTGAAACTGAAGCACGAGTAGCCGAGACTTCTCGGAAGGAGCGTGAGTCCCGCAAACGAAGCCGACCAGATAAAGCATCCAGCCGGTCTGGCAACCGCCGCCGGAGTACTCTGACCAGTGATGAACTTGATGATCTTATGGGAGTCCCTTCTCAATAAAGGATATGAAAAATGCGCATCGTTTAGCATCATAATTTTTCTCTTGTACATATACATTGATGAGCGAGCATGTAAATACAGCGTGTTGCTTGTGTGTGACTATTTTAATCCATTTCGGTGCTTGCAGCTTCGATTTTGCTTCTTATTATGACAGCCATATACCAATCACAACCTGCTCTCATCCTCGGTGGGCGGGTGACTCCCTATGTACTGGATGGAAGATCAGGTGTGCAAGAATGGTCTGATCCTATATCGAAGAGTCCTTCAATGATATCCCGTCGATTGTCATTTGGACTTGATTTGCTGTAGAACAGCAGTGCATCACGATAAAGGTCAGGACATCCCTCCGCAGCTTCTCGGGCGTCTTCCATAATACTGTCGTAAACACTGATTTCGTGTGATTCAATTCCATCACCATTATCGCGCAGACTTGTGTATATACCATCTTTGGCCGTTCCATCTATCTGGTATCGTGCGTAGATTGCATCTCCGTAGCGCTTCTCGGAAATCGCTATACAGTAGCGAGATGCCCATGGTTCGACCAATCGAATTCTCGCCGTTTTATTGATTACTTCTGCGACGCGAAGATCGAGAAACAGCTGTTCGGGGAGGGGCGATTCCATGTTTATAATGTCGCACTGTATAGCTGCTAGTAAGCTTTGTGAAATGGATTCTTGTGATTTCGGAAAGAAACAAACAATCAATCAATTGGTACAGTCTTTGCCAAATTTCGCTGTATACCAGACTCTGCAGGTATTTGTGGTAGGGTGGGGGGAAAGAGGAGTTTGTTGATAGCCTTGTCTTCAGAACACCACTTATTACGACAGGGTTTAGGCTCCAGCGGGTTTAGGCTCCAGCGGGATTAGTATAGGCTCGCCGGATTGATAGTAGAATTTCGTAGACAACAATTGTGTTTTAGATATCTTAAGATAAATGACTCTTCAATTTTCATCTTATCGTTTTTACTTCTATTAAGCCCATTCCTAATTGCCCGCCCACCAAGTATAATTGCCCGTAGCAGCCGCCGTGTCCCAGACCAAGAGGGAGCTGCTATTCTGAGGTCTACTCGGCCAAACATCTAACAGACCATCCCAAATTTCAAGATTGGAATATTTTACATCAGCACCCTCGGCAACAAAGAGAGCGACTCCGGTACTATCCTCTCGACTGGGATAAATCCGGCTAGTAAGCGCGAAACGATCATTGGCGTATACTTCTACCAGGGAGCCATCAATGAAAACATTCAACTGGACAGGCTCCGTGATGTATGTGCCGTTCTTCTGCTTGAGCTGATAAGGCTCAAAGAAACCAACGTGAGAGGCATTATTAGCATCTTGAATGAGAGAGGAATGGGTGCGGTTCACGACAATTTCGTTGCTCGAAGGGTCAAAGTAGATGTTGGTGTATTCCTCGCCGTCTGGGGAAGCACCGACGGTGATTCCAGCCATCCCAGTGGTATTTTCAATGGTCACGTTGAATTGGTAAGATGACGTGAGGTTGCATGGGAGGTTGATCTTCTGCCTGTCACATCGTCGCTTACTGCACGCATACTTGGTGTGTTGGGCACCACGATGGAGACCTTTGATAACATCGGGGGCGGGACGCACACCAAGAGTACTAGCTGTCCAGCTACCATCGGGGTTTTTGAAGTAACGGGAGCTTGTCAGTGTGGTATTGGAGGGGTCATGGGCAACGCCTCGGGTGTCTTTGATGAAAATCTCTCGTGGGTGTGAGAAGGCGCCTTGATAACCCATTTGTGTGGCGGCAAAGTCATTCAAATCTTCCTGTGCCCAACCCCATTGAATACGGCGGTTATTCTTAATGTCATCGAATGAGTTAATCTAGTATTGACTGTTAGATATCGACACAGGAAAAGGGTAAAGCTGGCGTTTCTTACCGCATAAAGGAGACCATAGTCACTTGCTCCTCCAGAAATGGGCTCAAAAGCGATACTTCCATTGGATCGAACGGACACATTACCCTCATTCCACAATGACCATTTGTTCTGATGGAAGCTGGTATTGCCTCCTTCGGCTCCCATGCTCACAAAGTATCGATCGCCAAACGAAAAGAAGTTGGAAAGTTCGAAGTTGAAGCCATACGAGCCGGTTTCCTCAAGACTTCCAAGCGATGTATTCTTCTCTGGCTCCCAAAGAGAACCCAGGAATGTCCAGTTAGTCAGATCGGAGGCAGGAGCCTGATATAATGGCATGCGAGGACCAATTTCACGAATACCAGATCCCCAGACAGCGTACCAGTGAGGCTCAGTCATGTTTAATAATGTATCCAGTTGTGGCCATGGCATGAAGAACGGATCACGCCAGCCAGTGATGTTCCAATCACCGGGAGGAGCACTGAGAATGGGATTATTCTCATAGTGCTCCCATGTGAGGCCTCCATTTTTGGAGATCGCCAGCCCTTGGCTTTCTGTTCCTGGGAAATACTCTTCGTTCCATGCAGTTGGAAGTTCGGAGGCACCTGTGTAGAAGGCGAGAATTGTACCATCGACTCCGCCAGTGAGGTTAACAGCTTGAGCACTGCCTGAGAAAATTGACAGGTGGTTGTAAAGTTCTGGGTCATGGTGAGAACTGGTTAGATTGGTCGTGCCAATTGATTGGGCTTGGTAGTCCTTCCAAGCTGGGAGTTCGTCGTCGGGATAGTGATCGACATCCGTCCAGGTAATTAAATCTTGGGATGTGGCATGTCCCCAGGATACGTTGCCTATAAACTCAATGGTTAATATTTTGAAGTCAGAGGTTAGAAACAAAATTGACAACATACCCCAGGCAACATGATTTGGATGGAACTGATAATGTAAATGGTAAAGATCCCGAACAGGATCATACATAGGCGCACAGGGATCCTATTCAAGTTATCGTTAGCTTGAGCCAAAGTGTAAGCTTAATTTGACATTGCATACATTCATCCAGCCTGCAGGTGCAAGAAAATGAGAAGATGGTCTCCAGCGCGCGAGAGTAAACAACGTATTGTTTCCCATCTTCTCAATTTCACTACTCGTGAGTGTTTGCCCCCATGCCGATGAGGCAAAAGCCCCAATGGCCAACCAACTTGATATTATCGACTTCATAGTTGATTTTCACTGCTCAGATCCCCCAAAAAAAAACACAGGGAATGAAAGTGCCCATTTATAATATGTTTGCTCATTGATCTAGTGCAACATGGTGCCCGTCCGGGATTGAATCGCCATATCTTCGGGCGCTTGGTATTTTTAGTGGAGTCATTAATAGGGACTTGCAGAATAGGGAATCGAAGCTAAATTCGAAATCGTCGAATATGGGGTTGACATTTCCCCACTGCCGAATGAGAGTGCTGCCAAGTACCGAAAATTCCCCTATGAAACCCCGAATTATCCGCCGAACCGACGATCGTCGCAGCGATGATGTCGCGGGATCCCGAGTTGAACTCTCCGGGGTACATGGTCACCACGGATATTATAAATTATTGGAATCAAATGTTTTACATTTGATTAAAGGGGTCACCGGAAATTATAAATTGGATGAAAGCATGCATATTCTCTGAGCCAAGCCTAAATGCAGCTTTACTCAACTATTCAAATAGTATTAGTGCTCTTCTAAAAAAACAAAAAGATTTCTTATAACTCAATACTAGTGCTACTATAGCCATGTCCTCAGCATGAGACAGTGAAAGGTATTAGTGGTCAGAAATAGCAACTAATCTAAAAAAGAAACATTCAATATAGTAGTAACTTTGAATATTTCAAGGTTTTCCCAAAGCTGATGATGGATAGTAGGATAAGTAATCATATGGATAAAGGAATAAACAATAGTACAGCCAATGGTAAAAGTCAACAATGTAAAATTATATTAGTATCAAGTATTATTTTCTTTGCTATCTATTTACTTTGTTTTGTTTTATAAATATCTATAAGTTTAAACAAAGGGGTTTTCTATTCCCACCTCCCAACTTCGTCTACACGAACGCTCTATTATTACTGGGCTGAGTGCGCTTTGCCAGGACGACGAGAAATTGGCAGTGTAGGGATGCTCAGAAACTAATGATCACTCACTAAATTTCTATGATCTAGTTGAAAGCTGGGTCAGCTTTTCGGATATTTGCTGGGTATCAGGCTTGTCTGGCCCCGCTTCGGTGATTTGAACCTCGTCATGGTCTGGCTTCGGGGTTTCCGTATCAGCCGCCTCGTCCTCCGCCTCATTTTCTGTCTCTGCACCATACTTCTTGGGGATATCTATATGAGACTTGGTATGTTTATCGGGATCCCAAGCCAGGACCCTAGTTTTCATATCTTCGAGCTTCTGTGCAACAAGTCTTTCCATCTCATTTCTCTCCTCGTGGCTTAGAAGATCGAGTCTTTGCTTCAACACATCCTCAATATCTCCTACAGCGGGTCCAAAAAGCGCTGATCAATCTTCTTTTAATATAGCAAATCGAATGCAAAGGCATTCTGCGCAGCATATGCAGTCCAAAAGTCACCACTTTCCCAGCTTTCCTGCATTGGGGCAGAAAGTCGTTCATCCTCTTTGAGCCATCCTTCCTTGATAGCAGTATCTTCACAATCTATCATGCTCTTAAGAAATGTGCAAAGACGGCAATCGAAGATATTGGTCCAATCTTCGAGACCATTTGGCCAGTACTCGCGGGTCATTCGATGAGTAGCCGCCATGGGGGAGCGTGTGTAAACTCGAAATCCACAATACCCACGATCTTTTTGTCGTTACTAACGAGAACATTACCTAGGCGAAATCATCGCCCCAGATTTTGAAGGGGCCTTTATGGATGCTTCCCATCGCTGCGTAAGCTGGCACTTCTGTGCTAATTTGCGGAAGAGAAATCTTGCAATGAACTTCCGTCGGCAATCATCGGCAGAGTGAATTGCATTGTTTCTTTGGTGTTTGAGATGAGATAAAATAATATAAGGACCCAGCTCTAGTGGACGAGATCTCTTAGAGCCCTGTTGATAAATAAAAGGCACCCGTATTGAAGTTTGGTCATAAGGATACCGCATAATGGCCACCTCATACCGCTGCTCCTCTTCAGGAAACATTATAGCACCTGGAAGAGGAATGCGTATGACACCGGCGGGACCTGTTTCGTAGATCATCCAAAGGGCAATATGAAAGTAGCTCTTTCCCAAGATATCAAAGGAAATGGCATCACCTGGGTTCTGGTGTCCGGAGAGAAAGTTTCCGATCGGTGTGGAGATGTCGGGGTTGAAAAACTTGCGCACCCAAGTATCGGCAAATTCCTCGCTTTCTTCCCAGGTGGCATCGTCGTAGCACATACGTGGTTGCATATTGAGAAGTCGGATAGGATGGGAGTTTACAAGAGAAGTCCAGTCATGGGAACAAGAGAATAGATGAGCCTTGGAATAAGCTGGTGTTGGCCTCGATAATTTGTTTGCCAGTCAGAACACATAAAGACGCGCCCAGTTCAGCCTCATATCATGTGATGATAGGGCCGCCAGCAAACATTGAATCCCAATTGTTTCCCGCATAGAGAGCTGGATTATTCAAGTCATGGAAGGTGTGACATTCACGTCAAACACGAGGCTGAGAACTCATCTGATTCCTGAGAACTCTCCCAGGAATAGTCAAATAGCAAATTGTTCGGCTCCCAAAACAGTATCGGAAGAAAGCGAAATGGTGCGTTTATTCCTCCTCTTTACCTATCTTATACAGTTATCATCTCTCCTTTATATGATAACAAGTGCCATTTTAAGCATAAGTCAACGATATGTAAATAGAGTATAATCGCTTTACATCAGAATCAGTCTTCGGCAGCATCGATCCACAGTCCGCAGTCGCCGAGCACTAACCCCAATTAGGCAAGTTCCTCGGCTCCAAATCGGCAAGCTCAAGTCCTTCGACTGACATCAATGGTCTCTTTTCTCCTCTACACGGAACAAGACACCTCGGTATCTCATCTATAAACTCAGTCATTTCCGGTATTACTACCAGGAAGTGATGATTTAAATCGAACAACAGGTCTCGTCGACAATCAGCAAAACGCACCTCTCTACAACTACCGCGGCTCTCCGCACGACCCCACACGAAACCAAATGCCTGTGAATACAAAGACAATTGAACTCGAAAAATCATCTCAACGACAACAGTCCCATCACAAAACGAAATCAACCAAAGAGACAATTCAAACGGATACAACAAATACAAAATACTATTATACCGACAAGATGTCTGCACCCACAAAAACCTTCTCAGGCTGGGTCGCCCATGACGCAACAAGCCCCCTAAAATACACAACCTTCGAACCAAAACCCTTCACAGAAACGGATATCGAAATCCGCATAACACACTGCGGAATCTGCGGAACAGACATTCACACCCTCCGCTCAGGCTGGGCACCAGCAGACTACCCCTGCGTCGTCGGCCACGAGATAATCGGAATAGTGACGCGGATTGGATCCGGTGTCCCAACTCTGGCCTCTTCAGCAGCATCCCGAGAAATCAAACTCGGAGATCGAGTTGGTGTCGGTGCTCAGAGCGGTTCTTGTTTGAAAGCAGACTGTGAAGCTTGTGCTGATGGTGAGGAATCTTATTGTCAGCGCATGACGGGGACTTATAATGCGCGGTATGCAGATAAAAGTAAATCGTTTGGAGGATTTGCGGAGCAGTGGCGTGGTCCTGCGCATTTTGTATTCAAGATTCCGGACTCGTTGCCCTCACTTCAGGCGGCGCCGTTACTTTGTGCCGGTGTAACTGTTTATGCGCCCCTCAAGAAATATGGTGTTGGTCCTGGCAAAACAGTGGGTATCGTTGGTATAGGCGGGCTAGGACATCTAGGTATTCTCTTTGCAAAGGCTCTCGGTGCAGAGAAAGTCGTTGCTATTTCCCGCTCTTCAAGCAAGAAGAGTGATGCGGAGAAACTGGGTGCGGACGCTTTTATAGCCACGGCTGAAGAGAAGGGGTGGGCGAAATCTCATTCTCGATCGCTGGATGTGGTTCTTTCTACTGTTTCAGGCGGTGATATGCCTTTTTCGGGTTATTTGAGACTTTTAAAGCGTGATGGGGTCTTTGTGCAGGTTGGTGCGCCGGAGGATCCGTTGCCGCAGCTTGCGGCTTGGTCGTTGATTCAGAAGAGTGTTAAGGTTACGGGGTCGAATATTGGGTCCACGGCGGATATTAGGGAGATGTTGGAGTTGGCGGCGAGAAAGAGGGTTTTGCCGTGGGTTACTATGAGGGATATGGGGGATGTTAATGCGGCTCTTGGGGATATGCATGATGGGAAGGCGAGGTATCGGTTCGTTTTGAAGAATGGTGGGGAGCAGGTGGAGGCCAAGCTTTGAATTTTCCAAGGATTTGGATTTTGCGTGGGGAGGATTTGTTAGGAGGGATTTACGCCTGGTTTTGTATATAGCTAGAAGAGGACCTTGGGGTTAGGTTGAAATTGGGGGTATTTGATTCAGACCTCGGATGTGTATATACTGTGATGCGAGATACTTCGCTGATGTCTGTAAATATGCTCTTTGTGTATCTAGGAAGCCAGATTATATTTGAAGTATACAAATGGTTAAATTTACCTAATCATACAACATACATGAAATAAATGATACTCAAGACTATTCTAGGGGTATTTAAACAGATCCGCTCACTAACAGTCAGTTATAGTACAAGTAGCTTTCCCAGAAGGAATATTTTTCCATTGTCGGCTTTTTCTTTTTCTCCTTTTCATCCCTAGTCGTTAACATCACCGCCCGTACACTTATCCTGATTTTGTGACTTCCATCCGCGATAGATCCATGCCAGTACAAACTGCAGCATGTTTCCATTTTTATCAGTGCCAACTCTGTCGGCGCTGGTGATAATGGTTTGGTTTTTGAATTCAAGGTACCGGTTATCTTGACCTTGTTCTTCGCCTTTGGTTCGAGGCCATTGCCTCTGTGGTCTGTTTTTGTGGTACTCGCTTAAACGTAAAACCTGTCGTGGGTGTTGCAAGTTATATCCAAACACAATTCGATCCCTAGTCACCAACAAAATTTTGACTGGTTTTAATGTTCCTTGCGTTTCATGGCGGATGTTTTCTTTCCAATTTTCCCTCTCAGTATAACCAATAACCTTGTGGAGGGGCACGAGAGACAATGAGGTAGATCCAAGACTACCATCACGATAGAAATCCCAAGCATGACCAAATACAGACAAGATCGCGACCAAATAAACTTTACAGAGATTTTTGGGGCCCCGGAGCCGCCCCTCATCTCCATTTCAAAGAGTGTCAATCCGTTCCAAGTAATTCTGACCGAGGATCTCTTGCATCGCCCAATGAATCAAGGGTCTCCACTGATCGTCCAAGATCGCCCACACAGCTTTGGCCACACGCACGCACCACTCGTCAAAGCACCACCGATGTTTTAAATATTGCAATAGCACGCCATAATGCGCTAACATCACGAGTGCAAATGATTCCCGCTCCCGCAGCAATTCCAAGTACCGTGGCGGAAGACCAATTGCCCATCGCCCCGCTACAACGGTAGCTGTGACACCCGCGTAAGTCCAGCTTAGCATGTCGGCCATTTTGTCGATTGTTATGGCGTAGATTTCTGTTTCGTGGTTTGGGTCTTGAGCTCCACATGTGCGATTTGCTTCTTGGAGTTGGAAGAGGGCTGTTCTTGTTTCTTCAGGGAGAGGAGCACGAGTTTCGTCCACGTTAAAAATTGGTGCGAAGGATGTTTCCTTGAGCAAGGTTGTCGGGGACTTGATCACTTGTTGGATTCCTCGGGTTAGAACTAGGACCTGGTGGAAGTCGTCTATGCAGGACCAGGGATCTTGAACGTCTGGTGAGTGGGGAAAACCAAATGTGTAGACGACTACTATGCTTGCGAAGGCGAACATTGCTTTTGCGTTGGTTTCTTGGATGTCGCTTAGTAGTTCTCGGAAGAGGGTTAGGGCTTGGTTTTGGTGCGCGACGGCACGGTTCAGATGTGCTGTTCGTCGCGAGGCGTCTGGGCCCATGCGGGCTAGATGGAGAGCTGATAGAGCTAGGATGCCGTGCATTAGGAAGGGGTGAGAGAGGGCTTCCTGGGGGACGGCATTGCGCCAGATTTGGTCCGTGGTTTCATTCCGGGAGAGCGAGGAATAGGTCGTGTTGCACCATTGGGTCATTAGTTCCAGGTCATGGAGGTTGAGAATTGGGATGATTGTTGCTGTGGCGGATTCGGGATTTGCATTTGCATTGTTGAGTCTGCCTAGGATTCCGAGGGAGTCGGATGCTGTTGGTGATCCTAGGATTGACTCTGTTGGGTGACCGCTCTCTGAACCTGAGGTGCGGAAGACTGATCGCGTGCCTGTGGGCTCTTCATTTGCCCAGAGGAGGGAGGTAGATGAGCCATATTCACATTCCGCATGACGTTTTGCACAATTGGAGCAAGTAGGTCTAGATTCATCGCACTATGGATTTGAATTGCGTTAGTGTAAGCAGGGGGTGGTTATAGTTTAATACTTCCAAGCCAATTGGGGGATTGTTTTTTTTTTCTCTCATTTTTAAGTAATATGAAACAGAGTATAAGGGGAAGGTTTTGAGGGAGTTACGTATGGACTGCAGATAATAAAAAAAGGGGAATGGGGAAATTGGGGAACAGATCGGAGGATCAATTTGAAACTCGTTCATACCTTTACTCGTCTTCTTTTACATTCCAAACACCCATGTCTTGATTTTCGATGTGGCCGTCGGAGTGCCATTGTCACGCCAACGAATTGATCATGATGATCAATCGTGGAGGTTGAGGATGTTGAGGGAAGATGTGTGTGGTGGGATTAACTATGGGGGAAGGAGGAGGGAGAGTATAAGATAAACTAGATGTAGTGAACATAGAATAGTTCCTCGGGTAAAAAAATGAAATAAAATAAAAATGACTAACTCGATTTGACTAAAACTCCAGACAACTGCAAAGACTCAAACTACTAACAGACAATAATAGGCAACAGGATTCAAGACTCCTGGCTGACTAAGGGCGAACCCTGTCGATCAAACACGCTTTAAAGTTGCTCTGAAACATTGTCTCTGCACTGCCTCATTATGCTAGAGACTATAATAGCCAAGATTTAATAAAGTAGTAACTCTATTTTTCAGTGTGGTATACATTTAACGATGTTCTCCAGGACGATTCATCCGGACTATACAATATACGGTACACGTAATTGGCATGATTCAAATAAAAATAGACTACAAAATGCTTCCGCCTAGACAATGTAAAAAAGTAAAAATTAAAACAAAGTCTAATATAATATAAAATGTATTGTAGGATCCTTCGTCACTTCGTATAATCATGGGCAGTCTTGGCTCTTTTTAGTGTCCCCCGTCGGTCCTTTTTCGACTTTCCTGCTTTCCGGCTCTTTTCCTGCTCTTTTTCTTCTTCCTTTGTGGGGTTCGCACACTACTACATACTGCAGGTGTCTTAGTTATGCTTTTCTCCGCTCACCCGTCCCCGCTTCCAGCCATTAAGCATGATTATGATTTCTCCCCGAATTAAACGCCGACCTGCGGTGACTTCGGGTTATGATATCGATGCCTTATTGCCCAGGTACCGCGGCGGGTCGACTTCGGCGAATTTTTTCACGCAAGGCTAGTCCCGTTATAAGTACCAATAGATCGAATTGGTCTCCGTATGATTTGTAAATGTTCAATTGGCCCGCTTTCTTGGAAAACGTGGTTCCGGATGATAACTCCGCGATCGGCTGGTTACTCGATTCATGCACCAGTTCCAGTTCCAACTTGAACTTCTCCATCGATGTCCCGGACAAAGATCCAAATGAGGATGATGATGATGATGATGATGATGATGAGGATGAACTTGGTCCTGAACCCGAGCGTACCGATGACGTTGATGTGGACCGACTGCAAGACAAATCTCCACTGCTGCTGCTGCTGCTGTTGAGCCGATTACTGACTCGCCAAGTGAATGTGCGTGCTCGACCACCGCCTAACTTGACTCGGAATGAATATCGAGATGAAAGTGGGCTTTCGCGCGTGAAATGTTCCCAGCTTATTTGGTGTGAATGTGAATGTGAATGTGAATGGCTGGGATCGCCGAGTCCGATGATCGCATCTGAGGAGAAGTGTCGGTATTTACATACTCCCGCGATGGGGCCCTTGGCGTCCGATCCGACATGAAACGTTAGGTCTGGTTTGCCGGGTGTCAAATGTGAGTTGTTCACGTGGTAGTTCGGTTTCCCATTCGCTGAGATGATCTCGTAATCATGTCGGAAGAGGCTGTGGGTGATGGAGTAATGGCACGCGAGCCTTGATGTTGATGTTGATCGCATGATGGTTGTGGTGAAGGATGCGGACTTATGATATGGTAGTCTGCGGACCGTGGGTATGCGTATATTAAATTGTTTCAATTTGAATGTTTAAATGTTTGAATTCAAGTTCTCGATGGTATGTCTGACTCGAGAACGATCTTGGTGTATTGGGCTGAGCAACTTGAAACTTGATTGAACTTGACTTCAACCTCGGAATGACGAAGAGCAACATCCTATATATAACAAACAGATAATCCTAATCTCACGGAAATTACATTCCATCCCCCTGATGTTCCTAATTTCGTTCTCGCGAGGCTGAACCACAGGGCTGGGTGTGTGGAAACTGCCAGCCAAGCACATTCAGCCCCCTAAGACCCCACAGATAGCAGGATCCGGCTGTATCGCGCGCTGTCAAACATGCAAATGAGCCGATCAGACCAATCAGACTGGTTGTTTTGGACTGGCCCCCAAGAAAAACGTGTTTGGCCCTGGGTCGAATGAATGGCTAAGCCTTGGTAAATCTATATTTACCATCTATACTATTTCCGAGTGCAGAATGTAATTTGTGTAGATTTGGACTGGTTGAACATGATGACTGTTTCTTATTTTTGGGTTTGTGAGTAACTGTCATTTGACTTATTGTGAATTTTAGAGATGAGATGAATTAGAAGACTGAGCGGGCGCCCGATGAGTCGCGTGGACAAAGGCGTTCCATGCAGAGTGATGATGTTTCATTCCCTATGGTATTAAAAATCGGGTCCTCTACTTGAATGATTCCAATGTATACAGGATGTTGCTAGGTACTAATTTTGTAGGCATACCTCGCTCTACTAACCTATATTGGAATTATGTACGGGTTTCCACGGAATGTTCCGCAACTATCTTTTAAGCCAAACACTAAACCGGGATGTACCAAGTTAACCTAGCTTATTCAAAGCTTTGTGATTTCAAGCTTCCAAGGTTATGTTAAATAGTTGAAAGGATTGGGTGCACAAAGATATTATGAGTTAAGTTTAAAGTTGAATGACGATGTTCAGATCTCTTCACGGCAGAACCTACGCCCCATATAGTAGTATATATATAGAAATATTCAGAAATTTAGGCTGATCTCAGATTTGTAGATCTTGCACAGCCGATGTTCCAATGTTCCTGAATATTAAATTGGGGTAAAATGAATATTCAAGTGTGCTAGAGAACTTGAAGGCGAAAGCAAATAAAATAATTCGAGCGGTGGGTAGTTAGGCGGTGTTACAGTTAAATATTGTCCATATAGACCATTTCATCCTTTTAAATAATTCTTCTAGACAGACCAAACAATACCAAATGAAGTAAACAGAGGTCAAACTCATTTCATCTCATACAAATCGAAAATTGACCTCGATATGTTGTCGTAAATCAAGTCTACTATACTTCCAGACTGTATAGTAGAATAAGCTCGAGTCACATGACCCAAATTTCACCGCGCTCTCAGGCGCGTCAACGATCATAGCAGGAAAGGACAAACCATCCCATCAACCATGGGCTCGTCTTGACACATTTCGCATCATTTCCCTAATAACCGTGACTTGTCCAAATTCTTAGCCCGATCCTCATTGGGCGATCGGCAATCGCCCTTCCATCTTGATCTGTGCTGCAAGTGTTGCGGCCCAAAACTTGCGTTCCTCGAATCTCGAGATCTGTTGATCCATCCAGTCTACCTTCCATCAACCATCCACAATGTCGTTCAAGGTCCCCTACGGTGACTCGAGTCCTCCAGCGACCCCTGATAAATTGAAAGGCCAAAGTTTCTGGAGTAACATTTCTACAACACCCGCCGGTCCTCCACCGTCAACCGCCAATTCGTTTACACCGCAAGGCCACCCTCCCTCCACGGTGAACCGTAACTCTCAGTTCGGCCTATCTCAAAATGGCCACGGAGACTCTCTCTTCACTAAGTCTGGCGGATTCAACACCAGTGATAGCATCTTCGGCTCCTCCTTCGGCTCGACCGACTTTGCGATGCCCAAGAAAACCCTGCAAACCCAAAAATCCTTCACATCACAAGCCAATCTTGGTGGCGCAAGCTATGGGAACAATTTCGGACAGTCGAGACAGTCTGCTGTGAGCTTTGCGGACTCGAATGGCTTCGGGGCCTCAAAATTGAGTGATTACCAAGAGGAATATGAGGATGAAGAGGAAATAGAGCAACAGGAGGAAGAAGAGATGGAGGAAGAATTGGAAGGAGAAGATGAGGATGCAGAGGGAGATATGGACATGAGCGTTCAGGATCCGACAGGTCGTCCGGACTTTATTGATTCAGCCTTTACAAACCCGATGCCAGCGCAGCAGCCACTTCTCTTCGGCCAGCCGCGCAAATCGATATATTCAAACCCTACCGATGCCAAGCGACCGAGGCTAGACGAGCAATGGGCAAGCCAGTCCCCAATTCGCAAAACAAAATTATCTCCGAAGAAAGCTTCGGCGATGCCTTCTATCCTGCATAACCTGGCCTCGAGAACGCGCGTGCTGCCACCCGTCAACGAACCCGCTGATATGGTCATCAACACGGAGGATACGCTTGGTCGTATGTGGGACGAACTGAGAGAAACGAATTATAGACATCTGGATCTTGATGCGCTTCTAGCTTACATTGCGAACAAGCTGGCGGCAACATGGGATATCTGTGCCGATCGCAGTGGGATCATTCGACCCTACGGTGTCGGATCTAAGATTGGCCCGGGAGAACAAGCTCCTCATCTTGTGAAAGCTAGTTTCCTTGCTTCGTTGCTTCTTCAAATCCACCATCCTTCTCGCGCTTCTGCCCCCATCGCAACTAAATCAAACCCGCTTGCTCGCCCCAGCATGGTCAAGGCCGTGCAGCGAGCTAGTGTTGCTACTCCATTGCCTCAAATTCTGCTGGATTGGCTGAACGGAAACCACGCATCCCAAACAAATGATCTCCAGGCATTGCAATATGTTGAGCCAAACCCGACCTCCTCTTCTAATTTCTGGGACATCATCAATGCGACTGTTCTACGCGGCCGCTTTGCCGAAGCTGCGGAAATTCTACGATCGGCTGATTTCAACTATGCTCGATCTGCACTCGAGGATGGTTTGCCCCAACCGGGTTACCGCGGTATCCAGCTGCAGAACATCCAGCGCTGCGTGAATAAGGCATGGCAGATTTTGGACTCTTGCCCTGGATTCCAAGATGATGATTGGGATATCACAGGCTCGGATTGGACTGAGTACCGACAGCGGGTCTTGTCGGCAGTTAATGATCTCGAAGCCTTCGCCGAGGGTGATGAGAAAGATCAAGCTGATATTCCAGTACAAGAAAACAAATTTCAGGCTGTCAACTTCGGCTTTCCCCACATGGGCAATCAAAATCCCACCAGTTTCGCCCAATCTGCGCGCATGGCTGAAAGTCGTGTACCATGGTCTATTTATCAGAACCTCCGTTCTTTATATCGAATCATTCTTGGCGACACTGCCACGATCAAGGCATACTCACAAGATTGGGTGGAGGCTACAATTGGTTTAACTGTGTGGTGGGATGGAGAGGATGATGATGGCGTACCTGGTCTAGACCTTCGCGCGAGCACATCCAGTAACGACTTCCAGCGGTCTCGCGGATCCAGAAACCAGGCCCGAGCCGTGGATCGTAACATGCGAGATGCGTATCTCCGACGTCTGGACCTGGCTTTTAGCAGCGCCACTAGCGAGCCCTCCGATGATACAGGATTCCGAGTAAACACCTTGAACAGCCTGGAGGTCGGACTCGCATCTGTCTTCGAGGGCAATGTGCAAGGTGTCCTGGAACTCCTACAGTCATGGTCGCTTTGTGTGGCTGCTGCCGTCAGCGAAGTTGCAAGCCTTGGTGGCTGGTTTGAGGCTGGTGGTAATAAGAAGATGCCGGGTCTGAGCGAGCATGACCTGATGGTACTTTCGTACGGACAAGACAACAGGCCACCTGCCGAAAGTCTCAACAAGGATGAGATTCTGCGTAGCTATGCGTTTGGGCTCAATGACCGTGGTTCTATTGAAAATGAGACCGGGACCCGTGAAGGCTGGGAAATGGCGTTGGAAGTTCTCAGCCGTCTCGATGATCAGGAGTTAATGAAGAAGGCCGTGGCGGATATTGTGGATCACCTGCCACTGGATGACATTTCCCAACAAGACAAACTTGTGGTATTATGTTCAGATTTGGGCTTAGAAGAGGAAGGTCGACGGATTTCCGAGGTTCGTTTTATTGCGACACCCCTACATTTTCATCATTTGGCTCAGCCTTGTTTATTTCTGTGCATTGGCTAACATCGATGAAATAGCGATTCGGTGATCTTACTAGTTCCAACTCTGAGGACTTCGGTCTTGCTCTCGTTTGCTATGCCCGCGCTCACAACCGACGAAAGGTCAAGTCAATTGTTGATTTATTGATTTCCTATTCACTGGTGCAATCACGGGCCTTCCCCGCAACAGCTGCTTTGGACGGTCAACTGCGATCATTGATCAAGGACCCAAAGGCTTGCCTTTCATCCATCGCTTCTGTCGATGAGGAGGCTGCTCGTATCCTGCAATATTACCTCAGTGGATACGCTACCCTCCGTAAGTTTTACGAAATTCGAGACGAGGCCGTGGAGGCAAAGGATGGCCAGCAACCCCGATACAAGCCTCTGGCCCGACGACGCATAGCCGCCAAGGCCCTCACAGCTGTAATCAGCAGTGCGGCGGACAACATTTACGGTGGACTGTACGACCCTAGTCGTGATTCGGCGGTGCAGGTGGATGGATTGCTTGCTCTTCTTGGGGAGGCCTTGGTGTTTGTGAACCGTAAGTCTTAGTCTATTCTTTCTTTGTTGTCATTTTCTTTTTCAGCAACAAAAGCAGTCATACTGACAGGCGACCCAGAACCCAACCCAATTTTATCGGTTGCTCAACAATTCACTATCCTGTCAGCGATTGAAGATATTGAGACAGTGACCCCCCGAGTGTTTGCACAGTGTGAAGAATGCTTCCGGTCCACCCTCCTTGAGATCCAAAACCCTGGTCAAAAGTCCCAAGAAGGACATCAGCCCCCGTCTCCGCGGGCCCTTCTGAAGAAGTCCGTGTCATCGCTGTCGGCCTCTACCTTTTCCTTAATCGGTAATGATATGCTGGAGTCAGCTCGCAATGGATTTGGCCCGACCTCCGTGAGTAGCTCAGGTGTCTTGGTGCCTCATCTGAGTGACAAGGATGCGGGCCGAGCCCGGGGATGGGACTGGCGAGTGGGACTCCCTGGTACTCTGAAGGGACAGGATGTTCTCCATATGCTGAGACTGGGGTTAGCGCAAGGCTTGAGTCATGGTGCTTTGGGGTCCGTTTAAGACATGAGCTGAATATGGAGCCATATCATGTATGATTATACTGTAGAAGGTGTCAGGGTATTCCGAAATTCTATGTTATTCCATATGATGTGTATTGAATTTGTTTATTTTTACTGCGGTTCTTCTGTCATGGTTCCAAGCTGTTAGTGAGTGGATATACCCCCTGCATGAAAGCCAAGGTTTAATTGTAGAGCTAGACCGGGTAGACCAGGTAAACTAGGCTAGAGCCGGATAGAGCAAGCTGGAGATCCTCAAGAATCAGGTTTCATTTGTTTCATGACTATCTATGACTACCTCTCTCTCTGCCAGAGCCAGCTGAGAACCGACTCGCCGGTGTCCGACCATCCCCAATCAAGAAAACGCAGTGGATCTATTCCCCTCTTTTTTCTCAGCCCTACGTGTTCTGCAATCTCCGGGTTCCGAGGTTCGTCAAGCACGGAAACCGAAAAAAGAAACACATCCACATACTGGAGTGGGATAAAAACTGGGTCTTGAACTGTTTACCCAGTGAACGTCAGCAGCTGAACGTGGATGCCTGGGCGTCCTGCTCTTCTCTTTGGCGGGGACGGGCAGCACGGGACACCGCGCATTTACAGTGGATGCGATGCATTAACTATGGTCAAAGGAGGAACAGAGACGGTGAACTAAGAACTGTAGTTATGATCCCATGAAGGTTGCTGAATTTGGTAACCAAGAAGCTAAGTTCTATGCAAAGCATCATTTTTCTCATCTTGCCTGAAAAGGGTAAGCAAAGTATGCCTCGCCTTGCCTTAGCCACAAATGAGGCGGAGTCAACGATGAATCATCACGATCAACCCAACAACATCCACTAAGAACCAGGGAAAAAAAGTGGATACCGCATTGATATTCGCTCTCTCCATCCCGATTCCCACTTGGTTCCTGTTAGTTCGTCTTAGTAGCTTCCAGCTTCCGACTCTCCGACTCTTTTCTTTCCTTTTTTTCCTTTATTCCGCCATACTCAGCCTCCCCCTCCATGTGGCTCACTGGTGTACACCGACTTCCTCTAACAAATTGTCCACCCCGGACGTCTGTTATATGCTGTGTTCACCGTCTTTATGGCTTAGTATTCTTTTTTAGCCACAGTTTCGCGCATTGATCTGCGTTGTGAACTCTTTTCTGACGTGAAGCGTGGAGATCGTCGAAAGCATGTCCCGAATATCCTCATTCTAGCCCCGATTTGGATTAATGATCACCATTAACTATAGTGAGAGTAATAGTAATAGTAATAATAGCTACGGAGTCAACGGATTCGGGATACAGTAGGCTCTAGTCCCACCGTGGATAATCGTAATCCATGACAAGAACTGCGAGGTCACGGTTCAGGTCCTTGGTCTTGGTTCCGTTCTTCTCTTCCTGTTCCCCCGGTCAGCTTTGTCGTATTTGTCCCCATTCACTCCGTCACCGAGTGGTTCATTGGCCCATTGGTCCATTAGCGCGCCCGAGCCCCATCGGTCTTTTCCGGTCCTTGCCTGGGGCTCCTGCCGTAGGGCTGGCCGTTGCGGGATGCCTTGCACTAGGTACTGCGATCAGCGTGGATGAAAGTGGAACTCGGAACCTTGCTCTTTTGCCCTTCTCATGCACAATGCACAGACAGCTCTCTTTCAAGTTACTCCCCTCTTACCTACTCCACTCATGTCAATCTTGTCTCTCCAGCGCTGTATATAACGCCCGACTGGTCCTTTCCTTGGCGATGAGTTTCTTGACAGCGCACCTCTTCTCTTCTCTTCTCTGCAATTAGCTTTATAGCTTCCTTTCTTTCTCTTTCAGTCTTTTCTGCTTTCTGCATTGCATTGCATTGACAAGTTCAATTTCACCTTCTCAATTTCCCCTCTCTACCTACCTAATCCTCCGCGGTTTCAAGCTACCTAATACCGGGCTGGTCCACCTTTCAACTTCAATTTCTCATCAACTAAGATTCTTTGTTGCGCTCGCGCTCTTTATCTCGGACGAGGATTTAAATCGTCAGAACTTCGATCTTCTCGATTCCTACCTTACCTTACTACGCTTTCGATTTCGCTTCGCCTACGCCGTTGACGTCGACTTGCGGACGATCTCGATCGCAAATAAAACAAATTCCGGTCCTTATAAACGATTCGATTCAATTCAATTCAATTCTCGGTTTTACCCCGACTCGACTTTACGGATTCACAAATTCACACGAACACGAACAAAACGATCAGATCAGAGGATATTGCATTTCATCTCATTTCAATCCGATTTCATTATTTATAGAGATTACTATAAACAAACGCAAACGCAAACGCAACAATGTGCTACAAAGTCGTCGAACGTTTCTCCGTCTGCAAATGCGTCTACTTTCAACACTCTATTGACCCCTGCTCTGCTTATGGTCAACGAGGTCATTCCGTTCAGGAAAAGACTGTGCTAGTAGGCTATGCCTGCACGAGTCACTCTTCTCGTGGTTCTTCTTCCTCGCCGACTGCGACCCGCTGGCCGGATTCGGGATACTCTAGTTCTAAGGGATCTTATCGGTAGACGTTGATCGTCTTGGCTCTGATTTGCCTGGTTGCAGGTTTGAGCTGGAACTGGTTTGATTTCATTATGGGATTCTTGGTCTTTTGATTGATTCATTTGATTGAGTGAGTGTCTGGTTTGAGGAGGACAGAAGAACGAATGGAATGGCGGCATTACGAATGAATGATGATGTATAGGATGACTTGATTGAACTGGTTTTGATCATGTTAAACTCACATGCAAACGCAACGCAAGGATGCCGACATGATGGAATGATGAGGTACTCAGTACTCGTACTTGATGGGATGATAGAAAGATTCGTAGCTTGCTTGGCAAGTATGTCTCTGTTGGTTAGGCTTAAGTGACTCATAGATCAGTGGAGTGGGTCAATTCGCTGGCTCGAGAGACCTACTCCTTGCTTTACATCTATTCATAGTTGCTCCACGCTCGGGCCCGAATCCTCGCTAGTCGAGACGGCCTGATGTTGATGGTCACGCTGGTTCGTGATTTTTCGTTTGTGGGCGCGATGGATTGGTGTGGGCTTTGATTCTAGGGAAGGTCGATGACAATGACAACGGCAGACAGATGGATTATGAGTGATGTAGGATTATGCATGCGGTGAATGAATAGCATGACAATGTATAGTACATGAATATGGATTTGATATGGATTGAAGTGATAAGCGTGGACGTGGACTCTGGTAGTCGTGTCCTTCGGCCTTCTGATTTGGTTTGTTCTTGTCTTTCTTTTTGTCCTTTCTATTGCTGTGACTGTGTCGACGGTGATATTCTGCGTATCTGCATTGGTGAGCGATTGGGGTATACCATTATTAAAAATACACTCTTTTTTTTGGGAAGTTGTTTCTTCAGTAGTATGAATAAGATGCCTGCAAGCGTAAAGAATTTATTAAGTCTTGTTATTTCAGAAAATTAGAGAATAAAGGAAAATAAACGACTGAGTTGTACCTTGAAGATTCTGGTGATAAACTTAGCTCTGGATGGCCACATGTAGATCAACTCCACGTGTATGTAGTTAGCCGCGGAGCAACAAGCAATCCATTGAACTTGCACTATCCTGTAACTATGTATATTACTCTATAAGTAAAGAATAGATTGAAATTCTGAATTATGAACTCAACACATGAACCGTCATGGATCATTTTTGAGATACATTACCCCTTCTGGTGAAGTGACCGATCCCAAACCCAAAAATCAGTCCTCTACGAAGATCCCGTATTGTAAACCGTTGAACCAATGTTCAAGTCTGTTTAAACCACATGCAAAAGCATGCACTTCTTTTTAGATCCTAACAAGACCCTTCATCTTGTTTTCTGGATCAGGTACCCGAAATTTTAATCCTGCATACCCTGAAACGCCGAACTAGTAGAAAGAGTCTCAAAACCATTGATTTTTCAACGTGTAGGTTTAGGCAAAAGCTTAGAAAAAACTTGTGCTATCTTATGGGGATGCATGGTAGATCAAAACTGATTTCTGGGATATTTGGTGGAATCTGATAAATTGTTCATTGGCTGTTCTAAATATCGCTGGATACTTAAAAGGCTGGGTATCGCTCTACCATTGACTAGGAGAAAGTACCAGAGAAGCAACTTCGTTATACTTCAATAATTCATTTTATCAATTTTTTGTTTTCGCGAATATGAAGCTACTACTCAGTCTTGCTTTGGCTGCTGTCGCCGCGGCTAGTCCGGTGAATATTACTACCCGCCAATGTCTGTCCGAACCATCCTATGAATAGATCGAGACTTGTTACTAATACATACGTCTATTAGTTGACTTGGGAAATGACCTCCGCACTGGACCTTGCAAGCCTGTGACTCTCATCTTCGCTCGTGCTACTACCGAGCCTGGTCTACTTGTATGTCTTGCCTGATCCACTCACTATTACCAGTACTAATTCTAGCAGGGTATCTCCACCGGTCCAGCCGTATGCAGTGATCTTCAACTAGCGAGACTAGGCCAAGTAGCCTGCCAAGGTGTCGGACCTGCATACCAAGCCGATCTACTGTCGAATGTTCTTCCTGGAAACACGTCCCCGGTTGCGATTAACGAAGCAGTCGGCTTGTTCGAGCAGGCTGCGAAGCAATGTCCCGATACACAAATTGTAGCCGGAGGATATAGGTATGCATTTGAACTATTTTCATTGATAAATTTGAATTCACTTTCTTTTTTGGTGAGATGGAAACTGAAATCATTGTAGTCAGGGAACGGCCGTCATTGCAGACTCCATTACACAGCTACCTGCAGATGTCAAGAATAGGATCAAAGGTGTAGTGCTCTTTGGGTATACCAGGAATGCACAGGAGTTTGGGGGTATTCTTGGATTTCCACAGGATAAAGTGAAGGTTTATTGTGCGTTTGGTGATTTGGTTTGTGATAACACGCTGATCATCACGCTAGCTCATTTTTCGTACATCCTTAATACCGGTGATGCGAGCCAGTTTTTGCTATCTAAGCTGAGTGTTTAGACTTCCTGGCATGGTATACCGTCGTTGAGGTATATTATAGTTGAAATAGATTGTCATGATGAATGTTTATCCTTCATGTAAAATATCCCCCACGTGTCCGAGATCATCTACCGGGATCTCCATCTTCCCCCCTCACCCGACCATGTGCCCCGCTCGGGAATTCCGGATTTTTGCACTGACGCGGCTACGTACCCCGGGATTCGCTCCATTGAAATAGTTATATCCGCGCATCTGCCGGGCATAAGTGGCCCATTTATTCCCTTGATTCTTCTTCAATCCACAAATCGCTCAATTTCATCATGTCGCTCGATAATCCACTCACACTGCTCTATAAGGAGATTGACGGGAGCAAGATCACAACCGATGTCTATCTCCCACCGAGCGATTCAAAGTCTCCACAAAAATACCCCGTAGGTAAGTTATATTAAATATTCACATCGAATACATTATGCACAATTGGTAGGGATAAAGGAATGAAACGAATGCTAACAGGATTTCCAGTGATCGATATCCATGGTGGCGCTTTCATGCTCGGCCATTCCCGAATGGTCTCTATGCCCCAGATCAAAGATTGCCTTGAACGTGGCTGGATCGTTATCGTTCCCAACCACCGACTTTGTCCGGGCGTGGATCTCCTTGAAGGTCCAATGCGAGACATCCGCGATCTTCTCGCCTGGGTATACGACGGTCACCTCGACATTTACTTAGCAGAAAGGGGATTCCACCGAGCTGACTTGGATAATGTTGCCGTCTTTGGAACATCATCAGGCGGAAATCTGGCTCTTAGTCTTGTAAGAAATCATCATATAAGTAGATATGAGAATGCTCACTAACGGGCTACAGGGTTTCGACGTGCCCAGACCCGCGAAGGCAATTTTCTCCCTTTATGGCGCCGTTAATTTCGCAGATCCTGCATGGAAAGCTCCCCTCCCTCATGTCGCTGCTATACTTCCTAATTTGGATGAGTCATTTCTCAAGAAGATCTACGAGGAGGTGCCAATACCGACAGATAGCTCTGTTTCTCTAGAAGGACAGACTGAAACGGGGGCTTCGAAAGGACCCGATTTCTCTCGGCCACGCGATGCGTTTGCTTTCACGCAAATTGCAACGGGAAATGTAATTTCGGCTATCTATCCCTCTGGAGAACCTCATGGCTCAGACCCGGGTTACGAAAAGGTTGATCCGGTGAAGAACATTTCATCGGATTTCCCGCCGACGTATATTGTTCATGGATTGGCTGATACGATGGTTCCTATTGAGATGAGTCGGGCACTCTTCCAGCAGTTGAAAGATAAGGGGGTCCCGTCTGGAATGACTGAGGTCCCTGGGGAGGAACATACTTTTGCAATGAAGATGGAAGTTGGGTCGAAGACTTGGTGGTTACAGCGGGAGGGATTTGATTTCTTAGAAAAGTATATTGGAAGAGGACCGGTGTGATCAAATTGAAAACATTGAACGTGCATGTATGTATTAGTGTAGGCTAAATATGATGAGATGGTGGACGCCGTTGAGATGTAAGAAAAGCGGAACGGTCTTGACAATCAGTCGGGTTATATGTACATGACGGAGCATAAACATGAAAAAAGTAGGAAGATAAGGGAGTGATTAAGGTTTAGAGAGCTGTTCTTTCCGGAAGAAGAGCAAGAATCCAGCACTAAAATAGAAGAATCATTAGTTGCGATGTACTCAATATATGAAAAGAGGATAGAACATACCAAATCAAAAGTTGACAGAACAAAGCCACCCAGAACCAAGCATTTGCAATAGAATCAACACCTTTAGTCACATCAGGAGAGATTGGACCAGGGCCAAGGTTGTTCGGCCCAAAGGCTCGCGCACAAATCGTCGCAATAGAACCAAGGACTTGGGATGCAATGAGGGCAAAGCACATATGCACACGGGTCAAGGTTTGAAGTAAAATAATACCAAATCCAAGACCTTGGATGGAATCGAGAACACCAAGCCAGAGCCAAACACTACGTGATGCCAATGCTCCACTGGTAGCTCCTCCCGCAACCCATGGTAGATAATACCCAATGCCTGAGACACCCCACCAGATTTGGATGAAGCGTGGTGCACCTAGGCCACAGGCGAACACAGGAAGGAACCAACTGTGTTTCTTGGAGAATCGACTGACGATATATAGGAAGATGCACCATACTATTCCGAAGAAGACAATGCACAGGATAACGATTTCCCAGGGGTGAGTGTGAATGGAGTTCCAAAGGACTAAGAAGAGAAATGCAAAATTAGTATCGTGTGGTGGATTATGGCCATAGAAGCTATAAGCTGTGGAATGATACTTACAGCTCCAGTTTCGTCCATATGGCGCGCTAAGGAAGAAGTTCTGTAGAATAACTGCGACGAAATTCCAGAGGACAATCTTCCTGCGGAAAAGGGACTTGTAGAAAGAGGGAACCTTGCCAGGCTTCTGACGATAATAATCTGGTAATCCGAGGATCAAAAGAAGACCGACGGCGAAAAGGAAAATGGCGATAGGATAGCAAATGGCACTGTTAAAATATAAGTTAGTCATTGAAAAGATAAGGCTTATGGGAATACGCACGTCATCTTCCATGTGCTGGAAATTGTGTTGTCAGAGGTTAAAAGACCTTCACTGGAAGCCTTGCTCAAAATCGAGCCCCAGTACCAAAGGCCAATCACGTATGCTTGTTGGATACCCTGGATGACACAAGCACGGAAGATCCACGTTTTAACAGGTGCACCACCTTCGTCACCAAAGTTCGAGGCAAAGAAGATAGACCCGCTAGATGAAGCAGCTGCGTAGCATCCGCTTCCGATATTCTGTACCCAGCCACGAGTGAATGAATCATCCACCCAGTGAGCGGATCCAATCAAGAGGAAAGCAATACCATAGAAGAACCATGGTGTTGACAAGCAGACAACTGACTTGAAGTACCGATATACCAGCCACCAGCAGATAGAGGTAATAGCGTAAGTAGTCGCAATTCCATAAAGCTTCTCAGCAGTCTCACCGACCTCGCCTGTAAGCAAAGTAATCTGGTAAGAGTTTGCAGCAATAATCTGACCCAAAGCAAGGAAGATTGAGTAGACCGGCCAGTCTCCGACCTTAATCTGCATCCACTTCCTAAGTCCGGTGGGAGGAACGTAGTCCTTTCCAAGCAGGAACTCGTCATCCTCTGAATGATTATCGTCACTATCGGCAATGTGCGATAGGGCTTCATCGTCGTTATAAGATCCAGTTGGGGAGTCGTGTCTTGAGTGCACAATGGATGGAGTAGGTGACTTGTGACGACCCAATCTGGCATTGCGGAAACGATTGAACCATTCCTGCTCACTCTTGATAAGGTACTCTTCGATACAAAGAGGTCCCTCAGAGTTGGAGCCATTCAAGTCAGCCAGCTTCTGCTCGAACATATGGTAGTACTCGCCGTTGCCATCCGTGAAGAATGGATCAACCTTCTGCAGTCGGAAGTCTTTCTTGTTGCCCACCACAGAGTCTAGAGAAAGTACAGATCCATTGCTAAATCTGTTGTTCATGATAGGTTGAGGTGGAAGAAGGAGTGAATCTGTAGGTGGGGGTATGCTTGGGCTAGTCATTGGGGATGCGTATCTGGGATGCATAGACTCCTGACTGGGGGCGCGTCTATGAGTAGAAATTGGCCGTTCGTGACGGTGAGCAGCCTGGGCTAGTCTCTGTTCCTCGGCTTGCGCGGAGGTGAGAGTGTACTCATCATCGCCATAAACGCTCTGTTCATCACTGCTCTCTTCTTCAATGTCGCTGCTATTGCCGGAACCTTGAGAATCATCTCCGCGCTGAGCACGGCGAGTACCACGTCCCGAATGACCAGGTCCGACTCGTACACCCAATGAAAGAGAACGGTTGAGGCCGGACTTTGGCTTCTCGGTCTCAGGAGTGGAGCTACCATCGCGACTGAAAAGGTTTCGCTTTGGTGAGCCCAAATCACTGAATTGGTTGAAGCTTGAGTAGCTGCTATCTCTGGAATGCGGGAATGCTGATCGGATTCCAGGTGAAGGCAGGGGACTAAGTGTCATGTTCCCAGGTGTCATAGCTCCGGGTGTCATGGTACCAACAGGGGTGCTTCTCCCGGAATTGGGTTGAGTTCGAGCGAGGCCATGACCTTTAGAAACCTCCTTATCGTGAACTTGAATTGAGGTTGACTGAAGAATTTCGAGATCTTCAACCCATTGGGCAACGGGGAATCTTTGCTTTGCAGATCTGGCACGCATCATTGCTCGAGTGGCAGTCTTAGAATTGAGAGCAGCGTCGATAGCCAATTTGAACTGAACGAGCAGATGCGATGTCGAAGTGGATTCCACATTATACCACCAGCCTGGCATCTGGCCCAAACCACCGACACGGGCTCCAATACCCAAGGCTCCCTTTCGACCAAACTCGACGGCGACAAGGCCAAAGGGCTCATCACGAGATGGAATAAGGGCAAACTCCGCACCAGAGAAGATAAATGGGGGAAGAGCAGTGAACTCAGGCTTCGAAAACACTCTGCCAGGATAAACTTCCATCATGCGACCGAGCTTAAGTGCGGCAAACTTTCCGTAGAGATCAATAACAGGTCCGATACAAATAACTTGTACGTTGGGGCGAGCTTCTAGAACGGCGGGCATGGCGTCGGCGATCAAGTCGACACCCTTCTGCATCGACCAGCGACCGACGAATACCAATAGATCTGCATCTGGGTTTTGTTCAAGACCTGCCCAATCTTGTGCTTGTCTTTTTAATTCACCGCGGCCGGCTTCATATTCAGCGTCGACTGTGATATCCTTCTCCTCGGTGGGCTGCTTGGTCCACTCACCCACATCGGAGGGATCTGGGTTAGGCAGATTACCCACTTTGCGCAGACCCCAGAAAATAGGATAACGAGCGTAGGATCGCTTGCCGTATTTCTTTGACACACCGACAGCACCGAATCCCTGCTGGTGAACACGTAGGTAACTTGCACCCGCGTGAAGGAGGTTGAAAACTTCACCGAATTGAATATAACGGCGAGCAGTCTCCTCATCAAGATTGAAGACTGAGCAAACCTCCTTCCTCTCCTTAACTGTGCGCATGGGCCAAAGACCTTGGAACTCAGCATTGTGAAGAGAGAGACAAGCAGGGATAGTTTCGGGCAAAAGGTACAGAGGAGCAAGAGAGCCGTGGTAATCGTTGATGTGGTAAAGATCAATTGGGAAACGCTTAATAGCCTCAGCAATACACTGGTTCCAGGCTGAATAGTAAACGGCACTGTCCAGGTCATCCATACGCGCGGGGTACGGTTCGGATTTAGACTGCTGGCGGAAGACTGGAGCGTCAAGCAACACATAGGTGATATTGTTCAAGACATGGTATTGCACCTGGACCCTGTATGCACTACCCAAGATAGTCACGGTCATGGGCTCAGCAACTTGATCCACGGGATAGTCAATGCCACCGACACAGGGAACGACCCAGATCAGATCTTGGTGTCCCAAGGTCTTACCCATAAGCTGGGCCATAACACCAAGACCTCCAATTTTGATCTTGATAGCCCAGTCTTCAATATCGTATTCCATGGTAGCAATGAGGACCATGCGGCGCTTTCCTGTGGCGCCAGCAGCTCCAAGCGCAGTAGTACTTTGCATGAAGGCAGAGCTCTTAGCCCGACTGAAGAATCCCTTGTTTGTACCGTTATTAAGAGAGGAAGATAGCTTGAACTTCTTCAATAAAATTATCGGAGCCAAGCTGCGCTTCTCACTGATTCCGACTTGGTTGAACTTAACCTTGTAGAATGACTTCATGAAAATGTAGACACAGGCTGAACCAGTCAAGACAGGCAAGATCCAGAAAAGAACGTACATGGCGATTTGGACCTTTTGGTTTCCAACGGGCACTAGCTGATAGCGCATGGTGGCATCATTGATAGTGACCTGCCAGGAGAGGTGTCCATCCGATGGCGCATCAGTGATATTGATCAGAGTAGCCGACAGAGAGGACGGTGGCATTCTGTCCAATACATAGTCGTAATCAACGTCACCCAGGACCCAGGATTGATCAGGCTGTCCGTCGGGGTTGATTCCCCAGATATTGAGCTGACCGACTGCAGGCCACTCGGATGTGAAATGGTATTTCCAATTTCCATCGTCTTCGTCCAGATGTGCGGCGTTGCTGAGGCCACCGTCATATCCGTACTCGTTGTAAGGTCCATTGAAGAAGACATGAGGGAAGCGCCGTTGACCGAAAGCCCAGTTTGCATCGCCTTCTTGGACGTAGTCACTGCTTCCAGTCCATCGACTCCAATATTCAACCCGGACATGGTCGCCTGTCCATTCCTGCTTTTTGGTACCAGACCAAGGGAGGCGCTGAATGGTATCGTTGCCGCCCTTGTAGGGCATCCAGTCTGAGAAGCTTGTTCCCCAGTTGGTTGAGTAGCGATATTTATCTGCGCCGGCAGAGTGGTGCTTAATGTAAAGACTGTCGTTGTTTGTGTGTTGATAAAGCAAACTGATGGAGTAGTTTGCGCTGTTGAAAACCATCGGGTTATCAAACTGTCCAAGTCGAAGTAGGAAATGGTCGTTTGAGCCTGTGTACGCAGTTCCATGGAAATTGGACACATTGTTGAGATTCAGTCGATGAACTCCGTTGTAAACATCGGTCAGATTGGCTTTCCACTTCCAAGCACTCGGGATTTCTCCTGTCCACGACATGTTTTTGGGTAACGTAAGGTTTGAACATTGGACAGAGTTGGTGTCAACTGTAGGCATCTTGCCAATTTCAGTGGAAGAGTTGAATGACAAACTGTTTGTTACAGAGCTGCAGCTCATTGCCTCAGAGAAATAAAACTCGATTGTCACGTTTTCTGGGCTGTCGGGAGCAACATTGGATAGCATGGGGAAATCATGACCAGGAGTGAATTTTGTGACCATGGGATCGGGGCTTTCAAAATTTTCCAATGGGACATACGCACGGAACTCGTATGCGTTCAATGTTATGTTGGGATAACAACCACTAACGCTCTTTGACCCATTCAAGCCAAGCGAGACAGGTCCATCTACCAATTTCATTTTATCGTGAGGATAGAAAAGATTTTGCACCCAGGTGCCAGTGTCGAATGGCGCAATTAGAGCTGTGCTATTCGAATCGCAGTCAAAGTCGTAGTCCATGGTTCTGTTGACATTTTGATATACCAACCACACTGGTTGGTAATCAGAATTAGAAGATTCCTTGGGCTGGGCTTCAGAGTTGATGTTGCGAAGAACCGACCACATTCCCGTTTCAGTGTCTACTGTTCCGGAACCAGGGTAGCGAACTTCCGTTGTATTCTTGGACAAAGTTGTGAGACTGTAGCCATTGTTCAACACAGGGTACTTTTCACGCATCTGGTACATGTGTTTCATAATATTTCGCACCGGATGACTGGGGTCACGGTGATCGTAGGCAGCAGTTTCATCCAGACATCCCTGACGACCTTTGCCCTCATCGATGGGCCATTGATAGTATTGAGATGAGTTCAACGCAAAGCAGCCATGGGCCATCCAGGAATTCGCAGGCGACATAGATTGTCGTCCGTAGATGTAGTTGGATGCGGTCGCATCTAAGATGTAAAACGCCTGCTCTTCACCCCATAGAGCCAGAGGAACGCCAGGAAGAAGCAAGGTAGTGATGAAAGAACCCAAAAGCTGACGCTCCAAGCCATACTGGATTGCAGGCCAGCGAAACACATCTTGGTTGGTCACACCAAACATGTGTCTTGGATCAAATTCTCCAGTGTTGGCATTAATCAGATCATTTGTGTTGACCATTTCACCCCATGATATAACAAAATCAACATCTACATCGTAACCAGCGGAAAGTTGTCCATCCATGCCGAGGAATCTAGTGAGAGCACGATATGTTGAGTAATGGAAGGCTGCGCCATCGATGGCTTCCTTGCCAAGGTCACGTAAAAAGTTCTGTGGCGCGGACTCATTTGTCAACAGCATCGCCGTGGTTGTGTCGTTCTGATATTGATCTGGCTGTTTGCCTCGTCCGAGATACACGGCACCGAACTGGTTACCTCCGGTGATTTCGCCGGCAATGAAGAAGTTATGTTTGCCAACGTTGCGTGCGCACTCACGGTAAGCCCCGGACATATCTCCAAGCGCGTCGACGGTAGACTGTGTGGCCTTGTCGTATCGGAATCCATCGATATCCAAGGAGGCTATGATCATACAGGAGTGGCGGATCAATCGCTCGCGGACTGGTGTATACCATTCTCGGAGACGATCTTGCACGGATGCGAATTTGGCTAATTCACGCTTCCAGTCGGGGAAAACACCGAAGGCCTCGATATCACCATACTGGTCGAAGTCACTGTCATAGCAGCCGACTAGACCTGCAATTTGTGATTCATTGACAGGATTTCCATCCTCAAACCAGAATCGGGGGTAATCGCAAGTGGCATTATATGTGTTTCCGATATCGAAATCGACGTATCGACGATCTGTCTTCCAGGTTGCTTGGTGCTCCTTCTCTGTGAAAGGCGAGGTCGTATTTAAATAGCCGTCGAAGCCGATGAGGTCACCGAGTCTAATGTAAAAGCATATGTTTAGCTTGTTATACTGTATCATCATGGCAATCGTGACTTACGTAGCAATAGTATTGTCAAAAATGACATACATCCCCCGGTTGTGGATTTCGGTGATAGCATTGCGCCATTCTTGAATGGTACCATAATGTTGATCGAGTAAGGTTGTATCAAGTGCAGAATATCCATCAAATCCCCAAGGCTGGTTCATTAAAGATGTTCCGGCAAGGTATAGCGTCTAGTATGTATAAGCGTTTGGGTTATTGATTCTCGATGGAATAAAACGAACCTTGATGCCCATTCCCTGGAGATAGTCCAATGTGTCGACTAAACCAGCAACGTCACCCCCGTGACGCATCTGGTTTGAGTTAAGGTCATGTTCAAATAATGTTCCGTTAATGTTGTCGTTTCCTGGCTCGCCATTGACGAATCGATCCAAGAAGATTGTGTAGGTTGGCATTCTCCAATTCTGTGGGGATGGGAAGTATTTCCCTTTATGGTTTGGCCATTCTCCCCAATATTGCGCGGGGTCTGTAGCAGTCTTGTTCTCATTCAAGTTATAATCAGTCAGAGAGGAATCGTAGGGCCAACATGTTGCGGATTTGGCCAAGAGGGCGACGAGTCCGATAGAGAACCAACGCCCCATTATTGTGGTGGTGGGTGTCAAAGCACCTCCAAACGTGGATAAAAGAATTTAAACAATAATAAACGAGCGATGCATAGATAATATCTGCAGCAATATTAATAGAAAGGATCAAAATAACAGTTCTATGGGGCTGAAGGCTTTCAGAAACGAGTGGATGGCATTCAGTTGCTATGAACGCGGGGAAAGCCAACAACCTTGAGGATTGAAGATAGAGAAGATAGAATGAAAAAGATGAATTGAAAGTTAAAAGAAAGTCAAAAGAAAGTCAAAAGAACAAACAGCAGGATCACATATCGCGAAAAGGGTACAGTGATAGAGGATTTAGTGGCTTGAGGTGCTAATGCCCTGCAAAGCTAGACGGGTCAATGTTTCTATTCTCGACAGACAAATGAGACAACGGCGAGCCTAACTTGGATATTAAAACTTGGCATTGCCACATAAATCGGCTAGTCTCCGTATCAGTGAGAATCTCGAAGTCTGTGGAGCATCCAGAGTCCGGTGTACTGCGGATGTCTATAGGCTCAGCCCTATACGAGGTACAGATGCATCTATTTCCACGGATCTCTCTGATCCGCCGCTGAGTTTGAATAACATCTTACAGCCAAGATATTACAGCTTATTTGGTAACTAGATTGGGACAGGATACGCGAACGACCGGCTGAGTTAGCTTTGGGTCATCTTTCTGGAAAGACCCAAGAGCGTTGTTCTGACTAAAAAAAGACCCATATGCCTAATAGATTCGTGACACTAGCAGTGTTCCCCCACCAGGAACGGTACCTGATTCACTTCATTACCCACTTTGCACGTTTTTGGTTTTAATTTTCCTTTCTCTTTTCTAAGTAGTGTATTTTTCATGGCGGATTGTTTCCTGGAAGGCCGTTCAATGACCCACATAATGATCCAAAAATGACTTTCTCCTCATGGATCGATCCGTTGATCAATGCTTTATGAAAACACAATACCAAGCAATTATCTAATTCTCCTCGCTATGAAAATTGGAATGTTCAACGCTGAAATTCAAGCCATAGATGAACTTTGAGTACCCAATGTGGTTGGAAGTGAACGCCGATTATGAGCTGTCTCACTCGGCCGTACAGTTAAGTAACAGATAATCAATACCCGGATGAGCCAAGGAAACTTGGAAGATAAGCCTTGTATTTAACCGATTCACTTGAGTAGATAAAATACAAAATAAATCTCTCTCTATAACAGAATATACTCCCGAACGTTCGGTCCCTGAAAATACGGGTTCGGGATGGAAAATGACAAGATAACTAGCCTTCGGCATCACTCGACGAGTGGGTCCTTCCGATTGGTCCGATTGTTCTGCGTGCTGTGAAACTCAGCCACTGACTGTGCAGGGTCCATATCAGACCCACTCGCGTGTATTTTTCACTTCCTAGTATTCAAAACATGAAATTTCTATTTCTTCTTGTCTTTGGTATCAACCGGAGCTTCGAAACCACGGTTCGGTCTTTTAATAGGCCAACGGGTGGAGATATAGATCTCGGATAAAATCCGCAGCTCAGACATAATCGTTAGTTTACCAATGGGGGCCACTAACTAAGCACATGCCAAGAAAATGGTACAGTACCCTCCACCTGGGCAGGGTTTCACGTATTTGTATACGGTATCTAAGATGTGTGTCTACTATGTTTCTTTTGAAAAGGCCTTATAATTGATTTAACCTGAGATTACTTTGCTTTTAGTAACTATTTAAGACATTTGGATCTAAAATTATGCCTAATAATCGGTAGATACTATTCTTACACGTCCCATTTTTGCCCGATGCATACCACCACACAACTTGTAAAATCAGGCAGTGTAACCATAATTCCCTCCAGATAGGATGCTTTAATTCATTGGATTCAATCATGATTGTTTTGCGCCACGATATGCAAATTATAGCATTGGATATCGGTAATCATCAGCCTTCGAACCTTGGAAGTTAGCCCTAATCAGCCGCGCGTCCCAACCTCCTTGGCATCCTGTCTCGGACCTTTGGCTTCTTCCTACTTTCTTCGCCATTTTCAAACTTCATGACATCCATCCGCACAGTCGGAAATTCGCGGAAAAATGTCTCAGCCACTTTGCTGCAATCTACTCCATAGAAAATGGAGATCGATGGAGCATGTTTAGGTCAACCAAGTATTTCCCTTCAAAAGCCAACTTCAAATGATTCAATATTTATCCACTACCATTCTGGCTCTATTCCATGTAAAGTTATTCAAGGTCAAGCTAGTTTTCTTCACTTCGCTTTGCCTCTTCATCCCCACTACCACATGAGAATTCCACTGCCTTTCCAATAATAGATCGATTCAGTTGAAGAGCCTGAGAGACATCCGATGCTCTAGCTTGATTATTGTCAAGAGGATATCCTTAAAGAGGAATGATTGTCAAGAGGATATCCTTAAAGAGGATATCCTTAGAGAATGGACGCTTCGGGTCTTAGCCAGTTACTAGCACTGATAGTTAACAGGGCTACACTAGTGGCTTTCATGGCGTAGTGTGATTCAATGATATTGCTTTGCTTGAAAATGAGTGCCGGCGATCGCCAACAAAAACTTGGTCACAAGGTAGACTAGGGTGGTGTAACCTCCGCTCGTTCCATTCAATGCTCCAAACCCCTCGCTTCGGACTCCGCTTCCAGTGGGCTTCTTTCCTCTTTGTTTTTTGCTTGTCTATGACAACTTTCTTTCCTTAGTGCTTAACATATTTACAATGCTTGTCTTCATGTCACTCATTTAATTTATCTTTCATTGGGCAAATTGGTCCTATCCACTCTTTTAGCAAGGCCTTGTTACTGCTGTACCCCTATATCGTTTCACATTTATTCTCCCGCGTCGCGGCGCACACAATATTCCTAATGCGATCATCATCAACATTCTGCCGCCTCCCGAGTGGCATCGTTGGCATATCATGTCTGTCCAGCCTAGCATTGGCCGCCAGCACGTCAGATTGGAAGTCTAGGACTGTCTACCAAACGATGACAGATCGATTTTCTCGCACAGATGGCTCGACAACCTTCCCTTGTAATACCACCGAGGGCTTGTACTGCGGAGGAACATGGCAGGGAACACTCAGCAAGTTGGATTATATTCAAGGGATGGGGTTCGACGCGATTATGATTTCACCTATCATTGAGAATGTTGAAGGTCATGTCAAGTATGGAGAGGCCTATCACGGATATTGGCCGCTGGACTTATACTCGCTCAACTCGCATTTCGGAACTGAACAGGATCTATTGGATTTGAGTAAAGAGGTGCATGATCGTGGCATGTACTTGATGATGGATACTGTCATCAATAACATGGCCTACATGACAAACGGCAGCTACCCTGGAACAAACATTGATTACTCGGTCTTTACACCCTTCAATAAATCGAAATACTTTCACCCTTACTGTCTGATCACGGACTGGAACAACTTTACAGACGCGCAAATTTGCCAAACAGGTGATAACTATACCGCTTTACCGGATCTTTTCACTGAGCACACTGATGTTCAATCGCTTTTGATCAACTGGACTACGACCACGATGACTAAATATTCAATTGACGGACTCCGAATCGATGCTGCGAAGAGTGTTACTCCGTCATTTTTACGAAAGTATAACGATGACCTTGGTGTGTTCATGACTGGGGAGGTTATGCAACAAGAAATATCGACCATCTGCGAGTATCAAAAAGAGTACATTGGAAGTCTTCCCAACTATCCAATCTACTACTCGATGCTACAAGCTTTCACCCTGGGGAACACGACTCATCTCGCAAACAGCGTGGATCTGATGAAAGATGCCTGCCCCGACATCACTGCTCTTGTGTCGTTTTCAGAGAATCATGACGTTGAACGTTTCCCCAGTTTTGTTGATGACATATCGGTATGTAAATCTCTTGCTTTCGCGATAGATTGGCCATTCCCCATCTAACATCACGCTTTTTCAGCTTGCGAAAAATGTTGTTACTTTCACTCTTCTCTACGACGGTGTCCCATTCATTTACCAAGGCCAAGAACAACACTTCAAGGGTGCCAACACACCAGCAAACCGACAAGCTCTGTGGTTATCCGGCTATAACACGGATGCGGAGCTTTACAGTCTCATCACGAAGCTTAATAAGATTCGCAAACATGCCACCCGATTAGACAGCAGCTATGTGGATCAACACACATCTAACATCTATCTGGGCGGTAGTGAGTTAGGATTCAGCAAGGGTATTGAGGGGAAACAAACCATCATGCTTCTCTCAACGCAGGGCACAAATGCGAAACCATACGATGTTATAATGCAAGGTACCTACAACGCTGGTATGGACGTAACGGAGGTCCTATATTGCAGCAACTACACTGTCGATGCTTTTGGTGCCCTGAGAGTCGGCATGGAATCGGGCTTGCCACGGGTCTTCTTCCCTACGCGACTTATGGAAGGCAGTGGCCTCTGCGGCTACTCCTCTGCCAACCTGACTTACGCAGAACTCAGGACTGGTCAGTCAGGGTCTCAGCAAAAGTCTCTTGGAGTTGGATTAAATCATATTCGGGGACAAACTGTTTCCTTTGCAGTACTATTGGCTCTGATAAGTCTCATTGCTGTTTGACTTTGAACTATCGCTAGTAGGCATCATGATGCTCCTAGCAATTCCCTTTCGTTGTTCTTTCTTGGTGTCAGTTGTATTTGATGAGGCGTCATTGGCATTTCTGGCTTTCATATATATCCCTACGCATAATCCGATGCCTCGTCTTTCTTGTTTCAGTGTTCAAAGTTTCAAGAAATGTTTATTTAAATGCTTATTCTTCATGTTCACCCAATGTATATATTTTCTGGGCTTACCGTAAGCGTTGAAGCCTATACTTTCAAATTCAAATGCCAAGTACAAATTTCCTTCGACTCAAATTCTTGCAAGTATTGACTAAATTAATCATAAATATCTGCAAATAGATGACCCAGTTTAAAAAATCCACTGCTTGAAGAGGTTTCCTGCCAACATACCTCGGTCTTCTGGAAATCTTGGAAGTGTCTGGTTCTGTGGTTCGGTATGTAATTTCGGTATGTAATTTACCAGGCACAAGCATAAAAATAGCGGGATCCGCCCGTTGAAATTTTCAAATTTTCTCGACTCCACCTGTCCGCGACCGAAAATTGATAGATCCTTGTTACTATGGATTTCAGTGAGACACTTTGGAAAGGAGTTCAAACTAGAATATCCTAGTAATTGGCTTGATTGCAAAATCCAGTGTCAAAAAAAGAATCACCTTCCGAGTCAAGATCTATGTATAGTTATTTCATGACTGTCTTTATTCTAACCTTTCAGATCAACGCTAGCTTGTTATTGTCAAGTGAAACTGTGTAATGATTTCTTTTTTATCATGTTTCGGCGGATTTTACCGCAAAGATAAATCCTCATCGCAAAATGAAAAATGTAAGTGCTCTCTCGGGAATGGCTTCAATGTTGCAAGTCTGATACAAGCCATGTATTGGTTCATGATAAACAGCCCAGAAAGTTGATCGGCCTCGTGCATGGGCTGCCCCTGAGAACGCAATTATATTACAAGCTTTTGAATGGCATGTACCTGCCGATCGATACCATTGGAATCGTTTAAGGACAGCCTTACCCGATTTCAAAGCTCTTGGTGTTGATCAAATATGGATTCCTCCCGGATGCAAGGGGATGGACGCAAATGGCAATGGGTATGATATTTATGACCTATTTGACCTTGGAGAGTTTGATCAAAAGGGCTGCATTTCAACAAAATGGGGAAGTAAAAAGGAGTTGCAGGAACTCATTAGTGACGCTCGTTCAATGGGTATGGGTATCATCTGGGATGCGGTTCTTAATCACAAAGCTGGGGCGGATTTTCCTGAGAGGTTCCAGGCTGTCAAAGTAAATTCCGAAGGTAAGTCCTATCCTGGTATTGATCAGATGTATATTAATTTGGAAAATATTATGTTGTGTTTTAGAGCGGAATGTTGAGATATCCAAACCATTGGAAGTTGATGGCTGGGTTGGATTCGATTTCCCCGGTCGCTGCGATCAATACAGTACTATGAAGTATCGCTGGCAACATTTTACTGGTGTTGATTGGGACGATAAGAGCAAGCAGAATGCGATCTACAAGATACATGCCCCTGAAAAGGGTTGGGCATCAGATGTCTCAACGGAGAATGGCAATTACGACTATCTAATGTTTGCTGATTTGGACCATTCTCACGTCGAAGTCCGCGAGGATTTATTTAACTGGGGGACTTGGGTTACTGACGAGCTGGCTCTCAGTGGAATGAGATTAGATGCTGCTAAGCATATTTCAACTGGTTTCCAAAAGGAATTTACTACTCATGTCCAGAAGAAGGCTAATCCGGAGTTCTTCGTGATTGGTGAGTATTGGACTGGGAATATCCAAGCACTCCTGGGCTACTTGGAAGATACGGAGCATACAATTGTTGCATACGATGTTCCTCTTTTGGAGAAATTCTCCCAGTTATCTCATACGCCAAGAGCCGATCTACGTGGGATATTCAATGATACTCTAGTGCAATGCAGACCAGATCACGCCGTGGTAAGAACACTTCCAAAGACAAAACATGGCGAATAAGAATGCTAACTGTTGTTGAAGACAATTGTGTCAAATCATGATACTGTGAGAAATACTCATACCCTATCTCACATCACTTTGATTATGTGGAATCAGCTAACTTAGTCGAATTGAAAGCAACCTGGACAAATGCTTGAAGTAAGTCACCTCATTGCGATCAATCTTACCACCATACTAATCAATACCTAGACCCCGGTAGCCCCAGAGTTCAAGGAAATCGCATACGCATTGATCCTTCTCCGTGAAAATGGGTTCCCCTGCTTATTCTATGGAGACCTTTATGGAATACGAGCCAACGTTCCAGACCCGATGACACCCGCATGCAATGGAAGACTCCCTATCCTTGCACAGGCACGGAAACTATATGCCCATGGCTCCCAGAAAGACTATTTCGACCAACCAAACTGCATCGGTTCGTATGCCTGTCCCCTGAACTTGAGGCTTATCTCAATTAACTGTACTCCTAGGGTTTGTGCGCAGCGGAAATGAGAGTCATCCTTCTGGCCTTGCTTGTGTGATCAGTAATGCAGGGATGAGCAAGAAACGAATGTCTATTGGTCGAGGAAATAGGGGCCAAAAATGGATTGATATACTGCAACATCATACTGGTTCAGTCGCTATCGATCGACGTGGCTATGGTCAGTTCCCGGTTCGTGCTATGAGTGTCAGTGTATGGGTTGACTCGAGCGCCGCTGATCTTCGGGAGTTGCAACATAATTTGTATGGACATTCCTTCTCCCCTCTCTTTTTATTTGCTTCTAATTTTGTGATGATTAACGGCTCAAACTTGCTAGTAACGTAAATATTTATGACAGTTGAACGCGATTCGCCTATTCTCAATCTGATGTGTCCCAAACAGTTCCTATACGAACTTACTTTTAACAAGATTTATCAAACTCGTGTTCAAACTGAAAATTAAATATTAATATTTAGTTCATCCCTACAGTTGCATAGATAAGTTACCCTATGCATTTTCACCTCCACTCTGAAAAGCACGTTTTTTCTCGGTGTGAAAACGTGGTGTGCACTCGGTGAAACATCATTTAGTGGCGGTCGGTCCATGAATCAGGGTGTGGGTCAACGCATAGATGTCTTGAAGTTACGTCCGTACAGAGGATTAATCCCCATGATAAGAGACTTTCACCACCCTTTCGATATTAATAAATTTAACGGAATACCTAAATTGAGACTAAGTAAGTTTCCACTGAGCCCGTTTAATTTCCACAAACTCGATCTATCCGACCCTACCGGAACCTACTTGTAGATTTTCATTGTTCCGAACAATCAGGTTTAAGACATGTATGATAGAATTCGAAAAGTAGGATATAATATTATTGTAAATCGAACAATGTGCAAATTGGAAAAAGAGGCTCGAATTTCTGCTACTTGGGGATTTTATCAGCCACAACGTCAAGGTTCCTACGCCCATGGACACAATGCAGCCATGATTGCCAGACTAGTAATTTTCAGTAAACAAGTAACAAGATAAGGATTTCACCGGGGCTGATCTTCGGATTTGCATACCGGAATTACCATTACGATACCCGGGCTGGGCACAGCCCTGGAGCCCTCTATCGGGACCCTGAACATCAGGGTCTAACTTCAAAAAGGACTAGCGTAACGCCTCTTGGGCGCCATTCTCATTGGAAGCAATCTACGAAGTCCTGACGTGGAAATCCAACTCGATTGTCCAATTTCGGCTTGGACCGAACCATGTGTGGGTGAGATTACTCCGACCGAACCAAAACGCTTCTTTGAAGCGAAATTGTTGAGGCTTCGCTACTTGACCTTAGGTATTGTGGATGCCTTCGGATTTTTCTTCCAAGTTTCGATCTAGTATTGGTTCACTTATCTTTTCTGGTTTGCCTTGGCACTGGGTGAAAATTTCTAGCGGCGTTGGCGTCGGGTTGTTCCCGTATTGCGGCTTCTATGGATCCTATCTCCAGTATGTACGGAGTATGTACTCAAGGCACCGAGAGACATCGCATAAACAACTTTTTCTAGGATTTCTCTTTTAGAAATGAAAACATGTCTTGATTCAGATATTCTTGGATGGCTATTTTCAGATTATGTACCCTCCCAGTTGGAGGAGAGAAAAGTTGGATTCTGAGACCTGTTCCGTATTTGATGGTTTTTGTTGATCATCATTCCACTACCACCTACTTAATACAATAACTCTCCCAGTCTTTTCTTATTCGAAATAAGCCATTCTATCGTTTACTTTAAAGTTCTCTTCTAACACTCTTTTACCATCTAATACCGTCAATATGCGTTTCTCATTCGCTTTGTCTATGGTGCCTTTGGCCATCTCCGTTGGAGGTAAGTGGAATCAATACTACTGGTTATATCCCAAACCACCTTATTGATAGTTTTACAGCCATCACTCTCACTGAGCCCAAGAAGGGTGACAACATCACTCCCTCAAGCTCTGTCGATGTCAAGTGGACTTCTGTTGAGTATGCACTTCAACTTCCCTATACATCGGATTGATTTAAAGGTCTAACCCAAACAAGCACCGATGCTTCAAGCTTCGACATCTACCTCGTCAACAACGCTGTCTATCCCCCCGTGAATAAGAAGCTGGCCTCGGATATCGAAACCTCCAAGGACTCCTACAGCGTCAATGTCGGCGACATCCCCAACGGGTAAGCATGCCTCTCATTTTCTCCTCGGAGTATCTCTAACAGCAACCCATCAGACACGGTTACCAAATTGACCTCATGTCCAACGATGTTCACAACAGCGGCATCCTCGCCCAGACCGGCCAGTTCAACGTCACTGGTTCTGCTGACAGCTCTTCCACTGCCTCCACTGCCTCTTCTACCTCCTCTACTTCTTCCACCATGACCGGTACCTCGACTACCGTTTCTACTACTGCCACTCCTTTCACTACTGAGGTTGTCTCTACCAGCACTGGTGCTAGCACCACCGTTGAGATCACTCACGCTGTGACTAGCACCCCTGCCTCTGGTATGACTACTGCTGCTTCCTCGGGTGCTGCCAGCGGCAGTGCCTCTGCTACTCCCTCTACCGGTGCTGGTGTTGCTGTTCTGGCTCACCCTGCTGCCGTTGGAGTCATTGGTGGTGCTTTGGCTCTCATGCTGTAGTTGTAGTCTTGTCTTATGTAAAATTGACAGGGTTACTTATGGCTTCGGGGCTATATACTTCAAACGTTCCCATTTGGCAGTCGTGCATATGGGTAGCTGTCTCTGGTTTCGAAGACATGTTGCCTCCGATTTATCATGTCATGGCCTGCTCTAAATTGTTTCATCTGTTCTGTTGGTGATCAATGGTTGATGTTTTGACATATTTTTTTGTTTTTCTCTCCTTTTCTCTGAATTGCTCATCTTCTTTGTCTTTGCACTATAGTTATGTCTATTTGTGCTAATTCTGACATACGCTTAATGCTTGCCCTAGAATAACGATTAGACTTGATTCCGTTCTATGAAAGACTTAATATATAAACGCGCAGAATATTAATTCACTTTATTCTGGTATATAGTTCCAGCTAATCGGAACCACGACGTGTCAGTAGGCCCATGGAAGCGTACAAAAGAGCTTCGAACCGTTAAGATAATTTCAATAATGGATTTGCTTTTCAGTACGCAGGATTCTTTTCAAATTTGAATTCGCTTGTTGGTAATTCGAGACTAGATTGATTTCTTTCTCGTCCATGGGCTCAAGTTCACAACAGTAGCATATTGTTCAAAACGTATGATTATCTATGGTAGCTCGCATCACATTATACTCATTCTGCTCCGGATAATAGCATGCCTATTAATTAGGTAGCCTTTGATAATATGGACATGTCCCATGAATAAGGAGGAATTTTAATATCCACAGGCTACCACTTTGGTCCGTCTACAGTACATAGTATACAGTTGATTTTTTACACAAAGAGCTACTACGTACTGAATAAAAATTGTAATCTACATTACAGTCTACGGGAAAGTTGCACCAAGAGATCCAATGGTCATATCTCATTATTCATCGCATCTCAAAATAAGACCTAACCAAAGCCTGGGACCAAGTAGGTGTCAGGACATCTACGGATGCTCATTGGTTTGCGAGATGCAAAGCTGGTCCGCAAGGCCGCACCCCTGGGTAAGAAATACTTGTCATGCAGGGTCTGCGGAACGGAATTGGCACTTATGGTCTGCACTTAAGGTGCAAAATAAGCTTTTCTTTATCCACCATGTCCGGATTCTCTTCTGAAAGCGTGATCCAGGAGCAGATATTGTCGAATTGGTGCATCATCTTCTTCGCGCACCACTTCCTTCTTCACTCCATCTTTTCAATTATCATCCCCGCCACATGCCGCGGGGGAAGGGGGGAACCGATTCACCCGCGGCGTTGGGCTTTTTTTGTAGGTTTTATAGAACTGTATTTTCTCTGGAAAGCAAGGCGATCAAAGCAGGAAACAATAAAGCAGGAATCCCTGATACCAAGATCCAGACGTATACGACTGTGGAATTGAAGACCATAGCTTAAGCTGTGCAAGATACACAGCCCAAACCAAACAGACTTGACGAGCTTAGCGGCGGACAACGATACCCTGGCGGCGGGCAGCGCTGCGGGCACGGCGGTAGACCTCATCCTCATCCTCGCTCTCGGAGCAGCTGTCATCGGAGGACTCTCCGTAGTAGCCACAGCGATCACCACCGCAGTCGAGCTTGACACGGTCACCCTTGCGGGTGATACCGTAGCGCTCACAGGAGCAGTTAGAGGAGTCGCTCATGGAGGACAGAGAAGAGGGAGAGCTAGAGCCGGAGGAGCGGGACGACAGGGAAGAGCCAGCAGAGCTTGGGGGGCTGGAGGAGTAAGACTCATCAGACAGGCGGGAGTCAGCAAAGCGGCGGGCGAGGTCGTCAACGGTTGGGGCGCCGAACTCGGCTTCACGCAGGGAGCGCGAGGCGTAGGGCTTGGATGGCTTGGGGTGCTGGATGCGCGAGGGCGAGAGAGAGCGGCCCTGGGCAACTTGGGTCGAGGTGCGGCGAGCGCTGGGAGCGCTGCGGCTGGAGGTGGGCTTTCCGGAGGGAACATCGAGGATGTTCAGCTTGCGGCCGGTGGTGGGCTCGACGGTGTACTCGACGGCTGGGTCGTGGGAGACGTGGTACCCATCCATGATGTAGTAGTACCAGTAGCGTTGACCAAGCTGCAGCATGGAGGTTTGGAAGCGGAACTTGCCGACCCAGGAACCGGGCTTGTCAGAGCCAGAGAGAGGCAGCTGACGGGCATAGTTGTCCCAGGAGCCGACCAAGTGGACGGTCTTGACGTTGGAGGAGGTACGGAGAGAGAACTTCAGTTGAACGTTGGCCATTATGAAGATTTCAAACAAAAGAATCAAATAAAAAGTGTTGATATATTGTCGTAGAAGTTGACGTAAAAAGAGTCAAAAATAAAACAATCAGAAACTACCGGAGTTTTGATTGTCGATTGAGTATAATGAATCTTTTTGAAAGTGTCTGCTTGAAGGGAACCTGTCCACGACGAGAGATATAAAAACGAATCGAGCGAGATTAATTAACGTGTTTGTTGTAAAGAGCTGGGGCAGCAAGGCACAATGTTGACCGGCAACAAAGATTGAGGCTGTGAAATTGATTGAAAGAATTCGAGATGAATCAAAGCAAGGCAGAATTTGAGAATAAGAACACTTAGGAGCACAGCTCTTTAGTGTCTAAGTAAAAAATTAATAGAATGAAGAATAAAGTTGAAGAAAAAAAGAAACCGGACAACCAGTGCCTGGATTCGACTCGAAATAACAGCTCAAACAACAAAAACTCGCTGAAGAAAGAAAGAAAAGAAGAAGAAGAGAAGTCCGCCTGGGCGGTTATAGGACTTTTAAGGGAATCGAATGGATCAGCGTTGCAGAACGAGGAGGGGAGGATTTGGTGTGGACGTGATGGGCGGGTAATAGAGGAATCTGGTTGGCCCGTTCTGCTGGTGCATGGTGATGGGCTGTCAACCACATCACCAACCACATCAGCCAATCAACCCCTGGTCTTTGACGCTCGCGGTGAGACCAAATGAGGGGTCCTGGTCGAATCAGCCTCGTTGATCTTGCTGTGCAGAGTTTTTCTTCGGGTGTGACATGCAGACGCTATTCACAATGTGGGCCAAAGTGCTTTGAGGTGATGCATGTCGACACGAGATGTGATGAGAAATGCGACCATCGCAAGTATCTCTTCCCACTGATAATAGTGCTTTCCAATGTGTGCATTCGATACTTTAAACTCGCTGGTCTGTTTTGAAAATAATCCGAATTGCTCAGGTGAAATCATTGAATGGAGTCATCCCAGCATAAAACCTGCGACCGAATATGGACATCGTAAATCGGCCTCGGGGTGTATCAGTGCATGTCCTGTACTCATGTACAAGAATAGAAACATCATAGTTTGCGCACAGTCCAATTAATTTAGTCAACCAGCGGGCTGAAGATATTGCACGCGGAAGAATTCGCCGAGAATCAGGATTTGGATGTGCTAGATCAATGGTGTGAGTACCCCGCAGGTGCGGGATGTACTCAAGGATGTTGAATGCGCCAATGCCGAGAGAATTCTTCCATTATCGAGACAGTGGCTTGCAGTGGTCTCCTGGTCCCAACAATGTAGGGGGGCTGCACGGTCACCTCTATCATCAATAAAGTGGTGGCTGGTGAAGGTGAAGAATCTTGGAAGCGGGATGATCCCTGTTAGACGGATGAGGGCATTATTTGCATAATAACCATCCACTGCAGCCCTGCAGATGTCAGTTGTTTCTCTTTTCATTTATATTGGCAAGAAATGGTATAAGAAGGAAAAAAATGGAAATAAAAAAAGGGAGACTAGGATCTAGTTTGACACATAGTATACCTAAAACACACCCAAGGATGTATTTCCAAGTACATCCTTACGCATAACAACACTTTTTTTTCATGCTGAGAACAATATTTAACGTCAATCTATGAGTCGAACATTGAACAGCACTAGATAATGTCTACTTAATAAAAGACCAAAAAGAAGATAGGAAACTTTTTGATTCCCAACTATGTATGACCGATGAACAGAAGATGCCATGGCCAGAAATCCCTCCAGACGCCGCACTTTAGTCCCGAAAGGACTCGCAAATTTTGGATGGATCATTAAAGTACAATGTTTAAAAGGAAATGAATGAAAAACTGTGCAAAAAAATTGTCTGCAAATGCCAAAAGATTATCGCACCGACACTCCAGACCGGTCGGTAAACATGCGAGCAGCAATGTTCATCGAGGCTAACTCTTGGAAAAGAAGTTTGGCGGCATAGGGGATGTGGACTTGCGAGATGCGGTGCTTGTTGTTGCACAGACGGCACTCGTAAAGACCCTTCTTGAGTTTACTATTTGGAACGGTTAATATATCATATTATCAAGGATAGTCGCTGGGGACACTTACGCAATTGGGGACATCAGTCCGCAGTCGTCACAGATGTGAACTCGGAATGGATCAGAAACATCGAAGAGACGCTCCTTCAAGAAGGCACTGGCACCGTGGGCGATCATACAATCACGTTCCATCTCTCCGAAACGGAGACCACCGTCACGTGCACGACCCTCAACAGGTTGACGGGTCAAGATCTGAGTGGGACCACGAGCACGAGCGTGAATCTTATCGTCGACCATGTGGCGCAGACGTTGGTAGTATGTTGGACCCAAGAACACCTGGGCAACAAGCTTACGACCGGTATGCCCGTTATACATCACTTCAAATCCACGAGATTGATAACCGTGTTCTCGGAGCAGACGAGACACCGAGTCGACTGTCACGTCAGTGAAGGGAGTGGCGTCACCTTCGAAACCACGCAGAGCCGAGACCTTACTCAGTTGACACTCAATCAAGTGAGCAATAGTCATACGAGAAGGAATGGCGTGTGGGTTAATGATCAGATCGGGCACAACACCTTCACGAGTGAAAGGCATATCTTCTTGTCGATAGGTGATACCAATAGTACCCTTTTGACCGTGACGAGAAGCGAACTTGTCACCAATCTGGGGGACTTTAGTAGTACGCATGCGGACCTTAGTAAAGGTGAGGCCATCATTACCGGATGTCACAATGACCTGGTCCACAATACCGTTCTCTGTACTACGCAATGGCGTCGATGTATCGATCTTGGTGTGTTGAGAGGTACGTTGACCAAGTTCCTGGGAATCTGGGGCCAGTGGTGCCGTTTTGCCAATGATGATATCTTCTCCAGAAACGCGAACACCAGGGGCAATGATACCATCATCATCAAGTTTATCATATGTACCCTTGCGCATACCAACAGTTACCTGCCTTGAAGGTTTCTCGAACGTCTCCACAGTGTTAAGACCGATCTTCTTCTCCGCATCTGTGTATGTACGGTAGAACAGACTGCGGAAAAGACCACGGTCAATACTGCTTTGGTTCATGACGACGGAATCTTCTTGGTTGTATCCAGAGTAACAAGCAATGGCAACAATAGCATTCTGACCAGCAGGCAACTCGCGGAAACGCAAGAACTCCATGGATCGGGTGGTGGCAAGGGGCTTCTGGGGGTAGTAGAGAATATTCGCCATGGTCTCCATGCGCTGAGAAAAGTTCGTCAGGAAAACACCCATGGCTTGTTTACCCATGGCGGATTGATAAGTGTTACGAGGTGACTGGTTGTGATCTGGGAACGGAATGATACTAGCGCAAACACCGAGGATCATACTTGGATGAATCTCGCAATGGGTCCAAGTGTGGGCACGCTGGCTAAGAATTGAGCGAACACGCTTGTTGGGATCGTCTGTGTCTTCTGGAAGAGAATAACCAGCCTGCAATTGTTTCGAAATCTCCAGGTCCTCGGGCGTCATCACAATCATAATGGTTTCCTCCTCCTCGGCGTCCACGATTTCGACAGCTCCGGATCTTACCAACCCTTCCCAACCGAAATAACGCTCCCGGCGTTCTTCCGGATCTAGGTCTGGTGGAATATCCTTGTCTTGCTCCAATTTGTGAATGTGCTCCTTATTAAGGACCAAAGATCCAGAATTTTCGCTCTTCGGGTCATTGTCAACAACGAAGAGCGGTCGGCAGACACGTCCAGCATCTGTGAAAATTTTGAACTCTCGATCGCGAATATCACGAATCAAGCTCACTTCGTTGGAGATCAAGTTTCGTCGACGAAGATTTTGCATAGTATTTACCAAGTGCGAAGGGTCGCGATGAATACCAACCCAGACACCATTGACAAACACCTTTGTGGCATTTGGAGTAACCTGAGGCTCAAATTCTTCCAGAACTTCCATGTTTCGCTGGATCATGAAATCAATGATCGGCTCACTGGGTGTTCCAACGGAGATGTAGCACATAAGTGCCAGGTTCTTGACAAGACCACAAGCTTGACCTTCAGGTGTTTCAGCTGGGCACACCAGGCCCCAATGGGTGTTGTGCAGCTGACGAGGTTTGGCAATCTTTCCATCTCGTCCAATTGGTGTGTTCGTTCGCCGCAGATGGGATAATGTCGAGGCATAAGTGTAGCGACTCAGCACCTGGGACACACCAGCCTTGGCGCTTGCCGCCTTCTTCTGTTCACCCCAGTTACCCGTCGCCAGGGCGTACTTCAATCCACCGCTGACAGTACTATTCTTCAGGCCTACGTTGAGCTGAACGTCTTTGCTGGTCTCAACACAACGCTGCACGTAGCGTTGTAGATCACGTGTAACACGTGTGAAAAGGACACGAAAAAGGTTGGCCAGAAGTGGACCAGCCAAGTCCAGACGCTTCTTACCGAAATGATCACGATCGTCGACGTCCCGGCGACCAAGGGCACACTGTAGTAAGCGGTGCACCATGTAACCCAGGAAGAATGCCTTTCGAGTTTCACTACCTTCGCTCTGTGAAATATGAGGCAGCAGCTCCTTTTGCATGATTTCTCTAGCATAGCGGACACGTCGCTCGTGGTTCAGGTTTGATTGCGACGAGCCACGCTTGGCGATGAAATCGAGAGCAACTTCGCGGTCTTGGATGACGAAACCCTCCTCAATACACGGCTTCAGCATCTCCAACATCGGGGTATCATTGCGATCATAACAGATGTGATTCAGGATATCTTCGTCAGAGACGACACCAAGGGCACGGAATACAACGACAATCGGAATGTCTGCCTTGACATATGGCAGAGTTGACCGAATGGTGGGACCAAAACCACCCTTGGCGCTGTCACCCTTGGCGAAGAGCTTCAACGCGAGCTGAGATAGCAGTCGAGATCCCTTTTCCACAGCACTGCGGATTTCGGCCACATAAGGTGTGGGACTCGGAGGTGCCTTCTTGAAAACCTGAACGATGTTTCCGGCGCTACGCTCCTGAGCAATCAGGACCTTTTCACTTCCGTTTATAATAAAATAACCACCCGAATCATAAGGGCACTCGTTCCAGGCGTAGAGAGACTGTTCATTCAGATCCTTCAGAATGCAGTACTTCGACTTGAGCATAATCGGCATTCTACCCAGAAATTCTGTCTCCGTCTTGACAGGTTTAGTTAATTCCCAATCAAGATATGTGCCCCTGGCTTTGCGCTCCTCTTCATCTCCTTCTCCATCCTCATCATCGCGGTCAGCAATCAGGCGCTCTCGTCCATGGGTGAGCTTCTCTGTGATTTCGAGGTACAGAGGACTGGCATAGGTGAGATTTCGCAGACGTGCTTCCTGGGGCAACATGATCGTTGTCGCGCCATCACCTTCCTGGACAGACGGTCGCGACAGCATGACAGTTCCAAATTTGTAATCGTAACGGCGGACAACGATCGGGTCCACTTCGTCTTCGTCGGGGAGAACGCTCTGGTCGACAACGACCTGTCCTTGTTCCTCCACAAGTTCCTGCATGGTCGATGAAATGAATTCATCGAAGGAATCAAGCTGTTGGGACACAAGGCCCTTCGTGTCGAAGAACGAAGAGATCACAGTCCAACAATCTTCCGAGGTGATTCCTTCATCCGCATCATCGTAAAACTCATCTTCATATGCTTCGTCGTATTCGGCCATGGTTTCGGTTTGCTGGGGATCTCTCCAGCACGCTGTCACTGGTGAGGTGAAAAGAGCGATGGCCGAAGGTCGTAGGGAGGCGCGTCGGAATTAGAGAAAGCGGTGATTAGTGAATAATCACCCAACGCGCTGCAACACCCTCTTGTCAGTGACTGAAGAAAAAGGTTCTGCAGTCGGTCCAGACAAGCGAGGAAGCAGAGAAGGGGGGATGCTCGGAGGGATGGACGGAAAATATCCCAGCGGTGACAAGATGAAGGAACTGGCGATCTCCAAGGATCTTGATGCTTCGGCGCCGTCGAATTACCACGCTAGTCCTGATGTGGACCTTGAAGTATCACGTGATATTATTGTATGCCGTCACGTGCTTTTTCATGAAGGATCATTTGCAGCTACCAAGCTTTGGAAAAGAAGTTTTATGCTCCAAAAGTAATTGGAGATGCTTTTAGGTGTCAATAATGTGCTAATAAATTCCGAAAGTGGACCATAGTACCAAGGTCAGAAGTCCATGGAGGTGAACGACTTTTTCTTCTATATCTTACAATCACCTAGGTGCCTAATTTGAGGTTGAATAAATAACCTTTCACTTGGCTAATTTGGAAAACTTTAAACTTTGAACAATTGTATTCTTACAGCAGGATCAATATTTCAGAAGATAGAATACACTTGTTGCATGCTAATTATCAGGCTGCGAGTATTACACAAACTGTAGGAGGGTGCCTAGCATGTCCTTAACATCCTTCTGTCCTGGATCTTCCTCTGAGAGCCCTTCCATTTGTTCTGAATCAATCAGCCTCTTATTCAATCCAACTAAAAGTATTGGTGACTTACCTTGCAGTGTACCCCGGACTAGGGAGAGATCCTCATCGCGGTCTGCTAGAAGAGCGGTAACCTTTTTCTTTGCCCCGTCATCTTCTGCAATGAGCCATGCCAGAATAACGTCAATAGTCTGCGTAAGGGTTAGCTTGAAAATCATTGCTATTAAACCCAGTATATATCGCATACCTGAAGCGAAAAGAGGCCTGCATCAAATCGACGAGACAACCATTCGGCTGCCATGAATTCTTGATCTTCTGGCGGGTAAGACTTGCGTTCCTTCTCAATTGCTTGCTCAACTGGTGCCACTCGAGCGGCGTAGTCTCGCCTCAGCTTGACAAGCTTCTCGATCTTCTCATATTCCTTCTCCATGAACTTGGCCAATGTTCGGATTCGCGATGCCGATCCCCCTGGTAATAATCGGAGGAGCGATGCGAAGATTCCGAGCAGATGCTCAATGTTCTGTCCTTCTTGCTATTATTTGTGAGCAAGTATGTATTGCACGGTGGAGAAAGCAAGACTCACCTTTTTCATGAACATTCCAAATACCGTTCGTAGACCTGCTGCGTCAATCAAGTGTTCACATGCTGGCCCGCCTGTTGTTCCACCGAAGAGGTGATCAAGAACCCTAAGAGCTCGTGGTTTGCTGAACTTGCCCTCTTTCAGCATTATTTGCCCCAGTTCAATTCCCTCTGCCTCGCAAAACTTTTCTTTTCCTGCTGGTTCATCAACGAGACAAATCAAAGAGTCGAAGAGGTTCTCCACAAATTCCTCCTCGTCAGAGTCCTTTTCTGGATCCCGTCTACGGTATTGACTGAGAAGTTGTAAGATCAAATCCACGCCATCGAGACTGATAAACTTGTCTCGATTTTTGGAAGAAGATTGTAGCAAAATAGCCAATATTTCAGCAGAATATTGCTTGTTTTGGGTGACAGGTGATTCCTTTTGCTGGATGCGAGTCAAGATCCAGGGCAAAACAGACGCATCTTGACAAATCTTCTCTGCTAGAGATGCTTGAGAGCATAAATTTTCCAATACACCTGGGAAACATCAGTGTCAAGTAGACATTACTCTCGAAAAGTAGAACGTACTCAGAATATAGTAAACACCTGCCCTGTCATTTTCTTGCTTCTCGTCGAGGCGAGTCAGATTAGAGGTCAATAATTCAGTGATGCCGGCATCCATCTTGCACGAAGTTAGTTTAAGTTTAGATTTCTAGCTGCTCGGAGACCCACCATCGTGTTAACCAAGCTATCCCATTGCTCCTGCTCCGCCTCGACGTCTTCATCCGTAAGCTCGCTAATGATTTGGATAACGTCAATTGCGATATCTGCATTCTCATGTGAAAGCAACGAAATCAAAGAGTCGACACAGCCCAGCTTGGAGAACTCCTCGTAAAGCTCTGGGTGTTCAGATAAGATTGACAACCCCTTGATCTCTGTATCTAAGTCGGCTTCGGATGCCATGAATCTGTTTATGACCAATTAGCACGCGATAATAATCCCTCGAAAGCCCTCACGTCACGTACTTCTGTGGATCATTCTCAAATTTAGCTCGTAGCTCGGAGTTTTTGGATATCTTTCGTTCAAAGTTCAAAGCGAAACGGCGGACCCAGGCTGTGTCGAATTTCTCGGGCTGTCAAGCACGTAGGCGTTAGTTTTTTGCAATATTTCGAACTTTTCGAACCTCTTGAACATACCGCGACTTCCTCCTCTTCCTGCTGGTCAATATACTGCATTGCCTCAGCAGTCTTTTGTTCCATTCCTCCGCCAAAGAAGCGCCCTTCCTCGTCGTCGGGGATATCTTCCTCCATGTCTGGAGGCATCTCGGGCCCAGCCTCGCCTTCATCATCAAATTCGTCTTCAACCATAGCCTCTTTTCCCTTGGACCTCACATCGCCGTCGGAGTCGAGCTTTGCTGATTTGTAGAGCGCATCTGGATGTGCTTCGTTAAAAGGATGTCGCGAGCTTGTTGACGGGGAAAAGTAACGTACTCGGATCTTGAACAGGCTCGAACTTTCGCTTGGAGCTTCCTACACCAAAAGGTTTCTTCAAATGTCAGAAAAAGGCCTGGGTAATGTTCGGAGCTATGGAATACCTTGAAGAGCTCGTCGACACTAGTCATGGTCGCGGCGCGTGCTCTTTAGCTGTGTCCAACGCGGTAGAATGCCCACTTTTCTTTGGAACTGTATCTCTTGAAAGATTAGAGTAGAAACACACAATTCCCAAAGAAGCCTCCAATCAAAATTTCATCATGATCGGCCAGTAGGATAGTTCAGTTGCTTGCAATGCGCCCGCGCAAAAGATATACGGAAACCGAAATGTACCTAAACCGCAGTGACGCCAAGTGTTCCCGAAGCCGCAGATTTCTCGAACCTCCGAACTCCATCTCCGATCTGTATACTTACGCCATCTCTCTCTCTCTTTTCCATCCTTCATCCCCCTATTCAAACAAAATGGCCCCCAAGAGCATCGCCGCCCAGAAGGGCTTCTTCTCCACTGCTATCGATGAGGCCCGCAACCCTGAGAACGCCACCATTGTTCGCAGCATCGCGATCTTCACTGTACGTCTTTGACCTAGCCCGAGCCGGGCTGCGACGCTATCGTTATCCTTCTTTATCATTTCAACGAGCTAACTTATTCTACAGGTTGGCGTTGCCTTCCTTCACAGCAGCCTTGGCGAGATCCTCCTCCCTCCGTAAGTCGACGCTATTCTATCCGCGCCTGATCGCCAGACGAACGTGGTCGGTGCCAGTCAACATAAACTAACACACATCAGTATGTAAACATCTACATACTCTCATCTCGAATCTTGAACGTCCTCTCAACCTGAATCCAATTTGGGAAAGCATAATGGCGTCGGTTAAGGGGACTCCGCTGCATTTTTTTCTCTGTACAATAGTCTCTTCTAAGGGGCACATCCCATGCCTTCATGTGCATTGTGTCACAATCTTGTTATGAATACCAAGGATTTTGATTGCCATACAACCTTTCTGCGTAGCCTCAGCCTGGCTGTCGGGCTAGCTCGGAACGCCCAACCTCTCACACTCCACGCGAATCGAATCACGAATCCAATACTAAAAGGGGCGCGCCTACGCTAAATCGTACACGTGCTGCCAACATGATTAATAGCCGCGTTCTAAAGTGTGTCTGCGGGGCTTCGACCTTGCGGCATTGCGATATGATGCTCCCACGACGTAGATACATTTGGTGCATGGCCTTATCCGAGCACTACCAGCCTCCACGCGTGGAAGCCTTCTTTTTTCTTTTTTCTTTTTTCTTTCTATTGAGAGGTAGTATGGCTATTTTCTGACTCTGATGTACAGAATATTAGCTTTTTATAACCGTGTACTTGTGCAGCACCGTTAGGCTCAGAGACGCAAAACATTACCGCCAATCCCGAGCCGCATCCAATGGCAGTTCAAGTCTCCATTTTCTACGCTATATCACTTATATCTCATGGGCAAAAGATTTCTGGTTGCGAGCCAATAATAATTCCAGCCATTCCATCTTCAGGGCTATCATGATAGATGTTGACCCCAGAATAAACATGGCTCCGATGATAGAATAAAATAAGCTTAGGATGCGCTATGCTTGCTATGAAAGCTACTTTGCTTCTACAGTGCCAAGCTATTCTCTTACGCTGTTTGATGGAAGTAACATATTGCCAGCCAGCTTTCAAGACTCCGTATTCTCATATAACGTACTAGTAGATGCGATTAAAGTAAAGCCTGGGAATTGTTATATGCCTATAAGTATTGATATTCGGTGCCAATCCGACTACTATAGACTCTAGTGTAGCTATCTTATCAGTACTCTCCCCATATGAATCAGATGTCGGTATCCTTAGACAAGGAAACGTCATTAGAATAACTTGAAACATTCAACACTCCCTCGAGGGGAAATCTCTATCATTCCAAGCACGGACGTGGAAGTGATAAAGTAGGTTAACAGAGCGTCCAAGCCCCAGAGAACTTGTTGCGGGATATCAAACATGGGGATTAAACTCTTCTCCAAATCCTTTAGTTCCTTGATCCTAGTCGATCTATACTTGTTCGAATGCTATTATACAAAAGTGGAGATCTCTATATCTGCCTGGGCCTATTATATTGACTACACGTAAGCCTCCGCAAAATCCCCACCCCACACTCTCCCCCAAAGTTCCGAACACCGCCTTCGCCGCATTACTAGACTAGTCGATACGAGGTCTCCATTTTCCTTCTCAGCAAATTCCACTTATCGATCTTTTCTGAGATGCTTAGTCTCCGAGGGAAAACTTCTATCAAAGCTTGAAAACCACGGCTCTATGTAGGTTTACTTCATATTCGGCGATGTCTTTATCCCCAAATAGCAGCGCGGCAGCTCTCAAGCGCAAGCTGCAGCAAGCGGAAAGCCGCTATGAGCCTACAACAAAACGACACAGTATCTCGGGATATGATCCACAGACCCCATGGCTCTATGAAACGACAAAACCGCGCAATGGCCGGCGTACACTAGGTGACCCGGCAGTCCAACACTCCTTGCCACTGGCAAATATGGTTTCGGCCGTGCAAGATCTAATCGATCCGGATTTCGACCCATTAACTGCGATCCTGGACGAGGAGCCCCGATTTCTGAAGCCGTTGCCCGCTCGGATAGCACCGGAAGATTTGGAATTTCTACGCTTTCGAGGTGCTTTGACGATCCCGGAAAGTGGCCTTCGAAATGAGTTGCTGCGGTCATATATCAAATGGGTACATAGCTTTATGCCTGTTCTCAACTTGCAAGAGCTTTTGAGACGCGTGGCGGAGAATGACCCAGATGGAAACATCAGTGTTTTACTATTTCAGGCTGTCATGTTCGTGGGCACGGCATTTGTCGATCTGCAGCACCTACAAGATGCTGGGTACTCCACGAGGAAGGAGGCGCGCAATGCGTTCTTTACGCGACTCCGAGTAGGTTTTTCCAGTTCCAGTTGCATATTCAAATTCTCATTCCAGTTGCTGACGCCATTATTTTTTAGCTCCTATACTCCCTTGACTGCGAAGAAGATCGCATCGTTATTGTGCAAACTGTGTTGCTAATGACATATTGGTCTGATACCGAGAATTTCCCGCAACGAGATATATGGGACTGGGTTGGTGTCTGTAATACACAGGCTTATTCTATTGGATTAAATAATGACTCTTCGACGGCCGATATTGACCCCACGCTACGAAGATTGCGCACACGATTATATTGGTGTATGTACTCCCGTGACAGATTGATTGCCATGGGAATGCGCCGACCGCTGCAAGTGAATGAAGGAACGAGCAATGTCCCAATGCTAAAACTTGAGGATTTTGATTTCGAGCCTTTCTCGCCTGCGGCAGTTGCTCTCTTCCGCTGTCGACAGCTAGAAGATGTGTCACACCAAAAGCGCCTGTCCACAATGTTCATTGAAATGGTTAAACTGTGCCAGTGCATCGGTCGTGTACTGTTTGCGCAGTATGCTCCGTCGCAACATCAATTTGGTGCAACTGACAGAACAACTATCACGCTAATTCCTCGACAAGCGTCAGAATCCGAGTTTACTCGCTGCACGCAGAAACTTGACTCATGGCTAGGATCTCTGCCTAAGGACGCACAGTTTATCCCGGAATCTAAAACCACTTTCCGTGATGGTGAAGATGTACTTCTCTTGCACGGTGCTATGCTTCGTATGCTTTATCATGCAACCAGCAGTGCCCTGCATCGACCTTGGGCAGCCAATTCCAAAAATCAGTCCAAGTCTCGCATTGAGTGGCGGAATATAGCGCGTACGAAAATGCAGGATGCTGCTTCCGGGATTACACATATAGTTCAAGGTCTGAATCAGCTAAACCTTACCCGGTTCTTACCGCAATCTGGCGTCACGGTTATTCTGCCAGCAGCAGTTGCACACCTCTCAAACTCCATGTCTGATAACCCTGCCATCCGTGAAAGCAGCATCTACAACTTCCAACGGTGCATTCATGTACTACACTGTCTAAAGGACATGTATCCAGCCGCTAATGTCGAGTTTGCAAATCTCGAAGCCGCGATCAAGTTGCAATCAGGCAATTATAACTCTAACACTTTCTTCCAAATCATGCAATATAACTTCGACACCTCAACCCCTTCCTTCGACGACTTCCGCAAGCAAAGCAATGCTGAATCAATATCAAGCCCTCAAGCATCACGACAAGAAGAAAAAAGACCATCAAATGATACCCAATCTACAGTTTCTCAATCCGCCAGAACCCCATCTTTTCAGCAAGACAACCGATCCCAACAACGCAAACCAAGTGTAACTCCCACCGATCAACCCTATACACCCCAAACATCTACGCAAACCCGCCGCTCCTTCCCCAATGATTTCGATGAGCACTTTGCAGCCGCACCCAGCGCCGAAGACAATAATCCCTTCAATTACCTGTCTCTCGATTTTGACTCGTTCCGCGGTGTGGTGGATTCCAACCGTTCGTATAATATTATTGATAATATGGAAATATCACAGGAAAATCTGGATGATATTGACTGGACAACAGCCCTATTTCAGGGAACATCATTACCTGAACTTGATAAAGCTGCGCCTACGACCGGACAGTTTGGTCAACATCAACAAGTCCGGGGCGTACATCGATCACATCAACCACAGGAGGACGATATGTTCGATTTTTCTTTAAAAGATGATGACGCGGGGTTCCCGAAGAACCAGCCAATCAGTTATAATCGAAACATTACAGGCGATCTGGATCGAGATCTGGGCTTCTAAACTGGTGATGACATTTTCTAGTTTGACATCATTGAATTTTCCCTAATATTGGATCTCAGGCTGTGCTATACGGGTCACATTTTTGGGTGTATTGTGTGTATTAACAGGCCTTGGCCTCATTCTTCCTCAATTTGTATTTAAAAGATCATCAATATGAATATACTACAGAGCATCGTCACGTCTATTATCACACTATGACTACTGGATCGGTGATACCATATGATCATATGATTACAATGAGCATACTGGAGAGAAATCGATGCTGATTGGAAAGTCTGCTACGTGGTTCTATTACTGGATATCATGGAAACTATTGCTCAGTCTATCGGGAGATCTATCTTCACACAGGCGGCGTCAAAAAAAAAAAAAATGAAAACACCCTGCTCAGCAATCAGCTAAATCTTTTCCGGATCTCCTATTTGCAGATCATACACATGGCCGAAATAGATTATATGTGTGTCATCTATTTGCCTTCTGTCCAACGATTGCTTTCGTCGATTTGAACACCGGATTGCTCGATGTAGCCAAGCGTCTTCTTCACCTCTGCTACCTTTGAGCTGTCACCTGTGTTCTTGCCCATGTTATCGCTGAGCTTAACGGCTGGTCGGCCATTTGCAGACGCAATTTTGATGACGATGTTAAGAGGCTTGGACTTTTCGCCAGTTGTTTTGTTAAGGTAGTCATCTGAATTTTATGATTAGCAACCTTGGAAGTGATATACAGGAAACCCTGAACTGGTGTCTACACTCACTTGTGAAAAAGGTACCCACGCCGAAGGAGGGGATAAAGCCAGATTTCTCGGCAAGGTTCTTGTACTCCAGACATGATTCAATGTCAAGTGAGTCAGAGAATACCACTGTTTTCTTATCGGTGATACCATTGCGGTCGTAGAACTCGCGGACCGTCTTGACAAATTGCGCTGGGTCGCCTGAGTCTTGACGCACGCCGGTATATGTCTGTGCGTAAGTCTTGTTAGATTGGCTACCGCTCGAGCTTTCATCGAGGAATTTAAGTGGTTTGCGGAATGCATCCAGGAAAGCAGGTGTCCCGAAGGTATCAGTAAGAGCGATACCAAGAACCTTCAGAAGTCAGCTACCGATTCGGCATACTTGTAGAAACCGTGATATAATCTTTTCAAGGGACTTACTCCTTCTCCAAAGCACCCAAGCCAGTACTGCAGCGCCAACTCGTTCGCGTTCAAATAGTCATCCGTGATAGCCGCAATGGTCATGTACCACTCGTGTGCCACAGTTCCCACTGCATTAACGTCGTATTTCATAGCAAAATGCACATTGCTAGTGCCTGTTAACACTCCTTTCCATCCGTTCTTCTTCGCTTCCTCGGCAGCACGAGTAAGCCCTGTCATGACAATATCCTGGGTATGGTAGTCTCGCCGCCGCCGAGTTCCAAATTCTGAGAAGACGCAGCCATTTTCGAGAAGAGTACGCCCCTTCTGGTATGCCTTCTCTTCCTGGCCTTCGTGGTCCCATTCTTTGTCGCTGAACATAAAGTATGCTTGGCTGGTCAAAGACAGAAGAGGAATCTCGTAGAGAATAGTATCGAGCCAAAGTCCCTTAATAATGTATTCGATAGATCCCTCGTCCTCATCACTTCCGGTATCTTCTATTGGTGTGAACTTTATCTCGACTTGTTCGGCTGGCTTGAGCTGGAAAGTTTCGAGGAAGGAGAGGTAGGCATCGTTGAGGTATGGGCACTTTCTCTTAAGAAAGGCGCGTTCTTCGGCGGTGACACGGAGATTCCCGAGCTCTGTATGAAGGCAGTGTTCCAAGATTAGCTTCTTTGTATCCACTGCATGGTTAGAGGTGAATATATTCAAAGAACTACATACTCTCCAGCTGCTGCGAGAGCCATTTGACTGCCCCGCGTCGCAGCTTCATCTGCGGAGTGCGATTCGTAAAGCCATAAGTCACATCTATTGCCCGATCAGACGCTTTTCTTGTGAAATGAAGTGCAGCGCTTCCACTCACAAACATCAGGGAAGTATTTGAGGATCGCGCATTGCATCGTCAGCTTGTAAAGATCAGTATCCAGAAGGGAGGATACGCCCTCTGGTGTGGAGGTGAATTCGGCGCCCATTTTGCTGGTAGGACCGGACAGCCCGGTCTTGATGATCGCGGGGTTCAGTTTATGAAGATTGGGTGTGTGAGAAGGAGGAGAGTGCGGAGGAAGACGGAGCGATATGAAAGCCGACTTTCTTTTGTCTTGCGCAAGCAACTGCTTTAGCGCGGGGGTAATTCACTATTGATTGCGTTGCTGTTTGCAATGTTTGCAATGGGGGGGGGGGTTGCATACAGCAATTGATAATGGCCCGTCCCGGTAAATATTGCTGAACTATGCAATGAAAACAGATTTATGTATCGATTGAATAAGCTGTTTTTACTGCCATAGCCTATGGATCTCATGGAACGAGTTCGTCAGTGGCAGATCCATGCCAAGCTGCGTACAAAGGCGAGGCGAGTATACGAGGCTTTCCCGAGGCGCTCAAAGGGAGCAGGCCAAGAAAGGTATTCTTCCCCGAGCAGACATCGGTCAGTTGATATTCGGGTAGGCGGGAATCCCACTCATTTTATGGTGTGCTAATTCTTTCAAGTGATCTCTAATAGAGTATTGGTAATTGTTAGTAAAATATGAAACTAAGTTTACGACCCTAGATCGGCACAATTAAGCCCTGGAGCTTCAGACTCCACACGAGCTCGAGTCGTTATATGTACTACTAGTATATGACAGTGTAAACTGTCTGCCGACGAAGATGAAAATGAAAATGAGCAGGTCCACCCCATTTCTCTTAAGTTAGCAAGCTGTGTGATGAACAGGCTTCAAATTTTTACCTTCAACATCTTCACAATAGCCGATTCGTAATTCACTTTGGCGTTTCAAGGGTGCTCAGCTAAGTAGTGAAGACAGTATATTTCCCAGTCAATACTAGCTCGAGCGGTCTTCTATTCAATTTAAGGATTATCTCCATGGTTTTTGCTTCATCTTCTACGGTATTCTCTGCTGCTGCCTTCAATACCTCCTTGGGTATTGGAACGCTCTCGCCTCGCCTGTAAAATAGAACACCCAATATATCCTCCCAATTGGGATTCTTTGCGACTTCCTTGACCACTTTCTCTGATAGCAGAAGGCTCTCTCGCTCTCCTAGAATTATGCCCATTACTTTATAGCCAAACTTTTCAGGGTTTGCTGCCGCTGCCATCAGCACTTCTTCCGATATCAAGCAGCCTTGCCCTGAGTCTCGCCGTTCACTGGCAAAGGACTACAGTCATAATTTCAGGCGCAAAATGGCCGGTATTTGCTGCAGCCAACTTCAGCAGTTCTTCAGATATTAGGCAGTCTTGTCTTGGCTCTTCTCGTTTGAGAAGTACATTTGAAACTCCAGGAGCATAAGCACTGGTATTTCTTAGAGCGGACTTGGACTACTACTACTACTACTACTACTACTACTACTACTACTACTACTACTACTACTACTACTACTACTACTACTACTACTACTACATATCAAGGTTGGTACCCTACCTACTAGGCCGACAATGGTAGGGCAATCAAGTTATGTGTTTGTGTTTCTTGCAGTGGTACAGCCTGAGATAGTCTTATCAATTCGGCATGATTGTTTCATCCATTTTATGCATAGATTTATGGGCTATAACCAACTTCAAATGACTCTAAAATAGAACTACTTGACTTTTTAGCCGAGTTCTGTACTAAATCTCTTTATGCTATAGAGTTTTAAGTGAAAGTTTACAGATTTCAAGGGCTTTTGCAAGACAGCAGAAGTATTCTGTCAAGGCTTTTTATTCCCTGTCAATGCTTTTCAAGCTCCGTCAATGTTTCAAGTTTCTGTCCGGGTTGACCAAAACCTCAGCCTATACCTGTCCTGTCAATGCCTCTTACACCCTTTCAATGCTTTTTGTCCTCCTCATATAACCCCAAATTCCCAATTTTTAAATGTGAAGCCTAAAACAAGCCTGCCACTGCGGCCCGTGATATTTCAAAAAACAAACTTCTCTACCTATTAGGCAGAATCACTCCTCCTCCAATCAACCGACCAACCAACTACATACCCATAATCGTCAGCCTTGTATTGATTGATTCAAATGTTATACTAGTACATGTACACATTAATATTATAATCGTACCAAGATTGAACAGTAAACTTCAAGTTCATGATGTGCCTCAGGCCCCAAGTTTAAAGTAGACAGATCAAGATCAAGTATATATATATTCATCATATAATAAAAATTTAGTTATTCTCCCAGGATGAGTTGGATACCTTGAATGTATTCTGATCTTATACAAATAATGAAATAATCTCCAAGCATTAAACTCACTGTAGTTTTGTTCCCTGTCAAGAGCTGTGTACACCCGTGGACTACTATACAAGGACCATCGGAGATAAGGTTCGAGATGGAGACCGCAACAGGCAAATATTAGTCATCATTTCACTTTCACTCCGGGTTTGATCGCGGTCACTCCTTGCGACCGTGCAACTCGCTCTACAACTGACGCGCCTTCAGCATCAATATCGGCTTTAAACCATTCGAAGAAACACTTGAAACCGACGAAAGGTTTGACTTCGAAATTTTCTGGAAGTGTGACCCCGTTATTAGTCCCTAAATCGCCCAGCGCGATCCGATCTCTTCAAGCCAACCATCCACCATGGCGCACGGCGCGGAGGACTGCGCGACCGTCCTAGAGCAGTTCGTTCACGATGCCGCCAATTTGCCCGCCGAAATCAACCACTTGATGGAAGAAATTCAAGCGAAGGATAAGACTATGCAGGAATGTCGGGCTACCATCAACTCGCGCGACGGCAGCATCCAAAAATTCGTTAAATTAAACGGCAGTCTGGCTCCCAATCCAAAAGAAGACCAATATAGCAAATCCGTGCTTCAGAACCTCGACCGCAGCCAGCAACTACAAGACGAGAAGATACATCTTAGCGAGAAAGCTTGCGTTCTCCTAGATCGCCAAATTAAGCGGCTGGATGTCCGAATTCGAGATCTAGTCAATGATGGCCTCCTCACGAATGACCCGCCTCTTCCTTCTCTCTTCGATAACAAGAATAACTACCGCGACCCGCCTAGAATCTTCTTTCCTGACTCTAACACTACCGAAACATCCTCTTACTCCACCCCTCTCAACCAGTCATCCGGGAATACAAACCCCATTCTCGCAGCTGCTCAGCGTCTAAATCAGGCATCTAGTACTCCCCGCGTCGCTGTGCCCGCCTCCATGGTTGCTCAAGTTACAGCCAGGAGTTCTGCCCCAGCAACTCCCGTCGGAACTACAGGTGTCCATCTTCAACAACGACAACGCGAGTCCTCCGCCGGTGCAGTGGATAGCAAACGCCGTCGTTTGAACCATCCATCATTAGGGACTCTCCCGGCCGCCTCGTCTAATCTTCGACAAGCTTCTATGGGCCCGGGCACACCTAAGCCTGGGACACCGGCTGGGAGCCGTGCGGGAAGTGTAGGACCGCGAGCTAGCGGGGCGATCAAAAAGGCATTGACGAAGAAAATCGCGCCTCATCACCAGGTTAAGAAGCTTAAGTCTTCTTCTCATGGGAAGCCGACGAAGAGGTCTTCTAGTGCGAGTGGGAGGGTGAAGTTATCGAAGAAGTCGCCTGCTGGTGAGGGAGAGGAAGATGATGATTCCATGCTGAGTAGTGCCGATATGTCGGATTCTGATAAGAGTGATACTGCGGGTGGAGATGAGGATATGGAGGAGGATGAAGAGGAGGATGAGGGAAATGAGGATACGAAGGTCTACTGTACTTGTCGGACTGTTAGTCATGGGGATATGGTGGCGTGCGACAATGATAGTTGTCCTTATGAGTGGTTCCATTGGAAATGTGTTGGATTGAGTCGGGAGCCTGTGGGGACGTGGTATTGTGATGAGTGCAGGAAGACGCTGGGAAAATAGGCGGACTACCCCTTTGATGCCTTTCGTCTGTTTTTATTATTGTATTTGTTTGCGTGGGATTTCGCGCGATGGAGTTGATATACCCAGGGCGTTGGGCAGGTTTTACCTGCTGGATTTGAAACTTTGCATAGAATTGCTATGGAAGCATGGTCCTCTTTTTGCATAATACATGTGTGATGGCGTGGTGCCTATACCTTTTTCTACTTGGCAAGCAGTCAATCTTAATCTATAGGAAAGTATTGCAATCATAGTAAACCCGAGTTGTTATTCGTCTAGAACAACATTTGAAATATCCTTAAGAAATTCCAGCAAAGGCTTGTCCACAGGTGGGATGCAAGATACAACCGTAATCGCCTTCCACAGCAACGTGGATGCCAAGGGTAAAAAATCAACGCCAGCGCTATGCAGTAAATCCCTTTTTTGTTTTCCTTTCATCTTCCATGCGAATGTGCGGATACAGTGGAGCACCACCTGTATCTGTAAATCAAGTACAGAGAGTGGGAGGCATAGCAGATTACTGCTGCTCTCGCTCATTGGGAGTTCATGACTCATGATATCGGGTTCAATGAGCCATAGCCATGAGTCACAGCCACGAGCGAATGAAATGCCATCTCTCATTTTGTGAGTCTCTAGCCTAGAAAAAGCGAGAATGTAGGCCACGTAAGACGTAGGTTTTCAAAAGCCAAGTACCTTCTCGAACCAGGGGTCAAAGTATTCACAGGTCTCGGGACTGATGGATCCACCAGGGGTGCAGAGACGGAAGCTTGGGCATGGTCCACAGGGTGACTCAGTCATGCCGTTCTTCCCCAGATCGATAGCAGGATGAGGCTCTTCGCCCTCTGCTGGCTTTCGGGCTTGAGCGGCCTTGACAAGAGCGGGATTCTTGAGAGATTTGTAATACTTGCCGTTGCTCAAATCAACAAGCTTTCTATCAAAGCAGAGCATCTGTAACAGCTGGACAATACTCTCTTCCCCAAGCTGTACCGGGGTGATAGCACTCTTGTTAACAGCGCGGGTGATTTCTTCGGCAGTCGGATATCCAGTGTAAGCTGGAGGATAGGGTAGATAAGATTTTTCAGAAGGGTCATTGATGTCGGCTTTGCCGGTTGCCGTTTTAAGTCGCTTGGCGGTTCTGCCGTGGTCGGCGGGGACTTCGTACCAACTCTTACGACTGACGGTGTATTCGATGAAGCCAGCCACGGTGTTGATGAAATGGGCATCTAGCACACCGTCGGTGAACCACGCGCCACCGGTGACGTCCTCGCCTGGCGCGAGGCCCGCCAGCATGTACATCTTCTTGGTGGGGTGTTTGACATTGTGGACGGTTTTGATGTAGTTTTTGCCCTCGAGAGACTTGAGACAACGGTCTAGGATGGATTTGTGGAGATTGGTTCGGGATTGGATGGTGCGAACCCAGACGCCAGAGCGGCCGCTGGAATGGATGACGGTGAAGACCAGGCCCTCGTCGCCGGTCAGGTTTTTGAGTCTGTGCGGGGAAGGGAACGTTAGTGAAATTGATCTTTTTACATTATTGTGGTGGATAGCTTTTATCAACCACTCCGATGAATGGCATACTTTTCAGCATCTTCACGGCCCACCAGGCGCCAGACAAGGCGCTTGTTCTGGGCCTCGAGAAGTCGGAATAGTTTTTGATTCACTAGCGACTGGGCGCATTCCAGGAGGAGTGAAAGGTCATCATTGGGGATGACACCGAGACTGAGGAGGTCTTGTTGGTAGAAAGTGTGGTCTGTAGAGAACTGTTCTGAGCAGGCGTCGTAGAGTTGCGAGGCAAGCTCTTTCACGCTGGGCCCCGCGGCGGCCATGATCGGAATTTGGAGAAGGGAATTGGAGGAGTCAGAGTCTCGACTGTAAGGAATGGGGTGAGATCAGGGTATCATTGGAGGGCGGAAGAGGTCATGATTCGATTCGAGTCTCTTGCAATAGCAGGAGAGTTCGTTTAAATAAGCATGGTGGCCTCTCGCTTTGTCAAAGCAGTGAGTCAAGTCAAAGAAAAGTGCGATTCATTGTGTTTTTTGGCGACTTTTTTCTCAGCGGGGATGCCGGGCTTCCTATTGGGGACTAGCGCATCCGGAGCTTTAACATTTGACTTTTTGACTGCCTCAGGCATCAACTATCAACGGAAATTTCGAGAAGCTCATGATCCAGCGGAGCTCGTAATCAGTTTGCTGGGAACCCCCGACTTTCTTTCCATAGACTCATTTACCTCGTTTTTTCTATTATACCCCCCCCAACGCCCTATACAAATATGGCTGACGCTTTGAAGGCTGAAGGCAATAAGGCCTTCTCGGCCAAGGACTATCCGACTGCCATGTATGATTCTACCCCGCCTTTGTTTGACTTGAAGTTAGTATACTGATGAAGATGTGAAATTACAGTGAGAAGTTCTCTCAGGCTATTGGCATTGAACCCGAGAATCACATCCTTTTCTCTAACCGCTCCGCCGTTTACGCTGCTCAAGCCGAGTACCAAAAAGCCCTTGATGATGCCGAGAAGGCCATCTCTATCAAGCCCGACTGGTCGAAGGGCCATGCCCGAAAGGGAGCTGCCTACAAGGGACTTGGAGATCTCTGTAAGAGATTATGACGCATTCTCTCAAATTTTATGTGAATCTAGATAACTAATGGGATACCAATTTCTTTGTAGTGGCCGCTCACGACGCATACGAGGAGGCATTGAAGATCGAGCCCGAAAATGCACAGGCCAAGTCTGGTTTCAGCGCCGTTCAGCGCGCCATTAACGCTGAGGCTACTGCTGATGGTGTCGAGGGTGACCCATCTGCTGGCCTCGGTGGCATGTTCAACGATCCAGCACTTTACCAGAAGCTGGCCAACAACCCCAAGACCGCTCCTCTTCTGGCTGATGCTGAGTTCATGGCTAAGCTCAAGAAGATCCAACAAAACCCCAACAGTGTCGGTGAGGAGATTCGCGATCCTCGTTTCCTGTCAGTGATGAGTGTCCTGCTTGGAATTGATATGAACTTCGGTGGCGAGGGTCCCTCCCAGGATTCCCCCATGCCCGATGCCAAGCCTGCTGCTCAGCAACAGCCAAAGAAGGAGCCTACCCCCGAGCCTGAGCCCGAGGATGAAGAGGCTCTTGCTAAGAAGAAGGCCAAGGAGGCTGGTGATGCCGAGAAGAAGATTGGAAACGACTTCTACAAGAAGAAGGAATTTGACCAGGCTATCGAGCACTACGAGAAGGCCTGGGAGCTTCACAAGGACATTACCTACCTGAACAACTTGGGTGCTGCTAAGTTCGAGAAGGGTGACTACCCCGGTGCCATCGAGGCTTGCCAAAAGGCTGTGGAGGAGGGTCGTGATTTGCGAGCCGACTTCAAGACAATGGCCAAGTAAGGATTATTCAACAGCCTTTTGAAATTTTGTGCTAATGTTTTACAATAGGGCGTTCACTCGTATTGGAAGCACTCACGAGAAGCTGGGTGATCTCACCCAGGCCATCGAGTTCTACAACAAGTCTCTTATGGAGCACCGCACACCAGAGACCCTGACCAAACTGCGCAATGCCGAAAAGACCAAGAAGAGCGCTGAGACGACCGCATACGTGGACCCCGCTGAGGCCGAGAAGGCCCGTGAGCTCGGTCAACAGAAATTCCAGGAGGGCAACTGGCCTGCTGCCGTTGATGCCTTCACTGAGATGGTCAAGCGTGCCCCTGAGGACCCCCGCGGTTACTCCAACCGCGCCGCTGCCCTGATCAAGCTGCTGGCATTCCCTCAAGCCCTGACCGACTGTGACGAGGCTACCAAACGCGATCCCAAGTTCATCCGCGCCTACATGCGCAAGGGTGCGGCTCTCGTTGCTATGAAGGAGTACAACCGTGCTCTGGATACATTCACTGTGGCCGCTGAGCACGACGACGGTACCCACGCCCGCGAAATTGAGCAGCAGCAACAGAAGTGTCTGGATGCACAATTCAGTGCTCGTGCCGGCGAGACCGAGCAGCAGACCATGGAACGCATTCAGAGTGACCCCGAGGTATGTCTCTTGTTTCATTGATATGTTCAAATATACATGCTAACCCTTTTCATAGATTATGTCTATCCTCCAGGACCCTGTTATGCAGAGCATCCTCCAACAAGCTAAGAGTGACCCCGCTGCGCTGCAGGAGCACATGCAGAACCCCCAGGTGCGGATTAAGATCCAGAAGCTGATGGCTGCTGGTGTGATCCGTATGGGACGGTAAATTCGATGACTGTTCCCGACTGAGTTGAGGCGAGCATGGAACGTACTGCGACGAATTCAAGATGTGACGAGCTGTCTTGCAGATATCATTACCATTTGATCTAAAATCCCTTTCTCATGAGTTGCTTAGCATGAAATGAATTTCAATTGATTCCCTTTTTTATGTCATGGTGGATTTATGTAGATATCTTTGAATCCAGGTGTAGTTGTAGATAGTTGTACTAGTAGCTGTAGTACACTTGTGCATTCAAATGTAGGATGTGGTACATTGAGACAAACTTTGCACATTCGAACTTTGAAACAAGCGTTACATAGTATCAGCCGCATTCATTATTTATAACATACTTATATTATGGATGCGATCTAGCCCCGTAACCATGAAGGTTCCACCACTGGCATATCACCAACAAAGCTAACATTCCGCACATAAGTAGACAAGGACAGGGATTACGCCTCGTTCATGCGGGCAGTTCTATCGGTGAAGATCGTATGGTATCGTCTCCTGCAGCTATGTAGAATAGGTAGCCATGAAACCCGAGGTTCATTGCAGATCTGCGGGAGAAAGGCAGAAAGAAAAAGCCAATCGAAAATAAACAGGAAGGCTGAAGCTGATCAGTGGAGTCCAGGGTTTCCAATCCACGCTTAAGCTGCAGAACCATGACACAGACCGTGGAAACACGATTCCACAATAGCGTGACACATGTTCTTCAAGTTTACGAATGAAGATTTATTCTTTCTTAGAGATAATGTAATCTGTTTTTTTTTTTTTTTTAATGGAACATAATCAGGTGTATATAGTGTTCTCATGCGCGTTTGGCTTTATTCACATCTTCATCTTTAATGTTGCAAGGAGTGGAAACCTTAACACCAACACCAACGCCCATAGCCAAGAATGCTGCCACGGGTCCCAGCCCCTCACCAAACCACCTGCAGCTGAACCTGAGCCTGAACCTGATAGATCAAATCTGCTAATACGGTCTGCCGGTCCAGGTATTACCAATGCATGGCCTGCATAAGTCGCACAGACTATGGCGAATCACAGAACCTCGGCATTGGCGTTAGTATCGGGTGCTGAGATAGTAAAATCAGAATCATAATCTGTATGGATCGCAGTGGGATGGAATGGAAGGCAATTTTGATTTCTTTGCCCTAAAATCTGACTGGCAGAGACCTCGGAATCCATTTTCTATCCACAGTGGAGCAGGGCGAAGGAGATCTGTGTGAGCTTCCAATCGGCGGGGCGCGAGCGGCGACTATTGAATTGATTTGTTGATTTATTGATTTTATGTGATTTATGGAATTAATTAAATTTCGTTTGGATTGCGTATGCCACGTGTACTATAGATGGGATATTATCGGGGATTCTAGGATTGTGTTCCACGGTTGTATTTGTTGTATAGCTGCAGCTTGAAGACTGAGGATTTCTGTATAGACCTTGGCAGTGTCTATACAACACATATGGTCCACTCGATGTACAATTACATAGGATGACCTTTGGATTAAATTATGCTGCCTGGTAGGGCTACCCCTTTAAACCCCGACGAACACACTAGCGAGCACTAGAATGCCCCAACAGGATTCCTGAGCCACAGCTTGGACGTTCTCCACCCGGAAATGACTTGGATGGACTCGATTGACTTGGGGGTTGTGGCGGTGCTTTTTCTCCCGAGCAATAGTCCCACACTAGGGGCTGGATGGATTGGAGATGATACGAGAAGAAGAAAAGAGGAGGAAAATTGTAGAAATAATCCATGGGAAGCTGTTAACTGTGTGCTATACAGCATCTACCCCGATCGGTATACTTCCACCTAGTATTTGGCTAGGTGTATATAGCTTCAGGTAGCAAGTACGGCCTTCTCCGCTGTACACCGTGATCCCCCCCCTCTCTTACTCAGTTAGGGACGGGGATCTTGACTAGCTTTAGTTCCTCCTAATGAACCTTGGGACCCAGAGCTCCGTACGTCACTGATCTCCGATCGCTCAGGGCCGATCCCTCTTGTTTTTTTTCCCTATTTTTTCTTTCTGTGTGTGTTCTGTGTGCTCTGTGTAGTGATATCGAATTACAAAAAATAGAATAAAGTAATAAAAAATAAAAATACACTAGAGATCCAATTAAATCTAAATCCCTGAAATTAATTCCCCGGCGAATCCCATCACATTTCACTGATTACGGCCATCCGGACTTACTCCCTGACGCAAGCGGCGGGTGAAGCCCCGAGAGCTTTTCCTCCCCCAATTGATCTCTCTCTCTCTCCACTTTCGGCCTTCCCTCTTTCTTCCCTCGTATTTTCTTCTTCTCTCGACAATCATCCTTTTCCTTACTCTTCGGAGGTCGACAATTCTCCGTTTATCCCACTGTAAGCGCCTACAATCTCAACTCTCCCCTCTCTCAACACCACCTCCCCTCCATTTCTCTACTCCAATCCCCGGATCGTCAGCTCTGGTCCCGCATCATACCATCCATGGGTCTCTAACCAATCCCCAGACGCCACCAGTCAACAAAACCCTCGCGACCTCCTTGTTCACCACCCTTTCTAGTTTCGCATCTTCCAGCACTATCTTACATTAAGCGCCGACCGCCGCGATGGCGTCTGTCGAGGCGCAGAAGACTGAGTTGAAGGAGGAGGGTGTCATTCAGGCAGCCACCGAATTACAGCAGGACCCCAAGTCGAAAGTCAACCCCGACACGGTTGAAGAGACTCTGGTTAAAGATTCACAGGCAGCGGGCGTTCCAGCGTATCAATTCGATCCCAATGCCTCGCCCGAGGAAAAGGCTGCGGCCGCCGATGCGGTATGTACCAAATTAAGCTTCGAAACAAGCTCCAAAAACAACAAAGAAGAAATGACACAGGGAGCAGACAGAAAGAAAAAGAAGACGCAAAGAGGTGTAAATTCTGTCTAGAGATTTGAGCTTCGTACTAATCTTCATGGTCTATTTTAGCGTGTACCGCCGGGTTTTCACCATGATAAGAAACCTCAGGGTATCTCAGTGATCACAGATAAGGTATGCAGCTCGTCTAAGATGAGAGCTAGATTAAGTTAGAAATCGCTAATCCGATCGTAGGATGACGGCAAAGCGGATTATGATCTTCCTCCGCCTCGCTCGGCTACCGCTTTGATTGCTGAAGAAGCCAATATTCCCGATGCCAAGAAAGAGGAAATGGACGAGGACATGAGGTGGGCGCGCGATCGTACCGGTTGGGCGCCAAAATTCCACCAGGAAAAGACCGAGGAAGAAGAAGCGGAAGGCACATTAATTGACCACCAAACATTCCTAGAGGGCCGATTGTCCGACAAATTCTTCGGCGACTGGTATCACAATGCTGGTGTGATTGTGTTCGCATGTCTGATCTCCTGGATCATCGCCAATTTAGGTGGTGGTATAGGCTGGGTTTTGCTAGTCATGGCGGCATGCAGTACTTACTACCGCACGTCAATTCGTCGAGTCCGCCGTAATTTCCGTGACGATATTCATCGGGAAATGGCCAAGGCGCGTTTGGAGACTGATACCGAAAGTCTGGAGTGGATTAACAGCTTCCTGGTCAAGTTCTGGCCCATTTACGCTCCTGTGCTTTGCGATACCATCATCAACTCTGTCGACCAGGTTTTGAGTACATCTACCCCTGCTTTCCTGGATAGTTTGCGCCTGAAGACTTTTGTCCTTGGTACCAAGCCCCCTCGTCTCGAACATGTCAAGACCTACCCGAAGACCGAGCCCGATACCGTTATTATGGACTGGAAATTCAGCTTCACTCCGAACGATACTATGGATTTGACCGCACGCCAGGTGAAGGACAAGGTCAACCCCAAGGTAGTTCTGGAGGTGCGCATTGGTAAGGGTGTCGTTAGCAAGGGTCTGGATGTTATTGTCGAAGACATGGCTTGCTCTGGCTTAATGCGCGTCAAGGTCAAACTGCAAATTGAATTCCCCCATATCGAACGTGTTGATGTTTGCTTCTTGGGCAAGCCCGAACTCGACTATGTCTGTAAGCCTCTCGGAGGTGATCACCTTGGTTTCGATATCAACTTCATCCCTGGTCTCGAAAACTTCATCAAGGAACAGATCCACGCCAACCTGCAGCCCATGATGTACGACCCCAACGTCTTCCCAATTGAAATTGCCAAGATGCTGGCTGGAAACCCTGTCGACCAGGCTATTGGTGTTGTTGCTGTGACCCTTCACGGTGCCAACCAGCTGAAGAATCCCGACAAGTTTGCTGGTACCCCCGATCCTTACGCAGTTGTGTCTTTGAATGGTCGTACAGAATTGGGTCGTACCAAGGTTGTCCAGGATACTGATAGCCCTCGCTGGAACGAAACCATTTATGTTATTCTTACTTCTTATACCGATGCGTTGACCATCAAGACCTTTGATTGGAACGAATTTCGCAAGGACAAGGAGCTTGGAGTATCTTCATTTGGCATGGATAAGTTAGAAGCTGAACCTACCCATGAGGGTATCTACTTGGAAGTGTTGGCTAGCGGTCGTCACCGTGGTGCTATTCAGGCCGATATTCGATTCTTCCCCGTCATTGAAGGTAGAAAGATGGAGAGTGGCGAGACCGAGCCTCCACCGGAGCTTAATACTGGTATTGCGCAGTTCACTGTTGAACAGGCCAAGGATCTCGATGGATCCAAGAGTTTGGTTGGCAAGTTGAACCCTTACGGTGTTTTGTTGCTGAACGGCAAAGAAATTCATATCACCAAGAAATTGAAGCGTACCAACAACCCTATCTTCCAAGATGCTGCCAAGGAGTTCTTGGTTACCGATCGCAAGAACGCCAAGCTGGGTCTTATCATCAAGGATGACCGTGATTTGATGGCTGACCCAATCATTGGTCGCTACCAGATTAAGTTGAATGATATGATCAAGATGCAGGAGCAGGGTAAACAATGGTTCCACCTTCACGGTGTCAAGGCCGGACGCGCCAAGATGCTGCTACAATGGAAGCCTGTTGCGCTGGGCAGTATCGCTGGTGGCGCTGGTTATATCGATCCTATTGGTGTCATGCGTTTCCACTTCAAGGGTGCTACTGATCTGCGCAACCTCGAGGCCATGGGCAAGTCTGACCCATACGCCCGTGTGTTGCTATCTGGCTTGACCAAGGGTCGCACTGTGACTTTCCGCAACAACCTTAACCCTGAGTGGGATGAGGTTGTGTACGTTCCTATTCGAAGTGCTCGTGAGAAACTGAGCGTGGAGGTCATGGATGAGGAAACTATCAACAAGGACCGCACTCTTGGCTGGGTTGAGCTCAATGCATCTGATTTCGTTCGCGAGACGGAGACTGGGGAGTACGAGATCGATGATGAGAAGCAATTGATCACCAGCTCTCTTCACATTGGTAAGGGAGCTCCTAAGGGTCATATCAACTACACCGTTTCCTTCTTCCCCACTGTTCCTGTTGTGAACCCCGAGGATGAGGCGGATGAAGAGGAGGAAAGTGAGGAAGGAAAGGATGAAGTTCCTGCGACTCCTCTCAAGAGCTCTCACTCGAAGAGCGCTAGCGTGGACTCGAAGGCCTCTAAGGTTTCTAAGCCCTTGACAAACGGAGCCGCGCCCAATGGCACCACCAATGGCGAGGCAGCTGCTAGCCGTGCCAGTCTCGAAACGACTACTTCTCGTCCACTCACTGGCCGTGACTCCGAGACCGCATCCGTTCGCTCCATCAAGGATCTTATTCCCCGTACTTACGTTGGTGTTGATGATCTCAGCAAATATGAGTCTGGATTCATTGTATTCAAGTTCCATGAAGGTCAACTGGCGCACAGCAATGTGCAGCTGGAGGTCTTGATTGATGACTACATGTTCCCTGCCTATGTTTCTCCTAAGATTCATTCTCAAACTGTCAAGTCTTCTGATATTGGCGAAGCTTTCGTTCGTGAACTGGAATTCTCCAAGCTCACTTTGCGCTTAGTCAACAAGGATGATCCCAAGGACTCCAGCGAGGAGCACATCGTTGCCAAGCTGACTGGTGATACCCTGCCAACTTTGCAGCGCATTCTGTACACTCCTACCGAACTTATTCTTCGTTCCAACTCTGGTGAAGTCAGCAAGATCACTGTTAGCGCTCGCTACATTCCTACCCAGATGAAGCTCGACCCCAGGGAGAGTATCAACAACATGGGTACCCTCCGTGTTGATATTTTGGATGCTGCCGATCTACCTTCTGCCGACCGCAACGGTTTCTCTGACCCTTACTGTAAATTCCGCATGGGTGATGATCACAAGGACATCTACAAGACCAAGGTGCAAAAGAAGACGCTTCATCCCGCCTGGAACGAATTCTTCGAGACTCCCATCAAATCTCGTATTGGCGCCAACTTGCACGTCGATGTGTATGACTGGGACTTTGGTGACTCCGCCGACTGGCTGGGTGCCGCCCCAATTGATCTCGAGTCTTTGGAGCCCTTCCAGGCTCAAGAGGTCACTCTGCCTCTGAACGGCAAGTCTGGCGTGATCCGATTGAAACTGCTCTTCAAGCCTAGCTACGTCGTCCGATCTCGACAAGGATCCGCCACCTTCGCTGGTACTTTCGCAGTTCCCGGAAAGATCGTCGGTGCTCCTGTCAAGGGTGTTGGATTCGTGGGTGGCAACGTTGTGCGTGGTGCCTCATTCCTGAAACACGGTCTCATGTCGCACATTCACAAGCCTAAAGGCAGCGATGCCGATGCCGCATCCTTAGCCGAAAGCACTAATGATGAGGGATCGCCCGCCGCTTCACGAGGCGCTGGTGGTGGCTTGACTCCCGCAGCGCCTTTGGTGGATAGCCCCTCCGGATCCGCCACACCTACCAAGGAGCACAGCCGCACACGTAGCACTGCTTCTCAATACGGGGACCGTCTCAGCGTCCTCGGCGGTGGTCGTGGTGATGCGGGTACTGCACTCATCACCATTGTTTCTGTGTCTAACTTCTCTCCCACTGCTAATCTGCGGGTCGTCGTCTCCAAAGTTCTACCTGGTAAGAGTCCCAAGGAAGTCCACAAGACTAAGGGTCAAAAGGGAAGTGGAGAGGTCCAATTCAACGATACATTCAAGGTCTCCAATGCTACTGCTGATGCTCAGTACCAGGTTCGTGTGGTAAACCACTCAACTTTTGGCTCGGACGATGTTCTCGGTGAAGCTCTTTACTTCGTTGATGATCAGGGCTCTGCGGGTCAAGACAAGGCAATCACTGTCGGTTCGGGAACTGTCACCATTCGCTCGAGCTTCACTCCTTCAGACTCGAACTTGCGTCCTACTACCTCACACTCTACAGCTGGTGGAGGTGGAGGTGGTGACGAGAGTCCCGATAGCCCTGACTCCCGCAAGCCACGCCGCAGCTTCCTCAGCAAGCGGAATGTAAGCGGTGCTTAAAAGCCTTTTTTCTTTCTTTCTTTATTCTTTAATATTAAGGAAAGGCGATTAGAAGGCTCACCTTGTTTGTTCTTGTGACCCTTTTGGACTCTACATATGTACCCGACCTGATTTGACTGTATGAAGTTGGTACGAGTCTAGTATATGAAGAAAACCTCAAATGACCTGTTGCTTTGGGTGGCTGTTATGTGATATCCTTTTTTATTTTCATTTTTTATTTTCAAGTTCGTGTTTTACATGTTGCTTCTTCACTGTTCACCTGTTTATCCTGTTCACCTTTTTTTTTAACCTTTTTTTTAGCCTGGCTTTTTCCGGTCGGGTGTTTTTTTGGCTATCTGGTCTATCTTGTGCAGTCTAGCGTATGAGCCATGCAATGAAGTTTTTCAGCTTGTTCTAGACCTATACAGTATTCCCTTTCATGATTCGGTGTTTCAATTAGCTAATACTGAGGAAAGTTTTCGTTGAATTATTCATTACTACTAGTATTCATTTGAAATAGTTCAACTACACTGTATGTTCGTTTTAGCTAGGTAGTATGGAGCATGTACACCTTCAGCATGACGATCTTAGAATCTTCAATTACTAGCAATAGGAGGTATTTCGGCGTCTAATTAATTTCAAGTTCATTCAAGCTCACGGTGCAGTTCAAGTTACTCCCTACTAAATTCTCTATAATAGCATACGTGGAGCAGAGCAGATCTACTCCGTGCAGATTCTAAGTTACCCTAAAAACCCTGTTTAGTGCCTGCACAGCCCCGTTGACATGTTGATCTGCATTTCCTCTGAAGCTTAGACGTAGTATCTTGTACGGGATTCCATGGGTATCTTCAAGTTATCGGATTCGTGTTTCCGTTCGGTTGTAGAAGTCAAGTTGTAATGATTGTAGGATAGACTTGGATATAAGTTAGGTAGCCGTGCCACGTACACTAATCCGGCTACCCCGAATTAGTGTCCCCCACCGTAAAGGAAAATATCACCGTAAGGGAAAAAAATCACCAAATCTTCAATTTTTAACTACATAACAAAAGTATCGTGATAACCAATTACATCACCATTCGCACCAAGAATTTCTGTAGATACCATACTATTTTGACCTCTAACAGGACCTTGGGAAGGTGTCTTTGCATCGCGTTTTTTAATCTCTCTTGCCACTCGTCTTTCCTCTGCTGCATCTTCTTTCTCACGCCGCTCAGCAATAGATCGATTTGCATCTTTCACACGTAGAATACCATCATTTTTGAGGTTTAATAATTGTCTTTTGGTAGTTTTTTTAGCCCGCGGGGCTTGAATTTGGGCCATTTTTGCGATTGTAGTTGATGCATTCTGGATAGCCTCAACATGAAAATTCATCTCGGTAAGGACTTGCTCAAACCTCCGTTTTAATTTGGGGGTAACACCATCCAATTCCATCAGCGGAGCCAGTTTTTGTCGGCGTTTTTGAACGTCTTCGATTGTCTTTGAAGGTGTATTTTCAAGACTTGAAGATAATAGATTTTCTGGGGGTGGTGATGGTGTATTCCGAAGGTCAATTGATATGTCAGGAATCGGAGGAAGTGCATCTTCTAGTGGCTTGCAAACAATCTCAGCGTTAACTGGATAAATGCCTCTTTCCCGGAAGGAATTGCGGCAAACTCGCTGTGTTAAAGCTTTATCTCTAAAGCCCATAAGGTCTTCAAGAAATGAATTTTTGTTGGCTGTAATGCCACCACCCCACTGTGAAATAAGGTTATTTTGTTGACGAAAATAGGCCTTATAAGCCAAAAAAGGCTTGCCATCTAGAGGTTGAATATAATTGGTCTTATTTGCTGGAAAGCAAAAAATCTTTATCCTCTTCTGTTCAGCATACATTAAGAATTCCACAGTCAAATGGGAGCCACAGCCATCAAGAAGAAGAATTCTATACTCTCCACGTCTTACACGATGCTGTGTTTCTTGGTCAAATCTTTTAAGCCAAGACACCGCGAGTTCATCAATCATATAGCCTTTTTCAGTAGTAGCTGTCATCCAATTCTGGGGTAAATTGGTGTTATACCACGACTCCATTTGATGACGTCCTTTGAAGATAATAAGTGGTTCCATTCGCCAGCCATCAGCTGCAATACACTCAGCGACTGTCACTCGCTCTCCATGTTCTTCACCGGCGAGGCGAGGAATTTTTGATTGATAACGTGTAAAGACTTTCTGGGTTTGTCCTTGGCCAAGCTGGAAGCCAGTCTCATCAAAATTGTAGACGAGTCTCTCGGGCACACCGTTCATAATATTGGCTAATAAATCATACCAATGCCGTAGGATAGCGACATCTTTATCACTTATTCTCTTTGAATCGGTGACTTTCTGACGTCTCAGCCCAAAACTATCCTCAGAATCATTATCATCTTTGGAGAACCTTTTCATAAATCGATAGACCCAGTTTTTACCAACTGTTCGATCTGGTGTTGCCGACCGAGCAAGACTCATATTTGCCCACTGTTCTATAATATTTGGTGTCGGTGGAATAAATGCATCGTCTAATGACTTGATCCAATACATCAAAGCAGCTTCCTGCGTATCATTTAAAGCCTTATTCGTAGGTTTTCGTTGGTTTCTAGGCGTTGAATTTTTACGGACGCGAGTCCACAAAACTTTAGGCGAAATCCCATATTCCTCAGCAATGCGCGATAAATTTGGCTTTTCAAGGGTAGAGATATATCCAATAGCCTCTTCCATACAATATTCCTTATTTTCATAGAAATCGGCCATAGTTAAGGATGTGAAATTGATGGAATGGTGTGGGTGAAGAGATTTTTTCCCTTACGGTGATATTTTCCTTTACGGTGGGGGACACTAATTCGGGGTAGCCGGATTAGTGTACGTGGCACGGCTACTAGTAATTACGCCAGCTTGAGGTTGTAGCGGATGTATACCTTATTTTGTATGATCCATTCAGGGGAACATTCAACTTGAAGTTAATCTGTATGTAATGAAAGAGGATCCACGTATACAACTTGAATTCAATAGTGCTCATCTAGTGTACAATTCATCCCTGAGTTGAATTGAATTGGATCTAATTACTCCGTAGCGTAGGTGCATCTGTCTTTATTTCAAGCTAACAACCTCTGTCTTGGCAATTAACTTATTACGTAGCGCCCTACGGGGACTGTGCCTATTTCACGCTTCCGGAGGCTTTGGTTCGGTGGGGTGCGGGTTTAATTACATTGTGGTGAGATCCACTTTTATTCGATTTTTTTCTATTTTTTCTCTAGTTTCATCGGATTTCTTGGTTTGGTCTTGCTATTTGTAAATCTGGTTCAAGTTAATGGCGCTTGCAGTGAGGGCTGGTTGTGTATTGGATTTGTTTCAGTGCTTTTGGCTGCCATGACTTTTCTTTCGGATTTTGGCCGGCTTGCCTATGTTTAAAGTGCTGATATCTTTGTTTTTCGTACAGAGGAGATGTTAGGTGTAATCAATGCTACCTAGTATTGAGAGTAGAGGGTTTGGGAAGTGCTCATCCATGTCCAGGTGTATGGTTGTTATTGTCTATTGTAGGCTGGTTGAATCCAAAACTCGTGATACAAGGTGATTGTTTTAACAACTTCATTTTATACCTACGTGCCAGTGCAGCCCAGGCTGAATAGCGATCAGGTGATATTTGCCACCTGTCAAGAACTCATTTAGTAGGCGTGCCTGGTTCCGCTGCAATGAGTTGTGTGCCATGAGAGCATTGACGGAACTAGAACAGACTTAGGACATTTGGAATGAGATACGAATCTTGGTTCGGAGGCCAGCATTCCGGAGATATTATTAGAATCCTTGGAGGATATGATATTCGCCATACATGCAGGGCTCGGGATCGAGCCATGGGAGGGTTTTAAAAAAAGAGGCATTCTAGAATGAATGTAGTGCTGGTTATTGAGACAGATATAAGACCATGATCGAGGCAGTTCTAGAACCGGCAAAATCGTCTTATCGGCATAATCTGCAACTTGGACCTTCTAGGTCAGATTCCAGGCGACGACACCTGGTGGGGCAGATGGGGGTATACCATGCCCGACCGGAGGGACAATTCGGGTGGAACTGCAAATACCACCAAAGGCTGGGAGAGGGATCGAATGAGATAAATGAAAAAGGGGGAAATTAATGTTTTTTTTTTTTTTTTTTTGGGAAGCTGGATGTTCTAGTTCTTCTGGAACATGGGAATGTTGGTTATACAGGAGAGCAAAGAAGAGAATAGTTGAGTAAAATCTCTGATCGTATACTTTCTATACGCATTAGAACAAGGAAGTAAACTTCGTCAATTGTACGGATGAGTGTTCTGCCTCTCCCCCTTTAATGGAGCTCATCCCACCCCTTTTCCTTGTTTTTTGTTTTGTTTTGTTTTATTTTTCGTTCCATTTCCCCGTTGAAGCCCCCCTTGCCCCTTTAGGTTCTTATGACAGGACCCTGGAAGTGGCATCGCGACTATCGGGCTATGGGTTATCTTGCTGTACTCCGGAGAAGGGATTAGACATGTAGACAAGGGGGGCGTTCTTAGGTCTTACTATATACATAGTATATTAGTATGTCTTGGGTCTAGGGTTTTCCGGTCTCAGACAATTTAGTAGGGATTTAGGTATTTAGAGCTTTCGAAAGGTGACAGATCACCAGTCGGGAGCACTGTCTTTCCGGAAACTCCCAGATGCTTTCGACGGGCCGTTGTGGTAGAACGTGCGAGAGTGGGTGGATATGGGAGCTATTTCTGAGGAAATAAATCAGATATAAAAATAGTCAATTCGATTTCATTAATTCAATTAGATCCCCAATTTGAGTATAATTTAATAATTAATTAATTGTAAATACATGTAGCTCTATGTATATGTACAGTGCTCTCTCCCTTTTTACGGCGTCAATAAATATCACGTTACTCCCCCACCTCCCTTCCTCCCTGTCCTTTCTCTTTTCTCTTCGACAAATTTTTTTTTTTTGGCTTCCAAGGTTACAAGTCTCGGTGCTCTTGATTTGTCCCCTCCAATGCTGCATTGAGCATTGACAATTGATCTGGATTCTGCACAATCCTTGTGAGTTGGCCACCACCACAATCCCTCAATCCCACTCCACCTTGCCAATGACGGCAGCTTGTCGACATCCCGTGGCTCCTGGGCCCGAGCTGATCGACAGCTGTGGCAACGACCCCTCTTGCAAATTAAAGAACCTGGAAAAAAAAAATTCACTAAAAAAGAAAAAAGAAAAAAGAAAAAACACTAAACCATTAGCTTCTCTGTTACTGTGAACTCCACAATCTGACTTTCTATTTATCCACCAGGTCCCCTCCCACCTTTTCTCTCCAAACTCCCTTGTTATCTCATATCCCCCCATTTTCCCCCTACATCCTCCCCCACCTTTAATAACATGGCCGCCAAGGCACTTCCTGCCCACCTCCGGCCTGCTGCCGCCGATGCTTCCTCTGGTTTCGAGGGCAAGCACCATGGCAAGTCCCAGTCACACATGGTAAGTCAACATTGGAGACGTTGTTGCGAGGCCACGGGATGAAGCTCCGTTCCTGCCTGTTTTGCCCAGTCGCGCTTTCTGTTTTTGGGAGGAAAAGAGAGTTTGCGGTTGACATTTGAGTTGGATTGATTCATCATGGATCTCAACTCTGCTCTCTCTCTCTCTCTCTCTCTCTCTTCTTCCTCTCCAATTTCATCTTATTCCCATTGTGTTTATTGCCCACACCGTTCCAAGGTGTTTTATCTATCCCGTGAATCTTGATATCCCCGCGCTCTCTACGATCTGGGGCCTCTCACCCCCGCCAAAACCCCCCTCTCTTAATCCTCTCCTTTTTTGGTTTCCCTGAGCTTGGGGAATTGTTTAATTATTTAACTCGCATGATCATTCTGCATCATGACGTCCGAAGCATCGCTAACCCATATCGCCTCTCGCCAGGCATTCGAGAATGCCTCCACTAGCGTCGCCGCCTCCCAGATGCGCAATGCCCTGAACGCCCTCTCCGATTCCGTTCCCGAAGGCAGCGAGAAGAAGCGCTTCGAGGCTGAGATGGATAACTTCTTTGCTCTGTTCCGCCGCTTCCTCAACGACAAGGCCAAGGGAAATGCTGTCAACTGGGAGCGTATTGCCCCTCCCCAGCCTTCCCAGGTCGTCGGCTATGAAGAACTCGGTGCCGATGCCTCTGTTGAGTTCCTGAACAAGCTGGCTGTTGTCAAGCTGAACGGTGGTCTTGGTACGTCCATGGGTTGTGTTGGCCCCAAGTCCGTCATTGAGGTTCGTGAGGGCATGTCCTTCCTGGATCTGTCTGTGCGCCAGATTGAGCACCTCAACCGCAGCTTCAACGTCAACGTTCCCTTCGTTCTCATGAACTCCTTCAACACCGACCAGGACACCCAGTCCATCATTAAGAAGTACGAGGGTCACAACGTCGACATCATTACCTTTAACCAGTCTCGTTACCCCCGTATCATCAAGGACTCCCTTCTCCCCGCCCCCAAGAGCTTCGATGCTCCCCTCCAGGACTGGTACCCTCCCGGTCACGGTGACGTCTTCGAGTCCCTGTACAACTCCGGCACTCTCGACAAACTGATCGAGCGTGGTGTCGAGTACATCTTCCTGTCCAACGCTGACAACTTGGGTGCCGTTGTTGATCTCCGCATCCTGCAGCACATGGTTGACTCCCAGGCCGAGTACATCATGGAGTTGACTGACAAGACCAAGGCTGATGTCAAGGGTGGTACTATCATCGACTCCGACGGCAAGGTCCGCCTGCTCGAGATCGCCCAGGTGCCCAAGGAGCACGTCAACGAGTTCAAGTCTATTAAGAAGTTCAAGTACTTCAACACCAACAACATCTGGATGAATGTTCGTGCCATCAAGCGTGTTGTTGAGGAGAACGAGCTCGAGATGGAGATCATCGCCAACGAGAAGTCCATCCCCGCTGATAAGAAGGGTGAGGCCGACCAGGCCATCTACCAGCTGGAGACCGCTGTCGGTGCTGCCATCCGTCACTTCAAGAACGCCCACGGTGTCAACGTGCCCCGTCGTCGTTTCCTTCCCGTCAAGACTTGCTCCGATCTCATGGTTGTTAAGTCCGATCTGTACCGTCTCGAGCACGGCCAGCTGGTTATGGACCCTAACCGCTTCGGTGGTGTGCCTGTTATTAAGCTGGGATCTGATTTCAAGAAGGTCTCTGACTTCCAGAAGCGTATTGGCAGCATTCCTCGTATTGTTGAGCTGGACCACCTCACTATCACCGGTGCCGTCAACCTTGGTCGCAACGTCACCCTCAAGGGCACAGTTATCATTGTCGCCACCGAGGGCAGCACCATTGACATCCCCCCTGGATCTGTTTTGGAGAACTGTGTCGTGCAAGGTAGCTTGAGAATCCTGGAGCATTAGACGGGTTCCTTGGGAATAACTAGAAAACCTCTTAATCTTACCCGAAGCGACTCCTTCCCCGCGGGTCCTTCTCGCTTGCCTTAAATCGGCGGAATTGATCTGATACCAAGGATCGTGAACGGTCATGATGTTTGTTCTGTTTTTGGGAGGTGCATTCGTGGCTACGGAATCCTATGGAGTACGCAAAACATGTGCTTGTATTACATTTGAATAATCCAGCGTTTTGTCTTTTCTTTTTACCCTTCTCTTGTCCGTCTCTTGTCCTGGTTCAGGCTGCATTAGGATCGCGGTCTTATTTTACCTTCTTCAAGTACTACTTTTGTCCTGGACTATCCGAGTCAATGCCATCATCCTTTTTGATCTCCACATTCTACCACGTATATGAGACCTGAACTCCAGGCTGTCCTAAGACTCCATTCAAAGAAACAGTAGGAATATACTAGATAGATCTTATTGTATTGACCTCTTCATAGGTAATGATGCACGTGAGCACAGGTCTCGGGGGCGAAAAAAATCAACCTCCAGCAACAAAAAAAGGGCTATGACGTCGCGATCATGATAATGTACCTGAAATATAACATGAAAGAAACAGGGGAAAGAGAAAACCTTGATACGACTCCGTCCACGCAGTTGTTTCGACACCACGAGTAGTGCAACCTGAACGCTTCTCTGTGAGCCCACGCAATTCGATGGTTGTACGGTGTCTTGCTTCCTAGTGGTCATCGTTGCAAATTTAGGTTGATTAAACAAAAACAACAGTAAGTAAACGATGCAGGGGTAACATATTGGATCAGTAAATTATGTTGGTTACTATAAGTCACTGCATGTCGAAACATCGTGATCCGTATACTTGGAGTGGATTTGTGGCTGGCATCAGCTGCGTCTATTTCGACGACACGCCTTAGCCGCTATGTACCGTTGACAAGGCAACTTTAGACCTAGTACTTAAATTCTGTAAGAGAATACTTGAAATTTAGAGCGCCTTGCACTATACCTATTGGATGATATGTTGTTACATCATTCTTACATTATTACGTAGACCGCACGGTCCAGTCTGAGGGCTGTAGAGCACGTAGACAACTTGAAGCTGACATATCTGGATCTTTGGGGACAAAAAATACTCGAAAGCAAATGAGCAAAGCAATATATACATCTATATAGCTTTTAAGATCAGGCTGTAGTATATGGCAATGAAGGGAATAGAGATAGCTAATTAAATATGATGATCCTGCGTCAAAGGGTCTACTCTCGTCAGAATGTATACGGGCATGAAAGAACTCTACACATGGCAGTCCTACTAGTAGTTCTCCCACACCATGACCATGGATATAGTAGCAGCACTATATTTTTAACTTTAGGTCGGTCTCGAACTGCATCAGTTACCCTGTTTGGATGGTGCGGTGATCCATCACGTGCCCGGCTTTTCTTCCCGGCCCTTGACGGCCTTTGAATCTTTTCGTATTCTTGTTATCGAATGAATTGCAAGACAATGGAAGTTGAAGTCACAAGATGGGTGAAGCTTCCATGTTCATCATTTCGTAAACGTAGCAGAGATAGGCCATGCTGGATGGAATCATGTAATTGGACTTCTTTTCTTTCAAGTTGAAGTATTGTGTCTTTATGGTTCCATTCAGGTTTCTTTGTGTAGTGGCTAGTTCTTAGCCGTTACGTTATTTGCTGTGATAAGCGGACTGTAAGCCCGAAATTCCACTTTACGTCAGTCACCGCTATGGTAGTTTGATTAGCTTAGCTCAAATGATGCCCTAGGAAGAAATGAAATTCTTGTACTCGCAGCAGGAAATCTTTGCTTCTTAATTTTGACGCTAGGATCATGTATTTTATCACGTTTCATCCCGACGAACAAATCACCAATCCAGCGTCTTTCTTTTAAGTGCGTGCGTATATCAATATACAAGTTTTTATCAGAAAACTTTGAAGGTCTTGCCTCTTTACCTAAGTTGCCCAAGGCTCGAGACCTGTTGCCCCCCGCCATCACGGCTGCAAATGCCTCTGATATGATATAACCTCGACTCGTCAACGTGTGGCTACTTTGAAATTCGCGATGTGCCACCGCCACAGCACCTGGATCTCATCTTTAGGAGACGTTAGTTTCCCTTTTCTCTGCTGATTTTCAATACATATACACATATTGTATATACGTACGCTTTGAACTCGGCAGCCACATTGTACATGCATGCCGGAAGATACTAGCACACGATACGATACGATGAATGATCAACGCCGCCACATTGCCCAAGACCTCTCTCCTACTTCCTATCATGGGAGTCCACCAGGAGATGATTCTAGATCCTTTTCAGGACACACATGGAAGAAAAGAGTATCGACTGCATGTCTTGCATGCAAGAAGTCTAAGAGAAAGGTTAGTGATTGTCTCCCTGCAATTTAGACTGAGACTTTACTTTACCTTGTATAGTTAGACCCAGCTGACCACGGAAATTTTCTCCCTTCCAGTGTTCTGGAACACCCCCGTGCGAAAATTGTCGCACTTTTCAACGCGTTTGCATCTTTGACGAATCTCTTGACCAACGCCGTCGTGTCGCTGCTAAACGAACCGCTGATGAACTCTCATACCATCGGGACCTATTGACTGATCTCTTTCGATTGATTCGTGAGGCTGATGAATCCAACGCACTCCAGCTACTTGACATTATTCGACGCAATGCCCCGCCGCACGAAATTAGGACCTATATCGATGATGCCCTTGCGAGACTTGGGAGGGATAACACCGCGCCGAGGGAAACAGTGGCAAAGCTTGAGGACATAAAGCATATTATCAATGTTGAAGCGGAGGGTCCTTCGTTTCGGAGTAAGGTGATGGATATTCATTATTTATGTGATGAGGCGCCCTTGAAGGTTCCTGCGAGGCCGTGGACGAGTGTTACTGATGATGCGGATTTGGTGTCTCATCTTATTTCTCTCTATTTCACGTGGAATTATCCTTTTCAGGGATTTTTGGATCGAGATGTTTTTCTGAGACATATGAAGAGTGGGGATCTACGATCGGAGTTTTGTAGTCCTTATTTGGTCAATGCTCTGTTAAGTAATGCGTGTGTAAGTTGTGGAGTCCCCGTCTGATCATGATGGACTGAACTTGGTTACTCATTGCAGTGGTGAACATTAGTACTTTTCAGAGTTCTCGGAGGCATATCTTTATCCGGGCAATATAGCTTCTAAAGGCTGTGGTTTCTTAGCTGAGGCAGAGCGATTGAAAGAACTACAAGATCCTCAGCCTAGCCTGGTATTGCTACAGGGGACCCTTCTCATGCATGAGAGATATGCCCTGTCACGCAATGATGATCTGGGATATATCATGTTACACGAGGCTATCCAAATGGGAGAGGCTCTGGGGCTAGTTGGAGACAAAGGGCCTCGGGTAACATCCAAACAGTTATCAAGAGATATGGACTTTTCATGCAGAAGTGCAGCTTGGGGTCTTTTTAACATTGACACGTACGTTGACTGTGTATTCTTCTGTTACGACTGTAGCTTACATATCACGCAGGATGGTTCATACTGGCTTTTTAAGGCCTTGTCTGATTGATCATGTCAATATGCCTCGGAGTGAGGGCGAGTGTCTGGCGGATCAAGCTCGATGGACACCTTATCCGACTCATCGCCAGCCGTGTCCATCACAGATAGACCTCTTTTTCGAAGAGGCGAGTAATCTGTCCACCATTGCGCGGGATATTTCTCGGAGCATGTTTGGGGATAATGATCACAACTTGAACATACACTTGGAGCCGGTTCAACGCCGAAGTCGGGAAGAGCTATATGAGCAGCTACAGCGGTGGCAGAGGTTGTTGCCGACCGCGTTTGACTCGAAGGAATTGCCCCCGCATATAATCCTCTTAAAGTAAGTTGACTCATTTGGGACCTTCGTCAATGAACTAATCGAATGATGAATCTTGGGTATCCCTTGCATGATGAACACTGCAGTTGCTAACGTTGAATATACAGAATGCGATACAATGCACTGGTCATCAATCTATTCAGCTGCATCTCTGAAAACGAACTCTCAAGAACCACATCTGAAGCCCCTCATACCCCCGAAAGCCCACCAAGGCAAACACCGGAAGCCAAATATAATCCCTGGCAGGTTACGCAATCAGCTGCACGAAGTATTGCTGCATTAACACATCTGCATCGGCAGGAAGTCGGTCTAAGCCGCGCTCATCATTTCGCTATGTATGCGATCAACCTTGCGCTATTCGCGATGCTTGAACAGGAAACATTTGATGTTCTAGACCAAGATTTTCTCTCCTTGGCGGGCGCCTTCTCCATCGTTGCCAATCGATCGGCATTGGGGCGAAACTTGTTTCACATTTTCCGGCAGTCTGTGCGGGCCAAAGCTCAAGGCGACCGAATTCGTAACGCTACATCTATACCCGATGAATTGAAAGAATTATTCGATGAAGAGTCTAGGGGAGAAGGTGGTCATCGATTTGACCAGTACGCTGAGGGATTGGAGAAGTTGAACCAAAAGGAGAAATACCATGGCATTGGTAATGGCGGCGACACTAATCTCCAGGATTACCCTGGCATGGGGCTTGCTGATATGCTTGACCGGTATGAAAGCCTTAGTCTTGGGAAGGACGATATGCTTGTGGAAAGGTTCCGTCCAGTCAAATGTTGATTGCTGCTGGTCAAAGGTAACTCCTTGCACAACGCGGGTGTATATAGGCTTTCATTCGAGAGTCTTGGGGAAGATCTCACCTGGTCACCTGGTCAACTGTCAGTCCATGTCGAATATCAGAGGCCAAAATACATGTACATATTATCTGATGGCGACTCCGTGACCTTCATCAGGCTAGTACCAAGTTTGGATGTACTCAGATCTAGGAGCCACTTTGTTCAGACGAGGGTTCCCGTCAGGTCCACAATGTCCAGGATATGACGTCAAACGAGCCCCGATTGCTTGGTTATCTTGATATGTGAACCCCACAGAAGCTCGTGTGCGTCGAGTCGGATTTCAGCATTTTCTTCCAGGACAGGATCTAGTCTGGGTCTCTTCCGTGTTGAGGGGAAGTTAACGTCGGCACGCAAGTTAGGCGGGAAGAACTACTTGGTACATCTGGTCTGGTTCAACATGAAGCTTGAACCGGTCACGAACGAATTCCGCTCTGGATGTTACCAATGCAGTAAGTTTTTTTTTTTTTGACTTTTTTTTTTTTCTTGTGAAAGTCTTTCTTGCGCTCCCCCGCCTCCCATTTGAGGTTGTTTTAAATAGCATGCGTCATTGCACAACCCGACCTACACTACCGATCTTTTTACAAAATCTTGTAAAAATCAGCAAATCGGCGCATATTGTGTATCACTTCGCTGTTTCGCACATATTTTGCCCTATATGAATAGCAGGCGGCTTTCAGCGTCTAACGATGAATCTCACCCCTCTATCACGAGGTCTTTTTGGGCGCCACCCGCAAGCCACCCTTCATATCTACCCTCACCACAAACCTTTGATTCCGGGGTTCAGCCTTCCGCGTATCCTGTAACGAGTCCGGCGCTCTTGCACCCATTCGGACCAACGCCTTCGGCATCTGGAACAGATCCAAGCCATAGTCCTGATATCATACCCTCAAATAAGGTCGCGATTCCTCGGATTATTGGTTTGAACCATGTTCAAGCTCGAAGACGATCGGCCCGCGCATGTGAATCTTGTCGACACCGGAAGATCAAATGCGATGGCAAGAAACCGGTTTGTGGACAGTGTATCTATCATAAGAATCGTTGCATGTACGAGGATGCCAAAAGAATTCGTGACGAGAAGCAGCTTAAATCTTTAACTGGCCGAATTGAAAAATACGAAAAATTACTTCACTCGCTTGAGGGAGATGTCGACCCGCATGTTGCGCGGAAGATTCGAAAAACAATTAAGGTTAGTATAAAACACGCATTCAAGAGTCTCATAGGCATCTTAGAACCCCGACTCTATTATACCCAATTGTCTGTATAGATAATGTTTAACAATTTTGAAAATGTACAGCCCAAGGATGAAAACCATTCCGAACAAGCCGCAGGTGAACAGTCTGATTCGTCTTCGTCTGTCGGCTCCCTTGATGCTGTGGACATAGTAGGCGAAGACCTCGATCGCAACGAGAACACGCGCGCCGCTGGATTTTTCGGCAAGAACTCGGAGATATCTTGGATACAGAAGTTGGAGGATAATTCACGAAAGACTGCCGCTCAATCATCGCACGGTTCTATGGATTTCACACCCGAGATGGGCAACGTAGGGAAAGACATCCCCATCGCATCAATGAACTATCATCTGGATGACCTTGATATTCCTTTTGTTGACAACAAAACGGATCCATTTGCGATACCAGACCGAGAATTGGCAGACGAATACTTCAACTCATATATGGAGTTGGTTCACCCGTTCTTTAGCGCTGTTCGGAAATCGACATTTACATCTCAGTATTTGTTGATTTTTGAGCGGCCCTCGAAACCCTCGAGAAAATGGTTGGCGATTCTGAATATGATTTTCGCTATTGGGTGTCGACATTGTCGAATGATTAATGTCGAGAAGAGCAATGTCTATGATAACGAGATGATATTCTTGACGAGAGCGCGACAACTGAGTATTCATTCAAATACGCTGTTCGAGCATTCAACACTGCAACAAATTCAACTCGAGTTTTTGGTTTCCCTTTACCTACTCTGTGCCGGACAGTTAAATAGGTATGTTCTATTCAAGTACTAGACGTGACTCATATTGAGCCATACTAATTGTTAAAATATAGGGCATCCAAATTTGCAGATATGGCTCTCTACTCAGCAATCTCCCTCGGAATCAACCTTCGCTTCGAAGATGAGAACCCCCACGACGAATCAAAGGAATCCCGCTGTCGATTATGGTGGTCTATCTATGCTTTGCAACACCTTCTCACGTCAATGCATGGCCGAGCCTCTCGAGTCGGAGAGGGCATTTGTTCCGTCACCCTCCCCATTCCTGTCGAAGAAGAATCATTTGAGAATCCAGAGATCCGGCATCTCCTCCATGATTCCGAAGCCCGGATTAACGATCTCAATGCTTCGATCTTTGAGAAGCTCTCCAAGCCACACGTTGTACCCGATTGGGCTACTAAGACCCAGCCATGTCCGTCCCTCTTTTTTTACTACCTCGTTGATCTTTCCCTTGTATCCCAAGCAGTCCTGAACAAAGTATATAGCATCGAGGGTATGCGTCAAGGATCTGATCATACGGAACACCGTATCCATAAATATGGCCAGCGCATGGATCGTTGGCTCGCGAAAATACCTCCAGACTACCAATTTCATATTCCCGATGCAGGTCCTTGGAGCCTAAATCACTCCAAACTGGACGATGACAGTGCTCCACACGCTCGTGAACGTGTTTGTCTAGCACTGTACTACTACTCTGCCCGAATTACGCTCTGCAGACCCTGTCTCAGCCTCAATTACTCGCCCAACCCAGGCTCCTCGATAGAGGTGACCCATCGCGAAAAAATCCGTGCCGAACTAGCTACGAATTGTCTCCAGGCTTCGTGCTCGCTTATTTCTGTCTTTCCTGAGAATGTTGATATTGCCTGGTTAGCGCGCGTAACGCCCTGGTGGGCTGTTCTTCATTTCCTTATGCAGTCCACTACTGCGTTGCTTTTGGCTTTGTCGTATTCTTCTTTGGGTCCGACGGGAGAACAAGAGACTCATAATGCGAATGGAGCATCTAATTCTAAGTCGTCTCGTTTGTCAGGGAACCCGTATGCTGCTATTTTGGATACGGATCTGAGTACAGCGTTTACTATGAGTAAAAAGGCTGTTGTTTGGATCCATGCTATGGCTTCTGTTGATCCGGCGGCGAAGCGAGCGTTTCTGCTATGTGATGATATTGTGAGGAAGATTGCACCTACTTTGCAAATTGATTTGAGCGATTGGCCTACTTTGAGCTCGTTTGGGGATAGCGGTCGCTATGGAGTTGATCCTGCTGTGGTTATGGATATGAGCGATTTGGAGGATTTCGTTGCTTTCGAGGATGAATAAGTTGATTTTTTATTGATTTCGATTGAGGGAAACGCTTGATTTTGCTTTATATCCTGGTGTGCGTGCCTGTCACATGAAAATGAAAATTCCTTCCAAGTTCAAAGCATCGATATCTACTAGAAAATCCTTGGAAGTTGAAGCTGTAAACAAAACAAAACACTCAAATCTTGAGATACATGTATAACATAGAGTAATACTATCCATCATATAATTGAATCATGATCCAGCTTTCGATAATGGATATTGAATTCAAGTTGAAAATATGGTGGATTTCCATAGATCTATACAATCTTGGAGGCCGGCAAATGCCAGTGAATACGAGGCGAAACATCTGGTGTCAATATAATGACCCGTACAATGAAATTAGGAATATGTACTACAGCATTAGATATATGTGTCAAAAGAAAATCACAATCAAAACCAGACCGACCAAACCAGACCAGCTAAGCAAACACGCAGAATGAAGAAAAGGAACTAGGAAATGAAGAAGAGGTGAAAACAAGTCACAAGCAAAACATGCCCATGCCCATCATGCGAAGATCAAGCCAACATATCACGTAAACGCCGGAAAGAAAATAGGATATCCTAATAACCACTTCACTGGGTTCGTGAATAGTCATGCCAGATGATAACATAGAAAAGAGAAACATAAATAGGAAAATGAGAGATGAATACAAACGGCAAGTATTCAGGAGGAGGGGAGGAATAGATGCAGGATTTGATTTAGTATAAGTACCTATCTATCTTCAAATGTTGCCATGTACCCAGGTAGATAGGGAACACTGAAACCCAATGAAGATAAACGGGTAGGAATAAAACAGGTAAACTTCGAAACATCACAAGATCGTAGGCCGTAATTAAATTGCGATGAGCAGGTATGGTTTATTCAAACAAGACATTATTGGTATCCTTGGCCTAGTCATGTGGGTTGCGGCTGGAGCTGGATCTGGAATGTATGCTGATGTTGATGCTGTGGCGCAGGGCGACCTTGTGGCCTGCCACCTTGTGCCTGAGCTTGAACCTGCATTTGCGCCTGGGGTTGCATCTGGGCCTGGGCTTGGGCTTGAGTTTGTGGCTGGGGAAGTCCATGGACAGCTTGCGGTTGAAGATGTTGCATCGGAGGCATTTGCATGAACGGGTGCGAGGGAGCAGGGCGTGGAGGATGGACAGGCGATTGTTGGTGCATGTGCATATGAGGCATTGACATAGGCTGACCAGGTCGAGGAGGAAGCTGCTGGTGCTGCTGTGATTGCTGCTGCTGCTGAGCTTTTTGTTGAGTTTGAAGACCATGCTGGCTGTTCTGGTGTGTCATGTGCGGTGCCTGTGCCTGAAGATGATGTGGGGCCCCGGGGATTTGTTGGCCTGGTCGAGGGAGAGAGTGGTTCTGCCCAGGCAGTTGCTGACCCGGCTGTTGCGTTAAGGATTGGCCCTGTTGGTGGTATGGAGGCGTCGGACAAGCTCGCTTGTTGGGATCTTCATCTCCAGTGGTCACCGCGCGCTTATGAGCTTGATTCATATCTGCGTTGTCACTAGGGTTGATGGGTTTGGCATCTATTTGAGTAGAATCTCCACCATTTCCTCCTGCCGCTGCGGCAGCTGCAGCGGCAGCGGCAATATCCGCTTTACGGGGTCTGCCACGGGGTCTACCTGTCCCAGGTTGTTTAGGTTTATTAGCTCTGGGAACGGCTGGTTTTCTCGGCTTGGGAACTGGCAGCGGTTGCCCAGTGGCTTGTGCCCAGGCAATCTGATCCGCCTTGCGTGGACGACCGCGCTTGCGCTTTAAGGGAAGCGGAGTTCCATCCGGTCCGATAATGGGTGTAAACGTGGATATTCCCCCAGGGCCAGTCGGTGTCATATTAGAGTTGAAAGACGCTTGCCCAGGTTGCAATCCCGGAATGGGCTGACCAGTTTGAGCAGCTCTGGCGGCGGCTTCAGCAGCTCTAGCGGCAGCTTCTTCCTTACGTGGCCGTCCACGCTTGCGGCGTGGAGTTGGCGTTTGGGGTTGCTCGCCGTTAGCGGCGATTACTTGGGCCGGTCCATTGGGCTGAGCAGGAGTCACATTGTGTGCAGACCCAGGAGCATTCTGCTGTAGCTGAGACTGAGCCTGTCCTGCTTGGGTTTGATTAGCAGCAGGTGTCTTAGGCTTCGATTTCTTTTTTGGAGCAGGACTTCGGTCCTCAGCCTTAAGAGCTGGATTCTCTGAAGAGGCGGTGGATGGAGGCTGCAGTATAGATGCCCCTGTGGATGTGTCCGCCGAAGCCTGCGCTGTTGGTTGATAATGCTGGAATTGAGAAGCTTGCTGTGATGAAGAGAATTGGGATTGTTGAGACTGGGAGAACTGAACAGGTTGCTGTTGAGTATACTGGCTCTGTGACTGAGGCTGGTACTGATGGAACGGTGGTTGAGCATGTTGCGTAAAGGGAGATTGTTGCTGCTGGTAGGGATTTTGAATTTGAGTTTGATGGTGTAATTTCTGTAGCCTTTGTTGTTCAAGCATATCCTTCTGTTGCTGCTCTAGCCTTTGCTTTTCTAGCAGCTGTTGGTGTTGTCTTTGCTGCTCGAGTCGTTGTTGTTGTTGCTGTTGCTGCTGCTGCTGCTGCTGCTGCTCGAGGCGTTGCTGCTGTTCCAACTTTTGTTGCTGCTCCAATTTCTTCTGTTGTTCAATACGCTGTTGTTGCGCCTGTTGCTGTTGTTGCTGCTGCTGCGCCTGTGCCTGTTGCTGTTGCTGTTGAAGTTGCTTCTGCTGCTCCATTCGCTGCTGCTGCTGTTGCTGCTGTAAGCGTTCTTGATGTTGTTGCTGCTGCTGTTGCTGATATTGTTGTTGCCTCTGCTGTAAATGCTGCTGCGCTTGCTGCGGTGATTGTGGCTGGGATTGGGGCTGGCGTTGCTGCTGCTGCTGTTGATTGATGGCGAACATGGAGGGACTAGCCATAGATGGACTAGCATTTGGGTAGCTATCTCGTTGATGCACGCCTGAGTGAGGAAGTCTATTCAGCGACTGTTGTGGTGATGACACGCTTGTTGAATGGGGATGCGACAAGGCGTTTTGTGGGCTCATACCAGGACTCATTCCGGGCTGCGGTCGCATTTGCGGCATTGCATTGTAACCCCTCATCAGATCTGGGTTCCGCGACAATAAATCGGGAGACCCTTGTGGGGCAAAGTGACCAGGAAATTGTGCCGCAAAACTGGTAGGGGTGGGATACCCCGCCAATGGACCACTGGAAGTCGGGGCCATCTTACGCAGATCAGGGGATTGCGAGGCCGTAAAACTCTGCTGTGGCTGTCCGCGGAACAGTGGCTTACTACCAGGAAAGGGGCTTCCATGTTGAGGGAGGTTCGGGGCGGCGCCTAACGATGGGGATGGGACATGCTGACGTGGGGGACCCAGGGGATGCTGGGGTTGACCGGCTTGATGGGGCTGATGCGGTTGTTGCTGCTGCTGCTGGGAGGGGTGAAACGACTGACCCCCGTATCCCATCATCTTCAATAACGTGTGATTCTTGTATACGGTGTATTAGTGAGCAGATATGATTCGACGGGGTTTTGAATCTTTGATCATGCACAACACATGCGACCACCGCTTGCGAGAAAACCGGGCTGCGTTAAATAGTGGGCGAAATATTAGATTAGGAGATCGTTAAGCCCCGGGCCCTTTTTTCGCAGTGGTCGCGTGTTGACAAGACAAAAGTGATGAGGTGGCTCGGTTGAGACTACTCGTGTAAGTCGCGCCGCGTGTTTTTCTGTTGTTTCGGACGAGCCGAGTGATCCAGGCCTCAGGCAGTCAGGCAACAAGGCAGAAAGTTTGCCTCCAAAGTCCCAAAACGGCTTAGCGGCTACGGAGACCGAGTGCTGCCGGTCAGCGCAAGTTGGAAGGAAATTGGGCCAGCACACAGGAAAAGGGGGGATTCAGGGGGTCGAGAAACCACCAAGGCCAGTCGACCCAACAGGATCAAGACCGATCAAGTGCACCCTGAAAGAAGACGGGAGGGATACACGGAGGATCGTGGGGGGAACCAAAGTGGAGGACGATGGGGGATCTCGATGGGCGAAAGGGTCAAAAATAATAATAATAATATAAAATCAAAAATCGAAATTAAAAAAAAATTCAAAATTCAAAAATCGACGAAATTCTCTCCACAGCACGTGACCGGAGCGGGGAAACCTAGTGTTGTAGTTGAATGGCCTAGCCCAAGTATACTATTGGGGAATCCTGGGCATGGAGTAATGTAACTGAAATTGAACTTCCTGTTGGTGAGACAGTCTTGGCCAATCAGCCAGATCAGGAATGTGTCAATGTGAGGATATTCGAACATTTTTGGAATCTTTTAGTCTTGCCTTATTCACATCTTAACCGATTCAAGTTATTGCCTTATAGCCTGATGAATGTGCTGTGTAGTATGTGCTACTTAGTATACTACGACTTCCCACACTGAACTTCTTTTTTCTTTTTTTCGGAAATTTTGAAAATATATGCCAATGCGGAGAATACCACACAAAATCAAAAATCAAATATATTTTGATGATCAGAAAGCCAAGAGTATACTGTATAGAACATGGGCCCGAGGATGCTTCGAGAGCATTACTTTTGGGGAAGCTATTTCGCAATATTGTGGGAAAAACACATCTCCAAATAGCCAATATCCCCTTGAAGCAAACTTCTCTGGTAACCAAGGACGTTTTTTCTTCTCGGACTATTGATTGTTAAATTTGGTCACCAAAATTCCCAAGGCTCTGGCCTAGTTGATCTAAGACTTTTGGGAATCGTGAACGGCCATATTGCTATCTAGTACTAGCCACGATCGTAAAAATACACGCTAGATGCTATTGTTTTCGAACTCGGAAGTGTCTCACATATAATCATTGAAAACACAGGGAAAGGGCTGCTACGTGTGTTCTTTCAGTAGTACTATAAATATTCGAGAAACTCTAGTACTTACCAACTAAATGGGACAGAGAGAGGAATACTAGTATCACGTTGATTAAGCATATCATTATGTAGATGAAGAAACAAAAAATAAATAAAATGGCGTCTCAAAATTCATTTAAACATATCCAAATGGGCAATCGTCCAAGGTCTTGCCAGGAACCTATTACGACCGATCCAAGCCCAAGGGGTTATCGGCATTCTGTTGCTTTCCCCCAACACTCTGGAAACCATTTGAGACACCTTCACCAGCACCCTTGGTCGCGTTTCCTAGCCCCTCGGTTGCGCCCGAGACAGTATTTCCAAGGCCCTGAGTCGCGCCACCAACTGTGTTTCCGAGGCCACTGACAGTACCGCCTACAGTGTTCGTGAGGCCGCCGACTGTTTTCCCAACGGTATCGCCCAGACCACCGAGGAGTCCACCGCCTAGAGATAGACGCATCGTATTAGTAAAGAAAGATTTCGTGATGTCCCTAGAGGAGTGGTGGCTTCAAAATGAGTTCTTACTGTTTTGTTGCTCAGGCATGTTGTAATTCAGAGATGATGTGCGAGTAAGAGGCGAAAATAATCGTAGTAGAAGCGAACTTGAATGAGTATTCGCAGTAGGAAATTATAATATGTGTTCGTGTTCAGAATAATATATCTCATCCCAGTAGGGAAAGCCTGGCTATATACTTTTCGATTGATTAAGTGATAATGATGAAAACCTGTTCCGAGCAATGATATAATCCGTACGACTCGCCCAAGCCACAACCACTTTAATAAATTAAACCCACGTCAACAGCCGCCCCATTCGTCGAATAAGAAAATCGCCTTCGATATGACAACCACACCTGGCGGGCCTGATGAAACGCCGCCTGACGTAAATGTGCTCCAGGTATCCACAGTTTTTGATCGCCTCAACCTGGTTCGGTGACATGATTGGATCAGATATACCCCGAATCACCAAACGATGTCCATGGCAAATGGCGGACATCTGTCATCTAAAAGCTTTTTATATTAACTCGAAGGAAGAAATTTATTCAATTAACATATGCGTACCATTTCTGGATTGTGGCATTTTGAATTGAAAATTGACGATTTTGATAGTGGTTCAAAATGATGTCATTGTATCTTGATCCGATTCAATTCCCAGTGAACTCTGACGTAGATTGAGAGATCATTAGATTTGCTGTTCACTAATATCATATATTTTCAGAACAAAAATGTTTGCATTCTAAAAGCTAAATGTAAAGCTTCTTTGATGTCACGACCGTAACTTCTAGATTTGTGTATCAACTCAATCATTGGCAAAACCCTGTGCGTCTTTCCAGGCCTCAAGTTTGGTGAAAGGGAGCCGGAGGAAGATATAATATGGACTGGAAGAAAGCAAAGAGATATATCCTCATATATTGAGACGTGAGACTGGAGGTTTACTATTGGATCGAAGGAAGCATTTGGTTATTATTGGTAGATATGGTTAGTACTACCGATGCATGGACTTGCAACTTGAATAGGCGATTACTCAACATTTTTATATAAACGGGCCTCACTAGTTCTATCTTCTTACTGAATGAGTATTCCAAGTTTAACATATGTCTTCTTGACGTTGGATTGAATTCTGTGTGAATGTATATGAAGTAGATCCATCAGCTTAATGAGATTCAAAAAACTTTGAACAAATGGATCTTGGATCTCGCCGATCGTACTATTCTTGCTTGGTAGCTCAGCTCGCATATCCTTATAGTAAGTTGCAGCTCAAGAGTGAGATATGGTGCCTGTTTCATTGAACAGCCAGACGACAGTGGAAGTGGATTCCTTGTTGACCGCTACTTGAGCCCTAGTATTGAGAAACGCTATACTTCAATAGCTTCACCGTACAGTACCAAGACTCTGTACAACTCATTGGAGTTTGTATTGGAGTTTGACGGATACTTACTGCAAAATCGTAGAAGCGGCCATACAAACGGATGCTCTGGGGCTGAAACCTATTTTTAGATCTGAAATTAATGTAACCACAACACTTTGCCTCTTGGCACATTCTAGACATGAATCGTATGGGACTATATGTTTGCCCCGGTGCATCTCTTTGATTCAGAATTTATTGGTTCTAGGCAGGCTACAAGGAATGTCTCATCCTGCGATTCATGGTGCCAAGGATTGCCCTAATTATTTTTCTGCGCCATGGATCTAATCTACGGACGTCTTGGAAGGTGCTAAACAATAACTATAATTCGGTAAGTTGTAACAAATAAGAACATCTGGAAGGCACAGATATTTGGTATGATTGTATTCGAGCCAGAGACTCCAGGCCGGGAGCTTCAACTTCCAGCTTTACACACGCTATATTTGGCCGATACTGATACTACGTTCATGGGAACGGTTCGTTCAGGCGGGTACTAGAGCCAAGGGCGATTTCAGGCGTCCTTTATAAGGCTGGGCTTAGTTTCTATTATAGGCGATCTGCTGCTATAGCCTATGAGAACGATCATCGCCGAGCCGAAAAGGTAGAAAATAAGGCCAGCAGCCATCGGGGCGTCCGGGGAAGCCGCAGCAGCCTGTTTCTTATTGGGTGCGTCAAAAGTGCCTTACTTACTATATTCCCCCCTTCCTACTAGAATGCTGCAATACCACTCCATTTCAATAGAACTATGTCAAAGGTCCGACCGATCCGTGTCTCAATCTAAGCACCCGGGTACGCTTGAGACACCGACTCGTCAATTTCTCGAGAAGCATAAATAGCATGAGTGATCTTCCCGAAAAAGAGAATATTCATTCAGACAATCTACTAGAAATCAAAGCCTTAATTACCAACAATCAGAACTCTTCATTTATATTCATCACAACAACTCAAACAGTCGCAATCATGCACACTACTCAAGCTCTAATGGCGACTCTCTTCGCTGCCTCGGCTGTCCTCGCGGCCCCTACGCCCACCTCCACCTCCATCTCCACTTCCGCATCTACTTCCAGCGTGACATCCGACTGGGTTATTCAGAACCTTGATCGTGATTGCACCGAAGATCAAACCTCATGCACTTGGACCTTCAGCATTTATGATGGTGACACAACCACTGAGTGCACCTACATCGTAGATGGTCCTGATGTCAGCGGAGGCCCTACTGAGTGTGGCGGTTACACTATCACCAGCAACTACGTTGGGGATGCGGATCCCGCATGGACACAGATGTCTGTCATTAAAGATGGCTACCTCATCTATCCTGATTACACAGACGCCGAACTTGCCAGCCCACCCGTCGCCGACTTCACCCAGGCTCCCCAGCCTACCCCATAGAGCTTTCTACAGATATTGAGGCATATTGGTGGGGCTGAATTTGGGTCCGTGATTATGAAGTTATTTTACATGAAGTCTTGAGAGGCAGGAAAGCATACAAACTTATAGATAGCGATTCCATGCTATATCTAGCCAGCCGATTTGTTTAATCATTTAATTGAATATCATCAATGTCGTCAATTTACTTTAATCAGTCTACTAAATGGCTTGAACATTAGGCTTAACGAAACTGACTGCTCATTTAATCACTAGTACGTTACTTTTTCTAACCTTACATTATATAGTCTAAGTTTCTGGCTTCATCGTGGATTTTATGCGACTATGATGGTTACCGAATAGACTAAATGAGCAACAGCAACGCACTCAAATTTATTATTGAGTCTTATCTAATTACAGCTTGAGGAAATCTCATGATATCTCATTTCCCGACCGAAAAATTTGTACAGTATTTATGAATGAATAGAAAACCCGTTACAGACTTGCTTTGCCCTGAGGCTCATATGGCATCAACACCACAAGGATACCAGCGGCAATGAATAGTGCTCCGCTGGCATATACCGGCGCGGCAGTGTTGAGATTGGCAAACATGGCAATGATGGGCGACATGATACCAAAGATTCGGTTTGCAGATGCTGTCAACGCATTTCCGGTGCCGCGGTCTTTGGTGAGAAAGATCTCGGGAGTATACGCGTAAAGCACAGCGTACATAAGACTGCTCATGAAGTTGAACGCGCAATTCCATCCCAGTAGTCCATTGGAAGAGGATGCAGTTGTGGATGCCAATAAGAAAACGCCAGTCAATACGGTCGAAGTCGAGAGCGCACCTTTTCGACCAAAGCGAGGTAGCTCAACAAGAATTCCACCGAGTAGACATCCTGGAACGCCCATCACAGCGATAATGAGAGAGTTGCGATAGGTTGTGTAGGTGGATCCATCACCATATTCCGCACCTCTTTGGGCAGTGATATACGGTATGAAGGCATTGTAAAGAGGGTAACCCAAACCAATGAACGCCCAGACAAATATAATCAGAGTCGTCGAATAGGCTCGTTTTGGCGAGTTGAACAAGGCACGAACGTGCTCGAACTTTAGCTTTTTCAGTCGCTGCTGGACGAGACTCGTCGCTTGTACACCGTTCGACGACTCACCATGGGCCCGGTCCAACTCATCCAAGTCCTCTTGTGACAAGGCCGAAGTCTTTCCATTTCGCCGAGCCACTTCATGAACCACTTGAACCGCCTGGGCATTTCGCCCCTTACCCATGAGGTACTTAGGCGACTCATAGATAGTAAACAAGACAAAGCGCGCGAGAAACATAAGCATCGCTAGTCCGCCCATAGCAATCAAAAAATAACGCCATCCCATATTATTCTGTTTGGTACAACCCTCCGCTGAAGAGCAGGTAAAATCACCAAGTAATGGCCACGCGACCAAGTTCGCCAAAACTTGCGCCAACGCCCAATCAATGGACAAAACAGTCAAAAGATATTGATGCGACCCAGGCAAAAACTCCAAGAAAATAGCAGAGTCTACGGGTAGGTTCCCGCCTACCCCAACAGACCATAAGGCTGCGAATGCACATGCTGCCCCGTAATTGGGCGACCCTGCTGCGATCAACGCAAAGACAGCCGTCACACCAATAGTGAGATTAAACGCCCACGTCCGACCGAATATATCACACCCGAAACCCCAGAATACCGCGCCGACCAATAGACCAATGTTTTGTGCGAGCGTGAGGAGTGACTCCTTGCCGATTTGGAATTCGTACGCGACCGGCGCGAGAATGAGAGACGTCACGATCGGCCAGAGATTATCGCTTGCCCAGCCGAAACCGATGACAATGAAGAGTTGCCACTGGTATCTACCCATACCAATCTCCTGGATTGCATGGTTAAGAGCTTCTGCTTTGGCATTGTAATTTTTTTCAGGTCCATCATCTTGTGTGGTAATTTCTGGATCTGCAGGAGAGTAATCTTCGGATGTTGCAGGATGTGGAAGTGGAGACTTTTGAGGATCCGACATGGTGTTTAATTTTCCTCACGCCCGGGGCCCAATAGGTCGATATGAAAGAATGAATGACTAAATAACCCTCGTGGGGAATAGACGTTATTCTATATAGCGACTGTATGCCAAAATCGCCCCCATATTTCTATGCGTAATCACGCTCCTTGCGCAAGAAGCTTAGAATGTGCATCAGCATCGTCGAATCAGGTTCGTTGCTTACCCATAAACTTTATCTGTTGACATTCTTGCTTTTACCCTTTTCTGCCCCATGGGATCCTGCAAATCGCGTGCTCGTCAATTCTCATCAAATGAAGTTTAGCTTCCCCCATCTTGCTTTTTCTTTTGGTCTTTATTTGGGGGTTTTGACGTAGCGTGGGTTCGCATGGGGAAATACTGAGGACGATTATGTGTTTCAGACATGCCAAGTTTGTTAAAGCCCTTCGGCTATAAGTATATTACCACTTGGTTCAGAAACTTTATATATGTCAGTGGCTGACAAGTTAGTTACTTGAAATAGATACAAAGATCGATGTACGAAGTACAAAATTGAAGAATAGAATCAATACAGAAAAGTTGTCACACCTAAGCGCGAACTGGATAAACAGAAGTCGCCGCAGCACTAGCTAGAGCACTGTAGGGAGTAAGACCGGGGTAGAACGAGGTCGGGATAGCTGGAATTGGAATGGGCGAGTCAGTTCCAAAGGCAGCAGTCAGGTCTGAAGCCATTGTAGCGGCCGAGTATCCGGTCGGTGCAGCAGTCACGGTCACAGTGGTAGTGTAGGAAGTGTAGTCATCCCCATCCTCCAGACAGGCACCCTCACCGTAGGCGCTCTCACACGAGTACCACTGGTAATCGCCCTCTTCAGTCCACATGGCAAAGTCTTCGATGGTGATATCGGTACATGGTGCGGCGTCGGCACAGTTTACCTTGATGGGGCCGCGCTCAGCACCATCTGCCTCGGTTCCCTTCCAGTTGCTGAAGGTGATGTTGTTGAGCTGCACACCATCACCATCGACGGTGCTCATGCTGCTCCATTCCTGATCCACGTCCAGGGAGTACGCGTTGCCATGCCCTATTAACTTTATTAGCTTGATATATCAACCTTTTTTGTTGAGATTCATACCGATGAAGTTCTCAAGAAGAACGTTGGAAACACTTCCATTGCCTCCATTGCTCTTGATCATGTACATCTGATTGGATGACCAGGTATAGATGTTGCGGTATGTAATGTCAGAGATGTTGACTCCGGTAGACAGAGAGCCCATGGCACAGCCACCGCTCCAGTTGCAGTAAATACTTTCCACCAAGATATTCTGGGCAGGGCTCTGGATGGAAGTTAGTAAATGAGTAGTGTTTTGAAAAATTTGAAACTGACCTTGACAGTGACACACTCGTCCTTGTTGGTAACCTCGACCTAGGAAGGGTATTAGTATCCAAAGGTATATAGGAGTGAAGCAGGATGAACGCACATCATGAACCCAGATATTGGTAGACCAGACATCAATACCATCCAAGCCACCCTCATTACCTCCACGAATGATCATGTTGTAAACCTCGCCATTCTCACAGGTGTCCATGGAGAAATGAAAAGAGGGGGAGTCAACAAGTGCAAGGTCGTGAACCGAGAAGTCGACAACCTCATACAGTCGCAGAATACGAGGTCCAGAAACGCTGCCATCCGCATGGTAGACGTAGCCAAAGCCTTGGACTGCACCTTCCGAAGTAGAACTGAGCAACTCGAAATCGGTTGTGTGCTCAATGTAAATCATGTTCCCACCATCAGTACCGGTTCGGTATATGATTCCATCAATGTTGATAGCACAGCTACTGCCTCCGGTGAGGGTGACCCAGCTGTCGAGCGCATAGTCGCCGGATGGGATGTAGACGACGCCACCGTCCTTGCACTCGTCCCAGGCAGAGCTGATGGCCGGTCCGACGTCGGTGGAGTTATCGGCGACACCACCATAGTCGAGGACGCTGCAGATCTTGTTGTCTGCCTTGGACGCGTAAGAAGTTGTTGGGCCCACGGAGCCTGAGAGTTGAGCCGTTGCAAGCAATGGCGCCAGGCCAATTGCAAAGAGAGACGCGAGCATTTTGAATAAAATCGAAAAAGAAGGAAAAAGAAAGAAAAGAGAGTAAAGATGAGGATTTCACAGAAATGTGCACCAAGGAAGTGGCTAGGTACACATAGTAATATAGCCTTGGGAAACCCTCTCCAGGGGAAGCGGCACGGCAAACTCGTCACAGATCATGGCTTATATCTCAACCCGATTTAGAGTGGTGGGATATATTAATTTGGCCCCTCCCGTCAGATCATTCGGCACTTTCAAGCGGTACCACGGGTTATTGCTGGCCGAGTCATTGGAGTATGGGGAGAACCGTTACATGAATCAATATGTTCCACTTGGCGACCCTAGCGACCGTCCGCTGAGGAATGGGCCCGCGCAAAGAAGCCATAGAAGCCTGAGTGGGGTCGACGGATGGGCCGTCCATAGCCCCACAAGGAGAAAATGCCGATGAATTAAGATTGGAGGGTTAAAGAGGCCCCGAAAAGCCGTCTGACGTTGAGTGATCGGCGGTTTCAGAGCCGATGTTGATGCGGCAGGCGTTCTTGAACGGCATTTTTTGCGGGGCTGATCCAGCCTCCTCAAACACCTCCTTAAAACCCCCTTTACGCTCGGCACTGCGTTGTCGCGTTCGCGTCGAATTTGGTAATGATGTGTCGATCCACCGGGGTTTTACCGGAATCCACGAGGCGAGAATGTTCATCGAAGCGAACGACTTTGCGTGGTTTGTCACGCTTTAGTCAAGACCATATGGCCAAGACATGAGCAGTAGCTGCCCGTCGGCTTGAGAAATTACGAAAGAGATACTCCGTGGATCCAGCCAGCTCCTCTGCGTTTGAAAGCTTACGCGGCGCCATCTTCAGACAGGCATAAGAGGGTGCGAGCTATGACGTGGGTGAACGTTTTGCCTGTATGTCGAGCTGACGCGCGATGAAAATGGTATTGACACTGCCATGAAAAGAATTTAAATCAAATGTCATGAACTGTCCGGTGAAAAGTAAGTCAATGTCAAGAAGGATAAAAGTATTGTAATTAAGGGAACCGTCGGAACATTTGTCTGTCAACACTTCTACATTCTTGACGGAAAATTTTTCAGGCCTCTGTCGCCCATTCTATGGACGGGTGTTATCCCATATTAGGAAGAGATCCACTTCAGAGTTTGATTCACACCAGTTTCATATTGTTCAAAGAAATACACCCTCAAGGAGATAAAGATCTGCGATTCTAATCATTGAAGTGAAATCCATGCTTTCTATATTCATCATGATGTTTCTATATGCATATGGTTCATTGCGTGAGCATGATCGTTTATATACTGTCAAAGTCCAATCAGTGAACTGAACTCCCCCAACTCCCCCAATGCTGTGTTATATACAGTAACAAATCCCCACTAGAGGGTACTAGCAGCCACTGTAGAGCTAGCCAGCTTGGACCGAGCACGAAGTGCAGGCCCGAATTTATAAAGGATGAATGGAATGAAGGTCAGCGCAGTAGCAATGAGTGCCAAAAGAAGACCAGCATACTGGCTGCCCAAGTTCTCAAAGAACTGAGTAGCGAAGAGGGGCGAAATGGCACCAAGGGTGTTACGCATGAAACCCTGTCCAGCAATGGCAGATGAAGAGTTTTCGCCATAACAATCGGAGGTGTAGCTGTAGCAGGACTCGAAAATGAAAAAGATTCCAATACTAATGAGAGCTAGCCCAATAACGGGACCCACCCAGCTGAGTTGAGCATATTGGGTGAAACTGTAGATGAACAGACCGATGGGTAGCCAGACCGCACCGCACATAGCACCATACAGACGGGCCTCGGGGGTGACCTTGGTAGATGGGTCGGCGACAAGAGACTTGTACTTGTTAATCTGCAGGAAGTTCAGACCAAAGCCGATAGTCGTACCAATGCAGAGAGAGATATAGGGAAGACCGGCGACACCTTCTCCCCAGCCACGCTTGTCGGTGAAAGTAATCGGGATGACGGAAAGGAAAAGGAAGGTCAAGAACCAGGCAAAACTAATCCAGAGACCGAAGGCGAAGACGACGGGCTCGGTGAAGAGCATACGAACAGCTTTGACCGATGAGTTGTGAAGCATCTGCTTAATGCCAGGTGCTTCAAGGTCGTTGTGGGTGACAAAGCGCTCATCTCCAGTAGACTTGCGAATCTTCTTGGCTCGCTTAGCCAGAGTGACACCACCACGAGTCTCGCAAAGAAAGATGGCAATGACGATGACGAGAGGAATGTTTGCCAATCCTTGAATACCCTCAACCCATCTCCATCCTAGAGCTTGATCGATAAATCCAGCGTAGATAGGGGCGGCGACGGTACCGAAAATGGCGACGAAGGAGAAAGAAGCCATCGGGATGGCACGGTGAGCAGGGGTATACATGTCACCGAAAGTACCACCGACAAGAATAGTACCAACACATCCAAACAGACCTAGAAGGGCACGGCAGACGATGATAGTACCAATATTCTTTCCGAGAGAAAGTCCAATGAACATCAAGGCGAAGCAAACATAGGCACCGACATAAATAACTCGACGTCCTGCCAGCTCACAGAAGGGTGCCAGGAATAGAGGAGCAAGAGCACAAGTGAAATTGAACGTGAACAAGCCCAGCTGGCCAAGCTCTGTAGAAGCCCCCAGGTCTTCAACCATATCGGAGATACCGGAGCTGTATGCTGTAGTGGCAAGACCAATAAACAGGGTCATGAGACAAAGTAGAAGGCTGATGAAGGCCTTTCTCTTTCCACTCCAGTTAAATGGATTCTCTTTATCGCCCTCCACGAATTCCAGGACAAGGAATTGTTGACCGTCATGTTCTTGAGGTCTGGTCACGGTGAGAGGCAGGTCGAAGTCGACCTCTTGTAGTAGTTGATTGTCGAATGCTGGGGATTGTTCATCGTGCAATTGTTCACGATACTTTCCACCAACGATATAGCTTTTCTGATCCTCCCTAGGCGTTTCGTCGTGTGTGGCAGACATATCGGAGTTAGGGATACTCTCGGTGTGAGATGCAGAGACCGGCTGCTGCTGTTCTTTTGTCTTCATGATGGGCAATATAAAGGACCCCGAAATAATAATGAAAATTTTTGTGGATAAGAAGGAACCAGAATTCGGGGGAAACACAACAGGTTATATAAATCAATCGATCTTAGGGGGAGAGACCTGTCGTCATCCGCAAAACTCCGGGTTCTGGGAGTATGGGGCGCGGGCCTCCAGGAGCCAAAGCGTGGGGGTAAGTATGTACCTGTTCTAACGTGTTCTCGGATCTTTCATTCGACGAATTTAACTTTTGTTGAGGTGGAGGTAACGGTACAATTGACTTTACCGTTTACCCAGCTTATACAATTGAGCTTTCCGATTGATGAATCTTGAAAGCTTTCCACCAGGGACGTTGAGCTCTATCCTCACCTGTGCAGAGACCCCGGTACCATGAAATCCTTTGAAGCTAATGAAGGCATATGCCTGTATTTCACTCTCTTTGCACCGAACTCACCATCGTATCTTGTTTTGGTGAAACCTGAACCATAACTCCATCGATACGCCCGACACGGTGCAGCTTCCTTGTGTGTACCAGTGGATCGCCAGAATGTTGGGCGAATCGTATCCAGAATAACAGCGCCACATAGTCAAGATCAGACCAATTTCGGACAAGGGCCGCGGTGCGAGGTTTTTTTTCGTGGATACTGATAACACCGAAGAGTGACCGACGACATCCCGATCCTACTCTCCCCGAACCGAGTCGGCATCCTTGGCGGTCAGCCCGTGGCCGAAAGGACTCGGCATGCCGTGTACATAATCGGCACCCTCTCGGTTCAGCTCTGTTCCAAACAAAATGTGAACAGATTTACACAAACAAGTTGTTACAGTATTGTCTAACTTCTGGTGAGTATTCGAATCCCATCGACATAATAGGAGCCCTAAAGTACCAAGAGAGCAGTCAAATGTGCCTCGGTGGCTTTGTTTCCTCGTTGGGTTGACCGAAATGATCGTCCGGTCGGTAGATCTTCGGCGTACCCACATAGAGATCGTCGAATGACGAGGCTCAGGTGTTCAAACCTTTCCATGCCTAGAAAAAGCACCATTATTGAGTTTTTGAAGTCCACAAAAAATCTCAATCGGGCTCGTTCCGGTTTTGTCCCGAAAACCCTGCCCCTTGTGCATAAACCCAACACTTGACCAATGTTTTGTTCATCAGCGAGGGAATGGGAGCATCGAGATTAGTATACTGCTTTAGACAAGTATATTGCCAAAGTCATACTAGTGATAGAAACCTTGGAACGAACAGGCATCTTTAGCTTATACATTCATCAATATGTACAAGTAGAAACAAATGGCAAGTGAAGGGTCCAGCCCAAGATATTCCGATGTTCCACAGAAACTTGAAATTCCACTGGACCCGCACATGGTTCTTTCTCCAATAATGCTTCTGCTATCTATTGAGCTCTTTTCTGCAACTACATAGCAGCGGGGGACGAAATCCGTAAATGAAACTTCTTGTTTTCTTTTATATGCCTCAACTGATTTTCGGGGTGGCGTAGGCATTGGGCATTGGTAGCGACATCATAAAAGTCCATCAAAGCTAGAGCTGACGAGTTCATGATTATCTGATATCTCTAGTTAGTAGGCTATCCTGAAAGAAATTATGTTGTCTGCCATAACATAACCATATGCCCAAGTGGGACCTCTGATTGATGAATGCTTTACATTCGATGAATCATGAAATTATTTATGCTACTACTACACGCCTGGCCCTTGACATGTCTCAGGGTCTCCATTTACGGTGCACTCAACGTTCAAGTTTATATTTAGCATCCATGTCCCCGGAACTCTACTGAGTTCATAGTACTGTATTGGTTCCTTCAGGCATCAGCTGTGAAACCCATGTTGAATTGCAAATACTGGGGTATATATACAAATAACTTGAAAGCCCTCGAACGCTACTCGTGCTCAATTACTGATAAACTTGATCTTTTGCCAGTCTCTAGCATTCAGTCTATCTCTCGAATGCAGTCTATTCGAGAGAAAGAGACAGAAAGACAGAAATCTCAAGGGGACAAATATTCTGACGTCATTTGTCACCGAAGATCCGGGGCCGAAAAATATAACATTCAAGTTGAAGTCTTTCATATATTTATATCGAATTGTTAATGAACAGCAAAATATAAAAACTTGAAAAATATCATTGTTTCGCAAGTCACCCTGGCTCATATATTCTGTCTTGCTTTACCTTTCAGAAGAATGGAAGTGTAAACAACTTGTAGGCAACGTGGCCACCGGCTCCCTAATTAATGATGGGGTACTTGATTATTGTGAGTGTATTTGGGACTTGTCTTACTAGTCCTCAACATTCGCCCTTTCCAACCACGGTCTTAAGAATACCCCAGACTCTTTAAAAGGGTCTCCAAAATGTGAAGCTGAGCAGGCTAATATTTATTTTGTAATTGTCACTTGGGTATTTAAGTAGAGGACTGGATGGACACCCTGTGGGTCAAAAGGCCATCGAAGAAAAAGGCAAGAGTCTAGATTGATTGTGCCGCACTAATAATAAAATCGAGATCTTAAGCTTTGAGTGTACTGCGCTTGAGTCGTCGGTACTGGTATCCTTGATTATGCCCCACCCCTTGATAAAGAGTACCACAGCTATAACGGAGAACAATCAAAGTGTGTGGCAGGATCAAATTCTCCTACATACATCTAAGGGCGTTTCATATAATGCTGAATTCGAATCTGCCAGAGTCAAAGCAAAGAATAAATCGAGGTCTAGTATTTAATGCGTGTTGCGGCTCGTTCTGTTGATACCGAAGTTGCCCTCGACCGTGCCTTTGTGATTCGCTGCCATTCAGAGTAGTAAATTTGAAAGACTTTTAGGTGGGATGGGAGGGGGAAATCATAAGCTAGTATATTACTGTTGGTCTAGATCCAACTGGAAATGCAGAAAATGACAGGGCTGGCTGATCTGAGCCTTTCAATCATGATCTTGACATTAATGAGGAGCAGATTGACATCAGTGGAGAGAAATGTGGGGTACTGCCCCCCAGATAACTTGCGCTCGCAATGAGCCTGCGCGATCTGGGACCGAATTGCAGCTTTGTGGCCTACAACTCTTTAGTAAATTTAACAAATAACTTCAATGGTAGCACAGAAATGAGGTTGACTAATTTTTGTATAAATTTTCAGAATAATTTATCGTTCATTGAGCGGGCTTTGGCTCTGCTTCTATTAAACCAAGACCGGCTCTATGACATCATCCTCCGGATAGACGGCTACTTGTTTGTATTGGTGTAGAAAAGATCATGCAACGTACCGGATACCCACCTAATAAACACGTGTCGTGCTCTTATAATAATCTTGGTTTTTGTTTAAGTAAATCTTCCACAACCGTCATTATGATGCAACATACATAGTAAATGGGCCGGCGGTTCAATATAAAAGCCGCTGTGCCAAGATGATCACCACAACCAAGCTCTTTTTACCCATAACAATAGATAACTTTGTTTACACACTATAAAGTGATCACATACTACTATCTAATAGGCCATTGAGATAGCCCCGAAGTCTTAGTGTCCACCAGACTAATTCTCACCCTTCACGATGTCGCCAAAAGAAGACAGCCACCACCTACATCAGTATGACTCTCCAATCCTTCAAGATTTGCACTTGCTAAAACAATTCTCAGCATGGGCAATTGGATGCCAGCAGACCATGAAGCCCATAAGAGGTGGCTTAGGGGAGTGATCCAGGAGGTTGACAAGAAGGACGGCCAGCTACACCCCGTCATCCAGGAGTTCAAAGATATGATTGAGAACAATACGCGGGTTTACATGCTTCTGGAAGGAATGTTTGCAGAAGTACCGAAGAAGAAGCCATACAGACAGGATCCTACTGGTCATCCAGAAATCCGGGACTATCACCATTTCCTGCGCATTCTCAACCACATGCTGACCACCGCCCCTTCCTGGACTGACAAGTCCCACCGCGTTGGTTTAGTTGGCCTACCCATCAATGCCGTCTTGGATTGGCCGATGGGAACTCCCAGTGGCTATGCTGCATTCCTTGATCCCGAGATCAACGCCATGCTCAAGAAAATCCTCAACGCATGGGGTGAATTTTTACGCTCTCCTGAATCAGCCTATGTCTTGAATAACACATCGGATGGATGGTTTGGTGAGACTGGACATCGTGACCTGACAGCCGTTGCCAAGATAGGGCCAACAGCAGCTGAAACGCTTGAATTTCACGAAATGTTCCACTGTGATCCATCAGCACCCAACTACGGTTTCAAGTCCTGGGACGACTTTTTCACTCGATTATTCCGCGACGGAATGCGTCCGATTGCAGAGCCGGACAATGACCGGGTTCTCGCCAATGCCTGCGAATCGAAGCCGTACAGACTTGTTCATAATGTAAAAGGTCGGGATACATTTTGGATTAAGAGCCAGCCGTACTCTGTACTTGATATGTTGGGACATGATCAATACGCCCAACAGTTTGTTGGCGGCACGGTTTATCAGGCTTTCCTGAGTGCATTGAGCTATCACCGCTGGCATTCTCCAGTCTCTGGAAAGATTACCAAGGCATTCGTCATTGATGGAACATATTACTCTGAACCACTGTTTGAAGGCGTTGGCAACCCCGAGCCACACTCTCAAGATATTGATATCGCAGGTCAGGTCACCTCACAGGGGTATATCACTGCGACTGCTACCCGTGCGGTAATCTTCATTGAAGCAGATGAACCGGCCATTGGACTAATGGCTTTTATTGGCGTGGGCATGGCGGAGGTTTCTACCTGTGATATTACTGTCAAAGAGGGCCAGCATATCGCCAAGGGAGATGAGATTGGCATGTTCCATTTTGGTGGATCTACCCATTGCCTTCTCTTCCGGAAGGGTGTTAATGTTTCTGGGTTCCCTGAGCCAGGAATGGAAGAGAACATGCCAGTGCGAAGTCGACTGGCTGTGGTATCATAGAACCTTCATGAAACCTGCATTAGTACATTTTGTGGCACCAAAATAATTATGATCATATTTCAATTTCAATTCCGATGTCCAATTTTCGATTTTCGTAAAGAATAACATCAACGAGTCAAGTCAACTGGCCAGTTGAGCTTATGCCCGGTGAAATTACATAATAAACGGGCAGATACTTCATCATGTGAAACTGGCCTATCACGTATGTGTGATCAACAAAACATTGAACCTCACATCTCTCCAGGTGAACATGATCGGGGCCACTTCCGCAGTATTCGGGCTGAGATGTGTTCGAAGGGGGCCAACTTTGTTCACGCCTCAGATGGCCCCGAAGTGTCATTAGTTGTTGATCGATGGTAGTGGAGCTTAGAGTGGAGCACGATCGGCAGCACCCACACCAGACTGGTCCCTGACTCCTTTTCTGATCCTTCACCCCTCAATTTGCCGAATTTCATGCAATCAATGCGACCGCTCATCAGACGGTGTCGCATGCCAGCAAAATGGGAGGCAAACCATGGCAGTCGACAGGCTGCTTAAATTGTAGAATTCAAAAGAAGAAGGTTGGTTTGCCTTGTTATGACTGCATTCCGTTATGTAGCCGTCTGCTGATTACCAGAAACAGTGTGATAAGAAAGAGCCTGAATGCGAGCGTTGTCTGAGACGTGGGTTTAAGTGTCAAGGCTACGAGAAACTGCGTTTTGTATTCCATGAAAATTCGCCTCCAAAAGCTAGCGAGAAAAAGTCGAAACAGCTGGCAGTTTCTCATACAGTTTCGGCGGGCCAGTCCCAGTACACCACTTTCAGAGTCAATCCGACGGTTCAACAAGCAAAGATTCTGAATGATGGGCCTTCTAAGCGGGAGCAACTTTTTTCCGCCTATATTGGTGCCTACTTTCCGATTGATGTGACAAAAAACACTTTTATCGATCCTTGGTTCGATTTGATGTCCGGCGTGTTTACCCTCTCCTGCAGGCCCATAATGCTTGAAAAGGCCATTACAGCAAAATCATGCCTTTTCTTGAGCAAAGTTAACAACGATAAAAAACTATTCTATCACGGAGTTCAATTATTCAACAACGCAATTCAACATATGTCACATCAGATTAATCAGAAGAAGCAAAATGCTTACAGTGATGAACTTGTGTTCACTGTTGTCATTTTCTCGAAACTAGTGGTATGTTGGCTGAATACGATTTGAAAGTACCTACCATTGCCACTGACATTTATCTGAATCAAGTCATGTTATTGTCCTCATGGCCTTGACGTTTGGATTGGCCAAATGGAGGTGACCAATGGAATTTTGAAACAATGCGCTCGCCGTGGAAGCAATAACCCCATCATTCAAAATATATACCTAGCATTTCACAGAATGCGACTGGTATGTTCTTGCTCTCACCAATTGAAATGGAATCTCTACCTAGGGGTTTGGATGTAGCTAACCCATGTGTCTCAAAGCTACAAGCATTATCGCCGCTACAATCAAAGAGCTCGATAGATGTCACTGAAGACGACTTCCCAATACCTCCGAGCCCAGATGAGCCCGTTGACAGGCTACTCGGTCTCATGACCACTATATCAGCACTTTTGAACGCTAATAATACACCAAATGGCTGCAACCTTAATGTTAGCTACTACCAAGAATTACTGGATGACTGCCTTTTGCACAAGGAGCGACTAATGGCCTGGTATGCCCGAGAAATCAATTCAATAGGTGGCCGTCCATCAATTTATCCTCCCAACGAATCTGTTCATACATCTCTCCCCTCTGCAGAGCATATTTTTGGTGCATCTTATCGTTTCCCGTCCCTCGATAACGCTAGGATTACCCTCCTCTTTTGGGCTTCCTTGTCAATACTCCACGGTCTGATTGCGCAGGTTCGACTTCGTGCATACGAACAGATACCAAACGATGCTATAGCGGATGAAGATCTTGTTCTTACAGAATTCTACGCCGATGAGATCAGCCGATCCCTTCCATATTGCTTACAGACGTCCATGAGAGCGTGGGGCGTGAGTGTCGCTATTTTTGGCCTGAGCCAAATTTGCAAGGTATACATGGAGTTTAGACGCCGAGAAAAATTTACTTGGAGCCAGCATGCATTCTATATCATGGGGGATCTGGGGTTTGATTTTGCATTTCGCTTGTCTGAAATGCTTTGGCAATATTGGAGTCTCGGCGAGAAGACGGATTCCTCTATGTCACTAGACGCAAGTTTTACATCCGTAGCAAGTACTGTGGAGGAATCTGAAAGCCCCACGGGTGCTATAGAGAAAAAAAAACCTCGGCAAATCCGATTTACCGACGATTAATTTCGAGGATTGCCATTCCACTTTATTCACTTACACCAATTAATGAGTATCAATTAATGAAAGCGGGTATTGAATTTCTTCTCACGCGATGCGAGTCAAGGCTTTCCCAGTAGTTCTGCTATAACTCGCTAAGTGTTGAGCGGGGTTGACTTGTAGACGAGCTACATCATGGGATTTTTTTGAATCTTCTCAAATGTCGTGTTATAAAATTAAATTAGATCCACGCAATTTTTGGTATAAGACATAAATCTCTTTATCGTTAAGACCTGAGACACGCGATGGAAATTTAATACTCATTACAAGCCTTTTTATCGGTAGAGTCGCCGAGCCTTTGAGCGTGTCGTAGAAGACAACCTCCCGACCGCTAGTGTTCCTACATCATCTCCCGGTGTAGTGTCTCCCATGCGCAATACCAAAGGCCCCAAGAGTCGTGTTCTCTGCAAGCCACCAACTACTGGTGAGACCTCATTGACAGGGATATGAGGATTATCTCGAGTCAAAGACGATACATAACCAAGAATATCTGGGATCAGCGTGGTGGACCCGAGGTAGAATGTCAAGATGGACGCAACTACCATGACCACGATTGTCAATATGAAGGCCGTGATCCAGCCAGGGCCTGTATGCAAAGTGAGATCCGAATTAACATGGACACCTTTGCCAGAAGCCGAAGAAAATTTCGCTGAACCAGTGTCCGACTTTACTATTGTCTCATCGCCAGATGCACTTAGTTGCAAGCCCGCAAGGGAAGTTCTTGTCATGAATCGATAGCCCAGTCGCGACATGTAGAAAGAATTGATCATCTGTGTCAACCTTTGTGAGAAAACGTCGGGATCCAGTTCGTATAGCGTGATATTGGCTGCTAGAGCCGGATATGTTCCATAGGGGTTCGACATCCAATAATCTAAGACGGTGGGCGCGGTAACTTGGCCCATCGGGACCGCATTATGAATAGTTTCTGTGAAGTTGTTGAATATCATAGCGCTCGAGAGTATCCGTGGGAGGGCAGGATTCCCTGGTTGAGCTTTTCTTATTCGGGTTGCTGCACATGTTCCTTGGTTACGCGTATTGCCTCCCGTCCTGCTGCAACTCACGTCCATAACAATAGTTTGATGAGTGACAGAGCAGTTAGCTTCGGCGACTTGCATTTTGTCTCGTTCCCAGCCCTCGGCAAAATTGAAGGATTTCCAATTTACGGCAGCTTCGGTCTGGGTTTCGTTGACATAAGTGATTTTAGGGACATCACTAGCACTGATATTGGCAGCATCAAATGTCGTATCATGGAGATTGTAACATCGAAAATCCATATAAGAAGTTTCGATGCTGGTCGAAGTGCTGCCGTTCCCCAGGAGACCCATAATAGGCACCCCGAGCTGGGACGTATACACCACATCATCACCGCTCACTGTAATCCAATCGGAAGAGTCATTTCCATTTTGGAGGCTACTCAGTAGGGGAACTTTCACGTTTCCCCAGAGATCGGTCGTAGAACCTTTAGTGATCTTAGCTGTGACCATACTACCGATGAACATTTCATCAGCAGGGTCGTTGCTCCATTTCCAACTAGACAAATCTGTAATATCATCCGTTCCTGTAAAATTGAGATATTTCAACTGGGGCGATGATGAGGTCTTCGTGTGAGAAGCAGACAAAATCCGTAAACTAGCTTGTGCTGCCAGGGGTGAGAGTATCCAAAGCAGTGTGAGGCCGATTCCGATTAAGTTGAGAGACCGTAGGGTCCATGATGTATAGACAGTTCCAAACACGGTAGTGCTACCCATAAATCGTTGGATTTTCGATACAGATGCGCCTTTTTGGAGTTCCCAGTGAGCTAGTTGTCGGCACATTCGTCCGACAATAGCTGCATATACGAGGGGGAATAAGGTAACTTCCTATAGATTTTGTTAGATGAATAGTCAAGCCAAGTTCCTCAATCATAAATACAAATACTTACAACTTTCATCGCAATTTGTAGCCCATTCCAGGAATTTTGACTGATGCCCCGACCATGTAAGCCAACTGCAGCCCACGCAAGGCCGAAAAATGGAATGATCGCAGTAAGACACCCAGCAATTGCTAACCATCGGCGATTATACGGTTTCAGTGTCTGTGGCTCGAGTTTCGAGTACTCGTTAATGGAAGTAGCAGTTGTACCGGTTTTGGATTGTGTAGATGAGATCGGATCTTCAAATGGGTTCTCGTAAGGCGAATCATCCCTATCGTCATCGCCGAGCGGTTCATTGGATGCTAGCGATCGGAACTTGGCGCGGCCTGGGAAACGCAGCATAACGCAACATTCATTCAATTGACACTCCCAATAAAGTTGAACAATGTCTCATTTCACCGCTACCCCCACAGAAAAAGAAGAATCCCTGAGAGTCAACGTTTTCGGGTGGGGATTTTGTTTTGTTTCTATTTTTACTGCGGCTGAATCCGCATAAGCCCGAGCTCTACGCAAAAGGACCGAAACACATTTTATTTCTGCCCCTTTCATCCTAGCGTAGCGCTATAATGGCTGAGTTATTGGAAGGATCAAGCCCGGTGGGGTATTGTGGCCAATCACATCGGCTTATTTCACCGAACGGCATGATGATGCGCTGGCATTAAGATTGTTAAGATTTTGAGCCTAATCAGGGCGTGGAGGAAACAAAAGTGAAACTGAGTTCTTTTTTTGGCCCCATACCCTGCATGTTTCTTTTCGACCTTCTTCGACCTTGGAATGTTGGGTAGATGTCAACATGACAATGCGACACATGCCAGAAGATGGGGATAGAATTTCCGAGGCTCAAGATGATGCAGAGTTCGAGCTGCTATCTTTCCCCGCCCAGCGGTCGGCAGATTCACGACCCAATGATTCAATTGGCCAAGAGATAGAGCCTCCACAACGACTGCGACAATGGAAATGGGGAAGTATCACAGTGGACATACTTGGTGTTTTGCTGGTGATTCCATTCTTATTCCTTATTATCTATTGTGCAAGTAAGCACAAGCAGACTGTCGATGAAGTTCTGCTGAATCGTATGAACCAGGGACTGTGGGTAGTATGTGTGCACTTCATTGAATTCAAACATTGACTATGGTAAAGCGCTAACCACCAATGATAGTCCGCTACTGCGTTCACCCTCGTTTTTTCAGCCCTGGTCAGTCGAATGACACGAAGAATCGCCGAATGGAGACTCGAGAGAGGAGGCTCCCTACAGAATCTTGAGACTCTCAATGGGAGCTCTACACTTATCAATACCATTATCACCCAGTTGAGACTTCGATATTTTGGCATCATACCAATTTCCTTGGCACTGCTATGGTCGGTGTCACCTATCGGTAGTCAATCTCCTTTGCATATCCTCTCAACCTCCCCAACCACCAGTACAGGACATCAAACGGTCGGATATATACCAATAAACAGTTCCTCTGTTGTCGATGGGGCAGCTGATTTGGAGTATTACACCCCATATATTGATGCTCTTTATACAACTAGTCTTATTGCAGCAGGCAGCTTTCGCTATTCCTCGATGGACCCATGGGCGAATGTGAAAATTCCAAGCTTTGAATCTTTGTCCGCAACAGCCAATTCGACGGGTTGGGTATCGGTGCCTACCGATCAAAATATCACTTACTCTGCACTTACTGGAATTCCGATCGGCGGGTTGAACAAAACGGGTAATGTCACGGCTGTGATTCAATCAACATACTTTTCGCTTGATCTGGTCAACAGCACTGGGAAGCTCGAATTGAATGGAAATGGGGTTGTTGCAAACCTGAGCATCATCGAGAATTTTATTCCATGGAACAGCTCCAGCAACAACAATGAGAAATCCTATGTCACATTCAGCCCCGTCAACCAAACGTTTAAGGCCACGTTCGAATGGACTCAGAGATTTTTAAACTCAGAGATAGAGTGTGTTGTAACAGGAGCGCTGGCTAGCGGTCGAGATTGTAAAGTGAACGCAATGAAGACCAACATGTCAAGTATCACACCAGAATTCGGCTGGATTAGCGTGAGGAATATCCAGATTGCATGGAACACCTTGCTATCTGGTCAGAACTTCTCCCTTTCCGAGGCATATATCAGATACCCGCAATCACCACTCGATGCGAACCTCTCTGATCCCTCCACTGCATCCCCGTCAATGAATGTTCTGACAGCACGCCTCGAGCAACTTTTGAATACTTTTTTCTTCAGTACTATTGATCCCACGGGGTCTTTGCAAGGACAACCATCAAATCCAATACAAGCCAGTGCACGTCGAATTTACTATAACTCTGGCTCAATATATGATGTCAATTTTGTTTGGCTAGGAATATTCCTTGTTGCAACAATAATTATGGGTGCTTCAGCTGTTGCGACTGTCGTGTTGACTAGTCTCAGCATGAATCCTGATATGTTAGGTTTTGTTTCAACTTTCATATGGAACTCGCCACCTCTGGGGCTGCCTCGATCAGGAACATTCTTGGGGGCGGACAAGAAGACTCGGTCAATCAAGCCATTAGAGGTCCGATTTGGGGATGTACGATGTGAAGAAGATGTCGGAAACCTGTCTGTTGGGAAGACTACTGAGACAGAGAGAGTACGACAAGGACGTTTATACATTTAAAAGACTCGACTAACGATGCTATGAACATATGAATATTTTCCTTATTCGCGAGCCATCCAGCTATCTAGGTAGCAAAGTTGCCGTCTAGTCAGCCGTGGAATCGTACTGCCATAATACGTTTCGAAATGTGGACGGGGACTGCCAGTGGCACTGGCAGCTGAACAGACTGCGCCTCACTCTCAATCGAGAATTGCCCCTGTTGTTTTCCCTCCATAATACGCACGTCGCAACCAAGCTCCTCGGTAATGGCGGCAGATAAATTAATTAAGGGCAACCTTGGGATATCGCCATATTACCTGAGTCAATCGTTACTAGTCAGCCACGAGCGCGACCTAAAGTCAAACATATTGGCCGATTTCCATCATAAATGCGTCTTTAAGTGATTTTTGAGAATATGTCTGGTCATATGGCATGATCGTAAAAAGACTTGGCAGCGCCGATCGAAAGCCCTGTCTGTTGTGTACCCAAAGCCACGGATAGTGGATATCGCATCCTATCCATGTTCATTGGCTACCACGTCCAGGGACCGAAGGCGCCCTGGAATATTGATCGCGCCCCACTAAAAAAATATCCCACGAACGCGATTTCATGGCTTAATGAGCCATCGTTATAATAGATATCGCATTCACTAAGACTTTTTATGGCGGTTGCTTCCTGACACTGCTTCATGCGGCGTAGATCGACGCTTCGAAGACCCACACTTGGGGCGATGGATGGATTGTCCAGGCGTTCGTGGTCAAATCGTGCTGCTATAAGTAATCACGCCATCCAGACCAAAGAGTCCTCATACTGCACGGACAGGGTTTATGTGATAAGACAAAAAATAAATCTGATTGCGCGAGCAGTTGCTTAACGCACATAAATCTACACAACCTCTCTTCATGTATCTTTGCATATTCTTGCGATCACCATTCAGCCACGGCTATGTGAAGTCGCTATCGTTAATAGCTCGCCGTTGCTGCGAGATAAATCCTAGGGAAAAGGGAGATCTTTCGAGAAGCCATGACGCTTACGGATGATCAGCTCCGCGCGATCGGCATCGCCGGGCGGGTGACTTCAGTATTCTCGATATTGGGGACGTTAACAATTATTTGCACGTTCATTCTTTCGCGTCACTTTAGAAGTCCGATCCATCGGATTATCTTCTTTAATGCCTTTTTCAATTTACTCGACTCGGTGGCCACCATGATATCTGTTAGTGGACCGGAGGCTGGTGATTATTCCTCATTATGCCAGTTTCAAGGCTTTGCGCTTCAAATGTGAGTTGGTAGAACCAATTTTGTAGTTTAGCAAGACACTAACGCAAGTCGCTTTGATGGTTATAGGTTTCCGTTGGCCGATGTGCTTTGGACGTTGGCAATGGCACTTGACACATACCTTGTTGTTTTTCACCACTTTGATGCCCACAATCTACATAAGCTGGAGCTCAAATACATTGGCGGAATCACAGTTCTCACATTCATACCTGCGATCGTTTTTCTCTTCATTAAGTCGCCTGGAAGAGGGCCCATATATGGTAGCGAGACAGTGAGTGGCGCCGGATACAGATGATAACTATTATTCAAAACCCTCTTGCTAACGTTGCGATAGATTTGGTGTTCCATCTCTCCAAATTGGATGGTTCTACGTCTGATATTATACTACGCGCCTGTGTGGTAGGTGGTATCAATTCACTAATTCTGAATAAGTTCATTCATCTAACTTTCTCTCTTCGGAACAGGCTTGCGATAGCGGTCGTTCTTGTCTTTTATGGTCTCATTGGTATCGAGATATCCCGACTTCGTGACGAGTTCAAATTGACCGACGATGATCATCTTGCCTTGACATCGAACCTCTCGAACCAATTTACACCCGAAAATTCTCAAACTCCAGTTTCAACGACCGTCGTATCAACACCTCAAACTCCAGACAAATCTGCAAACATATCACCTTCTCATATCGTTACCCAAACTTCGGTCCAACAAGCCATCACTTCGAGCCCTCTCACACCGGGCCGAGCACCGATGAATTACCAATCATCCAAACAACGTCGGGTTTCGTTCAAACAGTATATCCTCATGCCATCACTTTTCTTCCTCGCTTTATTGGCCACTTGGGTTACGCCTACAATTAATCGCGTGGCAACATTTGTTCATCCCGACGTTGAATCATATCAACTGCTGCTAGCTGTTAGCACTTTGGGGTCTTTGCGAGGATTTTGGAACGGAGTTATCTTCGTAACCATGGGAATGAAAGGATGGAAAAGACGAGCTTTTGAGAGGAAGTTTCATGGTAGAAATGGGAGAACATGAACTTCCTGTGAAATTGATGCTGGACTCATTGATTCACGAGCCCAGTAAATTTCTATGTATGAGTTATGCCCCAAAACTCACTTTTTTAGCATTAATTGTGATAAAACAAATACCCATAATAAAATTAATCAACCATGAAGCTTATTTTCCCATCGAACGTCGAGCTTTGGGCTCCGGAATAACAGAATAGGCCCAACGGCCCCCATAGTGGCTATTATTGTGATTCTGGCTTTGCATTTATCCGGTTCGCATTCTACCGAATTTACCCCGCAGGAAACGAAGAACAAGCCTGAACTAAAATAGACCAATCGATTATAGCTTCAAGTCTAATCACGCGGATCCTATTTGCCGGTACTGTTTATTGAGAGAGAATTACATTTATTTTCTCACTTATCCCTGCTTTTTCACAATAATCACCCTTTCCGAGTCGATATCCGAAAAAAAAGGAGTATAGTACACGTCGGCTTCCAATTTACCTAAAGCCCGACTACCCGATTATCTTTGCATACAAGATGAATCAAGATCATTATTGGGTCCACACATGGACAGCGATGCCCATGCTCGCAGAGCCTGACAAACTGCCACCCAAAGAATTTGTAAGTACATATGATAAACTTGAATCCAGTGGTCTGCAACTTGAAGGTCTGGATATGAATGACTTACCCGAGAACAAGATTCGAGATTCAATTGCATTCACCAACGCGACAATCCGCCAAACAATCAAGATCACCCTGGGCACCGATCGCTTTTTCCGGTTACGCTTCTCTAATGCGTTTGGGCGCGACAACTTGAAGATTTCCCAAGCAAGTGTTGCAATTTCAGCAGATGAACTGGCCGGAACAAGTCGAATCCAGGCTCATACCCTGCGCAATGTTACTTTCGACGGGGGATCGGCAAAAACGCACATCCCTGGTGGTGCACTGGCAGTTTCCGACGCGATTGACTTTGGAACCCCACTCGCCGCAAACACTATTCTTAGTATTAGCTTGTTTTTTGAAGACGGACAGAGCTGTCGGACAGGAATTACGTGTCATAACAGTAGTCGGTCTACTTCGTTTTGCGCTTTAGGGAATGCTGTGTCGAATTTGGTGCTGGAGGATTCTTCAGTGCGAGAGTTTGCGCCTTGGTAAGTTCCTTGTCTCCAATTGTACTCGGAATCTAATTGACGTTTCGAATAGGTATTATATTTCTGGGGTTGAAGTTTTGATTCCCCGCCAAAAGAGCACCTTGGCTATTATTGGAGATAGTATCACGGATGGGAGAAGTAGCACGCCCCACAGAAATGATCGGTACGCTCATAATTTTCTTTTTGAGAAAAGTCACTGTGACCATTAAATTAATTATTTTCAGTTGGCCGGATCTTCTTTTCACTCGTTTACATGCTGATCCAGCTACGACTTCGCTCTCAGTCATAAGCCAGGCAGTCGGCGGAAACCGAATTTTGGCAGATGGAACTGGACCAAACGTGTTGAGTCGCCTAGACAGAGATATCCTTGCCATACCGGGCTTGAAATACGTTGTCATATTCGAAGGTGTCAATGATATCGGTGTTGCCGATGCGAATGAGGAAAGTCAGAGAGAAATTGGAGATCAGTTGATCGCCGGATTTCAGCAAATCGCAACGCGAGTCCATAATCACGGGTTGAAGATCTTTGCTGCTACGATAACGCCATTTGGACGTAGAAAGGATGATTTTATTGTGGACGCCGAGGCCGAAGGGCTTACTGGGTACTCACACCCATTGCGTGAGCAGACGAGACAGAGGATAAACGAGTGGATACGGGACAACGAACAATTTGACGGAGTGGTTGACTTCGATCAAATTTTGAGAGACAACGAACAACCATCAGTCCTAGCGAGTGAGTTTGACTCAGGAGATCGATTGCATCCAAATCTTGATGCATTTCACGCGTTGGCGAATGGATTCTCGTTGAATCTACTTAAATAGTGTGTTTACAGAGGCTTCCCCTTCGTAAAAATACATTCAAATAGATTAGAGAAAACGAAAATTCGGTCTTGATAACAAGTCGAAGAACATTAAATACTTGAGTTGTACTAGTAGTATGCTTTACTATCTCATAGGGAAGTATGTACTATCCGTCATTAAGGTTATATACATGCCAATCTCCAACCTTGGAAGCATTAGCTTCATGCCGACACAAAGCTGATCATGGATCTTGCCGGAACCCGAGCTTGGAATGAGCCTCCTTTTTCAGACTTGAAAGTACTTAGAGCCTCCAAGTCGTACTCGTTGTTTGTCAAGTAAGGGTGAATGACAATGTCAGACTTGAGGGTTGCAATCTGGACAGATACTTCAACATCCACACCAAGTTGATTAAGCAACTGAGTAGCAATCTTGCCATTCTCATTTTCAAAAGAGCTGACCGTGACATTGGCATTGGAGCTGCTCGCTTCCACCCGATAAGCGCCCGGACGCACAAACTTGCTGAATTGAGCAAAGGCCCAGAATCGCTTCGAGGGTATCACCTCGTCATTGATAAGATTTATAAGAGCACTGTTTGTAGTTGAGTTCTCTGCTCCGATCCAGTACAGAAAGGCACTGGTACCTGCATCTCTCATAGCGACCTGGATATGGTTCGCCCAAGTCATGCCTTCACCAACGCCTCCATTTTCGTAGAATGTGAATGGAGTGTAGCCACCGCTGAGATCGGCCCATTCTGTCAACCATGTCTTCTTCTTGGTGCTGAGGGGGTATGTGGGAGCAGAATCATATCCATGCCCAGTAACCGTGTCGAGGTAGTTGATGGCTGGGTCAGGGCCGGCCTCCAGGCCAGCCATCATGGCCTCCTGATCATCCCATCCAATGCCGTCGCAGCAGTTAATCTTGAGATCAAGGCCTGATTTTTTGATAGTCTTGGCAAGTACACGAATCACATCTGCTGCTTGAGTGCCATTCGAGAGCATACCAGCGTAGCTAGCAGCGAATTGTGGCTCATTCAAGAAACCCAAATGCGTAACCTCCACACCCGACTCCTTGTAGAATCGTGCATACTGAACGAGGTAGTCGGCGTAAGCCTGTATCCAGTCTCCGCTTGCACAGGTCTCATCGGTCACACCACACAGATACCCTCCGTTATTCTCGTCATCGTTTGTCTTCATGTAACCGGGAGCCGACCACGCATTCGCGTAAAGGGTCTGCAGACCACGAGTATCGGCCTGCTGAGCCAATGGGAATTGAGCGCTGTTATAGTGATCCCATTCATAATCGGGCTTGGCGGTCGGGCTTCCGGGGTCAGCTGGCTCGATGGAGTTCATGAAGTTGCTGTCTGAGGTATTGCTAGAGCCAATGCCATTGCGCAGAATTGTAAAACCAGCACCAATATCTTTATCGTAAAGAAGATTGAGGACATGGGTTTGATTGACTTTGGAGAGACCATATTTTCCAAAGACATCTTCGGCACGCTGAAAGGCCTGAGATGCGCCGAAGCCGTCGACCTCTTGAAATCGAACTTTTGGGTTGACGGAGACAGAAACATGGGTTGAAGGTGTGGGGGTCGCACTGCTCTTCAAAGCTAATGCGCTCAACAAAAATGCTTTCTTGAATGTGATTAACGGCATGTTGGCGATGGTTTATCGTAGCTTATTGATGTCATGCAGGGGTTTACGTTCGAGTCCAAAGACAATTGAATTGAGTTAAAAAGAAAAACATTTGACAATAATAAGCTATGAATTTGAGGTTGGAGCTCAGGCGTGGGGTAAACAAAGATAGCCTATTGCTTGCGGCCGTAGCTTCGGCTAAAGGAAGGCCGAGGTAAGCTCAACTGGTCGGAATAATTCTTAGACAGCCTATAGCTTGTTCTGCATTATAGGTCCACCAATAATAAAAGGATTCCCAAAATTATCACTGTTTTGGCTAAAGTAAGCGGATAAATAGAAGAATAGCCTGGGTATGGTATGTTTGTTGGGAAATATTGACAGCGCATCGGCCTTTGTTCCGTGTTTTGGGTTAGTCTGGGGAAGTTGTGGGGGAACGCGGGGAACCATGCGGGAAAAAGTGGGAAAAGCGGGTGCACCCAGCAAGAAGTGAGCTGATCATTAGGATAGGTTTGGTTTTACTTCTTCCTGTTCTGTCTCACGCTCTGCAATAATGCAAAAAGTTGTAAACCCATTTTAAAATATGCATGTACCCCTTGGTATCCATCCTAAAGGGAAGTAGTGTTCGCTTTACCTATCTCCCTCCAGAACCTGGACTTCTACCCCGGATTCAAGCTTTGGGCTACCTACCAATAGTAGGCCCCGAAGTTTAGCCATAGTGCTTTGAACACGCCTTGTCATCCGGCTATTTTGATTTTAAAGTTTACTTTGTGAAGCCAGTCTACTTTTGTGAGACAACTGCCCAGAGTCGAAGCATGTGCCAAGTCATCAGATAAACCGCGTTGTAAAGTTTTATTGTAGATTCACAAGCTGGGCAGAATAATGAGCCTGAATTTTGGGACTAGATGTGGGCAGAAATAAAAGCAAAATTAAAAGAACATATTTATGAGGGGCGTCCACGGGTGTGTAAAGTCTCCGATAATTTCAGCCACGCGTTCTCCGACTCTAGGGAACGAATCATTACCTTGCCTTTGCCCGGGGTCCCTAACGCCATTATCGGGTCTGGGTGTCGGGTGGTTAATCAGAAGATTTTCATGTCCCTCTTTGTGAGAACTCCTCACATCCGGCAAAATGCGAAGCTCCCTTCAGCCAATTGGCTGGCTAACAAGCCCAAGAATGCCACTGGGCGATAAGGATGCCCTATGTCGCGTTTAAGAGAAGCCCACTACCCACCTTTTCTGCTTGCAGTCCAGGCTAGCTACTGATCAGCCAAGGTCATAACCATCAAAATCTCGACCATGGCGCAAATCAATAAAGACGACGCACCCCATATCGCTCATGACGAAATGGCCACACAGGACCACGAGGTCCAAGGTTGGATAGGCCTAGCCGAAGATGCTCGAAACGCGACCATACAGGAACACAGATTGACGTTCTTCGAGGCTGTGAAACTGTATCCTAGGGCGTGCTTATGGACAATGGTTGTTTCCCTCGTGGTCATTCTTGACGGATACGATACAGCTCTTATTGGCTCCCTTTTTGGTTTCCCTGCTTTTCAAAAACAATTTGGCTATCCCACCTCTACCCCTGGTAGTTATCAGCTAGAGCCCAAATGGCAAACTGCTCTTGGACTTGCTAGTCCTCTGGGAAATATTGTTGGAATCTACATCAACGCTTTTTTGACGGAGAGATGGGGCCACAAGAAGACTTGCCTAGGTACTCTAGGTTTCCTGACCGGTGTCCTTTTCATCCCGTTCTTCGCGAAAAATATCCAGGTCCTTTTCGTCGGTGAACTTCTCTGCGGTCTCGCGTGGGGTGTATTCACCACACTGGCTCCAGCATACGCCTCCGAGGTTACTCCCGTTGTACTTCGGTCCTATCTCGAGACATATGTCGTCTTGTGCTGGGGTATTGGTCAATTCGTCGCGACTGGTATTCTGGACAGCCTTGAACATCGATCAGATGAATGGGCCTGGCGCATTCCACTTGCTGTACAGTGGGTGTGGCCGGTGATCATTGCGCCTGTCCTCGCTTTTGCCCCCGAGTCTCCATGGTGGCTTGTTCGTAAAGGTCGGATCCAAGACGCCGAAAATTCCGTCAAACGCCTCTCTTCCAGCAGTGACCCGGATTTCGCAAAGAAATCTGTTGCCCTCATGGTTCAGACAACGGACCTAGAGAAAGTTCTTACCGAGGGCGCATCGTTCCTCGACTGTTTCCGTGGCTCCAACGCATGGCGTACGGAGATCGGTTGTATCGTATGGACTTCCCAGGTCCTTTGCGGCTTTGCTATCACCTCATATGCAACCTACTTCTATGAACAAGCAGGTTTGGCCACTTCAGATGCGTATAAGATGAGCGTCGGACAATCCGGGCTGCACTTTCTCTGCACTCTTCTCTCTGTCTTCATTACTGGAAATTTCGGCCGTCGCCCTGTTCTTTTCTGGGGATACGGCGGTATGTGCTTATCTATGATGCTTATTGGCATCCTATCCTGTGTCCCACAGACTAGCCAGCTGGGATACGGAGAGTCGGCGATGTACCTTTTGTGGTACGTGTTTTACGAGTTGACAATTGGGCCGATCGCTTTCATTATTGTCGGAGAGATCTCGTCTACTCGTTTACGATCAAAGAGTATCTCTCTAGCTCGAAATGCCTACAATGTTGCCAATGTTTTTAGCTCAACGGTTGCTCCTTATACACTCAACCCGACAGCTGGAGACTGGAAAGGGAAAACTGCATTCCTTGCTTGTGGATTCACCATCTTCATCATTGTTTGGGCTTACTTCAGACTTCCAGAATCTCGAGGTCGCACATACGAGGAGCTCGACATTTTGTTTTCGCGGGATTTGAAAGCTTGGGAATTCAGAGATGCGGAGGTTGATGAGGATGCCGCGCAGACTATCACGAAGCAGGGATAATATGCCTAGTTTTATCTCGTCCGTATTTGGTTAATTTTAATCGATCGTTAACATTCAAATGTAACTTGGGCGTTATAGCACCTTATTGAGCCAGTATTGTCAGTCAAAATTTGAATCAATTTTCTAGCCCACTTCAACATCAATGATCAATACACGTAGCTAGTACTAGTAGTGATATAAAATAAGCAGATGGCTCAAATATTGATTGGAAGGAAAGGAAAGAATAATGGAACGAACAAGAGAGGAGAGAAGAAAAACCCAAATACAATCCAGCTGTCCAATAGTCTCAACCTTTCAATTATTGCGATGTTGCCGAAATGCCTATTGACCTGCTCGTGTTGATCATGCCGACGGCAAAGAAACACAATTGCCGCGTAATTCAAGAGTCCCCACCACCACTACCAGAAACGAGAACGCCACAGTTTTGATCGGGATAACACAATAAAATATTTGACGATCATTCTCTTTAGCCTGCACCGGTTAAATCCCAGATATTGACAGGGGTATGATAAAAGGGTATATTTCTACCCCGCCTGAGGGGTAAGCTAGGATTTGTTGGACTTTCATTTTTGTCTTTTCCATTCTCTGCACCATGTCTATTGAAACAGGAATCGACGGGTGGTTGCGCTATGCTGCGCTACCAGAAGGTATTTCTGCTCAGTACAAACGGATTTCTTCGATTGTTGCGTCCGCAAATGTGGAAACAAGCCCTGTGTACACCGCGGGGAAAGAGCTGCAAGATGGTTTGAGACGAATCCTTGGCCAGGAGGTGGAGACATCCTTCGAAATCAACAGTGTTCCTACATCCGCCATCGTTGTCAGTACTATTGATGCATTGCCCACAGCGCTGATCACTGCGCAAGTACCTAAGCTCAAGGAAGATGGCTTCTGGCTGAATACACAAGCTGAGAATGATTGCATTCACATCATCGGTCAAAATGAGCGTGGAGCCTTATACGGTGCTTTCGAATATCTGATGCGATTGGCTCAAGGGAATTTTGAACCTATTTCGGCTGCAAACAATCCAAGCGCTCCTATACGATGGGTCAACCAATGGGACAACCTCGATGGAAGTATTGAGAGAGGATATGGGGGGCTCTCAATATTCTTCAAAGACGGTGAGATAGTTGAAGACATGAAACGTATCGCCCAGTTTGCCCGCCTTCTTTCGTCCATTCGCCTGAACGCCGTGGTGGTAAATAACGTCAATGCCAACCCGAAGCTTTTCAGCAAAACAAATCTTGATGGGCTGCGTCGTATTGCGGATACTATGAGACCATGGGGCCTACGTATCGGAATCTCACTCTACTTCGACTCCCCAAGAGAATTCGGTGGCCTACCAACTTCAGACCCCCTTGATCCCGCTGTCAACAACTGGTGGAAAGATATCACGGAGAAGCTTTATGAGAAGGTGCCTGACCTCATTGGATACACAATCAAAGCAAACTCGGAAGGTCAACCGGGGCCCCTGACATACAACCGTACCCTGGCTGATGGCGCGAACATGTTCGCTCGGGCGCTGAAGCCATACGGAGACGGAGTTGTGATGTACAGAGCCTTCGTTTACAACCATCACTTGGATGAATCTAAGTGGAAAAATGATCGTGCCAATGCCGCTGTCGAGTATTTCAAAGAGCTTGATGATCAATTTGATGACAATGTCATTGTTCAAATTAAGTGGGGGCCCATTGACTTTCAAGTTCGCGAGCCTCCGTCTCCCTTGTTAGCCAACTTGCGCAAAACAAAGGTTGCGATCGAGTTTCAGGTTGCCCAAGAATATCTCGGACAGCAGTCGCATTTTGTTTATATGGCACCACTCTGGAAAGAGATTCTCGACTTCGATATGAGGATTGACGGAAAACCATCCGCTATCCGAGATATCGTCTCTGGTGATCGTCTGAATTGGAGTCGAAGCGGCTATACGACCGTCCTCAATATTGGCGATGACAATACCTGGATTGGACACCATCTTTCATTGTCTAACCTGTATGCATACGGGCATATGACCTGGGACCCTCACTCGGACCCAGCCTCTATTATCCAGGACTGGGCTCGTCTCACTTTTAGTTTGAACAAAACGGTTGTTGATACGGTAACGAAGATTTCAATGGAGTCCTGGCCAACCTATGAGAACTATAGTGGAAATCTCGGCATCCAAACACTTTGTGATATCATTTACACACACTACGGACCAAGTCCAGGATCTCAAGACGGAAATGGATGGGGTCAATGGACTCGTGCCAACGCCACTTCGATTGGTATGGACCGTACGGTTGCGACGGGATCTGGAAACACTGCTCAATATCCCCAGGAAGTCGCCAAAATGTATGAGAGCATAGAGACAACACCTGATAACCTGTTACTTTGGTTTCATCACGTCCCATATACACACCGTTTGAAGTCTGGGAAGACTGTGATTCAACATTTCTATGATGCGCATTACGAGGGCGCAGCCCACGCGCAAAGCTTCCCAACTGAGTGGGCAAAGCTGAAGGGTTTAATTGACGATTATCGCTTTGAAAATGTGGCCTTCAAATTGCAATATCAGGCAGGTCATGCGATTGTCTGGCGGGACTCGGTCAACAATTTCTACCATGGCAAGTGTGGAATCGCTGATGAGAAGGGAAGAGTCGCAAACTATCCATGGCGCATCGAAGCCGAGAACATGCGTTTAACTGGCTACAAAGTTGTCTCTGTCACGCCTGCAGAGGCCGCATCTGGTGGAAAGGCCATTGTGGCAGAATCAAATCAGATTCCTGGTACTGCCAAAGTCGAAGTACCTTTCCCGTCAGGCACATACGACATCGCAGTTAATTATTTCGATCACCTGGGTGGTGTGTCCAAGTATGAGATCTTTTTGAATGATCAATTTGTCGGAAACTGGACTGGTGATCTGCCATCGAAGCTGGGACATGACTTTTCGGAGTTACTGGATGGCCATTCAGCAACTCGTGTCACTTTCCGAGGTGTACCAGTAGCAAAGGGTGATATTTTCAAGATCGTTGGTCAGCCAGATGGGAAGGAGCTTGCCCCGCTAGACTATGTTTCTTTTTTGCCCGAGGGTATTGTCGATTAGATTTCTTTCATGTATTTTCTTTTTCTTTTATTCGCGTCGTGGTGAGTGAATCTAGCACTATGCACGGCTTAGATAGACGGAATTCGCAGATCAATCTACCAGCTTACCGAATTTCAACTGTCGACTATCAATCAATCACATTAATTTGTCCAGACATTCTACAGTAAATACTCAATCTGTGCATCCAACGAACATATTAGTTGAACCACAATGCGGTATTTCCCAGCCACCGGAAAATGCATTCCCCTCGTATGGTGACATCATCGTGCATGCCAGGTCAGCTAGGCCCTGCGCAAGGGCGAGATACTCCAGATCCCCGCAACCTTGGAACTCAAGACGTGTCAAAGTCGAGTTATTTAGCATCGGAAAGCCATTACGACCCCCCAGGAACAAGATACAATAGACCTAGTAATCTGGCTGTCGTGCTCTAACCCCTATAGGGATATTTATTTAGCTCCACCACAACTGATCGGAATTGACGCCGCTTTTGGGACTCATCACTGGAATTAGGACAATTCGTACAAAATGGAGGTTGAAACTATATACAATTTACCTCAAGGGTCTCGGATTCTTGTCACTGGTGCAAATGGCTTTATTGCCTCCCACATTGTCGACAATCTCTTGAGAATGGGATATCTCGTGCGGGGCACCACGCGAACCCAGAAACCTTGGTTGAACGAACTTTTCGAGCAAAAGTATGGAATCGGAGTTTTTGAAACTGTCAGAATCTCAAACTTTGACGATTTAAAAGACATTGAACGTCTTCTGGATGGTGTACATGGAATAGTCCATGCGGTTAGTGTCGTCCTCCTTTTTAGCGCCCTCCGGTTGTGTGACTCGGATCGAACTCCATGGCTAACTTAATTGTGTAGGCATCTGATATGAGCTTCAGTAATGATCCCCAGTCGGTAATACCGTGGGTCGTTCAAGCCATGAAAAATTTATTGGAAGCTGCAAGTAAAACCCCAACTGTCAAACGTGTTGTGCTGGTGTCTTCATCTAGTGCAGCGTATGACCTTCATCCAAATTCCACAGGCCGTGAAATTGACACTCGTGAGCTTAACCTACTCAAATACTAAATCTGAAGCAGAATTTCTGATTTATCTAATAGATAGCTGGAATGAGAGCGCCATTCAAGCCGCCTGGGATGAAAATACACCAGAAGAGAGAAAGAATGTAGCCATATATTCCACCTCTAAAATAGAGGGAGAGAGAGAGGCCTGGAAATGGGCTGAGGATGAGAAATGCCCGTTTGAGTTCAACTCAGTTCTTCCTTGCTTTACGGTTTGTTTAAATTGATTTGTTCGGTTCCGGCATAGCAGGTCTAATTCGTTTTCGCTAGGTTGGAAGAATTCTTCATCCGGAAATCTTCGGTTCAACAATGGGACATCTACGTCAGCTGCTTGATGGAAACCCCCATGCGTTTTCTTTGCCCGAACGTACGTGCTGTGAATCTTCTTTCTTTGTTATCTGATCATATAGAGCATCTTCAAACAGCAAAGAAAGCTGCAGTACTTATAATATCTGCTGATATTCCTTCCAGAGTGGTATGTTGATGTTGAAGACGTCGCAAAGTTATGTATCATCGGACTTTTGGACTCCGATGTCAAGTCACAGCGTATATTCGCGTTTGGTGAGCAGATGAATTGGACAGACACCATTTCTCTACTGCGCGAATTGCGACCAGAGAACACCAAGATCCCAGACCCGCCCGCAGATGAAGTAAGGGACTCTACAGAAGTATTTCCGCGAACCCGAAGTCAAATATTGCTTCGTGGATTCTTCGACCAGCTCGACTTCACTCCTATAAGGGCTAGCATTGAGAAAGGGATTGAAGATTCGCCTTGGGCCGCATAGGAAAATCTCCGGTTTGAATATCCAAACATCTATGAGATCAGATATAGAACCCAAATGCCCAGGGCCCCTTTTCGTTCCTTAGTCTCCGTGTGTTACTACTGTTTGCGTTTTATACATCTTAGCCGTCAATAGGTTATATTAAAGTGCAATATGGCTGGCTGTGGTTCTCTCATTGGAATCTCAATATTTTCAATAACCGATTGGATTGCTTCAACTAGTACTTGCTATATACTTATAGCTCGAAGGACATAGGTCCTGCTATATGACAAGTCATGGTAGTATCTACAAAGACAATTACCCACATAGCCTCCTCATAGATTGTCATGATGTAAGCGAACCTTCGATAGAGGCAATCGGCCACTTAATTCTATTCTGGCCTAAGGACCAGTGTAGGTGCAGTTCGACAGATCGAGGGTAGCCAAGTCAATGCTGTAGGGAGGGCCTCCAGTGCCTATTCCAGATAGTCAGAAAGAAACATTCTTGATCAGATGTATCGAAGTGAGAAGGGGTAGATTACTGAGTGCCAGAGTGTAGGAAACATTGCAGTTGATGACCTGGTTGACATCGAACTTTGCTGCCTTTCCATGGCTTGCCAGAGCGCTATTAAGCTGGCTTCCGCTCAGCTCAACGGACTTTGAGCCGGACCAAGGAATCGCAGAGGTAGCGAGGACCAGAGAGAACAGAGTTGCAACAACAGCCTTCATGTTGGCGATTTGTTTTTGGGGATAGATTGCCGAAAGGTTCGAGGACTTTGGAGATACTAAAATTGGAACTGTTTTCCGTTGTGTCTGGGAAGCGAGATAAAATGCAAGATGGCTTTGTGTCTTTTATATGTCGAATTTTCCGATTCACGTGAAGCCAAAGTTCGCCCAGGCTTGGCTGCTTTAAGCCAATTTCATGCGAGCACTACTCTGTTAAACCCGAGAAACAAAAATAGATATTACTAATTGTAGGCTGTTTCTGAATGTGTTGCAGTTACAATGATTCATCGAAAGTTTTTGTATCTTGGCCCCGATCCATACGCATGAACTCTGCATCTTGATCTCGTCTGCACACTTGGGCAGGCGAAGACATAAAGGGGATTATCACATTTGACGCATCTAGTACTATCACCGTGACTAGAACCAGGTAACCGTCCAACTAGATCCACTGCTCCAAGCACACCTGGTTACAACTTAACCTGGTCAAATTTTCCTTAATATAATAAATTCCTGATATACTACTAGTAACATATGGGTAATGTTCGGATTCCACAGTTGATATTCAAAAGTCATGAATCATGCCAGTGTTTATTCCGTCAATAAGCCACGCGTAATGTCCGAAGTCATCAGATCCAAAATCTGAAGCCGGCTTTTCAATAGCAACATATGGTTTTATTCTACTGAATAATAATGGAAGATGGAATATGGATTGATTTTGATGCCCTTTTTTGTTGTTTTCTTGTTGTTTTCTTAATAGAAGAAAAAGAGGATCATCAAAGCTCAAATTTTGTTTTTAATTTGAAGCTAGTCTAGAACACGGTGGGGCAAACAAAATGAAAGTCAGAAGGTGCCAAAATACAGCTGTTGCCGTCTGTATAGTATATCCAGTCGTCAGCGAAGTTCATCTAGAATTGATAAAAAAAAAACTTACGGCAGTTTTGTGCCAAATGAAAAGATTCTAAGGTGCAACTAACGGGTAGACCAAGTTGAGGGCGCTCATAATGGTCTAAGGTGTTGAGGAAATCCGCTATCTTTTGAAGACCTTGTCCAGTGTAGTTACCGATCGCTAGCTTTTCCGTAACCTCATCAAGAGTGGGTCGAGGAGATGCAGTTACTAAAGGTAATATGAGAGCTCCAAACGACAGGCACTGGGCTGCAATAGATAGCTTCATGGTACGAAATAATTCTTCACAACTGATACTAGTAGGATAAAGGTGAGAGAGGGGATGGGAAAATAGGAATGACAGTTGTTAAATTCAGAGGAAATTGCTATAAAATTACCAACGCTACTTTCCGAGTGTTGTCATGCTCCCTCACTACGCTTTTAGTTCCGACATATGACAATTGAAATGCATATCGGCACTTGTACCCTGCTTTACCGCGGAAATCTTCTTGTCAGGCTGCAAGGTGGCAAATAGCCGTAGGCAACAGCGCATCTATGCCAGAATTTTATCTTGAATATTATCGAGGCAGTATTTGGGTAAAATACAAACTAAACTCTCCAGTTTCGGTTGTCACGCAATATTCTCTGTACCACAGTTGTAAACAGGGTCAAACTTGAAGAATGGACCCCGTAGAGCCAAGTATGCACCTCATTTTAGGTACAATGTAACAGTTCACCCCAACATAGTTCATATGTGTCACCTTGAGTATGGCCAACAAGTAGGACAAGGTGTTCCCGCGGCCTAAACTCGTCTAATTATCTCTTACAATATATTAATTTTAACATCAAGAGTACAGTTCAAAGCTTCCCAATAAGGAGATCAGTATGTAGCCATGAGCAGCAAGTAAGGCGAGATGTCTCCAGGTCAGATTTTGGGAGCACAGTTAAGCTATCAAATAGAAACATTGGCCAGTTTCAAGGTATACCAATATTCAAATCTTATTTGATCATAGTAACGACTAGCAGCTGTTGGTAGAGTGATATCTTCCACATCTTATATCTATGAAGTATAAAGCTGATGTCGATGCGCCGATCAGGGATGTGGGAGCAAAGACATTTGCAAGACAAGCAGTACCCAGAAACCTTCGTCATATGGCTGTCAATAGCATGTCGTCGATCTTCAAAAGAGTCGCCTTCAAAATAGAGAATTTGCCGACTACTGCTGTCACCTCAGGATCGGTCTCGTCAATACTGAAGTCAATACTCGCAATCTTCGATGTGTTGAGCACTTTCGGGTGGAGACTTCAGAAGACATGTCCTATACTAAAAGCGAACAAATATATGAGATGGGGTAATGATCGCAGATGCATCCAATTATATCTGAAGTACCTGATGCGATGCCGCCCGCAAAAAGGTCCGACCCCGCTTTTTGGCGCCGACACTAACGGAGCGCCAAGCCTCATAGTGGTAGCCCGCCTTACAGCCTCCCTAGTTGAAGCGCGCGCTCTCCGAATCTTGAATTATTTTAGCAGGCATTGCTGGCAAGGATGAAGACAAAAAGCCTCAATCTTGAGCCAATCAATTCAAAGGATCACTTCCTGAACTATCTTTTGCGATGTCTCATCTACCGCTGTAAGTATTTCCAGGGTCCAAAGCTGCCTAGAACTCTGCATGTTTAAGGTCGCAAGCATAACCGAATCTCGAATTAATAGGGAGACAAGTCAGCGCCTGCTTTTGTTTTGTTGTCGTCAATGGCATTGCGTGACGAACTGGAAGTGTATATATACTAGTATTTCGATATATCGAGGATCCACAAATTTACGCAAAGAGAGAATGGGCTATTATATGGAAGAGATTTTACAAGTTTTCCTGGTTTTTCTGGTTTTTCAAACCCCTCAGCGTGGCGATCAAAAAACCTGATCAGAATTCTATTTTGATAAAGGGTACCACCTATAAATAATCCATGGATATGACACTTTATACAAAGCTATGACTGGAAAGAATATGAAAAGTACCAGTAGATAGAATACACCTTCGGAGAGGGATTTTCAATTAGACATCAATGTTTCTATCAACCCTTCAACAAGTAATTGGCGTGTTAGTGCATCTTTATTATCTCCGGCCGTCGTGGAGCAGATCTTCTTTACATTTACATGAACCTTGTATTACCTGCATGGATCGTAGCTGTGGCGGTCGTCCTCCTAATCTCAAAGAAACTATTATCGGCTCTATGATGTAAGTCATTTTCTTTCGCCTGCATATTACGACTGAGGCTTTTGAATCACTTAACAAAGATCTTTTAGTCTCTTTTTTAAAGAAACGTTTCAGTAGTGGCCCCCTCCAAGTATTGTTCGTCTATTCTACGAGAAATGGACAAAGGAATGGACAAAGAAGACTTAAAATTAGGCAAGGGTGCATCAGTAATGAGAATAGATATTTGAAACTTCTAGCCACAGTGAATATAGTAACTAATGATACCGCTGATTGTCCTCCCTTGTCACTACTATACACCCATAATTTGAGAAACACCCTACATCCTCTTATAGAGCTGTACAATATTCCATCTCTATCCTCAACTTCCTCCAAGAACCAAATCAACTCCCATAAGGAATAATCCGGCTTAGTCGCATCGACTTTTTGCTTTTTGACATTTCAGAAATTCAACTCAAATCCGCTGGGCGAATATAAGTTAAAGAGAAGACAAAATGGACCCCTCTAGCCTTAAATTGAAACTTGCTTGTCAGAGAGCCGATCTTCGCAGGCTTGACGCAGTTATGAAAGCCATAGATGTGGTTTCAGTCCCCAGGAAGGCAGAAACCCATTGGAGAGACCACGTCGGGACAGTGATTACCAAGAAAGATCGCGGCAAGAAACATAGACTTTACGATTTCGAGATCGAACGGTGCATGAGCAGTTACGCTCATTATAATGTCAAGATCAAATTTGTACCTGGGTACTTCACGTTCCAAAGACCGAAACCCCGGAAATCTGGACCGATGCAACTGCCGAGGAGTTCAAAAACCATGTGTCGGTATTGGAACTTCTTCGTTATGATACTCGACTAGTACTTGTGGGTATTCTGTCCTTACATAAATATTTTCTTATGTGCGTCAAACTTATAAAACAATTGATATTATTCAATATCCGCAAATACAGACCCCTGAACATTCTGAATGCTGTAAAATATTTACTCGGTTAGTAAATAGTAGAGTTTAAAATACCCCTACGGCCAAAGTAAATGCTTCTTCCAACTATTGGTGTTCTCATCCAACACATACTGAAGCCGTTGATGAAGGCGGCTAGAATCACCCTGCCAGAACTCGGCTGTCTGAGGTGCAACGGCAAACACACGCCATTTGTCCACACCCACGAACGGGTTTGTCGACATCAGAGCCTCTGTCTCTGCATGACGACGAGTGAGCTCCTCCCGATCCACGAGGATTTCGCTTTGCTTCGATGCGACAGCGCTAACCCTTGATGCGAGAGGCCTGGCTTGGTAGTCATGAGCGCTTTCTTCGTCGGACAGTGCAATAGCCTTTCCCTTCAACCGGATTTGTCGAGCAAGTTGAGGCCAATAGAATGTCAACGCAGCGTGTCCGTTCTTTATGATATGTCTCCCTTTGGGGCTGTCGGCCTTGACCGCAAAATGCCAGCCACGCGAATCAACGTTCTTCAATATCAGCACCCTTGCATCCGGATAGCCCTCTTCATCCACAGTTGAAAGTGTCATGGCATGAGGCTCTTTGACACCTGCCGCAACTGCCTCGTGGAACCATGATACGAATGCGTCATGTGGAGTTTCGGGGAATCTGTCGAAGGTGGTTTCTGGGAATGGCCCTTGAAGAACTTTGGTGTTTCGCAATTCTGTTTTGAATGAGTCGTTGTCGGTGGCCATCTGGAGGGATGTTAGATCGACCGCATTCGCTGCTTTAGACAAATTATTGTAGGCACCTCGGTATTTCTTAGAGTTGTAAACGCGCTTAATGCGATTTGTTCGTTTCAATTTCAGATGTAAATTGCATGGGGTGCGTTGTCACTGATGTCTTCCACTCGGACTTGCTGGTGACTCATGCCTGAGGTGAGGCGAATGTCGTAGCCGAATTGTATCCGAAGGCGCGTGCACTAGTCACCTCGACTCACCGATCACCGGTGTCTCCAATGGGAGATTTTAGATATAAATGGAACTTGAAAATGTATTCTTAAAAATTAAAGAGCAACCGAACAGCGTCGGTTTAAAAGCTAACTGTCGGGCTTATCCCCAGCCGATATAACTGTGATTGGCCCTCACCCTCGACCGTAATAGCCATCCACAATAACATAGACAAGTCGTCTACCTTCTCGCACCACTCAGCAAGCTCTTCTGCAAACCCAGGTCTCTCGGATGTGGTAGAATCCTCACCATGGGCGGCAGACTGTCTGTGTAAAAGGAGCTTGCCCAACGTCAGGCCCTGTCTTCCTTTTTGTTTCTTTGACTCAATATCTTCCTGGTGTCGTTTTCTCCAGTCTCGATCTGGTATTGGTTCCCAAAGGTCGCGGTGGCAAGGCAAGGGCATATCAAAAAATTCTGGACAATCTCCGGTAGAGGGACTCTGAGTATCGATCTGGAGTAATAAATCGAAAAGGTACAGTAGGCAGCCGATCCTTTGTATAACCATGAAGATTAGAATGGGTCTAAATGTACAGTGCCTTTGCATAATGGCATAATAATTAAAAAATACGGTACTTACCTTCTCAGGGTTTCTACGAAAACCCACTGTGTACGATTCACGCACAGACTGTCTGTATCTAAGCCCCATGTGCCCAAATCATACAGCTCTTCAGCAAAATCCTATACAAAGATGTAGTCAGCAGTCAGAACGAGTGAAACTTCGCAATTGAATAAACAAACTTCAATTGTGCTGACTATCCAAGTCGAATCTTCAACTGGCACTGATTCCGTGCACTGGGAACACAACATCCCGTATATGAGAGCAGATTGGAGGGAGGTAAGCTTCGAATTTTCATCGCATGTTTCATACTGGCAAGCTCATTAGCATCAAATAATACACAACATAAAGATACGCTGCAGTAGAATCTCACTTCCTCTCGCATCTGGCGTATATGCGCACATATTTGCTTCCATACAAAGTTGTGGCTTCCAGGCATACGATTGTAGAACATTTGAGTCAAGTTTGAACACACGGCCAGTGCTTCAGGCAAGCAGCGATGGGACGTGTTCTGGGGGCATTCATCATCGGGTCCGAGACAGCAGGGTGGGAATATAAAGGGTGGCAGGGTTTTAGCATCTGCCATCATGCGGCTGTATTCTTTCATTCGACTTAAAACCATCCTAGCCGTCAAGGATCCTTGCTGGAGCGACCTAGGACGTTGCGCTAACTGCGGCCCCGGTATTTTGGTGCTGGGCGTGGATTCGGTCGGGTGTGGGGTAGGGAAGGCAGGATTATCGAACGGGAACTCAAGGTTCAATAGAAGAGGAGAGATCATGTCGAAAGATGACGGGTCTGCGGACGTGTCTTCGGGCATTTGGGAGTTGTGGGATGTTGCTGGGGTCATTGCCAAGGGTGTATCGGAGGACTCAGGCATATCGAAAATGTAGGAGGTGAAATCTGAGTAAGGTGGTAACTCTGGGATTCCATATTCAGTTCCACCCTGTATTGACCCAAATAATTCATTTTCGTCGATATTGGTATAGTATCTCCTCGAATCTGGTTCGGCTTCCTTGGCTACAGCGGCAGAACTGTCATGGTCGGCCCTCGGTGAGATCCCAGCAAGGGTGCCAGCTAGATAATCCTCGGTGAAAGCACTGTTAGGAGTGAAGGAATTTGTCGCAGGTCGAATAGGCCGGAAGGCTGCGCGCGATCGGTTCTCGAGGTGGGGAAGCGCACGAACATATTGACAATCGAGGCGGCGGGTCGTGCATCGCGAGCACGGAGTAGAGAGGGAGCATCGGGATTTAGCTTTGCGGCATTGTAAACAGGCCTTAGCTCGTCGGACCGGCATGCTAATTTCCGGAAGGCCGGGCCATCGCCTAGGTCAATACAAAGGCTGAGAGTGACACGAGCATGAGAAATTGGTAGCTCTGATGCTTCCGCGAACTGCGGAATGGCCGACCCACGCTAATGACGATCCGCCGCAATTGCGGGCCAATGGCGAGATGCTGGGCTCCGGAATTCACAGCCAATTAGAATTGACGAAACACTTTGGGTTTGTAGATAGAATGAGCAGGTCATTCTTCTATCGACTCGTAGCGGAGATAAAATGCCAACCACATGCGGTGCAACCCCTTTCCTAATTCCTAGAAATGAATATTTAAGTCGCTGGCTCCCACATGCTAATTCTTTGAATTCTAAATTTTCACCACAAAGCAATAACCAAACAATGACTACTACACGCAAATCTTGTCTTGTCACAGGCTGCTCCAGCGGCGGAGTTGGTGCTGCTTTAGCTGAAGCCTTCGCAAAAAAAGGCTACCATGTTTTCGCCACTGCACGCTCGCCATCTAAAGTTCCTCAATTCTTACACGACGCTTCTAATGCGACGGTTATAGCACTAGACGTGGCATCTTCGGAGTCAATTGCTGCAGTTGCCGAAGCAGTGAAAAGCCAAACTGGAGGAACCCTGGATGTCTTGATCAACAACGCCGGTCTTGGGTTGGATATGCCAGCCCTTGATATCCCAATATCCCTGGCACGGAAGACCTTCGACGTCAACTATTTCGGCGTCCTCGAGATGATCCAGATGTTTGGTCCCATGCTAGTTAAGGCTCAAGGATGCATCGTCAACAATGCATCTATAGGGGGGTATATGTCCGTCCCTTTTATGAGTATGTACCCAATACTATGAAATCTAAGCTCTTAGACTCAGGCTAATTGATTTCACTCAGCTATTTACCAAGCCACAAAAGCTGCTCTGATTCAAAGCAGTGAAGGTTGGAGATTAGAGCTAGCACCACTCGGCGTGCGCGTCTTGTGTCTTGTCACAGGAGGCGTGGATACAAATTTCTTACAGAATCTTCCATCTGTGGAGCTACCAGAAACTTCGTTTTATATTGGCATCAAAGACCAAATTGCAAAACAGGAGGATAGTGTTCCTTTTGGCATGAGCCCTGAAGCATACTCGCAAGACGTGATTCGTCAAGTGGAAAGGGGGACGACAGGGAAGTATTGGATCGGTGGAGCCTCCACTATCTCTCGGGTTTCTCTGTGGCTTCTACCGCAGTGGGTGCTTGTAAGTTCTTCATGCCCTCGAGAGCGGGTATAAGCACTGAGCTTGCTAACACTTACATTCAGGACAAAGTTTACGTATGGCAAAAGCCCTTTCTAAAAGAATTTGCTGCACAGCAACAAAAGTCGCGGAAGAACGCCTGAAGCTTTTTTTCAACCTAGTTTTCATCAATTTCAGGCCAATATTGTATATTGAAAGTCATTCATATTCATACACTAAAGCTATAATATTAAAGATTTTGAACAGAAAGTAACATTTAGAGTTATACAAGAATTTTGGATCCCGAAAATGACCAAACTACATCACCTGTGGTACACTCATGACCTGGAAGTCTAAACCGGGAAGATGTGGCGCCGCGCTGGTCACAGACATCCGTCTATCCGAATATGGTGACACCCCATCAAATGGCATATTGTCCATCATCTTCATGGCCCATAAAGTAATGCTGTTCGCCTCGCGATATACATCTCGCAGGTCAGCCATGACTTCCAATCCCAGCTGGAAACTCTGAACGGCATGGCCTTCCTGGGTTGGCTCCTTCTTCATTTCAGAGATACTGATAATGAGTGCAACGAGAATCGCTGTCACACCCACTATGGGTAATCGGCGATGTAGCTTCTTTTGGTATAGTTCTGAGGCGATTTGAGTGATTTGTTGGGCAGCGTATGGAATGCAGAAGTTTGATGATGGGAGGGGATGTGATTGGTAGAACACGGCAATGGCAGTGTAGAATTGTAGGTGGAGGAGGCCTCTCTGTAGGGAGATTGCCGGCTCGTCCTCCATATTCGGTGATTCAAACGGGTATGTCTTGATTGAAGAGGGAAACTTGCTGGCCCATTGAGCTAGATTTGATTCGCAGACTGAGACCCGAGTCTCGTGGTCGACTGCATCTGTGAGGGTCGTATGTGGCGACGAGGATGAGAAAGAACCGTGGCGAGATGTTTCTTTGTTTTGCAGGTCTAGTACCTCGCTGATAGATGAGCACAGCTGAGCATTTGCAACACACATGAGAGCGAGGTCCCTTTGTACGTTCATGCTATGGCTTAATGGGTATCCAAATATCTGGACGAGGCTATCCGCGGAAAGGTTATACCAATCGAAGTCGTCTTCCGTGAGCATTCCGTGGCAGAATACCGAATTTTGGATTATTGGCCGACATCTCAACCTGAGTGCGATTTGACAATCGGTAATGTAGCATGTCCAAGCAAGTCGCTTCCAGAATTTGGGGTTCAATCGAACGTTCTTTACGCCGGAAACATCACGAAACAGACCGATACACTGAGCCGTTGAAATTGCGATAGAAGACCAGTATCGACTGTCCTCTCCGTCAGCGGTCTCAATCCTGTAAGTCATGAGTAGAAGTGCCTGTACAACAATGATGGTGTTGGGCTCATATTCAGATTGATACAGAAGCTAAATCAAGGGGTTAGTATTTGATGCTAAACTTCATTCATTTGATTGGCTTACCTTTGCTTTATTGTAAAAGGCTTCCTGTGCTTCTTGTCTGGTTGAGAAACCGGCGTCCTGGAGATGACCAATGTCTACAAAGGTTGTTGCAGAGGCCATCATCGCATGGAAGAGCAACAGGCTGACGGAACCATGATCGGTGTCGCGGTTGGAGATAGCATTCATGAATGCGGGCCATTCGATAATCGGCATGCTGGGGAGTACGCATTCGAGGAAGGTTTGCAGGAGTATATTTTGCAGTTGCGTGTTGGGTAGAGTAAAGACACCGTTCACATAAAGAAATTCGATCGTTGTGGGGTTCATCATCATAGGAAGTGGTTGGATAAAGCCCGGTAGGAGTGCACTTGGGCTTGAGCTCTCAGAGCCGGATGAGCCAGGCGAGCCAAGATTAGTGAAGGCATTCCAAACTTCCTCCTCTGGTTGTTGGAAAATTGGAGGGCTCAGCGAAGGGTTCTGCCACTCCATATTGGTAGGTGATGGATTAAGGGTATATCCATCATTCCAACCATTGAGCTGAGGGCTGGTGTAGGGAAAAGATTCGGATGTTACACTTTCGGGTGACCACTGAATTGTAGACTCGTTTGTAGGTAGTCCCGTTGTTTTCAGGTGCATTTGCTGTCTGTTTGAACATTAGCCTCATGGAAAGTCCAGTGTACCAGCTTGAGGATCCACCTACCTTGAGCGCTGCTTCCTGTTCATAATGCATTCCATGCCTCTTTGCGAGCAGTTTTGGCATGGAGACCCAGGGACCGCATTGCATCGAACCTTGGTGATGTGACACAACTGGCATGCTCTTGAGCTTCTCCGCGTAGGGGATTTGGATTGAATGGGTGATCTCGGCATTTTGCTTGTGTTCCGTCGATCTTCGGTAATGTGAGTTTGAATGAGGATATAGAGACTTCGCAACTTGAAGTCTGAGTGAAATCGATCGAAAGGGAACCCTTGTGCCTCACAGCAAGTGGTCTTGCCTTGGCCGTGGGGTAATTTCGATCGTTATATAGATTGGAATATTTGACTTTTTGAGTCGTACAAGGTTTTTTCTTTCTTTTACAAACTTGGAAGATCAACTCCAAGAAACAAGGATGTCTAGGTGGTGTCTGGCGAAACAAAGCAGCGATTCATGTAGTACAGTGTATCCTACAAGCTGTAAGGATGTAAGCTGCAGATGTCATTCAACACAACTCGTCATTGAAACGTTCTTGGAATGCGGGGAGATAGTCATTTTAAGTCATAGCGGAAGAAAGGAAGTTTAAATTAAGCCCTTGACTGCTGACCTTGATTTAATATCCTCGTTGCATCATTGCCTAACATTTAAGTGGCTGTCACCCGGGCAGTTTTTGCTCGATCAGGTTAGTTGAGATGTGGGTCAGAGCGACGTCAACTTTAACCAGATCGAGTGGAGAGTCCGGTCTATTCTTTCCCGTTGCAGCCGTTCTCCGGGGCCCGATTATCATCCGTGGCATGCCAAATGAACTTAGATTGGCTTTAACGAACGTGCACTTCGTCTGTACTCTAGTCTAGATTATTTAAATGGTTCACCCCGGACTCAAAATGCGGATACGGGGAAATGATCCGACCGGCTAGATTGTACTTCTTAAATAAGATACCTGAAATCCGGTCCGCTTGATCAGCGACTATTCCTTGTGGAGCAAGGCCCGCCGGGCCCAGGAGACAGGAAAATGCCCAAAAAGAAATAATTTCATATTTATAGTCGATTCATAATCGTAAAATCTCCGTTGATAAGCTTAAGGCGGCATTGCCACTTGCAAATGGGTCTCCACTAGTTCGAACCAGACCCCCTCATATCTGCCCTGCTTGGCCGCCCTTACTTGCTTTATAAACTCTTTGAGCCTTGATGCGCTCGCTGCTTGAACTGTGAAAGTCGCCAATCTATCCAGCAGTGCTTCTCCTGTCCCCTCGATCTCAAGCATGGCCATGGTCATTGGAAATACCATGGGCATCGCTGTTGACTTCTCAGCTGCTGTATTAGCAAACAGCTCCATGGCACAAAAAATGCTCTCGGCTAGAGCTCGAGCAGTCTCATCCTCCACACCAAGCGGATATCGATGCCGATGAATTACGAGCAGCCCCGCCAGACGATAAACATTCGCTTGAGTCATCATCGCTACCACCTCATGTTGGCCGAACTTCTCATACAGGATAGGTGGAGTTGGAGGCGCCCAGTCTTTTATTCTCTGCTCTATGACAGTGAGTTGGTCATAAAAGCCAATGTATGGCTCAATTGTGGGATCTGCCAAGCTCTTCTTGAACGCATGGCTAGACTCGCAGATATCATATAGATGAGGTAAGAGAGTCGCACAGAGCCCCGCATATCGGTCAATAATAATCCGATCTGTATTAGGGATTCGTATTATGGGAACCTCGCGATGCGCCAGACATTCGACTGTATCAATCAAAACCGGTGACATGACAACGGTATCCATGATCGGAGATTGGATGAGTCTTGGGAACCACGGTTTGGCTGATAAAAGTGCGCTTCGGACGATGGAATGTGCAGTGTTCGAATATGGCGCACTGAGTACATTAAACACATACATTGTCTGTCCTAGAAACAGGGTGCAGGCGGCGTCATAATCGTGGCGGATGATTATATCTCGCAGGTTCTGCAAGCCCCTTGCAGCCTTGCGCATGTCTGGCTGTTGGGGTCGCAAAACAAGTGATTTTTGATGTCCTGTCATCAATCCCAGGAATGCCAAATATCCTTCCGTCAATGTTGGCGCCGAGCAAGACAAGATCGCATAAATTGTGCTTTGGGATTCTGGTATAAAGCTCGTGCCCAATGCGAAAGGCGCATGTATCACAGAAAATTGCTCCACATCCAAGACCGTCGACAGGGCGTCGGACGTTGTTTGGAGCTTCTTCGTCGTTGCGAGTAGCCTCTCCGGAGACAAAGACAAAACATTATTATTATTAGGCGAGGGAATTTCCTCCGTCGCATCAGATTGTGAACCGGTATCTGAACCTCGGCTCGGTGCACGAACAGATCTGTCATTGCTACTGCTTGCTTCAGATCCACGGCGCTCATTTTCGGGTTCAATCTCCACACTCCAAACTTGCATCTGGCCGTGAGGGAAAGTTTTAGCAGATGGGCGACGGCCTATTCGTCCACTGCGACGAGATATAGAACATATAATCTTCAGCCGGCGACATCGTGTGCACTGCTGATCATTGCCGGTGAAGGTGCATTTTTCTTTCGCGGAATGACAGCGATTGCATGCCTTCACGACCATGGTCTCCACGAAGTCGCTGTCAACTCCGGAGTTTGAGTTGGCTACTTGGGGTTTGGCTTGTACACGCTGGTCAATCACCCGTTTAGCTGGATACAGGATGAGGTTGAACGCGTGAGTTAGAAGAGGCGGGATAGGCCAGCGTTGTCCATCTCCCAATATTTTCCCCGCTTTCCCCACAAACTGGCCTCGGACCAATAAACGATAATATTCATATGCTCATCCGAAGCGTGCTTAGTCAGGGGTTGGGTTGTTTCGAGGCTTTTCGTGTGTTTTGTCGTCAATGCGCTGAATCACCCGGTGGGGTTGTGTGCGTGTGTGGTTTTTTTTTTTTTTTTCTCCCCTTTTCCAAGTTGGCTTTTTCTTTGATCTTCTAGTGGTTCTATAGTCTCAGACTGTTTCACTATCACTTTCCAGCTTCACTAACGATTCCACCATTCCGTAGATCATTGCATGTAGGTTGTGTCCCGGCCGAGAATATTTGGGACTTGGTGGGTTTCGTCTCCCGGTGACTCTCGGGTGGAGATGGGCTCATTTTCAGGGGCTGAAGGCCCAGGCCTCCACGCCTGGCTGCCGAGGGAAATTGAAATCACACCGCAGGATCATTGCAGGCTGCTAACTTTCCAGTCAATTGGCCCAGTGCGACCAGGAAAGAATGATCGACCTTGTTGTATCAACTTGGAAGCATCTGGTTATTGGCAAGATCACGAAAATGCGATTTGCCCCACTAATATATGCAAGATTGTGAAGAAACCCACAGGAGGATCAACAAAACAGTATCCTAAAATTCTTGGAACAGGTTCTTCTGTTCATTATTCCCGAATTAAGAGTACTTTTACCCAACCACTAACTCCTTAACACTGTGCCTGAGGTGGCAGATACAAACGCGAGCTAGATACATGACCATAGTGGATCCATGCGGCGAACTGCCTCTTTAGCCTTAGGCTGCCATCCGAAATCAATCAACGTAACGAATTCATTTTGCACTGGAGCATCTAGCCGAATTATCCGCACGTAACCGTCTCCTCTGTTTCTTCGACCCTCACAACACTCTTCCTTTTTAAATCCATCTGCTGATCATGAATCGCCGGTCGTGGTAATTACATACAGGCGTTGTGTTCTCCACTGGCACATGTCCACTGAAACCTATGTGTCCTTGAAACGTTTAGTTTCAGGGTGTAGCACTTGTAATAAATCGGATCGATCAGCCTAACGACATGTCCGTTAAAGCATTGTTGCACCCAAACGCGAAAAAGGGGGGACTCACCTCTGGTTCCTTGGGATTTTCAAGACCACGAAAGATTTAGATAGCCTCGTGGGTTGCTGTGTACAATAAACTGGCGGGCATCATATTTGATACTTTTTATTGAATGGATTCCCATCAATTTCATTTCGCTGCTCTGGAGAGCATTTGGAGAGCGTTTAAATCGCCATATCAACAACAACAGATATAATTTCATTTGGCCTTTTCATCGATCCGCTTCGCTGCAAACCGGCTTAACCACCGGGCATACGGACGGTGTTGAACATCCTTAAACTGCACATGTGTGCTTCGAATGCTTATCAAAGCGGTACCCCGAAGAGAGTGTTGTTTTTGTGCATTTACTCTTTGAAAGACGCGTTAATTGGGTGTATCGTTTCCACAAATCGACTCTAAACTCAGAACTCAGGCATCACAGATTGGGTTGGGTCCGAACTATCTCTGCACAGGGAATAATAGTTAGTGTCGATGAAGTCTGGTAATCAGAAGCATCTCCAAAATTTACGTTTCGAAAGCAGGACTCTCTTTCTCCATATCGCTACAATAGTCACTTATGCCGTCGCTGATAACCATTCCCTTGTTGGTTTCATTGGTAATTCGAGCTGAAACTAGGTCGAGCAGCGCGCACTCTACGTCCGGACAGATTGGTCTTCAGTATGGATTTAAGAGAGGCTTAGAGGGCTTTGCGTTTTATCTGTGTAACTAATAGATCTGCTTTCGTTACTTTGGATCGATGATTGCTTTCATCCGAGGACTCCATGCTTTTATTTGGGATCGTTTGCGCGTCCTGGTGCATTTCAATTGAAGGAGAGAGTTCCAAAAAGTCCGGCATGACATAGCTGGGAGTCGTAAAATCGGCATATCTAGACTCTTCCTGAGCTTCCATAGCAGTTTCATTCATTTTGTATGTTTTTAGTTTGAACTTCAAAGCGTTCGAAGTAGGTAAACACAGGGTCGAGAGTTCTGTGCCATATGGGAGGAATCAAAGACCCGTTTATAGAGAAAAATCTCTCAGCCCCACATTCTTGATTCGCAAACCTAAGATCTTGTTCGGTTCGCGCACTATCTTAGGCGAAGATCATTACCCATGCCCTTGCTAATCAGGGTCAAATACATACACGCCTTCGCTACAGCTCGCCGGGACTGACCAATCAAAGAGCTGAACACCTTATCCCAAAGAGGTTAGCCTGTGAAGTGTGTGTCATTTGTCTCCACATCGCTTCAGGTTCAATGCGCCTGTACGTTCATTCATTTGAATGCTCCTGTAATTCAAGCTATGGACGAAAGGGGGCGTTAGTTATCATGCGAATTACGTCGTGGACTATGTCAGCGCACTGCGCGAAGCCGAGTTTTGCCCCCCGCATTGCGCGTGAAGGTAGGGGGCGGTAAGGGACCACACCTACAGTAGAAGTTATATGTTATAGATAAGACAATTGGATAATAAAATTGAGCTCGCGTTAAACTGGTTATCGAGGGAATTACCAAGATGGGTTTCTCCTTCTGCGATATCACTATGTGTGATGCGACGCGACCCACAATAAGATCTGCCTCGCATGCAGAGATCCAACGGCAGCCCATATTGATCGAGTTCGATTTCGAATTCTGTGGGCAAATTGATTCATCTGGTACGGACAGAGTATTCGTCTAGAATCTGTAACCACCAGTCAATATGATCTACAATTGGGAATGATGAATCAACCCCTCTAAGATGAGGTCAGCCAATGGTAGGTTTCGAATAAAATGTTTCGCTTTGAATTATCAAGATAGTTACTGAAGATCTTAACAGATATCTCGCTCATCGCCGGTTGCCCCGTACTCATCTTCTTCAAGCTCATCTTCTTCACCTTCAAGCTCTTCATCATCATTATCGGAGCCTTCGTAATCCCCGTCTTTCCCTTCAATCAAGTCCAAGACCTGCTTAAGTCCTTCAAACACACAGTAACCATGTGCAAGATTCTCTAACTCGTCCAATCTGTCCCAAAGAGAGCCCGACCCGCTATCATCTTCCATGATTGCCCCTCTTTCTTCAACCGACATCGCAGACACAATGTCATGCATCGCATTCTCCAAGCTCGGGTCCGATTGAAACTGCTTCCGCACCTCGCTGCCCAGCGTGTCATTTGAGAGAATAATCGTCTTGCCAATCTTGCGTAGCGCTGATAGCCCATTCAGTCGGGTTTGAGGACTGGCCATCGCGTCGCACTTTTGTGCAATCATCCCAACAGTAGAAGTGACGCTGCCGGCCACATCCCATGCCATGTCGTATTGTTTGGAGCCTGACATAGAGCGATATGTGATATTGATCGACTTCCAAATAGACGAAGAATAATGATCAAAATTGATGACTACTTTTTGGCGCTTCTCACGTTCTTCCTTGATCGCGTCAGTGACCATGGCGTTCACATCCGGATGCATTTCCGCAGCCCTTTTTAGAAGCTCGGATAGCTGTGGGAGCTTCAAGAGCTGTAACTCCTCCTCTGTGGGGCTGGGTTGAACTCCTCCGCTCGCTTGTTGTGGTGTAGTCTCTGCATCTGTGCTTGACTGGGCGAGCGTGTCACCGGCAGTGTTTGCGCGGGCACGTTTTGTTACTGTTGGTGCAGACATAATTTGCTTCGACGAGGTCCAAAAGAGACGTTTTGGTTGTTGATTGATGTGATTGTGAATTTGTGGGGGGAGTGTTGTTGTGTGTGGTGTTCCGTCTCCACAATAGTCAGGAGCGAGTAAAGTTCAGTATTTAAGCATTTGCTGATCGACGCAAAAATCAATGTGAAACGAAATAGCAATTTGGGATTTTGTCTTGAACACTCTTTGGATCTTGTCAGTGGCTCGTAAAATAAATTTTTATAAATAAAGTTATTAAAGTTTCAAATGCTTCGACTTTTCTTCTCCTTGTGAATTTTTCGCGCCCATTATGATCTCGCCGATGAGTCTCCGGAATCATTTCCCCAACCCCCCCCCCGAGTTGATTGACACCGCCAACAGTCTATATATTGATTTAGTTCAGCTGGAAGATTAGATGCCGGACACTGGAATACTGTGCAAAGATGAGATATCTGGTTATTAATTCAAACCTGCAGCCAAAATCATACTGAAGACGTTCCATATACTACTAGTATGTTGCGATACTAAGTACTATATCTATTACTATAGACTTTGAAGCCTATCTGTTTCAAGTTGAGGAAAAATTCAATCTTAAATCATTTAGAGACCAATCTTTGCCACCAATTACATACTCATACCTGGAATCCATATAAACTTTGACAAGTATACGGTAAATCATCAAAGACTCGGTTCAAATAATCTTGAAAGCAGGTAGTGTCCGGATTTAAGTTGGGGTATCGTATAATTTCAAGCTTTGTAGCCCCACAAAGACTTGGGATCAAGCGCATAGGTGGCAGATAATCCAAAATTAGATTCGCCGCAATCTATAACTTGCAACTCTGTCCAGACTGATCACCGAGTGGAATAAACTACCTGATTCGGCAGCCAAGCCAGCATCACGTCCGGACAAACCTCGGACCTGTGTTAGCGGGGTAAACGTGGTGCTGCCCCGCCAATGACATATCTTCATTTACATCCAAGGTTACTGCCACAGACGCGACACAAGACACGCATATAAAATCCTAGGCAACAGACCCTTTCATCTGTTCGATTCTTCTCATTCAACTTCATCCATTCTCAAACAATTTCATCTCAAGTTCTTTTTTACATTCAACACTATGGTGGCAGCCAAGGAAAAGCGACCGGAGATTATCGAGCTCTCCCGCAGCCTGACAGGCATCCCGAAATGCGAGGACTACGATCGCATGATCTCGGGAATGATGTATGTATCCTTTGAGTCATGAATTTCGCTGGATTTTAGAACCTGACACGCTATCCAGGTACAATCCCACCATACCAGCTTTATTAGAAGCTCGTCATAGGTGCCGGGGTTTGACAGCTGATCTCAACGGCCTGGACACAAAGACTATTCCATTTGACCAGATCGGTGGTAAGCGAATGGAAATTCTCCGCAAGCTTTTAGGTCGAGTTGGCGAGGGAACATTCATCGAGACTCCATTCTTGCCAGACTACGGCTGCAATATCATCATCGGGAAGGACTGTTTCATTAATTGGAAGTGAGTTTTGAATATCGAATTCCCAAATACATAATTCAAGTACTAATATAATTCAGTGTTACAATTCTGGATACAAGTCTCGTTGTCATCGGAGATCGAGTTCAGATTGGTACTGGTGTCGGCATCTTTAGTGCTGGTCACGATACAAGCGTGCTATCTCGACAGAAAATGGTGGAGTTCGGTCATCCCATCTTCATTGAAGATGATTGTTGGATCGGAGGTAACACTGTCATTCTGCCTGGTATTCGGATTGGGAAAGGCTCGACTATTGGGGCTGGATCTATTGTTACCAAGGATATTCCACCTTATTCTGTTGCTGTGGGAAGCCCTTGTCGTGTCATCAAGACTATCCAATCGGTCGAAGAAGAGATGGCAGATCCAAACAACGAATATCGAAACCTGTGAGGAATATAAATGCAAAAGACACATAGGTTTGGGATGATGATCTCGCGATCCAATGTCCCAAGAAACGATCATAGATGAGACGAGACAAGACGAAGAAGAAAATATTGAAGAACTAACATGGCCGAATCCCGCATGGACATCCATTTGACCTTCAACCCTTCCAATTATCATTACTTGTCAGATCTCAATCAAAGACTGCGCTGGAACAAGCTAATGCTTCAAGTCTGGCGTTCGCACACAATACAATATCATGATAATGATCACGATCGCGATTTTACTTCACCACATCTGTAAATCTAGGATTATTTTTTTGTTGCTAGATTCAACCCATCTGCAAGCGGAACAGCCTGAGTATCGTGTTGGCTGTCTAGTTATTCCGTAATTGTAAAGCTGAAATCCTTCTCCGTGGGCCTACGCCGCACCTTTAACTGGACAATCGTCAGAAGGAATCCGCCCCCACGCAAGGCTATGGCTGATCCCTGTCGATTAATCACCAGCTGCATTGAAAAAAGCCCAATATTCCAAGTCTGTGACCAATGAGCCCGGCCTTCGAAAATGGCCCCCATCTCTCTCGCCAGAAACTGTGTCCGGATGTGCCGGCTGCAAACATTCTTTGTTCAATTCGGTTTCAAATCATTATCCTATGTTCCCCTCGTTTTATTTAAATTCGACTCCTCGAACATAATCTCTTCAAAAATACATTCTTTATTTACGAATTATGGAAGCCGACTATATTATTGCCGGAGGCGGCTTAACAGGCTGCGCGCTTGCCTCCCGCCTAAAACAGCGGAACCCATCACTTGATATCCTGGTCATCGAGGCCGGCGAGGATGCTTCCAATCAGCCCGATACGCAGACTTTCCCGGGTCTTTTCTCTCTACTAGACTCCCCACTAGATTGGACGTATAAAACCGAAGCCCAGCCAAATACTTGCGATCGGACCCACGTGGTTCATGCTGGGAAGGCAGTAGGCGGAGGAAGTACCATCAATTTTGGTGGCTGGAGCCGTGGCGATGCTGCTGATTACGATGACTGGGCGAAGATCGTTGGTGATGATCGATGGAGTTATAATGGATTACTTCCATACTTTCGTCGGTCGGAATCTTTCAATTCTCAAGATTCCCATAATCATGGATCTGATGGTCCAGTAAAGATCACGTCTGTTTCTGCAAGTGATCCCAATCGAAAGTATCCATTACGTGAACCAATCAGACAGGCCTGGGATGAGATCGGTGTGCCTTTTAACTCCGATGGTTGTTCGGGAAGCTCGTATGGCGTTTGTGAATTTTTGGAGACTTGGAATCAGGGCAAGCGCCAGGCATCACAGCAAGCGTATAGCTTGGATGGTGTCAAACTTATCACAAATATGATTGTTCATCGGGTCAAATTTGACGACACCAGCCCAGGAGAGCCAAGGAGAGCTTCAGCTGTTATTCTTGCCAATGGTGAGCGCATCAAGGCTCGCAAGGAAGTCATCCTGGCCGCAGGCAGTATCAGAACGCCACAGATTCTTATGTTATCCGGGATCGGACCTGCCAATGAGTTATTCAAATATGATATTCCGCAGGTTATTGATATGCCAGAGGTGGGAAAAAACTTAAATGATCATTTCGCGGTCTATCAGCTCTACAAGCTGCGCAATCACGAGAGAGGCCTTGCACTTGGCAGCCCGGCTCTTTCGGATCCTGCATTTGTAAAGGGTCTTCCAACAGACTGGGCGACAAACCAAGACGTGCCAGCAGACAAGTTGGAGGCAGCAATGCGCAAGGATTATATACGATTTGGTAAAAGCCATCCGTCCCTGCTGAAGCCCGGACGCCCACTCGTTGAATCCATGATTATCTATGCCCCAGCAGGTGTCCCCGATGTTCCTATGAACGGGAGCCTGGTCGTAAGCTCGGTAATGCTGCTTGGTTCCACCTCTCGGGGATCTGTAACAATTGGATCTGCATCGCCGAATGATCCGCCTAAGATTCTATCGAATTACTTTGACACCGAAGTCGACCGCGTAACATTGATTCATGGTGCTCGTCGGACTATGGAGGCGCTACTTGATACGAATGCGTTAGCGGATTATATCGAGACTGAGGTGCCTCCACCTGGAATGTCAGTACTTACCTCTGAGTCGTCAGATGAGGAGTTTGAAGCGCGTATTCGTGCAACTGGTATGGCTCACCACCATTCTGCGGGAACTGCTGCCATGGGTAAGGTGGTAGACTCTGACCTACGCGTATTTGGAGTCGGCAATGTTCGGGTTGTGGATGCAAGTATCTTGCCTTTGAGTATTGGGGGACATCCGCAGGCTACATTGTATGCGATTGCAGAGCAAGCAGCAGATATTATTCTTGGAGCTGAATCAAGTACTTAGTTCCTAGATGCCTCAATTAGGAGGACGCGGGCGAATGAATACTTTTCCTGATTTTAGGCTTTCTCATTAAGCAAGCTCTGTTGGACGCTTTTTATTAGTCGTAGCCTAAAGGAAACCCTTTCACACTGTCATTCGTACTGTATCATGTAATGATATCACAATGTGCCGGGATATGTCGGCTTGGAAGGAAGGCAGAGCGGTCCGTGTTTTGCATGACGGTGGATCCCACTGTCGAGAATTTCCAATCTAATGATGGTGCTATGGAAGCCTCCGGTTCCCGGGACTATCTATGTATTATTTCACCGATTTCCGGCGTTAATAGTAAGCCCAAGGTTTCGAGCTTCAATATAATTCAGATGGAAGTCGTATACTTTAGACGTCATTCCGGGGATTCCCGAGGCCATAACTCGTAAAGGGGTTATCGTGATATTCAAAATAGGATGACTTGATATTCATTTCGCTTTTGTATTTGGGTATATGATATTCTAAAGAGGCGCATGAGACTATTCAATGCCTGTTTAACAATCACCTGCCCAGTGGACAGTGATACATGGTATCATGAAACGCCGGGGTGGCATTCTAAGCTAATTATGCACCATGACCCATTCTACGTTTTAAAGAACGCGGAGAAGTAGTTTGTCGTTGTTTTTCCTGGGGCTATATTTGATATTCGTGGGGCTATGCCATAGCCTTGCATCATGATCCCTACGGATGGAGTGGTCATTTCAATTGTCTCTATTGGCCACCGGAATAAATAGGGTAGAATTGAAGTTTAATCGACACGATTGCTTACTGACCCGAAGCATTAATATGAGGCTGACTTCGGCCAAAACCTAATCATCTTGTACTGCTCGAGAACGTGGAGGTTTTATACTTTAGGACCTTAGTGCACGTTGAATATTGACTTCAAATATCAAACCTTATTGGATTCAAGCCTAACAAAGACTATACAATAATCTTAGATTGGACACGACATAACTCAAGTGGCGTCTCACAAATGGGATGATCAACCTTTTACACTTTCCTTCCAAAATATCCACGGGTCTTGCTGTCGCCATTCGGAAGATGGCCGATATGGTGGAGCATGTTTCATTTTGAGTCCGGAGTGGCGGTCGCTGATTTGCTCCCGTTCAAGGCAGACCCACAAAAGTATTAAGTAACTGGTTGTTCCACGTCCCCCACAGTCCCTTAATGCTCCACTAATTCACCGACTGCCTTCCGAATGGGAATGATGGTCTTCTTGGCGGGCCGCTTGGCGGGGATGGGGGTCTTGGCGGGGGGAACTTGGCTATGTATAGGGATGCACGACAAGGCCGAACAAGCCTTGAGTTATTGCCTCATCCCACGCCTTGGATGAGCTCTAATAGGCCCTTGACGCCGGGGTAATTTCTCGGCAAACTCAACTTGAGATTCGATTTCCCCAGCTTGACGCACATACGATATAAAATGTCCGATCAAACTGAATAGATGCTATTGTTGGGGATAGAAGGCGAAATCTCCAGTCTAAAGACTCATTGTGGCAAACAGCCCGACGGCTCTGCACGGGAAGCGCTGGTCAACCGATTTTTTGAATGGTCGGCCCGAATAAAATTCCTTTCGCGAGGACCTGTTGATGAATGGAAACCGATCTCCGAGCCGTGGAGTCATCCCCGGGTGGGATGCCAATTGAGTTAGACCCCGTCCCCCCCTCACCGGTGCGAAACTCCAGTCTAGCCCCATGATGGATTTTCATAGCTGTATCAAGTTTCTATGGTAGAAAAATCAGCTCGAATCATGCCGTGTTCTCCGACTTTCGGCATCCCTCCTAGCGATCATACCCCAAAGTCTCCCGCAAACATCCCGGTTTGTCACCCCCGAGCCATGGCCATCCCCAAACCCTCTCGGTGTTATGTGCATCCAATCTGGAAGGATTGACTATCTTGTACCTTTGGTTCCGTAATTCAGCCTATTATCAACCGTCCCTTTCCTTGCGATGGAACCCGCGTGGTTCTCCATACTTCGTGCCCCGTACTGTCAACCAATCCCAGCTATGGATAACAGATGATCTCTCAGCAATACCATTTCGTAATTCATAGTCCACCAGGTTTTGGCCAAGAAATCAATTTCTTTTGTGGGGTCTCCACAAGCACACCGGATTCACCGGTAGACATAAATCTCGGACATTCTCTGCTTTCTGATCTTTTCCTTTCATCGTACTCCTTCCTGCTGGGTTTTCATATCTCCAGGTCGTCCATCCCGACCACCCATCATGCTTCAAGGAAAGGTGCTTCGTGTAGCACAGGCGCTACTGATTGTTGCGCCCGCATTCATTGTTTTCGGTTATAATCAGTCTGGGTTAGGCCCGTTGGCCACTCTGCAAAGTTGGGTTGATGTGTTCCCTCAAATCGATACCATCAACACTGAGGGTGCATTGCGTGCAAAGAATTCAACAAGCAAGGGTGCTGTGATTGCATCCTTCCAGCTTGGTGCTCTTGTTGGCGCTTTGTCCTGTACAGCACTTGGTGATCGACTTGGTCGCCGTAAGACCATCTTCCTTGGTGCTATTCTCACAATCATCGGCCAATTGTTGCAAGTAGCCGCATATGGACTTCCTCAATTTGTCGTCGGACGAGTGATTCTTGGTATGGGTGTCGGACAATGGAGTGTTGCTGTTCCTGTCTGGCAATCCGAATGTACATCAGCCAAGCATCGAGGTCAACATGTCGTCGTTGATGGAATTTGTATCTGCTTGGGTTATGCACTTTGCAACTGGATCGATTTCGGTCTCAGCAAAGTCCCCGGCTCACTGGAGTGGCGAATTCCCCTCGTCATCTCCTTCTTTTTCTCCCTCATCGTTCTTTTCTCTGTCTTCTTCCTCCCCGAATCCCCTCGTTGGCTCGTCCGTGTTGGACGTATCGAGGAAGCAACTGAGAGTCTCGCTGCTTACAAGGGAGTCCCCACTGAGGACCCGTCCGTCCGTATCGAGATCGGTGGTATCGAGACCTCCCTTGAAGTCACGGTTGACAGCGCCAAGCTCAGCGACCTATTCAACCCCAACAAACCCGATGACGAGCGCCTCCTGTATCGATTCTGTCTTTGTATTGCCCTCCAGTTCTTCCAGCAGATGTGCGGAGGTAATCTCATCTCGACATATGTTTCAACAATCTTCGAAGAAAATCTCCAGATGGACAGCGACCTTGCGCGAATTCTATCCTCCTGTGCAATGACATGGAAGTTCCTTTGCAGTTTCATTGCCTTCTTCGCTATCGACAGACTTGGTCGTCGCAAGATTTTCATGATCAGTGGTGCTGGAATGGCTGTCTGTATGATGGTCCTCTCTATCACCAACAGCTTTGGCTTGAACCACAAGGCTTCAATTGTCTCTGCCGTCTTCATCTTCCTTTTCAACTCCTTCTACCCCGTCGGTTTCCTGGGTGGTAACTTCCTTTACTGCACTGAGGTAGCTCCCATGCGCCTTCGTGTCGCCATGTCTGCTATCTCGACCGCCAACCATTGGCTGTGGAATTTTGTCGTTGTTATGATTACTCCTGTCGCTCTTGACACTATTGGCTACCAGTATTATATTATGTATACTGTTATTTCAGCCTGTATCCCCGTCGCTGTTTACTTTTTCTATCCTGAGACTATGAACCGCAACCTCGAGGCCCTGAATCATGTCTTCCGGGATGCACCCACCACATGGGATATTGTTTCTATGGCCCGTCATCTGCCACAGGGTGAGGCCGCTGAGGTTGAGGTCTGGAAACAAACGGAAGAAAAGGGCGCTATTGAGCAGCAAGAACATGCCTAAACGGAGATTTTGCAATACGTTGAGTTATCCTGACTGATAGATGTATATACGGAGATGATGTTTCCGACATGGTTTTAACGAGGTGTGATGAACAGAATGTATATAGTAATTATATATGCATCATGATATAGATATGAAAGTTCAAGAGCTTCAAATTTCGCTTCAGGTACTACCTAGTACTACTAACATTTGTATCGTACATATCGTTTGCATTTTTCAGGTATTCAACTATGTCTCCATTGCTTAAAATAGTCAAGTGTAGATGACGCGATCTTTTCGGTCGGACTATCTAAAGTAACATATTCATATCTCACAGGCTCAGTAAGACCTCTGTATTTGGCTAAGAATTTCAACTACCGGTACGTGGGGGCTAAGCAATTTTGCCAAGTTGCCCAAAAATTGGGCGAACATTTAAACTTCAAGTGAACTTGAAACACGTATCGAAATTATCTGTCCACTTTTCAAAAGTGATTTAAACCGATTTGACTTTGCCTAACTTCAAGGGGCAATGTCGGCCGACTTGCTTGCTCCTTACGTAGATTCATTACTAGTATTTATCCCCTCTTCGCCAACTATGATGATTGCGATAATTACACAACGCGCCACCCCAAGCACGACATAACCTCAAATATTCTATGAGAAATTTCAAAATAAATTCAGCGTAGCGAATCTTTTGTTCTCGTAAGTTCCCTTCGGCCTACATAAAATCGCGACAAGGTTGGACTATGATCGCGCCAATAATGTCACAGCAACATTCACTACATATGGCACGCGTGAATCGTGGGAGATAATTAAATCAACTTGAAGATATAAATAGCTTAGGAAGTGCGTCTAATTGATGTTACAGTGCCATCCAAAGACCTGCGCCAATCACTCCAGCCAGAAGACTCGGATTATTGGGGCAGCCAGTCGGAACAACCGCCACATCCTTGCTGGTCGATGTAGAGTGAGCACTAGAAACACTAGAAGTGAACTTAGTGGGCAGTACCGTAGCTCCGCTTGGATTTACCACGGCAGTTGGAACTGTCACACTGGCAGTGTCTGATACAGAGATCGCGCTAGAAATAGGATTGGCACCACTGCCGATTTCTAAAATATTTTCCCCCTCGGCATCAAAATCTCTCTGCGCCATGGAAATCTCATGATTGGAAAGGTCGTAAACAACGTAGGCTCTGCGTAAGAAATCGCTGGCTAAAATTGGTGTTCCACCAAGACTTGGTACAAAATTGAACTGACATCTGTCACTGTTACCAGTAGCAATAAAATCACTGACTGGGGCTTTGATACTGAAATCGCCAAATGTGAACGTAATGCTGTAGTCTTTTTCGCTGGCGCCGCAGTCAATCATCCCTACTTGGTACTCTTCATCCCATGTAATATTCAAGTCTTTGAAAACCTGCTCGACAGTTTCGGTTGGGAGAACTGTTTGCGGCGACGTAGAGCTCAAAACCATGTATGTTGGTAAAGTCGATGAGTTTCCAGGCGAGACGCTACTTGTTTGAACAGTGACTTTTGTCATTAGGACCGTGGGAAGATAGCGTGTCCCATTTACGGCAGGGACAGACATGGTATAGAGTTCACCTGTATACTTGGTCGTATCGACTCCACCAAAGAGAATGGTTCCTGTTGTCCCGGTGGGTTCATCTACCCACAAACTGTATGCCGCTGATTTGATGTGTCCTTGATCAAGCAAGGCCTGGAGGATTGATGCAGGCGCATCTAATTTGTCGCTTACAATATAACCGATACCGAGAAACTCATTCAAATCAGTGCCCATATTGACTACTAGGTCAACTGATGATAAGGCAAGGCCGGAAATGGTCACATTGTCACTGCCAAAGTCCACGGGGAAATCAGCTTCGTCGGTTGGGTCATTGCTAATGAACTTATATGTCGAGGAGGCGTCGATGTCAAAGTATCCGGTAGAGCAACTGGCGTCAGGGTTGTCTGTACACCTTGTTGAATTGGTCGCTGTTATCTCGATAACACCAGTGGTTGTATCTAACCATAGCTCGCTCATAGCTTGTGGTGGTGTCCCAATAGTTAGATTAGTACGATATATTGAATATGAACTTGGCTCCTACTGCAGTTAGTTTCAATTCTATTTTCAAAGGCCTTGTTAGGGAATCATTACGTAAATTCCAAATGATGCCGAAAGAACAGAGTCCCTCTTTTGAGACTGGGCATGTCTATCATTTGCTCGTTGAATGGGGAGCTTAAAGATTGCTGGATCATCATTTTGGCTGAGAGACAATGCTCCCACTTCACTCCACGCTAGAATTGCTAATAAAAACAACATATTCATCATTGTCGAGCCTATGATGCCTTAATTCTATAAGGGAACTCAGGAAAGCCTGAAGTCGGTGTATGAAAAGAGAGAGAAAACTGAACAGAGCGCTTTGCTAAGCATGAGAGGTGGAGACAGAAGAAAGCTTAAAATGCAATAGAAAACCCCTCTCTCGTGCATTGGTACAGATGAGAGTCAGCCCAGTCTAACTCCTGTGGGGGAAATAGGGGTTTCAGACCAGCTTAACTATGGCTTTTGGTGGCGTTCGCTAAACTGAATCATTTGAAGCGATATCCCACCTTAGCGTGCCCGGGCCCGCGTTTTCTGGTCAGTCAATACAGACCACCAGAGGTTCGATTTAATTAATAGAATAAGCAAGCCCAGATGGTAAAGCTCCGTGTAACTGGCGCTCGGCCTTAACCGTATGCCGATCTCAAGGCATTAGAGTGACAGATGCATATTTATGGTGTGAAATCACACAATTGATTGAGTTCCGTATATGCGCTAATGAATAAAATTGACAAGAAACCAAAGACCAAAATTGCTAAAAGCACGTATTTCCCTTCAATGCACCAGACAAGTCGTAAGTCATGAGTAAATGCTATCTGTCGTGTAATTGGTGGTTCATAATATGCAACGTGAACGAGAATGGGAATGAAGGAGAGGTTGTGAAGAATGAAGTATGAGTGGATGGGATCACTGGGCTGTATAAAAAGACAAGAAGCACGAAGGAAAAATAATGGGAGAGGAAATACAAATGCAGGCTGAAAACGTCAAATGCCCTACAATGCATCATCATCAGACATTATCATAAGTCATTAGTCATATATAGGTGGAGCTCTTCGAGAATGCATGTATCCCATATCTTCTGCAAGGCTTGTAGGGATGTATCGTTTCCCGGGGCCCCGCGAGGGACTCACCCATCGTGATTTCGCAGGGGAAAAGCCGGCATTACTAAATGAGCGTGGTCGTTCAGAGCTGCTGCCTCCACTTCCAGGACGGCTGCCACCAGTGCTACCGCCGCTGTAGCTTCCACGTCTTAGGTCCTCTGCTGCATATGGATCTAGATGATGCCGATGGCGAGGGACTGCTCGTGGAGGAGGAGATTTTGGGGGAGGGGCATGCGTATACATTGACGGCGGGTCTGGTGCATGGGTCGGAGCCGCCGAAGAAGGCCCACCAAAGATAAACTCCTTGAATTTGACGCCCGAGGGTCTGGACCGGGATCGGTCATCGTTGTGATGATCGCTGTGATGGTGCCTCGGGGTCCCGTCTGAGTTTGACTTGCGGGTACTGGGGATACGAGCGTCGTGGTCATGATCACGGTTGGTCCTTCGAGCTGCGTATGGGGACAGATCGCGAGCGGGTTTGCGCATGTATGCATCGTGAGAATGACGTCGAGTGCGAGAATGCGATGGAGGTGAGAGATTATGCCGACGGGATCTATGTCGAGACCGTGTCGGGTCTGGTTCATCATCATGGATTGTATGATCGGTTTCATCTTCGGCATCCCGTGAAGACTTTTCTGGCTCCGGTCGTGCATGCCAGAATCGCTGCTCTCGCCCTCTTGGACGGCAGTGATGGTCCATTCGAGATGACGGAGATAGCCCCCGTGGGGACGAGAATCCAGATCGGGTTCCATCTGGTCTTGCGAAGAAAGCACCGTCAGGCCTGCGGCTGGTATAGGCAGGGTAATCGCCACTTGACCGTCGATTGTGGCGCCTCCGACTCGGTCGCTCCGCCTCGAATTGGCTATAATGCCTTGGCCTTGATACCGAGCGACGCGGGGTATGAGAGGAGTTGTATTCCTCCTCGTCGGGGAGTGGGTCCTTCCCGCTGAAGCGATAGTGGTACCCGGCGAAATTGGGCGGCGAGGCGCGCTGAGTCCTCCGCTTCATGTAGTCGTACTCCAATCGACGACTCACGCCCTCATGCCACTGCAGCATTTCCGGGTCGGGCTCCGAAGGGAACGCATCCCGGGGAATTTCTTTGGGGAAAATCTCTCCCTTTGCATCTGTTATGTCCCACATGTCGATCGCGTTCTGCAAATATCGCCAGTGTTCATCCGGGTCCATCAATATCTGAATTGTTTGCCATCTCACGAAGCCATTTGGCAGTAGTGATGGGACGCATGGTGGTTCGTATGGGTTCGTTGAGGGTTGAAGGCTGTGAAAGCAGCCAAGCGACTGGTAAATAAAGGACAAGGCTTGCGACTTTGTACCGAGGAACAGGGGATCGTAGTTACCGCCGACTTTGCGATAAAATGTGGCGATGCGTTCAGGAGTGAGGTCTGTAGTGCCACTCGAATCAAACGAGGGCTGTTGGTCTCTGTTAGTGGTTATGTTCCATCTAGCGGTCTGGAGTCGGTCTCAGCTCACCATCAACTGCGCAATCCCCAAACATAACTGTTCCAACAATGGAGCCGGGCTCTTATCCGGATTGATTAGTGTTCCCCAAGACATCTCATTCGGGCTGTTAGAGTCGGATCTCGAGATCGCGACCAGCGCATGGCCAGGCTCTTTTGAAGAGTCAATGTCAATAGGCAGCGAGGGGCGGTCAGGCACACACATGTGGGGGAGGATGGAGACCCCACTTAATCAGCGCGTAGAGTGAGAAGAGTAATACCAGAATAAAGAAAACAAAGTAAAAGGAGTCGAGGCTAGGGTGATAATATAACAGTGTGTCATAGAATTAATCATAACAGTTACTCATATTATATTACAACAATACTATTAGTTGGATCAAATGTTTATGATGCAGTCAGCTGCTGTCATCATACGACGGCAGCATTCCTAGTACTCATCAGCCATAAACAAAAATCAGGACTTCCCCAGAATGAACATTTACTTAAGTTTTTTGCTTATTCTTTGTTTCTCATATTGAACGCAAGAACCAGTGCAGCGTTTGTACATCATTGGAGTCTCTCCGCTTTGTAGGTTTCTACTGCTTGGTATACAAGGCGGCGCTGAGGTGATAAAGAGTAACTAATAAGAGTCTTAGCATAGGATTAGAATTAGAATAGACATACTAACAACATATCAGCTGTTCCAATCCGAAAGAAATGCGTCATTCATTTATCATTGGATATGAAATTTCATCTTTGCCTCAATTATTGCCTTGCATCGATCATGCAGTCCACAGCGAGAAATTTGGCCACGAGTACATCGCATCAGCCACATTAATCGGCTCCCCCGAAGGGTCCAGCGGCCCAAAGTCAACATCAGGGTGCGCAAGAAATTCTTCCATACTTGCGCCCAAGAAATCCATTTCATCTGTCAGGTTGCCCGGTGCCGTGGGCTCGGGCAGCGCCGGATGGTGGCCTGACGCTCCCTCGACGCTGGTGCCCCGTGCATATTCGGTAAGATGCGGGTCGGATTGACGATAATCGACATGATTGGAGAGTAAGTGGCGATTTGATGAACCATGCTTCTGATTTAAACATTTTTGTACACATTCCAGATTGTCATAGAATTCGGATGCTGCTAGGTTTCCGTGGTTGCTCATGGCGCGGAGGATTTCAAAAGCAGTTTCGAATAGTGTGAAGTCATTGTAGTTTTCACTGTGAAGCTGGCTGGAGATCACCATTATGAGCGCACTAGAGAATAGGTAGTGTGCATAGAAATATCCAAAGATCGGCAATGTTCCGTTGATCCATTCGTCGACGATCAGCGAGTGTGTGTGCCTTGCAGCATGAATACACGCATCACTTAATGTCTTAAGGGCTTGAGAGCTTGCGTCTGCGGTATCTTTGTCGTCCTCATTACCGGGCTCTCTCGATTGCATCAGACGGTAAAGTAAAATGGGACGTGTCGCCAGCATAATACACTATTTCCTTTTTGTCAGCAGAGCAACGCGAACTTCAGAAATTATAAGTGTCTGGAACCTACCTGGTTAAACTGGAGATGTAATGAGATCACATTCTTCGGAAGTGATCTATCTTGGTTAAGTCGGATGTGATGGGGTAAAGACTGCGACCACTGCTTCAGGGCAATCAACAGTTTTTGTTCTCGCTGCAAAAATGAATCCGGATGCCTTTTGCGACTGTATAATTTCTCAATTGCTTGTCCAGTTATTCTTGCGAGATCGATACTAGCAACCAGAAAATCGGTATCAGAAAACTCTTCATCGTGAATTGGCCCAGGCACAGTTGATGGCATCTCGACATGAATATCATCATCTGAAATTTGGATTGGCCAACCTGCTTTAGATCCATACATGCGGTCGTAGACATAGATGGCCCACCATAGACGAATTCTGTGTTGCCGGTCTACCGGATCAGCGCATTGACATTCCGGGATATCGTGGTGCAATCCAAGTGTCAACGCCACGCGCATGGCACTTCCGACCAAAAAGAAGGCCGAGTGTCGACGATTTAGAAAATATGAATATAGAGACTGCGGAGTTAGCTGATGTTTGATATATATGTAGTGCCCGATGCAATACGAGCAGATTGCAAATCTTACCAGTAGTAAAAGTGACTCAATATGCGCAAGGCTGGGTCGCTCCGGTAGAATAGGAATTAGCATCATGGCATGCACATAAAATGCTGCACCGGGGACACCACACTCCATCTCTGTGTTTGTTCTTGCCGAATACACTTCACCTAACGCAAATAAAGCAAAGAATTTGCAAGTTAGAATTGGATCATCGAAATTTCCTCTCCGATATGTGTCTTCGAGTTCTTCCATTGTCGATTTGCGTAGGACCAGATGGTACACTCTGCTCACTTGGTTAAAGACGACTTGGATGAGCAATCGAGCTTGTGCAAGACTAGGCCATTGAGGTATTTGACTGCGAAGCTTCATCAAGGTCGTATCATCCGTGTATTGCGTTCGAGTCATGTGAGATGTCTTGTTCTCCCTGCTGAGGACTTGGCGAAGTCGAGTGGCGAATGCTGTACATGCTGCCTCGCCAATGTAAATAGGCGGCGCCGAAGGATCATATGGCTGAAACCAAGCTTTTTCGCCAAGCATGGGGTTCTGTACATGTATGTCGGAGTCTGATGCTGGGGCTTCTATCGAGCATATTTAGCAGTTGGCCTCCTAATTAACACCTTTACAACAAACCTTGGTCTTTATGGCCTCTCGGCGTCGACAATGCCGGTGACTGTGACAGTTGCTCACGCAGACGTTCATTTTCTGCTGCCAGTTGTTCAAGATAGCTGATTTTTAGTTAGTAGGGCTTTATGCTACAGGAGCTGTGGGCTAGCTCTTACCTTTCATGCACCTTAACTTGACGATCGCGATTAACATAGGTGCATTCGGTAGGACAACCTAGTTGCCGACATTTCACGCAGGGCTGCCCACCAGAGCATTTAATCTTATGGGTATGACATCTCCGACAGCTAGGCATATAAGTGGGCTGATCGGCAAAGCAGGTGGGTGGTTGGATACTCACGCGACAGACTTCTTTTTCTGGCGCTTAATTGCAGCGTCACTAACCCTCTTGCTGGTAGTAGATCTCATTTTTGCCGAATTGACGCTATGCAACTAGTATGCAGATCGGACTTGTGAAACAACGTCGGTGAAATTTCTCTTTGGAGAGAACACTGGGGTAGCAAGTTGGGGGCCTTCAGTCGGCAAAGCTTTATCTTGCCGAGTGGCAAGTCCCGAGGTCGGCTATATGATGACGCCACAGAGCACTAATGAACTACTGGAGGTTTATTAAGACGAACTCCCTTGGGCACTTTTACCTATGAAGCCTAATTATAAAAACTTGTTCCATACTCTTCTTTCATCTGAAGATAATTATAAATGATCAAAACCCCTCTAATCATGCAATGAACTGGAATTGAAAAGGCTAACTTAACTACTCACTACTAGTAATAAATACCTTGCCCCATACTTGAAACATATAATAGCAGAGATCTAGATAGTATCGGCGAAGCCATCCTTCGCCGATTTTTAATTAGAGATTAGGAGTATCAAAATATAATTTAAAGCTGAAACAGATCGGGTCTAACTTTTTTAGCATGTAAAATTATCGAGAAACACCATGAAGCGCCCGTGTGCCATAATTCACATCGACCAGCTTGCGGATCCATCCTCAGAGATCTTCAAAACTGGTGATGCAATTACAGGAAAGGTTGTGTTTGTGCCAGATCAACCGGTTTATGTCGAAAATTTGAGTCTTTGTCTTCAAGGTCAGTCACTGGTACTAGTCTGGGGTTTTAAGTTCAAAGGGCTGACAGTGTAGTAGGAAGCATGAAAACAGTCGTAGAAAACATGATAACTCATGTCCCCGTGCCTGTCAATTCTCTCAAAAGAATTTTTCTCCGCATGGATTCACCAGTGCGCGATTCCATACCACATGAAGAGCTCCAACCCGGCATCCAGTATGACATTCCATTCAAATTCATTGTCCCTCTCGAGCTTCCAGTGCAGGTTTGTCATCACAAGTGTTGCAGTGCACAGCTTCAGCAAGAACATTTGAATCTACCTCCAAGCCTTGGACATACAAGCAAATACTTTGATGTGACGCATGACATGGCTCCGAAGGAAGCGCAGGTTATCTATGAGATTGCGTTCGCTATTTGGGATACCGACAACTCGAAGGATGGTCGGATGAAAAAGACCCAAGAGTACAACTGTCCGATCTACATCCTGCCGAAAAGCCGTGAAGGTGCGCCTATTCTCGTTCCCTCTAGGAGCGAGTATTATCGACTCACTTCACAAAAAACCCTCACTAAAGGACTTTTTCGATCCTCTTTGGGATTGATGAGGGCTTCAACGGCTCAGCCTCCAGCAATTCAAACATCAACAAGTTTACTTCGGGATAATTTGGAATTAACAACAACTCTACGAGTTGATCTCACCTTTGAATCTACACATCCGCACATTAAACCTCCATCATCAATAGCTCCAAAGCTACATCTTAAAGCAATGACCTTTTTGGGACTGGAGCCTTGGGAGCAATTTCCCAACCAGACTCACCCGAGTACATGGGACGCTCAAAAAGCATACCGGTTTGAAAACATTACTTTGTCGTCCAATAAAATGGTCCTTGATTGGAGGTCTCAGCCAAAGACTCGGAAGTCCGACCGTGAACCAAGCTGCCACACGGTATACACGGCTTCCGTTGATATATTGGTCGTGTTGCCGGGGAATTATCTTTATCCTCCAACTTTTCATTCTTGTTTTATCTCTCGGGTGTATTCTCTGTCAACAAATTTGAGCTTCCATTCTCATGATAAAGCATCTGGAAATACACGCCTATCTATGAAAGCCCCCGTGCAAATACTTGTGACATGATATACTTAATCACCTTCCAAGATTATGAGGTCTTTGCTTTGAGTCTCGAGTGCCTTTAAGTTTTATTCCAAAAATAATGCGCCTCATATTATTACCGAAGTCTACGATTGAGCATTATTACTAGGTTCATTTCCGAACATCCCTTGTGGGTGTCGAGCAATACGCCTGGGCCGGTGCCTTCTCAATGCAGCAAATAAGGCGGATAAGTCTTCATCGTCTTGATCTTCCTAACTTGAATAGACCCCCAGGACTCTTCCACACCCGTCTATTTTAGGCTGCCAGCTCTCTTCGCTCGCGTGGGGCCCGTGGTTCCCGTGGCTCCCGCAGCGATTCAGATCTGTTCAAAGATGTCCAACCAATGCAGTCTGCCTATAGCTAGAAAATGGCCCACCATTAAATTCCGTGGTGGCCCATTTGCAAAATCGTTTCAATTACCCACGCAAATGAGATGGACGGGTAACGGTTCACATTCCATATGGCTCTTAACGCACGGGGGTTGGCTACTCCTAGCTGCAACAACCGCATCCCTTCATTCATGAACACATACCAAACTCAAGAACAGCATTTTGTCCCGCTCAACAAGCTACTCTATTGGCCAGATTATCACCATGGCAGCCAGATTGTTATCGCAGGGCCGACTTGTGTACGTCTAGAAGTAACGCCCGGGGATCTGCTACATAGCCGAGCCGGTTGATCAAGGCAGCCGGCCATGCCAACCTTGACTTAACCAGCGGCAACTGACCTACCATGAGCTTTTTGTTTTGGTGTTAAGGCCAACTCTCCCTCCTACCTGATGTCCACCCTTATTCTATCCGACATCCCACCTCTGCCGCAGCTATCCTCCCACTGTGATCCAGCCTACTCTAACATCTGAACTCGCCTAACGGATCTCTCATACGGAGCTTGTTGCCTTTATATCATCATTGTGCGATCGATTGGTTAGCAAGAAACTCAGCAAGGGGCTTCACTGTACCATCCCACTTTGTTGAGCCCCTACTTCCTCAGAAAGATCACAGATATGGCCCTCGTTCGCGACCCGTACTTCTGGAAACGATTCTCAACGGCAGTTCACCTCGACGAAGAATCCAACGGTTCACCTACCAAAATGGAAATGGACACGCCAACTTCTGAAAAGTGTGTTCTGTCAATCCTCTCGATGTTTCGTCGGACGAAGAAGCTAATGGGAAATGCAGACCAAAAGACACCTGGCTTGACCGAGAACGCAGGAAAAGTAAAAAGTCTCTCATCTGGGGCTTTGTTATATTCTTCTGCATCATTCTCCTTGTGACGGGTGGTGTGATTGTTTGGTGGCTCAGCAAGCATAACTGGCTTCAGAGCATTGAGCCATGAATTGGCATTGGCTACATACGACAGTGATGGGTTGTTAAATTGCATATTGGAGCTTTATAAGCTTCACTGGAGTTATCGGGGTTTGTTTTGATTTGCTTGGCTTGTGTATATCATGATGGAATACTGGAGATATACCCCCGCGCCTCCAGGGCGGCTTTGTTCAAGTTGTTGGGTTTGATGTTTTCGAGTAGATAGTTTCGAAATAGTATAGTGATATTGAACATGAAAATATAAATGTGAAGATTTACAACATTCTCGTGCTGTCAATAGAGACCGTCTGCAAATACTACAATGAAATTTTGTTTTGTTTGTTTATTCCGCCCTAGCAGCACGTTGCGTATGTGTAGGTAGCCTGAGATAGCCGCTTTGGCCCAGGTCATCATGGTGGTGGTCTTCGTACAAGTCATAAACCCGAGATATAATCTTCAAGTTACAGATAGCCAAGACAATATCACAACTTCCGACTTGATCTGCCGAGACATAAGGTGGCTCAAAGTCCAATTTACAACTGATTGGACATCAAACCACCCTGCTTCTCGCGGACTTAACTCCGCCGTCTCCAGCCGAGGGTGCTATCTCGGCTTATCTAAGATAAGCTATCTCCGCACTGACTGTTTCCCCGCAAATTGCTTCACAAGATAAAAAGGCGCGAATCTCGCTTTTTTGTTCTTTGTACACACTGCCACGCCAAAATGCTTCCTCCATTCGACTATTTCACGTATCGCCGCATACGGTAAGTTCCCTCGTGGAGTTCTCTATGCTATACATCTACTTTGGACCATCCATCTGTTCAACTGGAGCTATATCTAACTTACGCGCTAGCAACCAAAAGCAAGCGGAGAGGGAGCTCCGCTTTGCCTCCCTACCCCATCCTTATCTCCTCCAGATTACAAAGGCCGACAAGGAAATCATCGATCAGCCGATTGAGGAGCTTGTTCTGGATATTCAAACCTCCAAGACTTCTCCGTTGGCTGTTCTCCGCACATATGGCAAGGTCGCTGTTCGTGCGCAGAAGCGGACTAACTGCATTACGGAGCTTTTGCTACCAGAAGCTGAATCATGGCTTCAGTCTGAGATTAATCTCAAGGGGCCATTGGCGGGTATTCCCATCTCCGTGAAAGACTCGCTTCAAGTCAAGGGATTCGACTCAACCCTGGGCTACTCTACCAAGGCCGGGAAGCCCTTCACAGAGGATGGAGCGATGATCAAACTCCTCAAGGATGCGGGTATGTTTTTATCCCTTAGGTATCTGGATACTTCTGAAAATCTTCATTCTGATCCTCTTTTGATCTCCTGCAGGCGCTGTCCCATATGCAAAGACTGCCCTACCTATCACACTTCTGTCTTTTGAATCCGCCAACGGACTGTGGGGCACCTGCCGCAACCCTCATGTACCCGAATATTCGCCCGGTGGCTCGACGGGTGGTGAGGGTGCTTTGCTAGCGCAGGGTGGTCGCATTGGTATTGGCTCTGACGTCGCTGGGTCTGTCCGTGTTCCAGCTGCTTGGAGTGGTATTTACTCTCTTCGCTGTAGTACTGGTCGCTGGCCTAAGGCTGGAGTGAGTACCAGTATGCCTGGACAGGAAGGTATTGCGAGTGTTTTCAGCCCTATGGCTCGCACTTTGAATGACTTGACATACTTCACACGTGCGATTATTGGCATGCAGCCCTGGAAGTATGATACAACAGTTCATCCGATTTCGTGGCGGGAAGAGCTTGAGGCCGAGGCCCAAGATAAGCAGCTTCGTATTGGATTGATGAGCAACGATGGTACGTTTCGATCTTCATTGTTTTAATTCACCTCTATGGGTCTCCCTGGAGGCCGGGGAACATGATGTTGACTTAATAATTCGCTATAGGTGTTGTGCCCCCCACTCCAGCTATCGAGCGCGCTCTTTCTACTACTGTCGCTGCTTTGACTCAGGCCGGTCATACAGTGACTGAGATCACCACACCCAAGGATGCTGATCCCTTCACCGGTTTTAACCTCGCTTCTCAACTTCTGAACTCTGATGGATGCCACCACTTCAACCTTCCTCTTCGTAGCTTTGAGCCCTCTGACCCAGGTGCCGAGCAGATGACTCGCATTGCCCACCTCCCTCGCCCATTCCGCTATCTCTACTATCTTTATGTGCGCTACATCAAGCGCGACACCATTCTTGCTACTCTGATTCGTGACTTTGGACCAAAATCCTCCGCTGATCTGTGGACCCTTACTGCGCAGCGCGAAGCTTTCCGAGCCACCTGGCACAACTGGTGGAACGCTGAGCCGCAACAATTCGATTTCATCTTGTGCCCTGTCAACGCCACGCCCGCGCTACCACATAATGCCATGCGCGATGCCATGTCGTCCTGTGGATACACATTCCTATTTAACCTTCTGGATTATTCAGCTGGTGTGCTCCCAGTCGGCCATGTGGATGCTACACGCGATGCTCTGGTTACCCCGTACAAGACGGCCCTGAAACGGCTAGGTAGTGACCATTCCGTTGCCCGCGGTGCTTGGAAGCACTATGATGCAGCTAAGATGGCTGGTCTCCCCACTGCTGTGCAGGTAGTCGGTCGTCGCTGGCAAGAAGAGCAAGTTCTCGGGTACATGTCCGTTGTTGAGAGTGCGCTAGAGCAATATCGGGATCCACACACTGGCCAAAATGCCAAATATACCCTACTCGAGATTGATTAGGAGGAACTTTTGCACATGTGGTTTTCTTTTATCCCCTTTCTTTAGGATTCTTACTCTTCCCCTGCCCTTTCTTTTTCTTTTTCTTTCTTTCGAATTCGGCCCCCACAGCCCCTCTTCTCTGTATCGGGTACCGAGCTCTATTCCTCCCGCGGCAGCTAAAATTGAGTTCCGGGTGCACATTATTATACCTTAGCCAATGAAACATAAATCCACTCATTGAATTGTCCAATCTATCCAATGTTCAATCCCCGCTTTCGGAGGACTCCACGTCACGCGAATAAATAATCTTGTGCCGTGCAACCCAGATGCACAGCCTAATGTAAGCCTTAACGGTCCGTTGCTGGAGACTGGTGTGTTACGGTGGTCTCGACTGTGCAAAGCTAGCATTAGCGCATGCAGCACCCCCTTACGTAGTCGAATCAGACATATTGTACTATTGTTGGTTCTGCAGAAGAAAGGAGCATCAGCAGATAGCCAAGCGAGAGATTCCTGTTTGACTGCATATTGGAACAATGTGTTTCATTCCCGCCACAACTGCACAGCTGCATTAGTCAATAAGACAGGCGGCTATGAAAGGCATTGAGGATATAATGTAGGAGTTATCCGAAGGATCGACAGTGCCGTCGTGTGTCATTGTGGGCATGGTGGGGGCCAGTCGGACTCGACCCCAGGGGGGATCTGGACCTATCGGTGATCGACAGTCTCCATCATTACAACAATCTTGGCATTTGAAGGCCTCGTGCGTCGTGGGAATTGTCATCCGTGATTTTTTTTCTTTTTCTTTTTTCCTTCTTTGCCGTTGTCCATGCAAGCCACTGAAGGGGTCTTAGTACATATCTTAGTAGAATGTAGTGTCCATCGAATCATCTGAAACCCAGATATCGGTGTATACGTGCTCCCGTAGCGACCTCGTACATATGCCACAACCCGGTAGACTGAGAATTGGACCCCTAGTTTGGGCGGCGATACACACCTCCATTGGTTCTTTTTGAAGGGTGGTATCTCCACCATCCTGGCAGGCGCAGACGGGAAAACGAGTTGATAGATCGCTTCGACAGGAAGGATTACCGTTGGGCAGCTCCTTCGGATGACGGACGCGTTTCCCCGTGGCTCGTCTGAATGCAAGTGAGCACAGTCCAAATAGTCAAGATGCGGCGCAAAAAAAGTGAGAAACAAGTGCGTGATCTAATGCAAAGCTAGGCCAGGGTGAACACCTATCAGATGTCATAATTTAGGAATAGAGAGTCCATTCTTAATAGTCTGCACGTAGTTCCGCCCTTTTTTTCTTTTTTCATTTTCTTTTTTTGCTGAAGCGTTGAGGGAAGCTTGTCGGGTGGAAGTTGAAATATGGTGATTCCGGTAATTTGATCCGGTTCCCTTTTCCCCAACCTTGGATCTATGGCAACTCCTACTATATAGTTAACCTCATCGTGTTTCGTTCTCCCCCACTTTCTTCTTTTTTTAAAGAATTTTCATGTCCCTGAGATCGTCTTTTTTTATTATAAAATCTCGGGTTACTTCCTCGCTCGTGAGCCCTGACTACGCGTACCTTTATTTCGACCCTCTTTCTGCTCTTCAACTACATCCCACATCACACGTCACACCAATCTGGTCTTCCTCCTGCTCCCAGGATGCTGAACAGATTGGTCCTGGTCATATCTCACAATTGCATGCTGCGCCGGTGACAGTTTTGAGGAACCCTAGGTGGTTAAGGGATAGGGGGAGAGGGGGGCGTCAAGGAAAAAAGACGAAGGAGAGAGAAAATGGCGTGTAAACGGAGCCAGAACCCTCCAAAAGATGGCATACACTTTGTGAATGCCAGACCCACATCCGAGAGTGAGCGCATTAACACACAGCGCATCGTGCGCGCTCATGTCGGCCGTTGGATCTCCGATCAGACCAGAGACCGCGCCGAGTCCTCGAATCCTTCCCGCGCTATTCCCCACCCCATCACGTATCCTGTTCACAACCCAAGTCTTACGTTGATACCTGCCCTCCCTGTTGCCCGGCCTATTGATCCTACGGGCGCATTCGAGCGCTCGTCATTTCCGCTTGCGTCGCGACCGTCTTGTTCACCTTATCGGGGAAATCGACCGCCGAGCCCACGACATGATCTCCTCTACTCCATCCCCGATGATAGCAAATGGCGACGCTCGCCCTTTCCGCCGTCGCATAACAGTGATAGTAGCGAGAGTAGCGTTGAGAGCTCCCCTCCACCAGATGCTTGGCCATCAACCGCTACCTTCACCTCCGTCGAGCAGCAGATATCGCCTTTCCTAGACCCTTTCTACACATATCCGTCCGGTGACCTGAACATCTCGCCAGCAATGGTAGATGCACGTCAACATTACTGTTCGTTCTATCTTTCGCTTTGTAACTCTGTGAATGTTCAAGACGCATGTGTGTCAATTTATATGTACTGACTCGGCTGCCTCCTTGGCTTTCTATAGGTCTCAATGTACTTTGGCCAGGACTCGTCCCGAGAAGTTCGAGTAAATCGGTCTCTTCTACCCGCCTCCCGAAGCCTCCGGAGTTATGGTATTCGCTTTCGCGATCGGATCCGGCTCTTCATATGGCCTTTATGTATGGCTCTTTATGTCATCAGCGAGTGCTGTATCTGAATCAATGGGGGCCTTCAGTCGAGTTCGGCCCACGAGAGGATGCATTGTTACAAGTCTGCGAAATGGAATCCATTAAGCACATCAATGCTGCTGTTCGAGATCCATCGCGCATGGTCAGCGATGCAGTTCTTTTGAGTGTCATATGTATGGCGCATCACCAAGCTCCTGATAAAACACATGCCCAGTCCCAATCAATCCCTTTCAATCCTCCATTTCAATGGCTACAGTGGCTTAATGTTTATGGTTGTCTGAAGCCGAATGAAATCCATATTCATGGTCTGGTAGCATTGATCAAAATACGTGGCGGATTGCGGAATATCAAGTATCCCGGTTTGGCTACAACACTCAGTTTGTAAGTTTCAATAAGTATAAATCTCACTACTCAGTCAACTGACAGTAGCAATATTCTAGCTCGGAGATCTTCGCCGCAGCATGTTGGTGTATTCAGCCTATATTCGAATTCTGGCCGTTGGATGAAAGCCGGTTAGGAATCTCGGTTCAGGACTTACTTGGCTTCGGTCCATCGGATGTTCAACGAGGCTTTGGGCAATTCCAAGTGATCGGTTTCACTCCACAAATGGCAGCAGCCTTTCAAGCTGCTCGCGCCTACATCAATATCCTTGAGTGTATAGGCTCTGACGACCCAAGTCGCAACGGTGTCAACCATGTGCTCCTGACTGATCAACGCAACCTTACTGAATATACCCTTCTTGCAGTCCTACCAGCGCCACAAGTTTTAAACCACTTCGCACATTCAACGCAATCTGCTACCTACGAAGCTTGTCGTCTCGCGAGTTTGATCTTCGGTGTGGGGGTTATATTCCCTATTCCAGCTCAGAATAGCCCTTTAACGCGACTAGCACAAGAAATCCACGCCATCCTACTTCAACCCAGCTCGAGTGTTCTCTGGTCGTCATCAAGTACTCGTGTACCACTTGTTTGGATTCTGACGCTTGCCGGCATTGCAGCTTCTGAGACTTCCTACCGCTCGTTCTTCGTCTCGGCACTTGCAGGCACAGCGCGGCGGAGCGGTCTCTCTAGCTGGTTGGAACTGAGAGATATGTTGACGGAGATGATTTGGCACAATACAGCTGGGGAGACTGCCGGTAAAGTTCTATGGGCTGAAGTCGAAGCTTCTTGGCAACGGACTAAACCCCGGGCGTGATGCTGCAAGGTTCACTCCAATGTCCATCTATTGCTGCCTTGTCTTTGGCTTTTGCAAACTATACATTTTCGCGTGAATTTGTTCTCCTTCCCATCTCCCTTCTGAGGACTTGCTTGATGATCTTTATCTTCTCCTTTCTTTTTCTCTTCATTCACATCACTTGACTATCTACGCACTCACCCCTTACGATCTTATAATCTTGTTTTATATACTTTTGTCTCAGATACCCTAGCCTGATTCCCTTCTCTCGCCCCGCCGAACTAATAGGCCAATATTGTGCCGAGCGGGATATCTCTGTTCAACACTGGAGTCGGCTTGATTTACGTCTTGCTCATGAACTTTTATTCTAGTATATATACCCTTGTGGTACTATTGTTATTAAGTGATCGATGGAAGATTTAAGTCTGGATCATTGCAGAATTTTCATTTGTGCGACTGGCTCGTATATCAAATGAAATTGGATGTTTTCCCCCTTTAAATCCCCTTAAATCCCCTTCTCCTTTTCTGGGCCAACACAAATCTATGCACTTCTTTTAAGACTCATGGACATACTACTCCTTTTGCAACTATATAAGCTAGGACATCTTAACGGGCATTCATATTGAATCAAGATCATCGTCGTTTATAAAGCCCGGTCGTTTGATATGCGTCATCGAGTTTGTGATCCAACTGACTGGAAAAGAAGTAGCTTCAAATGTTATAACATCTTTTCCTATTCAGTTGTCATACAGTATGGCCACCAATATAATCGCGATACTATATGTTAGATTCTAACATTTCAAGGTTATACATATGGACCTCTTGATTGTACTAATCACTGTGCATCCTTCACCCTCACGATCCATATAACCGCTCTCCTTGCCTCTGTCCAGCCTCCACACTGCCCAATAGAGGTTCCCTCTCCCAATCCCTCGACAAGATATCAGGATGTACATCATTCCCACCACCTCTGAGAATTTGATTCTCCCCCTCACTGGCAGGCTCCCCATGCAAAACCTTCTCCGTTTCCCAACTTACAAACCCAACAAACGACCCCCCAACAACAGCAACAGCAACAGTCAACCCAACATTAACCGGTACAGGATCTCCCGAAAACCAAACAAGTGTAACCCAATCTAATACCGCCTGCGCGAAATTTCCAACCCCAGCAAGAAAAATGACAAGCCCGTACACCTTGCCAAATGTCCTGAATCCAAACACTTTCGCCGCGTAGTCCGAGACAGAGGTATAATAGAATGGTCTGTACAGTACGAATAAGGCAATGTTGCTATACGCAGCGACGGTACTACCGCGTATACAGCCTAGGATGCCAATCAGGGTAGCTATCGTGACTAGGATGAAGAGGACGGTTCGTGTGCGGAGATTGTCGAGCATTGTGCCTATGAATGGGATTGAGAGTAATCCGCCTGCTGGGAGGAGAATATCAAAGGCTGTGTTTAATTTCGTGGCTTCTGTTGGGGAGGAGAGGAGGTTGGAATATTGTTTGTGGATGGTTGTGATGAAGTAGTTGATTCGGAGCATGATTAGGACTGTGAAAAGAGAAAGGAGGATGAACCATGGCGTTTTCAGTTGTGATAGAGCTGATTGGCCGTGAAGGATGCCCCAGATACCACTTTTGCTGACGTCTGGAGTATTTGCATTTGGGATGGTAGGCTGAGACTGTGGGGTATTTGTGTCTATGTTGGTGTTGGTGTTGGTATTCCCATTACTGCGTGTGGGATCATTGACTGCGTCACGGTATCCATTGCTATTATTGAAGACCCTATCGTCAATGCTTTCTGCTATTGAAGATGTGCCGTCGTCAAGTAGGCCTTGGATAGAATGGACTATACTTTGACGAAGCATGCGGCGGTCATTTCGTTGGCGTTCACTTTCATTGCGATCATGAATGGTATCGTCTACTTGGTCATGTATTTCCTCTATCACCTGCGTCTCAGCCTGGAGAACCAATTCACCAGCTGTTTTGTACGAGGTCGATGGCATGATTGTGATTTGGGCTGCCAAGACGAAAACTGGAACCACCAGGTAAGCCAAGAAGAATCTTTGTAGAGATACACTGCCTGCAGTGTGCTCGCTTAGCAGTCGGAAGAATAAAAACAAAGAGCTGGATGCATCGAAGGCACCTGTCAACATGGACAGAATGAGACCCGAGTGTTTGGGGAACGCATTGGAGAGATTGAAAGACGAAATGAATACGAATGGTCCACCTAAAGCTAGCAGTAGGTATCCTGGGATGTACCCATCAAACGAGAGCTTGTCGGCAAGTGCAAACAGGGTGGCTCCAGCTGCTAGGCAGAAGCTGCCTATGATTCCCGCTATACGTGGGCCGTATGTGTCCAATATCGTTCCTACGGGCAGAGCTGAGACATTGGTTCCAACGGCAGCGATGGTGAACATCAAGTTTAGCCTGTTGTGAAATGCATCAGCAATTATGTTTACGGAGATAGGTCTTCTTCTATTCTTTGAAAAGAAGGGAAGAGAAGAGAAGAAGCCATACCTGATCTCTTGGCCGTCACAAACGGCGACGCCGTCTTCAAGTTCCTGCTTGGAGCAGAAATTACGATATACATTCTCGCGAATGAGGACGGGTTTCAAGGCTGCAAACCCGAATACAACACCAGCTGCAAGAAAGCAATACACTACTGCCAAACATATTTGAGCTAGAATTATTCAGCGAATGTCAGCCAATCTCTTAAAAACTCTAGTTTGGATACTACCGAGGCACGGAGTAAAGGAATTATGGAGTGCATATACCCCATATGGGGTTCTCCAACTCCTCTTGACTCCAACAAGGAAGGTCAAAAGTTAAATCTTCAAAAGCTTGAAAAAAGAAAATTCAAAAAAGAAAATTCATTTCACATACCAACACGTTTTGCGGGGCTCACCTCAAAGGCACCTGTAGTATCCGACCACGAGGCCGGCTCTTTTGGTAGTCCTAGCTCAGCTGCACCGCTTACCGCGGGACTTGCAGGACTTGCCGGTCGAAGCGGGTCCCCACGAGACTGAGTTGTCGTGGGGGACAGTACCAGACCCAAGGAACCCAGCAATGAAGGGCGATCATGATCATCAGTGACCTCGTTCCAGCCAGGTCCCGCATATGGGTTGAAATTGAGTCTGCTATACGTTGATGGAAATGAAGATGACAGCGATGAAGTGTCTGGTAGGTCCTGGTAAGTGTCGGAGTCGGTGTCTGATAAGGGCTCTTCCCGACTTCCTCGTAGAAATGCTGCAGGATTGCGCTCCCATCCCTCTAAGAAAGAGATGCGGTTTAAAGACATGATTTATGGCATTTTTTGGTGATTATTGCAAGGTTATAGTAAGAAAAACAATGATTTATTAGAGAAAAATGGGAAATCAACTGAATCTTGGAAATCCAGTATCTGATGAGATTGAATGATGTCAAAGCGCTGAGGGGAAAGATAAGAGGTCACCTGACATCGATCCCTGCGATATGAAGCACGAAGGATTGAAGCAACAACACATCATACATTGTATAGTGGCTTATTATGGAGATTCTACAGAGATATGGAGATATGGAGATAAGAGTATACTTTTCATGTTATATCTCTCTCCATGTAAGTTGCTAATCCCTTCCTTGACTACTACCTCCCTTCTCCATCTCGTATATGTACGCTTTCTAACTCCATATTCCTGCAGATGAAGCCTCCTCCTCTTCCAACCCACCCACCCTCCATGTAGATACCATCTCCGGGATATACGAGACAACGCACCTCTAATTATCCAGACCCCGCCCGGCACATCTAACTCGAAAAGGCAGCTGGATGACTCGGCATCTGCCCCCCACATCCTCCCACGGGCGAACACATCTATCTCTGGATAAAGCTCCGGGAGATGGGGGCACATCAACCTTTTATTGCACGATTTAACTTTTTTCTATCTGCGCGTCTCGGCATTGACCCAGCAGAGATCACGAATCACAGTGTCGGCTTCCATTTGGCAGTGCTCGGGCTTCATATTTCTCTCCCTCTCCTCACGATCGACAGGGTTTGACGGGTCCGGAGTGCGCCATCCACGGGTCCAGTAAAATTAAACCCGACGCCGAACGAATCGCGGATAGTGCCGAATTTCCTTCATTCAATCTGGCCCGCTTTCTATCTCCACTCACTGCGGGATTTCTCAAGTGCCAGAGTCGATCCCGGCGTCGCCGATCCAATTACTCGACCAGGTGTGGACTTTGTATCTCATTTCTCTGGCTCTTCAGATATTAATGACCGTATTCAATTGGGGTGGAAGGTTTTTGAGTTGGTGTGGCTTTTTCTTCTCTACGTAGTGTACAGTACATTCACATTGTTTTACTCCAACAATGCGTGACCGCCACATGGCTATCTTCTATAATCTGGTACGAAGTCTCCGTACCTGGAATTGACGCCATACTCTAGCCACTATTGTGGCCAACGCGCGTAATCAATCTCAACAAGGCAGGTCGGTGAGAAGTCCAACCAGGGGCAACCAACGGGTGGATATCGTGATTTCCCCTGGCCGCACTAGTGTTTCTGTTGAAGCTTGAATTCTCAAGATCCCTTGTTATAGGCTGGAATGGATTGGAAGAGATAAAATGAGGTCGGATTGCATGCACAAAAAAAGTCTCCGAGTGTCCAAACGTGAAGGCATAGCTGCCGTGTCAGTTGTGGAGCAGTGGATACTTAAGATTGGTGGATTGGCTTACCCACGCTTATTAATGGGTGTTCAAATAAATTCCGTGCAGAAAGACAGCAGAAAAGAAGAAGAGATAAACAGTGAAATAGAATTAGAGATCAGCGAAATGAATCAGAAAATACGAAAACGACGCATAGGTAAGAACAAACCACTCTGTAGTTTATATGAAACCTCTCCAGGAACCGGTTCAATACAGTTTTATCAAACAAAACTCAACAACTTCAACAAAATTCTACTTACTAATGTAATACACTTGTAAAAGAGCATCAAACAATTGTGCATAACTCGCTTGTTCTTGCCCGCTGCAGTGTTTGCAGCGGGTTCCCGAAGCAAGCCGCGCTGACTCGGCCAGAAGGCTCGTTCCCTGATCTTTCTATTTGCGGCAACGATCGGTCTTGATCGGGGGAAAGCAAAACTTTGTTCGTGTTCTAGGTACCTATTACGTGGGGACTGATATGTTCTGCATCCAACCAGATCGACAGAAATACTGTCAAAACGCTGGGCGTAGTGGGGGACGTTGCAGTCCGTTGAAGGGTATGATGTTGGCCGCGTTGACTTTTCATTGTATCATTTTATTTATTTTTGTATTCGGGCAAAAGGATTCAATAATTACACCCCATATTCCAATTTGAATCCACTATTTTTCATTTTCTTTTGCCCTGGCGTATGTGTAGCCTTCTCCAACCGCTAATGAAAGTGTTTCCTGCTTTTTACCCCAAAAAACTCATATCCACATAGAAATCATGATGATCTGCCAATAGACTCCAATGTCCTTTTTTCCCTCAATAAATCCACCCTAGTTTATTTTTAATTCTTTTAATTTACCTTTTTTTTCTTTTATCGATGCGATGGGACCATCTTATAGATTTTGATAGTGCCTGCATCATAGTCTCGACTTGTTTATCTTATTTATATCTTCGGGCCCGGGATGCCGAGTCTATCTTCCTTCTGGAATACTTCCTTGTTTGTACGAGTTCTGACCTCTGGTGCTGCGTAATGAGGGGATGGTGAGTATCATTTGCTAGTTTCCCACTAATACTGTCCGTTATTAACCTCTTCTTAGCCTCACATGCCGTCTGCGCCATCTGAAATGTATGTTGGACCTGTCTTTGTTCATTTTCATGTTCAGGGGCGAAAAAAAAGATCAAAAAGATCAAAAAGAACAACCCATCTAACAATCTCCCCTAGGTGATAAATCTGGAACAAAATGTCTACGCTGCCAACGATCTGGCCGCGAATGTATCCCTGCCCCAGGAAAATCAGAAGAAGTTTCATTTCGTCATGGTCAGAATCCATCTCTACGAGGAAAGGGGCCCCCGAGATACGGTGAAAGCGACCTAGCCTTCCCGAATGACCAGGTCTGGCTTGAAACCTCGTCCGAATGTAAGTGGCGTTTCATCGCAGGGCAAAAATCTCTGCTCGACGAATCCTTTGGTCGCATCTTGCTTTTTTTTGTTTTTTTTTTCTTGACAGAACTTCAATCTAATAGTTACTATTAGACTCTTTCAAAGATGAGACCGACCAGACGGCTGCAGAGTATTTTGTTGTGCCGGTGATTGGGCATCAATGTGTTTCCCGCTCACCATCCGAAGCGCGATCAACGCCTTCTTCTAATATGGATGTACCCGCGCAGAATACAGCTGTTCTTTCTTATATTATAGAATCACAGGGCGGTTCGCGCTCTACATCGGAGCGTTCATCTCAATTATCTACGCCGACCGGTCAGCCGAGGCTGGCTAACGTGAATGAAGCATATTTACTACGCCATTTTCAAAGACATCTAGCAGACTGGGTAGGTGCTTCGATCGCGAATTTCTATCTCCTATTGATTTCCCTGCTCTTTTCCCCTTTATTACGATTCTTTTCGCTAACACTGCTGGAACAGCTTGATGCCGGTGATCCCGAGCGGCATTTCTCGGCGGATGTCGCCCGGCGTGCGAGTCAGTCTCCACTCCTACTATACGCTTGTATAGCAGTAGCAGCATGTCATCTCTCTCGCACAGCACATACCGTCTCTCCAGAAGTGGCAGATAATTACCATGAGCGCTGCGTCTCAATAATGCTCCCAGTTCTCGATAAACCAGAATTCGACATTGGAATCGATATCCTCCTCAGCTCAACAGTTATTCTCCGCTTCTTCGAACAAATATCATGTACGGAGCCCTCTATCTTTTGAATGAGACGAATAGAAAAACGACCGAACAACTTTAAGTTAACCCGAGGCTAATTCACATACAGCTCATACTCCTTCTAACGACCCACAACGCCACCTCCTCGCCGGCTCAGTCTATATCAGCTCCCATGTCGACTGCGCGATTTCCGGGGGTTTAGCCTCCGCCTCCTTCTGGGTCTTTGTGATCCAAGACATTCAATTCGCACTTACGTACCAGAAATGTCTCCGGCTAACTTTCGCCCCGTTTGATGACCGTCTCCGCCAGTGGTGGGTCGCCAAGCCATTTCTTAGCGATGGAGACTGGGTCAATCGTGCTATCTGGTTACTTGCCGAAACTATTGATTTCTGCTTCAATGTCTCCGGTCGGAATTATGGGGGTCATTTAGGAGTTTCTGGGGAAAATGCCCTTAAGCAACGCATTAGGGAGTGGGAGTTGACGAGGTCTGATGCTTTTACGCCTTTGCATATTTCGCCGCCGGATCCTGGACATGGGAAACCCTTTCCTGTTGTTTGGTATACCAGTCTAGTGCATTGTGAGTATACTGTTTTACTATTTATTGACTGTGGCTCTATGCTAACCTTTTATCTAGCTACTGCGATGCAACATGTCTGTCTTGCGAAAGCACTCATGTTAATCCGAGAATCGGAGATCTATGAAAGCCGTGGTGGTACAAGGGAGCAGCTGATTCAAATCAAGGTATGTCCAATCTATCAAATTTGAGAACTCTTCTTGACAATAGGAACCAAATACTAATATGATAATAGGAACAAATTACCGAGAACCTGAATTATCTCTTCGGCATAGCTCTTTCAGCGGACGACGAGCCTTCATTACGAATTATGGCTTGCCATGCCCTTTGTGCCTGTAAGTTGCCTTCTTCGATCCATATTGGAACATTGTATGCATGTTGAACTTGACTAAACGAATTGTGATTATAGGTAGCGCATGGATCGACGACCCCGGTGCTCGGAACCTGTTGTTTGAACTCTTGCGCCGCACAGAAAGGGAGAATGGATGGCCTTGGGCTTATTTCGAGCAGCGCATTCTGCATACATGGCAGGGTGGATCAAGGTCACGGTGATCTTCATCTGCATGTGAAGTGGACATAAGAGTTGTTGTAGATCATGATGGTGCTTTCTGTTATTTTTATACCCATATATATACCTGAACCTTTACAAATGAACCATGTCGCGAGACATTCCTGAATCTATTGTGGAAATAAACTTTGAACCACTGGCACAAAATATGTGCATTAGTTTTATCTAGTATATCCAGACTCTCCAAGTTTTATCCTGAACTTCAAATTTGTAAGCGTCGAAGATATTCATCTATCTGCTCTCTCATGGGGTATATGTAGCGAGAGTAAATATGAACAGCAAAAATAATATAAAACCAGCAAAAGCTACCCCCCAGCAATGCGTTTCCATCTAAAACTGAAAATTTCCATCAAAAGCAAATGGAAACGAGAACAGCCCCTCGTCCATGATGTTACCCAAGGCTGTAAGGTTGTCAGGGTCAAAAGGCCCCTCAGGGACCATCCCCATTGACTGTTCAAGAGGCATGTTTCCAACATTCGACATTGGGGGGTATTGGGTTGTTCCTACGTTCGACATCCCATATGCTTGTGATGCTCCGGTTGTTGATTGGAAAGGTGGATAGTATGTCCTATTCCCCATGTTCGTGTCATTGACCCCTGAAACAGGGACCTGCGGTGAATAAGATGTAGATGACCAGCTCGATGCGGGTGGGCCAGAGGTCGGATCGCTTCTTGTAGATGCCATGCTGCCCATCCTGTGCTGTTCGGCCATTCCGTATTTTGTTGGTCCTGAATCTTGGCTTGGAGCTCGGGGTGCGGGATTGCGTGTGGGATCTGGGTAATTTGGATTTGGTGATCGATAGATATTCCCTTGACCTGAATGTGGTCGGTGTGAAAGGTTGCTTTCCGATGGTCGTCTAGCTGGGTCTTCCATCGCTAGTTCGCTGAGCACATGTAGTGGATTTGTGCCTTCTTTCACCTGTCAGTGCATTGTTAGCCCGATTCAATCTTATTATCATGTCGATTTTTGCAGGACTTACGGATTTCCTTTCACCGGGCGTATCTGATCGCATTTCCGTCCCGAAAATTTCTCGCAGTTCTGGGCCGTTTTCCTTCTTCTTGACGAACCAGTTCCGCAGCATCATTATTATGTTGCCAAACTTGGTTGCCACTCTGCCGGCGTCCAGGGCGGCTGCTGCGCGGTAGTGGTTGATCACTTTGTCCAGGTAATACTCTACCTTGAGAGATTGCATGTCGATCACTTGGCCAATACGGGATTCCGGGGCCGTGAGAAGGGAGTAAATCTTGATAAGACTGACAATCGGGTATGCAGTTCTTGCTACAGTTAGTGTTGGCAAGCATGTAAATCTTTCCACGTCAACACTGCTAATTACATCTAGCGCTTGGTGGATAGACTTGATGCAAGAAGTCAACGCGTCAATAAGTGGTGCCATAATGGTGTTGCCGCTTAGGTCTTCATTTGCTGGGGTGTAGGGAAGCATGCTGTCCCGGCAGTCAATCCCCATGGCATTTTCATGGACAAATAGATTGAGAGCATAATATGTGTGGGATAACGGTACTGGAAAATTCGGAAGTTAGAAAATGTAAAAGTGACTTCACACTGATTGAGTAGAGCAATACTTACCCGTCCAAAAATCCTCTGGGATATCTCTTCGATACTGGACAAGTTGGTTTGCAAATGCCTTAATGGTGTATCGCACCTTACTGTCTGTAAAAGAGACAACTGACTGGGTATCATCTGGAGTCAATTGTATGCCCGCTTGCTCCATGATCCACCCTAACTTTGCCCACCAAATGAGCTTGCGGTCAGAAGGCAAGGCATCAGGATGACTTTCAAGTATTTGAAGAGACTCATCCATATACGGCTGCCATCTTACAAGCTGCATACGCCTCAGAGCCGTCGCCACCCTGTTAAATTAGTATTAGTTCAATTCGTGGGTCAATTAAGGAAGTAGAAGAAGAAGTGCTTACTGAATTCCAATAAAGTAGCAACCTAGCCAAGTCCGTCTCGCTTCAGGACCATTCAAGTCCAACTCTTGTGTAACGGGTGTTTTAGCAATGATTTCCCGAATTCGAGAAAGGGGCCTGAGATCTCCATTTGAACGCCGATTCAATCCAAGTTCCATAGCAAGTACAATAGCCATATGAATTAACTGGTAGAATTTAAGCTCATCCAGGTTATCAGGTGGTATATACCAAATCGCAGTAATCAATAAAGCCTGGACAAGCTCAAGAGACTTGCGTCCTTTGACAACTACGTTGTCGGCAATGAGTTGGTAGCATTCGTTAATCAATGGCATTTGGAGATCCTTTTTGAAAGACGCGACGGAAACTGCAATAATAGCAAGAAAAAGTGCTGGCTTGTCGCGGCGTACATCTCCCATCGTTGTCCCAGGGGGAAATACCACAACTGGCATTTCATCAGCCATCTGGTTCACATAGCGATGGAAGGACATCTGCGCGGTGTCAATATCAATCAAGCCCCGATCAATAATATCGATAAAATCGTTTCGCGCCTTAGGATTCGCTTCAGGCGTAGTCTCCCCCGCGAAAGGACCCCGCCAATGTCTCGAAGCTGGCTGTTTATGTATCTGTTCTGCAGATGGACTATTAGGCCTCGGGTACTGTGATACCAAAAACCCATCATGGTGTCGTTTATTTCCAGCCCCAGCTAAATGAGTATCTTCTCGAAACCATCGCCTCGGAGACTGGCGTTGCTCCGTAGACGCAGATGTCTCAGTATATTTGTGTGTATTTGCGTCTCCCGCAATTGGAAACGGTGGGCCCTGATTCGAAGCCTGCAATGTAGCTGTCAACGCATCAATCTTTCGTTCCAATTCAGTCACCCGACTATCTGTTTTCTTCTGCCGTTTCCGCGTGGGGGCAGTCACAATGCATTGCCGGCGTGCCTTTGCGCATCGTTTACAGGGACCGTCGGGATTTCCTGGATCAGAATCACATCGCACTTTTAATTGTCGGCATGGTTCGCAGGCTCGGGGTCTCTTGATCTCCAGATCCACCTGCCGATCTTCCGGCTCGGTGGAGGTGCTCTCGCCATGTCTTGGGTGGGTATGTGGCTGGGGCTGTTGCCGTTGCTGTAGCCCGAACGCGGACCGATTGCCTGGAGAGCCGATTCGGGGGCCCTGTGCGTCGGATATATGGGTTGGGGGCTCGGGGTAGTGCGATGGCATCGACATGGTACATAGGAGTCGGGGGTATGTCGGTCGGAACGGGGTCTGCAAGGGCCGGTGTGGGTGTACCGGGCCACGCGCTATTCTTCCCCGTGCTACTAACTACTGCCAGAGGTGTTTTGCTGAGTAAAGCGGGGCTGGATTGGGTTGTGATTTGCTTGTTTGGGGATTTTTGAGCTCTTAGCTTTCGGAAAGTTGTGTTGATTCTGTGCTTGAATTCGGATTGGTTGTTTTCTTTCTTTAGATCGATGTGGTGGCTCCACGATGTTCGTTTATTGTTTTTTTTTGCTTGGGATGCAGGACGGAGCACGGAGAACGGTGGACACTAACACCGACCCGCCGATCTGGGGGACTCCAATATCTCAACGCTGGAATGTAAGTGGTCCGAATGGTTGAACCCTGTCCAAACTAGTGCTACCAAACAAGATGTGGCTCCTGTGGCTTTTGTCCCACTATTCACGATGGGAAGGGAAATAGGCTAGTAGCTTGAAGCTTAAGTGAATCAAGTTTCAGGTTGGTGCTGATGGGAGCCACGTGATCTCTCACGGCGATAAGTTTGTATTTAAAGAGATGCGGAGGTTAATTCAACGGTCAAAGAATTGGTTGAAAGCGTGAGTTACTTAGATTTTAATATTGTCAGGATGGGGTTTAACACTGGAAAGAGTAAGAGGTTCAAATTCATTTCGTCATACAGGGATATCTCCAACGCCGCTAAATAATTGAAATGGAAAACAATACAACAAGAAAACAAGCACCCAACGTTAATTCACAACACAACCGACCCACCTGATCTAGGCCATTAGTTAACTTTATGTACTGGGCACTCCATCTTATGATCGAACCAGTCCAGAATACAGTGTTTGTGGAATTTACACAAGCACTCCAAACGGACCAGTACATCTCCAACCTCATAATCCACCATGCAGATGGTGCACTCAGCCGTCCCCCCGTCTTCGCCAAGGCAATCCTTCTCCGTAGCGGTAAATTCCAGCATCCGAGCTGCGGGAGGTGGAGGAGGGGGAGGCGGTGGTGGTGCTGGGCCCCGGCGTGTGGTAGTTGTAGTGGAGGTGGTAGGTTGTGCTGCCGTAGGCGCCGGCGCCCCGTAATTTTCTATGCATTGTCGGACATGCTCTTCTCGCAGCTCGAGTGGCTGTGAAGAGCTGATATCGGGAAATCTTCGCCCACAGATAGGACAAAGATCGTTCTCTGAGACTGGAGGGCGGGGTGCCGGGGCGGACTGGCGTGGGGTTGAGACGCTAGACTGTGAGTCGCGATGGGAACGGCGATGGCGGACTCGCTCTGAATCTTGATCACGACGGTTTTGCTGTGCGGTTGAACGAGGTTCTTGAAGAAACTCTCCGCTATATTCGTAGCGAAATTGGTGATTCGCTGTGTCTGCCTGGGTATTGTTAGATTCGAACAAACAAGAATAATTCAAGTCGTGCAATAGGCTGCAAAGCGAAACTCTGGAAGACAGGCTGAGGGTAAGTAGATATAGCTTACTTGATCACGGGTGTATATGTTACCCATGTTTGAGGGCAAAGAATAGGTAGAACGATGACCGCGTGAACGTACACCATAGCCCAGCGGGTTAGGGTTGGGATCTGGGACACAGGGATTGCAAAGACGGACTTCCTCTCCACCTCCAAGTGCTGGGTTGATTGTCGGGGCCAGAGGGATGGGATCATCATCGGTCAAATCAACAACTTGGCGCGGGGGAGTAGGGGAAGAGTTGGACGCCAGAGAATCCCAAGGTGGACGAACGATGTATTGTCTTGGAATGGTGATGCGGTGAGGAGAACAGGACGCGCAAACAACCCGACCACACTTTCGACAATGATGCTTTCGGTACCAAAGGCCAAACGCTGTCCCACAGATAGGACAGTTTGTCACCTCTGCATCTGGTTGCCATGCAGGCAAGGTTGTATCAACGTCTGTTTCTTCATGTGGGGATCTCAATGCTTCCGCGAGACTTTGAGTCTCCGGGGCTCCAGACAAAAATGCACGTAAAGTCCTCTCGTCGGTGCCTGATTCTTGCCAGACAGCGGGTGCATATCGTTCTCGTTCACGTTCACGTCTGGAATTGAGAATCGCTTCCGATACTCCTCGTGGCCTTGTGTGATGAGAACCGTGTTCGAGTGTGGTATTTTGAAAGCTGGAAGAATGGTGTCTACGTCCAGGACGTGGAACAGAGCCGGAGGCAGCGGCTTCCCAGGGGTGAACACTTGTTTGAGGAAACACCTCCGCTGGCTGGTATCTAGCACTTGATCTTTCTCCTCGTGGAAGACAAGGAAGCGGGTTTTCGATAGGACGTGATCGATATGCATGCACGTCTACCCCTGGCGAGTCGATGCCTGCGCGGACTGGGCCAGACCCCCCAAGACCGACAGATCCGGCTGTCACTTGAGTAGGAAACATTCCACTCCCACTAACGTCATGGTTGTTGTACCTCGCGTTGCCAGACGGGCCAGCCTCTGGTGGGGACGAGGTAATATCAATCGCCGTCTCCCGCGAGGACCCCGAACCAGTCGGGATAGCGTTTGTCCGGGATGACGGGTTGATCATGGAGACTGATCGATGCGGCAATTCATGCACACTGGTTCTATTTATCTCTCCTGACCGAGTTCGTTGCAATCGACCCTGTTCGGCAGAGCCGGTCAAGCGCCTCTTGCGATCTCTGGAGTGGTGACTTGTTTGTCTAGCCGTGGGAGTATCTTGCTGCAGCAAACTTATTTGTCTGCGACTTTCTGCACCATAAAAGCCATGCCGAGCTGCCACTTCGCTCTCATCTCTACCATCACCTGCACTCTCATAGCCGCCTGATTCGGGTGAGCTTTCTATTACTATCCGTGAATTATCTGTGTCTTCACTTCCCACGGTGTTCATGGTATAATCGGCTGTTGGTTCTATCTCGCTTCCAATAGGGCTGCTTGAGATCTCTGTAGGATTACCGTAGTGTTCTGTAGCCTCGCTAGAAGGTTCGTTCCACCCATGTGCGCCGTCCGCAGGCGGTGAACTGGTCGCAGTGGGCGGACTCGAGGATGCGGTAGTAGGAGCGGACATGGTGCGTCGTCTAATATAGGATATATATTCTAAAGTATGGGGCTCTTTTTTTTTCGGGGACTTTCTGCTGTTACTCGTGTTTATGATGGATCGTCTGATGTTGGTTCCTTGAGAGCACTGCAGTTCAAAGAATGTTAGCTTGATGAGAAAATAATGTACCTGTCGTTTATGACATTCACTCTCACATACCGAGTTTTTAGCGCCGGTAAGCCGTGCTCACAGTTGGTACTGCACCATGGCGGCCAGAGATGATCCCTCTAAGAGCCTCACAACAGATGACAAATGCTGGTCTCGTGATGGTGGTGTATGTTCAGTGGCGCAGTGCCTTGAACCATATAATAGATGCAGCAAGGCTAGGCGAGTCACAAGGTCTTGCTGAACAACTTTCTTTTGAGAAAATCACAGGTGGCGTGGGCCAAACAAGGAGAGTCTAGCGGATGCAGGAGAGTTAAAGCCCAACATAACGGGGGCGCCTTATCGGTGGGGCCGGGCGGTGTCGGTCGGCAGTTGTGGTGCGCTTATCTCCGCTACGTCACTCACCCTTCCACTATACAGTATCAATAGAGACATCGGTTGAGGTATGAAATATTGAGATAGAGGTATGTATATATCTTTTGAAATGCTTAGATGTATTGAATACGAATTACTCTCAAGAAAAAAGTCGAGCAATTTGTTTTGATCTCAGTTAAGCGAAACTATCTGGCTCGGTACCCCAGAGCTCATTCTTCGTATAACATGGCCTGAGGTACCGTCACCAAATAAACATAAATTAGGAGCACCCGCCTAGCTAGGGTAATTAAATGTGCGAGTGAATAGTGCAGTAGCACCCGTATTCCAATAGATCGAACGCCTCGCAGCAATTTTGGGGACAGGACAAAACAACAGATACAAAAGCAAAAGAAGTATGACAAGAGAGAAGAAGAGGAAGGGCAAGGGAGACACAGAAGAGGAAGGAGAAAAGAAATTCGTCACTGTGGCATCACGAGATCCAAATCGCGAGAATCTGAGACAATCAATACATTGGGATGGCTGCAAGTGTAGATGAGAGAAAATGATATTTCGAGGAGTGTGAGAAGATTGATGAAAGGCGGTAGTAGGTGGGTGGGTATAAGATTTAGATTCGAATGTACAACTGTCCAGAGTGATGTGTGGTGGAGAGGGGTAAATCCTATTGTTCATCGCGTATGTGCTCGTCAACTAGTTCTGCAGAACTGCCGGCAAAGGACGGCTCTTCGGGGTCTGCCTCGTGGATGTTATCTTGCGTGCGATGCTGTGGCACATATCCCATACTAGATGGTCGTTCGGAACGGGCTCCATCATGGCCAGTGCGATGGCTTGATGTAAATGAGGCGGATGTTGATGCAACGGACTGGCCTCGTTCACGAGACGGCGAACTATCACCGCTAAAGGGTAAACGTGCTGCATTGGGTGTGTCTGGGCGCAGGTGGTCGGAGTCTGCTCGAGTTGTACTAGCTCTCGATTGAGATCTTGAATGTGAAGACGCTTCAGTCACGGCAGGGAGAACTGATGCCCCGTCCTCTCCACCTGTCTCTGATCCGCCTTGTGTGCGGCGCGATCCATTTCGGCTAGGTAGCTCGATACTGCCAACAGAAGTCACTTGCGGAAGGACTGGGGCTTCTGTATTGCTGAGTCTTTTGGGCTCGCTTGTGTGATCACCTTCAGAATCTCTGTATAGCTCCTCACCCGCGGATACATTCCGGGACTTTCCGCCAGCACCTAAGTCTTCAGGATCATCATGGTATGACTCCTCTTGGTACTGAGCCTCCGGGACAAGAGCAGGGGGAGGAGCACGAGCGCTTCGAACAACCTCAAACCCTTTACCTTTGTCCTTGGTTTTGCCTTGGAACATGTTGCGGAACCAACCCGTAGCAGACGAAACAGGACCAGTCGGATCAGCAGGCCCTGTCTTCAACTTGCGAGTGCCAGTATGAGAAAGTGGCGGGCCACGAACTCGGTAATAAAAGTCGACTTCGCGAACAGCATAGTCTTTCGGTTGCTGAGAATCATCCATCTCCATATCATCCTTAGGTGCTGGCAAATACGCTGGCACAGGAGTATTTCGTCCGGAGATATCACCGATTGACTCGTCCGTGTCACCCCGGGATGGTTTCATAAAGCTCCTAGAACTTCGCTTGCTCCTTTCCCCAGGACCTTGCTGGGGCGTTTGTCGACCAGGACGAGGGGGGCGGTAATATGGATCACGCGGGGAGCCACCGAGGAATGTGCTACTGCTTGGAGACGCCGCAACGGGGAAGCCTGCCCCTGTGTAGGCAGTGGGAGATTGCGCAATCAAGTTAGCGCTTGGAGAACGGCTATGACCGCCCTGTGAACTAGCATAATCCAGTGCTGCACTAGCACGTCCTTCGCTCGCAGTGGCGCGGTTCAAAAGGAGGGCCGAGCTCCCAGATAGACTTCGAGGTCGTGACCCATCAAATTGTGATGACATGCGATCATCGACATTCGCAAGCATAGCCGCCTCAGACCCTAGACTTTGCCGAGTAATATCCCGTCGAGGTACACGCCTAGACAATTGACGCTTCCCAAAGACCTTGACAAGGCCACCACGAGTGGCACCACCGGCACCAGCAAGTCGTGCTAGAACCTCGATCAATGTTTGAAGAGCACTTAGGAAAAATCCAAATATTAAAACCAAGGCGTGCAGTATGAGGATCACATAACCGATCCAGCCGCGTGCAGCGGATGATATGGTTAGAGATGGTACAAAAACCACGCTCAGTATTATTGTCAAGAACCGTATGAAAGAAAAGAAAAACTGATAAAGATTCATGTGAGTCGGGCCGGGAAATGGTCTAAACGCGATTAGAGTGAGCACCGTCACAACCTCGCAGATGGCGAGCAAAACGACCTGGGCAATCCCCGATGGCTGTAAAGCGCCAATAGCTACACCGCGCGCGAAGTTGACGAAGATCGGCACGATTGCAAAAGCTGCGGCATCGTCACAATAAGTGTTGTAGAGCGGACCGTACAGCAAGACGGTTGGAAGGTCGTCGAATAGGTGAGATTTGGGTCGAGTAGACACAATAATTCGAATAAACCAAATTGAGAAGCAGATGAGAATAACAATTACCACTGCGGCCAATGCAACACTATACGCGGGAGAGCCCTGTGCCGTGACAAGTTGGAAGAAGGAGAGGGAGATGATGGGAAGGAGAAGGTAGTTGAACACGACACGAATGACATTGCCCACGGTAAAAGGCATGTTCTTGGCGCGCAAATCTTGTTCCGTACTATGCGCCAGTTCGCGGTGTACCCAGCGAAATAAGAAGCCAAGCTGAATCAACAGAGCCACGGCTCCTAGGATAACCAGAAGCCAAACGATCATTCCAGGCCAGATATCCTGGTTGGAGGTCATTCCAACCAGCTGCCTCATTCGATCCAGTCCATATGTGCCATTGACAGCATATACTCCATCCACAAGTGGCTCATAGCCCCCGGAGTGGACAAAGCTGCGGTTGAACATCAGGGCCGACCAAGCTCCGTGGCTGACGGCGGGCTGAAAGAATCCTGGGTAATTCAGCGACAGTGACCCGGTAAGCACAATGAATTGAAGATATTGCAAGCAATCAGCAAAGCCAGGAGTGACGAGACGCAAAATGTCTTCATCGCGGCCGTAATTACTGGTCCATCGAAAGATATCTGTGGTGCCCCATGGTGTGAACATTGCCGCGGTAATTGCCCCAATGCCAACCAATATCAAGATTACAACTGGCACATAAGCTAGCGCATTTTTCAGGTTTTCCCCGAAATCCGGTGTGACCGGCACTGATATACATGCGAGCATGTCGCTAGCCGCATCTCCAGACCGAACGATGAAGGTTGGGTTTATTGTAGAGAATCGGTAGGTGGAAAGCATATCATGCTCGATGGAGAATGCACGAAGGGTACTCAAATCGCTCCTATTGAAAACAATATTTATGTTAGAAAGGGAGGTCTTCACTATTCTACAACACTTTTTCCGGTGGCCTTAGAGGGGGGGGTTGATCTTACAGGTTGTAATGAAACACTGGAGCCAGTGGACAGTCTCCCTGCACCACGGACGAGCAAAAGCTCGATGCATTGTGAAAGGGAGCGTAATTCAAGACCTCAAAACTGGTGAAGAGGGTGGTCAACACATTAGTCGAGGTATCCAAGTCCACGATTTTCCCTTCGGTGATGTTAGGGTTAGTCCAGTCGGGATCATCCTCTGAGGGATAGTCGCTCGTCTTGTCAGCGGTTCCCGAGACATTGCCATATACCGTGACATTCAACGGGTGTAAAGGATCGTTCAAGTTAAACCTCACTGCCACGTCCAGTGGTACGTATTGAAGCGTTAAAGGGTTGGAGTCGATGATAGCTTTGCTCAAGCAGTTCTCGAAATTTAACAATGCTGCAGTGGCGGGTGATGACAGCAATATTATCAAACATAAAGTGAGTGTCCAGCAGGTTGAGCCCCACGCGTGTGTCCGCCGTTGTCGTTTGGAAGTATCTCTCCATTGTCGACCTTGAGAACCCGACAGGCAACCGCGTCGCTCGCATTTGGTCGCATCTCGGGGTTGACCAGCCATGTTCATCGCATCTCTCCAGAAACGCGTCGGGTCGTGATACATCTCGAGGGTCTCGGGCATCCGGGATGACCTCCTAGGGGAGGTCAGCCCCCGTGTGTGATCGAATCCACGTTGTGTTGACAATTCGGGAGGCGGAGTGGGCAGTTGGGTTGATGGGAGCCAGGGTTTTCTAGTCAGTGGTCCACTTCTCTGTCTCTCTCCTTCTCACGCGCTATCGCGTTGTGACTGCGAGGATAAGGATGAGAAACGGGGAAAGGAGGTTTTTTTTTTTCGACGTCAGGTCGGAACAAATAGAGTGGACGGAGACTAGGATCCAGGATTCTTGGAGAAAGAGGGGAGTTTCGGGGCGGAAAGAGACTCAGAGGTACGTAAGTCCGCAGCCCCTAGTGAGCAACGGCACGTACCGGGGAAAAAGGACTCGAGAAAAGATGAGCTGGACTTTTTCTCTTGGCGGAAAAAATGGAATAAAATACTTTTTACTTGGATCGCCTCAATACAAAAAAGAATCCCAACATGCATTCAGGCAAAGACTCCAAAGAGAGAAGGGGGGACTCCCAGGATGTGAATTATTTGTTATTGCTGCGCCTTGTTGGGTCGCGGTGGAGCGTGGCTGATCTGGATCTGACTGACTATACGACTAACACGACTAACACGACTCTCTATATGCACGAGAAAAGAAGACTATAAACGCACTGACATTTTAGAAAAAAAAAAAAATAGGCAAAGAGGGGGCAAAAAAGAATTGATTTACTTGAAATCAGCAGATATCATAAAAGCCTAATCAACTCTATACTGCCTATATAATACACCGTTCAGCCTTATACTTGTCCCTTGCGCCTATCTACTACCACGTCCAGGCCATTCAGGCCTCCTAAGGCCCCTCTACAATGACTGCACAGCTGTACATCGCCATCAATGATCCTCGCCACACTATTCCCTTCCATTTTTCATATTTTCTAGCCATTGAGCCTTTTCAAAAAGCCGGTTTCAGTCGATCCCTCAGCTGTGCGGCTTCTATGTCTCACTCGGTTGCTGATCCTGTTCCCACTGTGTCCCCTATAACGACTTGCTCTTTTTGGCGCTTCACTTCTCCATTTAACTTTTTTCTAGGGCTAAATAAGATAGGAAAACTTTTCCCTGTGATGGCCAGAGATAGCATACCCATGAACACCCCATGAAACAGAGCTCCTTTCATTTTCAAGGCAACGATGTGGCTATCTGCACGCGGTTACTGGCAGTGTCTCAGGGTACTTGTGGGGTACGGCTCAGGTCGTTCCTGTGGCTGAACACGCCTCTGATGAACCAATAATACGAGCGGCTACATAATTTAGATCACGATGGCTTCTCTTAATCCCACACCGGTTCTTGCCGGTTTACATTCGTGGCGTTGGGATGCCCAATGGCTACCACGGCTACTTGAATGAGGCTTTCGAGGGTAGGATATGATACACATTGATACAATTGCCTGTCTTTCAAATAATGTATAGTTCAAATCAAAGTAGATGTTATTTGTAGATCTCGAAGAATCAGGTTACCTGTTACCCGTTAGCATCATGATGTCTCACCTATTACTAGCTTCTTTTACGGAGGACAGTGTACCCTTCCCACTTCGGATGTCCAGGAGGATCAAGCCGTATCATACAAGCCATTCTCAGTTCAACATGAGTCTTTGACGGCGTTTAAATTACGGAGACTGCATGGTTGTCGCTGACCTTTCTGGTTTTTCCTGCTCTCTCTCTCTCTCTCACACACATATCTCTTCCAGAGGGCCGAGTCGATGTCAACAGCCCAATCCGTGAATGTCTCTACTGCTTTGACTCTGGTGCAACCTCAAAGCTGTCAAGCTGGTCACAAATGACAAGTAAGAAGAAAGCCGAGCCGAAAGTTAGATACTTCATACGAATATTGACAACCATCTCTTTATCACCAGATCATGTTTGTTTCTTACCCATGCAATACCCACATCGACCACTGCCTCAACCCTACGCTGCCTGAGAGTCTTGTCAGGATAACCGAAACAAAAGTCCTCTGCTTGTCTCTATTCAACGAAGCGATAATTCAGATTACGAACTAATCCTTCGAAGGTGTCACCTGGTCGTCAACGATGAGTTCTCTCCTGAACCAGGGCCCATACTTGTCTCCTGACATGAACTGGCATCACCCTATCAGTTCAATGCAGGGAATGATATAGCTTCTTAAATTATGACGCTCACATCATTTCTTGCCTAGTTGACTTTCGCCATTCGTCCCTTATACCTCCTCCCATCCTCCTCGTTGACATACTAGCTCCCGACCGAGCTTCGAATTTTCTGAATATCAAAATGAACACATAAGAACAATTCGTGGTTGAACGATAGTATGCTCTACTATCTTGTCAGATTCTTAAACGCTTATGAATATCTAAATGGCCTGTGTATTCTAACCTTGACATACCAACTTCAAGGTTCATGTCCACAGGTGTTGTCGCTCGTTTCTGATCTTGGTATGGGCGTATGTCGTGGATCAAACTCGCCCATATACATTGACCGCGCCTGTCGTCTTCCGATTGTACCATCCATGTGTGCTGATATCATATGTAGAATATGGGCTTTATCAGGAGATGATTTCCTATAGGAACTGTCCTTGATGGGCGTTTGCGCCCCGGCTCTATATATGAGAACCACACCCCTGGCATGGGCTCATCTTCTTCCTTTCTCCACGCAGCATAACATTCCTATCAGTCTATCCGGCTTTGCATCGTTCGTGATGCAGAATGGTGGATTAAGAGGGCTCGTGGGCAGGATGTGACACAACTAAGGTGTTCGACCTCGGTCGGCTTCAAGTTCATCCAATACGACTCGCTACTATTCTTATATATCTACGCATCTACTAGTATGCGTTATCTGTTAATCCGTGCCGTTCACTTATATCGCGTCACATCCCACTTCTCTCACTTGCCATTCTCATTCTCTTACCTACCCACCCCATCTTCATCCATCCCCATCTCCTACTACCTTCCTCCGTCGCAACCACCGCCTTAGCCGGAGCGATGACCCCCAGGGGTAAAGGCCGGGCCACCAGGTCCCGAGCCAAGGCGAAGACTCCTGACAACGAGGGCCCCCTGGCCTCAAGCGTTCCTCCCCCAACCGGCAACGATATGTTTGAGACCTACAAAATGCTCGGTAACGCGAGATAGTTGGCTGCCTACGTCTATCTGCAGTACTCCCGGAAGGCTTACCACGACTTTTTTAACCGTCCCCATGTTATGCGGTCGAATAACTATAAGTATATTGCCCAAACAAGGCCGATTCTTAAGGAGGACTAGCCACTTTATGCTGGCGTGTGTTTCCTGCCTGGCAGAAATAGCTCTGACGAAAGCTGAGACAATGATGAATTCGTCCGTACTTGCCCGCCAAAATTTACTATGCTCTACACCGATATGGCGTAGTGGGTCACCAAGGCCTACCTTATTTCAGACTGATCCCGCTACTACTAGGCCGCAAACTTTGATAAGTCCGGTAAGCCTCGTCCTGAGACTCCCCACTTTGGACAATCCCCTATCATCTACTCAAACGGTTTGCTCTTTACACCAGTCCGCTATAATAGCTACGCATATGTGCCCGAATGGGTCGTCGCCAACCTTAGGTACCGCATTAGTATATACTATACTACCCCTCGATCAAAAAGCGGAGCGCAAAACTACATATTCGGAGTACAGCATCACAGTATTGGAGAACCTCGAATACAGTACCCCTTTCATGCCCAGGTGTAGGTACTATGACGGACAAACTTTGCCCTTAGATTCGACTCGCTACATACTACCTAATAGTATACTAGGTCAACTTGAAGTTGAAATCATCAATAACCTTGGAATGGATTATATAGTATCACCTGAGATATGCAGGGCGTAAGATTGAAACGATTGCAATGGCCTGCACGTAAGTATTCAAAAATTGACAGATACGGGTCCTAAATTGAACATTGAATGTTTGCTTTGATATATACTACTTTGCGAACGCGCGTCAGCGGGCCATGATCGATGTTTATACTACTAGTAGTACTACTATTCAATGATGTTATCGTAAGCGGGATAAATCCACCAGCCAGCATTCCGATGTCCGTACTTCGTACATAAAAGACAACGATTATCACCGTTCTGTCGTCGATCAAAGAATCCATCACGCATCATGATTTCAAATCCCGCGAGGCTATGCGATTCAAAGGTGATTGACATTGGCTGGGGAAGACTGCCATTGCAGATCGGGGTCTCCACCATGGACCGCACGGGCGAACGGGCATACCCTGCATAAGATTTACTACGCAGCACGGACAGATGTATGTTTGAGTAGAGCGGAATTTTCTTCTTACCAAAAAATCGAAACATTATACTAATATCATATGATTGTATTCAATTTTGCATATATTTCCCCTCATAACAGCTGACGTGTTATTGCGAGCGGTTAAAAGATTTCCCTCGCGCCCACTAGGATTGGGCCCTGTCCGTGTTGGCGCCCGGGGAAGGAATCCGGCATGTGGTAGAATTTCAATTCTGGATTGGGAGGGACTTCAAGGTTCCAATGGCTCATGAGAAATATTCGAGTTAGGAAACCAAAGAGCTAAGCCCGAGGCGTCCACTCATGAGGTGGAAAGTGGTTATAATTAGACCCCTTTGACTCAGGGAGCCTCCACATGATGATGTAGCAAGGCATTTTAAGTATATTCTAGAGATTGAGAAATTTAGAAATTAGAAATTCAGTATTTGAGATGTGGCACTTGACATTCGAGAACTTGAGCCTTGGAATGTAGCGGTGACCCAGGGAAAGATTTCCCCAGGTGACAGCGAGGCTTTATTTGATATAACATCTCCCTGTACGGATATGCGTCTTATGCATCTGACAGCGGCGAATAGGAACTCGGATAGTCGGCAGGGATTGAGGCCGGGCATGCCCATTCTTGAATGAATGATCCCCTGCATGAGCGACATTGAATAGATGGCGGGAGGACGAAAGGGGGAAGCCGGGAAAGGGGACACCCGATCAACTGCCAGATTGGCGTGGAGGTCAAGCCATTCAAGCCACTGGAATATTTATAGGACTATACTGCTAGCTAGCGTGTTTTGGGGGTAGATATGATATGGGGGAGGTGTCAGTGTATTTATAGGCTTGTGGGTGTTTGGTTCAGATGTTTCAGATTTTAGTAGGTATTTAGCAGGGTGGAGGGAGTACATTTATGCAAATTAAATAATAAATGATAAATGATATCATTTTATTGTGGATTGAGCACGAATGGATATTCTTTTATCACGCAAACCCCCCTGATACTCGTAGTAGGCAGTGCTATTCCATGAGGCTGCAGTAGTTCTGGGGATCTACGTGTCTGCTGGCGACGCCGACACCTCACTAGAGCCAAAAAGACAAAAAAGAGGGAACTAAATAGAAGAAATCCTCTGCATGGAGCGATAACTCGTCAGCGGGACCCGCTTGGAGCCCCTCTGTCGTGGCCGAACCGGGTTTAGGGGAGTTTCACGATGAGACGCGGTTTGGGTGTCAGTGGTGATTGGGTGGAGCGTAGCGCGGTTGATGCAACAAGTGGAGACCGGAAGAATTTAAGTGTTGGCGCTGGGTTCACGAGGATAGTCTGGAGAACAAGTGGCATTTGATGCGACGAGGCTGAGAGGCGTCAGTGGAGAGTCAAGGCTGTGGGTGGTAGAAACATCATGATCATGATGTATACAGTACAGTATAGAGTGGGTTGTGTAGAGTAGAGAGGAGACAGATGATCGTGCAATCTATATAGAACCTCGGAAATGAGGGTTATCTATTGAACCTAGGTACGACGGAGGGATACTCCGTATGCAGCTGATAATAAACCCTGAAGATGAAGATGAAGTTGGTGTTGCGTAGTATTATTAGTGCTTGTCGTCTTAAGTATAGTAAGTCTCATTTGTGGATAGAGTCAAGTATAGACTATCTAGGCAGTATAGGATGAGTATTAGTACTAGGTAGTAGGAAGTAATTCTGGTTCCGATAACTCGATCCTTTCTTTTTCCTCTGTCAAATCTCCCTCTGATCCACAATCCAAACCCCAGATCCTTCACTTTGGTCCTTTTGGTCTGTTGATCCAGCTTCATTGTCAATTCATCCAATTTCCTTTCTCTCCCAAGAAATAATGCGATCGATCTCCGAGTCATTTCACTGATGATCTGGGATCTTCTATCCTTTTTCTACTCTTCTCTCTCCTAAAATCTTCTTGCTCTCCCCAAAACAGTCAAAATCCCCGTCGATCAATTTGGTAACTCCACACCTTGAACTCTTCTGTGTGTGAGACTCTCCATCCAAGCTATCTTAGCCTCTTGGGCATGCACGGGCGCCATTGAAACCACCCCTCCTTCGCTCCTTGCCTTTTCCCTTTTCTTCCCTCCAGATTATATCCCACCTTCATCGTGTTAGGCTTTTCTGCTTGTTTGTTCCCTATCTTCGTTTCTTCTTTTTGATCAAAGAAGGGCCCCCCGGTTTACTTCGCCTTCCTCCCTCCCACCACCCCTGTCGATCATTGGTGTGTCGGGTTATCGCTTTGGGGGACGAGTGAAGAGAGAGAGAGAGAGAAAGCGCAAGCAAGAAAATAGACTCGACTTGTTTTTTTTTTTCGTGCGCTTCTTATTCCTTTCTTTTCTTTTCTTCTTCTATTAGATAAGGGACTGGTTTCCTGATCATCTCACTGGTTTGAGAATCCTTGCGATGTGCAAAGTGTCCAACGAGACCGCACTGTGACTCTATTCCCAACCTCATCTGTATCGACATGCCTGCCAATGACCCGTTTTCTTTTCTGGCTGCAGAGCAGCCTAAGCCCGTGAAGAAGTCTTCCCATTGGAGAGAGAAGTTGTTCTCCAAGGACAAGAGCAAGGGTGCCGCTCCCGATAAACAGATCGAAGACTTCCTTGCCTCCAATCGTCCTCAAGCTTCTAATCCTCCTGCACGCGTTCAAGCCGCTGAACCTCCCAAGGCGGACTTTCGACAACCCCCGCCGACCATCTCGACTTATCGAATCCACTCTGCACAAGATGTGTCAAGTGCGCCACCCTCACAACCCCCTTCCGCGACCGAGAACTACGAGAACTACGCCGCATTTAACTTTGCCGAGGAAGCTCAACCCCCGCCTCAACAAGAAGCGCCAGACTCTCCTCCACCGCAAAGTTCCCCGCGAAAACCACGGAAAGGCAAGGGTCTTCGAGTCGGATTCTCGAATCGAGCGCCCGAAATAATTGGGGAGGGTGGTGATGAATCGGAGGTTCCTACAGCGGAGATCTCCTGTGCTGCCCAGCGATCGCGGGATCGCCATGCGACACAACCCAAGCGTGCGCCGTCTCGCTCGCCAAATCCATCGCGAGATCTACCATCTCTACGTGTAAATACAACAATGGGCGACGGTGACAGCCGAAATCGGTCTCCCCAAGGCCCGCGCAGTGGTACGACTCCAAGCTGGAAGCAGCCGCCACTCGTCGAAAACACCAGCGACGCGGACCTCTTGAATACCCTCCATATTTCCAAGCCAGGGTCCCGGCTATCGTTCCGAGGATCGCCAGATTCGCATTCGTTCGCGGAGCGGGTGCGCAACCAGATGCAAGTGGAGGAGGCTCGGGCGCTGCATAAACACTATGAAGATGTCGCCTCTCCAGCGGACGACGATGATTACAACGACGATGATGACGACGACGAGTATGAGGATGATGAAGTGACCAGTCCAATTGCCTCCTCCCATAGTCCTCAGAGCCCCCGAGAGTCACCATCAGTCTACGAGACCCCGAGCTCCCACAATGCCCCCTCAATTAAATCTATTGTCCATTCCATTCGCAACCCTCCCAGCCCAGCTGTCAGTCGTGCGCCTGCCAATCTCAGTCCAGTCGATCATCGATTACCGGCCGGACTCACTCCAGGAAGTCCAGGAAAGGTCTCCCCAACCCCACCACAATTCCCTCGGTCCGTTCCTCAAGCTGCTCCTCCGTACACTTCTTACACTCCTTCTCAGGACCCATCGCCGCGCGAACCCCCTGGAAAGGATCAATTGGTTTCGCCTTCCACCGCGACAAGTCGTGAGCCCGCGCGGAGCGCACAACCCCCCAAATTTTCTTTGCGGAACATCGCTGCTCAGGTCGGCGATACTGCGTTTGCGGAGTTTAAAGAGTATATCGCCCGATATGATGGTTTACTTCGCCTTGCAGCAGAGGATGTCAAGCCACTTATGGAAACATCCCTAGCAGAATGGATTCGTGCTGCGGTTTGGTGGTTTTTGCGGGGAAAGACACGCTTAGAGACGTATGCTCGCATGCGAGCTAATTGCGCGCCTAGCTACGCCAAACAAGCCATCATCGACCTGGGGAAGGCCCTGTGGATCAATGATAAAATCGTGCCTGATCATTATGAGCTATCTCGGTATGGCCAACAGATGGGCATTGATGCGCTTTTGGCTGTGGCAAGCACGACAGGTGACAAGGAGATGGTAGATCTTTTGAGCTTGCATCAAACCACGCTAAATCATCTGCGGTCGTTATCTATGTCTGTCAAGCGCAATAATATTATTACTCTAATTGATGAGGACGATTCTTCACCAAGCAACCTGGACACCAGCGTGTGGCTGCGCTACCCTTTCTTCGCTCCCGATGTTTCCGCCGTATTGTCCGGCTCGGCAACGAGATCTATGTTGGCCGACAAGCCAGGAAAGACACCGAGCATGGTCTACATGATGCCTTTGGGAGACACCTCTCGGTACTTTAGCTATGGCAGCATGTTCGTCCAAGCCTGCGTAAGCTCACGCGATGACGATGGCGAGCAATATGCCATGCCCTGCTGTCTTACCATAATTCGAGAACGGGCAGATTGGTATGTGTTTGCAGCCATAACGAGTCAGAGCCAGCTTGTCAATGTCATGATTCAGTCCGATCGCAAGCAAGGTCCCACATGGGAAGATGTGGATTGGCAAGTTCGGACTCATTCCATGCAAGTCAAATTGCCCCGTGGGTTTGAGCTTGATGTGATGTTCAAGGAAGAGGATTTCAAAACACTTTGGAACATCGTCAAGTATACCCAGAAGTCGGAGGCGAGTCTTGCCCCGGAGGCTGGAGAGAGTGTTGTTTACGAGAGTACTGTTAAGGTCTTCCAATACATGGACCCTGGTTCTCCCAAGGCTTTCCCTCCTGAACCATTGGAACGTTGCCGCATTCGCTTGTTTGAACGAACTGTGACCATCAAAGAAGGCACCGGATCACGAAATGCGCACCGTGGATTCCGATTGACCGTTTTGACAAGCCCCAAAGTGAAGACATTAAGTAACGTGAAGCATGTCCTCGCCCAAGGAGCCCCTGTAGTTTTTGGTTTGTTACGAGGAGAAGATGGTGCTCCTGCTCTTCTTCTAAAAGTAACGGAAGATGGTCGAACGCGATCCATGCTTATAACTTTCCATGAGGTAGAGGAACGTACCAAAATGCATGCTATATTACTCGGCATGATTCCTCGGGAAGGCGAGTCCAAGACACGTGAAATACCTACTCAGTCATATTCTATTGAGCAACCCGCAGACTCGGAAAGCGGTCGGTCAGCTGTCACACATCTTAAATTCCCGGCTGGGAATGTTTTTGTTATTGATCAAGAGCATTCTTATGTGGATCATGGATATGGTCCTACAATCTTGTCGGAGAATTTGCGGGCCTTCATCGCCACGGAATGGGGATCTGTGACGGACCGCATTAATTTGGGTGAGTCAACACTCTTGTTCCCAATTCAATGCCTCAAGCGCACCTGCTAATACGCTGTATAGGACCTGGAGAACTCAAGGTTGGCCTGGATGTCAATCGGAAGACTTCAATGAGTTTGTTCCGGCCAGCACAGCAGGATCTGACAGTTTCGCTGGCGGACAATCTCGTTCAATCAGAAATGCCCGAACAAATGACGGAATTCCTAGAGAAGGTCACTGCTAAACCCATGGTCCGTCGGATAGACTTTGCCACTATTAAAGGTATGATCTTATACCCTTTTTTTGTCCTTACTTCTTGTGACTTACATTTTGTTTTTCTTTCTTAGATCTTCATGCCTTCGAAGAATCGGTGACTGGTTTCCGAGTTATCTATGACGGGTGAGTCTTTTTCGAGAATCATGATGGTATAGTGCCTTGTGCTAATCAATATTAGAACTGCATCGTGTTTTGCCATTTCGCGCCGTCGTAGCGTGGTTCCGATTTACAAGAAATGGGAAGCCAATCTCGCACGTGTTCAAATCGTGAAACACGAGACAATTGTTCAATTAGTTGCTTTCTTCGCGGAATTCCAGCATGGAACATGCATGAATTTCATTTTGAAGGGCACCGATCATATCGAGTCCTTCGGTCGATCTGGAAAATTCGGCATTCGCATCGTGGACGCCAAATTCGCACTCCCTAAGAAGGATAGTGATCCGGCCTCCAATTTTGTGTGCCTGGATATGCCCGAATACCCGATCGAACATGACGACATCACTATTACGTTTGACTCAGAAGTTGGTATGTTTTCTTCTTCTTTGATTGCAGACAATGCATGTGGGCTTTATTTACTAACTCGATGTTTTTTGTTTAGACCGTACCAACTTCAAGGTGGCGTTACCAGGATCTGTTCGCGAACCATCTCGTATGGGATCCCTGAGACGATGATCAATGATAGCTTTTATTAATGCTCGTTTCCTCTCCCCTTTTATTTCTCCCCTATCCTCCCCCTCTACCCTGCTTCTTCATCTCCGGAACCTTTTATACCCCAATTTCTCCATTTTGGGGTTTAGTTCCCCCCACACCACGTGACCACTTACGTGATTGTTCCCCTCCTCTTTCCCTCCCGACTCCCGACGTGATCGAACTCAAGTTCTTCGCTTGGTTGTATTATAACTTTGCTCCTGTTCTCACCATTCCTGTGCATACAATTCCTCCTTTCTTCAGAACATAGCCTAACCATGTCCGAAAGCGTTGGCAACTCCACGCGGTCTTTGCACGCGGATGATGTGCTTAATGTCGTCTCCGATGTCGCTCCTCCAATGCATCTTTCTACTACTTTTCGTTATTCTAAGGACCCAGCGGTCTTAGTTCCTTTTGCCGATCTTAGCGAAGTATGTCATTTTTGCAGGCCATATTTCTACTTGTATCATCTTGATTGCAATTAAATTCGGCCAAAGATCCTTTAGCAAACTCATAATAACACCCGACGCGTGTAGGACCAGATCGATTCTAATAATCACGTCTACTCCCGAGTCTCAGCACCTAACCCAACTCGCTTCGAAACAATACTCTCTTCTCTCCTAAACGGATCAGCAATCAGTTATTCCTCAGGCCTTTCATCTCTCCATGCAGCCCTCACCCTACTCAATCCCCGCCGTATCTCAGTTGGCGAAGGCTACCACGGCTGCCACGGCGTCATAGCCCTCTTCACCCGCCTTACAGGCCTCAAGAAACTACCTTTAAACTGCCCAGCCAACGATCTACAAGCCGGAGACGTCATCCTCCTTGAAACACCAGTTAACCCATACGGCACAGCCTTCGACATAGCCTCATACGCTGAAAAGGCTCATTCCCGCGGCGCCTATCTTATCGTTGATTCCACATTTGCACCACCAGGTCTTCAAGATCCATTCCTCTGGGGCGCAGATCTAATAATGCACTCTGGAACAAAATACTTCGGTGGACACTCCGATGCGTTATGTGGCGTTTTAGTAACCAGACAAGAAAACAAAAAATGGTACTCGCAGCTCTTCGAAGATAGAATCTTCCTCGGTTCCGTAATGGGGAATATGGAATCATGGCTCTGTGTTCGGTCCCTCCGAACACTCGAAGTTCGTATCCAGCGCCAAAGTGAAAATACTACTCGTCTTGTCACATGGCTGCATACCGCACTTAATGCTCAAAAGCCTAAGCCGGATTCCGAGGAGGAGGTTGTTCAGGCTGCGCTTGCGGAAGTTTTTCATGCCTCTGTCCAGAAAACGGAGGGAAAGGGGGATTGGTTAAAGAGGCAAATGCCAAATGGGTTTGGGCCTGTTTTCTCGATTTCTATGAAGAAGGAGATATTTGCGAAAGAGCTTCCTTCTAAGTTGCATTTCTTTCAGCATGCTACTAGTCTTGGTGGGGTGGAGACGCTTATTGAGTGGAGGACTATGTCTGATCCGTCTGTTGATCGGAATTTATTGAGAATTAGTGTTGGGTTGGAGAATTGGGAGGATTTGAAGGGGGATTTGTTGGGGGCTTTTAGGGAGTTTGCGGGTCGGGTTTAGATTTTAGGTAGAGCTATAGATTTAGATTCTCGTATGAAGCTTATAACATCTTGAAGATTTGGACAAGTGACCCACTTTGAAGTTTGGTAGAGATTACATACTACATGTACCACGGTGGTGATTGGCTACAACTTGAACTAGGTACTAGTCATAGTAGTATCCATACCTATAGTAAATATACAGCATACACATAATACCTAGCTGCCCATATGCACGCAGTTCGTAAGTAGCTGGGACTTCTGACGTGGCATGCCGCATTATAGCGCAGTGAACCTATGGGCATAAGCTAACAAAATTCGTATTAGCGCCAGACCTAGCGATCCGCACGAGGCTCAGCCGCATCGCAGGCCATTCCCCCCGCTTCTTTCTTCTTATCTCTCCGTGCAATACCCACAGGTCCTCGCTGCCGTCTTAGTGGTGAGCTCCAGTTTATTATGGAATATCATAATCCAGGAAGAGAGGGGCCTGAAGAGGAGAAAGGCGCCAAAAATGAGCCGGTAAGACACAAATTGGGAGCCGAGGAGGTAGCTACGCGCGAACGAGCTTGAGGAAATAGCTAACAACGCTCACAGAGACAAACATGGATCAAAGTAATTGATAAGATCTTCCTTCAATTTTGAATACACTGAGACTAAATCCCACCATTAACAAGGTCCATAGAAAACACTTGCTTCCTCAGACGTTGGAAGCTTACGACTTGCCATGGATGTGGGACGAAGTAAGTTTGATGATGATGATGATGATTATCGCATAAAGATTTACTGCCTAGAATTAAGAGCTGATATTTTGCGATTTCACACAGAATGATACTAGTTATCTTGTGATCAAACGTTGGCTTACCGAGGAATTTCGGGAGGAGCTATTTTTACACACTAAGCGCATTAGAGAGGGGAAAGTGCTTACTGACAACAAGGATAGAACCGAGGAAGGAAATAAAGGAATAGAAAAGGAAGGTCTTTACATGGTCAGAAAAAAGCCCAAGAGAGACAAAATACGTGAGCAAGCGGAAGCAGACAGTCGGTATGAGCACGAAATCGGTGATGGATTAAGGAGAGCGGACAGATATGGAAGAAGGGAACAGGAAGAAACAACGAAGGCACAGGAAGAGGGAAAGAATGAACATGAGAAGGCCAGCTACGGAGGCTACGGAGGGCGAAGAACAACACAGGCGAAAACTACATATGACGAAGCAAAAGTAAGAACCTGCCTTTGAAAACTTGAAGAGACCGTGACGATGCGCTGACCATTTCCCGGGCAGACCGATGCAATCAAAGTATGAATCGCTTTTTCCGTTGACTAGCCAAAAAAAAAGTGTTGACTCTGGCCACTGGCCACTGATTAGGTGCATCGAAAACATCTACTTCCCGAGACTTTGTTAGCCTATAATCTACCCTGGGATTGGGACGAGGTTAGTCTGATCGCTTATTATGATTATGTATGCACAACGATAGAATTATACTAACTATGAAACATATGAATACTAGGAAGATTCTAATTACATCATAATCAAAAAATGGATCACAGAAGACTTCCAAGAGGAACTGTTCGCACATACTAGGCGCATTCGAGAAGGCAGATTACTCGACGAGGACTCGCATGAAGTGCTCACTGAACAGGAATCTACTTTGCAAGAATTGCTTCCCAAGCGAAACTATAAATACCTGCCTTCTACATGTTGCCAATGCGAAGCGACCTTGACTTCTGATGTTAGCTTGAAACATTCCGCTGTCAAGCGATCAGCGGATGAACATCGCAACCCCGCGGTCCGGGGAAGCTTTAGTCGACAAATAGACGTTGTTAGTTCTCGAATGCCAGGGTACGGAAAGACCGTGCTTTACAAGGCAGATACAACAGAGGATAAGCATGAAGATCCTCAGTTCTCATGGATGTAAGATACATACCCCTTAACATGCACACAGAGGTGTTCTAACACAATACCAATAGCCATGCAGAGCGCGAGATGCGAGATTTTGACGAGTTTATAGTGAGTTTGGATGTATGTTATATGAGATGTCTATGGCGTCTAATGAATTCAATCTAGCGATTTGCATCGAGCGTGTCGAGTTTGACAGATGAGGACAGAGCCCTGGTCTTGTCTCTTATGAAGAAAGTCCGCGTGAAAGTCCACGCCCCCAGATGCGCTGCTCCCAACCATGTCTTTCGGTGCGACGGGGTGGACTCTTCTGTATTTGATGAAATGACGAACGAGAGATCTGCCATTTTGATACGCTTCCCTTATAGTGTCATCCGAAAATTGGATCGTCGCACAAAAAGCCTTGGAAGGTATCACGTTGGCTACCAGTCAAATCGAAAGAGAGACCTCGACCAAGTTGTCCAGAAAATGAAGCTGTTCCCTGCTGGTCATGTGGTTCATGTGCCGGAGCTGTGGGCAGTTATTGTGAACTTCCGTTCGTTTCCAATTCCCAGAATCGCTTATTGAGCTGTTGGTACTGATATTTCCTGAAATAGAGTACATTATTACCAGTGCACCAGTATCTTTACTAGAAGAGACAAGCTCGTCTTACGAGATTTTGACCCCCCCAGCTGCAACGTCTCGATCATCTCTCATGGACATATGTGTACTGGACCCTAGGAAGCGCCTCTTTTGTTTTCCGATAGGACTTTGCAAAACATTTTATGTATGTTGAGTCTCTACTACCGTTGGTATTGAGCCTATGGCTATGCTTGGGTTCTAACTTTACGGTTATTAGGCACTGCGTCATACCATTGCTGAGAACTGTCTGCCGCCCAGGCTCAAGGAAAAGGGTTACGATTTTGAGCTGCTGACTGCAGACAAAGTTGTCATCAAAGCAGATGACTGGGTCAAAATTACCAGTACTCGCACGTCGATTGGTTTTCGTATCCACGTTCGCCTGTTGTTCCCGGAAAGCAAAAATGATCCTACGGCAGACGATGACTGTAAAAAACCCAGAGTCCTACAACAAAAGATTGACAATACTGACTCGAGAAATAGTAATAATAGTGGAAGAAGAGCTCACAGAGACTTCAGATGATGGTAGAGTGTTCTTTCTTTTTTAATAATAGAGCTGGAGCTAATCTGAAGGGCACAGAAGAATCGACAACAGCGGAAGAGAGAGAAGGAAAAGAGAAGGAAAAGGGAAAGAGAGAGGGGAGCATGGCCGGCGAAGACAATCCCTCTAGCTGGGCTTTGCTCAAATACAACAGACCAGTAGAAAGGGAAGTAGAAAGTGCCGTCGATAGCAGGACAAAAACACAGGTCGTGCGATTGGGAAAAAGACAGATGCAACCTATCACGTCTATATCGGGGGTCGTTGTCAACAAAAAATCGGACAATACACCCAAGCTCATAGAGTCAAATATCTACTATGATCCGGCTGCTCCGGCCGCTGCCCCCAGAAGCGATGGTGTTCCTAGTGAATCCAGTGCCCAGAAGGTGCAAACTGAGGAGGAGCCCCGTTCCATCCAGAGAGCGACAACGTTCGGCTCGCTGCTTGATGGCCCATCAACATCATCTGATGAAAAAAAGACTGAGCTCAGTCTGGAATTCCCTTCTGTATTTACTTGGTCGACCCGGAAAAAACCTGTGATTGGTGAGGAGCCGACATCTGGTGCGGTTCCCGACTTGGCTGATATCTCTCCTCTCCCTGCTGGAGAAATAAAAGAGGCGTCGGTTCCGATAAATGTGAATTGGAATGAAAATGAGAATGAAGACACTATAAGAGATGTCTCGTCTCATATACACAGACAACTCCTCGAGGAAGGGGCTGAAACTAGCCGAGCCATATACAAAGCGGCAACTATCTCGTCCCATTCTGAAGTCGATCAGGCTATCAGACAGGAACTAAAGATTCTTCTGCCTGGCTTGATTGCTACAGGGAGGCAATTGAAAGCTCCCACGGATGATCCATGGTGGGAAAAATCCATGAAAGATTCAATTGGCTCCATGTGTCGCCTGTTAAATTTCTTTATGCCATTGGAATTTTCGTGTGATGTCGCGAACAGATTCTGGGGAGGAATTCATGCTCTTTTCACTGTAGGTCAAAATACTAAATTTTTCACTTGAGCTGCTCTAAAAAGTCGCCACAGATGGTTCCCAAAATGTGTGATTCTGCCAAAATGACTGAATTGACAGAGCGAACGCAGCGTCGCCGAATGACTGAAGCTTATTTCATAGTCGACCTCAGCGATGAAAAATTTGCTGATCTGCGGCGTGAAACTGATATGAAACAGTTGTATGAGGACATTGATGATTGTCCTAGATGTGGCAGGGGTCGACGGTTCTCCACAAGAGCAGAAGCTCTTGAACATCTGTCTGCTTCTCACTTTGCAGTTCCTCTAGCAGGTCCTTCTGTTCAGCAGCAAGATACGAGCTATCAATCTGCATGGGTCATGACTTATGGGGAGTACCTTACCTTTATATGCCGGACAGACGTACAGAAAATTCTTCAACAACTACAAGAGCACCTTACTATCCTGGAAGAGATGGCACTGCAAATTCAACATGGAGTTTCAGAGAAAGGAAAGTTTGACCGCGATACGTATCGAATCCCATCTGGTCTAGTGGATGCATTTCAATATCTTCTGATGACAGTTGTCACTGCAGCTCACATGGTCAAGTCTATACATGTAGACAGAGAGGCCTACGCCGATCCAGACCCACCAGTTTCATTTCTTCCATTCCGGGATTTGTACAAAGTCACACAGTTTGGGGCTCAAGCGGAAGCTTCCATGGAAAAGGCCGAAAACGATATTGTTCTCATGACTCACACCGGTGAGATCTCTGATGTTGTGACCTACGAAGTTGTCAGCCCTAGTCTGGTACTGGCACTTGTCATGGATGAGATTCATTGTAGAGACTCCAATAATAGCCCAGTGAATATGTTGGATGTCTATCGCAGCTACATGCAAACCTTGGTGTGTCCTAATATACTATGTATCGATTCTAAGATTTTTATGGAAGTCACACTTGCTAATCTAGTATCTGCATCTGACCAGCAATATAAAGCCATCCGAAACCCACGCCGACGCCTACTGCAAGACATCTACCTCTTTCAAGAGGAGCTTGTGATGACGTATAAAATACTCGAAACACAAATCGATACGTTGAACAACTATCGAAATGTTCTTCGCCCGTCCTCCTTTCGTATTACCACGGAGTCGCGGGCGTCTTCCTTCAACCTTGAGGTCGTCCAGCTGGAGAAATTGATTGATCGCCTGGATGCGGACTTCGAGGCCATTGAGGATCTTACGGAGGACATCGAATCACTGGCCACGATGACACGCAATGGCGTAGATGTACGACAAGAAGACCAAGGGAAAACCATTTTGGTATTCACTATCGTGACTGTTGTGTTTACGCCTTTATCATTCGTGACCAGCTATCTTGGCATGAATACGACTGATATTCGAAACATGACAAACACTCAAACACTGTTTTGGGCAGTCTCCATCCCTCTCACGATGCTCATCATTATAACAGTCTTGTTCGTTGCATTTCAAGCCGAGCGTCTGCGAGAGGCGATCGAAGTCTTGTTTCAACCCCGTTATTCGCAGACGGAACCCCCGCTCAGTGATTTGCATGGAAGAATGTATGAAGAGGATCTGGATGCTGCTCTTGAGAAATCAGCAGAGAGGAAATCATGGAGATCAAGATGGGCTGGAAGAAGAAGCCCGGAGGATTGGAGAAGTGAATCGGATTTGACATTGAAGGTTTGATATTGTCTCTGATACTAAATGTCGAGATCTTCATATATTCGTCGTTTATTACCACCAGTAGTATGAACTTTCATGTCACTTCAATCAATCTAAACCTTGGCTTTGTAGTATTCTGGATATGATTCTTTATATCCTAGAATATACTTCCCAAGTAGAACGCCACCAAAGCAATTCATCAAAACTCCCAGGAATCTTGCAATCATAGGGGGGCCAGGTAAGGCAAGTACTACACCTCCTACCCAGTTGAAGAGTAAGACTTGTGGAAGACTTCGAGGGACACCGGCTGCACGACAATCATCGCGGTAGGATTGAACATTCCCTAGAGAAGTTAGAGGGAGAATTTAAAGGATCCAGTTAAAGCAAAAAGAATTTAGAAGAAACAAATTCAAACTTACGAAAGAAGCGTTCATCTCTGTCTTTCCACTGCGGCTCCAATACAAACTCAATCACTAGCTCTTCTGTCGTACTGGCGTTGCAGAATGTGTGGAATGTTTGAGTTGGAATAATCATAGACTGGCCTTTTGTTTTGACTATCTTTTGTCCGTCGTATGTAAATTGGGCTGATCCGCTGATAACATGAAACATCTCTGTTTGATAGCGATGCCAGTGGAGCGGTGGACGCAATGCAATGTTTCTATTGGCTTCGCTGGAAGCTGGTGGCCAGCGGTTTATGACGAGATATTGGTCATTGGGCGATTTGAATTCAATAGATGAACGGCCATTGTCGAATATTATTGGATTGAGTCCCGCTGTTGTGGTTTTTGGAACTCTCTTTGCTAGGAAAGAAAGCATGGCTTGGAGAATGGCCTGAGTTCTCCTAGAGTTGGTGATATATTTTATGATTGGGCCTCACTGGTAGGAATGTCTCCAAGCTATTCAAGAGGATAGAGAGAGATGAGGGTGAAGAAGGGTGAGGAAGAGGCAGGTGATCCGCCCGGAGAACAGGCTGACTGGTGGCCAATCAGATCACTCAGGACTCCATATTTATGCAAGTAATACGATGTGTATATTAATTACTTCTATCTCAATTTTTTGATATTTTTCATCATAGTGCAGATTAACGGGCATCTCTATGCTTTATCGTTCCAATTTCGAAATGAAGATGACCACTCAATATGGACATGACATACATGCACCCGGACACTTCAAATGTTGGATCTGCCACCTCTGGTTTCAAATGCCATACAAAAATTCCTATCAATTCTATGTAATTTTTTAGACTGAGAATTTTAGATATTATCCATATCGTTCTGCCCGTATGTCACCACTTGACTTCATTGTGATCGATTAGGCCAATCAGAATAGACAAATGTTTACACCTCAGGCATAAACATGATTATGTAATTTATATGCCTGTCTTTTTAGGCTCTATACATGCACGTGGCCGTGTTTCAGTGAGCAAAAAGCGGCGAGGAATAAGCACTAAAATGGAAAAGGTAAGCCAAGAATTGCTAATGTGACAGACAAGAGAAAAGACAACTTGGCGGGCAAGATCGCTGCCCTTCACATTGTGGCTCATTTTTAGTAAAAGAGCGCCTCACTAAACTACCGGCCAAGGGAAGCCGGTTACAACTGGTCAGCTTCGATTGGGCATGTCGCTCAAATGTCTCCAATCCCATCAACCGATCTGCTTCTTAGCCTCAGCAAACCCCTGAAATCAAGACTTGGGTGCAAGACCTGCAAATCCCGAAGGGTCAAATGTGGCGAGGAGAAGCCAAAATGCATTCGATGTACCAAAACCGGTCGGAAATGTGAGTACGACAATAAAAAGGGTCTCGATCGTTTTTCTTCGGCCCCGGGACTCGAGCTCTCCAACTTGTTCGACTCGCCACTTTCGTCAACGCCTAATACAGTCTGGCGTGAGCGGCGCGCTTTCGCTTATTACTTTCAAGACGCTGCCGCTTCTGTTGGTGGTGGATTAGATAGTACTTTCTGGCGTACGGTTGTCCCGCAGGTTTGTCGGAGTGAACCCGCCGTTTGGGATGCAATGATCTGCATCAGTGCATTATTTGAAAGCCCCGATCCATGTCCCGATCTTATATCTTCTTGTCGGCTTTCTCGGGCTCTCAATCAAAACCAACAAGATGCGTTAGACTGGTATGCCCGATCTGTTTCTACAGTTCGGCAAGGCATCGAACGTGGCAGCGTGGATACTTTTGTCGGACTGATTACATGTGTCTTGTTCATCTGCATCGAGTCCGTCCTGGGGAGCATAAATGAAGTTATACGTCTTTATGGTCAAGGCGCGATGCTCATCGCCTCACTACGTGAGCAAAAAGCCTACGACAAGTTAGGCTTGCTAAGAGAAACCATTATTCCAACCTTTGTCCGGCTAGGATTATTCTCCCCGAAATCAGCTTGGCCAATCGTACAATCCTTGATACCAGAAAATTTTCCTGGCAATTTGAAATCCCTGAGTTTACAAGAGTTCTCATCGCTCAAATCTGCTCGCGATGCTATTGTTGTTCTTGCTACAGAAATTCCTGTCCTTGAAAATGAATGCGAAGACTATTTACAGAAGTCTCTTGCTTGGTGTATATCTGACGAACTAATTTACCGGCAAAAGGACTTACATGTCAGATTGGCACACTGGCACACTGCTTTTATGAACTTAACGAAATCTCTCCGCGGCACGAAAGACGGGTTATCACCAACGCAAGTCAGCGTCAGTGCCCTTCTTGTTACATATCATGAAATGTTACTTGTCATTCTCTCCGTCTGCGTCTCGCCCTTACGAAACACCACCGATGCCCACACACAAAGCTTCCAAACAATTATTGACCAGGCCACCATCTCTCTGAATAATTCAATCAGAGGCAATGGCTCATTGGCTCCTTATACCTTCGAGATCAGTGTCGGCCTCCCACTCTGGTTTACTTGTCTAAGATGCCGCGATCCAGCTATTCGGCGCACAGCACTTACTCTCCTATCAAGATCGCATCAAATTCAGGGGCTAGCCAAACGCGAACACGGTACAAGTTTAGTCGAGAAAGTAGTGGCTCTTGAGGAGGCTCATGCCATGTCAGCAATGGATTCAGCGCTCATAAAAAGGCGCGGCACCACACCTATCATAGGATCACCCTCTTATCAAGATATGAGTAGCCCGATCAGTCCATACAAAGCGTCGCAAATCAAGTTTATTGCGAGTCCGTCCCCTCCACTTACAGAGGTTGATAATGAAATTGGAGGTCAGTATTCTTTGTTCATTCCACAGCAAGCGCGTATAAGACCTCATGGCGTCTTTCGACCGCGGGATGGCTTTCCTCCTGAGGCAACCAGGGAGGATATTGCGCACTGGGGGCGAGATGATGATCAATTTTATTTGCAATTTTCGTGGAATGAATGTGACCAGTCTAATGAGACATGGGAGATGGTGTTTGGATATATCCCGATCGACATTCCAATCTAAACCTGCGCCCATATATATATATGGCTATTTTATTTTGGGCAGCCTTGATAACGAACTGATTGAATGACTGGTCCTCAAACTACAATATATTGTTTACTCGAAACTTTGCTAGAAACACTCCGAATCTTCCATCATGATGTCGGTCTGTGTCGCGCAACACATATTGCTTGCCACAATCCAATATACACTCTGTGGCGGATCCGTCTAGGTTAATGCGGATGAGAATGCACTCGGCCGATGCGATATCAGAATTCAAAATTCCCCATATTGTGCCAAATGCCCTGGGCCATGGGTTTTCAATGGGAATAAGCAATGCTCAGAAAAACTTTCCACGATTATCTACAGTCATTCATACAGGAAATGTACTGTCTCTCCTGAGTGTTTCGCTTTTTGAAAGATCTCGGCAATGTGCCCATCTACGAGATGTTACATATTCAACTCAGCCTCGAAACTAATCTGGCGCTGTGTCTTATGAAGCCGCTCTGTGATCTTCCATTGTGTCCTAGATGGCGATAACAAGGTCACGACAATACCTGGCACAACTAAGCTGTCACGGAATCATAAACGGGTCAATGGCCTACTTATTATTATGTCTTTAAAAGGAAGAATGAAAAGAAGGCTTATCTAGACTTTCTGATGTTTTTTCTATTTTATCTCTCAATTCTTCTTTCCTTTAGCTCTCTAAACTCAATCGAAATCTACTACTTAAGGAATAAAAACCATTGGAAGAGGCCACATTCCGCAATAGACCAAGTGAATAGAATTAAGATGTTTAACTCACCTTAGATGTTGACATATTTGCCATTACTCTCTTACAAAAGTCCAAGTTTACCCGGCGGCCATTAAATCCGCACAACCAGATCCGCAATCCACCGACCCCGCATCGGGATTGGCCGTCAACTTGGTTTTATGTTTTATCTGAACAACCAACGACCAACAACCAACTCGGATATTTCAAACACCTCCAACGTCCATCATTGAACAAAAGCTCAACCTTTCTATTCGAGATCTTCCTCATAAACACAGTCATGGCTCAAATCAACGAAGCACATGGACCTCAATCGCCAACGGGGGCCTTTACAATCCATTACTTTGCTACGGCATCCCAATACACATCTAAAAACACCGAACGACTCCCTGCTCCACTTCAATTATCGGAGCTGTTCCCTCTGCTTGAAGAGCGGTATCCAGGAATCCAGACCAAAATTCTCACCAGCTGTGGGATTAGCGTTGAAAGTGAATACGTGGACGTTGAAGAGGATGCAACAAAAATCATCCAAGCCGGGGATGAGGTTGCCATCATTCCACCTGTTAGCTCAGGGTAGATATCTTCTGCTCATGAAATTCAAAATGAATGTGTTGCTTTGATTGATTCAATAATAATTATATGGCCAATGAATTAAAGAGGATTATGTATCGATCTGAAACATCAAGATGTTCGGCCAGTCCTTTCATCGTCAAACATTGACAATGCTTACTCCTTCAATCTCCAACCACCGCTGGTGCGCTGTTGGAAGAATCCCTCAGGGTCAACATCAAGACGGGTCTTCAGTGCCAACGCCTTAGATTCCGGCTTGATGCGGCCCCAGTAATCCTGGCGGTAATAGAGATCATTCATGAACAGTGGACGGTATACGTCGGGTAGAAGACCTTCTTTAATGTTCTTTTGGACCAGATTATCCATTCCCTGATACAAGTTCTGATTGGCCTGATCTATCTTGTCATCGTCAATTGCGAAGGCATAGGAGAAATCGAGTTCAATGAAAATGTAGTTTGTATCATCGGGAACATCGAGAAGATCCTGTATCGATTAGCAAGCTTTCTTTCATGAATTTTGTTCAATACTATCAAGAAGGGAAGTCTTACTCCGCCGCGTGCCTTGGCCTGTCGAGTGAATGATTTGGGAACTGGCTGGAAGGCAATGGATCCAATAACATCCGTGACGCCAATCACAGACTCAGTGACATTGTACCAATGGTCGTGGTACTCTTGTAACACGCTGGAGCCCACTGTTGAATTAGGAACTGGCGTTGTCTCTGTCGCAATTGTATAGCGTTGTCCGCTGTTATTGGTTAGCTTTGTCTTTTCTCTCTCTTTGTTTCTGCATTAAAAAAAGATGAACTTACTGAAGAATGAAATTGTCGTTGTTTTTGAGCAGATCATAGTACGAGTCCCATGTCTTCGTCGTGGAAGTATGATCAATGGCCTGGAACTCGTCAAAAACACCAGCTGGTGGTTCGGGTCCGTCATAGAAGAGGAACATAATCCAAAGGTCAATCACACCAAGAGCTCCATGTTCCTTAGTCAGGATGATGGCTGCCTTGTCATCTGGATAGTCGTCCACAAAGCTGCGGAGTGCCTCCAGAAGCTGAGGTGTCTTGTCTGAGGTAAAGATATAGTTGCCTCCCCAAACTTTGCCAATGGGGTGAGTATCCATGGTGTATGCAGTGACAATACCAAGGTTGTTACCTCCTCCCTTCAGGGACGCAAAAAGATCTGCCAATTGTTAATATAGTTCTGACTTTTATAGAGAGGATGCACAAACTCACCGGTATTTTCCTTCTCATTAGCATTGACAATCGTCCCATTAGCAAGAACGACTTCAAAGTTTGCCACGTTGTTCGCAGCCCACCCGTATTGAGTACTAAGGAAACTCATACCACCTTAACCTTAAGTCAGAACAAAAAAGCTTCATTTAACGTTCAAGTCTCAACTTACCTCCGAGCATATACCCTCCGATTCCAACGCCACCAAGTCGCCCTCCGACAACTGCTCGGCCCGTACCATCCAAACCTTCTTGCGCCTCTTCCCAAGAAAGACCAGGGCCAATAACAGCAGTTTTATCATCTTCGTTATAATCCACCTGATCCAGGTTCTTGGTTGAAATCAACAACCCATCCTGGATACTAGCAAATCCATTGTTGGGGTTATGTCCACCAGACTTGACAGCAAATAATGTGTCAACATCGTGCAATTGTTTGACTATTTGTGCCATTTCTGCGGCACTAGACGGTGCAGCAATACATGTTGGTTTGAGGTCTCCACATGCTGCAGACCAATATTTGGTCAGGTCGGTGGAGTAATCGATTGATACTGGATATTCGATTGAGATGCCGCCTTGAGCGAGAGTTGAGCAAATGTCGGCCTTTGCGATCGGTGTAATAGTTGCGATGAATAACGCTAATGCGCGCCAGCTATGGCTGGGGGCCATTATATCAAGCTGCAATGTTGTGAATTTCCAAGATAAATATAATAATTAGGCGATTATATGCGTAAAAGCAAAAGACCAAGTGGGTTTCGAGGAAGCCCAACTAAGTCCAACTTGGAGCAGTCGTGAATGATGTATATGGGGTCGTTAAAGGGTCCTTCAGACTAAGACTAGCTATAGGAAACCGGGTGGCAGATCCTGGCTCTATATAAATGTAGAAACATGGAACGGACTGCCAAAGCCAATTCTTGGATTTTTCGGAGGGTATTCACCCGGACCAAGAGCTAAACCCATCTCTTGGGCGATTCATCCAGTAAGCAACGAGCTGAAGGCAGACATGGGAGATACATACATCTCGGGTAAGCGAAGTGGATATTGGGTCCTGGGGTCCCGCACTAAGTTGTGGGAACATTTTGGCCCGATAACTTAACTGGGTTAATGACACATGGGCGTTGTTGCCAGGAAGGAAGCGAGTGGAACTTGCACATGCTGCTCCACCTATGTGGAGACAAGTGATGATAGAAGCTCGTAAATGAAGATACTTGGAGGTCTGAGGACTGTCCAAGGCTCGGTGATCAATTCAGTACGTAAGTGTTGTTTTCTTCAGACTAAGGTCAATCACAAGGCTTGATCTAACAAGTTGAAAGGCATCTGACTTCGTACGTGCTTTGACACCCGTAACCGAGATTTAGTCTATGTTGATCATCTGTAAATAATAGACGATTGCGTTGCAGTCTATACAATGGTTTAAGGGCCATTGCATGCATCTTACTCAAAGCATACAAAATGTCCCGGACAGTTTCAACGCTAGGCCGTGGCAGTGATTTCTGTGTATCTTGACTGGTGGATCGAATGAACTGGCGTAGGATCGACATATACCCTTTTCACTCAGTGGATCCGGTAATAGGGGCTAAGCGTTGGCATATCGCTAGACAAATTTGGGTTTTAAATTTTTTGCATCCCTTGAAGAAAGACTCTGACCACCAATTTCTAGCTTTTTTTGACGCCGAGGGAGACTTGCTCCACTTCATGCGATACGATACTGTAGCACGCTGTCGAAATCGAGAGAAATTAAAAGCAATACAATTGCTGGCCTTGTGGTAAAGAGTTCGGTTGGTTCTTTCCAGGCTTGAAACCCCTGCTCGGGATCGACAGCCGGTGGTGTGTTTACTTAGTAGACAAGCTAACGGGGTGGGACGCGCGGGGGATTTCCCCTGAACGGTTCCTGGTTATGGCAAGTAACCCGCCTCGCGCCGCCATCAGAACTCGGACCACGCTCGCTTAGACAAGATCAGAAATGATAGTCGCTTTTTTGCCTTGTTCTTTCGGCATTTGGTCTTGTGAACATGCACCATTTGTCCAGATTGAGTATGGGGTCGAACTGCCAACTACGGATCTATAGAAAACGTGGGGGGATGCGCATCGTCACATGAAGCCGCAACGAAACCGAGGGCTGGCGAGTCAATACAGGTTACATGCATGTACAAGAATGGGATCACGATCGTCAAAATATTGTCACAATCGAGCCCTATGATAGGATCAATGATTGAAAAATCAAGTTGAAAATGGCGTGGGGCTTCATCAAGCGTCTTACGCTGGGCCCGGAGAAAGTACCGCCAAACTCAACTAGTCAATGCATGTCTCACTCGTACCAAGATTTCTAATTGTGATAAGTCGAAGCCAGCTACGTGAGTGGGCTTGTCGGCTTTGTTAGATCCATGCAAAATACGGAACAACCCCGATCCACTATTCTCTCATGGAACATATTGGGCGCGACGGGTATCTCGAACATTGATACCGGTGGAGTCGCATATGATGGTTGAGGCGTCTTGCATTGAACTAGGGAAACTAGGCGTTCGTGTCAGCTCAATGGATTAATGGCGTGCCTAGCGCTAACAGGTTAGCTTGGGCATCGAGGGCCTTTGACCTTGGCAAAAGGAAGATCCTATCCGGACATACCGACCTATTGTTTTGTCGGGATCGGTTGAAATGATGTGACATGCTGCATAATTTAATCTCCGAGGTATCTCGTAGTTTTCTAGTCGAGATAGTCAATTTCTCCGCCACAGAGAACTTCTTGATGTGTCAACAGGCACAAATTTGCTGAATCCCGAACAAACAGCCTCGGGGAGAGTTTAAGGGGGAAAATAGCGCCGACTCAGGATTCCAGTGTAATTGGCTTCTGCAATGCCTAGTTGAAATTGATAAAGTGGTCGTATCCTGTATGTTATTGGAACCGGAGATGGGTTCTACTGAATGGGCAACATTGAAGGTCGGGGCTATTTATTTCCTTCTCAGCAAGATTGAAGATAAACGTTTCCCTTGTAGTGCATCTCAATTGTTGATGCCATCAATATACTCCAGCTACAATTGTAGAGATCGCGATCAATGAGAAACAGGTGGTATCGCGTCCACTGTTGTACGCCATATATAGACACCTCAGGCATGAAGGCTGAGGTGACAAATAGACCGCCCAATGGCGGTGGCATATTCTGCCTGACCAATGATGCAAGTTTCGATGGCGTCGCGTTTTGGTCACTTCAACAACGATCATGGTGCTACCAAGGAGTGGAGCGCTGCAGATACTTACAATACGGAGGAGTATCTGTATACGCCGCTCTGTTCGGCAACAGCGAGCAATATGTTTGCTTCCACAGCCAGGAATACGGAATCCATTCGGACGCCGCTTTTTATCCACCACGCGAGACTTAAGATCGACACTTGGGGATGGAGTCAACGATGAGGTATAACCCTCCAACAAAATTTTGATCGCCCGAAATATGTCTAATTTCATCTTCTGTTTAGGTATCAGCAACGCAGGATTTATCATCCGTCATTGAAACGCAGCCCGATCAATTATCACCCGCAGAACAGCGTGCCACTAGCGAAGTTGAGGCCTTTAAGGATATTCGAGAATACCTTCGTAACTGGCAAGCGTCAAATCCAAATACCCTAGACCCTATTCAAGCACCGAATTCTCAATTGAAAACTGGCGATGTATTGTTGGGCTCTATGCTCAATGGCCGAGATTCCCCCGGTGGAACAGTTTGGGACACTTCCAGTCTTTCAAAGGAAGATGATCTGGATACTTCTGAAGAATTTCTCGGCGATCATCTTGAACCGGGTGATATGGTGGCCCAGTTGACAACGGATGGAACTTTTGCGTTTGCAATCTATGTCCGGTCTGTTCAGAGACAAAGGCAATTCTACACATCTCGTGGAAACTGGCGTATTTGTCGAAATCGCGAAATTGACTACGTGATCAAGGGATTTGCTCCGCCGGAGCTACTGGACCCCATTACACCTTACTTTCCTACGCGAAGACCCGAAGTAAACCCGGAAATCCAAGATGTGGCGGAGGGCGGGCTCCCCCGACCACTTGGTGCGCCGTTGCTGGAAATGATGGCAAATTTTGAAGAGCATATTTTGGAGTTTTACAGAATTCATTCATCGAAATTGGATCAGGTTCATGAGAAAGTTTCGGATGAGTCGGAGTTTCGTCGATGTACTATCGAAGAAATGGCCATACAAGTCTTGGAGATTGAAGAATCGGAATTGAATAGCGTCAATCTCTTTGCCATTCATCAAGCAATCCGTCGCCATCCTTTTGTTATTGAGAAAGATTCCTCGGATTTGTTTAGTTCCACATACCTGATACAGCCGAAGCGTATCGGCACGGTTGTAGAACAAGTCACTACCTGGGTCCATGAACATCAGGAATACCTCACACGTTTCGCAATGGGTAAGTTGCATCAAGGATACTTGGATCAAAAGGCCGAAAGTACGACAGGACGCACAACCAAAAAGTTTCCTGAGCATCCCATGCAACAATTTATCGCGAAAGCACAGCGCTTGATTCGTCTCAGTCGAAAGGTTCGATCACCTACGATCATGGCCAGTGTAGGCCCATCATCCCAAAGCTTCCAGCCTGGACAGGATGATAAGGCAATGGTGTTCCGTGAGGTTCTTACTGAAAAGTTCAACGAGAATGATCAGAAAATTCTGGAATTTCTCCAATTGTATGCTATTCCGGCTGTCATCATGCCATCTGGTACTTTGAAATCTACTGCTTCGCATATCATGCGGGCAACTGGCATGTATAACACTCTTGGTCTCAGCGAATCTTCATCGAAGCTCTTCTTGCAGGAGCTTGGAGTCATTGCTCCATGGGAGAATTTGAGTCTTCTAGACCAAAACCTGATGTTACCTGGACATGGTGTATCGCTGATGGAAGATATGCGATGGGAAGAAGTCGAGGAGTCATGCGACAGGCTTTCTGATACGATGGTCGATTCCATGAAACATCTCAGAAAGGACTGGGGCGATTTACCGGTCTACTGCATCGACGATGCTGATGCACAAGAGATTGATGACGCAGTTTCGCTCGAGCACATTCCAGGATCGGATGACCAATTCTGGGTACATATCCATGTCGCTAATCCTACGGCTTTTCTAAATCGTGATGATCCTATCGTCGAATATGCGGCGTCTCGTTTGGCTACTACATATGCCCCAGAGCGCACATACCCCATCTTCCCAAAACAGCTCACCCAGGGGCATTTCAGTCTGGCACCCGGTCGACCCGTCATAACATTTAGTGCAAGGATGAACATTGATGGAGAAATACTGAGCACTGAAGTCAAAAATGGGATTGTACACAACGTCATCAGCCTTACTCACGGCAGACTGCGAAAACACTTCGACCCCGACCTTGTAACGTTTACAAAAACTCTTACCGTCGGCGGCAAACTTGTCGACGATTTTTCATCAAAAGATAAAGAGTTGCGCGAGACCCTCACATCCCAAGATCAGGAAACTTTCGACATTCTGCGTAAGCTTATGCTTGGTTTCCGTAACAAGCGCAAGGAAAATGGAGCCATGGATATGCAGCCCTTAAGTCCAAACGTCTCTCTATCAATCCAGGCTGGCACGGTCCCACTGAAACCTTACGAAATGCAAGTCACCGAGGGCCGATACTACCTCGGTGACCCCATTATTCAACTACGCATGCAAGATTTCAACCCCCACGAAGTCCGCGATGAATCAAAGAATTATCTTGTCTCGATGCTGATGAACTTGGCTGGTCACATTGCCGGTCAGTTCTGCGCTACCCGCAACATCCCCGTTATATACGATGGAACCTGGTATGATCCAGAATATGGTCGCGTCACGCAAGAAAACCTGACTCAATTTGGTGGCCAGGCCTTCTTCCAATTAGCAATGCCGAAGGCCCTGTCCGCATCTGAGCCAGTCCATCACCACATGCTTGGTTTGGATGCTTATGTCAAGAGTACAAGTCCCCTGCGCCGATTCACAGATGTCATTGCGCATTATCAGATTGAAGCTGCATTGCGCTTCGAAGCCGAGCACGGCCGCCTACTCGATGCTGCTTCTGATGTACCTGACTCTGAAGAGACTCAGGAAACCCAAGAATCTGCAACTCAGGCTGAACATATCCCTACCTCCGACTCCGACTCCACCTCCCTCCTTTCTCTTTCTCCTCTCCCATACCAAAAGTTCGACATAGATACCCATATTCTCTATTCCCAACCTCTGCAAACGCGCCTCCGTGCCGTCTCAAGATTCTCAACCCAACACTGGGCCTGCATGCTTCTCTTCCGCGCCTTCTACTTCGCTGAATGTGCGCTTCCCGCTTCGTTTCCTGTTATCCTCCGCACACCTCATATCCTCCCTGCACGTGAGGGTGTTGTCTACTCGGGTGTTATCACTAATCTGGGAGTCAACTGCACTGTCTCAGTACCGGATGGGTGTCCTGGTAAAGATCGCATGGATATATTCGGTGTTGTGAATGCCAAAATTACTGGTGTTGATATGGCCACCTTGGAAGTTAAGATGGAGGCTCTTGAGCTAGTGAAGGAGTATGAGCGAGTTGGTGAATGGGCTTGATTTCGTTGCGTCTATCAAGATGAGCTTGAGCCGTGTCTCAGGTAGACCTTTTTGGTTTTGTATTATAGATTTTCCCTGTATGATTATTTCTGACGTGTACATTAATATTCAACTCATATTTATTCTCAATCCTTTACAAATTAATCTCTTCTCCCGATCAAATTATGCGTTTATACACGAAGTGGACGACATTTGAACTCCTGATGCCTGAAAATTGTGAGGTTATAGATCTCTGAGCGACTCGGATCTGGATTGGCTGATATCAATCTGATAAAATTTATTCAAACGAGTTAAAACTATTATTACAGAGTAGAGATATCTAAACAACTCCCATTTAGTCCTACACCATTGAATGCATAATTATTCATGCCCTCTTCCTTAAACACCAAAAACCTGTTTAACAAGTGCTTTTTTGTTGACCTTCCCCATTGCATTCCGCGGAATACTGTCCAAAATCTTCATTTCATGTGGTATCTTATACCCGGCCAGTCGATCTTTCAACGCACGGCGCATATCCATGGGACCCCATGATTTGCCATTTCGGCCACTTGTCGCAGCGTCTGGGTTGAGAATCAATACAACAGCGACTTTTTGGCCCCATTGCTCGGATGGGATACCGACGACAGCAGCTTCGGCGATTTGGGGTCTTTGACCATTAGCAATAGAACTCACTTCAAAAAGAAATGGGACGCGAGGCCATGATAAATGGAAAACACTTACAGAGAAAGTAATTCCCTCTCCACCTCCAACGCACTCACTTTCTCTCCTCCAGTTTTGATTATATCAGTGCTCTTCCTCCCTTGAATGAAATACATCGGTCCACTAGCCCACTTCCCACTCATTCCCTTGCCTGCTCCGTCGACAATTCGTCGACTAGCTACATCGCCTGTCTTGAACCACGGCTTCCCTCCATCTTTGTCTTCTACAAAACTCTCTGTTGTCGCTTTCTCATTCCCCCAGTACTCCCGGAATATCGTATCCCCTCGTAATTGAATCTCGCCTTCAAGTGGTCGCCCATTAGAACCGGTCTCTTGGTCCACTGGTATAATAGCATCTGTCTCCGTATCAACCAGACGCGCCTCTACACCCGGTAACGGCCATCCAACGCTACCATCAACTCGATCTGTAGGATCAAGCCCACAACTAATTGCCATACCAACTTCTGTCATACCGAATCGTTCCAAAAGGACATTGCCGCCGCTTAATGCGGTCCATTTCTCTTTTGTGGGTGTTGGTAGTGCGGCTGAGCCTGATATGTTGAGGCGGAGGTGTTCTGGCGATATACCTTCTTTCGCTGCGGATTGAATTTCCGGGGTTAGGGATGAAAAGCCACTCATTAGGCTGTTGTAGATTGTTGGGACGGCGGTTAAGAAGGTTATTTTATCGTGGGGTGTTGTTTTCTCTTTTTCGGGGAGGAATGGTGATGCGAGGCGTTTCCAGACTTGGGATGCGTTGAAGGGGTACATGAATTCCATAGAGGAACCGGCGAATATTGGAGTTATTATTGCGTTTACTACGCCGTGGATGTGGTGGAGGGGTAGTAGGTGAAGGAGACGGTCTTGTGGGGAGTAGTTCCATGCTTGGAGGAGTGAGGATGCTTGTGCGGCGAGTGCAGACTCTGGAATTAAAACGCCTTTCTGTTCTTCTGTTAGATCTTGAATGAGGAGCGGTTTGGTTCGTCTCATAGTTGGGTAATATCATACTGGTCGGTTGGTTGTTCCTGAGGTATACAGCATCATTCCACCGGATGAGGGCTGCTTGAGACTATCTAATTGAATGGACTCGGTGCCTGCGCCTGTCTCGATCTTTTGCCTGATGTCGAATAACGGATCGTGATCCAAGCCCGCTTCTAATATTTGTTGTGCCTTGTCGGCATATTTCTCCGTAGCCAACAGCATTTTCGCCTGTGAGTTATCCATGACATACTGGAGTTCACTGATCGGGAATCCAGGAGACAATGGCAATGCAATAGCATCGCTGGCAAATATAGCCAGAAGAGTTACTATATTGTATAGTTAGTGGAGGTTGAAAAAGAGAAGATAAATACAATCCCACGTTCAGGGTATGGTAACAGTACCTACGTAGTCATAGCTATTTTCTGCTAAGAACGCAACTCGTTCGCCGGCCAGTTCACCCGTCTTGGAGCTCTTGCGCTCGATATCATCCTTGGCGCGCAGTACGTCGGCAATGAGGTTTCCATATGTGAAGGATCTTTTTGATACGCTGTGAACCACTGCTAAGCTGGAGGGGTCGTGGTCCTTCAAGGCGCGGAATATGGGGATATCAGGCAGCGTTGAGAGGAGCTTTGCATATGCTGAGAGTGTCGGAGATAGATATTGATGCCGCGGAGCATATGACATGCAGAGACGCGGTCGCAGGAGCCGCGCGGTCGAAATACGGAAAGACATTGATAGGATTCGTTTGATTTGTCTTATTAAAACTGTTTCATGATTGTTTCGAGGGTTTCACCGTGCCGTTCGGGTCACAATGGCACGACTCGGGGTTGATGTTGATGTCATGGCATGATGTTCCGCGGAAACCAAAAAACTGAGTTTCGATCGCTTCATGTAATCAACTCCGCACTTTTTTCGCCTTCTCCGCTTCCATCTCATCTTTGCTTACAGCGCGATACTCTGTTCACTCGCTTTGCATACCTTCGCTTTTCTTTTCTTTTCTTTTCTTCTCTCTTTTTCTTGTTCCGCCTCCCTCCTCTTCATCCTCTCAATGCTCCGCGCTCTCCCCGTCCAGATTCCTCGCCGCTTATTCTCACACTCTGCGAAGATGGCATCTATGACTCCGATGGAAGACCTGATGCGCGACAAGGTGCGCCATTCCAAGCTTTTTAAGACAAGCATCAAGAAGAAGCTAATTATTCTCCAGATCGCCCATACCTTTACACCTTCGACTCTCATCATCCGAAATGACTCTCACAAACACGCCCACCATGCCGCGATGGAAGGATCAACCTCTAAAGAAACACATTTCCAGTACGCTATCCCCTCTCATTCACCTCCATTACCATCTATATTCTCCACGGATATATACGAGATTGGCCTACCTTTGGTTCGGAGTTTCTGTGGCATCCATGTTGATCGAGTTGGAGTTGGGAGTTGTGTTCGAATTACCACTTTCTAACAATTAATCATAGTGTCACTATTACCTCCTCCGCTTTTGAATCGAAGATGCAACCCGCGCGGCATCGAATGGTTTATGCCTTGTTGAAGGAAGAGATGAGTCGCGAGGGAGGGATTCATGCGTTGCAATTGAAGACGAAGACACCAGCTGAGGAGCAGAGGGAGAAGGAGCGTGAGACGCAGGCGTAATGAGATTTATATCCATGTTCATGTTCATACTCATATACCCCGTGAGATTACTTAGAGCAGGAACGTAGAGTTGAAAGGCGTCGTCTATATAGATTAAGTACATCCCTGCTTCAGTACGGGGATCAGATACCCCGATTCGGAAAGAATCGACTGTTTTTCAGATCAATCTGCGCTATTGTGCTACTTGGATGTTTATTTAAACAGATACAGCATTTATAACGGTTACAAGGGCCAAGTAATGATTACCACGTAGTTAGAAGGCATCAATTAAAAGAAGTATTACATAGTTCTAGCGCCAAACAAGCGGGCATGGACAGAAAGCAAATAATCTAGTATGTACATCCAAGGGGCCCTTCCATCGCACGCAGCGACTTAATAAACAAGGGAACACCAAGGAGCAACAAAAGACACAGGTCATCATCAGCAGGGCGCTTGTGGTGGCCCCGTCTCAACGGAGTAGCAGCACGCAGAGGCAATAGCCATGTGGGGGTGGGAAAGAAAGGAAATAGACACAAAAAAAGAAGCCGACTAAGCATTGCTTTTACACAGAAATAGGACGTAGGAAATAGAATTCGAGGTCGGAAAAGACGCAGAGGCAGGTCAGGAGCAAATGGGACATGCGAGGTGGTATAGAAGCGAGAGGGAGGGGTAGCGGGCGTGGGACAAAGGGGATATCTGGTAAGATAACACAAAAGTGGGGTTTTAGATCGAGGCGAGAATCGATGCGGGTCTTCGAATCGACTCGTGCGGGTCGGTCTAGTTCGAGGAGAGAGGAGGGTCGTACACGGGTGAAAAGAAAACTATGTCGTTGGTGACGCGGGGGATTAGGACTTCTTGTTGGCCTCGGTGACACCGACAGCGACCGCGACAATGATGATAATGATGAGAACTGAAATCACGGGACGAGTAATTAGTATTTGCTTTTTCATAGGGGATGAATAATAAAGAAAGAGCCAATCAACGTGAATGGGTCATGAGGGGCCACTTACCAACAATACCCAGAGCGTACCACTTCCATCGTCGGGCGTTGCGGGCACTTGTGATAGCACTATCCAGCTTGGTGTTGGCTTCCTGGACGTTGTGGTGAGTCTCCTCAGCACCCTGGTTGATCTGAGTGACAGCGGGCTCTTGCTGGTGAATAAGCTCAGCGACTTCCTGGTACAGCTGACCGAGCTGAATCATATCCTGCTCAATCTTGCGGATAGCAGCGGATCGCTGCATAGTAGCTTGACGGGCATCATTGGCCTGGCGCGAACGTGTACCGGGCACCTAAATTGCCAAATTAGTGAATTGCGCAAATGGAAATTGGGGCGGTTTTATTTCCGCGATCTTCCTAGGAAGACGTATAGAACATACCGCAAAGCTCTGCTCTTGGCCAGCCAGAACAAGCTGAACACCCTCCTCCAACTCCTCGGGGGTAGCCTCGGGGTTCGCAATCTCGTAGCGACGGCGGACTTGCTCCTCCAGACGCTTCTGGAAGTCGGCTTGAGTACGCTGGTACTGCTCGATCTCGCGACGAAGGTTACGATTGACATTCTCGACCTGGCCAGCAACACGAGAGTCGCCGGATCCAGGAGTCTCCTTGATGCGCTTGAACTGGTCGCGCATGTAGCGCAGGGCAGTGTTGATCTCATCTTCAATGTAGTCGACGTTCTGGCGGGCAGCTTGGTCCTCCTTGCCAGTGCTGGAGTCCAAGAGAGCATTCTGGGCTGAAACGAGTTGGCCTTCGCGCTTGGTCTTGAGCTCATGGATGGCTTCGTTCATCTCTTTGCACTTGTTCAGAATGGCACTGGGGCCACCACCTTGTGGGAGGTTGGACATTTCTGTTCATGAGAGTAGAAGGTTAGCGCGTCGCATTCTAATCTCGTGTTTCGTATTTTTGATTTTCAATGAAATTTAGAATTGGAGTATTCAAGACTTACCAACTCCGCCATTGCCGGATTCCACAGCACCAGCCTGCTCGTAACCACCTCCGTAGCCGTAGCTTTGCTGCTGGTCAGCATAAGGGTTCTGCTGACTACCATAGGGGTTGTACTGGCCGTAGCCCCCCTGGTTGTTATTGTCTCCCAAAGCCTGGTACTGTCACTGTTAGAGGAGCTCATAATTGGCAATCCATTGACAAACTCACACTCATGATGAATAATTAAGATGAAGTAAACAACAAAAAAGACGAGCAAGGGGTTTCAGGTTTGAAGTTGAATGAGAAGGGTGAGACGGGAGAAGTGGAGTGGCAGAAGACGTTGGCGGTGGGAATTCGAAGGGCAGAATTGTTTCACTTCAAGTTTGATTTGATAGTCAGGGGCTCATTAAAAAGGATTCAGGCTTTTTTAATTTAAAGATAAGAGGTTTGGAAGTTTAATCAATTTAAAATTTGAACCGAGATTCTGACCTGTTTCGAACAGAAAGAGAGAAGAATAAAACAGAAAGAGGAAAAAAAGAAAAGGGTTCCTGCGTGGGAGATGGCCTCCTTACACCTAGAAGTGGGCCTATGCTTTTTTTGGCCCCAGAATTAATGTGGCTGATGCTGCGAGGTGTTGCTATTTAGGTATGAGGTTCGGATCGGCGACGGTCAATGAAAATCCGCTCCGATAATCTGTACGATGACAACGGTGGATTAAGGGCCCTTGGTGCACGTCAGGGAAGCGATTTCCACTCGATGTACCGAGTACTTGCTCTCTTAAGGTAAATTCCTATTTTTACCATGTACCCAGTACTTCCCCTTGTGGCAATTCGAGTCTGCACGTCATGATTGTCTACTACCAACGGGGTTTCTTTTCCACTGCGGTAAAATTCAATTGCACTTTGACCTCAATGGGGGCCATTATGTACTGTATGTGCATATGTGGAGTAGCCTAACTATACCTGTGCCTTTTTACGAGCGCTTCCCTGTCTCTCAGCCCGCGTTACAGGGATGTTTTGATAGCGGGGATGGTGTGGATAATCTCTTTGAAACATGATTAGGCGCCTTGATTAGCTTAGTTATCTTATTGGTGAATTATGTAAAGCCTGCGGTTTAATGATGACATATAAGCCACAACATTGCCAGTCTGACAAGAGAACCAGTCAACGTGGTATACGATCAAACTCAGCGTCAAGCTCAATCCAAGCCAACGCTAATGCTTAGTGGGCGATTTGATCCATAAATAGCACAACTTTAACCTACCAAGAAACCTCGAACGTTGACATCTGGGCATGCATGAAATATTAAGTTGATAGGTGTAAATGTGTGGGGAAATCTGATACGTAAATTTTGAATCGATCTGGGCCAATGATAGTTTAACTTAATAATGTTTAATTTGTGTTTATAATAATATAACAACTATGTATATGTACTAGTATATAGAGATGAATCTCATATCTCGTCCCACGTATCTGCCCAGCAGTCTAAACGCAGTAAGACCCTGTCTCCCACGCATGCAGTGTGCAAATGCAATGTCTTCGAATGAACATGAATATATTAAAGGAATATTAGAGACAAAACAGATCTACTGCTTTGACTCACGGCGCTCTTGCTCGACAGGTGCCTCAGGCATTCCATCGTCAGCGTCCAGAGCGTTCATGTCATCTTCCTGAGCATTAAGGTGGTGGAAGATGAACCAGAAGACGATACCACACAGGCAGGAGGCAGCAGCAAGACCGACAAACATCCACATGATGGCAGGGTCGAACGCAGCGGGGGTCAGGGCCTCGGCCAGAGCGGATCCGAAAGCGTTGGTCAGCAGGTACATCGACTGCACGAAAGACTTCATGGAAGGTGGGGCCTTGGTGTAGGCGTATTCGAGACCGGACACGGAAGCGAAAATCTCAGAGATACCAATGAACACATAAGCGGGGGTTTGAATGGCAATGTGCACGTTGTTGCCGTAGGCGGTACCGTCAATCTTGGAGGCGTCGCAGAGTGGGCTACCGTAGCAAGGACCAGCGGAGTAGATCAGGTGTTGCACGATGGCGGCGTACATCATGGCGAGAGAAGCGACCACGAAACCCAGTGCGATACGGGTGATAGGACGGAAGGGGATCTTTAGACGACGCATGAGGGGGTAGACGAGGGTCTCAAGCAAGGGAATGAAGACGATGATGGAGATTGGGTCGAAGTTCTGCATCAGATCGTTCGGGATGCCGTGGCCGGTCATTTGACCAGCTTGAGTGACGAAGTTGCTGGAGAACTGTCCGTACACAACCCAGTAGATGGGGTAGAAGGCGAAAACACGGCAGGCAACGAGCGCGCGCTTGAGCTCATCAATGAAATGGTCGTCCCAGGGCATGACGGCATTCTCGTTGCGGTTTTCGCGTTGCCAGCTGGGCTTGGGGGCGTCCATGTTGCGGTTGATGATCATCATCCAGAGAGCCTTGAAGGCGTCGGTAATGATGGAGCCCTGGGGAGGGCGCACAATGTAGAACTTTCGGCCAAGGAGGAGAACTCCGGTACCGACGGCGAACATGCAGAGACATAGCAGGTACCCGGACCAGAAACCAATGTACTTCTCCATGTATGGGGTGGCTAGCAGAGAGAGGGAGCCGATGTTGATACAGCCGTAGAAGATCATGTAGATGCGCTGGATGGTCAATGATGGGTCGATTATCACGCGCTCGCCCTTCTTAGTAGTTGATACAGCCATCTTCTTGCGCTTGTACTGATCAGCAATCAGAGGTGCAACGTTACTCTTAATACCACCAGTTCCCAGACCAATGATGAGAATCGCCACGATAAAGCCACCGAGACCAGCGCCGTGTTCCAGGGCGACAGGAATGGAAGTCAAAACAAGGATCAAGAGACCAATCAAGTAGATACCGCAGAACCAAACAATGGTCTTGTATTTACCAAGATATTGATCAGCAACAATGGCACCAATGATGGGGGTAACTAGACACGAGTTAGTCATATGTGTATCATTTGACATATCAAACTGCGCCAATCGCAGTATGGGACCAATGAAAGACCTACCATAACACCAGAACTGGAAGAAAGTGGTCAACCCAGTAGCACCTTGGTGGGCCATGCCAAGGGCACCACGTCCCTGGCTACCATCCAAAGGACGCTGGATATAGTTCTGGAACAGACCAGACATGCCGTAGTATGTGAAACGCTCGCACAACTCGACAATAGCTACCAACCAGGCGGAGATGGGGAGGTTCTCCGCAATGTGACGGAGAGAACGCTTCTCGTCGTCGGTGGGTTCCTGGCCATCCGGGGTAGCGAAGCCAGCCTCCTTGTCCATCATATCGAGGGCGTGCTTATCATCGGTCACGGTGACTTGCTCGACAGCGGCGTCATTATCGTTATAAGCTCTTTAGAAATGAGTCAGAAGCAATCTCGGTGAGGATTGGGTATTATCATGATGATATAGATCATCTGTTTAGCAGGAGTTGGGTGAGTACATACGGAGGAGAGACTCCAACCTCATTTGCTGTAGTCGCCATGGCTGGGATTTCCGAGTCCAAGAGAACGATCTTCTGTCTTTCAAGAAGAACGCACAGGAGCGAGGGAAAGAGAGGAATAAAATAGGGCAGAGACTAGACGGCCGCGACCGTGCTATATAGTCCAATTTTTATTACCCAACACCCGAGGCTGTGGTGGGCCTTGTCAACTCTTATCGGCCAGTGAACCGAAGAAAAAAATAGATAATATAGAGAGCCAAGAACTCGAATGAATGGAACGATTTTAGTACAATAGCTAAGTAGTCCCACCAGGCAAGCGAAGGCGATAATGGGCACAGCGGACCATTAAAAAAAAAGAGACAAAGAAAAGCCACATTGTTTTCCTAGCTGGAACATGCTCCCCGTCCCGTGGATGCGATCGGCAAGTGTCTTGTCGCGCCGGAACGAATCGCTCTCTGCCCATGAAGGGATCCACCGATGTAACCCCAGGTCTAGCAACACAGCACGCAAGCGAAACAACAATCTGCAAAAGCTGACAGTGTGTTTGGTCCGCCGTAAACAAAGACAGCGCGCCAAGGGAGGAGTTAAACCTTCGCATGGATCAATCAGAGATGTGAAACCAAGAATCCCCAGGCTTTACAGGGTCCGGGGAGAAGGCGACATGCAAGTTTTCAGCAATATTCCAGCAGTATTCCATGCTTTCTCTGCTTCTCCCACACCCTCTGCCTCGGCGCCTCTGTTCTCTCTTCTCTCCTCTCTCCACCCTTATCTGGTCTTCCCGAGTCCTTGGGTCTGGTCTTTCACCGGAGAATGCCGGTGGATATCATTCCATGTCTTCGAAGCCCTAACGGGGGTGGATAAGGGGCGAAAAATAAAATAATAAAAAACATAATAAAAAGTTGTAAAATCAAATGATCCCTATCGTAACTGGGGTACTCTGCTGCAGCCGGCAGTTATTCCGGAGACGAGTTCCCAGTTGGCTCCGTTCGCCACGAGGCAAATCTCATCTCTTGGCGTTTTGGGTCGGAGAATGGCCCGCGCTCCGGAATGCACGCCTATTGAAGAATGGGCCGCGGACGGCGAACTCGGGATTTGACCGCGGCCCACCTCGCCTGGACCTGTCAAGACCGGTGAACATTTCATTTGTTCTCCTGGTATGCGCTGTACCGAGTATAATGAAATGAACATGACTTAGATGTTTCAATTAGCCAGCATCACTATACGGAGTACTCCGTACATAACATAATTGCTTTTTATTCTTTTCTTTGTTTCCTTGAGGTGATTCGCCCCTGCTGAAACCTTCGATAAAGGGATGCAAGCCAACCAGCGCCGCATTTGGTGGTTATGTGGAGGAACCACTGATTCATGTCTTTAGCCCTTTGTTCAATTGTTCCCTGCGAACTGTTGTCTCCCATGCAAGGATCCTCCCGGTCCTCCCGGTGGCCACACCCTTCGAATCGAAGCCTCCCACATGTACTTGTAGGATCGCGGCTGACTGCGCCCGGAATTTCCTCATGTATCTCTCTTGCTTCCAGGTTGTAACGTTGGGGCCCCGCGAACATCCTCATCAAGTTGATGGAGCACTGAATCTAGTTTGAGTTTCGGCCATTGTCTCAAAACATGGACCAATTCTCGTTATCTCCCCCGCGCCCCTTTTTTCTAGATTGTAATGGTAATCATACCCCGGAGTCCGAGAAGCAAATGCGTTGCGTTGCGCTGAGTTCAAGTGGGGACCAGACCGACTGGTAAATTTGCGTGGGGAGAGGAAAAGGTTATGGAGGTAAATCTGGTCAATGAGAGACGAGCATAAATCTTAATCCGAGGGACCTGCCCTTTTCGTGCTGGCTAGATTTCATTGCGATCCGTGAATTTGATCTGATGATTCGCATTGTCCAGGTTATTCCAGGATATCCAGCTCTCGTTGATTCCGGGGTAATTTTTCTCTCGTAAAACCGTGGGCGGCACAACGCGATGGCGATGGGAAGGTGGAGTCCTCTGGCGCTTCGCCAAGACAAAAACGTTCTCTGTTAGGGTGATAAGGAGGTTTCGAGGTGTCGAGAGTATTGGTCATCATAATGGAGAGCTCTAGGCATGTATTCAATGAGATTGAACTGTCCCAAAAGTGCCCATTAACATCCTGAGCATTAGAGTGAGAATGTGGAGTGGAAGATGTGCCAAAATCAAGAAGGAAAATCAGCTTACACCAAGGCTGGGGGAGTCATCCATAAATAAAATCAAATCTCTCCAAATATCATTTCCGCTCCGACCTCGCTCGCGAGCAAAGGCTCCACTAGATCCTATCTTCAGCCAACCGAGAGTTATCGCACGAGATACTTGGAGACTAGTTACCTCCGAAGGGCGTAGGTTCAAGCCCTTGGCTGGTACAACATGCGCTTTCAACCTTTTCCAAGGCTTTCCAAGACCTTGGTCATCCGACACCGGCTGTCAATGGTCTAAAGAGATAATGATGTGATTCTTGGGAGGAAACGGGGTGGTCCGTAGCGAGCGCCGAGATCCAGAATTGGAGTACATGTACGGGGTATTCCGTATAGAAGAAAAACACTGGGTCATGGAAGGGGCTCAATCCGGTTCGTGCATTGCGTGCGTGTGCGGGCTCCACGGAAGCCGGCCAAGCTTTGATTGACGCTGCATATCACTGCTTGGCAGTAAGCAGCTTGAGTGAGTCGTCGAATAAGGTGAGTCAAGTTGTAAGCTTTTGATGTATATGTGTGAGTTCGTTGCAGATTATACAAACTATAGCCTACCAACTATCAATGTAGGTTTGAAGTCTGGCTCTGTCCCCCGACGGTCGCATTCACACGAACAACTCGCTAAAGTAAGTCCGAGGCTCGAGGCCTCGGACTTCAGTACCAAAACCGCATAAATGGCGTGCTTCCTCCGCGTAACTCCGGCTTACGCAGCTGGTTTCAACAAGGTACTCGGTAGGTACCTGGTGCCTGGTGCCTCTGCCCAGTCTAGATCATTTCCTTGGAACTGACGAGAGTAATAATAAACTCCGACATCGCTGGTGACATTCATAAATTGTATTGGGAATTGTGTATATACCCGTGGACTATGTATAGCATTCAAGACAGCTATTAATACTGGTGTCATTATCCAGCTACTATGTCAAACTTGGACACTTCAATTTCTCATTTGACACTACCTTCAAGCTTCCCATATAAACAGATAAACAGATATTAACCTGAAGTGCATCTACAAATCTTATCACTCTTTCCTCTTCGTCTGCGCCTTATACTCCGCCCAATCATCCTTTCGGGGAAATGCTTGATCAGGAATCTCTTTGCCGAGAAATTGGCAGAGTGACTCCCACCCTTCTCCAGGCTTATACTCAATAAAATCTTCCCTCCGCTCCTTCATAAGCTGACGAATATGCTCGTTGTGGCTGCGAAACAGCCGACGCCCATTCTTTCCAAAATTATCATTCCAAGCATATCTTTGTATTTTACGAACCATCTCATTTCGAGTTGAGATGATTGAATCAGGAACCTCAGACTCAGTATCTGTTGCAACTTGACTAGCTGCTCTTTCTGCATTCCACCGATGCAAAATTGTATCTTCCATTGATCTGATCCATCCGTCTTCGTCGCGAATGGAAAGAATCACCTTGGCGGAGGGATAGGCTGCGATTAGCTCGTCGGGAAACATGGCTGCGGGGTAGTCACTCATAGCCTGCAAGAATGGTGTTAATTCAATTCTTTGTGCACAGTTGTAGTTTTTGTTCTGGGAAGAGATAAGAAACTTGAGACTTTCCTTGTATTCCCCTGCGAAAAGCTGATCGAAACCTTCTCGGCTTACGGGTTGGCCCTCTCCAGCATACTTTGCATCCATGGCTTTTGTCCAGAATGAATGGTCGCCTCTTATGAAGTTGTCTTTCATGTGATAGACTTTGTTATATCCAATCAAGTTGAGAGCTTCGGCGAGGCCTATGTAAGATTAGTAGTCGTGAAAGTATGTTGATAGTCAATTTTCGTACTCTGTGTTCCTGTTCTGGGTAGACCAAGAATGAGGATTTTTAATTCTGGTGTGGTTACCATGTTCAAAGCTCGATAGATGACGAATGATTGATATCTTTCTGTTACCGAACTAGCTTGTAAAGCCAGTCACCGTAATATTTAGTTTAAATCAAAATATCTGAGTATATGACAAGGGGCTTATATATGATGAAATAGATTATTAAATAGCTAGTTGATACCAAATGGTCAATTCGAATCCTCCCTACAACTTCCGTTGAGAGCAGCTGACCGCACGGCCCATTCTCCGAGTGCTGCCGAGCCCGGCAGCTCGCCGACGGTATAGTAGCTCCTCACCCATTCTTGGCTCATTGCCTCAAAATCATGAAATTGATAAAGGTCGATAGAGTAGCTAAAAGATGTTGATTGTAATTCAAAATTCAAGTATTTCAAATGCGCATAAATAGCTTAAATACAGTTGATTGAGCTCCTCTGAAGTCTAAGAAGCAATGGAACGTAATGGCGAGTCCACATCCTGCTCTGTCCATCCATACTCCATAGCGCGAGAGACACGCGACGCTGCGTGAGGGTTGAGTATTTTGCACAAAATGTAAAATGCGGCATCGATGCTCGCACTAATTCCTCCAGCCGTTATTATCCGGACATTTGTTCCTTGTAAAACTCCCGCATCAACAAACCGTCGATGGATCACTTTCGTCAGTGCCTGCGTTTGCTTCGATTCATTGCCGCAACATGACTCCTTCAACGTATTCAAAGCTTGATAGTGGGTTGTCACGGTCAACCCCGGAAGAATACCTGCGGCACACAAAAGAAAGGCCCCGGTAGACACTGAGAGGAGCATACGAGGTCTCTTATACTCGGGCGCTGTATAACAGCGAATCAGATCTACTTCCGGCGAGGCTTTATTATCAATCAAAGGTTGAACACTGGACATAGAAGCACCGGGTATAATCAGGATATCAAATTCTGTGATCTTGTCTCTCGCATCTTCCAGTGTGATATCAGGTTCGATGGTTAAAGAGTTCGCCGTGTGGATCACCGAATCTTGAGCGATAGTTTTGGTCTCGAATATAGGTTCTAGATATGGCTCCCCCGTTTCGTAATCATGAGAAGCATGAGATAAAACTTGCATCGGACCTGTGAAGTCGAGGACATTTACTCCTTCATAGATCAACACGGCCACCTTATAGTTTGTTTTCGGAGTGATGTCCGACATGGCGACTGATCATTGGTGCAACAATTTGTTTAAACTGGATGCCTTGCGGAAGAGACTCTGGGTTCAAAGTCTGGGAAGTGGCAGTTGGGGAGACTTTAACTTAATATCCTTCATAAGCAAAAGCAACGTACCTATGTAGGGGAACCAAGTAAATTTTGAAACTCGTCATTAAACTCTGCTCTTGCTTCCGGTTATGCCATGTTTTGTTTCTGTGCAACCTCCGTTGATAGCCATATTTGCCGATAATAGATTATAAAGGCCTTTTTTGTAACTTGCCACTGATGACTTAGATATAAAAGGACTTCGGAGTCGAGTGTGAATTATGTTCTCATTTATCGCGGTAGATTTAAGTCTGCCAATGATCATGTCACTCTTCGTCTTATTTATTATTGAAAATATACTCTGTGCCAAGAGACTAGTCGACAATCTGATTCACCGGTAGCGTGGTTTTGATAATATGCATTGCTTTTCTTGGTTTTCTTACCCCGGACTCAATCACGCGAGGCATCAAAGATGATAATATTCCACCCGAGCCCTATAAAACCAGCCGAGATATAGACATACCCCCGACATGGCTTTAGGCTTTCGTCATAGAGGTTTCCCAATCTGCTCACCGATGTCGATCTTAGATATTATCCACGTAACGATTCGATCATCTTCAGAGTGTCATAACCGAGGTGTCTATCTTGGCATTGTGTACAAATCAGGTGGCGCTCTATATATGATCAAATGCTGAGTGATACTCGATATAGGATTAGTGAGTGTTACCTCTTACATCTCTTAAGCATGACTTACTACTCTGTTGAAAATTTTGATTGTTGATGCTAAAAACTACGTGAGATTCAAGTATTTCATCCAATATAACACTGGGTAGCTGCGAGGTGTTTGAACCAAACCTGCAGTCCTTTTACGGGCTACTTGTTATTAACATTGGAATGAAATAAGGCTACGGGATAATGCAGCTTAAACATTCACTTCTTTCAATTCGGTTCTTAGTGAAAGTTCCCATATGGATAGCTTAAATGTTTTTGATCCGGTGCTATGGAGGAACCGCCTGAGTGGTACCCGCCCCAGACGGATCAACAATGAAAAATTTTCAGCTCACTACTATCCAAGACTTTGAGCTTTCAAACTTCATGTTGTTGATTCATGGGAGCTAACATTAATAAAAAAAAAATCATTTGTCCCTCCCGAGGTCCCTATTGTCTTGATTTCAAAACCTTCAAGTTGGTAAATATGCCACAAATATATATCTGTTCACCAACCAATTTCGCACGAATTTTCAAGGTTCCCGAGATCCGACCTAGGTAAGAACAAAGTCCTTGAATTTGAATATATTGGCTCTAACTACCTAGCCATCAAAAGCAAATGCAGAAAAACACCAATGGTAGTAGAGCTATTCAGGTGAGTGAAGGCAAAAGCACCTCGGAGGAATCCCGGAGAATTTAAAGTTGGGGCTCGCCTTCTCTACTCAGTGCACTCGTCACCAAAGGTCTCTTGGGCTCCCCCAATGATTCAAATGCTGTCATGAGTATGTAGACATATTTATTCCTAATGATCCACTTCTTTCGTTCTGTTTTGTACATTTTACAACAACAGCGAAAATTGAGGGAAATATTCCATTCTTGATTTTGAGGGAATTCCCTGCACAAATCATATTTAGTGATGAACGTAGATACATCATGCAGAAATATTCAGCCATTTTCATCCTCCTCATCCATGTGATCCAATATATACAAAATCATCTATGCAGGCCCGTTGAGAGCAGAAGATATACCAAGGACACCCCCACAATCCAGTCGAGATAGTTGAAATCGAAATGGAATATCACATGAAGTGACTATATCCAAATGAAGGGAGGACTAGGGACGGCCGAGTCAAGTCATATTAAGACTCTATTTCTGGCCCTTGCAGGCAGCGTTCTGGGCAGCGCATTCGGCTTCGTTGGGGTCGCCAGTGCTGCGGCAGTCGTTGAAAGCAGTGGCACAGCAGCTAGCGTGCTCAGAAGCACAGGTAGCCTCGTTGGGGTCACCAGAGCTGCGGCACTTGTCGAAAGAGTTCTGGCAGTCGGTGTTGGTGGTGGCAGCGAGAGCGCCGGTGGCGAGGGCCAGAGCGAAGATGATGTTGAACTTGACCATTTTGATGGATAGAAGGTGGAATTGAGATAAGATTGAATGGAGATTGTTTGAGTAGATTGAGGAGTGTGATAGTCCTCAGTTGAAGGAGATGTATGTCCCTTTTTATATTGCTCTGGTACCGATTTTAGCTAATCCTATTCCACTGAGGTAGCTAAGCTTGGTTATGGGCATTGTAGCGGTCAGTTGGTTTTCAGCTGGGATGCTCAGGTATGAATTGTGGAGGCTGGCTGAGACACTATCTTCGAATATTTCCCCGAGTAGCCTGCATGCTGGCGGTTAATTAGGTATTCGGTTCCCTAGGTGTGGGGGAGATCATCCGAAACATCGACTTTCTAGATGGTGATCCGGCGGATGGATGAGGTTTTGCCTGGTTAGTGCGATCGTCTGAGACAATTTATTCCAAGAAATGGATAAAACGGTGTAGGCTGAATAGTTTCATAGACCTATGACCACATGGATTGGATATTGTGGAGATCTTTTAGAGTCGAAGTGTTCAACGTACTTGTAAACATTTTTTTCTTATCTATAGGAGATGAGCTTGGTGTTGTTCACCCAAAAGCGCCTTCCCTCAGTCAATCAAAGAAAAATAGAATCTCTGCTAAGCAATTTAGATTCAAAGAAGCTCAGAAATAGGATTTCGTTTGGTTCAATCAAATAGCTGGAAGAATTGAGCCGGACGGGAACTATTGATCACTGGGTCTACGGGCTACCCACTATTGGGATGATCGGCATCTCCTCAAAAACAGGAAAGACGTCCGATACGAAGAAAGAAATCAGAATGATAGTCAAAAACATTGCCAATGATCATTGTTGGATAGATTGGGCCGTATGGATAAATGCAGCAGATAGTGCCGTGAGACATGTTGTGGCAATGCAGATATGAAATGAATGGGTGAATGCTGATGTCAATGTGATCCCAATCAATATCTTGCTTGAAACCTGGCAATTCGGGTCATTGGGGCATCATTCCATACTGTATCATCTTCTGCAATGTAACTGTGGAGAATCGGATTGGATCAAGACATGCATGCCTACTCCGCATTGCTAGGAGACAAGTGCCAATGAGAATGTCTATCAGGAAAGATGATCCATAGGTAGCCTACTATCCACGTCCATTGGTACTATAGCTTTATCTAATGTGCAAACACTAAGACCCAAAATTGATTCATGATTAAAAACAAGTGAATATAGGTACTAATATACTAATAGAAAATACCATACAGTTACACAGACCAGACATCACAGCTACCTAACGACATATGCCTCATAAAATGCGTTTGATAGAGTAAGATACATGTCGCAAGCAATCAGGGTCGTTACTGCAGAAAATAAGGAACAAAGAAAAAAAATGGAGAAAAAAAAGAAACCTGCCAAATGTGATGGAAGAAAAATGCAGCATGTGCTAAGAGACACTGGGAATCATCGACTTTTTCTTCCATTTGCAACGCCGCTCCTAAAGTCCGGTGCTGTGGAAAGCTCCGAAGTTCTTTCCATCATGAGACGAAAACCCACTCAAACCTCTATTTTTTACCCAGCTGATACCATGCAGGGGATATCACAAAGGCAAACGTCCGAGTTTCCTTTCAATGCGATTTTTGAATTCCTTGCAATGCTTAAACGGTGTACTTGGCCTTAGCACGAGTGCTACCACTGTGCGCACTGTCAGTGTGGCCTGAGAACTCAACCACATCCGCCTCCTTCAATCGAAGCACATCCTTGAATCGACCACCGATCGCCTCCAGTATATCCTTGCCTTGGGCGGGAGTGCGGGCATTCTTGTCGCCGGGAATGCTCTTTCCGACGGTACGTGTCCACAGACCAACACGGTAGAAACCCTTACGGACGTTGACGACCACTCCCATCACTTCGTTATCGCCGTCGGATTCGAGAGTCTCACCGATGGCGGACAGTTGAGCGTGCAGCCAAAGGTCGTCGATTGGGACGGAGCGCTTGTCCTTGAACTGGTATGACCACTTGCCACCGTGCTTGTTCTGGGGATCCTCCCATTCTGGTCGTACGCCCTTCTTGAAGAGATGGTAGTCGGCCTTCAGGCCCAGCTCGGAGGTGGGGGTAATGTTGTTCTAATAGGTACTTAAGTTAGTTGCGATTCCAGGAGCGATATATATCAATTTAGGCATGGATAAGTAGATATATAGACATAGATAGCTGGGAGCGTGGTTATGTCTATAATGGTGGGAGAGAAGGGTTGGAGGTGTTTCTTTGGGTTGTTCGGAGTTGGCGGGTTGAGTACGTACGTAGATGCCCCAGAATTCCTCGACGGAGCTGAAAGTGACGACTTCCTTCAGAAGATCGTTCCAGTTGTCACCCTACAGAGAAGTAAGAGTTAGGAACCTGCGAAAGACTCAGTCTGATGGTAGCAATGAAAAAACGAACCTTGCCACTAGGAGGCTTGGTGAACCAGAGTGTCCACTCATGCATGAGCGGGTGCTTCACATTGAAGTTCTCGGGGTCGTGGAAGACGGTGACGATCTCATCGCTACCGGGAGCAGGAGCAACGGCAGGAGCAGTGTTCTCATCGGCCACAGGGGCAGGGTTCTCAACGACAGCAGCCATGGTTGAGGGGTGTGGTGGGATGGAAGAGGGTCAAAGGAGCAATCGAAAATGGCCGGTTCGGTTTCGAAGTAAGGAAAGCGCAAATGGCGTAGAGGTGAAGTTAGGTGAGACCTGACGTATTCAAAGGCAGATCTGCTCCAGGCAGTCCAGGCAGATAGGCGTGTGGAGGGAGAGGTTGGTGGGCAACACGATAAAGGGACCCGCACCGAAGTTTTGAAGTTGGAGATATTCTCATCCTCCGCCGCAATTAAAAAAGCGGCGAAAAACTCTTGCCTGATTGGGTCGGGCCGCACAGCCCTAATGACAAAGTACTCCTGATTGATGGTATATCACTGTATAGTAAGTAAACCAAACCAGGTTTACGCGAATATATTTATCTTCTATATTTTATTGAGAGGATTCTAATGAGATTTTTGAAAGAAAAGTATGGTTTTTGGCAATGGACACTAAATGCCGCCATCTAAAAGTCCATTCTAATACTACATATCCCAAAACTCCCGACCGAAAGTAAAACTCGAGAAAAGCAAAGTCATTATACGTGATAAAAAGTATAAAAAATGATGGAAATTTCTAATCTATAGTTTATAGTGATTTATTTATCAATATATAATTAGTTAAGTTACTCAGGTATATGAGGGTCGTACTAGAAAAACACCAAAAAATGTTAGAAAAGTCCTAAAATGTTATATAATCATTAATTTTTGTATAGTTTGATCACGTGCCTTGGTTTGAGCATATGTGATTATTATCCCAACTGAGTGACGAGTTGTTATATCCACACCTTTTTTTCACTATGCCCATACCACGCTTTTTAACCGGTTGAAAGTAGCCTATCTAAGCTGCTGCAGGACCATCGGCAGCTCGCACTAATCATCGAGATATTTGGATACTCGAAGAAAACTTAAAGTCGGCATTTCGTGTTTGCGTCCTTCATGGACCAAAAAATACTTCATGTATGGCCGGGTCATTGAACAGCTAACTTGAAACAGCACTTGAGATACCTCCAGAGCTCGAGTCTCAATTGATACGTTAATAACATACATGGATCGATTTGTTCATCTCTGTATCAGGGTCGTCCCATTGTGTCGAATTCTCGATGAGCGACTTCTGCATGTCTGACCGTCGTTGAGGTGTATATGCTCCGCCTCATGGAGAGGGTGACTGAGAAACCGAACTGGGAAGGCGATGTGTTCAAAGATGCAGTCGTCGCACAGTGGTACGCAGATGCCCTTTTGGCCTCGAAGGAATATGACCAGTTGAGACCAGACGACTTTTCCGGCATGGATGTTGATATGGATCTCGTCACTCAAAGGACATGGGATTGGTGCACTGAGGAGTTGCGAGACAAGGCAAAGACCTTCAAACCCATCGTTTCCTTCTGGGCTTCAATGCCGATTCCGCGATTTCAAGTCAGATGTGTGGATTCCTACGTCTGTACGAAATGACTTGCCCTGGTGGCGCGATGCGGTTCTAGCCACTGAAACATCTATTTCTCAGTTGCCTCAAGAGCTGGCTGATATTTTCATGAGCAAAACTGACAGCTGGCCTATGGGCTTAAGTGAAGCTGTGAAATACATAGAACAATTCAAGGAAGAGCGTGATATTGCGATGGAGGCACAAACAAAATAGACTGAAGGACATAATCTTGAGCTAGTGTTGGTAGCCGGGGAAGCGTAATCCAAAAGAGAAATTGAAAGAATTAAGTCTTAGACTCTAATAATAAGATAGTTCGAAGTGCGAGCATTATTGAATCCACGGAGCCAGTTTCTGTTTTCGTTTTTTCGTTCGATGAGTAGATGCAGCTCATATGCGATATCTCAGATCAGACCACCGGAAAGGCTCCACTACCAGGTGGAGCCCTGGCACTGGTCCCTGAGGCTCAAGCCCTGCCCCCGGTTGGGCAACATCGGAAACTGCCCACAGTATTCATATGCTCAAAACATTTTCTACAAACGATGCTACTTCTTTTTAGGCCTCCTAGCGCGGAAAATCCAGCTTTAATCTATTACTCGCGGGGAAGCATTAACTAGATAGTGTAGTGGGGCGACATGGCGATAACCTAAATTGGATGGATTAATTCCGCTACAGCCCTTAACAAAACTATGAGAAAAGTGTGGTTTTTTTAATGTATACGGTATTAATATAGTGATTTATATATCAATATGTGATTGGCTAAGTCGCCGAAGTATAGTACTTAAGTAAGTGAGCTGGTAATGATGCTAGCTTAGGTATATACATAGTATTGCGGACCCGCTACAGATGTCGACAGGAAACTCCATTAATAATACAAACGAATCACTTAGAAGAGTGAGAAACCCAAGAAAAATCTAAATCTCTAGACCTAGGTAGATTCGATTTAAGACTTTTTATTCCTCACCGCTGTTCAACAGACTGAGGAAACAGTTCCAGCCTAGAAAAAGAAAATCAGTATTTGAAGCGCGAAGTAGTACGGAGTACCAGGAGCCTAAAGGATCACTTACCCAAGCTAACAACATTGACGACCAGAACCCGTAGCTCGAGGGGCACGAATGTGAAGTTGACAGCTTGGACAAAAGGCCATACTAGACAGTTTGCCTTGTAGCTAGGAACGAACGAACGCTTCCACTTTTCCACTGGGTCTGACCCTTCCATGACAGCCATTGCCGACAGGAAACAGGTCAACTGGACTGGGGCAAAGGCAAACTGGTCTGCAGCAACTCGAGCAACAGTGGTAACAGCGGTGCTCTTGAAGACAATATGGTTCTGAAGCACACGGTACCAGCCGGTAGCAACAGGACCAAATACCGCTAATAGAAACGTGCAGATTAGATAATGACCAACTTGTAAATGTATGTATGGTTTTGTTTTTCAGCAACTGGATTACAACTCACCTCCACCATAGAGGGCCATGCGACCAGTTCGAGCAAAATCATGTTTCTCTAGACCTTTGCGGTCGACGGCCTGTTGGGCAAGAACATCTCCACTGCCGAATAACACCTAGATTGAAGATTTAGCGAAATTGGCCGAGAATGAAAATTAAATAAAATCAAAAAGCCGATTCTTTTTGGAGTTCCTTACTGCACTGGTGACACTGGCGGTTAGGATGGGCCTTTTGGCCAGTCTAGCTTGATACCTGCATAGTGGGACATTCGGTTAGTGATAGGCGTTAGAATTGGGGGTTGCCCAAGGGGCGGGGGATAAACAAACCAACGCAACATTGTGGCTGTAGAGGATATGTGGAAGTCAAAAGGAGTGAGGGAACATCAAACAGCACAATGCTAATTTACAGCAGTGAAAAGCGAACAACGCAGGACCAGGCAGATCAAGACTGGGGCAATGACATCTTTAAATTGCCAAACCTGCCTTCACGCTTAAACCAGATCTGTCGCCTGCACAGTCCAACTTCCCGACGCTTATTTCGGAAGGTGATCCGCTCCGGGGAACCACCCAAATTGGATAAGGATGTACATCAATTGATAATGAGGTCGAAGAACAATCATTATGATAGGGGAAAAAGGTTCCAAGTATAATAGATAACCAATGGAAAGATTAGTTTAATTTTTTTGGGATTTTAATCACTCATTAAATATATATTTAGTCTATATTACAGACAACGTCAGGGTCCAATATTGCGGCCCAGGTACATTATCATGTGACTTTTCCGCCTCGAATCCAAGATTTGAGTGTATAACGTAATCCGCTTCTATGCAAGATCGGGTTCTCAACCGTGATGACACGGATTCTGATTATCACTTCCTGTGTGGTAAGAATGGAGGTTGAAGAGATGATAAGGATTTGTATAGTAAAATTTCCAATATTTTAGAAGTTTCTAAATTCGCTTAGAGAAAAAAGGAATGAAGGGGAGGTGAAAGCTCTCATCTTGTGCTTGAACTACAATTAAAGGTATGTTGATGCCAGGTGTATCAGGCCACAACTTACACGTGACTCAGAGCTATATCCTGACTAAGCATGTTTCCCCTCCCAAACAAGGAACTAGGGCTAGGGTATTCCATAGGGCAGCCCGCCTCGCTTAGCCTTCCACCCGCAAATTTTGGTGCCAACCATCAGTATCGAAGTCTCCGACGACCCGACCCAATTCGACAAAACAACTCCCCGTCGCCCTCACATACATCCAAAATGGCTGACGCTGCTCCCCGTGGACGTGGTGGTTTCGGTTCGCGCGGCGACCGTGGTGGTGATCGTGGCCGTGGCCGTCGTGGTCGTGGCCGCCGTGGTGGTAAGCAGGAGGAGAAGGAGTGGCAGCCCGTCACCAAGCTCGGTCGTCTCGTCAAGGCCGGCAAGATCACCAGCATGGAGCAGATCTACCTCCACTCTCTGCCCGTCAAGGAGTACCAGATTGTGGACTTCTTCCTGCCCAAGCTCAAGGATGAGGTTATGAAGGTACGGCACACAAACGCACACGACTTGGATATTTCGGAATGGATTTAGGGGAGAGCATGAATGCGCGCACAATCGAGCATCGCAAGGAACGGACAGTCCAGAAACTGAACCTGGAACTTGCGATTCCCTCAATTGCGAGTTGCTGAATGCGCCCAGGGAATATCCACCTTTAAATTGGAACTGAAAGACTAATTCGATCTCTTCTTTTGTGTCTATAGATCAAGCCCGTCCAGAAGCAGACCCGTGCCGGTCAGCGTACCCGCTTCAAGGCCATCGTCCTCATCGGTGACGGCGAGGGTCACATCGGTCTCGGTATCAAGACCTCCAAGGAAGTCGCCACTGCCATCCGTGCTGCTATCACCATTGCCAAGCTGGCTGTCCTCCCCGTCCGTCGCGGTTACTGGGGCTCCAACCTTGGTGAGCCTCACTCTCTGCCCGTCAAGCAGAGTGGCAAGTGTGGTTCCGTCTCCGTCCGTGTATGTTACAAATTCCCAAATTCTCTCTATACGATGGAAACCCGAGCATTTGTTAATCATTCATTCATTTTAGCTTATTCCCGCCCCCCGTGGTACCGGCCTTGTTGCCTCCCCCGCTGTCAAGCGTCTGCTCCAGCTCGCTGGTGTCTCCGATGCCTACACCTCCTCTTCCGGTTCCACCAAGACCCTCGAGAACACCCTCAAGGCTACCTTCGTTGCCGTCGTCAACACCTACGGTTTCCTCACCCCCAACCTCTGGAAGGAGACTAAGCTGCACCGCAGCCCTCTGGAGGAGTTCGGTGATGTCCTGCGCCAGGGCAAGAAGTATTAGATTATTGGGAATGATGCACACATGATTTAGTTCCGAGTTTCTTTACCAACACCCCCTTACCAATTTAAAAGGTCTTTTATTTGCGCTGGAATAAAAAACCAATGACTGGATGATTTTCTCTTCTCTTGGGCTCCGGGTGTCCATGGATGTATTTAATCAGCGGGGAAAAAACAAGACCAAAAGTCTGAGTACCAGCCACAACACAGTTATCGGGGACGTTAATTCGTAAATGTAAATGTGAATATGTAACTTGAACCATCTCTTTTGAAAGTTGGGAAATAGTCGTAGGGATTTCCTATTCTGGTGGGTTATACAACGGTGATGCTGAATGTTGATCTGAACTCCACTCTTGTCTTACTATGGGAAACCCAGTTAGAAATCAGTTTTTTGCCACGCACGGGTATATACATCTGAAGGACGATCGGTTTTATATTCTTGTTTACACAGAATTAAAATAGGTACAAGTTCACATGCGCACGTTCTCCCAAAGTAACAGCCTTTGTTGGTCGATAACTCCGAGTCCCAGTAGAGTATGATCTAAATCATGAGGGTGATTGACTATATTTGATCAGGCTCGTATTAATAGGTATACAAGTTGATTAATACTAATCCCAAGGTTAAAATCATGATTATTAGACCTGATCCGATTGGATATTAAGTAGCAGGAGCATACTAGTATACTACATAATAGTACCTATAGGTACACGTGGACGCATATATATATTCAAGTTGCTGGTATTTTCCAAAATAGATGGGACTCATATTATAATTAGCAGTTCAATACATCTTACATTTAATATATCGTATGCTCAGTCCTCGAATCAAGCTTGGAACTGGTACAATTGCACTGTACACCAGTCATGCATGGTTTGCCTGACAACCCGACGTCAGCGCTAGGACCTCAACCCAGCTGATCAAGTCCACGCAGAATTCAAGATCAGATCTGGATCTGGTTTTTCCTGGACCTTGAGTGCTATATTATAAGCTAGATAACCAGACCAAGGATGCTAGGATTTATGCCTTGGTGTCTTTAAGTGGGAGAAGGGTTCTCGTGTAGGTGATGTATGGAGGGGACTGATCTATGAAGTAACAGCTCTTGCCTCAGCCAGGCCGCAATGAGCTTTCACTTGACTTACATTTCCCCCCATGAGATCGAGACTTTTCATCTTAACCAGCTTCTCTTTTCTTTCCCCAACTGATTACAATCATTCAATTAAACATGGAAGAATATCCTGAACACTGGAGGAATACCCTCATGGGACGGGACTTCTGGAAAGATGCTCAAGAGTACCAAGAGCATCTAGAGTCTGAATTGAACTCGAGAAATGGAAGTAAGGCTTTCTTTCTTCTATGCTCACCCGCAGATAAGATTCAAACCCTATATACTGGCTTTTGAGTTTTTAAGATCTTGACGCCTAATTTTCATCCTCACTCTTTTCCTCCTACCTCAACCTTATCTTGGGCCCTTGGGATGAACCCGATCTGATTAACATGCAGTAGAGCACGATACCGGCCTCCACAAGCGCTTTCCATTCAATTTAGGTCCCGAAAGAGGTCCTCGGGCCAAGGAGGACGACGAAAAGCAAGAAAAATCGAGACATATCCGAAGCGTTAATCTACCACATCACGCAGATGCCTCCATCTCAACCTTACTTTCTCGACACTACCCAAAAATCAGCATGCCTGATACAAAAGGCGACCCAGGTCTACGTCGTAATAAATCCACAACTACAGTCACGTCCCGCATTCGTGAAGGCCTCAATTTAATCCGTCGTGCTCGATCCCCTTCCCCTACAAGACCCGCAGAGTCGTGGCGTCCACAGACACCTCTCTTGAAAGATGACCAGGGGATAACCTATTCGTGGAGGGAATTGCCCAGCACCCCTATAAAAGGCGAGAAGCAGGGAATCGACCCGAGGTGCCCTAGTTGGACGATAGATCACTCCATCTCACAGCTCAATCTTGATGCTGACTTGAAGAAAAAGCTTGATTCGCAAAAAATAACTGCATTGGGAGATACCTACGCGTTTTTGACTCCTGATCTAAACCTGAGTCCACGAGCGAGTCCTGTGAAGCCACGACCGCGTCCATTGGGCCGCGACATCACTGCAGCGGGTTCTTTAAAGGCTTTGAAAAAGGCACTAGCAGAAGAGAAATGGGAAGAAAACACTAGCTATTCCAACTGGGATATAGTCCAAAATGCCCCCGATCTGAGACGGGACAAGAAAGGGGGGATACCCTGGGGACCCTGGCTGGGGCATCACTCGATCCACATCGCGGCTCAATCTGTTAGCTGGTACGTTGGATAGTGATCCTTCGCAAGAAACACCTGATTTAGTCCCTGCTACTGGCTTATCGAGTCCTGGTCTTGATTTGAGTCCACTCCATAGTCCTGTTGCCAGTCGAACCCCTGTTCCAAATCTTACACATCCGGAAAAGCTCAATATTTCCCGTGATCCCGAGCCAGCGACTCCAAGACGACCACTTCTTGACTTTCATGGCGCTGAATATTGGTCTAGTCTATCTCGAACAAAGAAGACTCTTGGTCTAGACCTCTTCTGGCGATGTCCTCCCGACTCAACACAAAGTGGATACTACTGTTTAGACTTGCTGGAGCTGAGACCGCTTTGCGAATTCCGGAATCTGCGCTCACTGAAGCTCGTTGGGATGATGCAGTCCTATCAAAGTTACATCTGGCAGGCTGTGTGGTTGATGCTTGAACTTGATGAACTGGAGCTTGGGATGTCGCTGGAGCCGGATATTGTCAATCGAATTTATGAGCCACGGTGGAAGGTTATTGATGAGGGATGGACTCTAGACTCAAGGATGGGAGGGGCTCCAGTTTTCTTGTGAGTGCTGTCCATTACGTTAGGTCATTTGGGGAGGAACTTGCTGACCTTGGTAACTTTTATAGTGGCAATCGTGGCAATGGCGAACTAGCCTGTATTATCGGGGATGGGGAGTATCTTGACAAGGAATGCATTGAGAAGGCTAAGGTTCGCGCTATGGCCATAGGACGGACATCTCGTCGACTTCCGATTCGGAAAATTACACTGAGTGGTTTTGTTGTTGATGCAGATCCTTTCATTCAATGGTTTGATTCGAGCAAATTGCGATGTATCAATTTCAAGGGCCAGTGTATCGACTCCGGGTTTTGGTTGCCACTTTCGATGAAGAAGGTCTCTGTACGTTTTCCTCGGAAGATTGATTCTCAGCCTGTTCCAGTTGGTATCTTGAAGATTGATATCAACAAGGATTTGACAGTTATGGATCTTAAGAATGGGAAGATGGCCAAGAAGATTTCATATCTGGAGTTTGTGGGCAAAGAGAGGGAGAGGGAGACTAATTGAGTACTTGATTGATCGCTTGAGTGATTTCTCTTCTTTTTTTCCTTCTTGAGAGGCGGCTTGTTTTCTTCATCCTACCATGGGGCTATTCTTATGGGGGTACAAAGCGGTTTTCTGGTTGGAGGTTCATACGCATAATGGCGTTTTGGTGGAAGAAGTGAAAGCGTTTACATAAGTCCTGAAGCATAATGTAATAGACGGCAGTTATTTTACATGAAAATATGAAGTCATGCAAACCGAAATAAAACGTGATAATTTGAAACCTGAGCTTTACCTCAGTCTGATACATGCAAGCTGCAATTCCTGTCCTTGTGATTCCTAGAACTCAAGACACCCCAGCACATAATTCAATCAGTCGTGTTTGTTGTCGCTTTTAAATGGCGAAAATACTTTCTGTCTCATAATGGGTCATTGAGAGCGTTCGAACGTGGTGATAAATTACGCGCCCTCTTCGTCCTCAATGCGGATGGCACCTTCGTTGCCGACTCCGTGAGACCAGAATCCATCGACGTGGAGGGTACTAGAGCATCCAAGAGATGGTTAGTATTGAATATGTCAATCGAAGCAGGTAAGTAAACTTACGTTCCCTGGGCATTGTCATGCGACAACACAAGCCAGTATCCCAACAGACCCTGAGTAAAGATATCGTGAATAGCAAAGAGAACAGTCTCAGTATCAACATTGATCTTCAGAGCAAGGGCACCAATAGCAAGCACACTAAGAGTAATAATTAGTACGTTTTCCAGATCGAGAAAGACAATGGAGAACAACACATACACAGGGAACAAAGCGAAGACCACAAAAGCAGAGCCCGAAAAGGCACCAAAGAACCGTCTCAATAGCGCATCCTTACTCTTCGCTGCACGCTGGGCATGGAAACCCGCATGGTGAAGCGTTGTCAGGAATGCAATACAAGCGAGCGTCAACCATCCCCATCGCGCAGAAGTGTGTCCGGCGAAAGAACCAAGTAGACCCGCTGCGAGCATTACCCAGTTCGAGGCTATGGCGCTGAAGAGATGTGCGCCGGGTAGACCGGAGATGAGGGCGAAGTTTGTAAGAATGAGAGGGGTTGTGAGGGCCCAGTTCACGTAGCGGAGCCAGAGAACTTGACGGAAGACATCGTCGGTTGTGTTGGGGACGTGTTTGTGGTGGGATACTATTTCATCGTGCTTCCAGCTTATGCCTTGGCCTGTTGAGAGGGCGAGGTAGGAGATGAAGGAGATTGTTGTTATGAGGGCGCTTAGGGTGTGGTAGACACGTTTGGACTGGAGGTGGATTGTTAGGTTGGTTTCAAGATCTGGAGCTTGGAATGGATGTATGGGTGTGTCCTTACCAGGGGTACACGAGAGCCGAGAGAGTAGAAGGCCAGAGAGGATATTCCCATCAATACAGTCACAACCCTATTTCCCGTTGAGATCAGTTAGACGTGTTCGTGTTTTGGGCTTTGGAGTGATTTGACATACCATAGAGTACGGTGTCCGGTGGCGTGGAGCTCTTGGATCTGCGGGACGCCCGGAATCACTGTGGGGATGGGCAGCACCGAAGAGGTGGGGCTGGGGGTGGGGAAATGATCAAAGTCGGCAGGAACAAACATGATTGGAATAAGAAGAGAGTGTTGAAGGGAAGTGTTGAGAAAAGAACGGTTATGGAGAAAAGAGTGAGTTATTTGAAGGAAATGGCAGATGGCAAATGGCAACTTGGAGAGGGGGGGAAAATACAAGATCAAGAATTGAAATAGTGATTTACATCACAGCTGTCGTCATCGCCACTGTGAAACCGAAGCAAGCCAGATCTTGGATAAACCTTACTTGAGAGGGTAAACTGGTTCTCCATGGTTAATAATGTTGTTTGATATGACTAACAATAATTAATATTATTGAAGGGTACACAGCATCATGCAGCTAGTGGGATTGGGCCAATAAGAAGAGGATTTACGCAGGAGAAGAGAGACACTATGTAAAAAACAACAAAGTGGGGAAAGCAATTATGGTACATGCATGAATCGATATTTTTTGTATTATACATAGCATTGCAGATCAGCCTCTCTACTGTAATGTCTCCATTACATCTTCGCATCGAGTGCAGATCGCTGCCTCTGGCTCCACAGGTTCCGCCACGGCATATCGCCAGCACCTATTGCATTTGGTGGCTCGAGGAGCGTAGACATAGACCGCACCCTGTTGATTGTTGGGAAGCTCACATGTGCCCTCATACTGCCACTCAGCTTCCGAGATCTCGGTGGGGACGGACTCGCCGGGTTGGCTAAGGGTTACAGATGAAACAACGAACAGATCGGGCAGCTCGGAAAGGTACTGGTGGAGAACTGTTTGGCTTGTATTACCTGGGAGAACCAGGTGGACGTATGATTGCAGGGACGAGCCAAGTTGCTTTTCCCCACGCGCCTGCTCCTGCAGGTTCTTGATCACAGAGTGCACGGCATTCAATTCGAGGTAGCTGATGTCCAAGGCTGGGTCGTTCCATTCCGAAGCCGGGATCGAGGCAACCCGCTGCAAGGGGTGATCACTCTGCGATCGAATAGCCTCGGGTGTATGTTCCCAGGTCTCCTCCACAAGTAGTGGAGTGATGGGACCCAATACTTCTTGCAAGTGGCTAAAGATGTGGAAGAGAGTGGTCTGGGCTGCTCGGCGACTGCTGCTGTTCTCACCCAGCGTGTAGAGCCGATCCTTAATGGCTTCCATGTAGAAGGAAGAGAAGTCGTGGTTGGCCCAGCGATTCAGCTGGGTTACAGCTTTGTAGAATTCAAAATTGTCAAAGGACTTTTGAGAGGTAAGGACCATGTCCGACAGCTGCTTCAATGCAATTCGGTCAACCTGCTGCAACTGCCCGTAAGGGACTAGGCAACTTGGTTGGAAGTCTGCCAATGCCCCTAGCAATAGCTTGAACGTGACTCGGAACTTGTGAAGACTGGTATGGACAGTTTGGAGAACCTGTTTACCAATCACTACATCACGGGTATAGTCACTACTTGCGGCCCAAAGACGTAGAGCATCAGGCCCCAAGGCATCATAAGATGGTTCTTGGGTTTCTGCCTGTTTCTTGCCCTTGCCTTTTCGCGGTTTGAGAGGAGGGAGAAGAGTACCGTCCATGATGGTCTGAGGGGGGATAGTGTTGCCGATAGACTTGCTCATCTTGCGACCGTCCTCATCCAGAGTGAAACCATGAGTGATGAGATTACGGAAGGGGGCACGGGGAATATCGGTCTTTCCAGAGGCCAGCTGGTGGGCAATATAAGTCAAGAGACCGGACTGAAACCAGCCACGGTGCTGATCGGTTCCTTCAAGATAGACATCGGCAGGGTGACTACGGCCTTCAGTGGGAACGTCAATTTCTGACCAACTGGTGCCACTGTCAAACCAAACATCCATCGTATCGGTACCGCGTCGGAAGCCTATGGGGTCATCACGTAAGGAGGATGGAAGCCAAGCTGGGTCATCAGCGCTGTCAGTCCACCATGCGTCAATGCCGCGCTCCTCTATGGTGTTCATGATGTGCAAAACGCTGTCTTTGGTGAGAACAGCATCGCCAGTGGTTCTGTGGTAAAGGGCAGGAATGGGAACACCCCACGCTCGTTGCCGTGAGATACACCATTCGCTGCGGCCCTTGACGAAATTCTCCAATCGGTTCTTGCCAGCCTCTGGGACAAACTTGACATCTTCGAGCGCTCGGAGAGCGCTGGTACGGATATCGGCGACATCAGCAAACCACTGTTCGGTAGCTCGGATGATGATAGGTTGCTTAGAGCGCCAGTCGTAGGGATACTTGTGATCGTAGCGATGTTGAGCAAGTAGTTGACCTCGAGAATGAACATATTCTAGTACTGCCGTGTTTCCTTCTCCAAGCACTGCCTTTCCGGACAAACGAGTAGGGTCATGGGGCATCGCCTTTTCAGTAAACTTCCCATCGTCATTCACAGGCGCAAATACTTCAATGCCACGAGCAAGACAGGCTTCGTAATCATCCATACCATGGCCGGGTGCACAGTGAACCAAGCCAGATCCGGAGTCCGCAGTAACGAATGGTGCACTGATTATAGGCTGAGGTTTAGCGGTCGCATCTTTGAACAATGGGTGATAGGTAGTCTTGTCAGCCAGTTCAGATCCAAGAATCGACGGAACAATGATATCAAGCTCCTCATTCAACATATGCTGAAGATATTCAACTCGTGATTGAGCAACAAGAAGATACCCATGAGTTTCAGACTGAACGATAGTGTACTCCAATTCCTCACTGACTGCAATGGCAGCATTCGCAGGCAATGTCCAGGGCGTTGTTGTCCAAATAACCGCATTGACATCCCGCGACTGGAGTAACGGGTCCTTGGTCAAATGTTCCGGGATGTTTACTAAAGGAAACTTGACAAGTGCAGCAGTTGAAACATGATCATCTTTATATTCCAGCTCAGCCTCTGCAAGTGCCGTCCCTGTTGACGGGGACCAGTAGACAGGCTTGAATTTCCGGTAGATCAACCCGCGATCCACCATCTCTCGGAAAATACCAAGTTGGCGCATTTCAAATGTCTTGTCCATTGTTTTCCAGTGATTGTCCCAATCTGCCATCACTCCAAACCCGCGGAATCCTTTCATCTGCTCCTTGACTGTCTGCCTCGCAAGTTGCCGCGCGGATTTCCGGATGACCACAGGACTGACTGAGCCATTCTGTACGTCCATATCTCGAAGTCCCTGGAGCGCTTTCAGCTCAATGGGTAGACCATGACAGTCCCATCCAGGCACATATCGGATGCGCTTGCCTTGTCCCAATTGAAAGCGACAGATTAGATCCTTCAATATTTTGTTCAGAGCATGGCCGACGTGCAATTCTCCGTTGGCGTACGGTGGGCCATCGTGTAGGACGAAGGATTTATTCGCAGGGCGTTCGCGACCTTGCCAGGCGTAGAGGTCATCGGTACATCGTTTCAGGTATTTTTTCTGGTCGGCTGGCGTTACGCGCGGGGGGAATGTGGATTTAGGAAGCTTCAATGTTGATGTCCAGGACCGTGGGATTGACCGCGGCGGTTTCGACATTCTCCTGCATGTCCCGTGGCGATTTGGTGGGATCCTGTTGATGATCTTGAAAGCTTAAAAACCGCGGAGGTAGACTTGGAGGTGGACTTCGCGGCGTGGACACCGGAGTGTACGGGTCGAACGAATATTACAATACGACTACATATTTAACAGTGTAAATATTCATATTTCAGATACACATACACCCTCGAGCTGCTTGGACGAATAGATGTTTTCTATAGGATGCAATGACTTGAAAATTAAATTGATTTTTTTTTTCATTCGAATCTACTTTAATCACCCGAAATCTGCATGGCGATGGCGTTAGGCAGTCTATCCCATGACTGAACTTCGTATACCAGGCCTTCCACTCAAGGGACCTAACCTGCATCAAAGACCCTGTAGATTATTCGAGGCACTGATTGAACTCCTTAACACGTAAACACAAATAAATAAACACTTTCAATGAGTCCTAGTGAGTAAGATTAGGCAAAGCCAGAGCTAATTATGATTTCTGGGGCTTAGTGGCTTAGCCTATGCATGCCACTCTATACAGTAACGATCTTCGTGATCGAAGCAGTCAACATCGTGTTGTAGTTGTGATTGGAACGCCTGAAAATAGTCCCCAAACGAATTGTTCTTAAAATAGAAGCTTCAGGATCTGTCGACATCCACTATGTTATAACAATTACTGTAAAGTGTATATTTGGATTGGACTAAATGCAACAGGGTTGGATAGTGTCACGTCGATTTGTCGTTTCGTCTGACACGTATTCCCGACTACGGACCCATTCTATGAATTTTATCAATTAAACCCTCGATAATGAGAACTAATCTCCACATCTGAATCCAGGCTGTGCTTTTATGTCTCATTTGATTTTCAAAGATGACCACCGTAAGGATATTAGCTAGTTGGTAGATGGCAATTTTACAACAAACTTTAGAAGCTAAGCTCTGGGCCTCAAATGCATAAATAGCACCCTTTCCCACCTCCAGATATCATTATTCTACAGCTATCATCCAAGATCCTCTCTACAACCCTTACTTACAAAGAAAAATTGATCAAGATCATCAAAGAAAACGAAATTATCATCCAAGATCGTCATGAAGTTCCTTATGGCATCTGCTCTCCTTGCCGCGAGCTCGACCCTTGCTGCTCCTACCACCGCCAACTTGAAACGAGATAATTTCATTTCAATCACCGACTTTTATGCAAACGCAGGACCAAATAGCCCAGGAGCATTCATGCATTTTGTGGTCACTGATCCCAACTATCCCAACGATACCCCGACTGAATGCAACTTGATCTGGTATGTGCCTTATGTTTCCAAGTTAAAACCGCTCTATTTTGATTTGAATAAAGAAGAGAAAATTAACAATATTATTCTGTACTATAGGACATACGGACAATCGCCAAATCAAAATGCCCGATGCAATGATTCAGAATACTATATCAAGTTCCCTCAAGGCCCTGTCGATTTCAACTTGTTTACTTTGCAGCTTGAGAGGGTCAATGGTTCCATTCCTGAAAATGGACAAATTCTACTAAGTTCCAATGCGAATGGCGGCGCGCCTGGGACGAAATGGATTTGTGAGAATAACCCGAAGCCTAATATTGAGATTAGCTGTTCTTATGATGGCACACTGCAGTTATCTGTTTGATGTGAATGGAAGACAGACAAGAGATGTAAATAAAGAGATAGATAGATTATATTAGAGACTATTGTGTTTTACTTCTACATATTTCCTAGTATTCATTGGAGTTGAGCCGATTCGCCTTTGATCGACGCACAAACCGGCTGAATACTGTAAATACCTCCACATGTTAGCTGAATAGCAATAGAGACATACTGATCACTGCATTTTTCAGCAATCAGTGTTAAGAGAATAAATTTAATAGATTTCCAGTCTTGGATCTTCAAGTGTAAATGAATAATTGAAATGGAGCACTAAACACATGTTGCTAAGGACCAGTCCTTATTGAATCATTATTTTCGTCTATCATCGATGAATGTTTGATACCAATAGAAGAGGCAAATTATACTTCAATCAGAGAATAAACTCAAAACCGACAATTGACAAAAGTGCTGTTCAATACCCAAGTCATTTCAGAATACGACAGGTGGGCCGTGACACACATTCTATCCCATCAGATCAATTGACGAAGTACTAGCTAGGCACATATTCATCAACCACGATTTTTTCCAGCTCTTGCGCTCTTGTTATTTCTCTCAGTTCATCCAGTTCAACGAAACCCATGCTGACAAGCATCGATATTGTTGCTTTCCAATATGGCGAGACCTCGGAGGAAATATCTTTAGAACTAAGAATATGAGTCAGAATAAGCATAGAAGCGGATCTCTGGTCTGCCCACTCACCTCCTTAGAGAACGAGACTCTTGTGTGACCCATTCATTAAGTCGTGTGATATATGACGCAACCAAAATGAATATTATTGAGGCTCCAGGAATCTGGCTTTGATGAATAGATAAAAACGCACCCAGAGGAATCGATAAAGCGTAAATTGTGCTGCGTGAGTATGATCTAATATACGGTGTGTAGGTAAAGAAGGAAATTGCCAGACGGGCGTATAAAAAGGCATCCAAGGCACTGATAGACAGTCTGTGTAGAGCAGGCAATTCAAAAAGGTATGCAGCGAGAGATACCGCCGGCCTCAGGATAGCACCTGCTTGGTAAGGTGGTCGGGTTGTTCGTGGATCTCCTCGACGGAGAGTCTTCACTAGCTCCAAGCTTGTCAAGCCCCATATAAAGCAAGATAAAACTTCCAGTGAATCGGGAAGTATATCAGAAGGTCCGTGTAATATTTCCTTGAGTCGGTACCGGAATGCCTCTGTCACGCCAGTAGCAATGTGTATGTAGAGGAAAATTCTTCGCTTATGAAACTTGCGTTGGTATATGGGAATCTCATGGCGAGTATGGTATAGAAAGATGAATGAAAATACACAAAAGAAAATAAGAGGGTGCATGAGGCTGGGTGCTGCTAAGGGCCTGGCTAGCTCGGGGACACTTGGCCAATGTTTCATACTGATGGACACTGTGGATAGCCAATATCGAAAGAGTCTGAGATCAATGGGGACAGAATTTGTCGACATAGTAGCAATTGAGGCATTGAAATAGGTAAATAACTCCATGATGTAAATATCAAACTTCTAAATTTGTTATGGTTATGTTTGTCGAAGATGGAAAACTCTCGCTTCAAGTTCTTATATAAGTACACATAATACCCATCTAGAAAGAGTAACGCCACCATGCTGTTGCAATCCCAATCGGGAGAGTCGATCTAGATGACCGAAACCAATAACGAGTTACCATAATTTTATCTCAACCGTCAGCTGTCGAATTGGTATGTACACCGTAGCAGCATGTAAGAATGTGTCCCTTTTGAGTCATTGCGTATCACACATCTAATCAAAAACGGCATAACCATATGTTGTGAAACCACACTTCATGCCAACATTGCTTCAACGGGAGTTGATCTGCTTTTTAGCGAATGAACCTCGTTTCTACTTTTCTCCATTGGGAACTTTAGATAATCGTAACCTTTTTGTCGGCATCTTCACCTTATTAATTCATCAATCTTGATTTCTATCGCATTATCACATGTCACAAGATATCGGGGGGCATTAGAATAATTTGCACTTGACCTTCGCCACACGGGGTCACGGACAAATAGGGAAACAATAATAATATCGGCAAATCAACAACAAGTAATTGAGGCACCAATTACAATACACATGTGACGGATATCCTCGGCATCATATATTATGTATTCTATCAGAAAGGTGAGGCAGAGCTAAGGCAGTCAGAAGACTTACACTTTCTGATTGCTCAAAGGGGAGCTGCAGAGATGATGTAGCATCGAGATTCAAGGGGAGATATAAAGCCAAGGCCATACATTGTATCAAAGACACACAATTAATTCATGAGATGTGATCTGGAAAGTATAATAAAGCTAAAGATAGTGAAGCCTAGTACGTCTAGGCTGAACAAAACGTCATTTTATTCTCGAATTTGCACGTCATCAGCGACGCCATCAGTGACGCCGAGTAACATGACAAGCGAATAGACCCCAGCCAGCGAAGATAAAGTTTCGCTGCCATTAGTAGAAAAGAACATCTGGAATAATTTGAAGACTTGGACATAGCTTCTATGGAATTCGAAAAGATTAAGCATAAAGAACACCCCTGTTTGTTGCGCTGTACAATCCTTAACCCGTGACCAAATCACATCTTAGATTTGCGAGACAGAAAAAAGTAAGACAGGAAAAGAGTGTAGATGAAGATCCTGGTATTTGGATTCGCAAGCCTAGCAGATATTCTACAGATTTGCCATTATTTTCCTTGTTGTGATCTCCCCAGGCAAAGAATCAGTGTAATCTTGACTCACTCTCTGTTGATTGCCAAATTCTTTTGCCCTCCAGTCACGTAAACGTTGACCAGGACCATCCGCCCATCGCTGGGATTCTTTAGCGAGCCAATGGGCTACATGAGAAGAAACCTGTGTAAAGTGATCATCAAACGGCATATTATGACCTGCCCCTTTAATGACGACCTGCTGAACTGCGCGTAGTTTCATACCGCCATTTCCACCTACCCCAGTGCCGGTTATTTCTGCTCTTCGGTCTCGTGTTGACGGGTCTCCGAAGTGGGGCGAGCTGTCTCCGTTTATGTAGAGTACAGACGGTCGCATTTTAGGCAACAGATCCCACGAATGTTGGAATTCAGATCGGTAAAAAGAACCTCGTAGGGCAATTTTTGGATCAAGATCGGGTACCATCTCGCGCTGAGATGCTGTCAGATCTGCCAAGTCATCACAGGAGACTTGAATGGAATTCGGTATATGTCGTAAAACCACGCATGCTATCTGATCTTTTGGTGTAGTTAATGCCCATTTCGGCGTAGGGTTTGTCTTGACCTGGTAGACGCCGTAGTGCTTCAGCCTTGCCAAAGATTTCGCCGGCCATTTCTGAGCCACTTGAGATTTGACGAGCACTTTTTCCGCTTCTTCTTTGGTATCCCAGAAATCTTCTTGCTGCAGGACTCGTGAAACCCATGTAGCCAGCGCCATGTCTCCATATTTGGGATCGATACCAGGCTCTGTAAAAGCAAAAGAATGAAAGAGAGTTGGATGCCAAGAAGAGAGCAATAGCATCTGAGAGCATCCCATCGAGTGAGCCAGTCCAATGATCGGCTTGGGCATATCATGGCGGAAATGATTAACCATGCCCCACAGATCACGGGAATGGTCAACGGTTGATCCATCATGCCCAAGATTCTTTTGATTTGCCAATGCACTCTCTCCTACATTAAACTGGTCGGCAATCCAAATAGATCGGATGTTCAATCCGGCGAGGGATGCTTTACGAAGCACATCTTCAAATAGTGGCTCGTAGGTCTCTTTGAGAAAGCCTACCCCAGCTGCTGCTATGATAGTCATGGGATCCGATCCATTGCGATCATGATGTTGATTTAGCAAAGGAATATATTGCTTCACTGCCAAGTAGACATCTTTGGAGTCGTCGATGATGGCTTCGGGATACTCGCGAAATGAATGGACTGGGATCAAATGGGAGACAATTCGAAATGGGAAATCATCGTCATGCAACAGCCTAGGAAATGACGCTGCCATTCTTTCAAAAGTCGAAATGTAGTACCTTGATGAATTAAAAAAACAATGTTGAGTTGAAACGAAAGCTAGAGGACCAATATCTGTAAAAACGAGCTCTATTTATTCGGATTTTCACCGTGGGGGGATCCATATGAGACATCAGATTCCAATTTTCTCTCCCGAGGTCAAAATTTGACCTCATTCTTCAACTTGATGAAAGATAGCGTCTCACCCCCCTCTGTGTAATATGCTTGATGCAGAGTCCTTCCATGTGATAGCTCGGAGAAGCCCCATTGGCCGCATTGCATTGGGAGTTTCTTGATTGTCACCCAGTATCCAAGCTATCAACAGTGCGTAGAGATTGACGTCTTATCATACAAGAAGGGTTGAAACTGAATATCATAGGTTCATCTGTGTTTGTATGATAGTTACTTGGCACTTGTTGCGCACTCTCGCGCAATGCCGGATAACAAGTCGGCAAAACTATCGATCCTATGATCACGCCAAAATCGGTCATTCTGCATAAAATTAATCTCCATATAGTGGCCAATGCATCCTGCCACACACCAGGCTCCTGTGTGACGATGAAAAGTGGCTTGCATGACTTTATCCAAGTTTGAGGTTGCTGGTTATCTTAGCACCCCCAGAATAGTGGATTGGCCGCCGGAAAATTGAACCGTCTTTGGGTGGGTAACACAACATAGAGGATGCCCACAAGAACTAAGTGTGCATATGATCTGAGCGCCCTACTCGTGATCTTTTGTGACTGGCTGAATAAGGTGTTCGTACTCGACCATTTTGCTTCTTCTCTTTTTCTTCTTCTTCTTATTTTGGAAATGATGACGTTTTTGCAACTTCTCTACGTAATGTCCAAGCATAGAGGCAAACTTCTGGCTGTAGATGCTCAAAGGGGTGTTCCGGTCAATCTTTAAAAGCTGCTTTTGTTGTCTGTACTTGTCTTTTCAACCGGATTTTATTCAATTTATCTAACTCTATAAACGACTTGAACACTCCAAACCAATATGCAGTCATCTACATTTGAAGGTCGGCTTCTCACTCGCATTTTGGACCAGCAGGCTCTGGAAAGCCCTTCTTCCCTGTACTGTATTCATCCCTCGTACAGTGAGAGAGAAGACTGGGTTCAGATCACAGTCCATGAATTTTCCAACGCTGTAAACAGATTGGCATGGTGGATTGACGGGAAAATGAATAGAAAAGCAAGGCAACAGGTGTTGGCTTATATTGGAACCAATGATTTGAGATATGGAGCATTTGTACTAGCGTGCATGAAGACGGGCCACGCAGTAAGTTCCACTTTATAATTCATACTCATCTAAATTCCCTAACAAACCTACCAGGCATTGTTACTCTCGACAAGAAACTCCCAACAGGCTCAGCGGCATCTTTTGGAAATGACTAAGTGTTGCATACTTGTCGATGGTAGCGAGAAGACACAGCTAGAGCATGCTGTTGATGAGCTCGAAGCCACGTGTGCGGACATATCACTGGAACGGTGGCATATTGATGGTATGGGGGACGTTTTTTCATCCGAAAAGGCCTCTCCGTTCTCTCACAACGTACACTTTAGGGATGTTGAAGACCTTCCAGCAATGATCATACACAGTTCGGGTACCACAGGCTTTCCCAAGCCCGTTACTATTACCCATGGATATCTAGCTACAATTGACAACATGCAGGCGTTGCCTGTTCCCGCGGGACGCCAGAACTCGCTGCTCTCCCTTCAACACCGGGGAGAGGTCCGATTTTTTTATAGTCCAATGTTCCATTTCATGGGCATAATATGTCTTGCGGAATCTCTCTTTTTTCAAACTCCGTTTTTCTTTGCTTCAGATCGTCCTTTGACCCCAGGGCTATTTTCCCAAATCATGAATTCAAACAATCCACCCACCTGGGGGACTCTCTCTCCTTACACCCTTGAAACATTGATAAATACCGAAGAAGGTCTTGCCGGTCTTAAAAAGCTTTCTGGGATCAATTATGGTGGTGCTCCTATGGCACAGGCCACAGGAAATAAACTTTCGTCGCTGTTCAGAATTCAAACTATTTTGGGAAGCAGTGAAACCAGCTATACGCCCGGGCTACAATGTGAAGATCCCGCTGACTGGGCATATAACGAATGGATACCTGAATTTGACCTGCATATGGATAATGTCGGTAATGACTTGTGGGAGTTAGTCTTGCCTCAGACCCGCACACGCCGATATCATGGTATTTCCCATTCCAGTCCACACGTTGGAGAGTATCGAACCGGCGATCTGTTTCGAGCTCATCCCTCCAAGCCTGGTCTCTGGCGCTATGATGGTCGAAGGGATGATATCATAGTTCTCAGCAATGGAGAAAAGTTTAATCCCATTGAGGCGGAAGGGGTCATAGGATCACATTCCCTAGTCAACATTGCCGTCATTGTTGGCCAGGGAAAATTTCAAGCAGCGCTACTTATTGAGCCAAAATGGGAGGAGTTACCTTCATCTTGGACGTTTGACCTGCTCAAACGTAAAATTTGGCATTTGGTTGAAAACGCGAATATGGCTTTGCCAGGGTATGCCAAGATTTTTGACAGTCACATTGTCTTTACGTCCCGCGAGAAACCCTTTCAATTATCACCAAAGGGAACCATACGGAGGCGCGATATTCTCAAAGATTATAATACTGAATTGGAAAGGCTCTATGAGCCGAAGAGTGCGGTAGTGCAATCCTTAAAGCATAAGCAAGACCCATTAGGAACCAGTTTCCTACAAATTCAACACTGGATTCAGCATGAAGTCATGCAGATGCTTTCCCTTGACAGCATTGACCCGAAAGGTGATCTCGCTGTGTTAGGGATGGATTCGCTTCAAGTCATTCAGCTGAGCCAAAGGCTAGAGTTCGCTGAACGCGAGCTCTTCGAGCTTCAGAAGCCATCTATATGGACTAGCGCTCAGATTTATGATCTTTCTACTATCCCTCAGCTGGCAAAAGTTCTATATAACCATATTCATGGCCACGAGCCGAATGATCTGCAAAACGGAGCGTCTACTACCTGGTCACGAAAAGATAGTCTGATTAGATCGATCTGGCAGCATGCGCAACTTTTAGGCTCGAGTGGCCTCACTATTGCTATAACTGGTACTACTGGAGAGCTAGGAAGCTATGTTTTGGACTCCATCTTGCAGGATCCATCAATTTCCCTTGTGATTTGTTTGAATCGTTCCTCCGATGCGAAAGAAAAACAAGTCGCGAGCTTCGAAAAGAAGGAACTGTCAAAACTTTGGCTGACAGAGACTAAACGTGTGCAATTTTGGACGTGTAGTCTAGATGAAAGATTTCTAGGACTCGAGTCCCAAAAATACACTTTTCTAAAAGAAAATGTTGACTGTGTGCTTCACAATGCCTGGCCAGTCAATTTCAATCAGCCACTCGCTTTTTTTGCGCCTCAGATAGCTGGAACTAGAAGACTACTTACCCTAGTTGAGGAATCTTCTCGGCATGCAGATTTCCACTTTGTATCATCCGTGTCGACTGTGATGTACCAGTCCGCAGAATCGGAAATGACGATAACAGAGACCCTGCCCGAAGTGACACAGACTCTTGATCAAGGATATGGAGAGTCAAAGCTCGTCGCTGAACATCTATGCAAAATTGCGTCTGAACAAAGTAAATCTCGAATTGCCATTCATCGCGTCGGACAGCTGGCGGGGCCTACCAACGCGAAAGCCGGCATATGGAATACTCGAGATTGGTTTCCGTCCTTGGTTCGCTCTTCAAGTACAATGCATAAGGTTCCATCCAGCTTAGGCCCCTTACACGTTGACTGGTTGCCCATTGTAAGTATTTCATTTGTGGCATATATTTCTGGGAATAGGCTAACTTTTTTAATCTACACACAGGATACTGCTGCTCACATAATGACGGAAATCCTACAGAGTCGGCGACGTCAAGATCGCCCTTCCTTCATGGTCTACCACATCACAAACCCGAATTTGGGAGACTGGAGAGCACTCGCAGATCTCGTGGCTCGAGCTTGCGATGCCAATGTCGTTCCTCTTGCTGAATGGGTTCGAGATTTAGAGCTTCGAGTTGAGAAAGATGAAGGTGACCTGGGCAATGTTCCTGCTGCAGGTCTGTTAGATTTCTTTCGCTTCCTCGTTTCCAGAGAGGGCTTTCTAAAACTAAAGTTCAGTGTTGAGCATTCCAAAATGGAAAGCAGTACACTACGGAAAGTCGATTCTGTCAGTAATAATTTGATGAATATTTGGCTGCGACAGTGGAAGGAGTGGATTCCCGAATTAGTAGTCACTTGAGAAAGAGGGCTGGTTGTTTTGCAATGTTATGTTCAAGGTAAAATACTTCGGGGGCTACCAGTTATGTGATGTAATATTACGAAATTCACATGAACTCTAATTCCAATTCAAGGATGCTTCAGAATATATCAAAGTGCACAGCAGCACGGGTAAGGTATGTGTAACGATTCTCGTTCAGGAGAGGAAAAATGGTAGGTATATGTAGCCATATAGTTATGGATGATTCATAAAAACAAATCGTAAATGCATCGCTGAATATATTTCATATGGAAGTCCCTTCTTCCCAAACTGCAAAATGGTCACGTAGAAACTAACGAGGAATCAATAGACTGTTAAGCAGCTCACCGCGCCGTTCTTCAATACTTCAAATAAGAGACCTGGGAAGCCAAACAGCTCCGTATTCCCCAAGCCACCGTCGTGGCTATCTGAGCTTGATCTAGGACCTTTGGAGGAGGGTTCTTCCCAACCTCCAAGGAACTCAACGCTACTTTCAGGGCTATCACCCCAACCACGATTCAACACCATGGGTCGTTGCATAGCACGCTCTTCTACTTGGTTATTGTAAGATTCTTTCCAAATATCACGAAGTCGCGTTGAGATTTCCTCATAGGGCGATTCGGAAGTGAGCCCGTCGTCAGAATCATCGAAATGAATTATCCAACGGCTCCGGCGGTGGCGATTAAAAGGATATGACCCTGGCACATTTCCATGTAGAATGATTTTAGTGACTGTAAGTTGGGGAGAAGATGGAGGTGAATGTGGTTGCTCTGAGAGTTCGGACGTTGGAAATGCTGGTCCTGGAGTTGTTGGGTATGAAATAAAAGCATCGAAGCCATGATGGAAGTAATTGAAGAAACATTCTGCTGGAAGCGAAGCCGAGTCACCGAGGCGGCCAAGAGATATTTCTTCGTCTGAGTCATCCGTCACACTGTTCGTGGAGGAGTGGTCAGTGTCAGGTATATCCATCCCTCGACCCGGCGAGGGGCTCAGATGGAGATTATCCCCGCCCGCTGCTGCAGCGCGATGAATGGATATTCGTCGATCATGTTTACGATAAATCGCATCCGGAGGACCAAATTCTGCAATCAAATCCTGAGGGGTAGTCTCCCCTAGATTAATGCGCAACTGTGGACTTGTTCGCCTAACTATTTCCAACTTCCCGGCCCCGAGGATATGAAATTGTTCTACCTCATCGGCGAAGGAGTCGCGTGACTTTCCGACCACTGCTGATGAGCGGGGATATTGGGGTGGCTGCGTAAACAGCTTTGCACGAACCTCAGGCCAGGATGACCCTTGGAAGATAGCCATGGAGGTAGCTGGCAGAGCAGCGGAGGATGACAACAAGGCTACAAAGTCACACTGATCGGACCAAGCTGAGTGTTGAAGAGGGAATGTGAATGAAACACCCGGGTAGGATAGAACATAAGTTCCATAGGGGGAGTTGTCCGCCGGCGGAACATACTCGCCCGGGTAGGACGGGCCAAAGAGGCGGTTGTAGACATGTCGAAAGCTGGGACCTTGTGGGGAGGAAGTTGTTGTTTCTCCTATTTTGCCAGCTTTGAGCACATCCTGACCCTTGTAGATCAGGGTTACTCGCGGGAAGTCCAGGACTTCAATCAAGCGGAGTCTCTGGTCGGGTCCATCGAAGCGGAGCCTTAGTCCATTAGAAGGGAGTTGCAATACGACTGGGTTGCGAAGAGGATCCGTAGACGAGTATGCTAGATCGATAGAAGGGTAGGCTTTGGGATAGGACTTGACTCGGGTCAGGATGTTATGCAAGGAAGCACCCAAGGCTGGACCCAACATTAGCCTTTATCTCAACGCATACAATAGCTTATCGGAGAGGGAAATGAATACTTAGAAATCCTAGGCCCTTTCCTGGGAATATTTGAACTTGAGCCGAGGTTTTGGCAGTCATCGCGGGAATATTAGAAGTCACGGCATCAAGTTAGATCCAACCGTGAAGTTGAGGAAAGAAAGAAAAACACAAAGAGATAAGCAGCGCATCCATGGGGGGAAGGCGCGATCATCCGTGGGGGGAAAGCGCGATGACGCTCAGTCATGTGAGAGAGGGGGGATGACCCCGAGGAACTAGTATACTTTGGGTAGGCGGTGGGATACTGGTCATAACAGTATTGCCCGAGTCTGGATGAGGTGGGTAAATCACGTGGGGTTTGTTTATGTTTTGCCCAAAGGGTTCCACTCGTGCAGATTAACAACCTTGACGATCTTCCAGTCTCTGCGTTCCACGGTTAGGCATATTGACTACTGAGCCTACTGTTTTGAACATTTAATTCACGAATTTTCATATTCAAGTCACCAAACCCTCAACTCAGTTGCAAATTAAAAAATCATGGCCGGCCCAGCTCGGCCTGCCTCATCTCTCCCTGCGAGGCGAACAGGGTTGCGCCAACCGACTCGACGAGCTGGTTCTGCTGTGCCAGAACGGGGAGTATCGCCAGCAGTGAGTGCGAGGCCCAGCGGAATATCAAGCACCGCCGCCACAGCGCGTGTCTCGAAGCCAAATTCAGAACCGCCATCCGTGCCGGTAAAGCGAAAGGAGAGAGACTTTGATCGTGAGATCAACGCGGACACCAGTATCCATGTGGTAGTACGTTGTCGCGGTCGCAATGATCGCGAGATTCAAGAGAACAGCGGGGTAGTTTTGTCTACTGAAGGTGTCAGTGGAAAGGCAGTTGATTTGTCTATGGGACCCAATTCGTTGTCAAATAAAACATACGACTTCGATAAAGTATTCTCACCTGCTGCGGACCAAACAGTCGTATATGAGGAAACCGTACTGCCGGTCTTGAATGAAGTGAGCCTGGCTTTCGTCGTCTCTAAACCACCCCTTTGCTAATTATATTAGATGCTTGCAGGATACAACTGTACGATTTTCGCATACGGCCAGACTGGAACAGGCAAGACATATACAATGTCTGGTGATATGACCGACACATTGGGAATACTATCAGATGACGCGGGTATTATTCCCCGAACACTGTATTCATTGTTCAACAAGCTTGAAGGGACCGAAAGCACCGTCAAATGCTCTTTCATTGAGTTGTATAATGAAGAGTTGCGTGATCTTTTGTCGGTCGATGATAAAACCAAGTTGAAAATTTTCGAGCACGAGAAGAAGGGGCACGCAGCCACCTTGGTCCAAGGAATGGAGGAAACATACATCGATTCGGCATCTACAGGTATCAAGCTACTGCAGTCGGGAAGTTTCAAGCGTCAAGTGGCCGCCACAAAATGTAACGACCTCAGTTCCCGAAGTCACACTATATTTTCGATCACTGTCCTTACAAATCGAACAACTGAGTCTGGTGAGGACTACGTTAGCTATGGAAAGCTGAATCTGGTCGATCTGGCGGGTAGCGAAAACATTGGGCGAAGTGGCGCAGAAAACAAGCGAGCAGCAGAAGCTGGTCTAATCAACAAAAGTTTACTCACACTGGGGCGAGTCATTAATGCCCTGGTGGATAAGGGCTCGCATATTCCTTACCGGGAGTCGAAGCTCACCCGTTTATTGCAAGATTCCCTCGGCGGCCACACGAAAACATGTATAATTGCAACGGTTTCGCCTGCGCGACACAACTTGGAAGAGACGATTTCAACCCTTGATTATGCATTCCGCGCGAAGAATATCCGCAACAAACCACAGACTAATTCTTTGGTCACAAAAAATAAGTTGTTGCGTGATATTGGAATGGAGATCCAAAAACTCAAGAGTGAGCTCATTGCTACACGCCATCGAAATGGTGTTTACATGACCCCAGAGGCTCACGAAGAGATGACGATGGAAAGCGAATCTCGGCGAATCGTCAACGAAGAACAGCGTGCCAAGATCGAGTCTATGGAGTCCAGCCTGCGCCACAAGGTGCAGGAACTATTCGCTCTCACGGGTAACTTCAATACACTGAAAGAAAACAACGAGAGCACTCGGCACACTCTCAAGTCCACTCGGGGTGTTTTGGAGCAAACCGAGAGGAGTCTAAAGACGACGTCCGAGAAATTGGACGAGGAGACGACAGTACGCAGGGCCCATCAGATTACCGAGAAAAAGCTGCGCGAAATGGGCGTGGACCTCTTAAGCACTTTGGACGGCACTGTTGAGGACGTCTACGGACTGCACGCCAAAATTGAACGCAAAGATGACCTCGAAACCGACAACTACCAAACATGGCAAACTTCCACAGGGGACGTTTGCACTGTCACTCAGCAGATCGATGCCCGCATGGGAAGCTTTCAAAACCAGCATGCTGAGCTTCTTGACAGTATATCAACTCGCATCAATAACTTCGTTGGGAGTGAGATTAACGAAATCCAATCAACTCGGTCAAAGCTTCAAGAATATGACTGGAAATTTGACAAAGTTGAAATTGAAGCCAAAACTCGTGCGAGTGGAGCGCGAGATGAAATGAATGAGGTTCTGGAAGAAATAAAGATTCTTCGCGAGGACGTCAAAACCAAGGTGGGCGAAGGGCTGAACGGACTTTCAGCTGCAGCTGCTCGAATTTCCGAAGAGGTGATTGGAGAATTCTCAGATTTCCATTCGCAGCTGCACTCTTCGTACAGTGATCTTGGTAAAGATTTCAAAGCGATGTTTGAGAATATGACAAGCCACTTGGAACAACAGAAGACCGAAATCAATCGGCTCCGTCACGAACTGCAGGAATCCAACCGACAAGCTGTTGAGGCGAACCGCAAAGCATCTTCCAACTTCGCCCAGACTTTGGAAGAAGAACAAGCGAGTGTCCAAGCCGAACGAGACAATCTTATGTCTCAAATCCGGAATCTGCTTGATGATTCGAATCAAAGACAATCAAATCGACTCAAGACTAAGGTTGAGCGCCTACGCACAGATCTTTCTGTATCAAGCGATTCTCTGGAACAAGCTACCGTGCAACATGACCGACAAGTCGACGAATGGATCTTCAAAGAGGAGCAGTTTGCGAAGGACGTTACTGCATCCCGGGAAGACATCAAAACCAGGATGCGAAACGACTGGGAGACCTTCGACCAACGCAATGCTTCGATTCAACGTGCTACAGAGTCAGTACATCAAGAAACGGTGCGTATTGTGGATGCACAGATGAGTGATATGAGCAAGCAAATGGAAGCCCTCGATGATTTCGTTGCAAAGGCTCGGACTCATAATGGTCGTTTCCATGAAGCCCAACTTGGCAATCTCGATTCCATGGCGATGAACGTGCGAGACTCTCGCGCCGTCGTTCAAGGTCAACTGGATGGCTTTGATTCGCGTATTGGTCAACTCGAACAAGATGCCAACATGCACACTACAGAATTGAAGCAATCGACTGCGCCTCTCGAAAGAGAGGTTTGTCTACCCCTCAAGGATCTTCGAGACAAAATACAAAGCCACCCTATCAAGAAATACAGCCCGACAGGTGCTACTCCCCAGAAACGGAAATATGAATACCCTACCAGCCTGCCACGCACGGAGTCTCATGAAGGTCTTCGGTCCCGACACCGGACATCCAAACAATTCACTGCTCTTCCATTTAATGAGGAAGAAGATACCCAAACAGGCGCCGTTTCCAGCTCTCCTGCTGCCTCTCCCTCCAAAAACTTCGTTTACAGCGACCCCGCGGAACCAATAGAAACACAGCCTTCATCGGCACCTGCAACCTATATCAATACCGGCCTTAGGGAGGTCGATCTCAATGTCGCCAAGCCCATTTCACCTGAACTCGCTGATGAAAACCCTCTCGCCGCCAAGTCCGAAACGCCAGTGGTGAACGGTGTTATAGATCTGGAAAGCACCCCTGAGAGAGACGAGTCTGAACAGCCACCTCTCAAACGTCGTCGCTCTGGCTCGAACAATACGAGCAACACTGTTGAAACCAAGCTCCCCCAGAAGATGCTTTCCAAAAAAATGGCCGGCATGATGGAAGGCCGTGAGAACGTACCGCTGTCTGGCATCCCGGGAGGGCGTCGGTATAACCGAGACCGGCCGTCCAACTAGCCAGTGGATACTGGATCATTATTTTTCTTCTTTCCCCTCGTTTGTTCTTTTTCTTTGTGTTTCAATTTGAGTGTAACATCTTGATACCCCGGCTTTTAGTTCTTGGCTGATTGGAGTTCCGGTTGAGAAATCCGTGTGTGATATGGATGATCGCTGTTTGCCATTTTTCTTCTTCTTTCTTTCCCTCTCAATTTCGTCGGTGTCTAGAGGAGGTTCTGTGGAACTGCTTCATTCATCCTGTCTGCTCTATAGAGGCGGTCTTGGCTACTAGACATTTTCTTATCATCTTTCACATCAGGCAATTTGGCCTTAATACAACATTTATTCAGGTTCATTCATTCAAGCTAGATGGAAGTAAAAGAGTATGTGGTATCCCCAATATATGAACGTAGTCCAATTAATCAAATCGCGAACGCCAATGCATCAATTCGTAACCTTGAAATTCCGCCAAATCCATTCGTTATTCATCAACGTCGCAAATCAAAGAACTATCCTTACTCATCTTCATCTGTAGCTTGTCTCTCAACCACGTCTTCCTTCTGCAAAGCCCCACCAATTGCATCATCCGGTAAATCTCCCCTCTCATTCTCGTCATGGTCTTGTTCTTTATCCTGCCTGCTCTCACTTTCCGCACCGGGGGCATTATCATGATCCACTTCCACAGAATTGATAATAGTTTGCAGCTCTGACATCCTCTTCGCAAATTGATCCATCATTTCCTCTAAACGATGAGCCCCATGGTCTTTGGTAGACGCAGGAACATACGGCAACCCGCTTGTCCCATGGACCTTGAGCATAAGACCATGTCCCGTAGTGTCGCTAGATTCGTTATTCTCGAACCTTGGTGCCGGGACCATCTCGGTTTGAAGAACCTGCCATGTTGGAGAGAAGCTCTTCGCTGCCGCCACTCGAAACTGAACTGGAGACGCCGTGTTCGCTGTTACCCCGGCCAAGTTGTCCTGTCGCGCCGGTGATGGAGATAACTGGCCTGGTCCTGTATGGATATCGATAGCTTGTGGTTGTATGTCTGCTGCAGCTGCAGTTGTGTTTTCTTCGATAGGAACCGGCTCAACGTCTAAAACGAGGTAGTTGTCTCGTACACCGGGGATAGGAGGCGGGAGAAGTACAGGCTTCTCTCCAGTAAGCGGTGCGGTTTCTTCTTCTTGAAGCTGTTCTCTTTTGCTGCTCGACAAAGCATCTTGTTGTGACTCGAGGCTTCGCAGAGCTGCTGCCGTTATGATGTCTGTGTCATCGTCGGAGAAGATGTAGTGAACGGTTGGGTGATGGTATTCCCCTGTTTGTTGGTCTTCGACTAGTGTGAAGAACGGGTGGAAGTTCGGATGTTGAGAGGCTGCTGAGATATCATGGGCTTCAACAGCTGGAATCGTAGGCTCGTTTGTTGTGCCGTGCGGAGATGTGACAGGATCAGGCACTTCTTGACCTTGGTGAGCTTGTTGATCATCTATTCTCGAGGTTGATGTTTTGAAAGCTTCTCGTTGGTTTGGAGGGTAGGAGGAATCTCGGTCTGGGGTGTTAAGAGACATCGCCGTCGCTACATCTCAGTTGTTGGAGAGATGATCGACAATGGGGTGCTCTGTGGAGCTTCTAGACCCAGGCACTTTATCGATAAAGCCACGTGATGTACTCTGCATATTACATAATGTGGATCCAGGTTATTGGTGGCCAATGGGAGTGCCTCTTGAACAACTATACAGCCAGCTGGCTCTGGAGGTATTTCAATTGATATTGATGAAGAGAGGCTTTATATGCCACCCACATATATCACGTCGGCCTGCAAGGTTACACAACCATGTAGTATGGCATATAATATATTGTATGCCGATAATGTTCATAGTCAGATATAGTTAGATAAGTTCTCCAAGCCACTATAACGAGTCGTTCTTTCTCCTTTTCAGTACTAGACTCACAAGGTTACTACTACTAGCATGATTGCCGATATATACATATACAATATTCAACATTTGAACTTCGAAGTTGTCTTACATACTATCATATAATGATCGACTTGGAAACACTTGCTTTTTGATTTTTGCTTTTGAATACCGAAGCCAGTGGCGGCTATTGCTAACAGATACGGGTGATCCGGTTCTGCGTCTGTTTCGTACTCTATCCTGCTATGTGCTGTCTAACCCGGTTATGACGGCTGGTATACTAACACCGGGCCTTGGTCTTGGTGTGGGTTATAAACCACATATCTTTTGAATACAGAGACTGATCGTTAACCCACCTTTTAGATACCCGGTATCTTACTCTGGAAAATCGGCAGCCAGTCGCTCAATATTGCAATCAATAATGCCAATGCCCCCAAATATGTCCCATTGTACGTTTCCTGAATTGCCAAATCCTACTGTATGGCTGCCTGAGCCTCCTGCTCTTTTACCCTAGGTTTGAATGCTCTTGTCCCTCCGAGTCGCCTCAAGAGTATATCTCCTAACACCCGCCTTATTCTCTCCCGTTTGGTTCCCTTTGACGCCATCGCAAGCGCGAGTGCCCTTAATGTCTTCATGCGTGGTGAGGAGATTCACTAAGGAATCGATATATACCCCATTTTGTCAGTCCATCTTTACACCAACTTTACTCTCTGCTTACCCTTACTACCTCACAATGTCAACGGAAGACCTCATAGGAGGTCTTAAAGCTCGCTGTTCGGTGGCGTCAATCGTGATCGCGATATCAATGCACAAGGTGTCACTGGCGAGGAGCCATTCGACTGGAATAAGCAAGAGTTAGCTAAAAGAACCAGTCATTTATCGGGCCTTCCATATAACACAAATATCAATCTGGTGAAGCCTAAGGCAGTGCTTGACCACTCAGAAAACTTCGATGCATGGCAGCAAGGCGTATTGGTCGGTCTATTGGGGGTAGGCTTACAAATTTTGATCAATCATGACCTCCTACGGCCTGAGAAGAATGACGCCGAAGGAGAAAATTGGAGGCAGTTATTAAGAGGCATGAGAGAGTGGCTGGAGGCGAGCACAGAATGATGTTGTGTCTTACTACTTGATTGCTATGGATCATACTAGTGCAATAATACATACTAGATGCTGTTAGCTCTGAAGAAATGAGCCGCTCTACACATGACCTTGTGAGATCTATCCAGCTTTGCTATGTAGTTGGTAGATGTACATAGTAAACAATGATTAGGATTTAGATCGGCTAGTACCTGCAGGAGATGGGACAGCATTCTTCCGTTAGTAGCGTAGTAATACTAGCGAGTGACGTGATCAGGGGCTAAAATGACTATTGTCCCAGCCTAATAAGAGCTAATTGATACCGGTGAACGCGCTGAATAGTTATGAATAATTTAATTTAGTAATTACAAGAGAGATCGGCCTGTATTCGGATCGCCGATTATTCACGAAGTATCTATCTGTATGCAACACAGGATAGGATTAAAATAAGGGTTATTAAGGCACGTCTAACACGCCCCAACCCATGTAAAAACAGCAGTGGTATTTCCATGTAAACAGCAGAAGGTATCCTTCAGATTGCACATTCAACGCCATTCCCAAAGAATCATAAAGCCCAACTCCAATTATAACGAAAAAGACGCATAAGCAACCGATATCATTCTTCGGTCTGTTTCCACTCAAATTCTATGAACGATTAGCATTGTTGTGAGCGTAATCTCAATATAGAACACCTACTTTGACGGCACATAGGACATAATCCCTTAGAAGTTTCTTGCTGAATCCATGTCAAGAGGCAATGCTGTTCCATCCTTGTTAGTGTTGATGCCCCGCACAGAATTCATATCTGGGTCTTACCATGTGGAATGAGTGGCCACATTTCCCGAGTACTAATAAAACTGTTAATCCAACGTTCGCGTGGATCGGGATTGGCGATTGCGACTTACGGAGCGAACACTCGTCACCGGGGAATTTGCATGTCGGACAGGTTCCGTCAAACTGGACGCGACAGATACCGCACACTTCGTCCTCGGGCATATCCCAATGCCAAGTCGCAATGGCATTCCATTCCTTGAGCTTGACTTTCATGTTGTAGAAGTGAGGTTCAAGGGCTGACCTACTGACAGTTCTAGTGTGTTTTCTGTAGAGGTCCAAGCTCCGTGGTGGATTGGAAAGGGAAATGAGTTTCCGATAAGCGGGTTTGGCTTTGTTTATCGCCGCGTTATCACATGAGCTTCTCCGCACCATCAGGCCAACTCCACATCCCGTTTTCCCTTCCTGAATGTAAAGAGAGAAGTGCCCGCCCACTTGTCCCCCCTCTCAGAAATCATGGCATTCGCAGCCATTCGCCCCTCTGGTCTGTTTCGTCCCAAGATGACTGCTCGGATTCCTGGTGGCTCACGTCAGATTTCTTTCTCGTCATACTTGGTAACACCCAAGGAACTGAACGAGGCATTGAAAAAGAACCCTTCTACTTCGACCAAGATTTCTACCTCGCCGCGAGTTGTTCCATTATGCGCAGCATGGTTTATGCCAAACGACCCTGAAGGGCGCAAGGGAATTGACTCTTTCCGCCAATCTCGCATCCCTCAATCTCGCTTTTTCGATATTGATGCTATCAAAGATCCGGACTCTCCTTACCCCCACATGCTCCCCGCCTGTGAGACATTCGCAGAGGCAATGAGTGATCTGGGTATTCGGCGAGATGATGAAATTGTGGTATACGACACCGCTGAATTAGGAATCTTTAGTGCGCCGCGCGTGGGCTGGACCTTGCGCGTCTTCGGACACCCAAATGTGCATATACTCAATAACTACCGCTTATGGACCCAAGAGGGATTCCCAACCGAGAGCGGAGAGCCCACCCCCTTGGAGAAGAGTAAATATTCTGTTCCGACATATGACTCAAAACTGGTGATCTCATTCCGAGAGCTGAAGGAGTTGGCATTGGACTACGGCAAGGAGGGCGCAGAGGAAGTGGAGATTTTGGATGCTCGATCTTACGGTCGCTGGGCCGGTACCGATCCTGAACCCCGTGCAGGATTATCATCGGGCCATGTGCCTGGCTCCAAGAGTCTCTCGTTCCCTGAACTCTTGGACCCAGAGACGAAGACATATCGTTCTCCCGAGGAACTACGCAAGATCTTCGAAGAGCACCAAGTGGACCCTTCGCGGTCAATTATTAGCACTTGTGGAACTGGGGTTACCGCGACTATAATTGAGACAGCTTTAGCCCAGGCTGAATACGGAGATCCTAATTTGCGCCGAGTCTACGATGGCAGCTGGACGTAAGAGAGCTCCCCCTTTGTGTACAAAGTGTTTTCCGATCATTTGCTAATATGTTTATAGTGAATGGGCCCAAAGAGTAAAGGAATCAGATGGACTTATTAAGAAGGTGAAGCAGTGATATGGATATAGGCTATAAGGTCATGGATTTGTTGCGCTTGAAAGGCTGGAAGAGAGTGGTGAGGTTCTTATTGATTGAAGCTCTTATTATGCTTTCTTTTATTCTGCTTTTGACCGTTAGACGATACTCCCCGTCGCATATAGAATCATTGAATCCGTTTCCACTCTTTATCTCATCTCTGTCTCCTTCCTTCCTCTTGTTTCACATCCATCGTCTCTTGCTTTGTTCTTTTTTATAGTTGCACAGTTTGTTCGCCGGCAGACATGCTTAGTCATCATTTTACGTCGTAGTGAACGCCGATTTGATCTTCACTTTCCAATCTCCTCCAAATCCCACATCTTGAATTTTCTCCTGGGTGGCACCTCATCAAAGATGCTGCAGATGATTTCCTGCCTGGTTCTACACAGTGAGTTGCGTCTTTGCGTCTCCCGAAATCCCCGCCGTCCCCACATTCTCATGTCCAATCCCGGGCCAAACCTCCTTCGTGGGATCACTTTGCTGACTCGGTTTCCCCCTCCTCTTCCAGTCGCGGTTTTCTACACTTCTAGTTGCCCTGAATAGGGCAAAACTCACCTTACCCCCTCCTCTGATTGACGCTCGTTCCTAGCCGCCATGTCGACTGGGCGCAAGGTCTTTCATTGCGCCGTGGACGAGACGGCTCTGACTACCAACATTAGCGAGATCAAGAAATGGACCACCAGCGGTGCGATCGATCTCATTGTCCCTCTTTACAGTAGGTCCCCTTACTTTGACCTTATTTTCTGGCTTTTAGCTATTCTAGAAGCAGGCGACTTGGGCTCTCCGATTCTGCGGATTGCTGATCCATGTCTATTCTAGCTCTTGAGCGCCTGCATGCCTTGAAACGTGCGGGATCGCAAGTCGCCATTAACGCTCGCGAGGCCGTCCGCTTTCTTGATCGAGTCACCTCCGGAAAAGACCATATTACCGCCGATCTAGTCGCATTACAGGGCCCGATGGAACAGTATGAGCACTGGGAGGATGCAGAGAAATTCTTCCTTCCGGAATTCGAAGAGGAACCCGAGGTCATCGACGGTAACGACATTGCGGCTGACGCTGACGCTTCTGAGCCTACCTCTGAGGAGCAGGAGACCACTGGTGCTTCTGGACGGGATGATTTATCGCAAATGCTGCTGAGCAAATTGAACTTCAAGAAAGATGCCGACGCCACCTCCATCACCTCTGCTGGTTCCGGGCCAGCCTCGCGCACCTCTTCCCGCAGTTCGCGCACCAGCCCCGAATGTGCCCAACACGAGAATGGCTCGACAAAGCCCGAGAAAGCGAAGAATGGTCACCAACGGACCGCATCTGGGTCTACTATACCGGTCGCTCCGCCCGCTTTGCGCCCGCTGCTCAGTGCCCTTCTATGGCGACTGCACAGTGGTTCCGATGCAGAGAATTCCGCTAAAGGCTGTATTCTCGTTTCCAATGATCGTGCGACTCAGGTATGGGCTCAGAAGTTTGGTATCGGCGTGAAAAATATTCTCCAGCTGCGCACTGCAATTCAATACGAAGAGCGCGAGTACAAAAACCGTTGCAAATATGTCGAGAAGACCCAAACCCAGACCCAGACACCCGAGCCGAAAACCCTCCTCTCGTATGAGGAGGATAGCGACGAAGATGAATTGGTTTTTGTTCCCCGCGGTCGCGGTAGCGGCAAGGCTTCTCGCGGTGCTCGTGGTGGAGGGTCTCGTAAAGCCGTCGCAAAGACCACCCCGCCTGCTCCTGAACCTAAAGCCGCTACCGTTGATGTCCCCACTCAACCCATTGACCCGAATTCATTCAGTCGATCGCTAGCTGGAGGTAGCAAGACACCAGCCACCGTGGATTTAAGCACTCAGCAGGGCGCCGCTCGCGGTATGCCGGGCGCCTCGCGTCGCGCTCCCAGTGGCCGCCGCGGCGGATCCAGTCGCGGGGCTCCACGAGGCAATGGGCGAGGCCGAGGCAAACTTTGGGTTCCTTGATCATACGAGTAAGGTTTCCTGAGATCGCCTCTATTTGTGGATCTCGGGAAACCAAGTGAATATGTTCGATACAACGCATGGAGAACTGGACGGGTTTGTCTTCTTTCCTTTGTAGGATAGGCATCTCGCACGAAAGAGAATGAATTTTCGCCACTGTATTCGTTTGCAGGACGTGTTTCTTGCTCTCTCTGCTTCCCCTTTCACACTCATTCCTCTCCCCTCGGTATGACACCCCAGGACCACGACAAAATGGTCGGAAATCCGGACACGATCAAACCTGATGGAGGATCCGATTCAATTCGACCCGTGGAGGGACTGCTGCATAAGGGGCTCTTCTTTTCCATGAGAGCCTGGAATTCTCCTTAGACATTATTTTGGGTTGCTGTGGCTTTCTCTCTCTCTCTCTCTTCCTCACACATCAACTCTGGCATCTGAGAAGTTGCTTTTTTTGTTTCCTTCTCTTCCCTTGGTCTTTTCCTTTCTCTCCTTTTTTTGTTTTTTGGAGAGGTTGTGATTTACGGAGGATGTTCATAGTGGATTTTACATTTATGCAGATCTACCATAAGACCTTCCCAGGTTGATTGATATTTACCTAAATGGAGTTATTATTCCGTACAATTGACATTAACCGACATAATTAACTTTGTAAATCTCGTAAATTTCTACCCCAGCCACTGAAATGCACGGAAACAGACAGCTGAAACGCCCATGCACACTTAAGGCAGTTAAGTACTCGTAATTAGTATAAAGTTAGGTTCCCCGTTCCCCGCGTGACAGTCCCGTGGGACAAACATCACTTGACTTTGTCACTTCTCGACTTCTTTTCTTTTAAAAACTTCTCCTCAACTCCTTCAGTTGCTATATCCATTCCAACCCAACACTCCTTCGATACCAATATACTATCATCATGTCGTCGATCGACGAGACTCCCCTGGGTGTTGCACCCCTCGAGCGCCGTGACTCTCTAGAGAAGCACCTCCAGACCCGCCCGGAGATTAAGGACCTCAAAGACCGCCATATCCTGCTCGACACCAATGTGGCACCGTGCGAGACTCTCGTTCGCTTACTGAGTTCTCATAACTAACTCCAGTTACAACAGATCTCTCCAATCTGCACGCCAGGATCTCGCGCGCCAGCGTGCCACAGACGAACTGAAGAAGAACCTGGGGAAGAGGCCTGGGCGGGACGAGCTGGTGGAGCGTATATCTCCCCTCTCCTTTTTTTTTATCTTCACTTCTATTCCCTTTCCCTAGCTTCCTTGTATATTTCCTTTTATATATATGCATGATTGTTGATCCTAGAGCATCCCTTCCATGCTGTTCTCAGACAGTATACTAACTAGCAAAGGTAACATTCTCCCCGCCACCGCGACCGCGCCAGCCCTGCAGGCCAAGGCTCAGGAACTCGAGCGCCACATGCTCGCCGATAATCTTGAGCACAAGATTCAAAACCGTCCTCAGCCCGAGGAATTGATTTCCCAGGGAATTTTGGAGGAGGATGAAGATCCGCGCTCAGCCTAGAATCTCTTTTGATGCACTGTTGAGGGTTGGTTTTATGGTTTTGGATTTGATTTCCTGCAACTCTGTTCTTCTTCATTCGTTAATCTTGCGACCGGATTGAATTGGGAGATTGATCAGGGATAATGACCGTTCTGGAGTTATGTTTATCTTTTTTATCTTTCTTTCACTCTTTAAGCTCTACTTTGTTGGCTATTCGATCCTATGCACTGGCGGGTGGTGATGTCACCGTGATACCTTTGTCGATACGGTCACTTAACTTAGTCATTCTTCCCCGCAAAGTCTATTTTATACTTAATTTGGATTTGGGTGTAGGCCAATTGATTAAGAGGAAGTATTGGGTTTGTTGTAGTTCTATAATGTAATATAGATCGATTGGCCGTGGGGTTCTGTCTAATCCGAGGTTCTCGTCCAACTTGGATTAGGGAATGGTGGCATTGAGACAGCACAAAGGAGTCCAAAGTTATAAAATATGGAATTCAATAAAAGAGTAGCTCATACATATATCTTTGGTTTTTGTTGTAATATACTATTGATTCATCGGGATTTTTACCACTGCTCGACCTTTGATTTGGTCTTTCGTAAGTTGCCGAACTAATCTCGGAGTTTCAGCAAAGTCGAAGACTTCAATTTCAGGTGTGATAACCCCCTGAACTGCAAGCTGAAGCAGTTCTGTCAGTTTTTCCTCTGTTCCAACCGACGATCCTTTGATTGTGAGTCCTGATGAAGTTAGCATTTGACAATCATTCAAGAGTGATGATCTTCTCACCTCGAGCAGCACTCAAAGTTGCAGAAATAGGAATGTCCATCTGATTCTGTGGCAATCCTACACACACAATTGTCGCCATATTCCGCACTAACATGGGTGCCATTTGAAACGCCTCTTTGTTCCCGGGCACAACAATGGTCGCATGGGCACCCTCGCCCGTCAATTCTAATACCCGAGCGCCAACATCTTCTGTTTTGAAATCGATAAATGCCTCAGCACCTGAGTCCATGCTAATCTTTCTTTTCTCATCTCCACGGTCAATTGCAATAACACGAAGCTTCTTCACTCGAGCGGCGATTTGTACTCCGATATGTCCAAGTCCACCACCTGATCCAGATACAGCAATCCAGTCACCAGGTCCTAACTCCTGATCCAGATGTGCCAATGCCCCAGCCATAGTAAGCCCTGCGCAAAGAAGAGGAGCAGCGATCTCATCGCTGAGATTCTCTGGGATCATTGTGACAAACCGTGCATCTGCAACCACATACTGCTGTAGTGTGCCTGGAACATGGCGACTGGTATTCAGCTGCTTTGGGCAGTGATGGAAGAAACCCCGTTTACAGATTGAGCATTCTGTACATGCATTGTAGAGCCATTTGACACCTACCCGTTGGCCTAGGAGTGATGAGGAAACGTTTGTGCCGGCTTTGACTACTCTTCCAACGCCTTCGTGGCCGATGATTGGGTTATAGGGAGCCCAGGCTGATACTGCTCGGACTTCGGAGCCACTGTGCACTGTGAGCATTTGTTTTTTGAAACATAATGCGAAGAATTTTGTTGTCTCACCAAAGTCCAGTGCATGTTAACTGAACGAGGATCTCTTCTGGGCCTGGTTCCCCCACTTGTATGTCGTGGCGAAGCACAATCTTGAAATTATCGCCTGGATCTTCTACCACGGCGGCTTGTTGTTGAATGGGAATAGGGATAGACATTTTCTTTTATGGTATTTATCGTAAAAATATATGAGACGGGATAAATTGAGAATGAATCAATAAATAAGCCTTTCGAGACATTTGAATATCCTTCGTCTCTGGATGACTAACCTGTGAAGTACCGATAAGCTCTGCCGCATTGCGGTTACGCGATCTATAGCCGAAGTCCGCCTACAAGCCTCAAGGTGCAGCCATGATCTGCCGATGCCAAGGACGTGAATAGCTACGAAGAAATGAGCGACTCAAGTGAAAATAGATACTGAAGATATGCTACCGAATACGTGTACGTATAATAGTCTTGATAGTTTGTATGCTTGTACTGATAAAACATTCAGGGCAGAGAGCTAAATGGCAAGAAAAGTAGCTTGAATTGAGCTGCACCCCTTCATAGATGCCAATGGAGATAGAATTCCAGGTTTATCACTCGCTCAAGATAGCAACAGCATATGGAGACAATTGAATAGTATCTCCCTTAATAGTCTCAGTCCGCCAGATGTCACCCCCAGAGCTCACGTCCACAACCTCCATTGTTACACCCTGGAAACTCGAAGCTTGGATCGAGATTACCTGGTCTAGTTTGTTCACCAGCAAAATCTTCTTCTCCTGACCCGTAGTCTCAAATGCCTGCGCATGAACCTGCGTCTCGTCACTGCTCGTTTGTACAAGCTTATCACCAAGACGAATACTCTGCTGGATCAACTGGAGAACCCGTAGACGCGCGGTAGGAAGTCCAGTGTGGTAGTCTACCATTGAAACAGAAGGATATTGTCCAGGATACCCGCTCAACTGACTTTCACCCACGGCATCAATGCCTAAAACTGCCAGCTTAGAGAATATGTACGCATAAATCCCCCCACTCCATACCCAGTACTCGTCCGGAATTGTATAGTCTGGGTAGATTGTTGTTGAGCCAAGTGGGTCCATAGTACCTAGTTCGTCCACTGTCGTGCGGGACAACGGTGAGATTTGCTTTCTGATTTCCTCGATTTGCTCTACCTCGCCAATGAAAGTATCTGCCATTTGGAAGCTTTGTGCTGCTTCACTCTGGGTGGACGCATTGCTGGGTGTTGAGTAGAAATGATAGCTGATCCAGTCCAATGGTGTGTTTGCTTTGTGGTTGGCTGGATTCAAGAAGTCCTGTACGCGTGTCGCATTGCGCGTGGACATGGCTAGACCTATGAATTGGGTCTTTGGGGAGACTTCATGAATAGCGGCTGTAACTGCGTCGTAGATCTGGTTATAGAGAGGGATGTCGATCCCATGCTCAGCCTCGGATTCATTTAGAATTTCCCAGTACTCGATATCGAGGTGGTGACCAGATTCATGGTAAACGCCGCATTCGTCCGTGAAACCACCATCGACGTACCATGATATCAAGCGGCGGTAATAATCCGAGAGTTCTTTCACTGTTTGGTCCCGTAGCTGGGTGCCGTTGTTATAGTTCCAGTCAATGATATTGACATCTTCCGGGTAGCTGTATGGAGTATCGAGGACCCACATCCAGTCCGGGGTAGTGCTGAAGTTGATGATATGGGACACATTCGGTGTGCTAGAGAGGAAATCCAACAACAGCTGGTCGGCGTAAGTGAAATCCCAGCTTGTGATACAGTGAGTATCATTGATTATGGGCGCCTCGATCTCGGGAACCGCAAGGCGGGGATACGGGAACCAAGGTACATAGCGGACATAGTCGGCAGCAACCAAGCCCAGTGAATCAAGAATATTTGCACGAGTACTACTATTTGCAAGCATAGGAGGATTTGCGACCGACTGAAGTGTGGCTGTGGTCTTGGACTCGATCAACACTTCGTTCCAATCGATATCGATACTCAAGGGCGATGATACATTGCGGCGGTATAGTGCGAAACAGGGGGCTGCAAATGCCGCCACACGAATGATTTGAGCAAACATTTTGCTAAATGATTGAGAAGCCTATCTTGTAGGTACAAATTGCATGCCTTTTATAGGCAGTTTTGAGCAAACCACACGGTCGCCGTATAGACGGCCGAACACGAGACGACAAGACGTTACATCAAAAACATCTGAAGCATTTTTCTTACTATATTTTCTCGCAAAACATCGCGCTCAGGCGTAGAGATCGTCAGTGCTCGAGCTCTTTTGAAAGGATCTCATGGATGTCTCATGGATGTCTCAAAGTAGCGTGGAAGTTCGCATGACTGGTGTTCGGGACATTGCGCAAATTCCCAATCGCCGATCAGGGTCCATATTGCTCTCAAAAGAAGCTTCAGTGGCGTCGCCCGGTGAAGAAGTTGGTCAGCCACCAAGCCTCTGCCGAAACTGGCTTATGTTGCTGTCACACTGGAACCGGCCGCGTCAGTCCAGTTGTGCGGGGGTTGTCTCCATTGACTCCACATCTCCCCGGATTTTAACCTTTAGCGAGCCAATGCGAATGCAACACCGGGTTATTTGGAGCCGAGAGGCAAAGCTTCGGTCAAACAACACCGCGAAGTGCCATGGTAATGTGCAATTAAATGGCGGAGAACAAGTTAATCCCTCTAGGACTCTGGGGTTGATCTCGTTGTCCCATGAATTCTTCTCTGTTGCTATCACTATCACTAAGAGACAAAGTTCAATATGGGTCAGCTGCGTGGAAAATACTTGCATTGGGCTGTGACGGGTAGGTTTCTCCTTCGTGATGCTGAAAGTCATGTCTATGAGGTAGATGCTAATCACATACCATGTAGCGGCGAGCTGTCAAGCCTTCCTGTTGCTTGGGTATGATCAAGGTGTTATGAGCGGTCTTATCGGGGCCAACAACCAGTTTGGACAACAGTTTGGCAATCCCGATGCCAATATGCAGGGAATTTGTGAGAGAGCCGATTGAATTGTGACCAGTAATGATTTTGCTAATCTAACGTTTGTATGTAGTGACTTCAATCTATGATATTGGCTGTGCGGTCGGATGTCTGGTCAGCTTCGTGATCGGTCACAAAATGGGTCGCAAAAAGATGATTATAGCTGGAGGTGCTATTATGGTGATTGGCACGATCATTCTTGGATCTTCATATTCGCGCGCACAATTTTTGGTCGGTCGAGTTGTCACTGGCTTTGGAAATGGTATCAACAGCAGTACTGTTCCAACTTATCAAAGTGGTAAGCGCAGAAGTCATCCATTGTTACCTTAAGAGAGCAAAGTACTGATTGATATGTTTCTAGAAATGGCCCGACCTGAACGCCGTGGTCGCCTCTTATCGGCTCAGGGAACAGTTACCATTGTTGGACTTTGCATCGCTTATTGGCTTGACTATGGTCTTAGCTTTGTCGATTCGCCGGTCCAGTGGCGATTTCCAATAAGCTTCCAAGCCTTCTTCGCTGTCTGTCTAGTACTGCAAATGCTTTCCCTTCCCGATACACCTCGCTGGCTTTGCGAGCAGGATCGCAGTGATGAAGCTGCTTCGATCCTTGCCCGTTTACAACTCGATCAACCTGCCGATGAATCGAGCCAGGAGGTGGTTCAGCTACGCCGGCAGATCGAGTCGGCTATTGAGATTGAATCTGCTGGTGGTCCCTTCAGATACAAGGAGCTGCTGGCTGGTGGAAAGGTTCAGAACTTCCGTCGCATGATTCTAGCTGGCTTGGTCAATGTCCAACAACAATTCACAGGTAGCGCATTTCTTGCATTTGTTTGAGAGAAAGAACAAAGAACTAACGTTTTGAAGGTTCGAATATGATCAACTATTATGCGCCCACTGTCTATGAGAACGCCATGGGTCTATCTCGGAACTTGTCGTTGATTCTGGGTGGCTGTACATCGCTGGCTTACTTGGTTGGATCTATCGTCCCATTATGGAGTATGGATGTATTTGGGCGACGTTCGTCGCTCATGATCTCTGCGGCTGGTCTTTGTACTTGCTTCATACTTGTCGCTGCTTTACTGTCTGTAGGAACAGAAAAGTGCGCATATGCGGCGACCGTGTTTGTCTTTATTTTCCAGATTTTCCTCGGCTTTGGCTATTTGCCTGTACCTTGGTATGTTCCTCAGGCTAACATCGATATTGGGGCAAAGAAAGAAGAACAAAGAGAGCATAAAACTAATGATACGACAGGTTCTACCCAAGTGAAATCACAACAACCCGTATTCGAGCTCGCGGTCAGGCTTTTGCAGGCTTCGTGAACTGGATGTGTGTTTGTAAGTTTATTTAGTCTGGATGACTATGTTGGAGAGAATTCAACACTAACATTCCTCAGTCATCGTTGTACAAGTAACACCAACCGCTATTGATAATATCTCTTGGAGAACATTCATTATTTTCGCTTGCTTTTGCTTCGCATGGGTATGCTTCTAAATATCCTACCTTGGCATATTAAAAGCTAACACTACTAGATTCCAATGGTCTACTTTTTCTTCCCAGAAACAAAGGGTCTTGAGCTCGAAGATGTCGATCACCTGTTCGAAAAGGGCGGTCTTACTGGTGGTGTCTTCGAGTCTCGTGGTCGTCCAGTGGAGCCTGGATATCATCGTACTATCAACACGGATAGAATCGAGAAGCCGACCGAGGAAAGACAAGAAAGAGTTGATGTGTAAATATATATACTTGTGAAATATTGGAGCGGATGCAGCTGGGTTGGTTTTTGGATGGCTTTGGACATAGTCTCTTGTGGGAATTTCAACTATATCTATAGTAAGAGCATACTTAGAAACATCATATAGAAGGTAGAGGACATCTGATAGAGCTTCAAGTTTTTTTTTGTGTATTTCTTAGCACTGGAGTTTGTAAATAAACATCTAGGTAATATGACACAGCTTTGGGGATACTTGATCAATGCATTCAGGTGGCTTTTCAAAAAAGAATTATGTCCAAGTCAAATCGAGTGACCCGTGGACATATTATTCCTTGCCGATAACTCATCTCTCAACCATATCTACCAATGGAAAGCTTGACCATTTAGCCCACCAGTCACAGTCAAGACATTCACTACCGATTTCGCCACTGTCGTCAATTCTGGATAGCTGGTCGTTTTCCCTGCTAGTCCCTCTGACTAATCCAGGGTAATCTACCACTTTTCCCCGGGGGCTCTTTATTTTCTGACGTCGATTGATTGTCCACAGTAATTTCTGGCCAAATTATTTTGAACACGTCTTGCAGCTCAGGAATCAAAGGATCGAGTCGTTTATTCATGATGGTATCGGTCAAATTAGTCTCCCGCGCGCGGATTTCAGAACAGTTTGTGTACTGTGACTCTGGTTCAACTAGTCAAGAAGAAGTAAAGATACGAACAAGTTCGGGCTCGTCGATATAAACAGCCATTCTCTCCATGGAAAGGCAGTAGTCTGTTTTGACTGAGATAATCTTTTGGAAGATTTCAAATACAAGCTTCTTATCCACTGCACTGTTAATCATGAACTTCCGAACATGGCCGTTGCGAGCGCGATACAATTCTTGTAGACCCCACCTACAAAGCTGAGAGTCAAAATCATCGAATGTTGGGTCGAGAGATAGCGATTCTTGGGAGGGAAACAAAAGATGACCAGGTCGTATGATACCTTGATCGGATTCATCGTCTCCAAATAAGGCTGGATCAGAGACAGAAAGACCCAGAGATAAGTTTTTGAGACGCGTGATAGTACCCAGGGCTTTATACAAGGCTACCTCTGCACGGTCTCCCCCAGTGCGCTGAACCTTGCATGTTAAATCCTCCAGGAGATGACAATTAGCAAGTAATTTTATGTCCGACTCCGTAAGCCGACATGACTGGGAACGGTTTTTGTATGTGAGCTGTAGCTTGAGAAGTGTCGAGCCATGTGTCTCCACGATTGATTCGACAGATATAAGACAATGCCACCCTTCCAACAATAGCTCCTTCAAAGGAGGCAGTGAGTGGAGAAAGTTTTTTGCCGAGGCATAAAATCCTTTCTGTCTGTTCCATCCTCCTAGGTTTAATTCGAGTTCTTCGAGAGAATGGAAGGGGCGTCTTGTTTCCCAAATTTCGAAAATATTTTGAGCAGTGTCATTGGCCATTCGCGAATGAAGTCTAAGTGTGCGTAGCTTGCGGAAATCGGTATACCCTTCCAGCGCTAGCAGCGTCTGAGGCAAGATTGTGTGCCAGTCAGCAATCTGGAGGCTTGTCAATGATCCAATGCAACCAGTTGGGATCTCTAAATCCTCTTCAGTTGGAGGAGGCAGGGGACGAGTGATTGTTCTGATGAAGACCACCGTTTGGTTGATCTTTCAATATAAACTTCTTTGAGGTTTGGGGCTAGAGGTAAGCACGCATTAATCCAAGTTTTTGATGGACTGTACGCCACGCCTTATAAGCACAATCGTAGTCATCGTATTTCAGAACGGCACTGTATAAAGAAGGCGAGCTAACGAGAGAATGATTAATGAGGCTCGACTTAGAGATGGAAGGCCGAGGAGTAGACGGGTGGAGATTTTGTAGAAAGAATGAATGCAAATGAAGTCTACAGCCTGGATTTTTTTCATGGAGAAATTCTAAGATGCGCGGAGATATTTCTAGGCAGCCGAGATAGAAGAGATCTCGCAGTCTGGGGAGGCTTTCGAGTAAATAAATCATGGAGTTCCAATCATTAACAGTCGCAATTGCGGTCCCCTTGATCCGATTGACGCTCAGATCTTGACGGGGCCGATCCTCATGAGGATTATTCATATTGCCGTACAATGAAGCGTATGGTTTACCAACTTGATCACGTCCGACTCGGATGTCCTTCATTTTCGGCGGGTGCCATTCCGTATCATTTTTACAAGATATGCATCTATGCTCGTCAATGATCAGTCTGCGGACGTATTGATTGCTGGCTGTTCGTCTCAAAAGTTCCGGAATTTTCTTGAAGTGCTGTTCAATCCTGGATGACGAGCGATGTCCCGGTCTGTGATTAATTCGTACGTCATGATAAATAATGTTTTTAATGAGTGAGAGACAGGTGGCAAAACATGATTCGTTGACAAGTGCCAATGCTTCTAGGCTTACTGGATCATTATTGGCGAGTTGCTCCGTAATGAGCCAAAGTATATCGAGTGGTATTGTCGCCAGAGACATGTCCGAGTGGTAGAATGAGCAATGTGAGAAAGAGAAAAAAGAGAAAAAGGGGATGCATACCCTGTTGCATGCCGGAAGGCCATGCCGGTGCTAAGCCTGGATAGGCTGTAACTATGCCGATCATCGCCGGGGCAGCTAGGCATCCTTCCGAGCACTAGTGCAATGCCCACAGCCCGTGTTTGTTGACCGTTATACTAATACACGCAAGCTAGTGGATGTTTCCACTAAATATTTATTGCGGTAACACATGATTTGGAATTATGTCTACTGCCATGTTTTACTATAGCAGCCAGAATTCTGTTATTCTCGAGTCCTCCATGTATTTAAGATAGCACCTTTTCCCAGATATTTGGAAGGACACAGCTCTCCAGAGTTACAATAGATTCACAAATTATTCTTCTCACACCACATTGATACTATCATTCCTTCATTTCTATCTTATAATTCTACATAGCCCCAGCCTTGCTTGAGACCCCGGGGCCACTTTTTAGCTCCGGTGGGGCAATGAAATTGATACTGTGTAGGCTTGGATGGGAATAGTTTGAACGAGAGGGATCAAGTGATAGCGTAAATCCCGAAGAATAATACAAGTTTTCACCATAATAACAGGAAGCGATTATGCGCGCAGCTATCAGATGAGCTTCAAAATTTTACACTTCGGTTCTATAATTTCAGAAATATTTGAATGCGACAGCATAGATTGTGGGCATGTATAGCGAGTCAGTATCCAGGACCGCAAGTAAACAATTTCTTTTTCTGGCCTTTTTCTGGCTTTTAGAATTGATGAAAAAGAACATCCAAGCTGAAATGAAGGGAAATAGAATATGGATTAGAGTCTACCCAAGAGCTTGAGTAGGTCGGCCATCACGCACATAGCAGTGACCTCGCCTCCTCCACCACCGCCCTTTAAGACCAACGGGTTCGCTCCATACCTCTTGGTATAAATACTCACAATCTGACTTCCCTTCAAATTGGCGATCGGGTTGTCTCTATCAAGGTGTTGTAGACCTACTCGGATGGTTTGAGTTGGTACATCAATACTCCCAATGTACCGCAGAACTTTCCCTGACTTCTCAGCTTCAATTTTAGCCAAATTCATTTGCGCATCATATTTGGGCAATTCAGCCATGAATTCGATAACTCCCGATGTAGACGACGGAAGTGACAGAAGACTCTTAGGTACAAGCGAATCGACCGGGAATGATTCTGGCCCCATTACCTGGATCCCTACGACTCGAGCAAGAATCGTGAGCTTCCGTGCAAAGTCCATGCCATTCAGATCATCTCGCGGGTCTGGCTCCATGAAGCCTATTTCCAAAGCATGAGCGACAAGAGAACTCCATTTAGTATTCGCTGTGCCAACCGCTGGCATGTAGGTGTCAAAGAGAAGGGATAAAGTGCCCGAAAGCACGCCTTCGATCTTCACTATTTCATCGCCTGTTGTGATGAGATCTCGAAGAGTTGACAGTATCGGGAGGCTACCCCCAACAGTAGCTTGGTGATAGACTCGAGCGTTTCCCTGCGCAGCCGAATCAAATATCTCGTTCCATAACGATAGTTCATCTGAGAAGGCTTTTTTGTTGGGTGTCACAATCGATATCCCTCGCTTCAGAAATGATGGGTATGACTTTGCGAGCAAAATATCAGATGTATTATCGATTAAGATGGCGCGACCAGGAACTGAAGAAAGATATTTGATTATTTCATCTGGCTGTAACGCGTCATGAACAGTAACGCCCGGTGCCGCTGTCGAGGTTTCCCAGTCTGCGAAAGGGATAGCAGGTGAGTGTGATGGCGATGCTGCCAAGAGGGTCTTTCTCGAACGCGAAAGTAGAACAAGCTTGGGCGCGTTGGGGATCCGGCTTAGCTGTTCTAACAATGCGGTTCCTACCCCGCCAACACCTACTACTGTTTAGTATTGTAGCTGGAATGAACGGTAGGGGGTGGGGTGTATTTGAGACGTACCCACGATTCCAAGATAGGTATTTGCAGCCATGATTCTCTGTCAATGAAGGTATGTTGAATCACGTGGTATTGGAATTCAAACAGCATTGTTATCACAGGGAGATGCGGATGTCGCGATTATGAGTCATCCGCATCAGCACTTGCAAAGAGCTTCATAGTTGGGGGGCTGCCAGACTTGCGGGACTCGCAGCAGAAGATTGGACCACACAGCGTGAAATAGCGCGTCAGGTATAACGAAATACTGGTTTTGAAGTTCCGGGTGTTGCGCTGATCAATGTTAAGGCCATTGTGGGTTGTTCCGCGATAGGCGACCGTAATAATTCAGGCCAAATCATAAATTCCGGTAATTCAAACAAGCAAACCTGGAATAGGAAAGAGTCAGCTGGAGTTTGAAGTGGCTCCGCTGCTTGAAATCCATGTCTATAATCTCAACGCGAGGCCTCAGCGAGGCGGGAATCAAGCTGCCTTAATGAGGCATCTATTTGATAGGATGGGGAGGGAGAACGATCTATAGCTGCATGTGATATGAATGGAGTGGCTCATCATTTAGTATCATGTACAGAGCGGGGATCGATAGAGCGCAGAACACGTCGCGAGATACCCCTGTATCTTGCATGCATACGACAACTCAGCACCTTCCACCTCGTTGTCCACACCACAAACATGAGGCTCATTTCACTTAACTCACTTCACTTGACATAGACCTTGAAAGTACAAAATGTGTGTCAATAAGTATTACTATTACCTCTAGCACCAAAAACTATAAATACATGCTTTTTTCTTTCGAAATCCATGGTAGATTCAAGTTGGGCAGGCACTTGGATAGATCAAGATATCTATGATCAGCAGTCAACTTGATAGCTGCTCCAAGATTCTTCCCTGAAGTCTTTCATTCACGTTTGAATTGAACTTGAACAACCCGTGTCTTTGCAATGACAACTATATCATTCAAGTCTCCCAAAGGGCCAAGTGATCGTGCCGACTCCCCACCATTGAATTATGGTACCTTCAAAAAGTCTCTTGAACATTTAAGTGGCTTTTTCTCTAGCCCTCTAGCCCAGGATGCTAAAGGCTTTTTTGATGAGCTGGATAAGCTGAAGAATCAGCTGAAAACAATGCGGAAAACTTTGGACGATCAAACCGAAGAGCACATTATCGCTGTTCGACATGTATCCTCTAAATTGCAACAGGAAACAAAGAGGGCAAGTGACGCCGAGGAAAAGATGAAGTCTACCCGTAATACTCTGGAAGATAAGAACAAAGTCATCTCAGAGCATGCGCAGATTCGGAAGGACTTAGAGAGCCAAATTCAATGTCTGAAATCTGCAAAGTCGCAAACCGAAGGCAATATGGCCCTGGCAAATCAAGAGATCAGTTCGCTTCAGGAGAAATTGAAACAAAAGGATTCTGTCATTGGAAAATGTAGAACCATTGAGTCAGATCTGAATAGAGGTTTGTCATTTGAGAAACAGAGAAACAAACAGTCCCAAGAGATGCTGGTCGCCGAACAGGACAAAGTACGTGATATGCAATGCAGATTGGACAAGCTAGAAGGCTTTTGTGCTCGTCGCCAAGAGACGGATGAGCAGACTATGTTAGATTTTATCCAACAACAAGCAAATAATGCAAATGCTAACATGTTTATTTTAGGATGGATAACTTCGACCATCTTTGGAAGTATGCAGCGACTGAAATGTCTACCATCTTGAGCCACAATCTCGAGCCCAAGACTCTGAAGGTCAGTTCCGCAAGGAATATCATTCATCTTTGAGGCTAACGCTCACCCCAGGACTTGAATCTGTGGAAGAATTTGGGAGAAGAGTGCCGTCGACTTGCCCCCTACTTCCCTTTGCCTGTATCGAACTCCAATGCAGCTAAAGGGATGCGACTAGCGGTTATTCTAGCTATCTTGTCAAGGGAGATTGATAAATACATTTTCCAGCCTGCATACCTCATGACAGACGATTCAAACTTACGAAAAACGCTCAGTCAGCTTGCCGGGACAGAGCCTGAGAAAGAAGCATTTTATCGTTCCTTGACACTATCTATTGATTCTAGGGCTCAGAAGGCTATTCTTCGGACAAACGCCCAGACTGTGGTTCAGAGCCTTTCAAATTGCGTATTTGGAATCTTCTCAGACTCTCGTCATAGCGAATTTCGAGAAATTACCAAGAGAATCGTCAGGAAAGCGGTAGAGGTTTGGGAGCCTATACAGCATGCTCATCGGAAATATGAACCAGGGTTTGACCTGCAAGACGAACATTGGCCGTTTATATTCCCTGGAGAAGAAAATGGTAACGATCCAAAGGAAATCATTTCTGAGCTCAAAAAGGATGTGTTGATGATTTTTCCTGGAATCTCTTCGGTTGAGCATGGACTCCGACAGCAACAGAACCACGTGATAAGCCTCTCAAAGCTACATCCACTTTACGTCTTGGCCGACCGAGAAGCTTCTTCGGCGCCACCTAGCCCTGTCACTGATCGTATACCATCGACTAAATCCAGAAGACTATCTATTTCTTCCAACGTCCAACGTATAAATGGACGGTCTTTGTCAGACAAAAAGGCAAACGGGGCCCATTAAGCCGGTGGATGCTAGGTCCTGCCATCTCACTCTGAAACACGGTCTTTTTATGTTTGAGTATTGTCCAGTCTATTTAATTTTCTTGCGTTATCTGGATTTCTGGTTTGATTTGAGTTACCCTAACGTTTTCACCCATCTTCTTTGTTGTGTTCTTTCAATGCGATAGGATATTCGATCTAAATTGACTTGATACTAAATCGATGCATTTATCTCTTGACTTTATCTCTTTAATTTAATACACTCCCTCCATCAACCTTTAGTGCTCCTCCTGTCATGAACCTTGCATCAGAGCTACCGAGAAATGACAGAACGGCAGCAACATCTGCAACTTCAGCCCAACGACCCAGCGGCACAGTAGAGAGCATATTATTTCTCCTCTCTTCAGACCAAGCCAAATTAAACATTGGAGTATTCACGCCACACGGATGAACAGTGTTGACCCGAATGTTAAATTGTCCTAATTCAGCTGCCGCCGTAATACAAAGGCCTCGCAGTGCAAATTTCGATGCAGAGTACGCAGAAAGACCAGGCGTGGCGCGTAGACCCGCAATAGAAGACACGAGAACGATACTACCTCCATTTCCGAGCATTTTCATGATTCGGCCACAATGTTTGATTCCCAAAAATGCTGTTGTCAAAGTAAACCGTGAGCATTTCTTCATCGATTTCGGGGCACCCACTTACCGGATCGACAGTTAACCTGCATCACCTTGTCGTACTGATCAACATCTGTGTCCAGGATACTTGTAGATGAATATGATATTCCAGCACATAAAAGAGCAATATCAATTCTGCCAAAGAATGCGACCGTCTTATCAACAACGAGCTGGACATCTTCCTCTTTCGTGAAGTCGGCTGCGACGGTAAGGATTAAGTCATTTTTATCTTTTAGAGACGAATTTTGAACATAATCGGACAGTGCACGCTCGACATCGACTAGGTTGGATCCATCAATGTCGGTTAGGGTTACTTTTGCTCCTTCTAAGAGATATCGACGTGCTGTTTCAAACCCGATATTTCCGGCAGCACCTGTCACGATAGCAACTAGGCCTTGAAGGCGATTTGGGATTGGCTCCTGAGGTGGTAGATTTGACGTTGATTGAGACATGCTGCTTTGTAGTACCCGAAAATAGAAATAAAACCGTAGTTTGGACTCGTATGTGAAGTCTATCGACTCCCCCAATTCAGGCTTGAACCCCTCATTCCGTAGATGTGGGGTTTGTACCTGATCCGCTTGATGTCTCCACGGGTAAGTGTTCACCCAACGTGAAGCTCCTAACAGGGAATTGATCTTCAATTACTTCTGGAAATCCGGGGATAAAACTGGGAAGCTTGTTCACGTTCAACTAACATTCTCCAGATATATTGGGTTATTCTGCGTGCGCAGGTGTTCGGGATTCAGTAGCATCGCGGCTTGGACTCGGAGTTAGCGCTTATCAATAGACTAGCATTCGGGCTCAGGCAATCTGCGCCTCCAGTGGATTCAACTCGATCCAATTTCTCTTCATGTTAATTGATAATTTGTCCACTTTCACTTCTTCCACCAAGACTCACCCCAAGACGGTAATAGCCAAGACAGTAATAGAACAAGCAACATATCGATTGCCAGTGTTACCGAGTGCAATGCCACTAGATACAAAGCCGCCAATCATTCCAGACCTTGCGTCCACGCAGCCTCAGGCTGCTAAGGGGGACAAGAAATGGGTTAGGCGAGTGTTGCACCCGGGCGCACTCTTATTGATCTTCGCTATCTGGGGAATTCTACACTATTCTCGGGGGTCTTTCACATTCGAGAATCTTAAACATGGGTCTCCTTCCTCGCCAAAAGAAGATGATGAGTTCAAGTGGGAGAGCGTGAGTTCTGAGTCAAGTGCGTTGCCTAAAGTGGGGGCGATTTCTCACCAAATAACTAGATTAATCCCGCCAAAAGCCTTGTTTATCACCCCTGTTTTGGGGAGCACCAATGTGCCCGTCTTGAGGTTCCAATGAACTACAATCGCACAGATGGTCAGGGTGCTACAGTTGCAGTGGCTATTATTCGACGCCCGGCTAAAGTCCCGGTTACTGATTTGCGATATGGTGGGCCTGTTATCTTGAATCCCGGTGGGCCTGGTGGGTCTGGGGTTCAAATGGTCCTTGCTAGTGGGGAGAAAATACAAAATATTGTGGATTTCGAGGAGCTGCCTGGGGAATATTCAGCTTTGAATTCAGAAGATGCAAAATATTTCGATATTCTAAGCTTTGATCCCCGAGGTATGAATAATACTACTCCTGCCTTCTCTTGCTTTAAGAGCTCTGAAGAACGCAATGTCTGGCTGTTACATACGGAGGCTGAGGGGAACATTGGCAGTTCAGATATTGCTTTTGATACTCTCTGGGCACGAGGCCAGGCGTTCAGTCAGACATGCAATAACCCTGGTTCCGACATCCTAAACGGCTCGGAGTGGATTGGGAATTTCATGAACACACCTACAGTCGTGGCGGATATGGTACAAATCATTGAGCGACATGGTGAATGGAGAGAGAAGGAAACAAACAGACTTTCGAAGCACGGGTGTCGCTTTAGTATGCTTGGAACTGATTCGATGGCTGGAATGAAAGAAGTTGAATTAAAGAATCGCTGGAAGCGCGACGAAGAGAAGATCTTGTACTGGGGATTCTCCTATGGTAGTGTCTTGGGGACTACATTTGCGGCCTTGCAGCCACATCGAATTCAACGACTCATCGTTGATGGCGTGGTTGATGTCTATGACTTCTATGAGGGCACCTGGCTCGCAAACCTTCAAGACGCGGATGCTGCGCTCGGCAAGTTCTTTGAATATTGTCATGAAGCTGGCCCAAGTAACTGTTCCTTCGCCTCGAGCGACTTGAAAGATATTCAGGGCCGATTTAAAGACGTATTGGAAGGTCTTAAGATGGATCCTGTTGCTGTCCCTGCTTCCAAGACCAGAGGAGCTGAGATCGTCACCTATAGTGATGTCAATAAGATGATTATGATGGCCCTTTACAAACCAGTGCTACTTTTTCCCCTTGTTGCACAGGTGTTCACTGATCTTTCGCAGGGAAATGGCTCTTCCTTTGCGGACTATAAATATGAGCAGCGGAATGAAATGAAGGCTTGTAACCACATGATCGAGGCCCAAGCTAGCGTCATTTGTTCGGACGGATACAAATTATTGGGAATGACGAAAGCTCAGTACAGAAACCATACTCAGATTATGCAAGGGCAAAGCCAAATTCTTGGAGAGGAATGGCCGGCTCTTGGTATGGCATGTCCTGGTTGGACCACAAGGCCCGCGTGGTCTTTCAATGGTAAGTTCAACCCCAGAATAACCCGAGTACAATATTGCGCAGATGAATTACCTCAACTATAAGAAACTTAATACTGACACAATTCAAAATAAAGGGTCTTTTGTTCAAAACACATCTCATCCTTTACTCTTCATTGGGAACTCATATGACCCGGTGACTCCTATTAGAAAGTGAGTATTATCACTTCCTCTATACGCAAAACAACTCTTATACTTATCTTCCACAGCACTTATAAAATGTCCCGTGGGTTCTCGGGCGCTGAAGTTTTACATCAAAACTCCGTCGGCGTATGTATCTTCAACCACAACTATCAGTCAGGGACCCAAGTACTGACATAGATCATATATGTAGCACTGCTCAATCTCTACCGCTTCCAACTGCACCGCGGGAGTAGTCCGAAAGTATTTTCAGATTGGTGAGCTTCCGACTTCTGGCACAGTCTGTGAGGTCAACGAGCGGCCCTTTCAGCTTCCCGGGCTTGTAGCGGCTTGAGTATTAGATTACGAACTGGACAATGGGGAAGGCCATGGTTCTTGTATAGTGTAAATATTCCTGGAATTAGGCACTCTTTACGCTTACTTATTCTCTAAGGCTGTGGCTTCAAGTTATTAGTCTCACTCATATACATATCCAAGCGGGCTCAAGTTGGCTCATATTTCTTATAAAACGTCCTCGTTCGCAATTGATATGTTCTCCATCTCAAGTATAGGATGGTCTGTGTAAAACTTTTACTACTAGTACAGAGATACCTGCAGAAATACCAATGATTGGTCTTTTGGGAGATATGCAAATCTTATTAGATGGGGTTTAAATCGCACTCTGTGGTGGTTGGAAGCACGTTTGGAAGCACGATGGGAATATAAATATGGACAGATAGAAAGGCAGTGGGTCATAATATTGTATCCAGTACTACTTCTGTCCTATCGAGAGTATTGAAGAGGGGCAGTAGTAAGACTCAAGACTCAGCTCAATAGGTATTTACCTGCATACCGTCATGGGCTATCTCGTTAGTCGAGATGATGAGGCCTAGCCACACTTTCCCATTGTATCTGCCGTGGCACACTTTAACAAGTCATTTCGTCTAGTCAGAGTCACCCAAAGTATAATAGCGGCCAAATACGGAGATCCATGAAAGCCCGTGCCAGACTGCGATAACAGGCTTGCCGAGGGGTACAGTTTACACAGTCGGGACGGATATTGCCGCAGTGTCGAAGTCGAAGGGTCAATTCGCACCTCTAATACAAAGTGCGGTGGTCGCATGGTTCTCAGGCATACGATCTAAGCTGCCGCCGGTGGCCTTGTGGCCGATAGTATCCTCCACACTACCGTCGAATTCAGTAGCTTGCAGGGTAATGCAGTAGGCATCCTTAGTAGGGTTGGCCAAGCAGATAGGGCCATACGAGAAGTCAAACTGTTTGAGAACTAACGCCTAAGCCTTCTGAGAAGCTGACAGTCAACCTTCCGGGCGATACGTTCCGGAGGACTAGAATCGATGGGTGAAGTCTCCATCCTAGGGAAACCCTTGGAGTCGAAATTGCCGGCCCAGTTGAGTGCTCGTTTAGGGGCTGTGTAGGTCTTGTAGACGTTGTGGACCAGCGAAGCGTATAGAGTAACGTAGTAAGGGGCTGCTTTTAGGTTCATTTTCTTGTGAAGTTTATTTTCGTAAATCGGCGAGCTGTGCTATGTCTTCGGGTTGTCTTTTGGGGTAGGGATGTAGTCTTTTGTCTAGGTAGGATGCTGGTGCTTATCGAAGATAGTGTAGTATTTGATTGTAGATTGTATAAGAATGATCATTTTGAGTCTTCTGGTTTCGTCGCTGGCTATAAGGAAGGCGGACGTGATTATGTCGGTAGTGGTAGATATGATGCCGGAGGGGTTGAGACGAAATGCTGGTGATAGTGATGAGAATGAAGCTGATGAAGAGAGGGTAGATGGATGAAGAGGGAAGACTTTTTTGGGGAGGATGCGTCACTGTGGTAATTGCTTCCAATCCACCTGGAGGTCGTAATTTTAAGCCCAGTGTCGTCTGACTGTCAGTAGAATTTGGCGCATCAGTCACAGCTTGGCCGGCTTCGATGGTATTAGTGCTGGTAGCGGTACTATAGCACTTCATAAGGATATATCCAACCCGTAGATTGCTTATCTTATCAGGTGCACCATGATCCCAAAACTTCTGCAGTGTCTTTTTGTCCGGAAATAAGACCAAGGTCCATCCAATGATGAGAACCTGAACACCTACGGACCTGGGAAAGGCTAGACGAATACATTCGATGGTTTCTACCGAAAGAAAGCTCCGATGATTGATATTTGGGGGCGGATGGGATGAAATATAAGGGCGCTGAGACTGAAGTGAGAGCACCTGAGCAAAAGCAGCAGGCCGAACAAAGCTGGGGTGCAGTATATAGTATATAGGAAAGTAGTATTATAACCGCGGTAGTGTGTGTGATGATGTGTATGGTGATGAGACAAAGACAGCTTGAAATCAAAAGAAAAGTAAACTATGGTACCAATATTTCCAACTTCAAAGTAATAAATCAATCCGTATCTCTACTCCGGGTTAAATCAAAATGGTTGGCACCTTTGACAGGTTGTTGTAACACTTGAGATTTTGGGCTTCATGGGCACCTGCCAGTTGCAATTAGGTTTGCCAATTCACCCAGCATCGTCGCTTCCTGGATAATTGCAGCTTTGTTGATTGACATCTCTCAGTTCATGAGTTCCATTTCTTTCTTCTTCAACTTTCTTGTACGCAGCATCCCAACTTTTTGCTAGCAATTGTCATGTCTAGTTTTGAAAACCCCTAGAGACCGCGCACACCTTCCCGGACCCGAGAGTTGGTAAGGTCCGATCCGCCTACCTCGCAAGCTTTAGATGATCTTGTCCTGGATTCCAGTTCTATAGTTCATAATTTGGTTAATTTTTCATGTGATTTTCTTTGAGTAGAAGAATGGAGATATTGAAGACATGACCGTGCACACCAAGTGGGCCAGATCTTATCACTCGGCATGCCGACTAACTCGGCACCTCTCCGAAGGGCCCGCCGAAAGTCGGGACTTTGAGCCCCACTGTTGGGTCCAACAAAAAAAATCCAAAAGACCAGGATTCAGGATCGGAGCTGGAAAATCCAGTTAAAACAAGCTAGTGGGGTAGACGGTTGGGATTCCTGTTCTTTGGATTCTTCTTCTGCGAATTTCAAGTTACCTCTTCATTACTTCTGGGCCCTACAACCCGCATACAATATTTGAATCTACGAGCTTCACGAAACTTCCGGGATTCCACTTACCCGCATAGTACTGTGCGTTAGCTTATCGGCACTTGGGATCGACGAGTAAGAATGCAATGTCCCGCATATAAGCAGCAATGAATCGATTCTAACATTGCCCTAGTTTATTAATCTCGACAACAATATAGACATACGCAAATATACCAAGAGCTAGTACAATGGCCGCTCTCCCAGTCGCAACAAGATGGTTGCTGCGTCCATCGGTAGCATCTTTCGGCAAGACCCTCTTATCAACAGGGCAAGTCGCCTGTCTACACCAACAGGGACCCTCACGGTCAGCCGTAGTGCACGAGCAAGCACTCCCCCAAACTGAGCACCAAGTGTCTATTCCACAAGCAGAGAAGCTTAAGAGCTCACAACCTGGAACCTCAAACAACGTTGATACCCTCATCTCCCAAATTCCTCTCGTCCAAACACTCCGACAATCCCACAAGTCCTACAAAGAATCCCGTCCACACCTCGCTATTCCACCAGCAATCCGCCAACACCATTTCGTCGGCGGTAGTCTAGCAGGCCCGGGAAAACTAGCATTAGCACCATACATGTGGACCACGTCACGGAAAGCCGAAACAAGTGAATCATCGAAGTCGGAATCAAGAAGCAAAACCGAGACTAGTAGCGTTGTATCCGTTTTCCACATAGGTCGCGACCTGTGCGGACATCCAGGCTTTGTGCATGGTGGTCTTCTATCTGTTTTATTCGACGAGGTGTTTGCGCGATGTGTGTCGGCTGCGTTCTCCAGTGGGCTTGGTATGACTGCGAACCTGAATGTTGATTTCCGGAAGCCTGCACTCCCGGATCGGATGTATGTGCTCCGCGCTGAGACGACGAAGGTCGAGGGACGGAAGGCTTGGGTGGAAGGGAAGATGATTTGTCTTCCGTTAGCTTTGCCTTTGTCTCATGGAGTTTCTGGCTTGGCGGCAGATACTGGCTTGCTGTCGGAGGAGAGTGAGGGGGCCGTTATGGTTGCCGAAGCGAGAGCTTTGTTTATTGAGCCTAAGTTCGCGGATGTGAGTTGTTCAATAACGCTGTGATTATTATTTTGTCCTAATGCTAACTGTTTTGCCAGTCGATGGTTTCTGTTTATCGTACCTGAAACTCTTCATGGACATTGGGAGGGAGTCTGATATTTTGATGATATTTTGATTTTGCGTATAGACATATAGACTACACATACTAGAAGAATAGACTTAATTTAGCCTGTTGGCAAATGAAATGTATAGAAGAAAGATGGCTTTATATTGAAGACCCGGCTATTCAAGGGTAGTAGACTGTACAAATAGATGTGATAAATATTGATATAGGATAATTGCTAAGACTGGCAACCCTCAGTATTCTAGAAGTTCAAGGGATCAAGGTGACCCAAGAAAGAATCGTTGCCCTCGCCACGAAGCAGGGCTTCAATATCAACACGACCAGCAGTAAGATAACGCTCACTAACACCGATATTGATACGTTGTGAGAGGAGGTTCTTCAACTCAGCCCGAAGTCCAGCCAGCTCACCCTTGGTGATACTGCTAGCCTGCTTCTCACGCTGGAGTCGGCCACCACCACGACCACGACCCTTGCCCTTTGATTCATCAAACTCCTCACTATCATATTCGACTCCGAGATCCTCAGCCGCAGCACGCATCCAGTTGTCGTCAGCAGAAACCTTCTCCTTGGCAATGTTGGATTCGGTGATGCGTTTGGCGAGGTTGATACGGGGTCGGATACGAGATACAACACGACGATCAATCTCGAGGGATTCCAGAGGCAGTTTCTTGGAATTGGCACTTTTGGCGTGTATCTTTGCAGCCAGACGAGCTACACTAACGACTTCATCTGGAGCACAAATGAGAATACTTTTACCCGAGGCGCCGGCACGAGCAGTACGGCCAGATCGGTGAACATAACCATCAGCTGTGCGAGGCGCATGGTAATGGACAACGCAGTCAATTCCCTTGATATCGAGACCACGGGCCGCGACATCTGTAGCGACAAGGATAGAGCTAGGGTCTGCGGTTGGTGAGGAGAAGCGCTCCACGGAGCGGAGTCGGGCTTTCTGCGCCATGCCGGAGTGAAGGGCAAGAGCAGGAAGCTGCAAGGATTGCAGTAGTTGAGTCAGACGACGGACCGCTGAAATAGAATTGGTGAATACAAGTGTACGATGCTTGGGATGGTAGAGCATAATTGCGTAAAGATAAAGGTCCTGTTATCGTCTTGTTAGTACGTTCATAGGTTGAACCTTTTTGGGATTGGGCACTCACCTTTTCCATTGCAGGGCACTCGACAATACCCTCCTTTAGCCCTTGAGCCATCTGCTGTACGGGATTCACATCGATAAATCTAGGCTTCTCTTCCCGGAAATTGAGTTTCTTCAGAAGATACTCCATAGACTCCTTCTTATCCATCAAGTCTCCTGCTGTCCAGCGACTTTTGCCGGCAAGTTTCTGTTGGAGATCACGGTGGAATGTAGCTGAGAAGACAAGGGTTTGGCGTGCCTTAGTTTCCTCATCTTTTTCATCTTCTTCTTCCTCTCCTTCGTTTTCTGGGAAATCATTGTGTTCCTGTCGATCTAAGGCGCCAATAATTTCTTCTACCTCCTTGAAATGACCTTCACTGAGCAATCGATCGGCTTCATCGACAACCAGGAACCGAATACGTTGCATCTTGGAAATCAACCCTGTTCCAGTGCTGAGAATCTCCCATACACGCCCAGGCGTACCAACAACAATATCAGCATTGGCAAGCTGTCTTTGTTGCTTTTGAATCGACAGACCACCTGTTACAAGGCAGATTCGGGCGTTTGTATCAGGTGAGTTCCCAGTTAAGTCTCCAATGTGCTTAGCCAGTTGATGGGCCAACTCTCGAGTAGGTGATAGAATGAGGGCCATTGGGCGTGCTGGGGGCTTCTTAGCGGAGTCATTTGTCTTGCCGCGCTTCTCTAGCCAATGCTCAAGAATGGGAATACCAAAGGCAAGCGTTTTTCCTGAACCAGTGGAAGCCTTTCCAACAACATCGTGACCGTCCAGAATAGCTGGGATACAGGCTTTTTGAACCTTAGTTGGGGTGGCAAACTTCATCTTCGAGAGGCCAGTAAGGAGCTCCGGCGACAGACCAAGAGAATCCCAAGCTGATACATCGACTCCATCATCATTGCCGTCGTCCTCAAGCGCTGCAAACGAAAGCGCTGTGAGGTCAGCATTTTGTTTGGAGTTTTGTTTGGGCTTTGAATTCTTGGGTTTTGTTTCTTTTGGTGTGGCATCCTTTTTGGTGTCCTTCTTCTTGGGTTCCTTGGTTTCCTTCTTCTTGGGCTTTTTATCTTCCTTCGGCCCTGGAGCGGCTTCTGGAGCGACTTCTCGAGCGGGTGCTGGGGTAACAGTCGTTGGGCCTGTCGCTTTATCGGTAGACTCTCCATCACTGAAACCACCCCATTCTTCAAATTTGGTTTCTTCGGCCGTCGGTGTCCTCACGATAGATTTCTTCGGCTTCCCTGATTTCGCCTATCGACATTACCCGTTAGTACATGCGCATCCAAACATGATGTAGTGTTACATACCTTGAACTGAATCTCGCCCTTACCGTTTGGACGAACGACTTCCACATCATCAATCTCCTCCAGTCCAAAGAATCCCTCTGCATCGGCCATGCGGTCGGGCATGGCGACTTCCTTCCAGTTCAATTCGTCAATGCTAACCATGCCGTCCCAGGAATCATCTTGGGAGGCTTTTGCGCCCTTACCGCCCTTTTTGCGCTTTTTAGCGTCAACAGCCTGAGGCTTCGAGTCATGTCCTCGCTTTTGACCCATGACGACAGAGTATCTTGCTTCAAAAAATCAAAAGAACGTGGGATTGAACGAGAATGCAGAGAGACACCCAGACAAGGATTGCGCAGAGAAAAAAAAGCGGCAGAAAGGGTCCGCCTTGCAAATCTTATCGCTTGGGCCCTCCCCACGTTGGATCGTTGGAATTTCCGCGACGGAACAAAAAAGACCCATCAATTGCAATCGTGCTTTATTAAAGCCCTTTTCCTGGTCCAAGATGGGAAAATCATCAAAAGACAAGCGCGATGCTTATTATCGTCTGGCCAAAGAGCAAAATTGGCGCGCTCGTTCCGCCTTCAAATTAATCCAGATCGACGAACAATTCGACCTTTTCGAACACGAGAACCCCGAGAAAGTGACAAGAGTGGTAGATCTTTGTGCAGCGCCTGGAAGTTGGAGTCAAGTACTTAGTCGTGTCTTGATCAAAGGCGAAAGTTTTGGGCGCCGTGCGTGGCTCGAGAAGAAGCAAAAAGAACAGCAAGCTTTACAGAGAGGCGCGAATCAGACATCTAGCGACGACAACGATATCGAAGGACATTACGAGATTGGAGAGTGTGACCCTAGTGCGGAATTGCAGCCTCGGAAGAATGTCAAAATTGTCTCGATCGATCTGCAGCCCATGGCCCCGTTAGAGGGTATTACCACTCTGAAGGCCGATATCACCCACCCCTCTACAATTCCCTTGCTTTTGCGCGCGCTGGACCCAGAAGCCTACGAATCATCCTCAATTTCCAACTCACCATCGAATACTCCCGCACCTATCAAGCAACCGCACCCTGTCGACCTGGTCATTTCTGACGGCGCGCCAGATGTTACAGGTCTCCATGACTTGGACATCTACATCCAGTCACAGCTATTATATGCCGCCCTGAATCTCGCCATCGGTGTCCTTCGCCCTGGAGGTAAATTCGTCGCCAAGATCTTCCGTGCCCGTGATGTCGATTTGCTTTACGCCCAGCTCCGCACTGTCTTCGAGCGAGTCAGCGTTGCTAAACCGCGTAGTAGTCGTGCTAGCAGTTTAGAGGCTTTTATTGTCTGCGAGGGGTTCATTCCACCAACTAATGGCGATGGTGTGGGTGGCATGGCCTCTTTGAAGAACCCTCTCTTCGGTGGCGCTGCAATTCCAAAGCCTGTGTCGGCAGATGGCAATCTCGCTGTTGAAGTCCGCGATGATGATGAAAACACACACCCTCAAAGGATCTTAACGCAAACTGTTGATCATGGATCTGATTCAAATCACCCTACATATACCAGTCATTTACATCCATCTACCTGCTCGATGGATCCTCCGTCGGCGCAGAAGGCACCATCTAAATTTGCTGACGAGCATCGGTGGATTCCATCGTTTATTGCTTGTGGTGACCTCTCTGCTTGGGACTCCGATGCTTCGTATACTCTCCCACCTGATTACGTTCATCTTGACCCTGTCCAGCCCCCTACAGCCCCTCCGTACAGGAAAGCTTTGGAATTCAAGCAGCAAATGGCTGGTATTCACGGCAAGACCAAGAATTTTCAATCGACGAAGGCATGATCGGCCAGGCGATAAAAAGAATGGATTTACGTATAGATGATCACTTATGATGTATAGGTAGAAAATATGGCGTTCTCATAGACTTGTTAAAGTGATTGAGAACTCTGGTTGATGAAGCGAAGCGGATACCCTACAAGCAGTTATTGGGCTGTAAAAGAATCAAAGAAACAGTTTAAAAGACTAAAGGAATTATCTCTAGGTTGAGAAAAATGTTGTATGCTCGTAATTATCACTGATGCATTTTCAAGTTCTATATACAACTTGCGCTAGTGCAAATCATAACGATCTAAAGAGGGGGAATAGACAACGTGGGGGACATAAGAGACTATAAATGCAAATCATCAAATCCGGTCAAGCCATTGGCTTAAGTCTAGTAGACCTCCAGAACGTAACGCTCCTCATCCTTGAGCTTTTCAATCTCCTTGCGGGTGTCAACCTTCTTGCCGTTGGCCTTGGCCTCAGCGCCAATCGCCTCCTCAAGCACAGCTGTCACATCGGGCACGGGCCAGGTGGGTCCACACAGGTAGAACGCACCATCCTCTTGGATGTACGCCTTGCGAATGGCATCCAGACTCTGGCGCATGCGGTCCTGAATGTAAATCTTCTCGGGCTGATCACGAGAGAAAGCAGCACCAAGCAGAGTGATGACACCGGCTTCTTGGTAGGCTTCCCACTCTTCACCATAGCAGTACTCCTCGCGCTGGTGACGCGAACCCATGTACAGAAGGACGGATCCAATCTCCTTGCCCTGGGCCTTTTCGAGAGCACGGTGCTGCACGAAGGCACGGAAAGGAGCAAGGCCAGTACCCAAACCAGCCATGATGAGGGGTTGGGTGGATAGTGGTGGCAGTTTCATGACACTAGACTTGACGCTGACGGTGATGGGAGAACCAACTCGGAGACTGCTCAGGTAGCGGGTTGCAAGACCGAAGCGATCCTTACCACTTGGCGAGGCCCAGTTGACGGCGACGATCATCAGTGCGACGCTGTTGGGGGTCACCTTCTGGCAAGAGGCGATGGAGTACTCACGACGCTTCAGAGGACCGATGATACGGACAATCTCGTGGAAGTCGGGGTGAGCAGAGGGGTACTCGAGGAGAATTTCAGCGAAGGTGACAGTGTCAACCTCTGCGCGGCGCTTGAACTCGGTGGCACCATCAGGGCCTCCCAGGGTTCTCAGCTCGGTCTTCTCCTTCTCATCAGTGGCGTACTCGGCGAGCGCTTCGTAGAAACGCTTGGGTGGACGACCGAAGATGTCGACGTTTTGGGTCAAGGCCTGGTAAACAGTGCGGTTCTCAAAAACGTTGGGGTCCTCGCGGCTAGGGACCTCGACGACAGCATCGGCATCAAGTCCGTAGAAGGCGATGAATTCAGAGACGTCGGCAGGGTCATTCTCGGCGTGGACACCAAGGGCCTCGCCAATGTCGTAAGTGAGGCCAGTCTCGCCCAGATCGAATTCAATGTGGAAGATGTTACGATCATAAGTAACAGGAGTAAGACGGCGGTTCTCCTTGACATGGACGGTGAAGGTCTTGGTTGCCAAATCGGGACGGAGGGCGTTGTGGGTGCCGAAAGCCTCCTTGAATGCCAGACCAGTAGCGGCAGTCTCCCAGCCTCGAAGGAGAGTGGGCTCCTCGGTCTCCTCCTTGTAGAATGGCGAGAAGCTGTTGACGGAGATGTCCTTGGGAAGCTGGGTCGCCTCGCTGACACCTTCGGGTTCCTTCCAAGACTCAGGAACTTCGATCTGACGAAGAAGCTTGTCAAGGTCCTTGGAGACAGTCTCAAGGGCCTCGGCATTTCCTGTGACGGAGGACAGCTTCTGCACAGCCAAGCCCTCCTGGGAAGGCAGAGCCACACGAAGGAAAGCAGCCTGCAGAATTGGCTCGTTCAGAGAGGCATCCTCGCTGGCGGAGGAATCAATAACGAAGAGTGAGATTCCACGCTGGGCGATGGTTTGTCTGAAGGTAGCGGGCAGCTTCTTCTCGAGATCCTCGTTGGACACGCCAGGAGCGCTCACAATGACCTTGCCATTGTCCTTGACGGACGCAAGCACATCAACGTCACTGAGCAGAGCAATCTTTCCAACGTAGGAAACGTCAGCAGTGGTGATCGAGTAAGGAGCGTCGACAATCTTGGCGCTCTTGCGGATATCGACACGGATGGCACCACCTTGGACCAGGTTGTCAAGAGTCTTGCTAGTGGTAACATTGCTGGCAGAGTCAGCAGCGAGAGCTTGGCTCAGAGCGCGGGTAGCGTTTTCAGAGACAGAGTTGTCAACATCCCAGAAGGTGTATTCCTGGACATTGGCGGAGTCGAGCAGCTGCAGGGGGCTGGTCGCGTTGATTGCATTGTCGATGGGCAGAATGGGCTTGTCGAAGATGCGCTGGAAAGCGGCAGCAGTGGTAATTTGGTCCCAAGACTGAGAGCGAGGGTACTTGATCTCAACAACAGAGGGAGCATGTTCACGGCCGGTGGCAAAGGCCAAAGAAGCCAGCACATCCTCGTAAAGGGCAGAGTGAACGGCTTCCTCTTGGACTGCCTGCTCATCTACGACCTGGCCAAGAACACCGACAGTCTTGGTAGACTGGGGCAGCACGCGCAGGAACTCTTCCTCGACGAATGGGCGGTAAACACGAACATTGACAACACCGATCTGAACACCGCTCTTGGCCAGCGAGCGAGCGACCTGGGCGGTAAGAGTAGCCTCAACAGTACCAAAGACAACAAGAACGGAAGTAGGCTCGGCATGGCCGTGGTACTCGAAAGCACCGTAGTCGGTGCCAAGCTCGCCATTCAGGGTCTTGAGAAGATCCAAGGCCTTGCCTTGCGAATCAAGGTGACGGTTGCGGGAGTCATCCAGAGTCTTGCGAACTGTCTCATAGGTACGAGCAAGGCCAGCCTTGTCAAGTACATCAATGACACGGGTGTTCTCACGGCCGACACGGACACCATCATAGATATGGATGGACGGCAGGATAGATGCCAAAAGTGTGGTGAACAAAGCCATGTGCTGAGACTCGTGGGCAGAGCCACTGGAGACAAGACCGAAACCGAGGTCCTCAGCCAGAGAAAGGGCGGAGGCATAGTCGGACACAAGTCCGTCTTCACCGGCATAGTCGACGGCGGCAACGTGAGCCGCCACCGGGCTCGCCACAGAGTACAACAAAGAGAGTTGCTCAAGGGCAGAGCGCATATAAGGGAGGGTGGCTGAAGAGGCAACGATTCCCTGAGGAACATGGCGCTTCTTCAAGTCGAAGTCCTGGGAGAAAAGGTAACCCAGAGCCATGTTGCCGGCACCCTGACGGGTCTCCATGGCCTTGACAACAGGTGATTCCCCATTGGCGTTGATTTCTTGGGCCTCAGACCATTGGCGGAGCGCGGCATCGAGGTCGAAGGACTCGGGGGAGTAGGAGAAGATCTTGTCACTCAACAAGTAGGCAACTTGTTGGATCAAGTCCTGGGCAGTGACATATGTTGGCCCCGAAAGGGCCGACAGGGCAGGGTTTGAAGCACCCATTGTGGTATGAAATCTTGTCTATATATCAGAACGAACAAGACTGATATAAAGGTGAGTTACAAGAAATCAACCACCCCAAACAATAATAATGTGGAGATGAAGGAGGGGAGATCTCGACCGAAAACCTGCCGGTATATACAATAGAAACCCCAGGGCATGCTTCCATTTTAGGGTTAGCGTGAATCACGCAATCACGCAATTCTCTTATCGATTAGCATCTCGGGCGGCCTCCGATGGCAAAAAACGTGAAAAATTCCGCTTCAAGAAGGATGACTCAGCAGACCCAAATCACCTCATTTGGAGGCCTGAGGCAGAAACATACCGCCTGACTAAAGGTACACAGCGACATCGGGATTGGCCAACTAGTGGAACGAATGTCTCCATCAATATGTGCAACTTTACATTGTGCACATGTGTAATTCTTTGATAGTGTTTATTTATACTACATGCCTATTTCCACATATGTGGTGTTTCTCCTGTCCCCAGTGCGGCTTTCCTATATGAAGTCCTGGCGCTTTTGCATTCCCAAGACCAAAAGAATACACTTGCACAAGTCGCAACATACTCAGCTATGGATAGAGTGAGGTCCTTGTCAATCTTATTAAGTTCAAGTTACTACCAATCTAGCGCATAATGACTTCAAGTTCAAGCTAACTCTCTATCAGTTTCACCGAGCAGAATAAAGACAAGGTACAAAGGAGCCTAGGTCTATTGCGCTGAATTAGGTGCTCATTGAGGAGTTTATTTGCTAGTATATCGAATAGTTCTAGGGAAGAGTTAGTAAGGATGGCCAGTGGTCAAATCTGGGTTGTCGTTCGTTCAGGTTGGTGGGGCCAAGGATGGGGGCCTAGTTAGCCGGCCACCGGACCCACATAAACCTTCCCTCAGCCATGTAAACAAATGCATCAACGCCCCGACTCAGAGAGCTTCCTTGAATGTGTCAATGTATTTTGAGGTTTCTGGTTTTATTTTTGCTACGTCTCGCAATGGCTCTACAAATCGAGTTTTTACGAACAGGAATCCTGCAAATGGTTCTACAACACTTGTCCACGGATGACCGCAGCCTTCGCGCCTTTGCATGTGTGAATCGGATCTGCCGCATAATGGCATCCCCATTGATTTATTAGACCCTGAGAATCTAGGTAGATCCAGGGCATGTTTTCTTTCCCCCCCAGCCTCTATGAAGAGATACAGAGCCCCCAAGGACCAAGAAAGCTACAATATGTCAGATGTCTCACGATCTACAAAGCTCAAGAAATGTTCAGAGCGGATTTCAGTTCACCATATTCAACTTACTACACCGTCCCTCAAATTTATTTTCACAGTGAGATGCCCAGCGCGCTGTATGGTTGTTGGCTATTTGACTAGCATAGCTTTACGATCTCTGAAGTGACATGTCTAGTATTTAGAAGCATTCAATTGATAACTCATATGCATCTTGACCAGTTTCTCAAAGCTTGACGCCCTCAATGAGGTCAAGGTTATTGTTATCCCTCGGGTAGTTAGGGCCTACAATGAAATGGTGATTATTGATAACCCTCTAAGCCTATGCTAATAGTAGGTTTATTAAAAGGTACTAGTAATTCTAGGTAACGCCTTCATTCGAAAACACTAGAGATTCAGAAGATAACCCCGGACAAGGCTTTGAGTTATGTAGCCCATCATCGTATCACTTTGTTTGAAATTCTTCCAGTCCCTCAAAAGCCATAAGCCCCGTTCCCTCGACACAACCTACATACTCACACTCTATTTCATCCGGCTTCAGTATACTAGTCTCTGCCCACAAGCAAATTTTGGCTTTATCTTGCAAGTAACCACCAGGGCCATACGCCACCATAAATTGCGCCCGTAGCTTGACATGCTCAGAATGTTGCTTGCCCATACTCAACATGTGCCCCATATCAGTAAAATAAAAGAATTGTACTTTCCGGTTGTACTTCAATTGTGGTATATTTTCCGGCCCATTGCAGTGGAATGGCCCACTCACCGGATCGTAACAAAGTCGTGCATCGAGAATACCAGATTTAGGGTCATGGGGGCCAGTGGTGATTAAATCGGTAATCCACCGGTTTACTGGCACACTGAAATGCTGCTCCCAGTATATCCTTTCTTCCGAGGATACATGTGTGTGGTCTTGACCTTCTACAACAAAACAGAGGTTGTTGGGGAAATGGTGCATGTTGACACGGCCGTGGCGGATTGCTCTATCTCGCACCGGCGGTGACGAGGATGCTAACGAGGATATTGAGTCGACTTTCGACATTCGGATTCCCTCGGAGCGGCTGAGCGGTCGGTCTAATGATGTCTTGAGAATTTCTCTACCTGTGGTAGATGCCGACATGCGATGATAGTAGCAGCCCCAGTATCCGGATTTGTCTGCGATGGAGACACGTGCACCTAGATAGCCAAGGCCAATAGGTCCCGGTGCATGGTTGGTGCCATGCTGAGTACGACTGCTATGAGGGGAGATGATCTCACGCCACATGCCGGCATCATCGGGCAGCGAAGTCCAGAATGCTGTAACATCGGGTCTTGTCCACCAGGCTTCATAGGCTTGTCGTGTAGACCAATGGACGAGCCAGACTTGTGTTCGGCCGGGGTTGGGTGATGCACCCCCGTCTTGAATAAGACGATCTAAATATGTGGGAAAGTCTTGCATCAAGCTGTCAAATTGCTTGATGAGGGAGGATTCCTTTTCATCGGGATATTCGCTGTGGAGTTGAATACCGTAGAGAGCGTAGACGACCGTGTCGAAATCAAGCTTAACGCCCCACATTATGACGCGATGGTCTTCAAGTTCAGGTTATAGAAGGGATATAGGAGGTTAGTATAGGAATTCAGAAGTGATAACCTTGGAAGGAGAGGAATAGTACATGACCAACCTTTATACCCTTCAACTTGAAGTAATGGAATCATCGCCACATGCGGAGACGAAACTTCCGCAAATTCGCTTGATGGTATGATAAATCAAATAATTTATTCTTATCAAATGCCAGAAATTGTCTTTTTCTATCTCCATACCAGATATCACCAAGCTCTTCATCCTTTGTCTGCACTATCATGCAGAATAATTCCTGTTCGTGGTTGCGGAGGTATAGAGCCCGCAAACTGTAATCGAGGTACCAAGAAAGTCGACAGATATGATACATACTCACTAACTCAATCAATCCAATTGTATAATAGCGATTGGTCATAATGCATCGCAGAAAGTTTGTATCATTGTCTATCAGAATGCCAATTATCGGCGGGCTTCTTATCATTTCCCCGCACAATCATGTGGGGTATTCCCGTTTATGGTTGCGGAGGTGTAGTTTCCGCAAACTCTAATTGCGATACCTTGATGACAGGGGCGGGAGATCAGTAGATAAATGCATATATATAGTCAAATGTATGATGCAAAAATCGAGAACTTCACTCAAATCTTCTTTTACTGCATTCACATCCAACTATGTCTATTTCCAACGTTCGCGTCGCTGTCACTCAAGCTGAGCCCGTTTGGCTAGAACTCAACGAAGGCGTAGACAAAACGTGCCAGCTCATCACTGAGGCAGCTAGTAATGGTGCTAAGTTGATTGCATTCCCTGAATGTTGGATCCCAGGATACCCGTGCTGGATCTGGTAAGTGCAAACGAACATGAAAAGAGAAGAGATAGCCACCCTCAATGTATCATGATGAGATTGAAATTGCACATGAAACTGAAAAAAAAAGAAGCTAACTCTTCTCCTGAACTAGGACTCGACTGTTGGATGTTGGATTGAACGTTCGCTATATCAAGAACTCTCTCCGTCGGAATTCTCCTGAGATGGAACGTATCCAGCGTTGTGCGCGAACCAATTCTATCGCAGTGTCATTGGGATTCTCCGAGAACTTTCACGACTCGATTTATATAGCCCAGGTGCTGATTGGCCCCGACGGAGAGATCCGGGCGCATCGCCGGAAGATGAAGCCCACGCATATGGAGAGGACGATCTTCGGTGACGCTTCTGGAGACTGTTTCGCTAGTGTGGCCGAGCTGCCATTTGCAAGGGTCGGAGCGCTCTCATGCTGGGAACATATCCAGCCGTTGCTGAAGTATCAAACCATGTCTCAGCATGAGGACATACATGTGTACGCGTGGCCAAGTCTAACGCCTCATTCGGGCGGACAGGATCTCTGGTCGATGTCTGCAGAAGGTGTGATTTCCTCTCATCTACCCACTGTGACAGAAGGAAGATGAAATGCTGACTGTGAGATGTAGGATGTCAAGCTCTCTCACAGACTTATGCGATAGAATCGCAGTCTTTTGTTCTTCACTGCACGGCATTAATCACGGAGGAGGGTGTGAAGGTGATGGACACCTCGACGGGAGCATTAATGTCGTCTCCTGGAGGTGGAAGTTCGGCAGTTTTTGGACCCGACGGCCGCCGACTCACTAAGCCAGTCGATTCAACAACTGAAACAATCATCTATGCGGATCTGGAGTTGGATCAGATCATCAGTACCAAGATGTTTGCTGATGGAAATGGCCACTACAGCCGTCCTGATCTGATGAGGCTCAACGTCTCTACCAAGGTCAGGAAGATGGTTATCGAGGATGATCAGGAAGATATTGTCGATGTATCCACAGTAGTCTAGCCAATCTTAATTTAAGTTGTTCATTCATGTTGTTAGGACTGTCTCTCGGAGTTGTTTTATCCAGTGAACAGCCAATTCAAGTCACCCATGTCATTGATCTCAGGAAGGTAGCCGGATATGTTGATATCAAAGTTGGGGGCGGCGGGTTGATGTCCCTCGATGAAATCATAGTCCTGTTCCATTTCAAGGCCAATTCCCATATTAAATAGATCGTGCTCAGTGAAGACATCAATGTTGGGTGCTTGCGGGTAGCCAATATCAGTGTATATGCTTTCTCTCGAGGTACCATCCAACCCAGTGGTCTCGGTTTGGAATATGTGGACTTCTGGCTGTACGACTGACTCAACTCCCCATCTACCCGCCAGCGATTTTATCACAGCTGTGCTCTTCGCGCAGCGGACAGGCCACAATTGTTTCAACTCTTCTAACAAAACGAGACATCTTCGCACTGACCGCGTACTGTGCCGCCGAAGACCACGCGACTTAGAAGTTGTATTCATGAGGTGAACAATTGTAGCGCTTAACAGGTGATGAATCAACAGAGGATTGGCATGTTGGAATGTATAATGAAGCCGATAGAGATGAACTAGTCGGACCATGGACGAAGCTGCATTGCTGATCGATCGTAAAACGAGTGACATAGCATTGGACGCATCATTAGGTTGGTCTTTCACCCGGATCAACAGACGCAGAAAAGGCGGTATTGTAACCAGAGTCGCCATCTGATAAGCCATATGAAAGAGCAATATCGGTTTCGCTGTGAACCCACGCTTCATTCGGAGACGCGCGTCGCATGTTTTGAAGAAATGGCCTAGCTGGCCATGTGTGGACATGAGAAGTTCCATTTGAGGCGTCAAGCCGATATTATCAAAATTAGATGAAAATCTGGAGTCCTCGATAAGCCAAAGATCTAACTTGAACGTCATATGAATGGGAGAATAAACATACATCTGATCCATACTTCTATCGTGCATGTGCCATAATTTGCACTGCCACGCGAACGATATTTGTCCTAAGTCTTCGGTATCGGCAAAAATAGTTTCAATTGCAGGAACATTGACCCGACGCCACGGCAGGACACAATTGCGACCAAGAATAGAGATTGAGGTTCGATCGGTCATGTAAAAAGACCAAAATGTCTGCACATCTTCCGGGGCTGGTGCATTAATCTCACTTCCATGTCATCCGAAGCAAGGACGTGAAGCCGCAAATGAACAGCCATCCCTGCAGCCATGGAAAGAAAGACCCAACCAAAGTGGTCGCGGCCCAAGGCGAGTGATCTCCAGGAGAGGATGCACATACCCTGGATTGAATATATTGACGATGCATTTCGAAGACATGAAAAGATAAGACTTTCAGCGAATGCAGCAAACGCATCGCCAACTGACAATGAATCTTGTTCCTGTTCGAAAGTCGCACCTGCAGCTAGCATGGCACTGTGAAGAAATAAACGGTCCAAGGGCTGCTGGGGATAGTGGTGTAGAAAATCACTGGAGGTGTATTGGGTGAATTGATGTTCACTGTTAATGCAATCAAGAAACAGCCCAGCCAGTCGATATAGTCGATCATGATCTTCACAGGAGGGGGGAATAGGCGGCTGCAACTGCACATATGGTGAAATTGGAATGTATGTAGTAGAGTTTCCCAAAGCTTCTTCGTTGCCTATTGTTACAGCATCACCTAGATTGGTTCTCCACAGCATCACACTCAATTCCTCCATTGCCATGGATGATCTGTCACTGTCGATTGGAATCTTGGCCATAGGTCTTTCGGCAGATTTGGTGTCATTCTCCGAGATCGTAGATGTTGCTTCCTGAGAACGGGAAGCATTTTTCTGGAGGGCCAGAAGTGCTTGAACCTGGTCTTCCAATGAGCGCACGTAATCTTCGTCCCAGTATTTACGTCTGAGAACAGTCAATCACCATTTTTGACATGCAAGGTGGGGGAGTACTAGGAACTACATACTTTCGTGGCTTCATCTCTGATTCATACACGCATTCTTTGCCGCTCTTTTCGCAAGTTGAGCATCTTGGCCGTGTTTTGTTGCACTTTCGTGATGTCGCAATGTCAGCGCGAATTAGATGCACCAAACAGAACGGGGTTGCAGCTCACACGACGTTTGGAAGATCGACACGGCTGGCAAGCGATAGGTGCGAGCACCGAGCCCTGTTTATCTTGGGAAGCAATGTTCATTTTCCAGCAGCATCAAGCAGTAAACAGTCTGTACGACATATGCAATGCAATTTCTCGATGGGCGCGTAATCGGTATGGTAATGCTTAGTTAGGCGCGACTTGGTTTCAGAAACACCCCAAGTCTAAGATATCGAGGGAACCCAAGCTATTCGGCAAGCGGGTGACGCAGAAAAAGAGCTCAGGTGCTGTAATTATTTAGCACACCCGCCCCACATTGGCGCCGATCCCACGATAAACACTTTTGGCCTGAGGCTGTACCGCGGAATAGCGGAATTAACAGAAAAGGCTGGCTGAGGAAGGTTGTATGCTCATTCTGCTCACGTTCATTGTCTACCGTAACCCTACTATTATTATGAACATGACTCATGTATGTGTAATGGTATGTATTATCATAAGGATATATCATTCTTGCTTATGCTCATTTTAACTGTGCTTTTATATCAATGCAATTTTTGACAACTCGCCTGGAAAAAGAACAAAAGAAAAAGAGAGGGGGGGAACGGAACCGTAGCAACCTTTTAACTATGAAAACCAGTTCTGGAGCGCTCCACAAGTAATATCCGTGAAGAAAACTTTGGAGTGCATCAAACCCGTCTAGACCGAAGCACCGCCGTCCTTTACTTCATTTCTTGTTCTGAAAAAGCGATACGAGGCCAAACCCACAACGAAACAAATGCAACCTAGTTGAGGCATTAGTGATGGTTTTCATAGCAGCGTTATTTTCGAAACTGACCTAAAATCATACTCATACGGTCAAATCCAATCATTTCTGACAAAGGTCCCGCAAATAGTGGTCCCAGCATCAGTCCGAGATTAAACGCGACCTCGTTCATAGCAAAAACTCTGGAGCGTCCACCACGTGGGCCAAATATCTTGCGCTGCTTAGACTCATACTCTTCCAATATGCCTGTTTGTTCCAATGTTGTTAGTAAAGCATCCATATATATGGGTATAGTGGTTGGGTGCACTGACTCATCACATGGAGCATCCCTGAGCCTTGGATAAAGGGCAGGACAAGTCCCATGCCCACCATGCAGAAGATAAATATTTGTTTTCCATTTTCCTCGCCAGAGGCCCAGGATGTTCCATTCCCAGGAATACCCAGGAAAATCAACATAGGAGTCATGACCATCCATGCGATCGTAGTAGGATAACGAAGTCCAACAATGTCCCTAAGCCAACCCGAAATTGGCCCCAGGATTATGCTAGGGACGCGCAAAAGCAGGAACATTGTTCCAACGTCTAGCGGACCCCAGCCAAAAATTTCACGAAGGTGGACTGGTAGAGTAGTGTTCAGTGCTGCAACTACTACAGATGTTGTAACGCTGTTCGAAATACCGACAATGACTCGGATGTCTGCAAGCATTGTGAAATAAAACTTTGTTGCCGATGGAGTTTGCTCAACCTCACCATCTTTAGAATTGGGTTGTGTAATTGGTGAAAGCAGTGGAGAGCATTCCCTGTTGTTGCTGTCTGGTGTTGTTTCGTCATATTCAGGCGTCCCATCCCGTGCAGGTGTATCAGCAGAATTGAAATCCTGTGGTTCAATCAAGATCAACCATGCAATGATATCGAAGGCTAGAAATCCCAATGGCAGGCACCAGGCTGGCCAATACCCTGTCAATTCAAGTAGAGCTCCCGCAATCACGGGTCCTCCAACTGTGCCGGTCACGACAAGAGACATGCTTGCTCCCATCATCTTCCCCATATTTCCTTCTCCGGCATTTTCCACTAGAACAGCCAAACAGACAATCCATGCCGCTGCTCCTGCGCTTCCTTGAAGAACTCTACCTAAGATAAGCACCCAATCTGCAACGGAAATATCAGTATCGATTTATACAAATATCGCCAGAAGCAGATAGGTTAAAGACATACAAGCCGGTGTAGAAGCAACGAGAAGAGTTCCGACCAGTGCGACCGTGAGTGAAAGAAGAATTGGAGTCCGTCTACTCGATGTCTTATCGAGAAAATGGGCGAGAATTGGAGCGCACACCACAGTAGCGAAACCATGAATCCCAAGCAACGAAGTCGTCAGGTGTTGTGTCTGCGAAGGCGGATAATGCAAACGAACTTCAAGCATGTAAGGTAAAATTGGAACGACGAAGCCATATAGTAACACCTCTTATTCATCCAAGATGTGAGATACTTGAATTTTACCCCGCTAGGAAGGGTTAGAGATTGAGCTTACCTGTTAGCAAGGCGAGACAGGCAGTCCCTATTATTAAAGTGTGGGAGGAGCGGTATTTATGGCCTATCGGCTGGTTTGCAGGGGACCTCATTTTAGCGACAAAAGAGAGAGTTGTCAAGCTTCATTCAACATGTTATTGATAGGAAGCTATAGAAAATTTATCAGGATGTCGCAAGGGCCATTTGAGAAGAGTCATAAGCCTGGGGGGAAAATTTGGCTGTATCAAACGACCCCAAGCGCCCCCTCACCTACCAACACGAACCTACCCCGATTGGGTTTAGACTTTAGATCTACACTGTAGGTTTCGGGGTCGGTTGTTGACATGATCCTAGATCTCATTGACAAAGTGGGGATCTACAATGGCGAAGAATCGATCACAAATAAGTCCCATCGTATATGTGTCAATATTTACGAAGTTGGGTAAATGGTGAAAGCTACAGTGCAAAGCACGTTTGAAGGTTGGCGGGGCGGGCCCTCGGAGCTTCTGTCAACATCGACTCCCCGGGCTGTCGGTATTTGATATCCGCTTAGCACTGAGCGAGGTTGAAGATCCTAGTACCTAATCTGACAAAGTTTCGATCTTGCCTATGGCTAGCCTATTTGGATAGGTACCAGAAACCCTGGAACTCAACAGAGGGATAATTATCTATGCAGAACAAGAGTATGACTCAGCCCTGCATGTTATTAATTTATGCCTGAGGTGTCAAGGTGTCAAGGTGTCCAACCATGTGATGTCGCAGCGGTCCACCGGTCCACGGGTAGCAGCACCACCGAGCCTCGGTCGCAGTCAAATCACGTTGCGGAGAAGCTACCCCAGACCGTGACCCCCTTGTTGTCCGTATATGTACATAAATTGTTTTTAATCTCTTTCAATACAACGTTGCCAGGGTGCACATTCCAACAAAAAACAGTTCATCATCATCTTCGACAAAGATGGCGACAAATTCCGTCAATCCAGTTCCTTTCTCTGAGCCACCTTATCTACGTGGCCTACCCTCCCCATACATCACACCAGCGCATCGTCGCTTCCAGGAAGCATGCCGTAAGTTCGCATGGGAACATCTGATCCAACATGCACTCGAATGGGAAAGGGAGGGGACTGTGCCCGAACATGTTTTCCAGACCTTTTGCAAGCACAATATGTTATTGCCCAATATGCCATCTCCTCTTCCTGTGGATTGGCTAAAGCGTCTTGGGATCAATGATATTCTGGGTGTCAAGGTTGAAGATTGGGATTATATTTACACTGGAATATACTGTGATGAGGTGAGGAATATCACCTCTGGGTGGAAGACAAGCCAGCAAATTTTCGATATATGCTCAATTCATTTCTAGCTTGCTCGATCGGGTCTTGCTGGTCCCGGAGGTTCCTTGAATGCTGGGTTTGCCTTTGGAATCCCACCAATTGTCAAGTTTGGGAGCAAAGAACTGCAAGAGCGTTTTCTGCCTGATCTCCTCACCGGAAAGAAGCGCGCTTGTATTGCTATCACTGAGCCCGAGGCGGGTAGCGATGTCGCCAACATCGTCACTACTGCAACAAAGAGTGATGATGGCCAACACTACATTATCAATGGAACCAAGAAATGGTAACCACATCAAAAAAGCCATTTAATTCTAGATGAGCTGATAAAGGTTTAGGATTACGAACGGCATCTGGTCCGACTACGCGACCATGGCAGTACGAACCGGAGGTCCGGGTCCTACCGGTCTTTCAGTGCTAATTGTGCCATTGAAGAACCACCCAGGTGTCTCCATGCGCCGTCTTAAGGTCGGAGGTCAAAAGGCCGGGGGAACTACATACATCGAACTCGACGATGTCAAAGTCCCCGTCTCCAACCTTATTGGCAAAGAAGGTGAAGGGATGCGTCTTATCATGACTAACTTCAACCATGAACGCCTGATCATCTCGGTAGGCTGTACCCGCCAGGCACGCGTAGCATTATCCGCTGCATTCTCATACTGCCTTAAGCGTGAAGCCTTTGGCAAGACACTCATGGATCAACCTGTTGTACGACATCGGCTTGCGAAAGCTGGTGCCGAACTCGAGACTATGTGGGCTTGGGTCGAACAGATTCTCTATCAGCTAAATCATCTTAGTAAGGAAGAAGCTGATCGACAGCTTGGTGGACTGACGGCGTTGGCTAAGGCTAAATCTGCTATGGTGCTTAATGAGTGTGCCCAGGTTGCTGTTTTACTGTTTGGTGGAAATGGCTTCACTCAGACTGGGCAGGGTGAGCTTGTGGAAGGTATGTCTGCTTGTATATCCCTTCTTGATCGAGAACTACTAATTGACACCTGCCAGCTATCTACCGTGATGTTCCTGGTGCCCGCATTCCAGGTGGTTCGGAAGATGTTCTGCTTGATTTATCTGTTCGCCAGGTGGTTAAAATATATCAGGCTCAGGAAAAGAAGCTCGCTCAAAGCTCAAAGATTTAGAAACTTTTATTGTGAAACGCTGTTGATTAATATCATTATTGTCCGACCTACGGGCTACCTGGCATTGATATTCCAAGATAGAACAACTTCGATCTTTCTTAGTCATAAATTATTTTCAACTTGGTTATTCTCCTATCTTGGTGAATCTATAGATGCATATTTATGATACACAATTGGAGATGAAATCAAATTCTAATAGTTCCATGCACATTACCCGATCGGGACTAGCCCCGCAATGACGAAAGTGAGTGGAAGAGACGCAATCCTCCTGCCTCAAGTCAACTGCTTATCAGCCCCCAAGATCATCCCTACAACCCCTAAATAACTATTTCATTATGGCAAACGTCGCGCTACTCGGCTGCACAGGCATGGTGGTAAGTTCAAAATCTGAAATACACCACGCAGCCCTCCACTAACTCCCTATCTCATACAGGGCTCCCACATCCTCACCAGCCTAATTTCCAACGCCGGCATCAACCGAGTCGATACAATCTCGCGCAGAACACCACCCGCCGCCGCCGACGCCCCAGCCAAACTCACCACATTAATCTCAGACGATACCACCAAATGGGCCGCTCAACTCTCCGCTCTCTCCCCCACACCAGATATCTACATCACCGCTTTCGGCACCACCAGAGCTGCAGCAGGCGGTTTCGATAACCAATATAAAATTGAGCATGGACTAAATGTTGAGATGGCTCGCGCGGCGCATGAAGCAGGTACTAAAGTGTGCGTGATCATTTCTAGCGGTGGTGCGAATAAGGCCTCGGTTCTTGCGTATCCGCGTATGAAGGGTGAGATCGAGGAGGATATTAAGGCTTTGGGCTTTGAGAAGACGATTATTTTGCGCCCGGGTTTGATTGCGGGGACTCGTGAGGAAAGTCGTCCTACTGAGGCTATCGTGAGGTTTGTTGCGGGGTGGGCTGGGAAGTTGCATTCGTCTTTGAAGGATGGGTGGGCTCAGGAGAGTGATGTTATTGGTCAGGCGGCTGTTAAGGCTGGATTGAAGGCGCTAAAGGGCGATGTTCCTGCTGGTAGTGAGAGTTTGTGGCTTATTGAGGGGAGAAGTATTATTGATGTGGCGAAGAGTGATTAGTTTGGGCTTTTAGGCGGGATCGTGGTCTTCTTTTCTCTGATGGTGGCGGATGTCGATTGGTGAAACAATGCTGTTTTATTCCCCCAAATTACATGCATCTCGTTAATATTGATAATTTGTCTTTTCTTGACTTGAGTGGAGATCTCCGTCTCTGTTGTGTTCAGAGAGGTTATATAAATACATTTTACCTAAGGGTGTATCTAGCTTTATCATGATACTAGTATGTACATGGTTCTTTACACTCGTGGAACACGATGTGAAACCCCCAGCCCTCTATATAGGTAATGTACCTTTAGTATTCATCACCTGACAAGCCGACCATTTTCAAAGAATCTTCCCAAAGCCTAGCTTCATCTTCGATATTGTACGTGGAGCTCGAAGTCGTCCCAAAAAAGGGAATGCCATCATCCTCACCATGTGCAGCGACTGCGCAATCACTGAGGTAAAGGCCACCTTTGCCCTCTAACTCCTTAGAGACCGCAGCCCACAATGTAGTGGCTGCACCCTGTTCAAGTCTCTTCTGCAGCTTGAGCATAGCTTCATTTTGCATCATCGCACCGATCTCTTCTTTAGGTAAATTCTGAGCAAGACCCGTAGCGATGAGGCCAGGATGAAGACGAATTGCATGCAGGCCGTGAGAGCCATAACGACGCTCAATCTCGTTTGCCATGTAAATATTACCCAGTTTGGACTGGCCATATGCTCCCCATGGCCTATATCCGCCTTTCTGGAAATGGTAGTTGTCGGATGGAGGCAATTGAACGACGCGGTGTGCAGCCGCAGCCACGACAACGACTCTGGACTGAAAGTCTGGAGACGAGCCTGCCAGTAAGGCGGACTTGAGGAGGTTGAAGAGCAGGAAATGAGAGAGATGATTCGTTGTGAATTGTAGCTCGTGGCCGCTTTCTGCTAGTTGGAGATCTTGAACGGCCATGATGGCTGCATTGGTGACGAGAATGGTGACTTGATCTGTCTTTGATAAGATGATTTCTGTTGCTGTGCGGACACTGTTTAAAGAGGACTGATCCATCTCGATGAGGTCCATTGTATTAGGGTCGAATATGTCTCCTAGGGCTCGTTTTGCCTTGGTAAGATCTCTTGCCGTCAACAGCAAATGGGCGCCAGTGGCTGAGAGAGCTAGAACGGTTCCAATGCCGATTCCGGAAGAGATGCCAGTTATCACGACGGTCTTGCCTGCTAGCTTTCCTTCCATTGACTCGTCTTTTACTATCTGCATAGCTGTAGGTCGGCCATCACCGAGGCCTTGAGGATTGACGTGGACTGCAGCGTAGCGAGACATCATTTATATAACAAATTTTCAGATTGATTGTGGATAGTTGGGTTTAAGATTGAGCTGATATGATAGGAACAATTGCATTGTAGAATATTATTCTTATTAACAAGCATCTTCTTATATGTTTTGGCGGAGTTTGAATTGTACCGTATCTGATATACTGTATAGAAGCGTACATATGACCTTGAGAATTTTGGCTGACACTTTCTCCTCTTCTAGTTAGCTCTACACTACTGGCCCACTTTACGGGCTAATGTTGGGCCGTCTCCACCCCGGGGCCCGTGGAGCTTTCCGGGTGATCTATAATTTGTCTCCATGGCTGACATTTATTACCCATTACGGACTAGAGCGGGTCATCGACATTTCTTTGTTCTCGAATTCCACCCCCAACTCCCAGTAAATCTCACCTTCCAAGCAGTGACATCCCCTATCGATCTACCAGCCATGGGTAGTCTAGCTGCTCATGCAAGTATGCAAACAGGGGTTCATTTCAAACAAGTGGGGTCCCAGTAATACCCAGAAAGATGACAAGAACCTACGGAAGAAACTACAAAACAGAGCGAATCAAAGAGCACGCAGTAAGTAATTTTTAGAAATAATTCAAAATATTGTCGCATATATCAGAGGCTGATACGTATTCATACTTACTATAGGGCTCCGGTTACAAGCTGAAAACGCTGAACGAAATCCTTCAGGCAAACTTCCTTTCCAAGTTCGTCGTTGGAGACTTGGCTCCGATGAGCCACGGACTAGTCATGCAGAGCAGCTTGAACTAGATAAAAATCAGATTAATCGGCGGTATACACGTGGAATGCCGATACAAACGAGGGAGATAAACCCGAACTCCGAGTCTGACTCTGATTCGGACTCAGGGTCAATGTTAATTACAGAAATCCAGGACATCTCCCTCCTGATGTGATGCAATCGTATATCTCTCAAATACCTCGTTCTGCCGGACAACTACTATCCCTGATCCACTATAACGTATTTCGAGGTCTCCACTATAATAAATTTATACTAGGCCGCACGGTCGTCTCCTGTGAGCCCAGTCGGGAACAGATACGTTTCGATAGAGCATTCCCCAAAGCCGGAACATTTGTTCCCTTCTCACCGGATGTTCCGAAACTCCTGTGCCCAACAAAAATCCAAAGGGAGCGAATTCATTCAAGTTGGATCAATGTATTTCCTTTTCCTGCTATGCGGGAAAACCTTACAAGGTGGGAGACGTCATTCGATCATCCTGAGTTCTGTAGAGATGTTCTTGGCCCTCTGTTTGATACGAGGTACTGTCTTCTTTGGAAGGGAAGTGTGCCTGTTATGAGACCTGCTACGATGGGAAGAGTTACATCTGATGAGGATGATGATATAGATGATGGACTTACTGCGGGGAGACAGGGGTTTATTGTGTGGGGGGAGCCGCATGATTTGGATAGTTGGGAGGTTACGTCTGGGTATTTGAAGAAATGGGCGTGGACTATGCAGGGGTGTGATGAGTTGATAAGGTCAACCAATCGCTGGAGAGGAATTCGAGGTGAGGCGCCATTGCGATTTTCTTTGGAAGCATGCCCTGTGGGGGGTGAGCCGTACTAAGACATGTCGATTGAAATATTGCAACTCCGTTATTATTGGAAGTTTACCTGGTTTTTTATGTGGTGATATGTATTTTTCTGTCTATCTCTCCTTAGTTTATTGTTTTTGAGTTATGTTGTGGTTAATCTTTGAATACAAATGTTCTTAATCTGTCACTGAAAACAAACTTGCAGAAACCACTGGCATGCCAATCATATATATTTAAGTGATATTCTTATTTAAATACATAGTACCTGCGATCACCCGCAAATCCTGAGTATCAAGTCAAGTTACCGTATTATATAACGAAGGATTTAACAATGTAATGAAGAGACTAGAGGGTTCTCCTAAATGACCACCCTCTTTAAATACCAACGCAAACATTCAGTCCCGGTATGAGACATGAGTCCCGTCTTCTTTAACATGTATAGATCGTCCCTTCTTCGGACTTCCTTTCCCACTAATCGACGTCTTATCAGCGTTGCGATCCGGTCCTCCTTCTGTTGGCCTTCGCCAAGCGCTAACATCGGAATTGGCAGGGCTCATGTTCAATGGGTTGCCCTCTTTACCCTCGGCATGTTTCTCTTGCCCCGCAGCTTCAAGCTCGCTTTCTGGTGAGGTATTATGTGGATCATAGGCCGAGGGGTGGTGAGCAACTTCGCTATCAGTCCCGGACTTGGTAACTTCCGATCGTTCCGGGTTCAATTTCTCGCGCTCTTTGGAGTATGAATTCGTTTGGCCGGGTTCTTTCTGGAGTTGTGATGATGTACTGAAAGTGCCCCGCGTTGAGACAGACACGGGCGGTGTCCAGAGACCAGTAGATGGTTGGAGGTGGAGGTGGCGAGTCGTTCTGGTGGCCTGTTGGCCGTTGGAGATGAGGCTCTTCCACATTCTATAGACAGAATATAGATATTTTTTGTTGGTTTGAGACTTGCCGGTTGTCTTGTACAGTTGATAATTGAGGAAAGAGAAAGAGAAAGAAGATAAATTTAAAGCTACGAATCTTGAGACTGGATTTCGTTAAAGCAAGATATTTTCTGTGGAGTTGCCATGATACTACTGTGGTGCCCTGTTCAGCTTGACGGAGTTAATCATGTTGACGTCACTAACTAGAAGCCGCTAACCACATTCCGTAATCAGCTGTACAGAAGTACACAAAAGCAACAACACCAGAATTTCTGGATAAGATGGGGTTGTAAAAAGAAATGTGACCTGTACTATCTGCATGTTAGGCTGTGGGCTATTTATTTTGTTTTGTTTTTTTATCAATCAGGTTAATGGGCCAAAGCCAGCAAGGTACTGCCACGTCAACAGTGATACATCGGGATCAGCATCTCATCACAATGTATGAGATTGCAGCTTGCATAATCAATATTTTGATTGCTTGCCGGACGCCGAGTAATAAACTTTGCACCATGGATGGCGAATTCAATTCCGCGGAATGGGCACCGGGCACTGGTACATATGTTTTAGTGCATCTTGGTGATCGCCAGAAATGGAATAGATTCCTAGTGGAACCCGGGCACAAGGAAAATCTGAATGTCAGCAACATTAACCCAGAAGGGAACAGGAAGGGAAATGCGGATCTGTGCCAGGCTGGACATGTGCCAAAATGACATGCGGGAGCACCGAACGTCTCAGTGGGGAGGGATGGCACCTGGGCAAATGCAGATGCGAGGGGCCGCGTCGAGAAGGAATCCAATCGGCCAATGAACCATCGGGCCTAAGGTCGGTTCGGCATGGACCTCGATGTTATGCACCATTCGTTTTGGGATGCCATGGGTGGGGAAAGGCATTGTTAGCTGCATATTACCGACATCCCAGGCAGGGTCAATCATTGGACGCCATGCTTGGCTGCAAGTGAGAAAGCCATGTTCAGCCGACCAATCTGAGTGCGCTGACTCGATTCCAAGGCAAATGCCTTTTTACTCTAGAATCCTAAAGCTTTCAGAGCCGGCCACCATTTGTCAACTGGCAGAGATGCGCCTGGAAGGTGCGGGAGCCTCCGCTGGCTTTAAGATCACGGGATCAGAAAGCCCCAGTAGAGTGGGAGCGTTTATGCGGGTCCTGGAAATTCAATTTTAACGTTGTAGAACGGATAATAGGAGTCAACGGCACATGAAATTAGACCGAGGAGGCACTAATCCGAGCTTGAAAGTTCTGAAAGTCTTCTCGGCAACTTAGCACGTTGGGCAGGAATCAGTTTTTACGCTTTTTACCACTATTTTTGGCTCAGATCCTTGCCAGTGACAGGTTCCGAGCGGTGCAAAACAATGGCGGAATTGAATTCGGTAGTAATACGGGGCGAAAGGCAAAAGGGCAGGGGGGGTTGAGAACCTGATTCGAGAATCTCTGGGCTGATGCAACAAGCTAGTTGCAGAAATTAGATCAGTGCTCCCTCAAGGCAGTGCTCACTGAGGCTGTTCGCCTCTGGGCAGGGATTGCTGGGTGCCAACTCAACATCTGGCCATGGATGACCATCCCAATTTCTGACAGAAGACGTAATGAGAGCGGCCGACTCCGACGATCCTGCATCGTATCGCTGGGTATCCCCCTCAAGTGGATCGGTGCGCTGACTAGCAGAAAGGCAATGCAGCCACTTCCATCTTGAACTAAATGAGCTACCCTCCTGCACCAATTTCTTGGTGACAGGGATGAAAGCCAGGCTTTCATGTGGAGCTCCCCGATGGCCTCCAAGGGCGTTGCCGTCTTCGACCCACGGTCTACGAGTCAGCCTTCATTGCCAGGAAATTACAGCACCGAGCCAGAAGCAACGTGCCACGTCAGAGTCTCCGAACTTTAGCGCAGCTGCATGTGGTTCAGCAATATGTGGGAGGTGTCACGGTTCGTGTCTGCGATGGGGAACGCACGGCATCCAGGTCCTATCAATTTCGCCCAAAAAAGCAATCGTATGACGATGAACCATACACATGAGCGGGGCCAAATGCAGGATCCCTCCTCTGCAGCCGTGAGAGATCAGCTGAATGAAAATGGAATCAGCCCCGTTCAAACTTCGGATGCGCAATGCATCGAGCGAGGAGGAGAAAAATCCAATTCCGTGGCCCGTGTCCCTGGGTGCAGGAGGTACCAATAGTAGAGCCTCAGTGACGCGACTGTTGCCACCCGGGTAAGGGACCATTGGCTGACAAGCACGGAGCGGAAAGTTGCGGGAGGTGTGGAACGAAGACAAAGTCTCAATTCTGATATCCTTGCACAAGGGGCTCGGGGGGGCGAGATGATAGAGAGGGAGCACTAAGGCGGGTCGCAACGTTGTGCTGAAACCAAACGCCAATGCACAATATCATGGCTCGATGTTGTGGACGCCATGATAGAGCATCCATCGCCAGGGCTCGATGAGGGAGGGGGTAGTGATGCAGACTTCGGGATAGTGTGTATGCAGGCAATACCACAGACGGCAACGCCGACTGGATTTTGGTGTGGCTAGAAGACGTCTTTCGGGCAGAGAAGCGAGTCAAAGCTCACGATATTTGCTATATTGAGCCAATCAAAAGAGACAGCATCAGGCATGAATGGTAGATTGTATAGCATTACAAGTGGAGTCCCAGGGGACATGCAAAGTTCTGTCACATTTAGAAAAGATAATATCTTTTCTTTTGTTCAAAACAAGGTTATCCCTGGAAAAGATTGTCTGGGAGTTGCATCTAGCTGACAGCTGGCGGTGGGTGAGAGCAACTCAATCCTGCATGATCGTCTATGTGGGACGTAACAGCATCACAGGAGTCTGACTTTATGCGAACGATATGCACCTCAAGGGCGGGGAAAGGCCATCCGGCGATGGCATAGTTGCAGTAGTCGAGACTGGAAAATGGACAACTGCAGCCATGAATTGAGGGATTTTCCACGCTTCGTACATCATCATGGGGACAAAAATCGCCACGCCATGCATCTTGAAGCAACGGTTCATCCTTGGTGTGGCTCCATCCGGAGAGACTTGGTCATCTTACATTCTCCACTATCCAAAGAACTGCTGCCAGCCAACCGGATATGGTTTAACCAGGTTGCGATGTGAAATCCGATGAATGAAAAACACGGACGATAAGCCGTCCCGCACCGGTCAGCGTCGATCAGCTTGGAGGCCACGGTTTTTTGGGTGGCCACGGTTTTTGGGTGACAGACCACGATTTTCCGAGACCCAAGCGGTGACATGCAAATATCGACCGAAACATAAATAAGCCATCCGGTTCCCCTTCATGGTCGTATAGTTCAAAATCGTCACCCCGAGTTTCAAAATCAAGCCATCAAAACAGCAAAAGAGGTCCATAGATCTTCCAAAGAAAAAGCTTTTTTACTCATTTTGAACATTTGTTTCACTTCTCCGGGGATTTTCAAACCAATCTGTGATTAAAAGATCACAAGTTAGCCTATCAAGCCTGTCAAGCTTGGGCAGTCAAATAAAAACCAATCGCGCACCTTGATTTATTCTGAAACAACAACTTGGGTCCCGGAAGCAAGTAAGTTTGATCGGACCCGATTCTCGAACAGAGCTAATGCAATTCGGCAGATATGTGCTTTTACAACCAGAAACGCTTCTCATGTGGAGACTGGAGCTGGACCAGCTTCGCCCACCGATGCAATTACGAGTATCGCACAGGCGAAACATGCGGCATGAAACTCGTCAATTTGACCGAGAATGAAGCAAGCAACTGTCGACTTTGTGAAAAAATCGAGACCAAATACCGGCGGCGTAGCGCCGAGGTCGACCGGCTAGAAAGGTGGAAACGGGAGGGGGCCACTTTGGTTGCCTCGATGGACCGGTCTAAAACTCTCATCAAGGAGCTAGACAAGGAAATCTACATCTTGCAACGGGAACGGGAAGACAAACGAAATACCCTTCACAGGTAGAACTTGGCGGCGATCGGCCACAATTAGTGGTCTTCATTGAGCGAGCAACAAGTGCATTGATTTGACATTTCGGTTTCATGCTTTCCCCCTATATCCTGTTTGCTTTTTGGGGTCCTTTTTCTTTTTTTTCTCTTTTCATCGGTTGGAGGGATTATCTTCTAGGGCGTTTCATGTTTCACCATGCACAGCACATCGCCTGTGACATCAAGTCTGAATCGAGTTTCTGCAATGTAATGGCCTGTATGGTATAAGAGGGTCCGAAGAAATTGAGCAAAATTTTCTTATTGGTTGAGCTGCATTCTTTTTCCGAGCTCTATAGGCTGTCGACACCCAATGGATATATCAATGGAGCCTAGTCGTGTTATAAGCGCCGTGGGTTCTTGGGTGAGCGGTTCGCTGAGACGGACCCAGTCTCATGAAGAGGAAAGGGGGGCGTCGTCTGCAGATTCCCGCAGAAATATCACTGGAGCCTGAAGAAATAATGAATCGTAGCCATTCAATCATCCAGAAAAATCTTCAGAGCAAACACACTGGAGCTGAACAGAAGGATAGTTGGCCCCGCGAACTGTGAAACCCCCTCTTTGAGCGGGTCACGTGTAAACGAACTATACCGATTATGTAATCTTCGTTGTTTCAATTTGTGGCCCAACCACAACCAGCAAGATCTTCACGGAGGTTCAGTTGGGCTGACGCCTAAGTGGAATGGCATTGTTCTCGCATTGTTCTATGTGGATATTAGATTGAAACGTGTGAAGTCACTGACTCGGAAACCTCTTGAGATAAGATGAGATTGCATGACACAAATTTGGCGCATACTCGTTGCAAGGATCCATGGATGCACCTGGATAAATATTAATGGATCCAAAGTGTGTTTAACTATACAAACTAGTAGTATTAGACAACTTCAAATGTTGCCCAGGTGTTTGGACTTCAAGTGACTTTTCTCGATTTGTACTTACTATTAGCAGGTAGGGTTCACATAGGCCTTACTACGCCGGCACTTGTAAGGTCGAGTTGAATTGTATAATCAAAATCCTCAAGCTCGACAGCTGTGGGTGGCCTTAAACCCGTCCATAGTAGTAGTACTCCTACTCCAAGTCCGCTTTTTTAGTCTTCTCCGAGTCGGTTATCAGGAGACTGTAGACTGTACATCGTCGATTAGTATCGAGATTTAGATGGCTGAGATACAGGGAGTTATATACCATGCCAGCTTGACGCCTCATCGGAGAATTTACTTGTTTGTTGGCCCTGAACAGAACAATCGTCATGTCCACGAGGGGCCCGACTACGTGTACTGGTCTGTTTGATCCAACAAACATCGTCTGGTCGGAAGATACAGCTTGCGTCGGGTGTTAAGACCCAGCCGTTTGGTGCTTGCCACGTCACAAACAGCACCTGCTGCAGTCATCGCCAGCGAGATTTATCCAGCCAGATACAAATCGAGTACTGGCAGCAAGGGAGATAAGTAATGAGAAATAAATGCAGTTATTGATTTCCAAATTTATCTGAAAACACAAGCAAAGATATTAATCTATTTTATGTCACCAGCCTCAGGCTCGTCATCCACTTTGGCCAAACCTTGATCCCGTAGAAGTGCATCAATCTCATCTGCACTCCACAGGTGGTGGTAGATCTTTCCATCCTTGGTCTTGCCTACTGTTGCGAACTCGACTGAGGGAGAAGGAGCGGGTTAGCATCTGGCAATGAAATATACGGATATTGATGGGTTGGCAATAGTGTTCTGTGACTTACTCTTCTCACTGCTCAACTTTGTCGAATCCATGGTCTTGCTAAGAACCTTGACAGCCATGGCGCAGGCTTCCTGCAATGTCTGATCCTCCTTGTAGTCCTGTTTGAGAAGACTCTGTGCACTGGCATTGTTGGCACCGACACTTGTGGCTTTCCATCCACCGTAATTTCCACTGGGGTTGCTCTGATACAGCTGGAACTGGCGGAGATGATCCCATCCAGCATAGATGAAAGAAACACCGAACGGACGGAGACCACCATGCTGAGTATAACCTTGCTTCAAATCACACAGTCGGCGTACAAGCTGTTCGCAGGGGATGTCTTCGTTGTAGGTGAGGAGGTAGCGTTGAGCATTTTGCCGAGCGTAGTTGATCAAGATGTTGGCATCAGCGTTCATACCAGCTACAGCGCAAATCATGTTACTAGGATAGGATTAGCTTTATATCCCGCTGCAAACCACCCAAAAAGACAAAGCTTTTGAATCAAGTAATGATGGACATACTCGTTGATGGTGTAGAGCTTCTCAGCAGAGGTATCCTGTTCTAGCAGCTTGCTGGTCACCTTCCTCTCGGCAGCAAGGACAATTCCATCTTTGGCAAGGATTCCGAGAGCAGTACCGGCGTGGGAAATAGCTTCTAGTGCATATTCGACCTGGTAGAGTCTACCCTCCGGGGAGAAGATGGTGGTCTAACCCATCAGCGTCATAGGTTAGCGGGAGCTGGATTGAGAACAAAGGTCGGACCAAACATACCCGTGAATCATATCGCCGAGACATGGTGGATGTAAAGGATAACGCAGAAAGGCACTCAAGGCAAGGCAATCGGGAATATCGTGGAAGGAGAGAGTGGGGATGAAGGTAGGCTGAAGATGCGGATGGAGCTCCAGGAAGTTCCAGGCAACTCGCCCTGGCGCGTCCTCTGTCATCCGCCAAGCTCGGACCACCTCACCACACCAAAGCTTCATTGAAACTGTTTTATGGTAACGTCGGGGCTCTAAGATATAGATCTCTCTTTTTCTTTCTTTCTGCTTCCCCCCTCCCCGCAAATAATATAAGGTCTACACAGCAGGCGAGATGCTCAAATCTACATATACTCCACCACCTCCATTGCCCCCGGGATGGACTGAGCATCGGGCGCCCACTGGTACGTCTTGGTCTGAAACTCTCACGCAAAACTTCTCTAAAATGAATTGACAGGTCATTTGTACTATTACAACACTGCTACGAAGCAATCAACGTATACGCGACCTCAAATACATGCTCCTCAATCAGTGCCTGCTGCTCCATCCTATTCCCCCGAAACGTTACCACCTTTTTCCTCAACGCCGTATGGCTCCGCAGGTTTTCAACATGGCGGAGCGCAACACCACCAAAACCAGCCAGAGAACAGACATGGCCGCGGCGGATTCAGAGGTGGAAAGGGATACCAAGATCGTGATCGGCGAGAGCCTCAGGACCGACCAAAGTCCAAACATGTTATTCCAGACTGTGCGCCATGGGTACTTGTCAAAACTAAATTGGGACGGCGGTTCGTGCACAATCCAGATACCAACGAGAGTCTTTGGAAGTATCCTCAGGAGGTCTTGAAAGGCGTCATTGCGCTCGACCGATTGGAGCGCGAAAAGAAAGAAAGAATCGAGCGCGGCGAGGAACCGGAGCAACCTACAAAAGCAATCGCACCCACGGAGACATCAAAGCCAGACGTTGACGATACAGCTGCAAAGGATACCCATAAAGCAGATGAAGTTCAAGAAGGCGCAGAGGATAGTGACGAATATGAGGAGGTCGAAGTTACGGACAGTGAGGATGAAGATGGCCAGCCGTCAAAACGTACGCGAACCGAAAGCGAAGGACCGAGTAACCAGCCAGTTGAATTTACCGAGGAAGATATGGAATTCCAACTCGCTGCAATGGGCGAAGACTATGGATTGGATCCTGGTGAGTATGGTGATCTCGGCGAAGGTGATTGGGACGACGAGACGCAGGGTCTTCCATTGACGGAGGCTGATGCCGATGCACTATTTCGTGACTTGTTGGATGACTTCAACATTAGTCCATTTACAACATGGGAGAAAATCATCGAAGAAGGTCGCATTGTTGAAGATCCAAGATACACCGCGCCTTCAAACATGAAAGCTCGAAGAGAAATTTTTACCAATTGGAGCAGGGACCGCGCCAAGGATGTTCAAGAGCGCAAGAAAAACCAGGAGAAGCAGGACCCACGCATCAAGTACTTCGCTTTTCTTCAAGAACATGCCACTCCCAAGCTGTATTGGCCGGAGTTTAAGCGCAAGTATCGGAAAGAACCAGAGATGAAAGACTCCCAACTGCACGATAAAGACCGCGAGAAGTTCTACCGCGAATATATCTCAAAGCTCAAGAGCCCTGAAAGCACTCGCAAATCAGACCTGTCCGCTCTACTCAAGTCTGCGCCATTGCATGCTCTTAATAGGTCTTCTAGCGTGGATGGACTCCCTACATTAATCATCACCGATATCCGATACATTGCGCTTCCGGCAGAGACCCGCGATCCATTGATTGAGGCATTTATATCTACATTGCCTCCCGCACCCGAGGAGCAGTTGACACCAGAACAACAAGAAGAGCTGGATCGCAAACGGGGAGAACGTGAAAAACGTGAAAAAGCACTTGGAGATCGTGAGAAGCGCGTCGAAGAAGATAAACGGAGACAGCGTGGTGATCTTCTTCGTGGCAAGCATCTTCTTCGAGAAGGCGAGGCGGAAGTAGCAGAAGCTTTGAGAATCAACAAGGATGGACTGCGCAGTCACATGGAAGTTGGCAAATCGCCGGCTGGTGAGCTTGATGGACAGAGCTAACGAGTCGTATATACCATCCCTAAAAAGAATTTTCTTCAATACAGACCCATGGCCAACTATCTCCAGTTTTATGACATGTACTATTTCTATGAATATTTGAAGGATAAGGATGAGCATGGTTTGCCAAAGATGAAGAAAAAATAAGAAAGCCTCTACTGTAACTTAGTATAATATTGGAAAGATTTCTACTTTCTACTACAGTATGGCAATAGGATCGGTACTGATTTGTATTGTATGAGTCACGATTATATTTCCATTCTCGAGGGTATCACTGTAGATTAAGAGAAAGACCAACTTTTTTTTCGTGCGCAAATCATTATTCACGTTCCGAATCGTTTATTTGAATCGCCAATCATCCCAATCTTCATCTTCGTCATCATCACTGTCACTTTCCATTGCCCGTTGATCCTCTACAGCCGTAGGACGATCCTGAGCTTCATCACGGGCGCGCTTCTGTCGTAGTTCTTCCCGCATATGTTTCAATCGGCGTACACGTTCCTCAAGCTGGTCCATTTCGTCAAATTCCTCTTCCATCAAGCGCGCCGCATCCTCGCGTTCTCCATCCAGTTCCGCCTCACGCGCCCGAGCTGTAGTAACGGTGTCTTGTTCCTGCTGTGCCGCAATTTCCCCCGCGGTAACAGGCGCCGCAGAGATGGTCGCGCCGGAAGAGAGAGCAGTTGGTGCTTGGGGATTTCGGCTCGGTACGGCGACTTCTCGTTCAAAAGCGGCCCATTCATCCTCGTCTACCGTCCCAGAGGAATTTTGTGATTGTGTTGGACCTGACTGTACTGAGACTGATGGATATGGGACAGCTGAAGAGGTTGCTTCGGTGTCATTATCAACGGGCAGTGGCTTAGCGACATGATTCTCCTCGACTGGATGCAGCCCTTCACCCCGCGCTGAGCCCTCGGCGCTCGGCGAACTATCCTGTGGCGGCCCAGACGCCTCTTGGACCGACTCCAGGCTCGTTGATCTGAGTTTCTTTCGCATCATCCCATCGCTATTATCGACCTTGCGCTTTTTAGTGACGCGATTCCCGGCGGTGTTTGGAGATGTGCCCTTGCGCGAAGCTAGCTCGTTTCGGAGGAGTGATCGAACGTCCGCCATGGTTATGAAAGAGAATGAGATTGCTCAAAAAGGGAATGATGGAGACAATGGTGGTGGATCTAGGAGGTACGAAGTTGAGTTGGAATTTCAACCAGATTGAGATCGATTTGTAAAGTGGATTTTGCCTTTGCTGCAGAGTGGGGAATCTGGAGATTGGTAGCTTCGGTCTGCAATCTATTCAGCCCTGGAGGTTCCCGAGGTCTGTGGCTGATGCACACGTGACTTGACGAGCAGCCACCCACTTTATCCTCTTCCTCCTTCGGCAATGGCCTTTCGCAATCACATCTGTCGCCTTCCATCAACATCACCCCCAACCCATCGCGTGTATTTGTGAGGGTAGTGGTCATTCGCTTTTTCTCAGCGACTGATCTTGATCTGGAGTCACATCGAGAACAATTCCGCTCCAGTATTTCACGCGACCCCGCTCGAGAGTAGTTGTCGCGACTGACGCGCAGCAAGGGATTACGGATTGTGCCAAAACATATCCCAGCGCATTATTGCTTGTCACCCCACCTGGAATTTTGCCTCTGACCAGTCTTCGGAGGGAGAAATCAACCTTGGTGACCGAGTAATACTGTGGATTCAAGCACCAGTACTGTTGTGCAGCGTCTTCCTCTTGTGTATTACTTTAGCCTCCTTTGAGCCCCGTAGAGACTCTTTTTGTTTTGGCGATTGCCGGAGCAAACGAATTATTGCATACTCCGGCATTGTCGCCTATTTTCTGTTTTTCCCTTTGATCGCCCCGTGTAGTACATTCGGATCAAGCCCACAATTGTGCCATGGCTGGTAAGCATTCGTACACCCACCCTGTCAGGTTCTGGCTCTCCACAACCAATTCTGGAACGTGTGACGAGAACACCAGGCGACAACAACAGCGCCTGGATAATCTGCTAATGACTATGCCAGACGAACCAAGACGATCCGGCCGAGCCACCAAAGGCCAGCACAAGAACCTCGAGCTTCCCGACACCCCCGCGAAGAAGGGAAAGGGCAAAGGCCAGAAGGAAAAATCCTCCAGCAAAGCCTCCGCCGAACCGACCCCTGGCCCTAGTGAGGAAGGAGAAGGAGAAGGGGAAGGAGAAGAGGAAGAAGAGATCATCAGATGCATTTGCGGCGAATACGAAGAGGAGGAAGATGTCGAGCGCGATATGATCTGCTGTGACAATTGCTCAGCATGGCAACATAATGATTGCATGGGTCTCCAGTTTACCAAAGGAGAGGAGCCAGACCAATATTATTGCGAGCAATGTCGACCTGAAAACCACAAAGCCTTGCTGGAGAAAATCGCCAAGGGGGAGAAGCCCTGGGAAGAAGTTGCAGAGCGTCGACGACACGAAGCAGAGGAAAAGAAATTAAAGCGCAAGAAGAGCAAGAAGGGTGGAAAAAAGAGCCGGCCTAGCGAAGGCAAGATTGAGACTGGCACTCCCGTTCGTGGTGGCACATCAGCAACACCTGGCCCTGGACCTTCTCCTGCCACCGCTCCATCCGTATCGGTTGAGCCAGAGAAAAATGGACATGCAGCAGACTCGCGTCGATCAAGCACCAACAAACGTAAATTGGAAGAAGTTGTGGAGGAGGATGCGGTATGGATATCCCCCATGCCACTCGGTCAACAAATCAGTGTACTAACAGATCCTCTGCAGGAACACCAAGCCAAGCAACAACGCACATCTTCAAAGCCCTCTCCTGCACCACCTCCAAAGGTCAAAACAGAACCTGCCCCAGTTGTTAGCCTGGAAGAGCCAGATATGCCCGCTCGTAAGAGTGTGGCTAATGCTCTAGTCAAGTTCTTTGTAGATCAGATTGCTGCAGCCCAAAAGCAAGGCTCTTTCTCATTACCTTCTGGACAGACAGCAGAATATACTGCTCGGCAGCTCGGGTTTTCCGTTGAAAGTGCCATTTATGAAAATATGTCGGGGGGAACAGGAGAGCCTGCTGAGCCGTATAAATCGCAATTCCGCTCGATTATGTTCAACGTAAAGAAAAACACTGCTCTACGGGATCGTCTACTCGTAGGTAGTGTTTCTCCTGAGTCACTCTCTACGATGAAGTCTGCGGAGATGGCCAGCGAGGAACTACAACGAAAGGATGCCGAAATCAAGCGAGAGGCAGAACGCCAACACATTATCATTCAGGAGAAGGGGCCGCGCATTCGTCGAACTCATAAAGGAGAGGAGATTATTGAGGAAGACAACCAGAATGTTGCATCTGAACCCGTTTTCTCCCAAGCTCCCCGTCGAGCCACCGATGCTGGCAGCCCTGGGAACCAAAGCCCCATAACCCCGAAAGTGTCTCAGTCGGCTCACGGTGATGGACATGGCCGTGGCCAATCGCCAGATGGTGGACATGGTGACCATGTCTTTCCAGAAGTCGCCCCCAATATCCGCGAGCCGGTACCCCATGGGAAATTGCAGGGAGACGCCGATATCGACAAACTATTGGATGATGAAGAGCCTGATTCTCCGCCATATTCACCCAAAGACTTTCAAGATGATGGTGTCATTTGGCGTGGTAAGATCAGCATGATTCCGGTTGCCGAATTCTCATCCTCTGCACAACATGTTGCCGGAGCAGACCTGAGTGCTCGGATCCCATGGAGCCAGCTTGCGCCAGAAGAGATGACAGCTTATGGCCGTATTGATATCCAGCGGGCTAATAGCTATCTCTGTGGCTTACAATGGAGTGCTTCAACAGATGTATCTGTCATTGCTGTCAACAAGCCACAAGCACCTCGGCAGGTTGATGGTTTTAACAAGCTTTTTGATTACTTTCACACTAGAAATCGTTATGGTGTGATTCGCCAGCATCCGCTCCCTGCTGTGAAAGATACTTATGTCATTCCTCTTGAGGAAGGCGCAACAAAGATGCCTGATTTTATTGCACTCCTCGACAAAACAAAACTACCCGATGGCCCCATTGATGAACGAATGCTCCTCATTGTCTTTGTGGTCAAGACTCGGGATTCCAACCCTCCTTCTGTTCAACCCCCCTCCCATCGCCCTAGCCAAGAACCGGCTGTATCTGCGAGCCCCCTCACAGCGGCCGCTGCAACTCCTCATAATACGTTTGCCTCTACTGCTGCTGCTCCCAACCAAGCTGCCTACGGTCAACAGCCCCAACAACCAAACCAGCACCCGTCGCTTCCACAACCTTTGATTGGCAACCCATCAGCTACACAAATTCTTGGCCCTCAAGCCAACGCACCTGCTATTCAGCAACTTCTCAAGACCGCACCCAACGTTGACAACGCGCAGCTGACGGTAGTTCGTGATATTATTGCCCGCCAACCTGCGGCTGCACTCAACTATGAGACCCTTATGCAAGCACTATTTGACACCCAGGCGAACGGCCACGTTCCCAATGTTTAACTTTTGCCATTGCTGATGACATGTCATTATTTATGTACTGTACATTTGTTTGTTTGTTTGTTTGTTTGTCTTTCCAACATGGATTATGGTCGGCCAAGGACTTATTGTTTCCTGCCTGGTGTTTAGGACATTGAGTCCCCGGTTAAGGTTTTTATTATGGACGTGGGATACCAATGAAAGATACCTATGTAGTCTCTTGTAACTGTGGGCATCTCTACAAAAATGAATCTGCTTTAGTTAGTCTCTCCCAATCTCGATTGCCCATGATTAAGCGCCTGTCTCCTCGCCTTTAGCCGTGTGAGTACATAGTCTTATCCATAAATTTCCATGTGGCTGACTTCACCTCATGTTCAGTCAAGATCACAGCTGAATTACGAGCGAGGGCTCCAGCAATTCCCAGTCTACAAGGCCTTAGAAAGCGGCATTAGGTACACTACGCACCGTTGAAGCGTGACGCCCGTAGTTTCAAGTTGTATATGACTTATTTTTGTTATTTTGTTATTAAAGGATATCACCAGACCGGTGTAACTGTCATCAATTTTAAGATTATTGTCAACAACGTTCATATACAGGAACACATACCAAAGTCGAAGGATGAATTTTTTTGGTGAGTCTGCATAAAAAAGACAGGGATATATCGAGCGCAAGGAGTATGACTCCTCTTCACCATCAAGCATCTTCCACGAATCGAACATTTAAACGCCCCGCTATGCAAAAAGACCAGATCAAAGAATTTTGAAGACCAGAGTAGACAGTGGCCTGTTACCACCGACCTCCTCGTCGCCTGTATCCACCACCACCGCCGCCGCCGCCATACCGCGGGCCGCGTCCACCGGATCGACCTCCTGCACTGTAAGGATCTTCTTCCTCGTGATGGCGTACTGGAGGTGCCCGGCCCTTCAGCTCCACGCTAAGCCTCTTCCAAGTCTTGCGCATATCCGAATAACCCATATGCATCTTTCCGAAGAAATGATCTGCCAGTCGTCGATCATTGTCAAGTCGACTGAGGTAAGCGCCACAGACATCGCAGACTTGCAGTTTCTGGTGACCAGATGGGCCAGATGTATCCTGAAGGTTCTTCAAATCACGCTCGGCAGTTTCCTTTTGGCCTTTGGCGGTGCGGACTTTGTGCATTTCAGTCATGGCCATTGCGACAGATCCAGTTTCGCCGAGAACGGAGACTTCGAGCAGACCAGTATTGATTGTGTTGTTCAAATCAGCAATTTGCTTGAGCTGTAGGGGCGTTAGCTATACTATTCGAGTGGGGTATGATAAAAAGAATTGAAACCTACAAGAGCGTTGGTCTGACGAATCTCGTCTGGGGTTTTCTCCAGTCGACGTTGCGCTGTCTCGATCCTCCGATCACAATCATCGATGTATTTTTGCATGTCGCGCATGTAGTCGAAATCGAACCCCCATTTTGCTTTTTCGGAAGACGAAGCTGTCTCGTACTCTGTCTTCAGACCCTCGCTGTGTACTTTCGGGCAAGTTCCAAGATCTTGCTTAGTATTGGTGAAAAGATCATGTGGACAGGTCCCGACGAGGTAGGAGCGGCAGACTTTGGGGTCAGTGATGGCAAGCTGAGAATTGCGACCCTGTGCACCGGTACCAATGAGCTGGTCCGCTATTAGGAAACTCGTCGTTAGCTTGGTTCAGAGAACAGAGTGGATTATCTGAAGTTGATGAAATTGTGGAGGGATTATGAATAGAGCAAGTACATACCGCCCATGAGCTGCTCGAGCAGTTTTCTCTGTTCCGCCGCCATGATTGAATGCGCCAGACGAGTAGAAAATGAGGCGACACAAGAAGGTAGCGAGATCTCTTTGACGGACTTGGTAAGTAGTGGAGGGTTTTTGATGCTGCCGCCAAGGAAGGCGGTGAGTCGCGACAATCAACAGACCAGATGGACCAGCGTGGAGCTACCTCCGCGACAGTTCACAGAAGTGTCGCATGCAAAAGTCCCTCGACAATTTCCAGGACTTCTCGACGTGACTTATCGCGCACTCGGCTGCTCCGTTGCTATCATCGGTCTTCCCGCCGGGGCCTAATTCCTAAATCTGTATGGACTAGGGGCAGCGAAGACCGAGCTCCGGCATGAAGTGATGACGGTCCCCTCAATCCTCTCTCTCTTTCTGGCGATTATTGTCACTCTATGGGCCTCGCCTGTAGTCTCTTCGCCTGACTACCATGAGCAACTTTTCCTCGAACCGCTCCCCAAATCCTCCCTACTAGCTTCGTTCAATTTCCGGGGTAATACTTCGCAACAGTCGTTTGACAACCAGCACTTCCGATACTTCCCAAGGGCATTGGGCCAGATCCTACAACATGCGCATGCAAAGGAAGTTCACCTGAGATTCACCACGGGTCGATGGGACGCAGATAGTTGGGGCTCACGACCATGGAATGGCAGTAAAGAGGGTGGCACTGGGGTTGAGCTTTGGGCATGGATTGATGCGTCAAATGATGAAGAGTACGTCGTTAAGGCAGCTTCACAAGATGTGTGGACTCTAATAATTGTCTAGGGCGTTTGCAAAGTGGATTACCTTGACACAATCCTTATCAGGGCTGTTCTGCGCTTCGATGAATTTCGTCGACTCAACCCGAACAACACGACCCGTGGCCTCTTTCGAGCCCATGGGAAACCACATGGGAGCCAACTCTTTACACCTTCTTCATGGAACACTCCCTGGAGAAGTTGTCTGCACAGAGAACCTCACACCCTTTTTAAAGCTTCTTCCATGCAAAGGCAAAACCGGAATCTCCACGCTTTTCGATGGTCATAAATTATTCGATGCAGCATGGCAAAGTATGTCTGTCGATGTACAGCCTATTTGCTCTGCCGATGGTGATTGCCAAGTTCAAATCGAACAGACAGTCGATATGGTTCTTGATATTGAACGGTCTAAGCGCACACGAGGTATGTTGTATTCACCTTTGAGCTACACCCGCCATGAGAAATAAATCTAACTCCGCTAGACGACCCAATCCCTCGTCCATTGCCGAATGACCAGCTCGTTTGCGACACATCTAAGTCATATAACTCAGAAGATACGTGCTACCCATTAGAAAAAGCGGCAGATAAGGCCTGGAGCTTGAATGAGGTATTCGGAAGAACCCTGAATGGCATTTGCCCCCTCGCGGACTCTAATGAGCAATCTGTGTGCCTTCGAGTGCCTCACGAGAAAACCGTATTCACAACACAGGGTGCTTCGGAGATGAAGCAAGAGGATGGATTCACTCGTTGCTTTTCTCTAGCCCACTCAGAACCCTTTGACCTCTCTATCCCAGAACAGGAAGTACATACGCAAGTCCCAATAGATGAGCCAGTGTTGCATGCGGAGCGGACCATTGTTGGCCACGGACAAGAGCGTGGTGGTATGCGCATTATTTTTGGTAACCCATCCGACACTACTGCGGTTGACTTCATATACTTCGAGTCACTTCCCTGGTTTTTGCGACCTTACATCCACACTTTACAAGCCACGATCACCGGAAAGGACGGCGTGCGTCGAGAAATCCCGGCCAGTGATATCGTGACGGATACGTACTATCGACCTGCCATTGACCGTGAACGGGGAACTCAGCTGGAACTTGCTCTATCCGTTCCTGCCGCTTCCACGGTCACTCTGACATATGACTTCGAGAAGGCTGTTCTCCGTTACACCGAGTACCCACCAGACGCCAATCGAGGGTTTAACGTTGCTCCGGCTGTAATCCATGTGTTGGACGGCGCGGATACCCATCCAACCTACATCCGGACAACAAGCCTCCTACTCCCACTGCCAACGCCTGATTTCAGCATGCCTTACAATGTAATCATTCTCACAAGTACGGTGATCGCGCTTGCATTTGGAACTATTTTCAATATTCTTGTGCGACGTGTCGTTTCTGCGGAGGAAGCGGCTGTCTTGAATTCTCAAACCTTCAAGGCCCGACTGGTGGGCAAGTTGGTAGCTATTCGGGATCGTTTCGGCAAGAAGGAAACCAAGGTGGAGTGAAACAAGCATGCTAATCTTGAAGACTATCCCTGTTGGCGAATAGATATTCCATAGAAGATATTCTGTTTCCATTTTCCATTTTCCATTTTCTAGTATTGTATATTGTATTCAAAATGCATCTCAAACCTTTACTTCCAAACTATAATGACCCAAAAATCTCGAGCATTCTCACACTATGTATCCTCGCGTTGGCGAATTGAACACAGCCGAAAGATATAATACCTAAAGCAGCGATTATATCTCAACCACGATTCAGGAAAAGAAACCTAACTCGAATGCCCGCCCATACTTCCCCACAACAATCAGCAAAGTAATCGAAACATCACAGACGTGAACCTTACGCTCCCATCAAATTTCTCATAGTTCCCCATCCAGGCATTGTCCTTGATCCTCCAGGCTTATGATTCATAAAACTATGGTCCTCACTAGCACAAGTTGGCTCACCATGCTGGCTCATCGGCTTCACATGGGCTGCATGACGTGCACTCTCTGACTGGTCCAAAAACCCATATTTGGCATGAATTTTATGTTGCTGCGACTTCATCGCATCGGCCATAGTTACTCCTTGAGGTTCCTATAAGTGCAAACAATTCACATAAGCAGAGTTCTTTCCCATGGCGACAGGATGGTATACGCACGGTTCCGTGACCAAAGTCCTGATGACTATCTTCATCATCGCTGTCTGTGCCACCCTTTCTAAAGCCATTGTCGCCCCAGCCCGATCCGCCGCCTACGTTATTTGCTGGGGTAGGACGAAGACCAGCACCACCGGCAATTGACTGGGCGGAATAACTGTGGGATGGTGATTCAGGCATTTGCAAGAACAAGCTTGTTGGTGAGTAGATCTTGGACTTTAGTACGGGCGGTGCTCAGATTCATACCCTTTGAAGGAGACTATCGTATTGTATATTGGACAAGTACTCGGAAGGTTAAAACTGCGTTTTTCCAAGACTGAAGAAGTTGAAGTATTCTCAATGAAAGTTCTTGACATTGCCTCTTAATCGGACTTCCTGACTATTCCGATTACCTACCCTGGTTATAGTTCGAGCCACCCATATGAAGTCATCATGACCTTCACGCCTCATTTTTTTCGGAATGTAGAGCTCAGCGGCCAATAAAATATTTAGACCATTTGAGAACACGCCCGGTAATGATGAGTCATTTGATTTTGCTATTCCGTTGGTGCTGGGATTTGGGTTGTATCATGGTCGTTCTGATCTATACAATAGGCCGCTGTAGAGGCTCCTTATCACTTGTAAAGTGAGCCATCACTGATATGAATTTCATCCGATTAATTCAATTGATATAGATGAATGTCTAGCTGTAGCTATAGAATGCTCCGGAATCTGCTGTCAATGAGGGCGAGCCCGGTCGTATTGGAACACTTTCAATGCTGGCCACCACTGCATCAGCATAGCTCCTATCATCACACACCCAGCAAATACCTGGGCTTGAAGAAAGGAACCCGTGTCAAGATTGACTAATGCACCTGCGATTGGCGTCCCTGCTAATGCACCGAATGACGAAATCCCCCACATCATTCCCAATCGAGTGCCCATATAGTTTGGGTTGGGACAGAATACCGGGTGTGCAACGATCGAGGAGGGTGCTGTCACAAGAACACCACTTAAAATACCCCAGTAACAAGCCCAAACAATAAAACCAGGGGTATTCGATGTCGCAATCCATGTAAACATGGCAATGGCTGAGGCCGTGACAGAAAATATTAACATGGCAATGGGCTTCACATAACCGACAAGCAAGTTGGGCACAACACGCCCGACGACAGAAGATCCGTTGACGATGGCCACCATATAGAATGAGAGACTTGTAGTTGTGTTTATCACTGTTCGGCCGTAGGATGCAACGTAAAATATCGGAACGTAGTATGCGAGCATGACGCAGGTAAGTGACAGAGAAAACAGCATGAATGATGGCTCGCGGAAAGCTGACCAGTCGACAATGCTGCGTGCCCGTGATTTTTGTCCTGGTTGACGACATAGAATGGAACATGCAATGATGGCCATCAAAAGGCTTACGAACCCTATGCAGCGCACTGCCCATGGGAAACCAATCTTTGGCTGGAGCTGTCGGAATATCACAGGGAATATGACAGCGCCAACGCTGGAGCCAATCGAGGCGCAACCAATTGCAATGGGTCGCTTAGTAGTAAAGCTCGTCGAAACTACTGCTAAGGCTGGAATATAGGAGATGCCACCACCTAGCCCAATACAGAAGCCCTGTGCTAAGAGTATCTGTGGCATCGTTAGATATGATTCGCAACTTTGAAATAATCGCCTGGCTTTACCTGGTAGTACTCGGTTGCTAGACTTGTCATCATCAACCCCAACACTGTGAGGAAACTCCCAATCACCATCAGCGGACGCAGGTACCCCGAATCAACCAATGGACCCGAAACGATACCAACCATCGGGATCAAGGTTGCTTGAATACTTCCAACCCAGGAAATCGCTGACGGTGATTGGTCAGACAAAAGTACTGTTTGATAATATTCCTGAAACGCCCCATAGGTGGTGAGAATTCCCCTATAGAAACTCTTAGTACAGGTATTGGCAGGCTTTCACCAATTGACAACCAACCATGTATTCACAAAGATACAGAACAGGGCAACCACGTTCATCCATGCGTGGAGACCACCATTAATCTTATATTTGACAATTCCATCGTCGCGCTGTGAAGGTAATATTCCCACTGGAGACTGCTGTTGGCCGTTGGTATGATGTTCTGTGTTGGCTTTCTCGGCCATCTCAACGTCTGCGATTGAGAGCCTCCTAACATGATGTTAGCCCAAGACATACGGACCTAGTTATAGGACCGAAGGGTTTCCCCAGTCCTGCGCAGTGGGGGCCTTTGTCTGGGGTTCTCATTAGTCACGCGAATGAGGAGCTCGTCCTCGGTTGGCACGGCAGTGTTTAGCCGAGCTCTACCGATCTTCGGGGTAGTGGGCTTGAGTGGTTAGTCACAGAAACGGTGACCTCCGAGACGACATCTGGAGCTTTCAACTTCATATCTGTTGATTTCTTAGAAAAATGAATGCTGTTCATTGACGGTTCTGGGACATGGCACAGATCGTGAGGATGTCGGCCTCTGATGTGTGTGTGTGGTTTGGCAAAATCGCATTGACTGGAAAATACTATAAACCGCCCCAACTTTAATGTTGAACAGCTGTCTTAGGGCGGGGTAATTCAGCATCTCATCGCTTATTTGACCTATCGACCTCATCTGCACAGCAGACATGCCTTTCTATGCAACCATGCAAAGAAAATAAACCTAACACCGTGCACGACTCAGGTCAAACATTTGAGCCTTGGAATCGTGGCTTCATGGAGTTTGGGCCTCAGGCTTTCACCTGGAAATGGAATGGGTCCGCTCCGAGTCCTTGGCGGCCCCCGGCAATTCAAATCGGAATGTTGCGACTGAGGTGTCTGATACAAGCGTACCAAATGGAAACTTTGACATGTAGTGTTACTACCAGTAGTATGTAGCTGCTAAGCTCGTACCATCATTAACCGCGAAGTGTATAAGACTTCGCTCTCTTCCCATATTCTATCCTCTCTCATTCAAAAAAGATCAAGATCATCCAACGATTCAAGCATTCTCTCCTTTGTTCTTTGATCTCGCGCCGACTCGAATGTGAATATAAGTGCGGCTTGCATCGCAGGTAGCCCCAATGGTTTGTGAAGTCTACGATGCTCTATAAGCATCCATACTCGATGGGAATATCGAAAGATGTCGCATTCGGGTTGCACCGCTTCCTCGGGCGTTGTTGTAATCACTGAAATCAAAATGCGACGGACAATGATGCTGAGAATTGCATGATGGCATATCGCCATCGCTGCCATCGTCTCTTTCACCTCAAACATGGTAGGAAGTGTATCATTCAGCTGAGAAGAAGGGACCTCTCTAAGCAATTCTTTACCTTGTATGAAACTGCTCAGTTCTTGGTCGATCAATTCCAACTCTTCCACTGCCTGATATGCTTTCTGTGATAATTCCACAGTATCCATGATATCGCTAAATGTGAGTATTGAGCGCATTCGAACAAGGGCGGGCCATAATGTCATTGCTCGTATCACTCTCAAGTAAAACATCCTTCCGCTTAGGCGGACCCCCTTCTTTACAATAATGCAGCTAGGCCTAGCACGTGGACCTTTACTCCACTTTTGCGCAGATTTCCAACGGAGCCTGGAACAAAACATTCATTAATCGGCCCCAAAACAACTGAGCAGAGTGCATTTCAACTCGAAACTTACCTCAAGACGATGTAATGATATCGCACTGCATAATGTACTCAAAGAGTTCCAGTCTTTGGGGTCATTCAACGCACGCTGTAGGCATCGCAACGCACGGCCATAAAGTTTGGGGTTTATTAAATCAGATTTATCACCACCCCTCAAGAAATGCTCATACGAGCCAATCATACAAGAAGCAGCAAAATCGATTGCTTGGGATTGGCCCAAAAGACATGGCATCTTACAAATGGAATCGTCAAGTGGTTTTAAACAGATTGAAGGATTCTGTACTTTTTGTGTCCCAATGAGTCGACTTGATAGCCTCTCTGATGTGCTCATCAGGATCGACATGCGAATACAGTGTTGGCTTGAGTTACCCGTGAGTGCATTTGTAATTTTTTGCAATGGTACAGTTCCACCACTAGATCTTGTGCCACCGTCTATAATTTTCAATGAAGGCTGCGGGGGCAGACTCGATTACCCCGTTGACAGGGCCCACAAACCGGCCATGCATGGTCATACTAGAATTAATGCGCCATGATTAGCCACAATTGCCTGTCACTGAAGTCCAAGTTCAATATTTTTTGACGTTGCGACGTCGACACGTCTCGCAGCGGTTGCTTGGCAGGGCTCCAACCATGGCGATGTTGTAAATTTTCACTTAGCAAGAATTCTTGATTCATTCAGCAGTAACTGCGAGATTGGCATTAGCTCAAGCCCTCTGGAGGAGGATCAAGATATTGAGGCGATGAGACCCTGAGACTCTCAGCCTTAGCCGCACCCTGATCGACCCCACCCCGCCTTCGCAGATTGGCTTCTTTTAGGTTTAGGCTACTTTTAGGTTTAACACTATGTCGACCCTGGAGGTATTTGAACTTCGAGTGCAAAGTATATAAACGAGTCCTCGAACTCGTTCGAATTTAATAGTTTCTCATCGACAAGAACATTCAACCCTCACATATACTACTAGTAAAACTGGCAATATGTGTCTCCTCCTATTACCCCTACTTTGCAAGAAACGCAAACACACACAGAGCAACGATCCCTCGCCCCGCCCCGTACTCATGGTGGAGCGAGAATTGGACGAAGGGGGAAATATCGAAAGGATCTAGAGAAATATGGACCTGAATTTACAGAAAAATTGGAGGAAACGAGTTGGGATCGCGGTAGCTGCGTAAGTATTGGCTCATGCTTATAAAACTCGTGTTATTATAATAACCAGTTGACTTGTCAGGGTGTGCTGAAAACATTTATTGCAATACAGTCCAAATACAAGAGACTACACAGACTGGATGGTCATATATCGAAATGGATGAATGGAAGATTTCCATGGTTTGAGATCAGTAGGCAACCCGGGGGATGTAAGATAAGTTATGGGGTCTGAGAAGACGTTGCTGCTTAGTAGGAGCACGGAACTTTTAAATGGACTATATATGAAGGGGCATATCCTTGTACTTACTAGTATTTATTATTGAGCCACGCTTTGAGGTCCACCACTTGGTATCTGTCCTACTAGTGTTTACGAATACGCCTTAGTTAGTCTAAGATGGCATTTAGATTCGTCCTCCAACCCATTTCTTTACCCACTGGCAGGCATTGAGAGATTATTCCTTCAACCCCGTTTTGCCATTTGCCATCTCTTTGATAGTTAATTCTATATGACAAAAGGTTCCGAGCATGCCAGCAGAACAAATTCAAATAATATGACCAGAATGCTTCAATTCTGTCAGCATTACGAATTATGCGCAGCAGACATCTAGCAATAACTAACTGTGTAGCCTATATTAGAAGTCAACAGGTTAGATACGACTGAGCCCCGATTTTGAATTTTCGGCTTGCCAAAAACGACCGAAATTGGGTTTCATTACCAATACGAGGCCTGCGTGAATGGAAAGGATTTCAGATCTACATGACTCCCCAAGCATGTGTGGGGGTGGTTCTTCGCAAATTGATACTTATAGGGAAATAACCTGCAACGCGAAGCCTGTCGATCCAAGCAAGTCGCATAGTTCATGGCTTCCAACATTGCATGTGTGAGAAGATAAATTAGCTAAGATGCCGATCCCGTGGACCATGGATACAGGATGGATCGAAATCAGTTTCACCGGTTTACTCGCACATATTCTTTCCGGAACCCTTATTTGAAACAGCTAATCTATACTGGGTTTAGTAACCTTTCACATACTTAAAGGGACTGTATTCGGGCATTACATGGCAGATGGCAGCGTACTTTACTGGAAGTACTTTTACAGTCGACCCTCGGCACCCTCTCGTCACAGGATTAATTGTTGTAGTACAAAGGAAGGTTTATTATTATTGTACCAGGGGGATTGACTGAGGCTATATATGACATGATCAAGTTGATTTTCAATCAACTTGGTCGTCCGTATCGACAATGCGGGAATTAATTCCGATGGTGCGGCTTGATTCCTGGCCGGCACCAATCTCATATCACAACATTAATAGCCTCCATCAACACAAATATGTCTTTCTTCCTTGAGAGAAATATTTACATGAGGAAAGGCTTATTTGGTAGAATCCAAGACAATTAGAGAGAAACGCCTTGCGTCGCCTTATCTCTGCCTCGCAAGCTCATGGTGTGTCAAGAGCGTCTGCTCTCTGGCCTGAAGTCTTCCGGCTGAAAGCGAGATTGGCCATACTCAGAAGCCTGTTGGGAATGTCCTCATCGCATTTGCTCTCTTCAGTACCTATCACCCGTACATGGAGTTTATCGGCCTCCTTCCATCGACAGTGGTGCATTTACGTCAATGCCAGATTAGCTATACCGATTAGCCTATCACGATAGTCCTCACCAAGCTTCGTCTTGCAAGTCTCTATGACCTGCAAAAAGAAATTTCTAGGATCCTGCTTCGTGTGAGTCACAGTGCAGTACTACTGGCGAAAAAAACTATATATGGTTCCAAGAAGGACACAAGAGATGCTTCTCATTTGTCATCCCTGCTAACAGGTCTCTCTAAGAGCGCCATCACTCAGCAATAATGGTCTCTTGTGTGAGGCTACATATGTCCGTATCTAGATTATAAATGTGTTCACGATATGTTCACGATAAATTACGCGTCACAGAAGGATGGCATGTGATCTGGTGCGTTTTATTCAACTACTACACATGTTCGTAGGTGAACTTGCGGTCTTCCCGGCCGCGATTTATGATCGCAAAGGGAGAGAGCAATAGCAAGTCCCAGCTTGTCTGTGGATCCCAGTTAGGGCATTTTACCGTGCACATATCAGAACCCAATACAACCTGGGAGGCCCGAAGCTAGGCAATAGCTAGTCACCAGTGGAGGCTACTGAAGGGATGTTTGAGGTTCATCAGAAGTCTCTTCGGCGATTTGCCTGGAGTCCCAGAACCAGGCCGCTTTAAAGACGAGGTATTAATGCCCCTTCTTTGGAGCATATTGACGAGTTCATGAAGGTCTGCTAACGAGCCGGCTTGGAGAGAGCCACCGCATTTTTCGCCCCGTCACTAACATCCGCTCCCTTGTCCAAGAGTAGCGTGACAATCTCTTGATGGCCGTTCGCTGAGGCGGCCTGGAGAGCGTTGCCATAAAAGCCGCCCTGCGCGTTGATATCCGCTCCCTTGTCTAAGAGTAGTGTGACAATCTCTTGATGGCCGTACGCTGAGGCGGCCTGGAGAGCGTTGCCATAAAAGCCGCCCTGCGCGTTGATATCCGCTCCCTTGTCTAAGAGTAGTGTGACAATCTCTTGATGGCCGTACGCTGAGGCGGCCTGGAGAGCGTTGCCATAAAAGCCGCCCTGCGCGTTGATATCCGCTCCCTTGTCTAAGAGCAGTGTGACAATCTGTTGATGGCCGTCCGCTGAGGCGGCCTGGAGAGCATTGCCGCATTGGCCGCCCTGCGTGTTGATATCCGCTCCCTTGTCTAAGAGCAGTGTGACAATCTCTTGATGGCCGTTCGCTGAGGCGGCCTGGAGAGCATTGCCGCATTGGCCGCCCTGCGTGTTGATATCCGCTCCCTTTTCCAAGAGCAGCGTAACAACCTCTTGATAGCCTCTGTTTGAGGCAGCCTGGAGAGCGTTGCCATAAATGCCGCCCTGCGCGTTGACATCCGCTCCCTTGCTAATAAGAACTCGTGCAGGTGCTACCAGCCCAAGGAAACAAGCATAGTAAAGCCTGGATCCTCGCGGAGGACCTGGGTCAACGTCCCAACTCCTATCAGCCTGGTACAAACGAGCCCATCGCTGAAACGTCGCTTCCTCTTCTAGAAATCTGATTGTCACCTGAACTATATCTTCGGAAGCCTGAGCCAACGCAGCGTGACCTGTCCAGCTTTCCGCGGCATATCTCGCCATCGGAAAATCCTGTTGGATCTCTTCGTGGCTACCACTGATCTCCGTGAGATAAGTCAAGCACGTCTTCGTGAAGGATATGCTAGCAGCCATAACCTGGTAATCATTCCGGCTGAGAAGATACTCTTTGACAGAAAAGTGGGCCAGATGTAACTCTTTATCCGTGGCGTGAACGATTGTCGCTAAGCCGGGACAGTAATCCAAAAGTTCTGTGTCGCAGAACAAACGACGCTTGATGTCAAATCCTCTCGGCTCTTCTTCGATCTGCGTCGCTATTACTTCTTTAGCCTCCACTAGCTTGAGAGGTCGCTTGGAATGCACCAGGAATTGTAGGAGGCGTATCGCGTCATTTTTCATTTCAGTCGGTATACTTTCAATCATCCGCTGGTACGTCTCATTGAGATTCAGAGGCAAAGATGCGAGAGCCTTCTCCATAGCTGCCTCGTGACGACATCGAGCTAGGTTGTCCAATTGACAGAATGCCCACCTGAACCTAAGTAGGGCATTAGCAGATCATCAGTATACCGATCGAACCAGTAACATCTTACATCCCGTCTGCCCCTTCGCCAACCCTCCTCTGTATTTTCTTGAGCAGGTCCGGGGACAAGGGCTTCTCTGTAAAGTCACGCCGTTGAGAAAGTTGTGCTGAGACCCACGAACGAACATCGGAGTTGACAGCCTGCTTATCAAGTGGTAGGCAGCTTTCCTTCCCTATCAAAGTCGGAACACGGCGCAGAAACTCGGACTCTGGTCGACTCGTATAAAGCAGCTGGACATGGGCTGCCTCTGGCCTAGACATTACGTCCTCGATCCACAGGAGGACATCACCCCATGTTGTCGATTCATCCAATGCGTCCAAAACGATAGAGACCTTCCTCTGGGCTACCAGCATCTTCAGAACAACAACCCCAAGCGCCTTCGTTGTTGGTTGGTCTTTGCCATTCTGGTGTGCTTGAAATAACGCATCAAGATGAATTGCAGAGTCAACCCCACCTTGATAAAGTTGGAAAGCCAGCGAGCGCAGCATACCATCCAAGGTCTGCTTTGTAGTGTCACCAAAGTCAAAGAAGAAGCTAAGGATTAGACCGTCGTTTCTGTTCGCAAGATAATCAAGCACAGTCGCACTAAGAACCGTCTTTCCGCATCCCGCGAGCCCGTGTAGCCATAACTGTGGACGCAACCCCAAATACCACGACTGGAAGACGGGACCTCCCAGGAGCCACGCGCCTGTCCCCTCATGGCGGAGCGTCCTCGCGTGGTTGGCGTTTGTAGACGGATCCGGGGGACAAAGCCAGTGCTTGATCTTATCGGCATGGAGGTTAGATCTGATGGATACAGTAGTAGCTCTTGTTGCAGCCGTCGTCTGCTGTACGCCGTCTATCTGCTGTTGCACTACTCGCAGTCAGCACGTATTCCAAATTCAATTATTATTCAGACTCGGCTATTTGCTGGTACTTTAGACACCTGCAACTGGTATATTTCGGTAGGTAGGTACTAACGCGTTTCCAATATAGCCTTTGCTGAGCACTCGGCGTCAACAACACTAGGGTGCACACATCCCAAAAGTTCCTTTGCGTATGCGGCGGCCACGGCTGCAGCATATTCTTGCCAGGTTTTCTCTTTCCGCGAGTCCGCATAGTCACAGATGCCTCGAATAACAATACATGGGAAGTCATTCATAAGCCCAGCTGCCTCCATCTCCACGCATAGCAAGTGCCCGCCAAATGCTTTGTAAAGAGAGTCTCGGGACTGGGCATCCTTAACCACCTTGTTTCCGGACGCGATCAGGCCATAGTGCACCCTTACTTCTCTTTGGGACCTTGCCCCCTCTGCTACATCTAATAACTGCCCATTTTCCTCATTTACCGGACTAATAGCCCATGAACCAAGAAGATATGCGACAATCGCGATGATCGCCTGCCACAACCTAGACAGGAAGTGGACATCTTTCTGAGACCGACGCACCTTCTCGGATACCAATAATGGGTCTTCTAAGAACTCACGCCTGGTAAATATTGGCGCTAGTCGCGGAAATTTCCTTTCCACATCATCTAGGTACTCATATATTTTCGATCCGCGTATGTCGTGATTACTTTTCAGTAGATGCGACGCATTGAGAAGCGCGTTCGGAGGTCTATTCAGCGAGCCCGTGTGGACAAACTGCCCACCCTGCTCTAGCTTTCCCATATCCCATTGTACCACCCCGTGATAGTCAGCAACAGGGTGGCTGACCACCACATCACCCAAATTGACTTTCGTCGGGATTCCGCCGCCGATCCCTACCATGAGCCCGAACCTAATTGATTGAAACGTGTTAATCATAGAGATCGCGACGGTCGCGGCAGGGTTAGTTCCCATGTTTGGTAGGCAGGCTATGACGACGTTGTGGCCGCATATTGAACCAAGGGTATATGCGTTATGGTCATTACGAGGGGTGGGAAGAGGTTCGTGCTCTTCATCTAGCATGACCCTGGCTGCGGTTTGTTCCTTTGGAAGGGCGCACACCCAGCCGATGGTATAGGCATCGTGTCGGAGTCGCTTTCGACATGGGGATACTTCGGAACTAGTTTTGTTTTGTGCTGACACTGATTGCTCTGGCTGAGATGGGGGATTCCCAGCCATGTTGAATGGAGAGCAATTTGACTAAGCAGATCATCCAGACGCTCGGGATAGGACTCGGTATGTCAATCGAGCACTCTCTTTGCTAGCATAACAAGACGTCTTGGCCCTTCTTGTCCAGAAGAGGCGTGTCACAAATTGAAATGTTGATGGAGTAGCTGTCTTTTAAGGATTCTTGATGTGATTAATGACGAGAATCAGAGTCGGACCTCCAACGAGCTGAAAGAGGGGCACGCCCTCAGCCTCGTCATCATATGACTCCAGCGCGCTAAGCAATTATCTGCACTTTCAGCTCGCCCACACCGCTTCCTAGATGGTTTTCTGTCGATCATACTTCCATGTGGGGGCGGGTAATGCCGTTCCCAGGAACTAATCGACCCGATCCAAACAGTCAGATCGAATGAGAACCCTGCATTTGCTAATAGCTAGCATCCCCCAGAACTTTACCCTGAAATCATTTCACCCGCTCACTGAGCAGAGGGGAAACCAAGATGGATTCTCCTCCCCCCCCCCCCCCAATTTGCGGCCTTCCTTCGCTTCCTCGCCAACCTCTCTCCATCCCCATCCAGATCTCTTTGCCATCTCTCCACAACATAGCTCCAAGACTCTCTAATTCGAAGCTTGAAATGATTCGACACATAATATTGAGCAAATCACTAACCACCTCGGAAATGGCTAAATCGGCCGAATGCAGTGCTTGTTCAATCATCAATATCAGCAATAACCTTCGTCGGTTCGGGAATGTCAGAGCACCTCCAAACTCGAGTAGATCGACGACAGGCCGTAACACCTCCGATAATAGAAGCACTATACGATCACCTCCTCGAAAAGCGCGGCCTATATATAGACGAGATAACTATCTTCTTATAGAACAAGCTCTATGTCCAGGTCACAAATTCAAGCCTTAAATAGGCTTTTGCTTCGGTGGGTTAGTCAAAGAAAGTAGCTGAAAGGAATAGAATACAGATCTATAAGATTTATATATATATAACCTATTAGACTTTCAATCATATTACTTGGTCCATGTAGATAAGTCTAGTTGTAATAAATAATTTGAATCTAGACGGGCAGACTGGTCTCTATTAGATACAGCACCGTTGCAGGTAGCCAACTTCTACCGTAACTAGCGGTAACAGATACTACCCGCATACTATAAAGCTAGAATCTTACTGTCTCGTATGTTTTAGGACTCCACAGATACTATAGTCTTCAAGGACTTTATTGATTAGCTTCTTCGGCATTATAAAAAATAGCATAAGCCAAAGTCCGTTTTAGTTATAGACAACACATCTTTCCATTATTCGGATCAAATCGAGGAAATGTGCATAGAAGTAGGGGCAAAGCTTATGTATCTACCACCTTACTCACCAGACTTAAATCCTATCAATACTTTCTTTTCAATTGAACGCATTCATTAGACGGAACTGGGTACACTTAAAGAAGACTCAGAACAAGGGTTTCAAACATTCCTCGAAGGGTACATTAAGGTTATTAGATCTCGAAAACAGAGTGCCTTAGGGCGTTTCCGACATTCTAGGGTGGTCATTAGCACTCACGGCTAGTTAGTAGTGTGTTGAAATTACACAATGAATGTACTAGGGAAGCACATATATCAAGGCCAGCGAGGTTGTTTAAGCCTGATCTCTCTAAAAACAGAGAGAGATCCTACAAAAATGGATAGCACTTCTCCTGATCTGTACTATCAATGGAAGGCCCAATGCTGATCACCATATTCATGCTTGGTGCACCATGAAAATCAACATAGTGTTAGAGGCGTCATGGCGTTAGGCATTACAGCGACAATAAATATAAATATATACCAATAGTCACCAAAATTACCCGAGTCTCTGTCAGCTGTATATTTAGAATTTTCATTACACATAAGTAACTAATACCCATACCTAGTGTCTATACGAGCGCCTTCTTGCGCCTTCATATGTGTTCAAGCTGTGGCCTGCGTAGCTTGGTCGTCCAACAAGAGATTCCTTACGCACTTAATCCATAAGCCAATATCTCTCATAAATTAAGGTACAATACCTACCACAATCCCTTTATCGATAAAGAATAAGGGATCTTGGTCTTCGTGAATCAGTCTAAGACCAAGACCATTAGCTAACACCACAATACATACTTACCGATACTATACTCTCAACTTTTCATCCCTAACTTTTGATTTATACCATGCGCCGTAATCTCTAACGGTTTCAGCTCTTAGTCTAAAAAGATTAAGGTCTTCCATTACTTGGTTATTGGGTAGTAGAACCAATATTGAGGTTACGGTTAAGGCTAGGTTAGAAGTATCTCTTTCCAGGGAAGATTGCACCCCCATTCAGCGACACAACAATCGAGGTATCGTCCAACCTTACCCTTCCTTTACGGGTAATCTTCCCTTCTAACAACCTCTCAAGCTTACCCTTCAGGGTCATCGGCCAGTAAGCACTTAGAGTCAGGACTATATCTTCTTTAGTATCTCGTAAGAGCACTTTCTTATTCACCGTAACTTTCCACTCTATCGTATACTAAACGCAGCTTGCCGGAAGATCGTCACTAAGCATACCATCGTCTCATTCAGATAGCTGGAGCAGTCTAGATCTTTCGGTCTCGCGTTAGCACAGGTCTTCCATATCATACTCGGAGTGATAGTCGAGGGAAGGGCTAAACTCGCAGCTTGACGCTTGCGTGCGACCATAGTATCCTGGAGTGGGGGCATATTGCGAATCTTGATCTCCGAGTTCGAGGTCCTGCGGTTCAAAATCACAGTTATCGGGATACGAATTAGCAGTCATCGTCCTCATTCAAGGGCTTTAAAGGATCCAACGTCATCATGATCACAACCAGTCAGTTCAGTAGATACTAGCCTCTATGAGAACATCAAGCCTGCTACATGATGCAAGGAAGCATTACCCACTAGTATTATCTCTATACAACTGGCTCATTTACAGTGGTCACTCTAGCTGGTAAGAGGTTGACGGAGTAGGATTCGGATTCCTACCACGTCTCGAGACGAGAAGAGCAGACAGACACCCATCTGTTTGGCATGTTTGCAGGATCAACATTCTAGAAACCCGAGAGACCGTACAGGTCTAATACAGGAGCTATTTTTATACTGTTATTTACAGCTGTATTGGATTACTGCCAAGATAGGGGTTCAGGGGAAGAGTAACTGTAATAGGAATAGCGTATTTCGGAGGAGGGTTCGAGAAAGAATCTCTGTGTGCAAATGGTGAAACCAAATTCGATTCTCCCTGTATATAGGGTCTAAGTTCTGCATTCCTAGAATATATGCCAGATCGAGTGTAAAAAAGAAAAAAAAGAAAAACCAAGGAAACAGAATGCAACCTGACCGATAAGACTTGGAGGCTGAGAAAGAGACAGAATGGTATAGAGGATATAAGACAAATTATAAAAAATGAGTTGAAACAAATGATCGCCAGCTAGAGATGAGATTAACACACCGACCGGCATGCAGATTTACTGTAGCTGGGTTGAGTGATTGATAACAGCGGGGGTAATATCAATCTGGGGATTGCATGTCTGGGGCCCGCTTCTGGCCTTGTAGTTTTGCCTCAATATAGAATTCAGTCGACTGTTCCACAATGGGGCGAGATGTCCCACATCGGATGCGGTAAATGGGTCCACGTTCTCATCCCGGATATAAGAATCGTGAAGTGATGATCCTTTCAATGATTCTTTTAACTTCGACAAATCAACCGACATTGAGATCCCAACACTATGAAGATCACATCCTTCGGGTATGCGTTCAAATGGCATTTTAGATGTTTGATACCGTTGGGCCTTCGTAGGATTTGTAGATTCTTGGCCACCCGAATGACGAATGAGATATGCTCTTGGATCATTAGGCGGTATCAAATTCACATCCGGCGACACAATGAAAAATGGTCGATCTGATGCCAAAGCAGCCTTAGCTTTGAGAAAGCGATTATGATGAGGCGAGTGAGATACCGCAGTGCTGACTTGAGAGCTTAATGGCGTATCGTTTGTTTCTTGGCGATTGCGATGGTTTCGCATAGCTTCTTTCTTTCTTTGCTCAAAGTCAAGCGCCTTCTCTAGCTCGGATTGCGTTTCTGAGGTGAAGCCCTCGCGAAGATTGGCGGCCCATCTTTCAAGAACGGGAAAACCGCGCCCGCTGTCCATGGCGCCTTGATATCCAGGCTCGTTGGACGCATTTTCATCCGGTGAAGAATCAGGGTCTTGCGTACCATTTTTCGCTTGGGAGACTCCAGAATCGGCCGCATTTTCAAGTAGATCCTCTGAAGATGTTGTTCCAAATCTTTCCTCGGCAAGCTGAGATATTGTAGGTATTGCGATTTCTTCCCCAGTAGCAGGGTCCGAAGAGTCTTGGTCTAACGAAACTTGCGTCGTCCGCGTAAACCATGTATCAAGTGCTCCATTGCCGTATTTTTCCTTGTCACGTTGTCTCGCTGCCTTTTGACCGCTAGTCACCGAGCTCCTCTGAGTAGGAGACAATTGTGAGAATGGTAAATTTGTTTGTCGAGCAACTGGGGAGGTGGATGTCAGTCGCGAGGCTGGGGGGCTCAGAAACTCAGCATTCTCAGGTGATGATTGAAAAACCGCGTTTTGGGCAGCATTCCGTCGTACATTTCCTGGAGATGAATCGCAGGATAAATTCCCAGCCCTAGCAGGCTGAGAGCCTTGATTGCGCCGCGGCGTGTGCAAGGACATGTTCATCTTTGAGGCGGACCAAGGGTTGATTAATCGGGGATTTCGAGCTTCAGCCGACTTCGAAATATGGTTACCACTGGAAACTTTCAATGGTTGTAATTCTGTACCATTGGATGAGAGATTTGAGCGAGTAGTGGTCTCTATGAAGGGAGCCGCAACAGGAGAGTCGGCCATATGGTCTTCTGCATTCTCCAGCACGATAGAAGGTTGCCTAGAATGCGGTCGATTTAGTAGCAGATCAAAATCGTCGCCTGACTGCGTAGTCTTTGGATTTCGATTTTTGACTTGGCCTTTCCTCCGGGAATCAGGAAGCGGGCCATAGTGATCTTCTAAAAGCCTCTCGACCAGATCCAACACAACTTCACGATCTTCAAAAATTACGTCATCTTTGCCCGGCTCAACGTTCACATCGTATGAGCCTTGCGGACAGGTAATTTCGAGAAAAAGAAACGGATCGGTGCTAGATTTGGTGATTTCGTTTCTGGACGCGGCCGCGCGAATGTGATTTTTGAAGAGCTTCGCAATGTTTTGGCCTATCCCCGTGGTATTCGACAGCGGCCGACCATCCACACTAATAAATTGCCCCGAGCCGTTCACCTTGGATATATCTATTTGAGTTAGTATATTATGCATGATTACCCGGGCAAACACTATTACCTGCGTCCGCCTTCGGAAGTAGAGATGAAAGGCTGTATGCACTTTGATCTGGGCCATGTTCCATGTTGGAAGAAAATTCAGATGAAAGCACTTTTTTGACTAAACAAGAAGATAACTCTCTGCCAAAGATCTTCGCTGCTGCATCTGACAGACTTGACCCAGTACTCGGTGCATACATCCAGTTATTGTTTTCATTCTTCGCCTTTAAAACTTTAAAGGAAAATTTCTTGGATGGTTGCGCAACAGCATACGCTTGAAGCAGCCTTTTGATTTTAGAAAGGATTTTGGTTATGCTTTTTAGTACCACCTGTCTGCGGACAGGTATGTGTTTGATGAAGTCAACAACACGGATGGTGGTCCCAACCGGATGAGATGTTCGCTGAGATCTGTTATTATAATTAGCCTATGCAATTCCTAAAAACGACGAATAAAGGTTAGACCTGCTGTATAATTCGGCCGTCCCTCTGGTATTTGACAGATGAGCCAGTGACGCTGGAAGCAACACGGGTAGTGATGGTGAGGCCGCCAGACATCTCGGCGATACTGGCAAGCGCTTCACCTCGGAAGCCAAGTGATGTCCCACCCACATTTCTCAAGTCGTCAATGGTTTGGATCTTGCTTGTACACGCATGTTTGCACACGTTGGCGTGATCCTCTAATGGAATGCCATGTCCGTTATCCTTGATTTGTATCACATCCACAGTATTGGATGAGATTTCAATAAATATAGAAGAGGATCCCGCATCCAAGGCGTTGTCAATCAACTCCTTCACAACTGAACAAGGATCGGAGATGACAGATGTAGATCCGATTGCCCTGACTGTGGCCTGCGGAAGGGCCTCAATCGGCATTTTGGACGAAATGTTTCAGACAGACATGACGTCGCATATTCGAAGTCAAGACATAGGATGGAATATACTAATCAAACAAGTTCATTAGAGCGAAAGATGAGAAGATTGGACGAAGATTGGATGATGACAAGAGGTGATTTCGATTCGAAGTCGGAAGTCCGTCATCATCAAACCGCTGGCTTAGTCATCCGCGAATCAACAACACGTTCAGCATCTGGCCACTTCCCCTGCTCTGCTGCTTCTCGAGTGTAACTGCTTGCCAGGCTGAAGATGTTCAGTGATGACTTCTCAATATCCCAGCTGGCACTTCCAGCGGTCAGTGTGCTGATCAGCTTCCTCGCCTACACATCTCAGTACTTCTTCTACCTGTTTGAGTCTGCACCACTCCGCCATGATGAAATCTGGAAGATCAATATATTCGCTGCCTGCATCTGGATATGCTATTATCGAGCTTGCTATGTAGATCCTGGCCGGCTTCCTGCAGATCGCAAACTTGCGACCGTGGATCAACAAGAAAATGATCGTCAAAGTGGCCGGCAAAGGTGGTGCCGTAGATGCCAGGCGTACAAACCTCTCCGTGCCCACCATTGCAAAACTTGTCAAAGGTTCGACAAGCTTTACGCGTCGCGATCGAAAATTTTATACTCCTTTACTAACACTTGTCAGATGTATTCCAAAAATGGACCACCATTGCCCGTGGACGTCAAATTGTGTCTCACACTTTACATTCCCCCACTTCATGCGCTTCCTTTTGTACGCAGTGGTTGGAATGTCTTATCTTGAGACCCGTCTGTTCGAGCGTGTATCAATTGTCTGGAGTGACCGATATCTTCCAAGTGTATGTGTCTGTCTTTGTTTTCTTCAAGTCTCATTACTGACGTTCCCAGTACATGGGTCCCTCCATCGTGCAGCTTGCGCACTTATTTATTCTCTTCATAGTTAACAGCCTGACTGTGTTTGGCCTTTTGATTCTACTTCTGCGAAGTATCTACTCGCTGGCCTTCAACATAACCACGATTGAATCTTGGGAGATTGAGAGACACGAAACCCTTGTTCGACGCGCCCGAGTTTTGGGTGGTCATCTGGAGGGTCCAGGCGGAGTCAAAGTTCAAATCAAGAAGCAGGAATTCCCATATGATATTGGGATCTGGTCAAATATCAGACAGGGGATGGGAGGCAGTGCAAACGTTAGTTCCAGACTATTCAAACAACAGACTCCTGCTTACAATGTTCATAGGTCCTGAGTTGGTTTTGGCCACTTGCAGCTACCCCCGACCGTAGGGGCGGCTGGGAATTCGAAACGAATGGCTTCGAGGGTATGTTACTTGTCCTTATCCTTTTTAGATGGAGACTTCAGTATCTGATAAATCAATAGATCCCGGATCATCATGGCCTCCACCTGATCCAGACCGTATCCCCTGGCCAACAAGCCAGACACTTCCCGACGATTCACAACTTCCAGAGTCATATTCATCTGCCAGAGAAACTGTCCACGCATTCAACCGGCGCAAATTTGGCGACATCAACCGCCCGAGACCCTTTTCTGAAGTTGAAAGACGCACGCGGTTTCACGACCGTTTTCAACAAGAGAACTATGATAGTGATGAAGATCGTAGTGCAGGCCCTGTTTATGGAGATGACTCGGACGAAGGCGAAGAATCCTGGCGAAATGCGGAAGGGGAACGCCTTCGAGATTTTGGCGTGGATGAGGACGTAGAATTCTACGACGAGGATGACGTCCCGTTGGCAGTACTCATGGAAAGAAGAAATCAACATCGATGATGCATGATTTGTTGTGGATGGGCTCTGGATACTCCAATGTATATAGCACAATCATGGAGCCTGTATGCTCCTTTCCCAGTACCATGCTACATCACTATTCTACTTGGAAGGCTGGGCTATCGCTATACGTTACAAGCTTCGTCTCGAGCTCGTAGTAACTCTTTCAAGGAGCAGTGGCGCATCATTGGATCCAATATCTCAAAATTTGGCGTGATCTTAACCAACTACTACTATTTTCCCCCGAGGCCTTGGTGGCTTAGAGAGCTCCCGATTGGGCAATGATAATGGTACCATCTGTGGTACCGGATCTGTCCAAGCTCTTTGATTCCATTTGTTGGACGATTTGGTGTCCTTCGACGACCTCTCCGAAAACAACGTGCTTGCCGTCTAGGTGAGGGGTAGGAGCGAACTAGACTTGTCAGTATACATTTTCATACATCAATTGATTATAGTTGAACTTACTGTAATGAAGAACTGCGAGCCATTGGTGTTGGGACCGGCATTCGCCATAGAAAGAAGGAAGGGTTTATCGTGTCGCAAGTTGAAGTTCTCATCTTCAAACTTCTCGCCGTAGATCGATCTGCCACCGGTTCCCTGTGTATGCTATAAGCTCGCCATTCTGGCTACTGGGCCCAATCCAGCTGCGTAATGTAAAACTTACATTTCCTCGAGTGAAATCACCACCCTGTGCCATGAATCCGGAAATCACACGGTGGAACTTCGAACCGGCAAAACCAAAGCCTTGCTCGCCGGTTGAGAGGGCGCGGAAGTTGCCAGCTGTCTTGGGGACAACTTGATCATAGAGCTGGAAAACGATTTGGCCCCAGGGGACGGCTGGGATGTATTAGCATAATCGTTCAAGTGAGATAGTGAGATAGTACAATTGCGTACTGCTGCCACTGCGGTCCTGATAGGTGATATCAAAGTACACCAAAGACATTATGAAATTTCAATGATTTTGTGATGAAGAATGGGGTTTGAAGAGAGATGTGAAGTACTAGATGACAAGGGCGGGGGTTAAAAAGGAGGGGCAATCTATTTCTCCACAGAGTGTTGTTCATTTGATTGGCGCGTGGTGAGGAATCTGTGAGAATGGGTACAATGTGTGCATCCTTGTTGCCTGGTAGAGGTGATTGGCCTATTGCAAAATTTTCATGCAGAGATATGACGCTCGTCTCTGAGGCAAACTTGAAATTGTTACGGTGAAGGTCACAATCTGGTAGTGGCATGTGTTGACGCATATTATCTGTGAGATATATCAATTCATTGACTCTGATAAACTGACGTGTTCTAGATCATCATTTTGGAGAAAGAGAAATGATGCAAATATTACAAAAGATGACATTAGAGATCGTGAAGCCCACTAGGATCATGGTTCGTGTGAACTAAAGACTGTAAGAATTTTCTAGAAATAGTTTATTTACTAATCCATGATAGTAATATCGAACTTTTGTAGTGTTCAAAAAGCCCCCCGCAGAGTTATACCAATGGCGAATAGTGCGGGGTAACATTGAGTTCATCCTGCGTCCGAGCATCAATGTCCTAAGCACTCTAAAGAAAATAAATCCGGTTCTTCGAAGATCCACACACACACACAGCGATAACATTTTGAATGTATCCCATCTTTATTGAATATATTCATCAATTTGTCTATACTATAGACTTCGGATTAAGTATCCGTAAATATGACGTCAGTAGAAGCGGAACCTCGAATTCCGCGATGAAACAAACTACTCACCGAGGATAGACTATTTAGCCTATTTCTCACAAGGTTCTTTTGTCCCAGAAACCTCATTGGTCTTCAAGCGCCTATAATTTTCAATCATGGCTTATACGGGCCACTGCAACTGCGAGAACATACATATCACACTGCCTCAGCAGCCGCCAAGCTCGGTCCCATGTCATTGGTGCGTCTTGGTTCACTCGTGCCTTATTTGATTACTGAAACTGATACATATATGCGGTGACAATTGTAAGCGTGCGGGTGCGGGTGCGGGTGCAGGTAAAGATTATATTCATCGGAGCAATATTCCTAATATGCCATAATTAACTTGAACGTCGATTTTCCTTGCAGCTTTCTCGGTAAACTACTTCATTCCCATGAGTTGCATCCCTGGGCACATACAACGCCCCATTGTTATAAAACCGCTGGTCCTTCGACCCTACGACCTTAATATGATCATATTATTCTTCGTGGCAGCGGGAGATAACCCCTTCCTTAAAATCCTCAGCCTGTCGGGTTTTGATCGGAGACGTAATTGAGGGAATCTGCGACCGCCTGAACGTCCACAACAGCAAAATGTCAACAATGGAAGAAGCGTTAGCTTCTCGAAATCGAGTATCGGAGTATCATGTATATCACGAAGGCATGGATCATGTCGTCATCACTCCTTTCTTGGATCCGACGAAAGAATGGGGCTACAATGAGAAAAGATATAAACGCCAGACTGAGGATCGCACCTATCACCAACGCGGATCCAAAGATTCAAACAGTTATTTCCTGCATAAGCCAATCTTGTTATTTTGCGATCCGCCGCGCACACTGCGGCGTGGTAGCAGCAAAAAGAGGACACCGCTGTGTCTGATAATCAATTCGGCGTTCTGGCGCGAATGGAATATTCAACTTTCTTCAAATCTCGAAGAAATCATCGATTCCCGAGGCATTGTGAGGTGGGAACATCGAAGCAAACCCAATAACTACATTGGCAAAAATGATTACGCACTTAAGGGGTATAAGGTACGGACATGGTGGGTTTGGGGTGAATCTGGAGGCGAATACCATCATCGTGTCAACGCTCGACGGAAGGGTTTACGCGAGGGAGGAAAAAGGGAAATACGTGCGTTCGAACCTGCTTTTGCAGAGGATTCTGTGAAGTTGAAGTGGGCTTCTCCATTGCGCAATACGAGGGAATATCACTTTGAATACACCGGTATAAGCTTCTGGTAGGAGGAGGGACGGGCGATTTCCACGCCATGGATAAGACGTCCGCAAAGCTGATGCCCCTGAGTCATCTAAAGCTCGTTGCACAGTCGGCGCACGGAGAAAATGTTATTGTTGCCCATTATGTATCAGACATTTCTTCTAAAAAGGTTGGGAAGCTATTGGTAATTGATTCTGCAGTTGTCAGGCTGCTTGAGGATACTTGCGAGAATGGTCTTGCAATAAGACAGACAGTGCCAGAAATTTAATTGAAACGTCACAAGGGCCAGATATCAAGGCCACTAGGCTTCAGGAGTTGGTTATTGCGACTGTTGCTGGGGAATGGGAGAAGCGGATGACAGTTTGGTCTATCATGATGCTCATCGTCACTAAAGGCAATGGAATGAATGTTGGGAATATTTGAAAAGGCGGCATGAACCTTTATTTGATTAGTGCCACCCGGGTATCGGTCATAAGGGAGCTTTGGATGAGTTATCCTTTCTTAAGTAATATCTAGGAGGGTTTCAAAGTGGATGTTCCTTCATATTGAGTGCTGCGGCTATATGAATAATTGGACTGTAAAGACCGAATCTGTTTCCATAAAAAGATCATACTCAAATCCACGTTTCATATCTCATATCCCACGGAGGATGACTAGATTACTTCTCGTACTCGATCATCATTCTTCTTAAACCGGATTTTAGGCTGCCTCACTAAGCCGAAACTTTGGTTTTAATGAAGGCCAATGCCTGGGCGCCGTACTCTGCACCATACCCTTGGTGGGTCGCCGCATCACTTCCGTTACAGCAATAAGGATCCGAAGCGTCACAGTAAGACTGGATCTTACTAGCCGATGGGCAACTGAAGCCCGCAGCACGCTCGTCAAACTAGACACCGTTAGCTTTTATTGAGATGGAGAGATACGGGGTGATCATACGCCACCAGCAGCACAAGTTCCAACTTCATACGACAGGCCAGCCCTGAACATGGGATCACCCATAAAGATTGCAGCTTTCACCATATTCACAGCAGAGGATGATAACAAGACTGCAGTATTGGTGTAACCCTGGTTAGGATCACCGCCACCACATAGTGCAGCGTCCATAATCTCGGCTCCCTAAGGCAAGAAGTCCCTTACGTTAGATCCTCGAGCTACTAAGATTGAGTGTGAATGAAAGTCACTTACTTGAGAGTATCCAACCAGAACCAGTTGGGTAGATGGACACTCAGAGTTGAATGAATTGACCGCCGACGCAACAGCTTGAATGCCTTGAGTAGCCGAGCTAGAATAGCTCACGCTTCCACAAGAAGATTGGCCCCCGCACGCAGGATATGAGATGGCCTCAGCTGTTGAGCCTGAATAGGCACTCAAGACTTCGTTAACCACGGTGATTGATGATCCGTATCCGGCAGATGCCGTCGTTTCGCGTGCACCGAATACATGTACGCTAGGGCAGCTTCTCTTTTCGACGGCAGCCTCGAGGGGAATAGAGAAAGATCCTCCGATGAGCGCGGAAAAGGCCAAAATTTTGTTCATCATTGTGTCTGGGATAGAAATTTGAAATATGTGAGAGTTAAAGAACAATGCCCAATTTTTGGGATTTCTTGAGGCTTGTCCAAGTTGTCTTTCTCTGAAACTGGATGGACTTCATCTCGGTCTCGGTGGAGACCATGGCCAATTTATACACAACACCTGATGAAACATCTGGATAAATTAGACTGGGCGATTTTGTCTCGACTCTTTACAACGACACAACTGTCTGGTAATAATAAACCTCCTTTCGACCGAAGAGATAATTTTGCCTAATGATATCGCAAACTTTGTATTTGGTCGAGTCGTATAAGACTCCCTGTATAGATTAGCCATGTGTCCGCATATTTAGCAGCCGGATAATCAGCCTGAATCAGAAAATTATTGAAAAGGGTCGCTTGAAGAAGCTAAAATCATTTTAGCGGCGCCAAATTGGGGAAGGGTCTAGTTTTGAACTTGAATGTGACACCTATTGCAGATGAACTATATCACCCCCGCATTTTTTAGGGTAGTAAAACCGATGATCCTTCAAAGCGATCGGACAACACACCCTTTGGACCGATATTTGCAGCTTTCCTAGCACAGACATGGAAATTCAGGCTACAAGTAACTGAAATTTCGTGGAAATCTGCAGTAGTAAGCTTGATTGATGATTCCTGTATTCTATTTGAATGCATAGGTATTTTCCTGCATTCATTATCATTACCTGAAATGTGGGGGCAAATCAGCCGTTCCAAGGCTCCTGAAACTCACTCACCTGGGCATTCAACCCTGCATAATACAAGGATAATATTCGTGGTATTGATCTCGATGAGTCGGAGAAAATATAAATGGACTGATGAGTGACTCAAGACTCAAATAGCTAACAATCGCAGCCGAAATGCCTCTTTTGAGCCTCGAACGTCATTTCCAAGCGGGCAAACAGGCAAGGGGAGCAAAATCCCATGAGGCTCCGTCAACACCAAATTTAACCAACGCCTTAAGGATATGTGCTCAATTGAAAGATGTTGTCATACGAGTTTTCATTGGTGATACAGTGTATGTTGATCCTTGCCGGGAGCGTGACAAGGCTGATGTCAGGTTAGAATATTGTGCAAAACATTCATCACAGCCCACAAGATCTTCAAGGTTTGAGTCCAAAGCCCACCAAAGCCAACATTCGCTTTATTCGATCAGTGGAGAACCAAGCTGGGTCACGGTGTGTTAAGAAAAGACAAGACCAGATAAGGCTGCACAGCGCATCGAGATTAGAGCCGGTTTACGAGATTGTTGAATAGTATATTCTGCCACCATGGATACTTTCCTTCAGATATGTCGACTCTATATTCCATTTTTTCTATGTCTCAATCTTCAAAATGTTCGGCAAAGCTGGCATCGCCGCTGTCTCCCTTTTGGCCTTGACGGCTATCGCGGCGCCACTGGACAAATGTAAGAATCAACCCCCACTCCCCTATTTGGAAATGAAAGGTGGGCTGTCAGTGCACACTGCCGCTGTCACATCTCTCCGATCCCACACAAGGCAAAGGGATTTAACCTCAACCACATGGTCAAGCGAACACTTCAGAGCCGCAGTGATGATATTCATGTCACTTGCCACAAGCCTGCACCATTCACTTTGTCGCGCACTCCATTTAAATCCTCAGGACACACCATGAACCTCAAAAAGCGCAACTCCAATGGACCAAACACCCGCAGCGCTGCTCATGAGCTGAACCGAGGAGGATCTAAGTCAACAAAGTCAGCAACTCTGCGGTCTTTGAAGGACAGGCTATGAGTATGCGACTTCTATAACATTTGGTAACCAGACGTTAGAGGTCATTGTGGATACGGGATCGAGCGATACGTGGGCTCCCGAGCTTGCTTTTTAAGTGTTGCGATAAAGAATCAAACAACAGGACTTCTACAGCAAATTGTGCGTTTGGGCCCGGAAGATATATACCCAGAAAGTCCCTTAAGATGATCCCTGGAGAGCTTTTGACCATTTCATATGGGGATGGTGAATACGATTCTGGGTACATAGGCTACGAGAACGTCACCCTGGCCGGTGTCAGCGTAAATCAGACTATCGGTCTCATTGATTAAGCTGCGTGGACGGGTGATAACCTGGCTTCTGGATTGGTTGACCTGGCATATCCCGCTGAGTATGCCTTTTTTTCATACCCTTATCCATAAATACTTATCTAACATGGTCAATTTAAGACTCGTGCCACGAATAAGACGACGCGGAAAAGCAAGGTCTATGATCCTATCTTCAAATCCGTGTACAAGCAAGGCTTGGTGGACTCATACTTCAGTCTGGCTATCTCTGGTAATCTCTCTGGGGATGCAGGCTACCTGACTCTTGGCGGTCTACCTCCTATAGACTTTAACGGGACTTGGGCTAGCACCGATATCATAGTCACAAATGTCGCCGGCGATGAAAAGGGAATGGACTTTTACACTATCAACATCGACGATCTGAAAATGAACGGCAAAGCGTTGAAGAGCGGTGGTAAGAATAACCAGTACATCGTAAGAGAAATCAGTGGAATTCCAGAACTTGGATCATATACTAATACGTTACACCTGTAGTTTGACTCTGGAACCACTCTAAACTACCATACCACTGCTGCTGCCAACGAATTATCAAATGCATTCCACCCCAAGGCCAATCGAAATGACGATGGCAGATATGAGGTTGACTGCAATGCTAAGGCCCCAAGCCACGAGGTTACAATCGACGGAACGGCTTTCACTATCAACCCTCTTGACATGATCTTATACAATGGCGAGGATGATGATGGCAATACTATCTGCCAGACAGGCTTTGTCGATAACCCGGAGTCGGCATCGGAGGACGTCTTTATTCTTGGTGATACTTTTTTGAAGAATTTTGTCGCCGCTTTTGATATCGGTGCTAGTGAGATGTCATTTGATCCAAATGAGCAGTACAACAACAATGACCCTTACTAAGAGGAACTGTTGAAAACTTGAAAACTTGAAAACTTGAGTATTTTGATGTTCTTATGACGCGGTACAATGTGAAACATGGATCTATCGAATTAAAGACAATACCATATAAATTTCTTAAAACGAAATGAAACTTGAAGCTACTGTAGACTGTAGGGTGAAGAATAGCTTGTTCCCCTCAAACTGAGGAAGACCGCCGCTGAAGCATTGGCAGTGCATATAATACGTAGTTCTAAGGTTGAACAGCTTATCGTTATAGTAACTTCTATTACATCTTGAATGTACTTGATTTATCAACTAGAGCTGAATATAGGAAAATCGATGCGGAGAGAATGCCGTCGCAAAGCGAAATGTCCGTCATGCGACTTCACATTTTCGGCGGGTAGGATTTGTAGCCAGGTATGCCCTGGCCCCTGTCGACACTATGTACACATGACATTCAGTCCCGCAAGGGTGACCGTTTGCGAGTATTCAGTTGCTGAATACTTTGTATGTGAAAACAACTGATGAAAGGATGAAGAGGCAATGCAGATCGAGTGAATGCAATCGGAGGTTATACAATAATAAATTTCTGGTTCTACTAATGAAGCAGCATCTTACCATTAGGCAAGTAACTAAAGTTCTAATACATTCCCAATGGAGCCTATCCTAAGACAGATTAGTGTCACGAAAGCGATAGCAAAGGTTAAGACATAATAAGCAACAGCAAGTATAATAGCAGTTTGCTAGAATAGAGCAAACACAGTCTATCTATAATATTTGTGAAGAACATCATTTAAATCAAGCATTGCCGAGGATATCGGTTGAGTCTAAGGCTGAAGCTTAACCCAAAGAGTGGCTACACGTCATCAACTCGGACTTTTGCCGATCCCTTGCTTTCACCACGCATTTTAACCGGGCAAGGGGTCTATGGTTTAGAAATACTTGTTCGGTTAAATCCAAAGCAAGCACTATATTGATGACTCTTTGTATCTTGTTTAAGGTGACTGTTCGACAATTCTAAGGTTCTTCGGCAATAATTGTATGCTATCAAAACTATATGCATCATTCTTATCAGTCAACCTTGGAAACAATCACTGTTAAATCGTACTTCACAAGACATTGCTTTTGCCACAGATCTTCTCTAATCTTCAAGCGTTTTCCAATTCAAGGTGCCCTGTTTTGTGCTCGGATGTACACGTTTCATCATTTTTTTCTGCTCGTATCGTCGCTCTCTCCTGCAGCTGTCTCTCAACTCCGGCAACGAATTCCTTGTCTAGAGAGTCCTTAACCACTCTCCAGAGAGATGGTCGCTTTCCGTCACGATCGGCAAAGAACAAATCAATTGCCTCCAGTGGCATTTTGCTAGTCTCGGGAAATGTAAAGTAGACGAGTGGAATTGTCGCAAAGTTGATGATTGCAAACACAACATAGCACTTGTATCCAATGTTGGTGATCATAACAGGCGTGATCTCAACAACCAAGAATGTAAACATCCACTGAGAAACGACTGCGAGGGCTCCACCGCGTAGTCTCAGTCTGAGAGGGAGGATTTCACTGGGATAAATCCACATATTGGACTGCCATCCGAGAGTGAAAAAGCTCTGGAAAAGATATAGTACAACAGCCGCACCGTATCCAAGATTTTGTCCTCCGATCCCGACAAAAATAGCAGAAAGGGTCATGCAAACACCCATGCCAGCAGATCCAATCATGAAAAGGGGTCGTCGTCCAAATTTCTCAATAGCATACCAGGGGAAAAGACTGCTTAGAAAGTACCACACCTGCAGCCCGCCCGAAACAAGCATCGCATTATGGCGAGACATTCCGATTGAGTCTTCGAAGACATATGGCCCAAGCGAAGACATGACATTACACCCTGACATTTGTTGAAAGAAGTTGGCCGCAAATCCAATCGCCATTCGTGAGAATCCGCTAATCCCGTTATCCTTGAACACATCGCTCCACGAGCCCTGTTCCTCTGCCTCAACCGAGAGCGCAAATTGGATTTCCTTCAACTCCTCCACAACAACGGGATCATCGGGGAACCTGGCTCGAAGAGCAGCTAGAGATATTCTCGCTTGCGAGATTTCTCCTCTGGCACAGAGATAACGTGGCGACTCGGGTAGGAACGGCATACAGGCGAGGGTAATGCAGCAGAAAATGATTTGAAAGGCGCACGGAAATCGCCATTGTATGGAGCCTGGATAAGTATCCATACCATAGTCTAGCCAGTTAGCTAGGATAAGCCCGACAATCAAATTAGACAACTGCATTGCCATCATGCGGCCTCGAGATTCAGGCATGCTGCATTCGGATAGCCAGATGGGAATCACAGTTGTCATTATCCCAAGACCGAAGCCAGCGACTATGCGACCGATGAGAAATTGCTCCAAGCTAAATGTTGAGGCTTGGAGAATCGCTCCAATTGAGACTATCACTGCGCCGGCCATATTGTTTGGTCTCCGCCCGAATCGATCACCCATGACGAATTGGAAAAAAGCACCCAGCAACGCGCCCACTTCATAAGACGAGACTAGAAATGCTAGTAATGAGGCTTCGGGGTCGCCAAAGACTTCTAGAAATGTGGGCGAAGTTGTCAGACCACCCATGAAGCCTAGATCATAACCGAATAGGAGGAATCCGATTGAGCATGTGAATGTTACAGCATAGATGAGGCTTTGGCCCTTTAGGCCGACAAACGTTGGTGACTTCGTTGGTGACATTGTCAGTTCATGTGCAAAAGAAACATTTATGGAATATTCTCTTGCGCAACTGTAACTGCTGGGCCATATTATATACAACTCGGGATTTCCCCACGGCTCGTGGGGTAACTACGGGGAAATTATCTGGGGCGGCCCAGGTCGGTCCATCTCCGATGCTTGGTTGCTCTTGCTCCACCGTGTGCGACCCATGATGTGGGAGTTTACAAAACGATCATTCTAGTTTACGTGATATGATTGACCGCCTCTTATCTCACATTTCTCAAATTTTAGAATGCAGCACATGTCTGATAGGTTGTTGCGTTCCCGATACCCACATTGTAAGGCGTAGCATATCCACCGAGGCCGTCCTCTGATTTAGGATTTCAAGAGCATCAGCACAGCAGTGGCTAGGTTCACTCATATGAATCTTATTTTACTAGATGTTATTATTGTTTAAAATCGGTTGAGCATGATCAACATATATTAAAAAATGTACATTATGTGTAGAATACAAATGGGCGTGATTATTGAGCCCGGTTATTAGTACACGGCCGACGACTGGATCGCCTGCTCTCCTGCAGGCTCTCTTCAACCAGGATCCACTTTCTGACCACCTCCGCCCTTTCAGCGGCTGAAGAGGCCCGCATTTCTTCGTGGCCCTGGACAATACGCGAGAGAACGACTTCTCCCTCTTGACTTTTGCCTAATGAGTTAAGAAGCTTCCTCCGCAATCCACTTAATGGATAGCCGGCCAGTCCCCAAAGACCTAATTAGATTAGATTAGACCCATTCTCCGAAGACATGCAAATAGTGTTATATTAATGACTTTAAAAAGGAAGGATTGCTGCATACCTGCAGGAAGTTTCAGGAAAACCCCACCGACTCCCTTCCCCACTCCCTTGAGCATTCCCTTCGTACCTTTCTTCTTATAGCCGTAGCGAGGCTGGGTAACTAATCCTGTAACTCCATAGTAAAAACCGTCACGAAATTCCTTTGACGAGTCATTGGTTAATAGACTACGAGGCCTTTGGCAGTTTAGGATAGACGAACCTTGCCTGCAGCTCGAAAGCCACTCCGTAGACCTTTCACTTTCGGTGTTGATTTGACCATCGGGTCGTGATATAATTTTGGTGCGTTATGAAACCCCTTCGAAAGGCTGAGCGAGATATCGGTTGGAAGCCAAATTATGAGGTTGACGAGCTTCATAGACGCTTTGCGACCGTAATTAGATGCCTCTACGAAAAAGTTATGAGCATGTGAAGGAACAATCTCGCTATCCATGGTCCGAGAATGTTCCAGTTGCAGACTTCGTGTCCTGTCAAGCCCAGCGTCTGGAATAAATGAATCACTTCCTGTGTCCATCATTTCATCATCTTCGTAATCGTCATCGTCGTCTTCATTATCCTCATCTTCTAGTTCGTCGTTAGAACTATTGCTTGGCCCTTGATCTGCGTTGCTGGCTTCATTGGCCATCTGGTCTGAAGATGATTGGTCGCTGACCATCTCATCGTGTGCAGGACAGTCCTTTGGACACTTACCTCCCCATTTTGAATGGGGTTTGATGTGTGCATGTGGATTTCCAATTGCTCGGCCGGCAGAAACAAGATCAAGCATCATTTCTGTTGGAACATCCGCTAGTCCGGTAACAAAATTAGTGATAGCCCCGAAGAGAACCTGGGCAGAGGCACTGAGTGGCCCGATCGGATCGCGGTATGTGTCGTATTCTATTGATCGGTTCCTATGGGTAGAGTTAGTACTTGAAGAAGGATACTGTATACTTGCGAGACAAACTGACAGGACTAAGTCTTCGGGCCTTAATTTGCACGATTCGACCAGAACAGTGGCTGCGAATGCGCTGAAACCAAAATCAGTGTGCTTCATATGCCACACTGCTGGCCGACTTGGACATATACAGCATCGTAGTGACTGTAAATCAAGTTGACGATGAAAGCTTCGCACTCCATCTTTGACACCGGATTCATGTTCCATCTTTTTCGATATGGCCTGCGCCTTTTCCTTCGTACTTGACTGCAATGCCATCTGTATTGCATCACTTAATTTATCGACGGTCAATTGTTTATGAGGGATTGGGAGCGGGCCAGCGCCAGCGCGAGCGACGATTTCTCCCCAAAATTGCTGATCGCCGAAAAATGGAATGATGATGGTCGGACGTCCAAGTGCAAGGCCGGCAGCGGTTGTACCTGCACCCCCGTGATGTATTACGCATGATACTTGTTGAAATAGCCAGTCGTGAGGACAGCTCCCGATCACAAGGATATTTTCAGGAACATCCACGTCTTCCACGCCAAGATTTCCCCAGCCTTTAGAGACTATCGCCCGCTGGCCGGACTTTTTTATTGCCTCGAAAACGATATTGGTGAGTTTTATCTGATCGTCAACTACGATCGAACCAAACCCAGCATAAATAGGTGGTGGTCCAGCTTGTAGAAATTTGGCAATGTCTTGCGGTGGTTTGTAGTCGGATTCTGTGGGTAAAAAGCTAAATCCACAGATGTCAATATTATCGCCCCAGTCGACTGGTTTGGGAAGTACTGCTGGTGACCTTTTGAAAGTATTAGTCTAATGCGATATTGAGGAGCTTTGAATATTATTACCAGAGGTATGAACAAGGTATCTTCAACCTGTGGATCAAACTTGGCGCAGTAATACTATCTAGCGAGTCGAGTGACAGGGCCTTCTTCCGAAATGTATTGACCAGATCGCCCAGTCCTTCCCATACCATCATATCGACAACGGCATAGGAAACAAAATTGGCGACCGTGGGTTTGCAATCTTGTTGATGAATAATAGCGAGCGGATGTGGAAATGACTGCGTTGGCGACCATGGCATTCTGTCGAAGTTAGTATACTTTAATAATACAGACCATGGTACGATCTGGTACCATCGCAACTCACGTAAACATGATGTGAAGTGGTATGCCCAGTCTCTGTGCACAGTGTATATGGGCCAAGCTTGGAGGATTAGCGATGATCGCCTCTGCGACGAATGGCCGTCGGCGATAGTCAACAGTATCGCCCCAGAGATCCTCTTTGATCTGATGAAGATTTGTTCCGTCGCCTTTCTCAAAGCAAGATTTCCAACACCCGTTGATAATCTCTTTCATTTCACGTCTTCGTTTCTGTATAGCGCCGCTGCGAATCGTTTCGAGACCAGGAAGAAGACCGGGATTTTTGACCATGAATGCCATGAGCTCTGCTGGGTCACCGCCAATATTGAAGAACTCCAATCCACTATCGAGCACAAAATCACGAAACGCTAAATGTGTTGCCAATCGAACGCGATGTCCATAGGATTTCAACTCTTTACCAAGAGCGACGAATGGCTGGATATCACCCCGCGAGCCGATCACTTGAATCACAATATTCAAGTGAATTGGAAACGAATTTCCGTCTCCGGGTAAGCTATCAATGCTTGGCTTAGACTCGACATCTTCAAGTTCCGAGGGCAAAGGTGTGTTTTGCAGATGATTTAAAAGACCGGCGATACTTGGCTTGTGCTCGTCGATCCGAATGTCGAGGCGTCCATCTTCTGTTAGGCGAGCTCGGAGTTAGCATATCTCATCGCAAACATTCAAATTGTTGGATTTGACAAACCTAGCACTCGAACGCCTGTATTGAGCCCATCACTAATGAACTTCATGTGGTCACTGTCGTGCGAATAAGCATTATTGACATCTTCCGGCCAGTCGCCGGATTGAATTTCGTTTCTTTGCTCGGACTTTGGCCTTTCAGCAGCATCGGCTGCTGGGGGCATTATGTGCGGGAGATCGACGCAGGATGTACTAGGCCGAGGTTACAGGGTTCCAGTAGATATGGGAGCGGCGGGCTATGAGATGAAAAAGACCCAGTCACCAGAATGAAAATAAAAATCGTCTGTTGTCTTTTATTTGATTTTAGCTGAACAAGACCAAATATTAACAGCTTTCGCGAGCATTTTGGAAATCAGTGCTGCAGTCAATGACATCAGCAGGGTCCGGCTTCCTCGGCTTAGTCGACCCACCTGTTCCACTTGCTTCCACCAACTTGGTCAGCCTTATGCATTTATTGCCTCGGTCAATAATTATGGCGGAAGTTATGAGGTTTTCATTTTTTTATGCAATTTCTTGTTCTTTCCGGCCGCTGGAATGCTGTGTATTTTACGCCATCCTGATCGAGACATATTAGCTCAAACCCGGTCTTTGTCGAATAAATATGAGAGGCTCGCAGTAAAAGAGAAATCAAGGCCGAATAAACTATAAAAAAGGTCAAGTCCGTATTTTAAACGCACGCATACTTGCTCTGGCTTTTACTTCTTAACATGGTTTAACATTGAAGCCAAGAGTATATTGTCATTTATTCTGTATCTCCCTTGCGTGTTTTCTTTTCGTTGATGCTCCCCAATCGTTAATCCACAGTTTGCTCAACTCCTTCACTTTCAACTCGTATCGAGTGGCTTTTTATAGGTAAGAAGCCTTAAGAGCCAGCAATTCAGGCGACATACAGACAGTTGTGAGGTATTATTATAGTTATTCCGAGTCCTCTCAAGTTCAAGGGTACTAGCTAAAACAAGTATCCTAGCAATCGCCATTACACCTTGGAACCGAGATAACCAACTCTACTGCGATAACCTACTAGTAGTTACATCGCTTGCAAAATGAAAATTATAATGTTAAATGATTTTTTTTCTACTTCATTTTTTCTGGCATGTCTCTTATCACTTGTCGATTGGCGACCGCCATTGACTGTTCGCCGAGTGGTAACAAAACAAAATTCGAGAATACTATATTCAGTGAATTGAATTAAATTTTACAGCCAAGTGATTCTAGAAGATCTAACGAGCTTTTAGATTAACTTTAAAAGCTGTTTAGTCAGTAGTCGGCACCTGCAGTCAACGAAGCTACCATGGAGTACTGGGCCTAATGATATGTTAGGAAATGATCTGCAAATTACCCCAGCCACTGAGAGGCATCCAACGACTTGAACTTGAGGGTAAAGGCAACTGTGGTCATGAGGGTCAATTTTTTTTAACCTTGGAATCTCCAAATGTTAATCTGCGGATCTCACCGCGTTCTAAGAGATAGTTAGTACCAGCTCGTACTGGTCAACATCCCTGGTGCGTACCGCTGGCGATTGTCGGACATCCGAGTGATCCACTTCTTTCTGACAAGATAAAAGGGGTCTACCAATTGGGGGAGGTTTCCATAGATTATCGATCCTACCTTCCAGATTGGCGCTAGCGATCTGCAGAGAGCGAGAGCTTCAACGGAACTCCGTGTTGTCGCTATCTAAACCCCAGCCACGGCCTTGCGGGGTAAAGCGATTGACTTAAATAGTTAGCTCCCCCGAGGGTAAAATTCTTCAAGTCATAAACTCGAAACCAGAATTACGCCATAAGATGGTCACTTTCACAAAAGCAAGCATAGTAGCTGTGCTGCTGCACTATGCCACGGCTCAATTCGTTCCCCCGCCGACCGACCTAACTACAAAAGAAGGTAATGCTGGAATAAACGTGCGATACAAGAAAGTGCCACCTGGTATCTGTGAGCAGGATCCAAATGTGAAAAGTTATTCTGGATATGCTGATGTCGGTGAGCATGAACACATTTTCTGGTAAGCCACCCTTGCCGATGGTTTCTCGTGATCAACTTGAACATGAATGGCACCTCCGGAGGTCGTTGTGTTTCATTCCATGTTTAAAGTTTTGCGTTTTGGAGAAACTTCGCGTAAGCCCAGCAGTCGGGTCAAACGCACTTTGGAATTGCCATTTTTCCTTTTGCTTGCTCGTGATTGATCTCCTTAGTGGCTAACTACTGGCATCCTAGGTGGTTTTTTGAGACCAGAAATGGCAACCCCGAGGATGTACGTGTTAAACAAGTTTCTTCGCATATAGAAGCGCACTAAAAAAGACAGACACCTCTCACAGTTTGGATTAATGGCGGGCCTGGCTCATCTTCGATGCTTGGCCTATTTCAAGAACTTGGACCTTGTGGAGTAGACTACGATGGCAACGTATACAACAATCCCCATTCGTGGAGCAATGTCAGCAACATGGTGAGTGCCAAAATGCAAATTCTCAAGTCCACGAACCATCGTTCTAAGTCAAGAAAAGCTCTTCATAGATCAGCCAGCAACCACCGGACTTTCATATACGATCCCTATTCCAGGCTACACCAATAGCGATGGGTTGATCATTCAATTGCCGAATAACACATGTCCCGACTATGCACAGAAATCCGGAACATGCGGAACCTACTCGAAGCCAGATATTTCTCTCGTGCCAAATTCAACAGCAAGTGCTGCTCCTAACATGTGGAAAACACTGCAGGGGTTCATGGGGGCATTTCCACAGTATTCAAAGAATGGCTTGAACTTCGCGACCGAGAGTTACGGAGGCCATTATGGACCAGTTTTCAACAGTAAGTTTCCAAATACTCTCAATAGTAACTGATCGTAGCGTGCAGCGTGGCTAACAGAATATCAGCGTACATACTAAAGCAGAACGCCAAAAAGATTCCGGGTTCAGTCCATATCGACCTCAAAAATGTTCTCATTGGAAATGGTTGGTTCGACCCATTGATTCAATACCAAGCATATTACAACTTCTCTGTCTTCCCCGGAAACACATATGACTATGATCCATACAATGAGTCCATCAAAGCGGAATGGTACAACAATCTCTATGGTGAAGGAAACTGTGTCGATCAAACCCGGGAGTGTTATGCGACCGGGAGAAACGATATCTGTTCAGCAGCAGATAATTTTTGCGCCAGTCTAGTTGAGTCAATGTACGACAACTACTCCGGCCGGGACGAGTACGATATGCGTGAATTAGCCTCGGATCCATTTCCCTACAATTTCTATTCAGACTACCTCAACACACCAAAGGTTCAAGCCGCCATTGGCGCGTACCAAAACTTTTCCTCTTCCTCCTCGACAGTCGGCACTAGTTTCTCTAGCACAGGAGATGACGATCGGATGTCTGGCACAATTGGCGATGTGCAAAAATTGTTGAAGGCGGGCGTTCAAGTGACGATGTATTTTGGTGATGCGTAAGAAAATAGCACACTTCTCCTTAGTATTCACCTAGAATGTCGAAGGGCTAACATTAATTGGATCATAGGGACTTTAACTGCAACTGGCTTGGTGGCCAAGTCATTGCGGACGAAATAGATGCCCCTGGCTACTTAAAAGCAGGTTTTGTGAATCTCACTACGTCGGACGGGATCGTTCATGGACAAGTTCGACAAAGCGACTTGTACAGTTTCATCAGAATATACGAATCAGGCCATGAAGTCCCATTCTATCAGCCCCTAGCTGCGTTAGAGTTTTTCGAAAGGGCGATATTCAGGAAAGACATCGCGACTGGAAAGCAGAAAGTCACTCAACATGGAGGGCACCGCACTGTGGGAACTGCAACCAGTGACTATCGAGAGGGCAATGGTACGATCGTTTTCCAGAACCTTCCTAGCAATGCTACCTACAATACTACTCTCAACGGACCAAATCCCCAATTTCTCTGATATGGGAAACTTGGACTACTGTTTCATGAGATATTGAAAGGCAGGAGAATAACCGTTACCTGAAATTCGGTCACGTTTTGTAAATATCAATCAAGATGACTGCTCATGCAGGCCCACCAATATATTATTTGGGCCAGTGCTATCAAAAAATAGTTCCACTCGAAGCTCAATATTAAAGAATATGCTTCTACTACATATTGTCAGAATTACTCTAAACGCAGGCCAGGTTGCCCATTTTCTCCCACAATGACACACAAAGTCACCATTTGAGGGCTTTTTATGAACTTCATATAAGTGACTTCAATCCAATCGAGCCGCTTATTGAAGGAAAACATGCAAACATCATGCCTATATCATTTTATTGAATACCTAGTACAAATAAATGTGCGTTCCTCTCGCTAATGCTATGAGTACTGTGATGTTGCCGCAGATACTAAAAGAAAAGCGTTTATAAATAGTATGGTTAATGGGGTGATCGTGGGATATCTGGCATGGCTGCGGAATACATAAAGCATGCAGTACACCTGGTATGTCTCGCCACGGCCATTCTTGCAAGCCCCACTGGCAGGGGAAACACACTGCGTGTATGGCTGATCAAAAGCTTTAAAGAATTCATAAATGAATATGATAGGCACAAGACATGAAAAATACTAAAAATATATACATCAACAGAATATGGTACGTTTCTATCGCTAAAAATAAACGCGGTTCGTGACTCGGGAGATTGCCAACGCCATATGGTATAACAAAAAAAAAGAATCAAGACTCACTCCACCATAAGAATTTTGATTGGAAGTACCTCATACCAGCACTCACTGGCCTGTAATCGGCAGGAGATTAATGTTATAGCGTGGAAGCTTGTTCTATAAATGCTTTGATGGGGTTTCCCTTTCGAAAAAATCTAGTCTAATAGTAGTTTTGCTGATTAGCAGCACCTTGATTGACTTCATCATACTTGGCCTCCTCTTTCTTTTTCGGGAAAACTAGACCCCACATGCCGACAGTGAGAACATTCACGATCATACGAACAGGTGATTCTGCCGATGGAGGCTTCTGGTTGCGAGGAATTCCAGTTTCCAGCCCATCTTCTCCAATCCAGGTTTCAGTCGAACGAGGTAGGAAACGTCCTGGGTTGAAGAGGTTCCAAAGCAAAGAATTTCCTAGCATTGTTGTCCCCTCAAACACCCAGAAAAACCACTCATACCGCTCTAGAGGAGAATCCTGGTTCTCGTCTTGGACGTTCTTGAAGTCTTTCGATGTATGTCCAGCATGGTCCACAACACGGTAGATGCAGCGGATAAGAATTAACGACATACTGAGATAGAGAATGACGAAAAGCTTTGGAATCGCCTGGTTTTTGATGTTACTCTTGTAACAATGTTTCCAGAAAATAGCTGTCATAATGATAAAGCTCAATATCACGGTAAGTTGGATGGAAAGTGATACGAGAACTAAGATTCGACCTGCATTTTGCTCGTGACCAGTTGGGTTAGAGCTGAATGCAACACCCAATCCATTGAAGATCTCGACCAATGACATGAGACTACCGAAGATTGCAAAAACCTTGTTCGGGGCGATCGGAGTTTTGTATGGGACGTAGTAAAACATCCGACTGAGGACATGGTAGTTTGATAACTCGAGAAGTGGACTGTAAAATTCCCCCGAGGTTAGACTGAAGTGATGTGCTATATAGAGATATGACTTACGGAGGAACATATATAAAGACTTGGCTCATAATAAATGTCATAAGAACCGTACGTCCATTTGGTGCGTCCTTATCATAGATGTAACTGTCCCATGCGCCATATTCGCGCAGAGCGTAACCGGCAACATAAAGGAGCGCACAGAGCACCTGGATTCCGGCCATACCCCACGCCTTATACCGACTGAATACCAATGTCAGACATTGCAAAATGGTTCCACCATGAATCACGCTTACTTACTGACATTGATAAACATGACCGATAAATGAGATAGCAAAAATGGCAGCAAAAATAATCGGAGCCGGCTTGTTTGGCACGTAAATGTAAAGACTACCTAAAGCTAGAAATTTGTCAGTTCATCATTATGACCGGTGGCAAATAAGTAGAAGTTGAAGCTTACTGGCTTTTCCATCCTCCATGACTACTAATGTTACGGTGTGTAGATGCTCGTAACCAATGCCTGAAGCGAAAACTTAGTTCAGCTCCAGTGCATGAAATCTGGAGCAAAGTTACTGTATAAATATCGTATCGAAAGAGCCCAGAAGAAGGATTTTTCTTCTTCTTTAAATGCTCGGAATATCCTGTCAGAAAATTGGATAACTGGGCCATATATGTACTGTGGTGATGGTCATACTATCCCGAGGTCGATTCTCGAAACGCACCCCGGAAGTACTACTAGTAGTAGTATATTTCCGCGCGATTGCGCGGGTCACACCAGCGCAACTTTGTTGGAGATTTTCCGCCCCCGGACCATGGAATTGCCCAACTCAAGACGATAGAATAGAAACTATTGATGCCGATTACCATGTCGCCCCCATCACCACACAGCCTCATGGTCTCAGAGCACATGGCGGAAATTATATGGGGTTATGATGATCTACTCCTTCACCCAAGGATCTAAATTGATGGCGTCGATTTTGAAATTATCAGCCACTGCCATTGCTCGGCAGCCAATGAATTTCACAAGCAAACCTAAATATTTGTAAGATTTTCTTCTTATTTTTTCTTTGTTGATCTAGAGGCTCTCATGAACGGGCGTGACGGACGATCGATCAGTTATTTCCCGCTGGCCATTATGGTCCTCCGTAAGCGGGGCGCATTCCAGAACAATTCGGCCCCCACTGACCGCAACCTTCGTCCGACCCTCCCACTGTGAGAAGTTTCCATTAAAATACATTGATATTCCAGATCCTATGACGTAATTTTGAAAGTTATATCAATATAAACACCTGTAATGATACCGAATCACAAATTCAACGTCGTGTTCCTTGGTGATGCTGGTGTGGGAAAGGTAGCGGAAACGAAGCACGCAGTGTCGCAGCTCGCTAATGCATGATCAGACCAGTTTCATTCGGAAACATCAAACTGGAGACTTTCGCAACCAATATGAAGCTACTAAAGAGGTCGGAATTTATGCGCTTCCATGGAATACGGTAGGTCTTTACAGCTCTCCAGCTATTTCCGGAGCCAGCTGATGAGCGCCTACCTAGACTGCCGGATATTTGGATGTGACTGTATGGGAAATCCCCAGTAGCACTGAGTTGTCTGCTGCTAGCAAGGAGGCACTGAAAAGGGCCGATGCAGCCTTCATCATGTTCGACGTTTGCAACAAAAAGACACTGGATAATGTCAGAACGTGGGACCGTACGTTGCCCTCTTCCTCGAACCACCAATGCACCCACTGATTGTGCATGTCATTTATTGCAGGGGCACTATGTGCGGCCACTCATGACTCCCTGCCCACGGTGGTCTGCGGGAGTAAAACTGATAACGCGGAGGGACATCGCTACAACAAACCGGATATAATTCAGCACGAGTACTACGACATTTCGGCCAATACCACTTTGAATTTCGATGAGCCATGGCTCTACATATTACGCCGACTGATACAAGTCCCCGGCCTAGTACATATGAATCCAATATCTCTCCTTTAATTGTTTCTTTCGAGCTCATATTGGCCATAGCAACGTATTACAGTAGGCTGTTGCCCACCGTACCAGCCCATTTCGGCACACGAGGCGATTCAGCTACGGATAGAGATGGAGAAGGCCGCGGCAGAGCCTCTTCCTGACGAAAGCGCAAATGATTTTGACATATGATGATGGGAAGGTAAACCTTGGTTTTTTTTACCACACAAAACATTTGAAGATCCGCACAATTGAGAACGAGTGCATACCGATCTATCATAACGCTTCTGGTCTATAGATCAAGTAATAAGGTGCAGGCCTAGCAAATTCAAAGGGCTTTCGGGAATGTTAATCCTCGTCGATTGAATTCTGGTTGCGCGTCCACTAGTATCTGGTAGACGAACTTATCCATTCATCAGGCACCCATAAAGATCGCAAAATAGCTTCAAATGGGTAGATGCTTGTCACATAATTGGTAAAATGAATGAAAAGAGGTCTCAAAGAAGCTCTTCCAAGATTCCCAGTGAGGTACTCTCGAAAAGGGCCCGTTCGCACTGTCCTCGCCTTTTTGACTACCGGTACTAGTGACTTAGTAGCATCGGCAATTTGTATCGTTGTGTAGCCGAACAGAATCCAGATGGCTCGTGCTGGATACTTTTTCCAGTGAGAGTTTATTTTCGCGTGTCACTTGTTTGTGGCTCAGTTTGTCACTGTCTTGCTAAGAAAGGGGTATCGACAGGGCGGGATTACCCCGGCGCCGTTCACATCTCGATAATTTTATTCCAGAGAATTCTAGAATGTCAAAATTTTCCGATCACAGACTTCAGAAGTTCCAGAACCATAACCCAGGAAGCTGCCTGGGAGATAGAAGCTAAGTATTCTCGAACCTGCCGAAAAGTTATATTTTTATGTTCTTTATCGTGTGCCTTTGGTAATAAGGTTGACAAATTGACTTCGCTGCCCCCCGACCGTCGGATTTGCGACGGTTTTGGTTAGCATTCAAGAACTCCCAACCGATGGCGCTGGTCCCGAGGCTTGTTTGGACCAAGACACATGGCCAGTGCGCACCAAGCAGATTGTTGTGGATGCTAGCGTGCGTATCTGCCGCTTCATTGGATCGTATGAACCCCTGTGCGGGAGACTCCGACCCCGAATGCATGGCTCCCAATGGCCAAGCTTTGCCATGGCTTATCACTGGTGTCTCATGACCAAATCAAATCTATCGGCGACGCCTGCGCGTTGGGGCCATACCAAAGTCAACGCGATGATTGGCAGATTCCGATACTCTCAGATTCGGTTAAACCTGCCGGATGATAAGACGAATGCAACGTTGGAGAATATCTAGTGGAATTTATGGCCTCAGGTGGCGGATTCCGTGCCGCTTTTATTTTCTTTTAAAAGGTAGTGGTTTAGGCCAGGGAGTCCTTTGACGGTTACTGGCATTTTATCTTAGCTTCAAGGCAAAGATGGAGCATTCAGTTGCCAGTTCGCCCGAAAAGGCGCCCATAGAGTCCATGGACAAGGAGGACTCCAATGTATCGGTGGAGGGCGAGCAGATCGTGACCAAAGATGCCGACAATGCCAGCAGCGAGAAATCGTCTCCCCCGGTTGGGGAGGAGCTAACTTCGCACGAAAATATTGTTGTTAGTACCGCAGATGATCTTGTCACCCAAATTCTTCGTGTGGAAGATGATCCTTCTGTCAATCCATGGACAATTCGAATGGTCTTTCTCGGTAAATACCCCCTTTTCGAGAGCTGGTCTAATGCCGCGAGAGAAATTTCTGATGCTCGGTTCTAACTATCCCAGGGGCTGGACTATCCATCTTCGGCGGTGTTCTCCAGGAAATCTTCTATTTTAAACCTCAGACAATTCTAGTCTCCCAGGTTTTCTTGACGGTCATCGCATATGTACTCGGAGAAGGACTCGCCTACGCAATTCCTCGTAAGGGTAGGATTGGACGTCTCCTGAACCCAGGGCCATTTAATGCGAAGGAACATGCTGCCGTGGCTCTGATGGCGTCAGCCGCATCTCAGTCCGCACTCGCAACAGAAGCTCTCGCCGCACAGCAATTATTTTACGGAGGATACCCGAGTCATGCCGCTGGAGTTTTTATAACCCTCTCCTCTCAACTGATTGGCTATGGTATTGCTGGTCTGCTTCGTGATGTGATTGTTCGACCAACTAAGATGTTGTGGCCTATGACTCTTCCCATTAGCAGTTTGCTGGAATCTTTGCACAGAGATAAGAAAGAATCTAAGGCTCGGCTGAAAATCTTTTATGTTGTCTTTACAGTCCTCTTTTTCTGGACTATCTTCCCGGAGGTAAGATGATATCTGTTCAAACATATGCTGCATATAATGCGCCTTCTAATATAAAACTTGATAGTGGATTTTCCCGGTTTTGGAAGGAGTTTCAATATTTTGTCTGGCTAACCAGAATAGCTTGGTCTTCACTAACCTCTTCGGTGGAGCTTCGGGTAATGAAGGATTGGGATTTCGTACGTTCATCCCCAACATCGGAACTTCTGTTTCCAAGGCTGTACTAATACATGGATGCACAGTCTCCGTCTGCTTCGATTGGAACTATATCGCGTCTACTGGATCACCACTTTGGTATCCACTATATGCACTAACCAATACATTCGTCGGCTATGTAAGTCGAGAATAGCCACGGACGGCGTATGTCGCAGCACACTAATATCTATTCCCTTTTCTAGCTTGGCTGTATTATACTTTTTCTTGGTGTATACTACGCAAACATCTTCAACTCACAGAACTTTCCATTTTTGTCACAGCTACTCTTTTATGGTGACTCGAATTCCACCTACTTTCACACATACAACCAAACCGCAATTCTCAACCCCGATTTCACAGTCAATGAGGACCTTCTCAGAGAGCAAGGAATTCCTTGGCTGACGGGAAGTTACATTATCTACTTGATTACCTCCAACATGGGTCTTACGGCGACCTTCACCCACATGCTGCTATGGAACTTTGATGACATCAAGCCTGGCTGGGCCTGGGCTAGCCCCGCATCTCTCAAGAAATGGCTCAAACTAGAGACATACAAGTTCTGGGCAAATGAAGAGACACCGGAACAACGCCTGGAGCGTAAATTGAATGACGAGTCGTTGGATCCTCATTATCGACTCATGCTTCGAAACTTGTACCAAGAATGCCCTCAGTGGTGGTGGGGAGCCGTTCTATTGGGAAGTTTCGTGGCCGGTATCGCTTGTCTTTACTCAATCAAGTCCACGCTGCCATGGTGGGGATTTATCCTCGCGAATGCCCTCACAGCCCTCTTCATGCTTTTCTTTGGCGCCCAATATGGTCTCACTGGCTTCCAATTCAATGTAAGACCATATCATATCCTTATTTCGTGAACGAACACTGACAATCCAATGAATTTCCAGATTCAACCAATTGCTCAAATGCTTGCAGGATACTTGTTTCCTGGAAAGCCTCTTGCTAGTATGAACCTTTGCTCCTGATTTCTCAACGCTATACGAACTGACGTATCTTTCTCCCTAGATCTCTATTTTACTTGCTACACATACAACTCTCTTCAGATGGGTCAAGTACTCGCCAAAGATCTTCGATTGGCACAAAATGTTCATTTATCGCCTCGCAACACATTCTTCGTTCAAGTTCTCGGTTGTGTGATAGGAGCGTTATTCAACTACGTGATGATGTTGACGTGAGTATTACTCCGAAAAAACACATTATTATCTCTAACATTGCTTCTCTCATAGAATTGTTCGATCGCAAGCCGAAGTTCTCATTTCCATTGACGGAACGAACATTTGGAGCGGTCAAAACGTTCAGATAGGTTTCTTCTACCTCAAAAGTTTGCATTCCATACTGACAATTTCTATACCAGTTCAATACTCTGGCAATTGCATGGAGCATAGCTAAAGACATGTTCTCCATCGGAGCCCGCTACCAATGGGTGACAATCTCGTATCTAGTGGGTTTCCTCGTTCCTTTCCCTTTCTGGATTGCCAACAAAATCTATCCCAGTCGCGTCTTCCGCAGCGTTAACCTATCCATCATTCTTTGGTACATGGGATACCTCTTTGTTGGTATCAATGCCTCGATTCTCATGTACTTCGTCATTGGGTTCGCGGCACAATGGTGGCTGCGAAAGTATCACCCTCATCTCTTTAACAAGTACAACTATATCGTTAGTGCTGCTTTAGATGGTGGTACGCAGGTCTGTGTCTTTATCTTGACCTTTGCTGTGTTTGGTGGGAGTGGTAAATCCTACTCGTTCCCGTGAGTACTGCACCTACGAAATCGATGACGCTTATGCTAATCTCAATATATAGGACTTGGGCTGGAAATCCTGATGCCAGCCATAATCTTGACTATTGTATGGTCAATCCAGCTGTAAGCGATTAGATTTCATCACTTGAGCTCTATCCATTATGTTATGACGAAGAATTTCGGCATCCATTGAAGGTCTAAGGGGTGGCTTGATTATTTCCATGAGTTGGCTATCTTTAGGTCTTTCATAATAGTGAAATATCTTTAATTGCATGTATTCAAATCACTCATTCCTGTAAACTACTGTCGGTTGCTCATTCATATATACCTCATAAGAGGCATGCTTATTCTCCGTGCGAAGTTATTTCCCAGAGAGATCAATCGTAGGAATCTCCGACATATGAAGCTTCGCGCTTCCATAAGGACGAAGGGTAACCTCAAATGCATCCCCCAAGCAATTTCGATCATCCTTGGGAATAGGCGACCCAGGAACAGCACCAAGAAATAAGGGCCAATCAATCAGACATCCCTGAGCGGTCATGTACATGGGAAGAGCACCATCCTGGAAAGTAGGTTCAGGAAGTGGACCAGATCCTGCATCGTAAGCCAAAGTAGCCGGGTCAATCGCAACATTCCACTCCGTGGTATTAAGGAGAACATGATCTTGTGCCTGGGGAGGATACGTTCCTTCGGGATAATCGGTCTGGTTGTTATAAAACTTGGGCGGGCCGGATGAGATGTCAGGCTTTATGTATAGCGCGTACAAGAGTGAGCCCCTGTAAATTGAGACGGTATCATTCGCTCGAGGAGTGACTTGAATCTCTGCCCCAATACTGTAGGTGAATTTTGTAGTACCAGAGGGAATGTCGAACTTCATCAGTCCGGTCTTGGGATCAGTTGCTGGCGTGTCTTTCAGACCTTGGGTTGTTACCCCTGTCGACCAGCTGGGTACGCGAAGGTAGAATTCAAACTCAGTATCGCTGTCAATAGTGTACGAGAGAGTATTTTTGAACGGGTAGTCTGTCTCGCAGTTCACGGACACTTGCTTTCCATTGATTTGTGTGGTGACGGTCGCCGGGCTGAGAAGTGCATGGACAAGGCCGGTGGTTCCCTTCTTCACGTAGGAGTATAAGGTGAACTTGGGATAACCTTGTGGATGATTGACAGTGCAGCAAGGATAGTCTGGCTCTACGCCAAAGGTTTGTCCCTGTGTGTTAACGTCGTAGAAAGGCGTCGTAGAAAGATTCTTGGAGAATGGCTGGTTTGGCTCGGTCATGTATTGGTGACTCCACCAGTCTCCCATAAGAGCCGCCGGTAAGGCGTTGAATGCGGCCAATTCAGCACGATCTGCGTAATATGGGTCGCCTATCGCAAAGTAGTTGTATGCCAGAGAGTATATTGTCTCTACGTGAGTGCACAGTTCCGATCCATAGTATGGGTTCAGTCCGTCAATTCGTTCATCAGCGAGAATTGTACCGCTGGGGGCTCCATGGTACTCCATTGTCCATTTAACCTGTTTTGAGTTAATTCGAATTTCATAAATTCAGGGAAGGAGCACCTACTCCATTCATGGCAGTCGTCATCAGGCTTTCGTTGAACGTGAAGCGTCTCACCGCTGCTGCATACTTGAGACCTAGAACATACCGTCGGTTAAAAATTGACGATTCTGGCCAAACGAGTCATACATACCTTCAGCAATGGTCACTCCATGAAGAAACGCCCATTGGTCATCCGTCACAGACTCCGGAAGATCATAGAGATCCTCCTTAATATAGCTGTGCTCCGTATACCAACCCTCCCACTTATACCCATACTCATGAAGCATATCCAAGTTTTCTTTCAGCATCTCGGTATTGTTGCCAGCGTGATAGTCAATCAGCCATTGAACACTGACCATCATATCCTCAGAGCGAGAACGAAACCAAAGAAAGTCGTCCTCATTCGGTTTGTCGCCAGGATGCCAAATCATCCCAGTCCCGTTATTCTTCAGCATAGAATTCATGAGACTATTAAAGCGCATCAACGAATCAACAATCGGTTTCTCATATGTTGAGTTTGCGTCGGCCAAGTTGGTCAATCCCAGAAACCTGTAATCTGATTAGACGCAAATAATTACCACAAAAGCTCGAGTTAATTCTTACAGTAGTGTTCGCGCCCAAATCATTCGTTCCCCACTTTCTAGAGTCTCCGGCCCAATCCAACCATCAGATTGAGTGCGACTAAGAACTTCATCGACGATAGTGTGAACTTGATCCTTGAGACGATCGTCTTGCAGGGTGTACGCGAGCGGTACTAGTGCATTCACCCAGTATGGGAGGGCTTCGTTTAAATCACTATATTCTTGATCGCCACCAATCCATGACGAACTTTTCACGAAGCGATAAAAATCATATAAGTGTCCACCGAGACCTGCGGCGGAAGTTTCAAGCTCGGTTTTCAACCATCCGTTTGGCGAGATGCTTCCCAACGGAAGGGGCTCATAGGCTAGAGGAACCACTGATCAAATTTGGCCCAGTTAGCCAAGATTATAAGTCGACAGTCAAGCTCTGTGCCAGGACTACTCACGAGGGGCTTCTGCTTTGGCATGCGTGACGAGATTGAATGAAGCTGTGAATGGCAGAAGCCAAAGCACAGACCTTGTCGAAGACATCTTGGAACTTCGTTCTATCCCAGGATTAATTCGTATTAGAATGATTCAAGTACTGATAGACGCAATATATGTCCTGCGGTCGTCAAATGATCGTCAACTTGTGAGGTTGCTTATCTGGGTAGAATCGCGAGCGGAGTTTAGCTCTATCCATGCCGTTCCAGAAAGGGTCTTGGGGGCCATGCAGATCTGCAGGAGTGAGGAGAAATGTAACCGTTGTGCGGCTTGACCCGATTTGAATCACTGATGTACACTGCAATCTGATGTCTCAGGCCAGAGCGAAAGTTCCCCGTCGGTATTTTTCCCGAAGAGAATAACGTTACGATGATCATGCGGGGGTGTGGGAAGATGTTTTATTTACCCGAATCTAATGTACTTGAACTTAATAAATCGCAAAAATTGGCATTCTTACTTAAGTATGGATATTCATTTCTTCAATTTTATACATAACGTACATCTTTCACAGGTCTCATCATTATACACGGATAGTGGTTCCATTCTCCTTGCGGACAAATTCGAAGAACTCTTTCAGATTGTTGTGCTTCGGTTGGCCGACCACGAAGACGGCGGGTTTGCCATAGGGAGCTGAGACGATAGCAGTCTGGCCACCGTAGTATTCCTTTCCAGACCACACATGCTTGTATGTCTCGCCCTTACCAGGGAAATAGACGCGCACACTTCTGCGACCGGCGTCAAGAACAGGAGCGACATACAGGTCGGCACCGAGGAAATAGCTCTCGTAGCTGATCTGCTTAGCCTTCACATCGGTTGGGTGGTAGATGACTGGCATACGGACAAGAGGCCAGCCCAGTCTGCGGCTCTCGGTATCCAGGATCGCACGACGGTATGTAGCCAGACTGGCGAACATACGTGCGTTGTACGCGTAGTATGAATATGTAGAGGCATTGGTGTAGAACTGAGCGTTCACCTGGGGAAGGTTGCCCTCGTGCGATCGGAAGGCGACGCTGGAGACGGCGGATAACTCGCCCCATCGGCCAAGAAGTTCTGCGGAACGGTTGACGATTCCGTTGCTGTCCCATGTGGTGGTGTATCCGCCGATCTCCACGTGGCCATGTGCGTAACCAGACAGACCCATGTGTCCGAGAACAGTCACAGCAGACTTGATTCCATCGTTGACGCCCCAGTTGGTGTCCTGGTCGCCGACCCAGTACAAGTTCATGTTACGGTTGGAGGACATGGAGGATGAGCGGTGGAATATCAGGGATTCAGAAACAGCAGAAACGGTCTTGCGAAGCGTGTCGTGTAGAACAGACCAGTCGCGGGGGTACTGGTTGTGGTAGAATCGTGGGTCGATGCTCTTGTTCGCAAACTTAGTGTCGGAAGTGACGGGGGTGTATTCACCGAAATCACACATGTATCCGGAAACATTAGCACTCCACACTTGCTCAACGAGCACATCCTGGAACCAGGACCAGGCCTTGGGGTTCGTGAGGTCGACAATTCCAGCCTCAATACCAGGTCCGCTGGAAATAACGGCTGTGTCGTTGATGGTAGAGTTCTGGATCATGTAGCCACCCTCGGTAGCTTCCAAGTACAGATTGCGGCGAGCACCATCGGGCTTGGTACTAGTGTTGGCCAAGAAGGGGTTGATGTAGGACAAGGTGCGAACATTGTGCTGGTCACGTAGAGCTTGGACAAAGTTGTTCCAGGTAGGGTAAAGATCGGAGTCAGCCTCCCAGTTCCACCAGAGACGAGAGACATTGAGGCCATTCATATGAGAGGCGGTTTGGGTGTGGGTGCCACACCAATCCTGGAGCCAAACACCAGCAATTGGGCATGACTGGTTCAGTCCCCAGTTCACAATGCGGTTGACCTTGGCCTGGCCACCCTGGATTCCAAGGATGGCACCGGTATCGGCCCACTTGGGGATCTCGGGCATACGGCCAGTGTATTCTGTGAGCATCGTGATACCATCCAGCATGTTTCCGGCCTGCATGAATGAGCCCTCAACATCGAGCGCTGCATACCTCACGGTGACAGCGCTTGCGTCAGTGAAATCAAAGTTGGCATAAGCTGTGCTTTGCTCGGTGAGATAGAAGACACGAGCATCCGAAGAGATGTACTGAGGAATAGCAGAGTATGTGGTGTGCTTATCACCGCCGGAGAAGAAGCTGTCAGTGCTCTCGAGGTCGGTAGTAGGCTGATCTCCACGACCCACACCACCTTCACGGGAGAAGATAGGAACAGACTGGTTCTTCAGAGATGCGAAGGATGCCTGTCCACCGAGTCCGTAGAAGTCCTCAGAGGGGGATGAACGGTAGCTGAAGAACAACTTGCTCAGCGAAGTAGCAGACGAGTCAGGATTGATTTTAATACTGAAATCAACACGGTCCGGGAACTGAGTAGGGACGTATAGTGCCAGGGAGAACTGGGCAGTCCCATTACCACAACCAAAGAGAGTACCTTGCACGACTGCAGCGTGACCATTGACACTCTCTTGGCGAGTTTGCTTGGTGACTTGAGTAATCCGCTCAGATGAGCACTTGTTCTCATCAACGTCGGTGATCTTGAAGTTTCCACTTGAATCGACAATTTCATCCAGTCCAGAGCTAGCGCTCAAGAAAGCTTTACCGGGAACAGTCTCCCATATAGCCCGGCCATGACCGGTAACAGTCAAATGGTTAGCGGACTGGTCAACAGTAAGCTTGAAACCACTTCCCAGGTCCAAAGGAGCCTGAGCGGCGACAGCCGACGCCGCAAGTGTCGTCCAGATCCAAGTCTTTGCCCCAAGCATCCTGGCGAGTAAACTGACAAGTGTCGATCTGGGAAAAAAAAAAGAGGAAAAAGAAAAAGAAAACCGGCAATCCTTAACTTTTTAAGCATGCAGCTTGGGCTCTCCGAATTTGCCGAAGAACTCTCCAGATGACAGTCAAGCGCGACCCACCGGGGGTATTCTGTTACTAACTTTCCTTCATACGTCACGGCGAGTCCAATCATGGCTGGTCAAGGACAAGATGCCCCGTCAATTTTAATGACGATCAGCTCTTCTGCTGATGTCAGTTGGCTTGAAGAAGAGCTTAGTGGCGCCTTTAGCTCCACAGATCTTGGCTACATCGGCTCGTGTCGAGTTCTCCGCTCGGAGACCTGCCGAGTATTTCCCCTCTTAAACGCATTGCCGTCCCCGGATTCGAGGGAAAGAGGATAAGAAGAGTCATTGCGCCAGTCGCATTTGATACAGGATGAGATTGCATCGAGCCTTTGGTTCTTTGAAGAAGTATTGAGCATTTAGTAACTCCAGTCTTCACATAGTCGGTATGCCGATATTCCGAACAATTGAGTTTTTTCTTCATCGCTTCTGTCTCTGGCATTTCTGCACCCTGTTGCTCCCGAATTGTGGGGCGAGCTCCGGGGGCACTCCGCATTGGCTGACGATGTTGGAGCTTTACCTGCCTGGCCTTAGCCGATGCCAAGCACGACTTAGCGGCTAAAATGGCCAAAGAAGTGCCGTTGATGAGCAAGATTCTGCCCATTAGATGGTTGATATGGGTCTTTTAAGTAATAAATGTCAAACTTGTGGACATTTAACGCAAAGTTTCCTATGACCACCGTTTGAAATATAGTTAACTGGAGTACTGTCTACCTCCCTGTCTACTACGTAGTTGCCCTCGGTTAATATACTAGTACAAGTGGAGCTTCAAGTTATTACAACTCCGACCAGTGGCTTTAAGAAAACCTTGAAATTCAGTCTTAGCGAACTGTGCATAGCATTTCAAGTGGATTATTTCACATTATGTATGCAAAATATTTTCAGGACCAGGTAATTATATTTGATGCAAGTGACTTGGGAATTTCTAACTCTAGATCCAAGTAGGCAATCTTCGCATATCTCACACTTCCCATGTAGGGACTCTTCCCCATGCAGTGGGGTTCTCACTCATTTCAAACTCAATGCTTCCCGCGCTAACAATATCACTATGCGTCAAAACCGGGAAGTCAACCTTCTTGCCTCCAATTTTCAAGCTCTTTATGTATGGCTTGGTAGGTGCGCCCGGGGCACTAATGATAAGGTCTTTGACGCGGCCACCCGGGGCAGCCTCAGGTGAGAAACGGATTGTAGTCTTTTCAAAGAATGGTGTCCCAACAACATACTGATCGCCCGCTGGGTTAACCGGGTAGAATCCAAGAGCCGAGAAAATATACCAGGCACTCGTTTGACCAAGGTCATCGTTTCCGCTAAGTCCACTGCTTGTAGCATTGTAATTCGACCAAGCTATACCGGGGATTGTCTCTGCTGCTCTATCGGGGTATCCGAGAACCGAGTAGAGGTACGGAACATGATGACTCGGCTCATTAGTCTGGTCATTGTGTCCACCCTGGAAATAGACGTCCAGTTTATCGCGCATGGCTTCCCGGCTACCGAAAAGATTGGCTAGACCCTCTACGTCGTGGAGAACATCGAAAGTATAGACCCAGTCATCTCCTTCTGTCCAGCCCCATGTATTATTTGCCCAGCTTCCGTTTCCGTTCCGGGCTTGCATGAATTGAGTCTCGTTGTTCCAGATCTTTGCATAGTTACCGCTTCGGGAGCGAAGCGCTTCGATCGAGGCATTTTCTGCGCCAGCATGAGCGCCCACAATAGAGCAAGCATAGTCGTCGAATGCATAATCTAAAGTCCGACTTCCAGCTTCTGACCAGCCATCATTTGAGACCCATCCTTGCTTCATATATGCCGTTAGTCCTGCGCGCACTTCGTATGAAGTATTCGGTTCCCGGTCGTAGTAAAGAGTCTCCGTGTCTCGCTCTGGGGGCGTGTAAGCGTCTTTCTTCACAGCAGTCCAGGCCTTGCCAATATCGAAGCCTCGGAAACCTCGCACCAGTGCATTGGCTAGTACGACATCGGCATTTGTCGCAATCATGATGTTCGTCTCGATCATATTGGCCCACATTGGTAGCCAGCCGCTCCAATCAAAAATTCGAAGCAATGAACGCATCATGCTGTTTACTCGCTCTGGCGCAAAGAGCGTAAGTAGTGAACTTTCCGCTCGGTAGGTATCCCAGATAGACCAGGATTGGTAGTAAGAATCCTCTGCGGTATGTACGCTGTCTGTATATCCGGAGTAAAACGTGCGTTGTTTTCCATCGACTGAGACGGGCTCAGAGAAGTCACTGGGGTATTGCAAGGCATGGTAGAGAGCTGTGTAAAAGATTGTACGAGGGTCGTGATCGGAGTCAGTCTGGTTGGCACCTTCGATGGTGACTCGGTCTAGTTTTTCGAGCCATGCTTCCTTCACATCTCTCACGGTGCGTTCAAACGATGAGCCATCTGGGGTCTCGATGTCCAGGTTGCGACGTGCCTGTTCCACACTGACATAAGAAATGCCAGTTCGAACTTCGACGGTAGTCACATTTGAGTGGAATTTGACAAAGGCACCTGTAGATTTGCCGGTACGGGAATGGAAATTTTCAATTGTGGTATTTCCGTTGGTAACGCCCGAACTCGCGAATGGCTGAGAGAATCGAGAAACGAAGTATCCCTTGAATGATTCGGCATGGTCTGGCCCGAGTAGATAATCTTGTCTTTCCGTGTTATAGCCGTATACCTCCCTAGCCTCAGTATCTATGTTGGCTTCCCCCGTCCAGTTCTGGCGAGAAACCTCAATGAAAACCCAAGGTTCTGCCCTTTCATCCATTGCAGAATCACTGCAGTCCTGATAATCAAATCGAAGATGTCCTGCATGAGCACCGGCGGATAAAGCAACCTGTGATATTATCAGCATAGCTCTCATTGACCACGCCAGCGACGCAACTCACCTGAATAGACTTTGTATATGTACCGTCTTGCCCCATAGATTCAGAAGCAATTCCTATCTGCGTTTCACTCCGTTTCCTTGTTCGACCGTTTGCGCCCTCTTCAACATTCTCAGGCACAGCACCAGCACCACCTGGATCTGGTCCGTCATGGGCATAATCAGCTGTAGCATTGAAGTCCCGATTCAAGAGCTGAGTCGCATCAAGAAGCACTTCATAAACATAAGGGGTGCTCGTTTCGTCCTTCTTCTGGAAAGCCAGTCCACGGTTCACAAACGAAGTTTGTACATCGCCCATTCCAGGGGTTAGAACCACCTGGCCTGCCTCACCCATCCATATAGCCGGCTGATGTGTCGCTTGAAATCCGTGGATAAGACCGTCGCCCTCGCCATATGGACACTGCGAAATGAAGTTCTCTCGTGTTTGAGGTGTCCAACGAGTCATGGCGAACGGAGGCGCGACCGAGGGAATCATCCCGCCATTACTATTCGGGGAGGGGCCATTTGTTCCAATCAAAGGGTTGGCGTACTGGAGTACACCAGCATCTTCATGGTAATTGGCATTTGTATTCGCGTCGCAAATATCAGCTCGAAGCGTCGAGTGTCCGGCGACATTCCTCGTAAGGCTGAGCAGGAAGGGAAGAATCGTGTACAAGTCCCTCATCTTGAAGCGATCACTGCAGTTAAGTCAGCCTGGATGAACAAGGATTTTGGTGATGCGGGCAACCCCTACTAATTATGATTTCACTAGCGATGAAGAGCTTGAGTGGGACCAAGCTCGCATGCTGAATTTCGCAATTGCCGACCGGTGAATATTAAGCTTCACTGGTCGAGTATGGGGTAGACTTATTGGGGTAGAGGTAACCCTGTGGCTTTCCAGTGTTGATCGTAATTGTTCTGGGGGAATTTGCGGGGGCAGGGTCGCATTGAGTTCCCCGCTCTGCTTATGGGCTGTAGATCCATCCTAGTCTGGGATATGGTAACGATTCTTGAGCCCGCTTCGCGCATGGGTCTTTTGTGGGGATAATCAAGATGAAATTGTGGAGTTGCGGTAATTGAGAAGCTTCAGTTCGGTGTCTGATTGAAGATTCCGTGCTTCAGTCGTGTTTGCTATGACTTGTGTTTACCTGTATGTCGTATAGCAGAAACTGGGGGTCTTAATGTTAAGGTGTGGTGTGCCTTCTGGTCTACGCCAATCCTGCTAGTGACTCTTGGTTATATGTTTTTATCTATTCGATGTATCCGATCACTTTGTTTGTTTGGACCCTTGTTTCTTGAATATTGATGTAGTAAAGGATAGCCTAAAATAAGCCCTGGAGCTTGAATCTTTTATATATAGATCTCAGCTTTGAGATTGATTCCGTATTGGTATGGTATTAGTCTGGTATTAGTGAAGTTTCAATATGCGATTAGCCCGGTACTAGTCCGGTAATATAATACTGGTATGGATAAATAGTTAAACGGAGGTAATATATCATAATTAACCGAGGTAGTCTAGTGGTATAACACCTAGTAGTTCAGAATTAGTATGGTGAGGCTATACCGAGGCTATACCGCCCGGGGGGTACGGAGAAATAGTTTAATCCGCTCCACATTGTATAGCATTGTACAATAGCGGGAATCCAGCAGCTACAAAACACTTGGGCAGAATCTCTAGAATGGTCGAAAGTCTTGAGATTTATTGATACTTCACATACCCAATGTCTATACCATAAATTTCATCAAACCTCCAAATGAATTTCTTCACATTTTCCAAGCCTTGTAGCCTAAATGACCCACTCATCTCGATATTAATAGTAAAGCGGCAAGCCGCGACGCCAGCCACACCGCAGTCTCTATTGAGCCTATCAGAGCCGCCGCGCCACAGTGAAACACCAACCGCCAAGATGGCATGCGCGTCCATTCCTGACGCGTCCACGAGAACAATCTTTCCTGGCCGCAATACTAAAAGGACTGGATGCTCTCAAGTCAGCTTGGTTACTGCACACCTTTATATCACCTCATCCGGTTGAAGAAGACACTACCCATATACGGAAATCCTTCTCACCATGCCCGCCATATATTCAGCCCTAGGCGAGCGGGCGCTCCACGCGGCCCCGCATCTGGCCCAACGGAGCCTAAGCGTCAACCATACACAGTCCATTACGTTAGGAATCATGGCGGTATATGTTGTTGTGATAGCGTTATTGTGGAACCTGCCGTATTTGCGGTACTCATTATGGCCTTTTAAGGTATACGATAGTTCCCTGATCCAGTGTTGGTAAACAACAAACAACACCTGAGCGTTGGTTAACATGGAATACTACTAGATGTTGGTTATTGCGTTCCATGAATTCGGTCATGCGATCACAGCTTGCTGCACGGGTGGAAAGGTTGAATCGATCTCACTTGATCCTCATGAGGGTGGCGTAACCCATATGCGAGGAGGAGTGTCTGCCATCACGCTACCTGCTGGTTATCTGGGCTCATCGGTTATCGGCGCTTTACTCATCTTCGCTGGATTTGATATCGTGGCTAGCAAAGTGGCAAGCATTGTTCTTGCAGTGTGCTTTCTTTTGACACTTTGGTGGGCGCGCAAAGACTGGTTGACTATCGGGACTGTTCTTCTTGCGGTCGGCTTGCTTGTGGCTTGCTGGTTTATTGCCCACGCCGAGGCCCTGAGATGGTTTGTGGTAAGTTCAGACACCTACAACAGGATGCTTGGGGGGCTTGAGGCCTAACTTGGAACTTTTAGCTTTTCATCGGTGTCATGTCATCGCTGTATAGTGTTTGGGATATTGTAAGTTCTTGTTCCTGTTCTGTTGGATTGAATGGTACTAATGAATGAACTTGATCATAGTGTGATGACCTTATCCTCCGCAAAGTCAATAGTTCCGATGCCAGCGTGTTTGCTAAGAAATACGGAGGATCATCCCAGTGCTGGGGTGTGCTTTGGTCTATTATTTCTCTTGCTTTTATGGCCATTGGAATCATTGGTGGAATTGCTGCCTTCCCCGAATCCTTCAGTCAACAGGAGAATGATTCCAAACACTTCATTCCTACCTAAGGGATATAAGCTTCACGATATTCACGACCGAAAATTTGCAATGGCGCGCGATGTTTGATTCAAGTCTTGCCTTAGTGCGCTTCGACCTTATTCGATAAATACCCAGCAATTCATTTTGTACAGCTTTATGAGAAATTCCTCAGCAAGTTCCAATTGACCGCTGCGTCTATGGAGCTTTCCATTACAGAGACCTCGGGACCCTATTCACTCCCAAGCCATACTATCCATCTAGTGAGATCAAGTGTCCTTGATAGGCTCCTTCTCAGCCCCCTCAATTTTCTTCAAGAAATCCTTAGCAGCCTCTTTATCATCACCGAAAAGATGTTCCGCAACTAATCGCTGTGGCGTCTGCCCAAGCCACTGGAACAACGAAAAGTCCTGGAACTTATCCGAGCGGAAAATCTCAAGTACTTCCACCGGCTCATCATCGCTCAAATTCTCAATGAAATGTCCCATATTCCGAGGGACAATCCCAACGTCACCCGCCATGTAATTGAATGTACGAGCAGTTCCCTCTGCCGCGAAAATAGTCACACGAGCTCTACCTTTCTTGAAGTAGGTCCACTCGTCCGCGTTGGGATGCCAATGCATTTCGCGTAATGCCCCAGGTGCAATTTCCAAATGGGCCGCTGCCACTGTCTTTGAGATTGGGAAGTTGGTAGAGTCTGTGATCCGCACGAGACCGCCGCTTGTTTTGAGAGGCTCTTGATCGTGCATGTGATGTGTGAATTGGATTTTGCTTTGGTGGAAACTGGGGGGCTTTTCGCGCTCGATACTGTTTGGCACTGAGCCTTTGAAAATGTATTTTTCGGCGGTTGGGATGGAGAGAAGTTTCTCGGGCTTCGTTCGGAAATTTTCAGCTAGCACTGCCTTTGGTGTATGGGCTGTGGTCTCGAATTAGCGAATGCATATTTATGAATTTCTTCTTTTTTTTTTTTGATTAAGAACATACCCATCCAGTCAGTTAATATGAATGTGGATTCTTCCGAAAATGCACCGTCGTCGAAGATGAGGAGAAATTCAGTGCCATTGGGACCCAATCCCTGCAGCGAGTGTGGAAAGCCCGCAGGGAAGTACCAGAGGTCGCCTTCGCTGAGGTCATCAATGAAGCTTCCTCCATCCGGGTCGAGGACAGTCACTCGGACATTTCCTGCGAGGACGTATGCCCTTTCCAAGTTAGCTTTACGTCCAGCAGGGATTGAATAATACCAATGACTCCAGCAAAAGACATCTTGTGTCGCACACAAGTCATAAGTAGCTAGTGTAGAACGCCGTAATAACTTGAACTTACCATTCAGCCTCAGTATGCCAATGTAGCTCCCGATACACGCCCTGGTCCAAACGCATATTCACACCAGCCAACTCTCGGCTCGTTGGTAGTTCATTAATCGTGGTCTGTCGGGTCCATCCACCTTCCTAGATAACATATCAGTAACCGTGATGTAACTCATACGTATCAACATCTATAATAGAGACTGACCTCAATTCGGACATGTGAATCGGCAAAGCTCCAGCGCATATTTGGCATATTCCCATGATCAGTGCTGGGAGGACGGAGCATATCGGGATTCTGCTTTTCACGGTCTTTGTTTCTTGGGCCCTCAATGGAAGCACCATTACCTCCACGGTAAGGCAGAGGCTCCCGATCATCACCAATGGCATCAACCTTGTGATCGAAAGGGTCACGATGTCCCGGGGTAAATGGGGGATTTCCAGCGCCAGTGTCAGTGTCAGCGCCCGGACCAAATACCCCCTGACTACGGCCCGGAGGAATCTGCAAGAGTCTTTGGATAGCATTATCCGGGGCTGGGATGCCCTGGACAAGAGCTATCACCAGACTCAATGAGACAATGGAATTTTTGGATAAAATATGCATTATCTGGGTGGTGTGTGATACGAAACGGCTATGCTGTGTAAAGGGCCCGGGAGTCTTTTAAGAGAGCAACCCCGCACAAGAGGAACTTAAACCTTTTCATTCCTTCTCCAACTCTCCAACTTCATCCGGTCTATCCGTTCATGGATGCCTAGGATGAATTTTCCAGCAGTGATAGACGCGAGGATTATATCATCTCTCCCTTGGAGGGTCTGAGAGCTTAACCTTGTCAAGCCTTAATAGTGGGTTCGGTGGGGCCCATGACGCATGCAAGAGTTTTCTTCGTGCGGAGACGACCGGGAATTAAGTGAGGAGAACTGGGAATTCCCCGTCAAAACAGGGAGACTCCGAGGTACAAAGGCCTCAGCACCTCTCAGCACATACAGTTCATTTCTGCCTAGATCCCAATTACACGCAAAGTCGAAATGGTCAGCGACAACGAAACAGATCCACTACTCGGAGATAGAGGTGCGAGGCCATCCCGCCCACACGGCCTTGCTCAATACCTACGCGAAGAGCTTGACACCCACTATGGCGATTTACTTCTCCTTGCCTGTTACGTTATAACTGGGCTACTGGATAGCTCGGCTGTCTTTATTTGGGGCAGTTTTGTCTCCATGCAAACTGGCAATACTGTATATTTCGGTCTCGGTCTAGTTGGCACAGAAGACGACCGATGGATTAAATCAGGTGTTTCAATCTGCGGATTTTGTCTCGGCTCTTTATTTTTCTCAACTTTTCATCGGACTTTCTCCCCGCGGAAAAGATGGGTATTGACCACTTCGTTCATCATACAATTACTCTGCATCACGGTCGCTGCTACAATCGTTACTGTCTTTCGTCCTGTCCCAGGTGCAGATCTGAGCTGGCTTGTTCTCGTACCTATTGCTTTGGTCGCGTTCCAGAGTAGTGGGCAAGCGGTTGCTAGTCGGGCTTTGAAATTCAATAGCCTTACCAGTGTTGTTTTGACAAGTATATACTGTGATTTATTCTCTCATGAGGATTTCTTGTCGCTGAAGGTATTTCGGAATAGTGAGGAGTTGCGTCGGCTGGGGGCTGTAATATGTCTCATTATCGGCGTTGTTTTGGGAGGACTCTGGGCACATAGCTCTGTTGGGATGATGGGTGCGCTTTGGACAGCAGCCATTTTGAAGACGTTCATTGTGCTGGCTTGGTTGGGATGGGAGAAAAAGCAGGATTAATTAATGATCGCGGGCTTGAAGATTAATACTCATGCCAGCGGAAGGTTGGCTTTCACTGAGCTCAGATCCGACCTTGTAATTTTAACAATTACACTTAGAAGAGCAAAAGATGGCATGCAAATAATTATTGCTTTCAACTCTACGGTCTCCATGAACTTTGCACCGGTCATAATAAATATAGAATACATCACAAACGAAATATCTCAACCGGCGTATCGTTGCCCCATCTGTAAACTTGAAGATGCGGAGACTCTTTGTCGAAAGTTAGGCGTCCACGCTGAATTTGCTCCACGTTCGTATTTTCGGCCCAAAAATCGAAAAATGCAATGGGCACGGGGAATAAAATCGCAGTAAGACATCCGAGTAGTGTCATTGCCCAGTTGACGCCAAGGTTGTGGAACTATAGATCATTCGGCAAGTGTAAGTTTTATGCAAATGATCACTTTTCAGAACAGACTTATCAACTGACCATCGGTGATGCAAACAATGGAGAACCAGCGCCTAGCCATGATCGGAAAAACGTGTTGGCTGCGATGGCTGAGTTTGTATGCATAGTATAAACATCGATTATGTAGTTTAGACCCTTCATGAATTAGCAACACGGAATATGTCTATATTGAAAACATGTTTCTGCAATTAATACGTACCTGCAAGAATATCAACAACACCCCAGCCCCAAGGAAACCCCCGGAAATAACTTCAGGCATCCATGTGATATGAGGTGAGGAAGTCCAACCAAACCAAAACATACCTACTGGCAAGAGAATACCTCCTATCATCATGGGTATCAACCTCTCCTCGGGATTGACACTTCCAGTGCATCGTATGATATTTCGATATCGTGTCAGAGAAATTGTAATAATAATCATGCATCCCACAACGACTCCACAAATAATACTCAAAAACGGGAGTGCGCCGACATCATCATTACACCCACGCAGCTGCTGGAAGGCAATTGGATACGCTTCAAAGCAGATATACAAGAATCCATAGATGAAGCCCATATAAAGTGTGATAAGAATCAAAATTGGTTCTTGTGCAAGCATCACGAACGGTCTGAGAATATACCGGGTTGCAATATCTTTAGGACTCACTACCTTCTCCTCAGCCTTAGCGTGGAGAGACCAATCCTTCGTAACGATTCGTCTTCGCTGCGCTCGCTTTGTTAACAAAGTCCCCTCAAATGTCTCTGGAATGAGAAGGTAGCCGATTGACGAGAAGAAAAACGTCATTATGGCAGTAATATACTCGGTCCAGCGCCAGCCTAAATGAGACATGGTGATGAAGCCGCCGACAATAGGCCCTGCGACAGGGCCAATAAATGTAGCACTTGCAAAGACAGCAACACCAATTCCATGCTCAACCGGATCTTCAAAAAGATCTGCCAAGATGCCAGATACCTATATCAAAAGAAGTACAGTTAGTTTATTATTGTAAAATTTGATGAGACATGACTTACAATAGCCAGTGGTGCACTAGCAAACAACCCACCCAAAAACCGACATATGAAAATAGTTTGTAGGTTCTGTGCCACAGCAACTGGAATTTGAAAAATGGAGAATGCAAAAAGACCCAGAAACAACGGTCGCTTGCGTCCGTATAACTCTGACAGAGGTCCGAAAATAATCGGTCCGAATACGAAGCCTAGCACGAAGAGACTGGTGGCCAGTATCATTACCTCCTCAGAGACATGGAAGTGCTTCGCAGTTACTTTTGTCGCAGTACTACATACCGACGAGGCAAACGTCACACATATAGTCATAAGTCCTGAAATCACGGTTATGATCCATTTTCGCAGTCGGCTGAAGTTCTCTGGTTTCTCCTAAAAACAAATTAGATCATCTAGATGGATTTGTAGGCAGGAATATGATTTTCAAATTCAAGTTACTGGATCATCATCTCCGTCCCAGTCCACAATTGCAGATTCTTTTCCTTTCCGAGTCTCTGATATCTTTGTCGACTGTCTTTCAGGTATCGGATACATTTCCAGATATATCATCGGGCGCAATGAGAGTTCTTACGCTGGCGGAGTCGCGAGGATCAGCGGCCAAGTAGATTGGCGCTGCTGTAAGCTCTGTTTGACATCCTTTGTCCGTTGCATATTGAGTATTTTTGGGTGGATCCAGGAAAATGTCATCAGTGGACGATTCTGCCATAATGGGATACTGAGACTTTCTGGTATTGGTATGTTGCACTAGCTCTTTTGGAGGCCAGAAATATTCAGTTGACTAAATTAGACTTCAGCTTGTTCTATGAGATAGTCCACTATGAATACTAGAGCAACAAACTAAATTCCTTAAGTTCATGCGCGAAATTTGAACGCGTAAAGATGCGTGTAGATATGCTGGCTTGGGTGACGCAGTATGTACGACACCTTTACGGAAGGGAGCTCCTACGGTTCGAAGGTAGATTGCGACATACACCGAGAAATTTGTACAGAGATAGATCTATGATGCTTGAACACGAGTCTCTTATTGAGAGGATATTTGGCAGCGACTCGACGGAACTGACTCCGACAGACTGGAATCGACTACTGCAGCACTTTCATGAATGATCAAATAAACAACCCGTTAACTGCCCAGGGCCTCTGATCACAAAAACAACCGAGAGCTGTTAAAAATATTATTTTCTAGTTTGCACCATATTTCCCCCAGTTTAAGAAAATCCAAGATACCTTCCATAGCGTTCGTGGTAGAGCAAAAATAAGGAAGTAAAGAGGCCTACATTAGGCAAATATCGTAAATCCTACAATACTAAAACTACTTTAAAATACTCGATGAAAAAGAGGATTCTCTCTCTATCATTCTAAATACCCAAAAAGTCATTTTTCAGAGTCCTAATTTTCTTAGGCTAACTCTTATGATAACATTTCAAGTTATGAGGAGCCAAACCCAATAGTTTGTATTATATCGAAATACACTGAGGAATTTGAAGAACGATGACCTTATTGTACCTGAGCACCGGGTGCCTCAAAAAGAAAACATTCGACGACGACTCGACGCAACTGACTCTCATAGACCAGTAGAACCTATTATCACTTTCATAAATAATGGAACATTCAAAGCGTTAACTGTTATCCGCACACGAAAAGCTTGCATTGCTCGCGTCATCATGGATTCTGTGAAGAGTTAGATAGTACAAGGCAAAATGAGGTTCGATTTAGATTTGCCTACGCTTTGCCGGAGACCCAAAGACCCATTCCGCACTAGACAGTATGTTAGCCATATTTTTTTCCTTTAAAGTTTCAAACAAATTTGTTTTACCAGACAGCCTCCGATCACAACAACAATCACATTGAGGACTGTGAGAAACATCTTTTTCCAGTTTGCACCATACTTCCCCCAATTGAGGAAAAGCCAGAATACTCCGCTCAGGCCGTCTGTCGAAGATGTTATCAATATTGTATGTCTTTATACCTGGAATTGGAAGTTGCTCACATGTAAACCAGCTAGCAAAGAGAGCAGTCTGCTCACACATATCCATTAGTTTCCTCAAAGGTTCTGACGCCGGACCACAAACTGTTACTTACAATCAAACTTAGAAGATCATTGAAGACTGGAATCGCCTCTGCAATGACCCAGGCAATAACCCACAGGGCAAATGTGATTCCGACCCAGGTTCCGATTGACAGAAAGGTACGTTTCTGCATACGATCCGTTCCTCGAAATAGGCGTACATATATGTATTTTGAAGCAACATGGCCGTTGATAACGCCCGCAATAACAATCTATATCAATTCGTTAGCATGTATTTCTCTTCGATGTTCTATTTGTGAAATATGTGATAGTAGCACCGTAGGAATCGCGATACCATACGCCACCTTGGCCGTGGTAGCGCTGGTCGACGAGAGAGCAGGTGATTTGACATCTTTTCCCCCGTAATAGTAGATGACCACGGCAGCCAAAACATACAGACATGTGTCGGTTGTCTGGAGCAAGAATAGCGTTTTCGGATAGTCAGTGGGGACTTCCATTTCCGAAATGAATCCGAAGAATGCCACATGACCGGCTGTTGATTTCCGAACGTTAAATGAGGTACACAATCCAATTAATTGCCTTATATTCAAGAGAAACTTTTAACTTACCATAAGCGAAAACAATGTTTGTCACGGCCAAGAATCCGGTGGCAACATTGGTCTTTGTAGTCACATCAACCTTGCCGTCTCCCGGTCGTTGTATAGCAATAGCAATGATCGTGACCAAAAGTGCTTGGGGCGTGAAATGTAAGCATATTTCAAACAGCTGGAGTTCTCAGTGAAAGATACCTGAGAAAATACTAATAAAAGATGCGACTGACATCCAAGATACCTTTCGTAGCGTTCGTGGTAGAGCAAAAATAAAGGAGACGATTAGTCCAACAACACCGAAGACAATTGAACAAGTTCCATGATCGGTGAGTGTGTTCATCATAACCGAAAATGTGAGGATATGGCTGGCCATAATGAAAATTAGGAAAAGTAGTTGACCTGTTCCGAGAAACTCTCGACCAAATTTGGGTAGTCCCAGAGGCTCAAAGAGTACTTCTCCAACATCTGCCATACTATGAATATGAGGATATCGTAGTTTCATTTGACCAATCACGTATCCTGTATATGTAGCAAGTAAGCCCAATCCCACAATCAGGATCACCGCGCTGGAGAAGTCTCAGTCTTTGTTGTGTTGCGATCGCATCTTGAGAGAAGAACTCACGGAGCTAGACCCAATGTTGCCACAGCTGAAGGGAGAGATAGAATACCCAGAGATATTGTCTCTGCAATCATGACTATCATAGGAATAATGATTAGACAGGTTTCGGGACACAGATAAGGATTCAAGTTCTAAATAGCTTACTCATGCCACATTGCCTTGCGTATGGGTTTTCGCGTCAGTTGGAAAGACGAAGAAGAAGAGATAGAACACCTCGGAATTACAGATGGACTCGAAGTATGCTTACCACCAGTGTAATGTGCGATATCTCACTTCAGCAAAGCTCTCATCTCCGAAAGGGTCATTATATGTAGGCCTATAATCAACAGAATCCTTGCCTGCTGCCTCAAGATGTGCTGGATCGCTTTTACCATGCGACGGGTCGCCTTGAATTACGTCGCTGTGGAGGTGTGCCATTTTGACTTTTGAGAATAGAATATTTCAGGCTCACTTAGGATATCTCACTCGACGGTAGAAGTAGTAGGATCAGGAAACGATGAGGGGAAACCAAAGAAGTCGATATGCGACCGACATAGCTGGGTGTTATGATTGAGCCTGGACGTGGGGCCTAATGTACGGCCAACCAGCTCGACCAAGCAAAGTATCAAAGGGCGACCGCGGTAAGCCGATGTCACATTATGAGGGGGCTCTTGCGCCTTGGAGCTCAAAGGCCAAGAAATTATCGACAGGGATCCGGAAGTTCAGAGGACAGGAGGCACGCCTAGCAATGAAACGATGCAACGTGGCTTGCGGTTAGCAGAAAGTTAGTCTAGGGATCCTACAGCCAAAAAGCCTTGGCTGCGCCATACCCGGACGAGGGATGCGATACGATGTGCTTGATCCATCGCGTGGTCATTCGTCAGATGTCTTTGCATGTATGTGGAAGGTGCCTTCGCACCCTTGTCATTGTATTTAATTAAAAAGAAATAGCTCAAAAAGCTCATGAATCCAGCTCCCCAACAACGGATAATCATTTACTCTACTTTGTTGAGGATCCTTTGGGGTATGAGTTCAACAGACCCAATTCATCTCACATTTCAGTATTCAAAATGAAATGATCATGGTTTTCTCTTTCCATAGAATTATAAAATGCAACCAGTCGGCTACAACCGGATAATTGCCATCTGATCAGGCCTCTACGGAGACCTCACCAGGTAAAGTCCGGGGAAAGTGGAGCTCTCCAGGTTTAGAACCTTGGGGCAAGTACCCATCAGGGAAGTTTAGTTTAGATAACCGGTTTTATTTTACGGTCGGAATGTGAGATGAATGAGCCTACACAGTTCCCCTGAAATCTGGCGGGTCATAGATGGGCGTTAATATTGCAGAATATGACTAGAGATAATTTCAAGGTTCGCTGGCACTGTGGGCTCGAAAACTTCCAGAGCCCCAAGGTCCGGAAGTAATGACGCAATGACACTTCTATTTCCGCGCTAGTTATGGCTTTGGGACTCGATTTTTGCTCCATGTATTGCGAATGAAAGAGTCTTTATACAGTTCTGCATCTTAAATCTTTCCATGTATGCTTGATGAACGATAAGAAGTGCATCGGTATCTTTGAAACGATCTGCATTACGCTGGTCGGAGTGTTCTAATTTCCGTCGATCGACGGAAATATGGACGGTTTTTATAATCCGATTATGCGTCGCTGTAAACACGTGTTTAATCCCTCTGCTGTCCACGCATATGAATCATGGCCTTCGGATGTAAATATTTAAATATCTCCTTGATTTTCTGCACAAGCGCTTCGAGGGCTTCCTGGCTTGGAAACAATATATGTAGAACTACGTGCTAGCCTATCGTTGTCCATATATGCGACCACAAATGGTTGGTACGATGAGAGCAAGAACACTGAGCGTGGCGTGAATTTCAGCCAAAAATGTTTCAAAGACGCCGTTGATAGTTGAGTCAGGGGACTGCACTTGTTGATTCATACAATACAGATGAACAGCAGCGACTGGTATGAGCTTTTAAGGCTCGCAAAATAATGAAAGCCAGTACGCTATCAAACAAGTATATAACAGTATGCTACATGCAACAGCAGCTCAGAATCGAATGTAAGATAGCCTTTTTGCTGAAGATAGTTTGGAGTTTTTGGATTTGACGCAGAACTTATTTTGCAATTTTGGAATTTTGCCTGAAATATGCCGAGTAAAGGGCACTGCACTGGAGGCTTAAGTGCCTGAGATAGTACCAAGCCCATAGCCAACTATAGTTCGCGATTGCCATCTTGCGGATACACAGCACCTGGGAGCTTATGGGCCGGCTCTTTGACACTGGCTTACACATGCCAAGGCCAGTATTCAGAGCTTATGGATATTTACTATATGTTCCCGAGAATTGGGGTGTCTACTAGTAAACTTATATCTTTTTTTAGCCATCTCCGAGTACTGAGGTCAAACAAAAATGCTTGGGAAACTCGAAATCGCGCTGTTCGGTCTTGTTGAGCACAGCAACCTTGAAACATACACCGTATAGAGCCTCCAAAAGAAGCACAACGTCCCTAGTTTCCACTCATTCTAGATACTCGCAGTGATTAGGTATTATTTCCATTCGAATGTCGACTAGTTGGGCTAGAACAACTTTTAAACTTTGTACTTTTCTATTTATACTCCGATCGCGGGCTGGGCGCCCCCGGCAAGATGCAGCACAAGGTAAACTTTTGCATCAGAGGTGTCAAATCGGGGACCCTGAATGGATCTTCGCAGAGATGCGGAGATAATACGAGGATGCAGCGGCATGCAGCATTTTCAAGGATCCCTAGATAGTATCCTTTACATGAAGTAAGAACAATCTGTCTTGCTTTAGTAAGATTGCAAATTTTGTACTGTGGCCTGGATATGGCAGCCTCCAGAAAACATCCTTGATTTGATTTGTAAATATCTGGGTATACGACAATGAGAGCTCATATTCTCATATCTCAATTTGAGCATACTTATTCGTGGCGATTTGAATTCTCAATCTGCTGATATATGTATTTTAATGACAGCGGAAAATGGTAGTCCAGCTGTGATAACCTAGCGGTGTTAGTAACCAGGTTAAGCAAATACATAATATTGATCGTCATGGTCCACGTCATTCCTTTTACTACATAACGCTAGTCATTGAGATATGTCGGGATTGAATTTATGCGACAATCAAAATTGGGACCAAAAATTGCCCAGAAATGATATATTGAGTGGTCGGGATATTTTATCCAATTTCTGAATGGCGGCCATGATTGGCTTATGGAAATTACGTGTAAATTTTAGGTGCAAGACTTAGCTGGGCGCGTGTCCTCATATCGGGTGAAAGGGGTAGGCAGAAGATAAGATGATCCGGCATCCCGGGTATTATCAACAGTTCTGCCCGAGCAGCAGACAAATAAACTTGACATCCAGTATCATTATCTTAACCTCGGGTTGGCTGGCAGTGGTCGTCGGCCGGGTCCGATGGAATAAAGTGGAGCACCTCAACACTCAAGTCTTGAGTGGCTGCTATCGTTATGAGCGAGCATTCCTACGAAAGCTTTCTTTTTAAGGTTTTATTAAGGCTTGATGGTGTTTTTTTTCGGGTTGAAACTAGGCATGCCGAGTAATAAGCGCCATTCTGGGGAACCTTGAGAGCGCAAGTCCCAGAACCTGGAGTGCCACAGGACACAAATCTGGGGAAAAAATTATCTTTAGGTAATATCAATTGCTTTTCGCTCTCGGCTGGAGTCCTCGTCCCCACATTTCCGAGAATCGGGACTGAACCAGCCGTATATCGCCTTCGGCCTCGCCAATGAGGACCTTCAATTCTCGGTCCGGGGTCACGATGGCCCACGCTTTGCTGGAATCCTCAGTCACCATCGGTCGGAGGACGCCGACAGGCAATATTCAGTTATGGCTCACCATACATATATGGTAAGATGAATTCAATCGTTCTTCATATTTATTCTTGGCGAGAAAACGAGTTCCTGATCGTTACATGATCATTAACCTAAACTCAACTTCGACATTGCTTGTGCATATTTCTTCGCCGAGCCCCTCACATTATGGCACCTTATTTCGGCCTTCGTGGCCCGGCATTGAGTCGGGCAATCATGTGGCTGGTCGTTTGTCCAGCATTTGTGACATATGGATACAATCAAGGTGTCACTGGGGGTCTTTTGACGTTGAAGTCATTTTCTGAGCAGTTTCCCCAAATGAACACGCTTACTACGACGGGCGCAGAACAACGTTCCAACTCGACAATTCAAGGTAACTACCCAATAGTTGCAGCAAGAAGATCAAGATAAAGTGGGAGCAACTTAACTGGACCGCTGCTAACACTCTCATCCACAGGAACGGTCGTTGCGTTGTACACAATAGGAGGAATGTTCGGTTCATTATCATGCGTTCAACTGGGTGATATTCTTGGTCGTCGCCGAGTCATTTTTATCACGACTCTCATTTCACTCATCGGAGCTGTGTTGATGGCAACTTCGTTTTCCCTCGCTCAGTTTATCGTTGCTCGACTGGTTCTGGGATACGGCACAGGCGGATATGTCGCTACCGTGCCTGTTTGGCAATCAGAAATTTCAAAGCCAACGAAAAGAGGCGCCCATGTGGTGACCGATGGGATTTTCATTGGCGTTGGTATCACCGTCTCGCTCTGGATCGATTTCGGTTTCTACTTTGTCACAGGCAGCTCCGTTTCATGGCGATTTCCCCTGGCCTTCCAAATTATTCTGTCATTAATTGTCATGGCTTTTGTTATGCAATTCCCTGAGTCACCACGATGGTTAGTCAAAAAGGGCCGGTCTGAGGAAGCTAGAGCTATTCTAGCAGCATTGGCCGACGTGGAGGAAGACTGTGAAGAGATAACTCTTGAGATCCGTGACATCGAAACCTCTCTTGTCCTCTCAGGATCAGGATCCTTTAAGGATATGCTGAAGATGGGCGAACAGCGTCTTTTCCACAGAACTGTACTAGCAGCCTGTGGCCAAATGTTCCAACAGATGTGTGGTATCAACTTGATCACATATTACGCAACAACAATCTTCCAACAATATCTGGGTCTTGACGCAGTTCAATCTCGAATCCTCGCTGCATCGATGTGCCTTACTCAGCCCCTAGGCGGATTTCTCGCTTATTTTACTATCGATCGTCTCGGTCGGCGGGTTCTCATGCTGTGGTCTGCTGTCGGTATGTCTGTTTCGATGGCAATTCTTGCAGGAACCAACTCTATGAGCAACAGCTCGGGCGCAATGATCGCAGCTGTAGTCTTTTTATTTGTCTTTGAATTCATTTTTACAGTCGGCTACTCCGGACTGACCTTCTTATATGCGACCGAGGTCGCTCCACTACAGCTACGAGCTTCGATCAGTGCTGTTTCCACGGCGGCAGTGTGGATGTTCAACTTCCTTTTGGCCGAAGTGACGCCCGTGGGATTTGATACCATTTCATGGCGCTATTATATTATATTTGCCGTTCTAAATGCCGCAATTGTACCAGTTGTGTACTTTTGCTTTCCGGAAACGAATGGAAGATCTTTGGAAGAAATAGATGAGATTTTCCTCCAGTCCAAGAGCATTTTTGATCCGCCTCGCATTGCCCGTTCTCTACCTAGGGTTCACGTTGCAGATACTCAAGGCTTTGATATCGAGGTAGCGAAGGGAATTGAAGGAGGAGGCGTGGAAAGTAAGAAGACTTGAAGCGACAAACTTTACGAAGTTATGATTTTCTTTTGAGCGACTTCATTCTGAGGGCTATGTATTTTTATATAACTTGGAACTCCATGTTGAACATTTTTGAACGTGTCACGAAAACTGAATAGATGAAAAAATTAAACTACTCATTGCACGATCAAGGTTCCTCTTCTACTTTTGACTTTTCCTTCCCTCGCTGCTTGAGAAGAGGCCAAAGCGGAGCAGCACTTGAAGCAATTAGCAATACCCACATTTCGATAACATGAAACAAGTTACCTAAATAGGCATGACCTATTCTCTATATTAGTAGTTATCATCGATATTCAGTTTGAGTCAAACTCACTCCTAGCTCCCATAATGCCGAAGTCAATTATTTTACCAATCGCAAATACTGTTGCGATTATGCCGAGGCCCATCAAAAGCGCTATGATCAGCTTGATCTTTCGACGGATTTGAAGATTCCAAATGAGAAGTCCGGGATACATTGCAAGTAGCAGATCTGTCAAGGCGCTCCATGCTAGAAATCCACGATACAAAGTTAGTTATTTGATTCATTATGTATATACCCAAGCGTGCTGGAATTGAGACATACCACCGACAGCAATAAAAAGCTCTATTACTGTTGTTTTCGCAGGGCAACTGATATGGGTGGGGTCATATTTTGCTTCATGGCAGAACATGTAAGTCAACGCCACGATAGCGAAAATACTAGAGTTGAATAGCTAAATCTATTCATTAGCAATGCTCAAATTCCGCAACCAAATTGCATGTATCTCACTTACATTCAAGAGAACAACACCGAATAAAACATGTTTTCCCGGCTGATAAGCTGCCCGTTGTATATCAAATATGTACATGAGTATTCCGAGTCTGGCGAAAGATATAGCAAAGCACATGAAAATGACAGCTGAGAATCGATACAGGTGCGGCGATTTCAGATTGGGCTGGAAAACTCCATAATCATAGATCATCATGCAAGGAAATCCTAAAGCCTGGTTACCGTTAGACATACAAACTTAAAGGGCGGGAATGTATGGTAAATATACCCAAGCAATAATTGCCCACATAAGGGCTTTGGTGCCCTTTCTCTGGACAATATAAAGATACGTGTAGACTCGTAAAACGAGTAGTAATGTAGCGACAAGGCATAGCGAATTTGTGATAAGTACAAATACGAGATCTCGAGTGCGCAGGGTCACTGGATCCTCGTTGTTCGGGGTTGGTGAAAATGCCATCGTTCATGATTCACAGTTGAGCAATAGATAATTCGCGAGCTCTGGATTCTGGGAAGATAGTCCAAAAGAAGATTGAAAAGACATGAGCAACTCGAACAATCTTTTTATGTGGGATTTCATAGCACCTAGTACATACTAGCACTACTAGTAGTAAATATATGCTTGTGGGGCGTCCACGGATCTGGGTAGTAGATCATATATAGTATAGTATTAGCATTCTAAGGCTCGGAACAAACATGCAATGTTATCAACCCTCGCTAATTAATACCTGCTTGTGTATACATAGATGCGTATTTAACCAAATATGACTGGCTACAGAGTCGTTCTTGTGACAACCCCACTGGGGGGATGTGAGGGTGGAGTATGTATCCCTAGCCAGCATTCATTACTGAACGTCGAGAATGTAGCCCTATGAAAAATCTAAAATGGAGTAACGTTTCTGCCTCTTTTTCTTGTCTTGACCTAATTATTACCCCCATATTATACCATTGACCTGCCAAATTCCTACTCTTAGGAAATAAATTTGATAAGATCTTCTCATAACTCACATCTGCCAAAATCCGCGTTCATAGAAAGTGGAGTGACCTTTATTTCGATGGAAAGCAGCCGAGTATAGATAAACGTTCTCATTAAACCACAAATTAATGAGATAATTATTTCAAGACTGAACAATTATTTACGATTCTTTCATCGGCGTAGATTTACGGCAATGACAACATGAATCAGATCGCAAAATCTAGATTTTCACCTCTACCGACGCTACGTGACGTAATTGAAGATGGATTGTTGAATAGTCGTTGACTCAGCAAAAGCTCTTTCTAAATTGTACGTAGGATTCGTTCTTTTTATTGATTTTTTTTTTCGTTTTGAGGGAAACTGTTGGCAGTGCAATTTAATATCTCAATTTTCGCTATGGAAGAAAACGACGTACGAACTATCCCTAGGGCAGAGCCTGAAGTTGAAACCTCCCCGCGAAGTATCTACCGATCATCAACTGTCAGTACACTGCACCATAATGAATTCAATGATTCTTTCCGCTCAAGGTAAACATTTCCCTGTTGCATAAACTTTGTGGCCTCACGCCAAGTGACTTATCTATTTCCAGGGTGGGATCGTTTTTTCGACGCGAAGACCATATAGGTCATGTCAGCCAGCACCCTTTGCGAGATAAAGAAGATATAGAGATTCATACCTGGGATGGCCCAGATGATCCAGATAACCCATTTAATTGGAGTAAAACCTATAAATGGGTATTGACACTAACAGTGTGCTTCATGTCAGTCGCCCTGTCAATTTCCTTTCCTTTCCACTTTGCCATCATGCCAAAAGCTAATCTCACTATCGTCACATCTATAGCTCCATCCTTACTGGATTACCTGCTGGCTCCTACGGTGCAGGTAACAACTATATGGGAACACAATTCAATGTGCAAAACACTCCATTTCCGAATCTTGCCTGGGCAACAACATCTTGGAATATGGGGGCGGCCTTCTGGCCACTTATCTTTGTGCCGTTGACAGAATCATCGGGTCGCATGCCGGGTTATTTTGTGGCTTATTTCATTCTTGTAGTTTCGCTTTTCCCTTCAGCCTTCGCACAGAATTTTGCGACCCTTGTCGTCACGAGATTTTTTGGCGGAGGCGCGTCATCCGTCAGCATTAATATCGTCGGTGGCAGTATTAGCGATGTCTGGTATGGCAATAAGGCTCGCAGCTTACCGATGTCGCTATTTGGTTTCACCAGTGTTGTGGGGATTGCACTTGGTCCATTTATCGGTGCCGCAATCCAGACTATAAATAAACATGATCCATGGAGATGGTGAGACCTACAAACTACTTTCGGGGAACCAAGCTAATACAACATAGGATCTTCTATATTCAAATTATCTATAATGCAGCACTGATACCGGTATTTTGGCTAATCCTTCGCGAGACTCGGGGAGATGTTATTCTTAAAAAGCGTGCCAAGAAGCTTCGCAAGGAGACCGGGAGACCCATCTACGCGGAAGCTGATTTGAACACAACTAGCGTGTGGAAATTGCTGCAAGTATCCTTTGAGCGGCCGACTCGAATGCTTCTTACAGAGCCAGTGGTTATTTTTTTCACGCTTTGGGTCAGTTTTGCCTGGGGGATTCTTTTTCTCTTCTTCTCCAGCGTCTCGCAGACATTTAGTCACAATTACGGCTGGGGTACATTTACGACAGGCCTGGTGCAGCTCGCTATTTCAGCTGGCGCAGTTATCGGTACTGTGTTCAATCCTATCCAGGATTGGATATATTTGAGATCAGCGAAGAGGAATAAGGAACAACCAGGGAAGCCAATTCCAGAGGCTCGACTCTATACATCTATTCCCGGCAGTTTGCTATTCGCGGCTGGATTATTTTGGTACGGATGGGGCAGTGTAGGCAACGGGTCCATTCATTGGATTGTACCTACACTGGGCATTGGATGCACCGGAGTTGGGATTTATAGCATTTACATGGCTGTTGTGAATTATCTGACGGACGCTTATGAGAAATATGCTGCCTCTGCTCTATCAGCTGCCTCGTTAGGCCGGAACACCTTTGGAGCTTTCTTACCTCTCGCGTCTTACGAACTTTTTGAGACACTGGGCTATGGCTGGGCTGGCTCGCTATTGGGGTTTGTTGGTGTGATTCTGTCTGTCGTCCCTGTTGTTTTGGTGCTGAAAGGCCCTGATATTCGACGCCGAAGCCCGTTCATGCGAGAGTCTATGTTTGATGCAGAGGAGAGTGTAGACGAGGCAGAGAAGACAGATGTCTGACCTACATATAGAATCGGACTTTCCTTCTCAATATACGGGAGTTAGTTGACACACGAAAAGCGACATATACACTATCTAGCATGAGAAAATATATTTTTTTTGCAAAGGAAAGAATAAAGCCGTTCTTGAAAAGTTCGATTATATGTAAAGCAGATGTTGGGTCGATACCCGAGCGGCGTAAGGCTATGGGCTATGCGACTGGGAGGTGCAGTAAACTGCCTTTCCGTTGGCCGGCATGCTCATTGAGTTGAAGTTTTCGTTGGAGTTCTCAAACTTGTCGAGTGCAAAGGGCGCCTCCATCATAGGCAATGAGAGCTTTTCGTCTCCAGAGCAGTCGTTATTGCTATAGAAATTAAAGAAATCAGTCGGCTATTCCACATACGATTGTTAAACGCCTTACTGGTATAGCCAACAACTGTGGGCTGCAGAGACCCATCTCGCATTAAGACTAAAATGATATAAGCTTGATAACTTGAAATCCGTCATTTTGGTAAAGAAAATCTCACGGCTTGTTGATTGCTCTGCATTTTTTTATATCGACACGATGGAGTTGACAATTTTGAGAAAGTCCATCATCACATAACTCAACCTTCAGTGTCAGATCAGTACCCGCCTCGAAATTCAGTTGGTTGAACTACATTTGAAACATACCACGGAGTGAGCAACAACAAGTGGAGCTGCTAAGGCCTTGCTGAGGTTCAAGCAAGTAATTGCCGAGATAATCAAGCTTTTGAACGCCATATTTTCACCAATTTTAAAATGGGCAAAACTGAATTTGTGAGCGAAAGCGGAATCCGGGTCTCAGGGTCTCTTGAGCTTTATAAGTAGTACTTTCTGAAGCTCTTCTCCTCGCGACCGTTTCCAATCAACCTATGTATGTAAAATGCGCTATCACGTTGCACTGGTATGAGCGGAAATCGCGCATGAGGGGTAGAAAGAGCTTGGAAATCGAACCGGTTCTAATACTGATTCCTTATTCAAATCACAGAGTGCTATCTTTCTCAGGGAGTCAACCCAGGTTAGATTAATTTACAAATTCTTTTCTGGGATCAAGGTAGATCAAAATGAACCTAAACGGCATTCGATATTAAGAACATCGCCATTCGGGTTTCAAAGTACTTGAACGATCTGGTGTAGTTTCAATTCCCACTGTTGAGTTGGCGCTGGAGGATGCATGTCAGATTAAAATATGCTGTATGAAAGCGTTCAAGGGACTTCCAATTAAATGGGTGAATATGCGATTTCGATTCAATGAATAGCCAGTGGACCAGAGGTTTCAAATGGTTCTTCCTTTGTGTATGCTCGGTCGCCTGTCTCTTATTATGTTCTATAATAAGTTTACGCCCTCCTCCTCTGGCTAGCTTTCAAATCATAGTCCTCCTCATGCGGAAACCAAGCCTAGCTAACCTTTGCATGGATTATGATCCAAGTTCGGGTCCACTGAGCTTGGGCTTTTGGAGAAGCGCCTGATTTTGAGCAACGCAAGTTGCAGACTCAGTCACCTACATAATAAAACAAAGTTTACGGGCGTTAACTGGTCATTAACGTATGAATTCTCCAAAACTTGGCGTGAGCTAGGATGATTGAAGCGTTATGTTCCTATGCAAGTTGTCAAAGTCCTTCAATTGTCAGATGGATCAACAAGATTGTTTCAGAGTATGTGAACGGATCGTGAACGACCACAGTCTGAATCCACTATAGCCTCTACAAAATTCAAAATTGAACCTTCAACCTTCCTTGAAATCTTGTTTCTACTATGTATCTGACTAATCGGGGCTGATGCTCCGAACCGTTTAAAGCTAAGGCCCGGGACGGTGGGATAACTTCCCGTCACCTGCCAAGACCCTATACAGACCGGCAAAGACTGACGCGGTCGCTGATCCAGGCCCCAATTGCCGTACATAACCCGGCTTTCGGCCAGCATGTGGATACATCCTGAAGGCGGGAATCGGTTTATTCCTGGCCGGTAGGGTAGTCATATCTAATGGAAAGTCTTCAATTCGTCACTCGTATGGCGATCATTTACCCTGTCAAGTAAGCTCGTGGGGCGCTAGACTGGCTTCGCCATTCTATGTTTCTAGACACGCGGCGCCAAGCAACCATGAGGGTGATTATGGATGAATAAAGTGATATGACTTGACAATTCATGGTCGTTGATTTGATCAGAGTTGAAAGAGGGAAGACATTCGAAACGTACGCTCGGATTCTCCATATGTTGTCTACCTTCAAAATGACGCGTCCAGAGAGACAGGCGAAATGGACAAGGCATATAAATTTGAGGTATCCAGCTGCTGCTTGGATGGAAAGAAATAGTACAAAGTAACTCTTTTCGACTTTTCTCTTCGTCTGTCAAAATTTGCCTATCATGGTCCAATTGTCCAAATTAATTGCGGTGGTAGCAGCATGCTTAGCTACACCAGCTATTGCTCACCCCGGTGAGAAGCATGATCATCATGCTGTAAAGCGTGAGGTTCATGCTCGTGATGCTATGGCGGCGGCAGCAAAGCGATCGCTCGGTGGCTGCGAAAGCAGTCTGCATGCACGGGAGTTGGCAAAGCGAAACGTTGCTCGTCGTTCCCGAACCGTCCAGCAGCTCCGTGAGAAGCGTGGTGTCACTGCCAGTATGAAAACCCTGCCTAATTGCAAGCATAGACCCAGCCACTCACTGATGTGTTTTAGATGCTCATAAATGGCGGCGCGACCTTGCTGCGCTCGAGAAGTACGAAGCTGTCAACCATAACAAGACCGACATTCTTGGCTATTCGCCCGCCACTCCTGAGTCTGTTGTATTCGCTGCGAACACAAGTTGTATCTTAACACCGACAGTCACTGATGGCCCTTACTACGTCTGGGGAGAAGTGTTCCGCCAGGACGTCAAAGAGGAAATGTACTCTGATGGTGTGGACATTCACTTGGAAGTGCAGTATATCGACATCAACACATGCCGACCAATTCCCGGTGCTGTCGTCGACATTTGGCAAGCAAATGCCACGGGTGTTTATAGGTATGCAAGAGGAAATGTTGCCACAAGAGAACATTGACTGACTGAAACAGTGGTATCTCGGTTTCCGGCAACTATGCAGCCGATGGTTGGGACAGCACTTATTTGCGAGGTCTTCAACAAACCGACAAAGACGGTGTTGTGACCTTCGACACAATTTTTCCCGGTCACTACGACGAGCGCGCAACACACACCCATCTCTTGACCCATCTCAACGCTACTATTCTTCCCAACAAAACCTTGGAAGTGGGCACTGGCAGCATTGCTCACAATGGCCAGTTGTTCTGGAACGAGGTTCTTCGTACCGCAGTGGAGAACACATACCCATACAACACAAACACCCAGTCCGTCACATCAAATGCCGAAGATATGTGGTCTGTAAAGCAGGCCGATAGTGCCTATGATCCATTCCCCGAATACATCTATCTCGGCGAGGACCTTGACGACGGTCTCTTTGCTTGGATCCAGATCGGCCTCAACTCCACCGCCGACTACACAGACAACTCGTACTATAGCATTGCAGCCTATTACGATGCCGAGGGAGGCCACGAGAACTCTGACAGTGCAGCTATGGGTGGTGGCAGTGGTGGCAGTGCTCCAAGCGGCAGCATGACTATGTCTTCTTCACCCAGCGCCTCTGCTAGTGTCTCTTCATAGAAGACAGGTGGAGAGGTGGCGCCCGAACAATCCATGGGAATCATCTCTAAACGAAGAGCTATTGACGAGCGACGGGTTAATGCGGGTTCTTGTTGCTCAGGGGGAGGACTCAAATACGAGCATATTTCTAGCCTCCATAGAGCATAGATTTGATTTAGAGCGTGATATAGAGTTCATTTTTTTGGTTCAAAGTTTCGAGAAAGACTTGCTTTTTAGCCCTTACTGGTTATATTTAGAACCTAGGTGTATTGATTTGTGGCAATCAACATGTGAATAATGTCGATCAGAATGAAATCCAAGTTTCTTCTTATTTTTTTCCCGCGCGTGTAACATCTCCACCCGGTGTTGATAGGCGCGCACGGATAGCAATAAAAGGGATTCGCAGGTTTGCAGCAATGGGGAGCGGATCACGGAGTGCGTAATCTTGGCGCCCAAAGCGTAGATAACATCTTGAATCGAAGGTTCTAAAGACTAAAACATTCTTCCAGGAGCCACTCTTCGATCCATTTAGATTCATTTAGTCCGGAGTAACAAGGAGTTCATAATGATTGTATCTGACACTAGTCTCAAATAGGAATGGTGCATCAAGGCTAGTCTATCATGGGAAGGTGCAATCGTGGCAGGGTAGAAGCCCTCGCACTAGTCCAAATCTGGGCTCGAACAAGGTTAAATTTGTTGCCTTTTTGGTGCCTCAGGCTGCAATATTTCTTCTTTCGACGTGAATTCCGTGGTGGCTGTGAGCCTCGTGGCATTGTGAACTTAAATTCCCCCGTATACCATGGCTTTAATTATAAACAGCACGAAGTCTACCATGTCATTTTATGTACAAAGTACCAGGAAAAGGGTTCCATTGACTACCATGATCGGTTACAAGATCCATGGCCTCCTCAACCATGGCTTTCCAATTAATGGGCGCTTTGACGCACTCGAATATGGGTCTGAAGTTGGACAGTTTGGCCAATCAGAGCAATGTTACCGGAGGTAACCGGCTTTCAGTATAGATGCGGCTCCTCGTCCGCTCTGCTGAAACACAATTCCCAGGTGGTCAATTAGATCTCCCATTCTTCGGGGGAATGACTTGCATTCTCGAACAATGATGACGACCGGTACATTACAATATGCGGAGTACATGGTTCCCGAAAAAGTGAAATTGTCTACATAGTCTCAGATAGACTATTCTGTATCTCCTCCGCCCAGCCTCCCAAACCACAATGAAACCCTGCAGCGGATCACCTCGGCTCTTCTTCGCGGTATCGAATGTGCCGCGACCACTGGAAAGATGGGTTCATCGGTTCATCTGTGCTGCCGATCTAACAGATTTAGACTCGCCCTAGAAATCAATACTCCCCACTCGTACCAAAGGATGCCATTATTCACGAGGCAGGGGGAGTTCCACTTTGACCCATGAGTCTAGAGCTGCAGCAGATTTTCGCAGTCATAATAGCCGGTTCTTAACGTGGAGATCTTCATAAAACATATAATATCGAGGGGTTTCCTCATCCTAGTCTTTTCCCCCTCCCTCCCCTCTTCTGACTACCCACCTGCCACTATCTTCGTCTATGTGGATGGGCCCTACCCACCTGGACCACCATGGAAGTGGAAGTCGACGATGACAGCCATAGCCAGGCTATCCGAATTGTCACTGCCATCTTTCTCGCTATTTCGCTCATTTCTGTCGGTCTACGGATATTCGTTCGCACTCGAGTTGTGAAGGCATTTGGTAACGATGATATTTTCATGGTTCTGGCCATGGCGCTGAATCTCGCATTTGCCATCTGCGGTTTTCTAGGAGTGGAATATGGAATGGGTAGAAAATTGGTTCATTTCGAGACCAGGCCAGACGATTTTCCCAAGGCGATGCTGGTATGGTCCATTCCGTCTATATTTAAAGACCATTTCGATGCTAATTGATTGCGCCCACAGTGCTGGTGGTTAGGCCAGGTCTTCTACGTTATCACCTGTGTTGTAGCCAAAATCTCGATCATCATCACTCTTTTGCGTATTACAGTCGATCGCATACATGCATACATCCTCTATACCGCGATTTCCCTCGCAACGGCCGTCGGCGTCGTGTTTCTTTTTTTCACCATCTTCCAATGCAATCCCGTCGATCATTTCTGGAATATCCTCACCGACTCGAAAGGAACTTGCATTAGCAAAGATCTCCTGATTGGCATCGCATACCTATACAGTGTCGGCGCGGCCGTAACAGATCTCACCATCGGTCTCCTTCCAGTGGCACTAATTTGGAACTTGCGCATGAATCAGCGCACCAAACTTGCCATCATTGGAATTCTAGGAATCGGCTGCATGTAAGTCACCTAATTCAAATTGTTCCTTACACTCAACGGAAATACTAATTCCTATTCAGTGCGAGCGCAGCAGTCATCGTCCGCATCCCATTCATTAAAAATTACAAGAGCGACGAATTTTTATGTACGCCACAATCTATATTAGCTTCCTGTCCGCCCGATTGGATCCATCGGCTAACCAGTACTTACAGACGATACATACCAAATTTCAATCTGGTCAAACGTCGAAGCAGGCCTCGGCATCACAGCTGGCTGTCTCACCACTCTTCGCCCCCTCATCCGATTTCTCCGCGACAGCTCCTCCGCTTCTCGAAGCAGGGGTGCGCGTACACCCGGCTCATTCCCGCTATCTAGCAATGTGGCGCAGGGATTTAATCGTAATTCACGCTCTAAAATTGAAAATCGCTCCGATGTTGACCAGCTCTGGACTGGTACCGATAATGATGACTATCATGGCGTGACGACTACGATTATGGGGAGCCAGAATCCTAATCCGCGCAGTAGTAGCGAAGAGGATCTAAACCCGAGTCGCGGAGGGTGGAAAGTCGAGCGGTCCGTTCGGGTGTCTGTGCGCGATGATTGATTAAGCCGAGCTTTTCATCTGCCCATATGCTTTATACACCTATAATTATTGTACTATATGGATTTGTACTATGACGATTAAAAATAAATTATAATGCTTTTATGAGATCTTCTCAATGTCTGGCAAGCTTACGGATCTTTGGGTTATTTGGAGATTTATTCTTCAGTCCCTCTGTCTGCTTTTTGGGACTTTTGCTACGGAATAGTGAGACGATCGGGAATGGCGCCGGTGGGTCTATTGTAATGTAAGCGAGATTCATTCACGCCCCAGGCTTGATGAGGAATTGGGTCATGCAGTCGGAGAATTTTGCGCCAGGTACTCCATCCCCGGCTCAAAATGGCAGTTGGACGCCCAGCTTGCCACTGCTTGATCCTTCGCCTCGAGAAAAAAAACATTGTGGCATGGCATTGTGTTGGCAAGGGATATTGTTACAAGGTCCTACAGATACCAAGGCCCATTCCCAGCCTAAAGGGGAAACAACCCGCCGGCACTGATCGCCATTAAAATGGGGTACCTAATGAAAAGCTAAACATCCCTGTTAAGTGGGCACATCAATGGCAGTTACAAGGGTATTGTACAAGGCAGAGGTCAATAATATTGGGGAAAATTAAATAGCGTAAGTATGAGAATCACATCACACGCCCAAGCAGTGGGGCTAACAAGAATGCAGGGGCATGTCGGCAAAAATGACCATTATCAATCGGTGTTTCATATTCGCATAAGTAATTAGGCATACATACAATCTTGCGACCGTTGGCCTGGGTCCGGCAAAGGAGCTAGTTCCTAAGGTTCATGACGAAACCAACGTGTGACAGAATATCAAAATAGAGAAAGTAGACCCGCATTTTGTTTCACTCTTTGACCTCTGTCACTACCTCCTCGCGAGTCAGAGCATCCTGCGAGGTTGCATTTAAAGCCGCATACGCATCAACATGTGTTGAGGCGAACTTACGTGCTGGGACCTTTTTGGCGAAGAGAATATCCAGTTCTGCGTAGGTGCGGCCTTTTGGTTCTGGGAGGCGGAAGTAGGCCCACACGAAGGCAATAAAGGCCGTGCTACCCCAGAAGAATCCGGTCTTGCCAGATGCATTCCAGGCGGTGGGATTCATGAAGTATGGCTCCAGAACTTGGGAGACGACGTTGATGAGCTGATATGCTGTTCGGGCGAGACAGACCGTCAAGGTACGCAGGCGGACTGAGGAGATCTCTGATACGACGGAGTAGGCGATTGGTCCGACGGTCAATGAGTAAACGAAAAGCCAAACCATACATAGGGCTGCCTGGGCCCACATGGCGCCATTAGTAGAGGAGGCTGCATTGATGATACCGACCAGGAAAAGCAAGGTGGTGAGCGTGGCCTGGCCCCAGACATACAGAGTCCGGCGGCCAAACAAGGTAATCAGGAACCAGGACAGCATAGTACCAACTAAACTGACGGCAGTACAGCCAACGCCAAACTGGAAGGCTTTAGCAGTGCTCATGCCTGCTTGCTCGAAGAAATAAGTTGGAGTATAAGCGAATGAACTACCAGACATGATCTGGCCCATGAAGGCGACGCAGCAAATTTCCGTCCGGCGCAAATCCACACCCTTGAAGCATTCGGCATAGGTGGTTCCGGCCTCAATTTGAGCCTCGAGGCTAGTGGTGTGCACCATCATCGCTATTTGCCCATTGATCTGGTCTTCTGACCTGTCGCTGTTAAGTCGGCGGAGAGAGCGCTTTGCGTCCTCGAGACGATCTGTGCGGACAAGATACCATGGACTTTCTGGTGCTAACCAGCAAATCACCATCAATGGCACGGGCCAAATCCATTGCAAACCGAAGGGAATACGGTATGACCATTGGTCAGGTCGATCGACCAGACCGTACAACACCCCGGACGCAATCAGTTGTCCAATCGCCCAGCAGCAGTTAACATAGGTGGTTAGGTATCCTCGTAGGTTTGTCGGGCAGACTTCGGATGCGTAGGCAGGGCCAACAGTGGCGAAGACTCCCCATGAAAATCCACAGAAAATCTGACCGACTAGGAGCACGGTTGCTGAGTTGGCAAAGAAGGTCATGAAGATGAATCCGTTCAAAAATCCTAGTGCAATTATCATGACATATCGGTAACCGAATTTCGATGCAAAATATCCATTCATGATACCACCTGGTTACAGGTTAGTGGAATTTTTCATTTCCTTATGTAGAAATCTCAGCAACTCACCAAAGATACAACCAACTGTACTAGCCATACTGAGACCTGACTGCCATCGAGCAGGCACTTGCCAGCCAGTCTCTTCTCCGTAGTATTCACCATATTTCTGCTGGAAAGTGGGATAGGCATAGAAATTTCCCAAAAGAATCGTATCATATCCCTCCATGATGATTGATAGAGAGATCAACATGGACCATCCAACTGCTTTGCGATTTTCACGCAAGCCCTGCCACAAGGTTTGAGAATGCTCATCGTCTGTTGCTTGCTTCGCTTCGATGATCGCCCCGTGGCCTAGAGTGTCCTCCACATGGTGTGCCGCCGTCTTCTCCAATGCAATCTCGGTCTGCGTAAGGTCTGCCATGATTGATAACCAAGCCGCTGGTCAAGTCTCGGTGTACCAACAACAACCACTAGCTTGAAAATACTATGAGAAGGGAACGGAGATCCTTGGAATATAAGACTTTCCGGCCGACATGCTCTAGACGGTCTACCACGTGCCAATTCGCATTCCGGGGAATTCTGTGGAGAAAACAGAGCACATCAAAGAATCACATCTTGCATTCAGGCTAATCTGGCCGCGGGTTCGAGTATTAAAGAGACAGCCAAGCCAATCAACTCGCGACTAGGGAAATATCTGGCCATACTGGTGGAATACGACGGCCATGGAAGGACAACGATTCGCACCTATCACAGCAGTCAGTCGAATTTGAAGGAGATAAAATGTGGAGGCCCGGAAATCGGCCCGAAATATTGGGTTGGTTTCTGGGGAAGCGAGGGGCGTTAATGTTGTAGAAGTTCTGTGATTGGGCCAAGGCTAGGATGGCGTTGACGCCTCTTGAGGCCAAAATGCCCCTAATCCGTTCGGGAAACGGAGGGTCGCGCCGTGGCTAAACCGCGTTGGCACCGTGCTCATGGTAGGCTTGCAGCTAATCTACGATCGGCTGATGTCTCCTTGAGTGTCTGTTGCTTTGATTCCCAGATTCTGGCTTGGAAATATCGGCGAGGCGACCTTGACCAATCCAGTAGTGCAGCCTTACTTCAATGGCGCAACCAGGGAGCCATTATGGTCAAAGCGACCGGGTCAGGAGGATTTTTTATTAGCCGGAAAGTCGGATAATTTGTGTCTTCCCGATGAATCATTTCGCTTTGTATATCTGTTAGTTTCCCGAAGGCGAGATGGCGATCAAGAAATCATCTGATTGAGTTAGTGCCGACGATTCGGGGTTCCCACAAGACTACCGCACAGACCCATTCCCAGGGTATACAATCTTACCATTCGCCAGGCCTCTCGGAGATCTTACGGCGCTTCGGATCAAAAATATGGACGCGCTGGATTCATGATATCTCATGGAGGACGATGTGATGTCTGGTATGATTGAATACTTCCATATGTATTGATTGCATCGATGCGCCTTTTCTATCATAAATGCATAAGGCGTTAGTATGTAAAATGATCTATCACTATGTTGTAATGGCTAGGTATATGGTTGCGTCCATGTAATTCTCGCGATGCATAATTCTATTGCTCGCTGGTAAGAAGACCCTCTGCCTCTTGAGTATCCTGTGCTGGGCCGCCGTGCGATTCGTCTAGCTTCTCGGCCATTGCGAGCGCCTCGCGACGACCTTTGTCGGCGTTGACCATCCAGACTAACGGGATTGGCAGCACTATGATAATTGCAATGAAAAAGAAGCCCGATCGCACTTGGCCTGTCGCGTCAATAAGCACACCCACTACCGCGGGCCCGATGAAGGAGCTACCTTTGTCAGTAGCTGCGTATAGCGCATAAAATGCAGCTTCGCTACCAGGGGGAATCATGAGACCGAAGAACGAGCGACAGTAGGAGGCTAAGCCTCCAGACACAAGGCCATGAACTATTCCAAGTGGAAAAATTTCCCATGGTTGCTGGAGACCGATCACACCCCAATTTTTGACGAATGGAATGTAAGCCAGCATTCCATAAAGTGGTATAAGTTCAAACAGTGCGATACAAACAATGATTGTTTGGTTCGACTTGAGGCCGAATCTTCGAGAGAAATGAGGCCATAGAAATGCGCCAGTCATCCCCGACACAGTAACCGTTATTGACAATAGAGCGATCGATACCGTGCTCATCTTCAACTCCGTGCGGGCAAAAAGAATGGCTGTGCCCGAAACAGTTGCCATGGCATCGGATAATAGGAACCATGCGACCAGGAAAATGACGACCTCGCGTAATTTCACAGCCACTGTTATTGTTCGCCAGAGTGACTTCCATGCAAACCCTATAAGTCGTAACCAGACTCGCCATCTTGAACCGCCCGGGTGCGAAGAAGTATCAAGAGGAGGGCCGGGCCGAGTACGGAGCCAGCGACGAGTGACGAAGGTGAACGCGCACCACCAAATCCCAACTAAGAGCAGCACGAACCGCATGGGTAGCGTTGCGGATGTTTCAGTAAGCTTTGTCTTGTTAAGGGTGACCAACAAAATAATGCTGAGAACTTGTACAAAGACTGCCGCGGAGTAGCCCAAACCAATTCCTTTAGATGATATTTTGGTCGAGAGCTGGAGTTCCGGGGCAGAACTCTGTGGCTTACTCTTGAGATCTTCATTTGTGAAACGAGTATTTTGGTCTGTTGTATGTATGCCATCTACACTGTCATCTTCATCCCAGTCATTCGATTCCGAAATGTCGCCATTCTGATCGCTCCGTAGGTTTGACATCTCTTCGCCACCCCGAGCGCGATCTTCTTGAACCGATGGATCGTTGGCGACTAGCACAGGCAAAAATGAATTGAGGACGACGAAGGAGGATCCGAGGCAAGTAACACCAATCACAACCAACATAGCACCAAAAATATACATAGATGGTGCGATGAGCACAAATAGCATGCTGGTAGCTGAACCGATGAACCCAAAGGACAGGAGTAACGTTTTCCGATTACGCTCTATGGCAAGAAATCCAGATATCAGTATTCCGACCGAGAAAGTTTATGTGGTTTGCGAGCTTACCGTAGTCCGCCAGGGCACTTGACGAGATCAAAGTCAAAGCTTGAATGAGGACGGCCAGTGAAAATGTATACATCGCAAAGCTTGAAGTGGTAATTCTAAGCCCCATTATCCCGACCATACATTGTTCGTCAGCTTGAGGGCCCTCTGTTGGCGCGTCAGGGCCCCAACAGGGCAGATGGCTGGTCTGTAGTGACCCGTGTTCGCGGGCAAGTTGTTCGAGCGTGAGAGGGAGGAATGACCCTATAATAATGAGTAAAAATCTTGATGAGTATGGATAGAGCTATTACGAACCTACACCACAAACCGCGAAGACTTCAGCTGCAATGCCATAGGAATACCAGCCCAGAATCTCACGGTGTGTTGTTGGGGTGGTGTCTTCACCGACGTATCGCGAAGGCCGCTGCTGAGTCCCCGCATCGGGTTCAGAGGGTGATCGGAAAGCTGTCAGTATGGATGACAGCATGAAGACAGGTAGAGGAGTAGGGTGAAAATCCCAAGCCTGCCATCGCTGCGAAGTTCACTGAACCGGATGGGGACGGAAACGGCAGGGCGGGGATGCGCGATGTGGTCATCGCTTGATAGCGATCGCCCAGGAACCACAGGACGGACCCACTTTTGAGAATTTAGTCGGTGGCTATACAAACCTTGTAAGTATGTGCAAACAAACCTTTGCATAGCAGTAAACGCCTGGTTCATACTGCAAATTGCTAATCACTGGCATTCAACTAGACTCAAATTAGTTTGAGGACCAGTGCAGATGCTTAGGCCAACGTATATGCTCTGAGAACATCCTGCTCAGGTAGGGTACGCCAGTCAATTCCCAGGTATATGTTCGCGCTTCATCTGACGACGAATTTCATCCGAAGTCCACTTCAAGCAGTTTAAGAAAATCTCCAGGCGCCAAGAGGATGGACTGATGGACTATGGACTCCAGGGCTGGTTAAGGCAGTATTAGATGCAAAATGAACAAACAAGTGTCTCCGAGTCGCGCCTGCCGGTTCCGGGCCTGAAGCGGGATCGCTCCTGCCTGATGAGCAAAGAACCGTGTTTATATTTGGTTTATATTTGGGTCACGTTTTTCTCTCCCATTCACTTTCTTTTCTTATCGTCAATTGTACCTCTTTCACGCCAATTGATCACTTGACCGTTCTCTGCGCAGAACACCCCTCACGTTTGTCAAAATGGCCTCGGTCTTAGATTACATGGTGTACTTCCTCGGCCGGTTATTCTACCCAATCAGAGGTCATGATTCCCGACAATTTATCTACTGCCATGCGTTCAAGGACCTCCCCAAGCCGAATATGACTCTCGAATGTGAAGAGTGTGGTCCATCTGGCTCGAAGTTACTTCTCCACCACACCAGCCTTTCTGAAGATGGAATCGGCATCATCCCCGAATTGACATGGACACCTCCACAAGCGACTGAGCCCGTCAAGGAATACGTTCTGATCTGCGAGGATATCGATCTTCCAATTCCGTTCCTGGTCGTTCATCATGGCCTTTTCTGGGGCATTGATGCCAAACATACCCATGTTTCCTCTTTGCAAACCTCGGTAGCCAAGAACAACCCCGGCTGGAAGACCAGATCCGCATGGAATTATGTTCCTAATCTTCGAGGCGCTTCTTATATTGGTGCCAGCCCTGTACTTGGACATGGAACTCACCGATATGTCTTCACTATCATCGCTCTGAAGGAATCTCTCAACTTTGCTCATCCTGAGAAAGTCACCAAGTCGGACATCAAAAAGGCTATTGCGGGCAAGATTGTTGGCTGGGCTCAATGGACTGGAGAGTTTGAAAAGCCTTGGCCTGTTTGAATATCTTCAGTGGCAATCACCCAAATCGAGAAAGCAACAAGGTAACCGTTCGCCCCTGGCAAAGAGTTTGTGGCGTTTGTGGATCTGAGAATCTTGAAATATGTTTACACTATGGGGCTGTGTTTTCTGTTATCTTATGATGTGCATCAATGGAATATTCCAAGGTTGTTTGCAATGAGTGGTGAATTATTCTCGTCCAAGTTCAGAAATACCTATCAATACATCGATTGTTCGATTGTAAACACCGCAATTATCGTGCCTAGTCGTAAAGGAGATCATGGTAAGGGATTGACTTATTACCTATTCCAGAATGTACTTGGGAGAATTCAACTCATGTAAGAACATGTCAATTGTCTTTCACCAGGTACAATGCAAAACAAAATCTGCTGCCTAAGAACTCGTCACACCGCCATCTTGATCTTCATCATGATTCCTTGCAGCCTCCGATCAGTCTCCATAATCATAAGTAGCCTCCCTCTGGACAACACTGCAGTTAAATGCTGTTGCAGGCAGACACGAATACGCCGAATAGTAACCAGAAGCATAGACAAACGAGCTTGTAAAACCTGCTGAGCAAAATATGACTTTTCCTCCATAGGAATACTAAATCCACCAACAACTAAAGGACAAGCGTCAACATATGGTTTGAAACCACCAGCACCAGCACCACCACCGCCTCTAACATCGAACTCTCCTCCGCTGACAGCCTGGGCTGGCTTGATCGATATATCTCTCTCGTCAATACCAGGTCTTGGAATGGCTCCATCAAGGGTAGATAGAAGACTATCAATAGTCACAATGATGATCATAAGTATGTTAGCCTGGACTTCGGACTGCGAACACATTTTGCATTCGAAAATGGCCTCTGTCTGGATTAATAGATTCTTCTGACATGCAAGAATTCTATCAATACTACAGGAACCGTCTGGTCCAGCGCTAAGACCCAATCGGATCAGCTCGCTCATCGCTTGCTTGTAGCAGCTGCAAGTGAAGCTTGGAGTTGAATCTAGCGAATTCAAAAAGTCCAGCGCTTCTGATGAGTATATATCGCTGTCTTGACTTGCTGCGGGAGACTGAAGAGGACAGCAGTTTGGTGGTGAGCTATTTAGTAACATCGCGTTTGATGGATATGATCTGTCCAGACCCCATTGATCTGTTATGGGCTGTATGTCAAAATTGGGCGCAGATCCATATGTCCACGGGGAGATTTCAGCTTTGTCCTTCATTTCTAGATATGAAGTTTGATCTGCATGTTGCTGGAAGTTTTTCATGTCGCATTCAATGCTCATTTGATTTGGATTCAACCCTTGCCCTATGGGAATGGGTGGGAAGAAAGAGTCTCCTAATGAATGTGGATGTGCTGAGGCTGGATGTCTCATATAATATGGTAGCGAATCAAATTTATCTTCCAGATCCAGGTCTGCATAAGCGTCTTGTATAGGTTGGCTGTCAGACCCACCACTGGGGCGAGTATAAGCAGCCTCTTGGAGCCATGAATCCGTCGTGAATTCCATTTCAAGTGCTAGAAGAGTTTATTGGTATAAACAAACCTAATGCGGACATCAACAAGAACTTACCTGATGAATCATCCATAATGCTCTCAGTCGAGATAGAAGCTGTATATAGATCCTCGTCTTCATCTTTCACGGTAGCCCTGGTAGCTCGACCTGGTAGCAATGTTCCAGAGCTAGCCCTACTTGCTTTCTTTCGAGTAGTTCGGCGTGTTTTCTTCTCATGCTCAAACGGCTCACACTTTCTCTTTGGTATAGGACTATTCTCGCTTTCTTCCAGTCCCACGCGGGAACCTCTTTTTTTGGCTGGTCGTCCCAATCGCCTCGAAACACTATAAATGCAATCAAGATTGTGTTTCTGACAACGACGGCACGATGGCTTCTCATGACTGCAGCGAATCTTAGCCTGCTGACATGCATTACATGTCGAGCGAACTTTAACGCTTTGGGGAAGCTGAGAAGCGCCACCTTTCGATTGTTTCGACAAGCTCATTCTGAGAACTGATCACTGGTGTACTTTTTTATTTGCTAGAATGGCTGTTCAAAATAAGCTGACAATTTCTCAAATTTATTGACCTGTGGTCTGACACTCCCCAGCGTCTCCGTTTATCTACTCGTATACCTCCCCATTTTAAGTTACTACTTTGGGCCCAGCATCACGTTCATGACCTCGGGAATTCATGTCTCTTTCCAAATCTGTCCATGATATCACTTCTTCCGGATACACCTGCTACCAAGCTATTAGCTTGCAGATTTGAAAGTTACATCCGCAAATCCGACTTCAACAAGTGGGTTTGTCCTACCCGACCTTGCTGGAATGCTCCGTGTTTTCTGGCTAGATATTTGACCAGTCGTTCGCACCTGTGCCGGAAGGAGTGAATTGGGAAACAGTTCTCGCTGTGAGAAATATAATTGGGAGGGTTTAGGGGAGCCGCTGGTCACGCGCTGGTATGGTATTGGAAATTCGGCGGAAGCGACATGTGGGAGATATTGTGGCTATGTTCGTTTTGGGGAATGTAAGTCCATGACTTATTTCTGGTATCATGGAGTATCAATTTAGGATTCGTAATAGAGTTCATGTGCTCTTAACATTGAAGAGACCCCTGGGCATAATTTCTCATGAAACAAAACTTAATTTCCCTCTGCTTATTCCATAACTTACCTAAGTAACTTTATATCCTACAGATTTGGAATCATTTACGATAACAACTGCCAGTTTGTACTTCCAGATAGTATATAGGCACCCCGAGAAGATGGTCAGATCACTACTACATGTGAGATACCGTATTCGGGACCATCGTACTCCATTTAATACCATTCTACTAGGTCATCCTGTCCTTATATCTACCAAACAGGCAATAGACTAAATTAAGTATTCATCGTAGCCGCGGGAGTCACATGTCGGTACCCATCCCGATTCAGGGAGAGTTCCAGTTGGGTACAAATGATGAGACACGAAGTACCCATCTGCTGAGGCCCGCTCGGCGAATTTGCTCGTGCGATTGGATTTGCGTGGGCGATCCATAGAATCCAGCATGATCTGATAAGGCTACGAGGATTATCGTTCCTAGAACTATGACAACAAGTAATCATCATAGGTAAGTAGACCGCAGTGTTGAGCTCGCGCAGCAGGGATTCATAAAAAGTCTTTCCGATCGTCTGGGTCTCAGCCTACTCGGACTGATCTTGAAAATGACCTTACAGTCAAACAGTCCATCTATGAATGTAAGGTTGAAATGTTTGCTACTAATTCCAAGCAATGCACATTCGATATCATCGACATTCGATATCATCGACATTCAAAATCATTTATATTTCGTTATTAGACTGGCTAAACCTTTGAACTACATTAATGGAACCCGCCCACAAGACTTTTTGTTCCTCATGTCGTAACTGTCCACTCGATCCGAGGGTGCATAGTATAATGTATCCGCCGCGTTAAATTTATTGGGATGGCATGTGCTCGAAGGGTTTCTCAAGGTGCTCCTGGCAAAAGGGAAGCTTGCTAACAGTCCAGATCTCGGTATCCTGCGGAAGAAAAAAGTTAGCCCCACTATTTAGCGTCTCGCATCCCTAACTTCCAAAAGTTGCCCCACGTACCGGCTTGAGTGTCTTCTTGATTTCTGTGTCCAGAGTACCAGCCTTCAAGGCAATGATCGGAGGAGCAGCTTCGGGGTCGTGGGCGATAGGAGAGCCACACTCGCCGCAGAAAATTCGGTGTACGGCCTTGCCGGAGCTACCAACGCCTGCCCAGCTCTTGGTGGGGCCTTTGATGGTCAAAGTGTCTTTGAGAACCACAGCGACCAAAGCTAAACAATTAGTTGATGTCACCACTTGTGAGAGTGCAATTAATGGGAGGGGACGAAATACAGTAAGTAGATCCGCTCTGGCGCTGGCAGTCGTCGCAGTGATCGTAAGCAGTGACCAAGGGCGCATCCATGGTGGATTCATAGGTGACCGCCTGGCACAGGCAGTGTCCAGTAAGAGGCATGATGGAATTGATTCTAGCAAGGTTCTCAAGGGAGCAAAGAATTGAGACTATGAGGACCTTGGGAGGAGGGGAAGAGACAGAGTATTTAAAGGGCAGAAGTGGGATCGAATTCCAACCTTCCTTCGCTTTCCCACCTTTGGTACTATCGACTTAGACTTTCTACATGCTTCCCCAACAATAATTGCTAGCATCTGCTGAATCCAGGATGAAAATGCATACGTTGCGTCATACTAAAGGCAATTCCAAATTGTGCATGACAAATTGTCGCTAGCCCCGCCCGCCTCTTTGCCCCTCTTATCTAATCTTTCTCATTAAGTTAGCTCACGCGTATAGCTTACTATTATCATCTGTTGTCCCTGCCTCAGCTCACCGCGCCACTAAGCTCGAATATGCGTGTGGATGCGGAGCAAAATTGAGATATTGGCAAGACACCGCAGTTTGACTGCTCACGCAGCGTCAGGTCTCTCCGACTCGTCTTTGCTATGTACATGATGATCCGCAGTCACCGAAACACTCCCCGCGGCCGATCCACGCACCAATCAATGCAAGACCCGCATTATTTGTGGAGTATCCAAGAAACCCAACGAAACAACTACGGGAATTGGCCCTCGAAACAAACAAAGGATGTGTGAATCGCATACAAGCCAATTGACTAACAAACGCAGTGGATGTGTGACTACCGAATCGCATTCAATTTTCTGGCGGCTTATCTACGGAGTGGAACACTGTCTCCAGTGTTCAGCAAGGGGTATGAGCGCGGTCACTAACAATAGCATCGGGGAGCGCTGTACCTAGACGCTCGGGGAACGGAGAGAAAAGCGAGTTGCGTCGGTCAGAAAAAAATAAATTGACGCTGCACTGTGACAAATTCAGCCGAGATGCAGCGAGCGAGTCGGACCAAGGCTGGGAATCAGTGGTGGGCTGGCGTGTGGGATTTGGTGCCGCACACCTGGGAATAACATGCAGTGCTGGTCAAATCCGTCGATCGTCTAGGCTGGAAATCAAGTGAAGTGGGTCAGCGTAGGGATGGACCCCAAACTTTTGTATGCACGGCCGCGTTTTGCCGGGACAAGCTATTTGCAGGATCATTGAGGGGTGAGAAGCTCGGACTACAGTACATACATGGCATCCCGCCGACGAACAAAGTTCGAGCTATCAAATAATGTCAAATCATGAATTATCGCAGTGTTGGGCTGCTTATTCCCCGCTTACGCTTACGCCCGTGGCTCTTTGCACATCTTTCCAAGGTCATTAACTTCGTAGATTAGAGAAATGCAGGTGGGAGCCTTGTGTACAGAGAGACGTCTTGTTGCGATTCGCTCTATGTGTATGTACTTTTTATTTACTCCGTATATTCTTTGGTCCCATTGGCAGAAGAGTTCGCTACCAGATGTCACGCTGGACATTCTCGATCTTATCCGCGGCGCTCTATGCATTAAACGAGGAATTAATGCAATAGTCCCTCCAAGACTCCCAATGTCCCACTTACCTGCATCTGAGCAGCCATGCCCTGCCGTGGGATCTGTCCTCCGTATACCATCGATTCAGCTCGTTGAGCCTCGCGGGCATCGTCTTTAGTTATATAAACCGGGACTTCGGTCGGTACGGGAGGTATACCGAGAAGTTCGTTCCGATCCGCAATGGCACGCACTTGTTGGGACACGGAGCCCCGACCGGGATGACGGCTAAATGCACGACCCTGTATAGTATGTAACTTAGCATTGGATAGATCGATTTTTAGCATAGAGAAAATGAAACGAGACCTACCTCAGCAGCTTGCATCTCGCGTGCATCTTCATGGGTAATATGGCTCTGTGGCTTTCGAGACACTTCTTCAAACTTATTGTCGAAATTCATTTGTCGCATCGCTAAACTTTGTGCGGTCGCTGTTGCAATCAGTATGTGATCGATAGTACATTATAGTATATTTTGAAGTTCAAATTCATGAGGACTTACCCGCTGGTCCGCCCCGGAGCGGGCCGCGTCCAGTCAACTCGCTTTCGGCGTGTGAGATCGTTGACACGTCCCCGGGCGTGATTCTCTGACCAGCCTCGACGGCTTGTTTGAGATCTGCGACAGAAGGAATATCGACAACCATTGTTTCTAACTCAGTGCCCCAATATTTTCTCTCTACCCTCTCGCATTATCTGCCACGGGCCTCCGTGCATGATATATAGATAGTACTGTGGCTCTGATGTCACCTTGAGGACATCTTTCGCCGCACGCCATCCATGTGGCGCTGCCACTCTGGGGTAAAACAAAATGCCCAAGTGGAGAACATCCTCATGGTAGATAAGAGCATGCCAGAGCAGATTTGAGTCATACTCCACATGAGTTATCAAACGTGGTCGGAATTTGGAGTCATCGGTGTTTGCACCAGCAAATGTGGGCAGCTCGCAAGATCAGGCTATCGCCACTAGAACATTGGAAAGAGCCATAGGCAGTCCACGGGCTACTGAGGATCCATCAGATGGGATAAGATGTTCTAGAATCCAAGACAAGCAGATGCTTGGTTCCACCGCCATCCCCATCACCTGCGCTCATCCCATCTCGCACAATGACAAATTGTCCCAAGTTCTGCAGGTAGCCGTCCGATACCATGGAAGCCAACAAACTGTGGGGTGCTTTTTGTAAGATTTATAGCTTTTGCGTAGTGTGACGATACCATGCCATAGACATGTCGCGGTTGAAGGAGGGGTATCCAGCCAAACTGGAGGGGTAAAGAGCCACATCGTGTCTTATGGTGATACATTGAGTCCCTGCAATGGCTCCTTAGGGAAACCTCGCGCCTCGGTACGATGCTTCTCTGCTTTATTTCAACTATCCAGGGGCGGAAACACTCTCAGGCTGCTTGTGTATCGTTCCACCGGGGTGATCAACGGACAACGCGAACAGGTTGCATGTAGTATTGACCTTGAGACTGTGCCGAGACAAGTTGTCCTTTTGTACCATTGTTGGGCTGGGTATGTCATGTATTGTTATGCTAAGGATTGTTGTTGGTAATTTTCAATCACGTTGTTTCTCGTATATCCCAGAAATCAAATCTTTTATGACTGAAACAGCCTCGGCTGAATATGTTCGATTCATGATGTTGATAGAGGCGATCGGGAGCATTGATACTTCTTTCCGCCTCGGACCAATCAAAGTCTATCATTATGCCGGTTCCGGGATAATTTGGTCCGCCGGAGTCGCCGGTACCGGATTCACCCCCTCGCATTCTCAATTCCTTTCGACATCAGCAGTTTTTTCTGTCCCGGTTACGCCATATTTTGATTGCATCTGACCCTGCAAGGGCCTAATAATGACTACGTAAGAACCGGCCTCCCAGGATACCTCTATCCGCCGCTAACATGGGACGCTGCAGGCCGTTGAAGAAAGGAAAGAAGGCGTGCACGGAATGCCGCCAACAGAAGGTATCATCACATGGCAAAAATGGGAGATGACAGCTAGATCAAAGAATATGCTAAGATTATATAGGCAAAATGTGATGTCTATTTGAATCCCAATGAGCCTTGCACTCGATGTTGTAAGGTGAAAGCAGAATGTATCATATCTGATCCCTTCAAGAGAGAGCATAAGCGCAAGTATGCACATTGCCGACCCGAACCTTAAACAGAGCATGGTTTAACATGTATTAGACGGATTTCTGACTTAGAGCGCGAGTCAGAGGACCTCCGCCAGAGGCTCCGAGTTTCCCAACCTGCGGACCCTCATCCATCGCCCATAGCTCTTCTGACAGCTGCAGCGGAGATGGGGGTTCCTGCAGGTCCACAGAGGGACTCAATTTCCAATCACTCACAAGTTGTTTCACCTGATTCTTATCCACCGCAGTTGCTAGCTCCAAGCAGCTTGGGGTCTGGTACCCCGGGGACCGGCATTGGATAACAATAACGATGTCACGCTGCCTAGGACTTTGAATGGTGTCGAAGTGACAGGCGAGGAGATAGATGAATTATTTCGCACGTAAGCTCAATTTCTCTCTGCTCTCTTCCATGTGAACTCACTTACCCCATGACAGGTTTTTCCGGCACTATCATCAATTCATTCCTATCTTTGATCCGCTCACGCGACCTAACACATACTATGCGCAATCACCCTTTTTGTTTTGGGCAATCATCGGCGTATCATGTCGGATATTTCCTCGAAATCCGACACTCCTCTTAGCTTTGGCACGGAGCATCGTTGAGATGGCATTTATATCAGCCTTATCTGCCTCTCCACCATGGCATACAATTCAGGCGTTCTTGCTGATTATAAAATGGCCATTTCCGAAAGGAGATCATCCAGATGTAAACTTTCCACTTGGTGGAATGATGCTTCACATTGCGATGCAGAATGGTCTCCATATCCCAATGTCTAGTCATGAATTTTCACGGGTGAAGATGTCAGCACCTTCAAACACTGACTTATTGCGCCGGTCGGAATTGTGGGCTCGTGCAATGGCATCATATCATCAGTAAGCATCTCGAAGCGGTATTTCTTGATTTTAATATTAATGCTTTTGCCAGGGTCTGCATGCAAAAGGGACAACTACCCCGAATTAATCAGACACAAGATCCAGCACAACGTCAGATGATTCTTGATAGCATTACCCCATCACTGGCGCTTAAGCTGCGCTGCCAAGAGCTCGTTACTCGGTGCTGTGAGGATGTCATGGATAATGGACTTCGCTCTATGTCCGTGGAGCAAGAAATGTCTCTCGACGGTTTACTCCGTATATATGAAGGCCAAATGAACGATCTAGAGCTACAGGCGGTGTCCGGTAAAAGTCATCCTACCAGATCACTCTCAGTATCCCCATCTGACAATTTACAGATGATGAACGCTTTGACATCTTCCTCTGCCGCATGGCTATCCACAGCTTCCACTTTTACAAGATCCAAACACTCGCCTCCAGTGCCTGCTTTCCCCGAATCCTGATAACAGCCTGCAACGTAATAGACTATGTTCAATCCCTAACGGACCGAGTTCAAAGCCTCGCCATGACACCGGTCCAAATGCATTTCGGCCTCCTCCTAGCTTCGTGTGCTCTAATGCGAATCCTCAAAAGCCCCTCCTCCTCAAAGGGCCTCGAAACTATCCGTGCCCGCTCCTCCCTATTCACAGCCATCAACCTCGCGAAACAGATGTCCGTCGATAGCGCAGATATAGCATCTAAAATAGTCACCATTCTCAACGGGGTATGGAATAGCACGAAGGCTTTCCGAAAACCGGATGGATCGGAGTTCATTACGCTGAGGATTCGTGGTAGACTCGTCATTGGTCCTGTCATCGATACTATCTGGTGGTGGAGGGATGAATTCGATCCACCTTCAAGGATGCGTTCTGTCGTTGAACCTACTAGTGGGACAGTATATGGTCAGTCGCGCTCATATTCTGCTGATGCTACTGGGACGGTGAATAGTTTTGATCAAGGTCAGCACGATCCGACGGGTGCTGTATTGAGCCAGGATGCGTTTCTTCTTGATGAACAGTTTTTGGCGGACTTTGAGTGGGCTCTTGGGGATGATTCGCTTTTTTCGCTGGATCCCATGTCGACTAGTTGGCCTTCTGCAAATAACATGCTATAAAAGGGTGATATTTTTGACTATTATATCCTTGTTATGTGACTTTAGACTTGCATAACAACGTCCGCAGATATTACAAAGCGGCTTTGAAGATTCTTTAATACGAAGTAGCAGGAGAAGGAAAGGCTTTCGCTACTTGTGATTGTATTCTTGTTAACGCTAAAAAAAGAAGTGGAGGTTTTTCAGAGATTTTTCAGATGAAAATGGAAAAAGAGACCAAGACTAAATCACGGACGCGAGTCAGGGGGATCTCGAGAGGATGCAAACTAACTCTGCATGGGATCTTCAGCGTCCTAGGAGAGTCCACGAGATTCGAGCGACCTTTCAAAACTCACCCCCCCCCCCCCCCCGAAAACCCCCTCCCAGAATAAGGAAAACGAAAGCATAAATACAAGAGAACAACTGATTCGTGTATACCACTTCAAATACACGACTCCAAGCTCCCATCACCAGGACGAAGGACCGAATTTTTCTCCCTCCGGCAATGTCTTCTGAACCGCAGTGCCTGTAGTGTCCATGGTGTTTGATGCGATCTTCGTACCCCACCAACTTGGAAAATTTATCTCATTGAGTTGAAAGGCCAAAAATATCAGTATCGTGCTAAGGGCAAGAACAATATCTAGGCCAGCTGAAAGTACATAACTGCACAGAGAGACGTTAGCAAATTGAATACTCCACCCACTTCATCCAGAAGTAATTGTCAATTCCGCTTATAAAGAACACCAGGTACATACTTGTAGGTCATCCACCAGCCCCTCCACCGGTTACAAATATACTTTTTGCAAATGAAGCCCACAATTCCCCATGAGAGATAATTGAGCGGCGTGGCGGGTAGGAGTTGCACCATTCCACCAAAGATTATCGGAGCAGACAAATACCTAATCGGAGATCGTAGGTAGATTCGGGCACCGATATATATTGCGACTGGAAAGAGAATACCGGGGATAAAGAAGAGCAACATAGGGGAGTACATCTGCCCAACGGAGAAGATACGCTGAGGTCCGATGAGACCCCAAGTCACGGATACATTAAAGAAGACACAGCCGTTTAGACAGCTGAAATGGTTCGTCTGATATTGAGTACAAACGTCTATTAAATTTATTATAATATCTAATTTATATAAAAAAGAAATTATATAAAAAAGAAGATAAATGAATAAATAAGAAAAATAAATATAGTAGTTATATTAAATTTTTACCTTCCTATACTATATTATTTAGACCTGGCCCTCACCTGCGGGTGACCCTCCGGACCCTCTACCCGACCTGCCCCGCGGGTGGGTAAGCGACTAAGTTATCGACCCTGAGGGTTGTTTATCTAGACGTCCGATCCTTAAGAGGGTCACCCGCGGGTGAACCTTAGGGTCCCCAAATAAGATAAACAGGTAGAGAATGTGACTTGCTTATAATGTATAAATTATATTGATTTAGAGAAGATTTCTGTGTATTTATTTATAATTTTTAATATAGTAGAAGAGTAAAGGATTAAGGATTAAAAGGTGAAATTATAAGAAAATTATATTCTTTATTATATAAATAATAATATAGAATACATAGAATCAAATAGTATAGTAATTATTAAGATCTAAGTATATAGCCCTTAAGTAGCTTCGAGTGCTTGCGCTTTCTACTAGATATATACTACTAAGTATTAGGTAGAAGGTTTAGATTATCGTTATTATTATACTTATTATACTTATTATGATCTATAGCCTCTCTATCTTTAAGATTAAGTATTATTATATAAGACTGTGGAAGGAACTATATGTTTAAGGGTTGTATACTATCACGGGATTCCTGAATCCCTTCAGGCACAATTCGGGTACGATTCATAGCCGCTCCGCGGGCGAATCTACCACGATACACCCGCTAATACATGACTGCCCTAAGCCCTAGCAAGCTCTAGCAATATTAAAACACACGAACAATAGCTACGATTCTTGTCCTGCAAGAATCAGTTCTGTATATCAACTGTTCTATTTGATCTCTACCATCCGATATCCTTGCCTAGTCACAGGTCTCTAGCCTGACAACTTAGTAACCATTACATATACCCTCTATCTTATATACTATATCCTCTATCTCTTTCTCGGTATTACTAACCGGATTAAACGATTTGTCCTATATTTTATTAATCTCTATTATAGCTACGATCTCTTAGTATAAGAGATACTCTTATAGTATAAGTTATTTCTACTCTTGGAGGTTAAATCTTATTGTATATATCTAAAGTATAATGGTTACTAAGTTGTCAGGCTAGAGACCTGTGACTAGGCAAGGATATCAGATAGTAGAGATCAAATAGAACAGTTAATATACAGAACTGATTGTTACAGGACAAGAATTGTAGCTATTGTTCGTGCGTTTTAATATTACTAGAGCTTGCTAGGGCTTAGGGCAGTCATACATGAGCAGGTGTATCGAGGTAGATTCGCCCGCGGAGCGGCCATGAATCGTACCCGAATCATACCTGAAGGGATTCAGGAATCCCGTGACATATATATTTAAATACTTAATAGAGAGAGACTTATTATAAGATTAAAGATTTATCTTCTAATAGCTCTTAGAAGCTAATATATAATAATTTTAGTATAAATACTTAATTTACTAGAATATAAACTTATTCTTAGATAGGATTTCCTAAAGTATTAGAACCCTAAGATCTATTAGAAAATATCTATTATAAAGATTTATAATTATAACCAAATATATATTATATAAATTAATAATTGATATAGGTATATCTCAAATAATAATAACCTATAGCTAAATTTGATATTAGCTAGATAAGTATAAAAAGAACTAAAATATAAATCTATATAAGGAGTATAGTATATTATATATCTAAAAATAAGATGTACACGTCACAACAATCATACTGTTTTCTAGTACCGCGGGACCCTGCACAGAGGAGATGAGGGAGCGAACTGACCGAAAACTGCCTTTCAGTGTAGCCTCCGATGTTGCTGTTCAGCCAAAACACAGAGCTATGAAATCCACGAAAATTCTTTGTGAGAGAAATGGCAAGCTGGGTCTTGCCGATACCGCCCATGCCACCGAGAAAAAGCCGCTTTTGCATTCGCCAAGAATATTCTGAAGAGCCTCCACCTCGTGCAAAACATGACGCATCCATTGATTGACACAGAGGACGGCAAATATGGCTAGCGGATTACCAATTGGAGGAGCGCTGAAAGCTTTTGGGAAGCGAGAGAGTCATGGTCATTTTCCAGGAGTTTACAAGAGGAGTTTCAAGTCGGAGGATCATTTCTTAAGTACATATTTATCTGGAATAAATCCGTACCTTCTGTGAAGGGTTATTGTCCATGGATTCTGTACGAAGCATGAAGCTAGAGCTATCTCACGATCTGAGCTCCGTTTTCATAAAGCTTTTTCCTGGTAACGCTCAATCTACCGAGCATGTTCCATGTGCTGTGCCTCGATTGCCGACGCGTCCTTCTCATGTTCGTGAATCTGAAGAGTATCTGTATCTGGCGCAAGCTTATGGCCCTGTCGGCCAACCTGGTACCAGGGGAGCGAGAACAAGCTGTCGGTGCTTTCGAGGGATCGCCCTGCGAGTTCCGGCACAAAGAACCAAACCCAGATAAGGCTTATCAAACTGACAGCCGCACTGAAAGCGAAGAATCCGTAGCTTTGCAATGCAAGAAGCATGTCTGGAACCGCCTTTGTGTTGCCGAACTGGTTGAGGAAATGCAGGCACATGACCAGAGAGCTACCCAAAGCACGGAGGCGAAGAGGCCAGATGTCAGCATTGACGAGGTACTGGAATGAGTTCCATCCCATGGTCCATCCAACACCTGAGAGGTAGATCATGGCAATTGAGCCGACGGCTCCCTGGTGTTGAGAAGGGGTCATCTTGCCAGAGGCCAAAGTTTCCGAACCAACGACGCCAAGATATATCGCAATATACATCAGGGAGATCGTCTGTAAAGAGATACCCATATATAAGGACCGGCGACGACCGATGAAATCGATCAAGAAGAATGCACAGAGGTAGGCAGAGACCATTTTCACGATACCGAGAATACAGCTTGCAAATAGCTTCTCCGACTCGCCAGACTTGCCAACGACCCCAAAAAACTGTGTTGCATAGATTGTGATGGAGTTGGCGCCCGACCATTGACCCAGAACTTGGGACATGACACCGAGCATGAGACGATATCGGTTCGCGGGAATCAAAAGAAGCTCACGAAGCTTACCCCATCGGGAGACACCGCGGGACGCCTCCTGCTCTCGCTCGAGTTGATTTCGGATACCAATGATTTCAGCTTGGATGTATGGGTGACTGGTATCTAAGTTTCGGAGATTTCCGAGTGCCTTTTCTGCCATCTCGTGCTTTCCCTGGATTGTGTAGTACCTCGGTGTTTCGGGGATAGTGAAAGATAGCACGAGGAAGAAGCTTAGTGGCGACCATTAACACCTAAGTCACGAGAGGAATATAAGGAAAAGAAGAACTCACGCCGCGAACCCAATGTGCGCAAATTGTGGTGCAACCCACTGCCAACGTGAATTATTTGAAAGATTCACTGACGCCCTCCAGTTGCTGAAGAAAGCAATCGTGGCCCCCAGGTAGACCGAGCCGGCGAATATGTTGGTCAACATACCACGGACACTCCTAGGGGCGACCTCAGCAATATACATGGGACCGACAACTGTAGTCATCCCAATCCCCAATCCAGCAATAAAACGACCCGCGAGGATCTGGGGGACGTTACCGTGGCTTACAACGACGATGATGAAGCCCACGAGCCATAGCAGACACAGAGTTTGGAGAGTACGAATACGGCCAAGCCGGTCGCAGAGAAAGAACGCTAGGAAGGCACCAACAATACTGCCGAGCTGAACCATGCTCGTAATGTTGGAGAGAACACTGGCCTGGTGGGTTGCGGATCCTGCATTCAAGTGGAATTCGTCCTTGAAGCTTTGCAGGCTAACCATGCCACCGACCAATCCCTCGTCGAGGCCACGGCTAGCACCAAGAAGGCCTTTTTATTCTGTCAACGGTGTCTCAAGGCAGATGTTGAAAGGAAGATGCATCCTACCAAATACAGCGGTGCTCCAAAAGAGCTTCCAATTCAAAACCTCACGAGGCGTGTCGTGCAGGCCTTCTGGTCTGTCGATACCGAACTTCATTTTGAAGGAATCAAAGGAGAGTTTCTCGAATATTGTGTGCAGGGGGCCAGCGAAGAATCCTTGCAAAAACGAACAGGAGATCAAGTTCAAAGAAAAGGTCGGCTTTATGTTCGCCAGCACCCACTTTGGATAGAGCCCGCCCCCTAATTCTTACCTGGAGGAGCATGTCCAACATGAAGACTAGCTGTGGGGAAACTATAGGAATGCGGAGGTGCGGCATTTCCAAGAGACGGATAGACTTTGGTCGGGCCCTCAATTAGTAGGTTTATTCTTTGGTCTAAACAGGCAAGACCTGTTACATTCGGACAACTTCCGATCGTAGTCATGGAACTAATAGGATAAAGACGAGATGCTGCCGAGCTACCTTAAGTCACTTAACCCCGCACTACGTTGACTGACTGGCCATCTTGAAGGAACCTTATTCTTGTCTAGAATAGTTATCTCGGACCTTGGCCGAGACGTAGTTAGAAGACTAATTGACGCCACACTGTCCAATATTATGTTCTTCTTGGTTGTCTCCTCAGGCTGCTTGGTCTGAAAAGCTCCGCCCAGGGAAAGAGCGTGCGCGAGACTTCGTGAATGCAGCAAGAATATGAACCAAGACAAGCTCGATTTCGCTAAGCTATGACATACGGGGGAATTTTAGTGTCTCTCCAGTCGGCAGTCAAGAAGCGAGGATAGAAGTGGTAACATTTTAGCCTAGTATCGCATCGAGTAATACAAATTCTACCAATGTCCATCCTTTTGGACAGACGTCAGGCATCTATATTTCCAAAGCATAGGAAGAGGCGAATGAAGTCTCAAGTAGACCAATAGGTGCTTCGTCTGTTACATACGGTTAGTTGCTGACGCATTGATGGATCATAAATGCCGAAAATCGCTTGTTTCTTTCAGCCATTCTGGACCATCTTAAGCCCCCGCTAATTCAAAAGGAAGAATGTCTCAAGTTCGCTCAACGAGTTTGAATCGGGACTGGAACATCCCGGGTTAAGGGGTGAACATATCAATCTCGCCGACAGAAACCCAGACCCGATTGGCATGACTTGTCCAAGCCTTTATAACTCTAATTTAGTAGCGCTAGCGCGTATGTATACTAAGGACCAGCAGCCACTAAGCACACCACTGGCATGGACACGAGCCAATTATATCGTTCATAGCCAAAACCCCATTATTTCTCCCGAACAAAGAGTTTGTTGCGAATATTCGATCGAGACATGACCGTTACCGCTTCGGACTATTGACAGGGTGTTCTCACAATGTACAATGCAAAGTGACATCCTGAGGCTCTGCTACAGGATATTAGGTTTCCAGACGCCCAGAAAAAGCGCAAGAGAACTTCGGGTCAAAGCCAGCCATGTCTGGTGGCGCTGGGAGTCATGTGAGAGGCGTTATGCGCAACCAGCATTCCCCCGCTGGACGTCCAATTTGTGCTCGTCTCTACCCAAAATGCGAATTGCATATATAGTTCGGTGGCCCCAAGTAAGTTTCGTATTAAAGTTACTGCTTTTCGGCCATCTTCCGGCCCCAAGTAAGCTTTCGCATTAAAGTTATTTCTTTATGGCGATCTTTCGGCCCAAGTAGGAAGCTTTCACTAATTAAGGTTACTTGCTTTCGGCGATCTTCCGGTCGCGCTGGTGGTGGTCTTCCATCCCGCTATATCACTGGCTTGACTCCCCGAACTTCCCAGCACCCCGACGGTATTTCACCGAGAATCTCCTAGTTGGGCGGAAAAGACCCTGCTAAGGGCCCATAAGCTAGTTTCCGTAGTCTTGCGAGTACCTTGCCGTCGTGGCGAACTGAGCTTCGGCCGATGAGGACAAAGCGAGCAATACCCGAACCCTAGTCCGCCCGTGAGAAGTATGAGACGCTGTACGGAGTTAGTCGTGGACAAGTCACAGGACAGGAATCAGGTTCTTAAGGAGTTAGAAGTAAGTTCTACCTGCCCCGATCCACTGACCTTATCCCACGATAGCAACAAACGCCACGTTGCAGAAAGGCTCGGCGATTGACCAATGGCTGCGCGCTACAGGCCCCAAGGAGCCAGTGAGCAGCCTGATACGGAATCTAGACCGGCCATTATTGCTGCCCGCACCCCACCCCCGCAAAACCTACAAAAAGCTTATCAAAGCTGACCAACAAGTTCACCCTGAAAGAAGTGACACGGGCAGGCGGGTCGAATGTTGTTCGTTCAAATCTGCGTTCAAAGTTCGGACTTGGTTCTGCCATTAAAAATTACCCAAAGATCACTGTTCCGTCCCACGCCAGGATCGTAGCATCGTACGGTAGCGATGACATCGGCCTGCGTTTCTACCAACGGTCGATGGACGTTTAAGATGGAATACGTCGCTTTGGTGGCTGGTTCTAGAAGGTGAAAAGCCGGCATCACGTATGATTGGCCGCCCCTAGGAAGGTTTCATGTGAGTGGATCAGCTACAAGGTAACTCACGTGCTAAGGGTGGCTAGTTTTGTCTGGCCATCTCCCTCGCATTCTGGCGGAACTGACTACTCGGCGCGTTCGCCGCCGTTAAGGCACATAGTACTGTGCAAGAATTAAATATCCTCATCGGCCATCTTTCCTTCACTGATACAAATCCCACGACAAGGGTGTACTTAACACGAAAACAAATGCTCTCGAACGACCAGCTAGTCAGCGTGATCCTTTGTGCGGTCTTTGCCTTCGCCGATATCTTTATCATGGGATTGCGCTTGACCATGCGTAAGCTTCAGAAACAGTCGCTGCATTCAAGCGACTACCTGACGATGATTGCCGTCATTTGTGTCCTAGCTCGAGTGGGATTCATAACCGTTATGGTCCTCTGGGGCAATAACAATAATATAGGGCCAGATTATCATTTCACAGATACTGAGGTATACCAGCGTGAGGTGGGGAGCAAACTTACTCTTGCCGACCGACTAGTATATAACACATAGTAAGGCTAATTCTGAAGCGGTTGAGGCTTAACTGACAAATTACGCATAGTATCTGGATACAGAAGTCAGTCATCGTCCTTCTGTATCATCGGATATTCTCCTGTCTACCTATTGCAAGGCAAATCATCAGGATATACTGGATTGCTCTATTTGCTACATATGTGGCTGTGCAGGTTGCATGCTTCGTCGATTGTCACCCTATACAACTCTACTGGCAAGTGGTACCAAGCCCTGGTGAGTTTCGTTCCCTCCTTCCAGTATTACGGGGCGGTATCTGATAGCTGCAAAAATAAAGGCTCCTGCACCAACGCCCAAATTCAACTGCTTACTTTCGTATCCCTCAACCTGACCACCGATGTGATGCTTCTTGTATTTCCGATGCCTTGGATTTTCACCCTTAAACAATGCACTTTGAAGCGGTACGTCTGCCTGGACCTTAGTGCGAGAGAAACATGAGTTTCAATTCTAATCATGACAGCCGGCTTCAAATAATTGGCCTCTTCTCCATCGGCATCCTCCTTATCATCATTGCTGTCGTGCGTCTTCCGGTGTACAGTCACGGCACTTCGCAAGTCCGCCGCGACATCTGGGGATCCATTGAGCAATTCGGTGCGGCCTTGGTGGCCAACCTTCCAACAATATATGGTCTTCGCCAGAAGAAACTCACGCCGAGCAATGTCACATTCGTGGCTAATCAATCACTCGATCGTTCATGGCCCAGAAGTGCCACGCACCTTAATCCGATATCAGAAATCAGTCTAGTCAATTGGTCGCATGCTGCAGAGGCATCTGGGCATAAATCATGTGACGATGATTGCGAAACAGCTAGTCGAGCAGTAGAATCACATTACTCGAGCAGACGACAATCCGTATCGGGTACGATCCAAGGATCATAGGCTCGAGAGATCCTCTGGCTACCTGTACTTACGCGACGGTCTCGTTCAACCTGCACCAATGCAATCAAGCCTGACACTAGCAGCTGGCATGGGCATGCGACACGTTCCTCATATTAGACTGACCACACTGCTCTCAACTGCAATGATAATTCCCGGTCTGTTCTGGGAACAGAGCTGCTTGTACGGGGCGCTATCATATACATGTGACGAGCCAGGGCCCATGGTGGGGGTCCATTCGTTCCAGCGCCATCGTGCATGGTCGCGTCGCGAAGCTACACACCATCTTCTGGTACCTGTTTCCCCACATCAGCATTCACGTTGCACGACTGGAGACGTCCCACGACCTGTGGAGTGAACACGAAGAACGGCGACCGGGGCATGGAGCTCGCCACGTTTTGCGAGCCGTTCGCGCAGCTGCGCGAAACGAAAGGTGATCTTTCCACCAGCGCGCATGAGCTTGTTGACCGCGTGCAATTGCTGGTGCATCCACTGAATGCCACGCCCCTTGATCAATCGGCGACAAGGCTCACGTTGAGATCTTATTGACCCAAATCGGACCGGATACGTCCTCACTGCTGGACGGCGTCCGGAATGACAGGAGATCCGGTTAATACGATGAAATCGGAAATCAGGCGTCAAATGCCGAACAGGTGGTCCGACGAAAGGAGTCACCTGCATGGAGTAGCAGGGCCGACCGTCAATATGGTCCCGGTCCAATCGACCTCAAAGAAATGCAACCACTGCAAGAAGCGGGGTCATACGCCTGGAAGAAACAACCTGAATTACGTCCGCGAAAGGACTACCCGTTAAAACAGAATGAAGTCCTTCCGGCTCACCAAGAAAAATCATACAAAACATCCCATCAAGCCAGGTGGAGGAACAACAGGGCCCGCCAACTTCCAACAGATGGGGGTTCATTCTCATGAGGGTGGGTGTGACAACCCTTTTACTCACGCACCGTCACTTCGGTGGATTCTGGATACGGCGGGTGATCCACTAGAAGTCGGGGGTATTGGCACGGCGAAGCTCACACTCCGTGGGAAGTTCAGCCATCCGTTGTGTTGTGTATTTCGAGCCACGCGCCGGATGAACCTGATCAGTGTACCGAAACTATTTTGCGAGACGGCCTGCTTCTCGGTGGTGGCGCTCCCACAGAACGTCTCTGTGCAATGTCGAGGACGGATGGTCAGGACCGCCTACCGTGCGGAGGAGGATCTGTTGATCCTGCGGTGGCTGCTCGTAACCATCACCACCAAATGGTGCAAAGGAGCGGGATCACTTGCCACAGTGGATTCTGACGGGCCAGTGTCGCGATATCCTTCAAAAGCAGGACCCTCAGAAGCCGACATGTTTATTCTGATCGCACAGCATGCACACTGTGTCTTCAAAAACGAGTCTTCTCCTTTTTTAACTAAATTCCACTGCTGCTGATAATAATCTCTCCTCGACGAGACTATACCACGTCCATCTTATGCAGGGGAATATCTGTTCTGCTGTATTCCTCATTCATCCCGGTTCATCTGAAGTAGTTCGCTCAGCATCGCGGCATTTCCGATGACCCAATCATGCGCCGCGATTGCGTATACTCCAACCGTTCATCGTCAGGAATTAGATTCCGATCTGTCGCCAGCAAATGATCATCAAGCAGCAGCACGTATCACCCCCAGTGTAGCCAATCAGTTCGACTCATCATAAAATTCAGCAGAGTACGTCTCCGATGGCTTTCTCGGGGTCAAATGCATCTGCCACGATCCCGGTCGCGGTAGAAAGTTGATTCGGGCGGAATAATGCAGTTTCTTCTATCTCAGCCACCCATGAGAACAATCCTCTTTCTGGGACCACCACTATGAAGAGGGAAGCGTTCGGCGGCTGTCGGATTAAGCAGACGGATTGAGGTAGGAGAGAATAACCACCACCACCACACCTAGAGATCGTTTGAAAAACTGGAGAAGGATGGATATGCCTCAGGAACCAAGAATCAAATGAGCGTCTGTTTGCCAGTGTGTGTGTCCACGGTTATTGTTTTTCGGATGGTCTCCCAGAAGCATCAACGGGCGCTAAGCGACGATTCACATGTGGTGATGTTTGATGCCTGTGTTGATGCCTGCTGCCGCAGGCACGCCTAATGTATTAGATCCTCTCTCGCTCTCTCGCACTCTCTCCTTCTTTCCTTTCCCATGCTTAGTTGTTTCGTCAAATGCTACTACACAGGTTGATTTTCTTCCTTTCGTATCTGAGACACGCTTCAAGGTCTAAAAGCCCCGGGAAGCACAAGCCCAAGGATTCTGTATGATGAGCCCAGTGTGACAACCAGAAAGTTAATCAGTTCAACTTGTGTCATTCAACGAGGATATCGAAACTGGCGAGAAGAGAAAGGAAAACAACTCTTTGGTGGGCGATACTGATATATCGCCTGATAAGGAGTAGTGACTCTTATCAGCCCGATTCGGCCATATTTGTTCCCGTCGTCAGAACCTCAAATCCGGCACTCATTCAAGTCCCGATCGTCACACTTGTCACACTTGTCACACTCAGTTTCTTCTATCCTATTTGTTTCATTTACATACTCCCCCTGTTCCCTTCCTATTTCCTGTTGCTTCCGTACTCTTATAAAAACGACATTAACAGTCTTGTAGTTTGTCTTGTAATTACTAGGTATTTTTTCTTGAAGAGTCTTTACAGGTTGAGGACCAGCTCATTGACTCTTCGTTGTCCATAGATCCTCGGCCTTCCCTCTGAACAGCCTGTCGGCGAGCATCGTATTTCATTCGCACCAACTAAGTATCATGTCAATCCAAGATGTGGTATTACCCCTCAACTTGTACGGGGCCAACCTGTTCAAGATAACTCGACTGTACTCTGAATCTTCAAAAGCTCTATTGCAACAGGCTCTAAATCGCTCGTAACAAGAAACTCGCTGATTCGGTATGGTGTCGAAAAATAACGGTATTCCCTTCTTCTAGGAGTTTCACCAGAGCCTGGAACCTTGGCAGAGTGTATGGATCACGGGTCTGCGTATATAATGCTTGCCCCGGTAGTAAAGGGTTCCCGAAATGGTCAATGTAAGCACTAACTTGCAGCTGAGGCACGATACCCTCAAGGATTGCCATCGTATGCAGCGGGATATATTGTTGAAGCGCCCATTTGAGCGGCCAGATGGCGTCTGCATAGCAGTTGAGCAGGCTTCTAAGCTCGCTGACTGACAGGAACTTGCCAATTGACCGAAGGTTGAGGCAAAACCTCGAACCATTTTGTGCCAAACTTACACGCGAAAGAAAGGGTTTGAAGCTGGGTCAAATGCAATGATACCCCGGGCATGCTTAGAACCGAGCTTGTGTGAAGCATCCAGCAGGCAGGAGTGGTCATTACGTAGATCGAAGGCTGGATAAGGACGACGTTGGAAATGTTCACTGGAGACTCGAAGACAGTGGCATGGTCAAGGGTATATGCTTTTGGGGTGCATATAGCCGTTGCAGAGAGAGGATAGAGGAAAGTGTCGATAACGTGCATGTGCGAGTCCCATGCGCCTGGTGGCATGCGATCTAAAACAGCTTTTCTTTGATGTATACCTGGTGAAAATACTACCTCCCGCTTCTTCGCCAGTACTTTGGTGATACGATTCACCGGGAATGTTAAACGGCCAATAGCATATCCTTGAACAGTGGAAAACTGGTTTTGCGACACTCTTTTTTTTAATCGAATAATACTTAACAATGGAGGACAATGACGAGTTGTGATAGGCACCAAAGATGAGCTATAAGAAAGAGAACGTAGCCAGGGGCAGTAGAACATGAAGTCAAGTATTCTTGACAATTATATTACGAAACGGAAGATGTCGGCAACACAAGCTTGTATGGAATATTGCCGCGGAGAAACCTAAGGGGCCGATACTCGGAGGGTTAATTTGTAAAAAATGCAGGCTGTATATGCATTTTTCACTAACCCTTCAGTCTCGGATATTAAACGAGTTTGCCTCGTATGGATGAGACGTCCGATACAACGAGCAGTCAAATAGAATTAGAAAGTTGAATGACATTTTGGCGCGAGTGCATGGCACGGAAGTTGACCGGGCCTGCGGCACTTGCCCGAACAGAATGATACGAAATAGATCACCGTAAAGTCCTTTGAATTCAGGGGAACTAACAGCAGCTACTGTTCATCAATCAATGCAGGAAACGGCTACCGCAGGAAGCTATACATAATACGTCAATGCTAGATATATCATAAACGGTGCTGAAGGTTATTTAGACAAGAAGCCAGGAAGCCAACCAGACGTAAGAGATAGAACAATAGGACCAGGTAAATAAATTTAATGCACACCTATTTTTAACTTAATCACGGATAGAAATGTCGCAGATCCTGGGAAATAATCAGTTATATTCCTCATATGGATGCGCGACGAGTACCTCGGAAGTTGACCGAATCGACAGTTCCTCGCAACGTTTCCGTCCACTACCGCCCCCCTCTTTGCCCAAGTCTTGCATAATGTCGGAGCAAGCTGAGACAGTCATCTTCGGACGAAGAGGCAACAAGGCGAGATCAAGCGGAACCAATTCGATATTGGGTTGACTGATTGAAGGAAGCGCGAATGTCATGGGGCAGGTTGAAATACCCCATAGATGGCTAGAATGCGCGGTGTTACGACAACCGTCATGCCAAGGTTACCAAACTACTATACAAAACTAGCAAAGAGAAATGGTGTCGATTTCCTACTTGTTCCGTCCTGTGAGCTGCGGGGCAGAAGCCCGCACCCGGAACGGCTATTTTGGTTCACTGATAACACAACCAAGGTCCCTTGCGACTCGGCATCAATTTTCCCCGCGGGGCCTCAGAATACTTGGCTAGCCTATTCGCAACAACGTCACGGAGATTATTTACAGTAAAGTTAAAATTCTCGCGATTTTCGGCAAGTCTCTCACTCTATGTCCTTCCCGCACCTGGAGCCCTAAAGTACAGGGGTTGTCCGCGATAACAAAAGAAATTCTCGGGCAATTCTTATAGGATTGAGATATTGTGATTTTGCTGGATCGGAGAGACCCTCTTCTGTCTCAACGTGGCCCATTCCGTCCTGGTTGACCATGTCGTCTCCCAGGCAAGTATCGCCATGGCAATCCATCCTCGCTGGTGGCGTTGCCGGTGGGCTTGAGAGCCTAATCACTGTATGTATGAAGACTTCACCCAATAATAGACTCTCTCAATGAGGTCGGTCGCTCTAATAAGTTTACAGTATCCTACAGAATATTTGAAGACTCGTCAGCAGCTTTCCCAAACAGGTGCCGCTAAACGACAATCCGCTGCACAATTGCTTACTGCCACAATCCGACAATATGGCCTTCGGACACTTTACACGGGTAGCGGAGTCTTTTGTGCATCAAATGCATCTAAATCTGCGATCCGCTTCTTCACCTTCGACACTATACGCCGCTCTATGCCTACAGAGGTGTCGGGCAAAGTGACGCCGTTGGGGAATATGGGTGCTGGTCTCATGGCTGGCGTTGCCGAGGCAATTATTGTCGTTACACCTGGAGAGACCATCAAGACGAAAATGATCGATGACCGTGCCGGGCCCAGGTTGTATAGATCCACTGGTCATGGCATCGTCTCCATCTTCGCTCGCGATGGCTTGGCTGGGTTATACTGTGGAGTGGTTCCAGTCACCCTGAAACAGTCTGCCAACTGTATGGTGCGTTTTACAAGTTACGATATCTTTGTGGGTTGGATGGAAGCCCTGCCAGTCACTACTAGTGTACACAAATCCGTCAGCACTTTGGTGGCAGGCGCACTTGCTGGCATCGTGACTGTATATGCAACGATGCCATTTGACTCAATCAAAACACGGCTTCAGGCAGTAGACGGAAACCAGAGGTATCGGGGCTCTGTGGATTGTTTCCGTACGGTAATAACGCAGGAAGGTGTTTCTGCATTGTGGCGGGGAACAACGCCGCGATTAGTTCGGCTGAGCGTGAGTCAACCCCCGCCTCACAGAGCTAACTATTTTACTCCAGTGCTAACGTTGTATACTAATAGGTTTCGGGCGCTTTGGGTTTCTCCATTTACGAGTATGTTATTCAGTGGACGACTGTATTGGCTTCTGGAGCAGCAACAGAACGCGAGAGAACGGGCTTATAGATTAACCAAATTTATTTCATTGTATATATCTTGATCGACCGGCACAGTCCAGCTCGTTCTAGACGAGAAAGGTACATCTCAGGTGGCAAAGTAGTACATCTGCATAACTGTGTTTGAGATCGGTGCTCTACTCGTCGTCGGCCCCGTAGTTAATATTCACCTGACCCAATCGCTCTTGTAGGTCAGCCAAAAAGATGGGGAGATTTTCTGGGTGGAAAGTATTCCAGATAAGTCCAGTAGGATCCTATCATCTCACGGGTTCCGTCGGTGGTTCATTGCAGATGCCGCGTAGGCCATTACGGAGTTCGTAGATCGGAGAGGGGACGGAGTAATTTCCAGAGTATACAATATCAGGGGCATACGACAACGTTTCGCGAGAACGGCTCCTGCATAACCTTCGAAAGCGCAGGATCGATCCGAAAATCATAGCCTGGATCGCGTCCTTCCTCAGTGACCGCACTACGACACTTAAATCCAATTAATAGTTCGTCCCTAATAAACTATTAAGAGCCTTTCTTCTATATAACCTTTACAAGTACTCTTATAGATCTAAGTCTATATAAGGCTTTAAGGCAATAGTATAACTACGGAATATACTTAAGGTGTATATAGACCAAAGGACTATGTCTACTTACTGTATAGTAGGACTAGCTTATAATACCTAATATCTATACTAATACTAATTAGCCCTAGAACCAATAGGTTTATTAGTAAATTATATAATAATTAGCTATAAGGCCTACTAGAAATAATATTAAGAAGAAGGTTTTTATTATTATTATAGTAGTTTTATTGCACCAATGGCCCAGTTCATGACTAAAGTTTAGACTATGGATGTCCAAAGGCAAGCTATCATCTGGGCGGTGAAAGTCACACGAGGGGGAAGTTTCATGTAACGGCCTGGAACAAGTCAGCGTATAGGTTATCAGAGAAGAAGGGTTGGAAAGGTTATCGAATGTATCCTAGATATACACTTACCTAGATTTAAATCGGATGTGAAGGTCAGCCCGTGAACATGGTGATATATCCGTATCTCTTGAAAAGCATCATGGCCATTGGTCTTCCTGGCTGCAAATAGTCAATGATAAATTCAGTGATCACATTTGTCCCAAGTGGAATGTTTGTTGCTGCTAGGACTATACCAATAGGCAGCCACCACACAAGAGCTATGAGTAGTGACAAGAAGAATGCCCATCAGGTCAAGTGAGTTTCATATTCAAGACTGACGCCGAGGCCTACAGAACACATGACCACCAGGACAGAGATATACCACCAGAGAGGGACAGGCTTAAAGCGTGTCATTAGCCGGCCGTGGATATCTTCGGGTTCTTTCCCGACTTGACGAAGACGATCACAAATATCTCGTCCATGAAAAAGGATTGTGTGTACCAAAACGGCGGTCAGCGCGGCGAAAGAGAGTCCATAGGCCATCATGAAGGTCGTTGAAAGAAACAGTGGGGAGTACTGCTGATATTTCTCTTCATCGAATGTAAATTCTGGTGTCATAAACCTAGACACATTGTAGTGACTTCCAGTATTGTCATAGCTGTTGGAGTCACTTATTGGTAGATATGCTGAATAGTATAAACCTGAGTAATGGATAGCAGGTGCGGCAATCCAGACAAAAGCGACCAGTCCTATGAGAGTGTTGGCCATGGCATACCAAGGGGAAATCAGGGGCGAATAGTTGAACCCTGCAATTTGTGTCCAGTCAAAGGTGAATGGAAGGAGTGAGAGCCCCGTAACTCCCCCAAATAGTTGGTTGATCACTGGGCTGTCTGGCTTGATCCATGTTATCCAAGCAAAGACACTGAGGAATGGTGCGATGTATCCCGGAAAACAGTACCAGCAGAATGATCCCAGAGTAACCAAGCATAAAGAACCGATATTTTCCGATCTTCCAGCCAGCGGTCATCTACGGATCAGCTGTAGAATGATCGTGAAGCGTGTTGAAGAGTGCAGTGTTGATCAGGGTAGTAGACCAGATCATGGGTGCCGGCGTGACCAAACATTTGGTAAATAGTCCAGCCATGCCGAACCCAAGTGTTTGAGTACTGATACTCAAAAGAATCTCAAATGCCCAACCGAAGCGGTCACCATAGAACAAACGCTGAGCCAAAATCGTGTCTGTGGCATACACGTAACTGAAAGAAACATTCGACATGATGACGATAAGTGTATGCTCTTTTGTTCTGAAGAGACCGGGGTTGAGATTGCACTTAGTGCCGAAAACATGAAACTCTTTGCTTGGAATGAATTTATGCCATGCGACGCCGATTGGAGTTGAGAAATGTATGAATGGATCACAATGGTAGGTTGTCGGAGAGAGAAAATCATGTTGAATATCGCAACCACTGTAGCAAATATGAGTCCGATAACCCAAGCACGAATGGTGTTGCAATGACCACCTTCATCGATATTGACCACAGCGGCACGCACCTCGGGATATGGCGAGTTGTCGAGCAAGTCATGGATCATGTCAGCACGGGATTTCTCATGGGTGGTCTGGAGTGCCTCTTCAAGCTCATAAGTAACTTAATCAGGCAAGTTTGGGTCCCAGTGATGGTGATCTTTCATGTCATGGAGCTTTTTAGTCACTTCATCTTGACCAGCCTCGTCAAGTCCCATATGCTCAACATAGTCATCTCTGGACGTCCCCGCCATATCGATGGCTGTGTCGCTCACTGTAGTCCTGAAATGAAGTCAGTATCGCGTTTGATAACTAGGCAAGGTTGCAGGTAGCTTGAGGGGTAAGGGAAGATGTCTGAGATTGTGAGAAATAGCGCTCATCTCTTGAAGGCTGACCCTGTTTCTTAACCTCAGAAGCCAGAATCTGACAGAGTTCACGGGATGTAAATTCAGAGATATTTTAAAACCAAACGTACTGAGAAAGATGTCAAATGATAAATGTATCGATTGTGAGACATGCGCAGTGGTAATACGGTAAGTTGGAAGGAACTTGAACAAAAAGAGAAGATGAAGGGAAGACGTGAAGAGGGAAAGAAGAAACTTGAAAGTCCAATGTTTGTCGGTTTTATATGAGATGAGAGATGGGGAACCCGGGGAATCTGTGGAACCTAGGCAACTTCGAAGGCGCCCTTTACTTGGATGTCTGATGCTCTCAGCCTATGGACACAAGGTATGGTTTATTTTCTATCCTTCCAAGGTTCCAACAAGAAGGTCAACTACGTACTAGGAGGTGGATATGTAACATCACGCTTGAAACCAGGACCCATGTTGCTGGGCGACAATACTACGTATTCCGAATAGGTACTCCCTAGAAACATGAATAATAGAGCAGATCTGAATAAAATTTGCTGCTACCTTCCGTCGGCTGGATTCTTCAGGTTGGTGTGATGCTGCTTGTATACGCACTGTCTGTTTCCTGAAGATCTTTGAATGCATGAACCATGCAAATAATGAAACACTGCAAAAAAAATCACAATTAACAGCCACGGTTTCGAGAGCCATGTATAGTATCCCGCGCTTGACGCATCAGAAAGTAGCATGGATGAACGTCAAACTAGAAATGCAAGTCATTCAAGCTAAGACATACGTTACTCCTGTTTATGTAATATTTTAACAATGGCTTACCGTGGTTCCATGAAATTCACTAATGCGTGCCCATATAAGCAGTGTATGCAGTGGGCTTTCGAGAATGATAATGATACCTATACGGTCGTAGACTTTACCTGACAATGAGCACAAAATTTACTCGGATTTTGGAGCCTCAACGGTCTGTTGTCAGTCGCAAATGAGGAAAAAATCGAAGTAGGTGCCTTTGTGTCCAGGAATGTAGCAAAATACCATTCTTGCTCACTGGTCTATACTCGTTGAATACGTTGATGATTACTATACACAGCCTAGCAAAAGGCTCAAGGATTCGGACTGGAACATTTGAAGTGGGAGCTTCAATTCGAAACCTTGATTCGAGAATCAAATAAATAGTGGAAAGTAATCATTTTATATACACGGTCCATTTGTAACTCAGAAAAGCCGGAGGATTACGCATTTCAATGAATTCCCGTAAGTCATCAGCGGGGACATTCAAATTCAGAAATCATCATCATCATCATAACACTTCATCCAGTTCACCAGATCCAGACCACCTAAACTGCAATCCTCCGTCTCATACCAACCTGCAAGGCCAAAGGCTTTCTCAAGAAACCCTCACGAGTCTCCATGGGGAAGTCCTGCTCAAGTTGGAATTCAAACAGTCTGAAAACAGTAGCTCCCATAACGAGTAGCTCCATCTCTGCAACGTTACGTCCAACACATGCGCGAGGCCCATGGCTGAATGGAATAAACGCCGCCTTTTGACGTGCCGTGAGGCGCTCCGGGCTCCAGCGCTCGGGTACAAACTGCTCCGCGTCAGGTCCCCAGATCGTCTTGCTGCGATGAATAGTATAGCTCGGGACACTGAGTACGTCACCAGGTCCAAAGACATGTCCTGCAATAGTGACTGGGTCCGCACCGGCCGGAATCTCTCTTGGCAATCCCATGGCAGAGGTACTGTGGATACGCATAGTCTCCCAAATAACCCACTGCAGATACGGAATATCCTTCACCATGGAGTGTGTGGGAACTTCAATATCCTTGGGAAGAGCCTCGTCAAGGGTCTTTTGCAGCTTGGAAATAACGCCAGGGGTACGAAGGCACCAGTAGAGAATAGCACAGGCAGTGTTTGATGTTGTATCAGAGCCAGCAATAAGCTGCGTCAATGCCTCAGCAGTCAGTTCCTCGCGGCCAAGCAGGTTCCCGGTGTGATCTTTACCCTCCATCAACCGTGCAAGAAGATCAACACGAGTGTTCGCGGCCATGACTTCAGGCTTGACTCGCTCGGAGACTCGGGCAATAGCGATACCAGCAAGATTCTCGACGGCCTGCATACCCTCTGTAAAGAACTTGTCCGGGATATACTTGGCGAATGGGATGATGGATGGCATACAGCCTAAGGTAGCAGAGACTTCACCACGACGGTTGAGGACCTCAATAGCAGCGACGTATTTGGGTGGTTCGTTGGGGCTTTTACGGACTTCAGCGAAGTCCTTACCCTTCTCTAGCATTCCGAACGGGGCACCGAAGGCCAAATCACCAATAATATCGAAGGCAAGGTAGTTGAACCAGTTGAGGGCGTCGAGGGAGGCGTAGCCTGTTTTGGGGTTGCCTTGGAGTTTTGCGAGGCGAGTCCACTGGTTAACGAAGGTTTCGATATTGTGGTGGATGTATTGTTCAAATTGGCCGATCGATTTGGCGCTGAAGGTGTGTGAGACTGTCTTGCGTTTGCGGGTGTGTTCAATACGGTCTCGGGTGTTGAAGAGGCCACGGCGGATGGAGACAAAGGCATCGTAGAAGTCGCTGCGAAGGTGTTAGATTGTTTCTCATGTTTTGAAGGTTCATTACAGGAATGTTTGGAGTTGAGGAAAAGCTTGTATGACTTACGCCTTTAAGAATCCGTTTCCGTGGCCGTAGATTGCTGTGATGGCTTCATCGTCTGCAACGGAGACATGCTTGGGTGCGATGCGCACTAGCTTGCCGTATTTCTTATGAGCTGCGTCGACGGAGAGAAAACGCTTTCCCTGGCGAGCTTGCAGCAGGAGCCATAAGTTGCTAAATGCGGCGAAGCTTGGTGATGGGATGTCACGCAGACGGGATCGCTGGAGGTATGGGACCAGAAAATAGGCGAGGAGTAAACCTCCTGCCAGGAATGGAAGGGTTTCGATTGAGACGAGCATGGCGAGAATTCCCAGGGAGAAACAAAAATGGGGAGAAAGAAGGAAAAGAGGAATAGGGCTCAAGCCCCAAGATAGAGTATATGGAAGTGGATCAGCCGAATGAGCGGCAAGGACTATACAACAGACTGAAATGGGGTATTCGGATTCAGTAGTTGAGCACAAGAGCAAAGAGTTCTTTTAAGTAGATAGGATTCGAAATAGAAACTCAGTCTTTCGCCATACGGCCGTATTTATGTTTGCGGGGGTGATATAGACTCATGATGGTGTCCCCGAGGTCAAGGTGGTGGACGGGAAGGGATCTCGGTATCTGGGGAGAGCAGCCAGAGTGGGTCCCTCCATGTTAACTAATGATGATAGTGCCGGTTTCGAGGCCCGAAGCTCGGGTTCGGTTATGCTCAAGCAAATCATAGCGCAATGATTTGCGAAAGGTAGATCTTCCGGCTTATTCATACTATCCCCGCGCTGTGATTGTTGAAGAACTTGTGGGGTTGAGCCAACATTAGATCACAGTATACGTTCTTCAGGCCGCATAGGAGCATATTTCCTTATTGAGATATGTGGGGTTTATTATTTGGTCAAGAGGGCATTCAGTGTATATTTTGTGATTCTATAGCTGATGGGGGTAAATACGCAGTATGGTAGCTTTGTGACAAGGTTTTCTATACAACTTGAAGATCACCAATCCTCCACGGGAAACAGTCCATTCTTCTTCTTTTCTCCTTCCCATCGCTCCATCCACACTTTCATATTATCCCGACTCTTCTGACTCCCTACATTGACGGTAGGAATGATTTTGCCAATCCGCAGCGCACAGCAAAACATCGTTAATTCGCGAAATGAACTGTGCTCGCTATATGGAACTCCAAAGCAAGCACTCTCCCGCGTACTTCCGCGCTGTGGCGTTAGATTCTCAACCGTGAACGGCGTCCTCCAGTGTTCGCCACGTAGAACGGTCGGCACGGGCGGGTTCTCCAACATTCGCCCCGCGGGGGGACGGTATGACCATCCAGTAGGCCGAAATCCCACCACACGAGAAAAATGAGGTTTCATGGAATCAAGGTAATCGGCCAAAGTGTCTGCGCGTATTTCGAACAAAGTCTGCATATGCACTTGTGCTTCTTTTGGGTCGCTGGTCAGGAGAGCCGAGAGTTCGGGATCTTCGAGACATGAACAAATACGCTGTTTCTGTGGAGTTGCAAAAATCTTGGATCCAAGAGCGCGTGCGATGCCCATGCATATTCGCTCTTTGCCGATGCTATATGTTCCAACCACTACCAAGAGACGGCCTCTAGTTTGAGGCTTCTCTTTTGATTGAGGATTGCCAGCAACCGTCGCGAGGAACTTGTTCATTAAGCCACCGGCGCCTGAATTCACTTCCCCCAATCCTACGCCAGCTTCTTCATTGAGCCGTACACAAAGCTCTGCACATGCCGTGATAACGTGTTTCTGGCTGGGAAATGCATATTTTGGACTGAGATAGGTAGTATCGAGATAGCACTGATCAAGCCGTTGTTGTCGCGGTTGGCCCGTCTTCGGATTTACAGGGTTCGGGCACAAAAGTGGATGGCGGACATGGTCTGGCGAGGCACGAAAATCACCACAATGAAGTATTCGCTGTCGACGTGCATTCGGTCCATTGCCAAAGCTCTTCTCGAATACAAACAAGGCGCTTCCAGGGCAATGGTTAGCTTGGATCATGGTGACCTGCACACCTCCCGTGTCAGGTACTTCAGAGGTAGTCTCAAAGTCGAGATCAATAACCCATTTAGGATTTACTCGGAGCTGCTGCCGGACGAGATTGCCCGTGGCTCGACTGCAGTAGATGGGGCCATGAGACCAGGACTTGCTCAGTCCAATATAGTGGTCACTGTGGAAATGACTCAGAAAATAGGCTTTGCATCCTTCAACCGCCCCGTAGCGAAAGGCATCGACGCAGATTGAGAACCCAGACATGATCTTATAAAATGGGCAGGTCCGTTGATATGCTTGCTTCCCGCGAGAAGATACCTCATGCGCAGCTGCATCAGCCCATGCGGTGTCTTCTGCGTTACCTGCCATCATTTTAGAGAATGCCGATCCGTGTCCGGTTTTGTTTTGAGAGTAAGGATCAGGCTGGGCCGGTCGAGCGATCGCGGCTCGTTCAGCTCTTGTTGATCCCGCATTTATGCCCGTTGTTTGAGGTAGTGGGGTTGAATTTTCCTCAATTTTGACCGTTGTTTCGTATATAGGAGTTGGCTGTGCTTTGGATAATAGTATAGAGGTCGGCTTTCCATCTAAGCAATCATTCACGTGTATCATTCGTTCCTGAGGTAGATGAGCATGTGATTGAATAGACTGCGGAGAGGAGGGAACCGAATACTTACTTGTTCATTAAGCTCCGCCAGTGGTCCCGAGCACGATGGACAGGCTAAGTCATTATCAAACGCCTCAAAGGGAATCTCCTCGGGGCATAACTCGGTCTCCAAGCCATTCAATTCTTCATTATTAGGTATTCGTTCTCGAAATTCATCTCCTATAAATTTGTAGTCTCCTTCATTGTCGTCAAAATTCTCGAATTCGTCATGTTCGTTAAAGTTGGTGGCTTCTCTTACCAACGGCGACTGCTCAGGTTCGGCAGATGAATCTCCGGTGGCATCGCCATTGATCGGAGGAGATATGACAGTTGGACTATTCGCTTCAGGCTGGAGCGAGTAGTCTTCATATCCATCCATATCGTCTTCGCTATCGGATTCATCGATAAACGGCCCGCTTGTCGCTTTCTTGGTTGGTGCAGTAGGTTTCGGTTCTTTGGTCTCATTGTCCGGTTGCTCGCTGGTAATTGAGCTATTGGCGGAGCTTACTTTTCGGCGCTTCACTGATGATTCGATCTCGTTATGGCGGTCGTCCGTTCCCATGAAATCGTCTCCTTCGCCCCAGATATCGTCTGGTGTGCGTGATCGTGGCCTTGTTTCTTCCTTTGAGGGGGATTTTTGTAATTTCGCTAGTCCTTTTTTATCTTCAAGGAACAGACCTCCATTCGTATCGGTTTTAGAGCCATTTTTGTTCTGTAATGGTGTTCCGCGACCAGAGCTTGGGGATCGAGAAGGGCCGAGGAAGTGTGACATGCGCAGCTGGGTCGAGGTAGCACCTTGTGGGGAATCTGTTTTCTGGAAGAAGTTCAAAATACTCTTATTGCGTTTCGTAGACGATGACTTGGCACTCGAAGCTGGTTTCGAGGGCGTAAATGACTTTCTTGTATTTTGGCCGGCCATTTTGGTCGGATGAAGAGGAAGGAATAACGACTCGAGGCGTAGAAGGCGACCGGGGAAATAGTTGCTCGATTGGTTGATATGAGCATGAAGTAAAGGGTGAGATTATTTACAAAGCTCGGTCGTGCCCCTCGACTGATATGGAGCAAGTTTCTCGAGTCACCTTGGAAGTGGCGTAGGAAATCCAGAAGCCGCACATCGCGTGGAGCCGCGACACGAAGTCACATGATCAAACAGACAATTTACAATTTACAGTCATCAAGCTGGCACGGGATTGAGATGAAGCAATTACCAAATATAAGTTCAGGATTTCAATGACTGCAAGGGTATTGGACACGGAATCATATGTAAAGCAGGCCAAACGGGCCCTAAAGGCTACTCCAACTTTTGTTCCCAAAATGCAAATGACCGGATCAAATGAAGTAAAGTGTACTGTGCTCAGTTGCTTCGATATTCCATTCCCCTTTACCATTACATAGTAGTAAATCATAAGCGCCGATATCGTCGATGTGGTGAAAAGAAACGCTTCGTTTTAAATCTCTCCGGAATGAGGTTGTCCATGTCGGTCTGTCATGCCCTCGCCAGCAGCCCTTGTCGGGCCTGATATTCTTTCTTCTCTATTTTCTCGATCCGGGGGGACGTCGCATCGTGGACAAGCGTCGAGAGGCATTAACAAGGATATAGATGGTGACGTTGAAATTGTTGCGTGAATGTCGTGGTCGTTTTAACGAGCTTTGCCCACCTGGTTGGCAGCCTCTGTAGAATCAGTTAGTCTCTATTGACTTCTCAAACTGGCTTCATGAGACAGCCTAGCATGTAGTGCTTGACTTTTGATCTCACACCCGCCAGAGGCAGGAATGGGTCATTGTTGATATTTGGAGATTGGGTTACTCACCCCGCCGTGTAGCGTCCTCCAACAGACCAACATCAACTTCCGATCGGGGCAGCATCACATAGCGAACAACGCTACCACGGATGAACATATTCTTCACCGATGACAGGTGAGGGTACTTGTCGAGCTCCAGTACTTCAACGTCGTCGAGCTTGATGTTCAGGTACTGGTCGACCGACTTGAGGATTCCACGGATACGGATGTCATTCTTGAGCTCAATGGTGACAGTCTGGTTGGTCAGAGTCTTGAAGAAACTATAGATTAGGTGTTAGTTTCTGGGGTATTTGCGGTCGCAATGGGTGTTTGAAGCCATACCTGAAGAAAAGCATGATGGAAGATAGCGCAGACGGTGCGCGCGTGGGGGGTTGAGAAAATGTAGTCGGGATTACGGCAATTAGAAGGGACGAAACTTCGAAGCTCAATCACCTGATTAGAAGTTCAAGTTGGCGTCGTGAAGCTCAAATCTGGAAGGCGCGGGGATCTGGTGGCAGAAGGGAAGGCACGATCCAGTGGTGGATGTCACGTGGTGCGACCCACTTATCGGGTTGATGATCATTCCACAGTGGAAGACTATACTGTACAGGCCCGAGGTCATTAATGGGCTAGGAGCGAATTGCCTTGAAAACTTCCAACTCCGATGGTTACAAGACCATAGACGTACTATTCATATATCAGGTAATCTAGTGAGTTTCTAGTTGAAATACTCTCGCCCGTTAGTACTTCTAGGATGCAACAACCCAGATGGATTGAATGTTCACATAGACTGTGATATACTATAGTACTATGTATCGATATACTTCAACATCATGATCTAAATACTAGGTAGCTTCAAGTTCAAGTTCAATTTTAAAAGTTGCATTTAATTTAATATTTTTTTCAGATAAGCAAGTGCTTCAGAAACATATGGAAAGGGGGTGTATTTTAGCTAGGTAGTAATCCTAATCCATGGGTATAAATTTCCAACTCCATCAAAACATGAAAAAGCCAAAACTTCAAAGAAATCAACTTTGTCACTTCAAGGCCTCCAGATTCTTTCCATCTCGCATCTCACATTAAATTACATAAAATGTCCCAATACCACAGAAGTGTAGAACCAAAGTTGTCAATGTCAGAAAGTGGCAGAAATCCTTAAAACCGAGAAATTTGTTCCATCTGCTTCACCGGCTTGGGCTTCATAGCCCAACCAGACAAGCATGTCCATCCCGCGCCATTCTTGCGTCCCTCATCAAAAATGGCTCCAACACCTTCAAGCAACTTTCCTCGCTCCAGACCCATCTCCATTCTAAACTGAATGAGCCATTGCTCCCACATCCACCCTCCAAGTAAACCAGTGATGCTAGCAATGTCACCAGTGCTGCCAACGGGGCCATGTACGGCTTCGTACTCTTCAATTCCACTCTGCACACGTGGTGGAGGTGTCTCACGTAGCGGTTGGGCTTCAACTGGCTCCATGCCCATTGGGAGGAACATCCAGGCGCGCTTGATGCCCACGAATCCTGTGTTACGAAGACGAGCAAGGAAGCTCTTTGATGCAGCTGGGTTGTAGCCGTGCTTGCGGAGATTGGAAGCGAATTCAGCTGATGCGGTGGTGGACTTCTCACCCGCGCGAGAGATCCCGGCGTCAAGCAGCATATACTCCAGGAAGCCACCGGGCTTGAGGCAGCGAAGGCACTCTTGCAGGACGAGATCGTACTCGTCCCGATCGAAGCCGGCAGGGCACTCGGTCTTGAGGAGAGCATGCAAAGAGCGTGTGGTGATAACATCAAATTTGTTGGCACCGAATGGAAGCTTCCATAGGTCGCTGACAGAGAACACGCGGTGGTTTGATGGTCCCTTAATTCCGCTGTTGGTGGCTTGCTTTTTGTTGTTGACTGAGTAGACCTTCACGTTTGGATATTCGTGAGCGACGTGCCATGCCCACTCGCAGGTTGCCTGACCGCCGAGGTCCAAGATCCGGATCTGACGACCTGGTTTCTGCTGGGCCTTGATAGGCTTGTTTGTCAATGCAAGGCGTCTGGAAGCAGGGCTAGTAATGAGTTTGTTGCCGTTGAGAGAGCGAAGAGCCTCCATTGCCCACATGGGCTCACAGAGCTGAGCGAGAACGAGTTGCTCTTTCCCGAGCTTAGAGAACTGAGCCTTCTCAGCCAATTCACCAGTGATGGTTGAGTTGCGGGGTGCCTTGGAGAAAGGCCCCTTGTACGCCGGTCGCTCTGGAAGAACAAGTTCGTATTTTCCCGTGAGGCAGTTGATGTGGTTATCGACCAGTCCCAAACGGAATGATTGGATAGCATCGTAACGCACGTTACGGTGAAGGAAGCCATCAGGGATGTCGGCTCGTTCGCGAATTGACTGAAAGCCACGCCAGTAAATCGAGTCTTTGCTGGCAAGTATGGGAGGTAGAGGGCTGAGGGCCTGTGGAGTACCCTCGTCAAATCGAACTTCTTTCTTGGGCTCGGTAGTTGATGGAAGCTCCTTCTCAACATCCGTAGAGGCCTCAGTATCAATCTCATTCATGGGGTTGGTTTCGTTCAAAGCAGACATGTAGGTCGATTGGGCAGCGAGCCAGATGCCGGTCCGGTCAAGACTTGCAGCAGCACGTTCCTGCAGCTCTAGATCGTAGGTCTCATCGTACTCTTGGATGGTTGCAGACTGAGGGATTTCTTGAACTGTATCGAAAGTCGCGCTCATAGGGCTGTCCTGGTGAGTGACAGTTCGAGTGGGGGTCTCGCAGGGGATGCGGATGGCAGTCGGGGGTCCTTGTTCATCTCGGACCGCAGTCAACGGATCCTCGCCCTCGGGGCGCTGTGGCCATTCAATAACCTGCTCAACGACCTCTCCTTCGTCCTGACGCCAAGGGAGGTTGTAGAAACGTTCGGCCATGGCCGACGAGGGAGGCATATTGGAAGTGTTTGGGATAGACCAGGTGTGGCGGGCACGTGGAGCGAGCGAAGCAAAGAACCCACCGGGGGAAGGGATACTCAACTCGCTGAAGCTATATCCAGACATTTCCGAAGCTGGGGTCACACCATCGGCACTTCGTGGGCGACTGGGAGGTGCCAAAAGCTGTCGCATCTCACCGTTGTCCTCAGATGTCTCGGAGTAGGTTCCTGGTGCACCATCCAGTTGGATGTGGTGGAGCATTGCCAGGGCACCATCAGGCAGGAAGACACCATCATTAGAGGGAGTTGGTTCCCGGGACAGGTCTTCGTACCGGCTGTTTTGAAGAGCCGCTGGGATCTGAGGGAAACTTCCCAGGACGCTGCGCCAGTCAACGTCCTCTGAACTCTCAATGGTAATGGGAATATCTTGGATCTCCGAGTTATCCTCCTCAAGGTCGCCATTGTCGCTTCCATCAACATAAGGTCGAACGTGGATGTCTCGTATATCCCAGCTGGCGTCGGGAAGGGACTGGGTGTCAGGTGTAGCCAGTCCGCTAGTATGAGAATCCTGGTCCGATGAAAGACTTCCATCAAGGGATGGTGGGGCGTATGAAGCAGGCACAGATTGGCCAAGCATTGAGAGCGCCGCAGGGGAAACAGGAATCTTGGGTGGAGGAGTTGGAGGAACAGGCGAGCTCTTGTGAGTTCCATTCATCGATGGCCAGCAAGTAGGTGATGGAATCTCGAGAGTCAGAGAGCGCCTACGACTTCCAGTAGAGGTGTATGAATTCCTTGTGATCGGTGTCACCAGGCTTGATGGTCGTGTTCCCGGAGAGAAACACGAGGAAACGATTTCAGTCGAGTCGTCATCATACATGTCCTCCTCGTCCGTGACATCGTAGAGATCGTCGAATCCTCGCATCTGTTGTTGCCAGTCGACATCTGAGCAACACGAGGAAACTGCAGATGAAGGTGACAGAAGCTTGGCAATGCGGTGGTGAGTCGGTAATGACAATCCAGTAGTCTTCAAGGTCAACTTGGGACTAGCGAGAGCCGGCTTCTGTTGCTGTGTACTGGTGATAGCCTTCTCGACAAACTGTGACTCGCGGGTATCCTCCATTATAGTATTAAGCAGCGTCCCTCGGGCCTGCCGAAGGGGCGGGCATCGTGCAGCATAAGGTCGAAATGTGTCGGCCATGGTTATTGCTCGATATCTTGTATGTTCAGTAGATCTTGTCCGAAGCGTGGCGTATTCCGCGAGGATCAAAAGAATCTATGGGTATCTGAAATTGGTCGTAGGAAATTGCATGGACACCGATCAACGGGTCTGCGTGATGATAACAATAGCGAAGAAATCAAAAATTAAGACGATGAATAGACAGTAAAAGAATCACCTTAGCTACCAGAGCCAGATGATAGAACGACGAAATGAAAAAAAAACCGGAATGACGAAATGAAGGACGCAAGTTCAACCAAGTGCTCCCGGGCCGTTGGGAAGGACTATATAGAACAAGCGAGTTCGTCCCGCTTCTGGGGGATGTGCATGAAGGAGTCAATCCTTGCACTCGGATAGTCACCAGGTGCATGAGCTACTGCAAGATTGGGCACCGCTAAGCCAACCCCCCTGTCGACTTGAGGAGTTCGTCTGCGTTGATTGGTCCAGATACCAGCGGGCGCATCGCCGGGAGCAATTTCGTGCCCTAGACCGACCCATGCGCACCAAATTCTGGCAAAGGGAACATGGTGAATGGGGAGCAATAATGCAGAGGGTGGACAAATCAGAAGGCGAGCGAGTGTGACGAAATGCGTGTTGTGATGATGCAGCCAGTAAGATGCTATCTCTAACCGCTGTGGATGCCATAGTTAGTTCCCGCCAAGGTCCGTGCGAGTTCAATATCACCCTTTTCGGTCCACGCGTAACGCGAATTGCTGGATAATTAGTCTCTCATCAAGACAGAGAGAGCAGAAGTCGGTCAAGAATCCTGGTTGAGTCGCAGAAAAAGAGGGGTTATGACCTCAATCGGTCCCAGGAAATCATGCACTGCCTCCTTAGCCTGAATTAATTTTAGAAATTCCAGCTAATTGACGCATATGGGTTGCATTCTATTCCTTTTCTAGATAGGCCGATGTGACCTAATCATCATTTTTCTTTGCTGATGTTGGGATGCAAATCACCCTGGGCGCATAGAGAAATGCAGCGGATTGGTGCCCTACAACTCGGTGGGAACCCGCTCCATCCATGCTGGTCAACATGAATACGGAGCACGGGGTACTATGACACACTTTTAATCTCAGCTTGATGATTTGAAGACTCACGATTGGTGACTACAGACTTTGGCTTCAAATTCTATCCCTTCTGAAGTCGTGGTCGGGCATGTCCATCGTCATTGAAATTTAAGAACCGTCACACTCCCCGAAGTCTTGTCTTGCTCATCCCAAGCTAAATAGCCGCCCGGCCAAGCCTAGCGATCAATGTGCAACAATTAGAATTTACCTGCGACATTTAATCACCGAGTATAGGGGTTTTAAGCCGAAGGCGACTCGTGGATAGGAATGATGAATGCGAACATCATGATCCATAGATGCAAGAAGAGATTTGACACGAGGATTTTGAAATTGCTCATTGAGCCATCCTAAACTCAAATACTAGTATCAGGCCTTCTGGTGGGCGTTAATCTTACAGTTGAGGAGTGGATATTGCGTCACAGTCTGAGAAACATTGCTGGGTTCTATTTGCTTTAATCCGATTCCAAAACATACAACCTCCATTGCGCTCGAGAAATTCATGCTACCGACAACTTCGGAATGAACAAAGTATATCGATATTAATCCAATTTGGAGTTCCTATAAGACAAAATAGACTGCCAGTAGTTCAACCTATAGTATTGCCTTATACTGACCTGGTACTGAACGGAGTCCAGAACATCACCTCCTCATGGTGGCACTGTTCCACTGTGCATGAATAAAAGAAATTGCGTTAAAAAATAAATCAACATAAGTTACAAGAATACAAAAGTAGTGCAACTCCAATTCTCTAACCTAGCAACCCGCTCCAAATCTGCGCTTGATAATATTATATCCTCTCCGAGTAACACGCCCTCATTGTCGATTTTTTCGTTACATTAGACTTCTGAATGGAATTCGAAATGGATACCCCCCAGTCACGATTGTGCCGTCCCTTTTTGTCACTTGCGCGCGATAGATTCGTATGCGGTTGGTGTTATATCTGGCTTCTTGCCGTATCCAACTCTCCATTTGAATCTCATTGTTTCTCGGTCGACTTGCAAGGTTAAACATATTTGAACATTCCCATCATTAGGACTCAACCAATATAATAGCTGATGGATGCGAAGTGTTTCGTCTGGATTGATTCGTAGGAATTGAGATTTTGATTTTTGATTTGTGAAAGCGAGGAATGTGAGATGAGAAATTTCGATTGATTCGTAATTTATCAGCACCAGCTTTCAATTTTCAAAAGATCCATTTTGCTGATATAGTGCTGGGACCTCTCACTAAATGGATCATGGTAAGCTTAGAGCTACGCGTATTGTGACTTGGCCAATAAGTAGCAAATTGGAATCAAACAGCTCAGTGCATTCAACAAGGATAACGAACCTGAGAGGGAAGATGAAAGGAGAGAGGAGACGCGACGTGGCGATGCAATATCACTACGTCACTGCCTAGCTATCTAATCTTGATAACATAAACACGCATCTATAACTAACACGTATAACTATGAATTCGGTTTGTGAAAGGGTTGGATATCAAGATGGCCTTGAGCCTCGCGTTGCTCGCACGTACAGGTCAGGTCCGTTCATGGATTGTAGCTGAGTCCTATTAGTACTTCCCGGGGCTCACAATATAAGAAATCCGCGAAAGAAAAGTAAAAGGACAGATGGTGAAATGTCTTTTATATATAATTTATATAACATTCGTGAGGGCCCAACCAACCAGAACGAATTCAATTTAGAGGAACAGGACCTGATTCAAATTCAAGTTGCCCGGTTCCCTTGGGGTGGCTTTAAAATTACCGGGATTGAATTTCGGATTCTGTGAGCAGAGTCGAGGTGGGACAACTGTACAAGGATCAAGGGAATACATTATTTGATTATATCAGACTCCAACCGGGATCAAACCTGGGATAGGCGACGGGAGGCTTAAGCCTCAAGTTTGCCTCTAGTAACCTGGCGCACATCCGCAAAACTCTATCCTTAATTTTACGAGCGGAAGCATCCACCCATATTTGTGCATAATAGCCTCTATAAAGGCTCTACTTCAAATCAAAAGCGCTGTTATTAGTGCTGGTGCCGACCAAGTGACCACAAAATTGGCCATTTTCAACACTATCTCAATACTAATAACTCCCTTACTATACCATACAATAATGGTTCTCTTACTCCGCATTACTTCCTGCCTGGCTGTTTTCTACGCTTGCAACCCATGGCCTCTAAAGCTAGCGACCGAATTTAATTTCTGGATCTAGTGATCAAATGTCTAATACCGTTAGCGTCGGGCGACCGGGCGTGAGATCGGAATCAGTACGCAATAAGCGAGAAGAGCCGTCTTGGCGTAGCTGATTATCGCCCTGCCAAGGCGAGGCATATTTGAAGTCTTTCGCTTAGCAGGTCCATAATTGTACTAGAAAGAGGCTAAATCCGCCTTGGCACGCCAGAACAAGGCAGGAAATCTGATATGGCGGAATGAGATTAAAGATAAAACATTGAACAACTCAACCTCACTCTTGACTTCAACGTCCACATTCTTCAAGAGCCTTGTCAACATGACTGACAACCCCGAGGAAGACATTATTGTTGCGGCCGACCAAGGTCGATTCGATCTTGTTACAAAGCTCCTGGAAAACGGCGCAGATCCAAATACTGTAAACGACATCGGAACATCGGCTCTTCACAATGCAGCGAAAGGAGGCCATTGGGATATTTCCCGCCTTCTTCTAGCGAAGAATGCATCGCCTCGTATGGAGAATGGCAACTGCGCAACGCCACTTCAACTTGCCATAAAAGCCGGTCACATGCAGATCGTCCGCCTAATCTTTGACTCTGATCCTACTATCTGCGAATTCGCTGAGATAAACCCACCCAAGCTACTACGTATCGCGGCAGCCTTTGGGCATGTTGAAATTGTTCAAATTCTTTTGGATCATAATGTCTCCTCTTTAGACAACACTAAGGAAATAACAGCACTTCATTATGCTGCTGAACGAGGCCATCATGATGTCTGCGACATTCTCCTAAAGCACGATAAGGCTTTAAATCGATCAATATGGGATCGAGTCACTGGACCTAGCTTGCAAGTTGACAGGAAGGATTACGCTGGACAAACGCCCTTCTATTTCGCCTTTAACAAGAGACAAACGAAGACGGTGGAAGTGTTTTTGCGTCATTATCCGGATTTAACGAAGGCCTTTGATAAACATAAGCACCTCCTGTTTCATGAGGCTGTTCGATCACGTCTGTTTGAGATGGTTCAGGTATTCTTGGATAATGGCGTGGATATCCAGATGAAAGATTATCAGGGACAGAACTCGTTACATGTGTCGGTTACCGCTGGCTGTCTTTTTGCGCCGACGTATAATGAGGAGACGGCTGAGATGCTTCGTCTTTTGCTTTCGCGTGGTGCTGCGGTTGATTTGAAGGATAAATGGGGATATACTCCGGAAATGTATGCTCAAAATCCGAAGATCAGAATGTTATTGCGCAATCATAAAGCGTCAAAGGGGGATTCGGTGAAAACGATGCCACGGGTATCAGCTCCGCCGCCTGAATACGAGTAGCCTTGGAAGTTCGTCAAATCGGGGCTGAAATTCATGAATTCAACTGATTTACCTGTAACGATCTGTGTTATTCCTTTTGTGATTCATGAATAAATAAATCGGGATCTCTGATCATGCAACTTGGAATGCAATCTGGAGTGGAGAAAGCTGTGAGCTCTACCTGCTATGTACCTGGTATGTTGATAACAACCCAACTGAGGCCTGAGCGCAACCGCTTTGACGGGTAATCATTCCCTCATCAAGGAAATAGACTAGCTGGATTGCAATCTAATTAAAATGAGCGGCTTCACCTTTACCCCGGGGCCAAATAAAAATACCACATCCGGGGAATCATTTATGCTGTGGAGAGGCCCCTTACACAACCCCGCTTCTCCACGATCCTTCTCTCCGGACTTTCCCCGGTTAATGGAATCGGCCTGCCCTAGTCACTCATTTCCCCAATGGAAAATGAAAATGAAAACCGGAAACACCGCGTACCGGCTTTGGTATAAGCCGCCAAGCCGGATCTAAAATAAATAAGCCGGCTCAAAAAGCTTAGCCCGCCCCGCATTGCGACTCGCGAGCATGGGGATGGAGCAAATTTCCTTCCCCAGTCCAGTCGTAAGCGAAGGAATGAAAATTGGGATGCCATCTCCACTTCGCATTCTTAAGACGCGTTTCCCCCGGGATTCTCTTTTTCTGAATCTTCTCTATTCGCCTCGCTTGTCTTTCTGGCTTGCCAATCTACATCTGCGATTGGTATCTAGAAGCTCATCATGGCTACTGAGATTGATACTTCGCTAACGCGAAAATTATACTATGCTATCCCTCCTGCTATTGCTGGTTTCGCTTATGGATGGGAAAATGCTTCTATGAGCGGTATTCTTACCATGACTCAGTTTTTGAGCTATTTTGATACCCCCTCTGCTTTTCGTCAGGGTAGTATGACTGCAGCTTTACTGGCGGGTGAATTTGGTGGTTCACTTCTTATAGGCTTCTTGATATCTGACCGTCTTGGTCGGCGTATTACGATCTTGGTTTGTGTTTTGGTTTATTTGATAGGCCAGGCTATTATTGTTGCTTCGCAGAACCAGGCAATGTTTATTGCTGGACGTGTGGTTAATGGTCTTGGAGCTGGTGGTTTATTCCAAACAATATCCTTGTGTGTATCTCTTTCTGGACCAACATATTTTCTTTTTCCTCTCTCTTTGGTTCTAATGGGTTTTTTAGGTACACCGCTGAAATCACCCCACCCCAAATCCGCGGCATGATGACTTCCATGATGAGTCTTGGTATTGCCATGGGTCTCCTCGTCGCGTACTGGGTTCAATACGGCGCCGCGAATATCGAAGGCAATGCTGCTTGGCGCATGTGCTTCAGTCTCCAACTCATTCCCGGCGCTATTGTCGGCGCAATAATGCTCTTTCGTCCTGAATCCCCCCGTTGGTTGTTCCGACACGACCGCTCCGAAGAAGCACTTCAAGTCCTCGCAAACCTACACGCAAACGGCGACCAGAATGCACCCGTCGTGCAATCTGAGTATGAAGAGATCCGCGTCGTAGTCGAATACGAGCGTGGAACACCTGCACCTTCTTATCTATCCCTTCTAGTGGATAAGCAGTACCGACGCCGGACAGCGCTAGCAATGGGTTTACAATTCATGCAGCAGATTACAGGCGTGAATATCATTTTATATTATGCGGCGAAGGTCTTTGCGCAGACAGGTCGAACAGGAACACAGGCTGCCCTCCTTTCGAATGGAATTGAGTCTGCCTTGTTTCTTGTTGCTTCTTTTTCGTTAACGATGCTTATGGATGTTTATGGGCGGAGGAAACCTCTTATTATTGGCCCGGTGCTGATGGGTATTTGTATGATTATTGTTGCGTCTATGCTTGTGGGATTTGGATCTCCTTATTTTGATGCAAGCACGCAGGAGATGAAGTTTTCTTTTGCTGATACTTCGGCTGGGAATACGGCTGTGGCGTTCATGTTTCTTTACATGGTCACTTTTGGTGCGAGTATGGCGTCGCTTCCGTGGACTTATCAGAATGAGGTCTTTCCTATTAATGCGCGTGGGAGGGGGACTGCGTTGTCAACTTCTGTTAATTGGTTTGTCAATTTCTGGCTTGGGTTGTATATGCCTACTGCTTTGAATGAGGGGTCTTGGAAAGTTTACTATGTGTTTGGGGGGATTAATATCGGCATCTCGTTTGTGGTTTTCTTTTTCTTTCCGGAGACTTCGAGACGGACGTTGGAGGAGCTGGATCTTCTTTTTACGCCTAATCGGAATAAGTTTGTATTCTTGGATAAGGAGGCGTGTCAGAAGGGATCGCTTCTACAGCATGGATTGGAATCTGGGGCTGATGCTGCGAGGGATTTGGAGACGGCACTTGTTATGGGTGCTATTGAGGGGGGTGAGAAGGAGAAGAATATGGCTTTACATGATGAGTATGCGACATGATTGGCATAAGGTTTTCTGGTATTGGAGAAGAATAGTTTTGGTGATTTGTATGTTAAGTTGAACAGGCTTGGAACAATGTTGATGACCTCGAGACGCAGTTTTTTATAAATGGAAATATTCAAGCTCCGAGTTCAATTTACTCATTTCCATGATTTAGATCACCGATAGAACACTTTAATTGATTAGCGCGTTAAGAAACACATAAATTACAAGTCTGCGTAATCATCAACTTCGGCTGAGGCCAACAACCTCGGGTAAACTTCCAATTTCTGTGAAAGTTCAGGGCACCTGCATGCATAGCTTATCACAGTCAAGATCCTCGATATTCTAGAAAGTGGATCGAACCGATCAGCCAACATGACGCCATAGCGTGATTAACAAGCAGTTTTTCTAGACCCTCGTTTCACCACGATACTCCATTTTCCGTACTTAATGGTAGTGACTTCGACTATGGATTTAGTGTACAGTAGTCCCCCTCATGCCAGTTGTTTAGTCGCCCGACACGGTCCACTTGGCATTGGGCATGACATGTGAACTGTGTGTGTATCGCGATATCCGCAGAGCCTTTGTTGAGTAGTAAATGGATTTTTATTAGTACCGTGACCTTAGTTTGTATCTTGTCTCGTGGACATTAGTGTGGCGTCTGTGGCTTGCCTGTTTCCCAACAATATACAGTGGTAGATTCAAAGTGGCAGATTACATCCGCACATGTATGTAGTACTATTGGTGGTTCTGACTCAGCCAGGGACATCATGGAAATTGACACGAACGAACCTGGATAGGAACAGGAAAGCGTTGAGGGTCGGGCTGTTCTATCCGATTGTTTGGGGCGTGGGCGGAACACAGTGCGCCGGGCATTGACACAACACATTTTGCATCCCCGCTTTACATATGAGAGGGTCCGCTTTTCCACCTCGTTTTGGACAACTGAAGAGCGGTTAATTATTGACCGGACGGCTATTGAATGGTTTGAATTGGGGGTGTTTATTTCCGGCCGTCTTGCCGGTGGTTGTTTGACTGGTCATTTTGGCTGATGCGACTCGGAGGCTGGAGGACAGGCGTCCGGCCAAGAGTTCTGGTCTGGGAGTGTAGAGGTAGATCGGAGTGACGGAATGGTGAACGAAGAAAAGAGCTTGAGATGTTCTTTGGAGATATGTAGTATTTCTAGATGTATATGTGGATATACAATAGACAAGGAACTTGAACTTGAACTGAATCAAAAACAGTTTGATTGGCGGGGAGCAGGTATACATCAGAGCTTCGACACGGATTCCAAGGATTCCATGTAATTCCCCCAATAAGAAACAAATTAAGGTCCGAGCTTGAACATCCCTGAGCTTGCGGTCACCAGACTTGAAGATTTTTTTTTTTCTTTTTCTTTTCATTTGGATCGGGATCATCGTGAAACTCGGAATCGCCAGATTCGGTAACCCAGAGACACCTACAGTAGATTTGTAAGATGATTCAATCTGACTCCTGTGAATGGATCAGGGCAGACACCCAGGAGCTTCCGCTGAAATAGATTGCGACGATCACTGCAGATTGACATAGAGCCCCACGTGAGTCTGCAAGCCCTTATCAAGTCCGTTTGCATCATGAAGAAATTTAAAGTTGCGACAATTAGATGGAATATACATATACTATTTGAGATCAATAAAATAGAACAGATATAGAGATACCTATAATCAAGCAGGAATTAACTCACCGTAGAAGTAATTAGTATCTATGTTGAACAAGGGATTTGGCCCATCTTACGGTGAACCCGGCATATCCACCCTTGGGTTCAAGTTGCCACCCGGAGGTAAACACGATTGAGCTTCAACAAGAACAGCCCCTCCCTCCTTTTCTCCTAATTCAGAACTTTTTTTCTTTTCTCATTCTCCCCGATCTCTTCCTCCCCATTCCCCCACCCTTACTCTCCACCTTCACCTTCCTCCTCTCTCCATATCTACCTATCCAACATGGCTCCGCCCGCCATTATCGCTCCCTCCATTCTCAGCGCCAACTTCGCCGATCTGGGCCATGACTGCTCTAAGAAGATGGAACAAGGCGCCGACTGGCTCCACGTCGACATTATGGACGGCCACTTTGTTCCAAACATGACAATCGGCTGTCCTGTCGTTTCTCAGATTCGCGGCTGCGTCGACCGCCCTCTTGAACCTTGTGCTCGCGGCACTTTTGACTGCCACATGATGATCATGGAGGTGTGTTCTTCCACATTACCTTACCTTCCTAGCCACATACCTGAAACCCGAAGCTGCAAATTGCCCAATCCTATCTCCATGACTTGACTCTACACGAGTGTCTCTCCCTCTGCATCCCTCTGCATCCAATCCAATTTATCTTCCGAGCTCCCGCTAACTCTCCCAGCCCCATAAATGGGTGAAAGATTTCCAAAAAGCAGGCTGTGATCTCTACTGCTTCCACTATGAAGCAGCTGTTTCCTCCGTCGCAGCGACCGACCCCACCGATCAAGAAACTACCGATCGCACTTCTCCGCGCCAATTGATCAAATACATTCACTCCATGGGCATGCAGGCCGGAGTCGCAATTAAACCCGATACCCCCGTTGATGTCCTTTGGGATATTCTCGATAGTCCCGATCTTGATGAGCGACCAGAGGTGAGTGACACACAACCTACAAGACCTATCTACACTCTACTTTTCACTCTATTTTGAATATTGGCACTGATACTTTTTTTTCTAATTCAGATGGTCCTCGTTATGACCGTTCACCCCGGTTTCGGAGGTCAAAAGTTCATGGCGTCCGAACTGCCTAAAGTCTCCGCTTTGCGCGCCCGTTATCCCGACTTGAATATCGAGGTTGATGGTGGATTGGGACTGGGAACAATTGATCAGGCGGCGGATGCTGGCGCAAACGTTATCGTGGCGGGGTCTGCGATTTTCGGCGCTGCGGATCCAGCGGATGTTATTGCGAAATTGAGGGATGCGGTACAGAAGCGCAGAGGTTTGGAGGGGTCTTCCTAGTACTATCACCTGGCAATCTGAACTTGAAAATAGTGGGGGTTTGCTCTTTTCTTTTTCTTGGTTCTTGTTTTGTGGCGGCGCGAGTCGCTGTTCGTGACTAGTGGGGGCTTGGGCTTCATAGTGGGGGTTTTTAGTTCTTGGGATAATGATGATCAAAAAGGGGTTTCGGTGTTCCAATGCGTCATTTGTTGTTAGTGGGTTTGGGTGATTATACAGGATTTTTCTTTTGCGGGTATCTATTTATATTGGTTTTAATGATGAGATGAATTGCATTTTAAGGAAATTTGAATCCATTTCAATCCATTACTTATACTACTGTGCGGCGATACAGGTAGATGGGATATGATGAATATTTGATTGAACTGGAACTGGAACTTGATAATAACACATGGCAAGTATGAATGCAATGAAATTTGGGAATAGATGAATATAGATAGAATAGAATGTAGCTAAATGAATTGCTTCGAGCACGCTGGTATCATACTACTACTGACAAAACAAATCACGGAATTGACTCATTCCTCTGTACACCGTCAAGTCAACATCGTCGCGCAAAAGTACCCCTCACTGCGTCGCTGACGTAGTCTCCTTCGTCTCCGCAGATGCAGATGCAGATGCAGATGCAGACGCGGGGTCCGCCGGAGCAGAAGTCGTAGTCTTAGTCTTAGCCTCGGCCTCGACCTTGCCCTTGGCATCTTTATCAGCATCGATCTCCTTCTTCTTCTTCTTCAACTCCTCCTCTTCATCTTCCTCTTCCCCCTCCTCCTCATCAGTAGACTCCTCATCAGTGGACTCCGTCGTAGCAACATCCTTAGTCTCTGCAGCAGGCCCAGTCTCAGCCTTCTTAGTCATAGACTCCTCTTCCTCCACCGCAGCTTCAGCAATCGGACTCTCCTCAATAGTCACGCTGTCCTGCTTCGGTTTCGCCGCCGCCTCCTTCCGCAAAGCATCAATCGATCCAGGCGGAACCTCCGCAGAAATAGACGATCGGATCTCTTTCACAGCCTTATCCTGCTCCTCCTTGTCCATGTTCGAAATTATCGACCCCCGATGATGTTCCACGAGACCTAGCATCTCGGCATTATCAGCGTGGAAGTTTGCAGATGAGACGGCTGCTTCTTCTGGAACGAGAGCAGGTCGCTTAACGCCCTTGGGGGAGTCGGGCGCTGTATCGGGTAACTCGGGCGCGACGGAAGCTTTACGGGGTTTGCTTGTTGGGCTGTTGGAGGTAGGTTGTTCGTTCTCGGTGGTAGTGGTACTGCCCTTCTCTTCTTTCTTATCGCTTTTTAGGTCTTTCGCCTTTGAAGCTGCTTCGGCGCTTGCTTGACGAAGTGCTAGGACTGCGGTGCTGTCTTTTTGTTCTTCTTGTTTGGCAGGGGGGCTTTGGATCTTGATCGTAGAGGGTTTGGGTGTTTTGGGTTCGGGCTCTTTAGGTGTGGAGGTGGCTTGCGAGTTTTCATTTGCATTTCCTGCTGGTGCTGGGTAGCTAGTTGCTGGCATGCCGTCTAGATCTGGGACGTTCTTTACGACCATGCGCAATTCGCCGAATTCGTTCCATTCTTCGATCTCTTCTAGGTCCTATTGATGATTATGATTATTAGTTGATGAGTTTCGACGAATAAGAATGTGGATGGGAATGGGAAAATATATTCCGTCCAATGGTCAGCCACTCACGCCTACTATGTCGCCGTACTTGACTAGTCCTGGCAATTTCTTGCCCTTGGAGCGTCGACCCCACAGTTTACGGGCGGCATCGTCTGTGGCGACATCAATGGCGCGGAAGGGTAACTTGTTTGCCTTAAGGATTGTTTCTATACGGGCCGTTGCGGTGACAATGTGCGATGACCCTGCTGTTAGGGAGGTGTAGAGGTAAAGAGTTGAGTCGGACATGGTGAATTCAGGGGTGAGGGGTGGTATGTTGAGGGGAAGTCGGTAGGCGTGAGCGTAAATCGTAAATCGTCAATTTTTGAAACGCGAAACAAGAGCGGTCAAATTGCGGTCAATTATTGCAGACCGTGAAACCACAAAGGCTCAAGAGTTTCTTTTCTTTTTTCCCTCACAGTAAAAGGAAATATGACTATGGATACAACTTGTAGTGTGAAACTGATTCTCTGGGAAATTATGACGTGGCTGGGGAACGATCACGTGTAGGCTTTAAGCTTCAAATGTTTAATGTTCACTATGTAATTTTGGCTGCTTCACTCTTGATTGTCCGCTTTGATCCTCTTGTATGTCAGGCATTGGTGGCTGTCTCGCCGACTTGATTTTCTTATACTTTCTCCACACCTCGTCGTGCTTCCAAGACTTGCTCCAGCGTGGCGACTTGACGTCAGCCCGACCCAGTCTTTCTGCCGTCGCTATGTAATTTCCTTGCTCGGGGGTAACTGAACATCGGCTCAAACAGCTCAGTGTTCGGTTCCGTGGTTCATTATGGAGATTGGTGTAATTGGAAGGGTAAAGGTGAGATCGGTGGAGCTTGTCCATTTCACACTGTCTGTACTCTTAGTGAGGTAGGGTATTCGTCTCGGTCAAAACCATGGAATTTGATGTCAGGTTCGTGTAGACAAACCGATAGAACACTGTTTTCTTCCTTCGCTTGTCTCCACCAGCTACCGATCATATTCCAAGCAGCTGAGCTTTCAGATCTTGTTTCACAACGCCACCAAAAGGACATCTGAAGTCAACTTTGAGCCTCAATGAGTACCCTACATAGACCCCAATCATCATGGATCAGCTGCGTTGAAAACCACAAAGTCCCGCAGTGGCAACATCAGGTTCTCTTAGAACAAAGAGATAGAAAACATCAGCGAAACAGAATCTCGCTGGTTTTCCGCCCAACTAGCGGTGAGTATAGACAGACAGGTCTCATGAACAATCATCCCAGAGCCGCAGCCGAAACTAGCACGGCCTCATAGCCGGTATCTCATGCACTAAGACGTAGTCAACAGACCCCTGAACCCAAGCTATACCAGTCTATCTCAGACCAGGCCACGTCTTGCTCCTAACAATGCATTAATCCCACTTAGCTGTCTTCATTAAGCACTTAGTATTCTGAAAACACTGGCTCCAATCTATTCCTTGCTGGTTGGTGCGTATATGCCCCCAGTCATATTGTAGCCGGCATCCTCTCGAGATGCGCCTCATGTATGTCGGTTGTGCGCGCAGGATTAGCTGCTATAGCAGGCGACTTGTGCAGACGAGAGCTGAACAATGGAATTGATGTCTGCCTTGTCTACCTTGTCTACCTTGTCTATAGTGATGAAGTAGATCAGTTGGGCTGAGGCGCTGTAGCCTAATGGCTGTGTAGATGGGTCATGGCCATTGGAGTATGGAAAGTTGGAAGGATCCTATAACACAGCCTGTTAGGAGGTGGTTGGAACTTGACGAGTCGGGGAACTTGTTACCTGGTCTTGGACACCAATGCTGTCTCGGATTGAATATTAGGTCTTAATGATGATCATAAGTGTGAGATGTTCTTGGAATGGTCTTATTCATGATCTAGCCAATCTAGCCAGTACCTCCAATAACACATTGACTGATCATGACCATGACCATAATCATGATGTAGTTGTACTTACATCCCGATTCATAACGCGTGATGCAGACGGACACCATACGTCGATGCGCGACCAATCAGAATCGAAATAAATGGCCTCTTGGGCAGAAAATGATACACCATAAATGCCGCGCCATGACGAAATAGACCATAGAAATACCCGGAGATCTAATTGATTGTTGCGGTCTAAACAGTACAAATGTAACTTTCTCAAGCGTTAAGTTGAAACTAGTAGCCCCAGCCCCATACATCGTACTAAAATGACTGTACGGATCATAATATTATCGACTCCATCCACTGATTAGAGGACAATTCATCCGCCCCCAACGGGGAACTTTGACACATCAAAATTGACAGCTATCGGCCATGCTGACTGGAGGTTACCGTGGATCGGTGGATATGGGACGAAGCGATGTCTCCAGTGGTCTTTGAATATGGATCTTGGGTTGAAATATGTGTAGAAATAGAAACGCGTCGATCCTGAGCGGGTCAAGTTCTGCTCGTCACCTATGAAGGGTGGGAGGGTATCTCTGGATGAAACGCAGTTACCGCCGTGAATTCACAGGCTGCTTTTCTTGTTTATGATTTTATTTTTTTTTTTGAGTTGTTTCTTTATACAGTTGTCTCTGTGTTGTTTTGCTTTCCGATTGGAGTGTTTCTTGTTTCTTGTTCCGTGTCATGGTGTATTCTGGTCTATCGCGGTCTGTACCGTGGAGGTCGCTTGATCGTCGTGGTTGAACCCTTCTCCCCCACCCCTGAAAAACGGGACAGGTCTGAGTGGTTTCATGGGGATAGTCTAGTGTATTTGAGACAGCAATCACTCAAAATTAATACTGTAGAAAAAATACTAGAGCGGTAGACTATTGAATTTTTATTCATTTTTGTATTATTTAGTATCTTTTTTAATGTACGGACAGTACTGATTGTCTTTTTTCAGCCATTATAGATTCGAACCGTGGAACACTCCCGCGTGTCCGGGAACTTTGTAACTTTGTCTTCTTCCCACAGACCTTCGCAACGGTTCATAACCGGGCAACAATTGGGCGCTGAGCCACCCAGTGCCAGAGAATCGTCACCTGCAGGGCCCGACCGATTCCTCGGCTGCAGGCTGAACGACGTGGCATCCATTCAGGCGCCCGACCCATCTTTAGCTCCAAACTACCATGGAGCTGGAGGGGGGAGGGGGAAGAGTCTCACTAGTTATACTAGTAAACCAGTGGTGGGTGTGGTTCCCCCTCGGGTCTCCATGGAGTGGGAATCGGGGCACACGAGGCTGTTTAGGGGGGTCGTTGAAGTGGGCTTTACGCCCGCCACACTGGGTTTCCGCTATAGGCGCTTGGGCTTGGGATTGGGGGGGAGGGGAGGGACGGCAGAGAAGAGATTCACTAATCTCCCCCTGACACATGAAATGGGACGAGAATCATGCTCTTCCCCAACTTTGGAATGATAGGTAAACTCACTTCTTCCTCTTTGCTTATTTAATACTTGTCTATTATGCATCGTGGGCGTCGGATCACGCTCGGGGCGATCCGGTTCGCTGCCTCACTTTATCCGCTGGATTTCCCATCACCTCCAGCCTTTGCAGAGGAGGATGAGCCAACCAAACAATTTTCGTGGGCACAGAGGCTGTTTGGCTTCGTTTGATGTGATAGGGGGCATGATTCAGGAACTGTACTCCGTATATTGCACCTACTGTAGGTGCTTCGTAATGTAGAGATACCTTTAGCTGCTTCTCCGTATATTCCCTCTTCCCCCTTAACCCAGTAAATTGTTAAGTCATTGAACGCACGAGAATTCGCGGTCCAGACTCTTTCTTGGGCCCCACTCGGTTTGCCTGGAGGATTGACGCTCCGGGTTCCATGTGGAGCGTTCTATAGCAGTGACTTCCCCCTCGTATCCATCGCTCTATTACTTTGTGGAGATGCTAGTTTAGCTGGTTTCCCTTTTCCCGGACTTTTGTTCTTTCTCTTCTTTCTTTTCCTCATTCCAAGGTTTCTTCTTGATGCTGCCCAATCTTCCCATACTTTGCATCTTTACTACTCTGTTCAAATATCTTAATTATTCTTGATTTATTTATTTTTCTCTTCTTTTTTCATTAAATCTCGCCCTCCTTCGATTCCTACTTATCGTCATACTCCGCCGATCTCAAGTCTATCTTGATAAGATCTCGGGTTTCTCTATAATTTTTTTGGTCCTTCCAAATTGCTGGAGAACGATCTATGTACGTGCACTGTTTCCACTTTGAAAAATGCAGATGCAGCTTCTAATCTTTTTCTTTCTTTCTTTTGAAGATTTTAAATCATTCACGGATTCAAACGACAGCTTCAAACCAGAAGAAATTTACCTATTGTCTCTTCTTCCCCCTCGAACTTTACATACTGATATCCCAGTTCATTTTGTCTGGCAATCATCAATATACTAGGGATCTATTTCCCAACCTCCATCCATCATGGCATTCAATCAGGATCGCGACGACTCGGACGAACTCTTCGACAGCGTCATGACCGGCTACCGAGAAGCATTTTTGGTTCGATACTCCCACCTCCCGGAATCCGAGCTCAGCCAACTTTGGAGTAATCGCATCAGCCCTTTCATCCCGGCCATCGATCGGAAACCGGGCAAACGGACTCGACAGGATGCCAGTACCCCGCGGACGCTTCCTTCTTCTGGTTCTGGTCTTCCGCAAGCGAAACGACGAGCCACCGTATGTGTGACCTTGGTCTCTTGCTCCCGCTCCCTCCTGATCAAGCAATATCCCATTGTTTTTACTGCTGCTACTACTTCTTCTCTTGTCCCACCTCCATCATGATCCTATCTTTTTCTGTTCCCGTTCCCATATACTCCAGCCGTAAATCCTTGGATTGACAATTGGCAGACCCCGGACATTCCGGTCATCGAGATGAGGCGCACCATCTCCCAAGCTCCCGCAGCTGCTTCACCTACAAATGGTGCCGAGTTTTCAACATATCGCCATACGGCTCCCATGGCTCGCTCTCAAAGTCATCAAGTCCTCCCGGCCTCCCACTGGTACCAACCCACCGGAACCGTCGTGGGAAAGCGACTATCCTCCGGGCCTTTGAGGATGCAACAAGCAACACAACAACTTGATCATGTCATCGACGAGTACTCGCCTTCAGAATACACGAAGCACCTCCAATTGGACGATAGTGACAACCAGGCATATCCTACGAATTCTGGTCCTGGTTCGGCTTTGTCGCTTGGCCTCGCAGCTTATGGATTAAATGGACCACCTCCGCCACTCCCACAATACGACGGACAGATCTCTCCTTTGGCCGATGATTCTCCCGCTGCAGCAGTTCAGATGACTCGGAGTACAACAACCGATTCAATCATCAATACTTTCGACAACTTCCGCTTCGACGGCACTGCTGCTCCAACCGCGGATCTGGATCTGGTTTCTTACTCCATCCCCCCAGAATGGGTTCCAACATCCACATCTGGTCTCCCCTTTCAAGATACCTTCCATCCTCCAACTTTATATCATGAACTAGATCCCTCGTCTTTCCCAATCATCTACCCTGCTTCCGTTTCCACCTCCGCCCCTTGTAAATCCTCCTTCCTACCTCCACCAATCCTCCCATCCCATCTCCAAACACAACTCCCAACACCAACCCCAGATCCAAAGTCCGAACCAGACTCCCCCTCCGCATTGGAAATGAAACACTCCCTCTCAACCGACTCCAATCCTTATAACCCCCTAGCTCTATCATCCCGCGCCGCCCGCCGCACCCAAGAACAGATCGCTCATGCCTCACGACCCATCGCTCCGAAACGCGAATCATCCGACAGCCTCAGTCTCAGCCATAGTCTCAGTCTCAAAACCCCAGTCCAACACCAAACTAACAACTCAACCACTATCCTCCTCCAACCAGACACAAAAGATCCAACACAAATGGTCCGCATCTCGCCAACAGACGGCACCGCAAAACCAGTCCAAGCCATTCCCAAAGCCTCAGTACAGCGCCCTCCGCGCCTAAAGCAGTACTGCAAGCTATGCAATGATCAACCCGAGGGATTCCACGGTGAACACGAACTACGTCGACATATTGATCGGGTTCATGCTTCTGTACGTAAAGTCTGGGTTTGTGTCGATATCTCACCTGATAAGACTTTTTTGGCAAATTGTAAAGCTTGTCGGAATGGGAAGAAGTACGGGGCGAATTATAATGCTGCGGCGCATTTGAGACGCACGCATTTCAATCCTTGTCAAAGAGGGAGAGGGGGACGGGGGAAAGATAGTGAAAAGCGTGGTGGGAAGGGTGGTGGGAATAATCCGCCTATGGAAGTTTTGAAGCATTGGATGAGGCAGACTGTTGAGATTTCCGATGAAAATGAGAATGAGAATGAAATTGGTGATGAGGTTGAGTTTGAGGGTGAGGACCTTGGGACGAGCTTTCCATCTGATCATGATCTTGATGTTCAGGTTGGCCGTCGTAAAGGAGGTGAGGCTGGGAATCAGTTCGGAATGGAGTCTGCGCTTATGCATGGATTTGATCCGTATCCTGTGCAGAGCTTTGAGTTGGATAGTTCGTTGGATGCGCCTTTTTACATGGATTCTCAGCCTCCTTTTCCTCCTGAGCTAGAGTCTTATGTTATGTGAGTGGTGTGCCGTTGAAGCAGTTGGTTGCGGGTGATTACTTTCCACCCTTCTTCTTTTCGCGTTCTATTTTCTTCTTCTTCCTTTTTCTACCCAGCCCATAATTCGGATATTGAGTCTGCTGTACTCTATTCTGTGGTTTCAAGGTTATATGATATGGATGGTTATATGGTATACGGTATGGGCCGGCAAATTTCCCGGTTTTCTTTTGGTCCCGGTACATGGTCATGGTCAGTGTGTTGTGGTATATAAGGGTCACTACAGACATTTCAGGATTGCGAAAAACATTCTTTCGATGTTTTGTCCAGTCTGCACTTGCACTGGTCGGTTTTCTATGGCGTTGTCTCATAATATCTTTCTTCAGCATTGCAAGCTGATAGCTACAAGGGGTTCAAGTTCCTGTCGTCTTTATGCACATGGGTGGGCGGGCTGGCACTGACACGAGCGACGAAGCAAACTAATGAGTATTAATTTCCCTAATGACATTGAGCATTTATTTTGGTTTCGGTTTTGGATCCTGGTGTGCATTGTAGTGGGACAGCGTTGCAGTAGGTATCCATCTTGCCGTGATGTATGTACCACATTGTCGTTGAACCTTATACATGTACCTGTACCTGTTCCCTCCATGGGGTAACCGAGGCTGCCTGCGTTGTGATAGATCCATCCACGTTGCGGCTTGTAAATTACGGCTGAAGAGCTGCCTATTTTGGGCGGTGGGTCTTGGAAATCTCGGTATCTTACACTGTATTTACTGGTGGTCGGACCGGTCTGGCCTTGGGATCTTGGATGGAGCATTGGTAATGTACGGTGTAAACATTGTGCAGCCTTCGAGGTGCTCAGCCCTGGTGAACTTTTTGCAAAAAAAGCTTACACGGTATAAACATAGGAGATCAGCGCTTCAGGGTTCTTTTTGGGGGTTTACGTTTCTGGAGTAATAATTCCGACCGTGAATTGTCAGTCAGGTGAAGTACTTCTGGACTGCCAAGAAGTATGTATCCCTTTAGTTTGATGTCACTACCTATATTGTACTCACTAATGCTGGAATGATGGATGGATCGTAAGTACTGGTGGATATACGGAGTTCTCCGTATGATCTCTCAAAGAAAGCCATTTGAGCCACTTGAAGTTCATGACTGTATATCCGAAGTACGGAGTATGAAATCACCTAGCCACATTTCATTCAATCCGTAAATTGTTAACTGTATTCTCCCGTCTAGGCAGTTCGCCAGAGTCCCAACGGAACCCACAGGCAACAACAATACAGCGGTCAGCCCCCCTCTAATGCTACCGATGGTAAGGCCGATCACGCCGGGGTGGGCGGTTCGCGCACTCTCAAGCTCTGAGTGGCTGAGTTGTCCGCTCATGGTGGAGTCGGGGCGGACATGGTGGCTGGCTGAGAGCCAATCATTAGCTACACTGTGGGGACACAGATGTGGCTGACCCGCCCAGTCTGGTGATAGGGCTGTGGTTGATGTGGCTCAGCCGGGAATAATACGGAGAATTACGGTTATAATACACGATGCTGGGCTGAAGGTGCAGGGAAGTGGTAATTTATTTTTCTTCTTAGCAGAACCCGTGCCTTTCAAGGTGGTTAATGTCAATTGCTCCCTGTTCTTCTTAGTGCCTATCGGAGCATCCTGCAAGATGATTGTGGAGTAATTCACAGCCGCTTCCATTTATACAGGGAAAATAATTAACGATAGGATAGACCATACATACTATTGTTCATCACCTATTCTCATTCAGCCTTACGTGCCAAGCCCGTACCATACATTAGTAAAAAAACACAAAAACACAAAAAAAAGGAGTCGAACGCTGTATTGTTGCTGCAGAGTTCAGTTCCATCGGGGATTCGGTAAACCTTGTCTCCTCTTTTTTTATTTCCCTCTTCTCTTACCTTGCTTCATCCACCTCCACTTCAGCTTCATCTTTCTTTCTTCCCTTCTGTGGTTTTCGTTGTTCGTCTCCTTCGCTTCCGCTTCCTTGTCGCGCCTTTTTTACTGTCGCAAGCCTCATCCCTTTTTCCACCAATCTCAACACCGTACATCGACAAGGTATGTTGACGCCCTGATCGCTCTTTAGCCGATGCGGTGATTCCTCCTCTCATGGCCCTGGTCGTGAACGCCGCAGCGCTTGCTCTGGGAATCTTGTTGGTTGAATCGCCTTACTGAGCTGATCTTATTACTAGGTTCAAGATGGCCTACCAGCAACCTTACGGCCAACAGCAGCCTTATCCCCCACAGCCGGCGTAAGTCATCTCGAATCCAAATCAACGTCAACATCTCCCATTTGTGATTGGATACACGATCGCATTTTCCCCACCCGACCAGATATATCTCATGATGTTATTGGGTTCGGAACGAAAGCTCAGCTGCGATCTGCGATCAACGATCCATTCATACCGGCGATACTTGAAATCAATATACTGATAGTATTTTGCGCACAGCTACGGCCAGGGTTACCCTCCCCAAGGCTACCCTCCCCAGCAGGGTTATCCTCCTCAGGGATACCCACCCCAGGGATATCCTCCCCAGCAGGTGCGTTAAAGCGTCGAATGAGACCCGTCATTAACACATGCAATACTGATACCTTATTTTTCAGATGCAATACGGCAACCAGAATCAAGATGATAACCGCAACAACAATAACAACAGTGGCGGCGGCGGTAAAGGATGTCTTGGAGGCTGGTAAGTTTCATGTCGCAAATCGAACGAGGGAACGAGTTTAACACCAATTTCTAGTTTGGCTGCTCTGTGCTGTTGTTTCGTTTGTGAGGAGGGCTGCGAGTGCTGCGCCGACTGTGTCGAGTGCTGCGAGCTGTGCTAAGCGCCATAATCTACGATCTCGATGATTCCTATTTTCTCCCTTCCTGGCGTTACATAATTCGGCTACGCTTTTTGAGCTCGCGAACAGTTTTCAACCATTTCCATCCTTTTTCTGCTATTCTCGGATGCGCTTTGCGTCTCCCAAATAAAACGCTAGTTTGAATAAGATATGAATACTCGCGGTTTGCTGCCTTGCTTACTATTTGGGGGGATTCATGAACAAAATGATGGATATTTATCGCATAATTCAGGGTCCCAGTGTTTAACAATACAACATTGATCTTGATGCAAACGCTTTGAACTTACATAGTAGGTAGTATAGAGGGGGACGCCGTATAGTATAGAGAACGGGCTTGCTGTGATAGGCTACGTCCACTGGGGGCAGTGGGAGATAGGGAGCGGAGACCCTAGGGGTAGCTGTGGTAGTGGAATGGTCTGAGTTGCTATACTATCTGGGACATGTCTTATATACAGAAATACTGCGAACTCACACTGCTATTGTGAGTCGTGACTTCCCCACTACAGTAGGTAGATTTCGTGGTGGCTGACAGAGACCTAAGTATTTCAAATAACACTACATACATGCATACACTACCAGCGTGAGAACATAAAACCGCTTGGATCACTCTGAAACTCGCCTTGGGTCTCAAAGATGCCTGGAATGCAATCGACGGCGCTAATGCTGGCTTCCTCGTAAATTATTGGTCTGTTGCGTGGCCCGTATGCGCCCGACTCGCAGCCATGCGTTGAGGGCGGCTATGCTGCCTCACAGGAGGAGAATATTAGAAGTTGCTAAGCCCCAGATGAAAATAATGATCTTAAGATAATAGTACTATTTACCAAACTTTTGTTCTCAATTATCTGTCCCTATATAATGACAACGGCGATCTACGGACTGCTAGGACCGGACCCAGTTGACCGACATGGATTATGCCTTCTTTCCCTTGATGGTGGCGGTGTACGAGGACTTTCAAGCCTTTATATTCTGAAATGTCTTATGGATCTTATAAACTCGGAGATTTCGCACAGTGCACATGTTAAGCCGTGCGATGTGTTTGATTTGATTGGGGGAACCAGTACGGGCGGGTAAGTCACCATGTACTACATGTTCACTGGGGCAGCAGAATACACATCTATCCCCAGCCTGGAGGGCTAACAGCCGAGCAAGGCTAACGATAATACCTATAAGATTGATTGCTATTATGCTAGGTCGTCTGGAAATGGATATAGATGATTGTATTGCAGCCTACCGCGAGCTCATGGAATCTGTGTTCAGCGAGAAAGCCCGAACAGTATTTGTCGACTGGTCCGGAAATGTCAAAGCCCAATACGATTCACAAAAGCTTCGAGATGTGATAACGCATGTCATCACCCTGGCAGGAGCGTCCCCCAATGATTTACTTAATGATGGCATGTCTCGGAAATGCAAGATTTTTGTCTGCGCAACTGCGAAGGAAACTTTGGAAGTCACGCGGTTACGAAGCTACGACGCTCTCGATGAAAATCAACCTTCTCCTACTATCTGCGAAGCGGCATTGGCCACATCGGCTGCTACACGGTTCTTTGATCCCGTCTCTCTTGGTGATCGGCAATTTGTGGATGGTGCTTTCGGTGCGAATAACCCAGTGGAAGAAGTGGAGGAAGAAGCTTGTGATATATGGTGCCCTTCAACTCGGAGTATTCAAGAGCTTGTGAAGTGCTTCGTCTCTGTCGGAACTGGACATGCGGCCAATCAGGCATTGGATGACAATATTTTCAAATTCTTGTCAAAAACGCTGGTTAGGATGGCGACGAAGCCTGCAGGGGTGGAGAGACGGTTTATGGCTCGGTGGAGGCGCGGGTGCGAGGCGAATCGTTGCTTTCGATTCAATGTTGAGCAAGGGATGGAGACTGTTCAGATGACGGACTATCAAAAGCAAGACTTGGTTGAGACCGTCACACATGACTATCTTCATCTACAAACTCAAAAGATTGCAGTTCATCATTGTATGCTCAATCTTGCTGGAAAAAGAGGTACGTGATTGCAACGATCCTGAAAATAATCAAGAATTGACTGACTATCTATAGGAAAGACAAATATCGACTTTCACAAATCTGTACAGGTAAGTTCAAGCAAAAATTGATATACTATGATATGGCTGACGCAAATCGGCAGTCATATAACATTCGACAAATGCATCTACAGCTTAGTGCCGAGATGGACCAAACGCAAAACCTGATATCTATGAAGCCTAAACTTGGTAGCTGGATTGTTCCTTTTGATCGAAACCCGAAGTATGTAAATGGTGGAATCATGGGGCAGGTTTCAGAAGAGCTTTTTAGAAACTTGGGAATGTCCCGAACTGCGATATATGGATTGGGCGGAGTTGGAAAAACCCAAATTGCCCTTGAAATAGCCTACCAGGCTCAAGAAAGCAACCCTGAGTGTTCAGTATTTTGGGTTCCTGCTATGAGCCCTGAAACTATCCAACAAGGATTTTTGAACATAGCCACTCATCTTGGTCTTGTGATCGTCAAGCAAGAAAAGGATGAAGTAATAAGGGCCGTCCAAGATCATCTCAGTCAGCAGGCTTTCGGTCGCTGGCTTTTAATCTTCGATAATGCAGATGACATTGAGCACTGGGAGTCCTCTTCAGAATCTGATCCGGGCGTAAGTCTCAGAGATTATCTTCCAAGTAGCTCTTTGGGCTCCATATTATTCACTACTCGGAGCATGAAAGTCGCGCAAATGCTCGCGTCACACAATATATTGAATGTACCGGAAATGGACTTGCAACGTGCTACCCGTGTGTTACGAAATCTCCTCATTGAAAAAGGACTTCTTCACGATGAAGAAAATACCCGCGAATTGCTTGAGCGACTGACATATCTTCCACTCGCTATTGCACAAGCGGCAGCATTTATCAATCAAAACGCCACTGGTATTAAAGGATATATCAGTCTTTTAGATGGACATGAGCAGGATGTTATTCGTCTTCTTAGCGAAAATTTTGAAGACAAAGGGAGATATAAAAGCACCCTTAACCCTGTTGCGACTACCTGGCTCACGTCTATTGCACAAATACGCAAGAGCGATTCATCGGCCAATGATCTGCTAGCTTTCATGTCATGCTTGAGTCATCGGGATATTCCGATAGCTCTGCTTCCATGCTCAAATCCAGTTGAGCAGAGCAAGCAGCTTGGCATCCTTCAAGCATATGGCTTGATCCGCCTCCACCTTGACGATCAGCGTGTTGATCTCCATAGATTGGTGCATTTGGCAATGCGCAATTTTCTGAGATCATCGGCTGTACTAGAGCATTGGGAGGGGAGAATGTTAGAGATAGTAAGCCAAAGATTTCCTCCGACGGAGGCACGCAACCAAGACCTCTGGCGGGCTTGTTTCCCTCATGCATTTCACATTCTAGATTTGACCTCGACTTACGAACATCCACATGCTCGAGCCCAATTACAATATCGGGTTTCCAGTTGCCTCATACTCGAAGGAAGAGTCAGGGAGGCAATATCTCTGACTAAAATTGTTGTCAAGTACAATGAAAAGCATTTTGGACCAGAGCATCAACGAACACTGCATGCTTCCAGCGGCCTTGCAGTGTGTTATCGAGCACAGCAACGCTATGACGAGGCGCAAGAGCTTATGACTGACCTTCTTCAAACTAATGTTAAGCTACATGGGCCTGATTGCCTGAACGTTGCTGTGGGCTCTCTAACCCTTTGTATCATTCATTTTCATCAAGGAAACCTTGCTATCGCGGAATGGCTAGGAATTGCTTCATTCAAGGGTCATCTGAGGTATTACGGCTTTGAGGATCATAGAATTCGAGTGCTTCTTTTCACCATGGTTCAAATATACTTAGACCAAGGAAGACTACTGAATGCTATGAGTCTTGCTCAGAAGCTGTATTCCATCACTGCGAGAGTCTGTGGTCCCAAAGATACAGATACATTATGCGCAAAAGATACACTTGCAAAGATATGTGTTGAGCAAGGCCTTTGGACAAAGGCAGCTACCCTTGCTACCGAAAATTTAGCAATAACCGAAGAAATACTTGGACCAGACCATCCAATAGCCATCAGTCACACTTTGACCCTTTCGAACATCATGGAAGGACAAGGACGAGATCTAGAGGCTGCTGCACTGAAAATTGAATTGGCCAAGAAAACCGAGCGTCTTTATGGGCCAGATCACCCTAGGATTAAAGCGCTTCATGAGGAGGCTAATTACTGCAAAACGTTGAAGTAAGCCGCGCATTCGTCGAGCACACTCACCTCATCTCCCGAATCTCATGCTAATATTTCATATGATAGGCCTTTTTATGAACGAATTTCGGACCGCTTATCCTACGCACGAAAGTCTAAAAAGATCTATTACCGTCGACGAAAGCATCCCCGAGTCAAACTCTACGGTGGACTGTATTGCCCAAGGCGACAGATAAATGATGAATCCTTTATTCAGATGGTCGAAAGGGCAGATCAAGCATGCATTTTTCGAGAAGCATCTGAAACATCAGCTGAAAGCTCCGATGCCCCCTCGCTAGAAAATCTTGGAGGTGCTGTATGTAATAGGCCCGAGTCGGGCTTGTTTAGTTTTCCACCGTACATGTCGAAACGTTCTTTTGAGCCAAAGTTCTGCTTTGGCGGTGGTCTCTTTACGTGAAATACTCACTTGGGCGTTTTTTGGTATCTTCATTGGCGGTGCTTTTTTTTCCCTTTTCAGTGTACAAACTTGGCGATTTCTTAAGCGTCGGCAACAGTTTTCGATTTTAGATATTTTCCATCATATGATATAGACTCCATGCCAAAGAGATGAGATTGTTTCTAGAAAATATGTCAATATTGAGCAATGCCGAGCGTTCCAAGTAAACTCTAGACACCGGGAAGTGGAGGCTCTGCAGATGCGGAGAAAAGCAGCATGATTTTCCCCATCAATCAAATTCCCCGCTTGGACTCCTTGTTTACCCCCCTTTCCGGTGGCCGAAGAAAATCATCTTCAGGGTCTTTAAGGGTCACAATAAGGCATAGCCTGAATATTCCGATGTATAATATACCGAATGTAAGCCCAAGAGATTCTCGTGAGTTCAAACCTCCCAAGCAATCGAATCATACGGTCATATCTAGAATGAGAACTAGACTAATACTGCAGTATTTTGCCTAAGTTTTGCCTTGGAATGCACCCCTGAGGGGAAATACTTTACACGCTGCACTCCTCATGGAATTTTACCTAAATAGGATGCACGATGTTGGCAGTTATCTGCCTTTTGGCGATCGAGCCGGTGATTTAGCCATCCAAACGGAAGTGATCACCATCAACGAACATCTTCTCCAGATCAACACGAGTAAAGGTGAGGGGTCAACAGTCGTTTTAGATTGGCATTAGTGCTCAATCGACAGCATAGACCCCTTTTTCAATGAACATTCCTTGCATAAATACCCGGTCGACTCGTCGTCTAACTGCAAGATTCGGCCTCTTCAAGCTGGGTTAAGATCAACAGATTGCATGTGAATTCAATAAGAAGTGCCATGTTGCGTGAATATCTGCTTTTGCCGTTGCTGGCATCATATGGTGCGGCTTATACCATCTCAGTCGCGAAGTCTGGAGGCAATGCCACAACTAACCTTCAGTATGGTGTTATGGAGGAGGTATTGTGTCCTCTTATCCTCCACTGGAGCTCCGTTTTTGACATCTCTTAGGAAATCAATCATTGTGCTGAGGGAGGTCTATATGCAGAGCTGATTCGCAATCGAGCCTTCCAAGGCAGTTCCCTCTACCCATCTAACCTTGATGCATGGTTTACGTTGGGTGAGTCAAAATTGACTCTTCAGAACCTCAGTGCGCCATTATCCTCTGCTCTTCCAACTTCAGTCACCGTGGAAGGTAAGGGCAAGATCGGTCTCACAAATGAGGGATTCTGGGGAATTGATGTACGACCTCAGAAATATTCCGGATCATTCTATGTTAAGGGGTCTTACTCCGGCACTTTTACGGCATCGCTCGAGTCCAATACTACTGGAAAAACACTGGCCAGTGTTGAGATCAAGTCGAAGAGTGTTGCCAATAAGTGGGTTCAACACGAGTTTACGCTTACGCCAAATGCAAAGGCTTCCAATTCGAATAATACATTTTCACTGAAATTTGATTCCTCCGTAAGCTTGGACCGAAACTACGCTTCTTGCTCTACATTCACTGATATCGTCCTCTAGAAAGCATCTGGTGGCTCGTTGGACTTCAATTTGATCAGCTTGTTTCCACCAACCTGGAAAAATCGCCCCAACGGCCTACGGACTGATCTCATGCAGGCTATGAGTGATCTAGGCCCGGTTAGTATCACTTGAAGCTATCATTGTCAGTGAACCAAGCTCATTTGGATAGAAATTCCTTCGATTTCCCGGTGGCAACAACCTCGAGGGAGAAACTATCGATAGTCGATGGAAGTGGAATGAGACCATTGGACCATTGACAGAGAGACCTGGACGACCAACCACTTGGGGCTACGAAGAAACTGGAGGAATGGGTCTCGTGGAGTACATGGAGTGGTGCGATGATCTCGGAATGGAGCCTAGTGAGTACATTGGATTGTATGTTATTTAACACAAGATCTTCGTCTGACCCTTACCCACAGTCCTCGCTGTCTGGAGTGGCTTAGCCCTCAACGAAGATGTCGTTCCTGAAGCCGACCTTGGTGTTTACGTTGAAGATGCTCTCAACGAGCTTGAGTTTCTGACTGGTTCTGTCAATACCAAGTATGGGGCCCTTCGCGCGAAATATGGACACCCCAAGCCATGGATTATCAATTACGTCGAGGTCGGCAATGAAGATAACCTGAACAACGGCTTGGCTTCCTACACGGCCTACCGATTTGCCGCATTCAATGATGCTATCTCGAAAAAATACCCTCATATTCAAGTTCTTGCGTCAACAATCGATATGACACTACCGGGTTCTGCAGGTGGTGATTATCATCTTTATGATATCCCGGATAACTTTGTGAAGTCTTTCGATATGTGGGATAGCTATAACGATTCCCACCCCATCTTGCTGGGTAAGTTTGTTCTTAATTAGCGATGACACTATAAGCTAACTGTAACTATTACAGGTGAAATTGCTGCTACCGAGTACAACAATGGAGTTGGTATTGACTGGAGCGATTTCACTTTCTCATTGTATCCTTGGTGGATTGGTTCAGTCGCTGAAGCTGTGTTCCTGATCGGAGCAGAGCGAAACGCTGATAAAATCATTGGAACAACATATGTGAGTCTATGAATCTTTCTTGAAATTTGTATAACTCACCTAACGCGTTCTAGGCGCCTTATTTTATGAATCTCGACGCTTATGAATGGAGCCCGACCATGATCTCCTTCGACGCTGATCCAGATAACACCGCCCGTTCTACAAGCTGGCATGTCTATGATGTAGGTTACACTACTATTTTCATGTATATTTTCTATTGACTAATATTGGTAGCTCTTCAATCACAACCATATGACCAATACGCTCCCGGCAACATCTGAAGATGCCTTCGGCCCTCTTTACTATGTGTCCGGCCTTGATAAGAAGACCAACTCGCACATTTGGAAAGGAGCTGTGTACAACAGCACCGCTGATGTTCCCGTTTCCCTGACATTCGAGAGTATCAAGCAAGGAACGACGGCTGACTTGACTGTTCTAACTGCTCCGGATGCATACTCAATGAACGAAGTGGGAGGATCTAATATTGTCAATACAAAGACCACGACAATCAAGGCTGGTAAGAGTGGAATTTTCAACTTCAGTTTGCCCAACTTGAGTGTTGCGGTGCTTACTACCAATTGATGAGTGGAGCATGAGTGCGAAAAGCCTCAATTCCAATTGAGATAGTCGTGGTTATCCTGGCATCCTTTTACATCGCGGCCCTGATAATGAGACCATAGAAAAAATGAAGACATTTTAAACACAGAAGGTCGAACTGGGAGTTACTCAGTGAACGATCTTAGCGCTCGTAGAGACGTAGTAGATAACTATGGACCATAACGTTCAGAGAGAGAGAGAGAAGACTCCAATTTTCTTCTTGAGACCCATCACTTTTTGAACTCCGAGATATAATATCTCCTCTTCTTTGTTTCCTATCATGTGCGAAATCATCCACTGTCTTATCGAAGCCGTACCAGTGTGAACGTGAACCAAGTCATCGGGTCAGTCTAATTCACCAATGCAAAATTCATTCAAATATCTAAAATAAATACCACCTGCCAATTTGAGTCCAGCAGCTTTTCTTCTCCCAAAACAATGACCCCAACCAATCTACATCGCAGTTCGACGGCCGTCTCCACTTCACCTCACTATCGAGGGACTTCCCTCCGACCCACAAGGCAAAGTTGCAAAAACAAGCTCAACTTACCAACCACGCACAGTATCTCCATAAATAAGCTCCGCTATTTCGCTATAAGGTAGAGCCGCCTCAACCCTCGTTTATCCGAGCTTTTCTCTCACCGTGCTCCGCTTCCCTTTTTGCTAAGCTAGTTAAGCCATCGGATAAGCCCGAGTAATGTACAGTAAGCTTAAGCTTCACTACCACGTTCGAGCCCCTTTCCACGAGTGAAAAGAGAAGCGATTGTTGCGATGAGTGCGAATACAGCTGAAGCTGCGAAGGAAAGTTGTATACCATGGTAATACACCATTCGCACGGGCATTTGGATGTCAGCCGGTAGATCATGAATTGCGGAGACAGAGTGACGGATTTCGTCGATCAACTAGAAATCAAACAGACGTGAGGTCAGCATGACATTCTTTTCCATTTCTCTTTGTATATTTTGGAATGATGGGATGGGATAGTACTTTCCATTTATCAGGTACTCCACTCAAGGCCTCCGGTAGGCCTGAGTATAGTGTGTTTTGAACTATTGCGGAAGTGATCGCGACGCCCCAAACTGTGCCTAGGGATCGAATGAGGTAGACGGTTGAAGCTGAGACAGCGTGGTCTAGTCGAGCTAGTTAGCGCGGTTAATATAAATTATATCGATGAGACATACCGTTATGGTCGAATGCAGAAAGAAATGTGAACAGGATTCCAGGGTAAACGATTCCTTGTCCTAGATTTGCGGGAATGATATATGCAAAGTATTTCCAGCCTGAGTCATCGAAGCCGAGGAAGGTTACGAGAAAGTTTCCAATGAACATTAGTGTTGCTCCGGCGCGGACAAGTTGAGCTAGCTTTCCCCATCGAGACATTACTATTCCGGCTATGAGGCCACCGAGTGGAGTCATTAGCGAAGGAATAGCTAGTCGGGCACCGGCTTTCGTGGGGGTTTCCATGAGAATGACCTGGAAGAAAAGCGGGAGCGTAAAGAGGAACTGGAGAGTTAGTTAGTATACTTCTTCTTCTTCTTCTTCTTCTGGGTCAAGTGGGTTGGGTGTAACTTACAGCATAGGCAGCCATTCCAACACAAACATTTGCAATCTGGGTCGAGACGGGGTGTAGACCGCGTAGCATCTTCAAGGGAATAAGAGGGACAGCTTTCGTATTCGCCTCGATGGTGATGAAACCAGCTAAAAAGACGATACTGGCGACTAGAGGTAGAATAACCCAGATACTAGTCCAGGGCAGCTCATTACCACCAAGACTTAATCCAATAAGTTGTGTCGAGAGAGCCAGGACGAGCAGAATAGATCCCGACACGTCGATTTGGTGCCAGAGACCTTTTTGTTCGCTGCCCTCGATATTTTCCTTGGGAGGGAACCTGAGCACAAAGTGTCCCAGTACCAGCACGATCAGAGATACAGGGACCTGGACTAAGAAGCACCAGCGCCAACCAATTGTGTCAACGATGGCTCCTCCAAATGATGCCCCGCAGATTGCACCGAACCCGTATGCGCCGTTCTGAACAGCTTGGTACATTCCGCGATTGCGAAATGGAATTAGGTCTGAATTAATGATTGTAGCTTTTTAACGTCAGTTAATGTTTCTTCTTCCTTAGAATTCCTGCTGAGCTCATTAGGCGCAACTTACCCATTGTCATCAATCCACCCCCACCAATACCAGTTAATGCCCGCATGATATTCAAAAAGACCACATCTCTAGCCATGGCACATCCTAAACAGCCCGAGAAAAATGTAATTGTTGCTGTAAAAAAACAAGCTCGGCGACCGAGTAGATCTGAAAAGCGACCGTAGAGTGGTTGGAAAGCCGTGCTCGTAATAAGGTACGAGGTTGTCAGCCACGACGCGGTGTTAGCGGCGTTGAACTCTGAACTGATAACGGCGTATGTTGAGGCAGTGATTGTTCCGTCAAATCCGGCAAGAAAGACATTTGACATTATTGCTGTTGGATTTATTAGCGGTCTGTAGATTTTGCAGGCTTATGTTGATCTTGTTAAGGGAGCTTAAGACTTACCAAGTTGGATCCAGAGAAATCCTCTCGGTGGACTCCAAGTAGCTACTACCGGGGTAGGTTGAGGCTGTAGAAGAGGTTGTTCTTCATTTGGAATAGCCGGGGTCATTCCCGCTTCTTGATCTTGTTCGATCATCTTCAATTTTGGGCGTGTATGCGAATTAATTCCCTGGACTTGAACCTCTTCTCTATACAAAAAAGAACGAGATATTACCGCGGGGATATACAGATCAGCGCAAAATAAAAAATTGTCAATAAAGTTTCAATGTCTGTCACAGCTTTTAGCACGCGAATCTAGCCGAAAATTCGGCAGGGTTTTTTCGTGCGATAGAACTTTCTTCCGTGCAGTGACTCTTGGCTGTTATTGAGGGGAATGTCCAAGCATCGGGCACCTTATTGGGAAATGCGGGACGAGAGCCCCGCTATACTCAGTAAGCACGACATCTGATGGGTCGTTGACATTATCACACACATAGAAACTTGAATGTGAAAATGATTGTTTTAAACCCTGGGAAATGACGTTTTAAAATTCTGTAGGTTATTAATTAGTTCGAGTGGAAATATAAAAGCCCCGCAACCTCCGGGCTTGGAAATGTTCCAGTGAAGATCTCAGTAATCGTCATACTACAAGAATATCTCTACCAAGTATCATAGTACAGGAATTGTCCTAGATACAGTGCAGAGTACCCAACTAAGGTTAATGTACCCTATGCTTCTAATCGAAATCAGCATCATGGAAACTGATCGCTGGTCTAGTCTTTTACCTTCGACTCAAGATGAAGGTTCTTGAAACCCTCCTCAGCGCATCTGCACTGATACGCCTCGCAAGTGCAGATTGGCAATTCAAATCTCGTACGGACCTGGCACCACCTCGTCTTAACATTACGATCCCTGCATCTCAGGATGTCGAGAAGGGATATCTTTTCGTCGCTCCGTTCCCGGGCCAATTCCTTGATCCAGAACACCACGGTCCCCGCCAGGAAGGGCCGTATATCTTCCGTGATGATGGCGAGCTCGTCTGGTCTGGATACACGTACTTTTCTATCTGGGCAGCGAACTTTCATAAGGGAACTTGGAAGGGTCAGGATGTTCTGTATAGCTTTGAGGGAGATCATAACCCTGCGTATGGACATGGACATGGCCATGCTACGATTTTGAATCAGCATTATGAGACTGTTCGTGAGCTGCGTGCGGGAAATCATAAGTTTATGGATAAGCATGAGCTTCATTCTGTTGATGGGGTGAATGCTTTGATTCAGGTTTATCAGCCTGTTCCGATTGATTTGAGTCGTTGGGGTGGTAGCCCGGATCAGCAGTGGATTGTTGATGCGATCATTCAAGGTATGTGTCTGCTGCTGGTGATTGTTTTGGATAAGTGGCTGATGTTATTTAGAATTGGATATCGAAACTGGTGAGCTTCTCTTTGAGTGGTCTAGTCTGGAGCATGTTAGTCCCGATGGTAAGTTGCCTATTAATCAACCCTCTCGGTATGTCGATGCGCTTTTACTAATGTTCGAATTCAGAGGCCGTTCTCCCCTTGAACCCAGGACAGGCTGGTGCCGGATGGAACTCATCAGACGCGTGGGACTACTTCCACATCAACTCTGTTGACAAGAATGCCGCTGGAGACTACCTCATATCCGCACGCGATGCATGCGCCGTTCACAAGATCAATGGTACTACAGGCGAAATCATCTGGCGTCTCGGTGGACTCAAGTCCGACTTTGAGCTTGGCCCCAACGTCGCCTTCTGTTTCCAGCACCATGCACGATATGTATCCGCCAATGGTGACGAAGAAATCATTTCTCTCTTCGATAACTCCGCCCATGGCACTGAAAATCACCGCGGCCACGAAGTTCACACATTCCCTTACTCCCAAGGCAAGATCATATCCATCAACACGGCCACCTGGACTGCGGAGATTGTTCAAGCCTTCCAGCCTCCAGATAGCCTTCTTGCCAAGTCACAAGGCAGCACTCAGCTCCTTCCCAACGGCAACGTCCTCGTCAACTGGGGATCCGAGGGCGCCATGACCGAATTCAAAGCTGACGGTACGCCCATTTTCCACGCATACATGGATTCAGGCCTGCTCGGTGAAGGCGTCGAGAACTACCGTGCCTATCGCTTCAACTGGACTGGTCTCCCCAATGAAGAACCGGCTATTGTTGCGCAAAGAACTCCATCCGGTACTGCGGTGTATGTCTCGTGGAATGGTGATACTGAGACTGTCTCTTGGCGCTTCTATGCGGTGACCGACCGGTTTGGATCGCGATCTTTCTTGGGAGAAACTGAACGGGATGGATTTGAGACTGAGTTCCTTTTATCTGGGCATGTTTATGCGCGAGTGATTGCTGAGGCGGTCTCGGTTGGTGGGCGCGTTCTGCGCACCACGGACATAACTCGTGTTCGGGATCAGGTGCTTCCGTCTGTTCCTAGTGCTGAGGTCATTATGCCGAACTCGGCCGATCGGGGTTTTTGGAAACAGGTTGTTTTCCAGGCGTGAGTCTAACCTTGGAACAATGATTGAGATGATTGAGAGCGGTTGTTATTGGTTTGAGGTGGCGTGGATGTGTGTGGTAAGTGAAGTAAGGGTGTTGGTGGCGTTGTGACTGGCCTACCTAGGCTACCTAGTACTATGTATATTCAAGTTGTATAGTGTAGGTAGATCGGGAATTATACATGCCACATGGTGGTTGTCGTATAGAGAATAAATAAAAAGTTGTAGAATTTAAAGAAGTAATTATGTGATATTAGGAGATTGCTTAGATATGGACCAGCAGTACCTACTAGGTGCAAGTATATTCAATAATATGTAGAGACCATGTTCAAGTTGTAGAACTTGGTAGCTTACCTATCAGCAACAACTTGAAGTTACATTAGATAAACAACTAGTATTCCGCTCTTAAGCGCCTATGATCATACTCGCAGCATAAATCCTCGCATTATCCAGACTCGAGCTATCCCAAAGAGGCCAATGCAGCGGGGAAGTCAGCCGTGGGTCTCTCCACTTTGTCGAACCGAAATAATATGCGGAGAGATAAAACACGAATACGATACGAATACGGAACCAATCATGATGCAAAGCGAGTGTTAAAGTTGAATGTGCTCTCTGATGCCATTTGCACATTTGAAGACCTTGGATATACTGGTAATAGCATTCGGATGACAGCTTACTCGTTCTCCGATTTGCGGTAACTTGAGCTTCCGAGAGCAAAAGAAAGGTACTAGTACCACTAGTCTCTGCCATAAAGTAGTGTGTGATAAAGTAGATCTACATACAGTGTGTGCTGTTGAGACCCTTGTTCAGTTACCGTGATACTAGTAAGGCGGGCCACATGCTTTGACATCAAGGTGAACCAACACTCGGATCTCTTTACATCCGACTTCCGGGGGGGAAAGTGCTCTTGCTTAAAGAAAAAAAAATATAGCAGAGCTTTCTTTGGCCTTTTAAATCATTTTCTTCACAAACACACCTCCCCCCACAAACAATGCTGTAACACTATGGCAGCCCCTCTCCCCCCAGCTCCATTCGGAGGTGGAGCCGCAGCTGCACAGACAGTCCACAACATGGAAGAATATGCCACAGAAGAGACCACCACCACAACCAAATCCGACTTTGAAACACACGACAATGAAAAATCCGATTCACAAGCCGCATTCGAAGAATCAAGACATGAGGAAATCACCAAGCTAGCACGCACATTCTCGCGTCTCTCACAGCAACAAAGCTCGGGCTCCTCCTCGTCCGATGCGATAAACACTTTTCTCGATCCAACCAAGAATCCCGAGTTAGATCCTCTCTCGCCCGATTTCAGTTCCCGAAAATGGGTTCGGAACACCCTGCAAATGACCCGGAATCCCGACCGCTTTCCGCGTCGCACAGCAGGTGTCTCGTTTCGGAATTTAAATGTCTTTGGGTATGGGACTGCGGCGGATTATCAATTGAATTTTGCCAATGTGTGGTTGAAGATGTTTGATGGGGCGAAGCAAATGTTGGGATTGGGACAAAAGGTGCGCATTGATATTCTTCGAGACTTTGAGGGGATCGTAGATCATGGGGAGATGGTGGTGGTGCTTGGTCGTCCTGGAAGGTGAGTCTGCTTTCTTTGTTGCTACCTGAGAAGAGTCTTGGGAGGCAGAAAAGGTGTCATCGTTTGCTAACCAGTTGTTCATTTTCGCTTAACCCAGTGGATGCACTACTTTTCTCAAGACTATCGCCGGCGAAACACACGGTCTATACCTTGGAGATGGAGTAGATGTGCAATACGAAGGAATCTCCTGGGATCAAATGCACAGTCGCTTTCGTGGAGAAGTGATCTATCAGGCTGAAACAGAGATCCACTTTCCTCAGTTAACTGCGGGGGAAACATTGCTTTTCGCGGCTCAGGCTCGTACCCCGAGTAATCGGCTCTCAGGCGTTACTCGAGATCAATATGCCTTGCATATGCGAGATGTCACAATGGCAATGCTTGGTCTTTCGCATACTATGAACACCAAAGTGGGTAATGAGTATATCCGTGGTGTTTCGGGTGGCGAACGGAAGCGCGTTAGTATTGCAGAGACCACACTGTGTGGAAGTCCTTTGCAATGCTGGGATAACAGTACTCGTGGGCTTGACAGCTCGACTGCTTTGGAATTTGTGAAGAACATTCGTTTGTCGACTGATTATAGCGGGACTACGGCAATTGTCGCTATTTATCAAGCTAGCCAGTCTATCTATGATCTATTTGATAAGGCAATTGTTCTTTACGAAGGACGACAAATTTACTTTGGTAAAGCCGACGATGCACGCCGTTTCTTTATCGAGATGGGATTTGATTGTCCGGATCGCCAAACTACTGCGGATTTCCTGACATCTCTCACCAGTCCGTCGGAACGTCAGGCTCGGCCAGGCTATGAGAACAGAGTCCCTCGAACTCCGGATGAATTTGCTGCGCGTTGGAAGGGAAGTCCCGAGCGAGAGAAACTCATAGCAGAGATAGAGGAGAAGAATTCTCGCAATCCAATTGGAGGCAATCATCTTGCGGAATTCAATAAATCCCGAGCTGCTGAGAAGGTGAAGAGTGCCCGCGCTGCTTCTCCTTATACCCTCTCCTATCCTATGCAAGTCAAGTTGTGTCTCTGGCGCGGATTCTTGCGTTTAAAGGGAGATCTGAGTATGACCCTGGCATCCGTGATTGGCAATACACTCATGGGTATCATTATTTCCACGGTTTTTATCAATCTACCCGATGACACGTCCAGTTTCTTCCAGCGGGGTGCATTGCTCTTTTTCGCCGTTCTGCTCAATGCATTCGCTAGCTCTTTGGAGATTCTCACTTTATGGCAACAGCGACCAATTGTTGAGAAGCATTACAAATATGCACTGTATCATCCATCCGCAGAAGCTATCAGCTCTTATATCGTGGAACTACCGTCCAAGATATTAGTTGCCATCACATTCAACATTATCATCTACTTTATTCCTCACCTCCGTCGAACACCGGGTCATTTCTTTACTTTCTTCTTGTTCTCTTTTACCACGACCTTGGTGATGTCGAATATCTTTAGATGGATTGGAGCTGCTTCGCGCGCGATGGCTCAAGCCATGGTCCCTTCTTCGATTTTCATGATGATTCTTGTGATTTACACTGGCTTTGCTATTCCGACGAGGGATATGCATCCTTGGTTCAGATGGTTGAATTGGCTAAATCCAATCGCGGTAAGTACCTTATTCTTCATAATCCAGGTTCTTCGTAATCAGCTGAGATACTGACGTCTCCCAGTACGCTTTCGAGTCATTGATGGTCAATGAATTCAGTGGCCGACACTTCGATTGCGAATCTTATGTTCCGCAGGGTCCAGGATATGAAAACACGCCCCGCATAAACACAATCTGCAACGATAAAGGTGCCGTCGCTGGTCAGACTTTTGTCGATGGAGATGCCTACATTAACACGACTTACGAATACTACAAAGAGCATATGTGGCGCAACTACGGGATTCTCATTGCCTTTTATGTCTTTTTCCTGATACTCTACATTATCACCAGCGAGTTCATCCGCGCTAAACCTTCCAAGGGTGAGATCTTGGTGTTCCCACGTGGCAAGATCCCTCTCATTGCGAAAAAGATTCGAAATGGTGATTCAGAAAGCGGTCTTTCGGAGAAGAATCAGGTCGGAGACCCTCAAGACCAAACTGCGCATCTTGCTGAACAGACCTCGATCTTTCATTGGGAGAATGTCTGTTATGACATCAAAATCAAGGGCAATCCTCGTCGCATTCTTGATGGTGTAGATGGCTGGGTTAAGCCGGGAACTCTGACTGCACTTATGGGAGTGACGGGGGCAGGTAAGACATCATTACTAGATGTGCTTGCTGATCGAGTCACCATGGGTGTGATCACGGGTGAAATGCTTGTCGATGGCCGTCAACGCGATAGCTCTTTCCAACGCAAAACAGGCTATGTTCAACAACAAGATCTGCATTTAGAGACCAGTACTGTTCGCGAAGCACTTACGTTTAGTGCCCTGTTGCGCCAGCCTCACAAGATTCCGTACGCAGACAAGATTGCCTACGTCGAAGAAGTTATCAAAATGCTTAATATGGAAGAGTACGCGCAGGCAATCGTTGGTGTATTGGGTGAAGGGTTGAACGTGGAACAACGCAAGAGATTGACTATTGGAGTGGAAATTGCTGCGAAGCCTGATCTGCTTCTTTTCTTTGATGAGCCGACCTCCGGTCTTGATAGTCAGACAGCATGGTCGATTTGCTCATTGATGCGCAAGCTTGCAAATCATGGACAAGCTGTTCTGTGTACCATTCATCAGCCGTCTGCCATTCTGATGCAAGAGTTTGATCGTTTGCTTTTCCTAGCTAAGGGTGGCCGCACTGTGTATTTCGGAGAGTTAGGCTCCAACATGGAGACCTTGATTAAGTATTTTGAGAACAAGGGCTCAATCAGTTGTCCAAAGGATGCGAACCCTGCAGAATGGATGCTTGAGGTTATTGGAGCTGCGCCAGGCTCTCATGCAGACCGCGACTGGGCTGAGGAATGGACTAACAGTCCCGAACGAGTAGCTGTCCGCGAAGAACTCGTACAGATGAGAGAGAAGCTATCCCAACAACCTGAAGCCCCAACAGCAACTGGATACGGCGAATTCGCAACTCCAATCTGGTACCAGTTCCTCATTTGCATTCGTCGAATGTATCAGCAATATTTCCGAAGTCCAGGATATCTTTACTCGAAAACTGCAATGTGTATCCTGCCGGTAAGTAACATCCCATTCAATAGATATCAGTTTCTCAATACACATATATGTACTTACTTACCCCCTCACAGCCCATATTCATCGGATTCAGTTTCTGGCGCGAACCAAACAGTCAACAAGGACTCCAAAACCAGATGTTCGCAATCTTCATGCTTCTCATCATCTTCCCCAATCTAGTCCAACAAATGATGCCGAGTTTCTGTGTCCAGCGCTCATTGTACGAAGTCCGCGAGCGTCCTTCCAAAGCATACTCCTGGAAAGCATTCATGTTGGCTAGCATCTTCACCGAGCTGCCGTGGAATGTCATTATGGCCGTCCCCGTTTATTTCTCATGGTACTATCCGATCGGACTCTATCGTAATGCGCCACCGGGCGCGGAGGCGGAACGGGGCGGGACAATGTTCCTGCTCATTCTGGTTTTCTTGATGTTTACATCGACGTTTAGTTCGATGATGATCGCTGGTATTGATCAGCCGGAAACGGGCTCGAATATTGCGCAGTTGATGTTCTCGCTTTGTTTGGTTTTTAATGGGTATGTACTGTTCAATCTATCTATCTCCACTTACCCCTTATCTCAAATTGGTTGGTGCGACTAGCAAAAAACCAACCCCAAAACTTGGTTCTGCCTTTGTTTTGGTGGTTTTTATTATTTTTATTTTCATCTTTTTCATCGTCGGTCATTTACTTACTTGGGTATGCTGCAGTGTCCTCGCAAGTCCCACCCAATTGCCCCGGTTCTGGATCTTCATGTACCGACTCTCGCCCTTTACCTACCTCGTCTCAGCAGTCCTTTCAACCGGCTTATCAGGAAGCAAGGCGAAATGCTCCAGCATCGAGCTCCTAACCATCAGCCCACCCTCCGGACAAAATTGCTCCAGCTTCCTAGACACATACAAGACAAATTACCGGGCTACATTACTAAACCCCGATGCGACGTCTGATTGTCAGTTATGTTCCATCTCAACGACTGATGAGTTCTTAGCGGCTATCAATGTTTATTTCAGCGATCATTGGAGGAATATCGGCTTGCTTTTCGTCTATATCGTGTTTAATATCTTCATGGCTATTTTCTTGTATTGGCTTGTGCGGGTGCCTAAGAATTGGTCTCGCAAGGTTAAGCAAGCATGAGTGCGAGGTAAGGCGGCGCATGACACATCGATTCGTGGGGGCGGATTTTAATTTTCAGTCTGATCGATGGCTAGACCAGAGGACCCGAAAGTAAGAAGTTTATCAAATAGAATTTTTTATTGAATTTAATTTTAAATTTTAAATTTTGTTCTAAACTGCTGTCCGTTTTCCTTTCTTGCATTAAGTTTGTAAATACCAACAACCTTTATTAACATAATTATGGTTTTGGTTGTGATATCATTCATTACTATAATTCCAAATCATCCCTATCCTGTACCATGTCCAAGTCCGTTTCCGTCTCCGGCTCCGCTCCAGATCCGAGCGTGCATTAGCGCATATCCACACTTTACACGTGCCAAGATGATGAGCATACTAGAATAGGCGATGGGAAATAAAATAAGCATCGGATTCAATTTCCCTCTTAACGTGTAATACTCGATCCACAATCACGATCATAATAAGAAATAATTAATGGAGTTAGACTTCGACCCGATCGTTTGGAGAAATTAGCCAAGCGGCTCAACTTCGGGGTATTCGAGGTCGCATGGTGGAAATAGTGTAAGCCACTCATAGAGCGGGAAGGGGAAGCGATATGTGGGGGCCGTTTATTTTATTTTTTTTCTGTGTTTTTCTTTATTTTTTCTTTGCTGCTAGTCCTGCTAATGTACAAACACTGATTCAGCGAATTGTGTTAGTGCGCTAGTGGTGATTTTCTGGCTTTCTTAGTTGCATACGGCTGATGTCGATCACAGGGGGTCGTAGTCGTGGTATACAGTATACCGTTTATTCTGGAAAGATGTACGGAGTACATAGTACTACATCACACTACTGCAGGATTGAAATCAAGGAATGTTTAGAATGTTCCATCATGACTCATGAGGTCGAATCTCGTAACGGACTTATGAACATCATAACCTTCGCGATGAAATACGAAATGCTAAAAATAAACACAATGATGGGTCAGGAAGACAGCGGGCTTTGCGATGATGTCGATCTAAGAAATAAAGAAACAATAACACAATAACAAAGAGGAGTTACAGGAATAATTAACATCTAAAGACGGTGAAGGACCCGAGATTCCGGGAGAGGATCCCATGCTTGCTTGATATTCGCTACGAGAGACGTGCGATTGGCTTTAGTGACCCAAAACGAACGTTAGGGCAAAGCCAGGCAGACTCCGGGTCGGTACCTCGGTGACCAGATCATGATTAAAAATGATCAACACGGGGAACAAGTGAACTGGAGACCATTTATGGAAAGAAATCAAGAATGAGACGCCATTTCGCAGTGTCTGCTTCATCGGGGGCCCGGGCGCAGATTGGTCGGTGCGGGTTAATGAGGGTGTGAATGGGGAGGGCCTCGACTGACTTGGGTAGGTGGTAGAGCTTGCGAGTCAGGACACGGAACGGAGTAAATGTGCTTAATCCGAGTTATGTCTCCCTACTTAAGGGTGGAAATCTCCGTCGATTGAATTTGTAGGGGAGAATAGTCAAACGTATCCGTACACTGGGAGTGGGTCTCTCTTTTCTTTTTCGCGTTATAGATTTTGGGGTCCAAGAACCAGTTCCGGCTAGATGTGCGATCTCCCGCGCTATGTACATACTCTACTTTGGGTTTAGAGGGGGTGTCTGGATAGTGGAGAAGGGAGAAACGATGCGGGTTTAGTTTGCTGGAGTTTGACAAATGAAATTGTTTCTTTTGGTGTGGAGAGCGGGCGTTCATGGCGTCTTTTGGTTGGACTGGTCGTAAACGAAGGTTTTCTGGGCAAACAATCTACCGTCTGACAACTGGTAGCTTGGGAGGAAAAGAGGGTTAATTTATAGGTTTTAAGGAGGGTTTTATCCCTTTTTTCCTTTTATGGAACAAACGCCTAATACATTATATGGCATTTATCACAAGGGCATATTATGCCCAACTCGGGCGGTTCATCGATTGCTTCTATTTTGAATAAAAAAAGTTATAGCTTCAGCTTCAGTTTCACAGCGGTCAAACTACTGTACTCCTAGCTCATCCTAGTTCCCGCAGGGTAATTTGATTTTTAATTCCATGATTTTTGTAGACCCACGTCCACTCCAAACCCAGCCTGAGGCTTCTTGAGGCTCATTCCAGCCCCACAGATCCACGGCTGTCTTTTATGAGCCGTTAGAAGGGCAATAGGAACACCCATATACCGATGCAACGCACTGGTCCCGCCAATGTGGTTCACCTGGATGGAGCTCGTCACAGACAAGTTGCAGTCCATTATTTATACCCGGAGAATCCTTCGTCACGGCTCCTTTTTCATCCCACACTCCGAGTCCTTTTTACCCTTTTCTTCAGGATTCCCTTTGAATCCATCTACATTTCTCCTGGAGAGCTTTAAACCAAAGTACATAAAGGAAAAAAGGAACATCACTCTACTCATACAAATCGACGATGGAGTCCTACCCCCCATTTACAGATATTCACCACGCCGTCCCCATGATGTCTGGCATCCGCCACTACCACCACCATGAAACATATGATGCCCATGATCATTCTTTACCTTCCGATCACCCTTTTGTGACTTGCGCTTCGCAATTTCAATTTCAGATGTCTCCTTTTGAGCAGGCTAAATCCGCTGAAATTTTGACCCCGCAACCCTGGTGGAAGACTGAGAATCAACCTTTTGGCATGGGCTATTTCCCCCCTGAGTTTTCAAGCTATACAGAGGGTATTTCCCCATGGAATAGCGAAATCTCTACAATCTCAGACCCACAAAGTCCTCGGAGTAGCAATAGCGGCAGTATTCCTGGAGTTAATTGCATCGCTTCCCCAGGATATCGCCAGGACGAGATTGCCATTTCCACCGTCGACGAGTCAACCGGATACCCCGCGCCCAACGGACTCGTCGAAATAGATCACTCTATGGTCCTCCATAGAACTCAAACCTTCGATATTCCTCTCGATCACCGTTCGCCCTTTGAAGCAGATTTCGACCCCTGGTCCGGTAGTCAGTCGGATCGCAACGTGACTCCAGAGCAACAATGGTCCTCCCCACTTTCCTCGGATCCTATGGCTTTCCCACAGCCACAATCACAGCTACGTCGCTCGAAGGGTCGCCCGGTAGGGACAACTTCCGCTTCAAAGGGTATCCGCAAATCTATTTCTGAGCGTCGCCCAACCTCTGCGCCGGGTCGGAACCGCCGCCGTCGTGGTGCAGCTAGCAACACCGGGTCAGGCAGTGCACCCAGGACTTTCGTCTGCAGTTTCGCTCCCTACGGCTGCGAAAGCACCTTTGTTTCCAAAAACGAATGGAAGCGCCATGTTACTTCCCAGCATCTCCAGCTAGGCTTTTACCGCTGCGACGTGGGCAAATGCAGCATCCACCATGCTCACTCTACATCTACATCTACATCCTCTTCTCCTATTCCTCATTCTCGCACCACTTCCAATATTCCTGCTCCCGGCCAACCGAACGATTTCAACCGCAAAGATCTATTCACGCAACATCAACGTCGTATGCATGCGCCCTGGCTCCAGTCTGGGCGTAAACGCGCCCCAGAGGATGCAGAGCATGCCGCTTTCGAAGCTAGTCTCGAGGAAGTGCGTCAGCGATGCTGGGTCGGGCTACGGACTCCACCACTCCAGAGCTACTGTGGGTTCTGTAATGAGGTATTCTCGGGTGAGGGTAGCTGGGACGTACGCATGGAGCATATTGGACGCCACTTTGAGAGAGAAGATCGCGAGGCTTTGGGTGACGAGGTTGAGGATTTAGCTCTGCAAGAGTGGGGGCTTAATGAAGGTATTCTGACTCTTGTTGAGGGCAAATGTCGACTAGCGTCACTTTTGGGGGTTGGGTTATAAGCCTTGCTTCTAGGCTGATTGCGAGCCATTCAACTTCAGTATATCATGGTATTGGTGTTTTATCTATTGGGCCGGGTTTCGGATCAACTTTTACTGTGTTTAAATTTTGGGCTCTGATATTACTTTTTTTTCAAGTTGTTTGGTGTTGAGGATCCAAGTTATAACATTTATAGATGCAAGATGCATTTTTTACTGTCCTGTATTATAATTTTAATCGGGTGTATTCCTGATAGGTTTTTTTGGTTCCCTTAGTTTTTACTGCTTAGACATTCTATCTGGACATCCTCACGATGATGAATCAACAAAATTTACTGCACAGCTCTCTTTCGTAATTTGCTTGTTTTTTCATCTTTCTGTTGCCCAATATATTGATCACTAGGTCAATGGTGGCTGCCATCATGTTTAACCAGGGATGCGTGAAGGTCCCCGAGCCCCAATGGTATCTCCAAGTCGCTGACACCACCACATTCGGGATAGCTTCGAATGGAGCTTGGCAAACACCCTTCATTGCCACGGAACGTGTGACGATCCTCAAACCGGATCCAAACACCGAGTTGTACATTTAATGGCAGCTCATAAGGCAGATTGGGTCCAAGATGATTACAGATACACGTACTGAGTAATGAAAGGATAAAACAAGGCAGCTCTAGGCAGCATAAATAACCATAACTCCGAAATTGTATGTCCTGTCCTGATACGGAGGAATCAGATCGAGATCAGCTCTAGAACTTTCCCCGTGGCGTATAATTATCAAGCAATCATGACAGGAGGCGCAGGAGTCAAAGGGTCACTTTGTTCCACGCCAGGATGAGCAGGCTATTTTGTGGATCGACATGAAGCTCATTTCATGATCCTTCGCTCCTTCGCTCCCACGCTATTGTAATGTACAGTAAACCTTGAGATGTGTCGGTATCTTGGTCCGACATGGCCAATGGCAAATTCCAAGATTTATTGGTCATTCCTAGTGCCATGCAGCGTGACACTGCATACATGTCCACGTTTTTTTCCAACGCCACGTTGTTACTGTGTTTTGGATGCATCGTCATGCCAAATGAGGGAAAGGCTGCGAGCTAATTGCCCCAGATTACATGTTCCTTTATCGGATTAGCCTTTCTTTTTATGGACAGTATAGTAGAATCTTCAGAGAATCTGTATGGCCTAGGCGCCATCTTATTTGTAGATACTGCAACGTCACAATCCATGCCTGCTGGTTGCACTGTACATACTTGGCATTGAACTTATTCACGCCCTGCGAAGTACAAAGCAAGATCAAAGTTTTACATTTTGCTTTTTCTTTCTCTAGAAAATCTTAATTTTCTCCTATATCGGGATCTTTGCATCCGATGGGCAATGTACATGTGCTCTGTAACTCTCTTGCTTAAGATTTACGGTCTATCGGGATCTAGTCCGTTTCGGGGCTTCAATAACTAACTTCTGATTGGGCCGTTCGGATTCCTTACTCCATTATGCGTTCAGCCCAGACAACGGCTTTAGCAATACTGAAATCCGACTCGTTGTTATGATGGCCTTAGCCCCGCTTTCATTTCGTTTCTAATATTGTTATTTTTACTTATCTTACCCGAGTATTTCCCCCTCTTCCCAGTTCGATCCTTTCGATATTCCCCCTTTGTTCCAGTATTCTGGGTCCGATCATCATTGTTGGGACGGTGTAGGCAGTCATGCGGATTTTGCCTATGCAACCGAGTCAGGTTGATTCTGGAACCATGGTTCTTGCAAATTTAGTCTTGGAGATGTGGAGTAAGCCATATGGAGACTCGCTTTGCCGTCCAGAATTCCAAATTCCAAATCTTGACCCGCGGGTTTGCTCGGACCATGAGTTGATCTTGTCGATCAGGGGGCTAAGACGCGAATGTTCCCCGTCTCACCTGTCAGTGTATGGAGTACTCCGTAGTACTGTCTGCCATAACGGAATTCCCGGGCTAAATTGTTTCCGCTATTGATTTGGAAAGTACTTCGCTCGGACCACAGTTTATGCAGTCTAGGTCTATTTGAAATGCATCATCTGTGATGGAATATTGTTGTACTTTGGCGGGGACGCCACGTAGCCGTAGTGCTCCGTTCTCAGCGCCCGGCAGGATGTTAGGCTCTCAGCTTGGACTCGGAATACCAGCTAATCTAAATTGAAAATGCGAACGCCAAATAGAGACGAAGAGATATAAATTGCCCCTAATTAATGGAACTACGTATGGAATATTTTCTGCTATGTCAAGGATTAACCGATTCAAGTTCACAGTATAACCAAGTTGGGGGGTGGAGCCTTTAAAACAATATTCAGTGTGTATGTACACATGCTACTTGGCCAGCAAAGAACAGTGCACCCGACGTTCAAGTTGACCAGTTGAGTGCCAAAATCTATCGGTGCCTTACTCTAAGTCTCTAAGTACAAATCTCAACAGCATCTAATCTAAACAACGGCTAACCGATCGATCAGTTCCCCATAAAACCCCAGGGAAAAGCCCCTAGCGCATCGGTAGCTACCATCCGATCATATATCTTTTGCAGGGCTTAATTCTTCGTTCTTCCTCGTGGAAAACAAGCTCATTTGGTCCGTGACAGTACTCCACCGTTGTACATGGACAAAAACAGAAATCTTGACGACGAGGCTGCGCCGCGGCGGGATAGGCCGCGGAATCTCTTTAAGGTTGTTTCCGCGCGCAAACATTGGACTTTTCATTGGATCTTGATTAAAAAATTAATTATTTCCGACCTGATAATGTCTGATCTGACTGAATGATGGAGCCGAACGGATAGATTCCGAAATATCTTTGTTTTTGTTTTTCGGGACTTGTTTGAGGTTAATTAGACTTCGCATACCTCGGACCCTTGTGGTATGTGAACAGCCCTGAGGCCTCTATTATGAGTGGGACTTTGCAGGCACATACTCTCGCTTCGCTGTGTCTTCAATCTTTTGGTTAAGTTTGCCTTTCTTTGGGGCTTTCGCTCATTGTGAACTCCACATATTTCTATCAAATTATCACCAGCTGAACAACCAAATTGTCACATACTACCAATATAGCAGAGAGATGCATATGTGGCTCACGTTATTTAACATGTCTATCATGCAGGTATTGTCAGGCAGTGAGTGATATTGAGTCGGCAGCATTCTTTCCCACGATCTAGCAGGACGCCTCTTGCGATAAGGCAACCCTATAACCATGTGCATTGAGAGGAATTCAGGATTCCATAATCCTTCAAAACCTGAGCCTCAGCTTTCCTTCTTCTATTACAAAGTCTATCTCTCTAGGTTTTCTAGCTCTCGCAACATCCGAGATCTGAAGGGATAACCAACGACAGTTCAGAGACACTGATATCACCGCCTGTTTTCTTTGTCGAATCACAACATGCTAAGTGATTTTTGACACTCGTGATCCAAATTTCATGCCCACTTATCATGCTTATCTTCCTTTGCTTTCATAACAAATGTCGTTGTTATGGGAAGTTGAACATTTACCTTCGAAGGATCAGGTCAAGTGTGCAACTCGACGCACTCTCGCTTCAACTTGTTTCTTGTCTCTTCACTGCTTTTAGAACCACCGTGGGGCTTTGAAGAGCAGAAGCAGGATTCAGGTGCCCTGGGAACCAAAATCTGTTCGTCTCTATTAGAGCGCTATTGATATCAAAAGGCCGTTCATCGAAGTGAAAGGCACCGTGCCATGGGAACCCTATTTATTTATTTTTTATTTTTATGTTTCAGTAACATGGCTTGATCAAAATCCCAGAAGGTCATTAGATCTGTTCACGATACGACATCATTAAGACCATCGTTAAAAACCATCTTCGGGCGATAGAATATCATGAGAGCTCTAGAAGTCATACTCATGCACAGTCTTTCAAATAGCCATGTTGTCAGTTGTGTCAAAGCTGGATAGGATAAAATGGATTAGTAGCTGCTATTATCTCAGAGATATTTTAATTTGAAAAGTTAGCGCCCCGCAACCTGGATAAGATGAGATACTCGAGATTATGAGGGATTATATCCACACATGTGCAACAGTCTTGGGATAATTTTATAAGTCCTTTATGTCATTATGATGCCAAAGGCTTGAACATTTGAATCTTGAGTCTATGAACTTGAAGGCGTGTGTAGAAAAGACCTCAGGACTACTCGGTTATTGATATTTGTCATTTTCAAGCCCTGAACTCTTCCGAGCCATCATGACATCCGTCTGGAACATACTAGAACATAGTATGGATGATTATTATATGTTGGTTTACGTCAACTTGAACATCATGATCCACATGTGCATCATCTGAGCGTTGCCACTTGATGCGGTACATCCATGTATGTGCCTATCTCACATGCCAGATATCTCATATTAAATAGCACTTTGGGACTGAATTGAAGTGAGCGAATCACATTGTTGATCTCTTTTTTTTTCTATTTATTTGTTAATTCTTGTTTCTTGATACTGTGTTGTGGACGGCCGGTGAACCATGCCGCATTAGGTATCCAGCCCCGAGATTCGGACATCGTCCGCGCCAGAATGACGCGACAACACACCAAATCTCAAGATCTATATCATGGTCTTGGCACGATCAACTTCTTGTTGCGGGATCAGTCGTATGTAATCTTGGAGATTGATTTGATCTTCCAATCACCAACGCCTACATCCGGGGACCACAATTAGCCGGATCAGACAACATTGAGCAGGTGGTGCATTGCCTTCCACACCGTGGTACTATAGGTCCAGTACTCGGAGAAGACACATCTACCGAGCCCCACAGGGAAAGAGAATTCCATGATTAGAACTTAAGACCGACAGCAGCTAAATTAAGATATTTCTCATTATTATTCCAGTTTTCCGCGGGTCGATATAAAAAGAGTAGCCACCCTCCAACAGAAAACATAATGCTCTCGGTACAAACTCGCTATCTGGTTATCTCACTAGCATTAATCGCATCAGCCATCTACATACAATATTCTCTCCCATTCCAACGTCTCAAAGCCTACGTATTCAACATGGCCTCAGAATCCCTACAGGATACCTTCGCCAGACGCGCCGATGAACTGCGCGAATACATCTTCTCTCAGCCAGCCAGCAACTTTGAGAACAATCCTTGGGCTCTAGCAGCTGCTATTGAAACATTCGCCAATGAAAAGGGCCACATGATGATCTTCCGCGATAGCAAATTAGCCGTCGCTAAAGAAGCCCTCCTTTCACAGCAGCCTGCTCCTCGTACCATTCTGGAATTCGGTACATTTGTAGGCAAGTCAGCTCTAGCATGGGGCGCTATTCTTCGTGATATTTACGGCGAGAATATTCCCGAGGACGTCAATGTGTACACATTTGATCCGGACTCGAAGATGGTCGCATTGACGCGGGACTTCGTCAAGCTTGCTGGCATGGAGAATGTGATTCACGTCCTTGAGGGATTCGGATCTGATTCTTTAAATAAGCTCGTGACAGAAGGCAAGGTTACTAGCGTTGATATGGCATTCTATGATCACTGGGAGAAGTATTATCTCTCCGATCTTCAGTTGCTTGAGGAATTGAAGCTATGGCGCGTGGGATCGCTCGCTATTGCTGATAATACTGATATGCCTGGTGCACCCGATTACTTGGCTTATGTTAAAGCTGGTGGTAGCGGTGCTTCTGGAGCTGTGAAGTACGAGAGCAAGTCTTATGAGACACAAGGCGGCAAGGGTCCAGTGAGTATAATCCACCTCTTGTTGCAGGTAAAATCTGTTATGCAGCGGAAGACTAATGTATGTTTCTAGAGTATTGTGGAGATTAGCACGGTGCTGGAAACCAACTAAGCTGCTCTTACATGAAGTGCTTTGTCTCAAACTCATTGAATATACCAATTGTTACTTCAACATTGAAGGGCAAGACGATGCCCGTTCCAATCTTGAGATATGCTGGGTGTTTTTAAACGAAGTTCATGAAAAGATTCCAAATACAAATGTTGATTTTCAATCGTAAATATATTTATTTTGAGATAATCTGGGCTATGTAGCAAGCCAAATATAGTGTACTCAAGTTTTAAATTTTAAGGCAGTTTATTGGCTGTCATTCAGTCTACTCCACTCTTTTCCCACTAGTGGCTTACAGAATAGATGGGTACCAACCTCCAATCTCCCCGCGACTCTGACCAGCTCCTGCATCATTAATCATGGGGATTTACCTCACACTCACCTGCCTTACTTGATCACCACTTTTCGTTATACCACTGGAGGCTGTACATTATTTATTGACCCTCCGAAGCACCACTTGAAGCTACCGGCACCCCCACAATTGAGGTCGCGATTCCCCTCAGAACACATTCACATCATCATCACACGCCAAGCTCATCATCATGTATGTCTCTACCCACCACAGCAGCCCCTATACAAGCGTAAATCTGACATGCTCACTAGGACCGTTTTCTTTCTAATCATAATCAATAAGGCCGGCGGTCTGATCTATCAGCGCGAGTTCCAACCCGGCCTTCGCAAGCTCTCCACAAACGACTACCTGGTGCTCGCCGGTACCTTCCATGGGTAAATAATCCCTCTTCCTCGCCATTGAAATCGCCGGCGCAACTATGCCTGGTACTCCAAAGCTTTATGAAAATGAAAATGACTGATTGGATCGTTTCAATCGCAGTGTTCACGCCATCACCCGCACCATCACCCCGAGACTTCCCCTTCAAAATACCACATCCCCCGTCGTCGCATCCCCTGGTACAAATGCCCCTACCACCTCCGGCTACTCCTATCCTAATCCTGGTGTTCCTGCGTCGGGTCTTGAATATCTCGAAACGGAGAAGTTCCGATTGACATGTTTCCAGACGTTGACAGGGACCAAGTTCTTGCTCTTTACCGATCCGATGACGGGAAGTGTCGAGACGGTTATGAATAAGATTTATGAGCTTTACGCCGACTATGTGATGAAGAACCCTTTCTATCAACTAGAGATGCCTGTACGCTGCGAGGCATTTGATCGTCATCTCGCAGCTTGGTTAAGGGGGCGGACATAATTTATTGTGGAGATGGGTCGTGAGTTGTTGCAAGTTCCCAGGATTTTGCGAACCGAATGGAACTGGAACTGGGATTATGAATTATGACTAGACATTGATTTCTCCTGTTGATTTTACTCTTCGTTCCAAATATGGAATGTTAAAGACTGTTGGGTGTGCTTGGCTGTATTCTAGGACATTTACTTTACTTCAGCTCTGTGCATAATACCAATCGCATCGATATTTCTCTCGTCCCAAGTGAGAAATGGCCCTTGAAAGCCGTCTAGCGTGGGGGTTGTCGAGTAGACAAGAATAAACGCAAGGTAACAAACAAAAGAAGTAAAACGCCGGGTATGCATCACAGATCGTTTCCACCAGAAAAGACTCAGAGAATCTACGCAGTGTCCATCTTGTCATCATCCTTCTTGTCACCGCTAGATTCACCATGACCTTCCTCTGGAATTCCACCCAGCTCGGTCTTACCCTCCTGGTCTTCACGATCGCGCTTCTCCTTCTCCTGTCGATTCTTCTCCTCCTCAAGCGATAACCGCAAAGCGAACGCCAACTCAGGATCGTTCTCCGCAGCATCCTCGAAGTTGAATCCTCCAGCATCGCCTCCATCACCGCCGGACGCAGCAGCAGCACCGGCATCTTCACCGGCCAAAATCGGGGTCGCCTGCAGCTCCTCACTAAGCAGATGAGGGCCTGGCGGGATGATAGCCAAGTAAGAGCTGTCACCGCTGTTCACATTCTCCACAAAGGCCTCCAGCTTCTTAGTTTGATCGGATTCCAGATCTCCGAATGCCACCACATCGATCGAGACGTTGTTCTTCTTCATTTTCTTGGCGAGCTTGACGAGGGTCTTTTCATCTTCCGCGATCGGGGAGCAAGAAAATACGATAATTCGTTGCCGTTGCGATTTCTCGGAGCGGTGCTTCAGTGCCAACTATATTGTTCGCCCCGGTTAGCCTTTGTCTAGCGTTCTTGTATTAGTAATGGGGTCGTGCTTACTCCTGCAACCTGGATACTTGACCCCAAATGAGAGGTTCCATGGATCTTAGTGTCATGAAGTCCAGCGAGAATACCACCAAAGTCCGTGGTAAATGTTGATAGAACTTCGGGACCCTTGCCGCCCATGCTCATCAGACCGACGGCTGACTGCGGGTGCACGCGCATCTTGACGCTGTGGATAATGCTCACAGCATCCACTTGAGCTTGCCACCGAGTTGATCTGAGTTGGTTAGACGATGCAAGCCTAATGAGGGGGGTCAGATAAGCTCACGTGTAGTCTCCATTGCGACTGCTTTCGCTGTTGTCGACACTGCGGGAGAGGTCAGTACTGCGATTTAGCTTCCAGATGCGGGGACAATGACGAACATGATCATCGTAGCTTCGAGGGACATGATGGCGGTATGTGTAGGAAGCTGCCGGATAGAAGATGTGGGGGATGAGTGAGAGATAGAAGAGATGGTCGTTGGAGAACGGGGCCTTAAGTTGCTGATGACGATGGAGGTAGAGCTCGGTTCTGCCGGTTTATTCCGCCCACACCTTGTTTGTTGTGACTCCGCGCTCTACACTCTATATTTCAAACCTTCAAGCTACTCGATTTGATCGCAACATAACCCACCCCGCAATTATGACTTCTCTCAAGCGGAAATCTCCTGAGTTCTTGACAGCGCCTGATGCCACTCCAACCGGGCGACCAGACAAGAAACTACGCTTAACCCAAAACCAGAAGCAGGCATTGATGGACAACCTTCAACTTGAAAGTGTGTGATAAAGACGGCATTTCACTCCCGGAATCATGACTGACAGCTGTTTAGTTACTGAAAGAGCTCGAAAGCTTCGTGCTCAGTATGCGTTGCAGCAACATGACCTTCGATCACGCCTCGAACGACGCGTCAACCGTATCCCAATGACCCTTCGCAAAGCTAACATGGGTGAGCTGCTCGAAAAGCACAACGCGTTCTTGGCTCAGGCCCAAACCACATCGCCTTCAAGGAAAATATCCCCCGCCAAGGTCCAACGATCAATTCCAACTATCGGCTCAATTGACCAGGCTCTATCGCCAGCCGGTACCCGAACTCGACGACCAAGGTAAGCAATCTACCCCACCTATTCAATATATTCAACCTGCAACATCATGGCTAATACTCCATCTAGTCATGATGGTCACTTCTCTGACAAAGAGAACGGTGGACCAGAAGGATTAAAGAACCCTAAACGTCGAGGTAAAGCCCCAGCAGCAGGTGGAGCCTCCCGCGTCGTCTCACAGGAAGTACGAGGCAACGACCACCGAATCCTCTCACCTAAATCCCTGAACTCCCGCACATACCCGCAGTCCCCATTCCGCGCCTCTCCAGAGAAGGGCCAGCCATCTTACCTCTCCCGCCCTACCTCCCCACTCAAGCCATCAAGCCCTCTTCGCGCTGCTGGCCCAGCAAGCACTACCCGCCCCCGCGGCGCAACAGTCTCCGCCGTCAAGGATCCCTGGCAACAATCCACACAACCGAAGAAGACTGGCCGAGCGGCGACTGGGCCTAGGACCGTGGCACCTTCTCCACTCCCTCGCCCTGCTACTCGACAGGGTGAACGCAAGAATAGCTTTTCTTCGACTGCTTCTTCGGGCACGACTGTCACGAAGCCCACACGTGGAGGTACCGCCCGGAAAGCTACTGCTTCCACTGCTGCGAAGAAACCTGTTGCACCTCGTGCGCAGGCCGCTTCATTGGCCGTTAAGAAGACTGCTAGTACGGCTGCTATGAGGAAGACTACTGCCCCTGCTTCTACGACTGAAGCTTCGACTCGGGGGACTCGGGCGCTACGCAAGCGTGTATAAATTTTTATGTTCAGTTTGACTTTTTGCAGTCAAGGTTGAATCTTATTGGATAACATTTTCCATATCATGAGCGCTGATGGCTGGAATGGAGTTGACTGTCTTGTTCAGCGAGGAGTATCTATTTTTTCTGTTCTTATTATTGGGGGCATCATATCAAATTGAGGGGCGCTCACGGTGTTATTATGCTTCTTTCTTTATTTGTCTGTTTTTTGTCTCTAATTCATGGTTGTGATTATCCCGTGTCTTTAGCATGGTCTTCAACACGTTTCCCTTCTTACTTTCCATCTAATATCCCACATCGATCTGTTGTATGGTATAAACAGTCAACTTTTTACAAGAGCATTGCGCTTTTTCCACAAAGCGCAATATACTCTGAACTAATAAGATTGAAGTCGATAGCGCGTTATAAAAACTTCCCAAATACAAATGGTTCATAAACGTTGATCATTTAGACAATTTGTAGCTCGCTGCTACTATATAATTATTATTAAGACTCAAATCTTCTCCTAGACGCCGCAATTCATTCAGAGCCAGCCCAAACGCAGCATCCAGATTTTTCCAAAAACGTGTATCTGAGTTCAATTTAATCAGGAGAATCCTGATCCGCTCAACCTAATGAGCTGGTTGCAGGTCCGGCCTCTGAACTTGCTGGCGAGCAGCAAACTCCTGATACTTGGCTGCAGTGCTAATTCTAGCCCGCTTGCCGAAGATCATGAGCAGGGCCGGCATGACGATGGTCACAAGAGAGATCACTCCAATGAGAACGAATGTGTTCTGGATACCCATTCCCTTGAGCCAGGGGGTGAATGCAAACTTGATGATCATTGCAAAGCCGTTACGGACGAAAACAACAGAGATAAGGGCGTCGTTGAGAATCTAGTCTTGTTAGTATGGCAATGGCGAAGTATGATGTTTTCAAGTGAATGAACTTACCAGAGGATAGCAGTCTGTGAGGTATGTCAGAGCTACATCTGCAGTAATCATGAATCCGAAGCCGAAGATTCCATTGCCAACGGCAAGGATAACCCAGTACCAACCCTGAATGAAATGTTAGATTAAAGTATTTCAATTGTAAGTAAGAGGAAGGATTAACATACCTTAGCGAGGCCAATACCAAAGACCCAGGAACCCACTGAGTTGAATATGATGGCAGGGAAAAGGAACCACAGACGCATTTCAGGCTCAAATACACCCTTGTTTCGTCGAGACAGGAACACAACGAGCCAATCGTTCAGGAAAGGCGCCGTGCACGCAGCGAGGAGGGTACCAATAAATCCTCCAATGTTGAACAGACCAATTTCATTCGCCTTGAAGTTATATGGAGGGTAAATCAGGAAGTTCGAACCCGCCGACACTGTAGCCGAGAACCAGGCTAAGATCAAACCGTACTGGATCGCAGCAAAGGTAACAGCAGGGAAAACAACGGCGACAATAAGAGGGCGATAGAAGTTCTGAAGAATGGGGACATCGGTCTTCGTAATCAATGCCATACGCTCACGGTACGATTTGCGAGGTAGAGCTTGTGACTCCATATATGCGGGAGATTGTGCCTCATCGCTACCATCGGATTTCTCTCCATTCTGAGATGCAGTCCCATTACCATCGTAGAAGTTACCCTTGCTCTCAATCTGGCGCTTGACTGCTGATACACCACGAGGAACGTACTTCGATTCCTCGAAGAAGAACAATACACACAGAAAGTTCACTCCGAGGAAGATGGCGATGAACCACCACATCCATCTCCAGCCGAGGTCCTTGTTCACGACAATGTATCCTGCAGCAATGGGACCACCTAGGGTACCCAGACTCTGCATGAAGATGAAGATACCGTTCATTCGCGCGTGCTGGTGCACGAAGAACAAATCAACGACGGTAATCATTACGATTGCCTCACTGATTGAGCCTGCTAGACCTGCTAGCAAGGAGATGGCGACCATTTCACCGGCCGTGGTGAATTTGGCGTACCAGATTGCACAGGCAAATTGCACGATGGCACTGATGAGATATAGAGGGCGGCGACCAAATTTGTGCACGCAGGGAATGAAAAAGAGACATCCTATTGCGAGACCTGCGTATCCGGCACCACTGGTTTGGTTGAGGTTTGCGTAGGTCAATTTCAATTCGTATTCGTAGTAGAGGTATGCGACGGAACTGATATCCAGTAGAACGAAGGTGAAAAGGACATATGTGCAGCAGAGGCCGAAGTTGATTCCTTTCCTGAGACCGGACCAGTTCTATTTTCATGAGTTAGCTACTTTTTTTTTGAGGTTGGGATTTGGGGATGGTTGCCATACCAATGGGTCATCGGGATCGGCAGAGGGGGCTGGGGTAAGAACGATGTCCTTCTTGTCTGTCCCAGCTTGTGCTATGTAAATGTCAGAATTTGAGTCAGGGATATTTATAATAGGAGAAGATTGACTTACTGTTACCGAGCAGATGTGTACCCGGAGGGAAACTGGCAGGGTCGTCGTGGAGCGACATTATGGATGACAGCTGGAAGTATTGTAGGTGAAGGATTGAAGATCGTAAGCCGCACCGATAGATAGTGTTTGGGATTCCGCTCGCTTCTTATAAAGTTTGCGTAGGGTAGGTGGATGGCCCAGGATGGGGGCGAAACAGATACAGGGTGGTCAGTTCGTTAAGCCTAACTATTTTTCTACAGGGGGTGTAATCCTTCCACATATTACCAGCATTACACACGTGGTGATTTGTGCGAAGGAATGGGGGCAGGATACTAGTAGATAGACATTGAGTCCGGTGATGCATGCTGCGATAGTACAGGTCTTCCAAAGATACAAAGACAGAAGAGTGGAGGAGACCTTGCTGGATCCATTCATGTATTTTTTTTATCCTGTCTACCTATCAAATAGCATTCCTTCGACGTCATTTGCACAAAGTTACATTTATTTATGTCTAACTGACGAGTCTCCCAACTTTCCTTTGACAAAGAAATCCTTCCGCTGTAAGTGCAAGGATTCTACTCCGTTTTCCGTCACACATATGCAAAGCTGCATGGGGGCCAGAACTCGCGTGAGTCGCAAGGCAACATCCATGGATCAAGATATTGTTCGAGTCAGCATGGAACCGAGTACATGTGCATTCGTACGGTTTTCTGCCCCAACGCCATAAATGCCGTACCGTAAGCACTTATTCTGTGGTGTGTTTCCACTTCATTAGCTGCTTACAAGGAATATGGGATGGGACCAGTTAATGTTTGTTCACGGGAAGGCTATTAGGCGCCTAGTGGTGCGGAGTTTGGTGGGGGCCAGTGGAGTTGGGGGCTGGGGCCAATAATGCGGCTTTGATGCGCAACTAGGTCGCGGGCTTGCGTCAGAGGCTTGACACGGCTTGAAAGAAGGTGAGAGTCGCTAAACTTTAGGGCGTGGTCCAAAAATTGGGCGGAATAGTCAAATCAGAAAGCCACAGAGGCTTTTCGATTATGCGATGTCTGTGCTTAAGTTGATGGGGTGCCGTCATCCATTGCTTGTTGGCCCCATTATGCATGTTTGTTGAATGCTTGTATGTCTACGATGCGAAAATACATGGATGGGGCGATTTATTTACTTTGTTTTCAAATGGACGGAGTACTCCGTAGGTCCGTAGGTGGGGAAATCAAAAAGAAGCTCAACATGGTTTCAGGTAATAGCTAAATTTAGACTCAGCACTGGTATCATGGGAATCATGCTGGTTAACGGCGCCAGCAGTCAAGGGAAGAAGAAAAGTGAAGAGTGAAGTTGAAAAAAAAAAGCAAAACAAGCAAAAGCCTTGATCTTATAGTGCGCTGAATTGAAGGCTGGGGAAAAAAAGAAGAAGAAAAGTGAAAAGAGTAGACATGAAATGAAATAGAAGAAAAGGAGGTAGGACCAAGGTAGCCTGGAGCCTTGGTCTAAAAACATGAGGGACATGAGGCACGCGATCAATGGTGAATCATGCTCAAATTTCAAATGAAAGAGGGACAAATAGTTGTCCACATGTGCAGCAAAGTAGGTATGGTATAGGTATGACTGATCCCCGGAATCAGATGCAAGAAGACAGGAAACAAGAAGAAAACACAACGGAGGGAGAGAAAGGGTTCATGAGACAAACACCATCTTTAATCTCATCAAAGATAAAATGATAGGGTGTCATTTGAACAGATACCACTCCGTCGAGACCAATCAGCTCGCTGATCACTTTTGAAGGAATTTTGGATGTATGTAGGTAATAGAAAATAGGGCAAATGGAAAAACTCCGTCAACCAAGCCCGTCAGTCGAGATGAAAAGAGAAAACACACAACAACGCTAAAAAGGAACCCCCGGCAGATCGGAAGAGATAAAATCGTTGGCGAGAGGGAAGAGGCTGAGGAGGAAAAATACACCATAGACAGAGAAGGGGATAGAGGGTCGCCAGATTGGTTGATGCAAATCACAGTCGTTGATGACACGGTTTATAAACTGTGCATGGGAAGAGAAGATGTAAAAAAAAAGACTAAATAAGGATGAAAGACAACAAAATGTCCCCAGTCTAACCTGTAACACCCATAGCACCTGGGCTAGGTCGAGGTCGATAGGGAACGTTCTGTGACTGACCTTCAGCCGTTTGTTGACTACCATTGCTGGCACTACGCTCACGATGGTAGCTCGGCTCTGGGGGTCCGAAGTCTAGACCGGCCTGGGGCGCGGCACTCGAGGAGTGAGAGTGGCCGCTTGGCCCAGGCACGTGGCGGACCGAGCTTTGCATCTGCCAAGCTGTATCTTGGGAAGGGTCGGTTTCGATCCGAGCTGAGGCCGGGGCGCTGTGCTTGTTCGAATTGGTAATGGTGAATGTTTCGCCCCCATTCTCTGGTCTATTTGAGAAGCTTCCGCGGGCAATGTCACCGTATCGTTTGAGAATCTCTTTGGTCGTCACTTCGGCATTTTCTTTGAAAAGAGTTGGGTCACTGAGAATTGATTGTAAATCCTCGGGGATCTGGAAAGAGATAAGATAAAATGATTAGATTTGGTGGTCCTCAGGCATGATGGAGTAGAGCATAAGATACATACCTCGCACATATTGTCATTATACGTGATTAAAGCGTTCACTGCTTCGATAGCCATGAAACTCTCATCCACGGTACTGTTCTTGGCGTTAGGATAAAGAATGTTGGGAGTAATAACCGTTGCGAGGTTATGGATGTCCATCTTGCTTCCGGACTCTTCGTCTACATGTGAGAATGACGATGTCCAGTTGAGGAATGAGAAGAGAACTTCCAAGGTATCACGATGAGCCTTCGGGAGGAGACAACACGTGAGGTGCAACACTCGCTTCTGCTTCTCAGGATCGGGTAGTTCTGTGTTATGGTTAGCGATTTCGAAAAGGTAAAGAACAAGGCGGGGGAAGATCGTTGCAAAACTTACTTTGAGCGGCAACGAAAAGTCGGTGCAGCTTGAATGTCATCAAGGGATCCGGCATCTCACGAAGGAACTTCTTCAAGAGAGCTGCAATCTGTACCGGGTTCTCTTTGGCCATATCAACCTGATCATACTTTTTGTCGATCAGCTCAGCTAGATCCTTGAGGCGTCGGATGTTACCGTTCTTTCGGAAAACACCCTCAACCGACATGTCCATTTGACGCATTGCGGAGACAGCATCATCTACAAGCGTTGGAATGCGCAAGGCTCCAGGGCCAACTCCATGGCTCGACTCGGTTCCTTCCTTCTCGACCAGATAGTCTAGAGAAACGCCAAAAATGCCCTTCTTTTTGCCCGTTTTCTTGTTGTCTTTGAAAGCGCGACCGAAAATGTTCCAAACGGTTGGCTTGCGGGATTCAATAAGAGAAAGTAATTCTTCCATGTTGAATTGTCCTTCTAAAAGAGGTTCCATCGAAAGAACAGCAACATGTCGGACAATGAAGTATTCTAAAGCAGTAAGCTCTGAAAAATATCGCTTCGTACGCGTGGCAGGCTCCAAGATCATATCCAATTTTCCAGACGAGAAATCACGTTGGTGACCGGTCTTGTAAACAGGCATAGGGTCCCGAGGCATGACAAGCTTTGAACCAGCATGTCTGTAAGCGTTTGGCCGTTGCTCCTTGGCCTGCTCAGCAGCAACGATGCGGGGAATATCATCCAGTGTAAGCGCATCTTGATTTCCAAACGTCAAATCCTTGACAGTGTCGCCGTTGGCATCTCTTTCCTCCACAATCTGGAACCCAGGACCACGGGGATCACTGCCGTCATTGCCGGAGGATCCAGGTCGTGCACTTCTGCCCTCGGGGCCATCAATTATGCGGGAGGCACGAGCCTTCTTATAAGTCGTGGATAGCGTTCGCTCATTGCGAATCGAACGTAGCCTGCGCATCTCCCCGACAGTCTGTTCCAGGGACGACTCCTCAACGCCGTGGCGACTGCCGCCCGCGCTATACGACATGGAGCGTGTATTAGTTCGGCGGGGCTCAGAACTGTGGGCACGATGGCCTTCATTATTCTGATAATCAACCAGGTTAGGGTCATCCGATGTGTGCGGTAGTGTTCCTCCTGCGCGAAGCACTGCAAGCAACCTGGCAAGGGCGACTCTCAGCAGGAACACAAACTGCTGTAACTTGGTGACTCGAACAAAGCCGCCCACGGATGCGACATTATGTTGATTGGAACAAGCCGAACAGAAAATGCTCCTTTCACTTTCACTCCAAAGCGCATCGGTGAGTTCAATGCTCAAATCCTTTTCGCAAGATGAGCAAGACAGATGAGGCGGTTTAAGATGCCATCTCTTGTCTTCTAAAAGAAGACATTCATCGTCGATGGGCTCCTGGCATTTGATACAGCAATCGGATAGCTGATCTGCCAGACCTTCCACCCCAGCATTGAGATCAATAGGCCCCTCTTCTTCCTCTGGAGGTGTGAGATGTTCTGCGTTCGCAAGGTGACCCAGGAATTCGTGTAAGCCAGCGGGTGCTGATGTCTCTCGTTCGAGTTTCAAAGCACCTTGAAGGCCAATGCGAATGAGAAGCTTGAGATAATGGGCTAGACCAGTCACCAGTGAAAGTAGTTCTTGTGTGACGCCGAGTTTGCGAACCCCGGTCTCTTGGGTTTTAGACAAAAGCGCAAAGAAAGCGACAATCTTTTTGCAGAGCAACTTAGCTTCTCGACCATACGATAACTCTTTGACGCCTTGGGATCTGATGAAAGCTGCTAGTTCATCAACAGCAGTGAACAGAATCTCAACGTGTGCGATAAATCGCTTGGCCACAAGAACACCATCGATATAGACACCATTGCTGACATGTAAGAGCATGTCGGATATGCAGGCAGCTGAAGATTCCTCGAATGTGGACAGAGTACTCCAGATGTTGTATACTTTCTCCTCCATCGTATCCTCTTCCTGTCGAATGCGCTCACGCTCCTCGGTGCTGACATCTTCATCGAATGGGGGCGTCTCCCACGGTTCACCAGCTGGAGATAACCTTACGTTCCAGAACTTGTGAATCATATAACATTCAGGATGCCAGTGTTGGTTTTGACCGTTGCGGAAAATCTCGACGAATTGTTTGAGAATTGCAGTATGACATCCATGACATCGCTGCGCGAACTGGGTCGAATAGTGGAAATGACAGTAGACCTTGCTTTCGTGTTCGTAGTATGAGTCCTGGGCGCCAAAAACTGTAGGACATACAGAGCAGGTGAAATGTTCGATATGGTATTTGCGGTCCAATGCTGTAATATAGGAGCCGCGCAGGGCGCCACCGCAGTCATGGCATAGCAAGTTCAGTCGTCGGAAGTAATCAGTCTCGCAAAGGGGAAATTGGCAGCTGCGGTCCTCTGAATCGACAGGGAAGAATTTAGAAGCGACGATTTCGCTACAGTCCTGAAAAGAAGAAAAAGTCAGCATATTTACAGTCGAACAAAGCCAATCTATGCGGGTGAGAGGAGGTCACCCTCGAGATTATCATTTACCTGACACTTGAAACACTCAAGATGGAATGTACCACCAAGTGCTCGTACAAATTGACCCGTCAATGGTTCATTGCATTTCTGACAGAGACGTGATGATCCTGGGGACTTGTTATGTGATCGTCCATTCGGACGTGATCGATCTCGAGCATTTGAGCGATCTCGATAAGTAGGTTGTTCAGGCTCTAGTCCTCGACTTGAGCGATCATCCTGGCTGAGCGGGCTGTGATTTCCGCCGGTACGAGTTGTAGGAGAGTCAAATGGGATTAGACTATCTTCGGGCGAGGTAGGAGTATTTTTCGAGTAACTGGCCCCATAACCCGAGGTATTCAATGTCGGAGTGGGCTTGCCTGCGACCAGGCTGGCCGGAAGATCACCGGGGGGCATAATGGTCCCCCGTCAGTCAGTATGATCGGATCGTGGGTATAAGAGCGCGATAAACACTGCATGCAAGGGAACTGAAGAAGTCACAGCGGGGTGAATCCAATGCTGTGCTCAGGTAAACACAACACAGCGCAGAGATGTTCAAAGAATATTGGTCGCGTTCTCTAAGATCCTCGAAAAATCGATCGATTAGAATCAAGTATCTTCAAATTTCCTCGGGGGCCATGGGTTTTGGGGGTTCGAGTCCCCTCTAGTCCATCACTCACTCTTTATGCCATGTAGTTTATCCACGCGGGGGGAAGGACAGCGGCGGGGAAGCAAGAAAACGAATGGGCGACGAAAGCAAAGCAGGTTTCCCGCAGATGTAGATGATTGATATACACAAGATTGGCTTGCGGACCGGGACCTGCTTCAGGCGCGCACGGAGTTGGGGAGGTGGGTTGTCAGTCTTGACGCGGGGGTTCACGACTTGGAAGCTTAGTGCGGCGCACTTGTCACAAGGGCGTCACGAGGAAAGGCGGTCGTAAGTAAAGTTAAAAGCGCCAAAAGGAAACTGAAACGGAAAACCCAGGCCAAAATGACAATATTGGTAAGAAGGGAGGGTTGAGAGGGTGTTGGAAAAGAAGTGGGCTGGGGGGGGGGGCTGAGGAATGGAGATGGAGAAGGTTTGGGTGCTAATTGGACTTGTATGGTGGTGGTCCCTCTGCCCCTAATTCCCTTATGGGTATTCTTAGTACCAGCAGACGCCGCCTTAGCTTCAGTCCCTGAGGTCACGTGGTGGGCCACACCGCCCCCATTTGGTCTCCATCTACACAGTGGAGAGAACCTTGTTTGAGGAGTATATCGAAGATTCGAGTCTATCAGACGGGGTAAATGAGGTGAGAAACTCGATCTTGTTGACCTCTTCGCACATTTTTCCATGTCTAGTAATATCATGTGGCACAATTTCCCCATCATCAGCGCTTCGGGTCACTTACAACTAACTTGCGGGTCAATTTAGAACAGAGTTCGTTACTTATTTCTGGAACATATTTTCTCACTTTTTCATAATATAAGACGCGCTATACCTCAGCAAGGCTGACCTTTTTGTAGCTCTGTGAATTCCCTTATGGTAAGCTCGGAAATATCTTTTGACCAAGCATAGAGCCATCCATGCCCTAGTGGTTATAGTTAATACCCTCCTGCCTAGCCTTACCGTCCTTAACGCATACAACCAACTTTATCTCTACGGGAATTATTGTCTCCAAATTCAATTTGGGCTTATGTGCCTGTCTTGGATAAAGCCTTGAAAATATTATATATGCTAGAATCCTTTATTTACGCGGTCTTCAAGTTGTCGTCCATTTTTTGAGCTTGAATTCCAAGGCCAAGTCTGAAAATATATACTCCTATAAGAACACATCCATCGGGCAATCCTTCAAGTTCTGTTCCCTTTTCTTTCTTCAAGTTTTGAAATATAAGAGACAATCGATATCAATCAAAACGTACTTGCTCCGAAGGTTATATATTCCAAGTTTTCCAATTCCCAAACTAGTGTTTAGGCCAATGCACAAACCTTGAATAGTTAGATAAGTTACCAACATCAATGTTCACGCCCGAATATCCAGGCCGAAACAAAAAAACCACGATAACACTTATCGCCAGATCAGCTGATCCCGCTCCAAGTGTCCTCCCCTTTTCACTCCACACTTGTTAACCCCCTCATCCCTCTTTTTTGTTAACGGCAATCAAAATGGCTGCGAAGAGGCGCAATCTGGAACTAGGCAATGTGCTGGTCGTCGGTGGCTGTGGTTTTCTGGGGTGGCATATTGTCGATCATCTCCTAAACTTCCCATCCGAGACAGACCCCAGCGTTGCTCTTCCCAAGGTGACCGACGATGCGCGTTTCGATTTTGAGACTCTCGGCTCTCGATTCCCCAATTATAAGGCTAAGGTGTCCGTGGTGGATCTGCGAACTACACACAACCGTTTGCCTGGCGCAACCTATTACGATGGCGATATTACTTCTGTTGAGTCCATGCTTGAGGTCTTCCGCACCGTTAAGCCCGATGTTGTGATTCATACTGCGACTCCATCTGTGCTCGATGGTAACAAGCCATTGCTGTACAAGGTTAATGTTGAGGGTACTAAGACTCTTGTCGAAGTTGCTGGTGGTGAGCATGGTGATTGGGGTGGCAAGTGTAAGGCTTTTGTGTACACTAGCTCTAGCTCCGTCGTGCACGACACTCAGAGTGACTTGATCAATGTGAACGAGGAATGGCCTCTCATCCGTGGCGAAAGACAGAAGGAATACTACTCCGAGACCAAGGTAAGCGATCGATCCATTGCGCTCTCAAAACTCAATCGATTTCGATATACTGACATCTCTTTTTCTCCCTCTCCCTAGGCCGACGCTGAAGAACTTGTCCTCAAATACAACCGTCAGTCACCGAGCGGAATGACCACAGCTGCTATCCGTCCCGCTGGTATCCTCGGCGAAAAAGACACAACAGTCACCCACAAGATCCTCGAGCACGGCTCCAAAGCCTCCAACACAGTTCTGAAGATGCAGTTGGGCGACAATGACAACCTCTTCGATTTCACCTACGTCGGTAACATTGCCTACGCACACATGTTGGCTGCACACCGTTTGATTAGTACCTTCGACCGCTACCAGTCTGGCCAGGGCGGGCCCTTGGACCACGAGCGCGTGGACGGCGAGGCATTCAACATCACCAATGACTCTCCTCTTTACTTCTGGGATATGACACGTGCCATGTGGGCGCTGATTGACCGAGTAGTTGAGACTAGCGAGGTCTGGGCTCTGCCCGAGGGCTTGCTGGGTATTGTTGGCGGTATCGCAGAGACTGTGATGGGTGTCTTTGGTAAGACTCCTCGGCTGACACAGCGGATGGTGCGATACTCGTGTATGACCCGTTACTACTCCATTGAGAAGGCGAAGTTCCGTCTTGCTTACTTGCCTGTCATTCCTGTTGATGAGGGTATTGCTCGTGCTGTTGGGTACGTGGTTCAGAAGCAACGGGAGGATGATGGAAAGAAGGCGCTGTAACTTGCATCTTGGAGAATTGATGCAAGATCTTTTGTCTATAGTGTAATAATATGCAAGGCGATTCGCCTTGAGAAACGACCTTTCCTTTTTTATACCATTCAAGGATGTGCCCCCAGCTTAAGGCTGTCTATTTATGTATCATTTATTTGGTAAGAAAATACAATCAAGAAAATGGAGGGCTCGCTATTCCAGGCCTGTCTGTGCCTTGGATAGATGCATTTCTAGCTAATCCTGCAGCTAAAATATACGAAGACGCATAGTACCGCATAATGGCACATTGGATATAAACAAGTATCAAAAATCAATATGTAACATCAACCAAATCAATCAGAAGAGTCCCTGCTCTGCTTTTTATCTATTCCTTGGTGGTGCACATCGACTGCACTGATATTCTCTTCTCCAATCGCCTCACCCTCATGGCGAGCGATCTCGACATCAAACGCAGCACGACTGTGGAAAATGCTTTCCATTTCCTCAAGCGACTTGCCTCTAGTCTCCTTAACAAAGAAGAAAACCATGACAGCCATGAAGATATCCAGACCAGCATAGAACAGGAAGGTATATGTGCCCCACGCACTAATCATGTAAGGTGTCGTGAGCGAGAAGAGGAAATTGAACAGCCACTGCGAAGAAACTGCAACTGATGACCCGATCTCGCGAATCCGGGATGGGAAGATTTCTGTTGTATACGGCCATGGCACCGGACCCCAGCTGAATTGGTAGATTGAGTTGCTGAGGAAAATCATGAAGACGGTGGCGATACCGGCGCTGGAGGGGTCCCCGGATGCATCGAGGGAATCGGTTGTCTTGTTCACGACGACAACGACGATGAAGCAGATTGCCATGAGGATGTTTGCGATCCAGAGCGTTGGCTTGCGTCCCCATGCCTCGGAGAAGAAGAGAATGTATGTGCCGACTGTGACGAACTTCTCAGCGCCAAAAAGGCCCGTTACGAGCAGGGAGCGACCGCTGTCGTTTCCAACTATGATTTTGAAGAATTGTGGACCGTAGTATGCTAATGCGGTCATTCCTGTGCATTGTTGCCCGCAGAACATGAGGAAAGCAAGAGCAAGTCGGTAACGGTTGGCTGGCTCTAAGAGTTCTTTCTTCTTGAGGCCTTCGGTTGCTTTGATTTCTTCCTGGAGACCGATTTCGATTTCGTGGAACTCGGCCTTGACGTTAGGACCTAAGATTTGACAACATCATTAGCTTCAGATGATCCCTCACGTTGTTTCTTTCGGACGTTAAGAAGAGTACTTACCGTCATCAGCTCGCATCCAGGTTAAACTTGCCCATGCCTCTTCCATACGTCCCTTCTTGGCCAACCAGCGACAGCTCTCAGGCTGAGTGAAGAGACCAAGAGCCAGAATAGACGACGGCACCAACTGCAAACCAACTGGAATTTGCCATTCCTTGGATTGTCCAGCCAGTGATTGTTCCACAGCATAGTCAATCCAGTAGCTGGTCATGACACCTAGTGCAAACAACCACTGCATACCAGACCCAAGCATACCGCGAATCTCCTTGGGCGCCATCTCCGCACTGTACGTAGGCACAACGGCAGTGGCAGCACCTAGACCGACACCAGATACAACACGGCCGATGTAGAAGCATACCAATGAGTGTGATGGAACTACCTGGAGTACGACACCAATGCAGAAGATGGACATTGCTGTCTGAATGGTCTTCTTGCGCCCGAAGCGCTCAGATACAGGGAAGATGGCCAGCGCCGAGAAGAACGCTCCCACATTTTGTAAACTGACCATCACCGCATCGACTGTTGTTTCATCGCTGTACCCGAAATCGCGCATGTACGACGGGAATTCAAGAATACCCCCTGAACAATATCGATGTTAGTACTAGGTATAAAGTATATAGCACGGTTAGATTGAGGCTTCGGCACTTACCAACAATGCCGGTATCATAACCAAACAGGAAACCAGCAAGACAAATGAAGAAACCGAAAAAATAAGCTCGGAAAGCACCAAGCTTGGTACCGTTCAACCGTGCCATGGTGACCTAGTTCTCTGTACCGGAAGGAAAAAAGAAAGAAAGATCCCAAGATCCCAAGAACAACAGAGGGGAAAAAAGAATTTTGAATATCTGAACCATCAACGTCGCGAAGCCTCGTGGCTTAAAGCCTAAATCATTATCGTGTTTCCATGCGGACTGAGCGCGCGGATCAAGCAGCACGCAAGCGTCAGCAGGCGATTTCGCCATAGCACGCCATGGAGCCAGAACATCTCCTGCCTATCACCGTCTGCGAAGGTTGCACGGCCGAGCCGCAAGCTGATGCGTTCAGTGGATCTATATATTATTTTCGATGGAGTTTTCTGCTTTTTGCGAGGTCTTTTTGAGCCGTTGGCTCCTCTATGAATCATTTTGGGTGGTCGTAGTTATTTTAGATTGGAGTAGGCTCATGACATCCTTGATCCAGATCTTCCCCTTCCCGCTTTCTCCGCATCGTGGCCAAGGCCCACTCTGGCATGATCTCATCGGCTGGTCGGTTCGATCGCACCGGTCGCTTGAGATGGGTATATAGGCAATTGTGTTGAAATATGTGGCTTTTTATTCGTGCTCGGAATTATTCTTGAGTTTATTCAAGAAAGAGGAGATACATGTACATGGCTTGTGATTGAGGTGGATGTGGATGTTCTGGACTTCCCCCTTGCACCTGCGATACACGTATGTGGGTTCTTGAGCCAATGATGGAGCCTCATCGCCTCCATACATCCTGGTCGGCAATCGGCTAAGGTCAACCTGAGAGCTTCATTGTTGCATGTGGCAAAGAGGATTAAATGTTGTTTTGTGACACAATCAAAGCCAGTGGCCGGTTTAATCCTTACTATTTCGGTTGATGCCATGAGGCAGACCTCGGACTGTTTTGAAATCCTAAGCCAGTCATATAACAAGCAAAAGGCTGGCCATTCTAGTTTTGAAAGGCCTGTCACAGACACATCGGCTCTATTCATGACTTCGAAAAAGAGAATATCCGCCCAGGGATGATGCAATCTCCAAACGGGGCTAAAGAGGGCCCGAAGGAATAAATTTGCCAAGGGAGTAGAGTCTGCGATGTATGTGGGTTCTGCCTATACATAGAGAAAATTCGCGCCTTGAAGATCACAATAACAACCTTATTATATTGAAGTAAGAGAACACAGAGCAGAAGGCTGAAGGATGAATAGGAGTCATAATGGGAATGGATTGTGCAATTTCGACGAAATGCCGTGACTTAGGGTAGTAGTTGAGAAGACGCTAGGCATATACGTTTTTATGGGGGAATATGGCAACGCGTAAGATTTCCTATCTGTGTACCAATTAGTGCTTGAACTTGGAAGGTGGAACCGCTATTTGCGAGTCAGCTAGCTAGCATTTTCAAGCCATTTGTTGAGTATTCTGAGATAGGTAACTCTTGTTCATGCTGACAGACTTTTTGGGAAGCATAACAAGTCTTTCGTCTTTAAATCTCCAGGTTGGGCTTCGGGCTTTTTCAATGTAATATTTTTGATCAACAGCGTTATGCCATTTGAATTCTCTTTGGTAATTATCTGCTATATGTATACCCGGGGCGTACTTGTGTTATGGATGCTATGTTAGCTAAGGCTGATGATCCTGAGGTATCAGCGTGGTTCATATTCACTCACTATCTTATAGCTCTCCCCCCCCCCTGTCTCTCTCTCTCTCTCTCTCTCTCTCTCTCTCTCTCTATCTATTCTTCCCTCTATCCTTCATTCTTTTCACTGAATATACTGAATTTTGATCTAATCTATCTACTATTTATTAGTAGTATAATAACTTAGAGTCTAGTTAATATTGCGTACCGCTCCGCATACCTAAAATATTTCCTCAGTCCTTTCCCCCATCCTTCTTTTTTCTATCAACCAATTTTTATTTGTGTTTCATACAATTCAGCGTTATATATTAATACATACCGTTCACCTGTATCGCTTCACCTATATCGCCTCACGTCACATAACCCACCTGTTGTCCACTTCTTTCGCTTCCTATTCTCATTCCAACTCTAACCTACCATCTTCATCTCCCATCCCCATTTCCCATCTCCTACCTCCAGGGCTTCCTCCAGGACCTGCTCCGCCGCGTTCGAAATCTACTACAATACTCATTCAAGACCTATTCAGTCTCGTACCGGAACCATAACCCTCAGGAGTAAGGGCCTACAAAGGGCCACCAGGTCCCGAGTCAAGGCGAAGACTTCTAATAACAATACCCCTCTGCCCCGAGGCGTGCCTTCTCCCCCAACTGGCAGTAAGAGAAAGAAATAAGAGAGAAGATAAAAGAGGAGATAAGAGACTAACACCAACTTTTAGGCAAACTCTCAGATAAAGAAAATAAATATAAAGAACTGTAGTGAGGGAGCCAACTGTATTTAATAGGAATGCTTCACTAAGCATCTTTAACCAACTAGCTAACTTATAACTACCTTTAACTACCTTTAAATACATCCAACTACCTTCAACGCGTCTAAATCTACATGCAACACATATCGATTTATCTATCGAGTTAACATCCAGCTGAGCTTCTATCATGGATTCTGCGACGGCCAGCACCACTACAAAAGGTTTGCCCTAAAGTTTTACCCAACCAGGCGACATCTCAAGCTCAAGTCATACCCGAGTGCTCTTCCAAAATGAACAGAAGACCCAAGAGCGCAATGGACATCGCATACTAGAAGCGGTCGGACTGAAAATACCGAACACACCACCGAACAAGCCCTCCAACTACCTTCAAAGCCCAATGACGAGCGCTTCTCGATACATGATTTCTTTGATCTGGATGCTTCGAATGATTCCACTAAATAATCCAGCCAGCATAGAGTGGAAAGAGACCTCAAAAACTTCGTATCATATGCTATTGTTAGAAGGGGGTCCACGGCCATCAATCCTGGAATTCTTTACCCTGGAATGACCCAGGAAAGTATCAGGGAGAGGGGTGGATGAGAAATTTGGAAGCCAGGATCGTTGAGAGGTGGGACTGGGGTCAGGTTGATACAGTGACCATGGAGCATGTCAAACAGGTCATTCACAACCCACAATCCGTTAGGAAAATTGCCGTTGTGCCTTACAGAGTGTGGTTCTAAAGTTTGTGTGTTTTTGATTTCTCCCTCTCTTGTGCTCGGGAATGGGGAAAATCATTTTACAGATAGGTAGCCTTAAGCCGTTCACGGCGGACGAAATGAAGGGATTTGATATGAGAGGATTTATATTAGTTGAGTATCAACTGCTCATCCTGAATTTGCCATTGAATAAATCATAAAATCAACATATGGTAGTTCGGAGCTTGTGTTCTCATCAGTTGAATCCAGCTAACACTGCTTTCTGGCCCCAGTGACCAAAAATGCCGTAGGAAATCCAAAACCTTGCGTCGATCTAGAGTGCCACTTATTCTCATCACGACTTCAATGTCGCGAGCTACAATCTCCTGTTTATCTGGAAATCCTTGACATTCAGTCCCTGCAATAAACAGAGGCCAAATCAGATCCTGGGCAAATGATATCTTACCAGAGAGCGATGCCGAGTTATCTAGGATCGAGTCTCTTAGGTATTGAACATCAACTTCTGGTGGACAGTGCTTTGATAATGCCTGGTGAATGTATATCAAGGTTGCATCATGGAAAATGCAGACGAGGCGGTGAAAACTAACTCGGGCATCTTGATCTGGAAAATGAAGCATTTGACTCGATGCTACCATGCAATGCTTGGCTTCATCTACTTCCTGTACCATGCTGGTGATCAAGGACGGATGTATCTCATACTTCTGGTCATAATCGATTCGCTCAATTTGAGTTGCCCGGTTGATGATATGCACAAAGTCCCCAAAAAAGGCTGTTGTGTCGGTATATTGAATATCATCGAGTGGTTCACCCGGCGTATCGAAAGTCGTGAGGCCTGCAAAAACACTCGCGTAATACTGTTCATATAGAAGGAAAGAATCTGTCTGGTCTGTGAGAGCTTCTCGCGGAAACCTTTGTTTCTTCCATTGAAAAATTGCCCTAGCAGCCTGAAGATGCATCCTCCATTTGACAGATTCAGCACCAAGCAACTCGACGTTATATAGGATAAGTGCCGAAGCTAGAGCCTGCTGCGCTTGACTTGGCTCAAGTCTGGTCAGTGACGTCTCCTGGCTCATGAGAGCAATTTGATTTGACAAGGAGATCAAAGCTTGATTTCGCAAACGCAGTGAGGCATCCTGGAAATGCCGATGATGCGGGTGATCATGCTGTAATTTTGCGGCTAAATCCTCAGAAGAAAGGGCCAATACAGCATCCAGTACCATTTTTGATCCCCAGGCTAGGGGAATAATAATGTTTCTCCATGGATTCGTGGGGCTATCGACCCAAGCCAGTTTCGCAGACATGTTCGATTGAAAATGGTGCATCAGCTCTTGGGTCATGGCATCAAAATGGGAGTCTGGAGGGCGAGTAACCGAGTTTAGACCATGATACAGCCTCACCAGTTGATTTTGGCTTTCTTCTGCTAGGTTATTGGGTCGGATATCAGCCCCAGGGATTGGCGTCCGGATCGGCAAACGTCTACCCGCTAAGGCGCCTCTGCTGGCAACCCCCTGAACCCATTTCAGGATGCGTCCATAGCCTGGACATCGGAAGCCTCTCGCGATGCATTTTCTGCACTCCGGCTGAGACCGATCGCAGTTGATTCTTCTTTCCTTGCACTTTTGGCAGTCTGATTTATATCATGAAGTTGTCAGTACTGGTCTTTCATGAAAAAAGATACATCTGTACCTTTGTCTGCACTCAAGGCCTCAGCATGGTGCAGGGACATCTGGGCATCGTAGATTGACTGCAACTTCTAGCTGCATTGGACGGAATGGACTGGGAACGATGTACTCAATGAACATCAAAAATCAATTGCAAGCTTTGATAAAGCTTAACAGGCTCGGACCTGGTGTCAACAACGTGGCGGGGCCGGAGACGGCGAGGAGTGTGTGCGGCTGGAGGCAGAGCCACCTCGGTTGATGTTAGTTAACAATCCTGCGTCGCAGGCCTTTCCCCTCCGTCATCTCGGCACCTTGCACGCGATCACGTGATCTCAAACTATGGTCATCTTATTGACGATGATATCTTTCGTGAAACTCTTTGTTAAAAAAGTTACAAGTATTAAATAGAAAAATGTTGTTATGTCTAGAGTGTCGGATAAAAGTTGAGAATGGAACTTGTGGACAATATGCTCGCTATGGAAGTATAGCGCCAATAGATGAGATGGGATGAAGTTTGCTACAAATATTGTGATTGAGGGCCATAAGTGGTTGGATTTTACCTCTTTATACAACCCATTGACCAATTCGAGAGTATTTTGATATTCTAGATTTCTCCATCCACATTTTTCTGAATTATTCTTGACAGATTCAGCCTCTGAATATCGCCGACATTTCACTGTGCACACTGTATTCGCGAAGTGCGGCCAAGAAGGTATCAGAATTTGGTAGTATCGCAAGACTCTGCCTAAAACCAGTTTTGATCTAATCATCTTGCTATTAATGAGAAAAGACAGCAGAAGTGTTGGTTACAGACTCAACCGAACCCCAACCTTTGGGGACATTGCGCCCAATGTCCCACGAAACATTGAAGGGTTCTAGGTGGAGATATTGCGAATTTTGTTAAAGTCACTCTGATATGAATTTCATTCATCCTGAGGATCGCTAAATCAGCTAATTTTGTTATTAAATCAATTATTTCTCTGGGTTTGACATCATGGTTAATTCCTATAGCCCCACAAATAGGTAAACCTTAAATCCACGTTTTTACTCCCTCTTTAGGATAAGCGTGATTATTTTGTGGGGTTGACAGTGGCCCTTCTCCTATCAATGGACATGGTGGTCACTGGGAGAAGGGGGCATCACCATCATGAGCAATTGGTTCGCTGAAATAGCATAGACTTGAAATGGGAAATTGAATACCAAGATAGAGAAATGTGAAGTCAATAGAAAGTCACGGTGGGATTCACCGGCAACGACAAAGAGTCACCTGCATAACTACATGTTCTTTCTTTATGCGAACACTATTGCCAAATAATCACTCACTACAAGGTACTTGATGATATTGATTGGAGTTGTATACCCATTGGGACAATTGAAGCAACATAATCTATTTTGAACGATATGATTTAGTAAGATGTAACAACGCAACAGCATATAGCCAACGAAGACCAGAGTGATAGATGGCATGAAGGACGGACAGTGTGTTTTACTCCCTACATAGCTGAGCAATCGTGACATCTGGAAAGAAAATAGAATTTCATTTCATAATCGATAGCATTTATTTGAATAAAGCCCCGCCGGTTTCGGGGGAACTCAAGAGTCCCTACCGAGGCCATGGAGGTTCAAAGTTGTCTCCTGCTGATGCCCCTACCCCTCCTTCTCCGTCCGAGCGCCTAATCTTCTCCAACATCCTTCGTTTATTTCATCACGCCATACAGCTGACCTCTGAGACCATTGAATCATCGGAAGTACTATCAAAAGTACTCTTGAAGCTTTCTATATACCGAGATCGGGATGTCAACAAAGCCTATATTTGTGGCTGCTCACCCCCGGGCTTGCTCCACAGCATTTGAAAGGGTCTTCATGACTCAACATGACACAATTCATTGTGTCCATGAGCCATTTGGTGACGCATTCTATTACGGACCGGAGAGATTATCATCTCGATTTGAGAATGACAAACAGACTCGATTGGATAGTGGATTTAGCGAGTCTACCTATGCCTCAGTCCTAGAGGGAATTGAAAAAGAGGCATCACAGGTCTGACTATACTCCCCCACTGATCCCTAATGGCTCGCACATTATCCAAAACCACTTATACTGCTCTGTTTGAGTTTGTTATCTGCCACGCCTTTTGCTGAAACCCACCAATCATATTCTATCCACCTGCATAAAAGACATTACGTACTCAGGTACTGAGCTTACCAATTTGACAGGGAAAGCGAGTTTTCGTCAAGGACATTGATTACTATTTATTTGCACCCAATCGAAAACCGACGAGTATTGCTCCGTCGCTACTGAGCGCTATGAATGGACAAAATCCTAGCAAGAGCCACCAGAATGGTAGCTATTCGAAGAACCAGGATGCAAGCCAGTGTTCAGCTGAGCCAGGAAATCCAACTGTGATGCCTCATACGATACAGGAAATGTTTCATTTCGCATTTCTGATTCGTGACCCGCACTATAGCGTGCCATCATACTACCGATGTACAATCCCACCGTTGCTGGAGATAACAAAGTTCTACTTCGACCCTCTTGAATCCGGATATGATGAGCTTCGTCGCCATTTTGATTACTTGAGAAAAACGGGACTTGTTGGCCCGCAGGTAGCCACACGTTCCGATCTAGACAACGCTGGACCAGATTTCGAGCCCAGCATAGCCAAACCTACTGGTCACGAGATATGCATTGTCGATGCAGATGACTTGCTAGAAAATCCGGCAGCAATGATTGAGGCGTTTTGCAAAAGTGTTGGACTTCAATATGACCCGGAAATGCTAAGATGGGACAGAGAAGTTGATCACTCTGTGGCAAATGACAAATTCGAAAAATGGCGCGGCTTTCATGAAGACGCGCTGCACTCGGATGGACTCCAGGCGAGAAGTCATGTAAGTATTGGGCTACTGAGAACGCAAATGGGTTGAAAAGCTAACACCACGGAAATTAGAAACGTGCACAGAAGTCAGAGGAAGACTTCGATGCTGAGTGGCGTGCTAAGTATGGCGAAGAGGCGGCGGCTATGATTCGACGGACTGTTGATGAGAATATGGCTGATTATCTATATCTGAAGAAGTTTTCTATGCGGGTATAGATCCCGAGGGGGCAACTTTTATCTCATGTTCCAGAATGTACCTTCGTTACAAGTTGTTTCCTAATACGTAGTCAAAGGGCAAGGCCTTAGTCACTAGAATCTATGAATTATGCCATGAGTTGTTTTCCCCGGCTGGTAAGACGAGGAATCAATCAATTCCTTATTGTTTTATTCAATTTTCAAACGTTAAAGCCGGACTGTAAAAAAAAGTTCAGTCTTGAAACCCAAAAAGAAAGAGGCAAAGACCCATGAATCAAGTAAAGGGTATCCCTCGTTAAAATTCGACGACCGAGAACATTAAAAAAGTTCAATTTCTGATTCAAGTGGCTTTAGAACATATTGAATCATGCATCGTAGCGACCGCTAGCAAGTCTTCTCCTTATATTCCGCTCGAATACGGAACTGAATAGATACTTTGTTCAAAATAATTTTAATATTTCAATGCATCTGACTCCTGGCCTTCAAGCTATTACATGATTCGGGCACAACTAACTTAAGAGCGACATTGAGCGCTATTGATTGCCTCGTCCGGAGCTCGGAGTTGGTCCGATCGTAATTTCGGAGCTCAGCGGAACTCCGATGACTTGTAGCCACCTCAACCTTCAATATTCCATCACACCTAATTTCCTTGTCTTTAGGTGGAAGCAATTCAAAATGACTGATAGAGTCCGACGAAATGGTCAGTTGTCATCCTGTGAGCCTTGTCGCAGATCTAAACTTCGATGCGATCACAAAAGACCAATTTGTGGGAGGTGCACGCGCCGCCGCTTATCACAGCAGCAATGCCATTACCACCCAGCTCCAATGGCAAAGCAGCTTGCGACCGAAAGCCTTAGTGCGCCGCTCCGTCAGCGCAGCGCTCCCAGATCTATCCCGACGTACGCAAGCACTCTGACAGAAGACTCTCAGGCCTACGAACCCATTAATATGAACACGGACTTGATGTGTTTTGCAGACCCACATACATCTCACTCTCAGCGTTCATACACATCCATGACCAGAACTGGCGTAGCTCTACCTCAGCCTTCGCGGCCTACTGAACAAATCGTTTCCCAAGGAGCAAGATTGTTGAATGATATCTTGGAGCTTGTCACTGAAATTGGTGAGCCGCTTGAAAAATTTTCGATTCTAGCGGAGGACTTCAGCATTCATGGATCTCTTATCGAGGCGTTATGGAACGCAACAAATGACAGTATACGAGATCTACTAAGAGACCGCTCCAAATTCACATTGGACTCGATGTCCGAAGCAATATTCGAGCAAACGTCTTCATTTCCAGTCTTTCCGCCAGCTACTGCTGCTGGTACCTTTGAAAAACTTTCCAGTACTCAAGCACTGCGCTGGGATCTTCTTGGTTTATATTGTGCACGAATCGGAGTATATCTCGGTGGAGAAAAAGACAAAACATCTAACTTTGCTGCCCATCAGACTTGGAAGTCCGATCGTATCATTTTGATGCAGAGTACTTTCCAGGCTTGCATTCAATGCGAGTCACTTTGCAACTATCTGGGGACCGTCAACGATATCACATTTTGGTCTATAATGTTTTCTACTGTCCTAGCTTCATGGTGTTTTGGTGACGATTCATATCATGTCATACGACTTGTGGGCAGCATGTCGTCTATCTTTATTGCCTTGGGATTCAACAAGGGCGTGCAGAGTGACTCCTCCGTTCCATTGTATATGGTTGAGATCCGGAAGCGAGCAATTGCCTGGGCACATGACCACGACAAAGTCTTTGCCACTTTTACATCACGGTAATAAGCATTACACAACCCTTAGATGTTATCTACTAACAGTCTAATGTAGGCCCGTCCGTCTTAGTCGACACTTTTGTACAGTTGAATTGCCGCTTGATTTGCCCGATTATGCAGTGATTGGTACCGCGGGACGGTTCCAAAGAGCTCGTGAGAACTTGGACGAAAACGGTTGGAATAAAAATAACATGATTCTTCCAGTATCGCGTTTACGAGTGCAACTGCTATTATGCATGATTCGTGAAGAAGTCCTGGAGCTCAAAATTGGACCGCTCGTACCAGACATGAAGACAAGAGCAGAGTAAGTACTAGTGCGGCGGTTATAGGTAGATATTATGGGTATTAATGATGGCTCTAGGCATATCTCGCAGAAGTTAAAGTCTACCTGGCTTTCAATTCCACCGCATATGAAATACGACAAAGTGCAACATGGGGGAAGCCAAAATATGACTATTTTAATGCTCCAGAACCTACGATTGGAATATCTTTATACGGAATTCCTTTTACACGCTCTACTCGCCAATTCAGGTGAGAGTAGCCGGGAACGGCTGATAACGACTGCTCACGAGGTTGTCAATCTTGCCCTCCTTCCAACCCGAAAAAGGGAGCTATTACACAGCCATAGACCAGATATGGAATGGGTTGTAAGTGACGGGATCTTAGAAGGGGACACACTAGTTCAAAAGTTCAAAAGCTTACAGACATTATAGTTAGTGTTCTATGCCATGCCATGTGCAAGCGTTCTGACCTTGGAGCTGCTGCGACAAAATCAACATCCCGAAGAGCAGCTTATAATCAATCGAAGCGGCGTCATTCAAGATATCAGCGTCTTGATCTCGTGCTGCGATTCTTTGACAGAATCCGGACAGAGCAATTATGAAATTTGCAAACAAGCCCAGTCGATCTTTTCCAAGAGTCTCGATTCAATTCTAAACAAAACCGAACATATCCAAAGGAGCAAACCTAGAGAGATGGTGGCGCCTCTTCACGAACAGGCAGGATCTATGAGCGCCGAACCTCATAATGCAGTGGCCCAAGATCCTGAGTGGATGGCATGGCTTGACTTTGTGGGTTTGCAAGGAGACCCGTGGTTAGAATCGATCATTCCTGAAATACCCGTTGAGTAAGAGAGTGAGTTCTGGAAACACGCAATCCACATGATCGAGTCCAATGCAGGCTATCCCCTACCGTGCCAACGGGCGACCCACTCCGAAATCCGAAAGTCTTCTGGTCCGTTACTCCGAGATGACTTCGGACTAGCCGCTATTTAAGTCCGATGAGCTTTTTCTCAGCCCCTTTCAATAACTATAAAAATCCGGACTTCATTCCCAAGGCTATGGTCTTAACTATCAAGGCATAATCAAAGAGTGCTCGTTGCCTTAAACGAATGAACTTTGGCGAAAAATGCTTATCATCGGCGGTCGTGTTACTTTACTAGACAAAAGATTGAAAGCTGATTCGACCCGACCCACTGCGAAGAGCTAACCATGCTATCCGGCAGTGTGCTATCGCTTAATATAATCATATCCAATGACGAGGCTGTTACTTGTGTCGTGTTGTTGTGTTTTCTGATTGACAACTTGACCCACTTTACCCCTGATCCATACAGCAATGTTTTCCCCGCACGTGGAAATATGCTACATTGTAGACATGAGATTAAATGTTTATTCCGCGAAATTGCCGACGCGCTAAGCAAGCCCAGTGGGACTGGAAAATGTCCATGGCTTCCCAATGTCCGGCAGTGTGCAAACGCCAGCCAGGAGAAGCCTCTATATTTACCTGTCCTCTGCCCCTTCAGAAGCAGGAAGGAATCCGACTAGAAGCGAGAGCTAGCAATTAATCACCTGCACAATGTGGCGCTCACTAGCTTTGGTTTCGGCGTTCGCCCTTCCGTCTCTTCAAACCGCAGTGCCGAAAAAGCTCGCGCCCTTGAAGTTTGCCAAGGATGGCACTTTCCAGATCGCAATTCTGGAAGATCTGCACTTCGGCGAAAGTTAGTAACCCGCTGTCTTATGATGTTGATCTTTACTGAAAATATTGAACAGATGCTTGGGATACATGGGGACCTGAACAGGATGTTAACTCGGTCACGGTGATTAATCGAGTTCTCAATGCCGAGTCCCCGGACTTGGTGGTTCTCAATGGTGATTTAATCACTGGCGAAAACGCCTTCCTGCACAACAGCACGGTCTATGTCGATGAGATTGTTGGTCCTCTCGTAGACCGCGGATTGACCTGGGCATCTACCTATGGAAATCACGATAGTCAATACAATCTCTCGCGCGAGGCGATCCTCGAGCGCGAGCATCACTGGCTTAACTCCCGCACACAAAAGATGGTATCTGGTCGCGAAGTAGGTGTGACGAACTACTACCTTCCTGTTTATGGATCAAATGACGGCGGTTATGCAGGCGCACCCGAAATGCTTCTATGGTTCTTCGATAGCCGAGGCGGCTATTACTTCCAGGAACTCGATTCCTCTGGGAACCAGATTGCACAACCGAATTGGGTGGATATCCACGTTGTTGACTGGTTCAAGAAGACGAATGCCGAGCTTGTGAAGAAATATCGCAAGGATATCCCATCACTTGTATTCGTACATATCCCCACGAATGCGTCTTTGGCTGCTCAGACTGAAATTGGCATCAACGAACACCGCGAGCCGGGTATTAATGATGATTATACCCTGGCCCAGCAGGGCGAAGGGTGGTGTTCTGATGGTGCTTATGACGGATCCTGTACATATGGTGGACAAGATGTGCCCTTCATGAAGGCTCTTGTGGACACACCTGGTATTCTAGGTGTCTTTTCTGGCCATGATCATGGAGACACGTGGTGCTATAAATGGAGTGGTCTGATTCCTGGTATGGACGTCAAGGGGAATGGGCTAAATCTCTGTTTCGGACAACACTCTGGGTATGGCGGATATGGAAGCTGGATACGTGGATCCAGGCAGATTCTGGTGAGTGAGTCTAAGTTGAAAGAGAAGCTTCTTGATACTTGGATTCGACTGGAATCAAATGAGACTGTTGGAGCTGTTTCCTTGAATGCGACATATGGTGAGGATATCTATCCTGCAACTCCTGACTTGCTTTCGTCTTGTCCAACATGTGACTATACTCTTGACTCCTGAGATATCAAGGCAAAGGCAGCGGGGGTGGAAGAAACAAAAGCCTGTGACAAGTTGCTACTGCAGCCACGCGAACGGGCAAAAGGATTTCCTGCTGTTTGGCATGACCCTTATTTCACGAGCCTGATAAGAAGCTTATCTTCAGTTAGAAATTGCATGGACGCAACAAACCAAATATAAATGGTGTGATCATGGATGTATGTGCGGGGAAGTTCGGTACCCAGCCGAGTACCCTTTCTACACCTACAGTAACCCATAAGATATCGCGCTAGAACTGCATCTCCCTCTCTTTCTTCGTCTTCTTTCCTGTTATTTTCTTTTCTCTTCCCTTTTATCCGATCGATATGAAAACAATTGTACTTTTCTTCTCGGACCCTTCGAGGTTACAACATTCCCTTATGGATGGCATCATCCCACTTGACGTGACCAGTGGTGAATATTGTCAAATAACTCTTATTATACCTTAACAACTCCCGAGATCCACAATTTACCCTGGGCCCTCTCTGCCTTCCCCATTCGATAGCTGCCAAGCGATTTGCGTTTTATAAACAGGCGCTTTTATCCTTGGCCAAGAGTAAAATTAAAGCCTGACGTTCCCCATTTTTGTTTCTCCGCGGGATGCGATCACGGCTTCATATGGCGCAATATGCTGCATGAGGCACGCATAGCAACGCCAGAATGTGTTAAAAAGATGGATTTGCCTCAAAATCTCTCCAAAAGTAGAGGACATCTCAACCTACAAAATGCCGCGACAAACATTATACTCGACATTTGAGACGAAAGATGCCTCCGTATCTGTCGACCAGACAGGACCCTTAGCAACAGACTCGGATCAGAGCAAAAGCGGGACTATCGCGGGTGGTGGCTCGATAGAACTTTATGCACCTGTTGAACAGTATGAGGGTAAACACAGATATGATCCCAGTGCTGTGTGGACGGAGAAGGAAGAAAAGGTTCTTGTTCGAAGAGTATGAGACCCCGCTGGTTTAAAAAAGCCAAAAAGCAAACAAATATCAAAGAACCTTGAAAATATTATAACTAACATCATTTAGCTTGATTATAGAATTTGTTCCTGGGTCTGCTTAATGTTCTTCGCTCTTCAACTCGATCGCGGAAACATATCGCAGGCATTATCAGACGGGATGCTTACAGACCTCGGTCTTACAACAAACCAATACAACTACGGAATGACAATATTCTATCTCTGCTTCTTATGCGCGGAAGTACCGTCCCAAATGATCTCCAAGCGTCTTGGTCCGGATAGATGGATTCCCATCCAAATGCTCACTTGGAGCGTGATCGGAATTTGCCAAGGACTCGTTCGTGGACAGAAAAGTTTTTACGCGGTTCGTGCCCTTCTGGGTCTTGTTGAAGGGGGCTTCATCCCTGATGCGCTTCTATATTTATCGTACTTTTATACCAATAAGGAGCTTCCGATGCGGGTGGCCTTTTTCTATTGCGCTTCGAACGGAACATACATCGTCGCGGCATTCTTGGCATTTGGTATATTGCATATGGGAGGGTTTGGTGGATGGGAAGGTTGGCGATGGCTGTTTGCGCTTGAGGGAGCCTTAACTGCTATTATTGGTGCTATATCTTGGTTTTATTTACCTCCTAGCCCGACACAGACGGCGAGTTGGTTCCGTGGGAAGAATGGTTGGTTTACGGAACGAGAGGAGGTCATTATGGTCAATCGGGTGCTTCGAGATGACCCAGCTAAGGTGAGATAGAACCTGAAGTTAACTTAAGCCAGGCGGTGACTTGATGTTCTTCTCTGGACATATACTGACATTTGTAAAGGGTGGCATGCACAACAGGCAAGGCCTGACTTTGAAGCTTCTATGGGCTTCTCTGATGGATTATGACTTGTGGCCCCTTTATTTGATCAGCTTTACGATGCTCATTCCTACGAATCCAGAGCAGGCATACCTGACCCTTTTCTTGAAGTCGCTTGGGTTTGATACATTCCAGGTCAACCTCCTGACTATTCCTGGATACGTCCTATTTTTGATCCAACTGGTCTTTTGGTCCTGGGTCTCGGAGAAGATTAATAACCGCATGGCTATTGTATTGTTTTATTCCTTTTGGTGTCTCCCATTGTTAATGGGTTTGGAATTAATGCCATCCTCCGCAAGCCCTTGGAGTTGGTATGCTCTTACGGTATTAATTATTGGATATCCTTATATCCATTCTATCAATGGCAAGTCCCACGGTTCATTAGAAAGATCGAATTTTTGCTGATGTTTCCTATAGTCAGTTTGATATCTCGGAATGCTGGCTCTGTACGCACGCGCACTGTCGGAAGTGCCGTGTATAACATGATCTGCCAAGCTGGATCTATTATTTCTTCAAACGTGAGTTGAACTTGAGGTGACGTACCCCCGCAGGATTATTCGTCGGCTAACTCGAATTACAGATCTACCGCGACGATGACAAGCCATATTATAGGAGAGGTAATAAAATACTTCTTGCCATTGTGGGTTGGAACATCGTGATGACCATCTTCATTAAATGGTACTTTATGCAGAGAAACCAATCTCGCGAGAAGATCTGGGATGGCATGACTGAGGAGGAAAAGAATGATTATCTTATTAACACAAAGGATGAAGGTAACAAGAGGCTGGATTTTAGATTTGCACATTAGCCGACCGGATAAATGGATAATAAGATATTCATGTTAGGCATAGAGATGTATAGTCGCAGTCTAGAAGAATTAGATGGCCTGAATCACTTATTTATGATTATGATAGCGATGATTTGAAACAAAATTAGCAATACCATTTCTTAAGAACCTGGGGAAAATGACTTTGTTCAGTTTGAATTATTGAATAACTCACACCAGCCGATCTAAAAAAGTGATGAGCCAAAGTATTAGCCCTGGATATCATGGTGCCTGCGCATGAGACATTATGTAGAGCTCCATTCAACCGTCTTCTTCCACAAGGCATCTTGCTTCGTCTTATCCAAGCTGTCTGGTGGGCCCATATCTTCCTTCAACAAAGTGAAATATCCCTTGACACCTTCGAATCGTTGATCCAGTGCTAGTGTCACAACATCAGTGCCCGCACTAGCGGCCGTTCGCATGGTGGGATCCATCAAACTGAATAGTGGACGCAGTGGCCCTATCAAGAAACGTGACATGTTTCGTATCATAAAGGGGGTATTGGTTTGCAGTGCGCGGGAATCGGTCAGATTACCTGGATTAATCGCGACAGTGGTGATCTTTCTCAAGTGTGAGTTTTCAGGCTATGGAAGGATTAGTATGAGAAACGCTTCACGAAAAATAGAGGATCATTTGAAAAAGAGAGAATGACCAGGTCAGAAAGGTCAGAAAGGTGGGATGATGGAATCACGTCTTACTTACCTTCTGCAAATGGTCATTCAACGCATACATCCATGTCACAATGGCCAGTTTAGCTAGGGAGTATCGCTGGAAGCCGTGACCAGCGTGGTCGCCATCTGTTTCCGGTGTCGGCTTCGCTAACTGCTGAAGATCTTCTGGTAGAAGAGGCGGATACTTTTCTAGCGGACTTTGACCTGGGAAGATAGTATCACTACCGAAAAGCACAATGCGACCACAGTATGTGTGGGAATCGTCTTGAGCGCGTCCAAATGACTCTAGCAGCTGCTGAACAAGAATTGCGTGTGCAAGGTGATTAACCTGGAACGTCTTCTCAAAGCCATCTACCGTGAGTTCAGCGGCCACGTTCAAATTCCAATAGTAGGCGTTGCAGATAATGCTGGTAAGTGGAGGAAGTGAGCCAGCTTTGATCTCGGCGGTGATAGCGCTCGTGAGGCTGCGGACAGAGGCTAGATTGGAGAGATCGGCAGCGCGGATAGATACTCGATCCTGGAAAGGAGCGATTACAGCGCGAAGTTTATCGGTGTGAGGACTTGGGGTGTCAGGGTCCCGAATTGTGAGGATCGCGTAGTGATCAGGATAGTTGGTTAAGAAGTGCTTAACAGCGGGAATAGCAAGGGAGCTATTAGCTCCGGTGAAAATAATAGTACCGGCTGACATGCTTTTCTTTCCGAAATAAAAGGGTCCGGTTATGGCGCGTTGGAGAAATTTGATTTTGATAAACCAGGTTCACTGGCCAGGGAATAAAGGTGGCTATATATTAACTATTAACTCTGGTATCAAGCTCGCGGACCAAAGGCCGGCAAAGGCCGTAGGATCTTACCCGTAGACCCAGCAATGTGATGTGGGTATCTCGTTGACAAGGCTGGCGCGTGCCCTTCTTGTGATTCGTGGGCTCGCGTTCAATGTGGAAGTTAGCTCATCTCCGCGTGGACTTGGCAACGACTGTTGATAACCAGTGTCTGCCTAAGGCCCACTTTCACACATCGTCCTTCATATCATCGTCATCCACAATGATCCTCTTCCTATATCTTTCCTAGAAGCTTGAATGTTGTCGAAGCGAAGTTCATTCTTTTAGCTGTGTATAACCCGGACTCATTAAATTCAAACAAATGCCATATTGATGAAAAGCGTAGAGTCCAGGGTAGCGAAGTCACTTGAAAAAGAGATCTAAAAACCGAGGAGCCTGAATCCTTCCTGGAGAGGAACCAAATTAGGGGACACCGAGTAAATGCAGGCAAAACAGTAGTGCTATACGTTCCTAGTAGGGAATATATAATGCTTGTCAATAGAAATAAAACACAATTAGTGCGTTGTTCGTATTACAATTCTCTAGCTTGACGGGCTGCTAATTACATAAACTTGCCAAAAATAGCCTAGTAAATACACCCAGGATGTTAAGATTGGCATATCTCAGTGAGTGAACTATGAATACGGTCCAGGACCTTTCTGGCAAACCCATCCTCATAAGGCACACCCAATACTCCAATTTGCCAGTTCAAAGTAATCACCATCTCACCACCCTTCATAGACACAACCTGAAAGTCCAGCGCACTCCCAAGAGCATTTGCCGGTTGCGAAAATATCATCCTTTCAATGTTCCAGTCTTCAAGTTTTGACACATCAATATCCACAGACCTTTCTGGCGATCGCGGGTCAAAAGTGACAAGGTTGCTGATTTCATACGATGATTCACGATCTCCCCCCAATTTTTGTGTCATCCATGAGCGAAGTCCAGGGACATAACGTAACAAGCCAATGGGTTGATTTGTAAGAGTATTTGCGCAATTTGCAAGGTCAATTGTTGTCTGACGCACAGCATTCCAGAATGCAGCATCATGTTTCAGAGTAGTAGTCGGATAAGATCGACCAGAGATCTCAAGAAGAGCCGAGGCACAATTAGCCATTTCATTTTCATTGTAGCGAGGAATAAGTGGCTTGAGGTCAACGACAATCTGACCGATGAAGGACTGAGCTGTCTTGTCTTCCGGTAGGATACTGTCCAGGGCGTGAACAATGAGTTGATTAAGCAAGCCAGTGAATTTAACACCCTTCTTTCTGCACACCCTCAAGACCGAGTCAACGAGGGATTTGTTAACTAAGAGGGCTTCTGAACCTGTGCTAAAGTTGGCAGGGTCATGCGATATAACTTTTCCGGTCCAGGTATTGGATATAAGTGGCGGCTGGAAGCCAAACCACCTCCACAGACTAGTCGGCATAGAACTGGCGAATAGATTCAGTATTAAATAAGGCCAGGTTATGTTAAAGTCGCAAGCTTCCTCTAACGTTGGAGGGATAGGAGATACAGGCGGCTGGTAGGTATAACTTTGATCATACAAAGTATGTCCGATTTTGAGGCCTTCCAGGAAGGTCCTGTGGAAGATTAGGCCGGACTTTCCATCACCGTGGGAATGAGAATAGGCAAAAATGATGTAAACACGCTGTGTTCCTGGTGTGGTTTTATCATTTCCGAGCGGAACAATGTATACTTTCCATGGAGGTCGTTGGTCAACCTGAACGAAAGGTTCATCGTGTATGTTTTTGTTAATCCAAGTGATCCACTGCAGGTCGTCCTTGGGCAAAGAGGATTCTGCGGACGGAGCCGCATGTATCACTCGCAAGTGGTCCTGAATATCCAGGTTCGCGGGCCGAATGAAAGTATAATCTTCTGTGTTTTTCCCTTGAATCGCGGCACTTAAGATAGGATGAGTAGCAATGCAGTGCTTTAAAGCCGGGATGAAGTAGTCGATGCCTTGTCCATCAAACGAACGGTCTGTGTCGTGAAGTACGTAGAGACCCGCCAGAGTCAATGCATGATAGAAACCCAATTCATGACGAATAATGTGACGCTTCTCATTTTTGCCTAGACAATATGTGAGTATCACATGGAAATATTGATACAAACTTGAATAGATTTCAACATACTCGCTACACGTATCATCCGTGCAGGTTCTTGGTCGCTCATGGTGGCTCTTGATGTTTATGACGCTCAAAGAGGCTATTTCCACCAATAATTTGATGTGAGCTTTGCAGGGGGACTGAGCTTAATTTATATTTATTCCGAGAGAGCTCCTGTTGCCCTTTTGCCCTTTTGCCCTTTTGCACTCGTGATCGGCAAGCCGGCAAGCCCGTTCCCCATTACTCAGCGTCGTTCAATTCGTTCAATTCGGTGACTTCGGATACTACATTTCCCCACAATTGGCTGTCATTACGTAGCAATGGTCCAATAATAGCACAAAACCCAAACTCTCCCCCAAGTACCATATGTATGAGATTTCCTAGCTCGAGGGGTTCGCAAAAGTACGGCATGAATCAGATATTTGCCGCGACACATTCAGTGTAGTCCGTTTTGTTGGGGAAAAGTTGAACTCATAGTATATTCAGGCTTAGTATGAATGGCAAGCTCACCATAGCAACAGACTGGCATCTGGCACCCATCCAATCTCTTCTATGGCCCATCGGATCCATATTCGATGTTCCCCATCTAAAAGCATATAAATTCCCCGAATCAAATGGACCGCCCATCCCTCCATCCACCAATATTTCTCTAAATCCTTGATCAAAACTGCATAAAAAGCTAGAACACATAGTGCCCCGTTGTCGCCATTCTTGACCAAGTCAAAGAAGGAGTTATCAACTTCGTATAGCCATATATAAAAGCCCCGGAGTTTATCTTGGTCCTTGAAGTCCCGCCCGTACAAAAAGGAATAACTTCGGCTTAATGCCGCGATAGTGTTTTGCAGGGTCCGTTTTTTTTCTTCGCCCTCCTCGAAATCGCAAATCCTGTCTTCAAGTTCTACAAGGACTTGATATTTTTCGGGTGAATGGGACATCCAGTAGTCTCGACTGCCCCAGGTAGTTTTGAAAATCAAGCAGACAGGAGAAGACAATATCGATCGGTCAGCCATGACAACTGTATCGACACCGTGCATGAGATAAAGCCATTCTGGGATTACACCATTGCTAAAAGCCGACACATCCTTGTTCTCGATAGGTCGTGCGAGATTGAAAAGCAAAGCTAACATGCCAAAGACGAAAAGCGAAGGGGAATTTTGCGGCGTGACGACAGGAATAAGCGGAAGGGCCTTGGACAGAGATAATGAGTGTCGTTCAATGGCATACGGGAGAAGAATATGCTTTCGGCTGCTGTTGTACCTTGCAATATGCAGGGCTGACAGCGCGAGGATACCATCGAGAATATAGTCTGTTGTGAACGCCATCTGAGGAATGACAGATCTCCAAAGTTCTCGAACTTGAGGATCTGGATTTAACGTTGCGGCAGTAGATATTGTAAAGTGGTGCAAGAGTTCAAGATTCAATGTTTCGGAGCTTGCGATTACGGGCGCTGGTCTGTCCAGTGTTTGAAGAAAGCTGCATTGTAAACCCCTTTTGACACAATTCAGACACGATGGATGCCTTTCATCGCACTTGTGAATCTGTCAGCGTTCGCCCCACCCCCATTGTATGAACTCAAGCTGGCTTTACCTTGACCTTGCGGGTGCGGCAGTTTTTGCACCCAGTGCGGGACTTCGCATGCCATTTCCGAGGCATGGCCAAGTGCAATATTAGTGGAATGCTAGAGTCCGAGAGGGAGCGAGAGGAGCGAGAGTTGGCGAAATGTTCACATTGGCTCATCCGGCTGACCCGAGACCCACTCACTATCATCATATCCACACGGGTTTCGAGTTTCGTTGCTTGAATCTAACTATGCACAGTAAAAGAAAAGATTTATAGTACAGTGATAATAATACTCTTATGTGTCATAGAGATGATTTGGATTTTGAGCCGGATAACGTTGATATAGCACATTACCATTCAAGATGAGTTTAGTTTAGCCAAGAGAGAATAAATTGGCTCGTACTTATGCTAGATGATTTGTGTACGTCTGCCAAGTTGTTTGGACATTGCTTCAATGTTCTTTTTATTCTTAAAAAGCAGTGCTCCAATACTGATGGCCAGATGCTTTCATTGCTTCGTTGTAATTAAGCACACCGCAAGGACTTAGCCTTCTCCGATAGAATGGGGGGTTCGGAGTTATGTGTCCCTTTTGACTCATTCTGCAAGGTTGCTTTCAGAGGATCTCGTCTAGCATGAATCATTATATGGAGGCTCAGTATACTCGGTTCATTTGCAACTCCCTTCGACGTATCCACCCACAGCGAACTGTTTGTACAATCTTATTTTCAACTAGTATCGGGCATAGGAGTAGATGCACATTTGTGCACAGAGGAATTCTTAAGAGAAAAGACAAACTCGATTTGTATTCCCGATAGGACAATTATTTCAATTCAACTTGGGGCGATTAGCCACTGCCAGTGATTGGCATCCCTGATTTCTCCGTACGCAGTAATTGTTAGCGTGTTGAGCCTCCTGATGGGGCGGGCGGGGTTATGATTGGGTCTAGCTCGAACTCCACGATTGCAGCCTGGTGTAGCCTGAAATAATGAATCACATAAATAAATACGACCATCCAGGATTCCATGTTGCGAGTTTAACATAATAACCTATCTCCTGGGTGACTAAATCAAGCTTCTTCCCAACCCTCAGCCAACATGGCAACAGACTCACACTTGGAAGCCCCCGCTACTTTCACAGAATTCGACCCCCAGCAAACATGCCCTTTGTTCTCTCTGCCGGCAGAGCTTCGATATGAAATATTCTCCCACGCTTTAACAAGCGCACCCGATAAAACACGGCCTATAGATCAAGATGCATACTGTACGCGACCGGGATACGAAACTTTATCTCGGACTTATGCAGAACTTCTGCGAACATGCAAACGAATCTACATGGAAGCGTGGTTCATGCCATTTCTCTTATCAGAGCATCCCTTTTACATGGCCTGGCAAAACCGATCGCCAAAGCGTGTAATGTCAGTTTCCAAGATGCAAAAATGTCTTGATTTGATCTACGAACGTCACGGAAAGGTTGAAGGCGGCGCTGTTCGCATTTTTGCCCAGCTTTGGGCTCTAGAGGGTACCAAGGATTGTTCTGGGGTCCTTAGTATGAAAAACTTTTACCCTAAGACTATTACCATTACTATTCGGTATACCGATACATGGATGTGGGAAGAGAATCAGGCGCTGCGTATTGGCGGTGCGTGGAGTGGAAGACTTGCACTCCCGTCGAGTGTGACGAGATTTAAGATCGACTTTGAAAGTATTGAGCGCAGAAAAGATGAGGTCGATTATATTGTTCGGGGATTTGCGACGCGTTGGTGCTTTCGTCGACGAGATGGTGTGAATTTGGTGGCTGATGGCGATAAATCGATATCTGTTTCTCGTTGGACGGGCAGCTCGACTTTGGGTGATTCGAGATGGGTACGTGATGAGACACGGCCTGGAAAATTGGATTATTATGTCGGTACCGTTACTTGGAGACCATCGAAGGAGCCGCCTAGTCCTGATGAACCGTCTAACCCCTCTCTGCGAGTCGATTGGCGTCGTCCTGAGGTCAGATCCTTGACTTATAATACCATACGGACTGAATTTTTACAACGCGCGGGTGTACCGGAAGGTGCCACTGCTGAAGAGGCTATCTTCATCATAGATGAGTACAGGGCTAGGGTCAATGCATCTGATAATGATCGCTCTAGCCTTGGAGAGTGGACTGAGTCAGAGGATGCCAATTCAGAGGAGGAAGAGGAGGATGACGACGACGACGATTATGACGATGACAACAGCTCTGAAGACGGTAATGCTGAATAAATGACTATGAGGGTCATCTCTTCGTATAAGGTTTTGGGAACGGCCGGATGTGTGTAATGTGGCCTGATTTGAGTCCAAAGATCCACACAAACATAAATTTATGTTCTGAAAAAAAAGGAGGCTGCGAGAGCCGCAGTGAGATGGCATGTGATACTAGGTAGTAGTAGTCAAGATGGTGGACATTTGTCTGTTCATTGCAAATCCACTTTATTCAGATCGATTTATCATATCTGGATACTGTGACCCTCTTAAGTTAGTGTTTCGGACTGAAAACTCGGGAAAACTTGAAGAGATTTGGGTTTCTAGGATATCTTTAACTCAAAACGCCAATTATTTACATGCAAAGATGTATTCTATAGCTCAACCGTCTATTTAATCCATCAACGCCTATGTATCTTTTGTTGATTCAGTACTAAGCCGCCATGGCTCAATTAGATATTGTCGCGGGGGTTTCTATGTCGCTTTGGAAATCCAAAAATCGCTGTGGTCGCAATGGAACATATACACTTCCGAATTAGCGCACGGCAAAGCTGGAAAATGATTCGCAAGGGATTTTGTCGCACGGGATGTCGCAAAGGATGTCGCGAGTTAAGCGTTAAGAATATTTGGGTATGCTTGTTAGTGTCGCACTGGTGATGATCGTTGCGAGGGCCGTGTCGCATGGGCCAAATTAGGTATTCCAAGGGTAGTTGCGTGGGTTCAAGGTGCCAAGGGGTGGCTGAAGAATGTCGCAATTGGGACCCGCTGTCAGTAATTCAATAATTAGACGGTCGGACCGTTGTCCTTCTTTTTGTCGTTGTCGATAACTTCCGATTCAGAAAGATCATCGGCGATGGCCTCGGTGACTGGGCCTGTGTAGACTGCTTTACCACGGATAACCCAGTAGATCAATGCAAAAAGCAAGACGGCAGCAACATAAACAGAGGAGTAGTTCATCTTTTGTCATATCAGCAAACAGAGTAGGGAGATTGGAGGTTTTGTACGTACGTTATCCGGCTTCACGGGCATATCAGTGGGCAGAACAAAGATGATGCTGACGAATAGTGTCCACAAGCATGCCCAGGCATTGACATAGGGACCCAGCGGTCCCATATGCCAGGGGCCGGGCTGAAAGTTGCCGAAGAAAAGTCTGCAAAGGATAGGAATGCAGTAACTCCAGTCTAGAGCAATAGAGCAAAGGGTGAAAATACCGTCGATGGCAGTGTAAGATCCCAAACCAATCAAGTTGATTGCGATGCAAAAGAACACAGAAATCCACACAGCATACAGCGGTGTCCCTGTCCAAGGGGAAACCTTGGTCCAGACATTGGAGAAGGGTAGCAGACGATCACGACCAAAGGCAAAGACAGTTCGACCAAGAGACTGCATCGCAGTGAAGGTAACAAACTTGATGATGATCAGAGCTGCGATGGTGAAGAACATACCACCACCCTTTCCAAGACTGTTATAGAAGATCTGAGCGACTGGCTGTTCCATTGGGGAGTTGAGAATCGATGTAGGGTCACCCATGCAGAAGCAAAGGACGATGTTAAACAGGAATCCGAGGACGTAGGTGAAAAGCATAGCTGTAGAGATAGCCCAGGGAGCTTTCTTCTCAGGCTCGCTAATTTCCTCTGTAATATGAGCAGTTGCATCGTAGTCGGTCATAGTCCAGCTGACAGACAGGAAACCAAACAGCCAGCTGAATCCAATAGGTTTCCATCCACTGGAGGACTCAACATTGGTAAACACATATTCAGCATCATGCTTGTCTTCCGTCAACACAAGCAGAGCAATGGCGCAGGCTACTATCACAGCAGTGTGGAAGATCACGTAGAACTTGGTCATCTTCTCCATCCAGTAGGTAGACAGCGAGTTTACCAGCCCGGTAGAAACTGTCAATGCAGCCATCACGCCAACGGTGGTATCAGTGCTTATTGTGTATTTGAAATCACGGCTCATCGACACAGCAGCGAGAAGCATTTGAGCAGCGCCATATTCGGAGGATGCAACACCGGCCACTTGGCCCAGTAGGTTAAGCCAGCCAGTGACCCAACTGATTGAGGGAACCCATTTATTCGGTGCCATGCGAGAAATCGTAAAATATAATCCACCAGCAGTTGGGTATGCAGAGACCAATTCAGCCACAGAGCACTATTGTCCATATCGATCGATTAGTTCATGACCCAATATGATGTTTCCAAGTTGAATATCGACTAGCTTACCGCAATACACATACAACCAGCGCCAGAGATAGCCCAACACCAGACTACAGCACTGCTGCCACCAGCTTCTAGTGGGTATGACATGGTAGTCATGATTGTTGAGAACACACCACTGATACTGACAGCGAATGAGAATGTTGCCAAATATCCGAATTCGCGCTGGAAGACCGGATTGTAGCCGAACTTGACGGCCAGTTCATTATCTGCCTCTGTCATATCAGCAGCGACAACCTTTTTGTGTTGGCCATCCGGTCCAACAATCTCGACCATTCTCGAGTCATGGCGATTTCGAAGCTCGTTGACCGCGCCCGTATTGGCGGTATTATTCTCGGCCATCGTGATCGCGCAAATGGCTGTGGTCTTTATTTTCGAATTGAAAAACAATAGGCTGAGCGTTCAACAGACGAAAAAAAAGCAAAAATAGGGAAGACGGGGGCTAATAAATTATCGCGAGCCGAAATAATTTCTTCGGTGGATCTCCGAAACTTTGGAAACCGGTTGTGCTTTGGGGCCATGCGTGGCATTGTCGTCTTCCCGACCCGCACAGGTTCAAGGTCGGGTTCAGGAGGCGTATCTCATTATAATGCGGATAAATTCATTGGGTCGAAAGAGATTAGCGTGGGCCATTCAGGAAGAGATTTTCATCATAGTTCCGATTCCTATGGATTAATGGGGCTGCGATAAAAGCTTGAAATCCAACGTCAACCTATCACTGTTCTTTGTTCAACTCAAGTGCTGAATCCACACGGCTAGAGCGTTAGCTATTGGTTTATTCTTATCAACCAGCCAAGACCTGCCTATATGGTCTACGGAATCTTTACGACCCTATATTAGAAAAGGAAGATATGGGAGACAGGATCAAAATGGACGAAGATGATGGATGAAGTTAAGCTACGGAGTGAGAGATGCAATGAATTGGGTGCCTAGGAAGGAGGCCTGAGGCAGCAAATCCCACATAGCAGAAGAGCCTCTAACTGGAAGCCCTAACTTCTAAGGCAAGAGACAACAGTCAATCATTAAATAATTCGAAATTCAATTATGATTTAAGTTGAGGGGCCTTCATAGAGGTATACAGTCCACAGTCGATTACATAACCATCAAACATCAAACAAAGATTCCATGAAAATCTCAAAAGCAGCACATGTCGACAGAAAGAGAGATTGTGAGCGACTCTGAATCACACAAGACGCCTCAGCAACACACGAAGCAACTTGTCCTGCTTGGCGAGGTCCCGAGAGAAAAATCTATTGTTTTGTTTGGTGTAATTGGCCAGGGCAGCTTTGTTTCGAAAAATTCTGGGCGAATGGTCCTTAGTCCAGCATTCCAAGAGATCCACGATATTGACATGAACCTTGGCGAGGGCCTATAAATTAATACAAGTAATCAGATCAGCCTGGCTCCTCTATCATCTCACCTGTCAAGGACGAAGATGGTACTTACCTTTTTGCACTTTGTGATTGAACCCAAGTCGCCTTCAATATCCAACTTGTGACAAAGTTGCTGCCACGTCTCAGGGTCATTGATATGTGCACCGATCACGTTATCATAAAATTCACTCATACAGAGCTTCCAGTTCTTCTTCCACGTCTTGGATCCGTTTTTCCAGCCTCTAGCCAGGGACAGACTGCTGAATTCGGATATCACTGGCTGCGTGTCGTCATACTCAAATGCTGGGAATCTATCGAAGAAACTCAGATGGACATGGCTAGGCGTCTTTCTGCCTGAGCTAGCGCTGGTCTGAGAAGAGGGGGCTTGAGTGCGACGAGTCATGGCAATAAGTCAGAAAAAAGCAGAGAAAATAATTGGGGAAGTTCGTATGTTTCTAAACAGTGATATTGGTTGATGGGGAAGGAAGAGGGTGAAGGTGGTCCGAGTCTATGCAGGAGTGAGTAGGAGAGTGAGTGGATGATTTGAAATGGGAGGGAGTTTTGTGGACATGTCCACGAAGAAAGATACGGTATTATACTCCTGGAAATTTGGTGTTCATTTCAGTTCCTTAAAGAAACTCTTTCATTTTGCACATTTGCACCGTTCTAATGACAAAAAGCGCAAACGAACGGTCATACAAATACCTCCGCCTACCACATGGGCACAAATTATTGTTCAAACCCCTCCTCGTCAGGTCTTAAAAATTAGGGTTTCTATCAGCCCTTTCATTGATTTGATACCTAGTCAATTAATATGAATAGAATCTTATCCTCCTTCATGGGCGCTTTTCCAGCCACCGGCTCAACAACACAGGAAATCACGACACACGATTTGTTATCACGGGATATTCCGAACAGCTTCAAATGGCAAGTGCTCTCTAGGGTCCATTTTGCTCCATCTTGCTCTGCATCGATTTCTTTACTTATGAAATTTTTGACTTCAGGGCCTCACAGTTCGCGGAAATGTTTCTCTCGATTGGCCAGCTTGGAGCAGCCATATTCGGAGCACTCATCAGCATACTTGCTTTCAATACTTGGGCACCTTTCGACGCAATCTTTGACTATGTTGTTGTCGGCGGAGGAACAGCAGGCGTGACGGTTGGGGTTCGTCTGGCCCAGCATGGCTTTCGGGTTGCGCTGGTCGAAGCAGGTGGATATTACGAACTTAAAAATCCTATCGCCCGAATACCCGGTGCAGCGATCATAGGGATTGGCGCCAGTCCCAAGTCATCGACGCCAGTGGATTGGAAGTTCGTGGCCCATGCTGTTCCTGGGGCGGGTTTTCGCGACATTCATTATCCAAGGGGCAAGTGCTTGGGGGGATCGTGAGTGAATTCCTTCCTGAAGGGTTAGAAGATGCTAACTATTCTGTCTTCAGATCAGCATTGAACTTCCTCATATACCAACGGTCGATAACCATTGATGTTTTGTTATGTGGTGTGAACTGACGACTGAGTAGGCCATCAAAGGACGCCATGAGAATATGGGCAGATCTGGTCGACGATACAAGCTATCTCTTTGAGAACTGTTTCCCTTTATACAAGAAGACAGTGACATTCTCGCCTCCTGTAGGTCGAGCAGCTGGTGTGCCGTCCTATAAAGAATCCAGTTTCAGCTCCTCTGGGGAACCGCTGCATGTTTCGTACCCAAAGCACGCAATGGAATTTTCTAACTGGGCACAAGATGCCTTCACAGAGGCAGGATTGCCAGAAGCTGAAGACTTTAATAGCGGATCACTTATGGGCCACCAATTCTGCACCATGACCATCCGACCGACCGACCAGACAAGAAGTACATCAGAGTCGGCGTTTATGGGAGGCTTCAAACAACTGGAGAATGTGACTGTGTACCAGAAGACTCTAGCCAAAAAGATACTGTTTGATGGTGAACGTCGTGCTATTGGGGTCCGCGTGAAGCACAAATGGTCATACACTTTGAAGGCAACTAAAGAGGTGATAATATCTGCGGGCGCATTCCAGTCTCCACAACTTTTGATGGTCTCTGGGGTTGGGCCGGTCGATACCCTTCAAAAGCATGGCATTACAGTCGTCGCCGATCGGCCTGGCGTGGGCCAGAATATGTGGGACCATGTATTCTTTGGGCCTTCATACCCTGTCACGGTAAATACATTCACGGATATGGTGTGGCATCTGGACCATCTTTTCCTCCAGGTATTGAATTGGCTCCTTTTTAAGAAAGGAATGTTATCGAATCCTTCGACCGACTATCTGGGCTTCGAGAAGATTCCATCGCAGTTCCGGTCTATATTATCTGCCCGAGATGAAGAGGCACTGTCCTGGTTCCCTGCAGATTGGCCGGAGGTGGAGGTGAGCATCACTCCATTTGTATTCATGGAGCTAGAATCTGACTCGTTTGTTAGTATCTTGTGGCTTCGGCATATGTCGGTAACTTCTCAAGTCCCTTTTGGCAGCAACCGAGCCTTGGCCAGTATGGTAGCATCGTCGCCAGTATAGTTGCCCCGACATCTCGCGGGAATGTGATGATCAATTCAGCGAACATGGCCGATCCACCGATCATCAATCCAAATTGGCTCGCAACTGAAACGGATCAAAGAGTAGCAGTCGCAGCTTACAAACGAATCCGCGATATTTTCAATACCACCGCCATGAAGCCTGTTCTTGCGGGGCCGGAATACTTCCCAGGGTTCTCGGTCAGTACCGATGATGAGATACTTGCTTTGATAAAGCAAACTATGATGACAATTTATCATGCTGCGTGTACCTGTAAAATGGGTGTTCAAAATGACAGTATGGCAGTTGTTGATAGTCGAGCGAGGGTTTTTGGTGTCTCTGGTTTGAGGGTAGTGGATGCTAGTGCATTCCCAATCCTACCAGCTGGCCACCCCCAATCAACTGTTTGTAAGTTGTTCACTGACTGCCTTTTCCAATTTTCGGTGATACTCACAGTCCTCCAGATATGCTAGCTGAAAAGATCGCTGCGGATATTTTGGCTACATAGCTCTACCGATCCCGCCACACCATCATTAAATGGATAAGTCTCGTTGTACCCAAACGAGTATCTTCAAAGAATAAAGACTCAGAATCACCAATGAAATTCTATTGATTCTCGGTTCTTAATTTTATATCACCATTTCTCCTCTAGATACATTTGATTCAAAGTATCGAACATATTGTAATCGCTGGGTAGGCAATCCGGGGAAAACGCAAAGCCAAGATTGTTCGCGAACAGCTCGTCGGAATTGGGGAAGTTCTGAATATCGCCAAGTGGATTGAACCCCAATCCCGGGATACCAGGACGATTGAAGTTGGGATTTTGATGTAAAGAGAAAGACAATGGGCTGTCGGGCGTTACAGTTTTCCCATTGAGAATATCATCAAAGATCTCAATATTCATGTCCGCAGCCTCATCAGCAGGTGCCGGATCAGATAGCGGACATGTACCTTCGCGATTGTACCCTTCCCAGTCTGCCGGTAGATGTTCAGTCCCGTAACGATCAAAGTAAACCTTCTCCAAGTTTTTCCCGATACGCTTCGCAATATTCCACGACGTAGAAAGCTCACGCAAAACCTGAAAAAATAAAGCAACTGCAGCGTGTGGCGGTATATGTTTCGTGCCATCATCTTGAGGATGGTTCTTATATCGCGAATCGGCACTAGCAGAACAACACAGCTCAATAACAATTAAAGCTGTCGACAACGTAGAGTGGGTAGCTGTCATAGGACTGAGTTTGAAACTGCCGAATGTTTTTCGGTATTTTTGTGAGATTATGCACATTGCTCGGACGGCTGAACTACAGCTGTTGAGTGCTTTCCAGAGTCTGGTGCGTTCGGGTGAGTCTCCGTCGTGCTTTTCGGCTAGTTGTTGTGCTGCATCGCCTTCCTTTTCGGGCTGATAGTAGTGGCTTATGAAGGGGCAGCAGAGGAGCATGACTGCTTGTTGATATACCATTGATAGAGTGTAGGCGTGGGGGAATCTTGAAGGGCCCGAGGGGCGATCGACTTTGAGTTCGGAGGGGAGGTCGTAGTACCATGTTTTTAGTTCGAGGATGCAGGAGTCGAAAAAGGCGGAGCGTTGGCTGTTTTGGACGAGGGGTTTGGGGGACCATCTGAAATTGAAGTTAGTGTCTTGTGTGGGGGAACTGGCGAAATGGGGATTCTGTATCATACAGTGACTGGAGGATTTTCTCGATAATGCGACATAGGTCAATCATTGATCGATGTAGTTGAGCAGTGTCTTTTTGGGATGCTGCTCGAAGACTTCCGTTGGCAGATGGAAAGTGAACCTCCGAGACACATTGAAGATAAGGCTTGTTGACAGCACCTTGTGACTCCTATTTCAGGTGGTTAGTTTGAATAATTCTAGGCGTAATTGATTTTTCATGACATACTAATAAAGTGCAGACTCTCCCTGTATAACAGGCAGACAGTTTGTCGTGGCAGTACAAAGCCCAATAAATTTGTCTCCGCAGTTCAATCTCAAACGGTGGCAGAGAAACAGTTCCAGTGAGAACAGCAGGATCCATATTGAAACCCATATCAATGGCAAGGCGATTAGCCATTCCCTGGTGAAGCCAACCGGCAGCATCAGATCCTGTAGCCTATAAATAAAAAAAAGAAATGATTAGATGAATGGCTTTCCGATGTATATGAAATGAGATAAACATTGCTTACGATATAAAACATTCCCATTATTGTCAATGACTGAATGGTTGTAATTTTCGGCCAGCGAAGATCATTCGGAATAAGCCTCTCTGCTGTTCCAATGAATCCCTTGCCAGCTGAATTTGGATCGTTAGGATCGGTGCGAACTTCTAATCGATCGTGGCAATATCGAGAGCCGATGGCTAGAATACAGGTCAATAGAAGAGCACTGCAGTATCGACCACCGCTTGCTAGGCTATCTCGAAATAGTTTTTCATTCACAACTTGAAGCCACGGTTGCTCCCAGTCGAAATAAAGGTTAATCAGATGGGCTTGGAGCTCATCAGATATCCGAGGCTCGTTGGGTATTTGACCATCATTCATTTGGGTCTCTTCAGCTTGAGTGACACAATGCGGTGATATTGAGTTGCACGTTCCACTTGGAGTTGTAGAGCATCCATTGCATGAAGCATCTGTTTGGGTTGAGTCTTCTGCGGGGGAGTCTGGATATAATCAGTATCAGCATATAGGCATATAAATAACAAGATAAGAGAGAATTTCCACGCACTATTCAATGAAGACCTGAATAATAATCTGCCACTCGTTGGACCAAAATAGCGTACTTCGCCATCTTGATCCCAATTCAAAGACTCATCTATAGTAAGTGCGCCATCAAAAGTCATGCATAGTTCCTCCACAGTTGAAGATTGCGCACAATTGGGATCAGTTGTATCTGAGATTTCTTTCTCGGCCAAGATCTCCGCAACAGACTCTTCAACGTTAATACCGTTTTTTTGCAGAACTCTCTCTAAAAGCTCTATCCTATTCCGCAGCATAACTACATATGCCTTTGGTGCGGGCTGTCTTCCATCTTCGGCGGTTGAATATTGGCATCGAATACCTCGATCAAGACATCGTGAGCAAGACGGGCGCGTGCCATCACACTAATAAAGAATGCGTTAATCGTGAACTTCAAGTTGGAGACAAATTTATACATGTACTAGGGATATCAGAAATATTACCTTTGCTCGGCGGCGGCGACATTCCTCACAGGCTCGAGATGTATACTTTCTCCCCGCGCGTTTTCGGCGTGCGGCAGTATCCTCTTGTGGGGGCTGGCCACTATTAGATTGAGATGGATCCATTCTTCGGCCTTATTTGACTGTTTCTCATAGTGATTTGCTCGATAAAAGGATAGAATATTAAGAAACGAAGAAGCGGCATTTAGCATTACAAAGCAATGTTGACACCCTGTATATCAGGCGATGAACATATCTCCCTTTTAGGTTATAGTTTAGCCTCAGGCTTTAAATGTTGAGGCCTTAGGCACCAGTTTGGGGGGTCTATATCCATGTTCATGTCTGCCGCAACCATCATTTTGAAAGTTGGAAATTTTGGCGAGCATTTTATTGAATAAAAGGGGATTCAAGACGTATCCTGCTTCTTGTTTCATCGGAGAATGTGTTGAGTCAATGGATATTAGGAAAACAATTGGTATTGATTCGGATATGTAGCATATTTTAGGCAGTTACAATGCTGGATATGTAGTATATCGAGTTCTCATAATTACCAAAATAATTATAATGAAATGTTCCGACCTGAAGTGGAGGATCAAGGTTGAAAACAGCAGGAGCTTCTTCAAGTTCTCAACTTCAATTTTTCAATTTTCTGATCGCCTAGGTGCAGAACTGTCCGCTCACATGCGGATCGTAGGAAGAATGCAAGGCCTCTGAATGGAGCACATGAGCGGATGTACTTTTTCCCCCTTTACCGTTTACATGCTTGAGAGCCCCCTCATTCGTACACTGGCATTACAAAGTAGAAATGAGCGATGAAAGAGAGTTGCTCAAAGTACTTGTGACTTTTTCTAGACAGAAGCATGCTTATTCCCCTGCAGGATGGATTGTCCCATCTTGTCAACAATACATTTCTACAAGGATAACAGAAAGTCGTTTCCAAATCTAGAGGCATGATGTCTTTCTCTCATATATTCGAAACATTCCATGGGTATAAGTTATGTGTCGTCATATGTGAGCCATCGGGATATTTACTCTGCAGACACTACCGGGATGCTAGTATAGATCAGCATCAGGATTGTCTTCGGGCTCCAATTTTCGAAACCATAGAGCCTTGGGAATTATTATCTCTTGCAAATACGTAATGTAATATTATCGATGATCATGCTAAGGTCGCGAGGACACACGCATTCCCCCCACTAGCCAGCAGCAGCGGGTTCATGCAGATAGACAGGGTAAGTATGATGATTGGACTCTCCACTCCCAAGTGTGGGGGAAGTGTGAGTTCAGAGTTCTGGAGAAGCATAAAGTTTCTTCGGGGAGTATCATCGCCATCCCAGGTCAGTCACTCGGAGGTACAGCCAGTCAGAATGAGGTCGTGCTGCCCCGGATCCTCGTGGGTCACCCTGGACGAATCCCCAATTCCGCCATCTCGTCCAATAAGACTGGCACTGGTGCACTGGAGTGTACTGGTTCAATCAAATAGTTTGATATTTTCTCGACATTTTATTTTTCTTTAAACAAAACAAAGACACCACAAACCTGTCCATGTTCATGATCATCCTGTCTCTCATGCACCCTAGTGGTCATTTTTCAATCATTAGATCATTTCTAATAATGTATGGTCATCAGCTGACTCCTACCCCGCAGACCCGAGGATCTGAAGAAAACGGTGGAGTCGAGGATCGCCGGTCCACCCAAAACTTAACATTCCCTCTCCTAATCATGGCACGGAACACGGAAGTACAGGACTCAAAAAAGGGCTTAAAGGGATTTCTGATTATCCCCCCTCTCAGGCTGGATCGGAATGAGTTTTGATCCGACACGAATCATGATATCCTAGTAAGGGACGCATCCAATAATAAAAAACCAAAAAAACCTATCTCTTGTGGGACACAGACCGGTGCAACTGGCCCTGTCCTCAATGAAAGTTGGAAAGATTCCGGTTGATTTCCATGTTTACATTATTGGATATAGTTTTACGCTGGGTAAGTGTCATTTTGTTTGATTATTCGATCATTCTTTGGCAGATACAGTCAATTAATAGTATGTACTATTCATGTATGAGAACTGGCACACCGCTGTCGTGTCTCTCTAACTTTCCCCGAGGGCAAGCGAGCTCCTAGGTGGGTTAGATCTCAAAACGAGCAGATGGTGGCGTTCTACTATGATTGGTTTAGTAGATTAATTCGCACTAGGGTGGATGCCGGGATATCATCCCAGTGGATATTGGCATGAAGGGACCATGACAGTCGGAGGCGGGAAGGGGGGGGGGGATGTACAGTATGTACACACCTCGTTACGAGAAATCATTAGTAATGATTGTTGGTCCAGTTTGTGTGATTTTCCTCTTTGTACTTGTGTATCAAAAATAGAATTTATCTCCGGGATCTTTGGTGTTGTGTGCAGGGGGAGGGGGGCGGGAGTTAGTTATGACAGGAGGAAGATGTATCCAGTATGATGATAACAGTGGATTGCTGTCATTCGTGATAAACCAACAACAAAAGTACCAAGCAGGAAACAGAAAGGGAAAATAGTCGCTTCCAGACTCGAAGCCATCGAGGACTGCATACTGCATAGACCCCTTGGAAGTGGTTAGTGATATAGACCAGGATGGATGAAACAAACGTCATGAGTAAGGGTGGTCAGCACACAAGGGTAATTAAGGACAGGGGACATTATAATAGTGACGTTAATTTTCTGATCCTAACCTGTAAGTCCTCTTTATCTCTCTCCCTCTTCCCATTTGACTTTGACGGGCCTGCGTAAGGTGGTGCAGAAAGTGCAGAAGTGGCAGAAGAGAGAAAAAGAGACATGACCCAATTTTAAGTGTTGCCCACACCCAATCATCATCAGCCCTTGACTTCCACCTCCCCTCCCCAAATTCCCTTCTTCTTTCCCTAAAGTATTTTTGGGAGTGATTGTTTCAAACCAGATATCCGGCACTCTCTTCTGGGATCATAGACTGTTTCCCGTGTTCCCCCTTTCTTTCCCTTCCCTTGAGCCTCCCTCGGCGTTGACGTCGATGATCCTGCGCGTCCCCTCGATCGCGCTGTTCCCCGCATAACGAAACGGCTTCCGTTATCCTCCGTCTCACACCAAAGAAGAAGAAACAAAAAAGGCGTGTGTGCCCAACGACAAAAATAAGTGGACTCGACAACAACCTGCCTCAACACCCCAATCGACACGTTATGGCCCGTTGACATCACGGATGAATTCATAGTCTACAAGGCCTAAGAGCACCCGCTCTGCCCTCCAGCAGACGGTTCTGCTTGGCTCTACAGAATTCTGTGGACAAGCTTCTTTTTGTTTTTCCGTGCCAATAAATCCGCTCATCGCCATCGTTCTTCACTTCTCCTTCGCGCTGGACCTTCGGTAATCCGCGCCCAGAATGGCGGACAATGGCTCTCCAAAACCCCAATTCCTCGCGCCTCCGGCCGTGACCGCGTTGCGGCAGGAGGCTCGGAATATCAACCCGAAAATGACAAGAACATTGAGTGAGAATATGAGGGAAGAACGGGAGGATCTGAAAGAAGCCGCTGAACAGACTTTGAACATTATTGTGGATTTGGATCTCGAGGGTCGCATCAAATGGGTCAGCCCCTCGTGGCGGCAAGTGGTTGGAACGGCTCCGGCATCTGTCGAGGGCCGTATGATCTCTGAAATACTTCTGGGAAACAAGGATGTCTTTAAAGACGCGATTGACGCACTGAAGGAGGATGATTCGCGTAGTCGCTTCATTCGATTTGCTGTGCAAATGGGGCCGGACTCCGTGTTGAAGTACGCGCCGGAGCCGCGACCGATGGAAACAGAACAGAAAATGGAGGACGACAAGTCTGAAGATACCAAAGAGTCTCTAGAACATTCGCAGGTCGAAGGAGAGCAAAACAATGATGTCCTTACTATGGAAGGACAGGGTATTATGGTATATGAGCGGGACGACGACGGACATGTGGGTGGTCCTTACATTGCGATTTCTCTTTTAAACTATCTTACATCGAAAAGCCGGATTTTGTTGACACTTTATATATTTAATACAGTCTATGTGGATGTTACGTCCATTCACCGAACCGAGAGAAGTGACGATCGATCTTCCGCCCCTTCTTGTTGAGTCGCTAGGTGTTGGAGCAGAAGTACTTGCGAACTACCTAACAACACTTGCCGAAGCCGCTGCGAACGAACCAGACCCTTCAAAACACCCCGCCCCAACACCTGTGCTATGTCGGATTTGCGAGCGTCAAATCACGCCGTGGTGGTTTGAGAAACACTCGGATCTATGTCTCCAGGAACATCGAGCCGAGATGGACGTACAGATCGCACAGGAAAATCTCAATGAACATCGGCATATGATAGTCAAAGTATTGGACGCCTTGGAGGCTCGACAGGGTAGACCATTGATCACACCGGATGGCAATGTGCAGTCACCTCCTCAGCCAGAGTATAAAGGATTGCCCATTGGGCCACCCCCCACGAGTTCAACACCGTCCTCTGCTCCTGTATCCAGCGGAAACTCTGCTCCAGGAACCCCGCCTCGATCAAGAGATCATTCTGCTTCTGGTCTTCCCACGGTCGGGCGCCCTCGGTCTTTCACTGTACGCCGGCCATTGGCTCGCATCGTTGAGCTGGTTCTAGATCTCTGCGATACTGCTCTGGAAATCAGTATGCCGATGATTAAGGAATCTTCTCGTGCAGAAAACCCCGAGGACTTTAGGACGCTTTCTCCACAGTCTGAATCCCGAATCACTCAGGTCGCTCAGTGGCAGTCTCCAAGCTCTAATACCTTAGAGCAGGAGCAAGGCCTTGCCGCTCTGGCAAGCGATACCGAACAAATCGCGAAAGTAAAAGTGGACTCGGTTGTTCGTCATAGAAAGATTGTTGAATATGCTGAGAGAATCCGTATTGAATATACTGTTCTTGTGGAAGAATGCATTACAGCTGCCCTTAGCAAAGCAGAGCGTATAGCCGCTGGCCAGCTTAGTGATTCTACTTGCTCCTCTGATAATGAAGCCCAGGAAGATATTGCAGCAGGGCAAATTGTGGAGAACGACTTTTACAATGCCGGAATTCCTCTTCAAACCGATGAGACGCCATTACAGGTCCCTCCACTTCAAAGATCACCGCTAGCCCAATCTCAACTTGCAGGGCCCACCCCTCGCAAGTCCACGACATCGGCGTTGACAATGTCTATGCGCAACTCACCGGACCGTGCGCTACTTGGGCAAACTGATACGAAGTCATCGTCATCGACTGCTGTATCGACGGGATCAAACAGTCCCATGGAGTGTCCCACCCCCCGGTCTTACAAAAGTGCGGCTGGATTGCTGGGAACATCTCAACCTGGTCGTAGAGGTCTTTCCCTCATGGATATTGACCCCGGTGACAGTAGCGATAGCAGTATTCCATCATCTGTGTTCCCAGGTGCTATACGGACTGACTCGCCATCTTCTGAACGAAGTTTCGATCGCAAGCGAAGGAGCCTGGTGCTTCCCGGTCTATCTAGTTCTCCTCGTCGCCAGCCATCCCCAGCACGAGCACCTGGTCCGCACTCCCCCCTACGAATGCCCAAACCCCGACATTCCTATGGTGCAGAAAGCTTACCGTCCCCGGTAGTATCTCCGTCTACTTATACTTCCGAGTTGGCTCACAATTGCCGCCACCATCGCCGCCAGTCGTCAGCGACTTCATCTGATGTCGCAAAACCACCCCCTTCGCCTCGTCTTCCATCAATGAGCCAGCAACCTCGACCGGCGCCCCCTTCAATCAAGGACTTTGAGATCATCAAACCAATCAGTAAAGGTGCCTTTGGAAGTGTGTATCTGTCCAAAAAGAAATCAACAGGAGAGTATTATGCCATTAAGGTTTTGAAGAAACAGGACATGGTAGCCAAAAATCAGGTCACTAACGTGAAGGCTGAACGTGCGATCATGATGTGGCAGGGAGAAAGCGACTTTGTCGCCAAACTCTATTGGACGTTCTCGAGCAAAGACTATCTTTATCTGGTCATGGAATACTTGAATGGAGGCGATTGTGCCTCTCTCGTCAAGATTCTCGGTGGCCTCCCCGAAGATTGGGCCATGAAGTACATTGCGGAGGTTGTGCTTGGTATTGAACACCTCCATAGTCGAGGAATTGTACATCGTGATTTGAAACCCGACAACCTTCTTATTGATGCCTCCGGTCACCTCAAATTGACTGACTTTGGACTTTCTCGAATGGGTCTGGTCGGTCGTCAGAAACGTTTGCTGAAGAGTCCAAACGAGTCGGCTCCAGATTTACTCAAACAAGGACCCTTCCCCCGCGCCATATCAATCGCTTCTTCCCGCTCAGCGTCCTTTGACTTCCAGGCCGGGTCTCCTGGCTCCACGCCGCTGATTACACCTGACAACGCGGTTGGCACTAGTCAGCCATCTTATTTCAGCCTCAATCAGACAAACCTTAACCAGACTGGACTAAGTCGGCAAAGTTCCAGGCGAGCATCTGGATACCGCAGCGACAGCGCAGGAAGTGACAGCTTAAATGGCATGTTTCGAACCTTTTCACTCAACGACAATTCTCATGACCCTGCTGCTCCATCACCAAGCATGCTTTCAAGCAACTTGGCCGAGGAAGAGGTGCAGAGTGAAACTGATGATTCACCACAACTGTATCCTTTGCTACCAACTTTCAGCAACCCCGCGCATAATACTCCCCCGTCACAAAGCATGCTTCCGCCAGTTATGGCTCTTTTTGACCCCGAGGATCATGATAGACGTTTCGTTGGTACCCCGGATTACCTGGCCCCAGAAACGATTAATGGCATAGGGCAGGATGAAATTAGCGATTGGTGGTCGATGGGCTGTATTATGTTTGAGTTCATATTTGGCTACCCTCCCTTCAATGCTGCGACTCCTGATGAAGTTTTCGAAAATATCTTACAGCGCAGGATTAACTGGCCAGAAGAACCGGAAGACTATACTACCGCAGAGTCATTGGATCTTATGAATAAACTCATGACTCTCAATCCCCGTGAGCGTATTGGAGCAAACGTGGAAGAAAGGTTTACCAGTGGCGGCGCTGAGATTCGTGCTCACCCTTGGTTTTCTGATATTCACTGGGATACACTGTTCCAGGATAAGGCGGAGTTTGTCCCTAACCTGGAGAATCCAGAAGACACCGAGTATTTTGATGCCCGTGGAGCTACTCTTCAAGCATTCGCCGAAGAAATGGAGGATGAACCCTCGCCACAGCCTCCAAGTACTTCGGGTTCTTACCCTGATAGACCCCATGACGCCTTGTTCAAGGTTCGCTCTCAGGTCAATTCTATGAAGCGTCCACTGATGCCTTTACATATCCCACCCCATGTACGCGATGCTCGCGACTCACGCAGTCGACGACTGAGCGAACCAGCACTTGCCGATGATTTCGGGAGCTTCAACTTTAAGAACCTGCCGATGCTGGAGAAAGCCAACAAGGATGTCATTCAAAAAATGCGCCAAGAAGCCATGCAAGCCCAGCACCGTCAACCGAGCGCATCGTCATCAACTGCTCAGACGCCGCTAAGTGCTTCTCAACCTTCGCTTGAAGGCAGTCCACTCCCGATGTCACTCCAGCGCGCCTTATCCCAGAACAAGGGTAACAACCGTCCATCTTCACCATCTAGTTTGAGTCAAGCAAACTCATCTCCAAGTCGGCCATCTCAACCGTCATCACCGCTTCTTGTTCAATTTAGCACTGGTACCAATCACGAACGACGAAAGACATCTGGGTCTTCATCCACAGCGTCTCATCAATCTAGTGGGAATTTCCAGCCTTCTTCTGTTGAACAAAATCGGATGCCGAATCTTAGACTTGGCTCGGTCGCGTCGTCTCCTGTAAAGGCCAACCGCATGCCTGCTCAGTCTCCCGACAAACATCCTTCAAATCAACGCCATGGTAGTGCCCCTGCTAGTCGAGCGCGATCTCAAACTATTGGTTCCCAGGACGGCGGGGATCTGTCCTCATTTCCCAAGGAACCTTTCATACCATCCCATCACAAGCGCCGGAGTCAATTGTTTGATATCTCGCCTTCTTCTTCTGACAATGAAGATCCTCGTACCAAGGCTCTACTCAAGGTTCAACGTCGGCGGCAGAGCTCTAGACGCCTGTCTCAATTTAACGTTCAAGATGGTCCATTCTTCCGACCGCTGGACGTTCTGATCTGCGAAGATCATCCTGTCTCCCGCTTGGTCATGGAACGTCTCTTTGAGAAACTTCGTTGTCGCACCATCACAGTCACAAATGGTGCCGAAGCTGTGCGATATGCTCTCAGTGAAGTTCAATTTGATGTTATCATGACCGAGTACAAATTGCCGCAGGTGAATGGTGCCGACTTTGCTCGAATGGTCCGAGAAACCCGCAGTCCTAACAGACATACGCCTATCATTGCGGTGACTGGCTACTTGAAGGACCTACCCGAAACTCATTACTTTGATGCGCTTGTTGAGAAACCCCCAACTCTGTCTAAACTTACTGAGACTTTGTGCAAGTGGTGTATGTGGAAACCTCCTCCGAAGGATTACAATCCATCTCAGCCTCTTCCGGTCCCGATGCCGAGCGTCCGTCCTGCACAGTTGCCCAACGAGGATAACAGTCCCAGTTCGGCATCATCTGGATTCGTGCCAAATCCACCGAGTTCCTACCGTGGGTCAAGCCGTGATGATTCTGTGAGCAGCAGTGTATTTGGCGATATGGACAACATCAAACCAGATGACGTTCCTGTCATTGTAAGCCGCAGCAATGATGACTGGGATCAAAGCGGACTTGGAATTTCCGAGGATGCTCATCCAGGAAGTCCTGACCCTAAAGCGGTGCCTGTTCCCCAGCTGCTACACGCTATCTCGGCGCCGGCGGCCATGGACGCCAGTGGCGCACTTACTCCTCGCAAACAACGATCCAGCGAAGCCATTCGAGCGAAGCGAGAATCTTTGGAGCGCAAAAGATACGAAGGAGCCGAGTCTGGCGATGACGAAGATGAGGAGTTGGGCAATGCTCAAGCTCGTCGAAGTCCACCCACTCGCAATCGCAGACCTGGATCCAAACTTGGCATTGAAATGATGCGTACTAACAGCCGTGGCAGTGTGGTCAGTGGCAGCGAGGAGCTCCTCAAGAAAGAACGTGAAGCACTGCGTCGCAGAAGCGGAGAGTTTGCTGATACCGACACTGACGACGGTGCACTGGGTTCTCCGGCCAGTACCACACTTGAAGAACGATTCGAAGATCTGAGTATTCCAGAGGAATCGGAGGCTGAGGAAAGACTAAGCGAACAATACTCGCCTCCATTGTCTGGATCTGCATCATCATTTCGCCGCCGAAGGCCATCGCTTGCTCATCATGACACTGAGATTTACAGCGGACATGGGCCTACATCGCATCCGGTTTCAGAAACTGGAACTGAGCGACTTTCAAAGGCTGGACAAACTACTCCTCCGTGGGAAACCAGTGGTACTTCCACTGGCCCTATTACTCCCGAGGTTAAAATTTCTGGAGATACCATCTCCTCAGATGCCTCTGGTGTAGATACGGACTGTAGTCCCACGCCTGACTCCGAAGCCACGCCGCGGCCTCTGCATCCTTCGCTTAGTCTGGATTCCGAGGAAACGCCTCGGCCTGCTGAAAGATTCAGATCCGACTTGACATCCTCTCTCAAGAGATGATTGCAATCTCAACTCATGAGTCCACTCCACGTCTCATCCCTCATACCTCTTCTCTCATCCCATTTCATATCTCAAAATTATCACCTCCCTTCTTTCATGTAAACATTTTCCTTACCTTTCCTTCTCTTATCGTCTTTCCCTTCCTATCTAGGAATCATTTATGTCCCGCGGACATGTCATCATACGCGCTGTCTCACGTCTCTTATGTTTTCATGGCTTATTGGAGCAGGGTGTTCCGGTCACATCTTTTTTTTTTGCCCCTTTCTCCTTCCTACTATCACATTCAACTGGCGTGAATAAAATGATGGGTCAAGGTAGCTTCTTCCCTTTTTCTCCTCATCCTCTTCTTTTTTCTTCTTTGTCTTTAGGGGACATGTGTTTATCCTGCTTCGCCATTTCGAGTATCTAACTTGACACTGCTTTCTTTGCTTCTTCCTCCATCTCGTGAATCTTCTTTTGAAGAAAATGTAGATCTCAGTGTTACTATTCAAGTTTGCCATGCAACAAAGATACTAGATTTGCGTCTTTTCCTCACTTGTAACCTGGACACTGATTCTAATGTATAGTATCTAAAGTAGAGAGAAGAACATTAGAAATCCCCTCGGGCTATAAGAGTCTTCCTGTACTGTATTATACATAGTGGTTCTGCTAATCTAAAACATGCCAAAGCCAAAATGAGGTTTTCCTTCCGGGCGCTATACCCCCCCTACCCGTAGTATACTCTGTAGTATGTATGTCAGGAAGGGAATGGCAGCGCGGAACCCACGGCCCCCATCTTATACCGCTGCGGATTAACGGGTCCCATTTTCACTTCTTATTGGTTGAAACGTCTAATTTTTACACGATTTATCACTATGTGGGCCTTCCTGCTTAATCCATTTCTAAGAACCACAATTACAGCCTTCTGAACAGTAAGACGCTATTGGTGGGCTCGTTCAAGAGTGCGAGGCTTAGGCGCAGGCAGAGGCTTGGGGTGGTATAAAGGTGCGTTGTTTTCTTTTTTTTTTGTTTGATTTTGCTAAAATGTGCGGAATATTTTTTGTGCGCTTGTTTATGAGATGTTGCTTTATTATTTCGCATCCTTGTTTATCAGGCTGGGACTTGAATCATAAGGCTTTCAATGTGGTTCCTTGGGTTCAAGTTGGTACTAATTTATCAATCTGGTCTGAGATACGAGATGTGGGTCGTATGGGGCTTCTGGGCTGCTTATGAAGTCGAACTCTGCTTGGGCTGCTTGAATAATTACTCCGATCGGAATAATTTCAAGCTGATCCTTGAGGGAAATGCCATTCCTTGCCTGTGGCTATTATATTGAGGAGACTATGCTTGGAACACGACAGTATTTGTGTGCAGAAGGGTGGTGGTACCCTTGGTCTATCCCGGACTCCTAACATGACATACAGTTATATCAATCTACTAATTTGCAAGAGGTTACTGCTACTCATTATAATATGAGTGAGCTTGACATATGACGATGATCTTTATATTCATATTGTATTCATGAGTTTAATTATCGAGGATCTTGGCTGCCTTGATAGGTGACCATGTTCCCAGTTGCGGTGTCGACTTCTTGCTTTGATTCAAATATTCCATCAGCTCTGCATGACCTTTCGGATCAAGCATTGACGACAGATCTTCCACCCCCTTCTTTGCAAGTTCCACTTTCAAAGCCTCCAACGCCACAGAAGCCACCATATTCGAGTTGACGAATCCCTCGCAGTGCGGCCAAGCTAATAACGCATTGATCGCCTCAAGTCGACCCGAGTATTGAGGACATTTGGAGGCTACTACCCAGAGAATCGGGAGGACGCCATGGCCCACGCTTAATGTGGGGCGTTCAGGAAATTTATTGACGAAATCATGGTATAGTAGTATGACCGCTTTGAAATCAGGCATAAGTTCTTCCAGCGCGGGGCCTTCGGTTAGGCATGTTTCAAGCCCGATAAGCTGCCCAGGACATTGGAGTCGAAGGAGTCCCAATGCTTGTTTTTGTTGGTAACTTGCTTTATGGTAATTGAATTGGTAGAAGGTCTCGATATGGTCTCTGAGTTCATAACATCGACAGATGAGAATGCTTTGCTTGTTTGTCAAATTCAGGTAATCGGCTTCTCGCTCCTCTGCTGAAAGTTTCCAGCATTTGGCGAGGAAAGGAATGCCTGAACTTAAAACGTTACAAACAGCCTCATGGAGACCATCTATTGTGTTGATATTATAGAATGAATCGTCGCGCGGTAATTCTTCTTCAGCCGTCCTCTCCTCGATAACACGCCCTGTCCCAAAATGCGAGGATTGATTATCCAATCGTGTGAATGTCTCAACAATAGATTGGTCGACCAATTGTTTATTTTGCGTTTCCGCAAGAACCTTGAGTCCACTCCGCAGATGAATAAAGGCGTTCTCATATCTACCCATCATCAAATCACCTATCACGAAAAAAAGGCAGCAAACCAGCACTACCTCTCGAAATTCCGGATCCTGCGACGCTTGTCGAGCATGTAGATGCGCAAAAGCCCTCGAGCCTTGCTCAAGCGCGACCCGCTGATGCGATCTGCGGAGATTTTCTCCCCAAAGCCGCATGTTATTCTCGGTTGCTTCCTCGTGAATCGCACCTAGCATGTTCGCCGCGTGATATACCGCGCGATCGCCTAGACTCATCTGTCGTGCGTATTTGTGCCACAATGTCGCGGTGAAAAATGTCGATAAGTTTGGAATAGTAATGTGCATGAAGTATGAGAAACATCGTCGCTCATCCATTGTTGTTAACCAGCTTACGTGCGCGCCGATATCTTGCAGTGTCACGACTGATGTCTTCTTCTTGTTTGTTAATCGGGCTACGTCGTACCCATCGCAGGTGCGCTGTGTCGAGACACAGTTATTGCAGGCGCTTGGCGCTTCGTCACATTTTATATGGCGGACGCTGGTGGGAGTGTTAGTTCTGGGTTATCCTGTTGTCGCGTCGAGTCATGTCATGCTCTTACCGGCATGTTCGGCAACCCGTCCTGGACCGCTGGCTGGCTTTTCTTTGGCGTGACTGAACGGTCTTTTCTGATGGGGGAGTCGGGATACCCCCGTTGGCCGGTTCATTGGTGTCTGGGGATATGGCTTTACGTGGCATTTTGAATATAAGACGCCAGCTGATACGGAGCAGAGTCGACGAAGTTGTGTGGGGCAGCACGGAGACAATAAGCCGCCCCCACATTGAACATGGTTGCTTATAAAATGGGCCTTTCTTGTAAACCCAACGTAAATCGGACGATGAATGGACATGCTGTTGACATTTGGTAGATTATATGATCTCGTATAAAATTTGATTAGCGATTAAGTTACCGATAGCACTCAAATTACCCGGGAGGAAGTGATAAATTCGATCGCGACACGTCCTTCGCTAGCAGTCGCGCTCTGGAAGAATCGTATACATTCTTCAAGTCAATTATTATACACTGATAGCTTTCTCTCGAGGTTCGGCTCTCGGTAATGGATTGAGAATGTGGATATGTAGGATTCATATCGGTATGGAGGCGGAAATTATGCGATTTATATGGATTTTGGACATTTAATGCCTTTCAAGCGGCTCCTCTACTAACACTTTTAGAGCTGGATACGCGAATGCAGTGTACTATATGACGCCGAATTTATTATTGTAGCTCCCTGTGTTGTCTCTTGTACTCTGCATACTCTCCCAGGCGCTGCTAGCTAGTAGTGAGAATACGTGCTTATCTATTTCTTAAGAGAGGCTGTTACAGTCAATATCTTCAAATATTGTTCTTGCCAGCTATTTATGGCAGATGTACATATTCCGGCGTGACGAGAAAGCACAGTCTGCAATTCCCGACCAATAAATTTGCGCTCAAAGGTCTACAAGCCACAAATCTTGATTGACTCCATAAACCTTGGAACAATCCCGCTGAACTAAATGGAGTTTTGGTCGGGTTTACCCAGTCTAGAACATCCACTACGCATGGATATTCTTTGCCGCAGTGACAAAGTACGACCGATCTACACTCCAGATACAGTACGGAGTAGTAGTGGACCTGTCAAAGGCTCAAAGTATGCACCGCCTCCTCCTCCCCCGAGTCCTACCACCAGTGGAGAAGGCTCAGACTCTGCTGAGCAACGGAGAATTCGGGTAGCGCAATTTCTTGGCACTGTCAGAGGTGATGCCGATGATCTGCCGATCCTACTCCTTCGGGGCGGAATTCGAAGAGAAATGCGTCGTACGCTCAAATAATGAGAAAAACCACCGCACAGTCCATCCCGAGCCTGCATGGCTTACGCCCATCGTGCTATCAGAGTCCAGAATCAACGCCACGATCAACTTGCTGTGACCCGATCGGCGGCCATTGATTGGCGTGTCTCGCGGGGTTTGAAAAGATCAGAGATTTCTCCTTTTCCTTGCCTGCCTACTCCGTATTGTATATTGATTTTGGGATTTATCCCGTCTCTCTTTTTTTTTTTTTTCATTAACGTACGAATAAACCTTTCTATTTAGATCATAGGCCATGTCATGGATCGTCAGCTTTGCAACAGCCGGTGGCTCGGGGGAAAACGTGTTGACCCACCACAACGCGGGATCAGAAATGATATCACGACTCGGTGGGTAAAGAGTGAAGATGCTCATTTCCTTGAAATTAGAAATCGACCGCGAAATTTAAAAAAAATGTATGGAGTACACTACTGTTGGCTTTATTTTTCTCTATTTTTATCTCTTATTCAGGTTTCTTATCATGTCTCATGGCGTTCGTCCCTATTGCTAGTCAAAGCAGGGGTTGTCCATGCATAGTGGCGTTAGTGGCGCTCCCATGTACTCCATAGCGGAGCAACTAGAAATATGGGCCTCGGATGATTTAATATGTACAATTTCTATTTTTTGTTCTGATCTATCCACCTGAACACCGTCTCCGGGTCAAGGGCCTCAGAGTATTCTAGACTCTTTGGTTATTGTGCTTTGCTTGGTTGTGTACGCCACCCGGTGGAGATCATCCAAACGGTGGTGGGACCGTCAAACTGTGATCCAAAGGTCTACGAATGCACAGAGAGACTGTGCAATAATTTGTTCACATGCAGGCTTGGCAGTACGAAATGGCTTTCACTAATGCATAACTTTTGTGGTTGTTGGATAAATTGAAATGGGAGAGTTTGGGATTGTAGAGATTTTTATTGTAGATTTAAGATTTAAGTCCTATAGAACTATAGAACACAGAGACTTCAATTATGGATCGGTACTTAGTATCTTTCATACCCCATGCACGTCAATAGTGATCAATCCCAACCTTCTTAACTGCAGAGGATCGGAACTTAATTGACCCTCGACCCTTAATCTATGTACGCAAGTCCAGACTATCAGACCCACGGCCTGACCCACTCTGCGTCTCACTTGCCCAGGGATTCCTGTGTCCAGTAAAGATCTGCTGCTTTGCTGCTCTGCTCCACCTCGGTCGGCTTTCTTTTTACTCTTTTTATTCTTTTATTCTGTCCTCTGCTTCATTGCTTCACACTCGTTTCTGGAGACCTTTCTCCTCACAATATTCCAAGGGACCAGCTATCTAGATCTCCCCGCATTCCGACCATCTGTTACCCGCATCCACGCCTGCACGCTTTATAAGTTGATTTGTAAAGCTTGGGAACGCTGCATTCCTCCCCACACATTCTCTTATTCTTCTCTTTTTTCTTGCTGGCTCTCCTGGCCTGGCAGGTCCACCATGTCGAGCCCGGTGAATGACCGAAAAACATTCCACGTCCAGGAACAAAAGGAACGAACGAATTCCAACGAAGTATCGCCTTCCTCCGATGATGGCACCTACGTCCATGAACCCGCTGGCGAGCATGCCAATAAGCTGCGAATCGATACCGCGATAAAGGATGATGATGAGGGAGAACACTTCTTCATGCCTACCCCGTCTGCGCGTCGCGAACAGGCAACCCGTTTGGAGGATGATTTATTGCTCCTGCAGGCCGAGCGCGTGGCGTCCCGGTCGACGCAAGGACCCGACGACGGGGAAGGCGGCTCCATCAGCCGCACAAAGTCTCGACGCACAGAGGTAGTGGATGAATTCGATGAAGCGACCAATCCTCTTCACGAAAAGGCAGCTGTCTATACACCACCCGAGAGTCCGCAGACACAGCTATCCGCATTTGTTAAGAAGCTACACCAGTCGAGCTTCATCGTCCGCTATGTTACGTATATTGCGCCTGTGGTTTTGATTTTGTTGATCCCACTGCTCCTTGGAGCTTTGAAGTTTACAGATGCTGGCGTCGGCGGCGTACAGTTGATGTGGTTCGCTATCTGGCTAGAGATCGTGTGGTTGACTTTATGGGCCGGTCGCATTGTCAGCAAAGCCCTCCCCATAATTGTCGGTATTTTGGCTAGTATTTTCACCAACAATGCAAAGAAATGGCGGGATATGGCCAGGCAGTTGGAAATCCATTTCGCTATGTTCTTGTGGTGGTTGGGTATTGAGATTTCATTTCTACCCACGATGAGAAACCATCCCAAGACTCCTTACAACGGCAGTCGAAGCTGGCAAAACACCGTTAATAAGCTCATCATTGTCGTCTTTGTCTGGACCATTTTGAACTTGATTGAGAAGGTCATCATCCAACTGATTGCTATCAGCTTCCATCTTCGTACCTACGCCGATCGCATCGAGATCAACAAGTTTCAGATTGGTAGCTTGACCAAGCTCTATGACTGGTCTCGCGATCGCATTGAAGAGAATGATGATGCTTTCCAAGAGAAGTCAACCGACCAGACCCCAACAGGTGTTAAGACCCCTCTGCATTACGCTGGTAAGGCCCATCGCAAGGCCAAAGGCGCCGTGAAGAAGGTCGGCAACAAGGTCGGAGATGTGGCGGGTGCCGTTGCTGCTGACTTTACTGGTCGCACAGCTGCTAGGAGTAGTGATCCTTACCAAGTCATCTTGACTCTGCTACGCACTACTCCAGGTTGCCAGGTTCTTGCCCGTCGTCTTTATCGTACATTTGTCCGGGATGGCTTCGATACAGTTTTCTCGGGCGACTTGAAGGAAGCGTTTGAAAACGGCGAGGAAGCCGAGGCTGCATTTGCCATGTTCGATCGTGATATGAATGGTGACATTTCCATGGAAGAGCTGGAAGCTTGTTGTGTGGACATTGGACGTGAGCGCAAGTCGATCACCGCTTCGCTGAAGGATCTTGACTCTGTTGTCTCCAAACTTGATAATGTCTTCATGTTCTTCGTTATTATTGTCGTTGTCATCGTACTGTTGTCGTTGATCTCTACATCTACCGCTGGTGTCTTGACCACAGCTGGATCCAGTATTCTGGCTCTTTCTTGGTTGTTCTCAGCTACTGCTCAGGAATTCTTACAATCCGTCATCTTTGTTTTCGTCAAGCACCCCTTTGATGTTGGTGACCGTGTGACTATCTACGGTAACGCCGGTGACGCAGGTCTTGGTGATGACTACTTCGTTAAGGAGATTACTCTGCTCTACACCGAGTTCAAGAAGATGCAGGGCCATGTCGTACAAGCCCCCAACAGCTACCTTAACGGACTCTTCATTCTCAACCAGCGTCGCTCCGGTGCCCTTGCTGAGGCGGTTCCCATTATCATCAAGTACGGCACATCAATTGATCAAATTGATGGACTCCGCCAACGCCTCCTGGAATTTGTACGCAGCGAACGACGTGATTTCCAAAGCAACATTCTTACTGAATTGCGTGCCGTCACCGAGAATTTCTCTCTCACCCTGAACGTTGTCTTCTTCTACAAATCCAACTGGCAAAATGAGGGGCTCCGCCTACAACGACGCAACAAGTTCATCTGTATGCTCATGATCGCCCTCCAGGAGATTGGCATTGAGGGCCCACGCATGAACCTCCAGGGTGCCAAGGTCGACATTCCCTTCCATGTCAACTATGGCCAACCCCTTGCTGCCCCTTCAGCCAGACGTGAGGACCCTGCCGAAACAGAAGCTGTGCCCATTGGCGAAGATACCGGTGCTCTCCACGAAAACACCGCCATGACCAGCGGAAGCACTGGACGCCACGCCTCCATTCTCCGCAAAGGCATGAATACCGCTGCCGCCCGTGCGCGTGGCGCCTCCACTTCTCGCAAGCACGTTGATTTCTCCCTCGGCATGTCTAACATGTCATCGCATGATATTATGGGCGATGTTTTCGAGGATCGCAGCGTCCGCATAGACGATGTCGTCCGCAATACCAACCGTGAAACTGCTGAGCGTCGTATTCAAGAGGAGGCTGAGGAAGAAGAGCGCCGTAGTCGGACATCATCTTCTCAGCATCGTCGACCTTCTAACCTAAGTGCCCCTTCGGGTGCTGCTTCGGAAGGTCGTCAGTCTACTGATGCTCACAGTTATAAGAGTGGGGCCTCTTCTACGCGCAACCGTTTCTTCAGACACCGAAGTAGCGTTAGTCGCGAGCGTGGGAATATGGATGTGGAACAGGGTCGTGTTGAGTCTCCGCCCTCTCCGGTTAAAGATGAATGATCTTTTTACAAAAAATATTTGCACATGGCATCAGCGATCTTTCTTTTTTTCGAAATTATTCCACTTGCACATATACTTGATTAATATTTTGCTCCATGTTCAAATATCCACATATGCATACAATACCATACAATGCCACACAAATTACAATTTTCAACTATATACCGCATGACTATCCCTGCATTATCATCTTAGTCCTATTCATGTCTTCGTTCCTTTAGATGGCCTTTCCCGTACATAGGCGTCGAGCTCCGTCCTATAATAACAAAATACAGTGACTCACGAGATCATTCAAGCTCTCGTTCTCCCAACGGAACCCCTCCGGCCTTGCATGATCCTTCCAAACATCTTTTCAAGGAAACTGACTGACCAAGAGACCAAACTATTTGACTTCTGAATCATCGGACATTATTTGAGTCCCGCTGCCCTGAAATGCACACAGAGGAGGGGAAATACCCTTCGTCTTGCACTTTGATGTTGTTGGGGGCCATATATCACAATGTGGGGTTGCAGTGACGAAGCGCCACACTGTCAGAGCAGCCACCATCTGGGGAACCCGGAGATACCATGCTAGAGCAAGCTAAACGACCCTTGCATCCCATCCCAAAATCGGATCAAAGCGTCGGAGAATTAGAAAGTACGCCTCAAACTTGAAGTCTCGTGTCTAGCATGCACGCACAGTGCTTATTTATGCGCCCCCAACAGGACATGTAACTGTGTGGCTTCTGCACTGCACCTTTTAGGCCGTCGGTTGGATATCGTTCCGTATTCGGAAAATTATCAAGTCGTCATGCCTTGATGCCCAAGGAAAGCGGAAGCGAGCGGTTCATCAGTGCATCCATATGGGTCAGCTGGATGCTCTTTACGGGTGTGATCGTCGGTCTTATCCTGTGTGCATGCATGTTTGCATAAACCAATGTGGGATCTATGCGGGGTCATCACATCGTTCAAGTTCCTAGCTCAGGTTCAGGATGCAGACCGAATAGGCCCGGCACTGTTATATTTTCGTGCATGAAGATGACGATGCAGAGCAGAAAATTTGATAATAAATAGAGGCACGACATGGCATTGCATTGCATGGTTCGGATTATGATTTTATTTCGCTCGTGCAGTGGCTGAGAAAGGGTATACATAGTTGCTGAATATCAAATCAAAATGCGAGCTTCTCTTTTCATTGTGGGAATCTGTTCGCTTTTTCGTTCAGTCTTTGCTACGATTACTCCTCCTTCCCAGGATGCGTTTTATGATGAGCCGAATAATATATCTGATTATACTGCGGGGCAGGTTATTCGATCTCGCTCCGTCAGCCCGGAGTTAGTTTCTTTGTTATCGCTCCCCGTCAAGGTCTCTGTCAAGACTGTCTATCAGTATCTTTTCCGAACGACAGATAGTCTCGGTGATGCCGTTGCTTCGGCGGTTACTTTGATTGAGCCTTTTAACTCTGATCCTTCGAAATTATTGGGCTACCAGGCCTTTTACGATAGTGCCAATGTGGATTGCAGCCCGTCCTATACATTGCGCGCAGACTATGAGAATCTAGGGCTTTCGGTATCGGGTCTCAATGTCTCTGAAGATATTCCTTTCGTGAGTTGAACATATGTTTCAATCCTAAGTAGTATCAAAAAAGAAGAAATTGTTTTCTAATTTCTTCTAGATCGCCGCCGCTCTTAACCTTGGTTGGTGGGTTTATACCACCGACTATGAAGGCCTCAAGGCTGAATTCACAGTTGGTGTCCAGTCCGGACATGCAGTTCTGGACTCTACACGTGCGGTACTTAGCGCTGGTCCAGACCTTGGCTTATCGAAGAATCCAGTCTACGCGTTATGGGGATACTCCGGCGGTTCACTAGCATCTACATGGGCGGCAGAGCTACAACCTTCATACGCGCCAGATCTCAACTTCGCCGGTGTCGCAGTAGGAGGCACAACGCCTAATATTAGTTCTGTACTACGAACCATCAATGAGGGTTCGAATGCTGGTCTTGCTTTCTCTGGGATTGTCGGTCAATCTAGAGCATTTCCCAATCTAACAGATTGGCTAAACGAGAACCTCATCCCGTCAAAATCAGACGAGTTCTATTCTATTGCAAGTGGCTGTCTCTCTCAGGCGTCGAGTAATGGGAAAAATCAGGATTTGTACTCTTACGCTAAGGATGGAGAGGCTTCTTTCTCGGGCAGCGTGCCGGAGTCTATCTTTACGTGGTCTGGGCAGTTGGGGCTCCATGGGACGCCTACTGCGCCTTTGTTTGTGTACAAGGCTGTTGGAGATGAGATTAGCCCTGTTGCAGATACGGATGCGATTGTAGAGAAGTATTGTGATGAAGGGGCGAGGATTGAGTATCATCGTGATCTTGTGGGGAATCATGAGAGCGAGGCGCTTTCGGGATCGGCGAGTGCGCTGGCGTGGTTGTCGGATAGGTTGAATGGGGAGGATGTTAGTAGTGGGTGTAGTACTGAAGATGTGTTGTTATCTTCTTTGAGTGTGGAGACGATTGCTTTGCTTGGGGAAGAGTTGTTTTCTGTTATTGAGTCGGCACTTGGTGGGATGCTTTGATGTAGATGTTACTATATAATCTATATGATGGAGCTTCCACGTGGTTGGCATACTTACTACTGGTACTAATATGCAGAACACTCAAGTTTAACCCTTCAAGCTGATATGATTGCAATATCCTATTCGAGACGATATTTAGATCCACTATACCTCCTGGAGACTATAGCGTCCAGGGGAACCCCTATTAGGTCATACCATATTAATCTTGCCTGTCTACCAGTACCTACACTCGTACATAGTAGTATTATCTATATTGTGAACTTGAAGTTAGAAAGCAATGCCAAAACTATATTTTATGAACTTGAATATCCAAGCTAACATTAGCAAGGGACTCTTAACTACAATGCAGTACTGTCCCTGCATCGTCCCCGCATTCCACAGCGCACAGTCCCACGCTTAAATAGATTGATCTATACAGATATGGGTCTGTTTGAGAAGTAATTAAATATCAACAGAAAATGGTATTATTGATTAGGTATTAATGCATGTAAGTCTGTCTATGTATGATACCAGCATAGCAGATCAATAGTTTGATCGACTCCGCCTTGCTGGTGACCGCCAGTTCTGGTGCAGAGTCAGGGGCATCAAGTGACATTCTGCCCCACTCTTTCTTGCTCATCAACTTCACCAGCTCAACATCTGCATTTCCCCCAAATTCTCCTCTTCTGTTAATTTCCATTGCTCATTGTCCACTCATACAATATGCGAGGCGAAGTATGTCTTTTCTTCTTTATCCTCCACTCAGCTCCCCACAACACAACCAATGTTTTTAGCGCCCTTTTCCCCACCTGTTCCCTCACCTGAACCATGTAAACATGAAAACAGGCTACCTCGGTTCTACGACCGAACCTCAAGCTCGCACACCACGAATTCAATACCGAAAATACTGACGAATCAATTTGATAGATCTGCCACCTTCATATCGGCCAGGCTGGTGTCCAGCTTGGTAACGCTGCATGGGAACTGTACGCTTTTCTTCTTCGCCGCTTCTTATGCATGTTTGTATCCCACATCATCCTCACACAACATTCGCATAGGTACCTCCTTGAACACGGTTTGACTCCCGAGGGACGCTACAACGCCGAACTCGCCGATGAGATTGGCCAGAATGGCTCCTACGATACCTTCTTTACTGAAACCTCCGACGGCAAATACGTTCCCCGCTCCGTCATCGTCGATCTCGACCCGTCGGTATGTTAATGTGGGGGTTAGTCGGCATTTAAGGCATCGTTTGTCCTAACACGTGGGATTTGGTAGCCCATTGATGAGATTCGCACTGGTACCTACCGCCAGCTCTTCCACCCTGAGCAGCTGATCAGCGGCAAGGAGGATGCTGCTAATAACTGTATGTCTTTTACTTTACCTTCGGCAGGATGAGCCGAATTGTGGACACTGGAAGACTAATCACGTTATAGATGCTCGTGGCCACTACACTGTTGGAAAAGAGCTTGCGGACGATGTGCTTGATCGCATTCGCCGTCTTATTGGTATGCGACCCGCCCTTGCATTTAGAGAAGAGCTGGAAAACTAACTCGGTGTATAGACAATTGCTCCTGCCTGCAGGGGTTTTTGATCTTCCACTCTTTCGGTGGTGGTACAGGTTCTGGTTTCGGTGCCCTTCTCTTGGAGCGTCTTGCTGCTGAGTATGGCAAGAAGTCCAAGCTAGAATTCTCGGTTTATCCATCGCCCCGTGTGTCCAACGCCGTCGTCGAGCCTTACAACGCTGTTCTCTCCACCCATAGCACTATCGAGAACTCTGATTGCACTTTCCTCGTCGACAACGAAGCTGTCTACGATATCTGCCGCCGTAACTTGGATATTCCTCGTCCGGGCTATGAACACCTAAACGCCCTTATTGCTCAGGTTGTTAGTTCGATCACTTCTAGTCTGCGTTTCGATGGAGCTCTTAATGTCGACTTGAACGAATTCCAGACCAACCTGGTGCCTTATCCTCGTATCCACTACCCTCTGATTTCGTACGCCCCGGTTATCTCTTCCAATCGTAGCTCTCATGAGAGCTTCAAGGTCCAGGATTTGACCTTCCAGTGTATGTGACATTTGTCCTTTTTATTATCTTTCTCGGCTTTGTGGTCTTGTTCTTGTGCCCTGATACTAATTTGAATGCTACTAATAGGTGTGGAACCCAATAATCAGATGGTGGTCTGCGACCCCCGCAAGGGCAAGTATATGGCCGTTGCGCTGCTGTACCGCGGTGATGTCGTGCCTCGTGACGCCAACGCAGCTGTTGCTGCTTTAAAAGCCATGCCTTCTTTCAACCTCGTCGAGTGGTGCCCTACTGGCTTTAAGCTGGGTATCAACTACCAAAAGCCTTTCCGTGTTCCCGACAGTGAGCTGGCCCCTGTCGACCGCTCCGCCAGCATGCTTTCCAACACCACCGCTATTGCGGAGGCTTGGAGCCGCCTGGACCACAAGTTCGACCTCATGTACTCTAAGCGTGCTTTCGTCCACTGGTATGTTGGCGAAGGTATGGAGGAGGGTGAGTTCTCTGAAGCCCGCGAGGATCTGGCTGCCCTAGAGAAGGACTACGAGGAGGTTGCTGGTGACACTATTGATGATGAGGAGGCACCTGAGTACTAGAGCCCACTTGGCCTCTGATCTCTTGACCCTTGCACAAATTTGCTGTCATTCTTCATTCTGTCCGAATATATGCGACTCCTCTCTCTTCATCCCTCGCGCTTTAAATTTGCGACAGACTTCTCTCTCCCTTCCGTTCGAGCTAGCCCTCCCAGCGTTCTTTGTTCCCTCTTTCTGTGTGCGACGTAAAGTCGGCATATTGACTGATGATTTTCCGAAATCAATGAAAAATCCTCTTGATTACCCTCTACTTCAATGGACCCCGTTAAAGGATCCCACTCCTTGTAAAAAGAACGGTAGAATCAATTGTATTGCTCATATAAAACTACAAAAGAGCCATAGTATAGCATTTCAATCTCACCATACTGTATCTTACACTCTTTCAAGTTATCATATCCTTATAGAATCATATCCCTAATACTATTTATTCGCTTTAACTACAGCTTTTTAATATATAATAATACTAAGTATAGTACGCCTCACCCTGAGAGCTTAGGTATAATATCATCTAAGCCTCCAGGGCTCTAGAATTACCTTGGTAAATGCCCTATTTATCACATGTGCAGAGAGGACTAGACGCACGTTTCGAAAACCATTAGAAAGACTGGTGGTGTAATATGATGTTAAACGTGTATTCAAACCCCATCGTTTCTAACAACGAGTGGGATTATTTATCGGGGTGACTGTAGTAGTAAGATCTAGTTACATAAAGCAAAACCCACACATTGATGAAGCGCCCTCCATGTTATATCCCCAAAACGCCATAGAATGCCTCAAGTCTATCAAACCAGACCAAATATGCAATAAAATACAACGCGACTCTCACTGCAACGCCGCAAAGTCCATATCTCGCAGAATCCCCAAAACTCTCTCATATGTCCACATCGTCACCGCACTCGCCGGCGCAGCCTTCAACAGACTAACCGTCAACCCGCGATAGAGCCCTCTAACCCCCTGCGTCCGCAAAATCATCGTAATCGTCTTCCCCACCCCCCGATACTCAGGAATATTCCGATGCACATATCTTGTCCTCGTCGGCCCCTGAACCTGCAACCTCTTCCTCACAAGATCAAGCGGAAATACTCCCGTCTTAGCCAATACGCTCGCAACCACACCAGCAGCAGCATCACCAGTCCCAAACGGTAGTTGATCCACTCGCGACATGATAGGTCGAAATCCCTCGTAGGCTGTGAAAAATAGACCCATGTACGGCACTATTTGGATCACTGCGGCTGAGCAGCCGCGGAAGAAGCCGGCTGGACCTTCTTGGCGCGCGATCTCGTTTATTGAGGAGCGGAGAGAGGTGTAGATCTGTTCGGGGCCTTGGGCGGCGAATCTTGTACGGAGGAGATCGAGTGGGTAGGTGGTTGCTGTTGCTGTCGCGCCTGCTGCGGCGCCAGAGATGAATGACTCTAGTGAGGGTGGGAGACGGTAGGGGTCTAGTTCGGCGAGGAATTGGGTTGTTGTGCGATATGCGGTGAATTGGAGGGCGCCGTAGCAGACGTACATCATTTCGGCGGGGATGTTCCCTTTCCAGAGACCCTAAGATTGAGTATATTAGCTTACTTTCTTTTCTTCTTTGCTCTTTCCCTTTCATCCAATCTTGATCTTGATGTAGATAGTGAGAAAGGTGTAAAGTCAACATACCGTGATTCCCTCCTGCCTCACAATTGCCCGCATAGTAGATAATGTCCCCTTATAAACTGGCCCTTCAATTGATGCATGAGACGCCGGATCCGAGAGCGAGTGGATCTGCAGTTGTAGACGGATCTTAACAACATCCAGCGGTGCAATGCAAAATCGCGAGATTAGACCTGCTATCCCGCCCGCCAGCACCGTTTGTCGTGTTGTGCCTTCATCTTTGAGATGCTCGCCCCCTGCTGACATGGTGTATATTATGAGATTGTGGAGGGATATGAATTCATCTTGAAAATTCGGGTATATTTTTGTTTAGAAGCTTGTTTTCCTTTGGGATTTCCCGGGGGCAAAAAAACTTCGGGAATCGGGAATCTTGCGTGTTTTGCCGACGTTTACCGCTTGGGGGGTTTGTTTACGGGGCATTCCGTGCGGAGGTGGTGCACTCATACTGGCATTTTGGGAGGAATGTGTTAAATCTGAGTCGCTTTAGAGTGTTCTGTTTGTCTTTGAAGATGATGATGGATTGATAGCCGGGAGAATTGATTTCGAGGGTTCTTCTCGTATTTGGGGACGGAGTATGGTAGGCCTATACTCTGTCACGTCTCGGTCAACGCTGTAACGCGATAACGTGAGGGAGATGGTAGTGTGACTGCCATTATTGAGCTACTGTCAATCAATAAAATCTTTTTCTGCCTGTCAGCCACAGGCTTACCTCCAAGACTATACTTATATACTAATCATCGTATGTTTCTACGGCACATTAGTTGTTCCGGCCCTTCAGTCCCAGGTACCTCGGTTCGTATACAATTCAATATGATCTCCGAGGTACCGCGTACTTAATACCCGCCGTTGGAGTTAAAAGTCCGGGGAAGCACTGGCCACCATCACATGTTGCCGTGCATTGGGCTTTCTCCAACTCGCGGCCAGCACAACTTTTTCTTTTTCCCCATTGCCATTTTTGTTTCTTTCCTTTCGATCTATCCAATTGCTCCTTTATTCTCCCTTAACACTATCATGCGCCGCATTCCACCTTCACTCTTCCGCTATGCCAGGCGGGGCATTCCGAGCCCTTCCCCGCGGAGTTTCGTCACTTCGGCCCAGCGGCTCCAAGCCAACCACTCTGATGCTTCCGAGACAATGGCTGCTATGTCAAAGTTCAATCAAGCAGCCAGAGCTGAAAATGTTCCCAGTTTGGAAATACCTGCCGCCCAAACCCCCGAAGAGCAGCAACCCTATCTTGAACCATCTGCGGCTGAGACCCTCGAAGAGCAGCGGGCCTATTTCCCTCATCGGAAGACTATGAGGAGATCGCCGGGCCCAATTTTAAGAACGATAGGGGAAGCGGATATGACGGTTTCGAAGATGCATAGGAAACTCACAATAGAGGGCCTGGATACTGAACCAATCTCATTCTCATATCTCTATCTTCGAGATCTCTGTAAATGCCCCCGATGTGTGGACCCCCACTCGAAACAGCGGTCATTCCGTACCAGCGACATAAACAAACTTATTGAACCAAGTCATATCCGCTGGGATGGCGAATACCTAGAAATCACTTGGGATGATTCAATTCCGGACCATGTGTCTCGTTGGCATTATTCATATCTCCAAAATCACCCAATCAATACTCACGATGCTTATACCAGAGGGAATGAGCCTATGACATGGACTGCCAAGCGTATGGAGGAGGTCCAACACTGGGTCTCCTATGAAGACTACATCAATAACAATGAAAAGTTTACCATTGCCATGCGCAATTTACAACGGACCGGGCTTATATTCGTCAAGGATATTCCGGACTCTCGTGAGATGGTGGAAAAGATTGCAACTCGTATGGGTCCATTGCGAAACACCTTTTATGGAATGACATGGGATGTTCGCACCGTTCCACAAGCGAAAAATGTCGCATATACCAACCAGTTCTTGGGCTTTCACATGGACCTCATGTATATGAATGAGCCTCCAGGATATCAACTGCTTCACTGTATAGAGAACTCATGCGATGGTGGTGAATCCCTATTTGCCGACGGATTCTGGGCTGCCGCACAGATGAGAGATCATTTTCCCAAACAGTTCCACCTCCTTACCAAACTTCAGCTGGCCTACGAGTATGTCCACGAGGATCAAATATACTACAACCGTCGACCTGTATTTGAACTTGACCCACGAACCCGCCAATTGAACTACGTCAACTACTCCCCCCATTCCAATCTTCTCTCACGTCACAGAGCAAAACGTTAGTTCACCAGGATGATCCGGATGCCACACGCGCCTTGTTGAATCCGCGCATCATTGGACCAAAGACCTTCAGTTCGATCAAAACTGCCCTTACACATTTCACACGCTTCCTGGAACGACCAAGCAATCACTTCCAGTTGAAGCTGAACCCTGGGGAATGTGCGATTTTCAATAACAGACGTATTGTTCATGCGCGCCGTCAATTTGACACTACTTCTGGCTCACGATGGCTAGCTGGTGCATATGTCGATACTGATGCTGTGAATTCTCGATTTCACGTGTGCAATAAGAATCTTCCAGAGTTGTGGAACAAGACAAATCCTCATCAGCGAATGAACCCTTTTGCTGGGGGGATTGGAGTTGAAGATTCCATGACACAGGCTATACAAGGTGCATATGCTATGCAAGATGATATGGCTAGGGAGGAAAGGCGTTTCAGGCATGTAAAGAGGGAAATCTCCGCAGAGGAGGAGCAAATGGAATAGAAATGGAACAGAAGTTAAAGATGGTCGTTTATACGCGTGGGCGTCGCAGGAATGATAGAGGTTTACCCCGGGCTACCGGTAGGCGACGAAAGGTGCATCAAACTTCATATGTTGAAATATTTCATACCTAGAAATGTAACTATATCATAGGATCATTCAAGTTTCCATAGATGATCCATACTGCATATAATGATCAAATCAATATCACGACACATAAAGCCCTCCTAAGGTTGAATGCTATGGAATCCCTTAGCTCTCCAAAAATCAATGGACTTCCGAACTAGTTCGGACGTAAGCCGAGTATATCCAATATCATCTCGAGCAGAAATGGCATTCAACGTGTTAGTGCAGTCGTACACAGGCGAATACCTGCTCGTCTGGAGTCTAGTATGTTCTCGCAGAATAGGCTCCGCAAGCAAAGGCATCATTGATATCAACGGACTGACCTCCAACTTATCCCAACTCTGCAACTTATTCAACCAATCCGGATACGAGATTTCCCGGACCGGGAAGCCAGCCTCGTTCAGCAACACACAAAGCCGCTCCATATTCGTAATAAGTTCCGGATCAGGAGCACTCAAAGTATAAGCTCGTCCTAGATTCAGGTTCTCAGAAGCAATTTCCAGAATACAATCGCAGACATAGTCAACAGTGACATATTCCATATTCTGCGTAGGCAGTTTCGGCCAAAATCCCAACTGCGCACATCCGACAATCATCCGACCAAAGAAATCGTCCGGGTTGCTGGCTCCTGTCCGGCTATCTCCAACTACGAATCCAGGACGGTAGATAGATACAGATAGACCCTTTTCGCGTACTCGTTGGACCATCTCGTCGGCTACCCATTGGCTTTGGGCATATCCGGTGTCAAATGGGAGAGATGCAAGGTGGACTTTTAATGGGCCGTCCTCGGATACTACGTCGGTTCCGAGGATTAGACCCGTTACTGCCCAGACGTCGATACTGGATATATAATGGAAGGTCTTTCGGCGGCCTTCTGCTGCGACTTTGAGGATGTTCTTTGTTCCGAGAATGTTGGGTGCATAGTGTGCACTGTATGGCTCGCACCAGTTCACCTTCGCTGCTGAATGGATGATGGATGGTGCCCAGTTGATCAGCCACTGGTAGTCGGTCTCTGATAAATTAAGTCGATCTTGCGTCATGTCTCCATCAAGGGTAATAACTTTCTGTTGAAGATTCTTTAACAGTTCTTCGGACCAGAGATCGTATTTATGTAGGGCTTCATTTATCCGATCTAATGGGGTTGCGTGATCGTTTCCTCGGACTAGACATGCTATTTTGTTCATGGATGACATTTGTAAGAGACGGTAGAGAAGGTTTATACCGATGAACCCGGTGGCTCCAGTTAAGAACACGCGGCCTTCTGATCGCCAATCTGGAATCAGCTGAATGTCATCTGCAAGGTGGCTATCTTCTTCGAATTGGAGAACCTCCGAGGGGCCGTAATTGACTCTTGAGGCTTGTTCCAGGTGGGTTGTCAAGGTCTTGATGCTTGGGTTGATATATAGGTCCTTGATGGATAGAGTTTCTCCAAGACTTTGCTTGACCAAGCCCAGAAAGCGGGCGATCTGAATAGATGAAAGACCGAGGGAAATGATGTCGTCGTTCTCGTTAAGGTTGTTGAGTCCCGAGACTTCTTCTAATAGTTTAGCAATGAGACTGTGTTGACTGCTTTCCCCGTTTACGTGATTGGGACTCGGTCGCGATTTAGATTGCTTGTATTCTTTGACCAATTTTTCGCGATCAATTTTCCCGCGAGAGTTGCGTGGGATCTCTGGGACAACTTGGACTTTGTCAGGAACCATATAGTATGGATTTGTTTCTTGGGTTGCTTTGATGATTTCTTTTGGGTCGAGGGGCTCATGGTCCTTTGCAGCGACAAATGCCTCTAACGAGCCACCGTGCGTCTCATTTTTCTCATGCACGACTGCTACCTCTTGTACCTTCTGGTTTTGGGCCATGGTTTGCTCCACTTGCTCAAGTTCAACTCGGAAACCTTGGTGTTTGACTTGGCGATCCACGCGTCCGATATAGGAAAGGCGTTTCGGTTGACCTTTCCACATCCCTAGATCGCCAGTTCGGTACAGGGGGCATTTTCTGTTGCCCGTGGTGTTGTCAATGTCAATTTCGATAAACTTTTCTTTATTCGCATCCGGGCGATTCACGTATCCGGGAGATAGACCCGGGCCTCCAATGCATATTTCGCCACGGGTGTCGTTTTCGGAGATAGGAGTTCCATTCTCATTCAGTAGATGGATTATGGTATCACCGAATGGCTGGCCAGCACTGATAGACTCCTCGTATGCATCTTCCAGTGTCACTCGATGAAGAGACGAGAGACAAGTTGTTTCAGTGGGCCCATAACCGTTCCAAATATTTTCAGGGGGACCCTCACTTTCCAGGACGCTTTTTATGCACTGGGGACTGGGTGCTTCGCCTGCAGTAATAACTTGGCGCAATGCCTGGAAAGCAGAAGGTGATCCTGCAGAAATTGCAACGAAGAGGGCGGTAGGTATGATGAGTGCCGCGATGCTCTCGGCTTTGAGAAAAGAAGCGAATGACACCGGATCCCGCGTGACAGATTTTGGGATGTGCACAATCGTCCCGCCGGAAAGTAAGGTTACCCACACCTCAAACAAGGAAAGGTCAAATCCTGGGTTATTCAACTGCCCAACTCGATCACCATGTCTAATATCGACAGGCATGAATGAGGCAAGATGGATCACGGCCTTCGAGGATATCTGAACTGCCTTTGGCTTGCCTGTTGAGCCGGATGTATGAAGAAGATGACTCCGATACGCTTCAGGTTGCCCAGAGCGAACTTCTACTGGTTTTTTATCTTCTTCCTGATAACCAGAATTGAGTGCGGCTTCCACGAGATGAAATTCATATTGAGAAACTCGCTCGGACAGAGCTTTGGTGGTTATAACGAGTCGGATATTCAAATCGTTGAACATAGAGTGCAGCTGTTTGTCGGGCACAGATGGATCTATCGGAGTGGATGTTCCACCTGCTCTGAGAATGGCAATCTGAGCTAGGACTTGTTCCCAGCCAGGCCCGGCTAGAATGCCAACGGGCTCTTCAGTTGCTAGTTCTTTCTTCAGAAGATCTTTGGCCAAAGTGTCGGCTTTGGCTATGAGATCGCGATACGAAAGACGCACGTCTCCGTCAATCACGGCTAGTGATTCGATGCATTTATTTGCCTGGTTGCATAAAAGCTGCTCCATATTGTCGCTTGTTTGGTAAAATGATTTTGAAATGATAGGTGGAATGCGATATTTCTCGTGGTTGTTTTCAAAGTGATAGGATCTTGATTTGTTTATGGTGGAGAATAAAAGAGGACCCATGTCTTCTTTATAGATATTTCAACAAAATTCAATAGTATATAACGATGATACAGATACTAGTATTCAACTCCTAGCCTGCTTGCTACGCCAATTCCCGGCCTTGCGGTGAATAGGATGATTCATGTTCAATTACCGTTTTGGGGAAGTCATGCTTGGTCATGTTGAATTGGCAGCGCATGAAGCCGAATTCGGTCGTAGCAAGACCCTATAATGCTTTGCTTTGGGCGCTTTGGGCGTGAAAAGGTGACCACTTCTGGTACTAACTACGTGCGTCAGAACCCGAAGTCTAACTAAACATCATAGATCTGCTATTGCCTTAGAATCAAAGTTTATAAGTATTATGAGATCACAAAAAGCTCCCAAGGAAAGACGAACGGCACCAAAGATGATAGTTTAAACGGGATTAAGTTCAATAAAGAGACTTCCCGCGTGACTAAAAGCTATTCAAAAAGGGAAAGGCTGAGCAATTCGTCTCTATTATTAGTAAACGCATGTTAGAAAGTTTCAGCCTCAGAGTTTGAAATTGACGCATATGTATTTCTATGTGTAAGAGATCCAAATCTGTATTTAGATTTTTATAGCTTATTGGTGGCTGGCTATGCCCGCAATAAATTTCAGCCAACCGTGTCATATTTTGCATCTTAGAACTGTGGGCGTTGTATCCCAGCCCTGAAGATTACCTACAATTTTATATCATGATTTGCGTCTGTACATATTTAAGTTATTTATCTCTGATTGGTCATTCTAGTGCAGGAAAGATTAGAAAGTACTAGTTTCTAGATACAACTATGGCCGAATTGGTATCTCTTCTGGATGTTACTGGTACCACTAATAGTAGTTTCTGATCGCAATTTCACAATACTGAGCCAAACTTCAGAAAACCGGTCTAAGGTCTGTATTTACTTAGTGTTTCATGGCCTACCTTTACGGGATAGATTCTAAGTTGTGTAACAATCTATTCTTGTCATGTCTTTTAAGTTTATGCATGAAACCTGATGTGGAATGTCGATCACCATCATGATCATACTAATCAGGCATACTTTGTGGGACGACATAACTATATGACAGCATCGAAGAAGGTAGCTTCATAAATTCAAAAATTATATAAGTAGTAAGACTTAGGCAAGTCTTTCGGTCTACTTATATTTTTACTACATAGTATATCATTCAAGAAGGGCATATCTATTTTGAACCGAATCGCCTGTACGCAAAGTCACAAAAGACTTGAAAAATGAGATCTGCAATCATATTGGCCCAGATTCAAACTTTGGAAACACAGGTTAAGCAAGATGCAATTGTATTTTATGCTGGATCTGAGGAATATAAAGGTATATCGAAGCGATGGTCTGCTATTGGGTCCGAAGATCCGGTAAGTGACACGCTTCAAGTTTCAACAACGAAATTTTACTTATAAATAATGCGGCAATTCAGGGTGTTGTTATATGTCCTTTGAACGCAGGGGGAGTATCGATGACTGTTGGCTTTGCAAGGGAGAATAACATTGACCTGGCAGTTCAGTGTGGGCGCCACTCCACTGACAGCTCTGCGTCGACTGACGGAGGTATTTTGATCGACATGAGCTACATGAAACAAGTGACTGTCAACAAGAACACGTCATCTATTCGAGTTCAAGGTGGGGCATTATGGAGAGATGTCAATGAAGTGGCCTCTCAACATGGGCTGGCTGTTGTTGGAGGTACAGTTAGCCAGGTGGGGGTCGGTGGTCTCACACTCCGAGGAGGAAACGGTTACCTAACGCCAGAATACGGGCTAGTTATTGACAATCTCCTCTCGGCTACAGTGGTAATGCCTGACGATACTGAGTTAGCCGTGTCTGCGCATGAGAATCCAGATATTTTCTGGGCTATCAGAGGGGCGGGACAGACTGTGGGAGTTGTTACCGAGTTCGAATTCAAAGCACACCCTCAACCGGACCCTGTTTGGTCTGGAATTCGGAGCCACTCAGGGGAAAGTGTACTATCGGTTATGTGCGCACTCAACTCAGCACTTGCTCATCCCGGGGGGAAAGCAGCTGCACAGGCTGTGCTAGCCCTTTCTCCGGATACCGGTAGCGCGATAGTCAGTGCGGGTCTTTTTTTCAACGGGCCTGAAGATGCAGCAAGAGAACACTTTACTCAGCTGCTAGAGATGGAGTGCCTGAGTGACGATGTGAGCATGAGAGAATATGCGGATGCTGGTTCAATGCTCGATCCGGTAGTGCCCCCAGGGGGTCGAAAGAAGGTCCTTGGGGTACAAATGACGTTGCCTATGCGCCCGGAGTTTGTCGCATTTTTACTAGAGACTATTGAAAGACAGCTTGTCAGTGAGCCAGATATGAAGCAGAGCTTCCTGGCGATTGATTATATGGACCCCTCTTCAATTTGCCGTGTCCCGGTCGAGGATACGGCCTTTCCTTCTCGTGGGGACTTTCTCAATGGCGCACTGATCCTGCAGTGGAACGACCCCGAAAAAGATAAACCCATCCTTTCTTGGGGAGAAGGTATCCAGAAGCTGTGTGAAAATGAATTGAGACAGAGTGGTCGTGAGCCGACTGGTCTGGTTTCTAATTTCGTGGGATATACACAGGGTAAGATAGATAGATGGACGAGAGGTGCCTGATAGTGCAGAAATTTGTTGACCTTAACAAAGATAACCAAACCCCCCCTGTCGATATGTTTGGCATAAATGCTCAACGGTTGCTAAATATCAAAGCAAAGTACGATCCTGACGATTTATTCAACAAGCTCAATCCTCTATATGAAGAAAAAGGCTGAAGAAAAACAACTCGAATGAGTCAAAGGCAATTGAGACGAATTCGCTATATAGTTGCGAATAGTGAATCATACAAAGCTGGGCAGTAATTCTCCAGTTCCTGCTCTTAGTGTTGAAGGCCGATACAAGTTTGGTGCATTCCTTGTCCTATTTAATTGGATATCCCTGTTTCGCCCATCCGTCTAACATGGTCTCGCGTAATTGCCTTTGGGACTCGAGGCTCAGTGGCGGCCCATTCTTGCCTCTCCTCTGACGAGATTCTTTTGTTTCTTGCATTGCTTTATCATTCCCGGGCATTTCTTCGTTTCCTTCGACAAAATCATATATCCGATGCTCAGTGTTAGCCCACGAGGTCGCTTTGCATTATTTACTGTTAGAAAGTGACCCAGGCGTGACGAGGCTGTGATTGACATGATATGTCGTAGACTTACCTTCATGCTTACAAGCATCCTCCCAATCATCAGTCAAAAAGTGTAAAAATGCACCGTGACTAACGACCACAATATTCTTCTCGGGTCGCTTTTTGAGCCAGTATCTCATGTCTAAAGCCCGCGCTTGGATCTTTCCTCTGATAGCTTGGTATCGCCCCTCCTGTTCCACAGTTATTTCTCAACCTCGTAAAATATTTGGATAGAATTATATCTTACCTTACTTGTCCAGTCATCTGTTAAAAGCCCTATATCTATCGGTAGATTTTCCCTTTCTTTTTCGCGCAGCAGCTCGGCGACGGTACTACCTACGTCGCACGGAAATTGGCCAACTTCTTGGAGATCCGGATGCGCAATCAGATTCGTTCCAGCACTTTCCTTGAAAAAGAATTTGAATGCGTTTAGCCCCGTATATATCGCCCGACGCATTGGTGATGTTACAACAAGGTCAACGCAAGGTTCAAACGGAAACGAACGACCCAGCTCTATGCATTGTTGCTTCCCAATTTCTGTCAAAAGAGGATCTATTATGCCCCAGTATTCCGGACCGAGATTGTGATGACCCTGAGAAGCATTGTCAGAACTTGAGCATGTAAATGATGTAGGTCTCATGGACTCCAAATGGGTATACCTCTGCATGCCGAACTAAATGTAGTCTCGGTGGCATACTCGTTACCATAGATTTTCGGAATATGTGACTGTGAAGACTTTTAATAAAGCTGCGACGTGTTTATCAGGCTCATCGAGCTACTAACACTGGTGCCGCCTTGAGCTGCTCCAGATATGGTATAGCGTCCCTTCACAACCCCACACAAACCTTATCCATATATCTTGGCTGCCTCTCTCGGACTAGCGCTATGCAGCCTTAGTATCCACCTTTGTATACATCGGGTGGTGGTAATTATTCGTGGGAATAACGAGTGAAACAAAGAAAACCTCGACTTTACTAAGGAAGTTGTCGATTAGTGGGTAACATGTTAGCCACTATCAAGTTTCCCTTCCAGTGGACTTCTTCGGAGTACAAATAGACCTCAGTACCAACATCATGCCTCTTCTCATTCATGGCTTCTTCAGACTTTCGACTGGTCTACCCCTCAAGCCATGACCTATACTTCACTTTGGAGGGAGTCGGCTATTCCCAGCCTCTTGTAGGGTCTGCAATTCTTACTTTGAGCCCATTTCTTCACATTAGTGAAATCAAAAACCTCCGGGTCTGCCTTGTCCGCTCCGTGGCTAGTACCAGTGGAGATAGCACTGACTCAAGCAACAAGTTTGCTAGTTGGCTCTATCGGCAAAATTTCAAATCCGCCTCACCATCTAACTCTCAGTATCTAAGATCATGCGCTATAATCGAAGATCTCATTATTCCTATTTCTCTGCATTATGATCACCACGTTCAAGTTGGTGATCATCCCGACAGAGGCAAGATATTTAACATACCACTCGCCATTCCGATATCAGTCAACATACCTGGAACTACAACTACGCCCACTGGGAGCATATCATACTGTCTAGTGGCATATGCGGCTACAGCAGGGGGGCAGGTCATAAGCACAAGCAAAATTATCGCCCTTCGTCGCCATATTATACCCGGGCACGAACAAATCGAGCACACTCGAACCTATACCAAGTCAAAGATCATCTCGGAGATGAGTCTCGAGCAGCATTCTAGTTCAGAATAATCTATCCACTATACCTGTCAATATACAAGTGCATCTCAGACACTCTGTATCAATGGGCGGGCGACCGACAGAGTTCAAGTGTTTTGCGATTAGGGGAGTACGATGGCGGGTCGAGGAAGTGACGAGGCTTGTAAACCAACAAGAGAATGATCATGACTCAGATTCGGAGTTCCAAAGCACCCATGGCCGCGTATCGGTGCGCGAAATTGCAAACGGGTACTAAAAAGGGTACTGGGCAGCTTCACAAAACCCCTTAATGAGAGAGCGCTCGGCACCAGGACCAAATGATCCATGTCTTCAGATAGCATTGGATATTGATGTGCGCCAAGAGAACACAAGGGTGCCCTGGGTGGATCTTCTGTGCTATAATATCGATCCTAGTCGTCTTGTTCCGGATCCGCTCCCATTACCTTTTCGCGATACTTTTTCTCCAACATCGACGAAGCCCCTCGCAATCACGGCTGAGCATATATTACGGTTGGATTTGACAATGAGTGAAGATGTCTTTGATGCTAGCACGATGAGCTTGGTTGAACGAAAGCCCATGATGATTGCTGCAAATGGATCATTTCCTCTTTATATCTTTAGTAGGCTTGACAGTGCTCTTAAGGAGGTTTGTCTAGAAAGGAACCCTCCTCGATATGAAGAGGTTCCACAGGCACCACCCTTTTACGACCCCTTGTTTGAAAATTGAATATAATCGATTAGAACTCATAGATAAGGCGCCGAGATTCAAAGGTTTTTATTTGATAGTCATACAATTCTTGATTTCTTTGAGGGCTTTGGCAAATTGCATTGAGCATATGACATCTCATAGGTTAGTTTTTTTTTTAGACCATGGATGTCAGGCAAACCAGGAAATGTTTAATGATATTGGACTGCATCTCATTTTACTCTGCTTTGCCTTCTAAATCATTTAATTCAATTTAATGAAATATGTATTTCAGTGAAATTCGAACCGCGCACACAGGATCAACACGTAATTTATTCCCACTTTGAATGGGTCGCATTTGCATTTGCATCCCCCGACGCCTGGTCGACATGCGAAATTCTCCACTGTGGAGAAATTGGAGAACATAGCAAAGGGTTACATGTTGAAATGAAATTCCAAATTTCCCCCTCATCTTTCCCCTTTCCCTCCAACTAGGATTCGATTTTCTGGAATAAATATAGAATTGTCCGCGACTTTCAAAATTTAAGCCCCAGTTCATCCAAAAACCTCAGGTTCTTGACTCCGCGCGTCCCGCTGTTCTCCTTTGTTGCTCGGGCCCGATATTCTCTCGAAATGTCAGATGCACATATTCCTGACAAGCAAGGTGCCGATGCGAACCTTGAAGCGCTAGGATATGCAGCAGAACTTTCAAGAAATCGATCAACATGGCAGGTGGTGTTTATGTGCTTTATCCTCGCGTCTGTGCCTTATGGACTCTCCACCACGATGAATTATTCAATTACCGGAGGGGGATCGCCAAACATGATATGGGGCTGGATCATTGTGTCGCTTATCATGCTTTGCGTCGGTAGCTCCCTAGCAGAGATCACATCCGTCTTCCCTACTGCAGGTGGTGTCTATTATCAGACATTTGCGCTTTCTCCACCCAGATGGCGTCGCGTAACTGCTTGGATCTGCGGATGGTCCTATGTTGCTGGCAACGTTACTATTACGTTAGCTGTCAATTTCGCGACGGCTTTGTTTCTTGTGGAAAGTTTGAATGTTTTTAAAGATGCTTCTGGTCGAGGCATTACGGATGACTTTCAAGATTATCAGACCTACCTGATCTTCCTTGCTATCACTCTCGTCTGCCATGCTATTCCTGCACTTGGGAATCGATGGCTGACTTATATTGAGGTTTGTTCTATTCGAGAGTCATCGTGTATATAAACTCTGACCAGACTTATTTCAATAGACATTTGCGATTTTGCTAACCATGCTCGGTGTTACGGCAATCATCATTACAATTCTTGTCGTTGCACACAGTGGCCGACGATCAGCCAAATGGGTATTCACCTCATTCGAACCCCAGTCTGGTTGGCCAGATGGTTGGTCCTTCTGTATCGGACTGCTTCAAGCTGCCTACGGTCTTTCAGCCACCGGAATGATCACTTCGTAATTCTTCCCACGCGCCTACATACCACTCCCAACTTTTCCAACTAATCCCAACGCAATACTAGTATGTGTGAAGAAGTCCGCGACCCAGCCCTTCAAGTTCCCAAAGCGATTATCGGCGGCGTCGCGCTAAACATGGTAGCCGGCTTTGCCTTCCTCTTGCCCGTCGCATTCGTTCTCCCCGACATCGCAGCCCTCGCAAGCATTCCATCCGGTCAACCGGTCCCTACAATCATCAGATCAGCTACAGGTAGCGGCGTAGGTGCCTTTCTCCTCCTGCTCCCCCTTATCATTCTAGGGTTCGTTTGTGGTATCGGTTGCGTAACTGCTACCTCGCGTTGTACTTGGGCATTTGCTCGCGACGGCGCAATTCCAGGCTCTAACCTTTGGAAGCGCGTTGATCAGCGATTGGGTATTCCACTTAATGCGATGGCTCTTGGTATGGTTGTTGAGATCTTGCTCGGACTCATTTATTTTGGATCTACCGCGGCCTTCAATGCCTTTTCCGGTGTTGGCGTCATTTTCTTAACTCTTAGCTATGCTTGTCCTGTCGCAGTGTCTCTTCTTCTTCGTCAGCGACAAGAAGTGAAAAACGGTTCTTTCAATCTCGGTGCGCTAGGATATGTTTGCAATGTGGTTTGTATATGTCAGTACCTTCAATTTGCTAAATTATTCTAACTTACCACGAACGCCCTCTTCCTAATTCACTGCTGATTCGTCTCTGGGTTCTAGGCTGGTGTCTTCTTGCCATTCCACTCTTCTCCATGCCCACAGTGGTTCCTGTCACGAAAAACAGCATGAACTATGCCTCTGTGGTCTTTGTTGGATTTGTTACAATTTCGGCGGTTTGGTATGGTCTTTGGGGTCGGAAGCATTATGTTGGACCCTCACTTGAAAGTTTGGGGGTAGAATCTTCCCACTCTTCAGAAAGTGGTGAAAAATCCTAGGTAGTACATACAGACTACTTTCGAGTTCGGGGGTATTGGGCTTATCACTTGCTGGAGGGTATCTATTAATGCCGTTGTACTGCCTAGTTTTGTAGACCGCCCATACATTCAAATGATTTTATATGAACCGCACAACCAGGTAGTATGGATTCCATGGTTGGGGAACTACAATTCATTGCGATTGTCTCTGTATTGCACTCCGGAGGCTACTGTAGCCCGAAAGCTCAGCGGCATACATCACCTTACCATGGTTCACTAGGTGACTATATCTATCAATATTGTTTAAACTTGCGTTCGGATCAATACAGGGACCAGTCCTTCGAACAAGAAGAAAGCCCAGTCACCTGGGCATGTACAAAATTACCTAGATATGCTGCCGGATCAGTGAACATGGAATGCCAGCCAATGATGAAATCTTGAGGTCTGTTTTGGAGGTCGGCCTGGCGGTCGCGTAGGGATATGGATATACTGGATATGTAAGGGATTTGTAGTCTTAACACATATTGATTACAATGAATTTGAATTTTGAAGTATCTTTTAATACCGAAGAAAAACGTATATCGTCAGAACTCATCCAAGGTAGTTGCTGCACATTTTATGGGTATCATGGGCAGGGGGCTATTTCTCTATTTGTTGACAGAGTAGTCGGTCAAGAAGTTGGGGTCGTTGTTGATTTCCTCGCGGATCTGTATCGCGTTGTTAGTATTTGGAGAAGACGTTCAAGGGATAGGAGGAGACATACAATATCCAAGCCACCGACCAGCTCTCCACCAACCCACAGTTGGGGGAATGTGGGCCACTCAGCGAATTCCTTCAGACCTTGTCGCACATCCTCATCGGCGAGAATATTGAAGAATCCATACTTGACGCTTCGCTCTCGCAAAATTCCGACCAATTGACGGCTGAAGCCACATTGAGGCGAGCTGGGTGTTCCCTTCATGAAAAGCATAACTGGTGCTGCCTTGACAAGCTCAGTGAGGCGAGCGAAGAGGGCCTCTTGGGACTGTTCCGGGGTGAGGTTAGGGGCGGCGGCGACGGGGGTAGCATTGGCGGAGGGACCAACAGCGTTGGATGCGGTAACGGGGGACTGAGTAGCAAACACAGGGCCATCTTCACGGGGCACAGCAGATAGAGGAGGGGGGATGTGAGCTCGGTGACCGTCCGCGGGGGCGGGGGCAGCGGCACCATTCCCACGGCCAGCATGGCGCTCGATAGCGTCGCGAACCTTGATGGCGTCGCTTCCACTGATAGATTCGAGAATCTGACCGCTACGCAGACAAACAACGAATGGAACGGCAGACACATCGTATTCCTCTGAGATATCGGGCAGCTCCTCCGCGTTTATGCTGATAAATGAGATAGTTGGCGGGGCCGTGGCGGGGTACTGCGAGGCGAGGGCGGAAAGAACTGTGCGCATTTGAGCGCAGGGCGCGGCCCATGGGGTGTGGAAGTAGAGGACGACTAGCGCTGAAGGCGAAAGGGAACTGAGATGTGCGGCGAAATCGGCCTCAGAGACGATTTCGGTGAGCGCCGACATGATGAAGGAGGGGGTGTATGTGGAGGATTATCGGAGAAGAGGAAGGAACTCGAGATAGGCCCAAAAAGTGGAAACACCTGTAAAAGCGGAGGATTCGGGTTGACTTTATGCTGATTAGAAATGCGATCAACCAACTAGCTTCGTCGTGAATCAGCAAGGGTGTTGCAGGTAGATTCTACGCAGGACGAAGATTGATTGCGTGACGAGGCGAATTTTAACCGGCGATCGCTGTTATCAGATCGTCCAGCCGGAACTGTCAATTACGGTAATTTATTCCATTTCCCGCCCGTCGGGTTTTTGGTATTTCCGTTCCAGAAAGACGTGCTTATCGCTATCCTATCATCACGTGACCGGACTCTGAATTAATTTGAGATTCTCAATTCATATGTGACATAGGCTTTTAATCTCAACAGCCATGGCCGAATGTAATAAAAGGAAGCGCAAGGAGGACCACGAGGACTCTGCAACCGCCGCGCCTCAGCAGGATTCCGCAATCACATCAGCCGAACCCCTCGGTGGGACGACCTCCCTCGTTTCGGACGCAGCAGCTTCAACCTACCACCACAACGACGATGCTGCGCATCGGTCGAAGAAAAAGCGAGTAGACGGAGAAAAAGCAAAATACCCTGATTTGTTATACATGGAGGGCAAACTTCAGTCTTCAATCCGAATTGCGGACCTGCAGGGGTTGCTTCTCTACTGCTTCGCGGACGGCATTGCGCCGCAATGGATCTCTGTCAAACACTCTCGAAACATGCGAAAAGTGGTCGTTCTGATGGTTCCTGGACTGGAGATTGGCATGTTTGATGGTACAATTCCTCTGGAGCCTGAAAAAGAAGGTGCTCAAGTCGAAACTGAGAAGTCGAACCGTGACGAATCAACCGCCGAGGCCCGGAAAGCTGCCGATTTCGAGAAATGGAAGCAAGGACTTCCACTCGAAGACCGATCCAATCGTTTTAACCCACGAGGCCTTTCGTCCGACCGACTTCCGGCCCCTCTACGACCCCTGGCACATATGTTCCCCCACATCTGGCCTGTCAAGGCCCCTGGAGACAATAAATATAACAAGGTGCATTCACCTCTTCAAGCCCTCCTGTTATCCCAGTTGCCAAAGTCTAAGGAGGATAACGGGCGTAAGGGTGCACGCCCAGCTCGTGTTGAAAAGGGCTTTACTGAAAAGCGAACACCCATCACAACCTTTCTCAGCACAATGGAGCAGCTTCGAGAGAATGATTATACTTTACACCCTTCATTCTTTACCTCGGAGGCAGAGAAGTCCGCGGAGTTAGAGGCACGCAAAGCGAATAATCAATCAGAGGAAGATGGTTGGGTTGATACTTTGGTTCCTAGCCTGGATGCTGGTGACGTGCCCGATGCTGAAATCGAAAAGGGCAGCATGACCGATGGTCGGGATGTGTTAGCTCTCGACTGCGAGATGTGTCTCACAGAAGGCGGTCAGTCTGAATTGACTCGTATCAGTATCATGCGTTGGGATAATGAGGTTGTTATGGATGAGTTGGTGAAGCCTCCCCGGCCCGTCATCGATTACCTTACTCGCTTTTCTGGAATCACCCAAGAGATGCTGGATCCCGTTACAACGACTCTTCCTGATATTCAAAAGAAACTTCTTTCTATACTGACACCTCGTACGATCCTGGTCGGGCATTCTCTTAATTCGGACCTGACAGCGCTGAAGCTGACACATCCCTTCATTGTTGACACGGGTATCACTTACCCGCACCCACGTGGACCGCCATTAAAGTGTAGTCTTAAGTGGCTAACCCAAAAGTACCTGAATAAAGAAATTCAGAAGGGGACTTCAGGCCACGACTCAGTCGAAGATGCTCGTGCTGTACTGGACCTGGTCAAGTTGAAGTGTGAAAAGGGCGAGCGATGGGGTACTAGTGATGCCTCTAATGAAAGTATTTTCCGTCGCCTTGGCCGTCACCAGCCTCGTGTCAAATCCTCTTCTGAGGATGGCTTGACTGGTGCTGTGGTAGACTGGGGTAATCCAGAGCGTGGCTTTGGAGCACAGGCAACCGTTTCCATCGGGTGCAGTGATGACGATGCCGTTGTAAAGGGTGTCTCTGCCACTATCAACGGTGACGATTCAAATACCGCCATTCCCGGCGCTGGTGTGGACTTCACGTGGGCTCGTCTGCGCAATCTTGAACAGTTCCGTGGGTGGTGCACACGTCTTCCTGATGCCAGCAATGCCAACGAATCTACCACTGTCCCTGCTGCCTTTCCAGAAGAAACCACGCCAACTACTAGCACAGACGACCCCTCTGTCTCTACATATAACCCGACCCTTGCAGAAACAGTGACCCAAACTGTCTCGAATATTTCTCAGATCTACGAATCGCTTCCTTCATGCACAATGTTCATTGTATATTCAGGCACTGGCGACCCACGGGAAGTCAACCGTCTCCAAACAATGCATAAGACATACCGTGATGAGTTCCGAGGGCATAAGCCATGGGATGAGTTGAGTGTGAAGTGGACAGACGTGGAGGAACAGGCTCTAAAGAGAGCATGTGAACAGGCTCGCGAAGGCTGTGGATTCATGTGTGTCAAGTAGATATTTATATTTATTATCGTATACCCTTGCACTTCAAAACCAAGACTTATACTATCATTGACCACCATTTCAAATGTTGCGGTCTGAGAATTACTGAGCCCTTCAAGCTTCAATGTTAAAATTATCGGTACGTCTTCAAAGCCCCTAAGCCAATCGCTATATTCCTTAGGTGCTTCGTTTCAAAATTCATATTGATCCCAAGGCACAACTTTCACGCCGATAGATTCAAGTTCCTGCTCAACTTCTTTTTCAATCTGCTCCGCACTCTGTCCAGTTTCATCATTGTTATACGTGGAGTGTGCTCCCCGCAGCAGGATTACATCGAACCCCGCATTAATGGCCCCTCGGCAAGTAGCGCGAACGCAGAACTCACTCTGCACCCCAAAGGCCACGATCGAAGATATACCTCGACCTTGCAGTTCATTCGCAAGGTTTGGGTTAGATTCAAAAGTATCGGCTATAAGTAATCAGCTGGATGTAGGACAAACTGAGGGTTGGGATGACCAACCAGTAGTTTTATGGACGACTTTTTCATTCCCAGCACCATCTCGCGGTGGTAGAACCAAATCCCAGGCCTTACTTCCTGGGACCAAAGTTGAGTTTGGATCCGCTGGGTCCTCAGAATGTTGTACTACGATTATGTCTAGCTCTGTGGTGGGTTTGCTTCGTGCGCGATCGAGGATTTTGGTTCCGGTTTCGCAAATACGGGCTCCATCGGGGATGGCGGTGCTAGGAATTGAAACGAGTTCTTCTTGGGTGTCTATGACGAAAAGCGCTGTCATGGGCATTTTATTGGTAATTTGGAGGTTGTGAGATCTGATTGAAGATGTGTTTTTAGGTGACAAGTAACTATGACTCGATCGTGTCATTCTTCGCATTGAGTCTAGTCCTATTTAAGACACACCTGCCCCATGATGACTCCCATTATTTTTGAAATTGAAACTATGCATGCTCACCAATATTATGGTTTTATATATGGCGTGGCCTCGGTTATATTTTATTCTATTTAAGCATGCACGTTCATAGTAGTTCAATGTTTGCAGCAGCATTAGACTTGCTCCAGGGCTATCAGCACAAAGCCAAGAAGTAATTTTCATTCAAGTTTGGGGGGAAAGTCCTGAAGACCTTAAAATACAGATCTTAAGCATGACTTAGTCTATCGAACCACCATGAGCCGCGAGAAGGTTGAAAATTTTCAAGATTCATGCCGCCCGTTTGTTTCGTGGCAAGTTGGCAACGTATGTTACCCTCTGTCCAAGCCCTTGTCTCCTCGGCCGAGGCACTCATTTCATGTGAGGCTGCAATGAGGCAAGCATACCAAATATGCTTCGAGGCAGATCGCCTCCCTTGGTGGCCATGTGAATTCTATTTTGGCCATCCGGCTGAGTCGTGGTGTACATAAATTGCCGTAGCCAAGGCCCATCAAGCCGTGCTGGTCGATCAGTGGGACATGCGCCTGGTGAAACCATACATTGAAATCTAATCCACGGTGTCACGCGGACCTGGATATCGTTTGGGTTTACCAGGCAGACTTCTAGTTGAACTACAGGTTCGTTGGTGAAAGTATTCAAATCTGCTGCTAAAACCGAACCCAGTACTGGAATGTTTAAACCTGCTTGATTGTTCTGCAGCTGCATTAGGTCCTCGCCAAATATTCTTGCCATAGTTGCTCCAGTATCATATAGCACTTCGAATATGCCCCAATGGTTAGATCCAGGTAAGCGATAAGCAACGTGATACTAGGATGATGTATAATCTTTAGTGATCTGATAGAATTGACCGTTCCGTGGTTTAAAGAGGGAATGTGAATGTGAACGGCGCTTACTGTGTGTAAAAACTGATAATATGTTGATGGCGGTATAGTAAGAGCGTAATACGAGTGATCCGGACTGGGCCCATTAAGCTATAAGCAAAATGATGAGTGAGGTTTTCAAAATGAAAGGAATCAGCTTATTTTCAAATGGTGACTTACCCCTTCTACCCAAAATGACCTGCTTCCTTCGAAATGATGGTTGATAGCCTCGAATTCATCCCATTTGAACGGCGTTGGTTGGCATAACTGCTTGCCTCGCGACCAGTAAGTAACCAGTCCAGTCAATCGTAATTTACCTCGCCTATAAGCATCCATCACGTTTTCAATGTTCGGAAGTTGTTCAAATGGGTCACTGCGTGCGTTCAAATGATCCCAAATCTCTTCGTGGGCGGCCAGTCGCTTCACAACAACCGGTGTCAAAGATTGTTTTCTTTGTTTCGGATCAGCCTGCCATATGGGTATCATGATTAGACAAGTATACCAAGTAGCCATATGAATTTTTAGCCTCGAGGTGTACCCACTCAAGTTTAATCCTCTCCTTTTCCAGCTGGCGCATCCTGCTCTCGAACATTTGCGGCATGATTCCCTCTTCGATTCGGTCAAAACAGCGATCAATCTGGGCGTATATATCACTATTCAAGTTGATTTTAGTTAGTAGATGAAGAGTGTCAAATCCTGAGTTCAATTCAACGGATCGAACTTTTTCTTTAGGTCGGGCTCCGCTGGATGCCATCTCTCTGGCACTTTGGATATATCCCAAATGATCTCATCCCGACGGGGCTTGAACCCGTCGTTTCTCTTGACTTTCTTTGCGTCCTTTGTTTCTCTTCCATCTAATTTTCTCTTCTTTGACTTGAGAGATTCCATTTCAGCTGTACGTTCTTCTGCCACCTCATCCTCAATTTCCTTATGTAGCTCGTCCTCGTGGGAAAACTTTAGATCTAAATCTCCAAATTTCACAGGGCTGCGATAAACTGAATCCCATACAGAGGCATTGATTGACCTGCCCTCCAATGGTGGCATATTGCCAACTTTGAGGTCTGTAGTTGGAGACATCAAGAGAGTGTCGGAGGAACCGTAAATATCGTAAATACCGTGAGAATGTGCTGGGAATTTCTGTGTTTGAAAAGGAGCTAGAATTTGACGGCTCTATTTTCAAATCGAATGAGATTTAGAAATTAGATACTCTGTTTGGGAGCGAGTGCAACTTATAACTAACCGGAACATGCAATGGGATAACAACAAAGATGCCGCGAAGCCAAAAGTTAACGAGCTAGGAAGAAATGAAAGAAATTGCTACTATATGAACAACAAAGAGCCTGTAGAAACTAGTAAAGATGACGATTTTGTGTTTTTGTTGTTGGTGTCAAAGAGCTCAGGCACGTAAGTATGTGTAGATCGGACTTTCTTTACAGGAACAAAGGAAATGCCTAGTCTCATTTTGCTTTCCCGTCAGCTCTAATAATGCGTTTTCTCGTACCCTGATGTTCAATTACTAGTAACAAAACAAACCCTCCTTTTTATGAACCTTTAGTACTACTTTAAAGATATACCTTCCGACGCCCGGGCATTGGGATACTAGTGGTATGATTGAAGCTTAGTTTGGCAAAGTCATCTAGTAGTACTAGTAGTTTCAAGTTGGAAATGGATGTTCTTTCTCCAATGGATGTTATCTGTCGGCCTACTAGAACTTGAACTGAAGAATCTTGGCACTGTGAGTCCGAGTTCAACTATATACTATAAATACTAACTTAAATATCTTGAGCCTCTTGTAACTCAACATGTAGCACCTGGGCAACAATCCTACTCTAGAAAGATGGATCTTGGTATAGCGTATCGAAGGGGTAAAATTGAACTACTAATACTTGTTATATAGACCAAGCTGTTTGTACATGCATACTAGGTAGTGGCTCCGAGTCCAGGGCGACATCGTACTAAAAGTGCTAGCAGTAAAACTAGGTATATACACATCTTATTAGGTAGTACATATTTCAACAAAGTCTTTTGGAATCTGACTTCGTTCCTATAAAAGGAGGACTTGGGCAAATTGGTCCTTGGATTTCCCCAAGCGCAAGTTTGAGCGAAAGCGAACTCTGCTGAGCAGTGTTAATGACGGTAGATTTAGACACTAGCGCGTGGTTGCCTGCGATGGATCAAAAGAAAGGTGGGGCAGGGTGTTAGTGGCAAACAAGAGATTGTATATGACACATCAACCAGCTCCTTAGTTTTAGTAGGAACAAGGGTTCGAATTTTATTCCTTCATCGTGCAGCGATATCAGGAAGCTTAGTATAGATTGTAATTATCTAAGGCCCGTTATATAGTAAGTACTTAGCAATATAGATCGGATCCTCAGATCTGAATCCATGGGAATAAGGTCCCCACCTATAGTGCAACAGGCCAATCAGTATCGTGTCCATGATCAGTCAGCATTGACTCCATGTACCATTTAGGCCTGAGGCAACAACGACTTGATCACTTGCGGCTCGAGTTGGTTCTTCTTGTTTCTCGGACGACGACCCTCTCCCAGGACTTCATCCGTCCCGATTCTCCCCCTTTCCGATCTTTCCACAACTTGGTTAGCCATCGGTCGTGGATGGGATGAAAAGGGAACCTCCCCAGTTGTGTAAGTGCAACGCCCGGCCAAGTCCCAAAAATCAAAACAGAGAACCCTCTATGCGCATCTAGATGACCTGGAGCTAACAAGCATGCTCAATTCACAGAGATACAGACCCGTTCCCACGAATTGCCATTCATGAAAAACCACATTACCTCCTACATAGCTAGTCAGCGTTGATCATCCATCCTGGCACGATTCCCAGTTTAGGTCTCCGCCAGAACCTCTCTGAGACCCCGCCGAAATCAATATCTTTAACCGGTGGTAAACATTTCACTCATTCCGCTCGGCAACATCTAGATACCCCGACAGTCTCACAGTCTTGAGAACAACTGTTTGTCCGGTTCAACGAGGGTTTGGCGAAAATCCAACATCAAACATTTACCGCTTCCCGCTACCTTGGACGGCATCTCATATCGGTTCCTCTATTTTATTCTACGCATCTTTCTTCTTCTCTTTCTCCTTCTTCTCCTCTGCCTTCAGAAACACCTGCACTTTTTTTGGTGCCTTGCAGCTTCTATATTTTCTTATCTCCTTGTGGTTGTTAGTTGTGGTGTTGGTTTACCCGGGTAGATTGTCCCAGTGACCTGTCGATTCCTGTGCCCTCTTCAAGGTATATATACCCTTGTCCCGGCTGTCGATTTTCTCTACTTGTTTATCTACTTACAGGCCATCATATTAGGCCCCCACACCTTGTATTCATGCCCCTGTCATGCAAAAAGTTTCTCGTCCAATCAGCTTATACCCCACATCATCTGCTCTTAGTAGTCGTTGCCTTTTATCATTAGCGTTTGCATTTCCCTTCATCCATTGGTTCCAGCATGGAGGCAACACAAGAATCCACACAACCCTGTGCCGACCCCCGGCGAATGGGTTTGAATAATTCTGGCTTGCACGATCAGGACCTAGCCGACATCATCTGTATCCTCCACCCTAACTCCCACTCTGCCCACGATGCTGTCGCAGCTACTGCAGCGACAGGCACTCAGCATATCTTACAACAAGGCGCCTTAGACTTCGAAAGCTCCGAAACTGCGGCGCTGGATGTCGCACTCCGATTATCGTCAAACGTATTCGACCTCGCAGTGGGGTTTTGCTTTGGTCGAAATCGCGCTCGTTGCGATGTTCTTTTGGCAGCTAATGACAATGCGAAAAGAGTCTCTAACTGTCATTTTCGCATTTACTTAACTGGAGATGGCATCGTCATGCTGCAAGATACGTCCACCAACGGCACTATCGTAGACAACTGTCGTTTGCGAAAGGGCTCAAAAGACAACAGTCGCATGCTTGTCAATGGGTCAGTTGTTCAGGTGGTATCGGGAGACAATACCTCAGATGAGGTTCGATTTGTCGTCCGGATTCCTTCGCGAGAGAACTTCGCTGTGAAATACACCCAGAATGTGCTTCAGTATTTTGAACGCGCACAGCAGGTCATAGCTGGGACTGCACATCAAAAGGGCCGAAAGGCCCCAGCCCAGACCGTTCTGCCCTGGTCGGTTGGAAATGCCTTTGGCATGCATTGGAGCGGCAGTCCAATGTACAATGTGACCGGCCAGGTCGGTAAGGGTGCCTTCGCCACGGTGTACAAACTCGCCACGAAGCAGCATGGAACGATATATGCTGCCAAGGAGTTGGACAAGCGTCGGTTCATGAAGAACGGCATTCTTGATCAAAAGGTGGACAACGAGATGAAGATCATGAGAGATCTCAAGCATGTGAGTCTTGCTTTGCGATGTTTCCTAGGCATGTATCAGCATTCTAATCCGATTCATTCTAGCCCAACATCGTTCAGTACGTCGATCACCACGAGCATGACCGATGGATCTACATTATCATGGAGTATGTGCCTGGGGGTGAGTTGTCAACGTACCTCCAAAGTCCCGGCAGAATCCCAGAGGACTCGGTACAAACGATCGCCCGACAAATTCTCCGCGCTCTAAACTATCTCCATAAACGCCGGATCACACATCGAGATATCAAGCCCGACAATATCTTGATCGCATCTGTGGACCCCCTCCGAGTCAAACTGTCTGACTTTGGACTATCAAAAGCGACGCAAGAGGAGACCTTTCTGAAAACATTTTGTGGAACTCTTTTGTACTGCGCCCCGGAAGTTTATCCAGATTATGACACATATAGACTGGGTGAAGCTAGGAAGAGACGTCGAGTAGGAGACCCGTAAGTTAACTCCATAACCTCCTCTTAGTTGAGCTTTTGCTAATTTTTAGACCGCCAAAAACTTCTCCATACAGCCAGTCAGTCGATATGTGGTCACTTGGTGCAGTGCTTTACCACGTTTTGTGCGGAGTGCCGCCATATTCTGGCCGTGCCGAGGACCGAGGTGTCGCGATGTTGCGTAGCATTATGACTACGGAAGCGGATTTCAATGTCTTGCGTCAAGTTGGCGTATCTGAAAATGGAATCGATTTTGTCTCCAAGCTGTTGAACCGTGATCCTTTCGCGCGTCTTTCAGAAAGAGAATGTTTCCAACATCCATGGATTGTCGATGTGCCAGATGTGGACGAATATGAAGATGATGATGACGTTCTGGCTGACCGTGGTGACGGTCTGTCAGTTATTGGGGAAGAGGCTGAGGGTGAACTTGACGCCTCTCAGTTGTCTCTTCATGACAATGAGTATTACATCCATGGTGGCGCAGGCGATGAGTCAAGCAGCAACGAAGCACTTGCCAAAAGGCCACGAATTCAATACGTTCCTTCAGATATTCGTTATCCATCGCTTCCAAAAATCGAAAGTTTTCAGGACAGTCAGGTTGCAGCCGATCATCAAGCAAGACGTTTATTTGGGGAGGTCACTTCATCTGCCCTGCGAAGCTCACATGCACTTGGAAACACAGGCGCTTGGGACCGTGACTCCGATGTTGAGAACTTTGCTTCCTCTGGTGAGTCGATGAGCGATGAACGCAGCGTCTATTCGGTCATATCCCTCCCGGAAAATCCTTGTGGCGGTACAGCACCCAGCCTGATGGGAGCGGAAAACCTTGTTGGACGACTGAATATGAATTCCTCACATCCTATCCTTCATCCTGAGGTCTGCCCGATTAACGAGTTTTCGATTCGACAGACCAACCTTAAACAACCCTTGAATATGACAAGTTTAGACAGCCCCCCTGCTGAAGAAAATATTGAGCCTCATTCCAACGCTCATGATGTCACCCCCAAGGCACCCAACAGAAAAGCATCTCGTCGCGTGGAGCTCGATTTACCTGAGACAGCCAGCGAACAGTCCAGTGATGCAAGTCCCCAACTCAGCCGTCAAAGTTCCTATCGCGCTTCTGATCGAACCTCAGAAGCACAGGTTGACATTGAGCTCTTAACGACCCTTGATGCCCAGACTGGACAGGCCATTCTCAACCAACATTTGACCTCTCTTGATGATGATGCCTCTGATGTCATCGTTCACCGACCTGACACGCCCTCCGTATCAGCAAGCATGCCCAGCGATAAGTTTACCAAGCCCCCCAAGCTTCTGGGTCGTCTTAGGAGTGCCCAGGGGTCGATCTTCGATGTCAATATTCGCCTGGAAGACCGCATGACATCTTGGGGGCGAGGACCTCTCGCTTCAGTTCGCCATGAAAACAATCTCGACACTCGGATCCCCGCCTATGCCCTGGAAATCACATTCTTTGCCCCTGGTATCAACGCCACAGTTGCCAAAGGCCAAGACTGGATGTCAATGCCAGGTCTCAAAACAATCTTGTCCACCAAAACAAGCAAATGTATTTGGGTGAATGGAACAGAACTCAGGCGTGCATCATCCACTACTGGAGGGGCGGAGGAGCTAAACTACGGCACGATCTATACGGGTGACGTTATAACCGTCTACCGAGGCAAGAGGGATTACTTGGACCTCAAGTGCGAGTTCTATCATGGTGAGAGCGCACGGTCTCGACCTACTGACGAACCCACATTTACTGTACACCAAATTCCCCTTAAGGGCAACCGGTTTCCGCTTCGGCCCACTCAAGTGAAGGAACCCGTGGCATAGATCTGTTGATCTTCACTTTATGCACGTTCCCATTCCCGTCTCTCTTTTGTTTCCCTCTCCATCTCCTTCATTGGATTGACACTTCGGCGTGGATTATTTTTATATTTATTTCTGCTTTATTTCCCTGTTCGCTCTCCTCTCTGGAAATAGATTGATCGCGCGAAATTGCATCATTGGGTGTGAATTCGAGGTGGTAAGGGCCATGTGGAGACGATCCTCGTTATCCGCATGCGGCTCAATGCGATAGTGAATTGTGAATGAAATCATGTCAGTACGATACGGGAGATAAGACATCTGGAGCTACATATGTAGTAGCCGATCTCCGACTCGAGCGCTGCATTAGTAATGATACGTGTGTACCAGAATTTGCGAGGCGTTTTAGTACTCGATACAATGCAATCTATTTGCGACAATGATGGAATCCGAGTTGGTGTTTCACCTTGTACTCCATAGTAAATGAAATGAAAATGAAAGCATGAAAGTATGAGAAACACAAGTACCGTAGTATTTCCAGGCACACGGCCATAAAGAACAGGTTGAATTGATTAATTCATTTGTCTAAATTGTTCCTGGTAATGTGCCTGGTGCCAGTATCTCCCGAACTAAAGTCTGCTTGCGTCAACGGCGACCGAGCGTCCAACCGGAATCCCGAACATTGCATTCGAGTGGAGACACCTGGTCTGTGCAGTGTAACTGCTTCTATGGATCCCAGACCTTCAATCTTAACTGATCTATCTTAATCCGTCAATTTTCACAGACTAATTTCGCGTGTCTCGCTTATGTATCCCCCCTTCCCTTCCGCCTCTCGGTCATCCTGACCTCACTCGACCCAACTCTGTTCTCAACGACACTCACCACCGCTACCACAGAAGGAGAGAAGACCAACACCGCGCGCATCCTGCATCCCCTCAACCTCGACCGACTTCGACCGCCGACCTGATCTCATGTCCCTCTCGCGATCACCCTCTCCCCACCCGGGCGGAGGGTGGTCCAGCCCGGGCCTAGCACCCGGCAGTGGAACCTCCACCCCGCGCGGATACTCTCCTAACACACTTTCCCCGGGCGGGATTTCCTGGGCCACAGCGAAAGCGAAAAGTGATGAAGTGCGCAAATACCCGTCCTTCTCGACGCGCAATGGCGGTTTCTTCTCTAGACAGAAAAACAAGCTCTCGGCCCGGTTGCCTAGCTTTCGGAATCAGGATGGTGACACTGGTTATGTTGACAAGGATTCCTATCGTGCGCAATGGCGTCCTGGGGGACGTGGAGTGTGGGGGAATTTGGGAATATTAAGGAGACGGGGTAGAGCTCGTGTGGTTGTGTGGTTAGTTCTTTTGTGGCTTGGATATCTATTGCTTTGGTCTTGTGAGTTCATTCTATTCCCTTGCGAGTCGAGTTCATTCGTTCTCTTTGAGCGACATGAGCTGATGGTTTGTTTTCCACTCTCTTTTAGCTTTCGTACACTTATACCGACGATCACCACTGGGTGGAGGCAAAAAAGTGGTAATTATTCTCGGATCTAATACCGAGGGCGGTGTTATGGAGTGGAAGGGCGCGCGCGAGTGGGCTATCGAGCGCAACAGTATTTGGAATAAGAAACGATATGCGCAGGAATGGGGATACGAGCTCGAAGTCGCCAACATGCTCGCCAAGAAACGGTACTCGCACGAGTGGCGCGAAAGCTGGGAAAAGGTCGATGTCATCCGTGCAGCTATGCGGAAGTACCCAAAAGCCGAATGGTTCTGGTGGCTTGACCTCAACACCTGGATAATGGAATACAGCACCTCATTACAGCATCACCTACTTAATGATCTGGAGTCCCACGTATACCGCGATATCAACTATTACAACCCGCGCAACCTCACCCACCCATTGCCTGAGTTTTACCTTGATGAGCTAGGCCGTTCTCTGGAGGGGGATGGAAATCCAGCTTCGCTCAATCTGCTTCTTACGCAGGACTGTGGAGGGTTCAATCTAGGTTCTTTCTTGATTCGACGGTCTCTTTGGACTGATCGGCTTCTGGATACTTGGTGGGATCCTGTGATGTATGAGCAGATGCACATGAACTGGGAACACAAGGAGCAGAATGCGCTGGAATATTTGTATCAGAGTCAGCCGTGGATCCGGGGTAATATGGGCTTTTTACCTCAACGTGCTATTAATGCCTTTCCGCCTGGTGCTTGTGGAGATGAGGTCAATCCAAAAATTCACTATCAGCAGAAGGATCGCGATTTGGTGGTTAATATGGCTGGATGCATGTTTGGTCGTGATTGTTGGGCTGAGATGTACAATTATCGCGAACTGAGCAATCGGTTGAATCGACGATGGTGGGGATCTATCACAGGTGCTTTTGGGGAGATTTACGAGCGGGTTTTCCCTAGTAATGATGATGACTAGGGACTGGAGTCCGGCTACTCTGAGCTTTCTTTTTCTCTTCTACTTTCTTCCGGCCCAATTTCGTCTCATGTTCTGCTTCTGGTTGTTCGTGTCTTTTTCTTTCTTTCCTCTTTCTCTTACGCTCTTAAAGCATTTTAGACGGTCACCATTGTACGATACAAATTGCTAGGTTTCATGGGTTTGTATATTCGGCGTTTCTGTGCATGGTTGCTTGCAGCATCTGGTGTTTGGATGGTGGAGTCGGCATCATGCAAATTACGAATTGATTTTTTTTGAATGGTTTCCCTTTTTTTCTTTTTCATCGGTATAGTTTCTAATAAGCAACAATTTAAACGCCCCTAATCCTAAATCTCAAATTTGTAATCCATACTGTACTCATTGATTAAATCCTCTACTTGCCCAAAGCGTCGCTGTAAATATCACGTGATCATGTCAAGAAATGATGACACCTCAGGCACCAGCATCTTCCTCCCCTCCACCGCCTTCATATCACCCAATCACAATCCACCTAATCCAACCTCCAAAGCCATCGGATTCGACGGCATCAATCCCTCAGCGCAACCTCTATCCCCACATCAGCTCACAACCCTCAATCCCTCTCACCACCAGGGATACCGCTCCTCCTCCTCCTCGAAACCCCTTGTCAGCCCGATTAAAGCCACAATGCCTACCCCCAGTCTGCGGCGTTCCTCGCCAAGAAGCCCACTGTCGCCCCGACCTACGAGGGTGTCGATTTCGAAGACAATGTCGCTGTTCACAATGCTCGTGATGCTATCATTCGTGAGCAGTGGGTGCGCTCTATGATGTCCCGACTTGTTGGTGAGGAGCTTGGAAAATGTTATGCGCGTGAGGGTGTGAATCATCTGGAGAAGTGTGGTGTTTTGCGAGGTAAATCTTTCTTCAATTGGATCTGTGCTTGGTGAGAGCCTGGGTCAATTGGGTTGTCGTGTTTTGGGTTTTCTAGGGTGTTCTGTGCTAACTTGCTTCTTTCTTACAGAGAAGTACTTTGAGTTGCTGAAGGAGCGCAAGATCAAGGGTTACCTCTTCCAGGAGAAGAACCACTTCGGTGGTGAGAAGGCTTAAATGTCTGCTTGCATTTTTCTTTCTTGTATGATGATTGGATGGGGTGAAAAAACATTTACCCTCTTGTTCAGTGCTGCTGTTGCCGATTCCGGGGGTTGTGAAGTTAACATGTCTTCGTGGTTCTGTTTGACAGGACGCAGAAGTGCTTCTTGGGTCACGGACTGCCAGGTGCTGATGGGTTGATTTGAATGCTTTGGCTATTCCGTTGCGTTGGGAATGCCTGAGCATGGAAGAGACTTTCTCTCTCTTTCTATAACTGTACATATAAATATCATTGTCTGGTCAATTTCATTTTGTTCACCACGTGCATCTACGGTTTTATTATTTATCTTACGTTTGAAGCTTGTTATATGACATGGTGACAAGCTTGAATGTCTACTATTGTCTAATATAATCACTTTGATTGTGTACGTAAAAGCATTGCGTGAGGATATGGACTTGGTTCAATTCAACAATAGGCCAGAAGGAGGAACTGCCTATGTACTGGATTTCTACTCCCACTTCTTGACTTTTCTCTTCCGGATCAGTGCTTAGTCCTTGCCGCTTTTTGTTTACTGAGTGAAACTGAGAGTACGCTCATGAGCGCCCTATTCTGATTAGTAAGTATTATATAAATGTACTGTTCTGCTCACTGAGTATTACCTGATATTTATCTGAGCGGTCTGATCTACTTACTGATCCTAATCTGAGTGTCCTGATTTGCTTACTAAGTCTAAACTAAGCCTAGGGGGAAGGGAGAGGTGAGGTTTTAAGGCGGTGGAAGGAGGCAATATTGGATGATGTGCTCACTTGTTTACGAATTGGATCTAGTCTGGATCGGTACTGATAGATTCTATAAATCTAGGGCTGAGATTAATTATGATGAACAATGAGGTATACAAAAAACCCGAATATTCTAGGTGGTGCTATTAAGAGGTTGAATTTTCTAGCTGCTTCTGGTGATTTTCTGAAGTTTCTAAGATTTAAATGGTGAATATTATGATCAAATGCCGAGTATGAACAAATACCGGCCTTGCTGTTTGAACTAATAATGGAAAAAAAAAGGTATTGAAGATCCTGATTAGGCAGTTATATATATGTATTTATTTAATGTTGGTACTGGTACTATATTTCTAATGTGTGCTTAAAGTTTATTGAATAATGTAGATGTATGTGTGAGTACCTTAGTCCTTGATTATGGCCAATTATTCTGAAGAATCTCCTTTTAATAGGTGTGACAATAGCTTTCGCTGGACTACTTGTTTCTTGTGGCTTTATGTAGCTCTAGTTGCTGCTAGTAGGCTAGTTTCTTCGACTGCAGCTGTTGTGATATCCTCCCTGCTTGATTGGTCTGCTCTATTATAGTATTGCTCTCGATATGCAACAAAATATTGATTATCTTATCTAGGGCTTTTCTTAGATCGGCGACTGTGGGAGCAATAGGTCTGTTTGAAGTCTTTCTTGTTAGGATTGTTCCTATTGTTAAGCATTTGTGTAGGGCTCTATTCCCTTTGATATTGAGAAGAGATATATCTGTACCCTGAGAAATTAGAAACTGAGTTGTCTTAGTTTGGTGTAACTTCCTACTTATGAGGTGTAATGCTGTATTCCTATTGATGTCTTGTTGGTTGATGTCGGCACTGTGTGAAATAAGTATTTGTATTAGAGAGGTGTTGATAGGACCACCCTTTAGGTAGTAGTAAGCTATCTTATGTAGTTATTATTGTCGGCCAATCCTGTGTGTGCCCCTTTCTCCAGTAAGAACTTTACTATATTATTGATGTGTATGTTTTGACTACAGCGGGTGTGACTGTATACGGTGTGGTGTAAAGGAGCTATTCTTTTGTTATCCTGTGTATTGATATTGCTACTGGAGTAGAGTAGCTTAAGGGTGTCGAGAGTACGCTTGGTAATTTTCTTATCCGGGAGCTAATATTCCTATGAGCCTGGGCCCGCGGCTGCCTAGTGAAGAGGTAGAAGCCTATAACTGTTGTGGTAAAGTAGTTCTTTAGAGGCAATTTTTCTACTGTGGTTGAGAAGTGTCTGTAGAACTTCCGAGTCCCAATATGTACTGCTAATGTGAAGCGTAGTTACGCCAGATGCATCTCCCCTGTTCCCATAAAGTCTGGATGTAGTGTTGGGTTGGTACTCTTCCCTCGCGTGTACGTTAGCTCCTTACTTAATAAGTTGTTTCACCAGCGCGGGCCTAGTTTGTGAGGAGGCTCGACCGAGAACTGTTCTATAGCAATACTTTGGTTGGCTGCTATCTTTAAGCGGTTTAGTTGCTTGAGCAGATGTATTACTATCGAGGAGTAGACAAATCAACTCTTCCGTTTAGGTAGTGCGGTTACTTACCTAATGGTAGTAACCTTTAGTTAGGAGCCTCGATTCTGTGCCTATATAGGGGCAAAGAATCTAAACATCCGGCAGTTGCTAGTAGTGCTTTATAACAATATATCTGGTTGATATAGACTGAGCTGAGGGCCGGTCGACTGTCTATACTCAATCGAGCTGTCTCGATTTGTGTCTCTCTGTATGCTACAGTCAGCAACGAGCACCCTCGCTGATAGAGAGGTAGACATTTCTAGTTGGTATTGTAGTAGTCTATGAGAACGCGGAGCAACTCTGTATATCCCTGCGACGCGACAATACAAAGGGGGTCATCAAACACTTTCTGTTCTAGGTCTAAGCGTGGGGAATAGATAGGAAGATATTGTTTTAGTCTGGGGATATTATTGTAGCGAATGATTGTAGAAAGAAGGTGACTAAGGTCGTTCTCGTAGAGTTTGGTACTGTGTTTGTCGCGGAGAGTGTTCTTTGCGGATTCCCGGGGATTCTCATCCTATGGAGCGTCAAATTTGCTATAGGACATGACTTGAATTTGCGGCGAGATGAGGAAGAAGTAAGGAAGAAAACATTAGGAAATGACGGTCCTTAAGAAAAGAACCACCCCCACTGCCTAGGTGCTCGGGCTGTCCTGCGGCCATTCTGTTTTTGTGACAAACGGCCCCACTGCTGTAGTTACTGTCATTCCAAGGTTCAATTCAAACCTTGGAAGGTTTCAGTACTGGTACTGCTGGCCCCAGCCCTGGATACCTAGGTATTTATCTATAGGGATAATATATTAGAATATACTAGGAAATAACTATCCGAAGCAATATTGAAGAACGACTCCTCGGATACAGTAAAGCTTCACTGTATTCAAGTTATTCATTCGTACCGACTTTGTCTCTAGGGTCGCAAGGTCCCTTGGCTGTCATGATCCACGGAGTTTAGGGATTAACTTTACATATGATTTATTGTTTTTATAATTCACTGCTTAAATCTTTGAATTGATTGCTTTCGTCCTTGAATGCGTTATCTAGTGTTGACTGGTTTCAAGTTTGTGTAATTGGAAGACATTCTCCTACAACAATGACTATATGGCGATATAGCTAACAGTTTGCATAGGATAATAACAAAAAACCACCAGTCCAACCCAACCATTCCACGTTCACAGTCATACATATATTGTTTCAAATAATATTTAATCTTTCGTATACCACTTGCTTCCTTTCCAGTGCATGAGGACGGTGGGGAAGAAACTAGCAACCATGATCATCGCAGTGACAACGCCAGAACTCTTCGCAAGTCCCACGCTGTCAAACAAATCAGTGAACCTATAGAAAGGAGGTTAGTATGATCTAAAAAAGGAAAAGAAAAGGAAAGAAAAAAGGAACGGCAATACTTACCAGAAAGGTCCAATAAATCCCCATGTAGATCGAACAAAATTGATAAAAACACCAACACTCCCAGCATCCTGGGGATAAGTATCAACAGCATATGTAGTCAAAACAGTAGTAACGACCTGATTTCCAAATGCCGCAATAGCTGTACCAACCACCGGCTTAACTGACCACTTCCCCACCGAAGCTTGTTCGGTACATACCAAGAACACAACCATTCCAGCAATAGTCAACAAGAATCCAATGTAGCTCAGCCAAAGCCGGAATTCAGGCTCGGGTTTCCGGCCAATACTACGCGCACGTCGATTCATCCACATATCAGACATGACACCGCCGAGTTGTTCGCCGAGTAAAGAGCCAATGATCAGACCTAGGAATTGTAGGCCGAGTTGCTGGGCGTTGAGCTCGAACTTCACTTGTAGAAGTTGGGGTACTTCGACGGAATTCATGACGGAGGCAAATAGGAAGACCATGGAGTATGCGATTGTAGCGAGGAGGACGGGGATGTTAGTAAATAGGGTGAGGGGGTGGATGAATTCGGACATTTTGAATGGGGTTGAGTCGATACGGCGGAATGATGTATATTCACGCTTGAATGCGGAGGACTCGGCTTGGACGTCAGCGCCGATGTAGCGGGTTTCGGGACCGAAGAAGATATATAGAAAGAATTGGACGGCGTTGGTCTATTTGATCATTAGCTTTTTTTCTTCCTAAAAAATAGTATGAATGGGAAAACCGACAATTGCCAGAATCCAATAGATCCAGCGATACCCGACGCGTTGAGCAACAAAACCGAATATAAATGGACCAACCGGCACACCCAGAGTCACCATTACAGTCCAAACACCCATATAACGTGCTCGCTCATGTCGGAAAAACGTCTCTGTCACAACGCCACTCCCAATAGCCATAGCGGGGGAGATAAAGAATGCTACCAAAGCACGACAAGCTGCCATAGAGGCATAGTCCGAACTTTTTGCGCAGCCAATATTGCACACGCAGCTGAGGATCAATGATAAGAGGAAGATCGGGCGTCGGCCGTAGCGGGTAGAGAGAGGTTTCCAGAATAGAGGAGCACCGCCTAGAATGGCGATTTGCAATGAGGTGAGATAGCTGACTCTTTGCAACGAAACACCTACGTCTAGTGCGATGTCTTCGTAGGCGCAAATGATTGCTGCTGCTGTGAATGTACCCATGCATGCGTGGAAGGCGACGAGACTTAAGTTGGTTACTTTCTGCATATAGTGCGTTAGTGAATCTGTATGGTGTTTTGCGTTTTTTTTTCTTCCTCTTTTGCTTGCGTGGGTCGTCCCGAAGAAACTTCTCCTGTTCTTTGTTTTTTTTTTTTTTTTTTTGCTTCTCCCGAGTAGCGAGTAGATGGTAAATTTTCTTTTTCTTACCTTCCAAGCCGGCCAGTTGTAAGGATCAGCCGGATCCATGCTAGGAGTTGGATCAAGATCAATCGTGCCATGACGTGCAATCAAGTAGGACTTGTGCGACTCCGATAGAAATCTTGTCGGATCGGTCCCGCCCACATCTTTTTCTTCCACGAAATTATCATGGCCCTTATCGAGCGCCATATTATGAGCGGGAGTTGAGGCCGCCATTATGGACGAGAAGCGTGTTAGAGAAAAAGAAAGAGAGAAAGGAGCGAGAAAGGAACGAAGAAGGGTGTACAATACGCCGTTTACATAGGGGGGTAGTTTCAGGGTCCTGCCGATCTAGAAGGCTCGCGTCGGTCATTTCCACTCCGGGTGATGGGGCCGTTGTAATTGTAACCATGGACCATGATCGCCGAGAACACGGGCAACATGAAGTCCGGAGTAACGAGGGGTAATCTGGAGTTTACAGTATGGGGATACATGAAATCTGGGGGTGAAATGGAGTAATGGAGACGTTGTGGAGTTGGTTTGATGGTTTAACGTGAAATGTGGAGGTTTTCCGGTAGTTCATATATCCCGTTAATGCCGGTGATGCTGTATTGTTGATGACAGGTGGATCTGAATAGACTCGGGGGACACCGTCGGGCGAATGAGTGATCGGCATACGAGGAACCCGGGCTCGGACCAGCCGAGATCCAAGGCTCCATTGTTGTTGAACTGCCGAAGCATGATTCCGGGGGATTGATTATTGGATGGGAGCTATTATTTCTAAATATTTCCCCGGTTTTGAACGGGATAGATGAGGTTAAAGCTCGGGGGTTGTTAACGCGATCTACTATGTAGTGGAACATTTGAATACTGTATAGTAATCCCACACGAATCTGACAGCGCCGTCAAGGCATGATATATCCACTATATTATAGAATAGGCATAGAACAAACATAAACAAAGATCAACAAGCTCAAGATTCTTGCCGAGATCATCTTTCACCCCGGATACGGGATCGGAGTCTGGGGAAAAGTGGACATGTAGACAGCAATTGACAGGTTGACTGATATCCACCTTCTATTGCGCAATCCCGACAGCCGATTAGTGATTCCAACTAGGCTTAGTGCTGGGTCGAATCCAGTTCAGGGCGAATCAGCTCTCGTTAAATAGCTAAACAGAATACCGTGTACATGATACGCTCGGCATTGGGACTGAGGATGCTCGGAAGTACAAGTCCGCGGTATTTCTAAACGACGGATCAGCCATGTCCAATAAAATGGTACTAGAAGTTCAAAGTCTCGACTAACAAATGGGTAAATAACAAGTTGAAATCATCATCAATTAAGGCCTCGTAAGACAAATCCGTTCTTTTCCTGGGCCACACTGGTGCCTATTGATTGACATGAGTGGCGCACAATCTCCGGATGAAAGTAACACCCATGCTCAACGGTACCCCCCAGCTGCCAGGATCAGGTGTCCACCCTTGTACCGAATAGTCGGGATTGAGGTCTGTGCTGTAAGATACACGTTTGATGAAACCAACATAACAGCCGAGGTCGTCAATCGTACGGTATCATGGATAGGAGGTAGGTGGGGCTGCTTAGTCTAAACTGCATCTAGCTCTCTTCAACAAAAGCTAGCGGAATGAATACGTTGACCCGCAGTTAAAGGTATCTTCGTCGGACTAATCGAGTCCATGGGAAGTTCCAGACCGCGACATGAAGGTTAGTCTGGTCGTGGACCCTTCAACTGACAGGTGGCTGGCAGTTGGGGTTGAGCAAAATCAGATTTGACTCAGATATGCGTACTTGGGTCAATGGAATCACAGCGACCAGGACAAGTTTCCGCCGGAGTTTCCGTGGGATTTCCTAACGAGAGGGTTAGTCAATTCGTAGTCGTACAGTTATTCACGAAAGGGTTTGACTTACCCGTTTATCATCACAACATCACAACACAAAACGGAATATTGAAATATTACCCATTCTATGATCGTCCATTTATTGACAAATGCGTGATGTCTGAACCGGTCGTGTCTGACTCCAAGATGTTCGCTCGAGCGGGAGCACCAATCGGTCATATTCATCCACCTTCACACTTCCATCGCATCTTCAGACAAATGACTGGGCGCACTACTGACTCCAGAAGTATCACTGGCGGGGCTAGCCGGCGCCCGCGATCGTACTTGCTGCCCCCATTCTTGAATACTTGGAACACCACCTTCAATAACGATAGGATGTTCTTCCGCACCCTTTCCAAGCACTGTCCCCGCGTATCGAGACTCTTCGCCCGTCTTACTGTGCTTCTTCTTCAAGGCAGTCAGGTAATCCTCCTTCTCGATCGCGTCAGGATCAACCATGTCACCTTCACTTGGGACAAATCCAGCGATACGTCGAATCTCGCGGTGTGCTGGGCCGGTGATCCAATCGATCAGGGATTCAAGGCCACGCATGTCCTCCTCACTCTGCCATTCCTCTTCCCATTCTCGTAGTTGTGGTCGAATAGCACCTGCATCTTGCAGGGCTTGGTAAACGTCTTCAAGGACGGGTGACGGGTCTTCTGGGTGGGCATTGGCTGCATGTGCGGCGGTAGCGTTTGCAAGGATCATAATGTAGCGCGATGTAATATCTGAAAGCGATTCAAGTACGGACGGTTTGGTTGAATGAAAACCCTGAGCGCGGAGGATCTGGATGATGGGAGGACGGAGGAGAGCAATGTGGAGGTTTTGGCCAGACATGGCGGATTAGGAGCTTAGTGAGATAGAGCTTTCTCAAAGTTGAAGATGTAATCTTAATTATCTTGATTCCTGGGGTGTGAATATCACAAAAGGAATAGAGATGAGTGAATGGAGTAGGTGAGGTGAAAGAATGGTAAGAAGCTCGGAGCTATTGCAGAGCGTAGAAAGAAACGCGGAATCTCCCAAGGCGGAGAATTCAGTCACCCGCGACTTGCTACATCATCCAACTCCGTCTCCTCGCCCTCGCCCTCGCCCTCGCTCGTTTACAAAGACCTTCTTTCCCCAACTTATTCACGCGTCGATAATTTCTCTATCTGATTCGGAAACTACGCCTGTATTTATTGGCGCCATGTCGGATACTCCGCGGCCAACTCTCAAGCTCAAATTTGGGAAGAAGCCCAGCGAACCCCCGGCCCAACCGACACCTCCCCCAGCTGAACCTTCACAACCTAAACTTACGTTGAAAATCGGCAAGCCTAAAACGCAGGCGCAGCCAAAAGCTCCAGCAACCGAGGAAAAGCCCAAAAAGAAGAAGACCACGACAAAGAAGCGACCTGCCGATAATGCTACACAACCAGAACCTGTCCAGGACCAACAAGGCCCCAAACGCCTGAAGCTAAGCCACAAGAAACCCGGACTACAATCAATCAGAATCAAAAATCGAGGCGTGGTCGCTCATCGACCAGTCGGTGTAGGCTATGACTCTGAAGCCTCTGATACGGAAGCTGACCCAGCGATCGAAGAACAATTTATCTTGCGCATGCTACCGGGCGAGGATTGCGAATATCTTCGCCAAGCGATCAACGAACGAAAACTTGGGAGTGAGTTTGCCTTTAAGCCCTTGAATCGAGAAGGACGACGTGCGGTTATGACGATACGCGATAAGATGTATGCTGCATCCTTGGTGGACCTACCCTGCATTATTGAGGGCATGAAAAGTTGGGATCGTCGTGGTTGGTATAAGTCAGCGGATATTTGCCAAATGTTGTTGATACTTGGTCAGGTGAAGTCTGAGCAGGAAGCGCTAGAGTATCCTCTCCCCGCTGAGATCGAGCAGCCAGATGATAAAACACTACACTATCCACATGGTGTTGCGCCACCATTAAAATGGGTCCGCAAGCGTCGATTCCGTGATCGTGTCAGCTCTCGCACTATTGAGCAAGTTGAGAGGGCCGTGGACGAACTGATTGCGCAGGATGAGACTTCGGTTTTCCCACCCCGATTCGAGTTGGTCGATAGCGCATCGCTAAATCGCGCGGAAGAATTCGTCGAAGAGGATGAATTTGAATACTATGATGAGGAACAGGATGCAGAAGGAGAGGCCGATGATTATATGGGTGACTTTGATGATGACCTTGCCGCTGAGATGGAAGCAGCTTTGGCTGGTGAAGATGATGCAACTGCTATGCCTGGAGATGCCGACCAAGCAGAGACACCCTCGGCCAATCCACAAACAACACTCGATGGACCGCCTGAAGCAGACTTCTCGGATGAAGACGAGTCTGAGGAAGGTGGCGATGATGCTGCTGATGATGACGACGACGAGGACGACTTGGACGATGATCAAATAGAACAGCAGCAGCAGCAGCAACAGTCGCGTGAAGAAATCGCTGAATTAGAGGCGCTCATTCGTACCGAAACCGCGCAGTGGGAGCGAGTACAGAACTTGATTCTACGAAACAAGATGGGCCGACGTATCCAAGAATTGAAGAAAGATCTACAATTGAAGAAGGTATCGGCTGGGTTGAGCGACGACGCCGATATTTGATACCATACATAAGGCCGCAACCCTCAATCGAATACGCATTTTATCCTCATGAGTATTACATGCAGTCCATGAAACTATATCTATCTCACTTATGGGAGACAACCGAGTTACCCGTTGCATCCTTAACTGCCTCCTCCACATCCAACTCCTTATCCCGTTGCAGCTTGTTTTGTCGAACAGCTTCTCTCTCAGCAACATCATACTCTGGCTCTGGGGGACTGCGCCCAATTTCATCGCCCAAAAATCGCTCGTGCTCTACCATTTTCCGATCCATGTCGGCCGCAAGATCCCGCTCTTCCCCAAATCCAGGATGACCAGGTCCATGAGAGCTCCCAACAGACCCGGCATGTGCACCAGCCTGTGCACCATAGAGGCCCATTCCCTTCCGTTTAACCGAATCTGCAATATATCCCTCTGATGGTTGTTGCTCCACTCCATACTCCAAGTCGACATCTAGAGCATTTTGCATTTGTTTCTGTTCCAACCGGTGCCGCTCATCAAGGCGAGCACGAGCTTCATCGCTCGAGGGTTTCGAATGAGCCGTGCGCTTAATCATCGGAGGATCACCGTGGTGTCTTATCGGGGCAGTTGACTCCCGTTGCTCCCCTAGTGTATGCGACACTGGGTTTGAAGATTGCGCGTACGCCGCTTGTTTCGGCGGTTGTGCGGGTTGGCTTGAACGGTTGCGAGTATCCATATCCGAAAGTCTTATTCTTTAATGATTTCGAAACTCTGGAAGAATCAAATTTTGTTTAAAAAAAGGCCAGATATTAGGCTGTTAATATTGGAAGAATGAAAATGAGAATCAATGATGCGCTTTGTGTTGAAGAGCTTGTTATTGTATCTATCTGATAGCTATATGACGTCAGGTCCACTCGCAGCCGGTTCTGCCACTGACTTTGTACCATATATTCCTGCAAATTAATTCCTAATATTAAAGCTGAAGGATAAATCCACCCTCTAGTGATTATACTCAGTTATAGGAATCGTAATACGCGATCTGAATACCAGCCGGCACCAATTTCCCCTTTAGTGTAGATGATAGAGTTTTCCCCGCCGCGAAAGTCAGCTCCAACTTCACTCTGTCAAGAAATATAGCAGTTTGAACCGTGACATCCCCCGTCATGTCTGATTTGCCAACTCTCGTCTTAGTACCTGGATCATGGCATCAGCCAGTATGCTACGACAAGATTGTGAAACTCCTCCAAGAACAGCACAAGCTGAGATGCGCCACCGTGACTCTCCCTTCAACGCTAGATAACCCATCTGCCACATTCAAAGACGACCTAGATGCTGCACAAAAGGTCATATCCAATGAAATAAGTCAAGGTCGTAATGTCGTTGTCGTGGCTCACTCCTACGGCGGCATGGTAGGCAATAGTGCTGTCAAGGGCTTCACCCGACCGAAACCCGGAGATCTCACAACTACTCAAGATCAGTCCCAGTCTCAATCAACAGGCTATGTGATCGGCATCATTCTCATAGCCTCCGGCTTTACATTGACCGGTCTAGCCTTCATGGATCCATTCCTCGGCCACCCACCACCAGCATGGGTTGTTAATAAAGAAACCGGTTATGCGGATATTGTCGTCTCTCCTCGCGAGTTCTTCTATCATGATGTACCTGACGATGAAGCGGAGTTCTGGGTCTCAAAGCTTACCACGCAAAGTCTTAAGGCTTTGTTCGAGGGCGCGGAATATACCTATGCTGGATGGCAGGATGTACCGGCTTGGTATATTGGTACCGTTGAGGATCGAGGATTACCTGTTCTGGCGCAGCGGATGAACGTCGGCATGGCGAGGGAGATGGGAGGTAAAGTTCAGCATAGAGAGTTGCAGACGAGCCATTCTCCGTTTTTGAGTCAGCCTGAGGCGACGGTTAAGATTATGGTGGAGGCTGTTGAGTCTTTCACGGGGATGTCTGTGGCGACTCAGAGTAGTGAAGATGCGGAGCCGTCGAGGGCATTGATTACTGTTCCGGGGGCTAGGGTTTTGCAACCCTTTTCTTGGTTGAAATTTGGGTTACCTCTTGCTTTTGGTCATCTTTTAGGAAGGGGAATTGTCATTTTTGGTTGGGGGCGGAGAGCTTGGAGATCTATTTTCAGTTCGCGCTGAATTTTACGGTCTACATGGATAAGTTAATGGTTGGAGAGGAGATTTATAGTTCATAGTTACATGTATCATCACCAAACACAATTCCACTCAAGTAAAGCATTCAAACATCTAGTTTCAAGTAGAAGATTCGCGAGGCGCTTTACTCGTCTCCGCCTCAAAGAATTCCTTCAATATCGCGTTCACCTCATCCTTCGCTTCTAACTGTAACCAGTGGCCATTTTTGTTCACGCCTTTGATGGTCAACCCATTCGCAAATTCAGTCGACTTGCTTTCACTGGCTGAATACTGGTCTACGGTTGATGATGGAAAGACCATCAGCACGGGACATGCAACCTGGTTAGGCAATGCAGAATCAACCTCGTCCTGTTCGTTCATATTGTACACCAGTGGGTAGTACCATTTCAGTGCGGTACCATGATGGCCTTGAAGGATCTTTTGGTGTATGGCTTTTTCCTCAGGTGAAATATAGTCTGCAAGTAGTGCTTGTCTATCCTCTCGAAGCCAGGCTTCCATAGATCCGGTTGGGCCCATATGGTCGTCCCACAGATTTGGCTCGGCAGGATAAAATAGCGTGAAAAAGGAATCACTCTGTTTACGAAAAATCCATGTTAGATTTTGTTCAACTTTTCGTCATGTCATGGATGTGTTTAAAGACTCACATGCTCATCTAGTAGTTTTCCCGCGTAATCTTCGATGAATAAACGAAGATATCCGAATTTCTCCTTCCCAAGTAGATTCTTCGTCATTGCATTCACGGCATCAAGATCAAAATGTGAGCCCGGTCTACTGTATGGTACACCTATAAACGTGCATGATAAAAGGCGCTGAGTGAGATAGTTCGCTAGGCGGGATAACAAAATACTGCCTATATCGTGTGATACAGCATGGACGTATTCGAGTTTCTCATGGTCTAGGATTTCTGAGATCTCAGCTACCATTTTCTTGGCCTTGTATTCATCTGTAGATGTGGGTTTGCTGGTTCCGCCGTAGCCGAGTAGATCGGGTGCAAGGACTCCATAGCCTTCGTTTGCAAAGAAATCTATCTGGTGCCGCCAGTCATAGCTTGAGGAAGGGAATCCGTGCAGAAATAGGATTGTTGACTTGTCGGTTTGGGCGGATATGTATACATATGTGTATGTGTGGCCGGAAGAGAGGCTTAGACTCTTTGCATTGGCGGGGAATGCGATGTCTGCCATGTTTCAAATAGGAAAATGGTTTGGGTTATTCAAGGTGTGGTAAAAGAAGTTCACTTCGTATAGCTGAGCTTGATCCTGATCTTTCCTGCGATGGGTGGGCCATCGAGCCTATTTATGCTTTTTTGAACGACTCGGAGACTTTTCGGAAACTAATTCAATGGGGCCCCGGGGGCGGTTTGCGCAAAATGGTCCAGATAAAGCATGTATTTCGATAGAATTGTGACTGGTTTTCAAATATACTAGTAGAATATAGAGAATTTGAGGAATGTAAACAAAGTCTTGTGTACAGACTACCTTTCCAAGTAAGGACTTCGATCGTGCCCCACTCTTTGTATTGTGAATTTACTTTTTCGATACTATGGAGTTGCTAAATAGGTTTTTTTTTTGGCTATAAATGTAGCTAGTTCACTTAATACCTATTTGACCTGGCATAGTTGACATGGGTCAGGTAAAAAATGAAATCTAACTACTCATACTGCTACCACTTCAGCCCGAGCTGCTTGCCCCAGTTAGGTAACCTGCGTGGTACGATTTAATAGCCCAGGCTAGCTATTTCGGTCCCATAGCGGCGAAAATAGAGATCTTACACAACCTCACCATGATATTCATATTTTATTTCAAAGAAAGAAATAATTAAATTTATTATATTGGCGCGTGACTAGCCACACCCGGATCACGGTCTCTGCGCTTGTGGGGGCTCCCGGGAAGCCTGATCGTCAGAATGACCACTACTACGACTACTAGTACCAGTGCAAAACCACAAATTAACAATTTTGTTACACCTGGGCAATTTCCTAGGCCTCCGTGGCAAACAAAACAGGCAAATTTGGGATTAATTGATGCTCACGGGTACATGGTGCCAAGGGTCTGTCTCATGGATCTCCACATCTGGCTCAGGCTGCTGTTTGTCACTACCGAATAAAGATCCTATTCAAAGTATCTGGATTACAATTACTTGAGACTTGCTATTTTGAACCTCCCATAATTTCCTATCAATCACAATCACGTAGGGCTGGGCATCTAACTTTTATGGAGAACCTTAATTGGCTCACGCTGAGAAGTTTCACTACACAGTTACTACTCAACACTAACTTGAAGTCATTTTGCTGTTGCTATACAAATAATGTAATTTCAAATGGCATGCATCCACTGACATACACTAGAGTACCCATATAGGCTAGTTTATTTGTTCAAAACTTGGAATTGAACCCCGCGACCCTCCGACAAAACATATTACAACCTTACCGTTGGTTGCAAGGGCCCTCTCAAGACTCGTAGTTTAATGTTGCAGCGCTACTGGAATCTTCAACTTTCAAATAGGCAGCTAGAGCCGAAATGTAGAGTAGTCTCTTAAGCATGCAGATTATCGTGAACTCGGATCTCCGACGTTCTTCCGTTGACCGCCAAGAAAGGGATGTGTGTCTTGCTGTGACTAAAGCGCTTTATGCGGCTGTTTCAATTGCATGTAAGGGCGAAGAGATTTGACACATGCATAAGATCTGAGAGCAGGAAGTTAATGCTAAATGATAGAGATGGTTAGATAGCAAAATAAGTTGACGAGGCGTCCGAGGGAATTTCTTGTACCATCTTGTACTATAAGGGAGATAGTGTCGCAATCATAATCACAATCACATTCTTTTTATCTTCATTTGCAGCGAAAGTTTCCGGAAGCCCCAGCTGCCCCACTATCTTAACCCTCTCATCTGGTTATCTGACGTCTCATGATCCGAGAAGATGGGATAGAGTATATTGTGATTCAGGGGCGACTCAGGGGCATGCACATCTCAGGTGAATCACCCCGATTGGGTGTCGGCGGGGGACCCGATACATACCCCGCAGCAACTGTGGAGCTTCGTCTATGCAGCATTGCAACTTGGTCCCAGAAAATGACCAGGAACGTCACATTATGAAAGAAACAGTCTCGTTTTTCAGACATCGAACCTGCAGGCCATGGTGCCGCGTGGGAATTATAAAGGAAGGAGGATCCGCCCAAAAGGAGAATTCATAGAATTCATCTTCAACACCTCATCTCACCTGTTTGGATCTATTACCTCCAGCTCTGGAGCCCACCAAGTCGACCATGCATCCCACTTCACTCCTTGGACTCCTGGCCTTTGTGGCCGCGGCTTCTGCTATGCCGACCCACAAGCGATCCCATGCTGCACACTCGTCAAGCTCTATTCAGAATTTAAAGAACAAGATCAAATATGTTGTTGTTTTAGAAATGGAGAATCGCTCATTTGATAATTTATTGGGTGGTCAGACGCTCAAGGGTCTTGAAAACCCTATAAATAACGGGCCCTTCTGCAACCCTTATAACGTCACCGATGATGGGCAAGGCATAGTCTGCAGCCAGGCTAAAGATATGGACTCTATATTGGATGACCCTGATCACACGGTGACGGGAAATAATATTGAGTTCTACGGCACCTTCACTCCAGATAATGATGCCATCTCAAGCGGCGAGTTAACTGCATCTCAGAAAGGGTTTGTGTCTGAGCAGCTTCGCATGTATGATGGGACCGATGTGAATAGGACAAAACTCGCGCAGGAGGTCATTAACTACTACACTGAAGATCAGTTGCCAGTCCTGACAAGCTTGGTGCAAAACTATATTACTTTTAACCATTGGCATTCAGATCTCCCCGGGGTAAGTCGTGACAAGGAGCTATGAAAGTCTCCATTTATAACCAGATCAATGCTAATTATCAATATAGCCAACTGCTCCAAATCGCGCCTATGTGCTTTCTGGAACATCTGCGGGCCACGGCACCAACGACGATGCTTTTGATTCTGATAAGCACGGCCTCACCCAGCGCAGCATCTTCCAACAGCTCAGCGAAACAAACCGAACCTGGAAGAATTATATCACAGATCCAGCAGAACAAATGGCAGACGCACTATTCTTTGACTGGACCTATACCAGCGACAACCAGGGACTAGCTGCACCACTACCCGACTTCTATACAGATGCAGCATCTGGCCACCTACCTGATTTCAGCTTCATCGAGCCGTCCTGTTGTGGCGTTGGCACAAACTCGATGCACCCGACAGGACTCGTCTCAGATGGTGAAGGCCTCATTCGAGACGTGTATAATGCTCTCCGCGCCAGTCCTGCTTGGAACGAGACACTCTTGCTGCTGACATTCGACGAGACAGGCGGTTTCCACGACCACGTCCCACCACCTCTGGCCCCTCGTCCCGATGACCTGACATATACCGAGAAGGCTCCAAATGGCGAGAATTATACTTTCTCCTTTGATAGGCTTGGTGGTCGCGTGCCGACACTCTTGATTTCGCCGTGGGTGGGTAAGGGTCTAGTTGAGCAAAAGGGGACTAACTCGGATGGGGAAACGGTGTCGTACTCTGCTTCTTCGCTGCTGAGAACACTAGGGTATCTGTGGGAGTTTGACCCATTTACCCCGCGTGTTAGCGGCGCGGCGTCTTTTGATCATTTGATTCAGCGTACCAAACGGACTGATACACCTGCTTCGTTGCCGAGTCCGTCACCCTTTAGTGACTCGCTTAAGTCGCAAAACACACAGCAGCAGATCAGATAAATTCACATGCTCGATAAGCTTTTTTTTAAGGATAATTGTGCCGCGCCAATCGTAGAGTTGCACCCGCTGTTTGTGATACTGTAGATCCGAACTGAAGAGGTACTTTGGCTTTGACCGTTCCTGGTGACAAATCACAGATCTTGATCTGGTCATCTAGGGAGCCTGATAAAAAGCACGATATTTGGTCAATTCTCTAGGATTTGAAATGGGGAGAAGATCTTCTTCTGCATTGGGGATTCACTACAAAGGTAAAATTGGTCTTTGTGTGCCACGGACGCATGGACCCTTTCACACGCGACCTTTATCCCGTAGGGCGGAGGCGATTTGATCAATCATCAGGAGTACTGGTGGATCCCATGATTGCAGAACAAATACAAATACAACTGCATCTGAATCCTTCAAGGAAATCAGGTGATATGTTAACATCTTGCGCCCTGCGGTAACTATTGTAACTAGTCTCTAGCCGAACTTTTGACTTTGAATTTCAATATATTCATTTCATTACGATTCAATGCAATTCAAAAATGAATCAGCTGTGGATTTCCGTCTCACCTCACCCCTTGTCTCTTTCATCGCCGTCGCAAACTACGTCATTCGGATGATCTTTCCCCGAAGGTGCCCATTTCGGTATTTTGATTTGTGAGGTTCTCCAGATTATTTAACAACTTATCCCTTTCAGATCGGCGATCTAGCCAACTGATCTCTCCTTCCCGCGAAATTTGCGATTCCGTTGCCTTGATATCTCATGCATGAATCTTCATAAGTGCCATTTGCTGCTTGACTTTGTCGCCATGTTTTTGTTCGTTGTTGCGTCTTGCCTTGCGCCTTTTGCCCATATCTCCACCATTTTACCAATGTTTGAGGACGGTTTGTATTGTTCTTCACAATGAAAAGAAGCTGGAAACATTCCCGAAGTTCAACGGGATTGCGGTCCTCGATGCTATCTTACTACGTGTGTCACAGATAGCCACAGGAACTTGAACTTGTGCTGTGGCCTATGATGAGACGCTTGGGAAAAGGGGTCTAGTATAGGATGATTTACTACATGATCTACAGCCATTCACTACTGGTCTTTGATCGAAAGTTTGCCTGGTAGATCAATGATCGATCGGACCCGGGTTCTCGTAGGTTTTATTGATATGTTCGCCATCATGGTGTAACTTGGAGGTTTGACCCCGGCCAATCGGAGCAGAGGCATTTAAATGTGGTGGAATACATTACTTTCTCAATTAGAATATGAGATAGATTCTAGATCTCCGTTACCTATAGGCTGACACTATACGAAAGGTTCCTCGTCGTTTATTTACTGTATATATGCGCTAATGAGCCCGGAGCCCAAGCCTAGTAATTATTAAATTGAAGCCTGGTCTTATCTGGAATAAAGGCTATAGAGCCCCACATAGAAAAACCTAATTTTGAACGACTCGGACTTGCTACCCATTTGGCTACCATATATGCCGTGTAACCTTCTACGCATCGTAAGTATAGGCGATCTCATGCGTGGCGTGGCTGATGGTGAACCCATAGTGAGCACATATTCTCCCACTGCCAACAAATATGGCTTGAACGAGTAAAAGGAGCCCCTCAAGACAAACACATAGATCTTGCAATTTTACTCGAATAGGCACTCCGCAAATGTATGTGTCCTAAAAGAGAAAGTATGATCTTTTTAAAGTGACTAGGAGGATGTGCACTATCGGAAGCATTATCTTTGGATACTACTTCCAGCCCACCACAATCATCTTTCAACCTAGACGAATGCGTTTGTTAGAGGTGTTATCTTACGAGTCCCGCCGATTTCTTAAATAGGACGTCGCTGATGATTTCCGAAATCATCCTTGTACTGATTTGGGTGAACTGCAGAATGGGTTGGGTGTGTGTTGTAACAGATAGCTTCGCAGGTATTATCGGAATATGAGAACCGACAAAGACCAGTACGAGTATATAAATATTTATAAAGAGAGCAAAAGGTTTAATGAAGAGCATCTTATCTAAAACCATATATTCGTCAATCCCTCTTGCCTCATGTTTGTTGTTCCCATTCGGCCATTCAAGTTTCTCATTCAAAACGAAAGTATGATTCTTACTGACATTGATACTATTTGGAAAATATAGATCGATCTCACTTAAAAGCCAATTGTAGGAAAATGGAGATGTTACGAAGTTAGATCTACGCGCTCTTTAAGCCGGAATCCCACCGGTCTGCTTTGAACCTTCACTAGCTACATCGCTCTTATATCTTCTGCTTTGTTTTGCATTCCAAATTGACACAATTCCATGGCCATGGGCTCGACACTTAGCTTGGATGTGCTATGGATTCGCCCAAGGGTGCGTCTGCGTAGGGGTTTGGACTTCGGATCATGAATGTGGACATGGTGCACTTTCTCTTTATCCACGAGTGAATGACATGATAGGCTTTAATCTACATTCAACCCTTTTAGTACCATACTTTCCATGGAAGACCACGCATGCCCGTCATCATCGCTACACAGGCCATATGGGCAAGGATACCGTCTTTGTACCCTCCACAGAAGACAGAAGGGGAGTATGAGCACTCTTTTCACTTCTCCTTTATACCTAGCAGAACAATTGAGTCTGTGGAGGATGCTCCCGTGGTAATACTAGCTCAATTGGTGTTAAATCAACTGTTTGGATGACCTATGTATCTACTTTTCAACGTCAGTGCCATAGCGGATAGTCTTCCTGGCCAAGATGCGACAACTTCAAGAGGCAAGAGTCATTTGAACCCATTCGGGGCTCTTTTCACCCCATCACAGTGGTTTTATATTCTGCTCTCTGACATGGGCTTGGTGGTGACCGGGTCTATACTAGTGGCACTATGCACAGAATACGGTTTACAGCAGGTTTCTCAGTTGTAATTTCTGCCATATATCTGGATCAACCAAACTGGACTAGTAAGTGGATGACCCTGGGAATCTTCAAGTTTGTTATCACTTTCAAGTCAAAATTAACTTGTCTTTTTGTTTAGTCTCTATTACATATCTTCATCATACTCATCTGTCTCTGCCCCATTACGGAGATCAAACCTGGAGTTATCCCAAGGGGTCGTTATCTACAATAGATCGCACAGCTGGGCTCCTTGGTCGTCACTCTTTTCACGACATTATTGACATTCACGTGGTTCACCATCTTTTCCCGACGGTTCCATTTTATCGAGCTGAAGAGGCAACTCGTGCAATTCGACCACTTCTTGGTTCGCATTATAATAAGCAAAAAAGCAGCTCATTCATTCCTCTGGAACTTATCTTCTACGTTCCGCCTCTGCAAGTTTGTCTCGGAAGGTGTCCCCGCCACGCCGAATGAAGGTCAGGAATATTCAGATGGAAAATTGACAAGGCTATTCTCGATAACAGATTGAAGCTCTGGACCGTCTTCGATGACTTCATAATGCATGCGGGCTTGAGGACTTTGAATTTGGGGGCCTACACTTTGCGGGCTTAGAACTTGCATTCGAGATTGAAGTACATGAGTGAATATGGATAGGGAAAATTGAAATAAATTACAACAGAGCACAAACAATCAGGAAGAGTTTATCATGACAATTTTGGCTTGAGAGCCCCGTACTGGGCATGATTGTCGAGTATCATTCCCCCTGGCGACTGCTGCGACCCCCCTTGACCTATATGATCTACCTCAAAACGTCATCTAACACATACGACCACAGGGTGTGGAAAACAGGGCTTCCCGTCCGCTCAGCCGTACTTAAGCCACACGCCGGTCAGTTAGTAGTATGGTGGGTGACCACATGCGAATCCTGACTGTTGTATGTTTTTATTTGCATTTCTTATTTTTATTCGTTGGGGAAGCTTTCTTGCCGCCCTACTCTTCAGCTCAGTCAGCCCATTCACCTGAATGCCCTGAACACCCCTGAAGCGCTGACGTGGCCCCTCGGTTAAACTTCTCCCTCTCTCCCACCCTCCTCCTGCTCATCTCCCAGTCCCAGATTTTTCAAAATTCACACTTCCTCATTCATTGTCCAAGGAAACATATTTCACATTAATTATTCACAAGAATTCAGCTTGTAACCCTATCTTGACTTTGGTGAAGGGTGATGACCTCCAGCTGATCATAAGAGTCCTCGTAATTCTCAATTTCCGCATTATCCTCATCAACAATGGCAAATATTTTAACCACCGACGTAGCTTCTTTGACCACATTCAACAAAATGTCTAAGAGGTTATCGAAGCTGCAGCTGCAGCGGTCCAGACGATCCAAAAGTATGTATGTGGTGGGAAAAAAACTCAGCAGTCTTGTTAGTACTTTGCAAGGATCCAAAGGCAGTTTGGCCTGCCAACGGGTGTGCTGCATTTCCTCCTCAATGTCGGTCTTGATACCTGGTTTTGCCAAAATTTCTGGCTTAGATTTGAGTAGTTGCCATATGATGTTTGTCAGCACCAGGTAAGCAGGAGGCGCGCAGTGCTGCCAGGGATCAGTCTGGACAAAGTAGCTGATTGGCCCCCAGGGTTTCAGATTATCTATCAGTCCTAATATGGAGAGTGAAAGCCACGAGTGGCCATCTCTTTGCGAGATCGTTCTACCTTTCAAGATAAGTAGCGAGGACTTATTTGTCTCTTTCCAGCGGACGTAAGTAGGTTCGGAAAGAAGGAGATCGAAGGTAAATCTCCGGTAATGCTTTGGAGAACCGGACGGCTCTTGAAGAGCCTTCGTATAAATTTTGTTTGTAAATGGGTCGACTTGACTAGGCCGAAACAACTGGTAGATCTTGTTGAGTTCAGTTTGCTGGTTGGCCTTCGTAATTGCTATTGAAATGTCATTAGATAGCACTGCAAGATTGCAATGGTGCAAAATCACCAGTAGTCCGATCTTCAACAATTCGTAGGCGCTCTTGTGAAACGATGATTGATACTTTCTCGCATTCTTCCAGGTGGACGTGTATTTTCTTTGCAGTGTCATCTATATTCCTTGGCAGTCGATTCAATACTGCATACCCGATTCTTCCTTTCCGTTTGTTAGTATCGGCCTGTCTTGGAAACCCGAGGAATATCTTACTCAAGGGATTGCATTTAAAGTAGCAAATACATGCCCTAGCAAACAACAAGATATTGCTGTATATAATGTCTATATGATGCGCAATTTCTTCCGTCGGGTCGAGCTTGTATAATCGGTCCACGCGAGGGAAGGCTCGCTGGAAGCCCTCCAATTCATACTGAATATTATCTTCAATATTCTGTTTATTGACTGCGGTCTTCAACTGTTGGAAAAACTGTTCATCGTTGAACGGGAAATCAGCACTTACCTTTAACAAAACAGACAATGTGGAATAAGCGATTGCTCCGAAGTGATTGTCCACAAGCTTCAAAATCTCGATTATCCCGGAATAATCATCTATAAAGGTTGAAAAAGCAGCCAGAAAGCGTTGCAAACTCTTGGCGCCTTTTCGTTTGCTCTTCCACGAATCTCGTTTATGAAACACCTCCCGTAGCTTTTGCGTAGATATATCAATGGCTTCTTTTGTTCTAGCCTCTCCTTCTGACAAGTATGCCCGCCCGAAGGCACGGTGAGAATCACTTGATATAAATAACTGGGGCAAAGTCTCCCTATTTCACGTGAATATATAGATGCTGTATTGAAATTTCGTCGTTCCTTACCTTGAACGGCGGTCTTGGAGCCATCTTTGCCACCTAGCAGGTGTCTCTCCTGAAGGGTTCATGATTTGGTTATCGTTGTTCTGGAGCAGGAACTCACAAGTTAGTTGTACAACTCAAACCCTCCTATTCTAACTCTCCTTGGTTGGAAGTAAAAAATAATAAGCCATAGCCCCTACACCGACACTGCGCCTCGATGAATAACGACCCCTCAGTATCTACAGCGCCACGTCAGAGCCATGCTGCGCAAGGAAAGATTTGGCTAGGCGCTTACTGCTCTATAGCCTACCAAAACCCCTGCACCGGCACTGCGCCTCGATGGATAACGACCCCTCAGTATCTACAGCGCCACGTCAGAGCCATGCTGCGCAAGGAAAGATTTGGCTAGGCGCTTACTGCTCTATAGCCAACCATAGCCCCTGTAATGAACTGCGCCTCGATGTACGGTGACCTCTCAGTATCCGTAGCGACCGACACCATGCATCCCACAGCGCCACGTCACAGCTGCGATGCACAAGGAAGCACATAGCTAGGCTGTAATTCATTGTCCCTCACCGCCTATGGACGCCCACCGAAGAATTTTTACCCTTATAATAGCAAGCCCAGTCGTGATACTTGGCATGTTCTAGAAACTTTCCTGGTGACGAGGCTTACAATATACCTGATATCACCTTGACTTTATCGTCACCTCTCCTCGCCTTGAATCCCGTAGCCCAATTTTTGAAAATCAAAGGACCTAGCTGGGCGCTATTTCAGCCCCACACTCCACAGCCTAAGATATTCTACTGAAACATAAACCCCAGATCGACTTGATTTTCGTGCTCAGTTTCAAAGAACATCTTAGGTCAGACTTCTAAAGGCAAATCTCCAATATTTTTCACTTGACCTTAGAAAGGATCTTGTAGATCTATGATCCGACATGCAAGAACACCACGCAAGATTATCATCGCCTCCGAGACACTGATAAGTCACTAACATTCTCATAGATTGAAAATCGGGATGGAATACCCTTTCATTCAACGCTAAATACCCATAAAGAGTTGGCCATTACGAGAAACATTGCTTCTAATGGTCATTATAGTCATCGTTCTGACCGATACAAACAAGAAACTCATCCAGTTAGCACAGGGTCTTGGATGAGCCCTAATGGGCATATTATATCAGATGAGGACCAACTGAAGGGACGTCATTATCCTTTCAACTACAAACTCAGCCTTACCGAGCCACGAGAGGTGTTGATGCTTTCCATTACATCCCCGAAACTGACAGCTTTTCTGGCCGACGTATCAAACGAATTTGGGAGCCATTGGGATGACAAGTTTGTCGAGACTCAGCCCTCGCAGACAGAATGTAACCTCTGGCGTATTATTTGGTGCTGGAATTTGGTTTCTGGGCGTCAACTCGACTCGTCGAACAGCCAAGCAAGAGATGAGTTATATAATCTTGTCAATGTCCTCAAGGACTTTAAGCCACTCGATGAAGTGATCCAAATGAGCGACGCTCAAAAGAAGTACGGAACTATTGTTTTTGACAATTTATGGTCTCTTTTCCCTCCAGGAGAGATTATATTTGCGGCATCAGATGCACAACTTCAGGTACTGCTAGTCAACCAGGCTTCATACAAAAGCATTGCGATGGGCATTCGATCGGCTTCCGCCAATAAAGTAATGGAGATCTCTTGCTGCTACTATGGTAAGACTAAATTTTTATTTTAAAAATGCCACTAACTTATTGGTACCTCCGATATAGATTTTGATGGGCAAAGATTCAATAGATATAATAAGCTTGTGGAGATTTCCTATTTTGAGCGCAGCCGGGCAATTGATTCTCTCTCCTATTACCCTCTCATCTACCACCGGAATGAGAGAGATGTTAGGAAAGAATTGCAAGCTCGTGGGTCTCAATTTCGCGAATTTTGCACCGGAAAAATGGACGAACGAATGTTTGATTACGACGGAGACCTAGTGCGTATCCCGAATCCATTGAGCACGAACTCACATTCTCGTGGTGATTTCCTGAAATACTACGGAGAATTCATGAGAAATGAAGATTCAGGCAGGTTTTGGAAAACAAGTCCTGTGAGGCTCTTTCCTTCCCTTAGGTGTGGAATTTCGAGCTGATTAAGGCCTTGCAGTATACAGGCAGAGTCATTATCGATGTCGGATCTTACTTAGAATTCGGAACCTATATGGAAGTGGGACTCCGCATTAACAAAGGATCTGGGGTAATAAAATGCATGACCTAAACTATGGCCTGTATTATTGCTGACGCTATTGCAGTGTCGCTGTTACAAGTGCCTTCATAATTTCAAAATGAGACGCAGATTAGGTATACTCTATGACGATGTCTGCAAAAATGAAGATGGAGTCTGGCCCGAATTCGACTCAACTCAACTCATGCTTTGTTCTCCATATATCAAGGGCTATGCACTGGCGACGAAGAGGTGGACCCATTTGCTGGTCAACAACATCAAGAAATTGAAGAAGAGAATTGAAGAAGACGCTTTTAATAGCCTTGTCATGCCGCAACCGAATATCAAGAATTTGATACTCCGCCTCGTTCAGAACCATTCAAATATGAGCACCGATAACGCCCCCGGCGTCCCGGCTAAGCTAGAGGATGTGATCGAAGGTAAAGGAGGAGGTCTTGTGCTCCTCTTTTATGGTTAGTACTTCTAGCCTCTGCTTTAAATTATTGATGCAAATGAAGATTTAGGTGCCCCGGGCGTTGGAAAGAGCTTGACAGCCGGTATAGCACGTCCCAATTTATGCTAGTTTCACTACTTATACTTCGCAGAAAGCATAGCTAAATACACTGGAAAGCCCCTTCTCAAAGTCAGGTATGTTCAAAAGCGCCCGACTTTATGTCACTACTGTTAAGATTTCACACAGCGTTGCCGACTTCGGAACCGACGTCAGCTTAGTAGAGGGAAAATTGGAGGAGACATTCCAGATCGCCAGCAGATGGCGCGCGGTACTTTTATTTGATGAGGCTGACGTATTCCTCGAAGCACGCGCAACTGAAGGCAATTTAGATCGAAATGCTATGGCGTCTGGTTGGGACCCAAACTTACACTGCATCCCTCGTACTAGACTAACCTCGCACAGTGTTTCTGAAGGTACTCGAATATTACCAGGGAATTCTTATCTTAACCACAAATCGTATGTTTCTGTCTGTTTCTTCTCACGTCTTCCGCCTAAGCGTTGAAATATAGGGGTCCGCACTTTTGATATCGCCGTCCAGTCCCGGGTCCACCTCGCAGTGCGATTCCAGGATTTTGGTGCAAAAGATCAGAAATTAATTTTTGAGATGTTCCTGAACAAAATGACCAGCGATGTCGTTGATCGGAAAAAGATCAATCAATGGCTGGACGAGCGCTTTGAAGATCACGGTTCACGTAATGGTGAACAGTTGAACGGCCGACAAATCCGAAACATACTGTCATCCGCTGTTGCCTTGGCTCGATCGGAGAACAGAAAGCTTCAGCTCAGTCACATCAAAACGATGTGGAACAATATCAAAGAATTTCAGGCACATCTTCATGAACAGACCATTCTAGCAAAGAAGAGAAATGAGTGAATGCCAGTCCTTGCTTTCGGGATGAATTGATTTTTGGGAGCCAAAAATAATGCTCTCTAAACAAAGCAGGCGGCTGATTAGTCTACATATCGTGGCAGGAATGACAGAGCCGTGTGCAACCTCTTTCAAATTCATTTTCCAAATGTGACATTCTGTCTTTGATTTTTTCGATTATCAACACCACTTTTGGTTAATTCTGACTAAGTTTGTAGCGATGTTGTTATAGATCTGCCTAGATTGAGATAGGGGAGAACTAAAATTTAGTGAATATTACGGGTTTTCTTAGTTAGGTTTGATAGTGAGGTTTGTTCTTATACATTTGTAGAAAGTAGGTATTATGGGCAGTTAGAACTGCCTAGGTACCATAGACGCGCGTGTATATTAGCTTGCCCAGATTAAAGTTGCAACTTGTTTACTCGGTAACCTGCCCTTACATAAATTACAATAAACTTGAATTATATTATAGACCCTCGCTAGCTCGGGTCCGACACCTCAACGAACTTTGCCCCTCTAACGAACAATTCTACCATAATTCAACTTTGACTAGCTATATTATGCAATATATACCATATTTTCTTGATTCTTCTTATAGAATATGAATTTCTAATAGGTAGAGAATATATATAGAGCTTTTCTAGCGTTTTAAACGTCTTCCTGTACGTCTATAACGTAATCCACTACCGAGCCGCCAGAACCACCGAGCCGCCAGGCTAACACGAAACGCGTCAATTAATTAGACCTTCCTTCTTCAACCACCCACTATGCCACCAATTCGCACCCAAAATAGTCAAAAATTGACAGAACAAGAGGGACGGATATTACTAGCTATTCAGGCTATTAAGAAACAAGAACAGCTCTCTATTAGTGCAGCAGCACGCTATTTCAACGTGCCTCGTACAACCCTCCGCGATCGACTACACGGCCACCAAAACCGACGCGAAACACGTGCAAACGGTCATAAATTGACTGAAATTGAGGAAGAATCGCTTCAAAAATGGATACTTTCTATGGATAATCGTGGAGCAGCCCCTCGGCCTACTACTGTACGAGAAATGGCAAATCTACTACTATCCGCACGTGGATCGACCCCAGTTCAAACAGTTGGCGAAAATTGGGTCAATAAATACGTGAAAAGACACCCACAGCTTTCAACCCGATTCTCTAGACGCTATAATTACGAGCGTGCGAAATGCGAAGATACAAAGATTATTCAAGAATGGTTTGATCTTGTTCAAAAATCAATCCTTGAAAATGGTATTGACCCGGACGATATCTATAACTTCGATGAGACTGGTTTTGCAATGGGCTTAATCGCAACTGCAAGGATTATAACAAGAGCCGAATACTACGGTCGGAGAGCACTTTTACAACCTGGAAATCGCCAGTGGGTAACTGCAATTGAGTGTATAGGTGCGTCGGGGTGGGCACTTCCTCCGTGTATTGTTTTTAAGGGCAAAGTCTATATTAAAGGTTGGGGTGATAGTCTTCCAAGGGATTGGCGACTTGAAGTTAGTCCAAATGGATGGACCTCTGATGAAATTGGACTTCGCTGGCTTGAAAAAGTCTTTATTCCTTTAACTTTTCCTCGTACAAAGGGGAAATATCGACTTTTAATCCTTGATGGTCACGGAAGTCATTTAACTCCAAAGTTTGATAAACTTTGTAGTGAAAATGATATAATTCCAATTTGTATGCCAGCACATTCCTCGCACCTTTTACAGCCTCTTGATGTTGGATGTTTTGCGGTTTTAAAACGTTCGTACGGTCGACTTATCGAGAATCAAATGCGGATTGGGATCAATCATATCGATAAATTTGATTTCCTCGAAGTTTACCCTTCTGCCCGAGACGAAGTATTCAAATTGGAGACAATCAAAAATAGCTTCGCAGCAGCTGGTTTAGTCCCATTCAACCCTGATCGAGTTATTTCAAAGCTTGATATTCAACTTCGAACACCTACTCCCCCCTCAAGCCGGGGTAGTGAGTGGGAGCCAAAAACACCTTCGAACTATATCCAATTACAAAAGCAAGCATCTTCGATTAAAGTACTACTAAAACAACGCTCACAGAGCCCACCAAGTCCGCTAAATTCTATGCTCAACCAGATTTTAAAAGCTTGCCAAATCAATATGCAATCAAATGCTTTTCTCGAGAAAGAAATAAGCGATTTACGCGCTGGAATGGAGAAGAAGAAGCAAAAAAGGACTAGATCTAGGCAGCAGATACCACGTGAAACAGGCCTATCAGTTGCAGAGCTTCAAGACTTTATTGATCCATTGGCTATACCCCCAGTAGTACAAGGAGTAAGGCGGGCCCAGAGGCCACAACTACCTTTGCAACCACGTACGAGAGCCTTACCAAAGTGTGGATTATGTGGGAATGAGGGACATAAAAGAAACGTATGTCCAAATAGAGCTATATAGGTTATAATATCAATGAATTAATATTTTGGTTGATATAATTGCGTTTAAATCTATTAGGTATGGATTGCCTGGCGGCTCGGTGGTTCTGGCGGCTCGGTAGTGGATTACGTTATTCACGTCGAAGTTCCATCATAATATTCTTCCACATCGGTCGTAGCTTGTTAATAGCCTCTAAATTAGTCAATTTTTGCTTATTTCTCTTCATTTTCCCCACATCTGAAGAAGATATGATACCTCGTGATTTTATGGTAGAATATGCTATATTCCGCCGCGTATTACGGGCTGCGCTTGTAGATTGAGTTTGTTTAATCTCTCGATGTATCTTATTGAGATGATATAAGGTGGATTGTGCACCTTTTGAGAGCTTCTGAATTATCTGACTTTGGCTAGAGAATTCTCGATTTAGATCTAAAAGCCTTGTTTTAAGCCTTTTAATCCGTGAGATTATCTTTGGAGTGCTGATATTGGTAGAATTTGATATTCGTGAAGATGATGGTGAAGATGGTAGAGATGGTGTTTGAGGCCGATATTTAACCAATTTTTCACACATAATATTAGGGTTTATAGGCCAAAGACCAGATAATTTAAACCCTAGGCGAATTGTGTGTAATTTAAAGGTTTTCTTTCGAATTTTAGAGATCGTAGCAAGAAAATCTTACTTTGAAAACTTTATATAACCAGTAACCGTTGTAGCCTCAATTGCCGCACTATGATAGTACTTATAGATATGAAATACACCAATATTAAGAGGTTAGAGAAGATGACTTATATGTGGAGGAAGGAAAAAGAGTAAGATCTTCTTATCTTCACAGAATTTGATGAATTCGTACGTCAAATATGACCCAAATCCATCATAAATTAGCATTCTCCATATTCCTTTTATTCATAATCGAGTTAACTTTTCGAATAATTAGATCCATTAATACGCAAGAAGGTCATTAATATAACCAGAATCGGTAACGGCAATACATTCATTAATAAGATCTTCGAACCAACGATTTTGAAGTTGACGAGCGTTTAAAATAATCAAAGGTGGTGTAGAAAAACCATCGGTTGAAACTGCCTTAACAACAGTCACATATTCTCAATTCGTACGATTTCTAGCCACAATTTTTCGACGAGGATCACGAGTAATAATCCATTAATCCTTTCCAACACCAATTTAGAAACCAGTTTTATCAAAATTGTAGAGGTCTTCTAGTTGAATTCCGTATTGATCAATTACAGCTTGATACCTTAAAAACCATTCTTAAATTACTTTCTTATCTTGTGCAAGAAGACGTTCAATATCAAGGCTTTTCCGACGTCTCGTACGATACTCCGGGTGTCGCTCAAGCCATCGTTTTAACCACTTTTCTCCAATATTAGGAGGTTCGGATGGGTTAGATTGTTGTAGAATTAATATTGCAGTTACAAGAATTTGGGCTCGCTTGACTAATTTTCCGTTTTGATCATTATAATCAATCCAATCACATAAAGCCTTTTCTTGCGCTGGATCAAGCTTCCGACCGGTGTAACGAGGTTGAAATTTCGATTTTCTTCCATTCCATCGGGCCTTAAGCCGCTGGTAAGGTAGGTTGAATTCTCGTGCTGTTTTGGCAATATTCGTTCGTGATTAAGCGTGAAGATCCTCAATTGCCTTCTCAATCCGTTTCTCAATTTCTGAATTTATAGAGCTCATATTGGTGGTGTGGGAAGAAGTTGAAGGAAAACAGTGGAATTTGGGAAGAAATGTTCGTTGGGGGCAAAGTTCGTTAAACTGTCGGACCCGAGCTAGCAAGGGTCTGTAATATAATTAAAATTTATTGTAATTTATGTAAGGGCCGGTTAATTCTAATAAAGCATCTTTAGGCGGTTGAACAGTCCTAAAACTCGGCTTACGGTACACTAAATAGAGCGGCGAGCCGCTCACGCCCAAACCGTGGGCGCTAGGTGACCGCAGCCATATAATAACTGTTGTATGTTTTTGTTTACTTCTTTTTATGGATTCGTTGGAAAATCCCCTCTTGTCGCCCTAGTCTTATCAGTCCCTCCAGGCATTCACCCTGAATCCCATTATTTTGTACCAGATGTCCTGTCCGCGCCCGTAGCGCTGCATTTGAAGTCTGGAAACAAAAAAGACACCTCTAGGTGCCCCCTCGGGCTTTTTCAAGTTTGGCGTAGTATCGGTAATTCATTCTATAGTCTCAGGTTAATAGTATTTACAACAGCCCTAACTATAGAAAAGAACCTCGCAGGAAACCTATAGAATACCCTGTACAAACCTTGGAAATAGTAAGTCTAAAATTACCACAGAACAGCATTTAATATATTGAATATAATAAAATCTATTATGTTAATAGCTCAAACTATTTTCCAAATAAACTTTGCAAGCCTTTCGGACTACTCAAATCCCAAAAGAAAAACAATAACAATAACAAAAAAACAAAAAAGAAAACCCGATAGTGAAGCAGGAAAGGGATTACAGATATTACGCTAAACCTAAACCGAATATGCGGGCTTTTTCACTATCCAGGTAGCTGCCAAGTTAAAGAGACTTCTAGCTGCCTTATGACTTCTGCTAATGGATACTACCGAGTTTTAAAATCGTTCCCACCATACGAGATCATTGGGAATCGAGATTCTTGGCCCAAATGATTCGAATCGATGACCAGATAGCCACAGGATAGGGTTTGAAGACGCACAGAAGCTAGGAAAGAATTCATTTGAACCTGTTGTGGAAATTGCTAGGGTAGACTCTATTGAATAAAGCTGGAGGGAAATGAGGGTAGCACGCGCAGTCCAGTCCGAGAACATCTTAACACTTGTTCTACCATTCCCGTATTCCAAATAACCCAATTCTTCATTTATCATTCTTCGGTCTCCGTTTCTTCACTATCGACCTCGGACTCCAATTCCGAGTCACTCGGTTCGAATACCCCATCCAAATTTGATCGGCGGCGAGATTTGACCTGGTCGACTGCCAGTTTCAACAGTAAATCGGGGTCTCCCGATTGATTACAACTAGCCCCATCCAAGAGCGCTTCGTAGTCGTGACCAAGCTCCTCAACGAGCGCCAGTAGCATATTTTTAGGGAGGTACCTCCCAGGCGTGCCCCAAAAAGGCTTGCCATTCTCGTCTTCCAATAATTTGGCAGCTCCATGGGAATTTTTCGCCTCATTCATCTGCCAAGCTGAGCGCAAGACTTGAATACAGTAGTGAAAATAGACATACCGCGCCGCGGGTCGAGCAGGGCCAAGAAAATGCAATTTTCGACCATCGAGATCTTGGAATGTAAGGGGGTGATACGGGGTGACTTGATCTCGTAGACGGTCCCATTTTAGATCCAAAACCTTCATTTGATATTCTCGTTGCTCGCAATCCAGCCAATGTTTGAGTGCTTCAAATTTGAACCCGTTATTATCGGGAAGCCAAGGGACAATAGCCAATTTCCCGATATCAAAAACCTCTTCGATTTGCCGGCTTATCAATACCCCATTTCGGGGTGAAAAGAGCTCGCTGTCTTTCTTTTTACCAAAAATAGCATTCATATTGGTTTGCCCATGTTTCCATGGGAAAAGGTGTGCAGCGATGACCAGCTCGGGAGCCTGATACTCCCCAAGGATAGGACACCACAGCCACTTTTGTCCCGGATGATGGGCTTGATATTCTTGGATTAAACGCTGTCGAAACTCTTGTTGAACCCTACTATCGCGTTTGCCAGTCCCCGTTGACTGAATCCCAAGACCAATCTTGGAAGTTGTGAAAAACTGCATGAATGAAGCTCGGAAACCTCTCCATCGACTTGTGGGTTCAAGCTTGTGGAGCTGTCTTTCGCAAATCTTCCTGGATTGTTCTGAGGCTCTGATTTGTTCAATAATTCCCTGTGAATCTTTGTTGGTCTCGCTCCACTCGGCTTCGCTTAATCCCGAGTTGCATATTGAAATTTTGCGCTTAATGTTGGCGTCTTTGAGCTCTAGTTCTTCAAATTTAGCGGCTTGGGTCCAAAAGTTGATATCAAAGGAGGCTTGTGATTTCAAAAAGCTCTTGCCTTTCTTGATTTCGGCCTCGCTCGTGACTTTGCGCTTCTTCAAAACATGGAGTTGGGGCAGGTCCGAATCTCGAATTGATTCTTCGGAATGGCGGCGATTTGGCTCACCGGGTGGCGGAAGTTGGGGGTCTGTATCCATTTTGCAGGGTGTGGGTTTGCAGGGTGTGGGGAAAGATGAGATGGTTACGATTGAAGTCGGGAAGTTGCACTCTTCAACTATGAGGTATTAAGACTCAATTTATTACTCAAGATCCAGGGTTCAAGGCTGCGCTAGTAAGTGCAAAATAGGGTTAGTTCTTCCTAAATTAGGGAAAGTTAGCTCTTGCCGTGGCCATGGAACCCAGCTTCCGGATTATTCTTGGGACATTACGTCAATCTGATATATGAGGATCTGCTCTAAACTGTAGACGTTTAAGGGCTCCATGGTTTGTTTAGCTAGTAAAGCCCAAACGATCTTCGCCATCTGCATTTAGAAATATGGTTATTTTGACCTTTTGACTCTCAGAATAGTTTCATCCTGATTTGATCATCTTTCATCCCATCTTGAATACCTTTAATCTTATCCCTATCCTTTAATCGTAAGTCTTTATGAGCTGACAAAAGGAAGAAAGATTGTTTATAACTTGCATAAAATGCGAGAATGTACCTTATGATGCACAGACTAGTTTTTAGGTGAACAATATTCGGGTGGGTGAATTCTGCCTGGATTACCCTAAAGAGGACTGAATAAGGCGGCGAGCCGCCTATTTCCGAGTCGTGGGCGCTAGGTGATCACAAACTTAGACATAACTGTTGTATGTTTTTTGTTTTTTTTTGTTTTTTTTTGTTTTCTTTTAAAAAAAATCATTTATTTATATTTAATAATGTTCGGTTTGGACTTAAATCGTCTCTTGCCGCCCTACTCTTCAGCCCCAAGTGTTTCCCTGAACCCCGTGAACACCACTATTTTGCACCTGAACACCCTGCACGTGCCTGAAGCTCTGACGTGTCCTTCGTCCCGTGCTTATGTCTACAGTCCACGGGCGTTTTTCCGATTACTACTACGGTGCTGTATGTTTTGCTTGTTCGGATGGAAGCTACATTGACCAAGAATATCCCAATTGACTGCATGTGGCATCTTAGCGTATGCTTGTGTATTAATCAAATAGACTTGGCCTGGGTATGTCAGCTACTGCCCATTTAAGCCACTTCACACATTGAACATCTGATATGGCCACATATCAAGCATCTCTCAGGTGATGACGTTCCATTAACTAGGTTCCCGCAGCTGCACTGCCCAGCTTAAATATTAGAAAAGGGTCACCATTACTAATTTCCAATTTCGGGTAGATGGCCCGTAGAATTATCATGATAAACTTACACAAATCCAAAAGTTGCTAAGCGTTATAACCAGAGATGATCCTCTAAATCGGTGCTTGATCTCTAACTTCTTGGGGTAATATCTGGTGAGACTGTGAAATGAGGCAATGTCCCTTTTCGCGAATACGAGCTCATCACCTACATACTTCGATTGACACAACCTGTGGGAGAATGAACAAATCTTTGCCAGAATGATTGTCTTGCAACTCCTTTGGAGGGTGAAGGATCTCAAAATAGGTTTCCTTTTTTAGAGGCACATGGGGTTAATGTTTGAAGGGTAAATTTATGACCTTACATACACTCACACCCACGTACGTAGTACATATTATGCATATGCATATATGCCCAACATAACCCGGGTGGAAATTCAGTTGATTTATATGTCACCGTGCCTTAGAACCAACATCGGAAGGCTTTTGGCATTTTATCTCGCTCCTCCCCCTTTGAGCCGCAAATAATGCGCTATGGCATGGACGCATACTTTCTACTGGGAGAACTCAGCTTTTACTGCGCCCCATTGAATTAGACTAGGGTCCACTTCTGGTATCGTAAAAACCTCCCTCCAACGATCTACTGACTGAAAGAGGATCGTTCGAAACTATAGCGTTAAATGCATCGCTAACAATCAGAACCGTGGAGTCAGGTGAGTCGTGACCCTGTCCACTGTAGGTCTAGTCTCCACGTTCTTCATATTTCTTACATCTCCTCAGTCAGCCCCTGTAAGACGAAACTTGCCCTGAACTTACTACAAATCATGGCTGAACCGCTCACAATAGTCGGAGGGATTGCATCTTTTGCCCAAATAATTGGCTTGCTAATAAAACCAACCGAGGTGGCTGCCAAGTTCTGTCAAACAGTGCATGATGCGCCAGCAGAGATCAAGCGTATCAACGAGAAGCTCATATGCCTCAAAGGAAGCCTCGGTGCCTTCCAAGGCCAACTTGTTGAAATTGATGGAGATGAAGATATTATACCCCGGGACATGCGCTCCACACTTCATCATGTCATTGAATCTGTCTACAATGATATACTCACTATAAGTGACAAGTGTGGAATTGCCTCATATTCGTCATCTACGAGTCTCCGATACCGTTTCAAATGGGTGTTACTTGACCAGCACCTCGTCCATAGCATGATGATACGGCTGCGAGATTCTGAAGACAAACTCACGTTCATGATACATCTACTGAGCATGTAGGTAATGTATAGCATTTGGGTCTATTCAGGGCAGAACTAACATATCTCCCATGATTCAGCCGTCTATCACTACTTTTATACACTTCTCAAAAAATATTGCCGAAAAAAGAAGCCACGACTCTTGTCAGAAAAGTACTTTTGCCTCAAGCAGAATTTTTGAATGTTCAGATTCAAACTAATGCCAGATTCAAACTAATTATTCCCAAACCCGCACTGTTGCCTAGATTGTTGGCGAGAAAATAGGTCCAGTTCAGCAATCAGTACTCACGCCCCAAAACCTGTGGCCGAAGCGGCTTAAAGTAATTGCCCTTGCTGACTTGAATTATGAAATATTTCGAAGGGTTTTCAAATTCCGAACCAACAATTGTTGACGGCCACGCTCAGGCGTAGGCTCATACATCAATGTTCGGCAGCCGGCAATATCGGGCTTAGAAATCGGCCGAAATCCATCGGGTTTCCGATAATCAATGCATTCGGTTGCGTCATGACGTTCTACCACCCGAAAGACGACTCATAAGTAGCCTTAAAAAAACACACACGCTGCTTTGGTACGAATTACATCCAAAATTGGGAGCTCTGAAAGAGATTATAGTAAATATCGACCTATCCTACGCGGCTACAATCATGCCCGAGACAATCAAGACCGTCAGCATCCCGAATATTGCGTGGAATACCGCTGCCGATATCCATTTTCCACCCAAATTTGAAGAGAAGAAGAAGTACCCCGCCGTCGTCTCTGCTCATCCGATCGGCTCCTGCAAGGAACAGACCTCGGGCAACATATATGGGAAGGCAATGGCAGAGGCAGGATTTGTGGTTGTCACCTTCGATGCGTCGTTCCAAGGCGCCTCAGGTGGTAATCCCCGATTTATCGAGGATCCGGAGTTCCGCGTTTCTGACTTCCGTTTTGTTGTCGACTACGTCCAGACACTTCCCTATGTCGACGCCGAGCGTATTGGCGTACTTGGCATTTGCGGAGGAGGTGGCTACGCCATCAATGCAGCCATGACCGATTACCGTTTCAAGTGTTGCGTCGGTATCACTCCTGTCAACTTTGGCCGGCTCTCCCGCGAAGCATTTGGTAACTTTGATCCTGTGGATTCATTGGAGAAGATGGCCAAACAAAGAAGCGTTGAGGCACAGGGTGGCAAACGTTCTGTCATTAACCTGCTACCTCCATCTGTCGAAGATGCCAAAAAAGCAACCACGGACATCGATGTTATCGAAGCTACCGAATACTACAAAACCACTCGCGGCCAGGCACCTAATGGCTGCACCAGCGGTCTCTTTTCTTTCAACAGCGCCGCACTCGCGTGGGATGCCTTCAATCATGCCGAAGTACTTATGACGAAGCCGTTCATGGCAGTCGTCGGTGACAGACCCGGTGGCTTCGGTGCTTACCGTGATGCCCAGGAGATATATGGACGAGCTGGCTCCAAGGAGAAGCGCATCGTCGTGCTACCAGGGGCTTCGCATTACATGCTTTATGATAAGCCCGAAGCAGTCAAGCCCGCATTAGACCAGGTCCTCCCCTTTCTTAAAGAGCACCTTGGTGAGGCTAGATAAATCGGGACCTCTGTAGTTCAAAACGGAATAAATGAACGAAATATAGCTAAATGGTAGAAAATGGAGCTTATGCCTATCCCAAATTTCAATACAACTTCTAGCATGCATTAGAACCCTGCACTCAACTAGGTCGCTGAATATTTATCAACTTAAGTGCTAGTTCAGAGGACTTCATTCATCTGTAAGGCTATCAGTTTGTTGCGAAACAAAACACAAACTGCTGTAAGTCCTCCAGGCCGTGCCAGGTAATATACGTCTACTGTAGTGGGATGACACGTTCTCCAAATGTGGGGGGAGCAAGATGCTGTCTTATAGTAAGTGCCAGCTTTTATACTAGGATGCTCACTGGATTCAGCTGAATTACTACCATCCTACATACCTCTTATATGCTATTTCTTTCAAACTGCTACGTGTGGCAAATTGAGATAGACGTCCATTTGGATGTGGCTTTTCTTGATGAATCGACTCATACGGCTTGCTCATGCTCCCATAGAACGTTAGCGTTTCCTTGTCCACTATGTATGCTCTTTAAATTCCATATGTGATGTATCTGATAGCAGTGTCCGGTATCAATGTATTCATTGGCTCCAAATTTCGGTCTCGATTTCAAACACCTCAATGTGACACTGTGATAACAACTTTTCCGAGGCATTGCCCAGAGTAGAGAAAATCGAAAGCCGCGGGTGATTCAGTGAAATCAAACGTTTTGCCTATTATCGGTTTCAAGGACACATGATTTTCCTCTAGAAAATGGCAGAGGTTCTCTTGGTCGATCTTCGAGCCAACTTGAATCGCCCTAGTAGTCATTTAGTTCCATTTGTCCAAGCTATTCAAAGCTGTATGTATTTTGGTACTCACTTCAATGTACCGACTTTCAAGAAAAGCTCCCCCAAAGGTTTTACAGAGTTGTCAAGTTGTAGTCCCCCCAGGAACCCAATCCAAGATATCTGACCGCGGGTAGACATGGAGGTGATACTCTTTTGCATACTCGTATCCCCAACAGTTTCGAGTACGGTGTCGACCCCTTTGCCATGGGTCAACTGAATGACCTTTTCTTCCCAATTTGGATATTCACGATAATTGACCGTGTCAACAACACCATCTGAAGCGAAGGCTGTAACGTCCTGTAGTTTTTTATTCGAAGATGATGTAATTATTGGACGAATGCCGGCGCCAAGACAGATCAACAATGCGAACAAACTGACGCCTCCAGTTCCTGCATACAATTTGAGGATTAGCTCCTTCAGGAATTTTATACCACCGGGAGAGATTTGGTCCTACCAAGCATTAGAGCACTCCTTTTGCTGTTGTCATTTTGGTTCTTATTCAAGGCATTCCAAGCTGTAGTGCCGGCGCACGTTATACACGAAGCCTAGAAATGGGTTAGGTATGGAGCTAACTGTATGTAGAGAAATAAATTTTATGCAGCATTGAATGCCAAACCAGGGAAACGAAAATAGAAATGATGGATAAAGTTAGTTAACATACCTCAGCCCAAGAAAGATGTTGTGGAATACGAACAAGCGCATTCTCATCGAACACTGCATACTGGCGAAGTACCCCATCGACGTTTCCGCCTAGTTGGGCAACCTTGTTTTCGGCATCTATGACATCGATATACCTCAAATCAAAAATCGGCGACACACGATCTCTCAATGATACTTTGCTGACAGCTGATCCTAAAGCAATTACCTTTCCAGCACAGTCAGATGCTGGAATCCCCTGATCTTTGACTGAAACCGGATATTGGCCGTGTAGCATGCCAACATCTCTATAGTTCAAAGAAACAGCATGGATACGAATCAGAACCTCGTTTGATCCAAGCGACGAAATGTACTCGAACGATGGAAGAATAGTCCCACTTTTCTCGCCTGGGGCACGTCGAAACGCCCTGTAGGAGTTCGGCACTGTCGTCTATTCGGAAGCAGGCATCCTTTCGTGCGTAAAGGATTGAAGATTCAGGATACTAAATTCGGCATATACATGAGACTGGCACCTTAAATAGATCTAAATAATCGTACTCATTTCTTTACCAAAGGCCAATTTGTCATGATTAATCATCAACTGCTTATAATTAACTATCGGAGGGTTGGGAATTTGTCTTGTGGCCGTCAAGCCGAAATCCGACGGGCTGTCGGCCGCACTGACTTTTCGGCCGATGATGCGACAAAACGAAAAACGAGTGCCGTCTACCGGGAGCTGTAACTAAATTCAACGTTGGCATGATGGTACTAGAATAGGAATGAGTGGTTCTCAATATGCAAAACTATATTGAACTACCTATGATGCTGAATCAAGGATCTAACGTGAGGTATTGCTAGTCCGCATTTGATGAGTCGCTCAATAACGCTTCCAAAACATTGACCAATTGCGAGCGCAGGCGGCACAGGGAATTAGAGCGTATGGAGGTTCATTTGTCATGACACGACTCATATTCCTTGAGTGACTAATTTGACATAAATGTTGTCGAGATGAAGGTTTTAACTCATTCACCTGTTGTTGCTCCGTGTTTGATTGAACCCATGTTTTGTGTCAATATAGTAGTCATCGTAGGAATGCCATCTTCTATCTTTTTCTGCGACTCATGATTTTTAGCTGTAATACATTTAATTTAATTTCAAATCTTGTTGCTCGTGGGCATATATGTGGATGGTTGTATTCCAGTCCCGAGAATGCAATTCTGAGTGACGAGTGGGCTTTCTAACCCCATTTGCTATGAACAACATTGGGATAGCGGAGATACTTAAAGTAGATGACTAGTCTGTACTAGCTACTTTGGAAGCCAACAATAAATTCATTTATAGATAAAGCTTGAAATTTATGCAGAAATTGAAAATTCGTAACCATCTTGATTTCTACCCACTTAAAAACACCATCTGCTCTGGGGCTTTTTCAAAGAACCTGGTTTCAATGGAAGTACAAAGAATCGACTGCTCATCCAGATGTGCCTATTTCCCGTCGGGCTGTTATGACCGCATCAATCATCACCTCACCTTTTTAAGCCAGATTCGTGTTCATGAAATCTGCAATATCCTTCACAGCAGGCCCCACATAGGCTTCGTTATCGTAGAAATCCATGTGCGCTCCTTTCGGCACAATAATCTTTTGAGTCGCACCGCCAATCATCTTATCCAACCTCTCCGTGTGCCACAAAGACCCAGCATCCGAGCCGGCGATGAGGAGGACAGGTTGTTTTAAGAAAACATCCGCCAGATGGAAAGCGTCAAATGTGAGAACGCGAGGGAAGCTAAGATACAGCATTTTGTTTGCAGCACGAGGGTGCTGTGCCCGCGGGGTCAAATAGTAGTCACTAGCTTCCCTCATGTCTCTCGGGGTTGTGTTGTCTGGCTGCGGTGGCACGTATGGTGCAGCGGCACGCTCAGCACCTCTAGCCTCAGCAGTAATCTGGGCTGCAGCTGCACGAAGCGAGTCAACATGCTTGGACGGATCCTCGTCCCCATTCCATCCAAGACGGGCGGATGCTCCAATATTCACCATGCTAACAGTGGCAACTGCCTTCAGTCGATGGTCCCCTTTAGCGGCGGCCACTGCATAGCCACCGCCAGCGCAGATACCCAGCACGCCGATCTTCTCTGAATCTACTGAGTCAAGATTTTGGAGGTAGTCGATGACAGCGTAAACATCGCTCACCCGCTCGTTAGGATCTTCGAGGAAATGAGGTTCCCCGCCACTCGCGCCTTGGAAGGCAGCATCATAAACGATTGTTGTAAAACCGGCATCAGCTAGCTTTTTCGCGTATGTCCCAGCGGTTTGTTCCTTGACACCGCCGCCAGGGTGGACAATAACAAGACCTGGAGTCTTGCCAGATTTCCCGGTAGGTTTAAAGAGCAAGCCTGCGAGACTAATAGAGTCTTTCTTGATCGAGACTTCGGACATTGCAAAAAAGGATTTCATTCAAGAGGAGAATATTTTGAATAGAAGTCGTTTGGCTAGGTATTGGAGGTTATGTTGTAATCAAGCGAATGCTATCCGGAAAGTTAAAATACGTTTCAGTTGCTGCTTTTATAATACTTGAACATTAATTTACTCCTGGCGTGGTATTGTACTTATGTCAGTCGTCGGCCGAAAATGAACCACCCGAAATGATTATCGGTCCAATAATGACGTCAAGATCATCGAATGGCAGATCTACCGTCGTTACATATACGTACCGTACTTATAATACTTAAGTGAATCACTATTGTAATTCTTTAGTAAGTTCTATAGAAAATTGAATTAACTCAATGGGGCATTATCGGAATGACAGAATGTTACCATCTGGCATCTATTGGTTTCCAGTAGGATTGGTCTGACAAAAACTTGATGTCACATGACATGACTATAGACGGAGGACGTCGTCAATCCGCTTCCTCCCTACGAGTCTAGTCTATCCGGCTTGTTATCACTCTTAGACCAGGACTTTTCTGACGCGTACAGTATACGCCTAGAGTGCCATCTCTGATTTGTCTTGGACGACGATATCATCAAAATCGAAGACATTGGCGACATGGAGCAGCGAAGAAGTAGATCGAGGTTTTTGATAGCCTTTGGGATGAAGAAAGATCAACCTGGCTGCGCGCCGAAGGTCGTGCCTAAAGCTTATTGTCCTCTATGATAGCACTCAACCAGGCAATCTAACTCCCGAATCATTGTAAAGTGTGTGGCCAGTGATAGAGTAATTTCCCAATCGCTAAATCCCGCAATATTGCCCATATTAGAAGTATCTCATCCTTTTGATAGATCGTTAAAGCATATCCGTCTTCGAAAAACCGCAAAAAGTTTTAAATGTTTGTGCTGATCTCAAATAGCCTGGCCTCAATTGTCATTTGGAGGGAACATGTTAGACTATTAGGTATGTCAATAGCCTCAGGTCTCTGTGGAATCCTCGGCTCCTGTTCAAGTCCATGACCTATACCCGTGCTAGTCACCACTTGAAAGATCCAATGTAGCTCTTCAAAGGATTCCATTGCCGAGTAGACCTTATTGCTTTTGTTATTTCTTTGTAGTTGACGCAGTCATTGATCGCCGGAGAAGCGTGTTTGTCTTCCGATTATTGCTGCAGGAAACCCGATCTGAAAAGTGCTGGCCCAATATCATGAACATGGGTATTAAATGGCCTCAATTCCGTGCTCATGTGGCAAGTTCTTCCTAAATTTCTTCATGTCACCACATTACCACAATTTACCGGAAGCTCCTTACTTTGATCATATCAGCCAGTAAGCCGAAACAATGTACTTCATTCGGCCGATCCGATAACCCCGTCCTTCGAATGTCAGCACATTCCTATCTCCGAATGTATCGATAAATCCGTGTTATAACGCAACATACCTCCTATTTTTGCCTATCAGCATATTCCAGTGTCTTCATATTGCGTTGAACACTGAACACACAAAGAAATCAAATATTGGGAGATGCTCGACTCAAGTACTGTCTGGTTCGGTATATACATTCCAATCCTTTCATGTTTCAATTTAGTCCGACAATAAATAGTCACTGGCTGTTCATCTGGTGTGGGCAGATCATTGGTCAGTACGGTTTACAAAGCTGGCCACCGGGTTGTTGCAACTGCTCGGAACGTGGACTCGCTCTCCTTCATACCTGACGAATCCAATATCTTGAAGCTCAAACTTAATGTCACATCAAGAACTGACATAACCAATGCTCTATCTGCAGCCTTAGAGAGATTTGGACGTGTTGATGTGGTCGTCAACAATGCAGGATACGCGGTCATGGGGGACACAGAATCTGTCCCCGAGTCGGACGCTCGGCTGCAGATGGAAACCCTATTTTGGGGTCCAGTATTCATCACTCAAGAAGCTGTTCGCATATTCCGCGAGACAAATCCCCCTCGCAAAGGGGGTACAATTATCCAGATCTCCTCCATTGGTGGATTGGTCACCTTCCCAGGCAGCGCATTTTACCATGCTAGGTAGGCTATGTCAGATCCCGGTCAGCGCAGACCAGATGAGACAATTTGGATACTAATATGAGGAACAGTAAGTTTGCGCTTGGTGGCTTCACTGAATCCTTTGCCAAAGAGATGAATCCGAGTGAATATTAATTTGATGGTAGTTGCGCCAGGAGGCATCCAGACTAGATTCGGGTCCAATGTCCAACCTGCTACTCGCCACCCTGATTACAATACACCCGCATCTCCATTGAACCAATTACTGTCGTATATGACCGATGCGGAAGTTCAAAAGACATTTGCGCATCCGGGTAGTTGCGCAAGGACCGTATTTGATGTCGTTGTTGGGCAACATCAACGGCCTTTGCCCCGCCGGCTATTGATTGGCGCAGAGACAATCCCTTTGGTGGAAGCAGATATCAAGAACACGGTGGATGAGATGCAATCTTGGAAGGCGGAGACCCAAAGATGCTCGGCGAAGAGCAATTAGGGGGAAACCATAGGGGAAACGATGTGAAGACTATTTACTTAGGTCAATAGTAATGCTGTAGAATATTATTATACCATGACTGTGTCTTCTAAAAATACCGACATTGCCAACCCTTATGACAATTTTTCCTGTGTGATAGCCAGAGTAAAGATATTCACATGCAGCAGAATATTGCCCAAGAGAAAAGACCTCGCCAACGATGCCTCAACGAAGTCTCTCCTCAAGAAACCGGAAAGCTCCCTGATTACACTTTGAACTGGTCTGTACTGGCTTATAGTGGGTATGTTGTCATCAAAATCCCCTGAAATATGCCGAAATAAAACAAGTCAACCCTCAATCAAAATTGATATTTTGACACAGATTTCCGGAATCCTGATCAGATAAATAGGGGTGAATCAGGTTCAACTGATCCAACCAATATGTCTGATTAAAGCTATTTGGAAAAGACTCCAAGATATGGGGCGAAGGACTGGGAGCAAAAGACGTGTTGAGATGAGAAAGCTCGGGCTGAGGATCAGGAAATGGATCGGAGCCTTGGAAGGCCAGATCCCGTATGATATTGTTGAGGCCATCACTGGCTGTGCCGTATGAGGTTGTTCTCGTTTGAGAACTATTGCTTGGTGATCCACAAACAGCCTTGAGCTTTTGATAGCAACGCTGGAGGACGTCTAGCCCTGCTTCAGCTGTTGGGCTGAAAGCTTTCATAATGGAAAGGCTTTCAATCGCTTGCTGGAGGCTGTGTTCAATCTTTTGTTTCACTTCGTGGTCCTGCGGAGGAAACAAGATTGTAATAATTGAAACGAGAAATGAAGCATCAATTGTATAGAAAGCAAGGCCGAATAGGCGATAGTGATGTCGTTTGGCTTGTGTGAAGGAGCGGTATTGGGAATCAAGCGTTTCAAGTGCTGCCTGCATAGCCGCTTTCCGGCTCTCTGAGTTAAATATAATATGTGGCCGATGTAATGTCATGAGGAATAGGTTCGCCATGACCTGCAGTTCTTGACGGAGCTGGGGGAGATACGGGCACTCCAAGTCCCAAGTAGTGTCTGAATTGTTCGACCGTAAGAAGGCGGGTAATTCATCCAATAATGATAATAGGCCCACATGGATCTTTCGGACAACAGAATAGTCTTTAGGGTGAGGACGATCTGCTTTGAGCGCTCGCATCTCATGCATCTTGCATGCAAGTGCGTACCGGAACAGAGGTGCAGAGACAGTTGCAATACCGCGATTATCTTCGGGGCGTATGACCATTGGTACCGCGGCGGAGGGATTCCTAGGTATATTACAATTCAATGGGGGCATGGCATCGCAGTCATCCATATGTATCGTTCGAGGGCGACCAAGAATCATAGCCATGAAACTGTGGGAGTCAGACAACAGAAACTAATACGGTATCTAAGGGCTTCTTCAACTGACCCATCCCAGACGAATAGATTGATCCATACACGCTTCTTATTCTCTTCGTACCAGAACAGACTCAGCGTCTGGTCAACATTGGTTTGATCTGATTGATGAACTTCATGTTGCCGGTGCAGTCCAAGTTCCTGGGCTTGTCTTGGAGGTACTATTAATAAGTTGATAACGAATTATAGGGTTCAAACCGACCTGATAGCATATCCAATCACATGCCAAGCTTCCGCGCCTCTACCGTAGTTTTTCAGCCACGAAGACCTGAGAAAATCCGCTTGTACTGCAGTGAGGGTAAACCCAGGTCTGCCCAAAAGCGATAACATCTCGTGACCCAGATCGCTATAGGTCTGTGAAGAGGTTATTTCCGCCTGTGACAACCCATCAAAGATATCATGATCAGGTGGTAGGAATTGCATGGCTAATGCGATAACCTGGAATAGTAGGGAAGGAAAGTATTGCAGTTCTGCTGTAAGTTCTGCGCTTTTCAGGTAGCTCACAGGCTCTGTTTGCTCTCCAAGCGGCCAGCGTGAAAATAGGTCATCGAAATAGAGTCGCTCGAGGATAAAGTAATGCCAGTTTACCTCCTCAAAGAAGAAATTGACTAGTGTTTCAGTCACAGTCCTCGGTGGCAGCTTCGCAATAAGCATTTGGACATCTTTGTTAGATAGAGGGATTTGATGGGTGCCATTGTAAGCGGCTGTAATTTCTTGATAATCGCCATTTCCGAGAACCTCTCTTGAGTCAGTAAGATGTTTAGACCCCTTGATAGTATATATACATACATCTTGCAAGCCCAAGAAAGCATTGTTGCCAGAAACCAATGAGTAACCTAGGTCAGCCGAAGCCTGAGGCCTTTCACCCGGGGGCTCGTGGACTTGCACCTGTTCGACTTCGGCTTGATCTGTGGAGGTTGACAATTCCGGCTCTTTTGCTCGCGCGGTCCTAGGGATAACGGTTATGCTTGTGGAGATGACGGCGATATTTGAAGGAAGTGGCAGTCCAGAAGATACGAAAACCAGACTAACTTACGGGATTGAACCATGGAAAATGCATTGTGTTGGGATGTTCCTTGATTGGCAATTGCTGCAGGGATGTTTACGATCACACTGAATGAATATCAGATGAGGCAGAGGTCTTTAAGCATCTGTAAGGTAGGGGCGGAACCTTTTGCTTCCTGCGATAACATTCCGAGCAAGACGTCACCACTCGTCTGCGTTTCAATCGTTGGTTATCGACAGAGGAAGGTCTGCTCATTGTTGATATCGATAGCTATGGAACCCTCGTGTACATGTACGTCGCTAAATTGATGGCGGCGTGGAACCAACGCAGGCCGGAAGTTGAACGATTACCTAATCCAAACCCGGCTAAACCCGAAACATCGTAGTAAATGCGATAACATACACTATCATATCCATCTAGTAATTGCATCTATTATTTCAGTGAACTTGACGTCCATTCGATATCAAGAGTTAATTGTGTTGCCCTGATTATCAGGCTGTGAATTAATTATCTGTTTCGTAGAAATCAATTGACTTGAGTAATGAGAATATTGAAGACGGCGAGCCACGTTTATTGCCTCCGGCCTAAATCCTTTTCAACCTGTTAGCGCAGGACTATCTGCCCTGGTAACGTATTCGGTAAGCGAGTGACGCATGTAAGCGAGTGACGCACCTACCATACATTATCTATTTTAAATGCATTTTCCTTAACCAAAACGCCATTAAATTAATTTAACTAGCTAGCTTCTCTATCTGGGCATGTTTCTCTTCTATGTCCTGGCTTCCTACATATTCCACATCCTCGCTGGCCCCGCGTAAGTGGCTGTAAACCCTCTGAAACCTACTCACAATAGGTATTGATACGGGCTACTTGGGCCTCAAATGGCTCCGCACGTAGCTCACGAACTTCTTGAACTAAGATATCGCCTTCATAAGCTATCTACCTAGTCGACCGAGTCCGCTTTTGCTTCTGCTTCTCATTGGCGGCGCATAATTCCTTGATTTCTTGCGCTTGTAGAATATAACTTTATATCTAGAGTTGGAAGCCTTTCACAAGCTGGTTTAATACACAATCTAACGGGCTAGGTAGACTATAAGACTATATATAAAGTAAAGCTTTAATCAATAAAGCCTATCGATATAGTTCTTTCTCTATATAGGGAGTTTTTGGTGTAAAATTTCAGCTTAATTCGCTACCCCGGCTCACTGGGGATATCGGGGTTCGAAAGCAAATATTAAGCTTTAAGAGTACTCAATCAAGTAAAAAAGGTATTAAACCGGCTGCCCTAAAGCTGTTTTTAATAGTATTAGGTTTAAAAGCCTCAATTCGGGCGTACAGATATACCTCAAGGAAATCAAGTTTATCAATATGGTTAATCCTGAGACGTATCTTTATTTCAATAAACTAACCGTATAAGTGCTTTAACACCGCAAAACAGCCAATATCGAAAGACTATAAAAGATATAACAAATATACGGGCATACAAATTAGTATAATATTGTTTTTTTCACAGATTTTGTCGAACCTCGGGGTTAAATAACTTCCGTAGCCGTCGAGTATCAAAAGTCGATACCGATCCTTTAACCGCAAAGAAGTCGACGGAATAAAGAGCTTTTCAAGCCAACGAAGACCGATTTCATCAGAAGTCCAGCCATTTGGGCTTACTTCGAATCACCAATTATCCAGAAGGTTATCAAACCAAGATTCAATAAAAACCTTACCTTTAAAAATCACACACAGAGGTAAGACCCAACCTAAAGTATTTATACATTTAATTATAGTCACCTACTCACGATTTCCAGGTTATAAAAGCAATCGCCGACCGTAGTATTCAGCCCTTATAATAACTTTCGCAGTCGCTGTTAATCCCATCGCGAAACCAGTCTCGTCAAAGTTATAAACGTCGTCGGGATCGATACCGTATTGAAGTATAATTTTTGGGTCTTCGCACTTCGCACGTTCGTAATTATAGCACCTCAAGAACCGGTTTAATAGTTCAGGATACCTTTTCACGAAGTTATAAACCCATTTTTCCCCAACTGTTTAAATAGGGGTTATTCCACAAGCCTTAAGAAGAATATTCGCAGTTTCTCGTACAGTAGTCAACCGGGGCGCTACTCCACGATCATCAAGCGATAGGATCCATTTTCGAAGCGTTTCCTCTTCGATTTCTGTCAATTTATATAAGTTAGCGCGTGAATTCGCACGGTTTTAAACACCGCGGAGGCGGCGGCGAAGTGTCAGCTCCGACATATTAAAACGACGTGCTGCTTCACGAACAGCGCTGATTTCTTAGTTCTTTATAGCCTGAATAGCTAATAAGATCCTACCCTCTTGCTCGATTGAGTTTCTCGAGGTTTGGAGGCGAATTAGTGGCATAATAGGTGGTCGAATTAATTAAGTGCTAATTCATAGACGCGTTTTGGGCGGGGTGCGTCACTCGCTTACATGCGTCACTCGCTTACCGAATACGTTAGACACTAAACAATAGTTAGTCAACACCAGGTATAGATAAGTAACTAACTCGTGTAAACCCTTTAATGAAAAAATGCTACTCACATTTAGCGAACTTGTCTTCCACTCCACCAAGTTCAGGATCTGCAATCTGAATGGTGAAATTATCAACGTCGAACTTGTCTAGGTTCCGGACGATCTTGAAATATAACCATAATCTCTCTACGGGGATTGTCATGAAGAAAATTTAGCGGGATAGTCGGACGTTACATTTATCCTCATCAATTAGACGCGAGTTCTTGAGGAACATGTCAATCCTGCATCTTAGCGGGACCATAAGACTGGCTTGATGGATGTCGTTCCAAAAGGTCTTTCGAATTGCCTCTGTATATCAAAATATGAATGTGATGAAAATTGAATGAATATTGCTGTTGACATACCTCGCTTTAAAAGAGAATAGACTTGAGCAATAGGCGCTTCTTTTTCCTCGCTTTGCAATAGCGCCATTGCAAGTTTTGCAGCAACAAATAATGACATGTGCATGTTAGGGGATATTATACTTGGCGAGAGATAATGGATTTTGCAAGCTGTAGAACCACCGAGATCACGTACAATCTTTTCCAGTATCGTTAAATATAAACGACGCTCACTGAATAGATCGCTTAGAAGATATTTCATGCCAGGAGTGTCGTCGTTAAGATAACTCTCTATGCTTGTTTTGAGCGAGTTGTGTGAATGATAGACAATTGAGGTAGTCATATCCCCTATCTCCAATCCTATTTCTTTTCTTCAACGCAGATCTCGTGCAAAGACAGATCGACAGCCAAGGCGGTGCGGTTGCTTTCGTGGATGATTTTACTGCGTGGGTGACCGGACCAACCGCGCAGAGTAACCGGGAAGGAATCGAAGCAATTATCCATGAAGCGCTCGACTGGACTGGGAAAGGAGAAGCGGGGCGACCTTTGAAGCCGAGAAGATAGCTATCATGTACTTTGCGCTAAAGACGCGTAAATCGGATCATGACCCGTTTACTATCAAGGGATAGACGGTTATACCTAAGGATCACGTTAAGATCCTGGGTCTGTTGATGGACACAAGACTTAAATACAAAGAATATATTGCGAGGGCTGCATCTAAGGGCCTAGAGGCAGCGATAGAGCTTTAGTGACTTCGAGTTCTCTCCCCAGCAACAGTATGGCAGTTATTTATATCAACGGTAGTACCGGTTGTATACTATACCTCTAATATCTAGATGCACATATGTAAGGATAAGGCAATAGGACTAATTAATCGAGTCCAAAGAGTTAGAGCACAAGCCATTGTAAGGATATTCCTTATAATTGTAACTAGCGTAGTAGAAGCGGAGGTCTATATTACTACTGCACAATACCAATTCCGGAGACGGGCTGTAAAGTTATAGATAGATATATATACCCTATCTGAAACTAACCCTCTCCGCAAGGGTATAGACCGAATCAGAAACTTTAGACAATATTATCGCTTACTATTGTATTATATAGTAGACGCGCTTAAGCACGTCAATCTAGAGATACTAGAAATAATCAACCTGTTCATATTGGTCATATAGGATAAACGCGTGCAGGCTAATGTTGATAGACAAGATAAGCTTTAGACTGAAGAGGGTGGATTAATATAGATCACGGTTAGTAGCTTAGTATAGAATAAGCTAATAGGATTTGAAGTTATAATAGAGAAATAGCCTCCTCAAAATCGGAAAATAAAGCACAAAATATTTTCTATTACATTGGGCGTAAGAGTAGAGTAAAACCTATTCTCTACAGAGCTAGTAGCTATAGTATATATATTAAGAACAATAATAGGAATTAAAGACTATAAACTCAAAGTACTTATAAGCAATAAGGCTGCGGCTCTTATACTTAGGAACCCTTAATAACAATCTAGATAGGAGTTTATTTATTAGATATACAAGATAATAAGGAGGCTATGAAGAGATAGGAACCAGATCAAGTTCCTCTAGGTCCATAATAGTAGAGACAATAAGCTATTAGGTCTAGCTAAAGAATAGGCTAGAGCAGCAATATAAGAAGATACTCTTCCATAAAAATACTGTACATTCCGAGAATAAAGTCAATAATATTAAATATTATACAGTTCTAAGTAGTCCCTAGCAATAAGCTACTAGAGAATATAGGAAGATATATAAAACGAGTAG